CACAGAATCGGAAACCCCACCGCGGCATGGAAAGCTGGCAGCCGTTTGCTGTCCGCGTCACACAGAGCCCTGAGGGCCTGATTCGTCCATCTGGCACCCGACCCGGTGATGACCGAAATTCCTGGGCTCGTCAAGGTTTGCTGCTGGGACCAAAGGAGGACAACGGTCAAGGGGGCGATTGTAACGGCGGGCACACGCCGGCCAGTCGGGTCCGTCCCGTGGGGCTCTCAGACCCATCGTTCAGATGAAACTGCCGCCAGCTTCAAAGTGACCGGAACTATTTTTTCTAGAAGGTCTGCGATGTGCAAGGTATCCGCTTTCGTTTCGAGCTTGCTGGGAGCAACCATGAAGTCAATGCTTGCTCCCACGCGATTCCGTGTTCCGGTTGGTCGGCCGCCTCTACCATAGCACAAATGTTGCAGCCGTCGGGTTCTTGAGCAATGGAGATCTGCGCTTTTGGGAATAGGCCTCGGCTTGGGATAAAGTGGCATAAAATTTGTAAAGAAGGGGCTAACCCATCACAAAACTAGCCCCTTTGTGCCCCTTATCGACGGCGATGGGCTGGAGCATGAGGCGGATTGCACGATTTGGGAAGCTAGGTAAGTTACTCGGCAGTCGCTTAGGAGATCTACTTTGGGTACGACAGTAGTTATGTGACTGACATCTCCAACTTCTTGGTATGGCCTTGGGCATTACTTTTAGACCCCCTTATTGCAAAGATACATCTGAAACCCCCGTGCCACGTAGAAATTTGCAATCTGCACGACATACATGCAGCCGCCTCCGTTGTGATCTGGAGACCCGGTCCAAAGATAGGGAGCTCGCTGTTTCATGCATACACAGGCCTCGTCATATGTCGGAAACGTAATACCTCCGCGATCCTTCAGGACATGCCTCTTGCCTCAGGAGCACGACCTGGGGTAAAACCTATGATCTACGTGCTGGAGAAAACTTCCAGGGGCTCTTGGTCATATGACCTGATCTGCATGCGAGTGGAAGGATAACCCAGACAATGTAGAAACTTAGCAGGGAACACAAAATGCTGCCATGACCAATGATGATCGCGCAGTCAAGAAAATGTGACGCTTTCGGCATTCTGCTTGGCCGGCCCTTGCAAGGAAGCCTGAGCGAAGGAGCTACAAGAAGATACGACCAAGACGACTTTAACTGGGGCTCAGACGTGAAGGAGGCTTTCGGCAACGGTCCCGCTGAACAATGCCTCGTGGCACCGACAACCTAGAACCTTGTCTGTAGCATGGCGCCCCAGTATTCTCCCACCCTGTCCTGCCCTTGATGCCCACATAATCGATAGAGGAATGGGGAGGCAGCGCGTTACCCATATCGTCTAGACAATTCATGACCCCCGGAAAATTGCTGCACAGCAGCGACTTGTTTCATTCATGACTTGACAGGGAGATACGATCTGCTCAAGCTGTCGCTTCACCGAACCCGACATCCGGGCCTTCGACGCCACGAAATTTAGGTGGCAATAGCTGTAGTCGATCAGTGACTGCAGGCCTCAGAATGGGCAACGGGAAGTGAGAAGATGGATGTCGTCTCCATGATGATGGCAAGTTGGCATCACCTCAGCATCGCACAATACTCCACGAAGCTGAAAAGGGAAAACGATGCTTGTGTTACATCACGTCCCCACAGTTCCTTGTGCGCCTTGCACCAATCTGATGATCACCTCTGATTTCCGTCTCAGCTGAATCCCTGGCTTATCGGCTTCCGACATGCGCTATACACTGATTTACTACTAATCTTGCCCACCACAAGCTGCACTGTCATGATATTATTCGTTCAAGGGTCCCTCACTAGGCACGAGGAAATCTTTTATGTTTTGTAGAAGATTTCGTGGCATACATACGCTGCCAAGTAGAAATTGACACTGACTGCCGGCAGCCAAAGCCGGGCTCCTGGCGAATCCGAGGGCTTGGTCGTCGACTGGGGCCAGCCAATAGTATCATTCATGGGGCCCTATAATGATCCTCGTCAATAAATTCATAGTCCCTTCTTCCCAGCTCATCGTGACACAGAGCCACATGGACATGGTAGGGATTAGGCCTGCTTCCCTGAACCACGCCCTGTGTTGAGACGTACATACGGAAAAAAGCGCCCAGTACTTTGCAATGCAATCTCTGCAATCTCATATCATATGCTGGTCTATATCGGCCTGCCAGGTGCTGCATCTATTTGATGTCTCAAAGTACTTATTTCTTTTCTTTCTTTCCGCTCAGGCAAAATGCGCAATCCCTGCTACGCTGGCGAAGTTTTGGTAAACATCGCTGATATGCAATCGCAACCGCTGGATACAATAAGATGAGATTGCGATTCTAGACGCGGCCGGCACAGCCTTTGGCTGAAGCCCGCATTCAGCTACTCCTCAGCATTTGCGCATGCCGGCTCTCCTACGCCACACCCAAGGACGTCAGTCTTTTGGAATATAGAGCTCTGGGGTATTTCCATGGCGCTCGAAGCCGGCTCATCATTGGACGGTTCGCCATCGATGGAGCATGTTATTGAGATGGGCAGCACCACTGTGCGCCACGGCTACTCGCAAATAGAGAGGCTCCTGGGATCATGACTTATACGTGTCTCCCAGTCTCATAGCAAGTGTCCATATCGCATGACTTTAGTAGCCTCGGATCCATCTGTGTATGTATCTGCAGCACTGGTCTCGTACTACTATATTTGATGTGTCCCTCCCTAGCAGCCAGAGCACGGCGACGCGGGGCGGCCTCATCAACAGCCAGACAAAGGCTTGCCCGGCCTGCCAGCCAGCGCGGATACGACATTGGAGCCCCGGCGGTGGGCTGACCCTCTCATGTGGACCAGTGCGTGTCACTTTTGGTGATCAGTCACAGCTGAAGGGAAATTACTGAGGAAGGGCAAATTTCTTGGCCTTCTAGAAGCTCCTTAGGCGCGCGAGCTATGCACTAGTGGCTCCCAAAACTATGGGAATTCCCCTGAGCCTTGGGCCCGACGGCGCGAGGGGATACGAATGTCAGTTCCGCGGGTGGCGGTCGTGCGGGGCGCGTCCCAGTTCCACTGTCCGAACACCCAGTAGCCCTCCTCTAGTGTCAGCTCGCTCGTCAGGTCCCACCGGTGCTTTTGGCCCTCTGGCCCTCTTTTGCCTCTGGGCTTATGAGCGAGCTTGCAAAAAAGCGCCGTTCCTTTTGGGCGCGGATGACACCCGGGCAGGCAGACAGGCAGTGTCCCGGTCTCTTAGAGTTTTCCTAGACTCGTCCAGGGGCCAGCGCAGCGCGCCAATCGACGGCCTTTCCGCCAGTTCGCCGCAGTCATCAGCGGTCGTGGACGCCTGCATCATGATGTATCACCAGCTTCCTTGGGCCGTAATCCGGATGTTGGACTCATCAATGACATATCGGCGGCACCTCTCAGCGGCCCTGCCTGGTGCGCGCCCGTCCCACGATCTCCGACCACGCAGACACGATGTTCCCTGGGTTGGAGTTGGGGCGGCGTGTAGCCGTTTCGGCGAAAAAGGAAGAGGCTCCAGGCGCGCGCAGCAAGGATGCTGTGCAAGCCCATCCACGCTGCATTGCATAACACGCGCATGGCCTGCCTGCAAAGAACCCCGGCCTGGAGGATCACACTCCCCAAGACGGCTCTCCGGCCTTCCAGCCTGTCGGGTACCACACCTTGATCGAATCAATGCCTAGCTCCTCGGCCTATGTATGTACTGTAACTAACTCACCTACATGGTCCTCCGCCCTGCCATGCTGGCTGGCGCTCGAGCTTGGACTGACAGCGCGCGCTCTCACGCTCAACTCCTCCCCGAGGGCTCTCGTTGGGTCTCCGTGTTGGGCGTCCCGTCCCATCAAGTCTCATCGTGGCATCCTGGGAAAGATGACTGCATCTCCATCCTACCTCACATCCCATGGTCTCACCGCCTTAACTGCTTTTCACTCGCTCAGATCCTCGGCGGCCGTCCATGCTCCACTGCCTGGCACGTTGGCGCGACCCAATGACGACCAGGTCGCAAATCAGCCTGGCTGGCATCTGTTTCTGACTCTCGTGCCATGGTCTGTCAGGCCTAAACCCAAATGGGCAACGTCTCGAGCTCGATTTTCTTTGTCCACGAACTTGCTCCCTATTTTATTGCCTAGCAAGTAATCCGCAGCTCCCCCCCCTGTCAATGCAACTCGCCCACGATGCCCTAGCCCAAATGCCGGAGCCCAGCAGCCAACAGGGGTATCCCAATACGCAGGCCTGGGAGGAAATGTACCTGAGAAGTCGCCCACCGCTCCTGTACCGGTCTACGATTCCTTGCCGGTACCTGCTCGACCCTTCAGTCGCCGGGACATAGCCATGGCTTATGGGACACAGAAGCTTTTGTCGGCCAGTGATAGCGTGGATACACATTTATCGACTGATGCCCCGTCCCAGAGGCATGGATATAGTTCCACACGACCCATGTCATCTGTCCAACCTCACGGGTCCTGTTCCTGGTGTTCCCCATCCACCCTTCGATACATAGTACTATCTATCACCGCACAAGCCGGGAGACCGGGCGTCGTGGGAGGGATCGACCGTACCAAGTCACTCTCGCTTGCTTTTCCTTTTGACCATGTCACCGCTGGTTCAATCTTAAAATAATCTAATATCCTCGTGCCGCCCCAGAGCTAAGTCGATAGTTCTGCCCTACGAAACAGCCCCATACATACATTCATACATCATACATACATACATACATAGTACCTGCTCTTGGTCACTCTCATGCTCCCAGACAAGACTTCTACTATCAACTCCTTGCATCACATCACTCAGTAGCCTCAAGGCCTAAATGATACTCTTCTTCCTTCCTCCACTCAAGGCTAGGACCAACTATAACAAACAAGCTCTACACTAAAGCATTGAGTTTTGCTGTCACCAAAATCGGACGTCAGGTTTCCTGGCTTCTGCTGCAGGCTCGGATCCAACTGACACCTGCTCACCTGAACTTGATACAGACGGAAAGCTCAAGGGGCGGAATCACCATGGCGAGGAACCCAGCATCGAGATCCCGCGGCCATGGAATGGCTGATGCGGGAAAGGCTAACGACACGCCGTTCCCGACGAGGCAGATGCTAGTATTGGCAATCTGCCGGATCTGTGAACCTATTGCTTTCATGGGTATCTTTCCCTACATCTACTTCATGGTCCAGGACTTTCACATGACGGACGACAAGAGCAAGATATCGTTCTATGCTGGCATGATTACTTCAGCCTTCACCTTTGCCGAATTCTCCACTGGTGTTCTTTGGGGACGCTTGAGCGACAGGATTGGCCGCAAACCAGTCTTGCTCACAGGCTTGATGGGAACTGCCATTAGTGTCTTGGTGTTTGGTTTCTCCCAGAATCTGTACGTTGCTTTGGCAGCACGAGCCATCGGTGGACTTCTGAACGGCAACATGGGCGTGCTGCAGTCGACAGTAGCCGAATTGGTCACGAATAAGGAGCATCAGCCTCGGGCTTACACTATCATGCCCGTGGTATGGTGCGTAGGATCGATCGTGGGACCAATGATCGGAGGAGCACTGGCAAAGCCGTGTGAGACGTATCCCAGCGTATTCGAGCATGGGACAGTATGGGACAGATATCCCTACCTGTTGCCCAACTTGTTCAGCGCCGTGGTATGCGTGGTTGGTGTTGTCAACGGGATCTTGTTCTTGGAGGAGACTCACTCGGCAAAGAAGCAGTACCGAGACCGCGGCCTTGAAGTCGGAAACTGGATTCTATCGAAATTTACGTTTGGAAGGGCAGCAGCAGATACGACCCCGGATCAACTGAAGTACGATGAGTGGTCCGAAGCGCGACCGCTCCTCGAGGAACAGTTGCCTGGATACCGCACTACAGACAACTCCCCTGAGAACTCGCCACGCCTGTTGACTGCGCAGTCTGCCGAGGAACCGCAGGAGTCTCTCGACTTGGACGACACTTATCAGCCCACCTCAAAAATCTTCACCAGACCTGTCGTGCTGAATGTTGTTGCGTTTGGCATCCTGGCTTTGTGAGTACTCTAGCCCTTCCAAATCGAAGAAGCAGAAGAAGGCAGAGGACGAAGACTAACAGCAGCACAGCCACACTATGACCTTTGACTCGCTGTTTCCGGTGTTTCTGAGCACACCCCATTCAGAGCGGCACGATATGGCCCTTCCATTCAAGTTCGCTGATGGTCTCGCACTTCCGCAGCAAACGATCGGTGTGATCTTGAGCGCCCAGGGCATCTACTCGCTTCTGATCAACATGGCTGTGGTACCGTGGGCCATCAAGCGCTTTGGGCCATTGCACCTGTTCCGGTTCTTGGCGGCAACATACTTCCTCCTGTACCTTGTAACACCATACATCGTTTTGCTTCCCGATACCCTCCGAATGGTGGGCATTTATGTTATTTTGATTTGGAAGTGTACCTTTTCCAACATGGCGTACCCCAGCAACGCCATCCTCACAGCGAACTCGGCCCCGAGCCAGCACGTCCTCGGCTCTATCAATGGGGTCGCCGCTTCTACGGCCAGTCTCTGCCGAGGTTTCGGCCCCCTCGTCTCCGGTATGCTCTATGCCATTGGCCTTCAGACCGGCTACTCGGGGCTTGCCTGGTGGTGCAGCGCGCTGGTCGCCGTGGGTGGTGCCGTCGTGGCTTCACGCATCCCGGAGCAGCGCGTGCTGAACGAGAAGAGCCGCCAGGATGTGGAAGCGCAGGAACCTGCACAGCCGTGATACTCGCGCCCCGAAGCCAGCAACAGAATAGAATGGATCGGCAAGCATACCTCGGAGTTTGGGGATCAGCGCATCGCAGCGGCAAGCAATACTGGACTCATGTTTTGAGATTTGGCGTACTTCAATCTTTTTTTGGGATGATTTTGGGACAGTCCGGGTGATGGACGCGTTACAGAAGCGAGCTACGAGCTGCCTGCGGATATCGGGTTTTCAAGTAAATGCATTGGCAAGGAAACGGAGTCACGACAAGATATCAGGGAATATCAGGAAGCATCGGGACATAAACAGGACAACCCCGGGCGTTGGGGCATGAGAACGACATGAGATTTATCAGAGGGAAACAAAGATGGGGGCAACTCTTCTACATCGCTGCTCGAGATACCACTGGGATTCACTTCACAGGACGAAGCAGGCGAGGAAAGCGGACTGTTTATCGGCTGGGGATTTTGATTGCATCAAGCGGCGCCTGTCACTTTAGATATCATTTGATTTTGTTGTTGGTGTTTGTTCTCGCTTATAGAAGACACAAATCATGTACCTTGACTTTCTGCTTCTCAGTATCGCACAAATACAAGTGAGCTCGGCCTAAGCCTGAGGATCAGACCAAGAAGGAAGCCGGAAAATGGGCACTTTGTACGTGACTCCCGTACTGCTTGACCGTCTCCCTCCGCACCCTATTGGCCTGGCCAAGGACATGGCCCGGGGTTGATTGTTTCCGATACCCCGGGAAGGTGTTACGGCCTGTCTGGCATAATGCTCAACCGGTCGGCCCAATGTGTGTATAGGTTCAGGTGGATGAAGAGCCAATAGGGTGCCGATGCGGCTACTCGAGTAGGAAGGCTGGGTCACGGCTGGCCGGCCGCAAGGCAAGGCATCTCGCCAAGACGTGGCCGACGTGGGGTTTGGTCTGGAAATGGAGGGGGTTAGGGATGGGATCGCTAAGTTCCCTGCGGAGGGGGTGGGCGGCGGCGAGCGCTATGCCGCTTCCGACAGGCATCGCGGACGGCCGAGCTGCTGATTCGTCGGCTGGTCCTTATCAACCGCCGGCCAGCGAGGCAGATGGGGACCGATTGCTCGAAAATATTTGCTGTGGTTTTGGGTCGTCCTGCGATGCTTATCGTGAGCTAGAGCTAGAGCTGGAACTAGAGGCAGACAGACGGTGGTGAAGTCCAGCCGTTGGTAGACGGACGGACGCAGCAAGAAGAAGACGGGCACTGCGCGCGCGAGGAGGAGAAACCACGCCGCTCACACCGTGTTTCCTGTTCCGCTGCCGCTGCCGCTGCCGCTGACTACCAGGTGGGACAAATCGAAACCTTGACGAGCCAACGCGTAGTCGCATAGCACATGCAATCCCTGGCGTACGAGCTGCCCATATTAATTTTCCTCAGCCTCCATCCAGCTGCTCCTCGCTCGTGTCTGCATCTGATAGGTATCGAGGCCTCACCTCTTCTCGCCTTCCCCGCATCGACGGCCTGTCTCACATAGAGGTCCCCGAGTCGCTCGCTGCTGCGCTGCCCATCCATCTACCACGGCTGCCATCCGCGCGGGGCTGGACGACCTCGCCAATGTTCCGATAGCTCGGCGATGGAGCATCTGTGCCTCGGTGCTTGTGAATAGATAGGTGGCTGCCCACTAAGCAAGCACGCCGTTCCCTGACCGCCGGGCGTGAGCGCCATACCTCGGACGAAGCTTCACGAGCAGTGCCGGCTGCGCGCGCGCGACCGACGGCAGAGCTCGAGGTCGTCTAAGAAGCAAGAAGCAAGAAGCAAGAAGCAAGAAGCAAGAAGCGAAGCGAGGCGAAACAATCCCCCCTCCGCCCATTTGGCCCGGCGACAAGGAGGCGCAAGCAACCCAAAAAGCAACGGCCAAGATGCCGCCGCACTCCCCGCCGTCGCCGAACCCGTCTCCATCGCACCCGAGCAAGCGCGCCCGGCAGTCATCCCCGGAGAGGGACTCGCCGAACTCTGCGCCCACCGCGGCCGGTCCAGCGTCGCCCAGCACTGTAGAGACGCCAATTGAGGCCACCGCCGCCGCCGCCGGCCAGGCCTCGTCCAACAAGGTCGGCCAGAGCAGCAACTTCCGCAACGTGAGCGCCTGCAACCGCTGCCGCCTCCGCAAGAACCGCTGCGACCAGAACCTGCCGAGCTGCGCCAGCTGCGAGAAGGCAAAGGTCTCGTGCGTGGGCTACGACCCCATCACCAAGAAGGAGATCCCCCGAAGGTACGCTGCTGCCCCTCTGTTTCCGTCCACCCAAGGACTCGGTCTAACCCGGACGCTCCAAATATAGCTATGTCTACTACCTAGAGACCCGCGTCGGCCAGCTCGAGGCCCTTCTCCGCGCCAACAACCTCTCGTTCCCGCCCGCCGAGGAGCTCGAACACTGCTCGAAGCCGGGGACCGAGGGCGCGCCAGATACGGCGTCCAAGGACGGCAGCTACCAGTCGTCTCCTGTGACCGCGAGTCGCCATGGCCACAGCCATTCCAGGTCGCATAATAACGGAGACGAGCGCGAGCGGCCGCACAAGGCCATGCGGCCTTCTGGCATCTCTGGCGGCAGGCATCTCGGATCCACCAATGGCATATCCTTCGCCCGCGTCGTCTATGCAGCCGTGCAATCTACGGTCGGCGACCACAAGTCGCAATCCGAAAAGGCCGGCCTGAGGCCGTATAAGCCGCTCGCCGGCAGCGGTGCCGACGCGTCCGGCACGTCGATGCGAGACTCCTTCTTCGGCCTGCACACCCGGCCCACGATCAACCCGGCCAAGTTCCCGGACAGGGACCTCGCCAGCAAGCTGGTCAACATCTACTTCGAGCATGCGAACCCGCAGATTCCCGTGCTGCACCGCGTCGAGTTCATGCAGATGTTTGATCTGGCGTTTGCCGACGAGGGCAGGATACGGGGGCCACGCGAGCTGTATATGCTGAACATGGTGTTTGCCATAGGCAAGGGCATCTTCCAGTCCGCCTCTTCCAAGAACACCGACGGGGACCGGATGCCCACAGAGGCACAGCCCGAGGAGTACCATGCAAGTGCCATCGTGCACCTCGAGGCTTGTCTGAGTAATAGCGGCGGTGGCCTGGAAGAGTTGCAAGCTGTTCTGCTGTTGGCCAATTTTGCGCTGCTCCGTCCGGTGCCGCCTGGCCTATGGTGAGTTTCTATCTAGACCCAGCTACCCTTGACCACGAACTAATGAACTCTTCTCTGCTAGGTATATTGTTGGAGTTGCTGTTCGCCTTGCAGTTGATTTGGGGCTGTATGTGGAGGATGCAAAGGACAGCACAAATGCCTCCGAACCCGAAAGCTCGTTAGATCCCCAGCTGCAGGATGCACATATTCGGCAAAGGGGGCGACGCGAATACCATCGTGATCTACGGAGGAGACTTTGGTGGTGCACATATTCTCTGGACCGGCTTGTCAGCACCTGCGTTGGCAGGCCGTTTGGCGTTTCAGACCAAGTTGTCACGACCGAGTTCCCGACGCTTCTGGACGACAGCTACATCACGTCCAACGGTTTCATGCGGCCTATGACTAATTCAGAACCAAGCTACAAGCAGGTGGCTTACCACTATTTCCGGCTTCGGCTGCTCCAGTCCGAGGTCTTGCAAGTCCTGCAGTATCAGCAGACCCAACTTGCAAGGGCCAGCGGGCAAAACCAACGAAACAAATATATGCACACACAATTACCTTCTCCGTTCCTGAACAAGTTCGACTCGTTCCGGTCATGGAGGATGGACATTGATAGGCGATTATACGAATGGAAGAACTCGGCGCCTACCAAGATCGAGTCAGGGGTGCAGTTCTCGACCGAGTTCTTCGACTTGAACTACTGGCAGGCTGTAATTTTACTCTACCGGCAAAGTCTGGAAGTGCCCGAGATGTTCGAGAGCGAGTATAACACCTCGAAAGAAGTGAACAGTCCTTCGATCTTCCCGCCTGAAGTCGGAGGCGATGCTGAGAGGGTGCATATGAAGGTTGCAGAGGCTGGCCAGAAGATCATTCGCATTTATCGGCAATTGCATCTTGTAGGATTGGTAAACTTCACATATCTGGCGACTCACCACCTGTTCATGGCGGGTATCTCATATCTGTATGCCATATGGCACTCTCCGTTGGTACGGAGCCGCTTGGTAAGTTTCCAACCATGCATCAACCGACGTTTGCGAGCGCGGACTAATACATTCTTGACAGAGCATGGATGAGGTTGACTTCACAATATTAGCAGCAACCTCTGTCTTCACGGATCTCATTGAGAAATGTCCACCAGCAGAGGCCTGCCGAGACGCGTTTGACCGCACCGCCAAGGCCACCGTGAAGATGGCGACTCATAACGGGGGTTTCGGTCAAGCGGCGATGCCGTCGAACCCTCGACCAAGAGGAAGCTATGATTACCTCACAGCACGCGAGGCAACATCGAACAGACACCGGCAGCAGCAGCAACAACAGCAGCAACGATTGCAATTAGAGCAATCGGCCCCTTTATCTTCACAATCACCATACGACATGGCTGGGTACTCATCGAATCATAGGACACCGCAGGTGCCCCCGATCCAGACCAGCCCTTTTGCCCTCACCATGCCGAACATAAAGACGGAGAATGACGGCTATTCCATGATGCGAGCTATGCCAGGACCCGGCCAAGGCGTAGCTGGTGGCGTATCAGAGGACCCCGACAACGCGTCCATTGACCCCATCCTCCTCCCCTCGCCAAGCGCCGCCCAGCAGCAGGCGCAGTCGCCCATCTCCGGGACCAGCATGACCCCGGTGTCGACGAACAATGCCGGGGCCGGGGCTGCAGGCATCAACAACTTCATGCGCTCGCCGTCGGCCATGAACCCGAACACGCCCGGCCAGCTCAGCCTCTCGGGCCTGCAGGAGATGGAGTTCATGCAGAACGTCCAGGGCTCGGGCGGCCTGGACGGCGACTTTGCCGGCGACGGGCAGATGGACCTCGGGTTCGGGTTTGGCTGGGACGGCATGCATCAGGATTACAACGACTCGCAGCAGGTCGACCTGCTCGACGGGTTCTGGTTTGGCGGCCAGCAGAGCGGGGGCAATGGCGGAAACATGTCGTAAAACTATCGCGGAATGTGCCCATGCCACAATTCTAGCAAACGTATGTTGGAGTACGGAAGGAAATCAGTAGCTGTCTACTTAGCCGGCGTACTGGCTGCAAAGGGCTCATGCATGAGGACCGCGGGAGGAAATATAGAACAGCGCGAATACCCCAGATGGAAGTTACTTTCTTGACTTCGCCCATGCAAGCTTATCGTTCTCGAATTCGGCAGAAGGAACTAAATCACAAATATCCAAAGAGGGTAGGCGGGCACGGTGTATGCAATTTACCTATCTATGAATCCCGTCTATGTCAAGGCCTATCGTACAGGCGTTGCATCTGTTTCGCCAATATTCTCATCGGGCTTACGATATTCAAGCATCCAGTCCTAAATAATACTATCACATCCCCAACGGAAAAGAAAATAATGAGACAACACCGTAACGTAACTTGCTAGGCAGGGACCCTGCACCAAGGATTAACTTTCCGCTCCTAGCGTTATACTGATATCAATACGCCGTTGAGAACATCTCCTGTAAGCCAATGTGGAAGCGTTTTCAAATGACGCCGAATGATGAGTCGGTGTCTGCCCTTGCACAATGGCGCTTGATGGTTCGGAAGCTATCAAGCAGCCTGACCTAATCTTCATATATACTCATATCGTCCCAATCAGACGGAAGCGGTGCAAGCCGCGTCCATCTTGGCTGCAATGCCGGTCGAGGGGTGGTCTTCGTGGGCGTCGGGCAGTCCCCGGCCGCATTTTCCTTGTCACCCTCAGTCGACCTGTAAGTTCCTCGGTCTGTCTCCAACACAGGGGTGTGGCTGTTTGGAATTTCGTGCTGAGAAGTACTTGTCCCACTCCCAGTACCTTGACAGCCCTCCATCTGGTCTTGAGACTGATACGGTTTGCTGGGCAAGGTAGTAATCACACTGTCGCAGAGTTCATCTTTTCCCATGCCTATAGAAGCAAGGGTATCGTCTCCATAATTACTGGGTTCCATGGCTGTAGAATCCTCCATGAAAGATTCATCGGGGTCACCGGATGCAGTTGTTCCTGATGATTTATGGTCTTCAAGCTCGACGCCGTTGTAGGCCCCAGTATATCCCCTGGTGGACGTGTTCGAATCATCGTCGCTTCGGATCTCAGTAGCAGCAGATCCGTCGGCTTCATGGGTGCTCTTCTCCTCAGTATCTGCTGTACTGGAGGAGTTTGGGATGACGATATAATCATCATGACCATTTATGGCAGTGTCGGTGTTGCGCAGAGATGACAGCGCCAGGTTAAGTTCTTCAGCGACTGTGCGAGGATCAATGTAGGTTGGAGAAGCATTAGCTTCGTCGCCATAGTCACTCCAGCCCATGAAGGAGTTTGCATGGTCAGTCTCAACGGCGGACGAGTCGTGGTAGATTGGCTGCGACCATGCAGAACCCTCATTGAGTTGTTTCGGGTAGGCCTGGTGTTGAATTTTCTCGTCCACGTCGGCCACGACAGGGTATTCGTTGCTGCGGACACGAAATCCACTCGTTTGAGCGAGGTTTTCTTTGTCATCAAGGTCCGGTGGCACGTTCTTTGAACCAGACAGCTCAGTCTGTGGGAATTCAGGAGGCGAGCCCAAGAAACTCATTCGATGTTCGGAGCCAAGGTCAAGGTCATGATGAATGCTTGCAAGCCTCTCCCACTCCTTAGGAACCGGAATACCTGAGATATGGCAGATTCGCATTGGAAGTCTGGGTATTCCATTACTAATAGCATCGCGATTCTGATGAGCAGTAGACCATTCGCGTTCATTGGTGTCAACTGGCGGAAATTTAGGCTGGAGTTTGTGAAAAGCTGCCCGATTCCTTGCTTTCGCATCTTTGAGCATGTCACGTATGGGAAGATCGGAGTCGATGTCATCGTTGGTTGCGGAGGCCCAGATAGTTGCGTTTGCCGGTCCTAACTCTGAAGGTGGTACCAGAGTTTGGCTTGAGCGGTGTCTACCACGAGCCCTAGGCTCGCTATCATCAAGATTATCCACCTTCAATGAGTCCCCTAAGAAGCCATTGTTGCTATGTCTTGGCGAATGTTGAGACACGGTGGAGCTTGTGGTTGCACTCAAGATTTGTCCTGACAGTTCTCTGGCTGGTTCGCTCATCATCCGACCAACCTCTTTTCTAAATCTCTCAAGGCACTTGCTGTGACTCGAAACCATTTCCAGCGCGGAATTAAGCATCTGTTCTTGCCTAGCCAGGATTTCAACGAATGGCCTTGAGTCTAGCGTATCTGCTGCGGTCGGAAGGACGCTGTATGTCTCTTGATCGTGACATATATTTCGTGGGTCCCCAAACCTCTTGTGAACTTGTCTGCCTTTGTCCTCCTGCGGCTTACAGCCAATTTCCGGCTGCAGGAGAGTTCCCTCCTGAGAGATTTTGGTAGAGCCTTGGTCATAGTCTCTGAGTAGCTTCTCTTGAACGCGTATATGTTCAAATTGGGAATTAAATGCTGCCTTATCCCAATAGCCCTGTGTCAAGCCATGGTTGATGCGGTCCAAAGCGTGCGATTGGAGCCGAGATGATGGAAACGATCTCATGGAAGGAGAAGCAGTCACATTCGTGTGCGGAATCGCCATTGAAGATGGACTCAATTTGGTATATGCGGATGTGTGGGATCTGTGTGACGGCCGGTCCAGCAAGCCAAGCATTCTCGACTCGTCTGATGTGGGTTTCAGCTCCTGGTTTGATAAGACTTTGACCGAGACACTCGGAATGGAGGCGGCGAGAGCATCCTACTGTCTCTTTCCAGATTTACCCCATTGAGGTACCTCCTTGACGAAGTATTCGTGAATGGCGGTGACTGGCCAGAAGAAGACAACGCCGAGCACGCAGAGAACTGTGGCAAAGACCTGCCAGCCGAACCATATGAGACTAGCTCCCCACGGAGCAATGAACTTGAGAAAGTCATTAACTTGGTAATTATCCTCTTGACCGCGAATGAAGTAGCGAGTAGAGACAGTCTGGTCTCCAGGAGCAACGGGACTGTTATTGGGAAGTTGACGTCCATCCTGGTCGACAGGCCGCGAGACAAGGTGCAAGACGGTGACCAGTTTGACGTGGGATTGCCACAGAGAGAATGGAATAAACCAAAGTGTGAAAGTCTGATGGATCGTGGCATAGAGCAGGCTGTTGCGCTGATCGAAGACGGCTGAGTCGACCCTGATGTCGATCTGGGGACTCAGGATGCGATACCACTGATAAACGAACTTGAGCAACCAGCGAGAGTTGAATTCGCCCTTGATCAAGGGCAGCTCCACGCCGGAGAACGAGGGCACCCGACAGAAGGGGTGAACGAAGTAAGCATCTGGGGTGAAATAGTCATCGAGGGCGGCCTCCTGTTCTGACTGGGTCCTGGCGCACAGGGCCTCGATAACGCCTCCGATCTGGTGCACCGGACGGTCCATGATTTGCAAATGGAGAACTGAAAAGGCAACAAGTAACAAGAACGATTGATTCAAATCAGGACGGGTGTATGGGTTGTATGTATGTGATTTTGAATGGGCTCAACGGGTCGTCGTGCTCTTACAGAATTCGGGGATTGGAAGAAGGCTGAAGCTACAGCGGCTGAGGCCATGATGTCATTGGTCTGGCGGCGGACGGGTCGCCCCGGCCTTGCCAGCATGTGAAAGCCCATCCCACCCACACTATAGTGCCCATCAGCGTGAAAAAGCGCCTGCAACAGCCGGTTTCCGAGACGAATGCCATAGTTCCTCTGCAGTGCCTGCCGTTAGTATGATACTGGTTTCGGATGGGCCGAGGCATCCGCACAACAGTCCTCGTCCCTCTTGGAGCGGGCATCATGTTATGCAACTCAGTATACAAGTACGAGGGAGAAGAATGGTTAATTACCTGCCAATGACAAGGCTCCCCGACGAGTTGGAGAGAAGATAGCAGGCCTGTTTTGCAATGTCGCGAAGCCTGAATACGCACTTGGAGGAGTGCCTTCGAGACGCTACACGGTCTCTCTGTGAGGGTCACCCAGCTACCAGTTAGGTTGCTCCTGTACTATTTCTAGACTGGCTCTATTCTCGTAATCACAGCACGGACAATCGTTGCGGCATCAATTCGTCGAACGTGGTAACTCCCAAACGGTGTTGAAATGAAGATCTGGTACGGCAACTGCGATGCCGGACGGGTAAGGCAAACAACTGCGTCGAGGATTTGTGCATGATAGATTTCATATCCAGCCAAGGTGAGATAGCCATACCGAGATAACTGGATAAATTCAAAAATGGCCTTCAACTGCCAGGAAAACTACAATGGTATAACTAAAGCAAACCCCCTTGGATATGGCGAAAAGTATCGTACAAATGTCAACCTGCTATGAACGACGCTTCGCTATTCCTAACTCGTCTCATCACGTTGTTACCCGAACACGTTTCGTGTATCGTGGTGGCTCAACTTGTACCCACGTAACTCCAATTGACCAAATAGATCATGTGCCATAGTGCTCGTCAGTCCCAATGCCGCCGCGCCTTATTATCATCGTCCGTCCACCGTGAACATGAGAGCCATGTTCCGGACTCCAAATAACCCTGGCATTACATCCTCGTCTTATTCATCACCGCCTGCGCGAGTCGCTACGCCGGCGACTCACGCTCCGTATAGGCTCGTCACCCCCGGCATACCGATAGGGGTCTACCTCCCGGTATCCGCTGCTCCTGCGCTCGCTGCTCCTCCTCTTGTGCCTGCTCTCGCGCCGCCTCGGCGGGGTGTTCTCCTCGATGACGACAACCTCATCGTCGTCGTCATCCACGACCATGCGCGGTGGCGGGGGCATCGGCGGGGGTGGGGGCCCGCGGCTCCGGCTCCGCTCCTCGACGATGATGCGTTCGGGGCCCGGGACAGGGACGATGCGCTCTGTGCGGCGCACCTCAACCGTCTCGCGCCGTGGCGAGCGGGAGTGGGAGTGGTGGGACCGCCGCCGGTGCTTGCGAGATTTGCGCGTCACGACCGACGCCGTGCCGCCCACCGAGGCCGTCTCCACGACGGTGTTGCGCGGGTTGCCCAGGTTGACACAAGTATAAATCAGCCACAAGACCAGTATGAAGCCCGCCACTGAGCCTAACACAATGCCGACAACAGTCCCGGCATCCGGGCCTGAGGGCGTCAAGCCGTAGCCCTGAGGCACTGCGGATACATCGGTCGCCAATCGTCGCAAGAGCCGCGTTAGCGCCGCTGTGTGCGAGCCGGAGGATGCTGACGGTGTTTCTCGTCGTAAGATCTCGAGGGGTAATGATGGTGCATCGACATGTCTTGTTGTCGTAAGCGCTGCGCGCACGACGTCGCGCGGGGATGGTACGGGCGCCATTGCGAGGTTGGACCCAGTGGAGTTGGACGGCAACAAGGATGGCGATGTCGCCGGGTTCGCGCGATTTGTTGTCGTCTGGTGTGAACAGTGAAGACTGTCAGCACGCAGGACTCCTGGGGGCAGCTTGGAGGTCGCAACGATGAGGAAAGGCTGTTGTCAGATCAGGGTATCTATCGCCCGCTGCCTGCTGGCGCGCAGGAGTGGGAGCGGGAACAGGAATAGCACCCGTCGCACGTTGCACGCAGCCAAGGCAGATTGTCGACTGGGTGAGGATTTGCGGCAGGGGTCCACACGGGCGACACTGGACACAGCGGGACGCGCAGGATCAGGATCCTCCAATGGTGGTGTGCGTGGCTGTGAGCAACAGAGTAAGCCGAACGCGGGCCAAAACACAATGTTCTCTGTAAACACGTTCAGTTTAGAAACCGTCAAGGATTGCCCCCGGCATAACACAGCAGAGTTCGAGGTACCCGAGCTGCCATCCTCGCTCATCAGACCAGACTCCGCGGCCTTATTCACGCAAAGCTTCAGTCTTCCTTTCTGAGGAGGCTGGTAGTTTTGCCGGCGCTAACGGCCTTGATTTCAGGCTAGCAGTCTGCACGACTTACACAGTGACCCGCAACTACGGTAGCATCCCAGCAACTATCTAGTATAACTAACCCGGTTTTTGCTCGACGGAGACGGCTCGGGTCACCAATCAATCAATCGAAGGGGATCCGGTACGGAGTGCAGCAGCGACTTCAAAAACTCCATTCACAATTGCCGGTGACTGGCTGCTACCTATATTACACCATCTTATGTTGCCGCACAGGTTGCCGGCAACAACGACAAATGCGGGCTTCCAGCAGAACGATGTTTCTTAAGACTATCTAAGCATAATATCTCGGGAAGTAAACGTTCATTGTGCAGAATCAACTGTCGAAGAGAGACGCGACCACAGTCATGCTTTGCTCGTACGAGTGATTGCGTACTTGCTGTGTCTTCGGATCCACGGTCCATATCTGTAGAAAATATATGGCACAGGCACTACATCACAAGTAAGTGTCACGTTAGCGTTTCCCGGCCGGGTCTCTGGATCTCAAAGAGAAACACTCACCCATAGCAGCGCTTATGCACCCCAGGATCGTACATGTGTAGGCGACGCCCATATTCTGATAGAAAGGAATGCTGGCCACAACCATGCCGCCACTAGCCACATACCGAATCAGAGTGATACTGGCCAACGCACTGGCCGAATACGTCTCGTATGAATCGATGATGTACTGGTAGCATGAAATAAAGACACAGAGGATTCCTATCACCTCGTCAGCCTCCGCAGCACCGTCGCTGATCAACGGCATCTAAGGACTCACCATAACCGAACAAGACACTGGCAGCCAGAGGACTCCAGATCGAAATGTCGGGCCTCGCCGTCCAGCCCATCCAGAACAATGAGATAGGGATGGCGAAAGCGCCGCCCAGCATACTAAACCACAGCCGGAACTCGGGCGGCAGTTTATCGCCGCCTTGCTCCTGTATCTTTTGCAAATCATGCTTAGCCCACTTATAGATGACTGGGACCAGAGCAGAGGCGCCAAAGAGACCGACGATAATCCCCAGGAAGCATATCCCCGTGATGCCCGGGCTCTCGCCATAGGTCTGCCCGAAGATGTAGTCGTACCCGTCAAGGAAGCCGAAGAGCACGATGTACACCACGGTGAGGTACAGCGAGATGAGGACGATGATGGGCTCGCGGGTCGTGAGCAGGAACGGCCTCCAGAGGGCGCGCTGCAGGCGGTGGACGAAGGACTCGCGGCGGATCTCGAGCTCGGCCCGGTACCGGTGGTCGCCGGTGAGGGCGCGCAGGTGCGCCGCCTTCCACTTGAGCAGCGTCGGCGGGTACGTCTCGGGCTGCAGCAGCACGACGAGGCCGAGCACGACGCCAGAGACCAGCAGCGTGACCCACTCGGTCCAGCGCCACGACAGCGTGCGCGACTGCGCGATCCAGCCGCCCGCCACCGGCCCCAGCAGCGGGCCCGTGAACGCCGCGTTGGCGAAGATGGGGAACGTCCACACGCGCTCCATCGGCCGCCAGAGGTCCGAGATGCTGCCCCCGGCGCAGGTCAGGGGTGTCGACCCGAAGACGCCCGCGATGAAGCGGAAGGCGAGCCAGGCGCCAAAGTTTGGTGCGAGGCCAGCGGCCATGATGAAGATCATACTGCGGATGCCATAGTCAGTACTTTCCTCAGTCAACAATCGCTGGAGGACATGAATCTTCTAAGGTTCTTCTTTTGAGTCCCGAGCATGCCTTAAGGAGGAGGCTTCTTAATTACACATTATACTTACTATAGGATCAGTGTCACTATATATACAGGGTTCCGCCCTACCGTCTCACTACGGAGACAAATCTGTTAGCTACCTATTTGTCCAACGGCTTTTATACAGCTCAATGGTCAATACTTGTGGCTCGTGATAGTTAGGCTTATCAAAGTCTATTCTATAGGAGTGCCACTCGACACCATGGGGCACCTCCTCACACTTGTAAAGGGCCACGGGGAGACGCAGGCATGAACACCACCGAGTACTCACGATATCGGCCCGGCGAACAGCGCCCCGGCGCCGAAGCCGATGAGGAACAGCCCCGTGCCGAGGCTGGCCGCGACCTCGCCGACGCCGAACTCGGCGGCGACCCGCCGCACCACGCTGCTGTCGATGGCGCTGGCGATGCCGACGACGCACCCGATGGCCGCGATGATCAAGGTGCACCGGACGCGGGTGCCGAACCCCCAGTTGTGCGGGTCCAGCGGGTCGTCGGCGCCCTCGTACCCCACGACGAAGACGTCGCCGTCCCCGCCCTCCCGCGTGCTGCGCCGCCGGATGTTGACGCCCGTCAGCATGCGCCCGAGCCGCGTGTTGCCCGACGCCTGGGGCGAGAGGGTGGCGGCGAGCGAGCTGCGCTGGCGCATGAGCTCGTCGTCGTCGTTATCGTCGTCTTCCCCCTCGTCGTCGTTGGAGGAGCCCCCCGGTCTGTAGGGCGGCTCAACTTCGCCCTGCGGCCGGTTGGTGGCCACCATTGTCTCCTCGGCTTCTCGCGGGACACTGCTTCTGCGTATGGCGGCTACCTCGCCGGGTCGCACGCCATACGGGGCGTGTAGGTGCTCATGTGGATGTGGCGATGATGGATCGCCCTCAAACTCGGCGTCTCCTTTCTCCACGTCCTTTTCTCTCCCATTGGGCTCTGGTGTATAAGTCTGGCCGGGTTGCGGGCTGGACTTCTCGGCGGACTCATCTGCAAGTCTACGTTTGCGCTCGAGCTGTGCCTCGACGGCATGTCTGAACTTGCGATACTGAATGAACGACTGCATGATTCCGAGACTGCTTGGCCCAAGTAGTTCTGATATTACGTATGAGGCAGCTCTAGATATTATATCATGTGGCAGAGGGATCTAGTTGGTTTATTAACTAGTAGCTATACGATATGACGAACACCGGCCACGTTCGGAACCGCAATTGCTCAGCCAGGCATTCAATTGTAGTCTTTGTCACTTGGTAATGTGGGAGCACTTTGACCCGTTACGTCGTTGCAACTTATGTTTGTCTGTACAGAAGGGCGCGAGTCAAAGCACAAGTGGGTCATGACGTTGGCGACTGGTCTATAGCGCCCCAGGTTGCCGGGTATAACGGGGGATGGGGCAGCTGTTCTGTTGCCGATCCAAAGCTTAACCACTAGATCGCCTCCAGTCCGCTCGGGTCGCTGCTGATGAGTAATAGCGAAATAGCCCGCGGAAGAGGATTTCCCCGGTGTTGGGTAGCTAAACACTACGTGTCGCCCGTTCGGCTCCTACAAAGGCGTGGTGGTGATGCCGTGATTCGGAATGACGAGGCAATTTGAATATTTAGGGATCGCGAGGGGCCTTTGCGTAGTAATGGATGGGGATCATATCAAATGCTCTCGCCTACGACTTCAATCTAGTGTGGCCGTAATTCCCCCTTCATCGCCCTCGCACTTAAGTAAAGTGGAAACTGAGATACTACCCCCTTGCGTGTATGATGGTTGTGATCGGACTTACATATAAAAGGGACAGCCGACGGGTAGGCACCATGAGAAGAGCTCGCAGTGAGGACAGAGTATGATCGAAGGCGTGAGATAAGATGCCATGGGATCAAGGTCGAATGGCTACTTTTCAAAGAGCACGGCATTATTATGCCAATGACAACCGCAATGCCAAACATACACCTCAAAGCATATTACAGAAACCAAAAAAGAGGTGCTTTGATGCGAAAAGCATTTGCTTGCTTTAGCTATTCGGCAAATGATGTCATCTATTCCCAGCCATAGCACAGGTCGCTGTGCATGAGTCTTGCTTTCGTTTATCATGCTTCATCGCGTCTGCGTGCCTCGAAGATAACGCCTTTGTCATGAAGCCCAACGCCAATTCGTCCCAAGGGGTCTAAGCGTTGCCCTTGCACTTGTCCATGTTCTCGCTGTCGCGCTGGCCTCCGGGCCGTTCCTGGCTCTTGGGCCATGGCTCGGCCTCAGATGACTGGGGTTCGCCTTTGCTGCCGTCCTGGCCCCTAAACTGGGAAGCACTACGAGAGTGGTACGCCTCCTAAACTGCTGCCGTATTTAACGACTCCAAATCCGAATACACCAGTATCAATTCCCTCTGAAGAACTGTCAGCGTCGCACAAACGCCCATATGCGTCGATTACTTACGCGAACTTTGGTCCAGTTGTTGGTGTCCCAAATTATGTAATAGCCTTGCTCGTGCTGCGGACTCAATGATCGAGGTGCCATCTGGTCGTCCTTGGTGAGCCAGATCTGTAATCTCTTGTGCCACCTCCAGTTCCGGTTGTTTCTGGGATCCTTGTCAGTAGATTCCCTCTGAATGACGAACGGTAGACTAACAGTTCAGCAGCAGCCAGGTGCTGCTTGACGTCTCCAGGACAGCTGTAGAAGATCCACATCAGAGTTTCCTCGTTGAAGCTCTGGATTTTGTTCTCTAACGGCTGCACGTTCGTCACGCTGTAACATTCCGGCAACCTAAAAGCAGGGATGGCAGGGCGCGGAGGTGCATCGTTGAACAATGAGTATATCTGTGTTGATATCGGCCTGTGATATGGGGTCAGACGGCGTGGATCCTGAAATCCAGGACATGGCCACTCACTCGGAAGATTGGAGATTTAGTCCAAGCTGGTTAGGGTCAACACCGGTGACGGCACTGCTGTAATCCGGGTAGTTGTTCATAAGCGTTCTCAAACCCTTGATACCCCATTTGTCAAGAGGCGACATGCCAGCCAGGGGGTCGAGTCCGGCTTGACTGTCCGTCTCGTCTCGTCCTTTGCCCAACGACAGATCGTTTCCTATGGCACCCAATGCGTTGCGCGCCTCAGAGGACTGTGTGGCCGGGTCTTGAGTGGAAGAGGGCGATGCAGCACTATCATCTCGGAATCCAGGGGGCTTTTGACGAGGCTCGTCGCTGCCAATTGCGCTTCTGATGTCCTGAGGACGTGAGGAACCTGCTTCGAATTAGCAAGGAGACCACAAATATGAAAAGGCTATCCATATCTCACCGGGAGCACCAGCATCAGGCGATCGAGCATCGGCGGCATGATTGTTTAATGCGTTGAGGAGGCCGTTGCCAGGATTGCCAGCTCTGTTACCGGAAAGCGAGGGTGCTGGACTAGGCTGCGCGCCAAACCCGAGCGTGGACATCAGGCTCGAGCCACGTTCCTGACCAATATCACCGTTGCCGTTACGGAAACCACCGTTGCTGTTGTTGAGGGGAGGGAAATCATCGATACTGCCCGGTTGGGGCTGTGAGGACTGTCCTGTGCTGCTCTGGCTGCCGAAGCGGAAGGAGCCTTGTTGGGATGCTAGACGTGAGGATGAAAATAAATCATCCTGTTGGCCTTGCTGAGAGGACAAGGGTGTAGGCTGGTTTCTCTGGATGGGAGCCATATTTCGGCTTCCGGCCGAAGACCAGAGAGAAGCTTGGCCGCCCGAAGAAAGTTGAGAATTGTTTGACAGGGAGGGAAATTCACTAGACAGAACCGTTAGCCATGTTGGTCATTCTATGACAAGGTGCGGGTCCTTTGGAGGCAAAGGTCGATGTAGTGTGTAAACGTGGACTGTTTGGCGGACGAGAGGCAGGCGCATGAGGGCCACACATGGCAAGGGTTTGTGGCGCGACGGCCAGTGCAAACGGCGACGAGAAGAAGGGGACGAGGCGAAATACCCCTTGGCTACGGTGGCATAGGCTCGCCCAGTCGACGAATCGGTGGACGTGTCTGCGCCGGGCACGCTCTGCTGATGGCTCGCCTTCTGGTTGCGTTTGACAAGTCGAAGCTTCTTTCTGGAGAGCGCCTCGGCCTCGTCGGCTCCAGATGCCATGATGTGGGATGCGAGCCGACGATGAAAATCGAGACCAACGGCGAGAAAACGAGGTGACGGGTGGGTTTGCAAAGATAAAACATGCAGTCTGCCGGCGACGGGAGGCAGTGGTGGCAGAGTTGGGTACGGGGGCAGGAGATGCTGGTCTGGGGCCTAGCAGGGGAGCGAGCACAAGGGAAGACGTCGACCTACGATAAGTCGAGTGGTGTTCCTGGATGGGAAGCACTCAGGCTTTGAGCAAAACTCAGGTTGGCACCCAGTTGCCTGGATGAATTCTGCAGTCCTGCAGCACCGCTCAGAGGCACACTTCCGCCAAAGGCCCAGCCGCTGCCGTTATTTGCTATGTCCGCGACGGCATCAGTCTCAAACTCTGCTGGCCTGGAGCGCCCGCTTCCCAGTCGGATTCCCATACCTAATTTGCCGTTGGGTAATCGATTCGATACGGATCGGCCTTGTTGTTGTTGAGGCTGCTGTTGTCCTCCAAATCCTGATGGCATGCCTCGTAGGGACTGTGGTACGGCACCTGGGACACGTCTACGATTAGCCAAGGGTCGCCAATGCCTCGGGTGTGGTTATAGAGCGGGATGGAGCACGACGTGAGGAAGGGGACGGTCGAGCGCGGGCCAAGCTGGTCGAGATACGTCGTCGGCCACATGCGGCGCTGCTGGGCCACGGCAGGCTGGCGGGTCGACCCTGGCGAGGCTGAGCCGGAGGCAGGTATATAGCCAGCGGCCGTGAGCCCTGGGCCGAGGGCGCTCGTCAGCGGGCGGGAAGCCAATGGTTCGACACGGCGGTCGCACAGGCTCGGGTGGCAGATGGGCAGCGTCGGTGGCCAGGCCGGCGACACGTTGGACTCGGCGCGAGGCACACAATGGGCGGGATTCGTGCAAGGCAAACCGCGGGGCAGGCGAGGCGAGGCGAGGCGAGGCGAGGCTCGAGATGGGAAGGGCAAGCAACTACCTGGTCGATTCATAGCGGACTCTAAGGGTCACCGACGAAGATCCGGGTCTGGCGGACAGCTCGAGGACGGGAGTCGGGGGGGATGGGAGGGTCGGGCGTGATGTTTATCGATGGTATCTCTACTACTGCTAGATGGGCATGCAGGATGGATGAAGCTTCACGGTCGCAATGAAGTTTTACTGGGGTTGACTGCCACAAGGGTGCTAGTGCCGTCGGCGTCGAATAGAGAGGGAGCGCTGAGCGAGCCGCAAAGCTGGAGCTTTACTGGGGGAACTACTACTGCAGACTACCTTACAGTACAGCGTAACTGTGCTGGCTGAGGCTGGAGAAGACGGCGGAGGGGGGGAGGAGGAGGAGGAGGCAGACGGGATCCGTGCGCTGGCCCAGGTGTCCTTACTGTGAGCTACTGGAAATGCTCCGCGCCGCTAGTCTCGCCTGCGTTTTGGGGGCAATGGGGAGAGAGACAGAGAGAGCGCCAGGAGAGGGTATCCTCAACGAGGTTAGCAGATTCGTGCCGTCATTATTCTCCACAGCCGCCTCTTCCTTCTTATGTGCATAAAAGCACACGTGTATATTCACACCTTCCCGGCATTCAGGGCGAAACGAAACATTGGCCACAGTAGACAGAGGTTCGGCTCGGGCGGTGCCATGGCTCTCTTGACTGTTGCTCAATTGGGCACCACTGCTAACTGGAGGCCTTGGCGAGTATAATCTAACACAAGTTGCTATGCTATGCCTGTATCGTCGCCAGAAAGCTGCGCTGCAACTCGGCCTCACGCAGCTGCCTCCCAATGAGCACGATTTTCCCTGACCGTGAACTCCCGCCTTCTCCGGCCGACCCATTCGGCGCATCAAACACTTCAAACACCTCACGAACCCCCTGCACCATCTTGATGTCGCCGTTCGTAAAGGCCAGCCGCGCCTTGGACCGGTGAACCTCTACTGCTTCGTCTTCCTTCGTGTCGACACCAGGCACCTCACTCTCCCACAGGACAGCCCGTAGCCAGCCGTCCACCTTGGCGAGTTGCCCTGGTTCCAGCAGCGGGACGTCGATGGCCACCGTCGAGATGGTCTGGTTATTTCGGTTAGCACGTGCGCTCACAGACAAACCCAAAATGTCACCTACCGGGTCGAGGTGGCTGTGGCCCTTCCCGGCCGTGTCCAGCTTGTCTACTTGGTCGTAGGCGTGTAAATCTAGCAAGAACCCCTCCAGGTCCGGCACGGCGCTCTGCGTCGTGATGTGAAGCTTGGCCAGGCCGTTGATCGCCTGTATGCGGGCTTTTACCTGGTCCAGCTGGGCGGCGTCCACCAGGTCCGACTTGTTGATAACAACGACGTCGGCATGCGAGATCTGGACGTGGGCTGTCGTCATGAGCGGCCCGTGGCCGTGGTCGTCATGTCCTTCGACCTTGCCAGCGGGGTCATCCAGGCTGCGCAGGATGTTCTTGGCATCTACCAGAGTGACAATGCCATCCAGATAGATGGTGCTCCCCAGGCCGTCGTCAACCCAGAACAGAGGGGCTAGGTTGCCAGGGTCTGCCAGGCCTGTCGTCTCGAGGAGAATATAGTCGAAGGCGCCTTTCTTCTCCATGAGAGACTCAATCGCATTGACACCCGTGTCCCTACATGCAACGTTAGGTCATGATGCTGTTGAAATCGCGGGGGGCATTCGGTACTTGACGGAACAGCAGATGCAGCCGTTGCCTACCTCTAGCCATTCTTCGACTTGCTCGTCGCCCTTGTTCACCGTGAGTGATTTCTCAATGTCCAGAGCTAGACAGTGTTAGTGTCGCTCTCAAGCAAGAGGCCAGGCTTGAGTGTCTGTCATACAGTCACCGAACTCATTCATGATGACGGCAATCTTCTTGCCATGTTGAGCCGTCAGGATGTAGTTCAATAAAGTGGTTTTTCCCGCGCCCAGATATCCTGATAACACATTAGATCATGTATCTCATCAGATAAATAGGACAGCGCGGAAAGAAGCTTGCACACCTGTGACAATGGTAATGGGCACTTTGACTGGCTTTTCTACGGGCTCGTCGCCTTCATCCCCACCCTGGCCAGTTTCGACCAGCTCCGGGGGCATATCGTCATCAACGTCCATGGTTTCGGTATTTGGCTCTAGGTGGAATGGGGAAAAGGAGAGAGCGGTGTGCAAAGAAGCGATGCAACCACTGTCAGCTCAAATGCGAAATATCGAGGGCGAATATCCGTGGAAGTGGTTGTTCTGCAATGTTAGGTTCCGGCTCTATCAAGTCTTGCACCTCTGGAGATGGAGATCGGTCTAAAGCTTGACTAATAACTTGGGGTTAGCCCGTCTCCAGTCCAGGATTTGTTCAATACCTACCCAAGGTTAGGTTGGTAGGCTTGCTTGCCTGTGTGCCGTAGATGCAAGATGCACGTTTAGTGCTAGGCCGATAGGGCGCGCGTGTGCCTAATTACATAACTGACAGGGGGGCGAGCTTCTCTGCGCCAGAGCACCCTGCACACCCTGCACGCCCTGCACGCCCTGTTATGTTATCCAATCAGGTTAACTGACTACCTACAGTCCAGTAGCCGCCCAGCCTGAGCTTGAGCAGCATTTCCAAATCAAGCAGCCCTCGACTTTTCGAGGACCGGCCAACAGCGACACGTCGTCCTCAGACGTCGCGCTTTACCTGCGCATTCACCTGCGTATAGACTCGGCAGCCCGGTGTTCTCGCCTCTCCTGTAGATACTCGCACGCGCGCAAACACCATGGCTCTGCCCCCGAGCTCCCCACGGCTCCCGAGCCCTCCACCTCCCGCCGAGGACCAGATGGCCCCGAAGTCGCCAGGCCCAGACACGCCCGCGAGCCCCATGGACCAGGGCATCGTCGACACGAATGCAAAGCGGCGCATCCATCCAGGCACAAAGTCGGAGGACATGGCTGCCGGACCGCCACTGGTGCCCCTCAACGAGGTGCGCATACCTGCAAACCACTCCCGCTCCTTCTCCGCCTCGACCCCCAAGACCTCGTGTGCGTTGCCATGTGCGTTGCCATGTGCTTACTGACCGCGGTGCTGCAGCTTGACTCGGCCTTCCAGCTCCAAGAGCATCTGGCCGCCTCTCACTACCATTACACCAAGTCGAACACGGTCCCCATGACGCGGCATACCGCTTCCCAGCTGGCCCAGCCTCCCCCCGGCGTGGACGACACCTTGTGGCTGTACGAGCTCTGTCGCTTCCTGATCATGCAGTGCAACAGCCTGATAGTCGGCTTCCTGTTCGACACGCCGCCATGCTCGCAGGCGACCTGTCCCGAGATGCGCGCCTCCGAGTGGCAGTTCCTCTGCGCCGTCCACGACCAGCCCAAGAGCTGCTGCGCCATTGACTACTGCTGCCACACCCTGGACTGGGCCGCCAACGTCGTGACGAACCCTAAAATATTCCCGAGCCGCTTTGTCGTCCTCAACGACGGCCACGACAGGAACGCCGTCCACAAGAACCTCGTCAATGTCTTCCGCAGGCTGCATCGCATCTTTGCCCACGCATGGTTCCAACATCGGGGCGTCTTTTGGAGCACCGAGTCCCAGACCGGCCTCTACGTCTTCTTCAAGAGAGTATGCGACGTCTACGAGCTGCTGCCCGCCGAGAACTACAAGCTTCCGCCCGAGGCTGAGGGTTTGGAGCCCGCCCCAACCGAGAAGGAGGAGAGCCAGCCCAAGATCACAGCTATAGCAAAGCCGCCCGCGCGCGAGAACGGCATCAGCATCAGCGTTCATGAGGAGGATGGCAGTAGCCTGCACGCACGCCGCAGCAACACCGCAAGACACTCCAGCCGTCCATCTACCGGCAGCGCGGTAACTACAGTAATCGAGGAGAAAGAAGACGAGAATTCCGATATCAACGAAAGGTTGAGAGCAATGCGTATCTCCGCACCACAGACCGTCGAGGAGGAGGAATCGGAGCTAGAAGTCCCAGTCATTGTAGAAGGCGTGGACGAGCCAGCACCTTCTCCCCCTGAGCATCGTGAGGGACCTCAGGGCATCAGAATCGATGTTCAAGAGGATACTTTGGGGGATACTGAATCTGCCGAGGGCGAAACACTCTCAAAGACTGAGTCGCTAGGCGACCAAGGTGTGCCTGCGTTCAACCACGAAGTGACTGAGGTGCCGCCTGAAGTCGAAGAGCAGCCAGAGCCAACCTCGGAGGCACAGAAGCCGGAAGAGCTCGAAACTACAACCACCACAGACTTCGCAACAGACGGCACGGCAGAGCAACCGGAATCTAGCTCCGGCTCCGACTCTAACAAAACGGTGACGGATGCCGAAAACGGTCAAGACTCGGAGGTCCTGCCCGAGGCCGAAGAATCGTAGTTCGATCTTGACGACCCGGAGAGCTCTGCAAACCTGGAGGACGAAGCAGAGGAAATCATTCGTGCGGCCGCCAGCTTGGCTCGCAGCAGACGCGCGGAAAACACCGGCGAAGATTATATCGCCGATGATGAGATGGACGACGAGGATGAGGACGAGGACGATGACCAAGAGCTAGAGGAGATCATAGCTCGCGCACAGGCAATCACAGACCGGCTGCGCCATGATCGCCTTCGCCGCCAGAGAACTGGTAGCGGTGATGTACAGGGGCCTGATGGAACATAATCAAGGACCGAAGCGTGCATCTTAAGGGAGGCCAAGGGGAGCGGGCTATTGCGCCGTACACTGGCCTGGTATCACATCGCATTCCTCGCGCGCCGAGATTAGGAGACACGGTGCTACGCTTGTAGCAGAGGTCGTCGGGGACTATTTTGTAATATAGCGCAGTTGGTGGCATTGTATAGCCAGGAGGCTGCATTCCTTTTTTATTCTTGACGAGGAGACGCATAGACGCATCAATATGAATTTTCTTCAAGACTGGGCTCTTTTCTCTTTTCCAGGACAGGGTTTTAAAGGAGTGTTCTAACAAACATCTGACCTGGTTCTTTTTTCAGCAGCTCTTTCCATTTGGTTCACTCGCGGGTCTTCACCGGCCACCTGATCGTCCTTTCGCAGTTAATGAATATGTGAATTGCCTCGTGTTCACTGCATGACACAGGACATGTTCGAAGGCCACGATATGGAGGACCATGGGCCACGGCATCCGTCGCTGGATCACCATGTCCGGTATGCTCCCATACCATATCTGACGGCCTCTCGCGGGAGTTTATGGTTGTTCAAGGACATTAAGGATTGTCTGTGGCCAGACCATAGAGTTTCGTACCCCTAGCGGGGCTGTGGTCCAGGTCGTTCGATAGGACCCGGATCAGGAAGTGTTAGGATGTTCGTGCGGAGTCCGCAAAGAGAGGCAGGGGAAATACACGATGATGCGGATGTCTGTTCCCGCGGTCTCGTTTCGTCATTATCCGTTGACTTCAGTGACAGATCCAGTCCTATAACCAAGCCCCGAGGCTCACCAGCATTCCCGTGTTGTTGTTGATCTCTATTGCCGCCGTAGAGCCGCAAGGTCACATTGGAATGTGTGATACGACGTGAGGCACCCAAGTTGCTGGGTCCAGACCCCCAACTACCGAACGCGAATCCTTCAAGTCAGTCTGTATATCCCAGATGACGTAGAGATTGCGAGTGAGCTGTTTTTTTTGCCTGCAACCGTTTTCTAGCTCGAGCTGAAATGAAATGACAAGATCCACCGACGAAACGGTTCAGCGGCTTGGCGAGGCACATGTTGATATCCTTGTCGCCCTACCAGGCCAGAACAGCGATGTTCTTTTAAAGTTTTAAGTTATACGAAGTTTCTGTTTTAAACTTTTAGGCTATACGAGTTATCGATTGGGGGATGATGACAAACAGGGTTGAAGGCCTAGAAATCGTGCCATGAACGGCACTGGCTGGTAAACCTTAACTCGACGTAGTCGCCGACCTGCAAGTATATAGTAAAGCCTCAAGCCAAGTTGTGAAAGCATCTAGTAAAGGCCTCATCCGCGCGTTCACGCATCTCTCACAAGAACAACTATACAACCAGCTCCTCTAAGACACCACAAACAGCACGATGCGTTTCTCGATTGCCGTCGCACTCTTCCCTGTGCTGGCCTTGGCCACACCTGTTGTGGAGGAACGTCAAACCAGCAAGTGCTGCTACATCTGGGAGGTATGCATCGTCGCAACTGATTAGTTCAACCAGCATGTCTACAGTAACTGACTTGACAAAACCTTCGCAGGGCCAAAACGAGGCATACTTCGAGGTCACGGCTGATGGCCAATACCTCGACGCGATCGAATCGTGCTACATGACCTTTGCCCGGTAAGCCGTGACCCTCTGAGATGTTGCGCATGTATGCTTTCTTGTAACTAACACATATCGTCATTGCAGCAACACGGCCAACCCTAGCAGCTGTGAGGCGGCATCGCGTATTGCATACGCCGGCTACTGCGAACAGGGCACCAAGTTCCTTGTTGTCGCCTGCAGGTCCTAGATGGCGTAATCCAACTATCAACGGAAATAAATCATTGCATCTCGAGCCATTCGTCTTGTGTGATATGCCTCCCGGTGATGACGATGCAATGACTTATAGTCGAGGGACACTCAGCTTCGCTCGGAGTAGACAAGCATTGACACAGTGTTGTAGCGTTACAAGTCAGACAGTCGAGATCCTCTGCATGCCATGAAGTCGAACAAGTTTCAAGTGTAACTCGTAGTGAAAATTGTAACAATGCAATGGCGCAATCGCCTCTTATTGGTTTTGCCGCCTTGCACGTAATGTGAAAGATATAGAAAGATCTACGATATGGTTGTCTTGGGTGCACTAAAGTTTGCACTGAATACAGGCTATGCGGGGCGATGACATTATACAAAATAAATCAAAGTATGCGCACCATTTGCTTGCAGCTTTGCAAGCAGAAAGGTTGTGCTCGGAGTATACGTGGCCTGCCCTTTCGGGCGGCAGATTGTTTCTTCCGTGACGACCGTGACCATCTGCTGAGAACAGATCTCACGTATGGCCTCTTTACTGACTTGATGTGATCCGTAGGAAAGCGTCCCGAGTTTACTGGCGGAAACTGTAGCTTCGACTAGCTTCGACTAGATGTCGCGAGGCCAACGTCGGCTTTGTCGAGTTACTACTGAGGGTTATTGGGGAGCGCAGAAGTTACGAATCTCAAGCCAAATGCAATTCCTGTCGAAAGGTAGCGATATGCAGCTGAAGGCATTCCCAGGGGGCCTTTAGGGTAGCAATGTATCAACATATGCGGGCGTGTTCAAGGGGGTGGTGACTAGATGCAGTAGAGTAACACCCGAGAAGTGCGAAATTGACGATACCGAGAAGCCGATGCAGCGTATGTGAGATGCAAGCACTTGCATCGTGTGTATACCTAGGTACTGTATGTACGTACGTCGATGTCGGAGAGGTTGCGTTGCCAGGAGCTTTGACCTCGACCCCCAATCCCAGGCAATCAATCAACGTATTAAGGTGTCCAGTGCCCATCAGGCGGGAGCCAAGGTGTCGCACCATATATATGATCTGCCCTCCTTGATTATATAACCAAACCCCCCTCCCCATCCAACAAACCCCAGCCAGCAGCCTTCATGCGCAACCCGAAGCTGAGTTCCAGCCGTCTGATCTGCGTCGATCCCCCGGTTCGTCTGATCTTCGAACACCACATCACACAAGTGGCACCACAGGCCGATTGACTTTGTCCCACAATAACGGACTTGCATTTCTTATTTTGGGAGGGGGTCGCGTTGCTCTGCCAAGCAATCTGACACTCGTCCCAAATGAGCAGGCCGGTCCGCTGTCAGATGAGATACCCGGCGATGGTCTGGGATCATGTTTCCGCACGGGTCCCGTTTAGATGGACCAATCTAGTGTCAGATCCCTGTCCTCCCTGTGACTATTTTCGACGATTCTCAATAAGATGCTTCAGTGACCGGGACCGGGATTATCCGTTGTTTGATAGCCTTCGAAACCCACCACCCCCTGCGGTCATCGTAGTTCACAGCTTCCCCAGAGCCTCTTCCAAGGACTGCAGGGGGCTCAGATCTCTTTCGATACGCGGAATCAAGGGTTGTGATCAGAAATTGCGATCCCAAGAGACGTAGAGGCTCTGCTCTAGCCCACAACCTTCTTGCCCTTCCCAGAAAGCTCGCGCTGAGAACTGTCGTTGTGGTGGGGGTCGAGGCGCATTTTGGCAAAGATTGCGCTCATTTCCCGGAGATTTTCGGTCTGCTCGGAGACCGGGTTGGCATTGCGCTCATCCGCGAACGCGCGTATGTTCTGCACGATAGGCGTGAGGCCTTCGTCGTTGGGGAGCCACCAGTGGGTGCAGGACGGGTCTTGGAATATCTGGGCGAACCGCGCTCTCATGGTCAGCGGGAACACGTACCTAGGAGAGGAAGCATATTAGCGAGGCAAACGACATTTCGGACTTGGGTAAAACACTGTATGGAATCCCAACGTCACACGTAGAGGACCAGAGATCATTTCCACAAAGATAGGTTGGCGCAGAAGATGAGATACGGATGGGGGGCCTGGTCGCAGTGGGTGTGGTCTAGAGTATGTAGGGGGCTGGATACTCACCCGAGTGCTTCAATATATGCGAACTTCCGTCTCATCCACATGTGGTGCTTCTGATCCTTCGGGAGAAACAATGTTGCTATCGCCAGGCAGGACTGCAGTATGATGACTGCACCGTTCGGGCTATAGGGCCACCGCTCGACCGTCTCGAAGATCCGACAGATGCCAAACGCCAGCTCCCTCAGCTCGGGTGTAGGCTCCTGCTGTAGCGCCAATGCCTCCTGGCTCTTGTGCATGACCATTATCGAGTGCCATTCGCAGATCAGGACCGTCGTGGAGAAGAAGGGCGGCTTGTACAGATCCTTCCCTGTGTAAGGATCGACGATGTCGGTTTCGGTCAATGGCCTCCTATGTCTAAAGTCGGTCACCTGGTACTCGTCTTGCGTAAGAGCTGGATCGAGATTCGCCTTCCAATCCCTCAATTGTTGCTCGAGACGTCTGTGCTCTGTGCCAAATGCTTCACCAATAATTTCGCCTCGACCCGCTCTTGCATAGAGCAGTGACATGTCCACTGTGATCAGACGTATGGTAGCGGAGCAGTAGTCTAGTTTCAAGCTCCAGTCGTCTGGTTCTTGCGCGAGTTGGGTTTCGAGATATTCGACCATGACTGAGAACCACGCTCGCGGGAGTCTCGTTTCGAAACCTCCTAGCATGCCGACGAAGACATCGAATCGAACGTACCAAGTGAGAATCATCCTGGTAACGGAGGACTGCTGTGCGGTCTGCGCGGTGAATAGTTTTGTAAGTATCTGCAACGCGGCTCTTTGATGTCCCATCAGGTTCACCCAGTCACCCAAATACTCCTGGGCAAACGTCAGCGAGCGCCTCCGACGAACCCATACACGAAAGCCTTACCTCTATTGTTGCTAGCTGTAGAATTGTCAACAATGTGGCGGTGTTCTGCTTCTCCTTCTTCCTAAACGAAGCCAGGAGCAAGGTGACGCTCTTGTTATAATATTGCAAGAAATCCTGGATTTGGCCATTCGGGTTATGGACTGTGCGGTGGTAAGCTGCAAAGCCTACTACTGCGTATAACAATGCATCGTTGCCCTGCCGTACGGCGGTGGCGGGGAGGAACGACCTGAAGAAGTCTTCGGTATCCAACACCATCCCGTAGTTGTAATGCGTCAAGTTTTCACGGAAGTAGTCGAGGTGAAAGCGTAAATCCGGCGGCAGATGGGACCAGTCCAGAGGGCCGGGTTGTATGGATGGATCCGAAGCCTGAAAAGGGGTCATGAAGCCCGCGCTTGTTCCTGTCGAAGCCGATTCAGATGAACTCTTCGTCCCATCGAGGGAGGGTGTTTCGGAGCTGTGACGTGTGCTCGATCTGGGCAAGTTAGAGCTCGAAGCGATGCTCGCTCTTCTGGGATATCTCGAAGTCTGTTGTGGAGATTCCTCCTCGGGCTCGTCTTCGTCAAGAATCGGTTCTAATTTGCTATCGCTCTCAGCTCCGTCGTCGAGTCCTTCTGGCGAGTTTCCAGCACTTCCGGATTGTTGAGAAGCCGCGCCTTCTTTGGAAGATGATCCAGCCGGCCCCTTTGAGCCCGCACCGTCCGGGTAAACACAGTCGCGTTTACCTTTACGACATCCTACTCCAAAGTCAGCTTCTCCTAGTGCTACTGGCAAAGATCTCTACCATACTCTCGCAAATGGGATGTGTCTCGTCACACTGGAAGAGGTGTTAGCATTTGAATACGCCAGGAAGAGACATGCTCGCTTACTTTGACACGTCTACTTCTGCATGTGTAGCAGCCCGATCTAGTCCGGCGGTGTTTGACATGATCCAGCCCAGGGGCTGACTTTCTTCGATTCCGCGGATTTTGCGCTTTAGGGGGCTGGAACATGATCGGATCCGTAAATCCGGCAAAGTAACCCATATTTTCGTAAGGGTTGACCAAAGTTGGTTCATTACCTCCAAGTTGAACTGGAGTATTAGGGGCGTATGGATGGGCATCGTGAGCTCCGGGACTGGCGTCCTCGCCAGCGCCCGGGGCGCCCGGAATGTACTGGTGATAGAAGCCACTCATTGGATTTGTTCGAGTGCGAGTTGTTGCGAGCGCTCGTAGATTGGCTCTGCAGCCCTCGATGACATCAAATACGGGGATTAGGGACTAGGTAACATCGACTTGATCCTGCCCGTACCACCCTAGCCATAGAGAGCAGGGCAGAAACCGCTTGTTCTGCAAGATGCTGATTAGGTTTATCTTGATCATCCGCTTGGGGTGATGTCGATGGTGATTTTCTGTGAAAAGCGAGGGCTGAGTAACAGATAGCAGTGCGCCGGGCTGCCCACTCAAAGGGTGTCCATATAGAAGGTAATATAGCACACTTCGAAGTAGATGCTAGGCTAGAAAGCAGGCGGCTCCGGCGGGGAGGATGGCTCGCTCGACTGGGCTTCCTGTTGGAGATCTTGTTCGACCAGAGCAGCGCTTAGGAGGGCCACTTGCAGAGCCTGCTACCAAAGCATGTGCCGTCCGGCTTTTCGTTAGACGGTGATCTCCAGGAAAATCAGGGCGAGGTCTTGAGCGATGGAGCTCGCGATGTCCCAGGTGGTCACAGGTAAGGGTCGGCCTCCTCTATTTACGCATAAAGTTCTGAGAGGACCACGGATGCTGATCTCGGTGGGCCGGCGGCAGAGCAATCCTTGGACGGGCAAAACAAGACCGTAGAGTGTGGTGGGTTGAGCTTGCTGCTGTGGGGCTATTTGGGGGTCCTTGTCAATCGTATAACTAAGACTGGTGCTGGATTCGAGCCTCGATGTGATGGTCCAGTGGTCTCAACGCGGTGATCTGCTGACGGGATGGTTGCTATAGCGGGGCTTCCTGCCAGTACCCTGGAGTGGAGGGAAGTGAAGACAAGGTGCCACACACAGATGGTAGGGGTACAGTGTATCTGGCAGCAATCCTCCAGTCTGATGGTACTGGGTAGCAACTAAAGTTGGCGAAGGGTGTGACGGGGCCGGCCGGGAACCTAAGCAAGTACCCAAGTACAGAAGTGGAACTGAGAGCTTTCTCTCGCACGCAGTGTATCTAATGTGCGTAGATAGGAATACAGTTGAATCTCCAATACATGCTCAACTTTTCGTGTTCCAGAGGTTGGAGATATAGACAAGGCGGCGAAGAAAACCGAGTTCGTCCTGGCCTGGCGAATGGTGAAGTAGCTGCCAGCTTCCCTAGCTGACCGAAGAGATGTACGAAATCGTCACCAGAGTTTCGGTTGATCCGATTAGACAAGAACCCGAATATCAGGCGCCGAGATGCTGGGATTTTCCAAGACTCAATTGAGCATGAATAAACCAGGGTAAGTTGAGCTTGCTGTCGGCAGTACGTAACCCAGAGTGACATGAATCCAGGAACAGCTACCAGGATATGCCCTGTCTCATATAGCTGGATCCTGTCGGAAGAGCTCTCTTGGATCAAGGGTCTCGATATCTTTTCATAGACCGGAATTTCTATGAAACTAATGAGGCAAGAGCTGGCTCGCAAAGATGCACCGGGCGATTCAGCGAGGTTGAAGTACAGATCTTGGGCTGTCTACTGAACGGACACGCTTGGCGCCTATCAACCTGTCTCGATACTGTCGCAAGAAGATCTCTTCCGACAATGAAGATCTGGGACTGGCGCAGTCACAGGGAGTAATAGCCCTAAGCCTGGAACTTGCTGATCCAGGTATAGACTGTATGTACGTGAAGGTGAATGATGTCGTTGTGGCACTGGAACGCCTGCCGTGTGGGATTCATGTACGTACCGTTCCCCTCTTGTGCACTGTGACTCGGCCGGGCAGTTAGAAGAGAGCTCCCTTGGCGTTAGGGTAACTCAACTGTGACCCAGGACGCTGAGATGAACAAATGCTTCTCGCCGCAAAAGGTGAGACCGACGAGATAAGGTAGCGGCAAGTTAAGACCGGGGTCCTCATTTGCAAGGCCCAGGGGGTTCCCAGGAAGCAGTTGAGGGTGGGGACTGGGGCGCTCCCGCAGGGATTGCTAGAAACTTGCAACCTGCCTCCACGCCGTTTGATCACCACTGGCTGGCGAGAGTTGATGTGGTGGAGTCCGTGGACAAAATCTGAGACCACTGCAAGTCTGTGACGCGCGCTCAGAAGGCGCCCGTGGTCTATAGTTGGTGGTTACTATGTGTTATGAAAACGTCTTCTCGCAGAGATGTACGTCAGCAAGGGGTGACGATGTTGCTGTTCAGGACGACCTGTCTGCAAAGGAAGTCGATTTGGTGACACCAGGCGGTCCGGTCAAAGGTTGACAGCCATGTCGACATATACCGCCACGTCCAGCAAAAGTACCCATGTGTGGATGTGGCGTGAGAGTGAATTGCATATGGCCCACTAGTGTCGTTCGTGACCTGAGCATGGGTTGGTTCCAATTTTGATACATATTCAGATACCTACCTACTGTACCTAACTAAGGCCCTTGATTATGTTATTAGGCACGATCCTCGAGCCGGCAAAAAAGAAACCAAGGGTGGCTAGCCCATCGAGGCTACCGAGTCAACTCGCAGAGGACGTGGAACAGTATAGACCCGAAGTAAACTTTGGACTGCTGGATTCGCCCTGTGCAGGTATCTTTCTAGCCAGGTCTAGACTCACTGTGAAAAACGCCCAGCGCCAGCAGAGACAGGGGAGAGGAATGCGAGGGCTAATTACCGTCTCCTTGGCCTGAGTGATGCCAAAATGGTGGGTTGGTGCAACGTGACGAATGCACAGATCGATCTTTCCGGTCCTCGAGGGTAGCGGCTGGGACCAGGGGCCTGCTTTGCAGCTAGCCTGGTGGACAATCAGCCATCGTGCGAAACCTCGGGATTTGGAAGTGGCTTCTAGCTAGTTTACTAAAATCATGTATGGAGTAGCTGAGCACCAATCTGTATGGAACGCATGGCATTCTTGGATGACCTGACTTTCCGTGTGCGGAGTCGGAGTAGATGATCTCCAGCAGACTAGTCAATGGTTTGGGCGGCTAGTTTCCGCTGTATCTACAGTATGTAGGTAGTTGAGGGCAGATCCCAAGGCCGGGAACAAAAGAACACACGGGCGGATCAATGGGATGACGATGCCTAAGCTGGCTGGCCACCTCCTCTAACTAGTTCGGGGTGGCGCCTTGGTCTGAGAAGGCGTCATCCGTTGCAAGGCAGTCCGCAGCTATCCCGGTTCTGACAACGGTGTCAGTCCACCAACCATGCTGTCGATGTTTGGTTGTGGCCAATCCGCCAGCCGGCTGGGAAGCCGAGAAGGGACCATCACTCCATGCCGCAGTTGAAAATGGGGAAAGACGCGACCACATCCTTGCAGCTGCATCTAGCGCCTTTGGTGCGAGGGATTTCCACGAACAATCCACCATCGCCAGAGCACGCCAGGAGGAGACACATGGGACGAAAAGGCTGAAGATGATGGGTCTGGGACATGCCTTAGCTCCCACAGCCTGAGACCAGAGTCCAATTCACACGTGGATCTCGCTGACCCTCAAATCTGTCGGGTCTCTCCATGAGTTTAACCTTAACCGTCGTGGCCAATCACCTCGCGGCGTGCGATACCCAGGCCAGGTCAGCGCGTTTTTGTAGAATGCGGCTAGTTGCATGTCTCAACTTCTGTTACACGGACTGGCGCTTGAACGTCTGCAATCGTTCCTTCATCGGCGACCCTAAGCATGGTCTTTTCAGCCGCCAACCCATGGCCCTCTCGCTCGGATGGGGTGCCGCACAGATATACACTTACGTTTATCAGTGGCGCCTAGACTGATGGTGCATACAGGCTAACCGCAAAGACATCCTATCAGAGAAAAAGCATGGTGCAAGCTAGGTAGAAGGGGGCAAGGTCCACTGCCTCTGAGAAGGGAAGAGCTAACCCCCGAAATTGCGATGGATTGAAGGGTATCTTAGACCTTCGGTGAAATATGGATTCATGATGCAATGTCTTGTGAACCAAGCGCCGGTCTATCGGAAACAACAGTTTGGGAAGAGTGTGTTCGAGGAGACAGTGCCGACTGCCGTGTCGTGTTTGTGACTTCTCAGCGCGCCAGGCTTTGGCGTAAGCCTTGCCGTACTGGGTACCTCACTAGTATGTGCCCTTTGGCAGTTACCTCGCAGGCTTCTACAGACCATACCCTGAATCCAGGTATACAGTGGTAATCCAGATACCACCTTGGGGAGGACCATGTACCAAGTTAACCGGCTCTCGGAGGCGGCTATTTCCGCTAGCTTATACCCCTCGCCAGCGGCTCATACCTGTATGATGATTTGTTCGTAAATTGTCACCAATAAGTCCATGACTATCTCATGGTTTCGTAGCGCGCCCCTCAGATCCTGCCATGTTGCTTGGTTGCTTTGATACCGAGCATTGACGAGTCGTGATGTTGAAACCTACCTAAGGTTCATTCGCACGTGGCCACCCGACTAGGTACATACATATCAACCTACAGAGACACTGGTGTGCGGGGGCCGCGTAGACACATCTACCGGGCCGGGTTTTGGCGAGAGACTTTCAAGAGCTTTGACTAGTGCGCCCCGTCCATTCGTAGCTTGGTGCCATGGCAAATATTTCCTTCGCTGACCCGACTGCCCGAACATAGTTTTGCTGAGATCCGAGTATTCTGCGAGCCTGACCCAGGATGGCTCCACTTACACGACATGCTCGAGGTGCCGGCAGGGATGGCGGCGGGATCGTAAATCATGGCATGGAATCGCGACATCCACTGTGTTACCAAGTCGAGTTTGATCAGACCCATCCCACCACTCTGTTCTGTCTCATGCCAGGCTACGTGAGGCTAGATGCGGAGATAATCTGCAGGTGTAATTAGATCCCTTTCAAGCCTCAATGACATCGGACGACGGGCGGGGACCAGGATGCCATCTGGGCGTTTAGGGCCTCCAGGTTTATTCTGGGAATAGGCATTCCCAAGCAGGCGGATCTGCAAAATTGCCCGTGTCCTGAACGTCCCAGACTCCAGTGCTTCCGGAATGGTATGCACAGACTCTTCCAGGGGGGAGGCAGGACACAGGGGTCCACACGGGTTGGACGCCGCTAACATCAAGTGCGTGGACTCTGTCTCGAGGCCCACGAGCTGTTATCACAATGAGATTATGTTCAATGCGAATAGATTGCTACACGGATTCCATGTACAAGCCCTTGATTTCGGAAAGCCATCCATCATGTCGAAGACACACCCTGTCCCACGACGGCTGCGCAGTCGAGACACAGGTGCTCTCACCATTTGCTCTCACCATCTGCTCCACCTGAACTTCCCCAGCCATAATACACCCATAATATGGCTGGTTTTATTAACAGCGGACAGACTGCCAATACAGGACGACTATATCAAGTCAAATATATATAAACAACCGGGCGACATGCCGTTTTCTACGCCGGACAGGGCTCGATCATACCAGTTAAAATTGAATGATCGCCAGGCAATGTAACCATTACGAACACATAAACATTTACTTTGTACACACAGAGAGTTCACCAATTTCCTGGTCAGGCGCCAATATTTCGTCTTCTTGCACAACTCACAGAACGCCTGATGCCTGCGACACGGCTGCTTCTAGGCTAAAACTGGCCGCACTGCGGCGTAGCGAGTGGTTTTGCAAGTATTACCGCGACGCGCAGGGTTTGTCAAGTATATCGGAGCCGCATCCCGCTGAGGCTTCAAAATGATGGGGCTTGGTGGACTCTGGCATCCGTGCTCTGATCCGAATGTAGTCGCATGACAGGGAGGCGGCCCGTCCTGCGGCCCTGTCGTCTGCAGGGACTCTCAAAGTAATATTCACATGCCAAATCGAACGCGGCTGCTTTCGTTCGACGAGCGAGAAGCCAGCTCGGTGCCAAAGAAAACGGCCCGCCAAACTCATCAGCTAACTTACGGAGCAGTTGATTGTCTTGCCGCTAGGATCCGAAGACTCCATGCTGCGCCGAGGCCCCTTCCCTGCAAGCTGGCATACCATTGCCCCCATGCCCATCAGGCCCATGCAGTGGACAAACCTAAGCTTAGTCCCCACTAGACCCGGGCGCGAGTTGCCGGCCGGATCTCAGTGGAACTTGTCCAGTCATTCTGTTGGCCGAGCTCATGGAACTGACGCGGCCAATCAATATATTATTCCATGGAAGCAGACTGCATAGCGTTAGCCAACTGATCGGGCTCATTTTGGTAATGTCACAGTGGACTGTGACCTGGACCCAGCACTTGCCAGCCCACCGTCGGTGTCCACTGGGCAACAACCCAACATCAACCCCCCCCCGGGTTACCTGTCCAAATGGGCTAGGCCAGCACCGCCAACGTGCTCTAGCAGCAGGATAGTCCTCATTTGGATGATGTTGAGGCTGACTGCGTCCCACACGCATCCTGGACTACGTGGTAGAAAGATTCCATGGCCCGGCATTGGCAGGTGACATTCGATCCACTGCTTGGTCAGCCTTTGGGCCCTGGGGAACGTGACAAGAGTCAATTACCGAACACGATGAGGCCGTCCTTGAAGAGCCATGTCACGCGCAGCAAAACGTTTTGCACATTGCTTTTTGCCAGCATGGAGCACTGTCTCAGAAGATTACGTAGCCAAAGACACCTGTGCATGGTAGGCGTCCGGTAATCTGGTCAACGTCTTCATTGGGCTGTCTCATAAAAGGAGTCGTCCTCGGAAGGGAACTCCACTCGAAGCCACAGTGCTCGGTCAACCTGAAGCAATCGTTGATTTTGGCATCGGTCCACTGAAGCTTACTTCCGACCAGAGCTCAACGGCCAGTTGACGTGCCTTCACAGCGTGGGATCCTGGTGGGCAGAGATCCTCCTCCCTCACAGGGGGATACCTGCGGCCGTAACCCATCCAATGCCTGAGCGTAACCCACCTGGTACCTGGCATTAGCTTGGAGATCTTCCGCGCCAATAGCTCCGAGAGAATTTGTGGCCTCGGGCATGTTGAGATCTGGACGACTCGTCATTCTGGCCGATGATCCCTACGAGGCTGATACCGGAAGCAACTTGCTCTCGGACTCCATCATGATACAGCGGTGTATCGCTTTCTTGCCTAATTTTGAAGCTGCAGACCGCTCACAGGACCTCAAAGCTTGTATGTTAGTCGATGGCCAGCGCTATCACGATCGTAACTCCGTCTACGCCATAAACATTGTGTGCAGTCTCCGGGTGACCGCCTCTGGAAGGTCGTTTCTGGCGAATAGAAGCTAACTCTTAGTGACTTGGAAAGTACTTTTTGCATCTCTTTTGGAGGTTGACCTGCTGTGTATTCGTGGCCTAGTCCTCCAGAAGTCTTCTCAAACTGGAAGTTGGGTCGTCGCCTGAACTCCCCATCCAGCAGCGGAGGGTGTCACTGATGCTACATCAGTCGCTACCGGCGCTGCAGGCTGCACAACCGCTCCGTCTTCAGGCTCAAAGTTGAATGATGATGATGGCCGTCCCTCGATGCTACGCTACAGTAGCCTACCAAAAACCAATTGACCTGTCACTGAATTATTGGCAGATCGGAGCTAACCAGCGGCCCGAGAAAACCACCCGGCGTGAATCAACGGCCTGATGGAAGTTTTGCAGTCCCAACGGCGTGCTTCTGGGTGATTTATCCACGGGGGAGCTACGCCGACGGCATCTTCGAATGACTGACGGCATATTGCTATCGTGGCATCTGTACTGTTGCAGACTAACGAACCCATTTGGGTCGATGCCACGACAATACCCCCACTGAAAAGCAATAGTGAAAGTAGCCCTGTGTCTGACGCCGGAGGAACTGTCTCGGCCGATATCAGAGGAAAGCTAGTTACGCGCGTGGCCCAATGTAGCATCGTAAGACCTCCAAGAGTCTGGTCTACATCAACTAGTCAGCCGCAAGACCGACCTACTTGTTAGATGCAGTGACCATGACGACTGGCAACTGACGACTCTCCGATAGTGTGCAGATCTTGCCTACGTAAGTTTTCAGCCAACATGGCCATCGTGGCTAGTATAATGGACGGTTTTCATTCCAATCCATCTTAAAGTGACACTTACATCGACTTGCACAGTGGGGCGGTTCTGGGGCTGAAAGAGGTTCTGAATTGGGTGTTGAAACCATAACAATTCATCAGAAAGTACCAACCGGTATAAATGATGTGGAAACACAGGACTTACGTGATATATGCTGGCTTGCGAGAGCGGTTTATATATGCTGTCTGAATCCTTCGAGAGAACAGCACCGGGACTCATCCGTGCACGTGCCCTCATCAGGGAGGGAGCGTTTCAAGTGTCGTACCACAAACTACGATGAGTCAGTATCACGGCGTGGCCTATCTGGTTTCATTCGGGTGAGAGCAGGAAAAAGAAAACTCGATCAAAGTTCAGTCATCCCATAATTTCTCGAGTGCAATTGCCATCGTTGCGTGGTGGTGCAATTCTGCTAGCTCCGGCAGAACACCAAGTGCTTGCTTAGCTGTCCATCAGAACAATAGGAGAAAACATGGACAAGATGGGGGACTTCTCGCTCGAGGCCCTGAACCTGGACCTCAACGCGCTGTTCCTGCTCTCGGTCACGGTGCTCGCCTTCCTGGTGCCCGTCGTCATCATCCTGCCGCCCGTGACGCCGCAGAAGAGCGATGCGCTGCTGCAGACGCACTCCCTGGCGGGCCTGGCGCCCTCCCGGAGCAACCTGCGGACGCAGTTCGCGCCCGCGGCCCACGAGCCCCGGCCCGGCCAGCCGCCGCGCGTGCAGGCCCTGATGGTGTACCCGGTCAAGTCGTGCCGCGGCGTCGAGGTGTCGCGGGCGCGCGTGCTGCCGCAGGGCCTCGAGTTCGACCGGCTCTTCACCTTCGCGCAGCTGCGGTCGGCGTTCCCGGTGCCCGTCGACGCCAGCGGCGCCGAGAGCGACGCCCACGCCTGGAGCTTCATCACGCAGCGCCAGTTCGCGCGCCTGGCCACCGTCGCCGTCGAGCTGTGGCTGCCCGACGAGATGAAGCTGCGCAAGCAGAGCATGAAGACCAACGAGGCCTTCCTGATCCTGCGCTTCCCCTGGCAGGAGCGCGGCCTCAGGGGCCTCCTGGCCACCATCGGCGCAAAGCTGACCAGGGGGCTCCGGGCCGTGGCCGAGAAGGAGGTCCTCCTGCCGGTGGACTTCCCGGATGCGGACCAGATCAAGGCGCGTGGGTACAGCTACGAGGATGTCACCATCTGGAAGGAAACCGTTTCCGCGCTGAACATGTCCAAGGAGATACCAGAGGAGCTGCGGCTGTATCTAGGCGTCAGCAACAAATTGGGTCTGTTCAGGATAGATCCGCAGAAGCTGCGCGAGGTATACCATTGCGCGCCGCGCAAGGAGGATATCGGCTGGCAGCCGGTTTGTGGGTTCCAGGACGGCGTAAGTGACTTGCCGTCTTATACTCCATGAGACGTCGTTGTGTTCCGCGGCTCACACAAGATAGTACCCACTCCACATCCAGAACTTGTGTAGCGTCCAGACCTTCGACGCCCAGGTGCCAAAGGACGACGAACTGCGGCAACTCAGTGTCCTCCGCTTCCGCCCAAATATTATCTGTATGAACAGCCCCAACTCCTGTGATCGTCTCCTTCCCTCCCAATCCTAACAACATTTGCCAGTATCCGGTGGCCCCGCCTACGACGAAGACGAGTGGAAGCAGATCCGCCTGCGGCCCGGGACCTCGGGCCTCTACAACGACGCTCTGCTCAACGTCTCATGCCATACCGTCCGCTGCAGGCTGCCAAACGTGGACCCGGACACCGGTGACCGCCACCCCACCCAGCCCGACAAGACGCTGCGGGCCACGCGCGACATCGACGCCGGCGCGCCGAGGTCGGGGTGCCTGGGCGTGCAGGCGACGCCCCTGTTCGAGGGGGCCGTGACCGAGGAGGACCGCACCGCCTGGGTCGGCGTGGGCATGGATGTCTCGGTCGAGGAGAGGGGCGAGCATTTCTACCTGAAGTCGTAGCGGTGCGCAAATCTAGATCTAGAGAGATCATGCTTATGTGCCACAAGAGCACTTTGCTTTACCGTGCACAATGATAGAGTAGAGCCGGCGAACACCTTGGATGGTTCACACCGTACCATGTATAGATGGCAAGTACGTAGATAGACAAGCTGGAGGTTAGAATTCAGATGTTCTGGGTTTTGTGCAACGACACAGCACAGGACAGGCATTGGATTTGTACAAAGACGTCAAATTTTGCACACAGTTACATAGAGAAACCTTGAAAACTTGGTCGCTTGAAGCATTCAAAACAGAAAACATAAACAGAGGTATATAGTATCCATAGTGATCCACACACGGCCTCCCAGGAAAGATGAAGATGTCATGCCCATCGTTTGTCACATTATACCTATTTACAGCAGACGCGGAGCCCCCTCACTTGAAGTCGGCAGCCGTTAACGCTTGCACATGACTTGTGCCCTCGCTGAAGCGCGTCCGGAAGATGCGGTTCGCGTTCTGGAACATGCCGTCCTTCAAACTGACGACAATGAACTGGCTGCCCTTGAAGCGGGTCTTGATCAGGCGGCCGATGTTCTGTGTGTGCGACAGATCCAACGCGGCGTCGACCTCGTCCAGGATGTACATGGGCGCCGGCTTGAATTGCAGGAGAGCCATGATAAGCGACAGCGCCACGAGTGACCTAGGGTGTTGTTAGCATATGCTGCATTTCTGAAAGGATAGGAGAGGACTAGTGCGCTTACCTCTGACCACCACTCAATTCTGTTAGACTCTGCTTCCACACTTTGCCCAAGCAGACCTTGACCTCGAGACCCTCATTGATGGTCTTGCCCTCTGGCGGATCGAGTTTGGCGAAACTGCCTCCGGGCAACAGCTCTGAGAAGATGTTGCCGAAATCGCCGTTGACCTTCTCCCAAGTCTGGAGCAGGGCTTTCTTCTTGTAGTCGTCCAGACTGATGATGGTCTCCTCGATCTTCCGTTTGTCACGGATGACGGTTTTCATCATGTGCTTGAGGGAGACTTCCTTCTTCTCGACCGAGTCGATCATGTTCATGACCTTGGGGTTGATCTTCTTCTTCATGCCCTGGAAGCGGTCCAGCAGGGTCTTGAGTGTGGCCTTGCACTCCGCAATGTTCTGGCCCTGGAAGTCATATGGCGTGCCGGAGCGACCAAAGTTGTCCTTCTCATCTGCGATCCACTCATACGTGTGCTCCATCTTCTCGAGGTCCTGGCGGGCCACCTGTTGTTCCTTGTGGAACTTCTCGACTGTGTGGCCAAGCTTCTGCATCTCGAGGCCTTCCTCAGCGATGCGGGAGTTCTTGGAACGAGTAGTCTCCTCGAGAGCGCGGAGTTCATCGTCAAATAGTGTCAGTTTGGCTCGCTCGTCGTCCAAGTGCGCTTGGACTTCATCGTGAGTCTGTTGGAGGGCAGATTGCTTCTTGACGAGGTCTTCGATCTCCTCTTGCTGTGACTTGATTGCAAGCTCAACTTCCTGAAGCTGCTCTCGCGCAGCTGCAAGATCTCCAGAAACCTGCTCGGAGTCCAGCTGTGCACTCTGAACCTCCTTCTGCAGACTCTTGAGGGCGCCTGAGTTCTTGGCAAGAGATGCTCTCAGTTTGTCTAATGAAGCTTGCAGCTCAACCAGCTTGGAGTCTTTGTTGTTCTCGAAGTCCTTCATGTCCTTCTCAATTTGCTTGACATCCGCGCTGGCTTCGGCTTGCCTCTTCTTGGCATCGGCACTACTTGTCTTGAGCTGTGCGATGGTCTCCTTCATGTTCTCAACCTCCTGAATGATCGACGATGAGGAATTGCCACTGATCTGTTCTTCGGCCAACTTCGTCTCGTGGGTCTTGAGATCCAGGTCCTGCTTGATCTTGCGTGCCTGGTCAAGCTTGGCCTTTTCCTTGCCAATTTGACCCTGGAGTTGACCTAGTGATGCCTGGGCCTCGCGGAGTTGTCGATTGATCTCGTTGAGCTTCTGAAGCGTCACGAGCACGCCGCTGGAGTTTGGTGAGCTTCCACCAGAGAGGGTGCCCGACGGGTCATAGGAGTCACCCTCCAATGTGATACTTCGCATCCTCACGTTGGGATCAAAAGTCACTCTCTTGGCTGTCTCTGCATCCTGGCAAATGAGTGTATTTCCGAAGACATACTCCATGGCCGCGGAAACCTGGTCATCGTAACCAACGAGGGTCAATGCTAGATCGACCTTGCCAGGCGCGATCTTTTGAGCGGTGGCGATGGTTTGTGCCGACGCCTTGAATGTAGAAATCTTGTTCAGGGGAATAATGGTGACTCGTTTTCGGAGCTTACCGCCCTGAAGTAGCTGGGTTCCCGTGACCTCACTATCGACAACCACGTTGTACAGGCGTCCGCCAGCGCAGATTTCCAGAGCAGTGCCGGCCCGGGTGTGCTCCTTGTCAAGCGTGAAGAGCTGCGCCACCAGGCCCTTGACTTTGGAGCGGTCAAAGTTGGGTGTGGGGTCTGCATAGTTGAAGTCGATGTTGGCAACTTTCCGCTTCAGAGCATCTGCTTCCTGCCTGAGATTGCGGATTGACTGCTGCAGGGCTGATTCCTGCTTGTACATGGCTTCCTCCTGGCCCGGCTCGAAGCCCAACTTGGCCAGCTGGGCCTCGAGCTTCTGGGACTGGGCCTTTAGGCCCTCAATGTCTTTCAGTAACGAGGCGTTCTGCTCCTTTGCCTTCCTTGCGCGCGGCTCCTCCTCCTTGATGCGCTTCTCCAGATGGGCGACCTTGAGTTTCGCTTGTTCCTGTTCTGTGGCAGCTGCCGCAGCTCGGTTTCTGGCGTCCTGCAGTTGACCCTGATAACCGCTTTCCTGACCTTCCTTGGATGCGACACCGGTCTGCAGCGTCTGCAGTAGTTCCTCCTTCGACTCAGCCTCCTGGCTTTGCTTCTCGCTTTCCTCTCTAGCTGAGTCGTACTTGGCCTTGATCTTCTCGAACGCTGTGGTCTTTTCCTTCAGCGAGGCCTCAAGCTCAGCAACGTTCTTCTCGACCGACGTCTTGCGCTCCTCCTCCTCGGACTTGCTCGACCTTTTCAGGTCCATGACTGTGGCCAGACGAACGAGCTCGTTGGAGTGCTTCTTGACTTCGTCTTCAAGCCCTTGAGCCTTGCCACCCTTCTTGAGTTCCTTGTCTCTTTGCGACTTGACTCTCTTGACATCTTCCTCGAGGTTAGCAATCTCGCTCTTGAGCCGCGCGGCCGAAGTTTCGAGATTCTTTTGCCTCTGCTTCTTGATCTCGAGGTCCGTCCCGGACTGTGCGAGCTTCTCCTGGTTTCTGATGTAGTCATGTGCAACCACGACTCTCGTCAGACGCTCCAGGTCGTTCTGTGTTTGTTGGAAGTCCAGGAATGCCCGTTTCTCTGTCCGTAGCTTCTCGAGCTTGGGCTCGATCTCGTCGCGCAGAAGTTCCGTGATCTCCTGCAGCTTCATCTCCTTCTTGGCCATGGTTTTGAGGGCCTTGTCCCTGCGGTCCTCGAACATGCGTGTGCCCGCGGCCTCCTCAATCATGGCCAGGATCTCGACGGCCTTCATGTTAAGGACTTTTGTGATGCGACCTTGCATAATCAAGAAGTTGGGGTTGTTGATGTTCAGCTGAACGGACTGGAACAGGTTCTGGACAGTCTGCTGCTGGGCTCGGTGTCCGTTGATCAGGTATTTCGTCGTTCCTCCGAGGACGATCTGCCTCGTCACACTGATGGTCGCATACTCCTCGAAGCCGATCGGGGACTTCTTCTTGTCTCTGTTGTCGAAGACGATGGTGACGCTGGCTTTTGTGACACCAGCCTGGCCTCGCTTGTAGATGAGATCCTGGAGAGGGGGAAGAGGGGGTCAGCGACGCTTCCGTCCAGTGTTCACAGCGAGGGGCCACCGACCTGTAAGTTTTGGGCTCGCACGGTCGTCATGTTTGTGATTCCCAGCACGAAACAGATGGCGTCGAGGATGTTGGACTTGCCCGAGCCGTTCAGGCCGGTGATGGAGTTGAAGCTCTCGTCCCTGGGGCAGCGTTAGCAGAGTGTCGTGATCCATTGCCGTTGCGGCCCGGTCGCGCGGCAGCCTACCATCCTGATATTACTGTCCTGACGGCGTACGACTTGAAGCCGTCTATGATCAGCTCGATGACCCTCATGCTGGGCGCTGGGTTCCGGGCTGTGCGAAGGTTGCTGTTGTTAGTATTACTTGGACATGGCCATCTGCTCGACTCCCAAATGCGGTGCAGCCGCTTTTGCATGGGATACGGTCGGGTACGCGTTTATTTACCAAATAATGCGCCCGCCAATCAGAGCGACGGGCGGGCAGGGTATGGCTCGTGCGTGCACGACCCCTCCATCACCACTGGCCTTTCCGGGCTTTCAGGGCTTTATTAGCGTTGGCTTTGTCCGCCGCGACACTTCTACAGGGGCTCCAGGGCTGTTAGTGGGCCCGCATCACTCTCATCCATTGCCTTGTTGACCAAGGCTATCGATTACCTTCCCTTGTAAGCCGAATACTGTATATTGGGGACATATACCTTTTTCTAAAATCATTATACATATCGTGTTTCAAACATGGTATCTTAGCGAGACCGTCGCAGGAGAAGCTCCCATTGGTTCTGGGCTGGGGGAACCTGGAATGTTTCCGTGATCGGATAGGTATGGGTTGCTCCTCTGTGGCCTGCCTCCGGTCGTGAATAACACCGAAGCTATCAACGAATAACTGTATGGACTATGGCTTGCTTGTAAGCCCACCTACCATAAGGTAGCCGTGTTGCTTCATATATCGCTGTAGAGCAGCCCGTTAATCATTGTTTGCATGTCAAACATCCACTCACTCAACCTATGTACAGTAGATCACCACGAGATAACTTTCCAGGAGTGACGACTCGGTCAGTTAACTCCAGGCCAGAGCTGGTAGGGCCCCCAATCGACGGCCCCCCAGGCCGCTCCATCAAACAGCGGACAGGGAACCTGGAAGCCGCTAAGGGTGCCCACGCCACGCCAACGCCACGCGACCAGTCAAGTCATGTACAGTGAGTTACTGTACCATAGATCCGATAGCATCATCCACCACATGGTTATCTACTGTAGGTACCTACTGTCGGAATCTGCTTATCTTGCTCTGCGCATGTGGCTGCATTTCACTGTTTCAGCACCTCGCTCATAACCACAAGATTGCCCCCAAGTGCCAGACACAGTTATCAGCGACACAGGAACGAAATCGGACAAGCCGGCATACGACCAACGACACCGGCATCCAGAGCTCCAAGTCCCCCCAGCCCAAGATGGCAGACGAGCAGATCTCGCTCCCCTCGCTGATCCTCATCCTGGCCATCTCGGGCCTGGCGATCCGGTACTTCTTCTTCTCCGGCTCGACCGCCGCCGCCGCCGCCGGTGGGCGACAGGGCGGCCCGCGCGATGCCGCCGCCGCGTCTAGGGCCCGCGAGGCCGCCGTCGAGCGCATACAGCAGATGTTCCCCCAGGTCGACCGCCGGACGGTACTGTGGGATCTGCAGCGCACCGGCGGCAGCATCTCGGCCACCACGGAGCGCATCCTGTCCGGCCGCATAGACACCGTGAGGCGCCTCCCCCCTTTCCCTCCCCACCCCAGACAGACACACACTTGAATACCCGTGAGCTAACCAGACACCTCTCTCATAGCCACCCGTAACCTTCCAGCCGCCGCCGCCGCCCGCCTCGCCCACGCCGTCGGCAGCGCAGACCCCGGCGCAGAAGGCGCCCTCGAAACCGGCCGAGCCGGACCTGATCACGCGGTACAACCTGCAGAACAAGGTTGCATCAAGCAGCGGAGACGAGGAGGGCACCGCGGCCTCCGCGGCTGGCAAGAAGGGCTGGAGCTCCAACCGGGACGACCGGCAGAGCGCGCTGCAGAAGCGGCGGGACGAGATGATCCTGGCGGCCCGCAAGAAGATGGAGGCCAAGATCCAGGCCGAGAAGGCCGCAAGCGGGAGCTCGTGAGACAGGGCACAGGGAGGAGGCGGTTCGGCGCGCCCGTACGATGGGCTGGGGAACGCAGTCGCGGTCTGCTGGGTGTGTAAATGGGGCAGGGAAGATCGCATACCCTATGGCGAAGCCCTTTTGTCGTTCGCTAGGGCGAAGCCCAGAGCTAAGGCCGACTTGCGAGTACACTTCCACGTATCACTACTTGGGGAGGGTGGCCGGCCTGCAAAGGTCCTACGTAACTAGAATACCGCGTACCGAGACATGAATTTTAATCATTTGGCAACCCCATACCAAAGGATGCTGCTGCTTCCTGCCTTTCCTGTATCAATCCTAGCTTTCTGACGACATCCGAACTAGCCACCCCATAGTCACACCCAGAATTAGGGGGCTGACTTGCAGCATGAGGAACCTGACCTTCAAGTTCATACGGGCAGTGTGTCAGTCCGTGTCAAGTGACTGGTTGGTATGAACCTTGAGCCTCACTGTGTGCATAATACAGATAGACACTTGCTTGATAGATGGATAGAGTAATCGTATTCGCTTCATATAATCATTATTCTAACGCTTCTATACGCTGAGACCCCAAATATAAAACAACGAATTCCAACCGATACCGTGTAATGCAACGAACGCCTCATGTCTATATCCTGAAAGTGCATGGTCCCAATACACCCATACACTAGCGGCCTCCAATCACGTATGAATCAAGTCGGAGAGCAGTGGCTCCTCAGCTGAACGACAGCCATATCGTGTTGGGCAGACGTCTCATACCCCAGGTCAACTAACGCACTAGGGGTCTCTGATGGAATTCGACAATCTGGCCCGCGTGTGCCGTGCCGCCGTCGGGCACGCTGCCCGTCGTCTGGCGGCGTATCCGGTTCATGCCCTTGCCGTAGCCTTCCTGGATGCCGCCCGTGACGCTGTCGACGGTCCAGGTGAAGGCGCCGGTGACCATCTGGCCGACGCGGCCGTCGCCCATGGAGTTGATGCGCGCGCTGAGAGTTACGCTATACCTCCCGACCGTGTTGACGACGTCGAAGCCGTTGGCCATGATCCAGTCCGAGACCTGGTACTGCCGCTCGTAGCGGGCCCCGACGCGGCCGACGAACAGCACGAAGCACCACAGCGCGTGCAGCAGGACGATGAGCGCGGCGACGGCATACTGCACGCCGTGGTACAGGAACGTCTTGCCCCGGTCCGTGGGACGGCTGATGGCAATCTGCGGCTCCGGGTGTGGGTGCTGCGTCAGCCAGGGCGCGGCGCGAGCCAGCACCGCCGTCTCCGAGTCATTGAGCTGATCGGGACAGGCGCGCAGGTAGTAGGCCAGCGCGTCTATGAAACTGCTGCGCTCGAATGCCGCATCGTGGAGCTCGTTCGAGGCCTGGGTTGCCAGCTCCGCGCCTATATCCATGCGGCGTTAGTGACGGGTCGATCACATGCAAAAAGAGGCTGGGGCGATCGCTCCTTGGCGGGGCGCCCGTTGGCTGCACGTAATACATGGTACGGAGAGTAAAGTGCTTGCATATAGTTGCGCCGTGCTCGGCCAATACCATACCTTGACGTGCATATCTCCACTTGATTCCAGACGGCGACCACTTCCGATTAGCAATGTCGTGAGAGGATGCGTTGAAATTCGGTGGCAGGCGGAGGTCTGGTTGTCGAGCGGCCTGCCATTGCATTTGCAGCTGTGCAGCTCGCAGCTGGTGTGCATGCTCCATTTCCAACGTCGTCCCCAGGAGAGACGGCTGAAGATGCTGGCACTGATGACCTAGGGCGGGTGTCTCCGGTAGATAGCTCCCAAAGTATTCCGATGCGGCATTCCTCTCCGACATGGATCGTAGAGATGTGGACGAGGACTGACGTGTGGTGGCTATAGACTCAGTCCCAGAAGAAGTGGCGGTGGATTCCGAGGAAGAGGCAGAATCCGATTCGACCAAGCTGCTGGCCGTGAAACTGCTGCTGCTGCTGCTGCTGGTCTTGGTCGAGACGGAGGAAGTTGTCTTGGACCGGCGCAGTTGCACCTGCGGCATGTTCAAGGGTGCACTGGCGATGACGGACTTTCTCAGCGAGTCGAGCGACTTTAGACGTGCGGGCATTGCTGCCATCCTCGACTGCACGGAGGACGGCAGCATGTTGAAGACGTGAAGGCCGTAGTCGTCTGGCGACTCCATGATGGGCAGACAGCAGAGAGAGAAAAAAAGGACCGGGCAGATAAAGGAACGAAGAATCACAAGCAAGGAGCACGCTGGGATCTCAAGAAGGTCGTAAAAGGCAACAAAAATGGCTCCAGAGGTCTGATGGACAGACTGAGACCCTTATCTAGCATGTGGCCCTGCAGTTCTCGGAATAGCAGCTATCAGCCTCCAACATGGGAATTCTTACTCAGGTGGAGCGGGCCCCGACCTGTACATGTGGGCACTTGGGTGGACGTGGATGGGCAGCTTGAACTACCCAAGGTTATGCAGCCGTTCTGAAGTAGGTTTCAAGGAGCTGCTGTGGGTAGTCGAAGGCGCAGTAGGGGGCAAGCAAGGCGAGGCACCTAGGTAGGCTTGATAGGAGGTAGCATATGCAGTACTGGGAAACTAAAAAATTGCCTCCGTTGGGCCCATGGGCGACCTCTGGGCCTCTGCAGAAAGGGGTTGGGGGGCCCCTTGGGGCAGCTGCAGCCAATGGATGTGTGTGGAGGCTTGCTATTAGGAAAGTGTTTCGAGAGAGGACCCGGGATGAGTCTTTTGTGCATCTATCAGCAGTCTCAAGGATAGTCATACGCCGAGGCACCCAGGTATTGCTATGTGCGTATAACATGAGCCTCAAGACAATTGTTACTTATAGGTAGCTAGCCTCATCTCCTGGTACTCCGACTCCGTCAGCTATTATCTGGGCTTTGGAGCTTGCAAACCAATTGTTCGTTTGGTGGCGGACGATGATTGGCCACTGGTGCCGTCCAGAGCGGCCTGCTGATTGGCCACCCCGATGTGCGCTGGTTGTGCTGTACGATCCGTGCTCCCTCTCTCTCGCCCCCAAAAAAAATCAGCGACGCGACCGAGCTCAAGAAGGGAGAAAAAAGTTTCCCGGCGATAGGCAACCTTGACGCGATAAGGACCCTGTCGACCAGTCGCCTGAAAAACTTCCAGCTGCTCGTTGCTTCATCTTCCATCGCAGCAGCAGCCTTCGACGCAAACCCGAGGATCGCCATTCCCCAAGACGCCTCGACCTCCCTCCCACTCCTTTCTTTCCAGGCCTCCATCTTCTCTCAGGTTCTCGTTCTAGTCTTGCTGCGCGTCTTCGTTCTACACTGTCCTTTTCGCCATGTTCAGGTCGTCGCTGCAGCGACACGCCCGCGTTGGCAATGCGGCCCGCCTCCAGATCTCGACCTTTTCCTCCCTGCGAGCGGTGCGCTTCCAGAGCCTAGAGCGCCAGCTACAGCCCGTCAAGAGCCGCGTCTCCTTGGCCGGCCCGCGCTCCAACCCTCTGGCGGCTCTGGCCCCGAGGTTCTACTCTGCAGAGGCTGCCGCTCAGCAGGAGCCAGATGAAGCCCGCTCGACCTCCTCCGGCCCCATCACCCGGTTCGCAGACCTGTCTCAACTGGACGTCCACCCCAACCTAGTCCAGGCCCTCACCCAGGGCATGAAGTACGAGACCATGACCGAAGTCCAGTCCATGACCATCAACCCTGCTCTGCAAGGCGTCGACCTGTAAGCCTTCTTCTGCGCTGCCCCCTCCCTCCCAACTCCCTGCTCTACTTTGCGCTGACACGGCCTGCCCTGCTCTAGTGTCGCTCAGGCCAAGACTGGTACTGGCAAGACCCTGGCCTTCCTCGTCCCAGTCTTTCAGCGACTCCTGATGGAGATTCCTGAGCTCGCCGACCCCCGGTCCCGCCGGCGCGCTTCGGCCGACGACGTCAAGGCCATCATCATGTCGCCCACCCGCGAACTGGCCGAGCAGATCGGTGTCGAGGCGAAGAAGCTCGCCAGGGACACCGGCATCATGGTCCAGACGGCTGTCGGCGGAACGAGGAAACGAGAGTCTCTGATGCAAATGCAGCGCCAGGGATGTCACATCTTGGTCGCCACCCCCGGCCGCCTGCAGGACCTGCTCTCGGACCCCCACGCCGGCGTGGCTGCGCCCAACCTCAAGGCTTTTGTTCTCGACGAGGCCGATCGCATGCTCGACGTTGGATTCTCCGACGCAATTCGCGACATCCTCGATCTTGTCCCCTCGGTCCAGGAGGTCGACCGACAGACGCTGCTCTTCTCGGCAACTATCCCCAAAGATGTAGTGCACCTTGCCAAGAGCCTGGTCAAGGTAGACAACTTCAAGTTTGTTCAGACCATCCGGGCCGATGACGCCCCGACGCATGAGAAGATCCCTCAGCACGTCGCTGCATGCAACGGCTACGAGAACTGGTTCCCGGCGATCCTCGAGATCGCTGACAAGGCAATCCAGAGATCCAAGTCCGATCCCTCGGCTGCACCTTTCAAGGCCTTGGTCTTCTTCTCAAACACCGCCACCGTTGAATTCGCAAACGACGTGTTCCGGGCAACCTCGCTTGGCGGCAGAGGGGGCATTCCTATCTTCGACATCCACTCTAAGCTGTCGCAGGGAACGCGAACGAGAAGTGCCGAATCCTTCCGCCGCGCCCAGACTGGCATTCTGCTGTCGTCTGACGTGACAGCCAGAGGTATGGACTTCCCAGGTGTAACACACGTCATTCAGGTCGGTCTCCCGCCTGATCGTGACCAGTACATCCACCGTGTCGGACGTACTGGCCGTGCCGGCGCAGACGGCGAAGGGTGGCTTCTTCTTGCCAATGAGGAGATCCCTGAGGCCCGATTCCGACTGGCAGGTCTCCCCATAAAGCCAAACCACGGGTTGGAAACTGCGAAGCACGATTTGACCGAAGGCAAGCCATCTGGACAGGCAGAGCAATACTTTTCTGATATTGAGCGTGCATACCAACGAACGAACCCTCGTGATTTCGACGCTGTTTATTCTGCTCTCATTGGACAAAAGCTCGGCAGGAAGCTTCATGCAGAGGATATCATTGGGTTGCTGAACAACTGGTGCACGGTTGGTCTAGGGAGAGCGCAAGTTCCTGCTATCTCGGCCAAATCCGCTCACAACCGTGGCCTGTCCAGGGTTCCGGGCATCAGGATAGGCAACAACACTTACGATGATGAGCCCGAACGCGGCTTTGGTTCCCGTGGCGGCGGTGGCTCTCAACGTGGTGGTGGTTTCGGCAACCGATCTGGCGACAGGTTTGGCGATCAGTTCAGCTCAGGAGGCCGTGGTGGCCGAGGAGACTTTGGCGGCCGAGGAGACTTTGGTGGCCGCGGAGACTTTGGCGGCCGCGGAGGTTCTGGTGGCCGTAGTGGCCGATCAGACTTTGGTGGTCGTGGTGGACGATCAGACTTTGGTGGCCGCGGTGGCAGAGACTTTGGTGGCAGAGGCAGCTTCGAGTCCAGTTTCTAAAAGAAACGCAACGAGTCGTTGACGCCATGGCATTCAAAAGCCAACGTTTTATTTCTACCAGAGGTCATACCGGGGTCTCCTGGTAATCCGTTCCTCGGTTTGTAAAGATACCAGACAACGCACGATTGTACATTATCACGGAAGTGGGCGTCCAGCATTCAACCTGATATAGAGGCGGTGGCAGGCGGCAGCGGGTCATGCCTGGGAGTAAAGGGTCTTTTTTGGGATGCTACGAAAAATCTTGTGTTGGCATTGACTTTATGGTCGGCCCAGAAGGGGAAATCTCTACTATACATGTACGAAGCAAGGGGCGAGTGAACGATAGTAACTAATACTTGTACAAAAGGTGGATATCCTATGACTGCGCAATAGAAAGACACTAAAAACTACAACTTTGCTCATGACACTCATTACTGTCTCATTGCGGAACCGAGTCTGGCCTAATTTATACAGTGGAAAGGTTAACTTAGCGGTGTCTAAACCGACTCCCAGGCGCGTGCCAGTGCAAGCCTTTTCTCTCCCCTCAGCTCCTCAAAGTTTCACGGCCAAGATTGCATCTTGACACGATATAGTTGATCAACATCGCGGTCACAGCTTGAGCTAATATGTGAATTGTTATAGTGACCATTCGTATTCTGACGCTGCAGTCCTGCTTGCATCGAATGGTATGAACAACGAGAGAGTCAGTTGCACGTTTCCGATACCCTCAAATGTCTCACAGCTACATTCCTAACGTTTCCCGTGTATCTTTTCCGGAAGCGGAAGGCATTGTCGATAAAGGCATTGTTCAATTGCTACTATACGACAAGACTCTTAGCAGATATTAATGACACTGACTGCCTTGCCGTACGAGCTAAACTGAATGGCGATCGTGAGTCGATGTAGCCTTTTCGCAAGTCCATTTCCATACGCCTACCGTATAGATTGTCACGATTATACTCACTATGGATATAGATGAAGAAAATGAGGTGCTACCCAACGGGACAGATAATCTCATAGGGGAGCTCTTAGTCCGTCGTCATAACGCCGGCGTCGCAGCTCTCACTACGGAGTCTCGTGGGCCACAACGCGAAGTTGACAATTGCCCTGATCTCGGGCTTATAACAGCACCCTTGGATGGCATGAAGCGCCTGCAGCAGTCGCGCGACCAGGAAATATCTCCACGCAGTATTGTATCGGCGCTGCTCTGGGAGCTCTGTCAGCTCACCGAAACCAGCATTGCAAGTGTCATCAACACGGACGGCTGGCCGTGTTTCCAGATGACCCCAGCCACGTTGCACAGTGATCTCGACAGCATGCAGCCGGAAGCCCGAGCTGCTGACGCGGCCAGGCGGTTCCGGTACAGCTATCCTTTCAACAAGGGGATGCGCCAGGCCGAGTACGTCTTCTGGCCGTACCAGTATCGGTATCCGCCTTCCAACGAACCGGACTTCGAACCGGAGCCCAACAGCGAAGGCAGATGGGTGCTTATAATCATTCGTTTGGAGAACAACCCGCTTCCAGCCCATCAATGGGATAGACTCGCCACTCAAGTCACCATTGTCGACCCCGTAGCGCACCAACGTGCCCAGCGGAGGCGAGCGGTCGAGGTCCGGCTGGAGCAAATCCTGGAGGCCGGTCACATCAGGCTCGTTCCAGGGGCTCTGGAGGCGCATCCCACGATCGCGGTCCCGGACCTCCCCGACGACGAGCTCTGGGCCACGGGCCATGTATGCTACGCCGTGGCGCGCGAGATGTTTCGGCGGCTACGGGTGATTCTGGGGACGGGGGCCAGGGGGGCGCTGGCGCCGTGCTTCTACGCCGGGTTCGACGAGCCGGCGAACCACGACCACGCGCGCAAGTGCATGCTTTCGGCGTGCGCGCTGCGGGCCGTCGAGAAGTCGCGCTACTTCGGGCAGCTGGCGGTCGAGGTGCCGGCGGCGCAGACGGTCAACGGCTTCGACCCGGTGCGGCTGCGCGGGCCCCACGAGCAGGCGTACCCGGAGGACGTCCGGTACCGCTCCCTCTGGCACGACCAGCCCGACCCCAAGCACGCCGGCGACTTTGACGACGACGAGCGCTACGCCCGGCTCTGGCTCCGGCCCCCGCAGGAGGTGTTCGCCAAGAGCCTCCGGACTTACCATCCGGACCCGTATGCGGCCAGGGAGATCCATCCGAATGCGGTAGACTAGAAATCATGGAGAAGCTGCGGAGGATGGGTGAAGTCTTGGGCGTTGGCTATGTTTAAGACAGGGCAGATACATCCTAGTTGTCATATTGTCATCGACAGGTGCTCTTATGTGGCTGTAGGATTTGTTTACAAATCCACTAGGCTCTTATATGTCTACAATTGTTTTACTAATATCACAGAAATAGGTGTATATAAGTATCACAAGCGAGTTATAACCCATTCGCAATTCTAGTGAGAAAAGTGAGTGTTGTGGGTTCCATCTGCTTCTGGTACACATATCCAGGCGGCCTAACCATGATGCGGTCCGCGATCGAGCCCATATAACATACTAGTTTGACCTTTCCAAAGGTATGCGTGATATGTCTGGGTTATGTTGGAACTTGACTAATTGACCGGTGCCTCATATCGTATACTTTTATTAAACAGGCACGTTACTTTCGTGCTTGCCTAAGTAGACCAAGTGCCAGGAGTGTAGAGACCTTAAAATATGACACTACGTTTTATTCACGTTCCATTCACAGCATGAGTCAGTCTCGCTATCTTCAGCTGGATGCAGTTTGAAAGAGCGGACAAGATTTTTACCACATATTGACTTAGCGTACTAACTAATAATAATGGAAAGAGAGTTCGTTAATGCTAGCCACGCACTGTCTGAAGATAGAACTGTCACATCACCCTTAGGCTTTCGTGGAGCTAGGCGCATCCCAAATTATCTCCAAAGTAGACAGCAAAGATCGCCCTGGGGAGATGGCCCGCTGAAGAACGAATCTTTTATCAGCCGCTTTCAGTAGCGCTTTCCACTCATGCATATATCTATTACGGCCGTTGAACGAGGCCCCTGCGTTGAGATCCATCGCCCTGTAAATTCCTGTTATCAAAGATTCTCATGGTCGTAATGGCAGATTAGAAGCGGCATACCTCAATTCACGATCTTTCCACAGTGGAATTTCGCCCGGTTCGGGCATTACCAAGTCTTGTGTGAGGAGTTTCGCCCCAGGTTGGAGGGCCGGGATCTGGGCTTTCAGAATTTGGAGGGCGTATTTGTCAGGCCAAAGCTGGAAGACTAAGCGGAAGAGATAAACATCAGCTTGCACAGATTGCGTATCAAAAATCTTATGCGCCTTGAATTCGATACGTCCTTGGAGCTCATCCGGCACACTGGCCTCCGCGCCGGCAATAGCCTTCTCCATATCTTGAACTAGCAGCTTGACCTCGCCGAAGCTCTTTGCCAGTTCTATGGCGATCTCCCCTCTGGATCCGCCCACGTGGACGATGAATGCGTTACCCAGGGAAGTCCAATCGTAGAGATTGGAGACCTCTGCATTGGCAAAACCGGGAAAATGATCGTGGGCTTTAACTCCAGACGCAAGGCGCATCGCACGTGCGTGGTCGGCACCGAGTACCTCGAAAATCGACTTGTCGGTGTTGTTGGCCAGACAGAAGCCCTGTGAGAATCAGCACCACTGTAGGTTCGGTCGTCGAACGCTCGAGATGCGGGATCAGACGCAGGTCATGCGGCCAGCGCTAGACTTGTTATACACGCACCGTGTTATTGGACTCCTCCGACCCTGGCCACTTCTAGATTGCATCCAACATCTATAGCAAAACACCCACGTAAGTTCTTCTACATGCAGCTCCCCATTCAAGGGTTCTCTTGAGACGGCTTACCTTTGTAGCAGCTGGCCAACCTTCCTGAGCGCCAAAGCTGATCCAGTCGTTCACATAGGGGAGGGTGAAGTACTTGGACATTTTCGTATGCGCGACCATGCCGGACTCGGGTTCCTTCCAGATATGCATAGACATGGCATGCCTGAGCAGGCGTCTGACGAGCTGTTCTTCTAGGCCTATCTTCTCGGCAATCTCACCAAAAGAGACTTGGCCACCAGGAGGTACGATGTCGGCAATGTGGAACCGGCAGATAGCATCAATGCTAATCGCGTTAGTAGTCTAGAAGTGTCAGCCTGCTAAATGAATGATTGTGCTAGTGATGAAGATATCCTACGGCAATGGACTTGAAAGTGAGCGGGATAGGATCCATGAGTAACTCATGCAGTTCGGCCGTCGCGTCAAGAACTTCATCTGGGAGGTGGAATGTGTTAGGAGGCAGACGTTCGGACTGTCCTCGTCGAAGGATGGTGAAGTCACTCCCTGGGCCGATAAAAGCTCTTGCATTCCTGTGACGGAAGCACTGATCTTGGCAGCCAACTCGACGATCCGAGGCGTCATTTTGGAGGGTGTCATAGTAGTTTTTCAGAAGTAAAATGAAGATATTTAAACAGTTGAGAGATGTCAAGAACAGAGATGAGGAGAACGATGGCCACGACAGTTATGTTTTAATCAAGAGGGGAATATCCATAGGTAGCAAATAGCTCGAGCGGCGTAGCCGGAACTGTTGGAACTGTTTTCCTATCCCTTAATTCCACTACGCAGCCCCCAAAAGTTTCTTAAGCACAACCCTCACACCCATCGAACGCTATACTAGAGCCGGGATGCAACATAAAATCAGCACAAAAAAAATACATGAAGTAAAGGGATCTACGGAGCTTTCTAGTTATTGACATTGGCGGCTCAACTGATTCCCAAAATCTTACCTTCCGGAAACGATATCCAAGTCTACCTGGAAGAGTCATCCTCTAATGCTGGCCGGAAATTTTGCCGAAGGCCAAACCAGTGCTTACCAGCTCCGTAAATGTTGAGGCAGAACTACATGATTAACATATGCCAGAGCCAATTGAAGGTATGATTAGCTTCCAAGTACTTCCTATAATGCAAATTCGAGCTAATCTCTGATTCTTCTTTGGTTAGGAGCCCGAGCATCCTATCTTCGCAAGATCTTTCATTTGTTCGTCCATGCAAAACACGAGATTTTTAGGCAATACAAGAGCAGGCATGACCGAATGATCGATAATGCTGTTTCATGGTATATGGTCCTCGGGAGGTTTCCCGATCTCGGCCGGTCCTTCCTTTGGCTTTCGTTTAAAGGTTCTTGGCTGCTCTCGGCCCTTAATACTTGAATATGATACGTTGCGACTTTTTACGGTATTTTGAGCTACAAAATGAACTATATACATACTTTGAATGCAAAACAAATGAAATAATAATAATCTAAAGATCTGATGCGAACGGGGACAAGATTCGAGCGTTTGCATACTCTATTAAGAGTGGGGTATTTTTGGCAAATCCTCATCCGACAGCTCATCGTTACAACTGCCAACCTATGTATAAGCGTCAAACATCATCGGACCATTGCACAGCTACAAATTATCCCATGAAAAATATAAAGCGCACGTAATTGTTCGCTGGATATTGTCTGCCTACACCGCACAAATCAGCGCACCCTTCCTGTAATGGCGACGGCAGTGGCCAAATCAGATTGTAGGCTCGTACTCCACATGACATACACGCTGTCAAACCAGTGCTTCGCAACAGCTCATCTCAGGGCCAAGTACCCGAATGATATCCCAAACGGCCTAATACGGACATCTCGGGCAATTCGGACATATCGCCCTTGGGTAGAAGCCCCCTGTTCGATAGTGAAAGCCACGGGAGATGAGTCACCTGATAGCGCGGCAGGATCGCGCACCCCTCTTTGCCCGCTGCAACGCGACGCGGGGAAGCTGACCACCTAGCATCCCACCAAGGAAGCGCAGCTGAAGTTTCCCCGCTCGGAATGTAAGATCCATCCTCTTGCTGCGGCGTTGCTTTTCCCATTGGGACCTAGCACTAGGCTTGAGGAATGGCAGGTAATTTGGTGAGGCTTGCAGGCAGCTATGCCTTATCTTGAGGCGGTCTGGGCTCTGCGTTACAGGTGACGCAAGAGTACGATTGAATGGGATTCTGTATAAGACTACGCTGCCCTCCCTGAGGGTTTCTTACTAGACTCGGCTTCGTGCATATCTCCAACTCGATTCTCCTTGATCTCCACCCATCTTGATATTGACCTGTAACCACAATAACTATACCTTTGTCTGCTCTAGCATTAGAACGCCATGTCAAACCAACAAGATATCAAGACCTACCGTGGCAACTGCCACTGCAAGGCCTACGTCTTCGAGGCCAAGCTGCCTGAGATCAAAAAGGTCGATCGCTGCAGTTGCAGCATTTGCTACAAGAAAGGCGCGCTGTGGTTATTCCCCAAACGCAACGACGTGACCTGGGTCAAGGGGGAGGAGAGCACTTTGAAGACCTACAATTTCGGTAGGAAGCGGTTTGATCACAAGGTACAGCGCCTCATAGATACCGGTTGCTGTAGATCTATTCACTGCAGGCGATGCTAATCTTGGCCGCACAGTTCTGCCCGACCTGTGGCACCTCCATCCTGGGCGTTGGATACATCGAGCCGCCGAAGCCAGGCGAGGACAAGGAACCGGAATTCTGTCTGAACGTTAGTTACGCTAGCCGTGCCACACGACTAGTATGAGAGACTGACAATCCCAGGCCCGTACTATACAAGGTCTCGATATCTGGAGCCTTGAGGAGCGTGTGTAAGTCATGGATCTAGAATCGGCTTTTCTCTCGTAGACTCCATACTCATAAGTTTGACTCTAGCTTCGACGGCGGCTCAATCCCCCCTGCATACGAGCCCCCTCAATTCACCGGCACCGAGCCTCAGGCTGAGTTGGAGGGCGGCAAGTTGTTCTACGGGAGTTGCCACTGTGGTGCAGTCCGACTAGCGCTTAAATCACCTCTGCTCGACGAGACCTACGATGACCGAGTGATCGAGTGCAACTGCAGCATCTGCGGAAGGGTAGGTCTCCCCGCTCTCCCCAAAGCCGCCCTCATCCTCTCTGTGACCCTGATGCGCTGGCTGACCAATACACAGTACGGCACGACCTGGATCTACCCAAAGAAGGAGTACGTCGCCGTGGAGGGAGAAGACAACATGACCTATTACGGTATGGGCATGGGCATATTCCTGAAGGGTTTCTGCAAGACCTGTGGCGTGCCCGTTGAGAACAAAGCTACCGAGTTGAGCGACGAGAAGATAGCTGCTCTGCCGGAAGGCGCCAGGTTCTGGCATGCCCGCGGGAAAACCTTTAGAAGTCTCAACGGCAAGGTGTTGAACGGAGTGGACTTGGGGCCCTTGAAGAAGGAGCGCATCGACGGCTGGCAGCTCATCAAGCCAGAGTATGTCAACCCCTAGAAGCCTAAGGAACAGATCCATGAGTATTCGTATTTCGTCTGAAAATATAATGTTACGGGTCCATTTCAATTCAATGGTCGTGATAATTAGTGTACATAACTGTAGGGTCTGGTGCACATTCAAGATTCCGTGGAAACGGTTATCGTGGCTGTCATTGTGTGTCTTTAGGAGCAGCTACGGCAGTTTTCCTGTACCTCTCCTTGTCCCAACTGGGGTTCCCATCATCGTCGAAATCGGCCCACTGGAAAAAGCTGCAGCTCTCCTTGCCAGGGACGTATCCACCATAACACATCCAGAAGTACTTCCCAAAGTTCTCCTTCCTCTTCTGCACGACCTTAAGGACGGCCGGGATGCCGCACTTGCACCTCGGGGTGTATTTCGGATGGAGGCTCGCGCGATAATCTCTGTATGTGACATTTATTCTCCGGTTGCCGGCTATCGGGTGCGGGTCGATTGCTTGGGCGGGTGCGATGGAATGTTTCCACTCCTCTTGCATCTCTGCATGCATGACCAGGAGCGAGTTGTGTGGCAGGTGGATAGAGATCTGGCCCTCCGCGTCCGGATCTTCTGCGACGTTGTTATCAGAGTCTTTTGGAACCATTCTTCTCACTCGAAACTCCCTGGCGACCCCAAGTGATAGTGAGCCGATGACAGCACGCGGGCCCAAGTAAGTCAGTTGATCGCTGTGGTAGCCAACGTTTTCATGCGGCCCGTTGTAGCAATTCACAAATGCGGCATTCGGTTTCCAGTCGTCGGGGGACTGGTATTTGAGCTTCTGGCCGTTTGGATAAACGGTCTGGATACGCCGTTGAACCTCCTTGTTGACACCCTCCTGGACCAGTGGCTTTACCCGAAGCAACTGGGGAGTGATGGTGCGAACGTCCTGTCAAGGGTGTTAGTCATGCTATCAACGTGATGCTGAACATAAATCTCGTTCTGTTGGGTACGAACCGTCAGTCTCGCTCCATTGTAGTAATACTCATACTTCTGTCTCTTTAACTCTTCCTCGTTCTCCACATAGAATGTTGCCGTGTGCGGGCTCGAGACAACGTTATCGAAGAGTTTGAATGTCATCTTCTCGAATGTTTTGGACTCGTCCAACATTTCACGAAGGAGGTCGTTGGCCATGTTCTGAGGGAGGAAATTGTGGATGATGCTACAGGGTGTGTGTTGGGCGATGTCATCCGGGTCATACAGGTGGAGTGTAGTTCCTTTCTTTGACAGCAGTCTCGCCTTCTTTGGGGAGGAGTTTCCACCAGCGGATGGCAGGTCAGAAGCAAAGAACCTCAACGACGTCTGCGCTCCCATGACTACACGAGCTCGTGATTTCTTGGTTGGCTCGGCAGAATCATTACTCAGGGATTCTGTTGCGCCTTCAACAGAACCGTCATGTGCCAGCAGTGATTCCAGCAGAGCTTCTTGACTGAAGTTTGGAAACAGCGAGGCGAGTATAGCGAGTTTGATATCTGTAGACTCAGCATCGTCATCCACCGTCTCTTCTGAGGCTGGCGGCATTTTCCGTTTTGTTCCCTTCAAGAAGGCGTCCATGATGGCTGGGACGAGGCAGGTCCTTGATTGCCGAGTCCTGGGATGAAAGTCCCATCACGAGTTTTGCGTCGGCCGTTTTGAATGTCCTACTGTATCACAAAGCTGATGCTTTGTCACTGTGTATTTGGACTTTGCCTCGCTCGATGACTCTTGAGGAAGGGCGTCCAATGAAGATTGCCCCAGTCTTGCCCAGGGTTGAGCTAGGGACCCCCCAGTTGGCAATGTTAGCGGCAGATTCCGCCCCCGGAAAACGTCGCGCACAGGGGCTCAGGCTGGATCGCTGAGGTCTTCGATGCCGAGGCCCCACCTCGGCTGAGCTGTCATGGACAGCTCCAACGTCCGACATGTAGGTCGAATCCAGAGCCTCCAGCTTTGTAGGTAGCCTCTCTCATGACTATATAGCGGAAATCTCTCAGCCATGGAGGCGCCTATGCTCGAGTTCCGCACGGCGGGGTTCAACCCCTATGCCGTCAAGTACTCCCCGTACTACGACTCGCGCATCGCTGTCGCATCCGCAGCGAACTACGGCATTGTAGGAAACGGGCGGCTGTTCTGCTTGGGGCTGGGGCCGCAGGGCATACAGGTCGAGAGAACGTGTGTACAAGGCGTCACCCGAGGCAAATGCTCTTCTAATGGTTTATGCGCAGCTTCGACACTAATGATGCCCAATATGACATTGCCTGGTCAGAGATCAACGAGAACCAGCTCCTCGCGGCCTGCGGCGACGGCTCGATCAAGCTCTACGACACGAATGTGCCCGACTTCCCCGTCATGAACTTTCACGAACACAAGCGCGAAACATTCTCAGTAGCATGGAGTCCCGTCACCAAGGATACGTTCGCATCGAGCTCGTGGGACGGCACCGTCAAGATTGTGAGGTCTCCAGGAGGGTGAGGGGTTTGACTTCCCTGCTGACTTTTGGTTTATCAGTGGTCGCCAGCCAGGAAAGATTCGATAAAGACACTTCCAATAGGCAACTGCACATATAGCACATCGTACTGCCCGTCGAACCCACATATTATATCCGCCGTATCGACAGACTCACACCTTCGCATATTCGACCTCCGGACACCCGTCAGTGCCCAATACCATCTTATCAACAAGATTCCCGTGCATACGCCGGGGCCCGTCCCTCTGCCGCCAGGGCTGGCGCCCCCTGCCATGCCGGCCGAAGTGCTGACCCATGATTGGAACAAGTATAACGACAGCGTCATTGCGACGGGCGGCGTGGACAGAGCCATACGGACATTTGATATCAGAAACCCCACGGGGCCAACCTCCATCATGATGGGCCATAACTATGCGGTCCGCAGATTGGCCTGGAGCCCGCATGCGCGCGACATTCTTATCAGTGCGAGCTACGACATGACGGTGCGGCTATGGACGGATGGTTCGACGATGGCGCAGGAAGGCCCTTCTCCAATTAAACCCGGCGTGCAGCTGGGCGTCATGAACAGACACACCGAGTTCGCCGTCGGGCTGGACTGGTGCTTGTTCGGCGTCGGCGGATGGGTAGCAACCGTGGGCTGGGACGAGAGGGTGTTACTGTGGGATGCCAATCAACTGATACGGGGGCGTGGCTGAAGGGGCGCATCTACCCCTTGGTGGTGAGGGTTATCTATCGGGCGTCATACGGCAAATTGGGGGTCACGATCACGGAATGATAATGCATGTTGCGGGCGTTTGGAGATGGTGAATGAACAATTACCCCGGCTGAATCTCGCAGCCTGTTCTGGGACTTGAATTGGATATGCGCATCCCATTGACTCCCAACTACAGTACATTATAGCATGGTGCCGTGACGAGACCTGGTCCTCTGACGCCGGTACATAACTACATGGGTGAGTGGTGACACGGTTCTTGGGCGAATTTAGCACGACAAGGGCAAGGGAGAGGGTCGGGTTACTACTAAAACGACCCGGCAATCTACGCTGAACCAAAATTAGCAGAGGGAGACGTCATAATTTCCACGACGCAAGCTCGATAGGCCGAATAGAAGTCGGGGTGCCTTGAGATTGGGCAATGAGAAGGAGGACCCTCACCTGAGCCATGTAATCAAAAGCTTCTGGAGGCAAGGTCCGTCTGTTGCACAAGGCGCAGCTGGCCTCGGGAAGACGCAGTACCTACTTCTACGAGTCAAGTTAGTTGAGGGCTGTCTGCCGAGCGAGAATACTGGCCCGTGCGCGCCGTTTAGCGAGTTTCGGGGAGGCGCGCCTGGATCTTGGCTGGGGCAGCTGGGATTCGGGAAGGTCGAGCGTAGCGGGTTTGCGCCAGCAGCTCTTGCGTGTTTTTTTGTTTACATTTTAGGCGCTCCGCCCAATCAGATGCCTGCACGGCCGACCCAAGCCCATGTCCACCCACGCCGACGCCGACGCCGACGCCCACACCCACGTTACACCTAGCCTAGCACACCGGGGAATTTGATCTCCAGAGACACCACCGCACAGCACTCACCACCACAACCCATCGACGTATACCAGTACTCGCGCCAGTCGTGTTCCCCAGCCATGTTTAGTTGACTTTGACCCTCTTCTCTACTTCGCCCACCACCACTACTTGCTTCCTATCGAGCGCGCTCCGTTAGCTGACACGCCCCGACCCGTCACGTCCAGCTTCCCCCCGCCATGGCTGGACCGCGAGCGGCGCGTCTGCAGGTCGGCTCTGCGCCCTGGATCGCCGAGGAGCGCTCCTCGGCCCTGCAGATCGCCCACGATGAGATTGAGGAGTTCACCTTCTCCGCCCGGAATGACTTCGAGTGGCTGAACGAGCACATGGCCGATATCTTCAGCGAAAACCAGATGTCAGTGGTGGATCTTGGGCCCGCGACGCGACTGGGTGGACTCGCTTGGCTAACGAGAGCGTAGAAATGTTGCCGAGATATTCAAAACACCAGGAAAGCTGCGCGGCAAGACGCCCAGAACCGTACGGAAAGCAAACAACACCGAGACGCGCGTGGTAAGTGGGAGCCCTCACCCTCTGTGTGGTTTCTTGGCCGGTCCGGATCTAACAGTACTAGCCCTTGTCGGACATCTTCTCTGCCACACCCAAAGGCGCGCCGAATCCATTTGCTATATCCAACGTAGAGAGGAATCAGACCTCCAAAGTACAGATCGCTGCCGACCCGATACCACAGTCTAGCCCAGTTAGGACCGACAAGCCAGCGGAAGCGGGCCCTGTGCCTCTTGTCGACTCTGGCTACCATGGAAGCCAGGATATCATGGAAGTTGACATGGAAGTTGACGATGTTGAACTGGCGGATGAGGAAGCTACCCAAGCTTTCAGCCCCAAGAGAAATGCCAAGGGCGACCACGTTGCTTTCCATGTCTCTTCACCCGTACGAGAGATACAGGAGACGCCAGCCAGGCGGTCTCCGGAACCGACTGCTACCGTGGACGCCATGGGCGATGAGTTGGATACCCAGTACTTTACCGCAAATGTCGCCAAGATAGTGTCTCCTGCAGCCCATCTGCCACATCATGAGAGCACTACGCCGGCTGGCTCACCTATCCGCTCTCTCACAACATCTTCGCCCAAGAAGACGTCTCCGATCAAGACATCCCCCATCAAGAACGCATCCGTCCTGACAGAGCAGCATGTGCTACAGCCGGCGTCGGAGCCAGCGGATGTGGACGCCGATACCGACGACGCCTCGAGGTCACAATCTGATGGATCGAGCCCCATCCGTCCCGTCGTACGGAAGAGCAGTCTGAACTTTGCTTCGTTGCCGGCGCGAGAGCCGATGACTCACAAGAGCATTGGAAATCGCATTTCGAGGACCAGCCACCTCGATCCTAGGATGAGCTATTACAACAGACCCACCGGTGGGAAGAGTCTCGGCAATGTCAGACACGAAGCCTCTGAGGACGACAACGAGGACATGGACGTTGACGACGACGAGGAGGATGAGGTGGAAGACGAAGTCGACATCGTCTCGCAGAAGCCTAAGGAGCAGACCGAAACCGATAGTGCGACCGCACACAACAAGACCTACACCCAGCGTCTCCAGGACCAGATCAGCAAACTAGGTCAGTCGCAGCCGGCACCACGCCGAACTTCCAAGTCCTTGGCCAATGTTGCAGCACCGATATCTCAGCAAGCTTCTGTGCCTATGCCAACAGCAGTTCCGGTGCCAGCTCCGCAGTCGCCCCCCAAGGCAAAGGTATTCTCGCCCAAGACTCATACCACACCGGGTGCCTTCCCTGAGGATGATGATGATGACAATGATGACTGGATCCAGCCTCTTGGCCCTCCCGACAATGCGTCCAACCTCTTCAGTCCCCGCCCCGGAATGCCTAAGAGTTATACAGCAGATGTGATGGAAGGAGTATCTGGTAAGGATACAGTGAGTGGTGGTGACTTTGCCGTGCCTAAGACGCGCTTGCGCAAGAGCCGCTCCAAGTCGCCGCAGAGACCGGCTATTCCGGAGAGAACTACGAGCACGAAGGGTCATCACAAGTCGGCTTCAGTGCCTTCCTTTCCCATCCACGAGCAGTCTGCGGATGACGACTTGACTCTCAAGAAGACGATATCTGTCTCGAATCCCACACTTGCTACTGTTTCAGAAGACGAGGTTACTGGTTCGAGCTCACCGCCAAAGTCGCCATCAAGGACACTGAGAGACAGCCCTTTGAAGCAAGTTAAGAACAAGCTCTCGTCCATCTTGAAGACTTCTAAAGGCCTGTTGGCTAGTAGTGCGGCTATCAGTGCAGAAGGGAAATCGTCACTGCTTTCGCCATCAACTCTCCGCCTCGGATTGCACGCCGGCCCGTCAACCATGTCTCTGGGGCAGCAATCTGCATTCGACTCGCAGCCTCTTTATCCGGATCTTTCTCAGAAGGCTTCGGAAGTCCCGGTCCCTGCAAGCCCTACTCGCACTGATGGCCGCAGAACAAGGGCCTCGATAGAGCGGGCAAAGGCCGAAGAGAAACGCAGAGAGAAAGAGGCCAAAGAAGCTCGACGCATGGCGGAGCAGATGGAGAAGCTGGAGAAAGCCCGTGAAAAAGAGCGAGAGAAGGCACGTGTCTTCAGCGAGGAACAGGAGAAGGTCGCTGCAATGGCAAAGCAGGTTGCTGCCCAGAAAGAGCAGGAGAAGAATGCTCCGGCCACTACGCCTGCACCAGCCAAACCAACCCGGACGAGTCCCCGCAAGGCCAAGGCTCAGCTCGAGGCAGAAGCAGAAGCCAATGCCGAGGATGATGTCGACATGGCCGATGCACCTGCTACCATGCCTCCTCCGTCCGTACCGCGACCAGTTGCGCCGGCATCTGCTGCCAAGGGTCGAGAAATCAAGAGGCCGACTAGACCAGTCAAAGAACCTGCTGCCAAAGCCAAGCAAGCGCCCACGGTCATCCGAGTCAACATGGGTTCTCAATATCAGCCTTCGAATAGTGCGCTGGCCTCGAACCTCGAGGACACTCTAGGCTCGGCAAGCTTCCAGCCCCAGCATAAGAGCAAAGCGAGCCAGGCCTCTCTCCACAAGTCCTCCAGCCAGAGCTTGAAGAGCTCCCAATCTGCTGGCAGGCCAAAGGCCCTCGAGTTAGCTGCGCGGAGGAAGGAGCAGGAAGAAAGAGAAGCTCAACGCAAACGAGACGCCAAGGCGGAAATGGAGCGAAAGAGGGCCGCCTTGCAAGAAGAGGAGAGGCGCCAAGAGCAGCAGCGAAGGCTCGAGGCTGAGAAACAGAAAGAGCAGGAGAGAAGGCAGGCTGCCGCTCGCGAGGAGGCCAAGAAGAACGCTCAACGGCAGGCGATGCTTGAAAAGGCAAAGCAAACACGAGCACCTCCCCCAGCAGCCCGGTCCGTCAACGGCCAACCTGACTACAAGGGTTCTTCACAAAGCGACAGTCAACCTAGCCGACCGCCGTCCCGTCTGGGTTCTACAGTCCACAAGTCTCAAGAGGGTTTGGGGCGTTCAGTGAACGGCGGTCTTGCTAATGGTGCTAAGGCTACCACGAAACGCCAACTACAGCAGGATTCAAAGGAGAGCAAGAGAATGCGGATGACGGACGAGTTCGATGATGTCGACACGGAGAGTCAACCGAGTCTCAAGGGTGCACCTGTTCGTCCATCTGGTGGCTTTAAGAAGGTAACTGCTGGGACGATGCTGTCGCAAGGTCAGAAGCCCACAAAACCTCAGGATTTGACCAACAAGTCCATGTTCCCGGCCGGCTATGCCAATGCTCCCCCGAGCGCTACCAGAGATCTGTTCAAGACCACCCTTACAGGCCAGCACAACGCGCAAGCGAAGGCAGCACATCCTCTGGATATGGCCCAGGTTTCGAAGTCCACGATTCCCTTCGCTGCCAACGCCAATCCGGCAGGCGCGGCACACAAGACGCCTGCTCGGCCCGTCGGAGGTATGATGACCAAGTCTACCGCGAAAGCAACAAGATCCTCGCCACGGTTCCAAAACGGCGAGCAGATTGAGCTTCCCGAGATCAACACCGATGACGAGGATGAATACGACGATGACGATCATAAGGCCATGTTCGCCTCATGGACCGACTCTCCTGCCCTCCGCCGGGCGCTGGTGGAGCAAGAAACGGTTGACCCAATGCGTGTCTTTGGGGCACCGGCGCCGCTCAACATGGAGGAAGTGTTCAGCAAGAGCAAAGACAGGTGGCACAAGTTCCGGCAAAGGACTTCCAGCGCCAACTGGAGTGGCTCTGACAGACTTACGGAGGACGACATTCGGAAGGATCTCGCAGCCAGGGATAAGCTGCGTCGCGAGGGAGCCTGGACGTATGAGATGGGCAGAGAAATGCTGTAACCTTGTAGGCTGCGTGAAAAGCGGTCATGTGTTTTTCTTGGCATTGGCGGAAGCAAGCTATAGGTACTCAGGCATCGCTATGTGGCGTTGTATCGTTTTAGGGGGGCGGGCATAGGAGAAGTCAGGAGATCGTCGACACAGATTGGCTAGGGGCGTTTATTGGGCAATTTGAGATTTTTCTAGGGCTCTGTTACGACAATGGATTATGGTTAGAGTGCACATATGGACATGCACGGATGGATACATGGCCTGCCGAGACAGGCAGCTGCCGACATTGGAATGCATTCGATTTTGGCCAAGCTCTATTTCTCTCCTTGGTGAATTACTCAAGCGGTCAGGGTCCCAAATGCACCGTGACGTTTTGCATGCATGCAGCGGATATGCATTCCGTGAGCCGGAGCCGCAGGTCTGTGACGTTGTGTAAAACTACCGATGCACTGTTCGCCTGCCATATGTACGTACCAGAATGTCGAGGCACTATATTCGCTACTCTTTGGTTTAGGTGATGTGCATGGTTTTGCGGTCTGGTCCACTCAGACCATTGTACTGGCAGCCAGACATGCTATCACTTGACAGATGTGGCAATGATCCGAGTAATTTGTTGAGGCTCAATCCAAAGAAACACGGCCCAGTGGCACCAGGAGTCGTCAACTCCGGGGCTCCGTGGCCATCCTTACCTCTTAGCTGGGCCCTCGTTATAATGATGCGGGCCCTCTTGCGCCCCCCGCATGGTAAAGTATTGACAGCTGTGGTGGATAACAAAAGCTATAGCTTGCTCGAGCTCCAGCTTGAAACCTAAGCTGGAAGAACTCGAGCCTCGCCTTGAGGGTATTCGTAATGCATGTTTTCTATATGCACCTCAACCACTATCCTGCCGCACCAAACGCTTTCTAAACATTAAGTTTCCTGTACGAAGTGCCTTCGAGAATTACCCCTATCCGCTCCAATTTACCTGGCTCGGCTTAGCTTTAGCTACAACTTCACCCAAAATATCATGCAGTCGTACGTCGTATTCGGCATATAGTACATCGTCTAGCAGATGGTGGTCAACAGTTCCACCTTTACTCTTCAATTGGGTGAACACTTTATTGCTAATGCGCATATCGTCGTGCAGTTTGATGAGCCGCTTCGTCTGTTCATCTAGGTCCAAAGTCAGCGATTCCGCTCCTCTGTGTCTCTCTCGCGAAATTGGCGTACATGAATACTCAATCGGTGACGAAGCAGCCTTGTTAAGTATACGATAATGTTGTATGGTCTGAGCCAGCCGATCGATCGGCGGCCTGAGCACCTGCACCGTCGACGACCGCCTCCGTCCGGAGAGGAACAGGCCAGGCGATTTCAAGGCGTCCTTCCACTCCCTGACCATTTCGGCGATGGCCTCGAGCGTCTCGGAGACCCCGGAGATCGAGCTGTCGGAGAACTGGGAGCCGGTAGAATGCCTCGTCGACGTCTGGGAGCCCAGAGACGTGCGGCTCGACCGCCGGCGCCCGAGCTGTGACGGCTGCCGATACAGCTGCGCCCTGGAGGCTTTCCGGCGCAGCTCGGAAGGCCGCCTCTTGAGCTCGCGGGAATCATACGAGGACTGCTGGCGCTCGAAGGTCTGCGATTTCTGTCTGTGAAATTTCTGCAGGGCTTTGCTCGTGAACGGGAGGGCGTCCAGGGGTCGGAAACTGTGACCGACGCTGAACCCAGGGTCGCAACGCAGGAACCAAAGGAGATACTCCCTCGTCTTGTCCTTGGACGAGCCATCGGTGATGGTGTTCAAACAATCGTCGACGGTCTTCCTGCTGACGCTGGCGCTGGCGCTCGAGCGGCGATTGGACGAATTGTGCTTCACGGGCCGCCGTCGATCCGGTGGAAGGCGGAACATGAGACCTGACACCGGGTCGGGACGACGATGTGCTAGTTGTGGTGGCAGTGACTGTAAGTGTGAGCCCGCGGACCGGAGGAACCCGTGAGCATCCTCGATGATTTTCAGGTCGTACTGGTGGGCCTCTCGCTCCTCCTCAGAACCTGATGATGCCGCGCGGCTCGCGAGAAACGCCTTTGCTTGCGAGTACGCTTCCGCGATCTCTGCTGGGCTTGGGCGAGTGTGCAGGCCGAGAATCACGCGCGCGTCCCAGTTCCAGTTTGTTCGGTTGTGGGGTTGTTGTGAATCCCACTCCCATAGTGAGCTACCGATACTGAATTGGTGTGGTGGCATCACATTGGGCGGGATGGTGTTTTCTCGTCAGCTTTTCCAGCGCTCAGTTGTGCGGCCACGAGTGAGCTATATGTAACGAAAGAACGCGAGGCTCCAGCTCGTGATGCGGCTGTGAAAACATGGCTTTTTACTGGGGGGCGGTGCAGTGGTTTGGAGTCGTTTCCTTTTATTCGATTTGCTGCCATTTCGTCTTACATACGACTGTAGCCTTATTACAGAAACGGTATGCCTGCCAAGGCGTACTTGCAGGAGAGCTGAAATCGGTACTTAGTCTGTTTTGTGGCTGTGTTGTGCATGTCGTTTAATGAGATGTCACTTTAAGGTGCCTGCCATACGATAACATATCTAACTTGGGTATTCTGCAATCAGTTGCTCAGGAAGAGACGAACACACACGCTATCGATGACAATCGAAGACAGTGTGATGGACATACCGTCCCACGAACAAAACTTATCCCAATACGTGACCCGTTCACTTGAAGAAGAAGAAGATTTTCACTTCTTACGATTCGAGCATCTTCAGCGGCTGAACATAGTGCAACTTCAGATCAGGCTCGTACGGCTGAAAAGCACGATCCACCGCCGTGGACAAGCTGAGCCAGACGAGCTTGATGATCTGAATGCTCTGCTCGAGAGGTACAGTATGGATTATCATCCTATATGGCATGTCCAGAAGCTCTGCTCACCAGCCGCAACAGCGATCGCGATACGGGATTATGAATACCTCCGCGGCCACGACAGCCTGGACAAGACGGAGACCCGGAAGCGCAAGCTGCTGCTGCAGCGCTTCTTCCAGACTCGCGGCGACTTCGGCGACCCCTTCCAGTCTCACTACTCGTCGTGCAGGGACGCGCACGGCGCCAAGATCGACCCGCTCCGGCAGGCGCTGATGCGCGTGCTGCCGGCGCAGCTGACCTACTCGTCGCACGAGAAGCGGGAGCGCAAGAAGGAGTACGCGGAGGGCCGGACGCCCAAGGAGGTGTCGGGGTTCGTCGACCGCCTGGTCCGGTTCTCCATCGCGCTGACGGGCGGCGCCTTGCTGGTGGCGCCCATGATCATCATGACGCTCAACCAGTCGCAGGAGAAGAGCCTGGTCACGGCGTCGGCGTTTGTCGTCCTGTTCGCCTTCCTCGTCTCCATGGTCTTCAGGGGCTCGAATATAGAAACACTGGCCTCGACGGCGACGTATGCCGCTGTGCTTGTGGTGTTTGTCGGCACTACGACGGGGGTATCGACAGCGCAGGTTACATAGTTAATTTGCATATACCATACATAGTATATACATTGGTATACAACTATTGACTACGAGGCTAAGTCAGGTCAAGTCGCTAGTAGGGCAAGTCATCCACACCCAGCTGTGGGGCCGGGGTGAGGACCCCGAGTATTGACAGCTGACCGGGCATTGGGGCGTTGCAAGTGCAAATGTATAAAGTAACTGGCAGATGACGACGACGCAAGACCACCAACAGGTTCCGTGCGCCTGCACAGCAGCAGTTGGATGGCAGTCCGTCATCCGAGGTTTCGACACTCATCCGAGTGGCCGTGGCTGCTATAGAGTTTCCTGCAGAATATGTTTGCTGACGTCGGATGAAATGCACAGGTGGGCTGGTTGGGATTGACGTCATGCGGGCGGTTGCCCGGGGCTTTGTAAACATCAACCCACCATCACCACCACCACCACCTGCACCACCTCTGCCGTGCAGCAGGGGGTCCGGCGGCTTGCCGTGCTGTTATTGACGAGGCACATGGCAGGGAGGAGGAACGCAAGACCCGATGTCAACGGCAGGCAGTTTGCGGCACCTATCGGCTCGAGTCTAGACCGCCAGATGGGTGCAACGTCTGGGCATCTGCGCCTGTCCCTGGAGAATTCCATAGTCGACAGTCCCCACCGTTCGTCATGACCTATGTCGCGCGTTGGTCTTGCTTGCTTCTGGGTGGTTATATTCACAGCTGTTATGGAGTGCGGAGTGCTCTGATGCGTCTGAGAACGCGGGGCAGGCTCTTTCAGCTCGGTGATCCATGGATAGGGATGGGCTCTGGGCGCCTGGGCTGTTCTGCAAGCTGGGGCGGCCTGCTCGAGAAACCATCGAGTCCGGCCTGTCTCTCGTGTCTGTCTGTTAGACGGGGATATTTCGCGCACCCCTACTTCACTGCGGCCTCTTATTCGTAGGGTAGAGAGGGCCTACTGGCCGTCGTCATCATCATCACCTCCTTCTTCATCTTCATCTTCCGCTCCTGTGGCAGACTGTTTTGTTCAACTTGCTCCCACACGCAAAAGATCGAGAGAAGGTTCACTTCGAGGTCACCAGCCCACCCGTTGTAGCCTGTAGATCCCCCTCCAAGGCTCTAAGCCCCAAATCCCCAGGTCTGCTAGGGCCCGAATCAGTTACCCAGTCACGGCTAGTCACTGCTAAGTTAGCCCCCACCAGCCTACCAACCCACCTACCCATCTGCCAGGCCGCCACCTGGGCACTCGGCCAGGTACACTGCCCCACTTGCAACGCGGCTTGACTGCTGGAGAGGCGATTGTCATCTGTTGACTTTCTTGACATCAGTCGGCGCAGCAGCACATACTCCATACTCCATACTCCATTCTCTTGAGCCTTCCACCTCTCTCTCCCCCCCTCTACCTCACCTGTGCTGCCGCCCGGCTTCATCCCCGACTTTACACCTACCCAGGGCCTTAAGCGTTTGATTTCGGCGTTTGGTATTTGCATTTGATTTCCCCCCCAAGGTTATCGCAGGTCTGCCCAACCCTAATCACCGGCTGCGCTCGTTCACGACCACCATCGTCCCTCGCCCCGACGCTGCGTGTGCGCGCAGATTCACAACCTCGACACCCGACGAATAAAGACTGCCGAACCAGCACAACTTTAGGAATCAGGTCCCCAACCCGAGACAGCTGCCTGCTAGCCGCGACCTGGAGAAGTTGCTAGTCCTCGCAGGGACCCGCTTAGCCTCTCTCTGTCCGCCGCTCAGCTCCTGACCACCGAATTTGTTTTGGACGGCCCTCCCGGGAAGCATCCACGCATTTCTTCCCACTACTTGCGCCGACTCCTGAAAGATACTTCACACACCCCCGTTCGTCGCAGTCCCAAAGCTCTTCTGCCCTGTAGTTCTTGGGAGCTCTTGGGATCTGCGTCGGCGACGGGTTGTTGCGCCAAACCGAACATATCCCTGTGCAGAAATGAGATAGCTCACCTCGACGACCATCTCACAAACTCTACCTTCACAGCGGCAGCAGACTATTCGCCATGCCCAAGGTAGACGCAACCCGCAACTACTATGCGGAGCTTTCGCTCCCGCCCTCTGCCTCGGCGGACGACATCAAGAAGCAGTACAGAAAACTTGGTAAGAATCTATCCAGCACATGTGACATGTTGGGCACCTGGCTGACTGTGATTCTGCAGCAATGCAATGGCACCCCGACCGGAACCGTGGCAGGGAGGAGGAAGCTTCCAAAAAGTTCCAGATAATTCAGTCGGCATTCGAGATCCTCACCGACCCAACCCAGAAGCGGGAGTATGATACGGCTCGAAACAAGACCAGCGCACGATTCTCCGGTTCGTCTGGTGTCAGAGGCAACCCTTGGGCAAACGCAGGCGCCGAGTGGGCACCGCCGCCCAAGCGAGCAGGGCCGACTGCAGCGGGAGCAAAGACACAGCCAAGACCGACTCCAGGCGCTGCGCGATATAGCAATTGGGGCACCGGTGCCGCTCGTCCTGGCAATGCCTCCCAGAAAGAGAGTCCCACGTCGGCAAAGGCGCACTACGAGGCATGGAACAACATGCGCTCGAGCTCGCAGAGGAAGCCACCGCCCACTCCGGGACGCGCTCCCACGTCTGCTGCGCGGGACTCCAGACCCCAGTCACGAACGTCAGACTCGGAGGGCATTCCACGGACCACTTCACAGCAACAGAAGGCGAAAGCGTCTTTTGGAAACACTACCAGAAGAGCTGGCTACACCCCCCGATCGCCGGGCCTAGGAGACGAGCCGCCTGTCAAAAACAACAATTACTTCACGACTCGATCTCACACAAACATCTTCAACGAGGCGAGCGCTAGCGATGCCCGCCAGAACCAGCGAGCGTCGGCCGCGCCGGATCCTCTGGCCCAGTTCAGGGATAAGCCTATGGATGATCGTCAGAGTACCCCGTACACTACACCGGGCGGAGAGAAGACAAGTCTCTTTGATGAGGGCGCCAACTTGGGCCGTAGTCGGAGCACTAGGGCATCTGCGCGGAAATCTGGTGTCGACGCATCGGGCACCTTCCCATTCCCACAGCAGAGGAGCTCGAGTACGCCACGGACAAGCTCTAGCAACGACGGTGGTTCCGAGGATTCCACAAGGGTCAACACGGGCACGGATGGTCCCAGCCGGAGGACCTCGACCAACCACAAACCCTCCACCCGTGCCAGTGACCGCTATAGACCCAAGTCAGCTGAGTCAACAACTGCAACCGCCGGCCACGCATCATCAGCTGCGGCTGGTGCCAGTGGTAAGTCCTGACTGAGTGCACGAATTCGGATGAAAACTAACGGCCAGCAGCTTCGGCCTCAAACGGCACGGAATCTCAGCAACCCGGAGACTCGTCAACGTATGCCACCTTACCCACTATATCCTCACCTGAACCCTATCCTACGAAGCCTCTAAACTCTGCAAAGTTCCAGAGTGTGAATGCGGCTGCCTACGCTGCCATGTTGAAAGTTCCAACTCGCAGCAGCGCTCCAAGTGTAGCAGCCAGGAAAGGCCATTCAAACCTGTACCCATTTGAGAAAGTCCTCAAAAAGAACATGAGCAGCCTCGTGGAAAAGAAGTGCGGATCGACTCCCGTCAAGAGTACAGAGAAAGGTGTCAACAAACACCACAAGATCAACTTCGTTTCAAAGTGCGACAGGCTTGGATATGATACTGACAGCGATACCCCAAACAGCTTTGCCTTCGACTCCAACCAGAGCGCTGCCGGCCAGAAGAGGTTTGCAAGTAGCAGTGCCGATAACATCAACACGCAATTTGTCAACGATGAGAACCTGGAGTCATCATGGGAATTCAAGGCAGGAGGCGTTTCGCCTGATGATGCTCCTACACCATCCGCTAAATTGCGATCGCAGTCTGGGAGCCGTCTAGGACGACGCTCGCCTACCAAGATTAACAGACGACCTGTACCACCCAGACCTGAGGCGGGGCAAGGCTCGGAAGATACTACGAAGGCCGGCTTCTCAGCTGAGGACTGGGGTGAGAAGATAGGCTCTGAACACTTTTTCCCTCAGCCAACTCCGAGCGCCTCGGCTTCACCCACAAGACGAACCAACTCGCGGAAAAACTCCAAGCCGGTGAAGGTGACCAGAGGTGGCTCGGCTGGGATTGTCGATGAAGACGATGAGATTCCTACCGCCACGAGAGGTTGGCAAGACGAACCCAAGCCCGCAGGCGCACAGAGCCCCATGGCTATGGACATTGACACGCCTCCTGTGGAGAAGAACGACGATACGCCCAAGGTGTCACAGCCGAATGGGGTCCGGAACATCCACGTTGAGCCCAGCCGGCCGGAGTGGAGAGCAGGCGACCTTAACGGCAACCCTCCGCCACAGCCCCCACGTCCTACTCTCAACACAGACGCTTCCGCGGGAGTGCCGTTCGTCGGGAATCCTGTCATTCAGTCAAAGTCCGCCCCTTCGACAGCGAACCCGTATGCCAACCTGAATGGTGGATCAGAGGATTCGGAGGAGTTCAGAACAACGTTCAGCGACTTCAAGAATGTCGAACCCTTGGCCGATCCGAAGCCCACGGGCCTCCAGTCGTTTGCTGACCTGAAGACTACGCTGCCTTTTGAAAGCCAGCCTTCCAGCACAGTGCCCCTGGATAAGGTTCATCCAGTTCCGCCCTTGGCCTTTCCAATCGCGCCTACTGCGCCGCGCCTGCCTCCTACCATGGCCATAACGGGTATCCGACCTAGTGCTGGCCAGTGGAGGAAGTATGCTCAAGAGTTTTACGTCTATATGGAGAAGTGGGAGTCGTTCAACCAGAAGGTACTTGACCACTTTGCGGCACGTCAGAAGCAGATGATCACACGTCGACAACAGCATGGCCGCGTTTGGCTAGATGCGATGCAGGGTAAGGACGGCGCAAGCGTCTATCTTGCGGACCTTGAGCAAGACCACGATGTACGGAAGCAGTGGGCACGGGCTTGTGACGACCATCAAGCTCGCATTCGTGAGTTCATGGCTTTCAGAGATCGGGTCAAGTAGGTCTTGCAGTCCGAGTTGGGTGAGTGGAACGAGAAACTCCTCCTTGGCAGGGATGTTTCCGGCGAGTGGCCTACTCGTTAATTCACTTGGTTCCGAGCAGCCCGGACATTCTCCTCATGAAGAAGCCATTGTCAAAACTCGACTGAAACGGGAATATCGAGGTCATGACTGCCCTGTCGACATCAGGCTTTTGCGAGGCGCATATTCAGGGATACATCCCAATAGAACCTCGTAAGCTCGATGGCACTATGATTCAGAGCAGATTTGACATGTTGGATTTTGTACAAAATATGAAGAAGGCTATGCGGTTGGGATAGAAGGAGATAGCCGACATTTCCGAGGATGGCACCTATGATTTCGCTACGATTTCCCCAGTCCTCGTTCGTCTTTTACCTGGGTGCCTTGCCAAGGAAAAGACGAACCGAGTCCATGGCAGGATACGAGCTCACGAGGAACGAACAACAGCGGATTTCTACTTGTTACACGATACCACCTTAGCAATATTCAGCTCCTGACATGGGTGGTGAGCAACTGCTCGGGTTCCCCCTGTTTGGAGACGGGTCGTCTGCCAGTGCTGCGTATGTCGAACACCGATTGGCTTTGACAAAAAGCAACTTGGAATAGTGTGATGGGCTGCTCACCTGACTCTGGGCGAGCCCATGGAGCAGCTGCCGGGTTGTGATGAGAGATGTGGCAAGGACGACCGTAATGAACTAATGGGAGCCTTCGGACTTCAGACTAGTTAGAGACAAATAAACAGCAGTCTCGCATAGTTCCCGTGTGTTTTAATGATACTTCGCTGGCAACAAGCATTGTCACTTTTACTTGCTCGACAGCCTTACTGCATATATAATTCTTAGGCTAGGACTCAGACTGTCGCAGCCGGGATCCCAGAGTTAGCCTTCGTATTCCTTTAACGTGTCCAACTCACAGTGACACGTGCTTTGAAGTCGACAATCTTCGTCGACGTGGGAATTTACTAGCAGAAGCTTTAGCTGAGAGGACGGAACTATATGGAGGATAGTTGTCCAAGAGTAAAGGAGGCCGGCGTGCAATGACTACATGCGTTGATTTATCAGGCTGTGTGAGCCTAGGTTTATGTGGACCATCATAGATACTATCTCTACCTAGTGCGCAAATGTTTGGAAATGCAACCCGGTTCCAGCAATCCTGATGAATTCGTCGCTTTCGACCTCGTATGGGAGATTGCTCCAATTACATCGTTCCTGGGTCAGTCTTTCGGTCCCGAAGGGAAGTGCGTCTGGGCCCTGATGGGGCTTACCACCGCTAAACGTGGACTATATTTGTCAGCGCTAACTATACGGCGGAGACTTTCACACCGGAATCCGCTCCTCACTTTCGATAGAGCCAGACAGTAGCTTACAAATTGTTCAATCAAAGGCGGCTGGATCATAGACCGAGATTATGGAACAATCGCCGCCTTCTACCACTTTGGAGGCCCTTTGCTGGGTCTTAGGATCCTATTATTCAAGCAGTATCATGCAAGCCACCGGGGTCATATGGCATCCGAGATCCAGAAGCGCGTAATCAGAGGAAGGCAGCTCTCGCTGCATGACGAAGCATCGCGTATCGGCAACGATTTCATGATGACGATGGAGACCTGTCGTAGAATGTATGGCGAAGTCAATCCTCGTCTGAGTGATATAAGATGAGAGATCTTATCAGATAAAGTCATTCCGTTCAAGGCATAGACAACTCTCCCGTGACACAGAGAAATCAAACAGCAGTCTTACAGACTCACTCGACAAGTTTACCATCACCCCCAAGGCCTTGTTAAACAGAAGAACTCCACCATGGCAGCTCCCAAGCAACCTCGCAACATCACAGTCGTCGGCGGCGCCGGCTCCGTCGGGGCGCCCATCGTGGCCTCGCTCCTCGCGACCGGCATCCACCAGGTGTCGGTGATCACGCGGGCCGAGTCTACGGCCGAGTTCCCGGCGTCCGTCCGGGTACACCGGAGCGGGTACGCCGACGAGGACGCGCTGGCCGCGGCGCTGGCCGGCCAGGACGTGTTGGTCCTGGCCCTGGCCTACACGGCCTACGACGCCCAGGTGCCGCTGATCAAGGCAGCCGCGCGCGCGCGCGTGCCCTACGTGGTGCCGTGCGAGTTCGGCTCGGACGCCACGCACGGCGCGCTCAACGCCGAGATCGCGCTGATGCGGGTCAAGAAGCCGTACCGGGACCTGGTCGAGTCGCTGGGCGCCAGCGCCTGGATCGGCGTCGTCAACAACCCGTGGTTCGACTTCTGCATGCGCGGCGGGTTCCTGGGGGTGGACCTGAAGCGGCGCACGGCCACGCTGCTGGACGGCGGCCGCGTGCGGGCCAACTTCACGACGCTGGGCCGGGTCGGGCGCAGCCTGGCGGCGCTGCTGAGCCTGCCCGGGCCCGAGCTGGCGCGCCACGGCAACGGCTGGGTCTACTTCAGCTCGTTCGCGGCCAGCCAGCGCGACATCCTCGACAGCGCGCTGCGGGCCACGGGCACGGCCGAGGCCGAGTGGGCCGTCACGCACGGCAGCGCGCTCGAGGTCCGCACCCGGGCCAAGGAGGCGACGGCCAGGGGCGACCACATGGCCGGGGCGGGGGCGCTGTTCGCGCTCATGTTCAGCGACGGGTTCGGGGGCGACTACGGCGACAAGGTCGTCGACTACGCGAGGCTGGGGCTCGAGCCCGAGGAGAGCCTGGATCAGGTCGTCAAGGAGTTGGTCGATGAGCTGGGAGCGTAGACGGGGGTAGTTCGGAAATACAATGTTCTTGGAAATTCATGGACTCTACTACCCACGGCTGGGCGATACTCGTGCCTGATTCTGTTGTTCCTCCTTTAGAAAACTCATTCCATGATCTACACCTATACCCAGATGAGGACATCTTGCTACATTTTATATGGTCGTCGGAAAGAAGCGCCAAATATTCAATCAAGACGTGCAGTTGCTGTACAAGTGCTAGGTTCTTACTTATATCTCACATTGGGGTTTGCTAGTATTAGAGTTATAGTTGAAACTCGATTATACGCTAGCACCATAACACGATTATAGTGATACCACACATCGATTGCCAAGACCGTACCGAGGCTCTTCGGCTTTTCACGACGCAGCCTTTACATCGTGCTGGAGTTATAATAACGCATAGAATCACTGCTCCCTCTCGCGTCACTTTACCGTTGCACAATTCACCACCATACGAGGCAGATTTGAGATATAATAGCTTTTTACGAGTTTGAATCATTCGCATTCCGCAAGCTTTCGTAGCTTTTAGCGGCCGCATGTTTGCACTAGCTATAAGTGTCGATAAAACCCTCCTCTGGCGTTTTCGCCCAGTCGACCCCCCAGTAATCCTCATGAATGGCCATTCAAGCTCATGGCCTAACTTTCATGCCAGTACCTATGCATGTGGAACGTGGAAAAGAAGCAAGTCGTCATCAACCAACCCCCCCTCTGAGGCCACTGTCGCTATTATTACCACTCAATCGGGTTCTTGATCTCCTCACCACGGTTCGTGGTGGGCACAGGGGCAGCCTTGGCGGCCAGCTTGCCGCCCTGACCCTTGCGCTTCAGGTAGGCGCTGCCATCGACCCAGGGTGTCCGGGCGGTGGCCTTCTTCTCGTAGTCCAGGATTTTGTCCTCCATCTGGAGGGTGAGGCCGATGTCGTCCAGGCCGTTGGTCAGGCAGTGCTTGCGGAACTCCTCGACGTCGAACTTGCAGATTTCCTTGCCGTCGGCGTCGCGGATGACCTGGTTGGGCAGGTCGACCTCGATCTCCTTGCCGGCGTGCGCCTCAGCGGCGATCTTGTCCAGGTCGCCCTTGTTGGTGATTGTGATGGGCAACATGCCGTTCTTGAACGTGTTGTTGAAGAAGATATCGGCAAACGAGGGCGCGATGACGCACTTGATCCCGAAATCGAGGAGAGCCCAGGGAGCGTGCTCGCGAGAGCTACCGCATCCAAAGTTGGGGCCAGTGACCACCAAGGTCTTGGCCTGGGTGTAGGGCTCCTGGTTAAGGACGAATTCGGGGTCGGGAGAACCGTCATCCTTGTATCTCCAAGCGTGGAAGGCCGCTGCGCCAAGGCCGGTTCTCTTAATGGTCTTCAAGAACTGCTTGGGAATAATGGCGTCGGTGTCGACGTTGGCTCTATCCATGGGCGCAGCGATACCCTTGTGAACCAAAAACTTGGGGAGACCCTGGCCACCTTCGGCCTTCTCGGCGATGGAGTTGATGCCCGGCGAGCTGTCTTCCGGCTGGTCGCCAATCTGTTCCCTGGCATCCTCGTCGTACTCGACTCGCTCGTCCACGTGTGCCTTTCCTGAAGATGGCGTGGCCTTGAAGGCGTCAATGTGGGGGCTGGCCTTGTACTCGGTCAGGGTGCGAACATCGGCAAGCTTTCCGACGATACCAGCTGCGGCAGCCATGACAGGTGACATCAAGTGTGTCCTGCCTTGAGCACCTTGTCGGCCCTCAAAGTTTCGGTTGCTGGTGGAGGCGCATCGTTCGCGAGGCGACAGGATATCGGGGTTCATGCCGAGACACATACTGCAGCCAGCCTCTCTCCACTCGAAACCGGCGTCGGTGAAGATCTTGTCCAGACCCTCGGCCTCAGCCTGCTCCTTGACCAGGCCGGAACCAGGTACGATCATGGCACGGGTAACATTGTCCGCCTTCTTCCTTCCCTTGACGACCGAGGCGGCTTGTCGCAGATCCTCGATTCTCGAGTTTGTGCACGAGCCAATAAAGACCTTGTCAATGGTAATGTCCTCCATTTTCATTCCCGCGGTGAGACCCATGTACTCCAGCATCCTGCGGGCAGCGGCCTGCTTCTCCTTTGTGCCGAAGGACTCGGGGTCGGGGACAACGCCGGTGATGGCGACGACATCCTCGGGGCTGGTACCCCAGGTGACGGTGGGGACAATATCGGCGGCGTCAATCTGGACGTCGATGTCGTACTTGGCGTTCGAGTCGCTCTGGAGGCTCTTCCAGTAGGAAACGGCACGGTCCCAGTCAGGCGAGGGGAACTTGGGGGCGAGGGGCTTGCCCTTGAGGTACTCGAAGGTAACCTCGTCAGGGGCGACCAGACCAGCTCGCGCACCGGCCTCGATCGACATGTTGCAGATCGACATACGGGCCTCCATACTCAAGCTCTCAATGACGGAGCCGCAGAACTCGATAACACAGCCAGTACCTCCGGCGGTACCAATCCGTCCGATGGCGTGAAGGACGACGTCCTTGGAGCTGACACCGGGGGCCAGCTCGCCATTGACTTGTATCCTCATGTTCTTGTTTCTCTTGGTGATCAAGCACTGCGTGGCCAGCACGTGCTCGACCTCACTCGTTCCGATACCATGGGCAAGGCAGCCGAAGGCGCCGTGCGTCGAGGTGTGGCTGTCGCCACACACCATGGTGGTGCCGGGGAGGGTGAAGCCCTGCTCGGGCCCGATGACATGGACAATACCCTGGCGCTTGTCGCCGAGGCCAAAGTATGTCACGCCGAAGTCTTTTACGTTCTCTTCGAGAGTCATGCATTGTAATCTCGAGTCCTCCTCCTCGACGAAAGTGGAAATGTCCTTCATGCCCTTCCGGGACTTGGTAGGAACATTCTGCAGGTCCGTGTTAGTCTCGATCAAAAGCTTGGCTGGAGAGGGCTTTTGGCTCATACGTGGTCTGTGGTTGCCAGGGTGCAATCCGGTCTCCTGACTTGCCGGCCGGCATTCCTCAGGCCCTCGAATGCTTGCTATTCTGCTTGTCAGCCAGACGTGTTCTCGTGGGATGCTCCCGCGCGTCGCGCGCCGGAGCCGCTATGGAGAGTGGCAGAATGTGGGGCCCATACCGGTGATGTCACTTCGTGAACAAGATGTCTGTCTGGACAAGCTGTCAGTAACCAAACCCCCGGACAAAACCTTCGGCGGGGTCTCCCATACCAATGTAAAGCAAAATCGTGCCATCCAGCTTCTCATCGACAATGTGGGCAGACAGGATCTTGTCGTAGAGCGTCTGGGGCGCTCCTGCGGTGGACGGCATGGCGGGCAAGCTACTGCTCTGAAAGCGCCTGGCTGTGTAAATAGACTCGGGCGGCTTGGTTCTGATAGCAACAGCGAAAAACGAGGCTCGCACCACGGGGGGAGTTTTGTGCGGCTTGGGGGCACCTCGACAGCTCTGGTGAAAGGGAAAAGGGTATAGCAAATCCGATCTAGGATTCTCAAGAGGCTCTCGACAGGAGGAAAAAGGAATGCGGGGTGTGACGAAGGGCCAACCTGAAATACTATCTGGTCGTGAAGGCAAAAAAGCAACAGGTCGTCGCCGAAAGAAGGAACCTAATCCCACCAGCAGACCGGCCGGGCCACCGGTTTTCGGAGGTCGACTGGAAATGCGCCCCCGCTGATTGGGCAATGGCCCCAGATCCAGCCCACCGTCGCGACGAGCCGTTTGCTGCTAGGCTGCCCCCCAGGTTGTCAGAGAGCCCCCCCTTTTGACAAGTCTGGCACCGTCACCTATGCGTGATCGTGTGCCATTCCTGGGTCTGCAGGGGGGTCCGGCTTGGGGAGGGGGCTTGGGCCCCCAATAGGGTGCAGGTGGAATGTGGAGGAGGCTTGCACCCTCCGTATCGGCACTGGTGGTTTGGCGGCCCACGACAGAGCGCCCGCCCCGAAGCAGGCATATCGAATGGCAAGCCTGCGGCTTCGCAGGTCGGGAGGGAGCCAACGTGCTGTAGAGATCCGAGGCTGGCCTGAGGAGGAGTCCATGCATGATGATATCCGGAGAGTGCGGCACAGCATATCATATTCCCTCTTCCAGACCGGGAAATTGGGAATCAGGGCCAGGCACACGAAGTGCAATTGCCGTCCTCCTGGAACGGCTAGTTGTGGATAAGCAGGCGGGGCCAGTGGTTTGATTCTGGGCGCGCTTCCATGCCATGCAAAACCCTCCCAAGTGGTTCTGATTTCCTATAGAAAATGTCTGATACGAGCAGAATTTGTTTGGCCGTTGTCACAACGTCCCACAGCTGTTTTCTTGTCAGGGCGGTCTGAAGAAAGCATTACCTACTGTAGCGGCAAGCCATGCGAAATCTCATCACTCCTGCGTTGCCCATGACGTCAGGTTCGGTCTGGCAGGGTGTGGTCTATTCAGTGCCGCACCGATGAACTCAGCCACCAACCCCGGATCTGAGGGAATCAAAATAGTATTGCGACCAGCCGATCAACGCCCCATAATCATAACAAGTCTATCGCTGCCTCTGCACCACCCCCCGCATGCGCGGCAACTCAAAATGTCCCGCCGGCTTACCTCCGATCCTATCTGGATGGGCCCCCGGCCCTGCCGACGGGAATCCACTCCGCAGCTCCTGGTCCTCGGCCGCCCGACCATTCGCGCCGTTACCGGACCTGAGAAACGCGCCCGCCCACCCCCCTGAGAACAAGCTCACAACGACGACAACCACTTCAGGAGTCTCAAGCTGTTCCAGGCCAGTATGACAAAGATGACGAAGAGGAGCCCGTCAGTCTTGATTCTCGGGCCTGGGTCGGAGGGCCTGGAATGATCGACGGTGCCTCCGTCGCCGTGGACCGGGTTCTCTGGCTCGTTGCGTACGTCTGCCTCCGTCCACTGCGACTGGTACGCAGGCCTGATCGGGCTGGGTGTCTTGCTTCGGCGGCGTGACACGGACGCGAGAGCGTCTGCGATCCTGCTTCGGGACCTGTGCATTGCTGTTCGGGCCGCGGCCTGGACTGCAGCCTGCCGCTTTGTCCTCTCCGATGGCCGGTGCCGAGGAGCTTGGAGAGACATGTCCGCGCTCGGGGAAGTGGAGGTGTTTCCCATTCCCTCGTTGCTGTACTTCTCGCGCGTTGTCTTGCACAGCCGTGGTGTTACATGGTGGATGGATGCAGTATCGGTCTCTGGAGTCTCGGGACGGGACACGATACTCGGCGAGCCGTTCTGTGGTGTAGCGCGATGGGAAGGCGTCCTGTCTTGCTCTTGCATGGCGGTCCACGCGACGCAAGTCCGGTCGTGGGAACGCAGCGAAGTCTGCATCGCGGGAACTGCGCCCATGTTCTCTGTATGGCCATCTAGTTGTCCGTGGGGGATTTTCGCTGGCTCGAGATCGCAGCCAGTAGTGGTGGTGATGTGTGTGAAGACAGATCCTTGGCGGACTCCTGGTTCGCTCTTCGCTGGCGACTGGGATGAGGTCGCTGTAGCTGAGTTGACGCCGGGGTTGGCCGCTTCCTGTATTATGGCCTCCTTCGTCCTTGGCAGCAGGTCTAGGTGGTGGTCCGGTATCTCGAGCTCGATCAGGGGGTTTGGGCCCAAGAGCGTAGTGGTTGAGTGAGATCTCGCCTTCATCCCTGCTGTCGACGATGAGATCGCTATAGCTTGGTCTCCGCCTGGCACCCCTGGATTCTTCGGCCGGCGGTGGCGTCTCCATAAAAAATGCACCACATGGCTGCTCTCGCGCCTTGCCGGTGTATGTATAATAGTGTCCGTGGACTGGTTCGATGGATTCGTCGCAGCACTGTTCGCGGATTGGGCGATTGGGCTCAGGTTCGGTTCCGCCGCCGACGACCACTGTCCTCGGCGGGTGATCCACCTGATGTTGCTGCCCTGTCTTCGGATATCGTTTTTTGTCTTCTCAATCTTGGCCAACTTGGCCTGGGCCTTCTCCAGCTTGATCTTCTCCTTTTCTGACTCCTGTCGGTTCCTGGCATGTAGGTATGCCATTTTGGCCTCTTCTACCTTCTGTGCTAGTTTGATCATTTTCTCCTCCGTTGACGGCGATGTCGCGTCGGAACTGAGAGTATCGGTAGGCGTCAAAACATCCCACTCTCCAGACCACGGATTGTATCCAGTCACGGGTAAAAAATCCCCACTTGCTTTGAGCTCGCGTCGCTGGCGGCGAGTCTGCTCTTTGGATCGCAGGAGAGCATGCGTCTGGGAGGCTGAGAGGCTCACTGCCCGGTTCGGGATACTTGGTGATAGTGGGATTGGAGCATGGATTGGGTGAAATGGCTTGTTTTCAAAAGTCAAGCAGGGAGTCGCCTTCGACGTGATGAGTTTCTTGGGGCCTGGGCTCGAAGAGCGCCTCTGGCCCTGCAACTGCATATCCAGCTCTGCACGGCGACCAGGAGTGATATCTTGAGCAATGTTCCACTGTGTGAGCTCCTCGGTATCGATGCCAAGATCATGGTATGCCGAGTCACCGCTGTGTTTTGCGTCCTGGAGAGTACTACCTTGCTCAGGACGATGACTGGGGAACAGCTTGCCAAAGAAGCCTGCGAAGGAAGCAGCCCTCCGACGGGGTTTCTGACGAGTGGAATGCCACGGAGGGCTCATGGTTTCTGCAATGACTGTCGGAGGAGCCGAGGTAGGTATACAGCTCGAGTTAAGGGAAGAGAGGTATCGACGGCAACGTGACGAACATAACACTGCTACATTTTTGAATAGCAGATGACATGATAACTCAAGGAGATGAAACACAGACTGCCACTCGCTGCTTGCCAGTACTGCGTAAAAATCCACTACGGTAGTCAGTTTACGGTTCAGGTCGAGCTTTCCGCAACCAAGTCCAAGTGCGTGATCAGCATATGGGTTCCAACGTGACAGAGAAAGAGGTATCCATGCGCGGCAAGTGTGGGAGTATCAATCGAGTGGTACCATCTCTGGACAGAGTGGTGGCAACTCAGTATACTCGTTTTGTAGAATCTGACTTTCTTATTTATCTTCTTATTTATTAACCGTTGGGTATAGCAAATCTGATCCACACAACGCCAGCAAATGCAATAGAACGGCGCCGAAGAAAATCAATAAAGCAATGTTACACGGCCAGAGTGCGTCCGTGAATAAGACCTTGGGCATTTAAGAAAACCTGGCGTAGTCATTTACTGTGTTACCGCCACATGGAAGGATATCTCTCGTATGATTGCCTGTTGTTCCTCATCCAGGGGTTAGGCCCCGTTTGAGTTGCCGAAGGCAGTGTGCCCGTGCTTTTCCGTGCACTCTTCATGGGGCTGCTGCTACGTTCCCTTCCACTGTAAGCCTGATACTGCTCCAGCTGGGCCATCTCGCTGTTGTTGCGAGGTGTCCGGTGGTGAAGATCGCCCAGACTAGGGGCCTTTTTCAGTGGTGAGCTGGGATGGGTGTAAACTCCGAGGTAGCCACCGTTCCCCTGGGGTTGGGCTTGTGTTTGTGTTTGTGTTTGCGTCGTTGTACTTGTCGAGATGGAATGAGATGGTGTCGCATTTAAAGAACTGGCGAACCCAGGAGTGCTTCTCCTCATCAAAGCAGCTGGCCGGCTATTGATACTGGACGAAAAGACGTCAGATTGCCTCGCCACGGGCGGCGTGAATAGTCCGGGGTTCCTGGTGTTTGGGGTGCTAGAGCGAACGTGCGGCGTGCCGTCTGGGTCAATGTGTTTTACATAGTTGGGATTCGGGTTTGTCTTGAACCCGCGGCGCAACAGAGTTTGGGGTGTGCCGACTTGAACGTACTCCTGGTCGTTACCGTCATCGTCCACAGAGAGCTGGGTGGCAGCATCCCGGACGGTGGGGTACAGCCTCGGGTGAACAAATTTGGTGTCGTATTCATGCATCACCTCCTTCTGGATGATGGCCGTGTCTTTATTCTGCTGGGAGAACCTCGACTGCAACAACAGCAGCTGTGCCGAGAGGATGACCTGCAGGAGCAGGCAGTTGAAGATGGTGACGCTGGGTCTCGGGTCCATCGGTGCCAGTGGGATGAACATCCAGTAAACCAGTATGTGCCCCGGGCTGAATAGACAGAAGATCTGCAGGCCGATGGGGAGGGGGTCCCAGATGGAAAGCTCCCAGACGTCGCGGGTGCGGTCGGGGTGAGCTCTCGACTCGGCGCTCTCGGAGCTCACCATGTCGGCGAGGAAGCGCAGAGGCGAGGCCGAGGCGGGCGACGACTGCACCCGCACGCGCTGTGCCGAGGGGGTGTCGTACTCCTTCTCCACGTCGGCCTCGAAGAGTCGGTATTTCCGGGTTCGGTTGATGGTGTAGACCGAGTTGAGCACGGCGAAGCCGGCAAGACACCAGGCAAGGGTGCCGAAGACGAACTTCATGTAGCTCAAATCGTCGCCGTCTCCAAAGACGTCGTCAACCTTGGACTTCAGGCTGGAGTTGGCGCGCGCGACCAGGAAGACAAAGTTCATGACCAGGCCCATCTGGGTGCCGACGACCTGGGAGTTCCACTCGCGCGTCTCGATCTCCTCGGACAGCGCGAGCAGCAAGTCCATGGGGTTCAGCATGGCCTTGATGCGCTCGAAGAGCGGCTTGCGGCGCACGAGTCTCGGCATGGCTGCGGCTGGCAGTCTCTTCTTTTCTCGTGTTGCTGCGCTGTTGCTGTTGCTGCTGGTCGCGGTCGGAAGGTATTGGTGGTTGCCGTAGCCGTAGGGACCGACAGCTTCAGACAGACGAGATGGTGGACGAAATGTGCCTCGACATCGAGATGCAAAACCCCGTCCTGCCTCAGGTGTTCCAACGAGCTGTCCGCGACACGGGGAGACGAAGGTGCAGGTTCGAGGCCCGTTCGTCGCTGGTTCCGGTCGACGTGGAGATGGGGGATTTGTTTTGTTTGCGTCGCCGCTCCTGTTCTCCAAATAAAATAAAAACCGTTTTCGCCAGTCCGCTTGCAGAGAGCTCCAGCAGCTCCAGCTCCGGCTCCAGCGCTATCGATTGCCACGCAGCCAATGAGAACAGCAGACCCAGCGTGCCTTTGTGCTCCAGCGGTGGCGGGGTCCTGCTGCTAGGTTGCGTTGCTGGGAAGAGCCAGGGCCCTAGGGGAGCCAGGGGGGACCTCCTCTCAGTGGATAACCCGCTGGGCGGCCAGGCGGCAGGGCGGTCAGAGCTTCCCCCAATCCAGACCAAAGCGCTCCAAGGCTTCTGGTGACGTTCGCATCGACAGCCCCCCAGTTACCTCAGTCACAAGAGACATCCTCTCCTAAGCTCGCCAGACACCCACCAGCCAGCACGAGGCCGGCTTTGTTCGTGTCTCACATCGCTCGTTGCGGAACCCTTCTTCACCATGGCCTCCCAGGCAGACTACAAGGACCGGCAATTCCTAGCCGTTATCGGCGACGAGGTACTTGTTTCCTGGCCTGCCTCGACGCCTATTCTCGAGCGAGGCGCTGTCGCGGACCACGAGAGCTGACCGCCGCCTACAGGACTCAGTGACAGGCCTGCTGCTGGCCGGCATAGGCGTGAGCCCACCCCTCCTCCCGTTGTCTCTCGCCCTCTCGCTCGCTTGCCTCCCCCGCGACGGGAGACGAGCAGAAGAAGAAGAAGCAAGCCAGGCTGACCAGACGCAATCTGCTTCCTCTAGCATGTGACCAACCCGCCGGACTCGCAAAAGAACTTCCTCGTCGTGGACGGCAAGACTGAGACGTCGGCGATCGAGGCCGCCTTTGACTCGTTCACGACGGAGCGCAAGGACATTGGCATCGTCCTAATCAACCAGCATGTCAGTTCTAGGGCCCTTCTTTGTGCCACACACACATATACACTATAGTTGGTATATTTGCTGACAAGTTGCCGTCCTGGTATTACAGATTGCCGACAAGATCAGACATCGCATCGACACCTACACAGCCGCCTTCCCCACCGTTCTCGAGATCCCCAGCAAAGACCACCCCTACGACCCGGAGAAGGACAGCGTGCTGAGGAGAGTGAGGAGGCTTTTTGGAGAGTAAGCGCTGCTTGGGGTCGCAACTTATATTGCAGGGCACAATGGGGGGTGTAAGCGCTCCCTGGGCTTACACTGGGACATTCATACAAGCATAGAGATACCATGAGTCAGTGATGAGGAAGCATAGTAGACTTGGGTTGGTCCGATCAAATTAACGACGTTGAGGGATATCAAATCAGTTATGTTACGCGTTGCTGATGCCAGTTCTTGAATTATGTGCCTCCGCCAATGCCATGTATGAACAGGTCGAGCCAGAAAGTCAGAACAATGAGCCTCCTCCGATGGGGCAGAGTAGTACACGGCAGGGAGAGATAAGAAAGCAATCCACCTGAGAAATCCATTCCTCCATGCCCGCCGTGTCCCCGTTGCGGCGCCATGCTTGAGAGCGACCGATGCATGCTAAACGTGCTTCTGCACTTCCCCCAGAGTCCGTCTCCCTTCCGGAAGAGTTTCTTCTCTCTCTCTCTCTCGCTTACAGCTCGCCACCCTCGACCGACTTCTTGCCTCCGAACTGGACGGTGGCCTCGAGGCAGGTGATGGGCTTCTCGTTGGCGTTGATGACCTCGGCGTGGACCGTGTACTTTCCGGGCGGGACCTCGTTGGGGATGTCGACGGCCTTGGTGACCGAGAGGATGCCCTTCTCGATCGGGCACTTGAGGTCGGCCTTCTCCGTCTGCTCGCACAGGTCGGCCTTGGTGTTGACAAGGCGGATCAGGCCGTACTTGACGACGAGGTTGATGTAGGCGCCCTCCTCGATGGTCTCGAAGACGGTGCCCGCAGCCCGGATGACGAGCTCGGTGCCGCTGTGCGTCCAGATAAAGCGTTAGCGCATCAACATCGTCGTCATCATCATCATCATCTCAACTTGGGGTCCGCCTCCTGTCGCCGCTTGCGTGCCTCCCCAGGTGGCGGTTTGCACCAGACGGTAAACGGAGAGAGAGGGGGGGAGGGAGAGGGGGAGGGAGAGGGAAGGGAAGCACGTACGCCTCAGGCGGGTTGGGCAGCAGATCTACGCTGGTGATCTTGACAATGTCGTCGTCGTGCTGCTCCTGGCAGTAGGTGAGGGGGTTGGCGCCGGGGACCTTCTTGGCGTCGTCGAGGGCGACGACGTCCTGCGAGTCGAACCAGCTGGGGAGGGCCGAGGCGACGCTGGCCAGCGCCGCGACGCAGGCGACGTTGAATCTCATCGTTGCTCGTTTGGGGCGGGCTCTGTAGTCGGGATGGGGGTATGCTGCGAACCGGGGCAGAGAGTGTCTTTGGTTTTAATATGTATGTACAGAAGCGCCGGCGGGTGGTTGGTAGTGGGTAGGTATAGCTAAGATAGCTAAGCGTCAGACGTCTGTGTTCGTCAGTGCAGGTCCAGGGTGACGGAGGCTAAGCGAAAGCCGGCCTCCAGTTGCGGTCGATAACGGTAACACACCTCGCAGTCTGGGCTCACTCGATCCTCTGTACACCCGGCAGAGTTTCACGGGAGGTGTTTCTTTGGGAGATGAGCAGTGGCAATCCGGTGTGTCTGCCTACCTCGAGCGCAGACGAAGTGGTGATGGCGAGAGAGGTATACAACATACGTCGTCGAAAGGCGGTGCCAGCCAGCTCCCAGCGATAACGGTCCCCCAAGAGATCCATGGATGCATGGAGTGGGCACTGGGCAGTTGGCAGCGCCCATCCATTCCAGGCTGGGGGGCCGCCCGCGAATCAGAGCCCCGCATCGGATCCCATGACGTGAGTCGCCCAATCAGCGCCCGTCGCTTGCACCGCAAAACCGCCTCCACAGCCCCAGCCGGTTCCCGTCCAACAAGCCCCAGGCTCCATCCAAACCTGGTTGTCTGCGGTGCGGTGTAAGTGCAAACCACCAGACATCCACAGTGGAGGAGGAGGAGGAGGCGTGGAGGACTACCTAGGTACTGTTTCCCTGTTGACCGCTCGCTTCGACGATCATATACACACTATCCAACTAATCACTGTACATCCTTTCTCTAGGCGTCTCAAGTGTACATATGTAAACATGGCCAAGCAATCTATCATGGCACGTGGAAAGAGTACGACTCTGGTTGCGCATATACATATCCAGCATCGACCCTGAGGAGTATCTTGGCTTAGCATTACGTTCACCTGGATCTATGCATCGACAGCGAAATCTCGCATATACGGTCGAGAAAGCCCGTAGTGCGTATAACTCATTTGCAATTGACAGTGGTTTGCTGTATCAACTTAAAATGTAGAAATGTAGTAGTCATTAAATACCGTATACGTCCGCGCCGTAAAGAAATAATCCAAACACCTCTCTGACAAGACGGGTATCATGGCTCCGTATCCCAACACCATTCCTAGCTAGGCATTCATTCAGTCCATCCAACCCTTCAATCTTCTCAATCTCGGTCCTTTCACTTTTCTCCCTAAACCGGGCAACTTCGAGTAAATTTGGGTATACTGCTCGAGTCTCTCGCTCCTAGTGCTGTCTAGTAGTAGATCTTCTCCTCGAACAGAGGAGGGCGGACACCCTCCGTGTCCCACTCCAGCTTGTTCTTGTCGTTGAGAACGCACCCCTCATCCGTGATGGGGATGACCTTGCCAGTGTCTCTGACCTCCTGCTTGGAGATGCCTGCAGGGTCCTCTGGGATCCAGAGCAGAGGCGTGGCGCTGGACACTGAGGGCGGGAAGTAGGCGTCGCGCTCAATCTCTGTCGAGTACAGGCTCTGGACGTCGAACTCGCCAGCTGCCCCGGGGACAAGCTTCCGCATCGCAGCGTAGTCGCAGTGCGCCCACGGCTTCAAGAACTTGCTGACGAAGCCGGGCTTCTTGCCCGGCGCGGCGGGCACAGCCTTCTCGTCGGTCGCGCCGTTCTTCGCGCCGTTGTGGCTGTTGTTGTGGCCGTTGTTGGCGACAGCTGCTTCGAGCCCTGTTCTCACGGACTCTTCCTCGGACTCCAATGTCCTGGGAAGGCTGTACAAGAGCGGGTCGAGGGCCTTGTTGATCGTCAACTGGAACAGGGCCGTGAAGATCAGGAAAATAATCATGAGAACCATGGGGCCGATTGCGACAGAGGCGGCGAAAAGACCGACCATGCAGATCTCTGCGACGTAAATGCCGGCAAAGAGCTGCTTGAGCGCACGCGGATAGATCAGACCACGGGTGTCGATCTGGGTGTCAGTCACGAACAGGATGTTGTAGCGCCATGCCAGGTAAAACAGTCCGAGGGCAATGGTAGCGAAACCCAGCATCAATGGTGCGATGGCGGCGTACGTGATACCTAGAATTGGTCAGAGGGTGAGACAAGGGGGGCTACCGTCAAGGTAACTTACTGATGACCACAATGTTGGTGTACACGGGCATGACGCTTCCCCACGAGATGGCACTGAGGTTGGCCCACTTGTTGTACATGGCACGAGGCGTGCCCGTCAAGAACTTGTAGATCAGAGTGAAAATGAAGAAGCCAACAACCTGCGTCATGACATTCGAGGCAATCGCGAGACCTTGAACGAGGAAATAGGAGATGTAGAAGTTGGACGCCTTGGGCAGGTTGTTAGCCAACAAACTGGTTGCTAGCGACGGGTCTTTGGCGATCTGGAGGCCGACCGACGATGCGGCTGAGGTCATCGTGGTGATCAAAAACACCTGAATGAGCTGAAAGCAAAAGTAGGCATGTTGGGTGAAAAGCTCTACGCGGGAGAGCGAGGGCTCTCCAGAAAGCTTGGCGCAGACTATTATGGATACTGGTTAGCTTGGACGGCTCGAGGAATGACCAGTGCAAGGGAGCACACTCACGTCTCATGATAATGGGGACAAGTGACATCAGAATAGCCAGCATGACAGATGGGAGCAGACCAGTGACGACACCCATGATGATCTGAGGGATCTTCTGGAGCCATGTGAGGAAGGAGATCGTCTCCAGGTAGGAAATGTTGGAGATGATACCAACAACGGCAACAGGAATGGCCCAGAAGATGATCAGAGCGGAGATGAAGCCGATGACAGCGAAACGGCGAATGATGCGTTGCCACCAAGAGATCTTCAGGGCGCTCCAGACGACCTCACCGGGGGTGATACCAATGTATTTTGGTGCCATCTGCAGTGCCTGGTGGTGAGCCAAAACCTGGAAAGCCGTCTGGGCCTGCGACTGGTTGTAGAACTCGATAAAGACGGAGCCAGCCTTCTTGTAAGTGCCGTTGCGGTAGGTGGTTTGAGCCTTGTCCACCAGAGGAATAATGCGCTCCAACTCGGTTCTGCACCACTCAATGGTGTCGACCTTCTTGCCCACGAGTCCAAGAGGTCCAGTCCGGTGGGACGGGCGCTTCTTTGCAGGGATCCAACGAGCGGCGAGGCTGCCCGACTCGGTATCAGCAGGGGCTTCTTCAAGTCTCTCCTGCGAACCGCCCTTCTTGATTGCCTTGAGTCGCTCGCCATTGGCAGTCTTGAGCAGCTTCACCTCGGCCTTCTCCAGCTTCATAGCCACCTTGTCGCGCTCCTTGACCAGCTTCTCCAAATCATCGGTATCTCCCGTGATCCACACATTCTTGACCGAGTCCCCAAAGACCTTGCGCAGTCTAGCTTCGTCCAGGTATGGCTCGGGCACAGACACAAACAGGACTGTCCGAGACGAGATTCTGTTGGCATAGTAAGGCGACAGAAGGAAGGCCTGGCGGATGTTGATGTAGAAGATCGACTCCCGGAGAATCATGTACATGACAAATCCGTAGAAGATCCAAGCACAGAACGCGTGGGCATAGTAACGGTTCTTGCTGTCGGAGCTGATGTTGGAGTACGACAGAATGTCGAGCTGCTGCTGGCCGCCCCCGCCTGTAGCATTGACGGGGAAGAGAACAGGCCAGAGAAAGCAGCAGCCGACAAAGGCGATGGTGGTGGCTATGCGCAGGAAACGCAGGAACAGATAAGAATCCAGGGACTGATGCTGTAGAGCATATACATCAGGAATCTTCCAGAAATCGCCTATCCAATTGAGGAGGCCTGATCGAAGGGGTGGGCTTCGTTCGCTGTATTGGTGCAAATCATGTAAGCCGCTCTGCCACAGACTTGCGTGGACTCGGTCGGCACATACCTTTCGCGTAAGTTTCCCAGATATGTTCGAGGAGCATAGTATCTTCTCTGGCTCTTTCGCAGAAGCAGAAAGATGGCGACATAGATACCTGCAACAAAAGCCGTCGGGGCTAGTGTCGAGACGAGACCTTGGTGCAAGTCAGTATGTGTATGTAATACAGACTAGAGTTGGGCGTGGTGGTTACTGACCCGACAGGGATACTGGGTCAGCGTTGAGCGCCGATCCAGTATTGTCAGCCATCTTGTCTGATCAGTTTTCTCACAGCACAGAGTGCGATGAAAGGCCGCCAGAACTTGGGGGCCAGGGTGTATTGATATGGTGACCACAGGCGAGGTCTTCCGTCGCGCTGATCTCAGGAATGTGGAGGCCCTGCTGGGTAGCTGGTCCCCGAGAATTTGTAAAAGGAAATGAACAGAGCTAAAAAGGAGGATACCGCGATCGCGCCGTCGCGGGTCTCTTCTCAGGATAACTAACGTCGTTGCAGAACGGACGACTGCCGCTCAACCCTCGACGTTACTAATATACCTGCAGCGGGTAGAGATATCGCTTGTTTCCCGACGGGAGGGAGACGAGGAAAGAGAAACCCAGATTGGGAGGGCCGCGAGAAGAAATCTGAGCCTCAAGTTGTCTAGACCTTTTCACTGCCGGCACCTGAGACTTGCGGCCGTCTGCCCAATTCAGGATTTCCTGCTGCAAGCTTTGGATGATGGGGAGCGATGACGCTAATCTGCAGAGGCCCCCCGGTCGAGCTGAGCTCAAGCTGGGAACGCCCGGTGGCCTGCAGTGATGCGCTTCCAAGGTTGCTCAGAGATCCCCTGGGGGGTCGCCCTTCTTAGCGCGCGCGCGTCTCTGTGGAGGGTCGAGGTGGTCAGGGTGGAAGCTCGGCCGCACGATGCAACTAGCAGGGAGGCAGGGGGTCCACGGTAATATTGCAGGAACTATTGGACGCGGAATAAAATGAGATCGCACGGCAGAGATCAGGCCATGTTACCCGCGGGCAGCAGCAATCGCATTGCAGAAAGATAAAACTGCTGGAGGAGAAAACTTGGACAAGACCAGGTGGCCGTTTGCGAGCGCAGTGTTTCTCATTTCAATGCGCCCTGATTACTGTCGCATCTTGAGAACTGGTGACATCAGATATAGGGATCTGCCTTTGCAGATAACGCACTATTGAACACGGCCGATGATCTCACCAGCGCCGTCGGGAACTATTGTTGCTTTACATCGCGGTCAACCTGTTCCCAGCCGACTACGTCCACAGCCAGCAGCACAGCTCTTCCCAGATGGGCGCTCGCTCTGCAGTAGCCGCCCCGCTACAACTCGACCTTTGGATTTGTGACGCGCGCTGTGTTGTTGTCTCAGGATAGGAGATTCGATGGTGGCACTATCTGGCGATCCCGTTTATGTTGTTCCCATGCCAACACCCAAGGGCAAATCACCTGGTGCACGACATATACGTAATCACCCAGTTCCCACGATCGAACTCGTTCTCCTCACCTGCGGCGCCCTCAGTATCCAATGTCGGAGCTAGCCCCCTAGGGACTCTTTGACACTCGACTCTAGCGTGGAATTGAATTTTGGGCTCAAGTCACAACGCATTACCTCGTGCAAGACGGCGGCCATCGTGAGACCGGTACAATTCGTCGGCAGCACGTCACGTTTCGAAACTGCTAACCCTAATCCCGCCCCGCGTTCAGGGACTGCAAAAGGTCGAACCCAATTGCGTGCAGGTCAGACCCCGCGCTCTGCATGTGGCACCGGCGGCCTCTTATCTGTTCCTCGTGGTTGTTTGATGCTGCGCCGAGTAACCGAATGCATTGTCTGACGCACGTAGATTAACACACCTTTCCTTTGGTATTAAGGTTCTGACCGATGTTGTTGGTCTCTCCCAGTCTAGGCCCTTAGAGTTGGAGATGCGGGGCTCTGAGTAGTTCGCCGAAGCTACTGCTGTAACATTTTCTTTCACATGCACTAAAAAGAAGTGTGGGCTATCAAGCTCAAGGGTGGTGTGGTTAACTAAGTGCTGCACATGCTGCTAGAGCTCGGGCTCGCCGTGAAGGCCTCCAACAGACGACAGTTGTCGAAATCTAACGCTACCATGCCGTTTGCCCTTTGCCAACTTGAATGGTTTAGGTGGCTGCATTCCCCAGTGACATCCAAATGCTTCCGCCAAAGTCCAAGCCTTGTGCAGCATGCCTCTAGGCGCTGGCGTGCTGTGCCCAGTCACCTCTGCGTGGCGCCAGGTATTAGTCACTCTCCATCAGCCACACCAGTACGTCTGCATAGGGGTAACATACTTGCCCACTTGCTTGTGTTGTCGCAAGATGCGACAAGCAGGAGCCGGGCAGAAGGTATCATTCCAAACGAACACAGCACAGTGTGCTCCTTTGTTCAGGCACGCTTCTTGTTTCTATTGTTGTGATGGAATGAGGCATGCTAAGTTCGGACATTCCTGTGAAAGGGATGAGGCGCCTTTCTCCCTAGATAGATGAATCAACAAAGAATCGACGAAGGCCACGCTCATTTGCCTTCTTGTGAATTTGAAATCTTCTGTAGCCACTCGAGTAAATCCTTAGACCGGCGCTTCATATTCGTATACCAACTCGTTTGCTGTGTCTTTCGTCATGGAGGAACCTCAGGTGCAAGACCCCTACAAGGTGGATGGGCCGTATATCGAGGCCACCGATTGGGCGTTGCCTTACCAGGCGGCTTTCCTCAGGGAAAATAATACCCAGAATATCGAGATGTATAAGCATGTCAACTGTGGCTATCTATCCACGCCAGGACGGCCGCCCACGCTCGCAGCGCTCAAGAAGCATGCACAGTCCCTCACCCATCTCATTGCGCAAATCGCTCCATCGCAAGGCCCTGGGGAGATCAACAACAAGCACGCCGGCGAGCCTTGTGCGCGGAGTTTCGTGGCTGGTGAAGCGTTTGATTGGCTGAATGACCTAGAGGAGCCGTACAAGTCCCTGGAATCACAGCACCACCGCCCCCTGAACAGCCTCGTCAATATCACTAAACACAACAGTGATACGCTTGGCGTTGAGTTTCACTGTCCTCTGGAGGATCCTACGACTAAGCGTTCAGTCAAGGCCGAGGATGCAAAGTGGCTCGCCCAACGAGGCCAGGAGGAGGCGGATTACCAGGAAGAGCGGCTCGTGAAACCATTTGCGCGGCACTGGAACATCCTGCGGCACGCCAATGACTGCCTGGAGATCCTGGACCACGAATTCTCGAGCACCGGCGGCCTCCTTTCGATCTTGCCGACTGAGCATGAGGTTGAGGCGGAGCAGCTCGACATTGCGAAGAACACCCTGATTGGACAGTGGTTGGTCTTCACGCAGCAGCTCGTAGCCCGCATGCATGACCTCGAGATTGCCTATGCCAACAGCCTCGAGCTTCTCGGCGGCGAAGCAGTAATTCCATTGCAGCATATGAGCGCGCACGGTCCAGACGGTCGTTCTGGCCGGGAGATTGTGTTTCCTCAAGATCGCTGGATCTTGGCCAACGCGGGAGACGATGTCTTGGGATATCTGCATCAGGTCTTAGACAAGAAGCAAGACCACCTTGAACGCACCGAATCCGAGGTCAGAGCCATGGGTGTCTCCGGTGAAACTCTTCACGATGTCCCTACTGATTCGGAGCGTGGCATCGTCTCTGTAGACCTCATCACACGTTTTTATCGACTCAAGGGCTCTGGCAGCGACCGCGGTCCAATCTTCATTCTACCAGCCTTTGCTGACCGCCCTGGTACCAAGTACACCAGAATGATGGAAGATAGACCAACTGTAGTGTCTATGATGGCCCCTAAATTCCCTGAGAGGCTTAGTGAATGGGAGTCGAAGAACAAGAACAGAGAAGATGTCCGCCGCGATTTGTTCATGAAGACCACGGAACAAGCCCAGCATGTCCACACCTTGCAGAAAGAAAAGGAGCGACTAGAAAGCGAAATTGACCTGTCTCGTCTTAGTGTGGAAAATATGAGGGCATCAGTTACCCCCGCCCAAGCAAACACAGCCCAGAAGCTCGATCAATTGCAGAAAGAACTGCAGGAATCCAAGGCCAGGGAAGAGAAAGTAAGACAGCGCGCAGAGGCCGCTGAGGCCCAGGTCCAGTCATTGATGCCCAATAACTTCTCCTGGACTGAGCTCGCAGGAACTATTCCGCGGGACTTGGATGGTAATGTCACCGAGCGTGCTCTAAAGGCATTGTTGCAATCTCTGAAGAAATCGAACGACGACAATCTGATCCTCCAGAGAACCGTTGGGAGCCTGCAGAGCGACTTGAGGGCGAACAAGTCGGCTGTTTGAGTAAGCTTACTCACTCGGAAGCACGGGGAAAGACATGGCGCAGTTAGAGGCCGAGTTGGGGATTTTTGCTTCGCAGTCTGTCTTCAAGGCTTCGCGTAAGTTGGGCTTCAAGGTGTTAGAGGTTACTGTTAGTTATCAATCAAATTGAGACCCATATTATTGACCCAAATCTCTGGCTCTTGTGTGCATCCCTCTTTGCAGGATGGATGAGGCGTGCAAATCGAGGCTGCACATAATGTAGTGGATATTGCCACGTGATAGAGGTCGTTATGTCGCACTATTTCGGAATACTCGGTTGGGGCCGTGAGCGTTGGTTGCCATGCCAACCGCCCTCTACCCACCTCCGCACATAGGACCATCCTGCCTGTTCTCGACTCTTGGGACCACAGTTCCGGAGTATGGGGTTCTTTTTCTTGAGTTATATTTGCTTGCAGAACAGTTCCAGGTAGATCACCACTCGAAGCGGCCGAAAACCCCCAAAATTCGAGTAGTTCACCATCAGAGGATATCCACAGCATTCTATATTTGCTTTAAACGGTGTCGGCCCGCCGTGTACTACGGTCAACATCAGCTGGGACTTTGTTGATCTTCACACTACCTGTCAGACCCCTTCCTCTGCCCCGTGCACACCAGGATTCCCCGTCTTGACAACTCATCACTGCTCGCCCCGCCGAACGCTTGTTGGTCCCGGCTCTTATGCAGTGAACTAAGACCTCGTCGCTTTCAGCTTTCCGTCGAGTTGTCTGCCTTTTTATTCGTCCTTCCTGATTTATGCGGCTTGAAGGCAGGTGGATAATGCTGGCGACTTGAGACCATGCTCTCTCCCTTCGGGATGACATCGCAGCCTACCTGTGGTGTTCCATGGCTGGCCTCGACATGGCCGCCGGCAGCCATCCGTCTCGCTGGGTTGTTCGCAGTCTGGATGCTCGCAGATACGGCCTTGGCGCAAACATTACCTTACACGCCGACAACAATACTCCTCCCAGATGCCAATACCGTTCCACTACAGCAGAACATCAGCTCAAATATTGCCTATATCTTCGCGCCTCGGGATGACACCGTGGAGTTATTAGCGCTCGACATCGCGACAACTATCAAATCTTCAGCCCTGACATTCCAGTCTCTGTCCGCCGAGCTGCCTTTCCTTACAAGCAGCAATACTTCGTTCGCACCTACCATCGCTGACAACGGTACTTTGGTCGTTTACGCTGGAGACTGCTTGTCGTCAGGCGACGCAAATGTGTGGAAACTCGACCCTCCCAAGTCAGGTTCGTCGGCAACATGGATGCAGCAGACAACGACATCTGGCACCACATCTGGATGGGCCGGGCCAGGATCTCTTGGTGGCAGCATAAGTTTCTCAACCACACTTGAGCCGGTGATGGAAGCAGCCAGCATTTACGTGTATGGTGGCATGTGTCCGAACGCCACCATCAACGCAACCTCACCTCAAGCTCAAGCCGCCTATTCAAACCAGATGGTCAAACTCTCCCCTTCTGAGTCTGACAGCTCCGCCTATACTGTCCAGTCAGTCGAGAACAAAGGTCCGCCGGTTCCCGAGGCAGGTTTTACTTTGACCGGATTGTCTCCCTCCATATCGAATAAATCAGGAGTAGCGAGCCAGCAAGTCAACTACGTATTATTGGGCGGACATACAAAGGCTGCCTTTGTGAACATCAGTACTGCCGCAATTTGGAGTTTACCCGAGGAAAGCTGGGGCTACGTAAGCATCAGTACGGCGAGTTCTAGCTCAAGCAACACTGAACTGGCGATAAAGAGCGCCACAAGCATAGATGCCCGCTCAGGCCATACCGCTGTTTTGAATGAGGATGGTACGGCCTTGATCATGCTTGGTGGCTGGGTCGGGAGTACATCTCAAGCCGCATCACCGCAGCTGGCTATTCTGGAGATTGGAGTTGGCTATGGCGGTAGCGGCGACTGGCAGTGGTCGGTCCCCGAGGATCAGCCCATAGGTTCTGGTATCTACGGACATGGTGCAGCACTTTTACCTGGAAACGTGATGATGGTCTATGGAGGCTACGAGATCAGCACCTCTGGAAGCACATCAAAAAGACAAACAGGGAGCTCAAACGGCCTGCCCATGTTCCTCAACCTTACAAGCATGTCTTGGTCAGAAGACTATACCAACCCTACTTACGCATCCCAAGGCGGAGACGCATCTGCTTCATCTGGTGCGGATGATGCTGACAAGAGGCGTTTGGGCCTCGGTCTGGGGCTGGGACTAGGCTTGGGTGCAATATTAATTGCCATTCTGGTATATCTGCTCTATCGGTGGCATCAGCGATGGAAGTACGCAGGGCGAGAAAAGGTTATCCGGTCGCTCGCGCAGGATACATCCCATTTCCTCCAAGATGAACCAATGATGGAGAGAGAAGATGATCAAGGTTTCTGGTATACAGGTGGTCACGATCCCTACATGACCGGTGGTCGGTCGCTAGGTTACGAGACCCTGCGCAGCGGGCGTGGAAGCATGGACATGAACCGCACTGTCTATGATCCTGTTCCAATGCACATCGCGCGAAAACCAGTTGCTCCAAGGGCGGCTCTGGGCCAGTACCAACCAACACCCTCCAGTGCGTACGATCATCCATCAGGAAACCGTGGGCAGAGGTCAGGGGCGATTCACCCAATATACGAAGCAGACGAAGAGGCACATTCCATCGAGGAACCCAAAACGCCGCTCCAAGAGTCAAATCGCGACAGTGCCCAATATTCGGATCCGTTCATGACTCCAACAAACGAACGACCTCTATCCCTTCCACCACCAAGTCGTGCATCGTTAAGTCCAAGCCCTGAAGGGCGGCTTCGCACCGACCCCGAGGTGCAGGACTGGATGTCAGATGTTGATGCCGCAGATGCGCTACTTACAGGACGTATGGCAACACATAGCGCTGGTGGTACTGGGCGGATATCGCCGACGAGACGGAATACCGGCAAGTCAACGCGGTCGGGCTACAATGCCGACGACGATTGCCGCACGAACAGCAACCTGTCGGACTCAAATCGAAGTCATATTTCACGCTCCGGCTCAGGCCGCTCGTACCTCCGCACGGGATTTGGCATCGGTGCAGCCACCGCCGCTGCGGAAGGAAGGCAGGGTACAAGCAGTTCGGATGGTAGCCAGCCTTCATATCACACGGCGAAATCAATCCCGGCTTTGCAGGCCGAGGGACCTTCACTCCTCATGGGTAGGCCCGATGGTGGCGATGAGGATGATGTACCCGGCAGTCCCAGCAAGCTGAAGCCTCGCCGCGGGTGGTTGGGCAGTCTACGCCGGGTCTTCAGCGGATCTACACCATCTGCCTCGACCCCTGACATCAGTGACAGGGACAGTCCCATCAGAGACAGTATGGCAGAAGCCTCGGATTATGACCCCAGGTTAGGTGGCCTTGGCAGTATTGCTGCTGGGGGCATGTTCAGAAGGAAGGGCGGCCGTGGTGCCTGGGAGGCCGGCGATGATGCCGAAGACGATCTACCGCTTGGTAGAAGGACAGGCGTTAATAGTGGTGAGTTTGAGGACGACTGGGATATCGAAAAGGCGGTCGAGAAAAGGTTGGTCCAGGTCATGTTCACGGTGCCTAAGGAGCGCCTGCGTGTGGTCAATGCCGAGCCCGACGTCGAAAGTGGAGAGAGCGTAGTGGTCATCGACCCTGGCACTGAGGAAGAGCAAGTGCCTCAGAAGTACGAACTTCGGGACGACGCGCCCGCAGCCGCCAGGTCTAGCCATGACTTCGAGCATCACGATGAAGAGGTGCTGGACAAGGGCAAGCAGAGAGAGACTATCGATTCAGGACTGGGTACGGAGTTGGGCACATTTGAGGAGAGGCCTCTGCATCGAGAGACGGTTGATTCAGGCCTAGGAACGGATATCTTTTCGTCCATTGAACGGCCGGTGTCAGGCGTATCGGAAGGCTTGCTAAGCATCGAGACGGACCATGATTTCGAAGCATTGGACCCCCTCCTCGATTCACCTCGTCATTCCCCTACGTCCGGACATAGCGAGTCACCTATAAGGACCGCCGAGGTAGTCAAGTTGGAAACCCCCGGACGCCCAAAGACAAAGGTCCTAGCGATGGTAGAGAACATCGAGAGCCGGAGCCGGAGCGCAAGTCCCGAGCGGCCTTGATGTTATTACTGGGATATGAGAAATGGGATCGGATTATTGTTTACACAGGGTTACGTGGCTAGGGGGGAGATATAGGTCTGGGAACGGAGGGGCGTTGCTGGCATTGTTTGCGTTGGTCTTTGATCTTCTAGGTAGAGCCGTGTATTCATCATGTATTCATCTCAATGTCTTGTCCGATTAACTTTGCACGATCACCCATCCGTAGTGGAAAACGTCGATACCGTAGGACGAGTGAGAGAAACAGAGTCCGCTTAGTCAATAACGTCTCTCGGCACAGTCAGCCCGCCTTTCATCCTTCTTTGTAAACATGGCAACCGGCCGCCCGGGTAAGATTTTCGTAGAGCGTTGGGTACAGAACAATTGTACCCTAGCGTTGACGACGCTGCTGACGATTGATCGTACGGGATCCATTTTTATCATTATTGAAGAGTGCCTGAACCCGTTGCGGACAGGCTTCCCTGCAAACAAGATCTCGGACCCATACCGATCGACGCCAGGAACAGGAGTCGATCATCATCAAAAGTCCGGATCCAGCGGAATTTTGATCTAGTGGGGGGCGTTTTTCTTCCGGCCCACAAACGTGTCGATGCCAATCCAGCTCGTTTCCCCTATCCTATCCCTTTCCGTTCCAGATTCGCGTCTGGGAAGAAAAACCCATCGCCTTGTTTGGGCGATGCGGCTGAGCGCGCCCACGGCCAGTGCTAAAGCTAGTGGCCTCCTAGCACGGGAACCGGGCGGTGAACTACCTCCCTCGGGTGCCCCTAGCCCAGGTACGCCGCGCACAGTGTCCAGGTTACACTGATCTCGATTTTGTTGTTTCAGAAGGATCCGAAGCGCCGTGATTACCTAAGGTCGTAGCAGTTGTTCAGTGTTTCAGTGTGTATGTATGTCAGATATAATAATATCGCTACTATTCGTGGACCCAGCCATGCGAAGGAAAGTGCGAGAGTTCTCCCTGCGATCCTGGCTGCCCCTTGTGCCTTGCATACAAGCTTTGCGTCCAAACTCACTTGCGGGGAAAACATTCCGGCAAATCCATGCCTATAGCTAAACCTCTGGCTGCTGGGATGGCCTATAGTAAACTGTAGGACACACCAGAATGTGATCAGTGCACACTTGTTGACAACGGCTCATGCCGACTAATGCTTGACAGCCAATTCATATGCTCCATCGTAGGAGACAATATACTTAAAGGCAGATATTCTTTTGAGGTTCAATGTAAGGTTGTTTGAATTAAAGGACACTGGATCTGGCATACTAGTTGCCCCTTGCGCGGTGTTGGAACTGCCTCACTTTCACAGCCACAGTAAATCTAGTTGTATTCACCTGACACAGAGCACTTCACGACTGTTGGTGTAGATCCCCAGGACTGTGAATGGTCGGCAGCAGGCAAGCACACGGCTGCAAAGTGCAAGATAGGGGCATCAAATCGTGGCCCGTGTAATTGAGTCTTCTGGAAGCATGTGCAGTGGCTCCAAAACCCAAGAACGTTATCATGTTGAAATCAGGTATGAGTGGGCAGGGACGGTTTGCGTAGGGTCCTATCGCAGCATTGAGCCGGGATCCCGTCCTGTACGAGATATAGATTGAGCCGAGGAAGACACCGTTGTCCCCTCTTGCACGATATAGCGCGCACGATATAGGCCATGTTCTATCTGCGCCGAAAAGCAGCAGACATCGGAAGCTACTCCCGCCCCGAGACCAGGATATCGGCATAACGGTCCTGTGACTCGCAGCCCTATGCGGGAAATATGTCTAACACAGATGCAATCGCGGGCCATCGCTTGGCACGGAGCGGAAGGAAGATTGAAGCCTTGGAAGAACCCTTGCCGGAGACGGGAGTCTGGCCTGAAACGGAATGTGGCTGCCGGGCACGCTTTGTTCTTGTCAGCGTCATCGATGGCGGGAGGTTGCAACAAACCATGGTGCGCGAGTTTTCGCTGACCACCCAGACCGCAGACTAACTTGGACTATCCAGAAGCAACCGGCCTGGAATCAATAGATTAAGTGCATGCATATCAAGTCGCCAACAGGCCACGATAGTCAGCGCTCGGGGTTTTAAACTTTGGCAATACCGAGTGGGTGCGTGGAACTCCAACCTTGTACGGAACAAGAACCGTGCACATGCATCCGCTGCACCGATTCACTCGTTACATAGTACAGGCCAGCCGGGTTGCTCTGGAAGTTATTCTCTCAGGTGTCTTTCGATAGAAGTTTCCAACTATGCGGTAAGTTAGCAGCCGGGTCTTTACCGAACCAAAAGACACGCTACAACGCGTAAGAAGATGCTAGGCATGTCAGTCGCCAGATGGCAGTGTTGTTGTTAGTGACACGCAACACGGCTTGGTCCGTCGTTCATCCCGAAAACTTCCTTGACGTCTTGCATGTGGGCAGCAAGATGTACTGCAGTCAGAGTGGTAACATCATTCCACCACATGAGGCACGACAGGTAGCTATCAGTCGGCCTCGTCAGCGCTTTCTGACTAGTCAGATCACCGACAGAGAGTGTCGCCAATTGCCATCTCGGGCATGGCATCTTCGAACAATGACTGGCTCGGCGCGGGAGCAAGATCACATTGATGAGAAAGCTGGCTTCCGACCAGGTCTACCCATACCTAGGCGCTATAATAAAGTTTGTTGACGATGGACTGCCCCAAGTTTTTAAATGGTCAAGACGCACTTGCGTCAGTCGTAGATCACATCGTGTACCGATGAAATGTGGGCGAACCCTCCCTGGAAAGCGAACATCACATCATTCGCACCTTGCCATCCGTATTGATGATGGGCTTGATGGAGGGGGTGGACCCTGGACGAAGATACGAGCCATTGATCAATCACATGAAGCACTGCTGAGCAGAAAATCGGCATTGCAGATAGCCTCGCTCAGGCAGCATACGGGAGGGTGTGAAGCTGTGGGGTTTGCCGAGATGCTTGGGGTATTGGCGCAGCCGTCCATGGAGCGAGCCATTGTCTCTGTTTGCCGCTGTCAAACGTGATACGTAGGTTGTCAGGTAATCAACATTGGTGACGCTCTGCTTCAAGTGCGGACAAGCTGGGCTTTGGAGGGAGGCTACTTGAGGAGACACCCGTGGACAGGCATCAAATGTAGCGAGGTCATAACCCGTACTACGATCCTGTCAACCTCTGACAGGCCAGGCGGACCTCAAAACGGTGTCGCGTACCACTGTGTTGGCAAGGGATGCCATGAATTGGTCCAGCATGTCGTGATGCAAGCAGACGCATGCACCACCCATGTATGCAATGCAAAGGCAAAGGTGGACATGGTTGCTTGCTGCGTCCGGTGGGGTGGCAGTTGGGCCTCTCGTCGAGTATAACAATCCGGCACCTCTAGACGAGGCATCCAACTGTAGTTGAGGCTAAACGGGAGAGGTGCGGAAAGTACAGTATGTGATGTATGTAACTCGTAGATTTCATCTACTAATCCACATAGCGTACCATAGTAGACAGGTAGTTCGTTAGACTGGACAGTGTCCGAACAAGAGCAACGCAAGCCTTCCGCTACAGTACCCAGGGAGGCTACGGCGCTGCGCGAGGAAAGTGGCCGAAGAGGGCAATGGTACTTAAAGTAGCTTGCATCAGCAAGGGGCTAAGAGCAAAGTTTGGCGTTGGAGGCATTTCTAGCGAGGAGTCAAGGGACGGATCAAGCTTGTGGCTGCCTTGGTCGTCCCGTAGCGCAACTCATCTGGTTGTGTCTCGAGCGCCCAGGAGGCCCGCGAGAAAAGGCAACGGAACGGCAATTTGGTCTTGTCGCACTTCCAAACGTCGTGGTAAAACAAGTGGCTCGCGGGAGCCATTAGACCTGTACCTAAGGCCCTAGTCACAGTGGGTAGGCAAGTTAGGTAGCCAACCGGGCCTGAGTTTGATGGATTTGTCGCAAAAGGAGGAGCAATGTCGCTGCTGTGTTTACTTTCCCATGGTGCCTGAAATGTGCGAATCCTACCGACTGGGGCCCCATGTGCTTTTGGCCCCTAAAGTTACCCTACATGAGTTACGGTACGGCCAGTATCATCACGGGAATTGTGTACGACGACGCGCCGCAGAATCGATCTTGTCTTCTGGTGGCGATGCTTCAGGTGACTTTTCTCGGAAAGCTTGGCCCTTCTGCTGGGTCATTGCCCTGGCACCTGCGTCTCTTTGGTGACGACATGTTCTTCACTCCACCCCACTGAAAAACTGCCCTGACCCCTGGCCTCACGCCCGGGTCTCGCGAGCTTGGAGCAGCTGCTGGCCTGCTATATGGGACCAACCGCCTGTTGGGTGGATGGGCTGACCCGTACAGCTCCATACGAGTTACCGGATTCCCAGACGCATGCATGGTGGTTGGTACACACACGCGCACACACACGGTACACAGTACAGCAGGGACGCGGACGACTGCAAGTTTCTGATCGGGTGTGATTCAGATGCATTGTAATACGCGGCGTTCTGTAGCGCCCCTTCTACAAGCACTGATTGAAACTCTGCTGACTGAGGTGCGAGAGAGAGGACATTGCACACGCGTTCCTATTCGACACGAGAGCTCGAAGCGCGCGCGCCGGGTCTTGACAGTGCGCTTGAGCGACAACCTGGGAACCTTGGAGCTTGGAGCTTGGAGCTCCAAGGGGATGGAGTTGGGATGGGAGGCAAGGAGGAACCGCCAGCAGTGAAGTGAAGTGAGATACGCAGTACTGTAACACCGGGAGGATGGGTGAACCTAAGCCAGCCCGCCACGGCCGATCATGATTGAATCCAACAATCCTTGCCCGAAAGGGGTATCGACAGCACTGAGTTGCTGCTCAACCCGAGCCAACCCCTGCCCTCTCGCGCTCGTGTACGGGGCACACGCTGCACAGTACAAAGTCCAAGTTTGCTAGTATTTGGGCCTAACCGCATGGATATTGTCATCTTGTCTGTCCCCCATTCTTCCATTCCGCGCATTCCATGTTGATTTCACAAGCCCAATTGTTTTCTCCAACATCCTTTTCCTTTCTCCCCAGGTGCGTGGGCTCTTCGTGACTCTTCCGGCCGTCTTCTTTCGCTCGTTCCCCCAGGCTTGCCTGCGCATTTTGTCTTCTTCGACCCCTTCGCTCGCTTTGTCAACCGGTTTTCTGCGATTCCCATCCCGGCGTGACGGCTTCGTCCCCCACACCACTGCAAGCCCGCAGTCACCTCGTGTCTGTGCTAGCTCTCTTTTGTCTCTCCACCTGCTTGCAGGCGAGACACAGGCAGACAGCAGGGAAACCAGCCTTGAGGCGACCCTGTCACCGATCGGCTCTTGGCTTGCGTCTCCTCAGTCGTGCGGTCAATGTACACACCAGCGCTTCCACCCGATAACCTTTTTCCTTGATACCATCCTGGCCCAATTTAGGCGCCTTGTTGCCCTCCCTTTCCCCCCTCCGCTACCTCTTCTCTCTCGAGACGCCGCCCGCCTGTTGTTTGTTCAACGTCGTGATCACACCTCTCTGCCTCTTGTTCCCCCAAGGCATTGAGCGTCTTCTCCCATCACCAAGGCAAGCCAACCACGCTGGGCCACGGACAACCCGGATCCTGGCACAATATCCCGCACTGTCCGTACCGTAACGCCTACTCCAAAGCACCTTGATACGGTCACGTCTGTTGGATTTCAACCAGCCAGACCACGACTTGTCCTGCTGGCAGTATACCCACCAACGACTGCCACTGCTACGTGCGAGATTGACCTGTGTCAATTTACCAGTTGCAACGGCTTATTCTGGCTAACTTCTGGTCCGTGACATGGCCTGTTTGTGAGACGCTGCAATACGTATTGCGCAGACACCGGAGTTCCTTATTGTCCGTCGATCCTGTTACCGAATTGCAAGAGCGTTTGGTTGAAGGGTCCGCTCTTGTGAGTTGCTCCCATCTTCCAATCATAGATTTGAGATTTCCCAAGATAATGGAATCCATTCACCTTACCACTCGCATTACCGAGTACAAAGCTCAAAATGCCACCCACCTTCCACCATCTCCATTTCTTATCCATTTTTACTAATTTGTGCTGCCTAATAGTTACAAATCTCTTGAAGATCAACATAGGACAATGGCTTTCTCACCACAATTAGGGCGCCTCGTCGCCCTTCTGACTCTCCTCAGCTGGGTGAGTCCGGCCCTGGGCGCAACCATAGCCTACTGTGCCAGCCTGCTTACAACGACGAGCAACGCCAGTGAGTATTTTAATTTAGTCCTTGTTCTGGATCTCCTTGGAATCCCTGATCCGCACCAGACATGAACGCTGACCCCCCTTGCAGACTCTAGTATTTACCAGTCTGATGGGCTGTGTTCCGATTTCTGCCGAAGCAGCTATGCCTACGCTATCGTGCAAGATAGCAACTGCTGGTGTAGTGACTACACGCCAGCCGCAGCAGTTCAAGTTGACACGTCGAAATGTGACACGGACTGTCCTGGCTACCCCTCAGACAAGTGCGGTGGCAGCGGCGTTTACGGATACTTGTCCTTAGGCAAGGCAGCGGCAGGCACATTGGGAGCTGACACCTCGACGACAGCGGCGGCGGGTACGACTACGCAGGTGAGTGTTCTTATTTCTGCGTCCTCAACATTAGGTGTCCACTGGGCTGTGGCATGGATGCTGCAGCATTTTTCTTCCATGCAATTTCTTTTTTGGTCATGGTGGCATTTTCTTCTTAGACGGTCCTTGTTTTACGGGAGGGAGCTTGGTTTTAACAGTGTCTGGCATCAGAACACCATCACTCAGACCGTACAGAATACTGTCACGGCTGACCCTACTACTGCTCAGAAGGAAACTTCCACCTCTTCTGTATGCCATATCTGATTTCCTTTTCTTATCTCTTCTTGGTGGCACCTATCTCTCTTCTTTGGAAGCACTTTGAGGGGAAGCGTTGTAACTGACTGATTTTTCACAGGCTGTCACCGACGCAACGACCCCGGCCACTACTGTGTCGCCGTCAACCTATGTTTCGACGGTCACCCAGGGAAACGACGTGATTCTAAAGACCGTAACGGTCATGCCCACCGTGACAGGCTCCACGGACTCGAGCGCTAGTTCCAACGACGTCGGTACGGGCCAGAAGGGCATTTCCACAGGGGCAGCGGTCGGGACTGCAGTCGGCGTTCTGGGAGGCGTGGTCATCTTTGGGGCCGTTGGAGTCTGGGTGTGGCTTCGACGCAAGAGACAGAACCAAGGAGAGACTATGCTGGAACACCAGAATAGCTTCCGTGGTAGTTCCGCGGGTATGATGAGCACGCCAAGGACAGATTTTGCATCGGTATGGGATGGCGAAGGGAACTCGATGGGCCGCAGGAGCAGTCGGTTGATGCCACATGATCCTCGCATGGATCCATACGCGGCGAACATCTATAATCGGTTCGACAACAAGAGCCACGAGAGTATCAACACATTACGTGACGACCAGGATTACTCGAGACGAGTCCTACGAACCACAAATCCCGACCCCACTGGAGACTGAGGCTCAAGCCGCGTTAACTGAAAAGATGGATGTTGGACATGGCCGTTGATGGGATGCAGCGAGACTCCGCAGACGCATAAGCGGAGCTTTGGTTCACGCGTTGCATTTTCGAGATACCAGGATGGCGTTTCAGGAAGATTGGAATAAGACTAGAATGTCCCATTGGCAGATCGATCTATGGTTGACTGCCGCCGGGGTATTTGCGATGAATCATCCATGGTTTGCTTTACCGGAGGCAAGGTGAGATACGGCGTTTACTCTAGGTTCGACCACAAATACACTACACCGGTCAGAACCAGGAAGAGAAGCAGGGTCTCGTACGATTTGGGGTGCGATGATACACAACTGCAGCCCGCGACATCGTGCTATGCGGTTGGATGGCCAACGAAACTGTACATAGTGGTGCCATGAAACTACATGTTAGGACATTGGGAATTTGTCAAACTCCCACTCATTGTCCGGAAATTTATCGACAACAGCACACAATACATAGCTAATGCGTATACGAAGTTAATTGCCATTCAATTGTCATTCTCTACACATCGGCTGCCAATCAGTTACACGTGCACGCTTTACTTCCCGGCTACGACGACCGATTAAGACTGACTGAAGTATTGGACAAATCTAGAGCCAACACATGCATTTCAAGGTGCTTATTGTATGATTGCAATAGACCGACCGAAACGTTCTACGGGCCAATGTTGATCTGATTTACTGCAGGCTGACAAGTAATAGGGGCACGGCTGCTATAAAGCCGCATATACGTTTATGAGGATTGGCAACTATTGCATCATCCCGCATTTTTTTCAAACGCTGGCTTCGGAATTCATGGGTGTATACGCTCAAACCCAGAGGGATAAAAACTTTACTTGACAGCCAATCAAGCCACCCGCTGCGGTCGGCCCAAGTCTCTCTGCTGAAGATCAATTCTTGAAAACTTGAAAAAGAGGGTCGCGCATCCTGGCGATTCGCCCGTGATCCCACCCCATGCCCACCCGTAACAACTGGGCCAAGTCCGCGGTTGCCAGGGTCAGGCTCGCCCAGGAGAGCTATTTGCACGGCTGTCCACGTTGCCGATAACTAAGAGTTCGGTCGGCATTAGCCTCCTCGGCAACGCAGCGACAAGGCCCTTGCCTTCACCGGGTGCGCCCTGGGCTGGGAGTTAGCGTTAGCTCGAAAGGGCGGGCTGGAGTGGCTTGGTGGAGATTGGACGTCTTATTGGGCGCTTTGGTAACCTTGAACGCGTCTACAACGCTCCACCGTGCTAAGACGCCCGAGATCGCGATCGTGGTTATAGAGCAGATCATCTTCTCAAGCCGGAATGTGGTTCGGAGCATGGCGTTTGTGATATGGATAAGGACAGGAATAGTCCGTTGGCGCCATGCCAGATTCGAAGCTGGAAAAAAGAATGTGAAGGGGATACTGGTTGAATACAAGTTGGTAGGGAAGCCCTCATTTTTGTTTAGTGTAATGTGTGGGCCTTCTTTTTTGTATACAGTAGTTTTAGGCCCATACAGAAGACTCTACCTCATTCCCTTGGCTCTCTATGGAATACGTCCCAGCATCCAATGAAGCTGCTATAGCTTGATTGAAACTCACGTCATCTTCCGTATCCACCCGCCAAGCTGAATAACCCTCTTCGAAATCGTAGCTCTCCATCTTGTCAGCCCCAAAAGTACCAGCAGTCAATGGCTCCACGCCATTCTTCTCACCGGCAGCAGTTTTCCGCATTGCATCTAAGGACAGGATGTCTTGGTCGGTAGGGTGCTGTAGCTCATCGAGGATCGCAACGAAATTAGGGATATTCTCCAGGCTGACGGAAGAAGAGAGAGGTTCTGCGAGAGATACATATGCCTCGCTAATTACCGCCTTTTCTTCGGAAAATGTGAGTTTCTCATCACCTGACAAGGCGTGATACTCCCGGACCAGGTTAGGGAGGTAGTCATCGACAGCCTTTCCCAGCATGAGAACGTCGTCAACTTCATTGCAGGCGGAAGATTGATTTGCCGCCTGTTGAAAAGACTGGCTCCTCTGGCTGTAGTCTGTTGGTCCTTTTAGCACGACATGTATAGAGTAATGTAGAGCAGGACCGTGAATATCTTAACTTACAAGGCATAGGAATACCCTCCTTTGGGAAAAGAGTCTGATACAGGTCATTCCATTTCTGGAGCTCCGTGAGCTTGGACTGGCCCTTCTTAGACCTTACCTTGTCCTGCATTTCTGCGTCCATGCCTTCGACGACTGGCACCTCCTTTAAAGGGCAAGCAATGATGAGTCGGCAATGAGCTTTCAACGAACCAATATCGTCGAACGGGTCACCACATCGATAGCATTGGTGCTTCAGAAGCGTATGTTTACGGAACAAGTGTTCCCTTGCTGCGTTCAGCATTTTGTGATTGATACTGGATTCTGAGAGCTTACTTCACCTTGCTGACTTTCCACCAGCCAGGCCCCACACAGATCGGTTTGTTATGGTATAGATCTGGACGGCGTTGATAGTATGGACAAGCAAGCCGTTCCGTGGGTTCGCCGGAAGCAGGAATTGCATCTGGGCGCGCTGCCTTTGGGGCACGCAGATCGTCCTCGTCATCCTCACCATCCTCACCTGGACTGTTATCGTCCCCTGATGCCTTTCGGCTCCTGTCTTGGGCACTCTGTTTCCTGCTCTCGTTTTTCCTCTTGCCTAAAGATGATGAAGCGACAGTTTTGTGCTTTGAGTCATTTGCACCAGTCTGGGCTTGACGAGTTGCGAGCTCGACTTTAACTCGAATGGCATCGCGGTGGCGCTGCAAGAAAGAATGCAACAACCACAAGCTTACCGGGCGGAGACTCTCTGCACCAAGGCTCGCATACTCGGTTGGAGCCGCCAGGTTGCCCGACCGGTTTCTCGTGACGGTCTCCCTTACCTGCGGTAGCCATTCTCTGACCTCCCTAGGTGCAAAATACTGGTACATCTTATTAGATGAGATGTATCCTGGCTCATGGCGAAAACTCGTGACGTTAAATTCGTGGGCTAAACCAAATATCAGCAGCACTCACACTATATACATTGTGAAAGTAACGTGCAAGGACTGGGGATGTAAGCGCCTGGGAAAAGAAGGCGAAATATTTCCCGCCATTTGGTGGCGTCAGACCTCCGCCTAGTGGTTGTACTTTCAACTATATCCGAAATGCGGGCATGATCGGTATTTGTTACACCTTCCTCCTTGACATCGATATCATCTTGAAGGTCACAGCTGATTTTCGATCGTCGATGTTCTATTAGTTGCTGAACGGTCCCGAAAGACTCAACGCAGCGGGAACAAGGGACAGAATGAGCATGAGTATGCACGCCCAGGAGGTGCCGTCTGCATAAAGCATTAGAAAACGCGCGAAAGGGGCTGCTTGGAGGTCGTTGCTTGCTTGACGCTTGCAATAGAGCTGTGGGGATGACCACAGTCACGCCAGCTCCCGTATTTTGAGGGATCACGTTTATGAAAAGGACAAGCAAAGTGGTTCCGCTTTGTCTCCTTGATCGCTTGGTCCCGGGGCATGTAAGGATATACACCGAGACCATCCTCCCCGTCGTAGTCATCCTCGTTATCTTGCCTACCCCTTCGATAACCCTGGTTTAGGCAACTTCGGCCAGCTCCAGAAGGGTTGCTAGTCGTGTAGCCTCCCTGGGAGGGGCTTTGTGCTGAAGAGATAGTTCCTTCCGCCGTCTCTTCCAGGTCGATTGTATCGAGCAGGGAAAGACCTCTCACCGTCCGCGGTATTGACTCATCCCATTGATCTGCGGAGGAGTCTGTGGATCTCATGCTCTGTTGGCCATAGCCTATGTGCAGCCTGTGTGCCAAGCTGTAGCAGGACCGGCTTTTACCCTTAAGACGAGTCATTATGGCATATCCAACGATTTTCACGCGTGCGCGAAGGAACTAACTAAGAGAACCTCACAAGTGCAAGGCTACGACGTGGAATATATCCAACTCAGCTGCCCCCACTCACGTGATGCTGTTAATGTCGACACTGCGATAATCGCAGTGGCGTTCGCTAGTAGGACTATGGTAGCCTCAAATGCCAAGGCATCCTGAAGGGGCAAAGCTGGACTGAGATTATCTCAGTCGCAAATAATTGAAGCTATCTAATAATCGTAGATTATCGCATCTGGTATATGTGCGCTTTGTAGGGTATCAGGCCATGGTAAAAAGCGTTAAAATCATTTAAATAGAGTATAGATCCTCTCAGAGTCATGGACCTCAAGCCGTCGGCAGTAAACATTTCCTTTCTTTTCGCTCCACTGGAATCAATAATATGAGCACAGCTTCTAAAATGTCACAGAGAAACGAGGTGTAAGTACTAAATCTAAGAATCAATGTTGCTGGACCAACCTGGCAATGGGCAAATCCGAACGAAAGCGCCAGTGCTGACTTTGTCTTCTAAGCGACCCGCAAGGTCATCTGAAATCACAGGCGCTTGAGCGACAAGAGCGACTCAATGTCCTGTTCTTGAAGTTCAGCTCCCAATGCCCGGTCAGCGAGCGGCTAGTTTCGCGAACCGGCGGTTCCGCCGCCCGTCCATCTCAAGGAGCGCGAGACTTCTTAGTTGCCTGGGATAAAGGGTGGACTGAATGTACATCAGCATCAACGTCTGCTAAACGTTGAAGTATCTGACGTTGTGCCTCGAGGGCCGAATTCGTTAGAAGCGCAGGGGCCAGACCATGGCGAGCCACTACTGTTCAACAAGGCGCTGGATGAGGAAGATGAATGGTCTGTGTCACGTAGATAGTATATCTTCTACGTGCATCACGGGATTTGTTGCGTACCTGGAATTACCGCGACGTCAAACATGAGTACAGGGCACAGATACCCATAACAAGAACCGATACATAGATACTTTGCACGATCTATTTACCGCCATAGTAGCGACCCAGCGGTGCATGACCTTCTACATAACTGTTTAACGGGAGTTGATAATCACGGTAAAGCCTGAGTTGAGCACTGACCGTACGCATGTTCTTTCCACGGCGCATTGTATTGTACATCAGGGACGGAGCCGCCGGGAAGCTTGCCTTCGGTTGTCAACTTTGTCAGATTCGTGCGATTGTCAACCATAATTTATCAACCTGAAATGTTACAGGTCATGCGGAGGATGATCTCAGTATACACTAGGAACTCGTCTCTATCAAAGGTCTTTGGAAGGCAGGAAAACGACGACGAGAACGGCCGTGATTATACATCAGCACAAAGTGGGACAGCTGCTGGTGGCCACTCGTTGCTCTGGATCCACGGGTGGGGCAACAGTTTATAATACCATCCATGGACAAGTTGTGAGGGCCAAAGGGAGAAGCGACTAAACTGGCGGCATTACCATACTTATCGAGACCATCGTCTCCAGACTCCCCTCTTCCAGTGTCGGAAGCGCTGTGAGTATATAGTTGACTTCAAGGAATGAAACTCGGTGTACTACCAGGAGGCTATGCCCGTGAGTTGAGTGAAGTAAAAGCTGCACGTCAGGTGTACGAATCTGCCCGACGTAACACGGATCCCATGCCGGTCCGCGATGCGAAAGATGCTGTGTGTGTGTGTTTCCGGGCGGTAGTTGAGAGAAGAGGTAGCCGCCCATTGCTGATATATATACGTATCGACACACAGGGAGCAACTATCTACGAATGAACAGACGTCGGACGTGCAGGGGGCCTTTCGCGGGCCCGTTGCTTGACGTTGCGGTTGGCGCACGCTAGAGGCCGCCTAAGGCGCCCCGTTTCGTCATGCTGGCTCAGCCACCCCTGGTAGTGCTATGGTATGGTACACCCTGGCAGACCCCGTGTCGACCCCTGTCAAACCAACCCGCAACAGCAAAAAGTTAGACAACGAGGTGCCCTGCAATCTCGTGGACCCTGGAGTTGGCGCAGGCGTTTTCTGAAAGGCCGGGCTGCGCCTCCTGATTGATCGAGCGAGGACGACAGGGCGACACTTCGAGATTTTGGCAGCACATCGAGATGGGATTGCGTCGTCTCAATACATGGCATTCTCTCGTTAGACAATCCCCTCAATCCCACCGCCTCTTCTGCGCCCGCTGACGGGATATCGACATTCACACCGCAACCCACAAAGGGCCGGCCAAAGCCGCGAGAGAGCGACAGAGAAACCGGTTCGGGGCCCGAGCTGCCCCAGCTGACGCAGCTCTCTTGGCGACCCATCGTATTTCCTCATGCGACCGTTTGATTACCCAGCGCAGAAAGATCCACGATCGGCGGGCTTGGAGCGACCAGCGACACGACACCACAAATTCATCACGACACTCCCGGCCGACCATATTCTTCCTATACGACAGAGGGAGACGGCGCATTGGACGAGGCAACGACCGGCGTTCGAAGATTAGCCGCTCAGGTTCAGAAGCGCTCTCGGCGGCCGGATTGCCTGCGACGTCATTGGCACAAAGCACCAACTCGCCCGCTATCGATAAAAGGGCCCGCGGGCGACCCGACCTGACCACGACCGATTGAAAACAAGCGACGGGCGCGAGAGGGGGAAACCGACAGCGCTGTCGTCAAAAATGAATCTAACATGTAATTCGACGTTGGAGGAGATGCGAAGTATGTATCCCCTCCCCTTCCGCCCCAGATGCGGCTCAACCCAAGCCTCCGCCATGCCGTCTTGGCCCTCTTGTTCCTGCATGCCGAGCCGGCCTCTTCGAGTCGAGCCGTGGCGCCAAGAACGATGCTGACCGTCGACTCTCAATCATAGTCGGCTCCGAGACCAAGATCGCAGGGCCCTTTACTTTTCACCAGTTGGCCCTGATCATCGGCGGCGGTTGCGCCCTCATCGCCATCCTGACCAGCTTTTTCTTGATGTGGCAACATGCGCTCAACTACACCAAGCCGCGCGAGCAGAAGCACATCATCCGCATCCTCTTGATGGTCCCCATCTATTCGGCCTCCGCCTTCCTCTGCATCTGGTACTACTGGCACGCCGTGTATTTCCAGGTCCTTAGCGACTGCTATGAGGCCTTCGCCATCTCCTCCTTCTTCGCCCTCATGTGCCACTACATGGCCCCCGACCTGCACGACCAGAAGGAATACTTCAGGCAGATGCAGCCCGTCAAGCCATGGGTCTGGCCTCTCAACTGGATGGCCAAATGCTGCGGCGGCGACCGTGGGCCCTGGAGGACTCCCAAGAGCGGCCTGACCTGGTTCAACATTGTCTGGATTGGCATCTACCACTACTGCTTCATCCGCGTTGCCATGACCATCACCGCAGTCGTAACGCAGTATTTCGACCGATATTGCGAAAGCTCCAATAACCCGGTTTTCGCACACATCTGGGTAGGCTGCCCAACACAGGCCCCCTTTCTGTCGGTCATTCTGCAGGACATACAACTGACTTTCTCGCAGGTTCTCGTGGTCGAGTCCATCGCGGTCACCATTGCCATGTACTGCGTAATCCAATTCTACGTACAACTGAAAGAACCATTGGCAGAGCATAAGCCCTTCTTGAAGGTCATCGCCATCAAACTGGTCATCTTCTTATCCTTCTGGCAGTCGAGCGCCATCTCGGTCGGTACATCTACACTGCACATCGTCAACCCTAGCGACATCATGGCATATCCAGACCTCAAAGTCGGCATACCGTCCCTGCTACTATGCGTGGAGATGGCGCTGTTTTCCATTCTGCATCTTTGGGCTTTCTCTTACAAGCCGTACGTCCCGGGCGCCAAGCCTACTTATTACCCGGTTGCGGATCCAGCTCTGGGCCTGGCTGCCCGTGAGAATGAGCACGGGGCTCCCCAGGGCGGCCCCTTTGGGCTGAAGGCATTCTGGGATGCTTTGAACCTGTGGGACGTGGTGAAGGCGTTTGGCCGTGGCATTCGCTGGCTTTTCGTGGGCGTTAAGAAGCGCCATCTCGATCCCAGCTACAGCAAAAACAACACCAACCACAACAGTCTGGATACGAGTTACCCCATGAAATCGTACCCCGGGGCCAAGAGCACGGATCATCTGCCTATCGCGACTGAGTTTAGGCAGAGCACCTTCTACGGGAAAAACAGCCCGCTGGGTCGACGTAACGACGAAAGCGCAGGCCTGATCGACAACGCACAGGGTATCTCGGGCTCGCCCCCGCGAAGGAGGCAAAGCCCACCGTACCATGAGGAGCCTCAACGCGATGGTGCGGTACCGTCGTACGATGACACCCACAGGGACGAATACAACGATGGCCACCACACGCAGCAGCCCGACCAAGCCTACGATCCCCACAGGGGTGAGTACTATGAAGGCAATGCAATCCAACAAGCGGGCCAAGCTCATCGTCCGTATCAACCCTACTCGGAGTACGACAACGGGGAGGCGGGATACGGAGCTCCCCCTGGTGCTGCGAGCACCAGCAGTGGGAGCAGGAGACAACAGCAGAACCCGAGAAACTCAACACAGATGAAGGTCGGGAACGCGCTCTGGGGTGACCGAGGCAACCAAGGCGGACAAATATAGGATCTGCTAGGTCCAGGAGAGACGACAAAACAAGCAATAAACCAAGTATAGACGGCCCTAATCAAGGCCAGCAGGACCGGGCCTCGATTTCAGAGGGTCTCGAGGGAATGAAACGGACGGCGTTGGCAGGCGTACAGTTTTTTTTCCCCGGAAAGATACCATCGCCTAGGCGTGTTTTTTCTTCTTCTTTCTTCTTACATGTTGCATAGGGTTCTGGCTGCATCTGAAAGGGGGAGGAAAAAGAAGAGAGAACGGCGAAGCTTCAGATCTTCTTCATTCGTCATGTGTAATGATTTCCAGGCAGACCCAAGGCATGTACGTATATGTATATACAGATGACGACGCGGAGCTGGCGTTTGTGTTTCCCCTGCACCCCGCCCGGGATATGACTGGGACATGGCGTATCTAGAGCATGCCGCGCAATTGCATCGGATGCAGTTTTCACCTCTTGATTCTTCTTGCGGCTTTCTCCGTGCCCCTGACTTGCCCACACGTACATATATGCATGCCGATCCGTTACGACCGCCACGAGCAGGAACAAGTAGCCCAGATCGCTCGAATCGACGCAGTGGTTGCGTCTCGCACTCCTCCGCCTCACGTTTTTTGCACAGGGTCTCGAGACAGTCCAATTCAGGCAATTGCCATGTGCTTGAAACGGCGTTCAGATTTTCTATACAGGATCATAGTCACCGGGAACGCAGCGCTTGTTCTCTATTTTACACAAAAAGGGGCTTCATGCCCACCTCCCTGAAACCAAGCCGCCCGTTTTCTTCCAGCCGAACGCACCCGCGCCGGGCCAATGAGTAGTGCCGTATTATCTCTACTCAGCACCCACAACCATCGGGAGAAATAATACAAAAGGTTCAGTTTTCCTTGGTGTGGGTATCTCGTGCGCCGATAAAAATGTGAATAATGCGTGGAAAGAAATGTCATTGATTGAGTGAGTACAAGTCTGGCTCGCGGACCCGGGTCCAGCGCCGCCAAGATGAGAACAATATCTCGTCGGCTCGCCGCCTTCATCTGCTTGAGTGCATGCTAGTAGTTGTATTGATTGATATGTGGTGGACCGAGACAACCCTAAACGCCCTCAGCGCTGCCTTTTTATTTCACGATCTGGCGCTGTGATGTCGCAATGGTGAAACCCCTTCCAAGATTTCTTGCATATAAGAAAATGCCGTGTCAAATGGCTGCTTCCAGTCTCGTCCCCCTCAGCTCGTCCCCTTTCGTATGATGTTACACATGTACAGCGGCGTCTGTCTCCCTGCTCAGAACAGAGCCGGCTCCCAATATGGCACACCGCGCTCCTAGCGCTTCTGCCTTTTGTGTCCGTCTGACGGCGGCCCAGTGAAGGCGCCTTCGTCACTACGGCGCTTGCGGCTTCCTCTTCCTCCGTCTTCTCTTGCTCGGTGATCATGCGGTCCTCCACCCATTCCGCCAGCACCACCGCCACGGCCACCCCCACTGCTTCGACCATAATCTTCATGCCTGCCACTGCTGGTTCCCTCACCGCGGTGACGGCCATCTCCTCGGATACTGTTGGAGGCATCAGGCCCACGAGTATTAGGCCCCGCGGCTGAGAAGTCCCTTCCAGATCGCCGAGAGGGATCTCGTTCACCTTCCCGTGTACCACTGCTTGGCATGGGTACACCAGCATCACGCTCGCGATGATCGCGGTGGCTCTTGGACCGAGAGGAGTCGCGATTTGGACTGCGGCTAGTGTGGCGAGAACGAGATGAATGTTCCCCATGTTCATGGTGTCGTCGACTTGAACGCTCTCCACGCTCGCCACGACTGGATCGGTCATCTCCATTTGCTCCCCCTCTTCCAGACCCTGGTCCGCCTAGTTGTTCAACTCGCTCCTGCACGGGAGTTGTAACAGGGGATGCTCCTGTGAGTACTTGTGCATCGGAGCCAGCCAGATTACTTCGAGAGCTCCGGCTGCGGACAGTGCCACCGCGGCTCATGGTTTCTTGTGTAGGCCCTTGGGAACCCTGAAGAACGTTGTTGATGCCTGCCAGCTGCCTTCTACTTCCGGTTTTCGAGCGATCATTAGTTGCCGATGGACCAGTCGGCACAGACATTGGGGTGCCTTTGTCGGACGATGGCGTTGTTGGTAGACCTACTTGGATCTGACGATTGTGTGGACCAGTGGGAATCGGTGGTCTCTCAGGGGTCTGGAGTGGCGGCAAATGGTTCTGTCTGTGCTGTCCAGGGCCTGATGGCGGACCGTTTGGATCAATGCGGTTGAGCCTGTCAGGGTGGACGCCAACAGAGTTGGCCCCAGAACTTGGGAAAGAGACCTGAGGTGATGCTGGGCTAGAACTGGGGTTGAAGTGACGAAGTCTGTCTGGATGCATGCCTGTGGTGGGAGAATTAGTTGCTGGAGGCGTATTCATTGGATTTGCCCCAAGACCAGGGCCAGCAGGACCACGACGCGCCCTAGACGAAGCTGGACCTGAAGGCGGGTGGTTACGGTCAGGAGACGGTGCACGATGAGTGTCTTGACTTGGGTACCGCGCGTCGGGACGTGCAGGTGGCTGGTTAGCACCCTGTGGACCTCGAGCCATGTTACGACCGCGTCCTCGTGGTGCATCAGGTGGGTTGGAGTCAACGACAGATGGGATGGCGTTGAGACGCCCGTAGTTGGGGTCTTGTTGATGACTTCTGACATGCTCAGAATCACCACGCGAGCCCGCTGGGCCCGAGAAGGGGTTAACATCGCGCGGTCTGTCGGCCATGGGGCGATCGCCTTCGCGATCCGATCGTGGCCCGACAGGTGCAACCGGCTCGATGCGGCCATCCCTTGTCGGGGTCTGATGATCTGGTCTGTGCCGGCCTGGTCGATCATCGCGGCTAATGTCGACAGCGCGAACTTCTGATCGCTCCCTTCGAGGCGGCGAAGAGTGACGGGCGCTGCGCTCACGACTTTCCTCCCGAGATGGGCGACCAGCAGGTCGGCCATCGTTAATCAGAGCGGCACGGGCCGGATTGACATTGTCGCCAGGCGTACCGATCAACCGTGCGCGCTCGGGATTTACAGTTGGACCCTGGGTATCGGGTTGCGCTGGTGGCGGCATTGCTTGAGCGTCAGCAAGTGGCAACCGCGGAGGTCGGTTGGACTCAGCAGGTCGGTTCAATGAATCAGCACTTGGTGCTCGATCCCGGGACTGACGTGTCTCCCTCTCGGCCATTGGTGGCTCCCAGCGCGGCGGACCGTCTGGACGAGGTCCCCGATCTCTGTCTGACCGTGAAGTATCTCGAGGAGCAGACTCGAGCGAACGCCGATCGGCACCGTGAGTTTCTCTTCCCCGAGACGATCTCGCGTTGTCGGGCTGCCTGGGTTCCTTAACATCTCGAGAATCCTTGGGCGTTCGCGGATCTCTGTGTTCTCTAGGATCCCTCGGGTCTCTTTGCTCTCTCTGCTCTCTGGCCTCACGGGCTTCAGCCATACGAATGTGGCCTCGCTCATCCTGGTTGAAATGACCAGGGATGGGCACGTCCGGTCGACTGGGCAGCCCAGGCGGAAGCATTCCGAGTGTTGACAGCTTTGATGACTCCCGCCGGCTATGAGGCGCAGGACTGTGGTTGTTAGATCTGACGGGTGGTGTAGAAGGGCGACTTGATGCTCTCGCCGCATCCACGCGTTGCGGCATAGGTGCTGCTCTGAGTGCGTCAGCAGAGGGTGATTCCGAATCCTTTGCTCCATTGTCTGCTGCAGGAATGGTTGCTTGAGGCTTGCTATCTTTGACCTCGCCATCTTCGTCCTCAGCGGCTGGTTTTCCGCGAATTGGCTTAGCCGAAGTCTGGTTAGGCCTAAATTCAGAAGCGCTGGGTCGCAAGTTCGAGGCCTTCGCGCTCTTGACCGCTTCTGCGGCCTTGTCATCCGATGGGTCACCTGCCTGCCAGGGGTTTAGTTGCTGCTTTGTTCTAGCGGTGTCTGGGAGAACTTACGTTGTTGGGTCGGAAAGCTTGGACGATTACCCATCGTGACTCATGCTTCTTCAAAGCCGAAGCAGCCGTATTTGCTGTGACTGACAGGTCGACGCGATGGTTCTGTCCATCTTCGTCATTCTTCGTGGCTGCTTCGCGTTGGGCGATCTGCTGCAGGGTCTGCAGGAACTGTTTGCCATGGAAATTGACAGCTGGGAAATAGTCAAGAATAGATTTGAGAATGGTGATGGAGTTGCGGATATGCATCCATTCGGTCCCGGTAAGACAAGCTTTCAAAGCTGTTGCCAAATTCCTATGCCATGACCACAGCTGATCTTGAAACTGGCCATGATCCATGACGGTTGCAGGTTTACCCTCGGGAGTAGCAGCACCGGTGAAGGCCGGGTGTTTGCCATTCTTGGTGGCTTCCTTCTCGAATACATCCTTGCTTTTATGCCATCGAGACAGCTCTCCGAGCGCTAATTTGATGAAACGGCCAAGGAATTCGGCCTCTCGGACTGTGCATCCGAAAATCAATGATCGCAACCTGTTTTGAGTGAACAGACGGTCATAGAGAACCATGATGTTAAAGTTTGCCACTTGATTGTCGTGAAGAAACTTGATAATCTTGTAGCAAAAGTCCGCATCGCCGGGTGCAAGCAGAAGTCGGGGGATAAGACATTCCTCGAGCAGAGTGTCTGCGCCGCCATTTGACTTGGACATCGCGACTGGAATCCACGTTGGAGCAGATTTCAGTAGTAACATCCTCGTCTTAGAAACCCTTTCCTGACATTGACTAGCCTCAGCGGAAAGTTTTGTGGCCAATTGCGTGATGTCGGCTTTTCTCTGCTCAGCTTTAGCACGCCCAGTTCGGGTCATGTCGCTCCTGTCCCTCTTGATGAACTCCTGCTCTCTCTGAAGGCGGAGTGATTCATCGTTGTAGCTCTTCGCAGGAATACCCAGGTCGCCAGTCTGCAGAGACCAAAAGAGTACGTAGAAGTCAGGGCTGATAGAAGTCCAGACCGTGGAGGGTAGCAGCGTCTGGACGGTATCCAGGATAGGCCGGAGCACTTCAGAGAAATGATCTGCCTTTCGAGCATTGGTAATGAGAGGCGGAGAGCCTTCCGCTGGTATCTCCTTGGCTCCCTGGTCATCAACCACCATGGCATCGTCCGAAATCGTTGGCATAGATGGCAGAGGGGTCTCAGCCGCTTCCTTGGCCTCCACCACCATGTCGCCTTCGACAGCAGCAGCGATGTCAGGGGTATCCGATAGTCGTCTTCCTTTGGCAACCGCCGCCCCGGGACCAGTCAAGTAGTAGGCCAGACTAACACGGCCAATTAAGAAAGCTAAGTTTGCGTCAAGACCAAAGTCGGTCATCAGGCGCGGTATACTCGGGATCAGAGCGTCAAATTGGTCCGGCGTCAAATTGCTCCTGAGCAGCTCGACATATTGAACAAGCGCTTGTTGTGAATCATCGATGAGTGTCGCCAGGTACTTGATGTGAGTCTCGCTTTCCGGTAGATTGTAGATTGCCGATTGCCTGTACTGCGCAATGTTGGCAAGCAGGCGGGGTGCAAGTTTCGTTTGGACCAAGGCATGCATCAGGCGAGAGGCGCTCTTCCCAGATTCGAAACGCTTATCACCAAGATTGATGAACGTCTGTTTCCTGAGTTCCTCTCCGCCACTCAGAGCTGCCAGTTGTGCATCGGTGAAGTCAACGTCCGACACAATTCCTCCCATCGAAGTGATAAGCTCCCTCATAATGACCAGATCAGTTGAATTGCCTCGAGAAAGCTGGTCGTTGACGTATTGAATAACGGGGGTGGGATCCACGTTAGAATAACGACGGAACACCTTGCCGGAGAACTTGGACAGTGCCTGCAACCACTTGCTCGTGAGCAGAACTGATCCCTCTTGGGTCCGACTTCGTTGCTTGCCACCAAGGGAACTCATGAGTGACCAGACGAGCACATCGTTACCCAAATCCGTGAAATACCTTGTGCATTCCACGAAAGCCTCGATCAAGTTGCTGTAAGCCTCGATCTGGTCCAGAGCGACCTTGCAAACCACTCCTGGGGAGAAAAGAGCGACCTTGGCCATAAGCTTGGCTGATTTGGTAAGGTTCTCTTTCGACAGACGCTTTAGAAGAGACAGCGTATCCAGGCGGGCATACTTGAAGGCTTTGGTCGTTGCGGGCAACCGTGAGATTGAGCCCTCATAGCATTCAGCATAGATGTTGTATCGCACCTCGGTAGGGTAATGATTAAGAAGTGCCCATACAGAGTCCACGACATCCACGTTGGAGGTAGTCAAATGGAGTGCTGGGAATATGGTGCGTTTCAGAAGATCCCGCCATCGCTCGAGATTCTGTGGTGATTTATCTTCCTGAAGGCTCTTGGCACCAATCGCAGTCAGCTTTCGCAGCAGCATTGGTGATCTACCAATGTTGACGCCTGAGATATTGAGAAGAGTGCCGCACAGCGTGAACATGTCATCGATGGTCTGACAAATTGGCACGTTGTCCGTCCACTCCTTGAGGTAGTGTTCATAGGGTGTACCTCTGTTGAAGCCGTCGGCGTGTGGCCACTTCAAAGTCTTCGGCGGGGCTCTCTCAACTAATCTCACAGTACCCTTCGGAACACCTGACTGATCTTGTGCAAGGTCTTTCTTCAGGGGGATTACTGTAACTGGCTTTGCATTGCTGGACCGAGTTTCTTGATAGACCTTGTCGATGGAGTAGAGAAGTATCCGATTGATTGGTGAGATGATTTCTTCAGGGTAAGAATCAGTGAGCCAGTTGAAACGGCCCAGCATGAACAGTGCCTCAGGGATAGCTCCCACAAGGAGTAAGTGCTGGACCAGATCCACCTTGAGAACCTCCTTCGGCTCGGGAAGACCTTGATCGGTGGCATCCGTGGTGGTCGTGTCTTTCTGGCTAGGGTCAGGCTTGGCGGTGGCGTTCTCGCCCCTTCGCATCATGGTGGAGGTTGGCATCGTGTCGTCCGGAAGGGCGCCAGCCTTGAGCAGAGCATTCGGCTCAGCACCCTGCCTATCTTTCTTCTCTTTCTCCTCCAACTCTTGTGCACGCCTCTCCTTCACAGCATCCATCTTGTCGTCAGAAGGCCATAGATGCGCATACAGGTCCGGCAGCGAGATGAACCCAATCTTGATCAGATAGGCAGCGAGGTAGAACAAGTTCGCAGGAATGATCTCATCCTTGTCTCTGGCTTCCGATGTGTAGTACTGTAGTTTGAAGCCGAAGAGTTGCGCAGCAACACGATTGCCGCATGGAGGTAAAGTCTTGGTAGACCTGATCCATTCAATCTCGGTGTCTTGATTGGACCCTGCACCGATGGCGGAGGCGGCATAGCTTTCGAGGTCAGCATCAGTAGCTTGCCGCCCACCAAGCTCGAAGAAAGCATCCAGATGAAGTTCGCGTGCCCTATCCCAAAAAGCAATGTCGCGTTGCTGCCGTTTCATGTCCATATCAGCCTGCTCCTCAGGGGTTGGAAGAAAGGTAGCGCCTGGAATGGCCCATCGCGGTAGGCCGCCAGTCAGCACCGGGTCGTAGCGGTCGATCTGGTTGCGTGGCCACCATGAGCTTGCTCGAAGGAACATTGTGAAGTAGCGGAAAGTTCTCATCATGGTCGATGCGAAGACATCAAATACAATGTCCAGGACCCGGCCGACATCGATGTCAAAGGTGCCGATAAGGCCCTTGATGCGCTCAAAGCCTGCTTCCACCTGCTCCTTGGTGAGTTGTTCCTGATTCATGGTGTGAGCTGTGCAGTACAGCTCCGTGATGAGCTTGGCAAACCCTTCAGACTCTTCGCGCAGGAGGTTGTAGTTGGACTGGCGGTATAGTGCGTTTGTAGCGTATCGAACACCCATCTTAGCGAAGGTGCTCCGGATCATGCCGAGATGCACCAACAAATCAGGTTCGAGGGACTGTCGCAGAAGGTTAGGTGAAATATCCGTGGCAAGTATGAAGTCTCGGAACTGATATCCGAGGTCGTCCTTCTCGCTGTCGACGAAGACGGAGATACTATCAACGAACAGGCTGTGAGGGTCGAAGCTACAGTCTGTTCTGTCATCGTCTCCAGCCGCAGGATCCGGCCCCAGGATTTCCTTGATGCATGCCCCGGCATCAGCTGGATCCAGACGGTTTTCCAGGACGGCACGGGTGAACTCCTGTGATATCGTGGAGATTTCTTCGATATCCTCATCATCTCTTGACGCAATGCCATGCTGCACCACCTCCTGGCGACCGCCCTCTTGCCATGATCCAAGTCGGGCATCGGTCAGGACGGCATAGCTGTACTTGGTCTGGATAACGGGGGAGCGTGGTCGGGCTGGTTGGGTGAAGTGAGGCACAGACGCCGAAGGGGTCGAGGGGGCAAGTGCGGAAGGTTGCGTTGGGCCTTGCGACGAGGAGCTGGGCGGTCGTTGGGTGGTTGGCGAGATGGGACCTTGATTTCTGCCACCCATGTTGCCGAACGAATTCCTGCGCTCTCCATTTCTTCCTCTAGTGTTTCCTCTGCCAGCACCGGAGCGGCGACGATGATCTTGACCATCTCGGTCATGCTGGCCCAAGGCAGTCTCGGCAGGACGATGGGGAGAGGGGCGGCCAGCTGCGTCAGAGGCAGGCTCGATTCTTTTGCGCTTTGGAGGCATCTTGACTTGTCGCTCGAAGACTACAGGGAGTTGGTCATTATGGAACCGGGCAAGTCGGAATCGAAGAGGACATACGGCTTCGGGGGATGAGGACAAAGGCCAAGCGAGTCGTGGGGTCTGTCGCCGACGGGGATCAAAGGCTGACACGTTCGAAGGATGCGAGGAGGGCGCTGGGTGCAGCTTCGCTTTGCCGGCTTCGGTGAGAATCCGCCGGTGGGCTCATTTGCTGGTTGCCAGCGGTGCTCGACTGCGACAAGCTGGGCCGGCGCAGTTTCTCTCAACGAAGGGCAGACTAACGAGGCAGGCGTGGAGAGGATGTGACGTGTGGCCCCAGGCTGGAAAGAAGTTGGGGACCGGGTAGCAGAATGAGGGACAGCAGAGATAAAGAAAAAATGGGCATTAGAATATGCCGGCGGCCAGAAGCTTTGGCCAGAAACCAGAACAAGCTGCAGAGATTCGCCGTCCCCTTACAGCAGCTGGACTCGAGTCAACGGTGACGATGTCGTCAAAGTCGCGTCCAAAAGCTGGTGAAGCTATCTCACGCGGCTTGGGTGGATTGGCTCAGACCAGACAGCAGACGGGGGACTGCGACCGACGAGACCGACCTGAGGTCTAGACAAGGCGCAAGCTGCCAGGTGCCAGGTGCAAGGTGCAAGGTGCAAGGCTACCCTTTGACCAAGTTTACCTGCAAACAGCGATGCAGGTACTGTAGACTGGCGCTGTGCTGCCGGGTGCTGTGACGGGGACAGGTAGTCGGTACTTTGGCGCCCGTCCGCGGAATAGCCGGCCGTTGGTCGGACTTAGGTAAGCGCGCGCTAAGCCGCTTTTTCACTTGGGAGCTGCTCTCAAGAGTCATCCAGGTGGGAGTCTGCTATCTGCCGAGTGCAATTCGCCGAGCATTTGGGGGAAAAACCACAAGCCGAAGACTTCGTTCTTCACTGCCGTGCATCTGCTCAACCCCAAGCTCCGTTGCACATTCGATTGAGCTCATCAATTGCCTACACCACAGGCACTGAGCGTATATCTGACCCTTGGTCTTGCTCGACCAGCTTGAGCTATCTACATAGGTAGTCGGTCACGTCACGCATACCCCGCCGGCATTCGACTTCTCGAAATGGCCGGTCAAGAGAACAATGGCACTCAGCCAGCATACGGTCAGTTCTTGCCAACCCCCTCATTAGTCTCTGCCAATCCATTCTTTTCTCCCTTCGAGCTCGTTGCCAAAGGACAGTGACTGAATACTTCCAAGAAAGAACTCGGCAGCAGCCTGAGAATCCATATGTAAACCTGATCCCTGATCAGGAGATTGCCATCATACCCTCTTTCACTCTCGAGTCTGGTGTGACGTTGCACAATGTGCCGTTGGCATACACGACCCGGGGCAAGCTCTCGCCCAACAAAGACAATGCCATGGTCATTTGTCATGCCCTGACTGGAAGTGCCGATGTGAGCGATTGGTGGGGTCCTCTTTTGGGAGGTCCTGGCCGGGCTTTCGACACATCTAGATTCTTTGTCATCTGCATGAACAGTCTGGGCAGCCCTTACGGCACCGCCAGCCCTGTTACTGCCAAGGAGGGCGACCAGAGCAATGAGAGATACGGCCCTGAATTCCCCTTGACCACTATCCGGGATGATGTAAAGTAAGAGTTGCAACTCCCCCCTTTCCATCCCGACGCAGCGCTGACATACCACAGCCTACACAAGTTGCTGCTCGATGACTTGGGCGTGCGTCAAGTAGCTGCTGTCGTTGGAGGCTCTATGGGAGGCATGCTGGTTCTGGAGTGGGCCTACTTTGGTAAAGGCTACGTCCGCTGCATTGTGCCCATCGCAACATCAAGCCGCCACAGTGCCTGGGGCATCAGTTGGGGCGAGGCTCAGCGACAGAGCATCTATGCCGACCCCAAGTACGATGATGGCTACTACAGCTTTGAAGACCCTCCGGTCACTGGCTTGGGGGCAGCTCGCATGTCGGCCCTGTTGACGTACCGTAGTAGAAACTCGTTCGAGGCTCGGTTTGGCCGGAACATACCCGACCCTGCCAGAAAGCAGACGATCACGGAACGGCCACGATCAAGCACGCCTTCTGAAGCTCACTTCAACATCCACAACGACGGACACAAAGTGACACGCTCCTCTGTCTCGCGGACCAACAGCAACGACCTTGGCAAGAAGCCAAGTGACATCTCAGCTGCAGAGGGAGCAGCTTCCGACCCCCAGTTTTCTGGACCCAAGGCGGATAGCTTGACAGGAGGCGATAAGATACCCGCAACAACGTATTTCTCCGCACAATCATACTTGCGCTACCAGGGCCAGAAGTTCGTAAAGCGCTTCGACAGCAACTGTTACATCGCTATTACCCGGAAGCTCGATACTCATGACGTGTCCCGCTACCGCGCAGATTCGATTCCTGAGGCACTGGCTCTTATTGAGCAACCGACGCTCGTGCTCGGCATCGAGAGCGATGGACTCTTCACCTTTGCCGAGCAGCAGGAGATCGCGCAGCACGTGCGAAATGCGAGGCTGAAGGAGATTGTCAGTCAGGAAGGACACGACGCGTTCCTGTTGCAGTTTGAGCAGGTGAACAAGTATCTCCTGGAGTTCATGCACGAGGTTCTCCCGGACATCATGGAGAGGGAAGGAGATGTAATTGAGGCTGCATCAGTGGGAGAGATGACAAAGTCGAGTGTATTTGGCGAGGCTGAGGTAGAGGATATCACTGCTTGGTAGACTGGTTAAATGTCGATTACCAAAATGAACATTGGCCGTTCCGAACCGCCCCCTGAGTGACTTTGTTGCCTTCGTTATACCTGGGGCATTTGGTCACGACTCCAATGTGCCGGGTTCGAGGCGACGCCTTTCGTAACAAGAGTTCTGGTCTTGTTACGGCGATTCCTCATATTGTCCCGTTTGTCCTTGTGTCCCTGGCCTCAGCCGGCTCATTGTCCGTTTCCCCCCTGCATGATACTACTGCCGGCAATATGCTCTCAACTCGTCCTCCCCTGATATCTCGTCAACGCCCTAATCCCGGTAACGGCAACCCAACCAATCACGATCGCTGTGACCGCTATCCGTACCTCCCTCATGGCACCCACAACCGAGGAGTCAATGTGGATGGCGTGCAAGTGCTTGATGGCGCCAGAGTGTTCTGCGGCGAGGGCGAATGATTCCATGGCCAAGGATGCAGACGGGGAAGGTCTCTAGAAATGGATGCGGAGTGGGGGCCAGTGAAAGCACTGGGAATAAAACAAATGGAATGTACCTTCGCTGTGGATGTGGTGGTAGTAACGGGTGCTTATCTGGTGGTGCCTATGTACAGGTCGCAGAAGACGTCAAGACTTTTGGCGCGTTAGCGCGCACTGTTTAGTTGACTGGCCAACTCGGAAAAATTGTCAGTATGGCTTCTAATATTCGCACTGTACGTCGACATTGTAATAAATCCACAAGACGAGCAAATTGACATCGTCTTTACCATTTACTGCGTATGGTACCCACATGGTACACAGGTCTGTGTAAGTGTCTACACATATGTGGCTTATAGTAATGGTCTAATGGCAGCCCTACGGCGTTTGAGTTCATGTCAGTACATTACTCGATCCCGCGGTGTTGTAAGCGGTTATGTCTTTTTCCAAAGACCCATGGATTTTTCGGACGTTAGCTCTCGTCACTGAGTCTAGATGAGCCTGGTGTCTTTGCATAAGTTAATAAGCTTTGGGGGAGAGCTTCGTTGGGGTTCCAAGCCGTTGCTAATGCCGTTTCTGGTGTTTTCACGCCAGGGGAAAGTCACTAGACCCCGCGCCCAAGCTATGCAGGGACAGTGCATGCTGTGAATACAAAGTTATGAATTTAAGCTTTCGGCAGCTGAAGTTGCAGACCTCTGCGATCTGCAAGGTGCCTTCCGAGAAATGCCGAGTAGAAGGACTCAGTTAAGGAGAAGATCGAGTCGTTGATAGATCTATCGCGCGTGTTAGGTGTGACACGAAGCTAAGGCCACCGAGCAGGCCATAAGTAGAGGATTTCCGTTCAGCGCCCGACCGCTGAACTGAAGCGGCCTCGGCTTCGAAGCGATGTTCCGAAACCTTGTCCGCGTTCCATGCGCTCGGGTGTCGAGATATGGGAATAAGCCACGAACCTGGCATTGTAGCCTCCAGATAATCGTTGTGGTTCCTATTGTTGGAGCACGTTCTTCAAACGGAGAACATGATTGGTGGGTGGCTGCTTACACCCGACGACAACCAAAAATCATCTGACATGACGCCAGAATTGCTCAAAAGTTGGGTCACATTATTGCATTCAACCCTGAAAGTAGCGCTTGGCAGTAAGTCAGAAGAGAGGCCTCTGAAGACAGAGCTCATCGTCAAAATGCCTCTTTGGCTGTTGTTGGCTGGTATAGTCCGCGGTTGAAGTTAGGAAATGATACGACCGAAAAGGAAATAGCGCCATCGCCGCACCTCGAATTCATTCATGTACCGTTCCTACCCACGCAGCCACGTCTTGTAGTCGTGTCACGACTGCAATGAAGGAGCAAATCGGACCCTTTGTGGCATATAGGACTCCATTTCGTGACAAAATATGTCCCAGGGCTGAAGAGCCCGGATTTGCACGTGGCCCAGGTACGGGTCCTGCCAGTCGTGGCATTGGGCAAAAAGCAAAAAGGTACATCAAAGACTTAAATCCCTCTTTCATCATTCACAAGCAACATACCTACGGGTCCGGTTCCTCGTGGCAGAGTCGTTGCCGGAATGAAGCAACAGCTACACAGTAGCTTACATGGGCTCGGCCTGCTCGGCTATGCTGCAGCCACGTTCCTCGCGATCCTGACACCGAGACCGTGGGACAAAGCAGTTAAGAGTGGGCCATTCTGGAACGTCGTTAGCCTTCTAACTAAATAAGTGACCGAGACCGTTGCGCGTTGGCATACTGTCGACTATTACGTATTGTCGAGGCCGCTGTTGTGGGTAGTCTCATGCCACGAGTCGTACTCATTACATAGTTGCCTTTCTCTTACAGTTGAAAGAGAGGCAACAGGATAACATGCCACTTGTGTTAAATGTAGCAAGAGCGTGCGCTTACATGCCTCACATGTCTTTATTTGATACCCCTCCACAGGGAGAATTGCTTACCCCTGCCTGGCGGGACTAAATTGGGGGTCGATGTCATGCCATGAGGCTAGACGATTGGATGGAGCGTCGGCTCGACCCTTGTGTACCCTTGACATGAGGCTGTGGGCGCCACCACCCATCTCAGTTATTAATGGGAGGGTTTGCAGGTCGCATTGGTCGGGCGGCGGGCTTTTCGACTACATATCGGCAGCCCTATCCGCTGACTGAGCATTTGGTCCGTGTTTGACCTCCAAGTTGATCTTACCTTTGAATCACAACCCACCTTGCAATACTCTCGACCATTCGCTCCTCATTGCAGTGCTCCGTACCTCGATACCCTCTCCCTCAGCACTGGTTTATAGCCTTGCGATCGTGTCATGATTATCCCATAAGAGCCGAGTGCGAGCTTCTCGCCTTCTCGGCAGGCCAGACCGAAACAACGTTACACGCTAGGTCACTGGCCGTAGCCTGATGCCCTTGCTGACATACGAATCGAAATGGACATGTTACCGGAGCCGGCGGTTCCCGCCACTCGTGCTCGAACATATGGAGGGAACCGGGCATTCCACAATTTCTTCAATGACTTCAGTCACATCCAAGACCCGAACCTGAGGAGGAGACTAGCCTTGTCTGAGATCGACAAGATCCCTTTCGGCTCCTACCACCTCAGAGCGATCGCGGTTGCGGGAATAGGCTTTTTCCTAGACTCTTACGACATATTCGCTATCAATCTTATCACGACGCTTCTGGGCGTTGTCTTCTGGCAGGGGCCACCGGAAACTGCGAAGAACGGGTACGGAGGTAATTACGGAACCCTGCCGACGCCCGTTAGCACGACACTGAAAGCCTCGACAAGCGCTGGCATTGTTGTCGGACAACTGCTCTTTGGGTGGCTTGCCGACGTATTCGGGAGAAGGAGGATGTATGGTATCGAGTTGGGAATTATCGTTGTGGCCACTTTCGCATCCACATTGGTCGCGCCAAGTCAATCCATGAGCTTCACGGGGTTGATGACATTCTGGAGAGTTGTCATGGGGTAAGACAAACAGTCCAAAAGTGGTTGGAACCATGTCTAATCAAGAGACAGGGTGGGAATCGGCGGTGACTATCCCTTGAGCTCGGTGATCACATCAGAATTTGCTCCAACTCGATGGCGAGGTGCAATGATGGCAGCAGTCTTCAGTATGCAGGGCTTCGGGCAACTTATTGCTGCGATAGTAGCTCTCATCGTGACAGCAGCTTTCAAAGATGCCTATCATGGCGCACCGAATGTGGCATCTTGCGATTATATCTGCCAAACCGCCGCAGATAGATCCTGGAGGATAATTGTCGGCGTTGGCGCCGTTCCGGTACGCCGACTCTGATTCCCACTTCTCCCTGGCCTATATCCTATATTGTTTGAAGAAGTATTTGTTATTCGAGAATGCAACGCTAACCCCTGATTGTGCCAAAGGCCTGCTTTGCCCTATATTACCGCATTACGATACCAGAGACACCGCGCTACACATTTGAAATTGCCAAGGACGTCGAGAAAGCCGATGCCGACATCAAGGCATATGTGGCGAGCAAGTCCGAAGGAGAGGTCGACGAAGTCAAACGGGCGAGAATGAAGAGAGTGGCGTCTCCAGCGCTGAACGTGCCCGCTGCTTCTTGGCCCGACCTCTTCTCTTATTTCAAGCAGTGGAGGAATGCGAAGATGCTCATTGGGACCACTTTATCTTGGTTCTTCCTGGTAATTTCACTTCTCCCATGTAGCTTGAGTGCCACTAACTTCGGCATAGGATCTTGCCTTTTATGGCCTGGGGTTGAATAACTCCATAGTATTGCATGCAATAGGCTATGCAAGCGGGAAGACCCTCTACGAGCAACTTTACAACAACGCAATTGGCACCATCATTCTGACGGTTGCCGGTTCTCTCCCCGGATACTGGACGGCGATATTTACGATCGACACAATAGGCCGGAAGCCTTTACAGGTATTTGGCTTCATATTTCTGACCATAATATTTTGCATTCTGGGATTTTGCTACAGACATCTGAACCAAGGTGCCATGCTGGCCTTGTATGTCATTGCCCAGTTCTTCTTCAACTGGGGACCGAACACGACGACATTCATTGTGCCTGGGGAATGTTATCCCACGCGGTATAGGTCCTCTGGACATGGCCTCTCCGCAGCCATGGGGAAAATCGGCGCCATAATTGCACAAGTGGTGTCTATACCCCTGTTGAGTAAAGATTCTCCGGCGGACTGCACGGGCGACAGCTGTTCACCTTGGCTGGGTCGCCTCATGCAGATATTCGCGCTGTTCATGTTATGCGGGACTTTCGTCTCGTTGCTCATTCCCGAAACAAAAGGCGTGACTCTCGAAGAACTGGCCGGCGAAGAGCCAACCTCCTATAACGCGGGCCGTAATGGGAGCATTGTTGTGGCGCCAAAGAAGTGGTGGAACCTGTTCTCTGGAGGACAGCCGGCAGGGTTCTTTTATCCTCGAGCTGCAAAGGGTAACTGGGGGAAGGCTCAGCGTATGGGGATCATGACGTCGCCAGAGCTCGCAGCACAGCAAGCACAGGAGATGAGGAACTCGCCAAAGAAATGGAGACGAAATCGCGGCGGCAGCGAGGATACGGATCATTACGACTTCGAAAGCACCAGCTCGACAACAGGAATTGTCGGTGGCGGGAACGCACGACAGATGGGCGAAACGAATAGGAGCCAGGGAGGAGTGTTTCCGGGATGGGGAGCCGGATGGGGGAGAATAGATAGAGGGGGAAATCCAACTTCTGTCGAGAACATTGGACTGCAAGATGTAGGTAATCTATTGCGGTGACAAATCGCCGCCACATATAATACAAAGGAAGTCCACTCAAGCAGCACCCTGATCAAATGAGGTAGTATGTGTACGAAATGTGACCAGCGACTTGACTGATTCCTCTGATTAATATCTTACCGCACGAGAATCCGTCTATCTACATAAAAGCCTCATCCAAAACCCGATTCGGATCGAGTTCCAGGGGTGCGATTGGCGAGGTCCTTGTAAATACATTGCGCAAGAGTCAACTTGACTCTCATCATCTCCTATGCCAGATGCTGGATCTTGCTAAACCTTGCCAGATCATTAGTGCATATGCTCCAAGGTCGTAAATATACCATCTAGCATGCTACTTCATTCCTCGCAGAACATTCAGGGCCGCTTTGAAGTCGGCTATGTCCGCGTCAAGCTTGTCCCTCTGAGCTTTGACCGAAATGTCCTCCCCAGCAATCATCTCAAGTTGTTCGTCATCCAGGCTCATGATGAGCTCGGGTGTAAAGATTTTGAGAGGGCTCTCATCACCAATTAACAAGAAGTGATCCACCGCCTGCTGGAAGACGTTGTCGACAAAACGTTTCATCGCAACCTTGTAATAGCTTTGGAGGACGTCATGGATATGCTCACAAGCATGTTCAGAGTTTGCCTTATTGATGACAATATTCTTCAGCTTCTCCACTGAAATAAATGCTTGATCTCCATCCTTTGAAGTGACCTGAGAGCCCTTCGTTTTAGCTGTTAGGCGTTGACTGTGAGCCTTCTGCAGGTTGTCGTTGAAATAGTGATTCAGCGTGTAGGGTCGACCACCTTGATCAACTTGCAGCAGAAATTTGGCGTGATTCATTGCTCGAGCATATGCACTTTGAAGGCCTTCGATCAATAGATCATTCCAGAGTGTTTCGAAGATGGCTTTGTCGAGACAGGCATCATGCAGGGCCTCCTTCATGAAGTGATGGACGAAACAAATGGCGATGCTGACATACTGTAGCGTCAAAGGCTCCCAGTTTTTCGACTGCTCTTTGAACAGACTGGCAAGTAGCCAACCACCAAACTATAACTTGCATTAGTATCATTACCACTTTAAATGACGGTGATCATTGCGCATCAGCATGCCATGCCGCATGTGCCTGTATGCCTTCGACGACGCATCTGAACAATTAGACTCACAGAAGCAAGATCAGCGCTACGACTTTGATTGTACATCGACCTGATGTAGGTCATTATGTCTTCATCTCCCACATGGAGTGAGTCATCAAGCTTCAGAATTGAGTCCAACTCAGGGAAATCGTTGAGATTGACGGCCTTGCTTGATTTTCCATCGATGTGCTGCTTGAATGCGTGAGGGATAACAAGTCGAATGTCGCTATCGACGCCTGAGGTGATTGAGTCGTCCTTACTGTTCGCATCAATGCAAGATTCAGCATCTGCGATCAACTCGGATTTGTCGTTTTCCAATTCATTCTCAGACCGCCGCGTTCTACCCTGTTTGGTCATAATCTCCGAGTATATTTCGCTCAGTTCCAAAACTCTCGTGATCAGCCGGAGGCTATCGTGACTGAAGAGACTCTTGTTGGTCATGTAGTTCGCATCGAGCCCATCACGGACGCTGGACTGGAACCGAGTACATATAGTGCTCAGTAAAGCCCTTTGCGCCTGTGGGTTGTTTCGCGAGACCCCCATGGCATCACGTCGCTTGTGAAGGTGCTCGAGCTCGCTACTCACCTCCTGCTTCAACTTGGGGAACTCGCTTTTGATGAGATTAGACAAGACCTTGCGCACTTGGATCTTCAGAGCACTGGTACCAGCTCGGCCGGTGCTCTGGAGGATAGACCAAGGCTCCTGAGCAAAGAACTGTGCTTCATCACGCTGGCATTCCTTAAGAGACTTCTTGTCATCATCGGAGCCACGATTCTTGACAATGTAGTAACCCATTGTCAAATCGCTCCTCTTGCCTGTGACATGATCGATGGCAATCTTCTGGGTAGCTCGTTCGATGTTCAAGTCAGGCTTGGTCAGGACTCCCATGGTTCGAGTCATGGTTGGGTCGACTTCTTTGGCCAGTTTCAGGATTTCTTGAGTAGCTGCATCAACATTGCTCGGTATAATGGCGAGGATACTGCGATTTATTGTCAGTATGCAACCATGAATGGTAGTTGATGCTATCTCTCAGTTTACAGCTGCTAACGGGGCACATACATGGTTCTTTCATTACTCATGAATTTCTTGACCATCTTTCGGACAAGATTAATGTCACGTTCTGTGGTCAGACCTAGAACTTGTCAGTGTGCTATTCATGATCTTGCTCGTTCATGATTGAATCATTGATGTGTAAGCAGAAATGCTAGCCTATGATATGCGCATCTCCGGTCTAGGGAACGACTTGTTGTCTGGGGCTGAATCTTCCGACAGAGTAGGGGCATCGTAAGACGTTCGTTCTCAACCAAAACCACCCGCTTGACTTGTCATGAATGTTATCGCCATATACGTAATTGAACTTACCAGCTGTCTCTCGTCGAAATATACCCGGAACGTCAATCACTGTGAAGTGCTCTTGCTACGGGAAAGTGAGTAATTTGGAAGGGCTTTGATGCAGAACGCGTGCTTACGCCGGGGCCGCATATCTCGATCTTGAGAATATGCTCGCTGAAGGCTGGGAAGGCCGTGGTAACTGTCTCGTTGTTTTCGTCCGAGCTGATCTGAATTCCCATGGCGGCGTTTGCCTTTAGCGGAAACATTAGCCATTAGTTCTAGTATGACTGTAAGAAAGATTACCTTGGTGAAGATAGCAGCAAGTTTCTCATCGTCCATATCCGTGAGTGCCTCTCGAAACTGCTTCAGCCTGTTCTTTTCAACATCCGTGGCATCCTGATGGGGGATGATGGATACTGTAACGCTCTGCTCGGGCTGCCGGCAGCAGGTGATCTGCGTAGCATATCGAGTGCAGAGCTCCGCGCCACGAGGGAAGGCGAACCCGGTGATACCCTCCAAGACGGAGCTCTTACCAGCGCTCTGGTCACCAACAGCGACGATCTGAGGAAGTGAGATTCGCGTGCCGATCAGCTCACGTAGCTTGTCGACCTTGGTCAACGTGGCGACGTTGCCACTTGCTATCTCTGCACCTGACGTAGCGACCATGGTGAAGGTACTCACTCAGGTGAGGTGGGTCGGGGAAGGTGATACGAAGTGATGCAGACGGAAAAACATATTTTGGACAGGTTCTTGATGAAATTCCCCAAGATATGAGCGATTGTGATGGGGATGGCTTGACCTACGGCTGGCTTCGAGTTGATTTGGCGTGTCAGACGCAATACAGTCGTTGCCTGGTGGGTGCCAATTCAGAAAATAAAACGTTTGGGGAAGAATCACTCCAAGTTGCCAGCTCAGCTGAAGGCAGCAAACGGATGAGTTGATCCACGAATAAACCCTCAGCAACCCACACAATCTTCACCGCTGCAGAGAACCTTCAAACGCGGGTCGAGTAGAAACCTGGATTCGATTCTCTCTTCAGCCCTCCAATGTGAAGCTCACCGTCGTTTGCAGACCCTCAAGAAAAAAAACCACCAAACGGCGTCGGATATACATCTTGCGTCTGGCAACTCCCCTAATGAAGTGAAGGACTCAAGGCGAAAGCTCGTCTCCCTGCCACCGTACGACGAAATCTATGGGATTAGATTGCTCAGCGTGGCACTGACTCATGTGAAAAGAAAGTCTCGACATGATATGAAGTACGACTTTCGTTACTCTAAGGGGTCGAGCGGGAGGGACGAAACATTCTCAATGTTCAGAGGTGAAGATACGGCGCAAGGAACGCAGTTACGTTTGTTGTAGTACAACGCTAGCAGAGTACAGTTACATGAGAGCCTCCCTAGATCTTGTTCTAGACTATGAAGCTCAGTCTAGTTTGTTCTACACTAATAATACAAGTAATCAGGCAGGAGCCAGATATGAGGTAGGTTTACAAGAACCCATCCGGTTAGAGAGACTTCTCCCGAGGGCCTGTTACCCTCTCAAAGGTATCCAAGTGCATGGTCATGGAATGACGACCGGCGGTCATGCTGCGCAAATGGCTGTCATAATCCAGCATCTCGGAAAGGGGCACCTGCGCGACGATCTCGAGCATGCGCAGACTTCCTTTCCTACTCTCCCGGAGCGTGGTCTGAAATTCGTAGGGGTCAGGTGGTGCGTATATGTCCGCCACGTCGATTTGCCCCCCTTCTCGCGCTGAATTATCCTGTAAATCTCTGACCTCCAGGACATGGCCGCCGCGGGCAGAGTGCAGGTCATGCTGGACGGCGCCGGCTGCGGTTTCCGGGCATGCTATCGTGACTCTCATGACGGGCTCGAGGATTCCAATCAATCCATGCTTATGGGCTTCCTTGAGTGCTGTCCTGACAGCGTGGTTTGCAGCGTTGACAAAGTGTCCGTGTGGTGTCGGGCCGAAGTAGTCAGTCGCAGCATCGAAGTGGATAGTGACGAGACATTTGTTCAGCGGAGCCGTGCGTCGAGGACCTCTGGCAAGTGCTGAGATGGCACCATTGACCAGATGCGGTCTAACTTCCTCATGGTCGATGGGGAGATCTGGAGAGATCTCAACCTTGATGATGTTGCCGTCCCTTTCGACATGAGACCTCGCCAGAGTCTCAATATCGTTAGGATCAAGAGGCTCGACGACCACACTGCAAGATGCCTTGCCGGCCTTGCCTGCAATTGTCTTGTCGAAAGTGGCACGAGTGAGGTTCGTTGGAGCTGTTACGCACTCCTTGTGCTCCACCTCGATAGTACCCCAATGAGCTTCAAGCTTGTAGTGGTTATCCAACCGGTCTCTTGCAACCTCCAAGTGCAAGGACCCCATGCCGGAGAGGGTATACTGCTCAGCCTTCTCGTTCAGAGACCATCTCAGACTGGGATCTTCTCGAGAAAGGCTTTCCAAGGCTGCCTCGATGGCTTTTGCGCCGGTGGGAGAATGCGGCTCCAGCACAATAAACGCCACAGCAGGCGGTATCTCAGGGGGCCGCACCTTGATGCTACCGAATTTGCCTTGTGGTGCTTTGTTTCCCGCGTAGACAAGTAAAGTATCGCCAGTTCGAGCCTTCTTCAAGCCGGTGAGAGCTCCAATCTGTCCAGCAGCAAGATGAGGCACCTCGATGTGATTTTTTGCGGATATCTGGGAGATATTGAGAGGCCGCTCGAAGTCTTGGAGGTTGGAGTTCCACATGTGAGCGTTTTTCCTGATCTCTCCGTGGTAGACCCTTACGAACACTAACATTCCGCGCTTCGGGTCATTGACTACTTTGAAGACGGACGCCACAGCTTCGATGGGCGAGCGCGACTTCGCAGGAGTCTTCGGATCCTTCGACTCGCCCACGATACGTGACAGAGACGTTGTGTCTGAGCCGACGCGGACCTGAAGCTCTGGCCGGTCCTGCGGACTCGGTAAGTAATGATTAACAGAATCGAGCAGCGGTGATACGCCAATGTTCTTAAGACTCGCACCGGCAAAGACAGGGATGAGGGATGCCTCGCCATCTCTGATGACGCGGCGGATGCTTTTTCGGATCTCGTCGCCAGAGAGGTCTTTGCCCTTCTCTGTCCAGAGCTCCAGAAGCTCGTCATCGTGCTCACACAGCTGTTCAATAAGTCTTTCCCTAGCGCGTTCGATTTCGTCCTTGAACGGCGGCGCCATCTTTGCCAGCTCGTGGGGATCATCCTTACTGCCTGCCCAGCTGACCACGGCTCGCGTGATCACATCGACAACCCCCTTGACGGTGTCGTTCTCCCACCAAGGTATCTGGCAAACCAGAGGCATGCCGTTGAGCTTCATGCCGATATCCAGTACAGATTTCTTGAAGGAGGCGCCATCCCGATCCAACTTGTTGACCAAGACAATCCTCGGCACCTTGAACTCCTGGGCTGACGACCAGACCCGCTCCGTATGAGCTTCCACTCCCTCGACTCCGTCAATGATGCATACGGCACCGTCAAGGACGGGTATACATCGCTCGACCTCAAACCTGAAATCCTGATGGCCCGGGGTGTCTATGAGGTTGATGCTGTGCTCCACCTCGTGCTGCTTCAGGCGCTCTTGGGTCGGCCATCTGAAGGTTATTGCTGCTGACTGAATGGTGATGCCTCTTTGCATTTCCATGGGAAGGAAATCCGTGACGGTATCACCGTGATCGACATCTATAGGCTGTTAGTGACTGGGGCTGCCATGACCACAAGCCGCCACCGTCCAGGGGTGTGAGTGTGTGTGTGGTCTCAAAAGTGAAGCAGGTGAAAGTATGCAACATACTGCCTAGATGTCTAGTAGCACCGCTGTTGTACAGCATTGCCTCTGTAGTTGTTGTCTTTCCCTGCGGCGCTAGTCAGGATGGGCATTGGAAGAAGTATGATAGAACTGCAGAGTACGTACGGCATCGACGTGGGCAATAATGCCTATGTTTCTGATGTAGTCGATCCGTGTACCATGCTTCTGCCCAGCTGGGGTGGCAATGGACCTGACGCCGAGCCCGAGATTGGGTTGTGTTCTCCTCACAGAGCATGGCCATCTCCTGGCCAGCACTGCTGGATTCCGCAGGGCAGCTCTGACGAAGGACGTCGACAAGCACATGCCTGCAGCTTTCAGGATGGACGGGGAATATCAAAGTAACGCGGAAATCATGCCATTGGAGAAGAGAGAGAATGCGGCAGTATGGCAACGAACTCCATGGAAATCCCGTCCAACACAACGACCGTGGCTTTTTGGTCAGTCAGTGGCCTCGAGGTACAGTAGTCCGTCACACCTCTTCACGATCTCACTACGTACAACCGTTCGACGACAGCAGCCAAAAGCTGAACGGGGGGAAAAGCACAGGCCGCAGAGAGGGCCCCGGGGCCTTGGGCGGGCTCGGCTAGTGGCTCTCGTGGCTAGCTCGGCCCCGCCAACCGTCTGCTGACAGGCATGATTGGAAGGCAGCCGCAGTCGCACCAAGCTCGCCCTCTCTCTGTGCCCAAGCCCAAGCACAAGGACAGCGACGTCGCCGTGTCGCATCTCTCACTGCTGTCGGCCGTCTCGACAACATTGCAGGCGAACCTCTGCTCGAATTCCAGGTCTCTTCGCGACGCCTCCGCTCGCCCCTCTGCCTGCATCTCCTGGTCGCGAAACCAGTGTGTTATGGCCTAAGGGTGTAGTGACCCGACATCGTTGATAGCTCTCACAACGTCATAGTCTCAGCCATCCCACCCCGTGAACCTGCTTCGACCGTCTCGCGCACGCCATCACCAACACCGCAGCCATGGACTACCACTCATCAATCGCCGACGACGAGCACCCGGCTGGTGCCTCGCCCTGGGGCTCTTCGCCTCCGGCCTCGCCGCGCCGCAACCAGTCCAGCTACAGCTCGCTGGGGAATGAGCCGGCGTATCAGTATGGATCCCAGGATACGAGCAATGGGTTGGGACACGACGACCTAACGGGCAATGCCTTCAGGCGGCCCGGCACCGCGAGCACCGATGCGTCAGCCCCCGACTTTAACCCGTCGCAACAGTCGGAGACGTCGCAACAGTCCGGCTTCGGGGGCCCCTTGGACCCATCCCAGCAGGCGCCTCCCCAACAGCACGCCGAACCCCAGCCAGGCCAAGCTCAAGGTCAAGGACAGCCTCCAGCAGCTGGTGCGCCGGCCGCAGGACAGGAACAGCAGGCCAGGAGACCGACGCAACCCCAGTGGAAGCTACAAGCCAAGATTACCGGCCTAGAACGCACTGGCCGGAAGGACCCTATTCTACGATTTGACGTCCACGTAAGCCGGGCAGTCTTCGCGCGCACAGGGCTTGCTGATACTGACTCTTTTCCCGACAGACAAATATACCGAGATTCCGAACCACCCAGTTCCGAGATGTTCGCCGCATGCACTCCGAATTTGTCAAACTCGCAGATCACTTGATATCGGCAAACCCGGATGCGCTGGTGCCCGCCGTGCCGCCAGCCGTGACGTCTGCCGGCGCCGGAACGGACGAGGACGAGAACAGGGTCAAAGCGCTGATGCAGCGTTGGTTCAACTATGTCTGCAGCAACTACGTCCTCATGAACGACGAGGAGATGGTGCTCTTTGTCGAGAGCGATTTCGGCTACAGTCCTATGTACAAGATGAAGCAGCCGGCAACCGGTGTGCGAAGGAAGGTCCTCAAACAGTTCGCTCCACCGCCAGACGACACCCCGGAGCTCTCAGATGCCCGCCCCATAGTCAAGTTGTTTTATCTCGGCTCAATGGACGCGGGCCACAAGGTAGACAAGCTGGTCAAGGCTCGCAGAGGTATGGGATCACCCCGCCTACCATATATATGTACCCTACTGATCATAAATAGGTCTTGGCCTCGCAGAGTCTGACTTCGGCGTCAAATTGGGCGGCATGAGTGTCCAAGAACCCCACCCGGGCCTGGCAGGTGCCTACCGAAAGCTTGGAAAGGTTGTCCAGACTGTCGGTGACTGTCACGCAGCACAGGCTACTGCTGAGGCGACGACCATCGGTGACCCGTTTCAGTACCATTCGCAGGACGCATTCATCGTCAAGGAGACCCTGACTAACAGACAGCTTCTTATCCGCGAGTTCTTGCAGGCACAAGAGTCGACCCGCAGCAGACTGAACGCCGCGGATCGTCTCAAGGCCAGCTCCAACGTGCGGCGCGACAAGGTTGATGAGGCGATCACGGCCCTGGATGATGCCAGAAACAACGAGCTGGAGCTGATGAAGAAGACGCAGCGCGTGACGCAGAATCTTGTTCACGAGCGTCGCAAATGGTTTGCGAGAACAGCCGCAGACCTGCGTTTGAGCGTCCGCGAGTTCGTGTTGCGCGAGATTGATGCTGAACGCCGCACCCTGGCGCTTCTCGAGAGCGTGCGTCCCGATATCAGGGCCATCGATGCCTCAGGCGGTCTGAGCAGACTGGGACGTGAGGCGCACCCGACAACGCGGCGTACTAGCGTGGCTCAGAGCCAGGGACCAAAAGGAGACGCTTGGAGCGGTGTGCCCCGGCGCACCGACAACCTGAACAGGAGCATCTCGGAGAGCATCATGGGCAATGTGGCCGAGGAGGACAATGGCGAGGAGGCGGGCAACGCTGCTGGGTCTGCAGGCGGTAGGGGCCTGACTGGACTGCCTGAGGAGGATGACGAGGACCGAGTGGATGCCCGGAACGCCGCGAGCCGATTGGCGACCAGCACGTTCTAATCCGGTGTAAGTTACCTTGTGATGGATGGGCGGGAGCGGCACGCAATGCTGGGATTTATGTGTAAGGAGCAGCCAGGAGAGGGGGCGATCCTCGTCGTTTGAGCTATACCACAGGGGTTACTTCGCTGTCACCTCTACCCGGACCACTGATGTGCCAAAGTGTAATCTCCTCGCTCGTTATACTACGTATGTCCTGTAGGTGCGCCTCTCGCTTGCCGTCGAGGCCGCACAGCTAATCCCTACCACTTGCGGCAAACGCCCACCGCATACCTCGAGTGCCTCGAGTGCCGCACGAGTCATGAACGTCGGTTTCCCGCACGTGGTAAGGAGCTCTTGAAACGAGCGGACGCCTCTGAACCCGCATCGGGGCAAATGATATGCAGTGGGCTGGGAGTCAAGTTGACTCTCCAGCGTCGCATTGCATCTCGTCTCTACTGCAAACCGAGCGAAGCGAGCCCTGGTGTCACGCTTGCGCAGCACGGCGCAGACTGCAGAAGAAAGGGCTCTACATATGGCTACTGGTGTATGGTGTTTAAGGCATACAGCACTTTGGACTGGACCATGGCCCCAAGATCAACTATCAACACAAAAAGGTGATGGTGGTGGACAGACACGCTTGTCTGACTATGTGGACCCGAAATGCTGTAAAGTTTGTTTGTCCGCGCTTTTATGACAGATACATCTTATGTAGAAGAATTTCACAGTTTGGACTTGGTATGTCCTATAGCTGATGTAGACCCTTGTCTCACTTCTTGAACAATGCAGCTGCATACTGCGCAGATGGCGGGTTTGCATGACATCAGGCGCCATGGATTTCTTCTCACAAACTCTTAATGTTGACTAATCCAGCTTCAATCTAGCTGCAGCTCGGCATGATGACTATTCCATCAGCAGAAGCGCGCCGCCGGCTGCAGCGAAACCAACAAGGAGAATGGCTTGAGTGAACCCGGCGGGGGGCAGCGGGGCCGATCTTGCACCCGCGAAAGCGAGCATCGCGATGGCTCTGTTAAGTCTAGCTAAGATGCCAACTATCTCTGAGTCAATTGTTATTGTGTTATCGCAAACCATAGCTAGAGAAAAGCCAAGGTTGTTTGGGAGACAGTTTGGTTCCGATCGAAGCAACATCAAAGTGTTTGCCTCGGTCACCGGTCACTCTAGCAATATTTCACATGGCTCCATGTTTCGAACGGGGTGGTGTATAGTCCATGGCTGAGGTCAGGGATTAGCAAGCAATGAAATACCTGGGTCAAGGTAGAGGGATTGGCCGGTCGTTTTGGACCCGGGTCGGATTGGTACCCTGCCGTACCGCCCGGTGGGAACGAGTCCGTGCGGTGCATTGTGATTTGGACAGCAGCTGGTCCAGTCAAGTCTTGGACGGTGAGTCGAGAGACGAGATCATAATGCACGGTGAGCAAGTAGTGGGCCAGACCCGGGAAGGCGAAAACTTACGCATATGTTTGTCATGCAGCTCCAGCGCCAGTATTGCCCCTGATACTTACATACAACCCCATTGCAAGCCGTTATAGCTTCCCGTGTCCCGGTAGCTCGTGTGTTCCGGCTGCTTATCGTCGACCACACTCCTTGGCGTAGGAGCCCTTCAGTTGTGGCTTTCTTCTGCCGCCCCTATGGATACGCTATGTTCTCCTTGGGATCGGATTTGTTACTCAAAGGCCACTCTTTTAGCCGGAAGAGCAGTTGCTTAACCTTCAATAGTACTTGCTCGGAACATCGCGCGTATATCAAGTCCCGGGCAAAGGAAGGGAGCGGTCTGGGGAAAAGTGGATCCGACTTTCTCTGCCGAAGACAGGCATGCCCTTCGCGATTGGCGAAAGACTAACGAAAGAACATTCCTGGTTGACATTATGTGAAGAGCGAGAAAAAGTCCGGCTCACTATCATTTGAGCCAATATCTTGTAGTTGGATGGCAACTTGGGTTGACGGCTGCGAAGCCCGATGTTGTGCATTGCGGGTCCTTGCACTATAGTATAGTACTATGCACAGACGCCTGCAATGTTTCTGATTAGGTGAGTTTGCCTCGGACTTGATAACATCGGCGGAGCAGCTGCGCCGTGCGATGATCACCCTGACCCAGTGCTGGGAACGAGTAAAACCCCATGATTCCTCCGCAACCGAGATCTCGTTGGGAGGGGATCCATCACCAATGAAACGGACATCGTCGGTTGGGCTTGGTGGGCGCCAATACCTGCGAAGTCGGGATTGACGTGGCATCTGATTGAAGCATGGCTAGGCAAGCCACGGCGAGGTCCATGCCGAGAGAATTGATATGCACCACAGCATGTACGATAGTGGGCTCAATACTAGTGCTGAAGTTAACTTGGGGATCCTCTAATAGGTTGAGAAATAACGTTAGAGTTCTGGAGGTGACCCCTGTAGCGATGATTGCTTTCACCCTATAAGTGGTCACTTCTTGATCGTCCGCATCTCTTCTTCAGAGCTGACCCCTGGAACTGAGGATGTTCGGACTTAGTGTTTCGCGCAGATGCTACCTAGAATGTGACAAGCACTGCTTGATGGCTCCATTGATGGCGGTTTGGCGGTAATGACACATGTCAAATGACAAGGGTCTAGACACATTCTCCAATTTCTCCAAATGGAGTTGCAGGCGGCTCACGATCCCTTGACAACTGGATGTAGGCAAGCAAACACCGTTGAACTAGCCCTCCGAAGCCTGCAAAGGCTACTGAGCCCAATGGCCCACCAACATTACTGAAAGCTACAATGCGATTTGGCCGTCTCTTGATGACCATTAGTGCGCAAAATATGCGCGGAATGTAGATTGTAAGGTGCTGTTGCGGGCATGAGAAACTATCCGCGAGGGGAATTTTGACGGATGTTCCAGTCTCGCAAGAAGACCGCTACAAATTATCCCCAAGATAAATCCTGGTACAGCGCTAGATAATGGTGTGAAGCATTGGTTCGTCGTCGGGCGGCAGTGGAGGATGCGGACCGATTGGTAGAAACGCAGCAAGATAGGACTGTGAAGCATGCAAGGTAAGGAGGCTATCAAGCCTCCGCATGTGTGGTCCTGCAGGCGACATAGAATGACAGCTAGCACTGCGGTCAACGGCTTGTTCGCAACGAGGCAGGCCCTGAGCACAGATGAGGAGTCCCCGGGGATTATCCAAAAGGCATAATCATCGTGGCTCGAGGAACCCGTTCCTATGGTTGAAAGTTTTCCCATCCGATGCTGACCGAGTGTACGGAGCACTTCGAATCATGTAAGTTATCTTGCGACTTTCGTTCGTGATTGGTCCTCCGGATGACGTTGCACAAGCCCCAACGGTATTGATGCCGGAGGGTTGTAACGCTAGGGGATGAGGCTAATAGCGTCGTAACGGTTTGCTCGGTAGCCCAGGCTCTGTGTGAAAAGACTACCGTTCGATGACCGAAGGCGAGAAGCTGCCCTTGGCTCTGATGTGTAGGAGCATTTGTGACGATGGTCTTGGGCTATTCAAAGACGGGATGATGGATGAAGACACCTTCGTCTGATTTCGGAAATGCAACCACAGCATCCCGGGCAGTAGGGACAGCCAGCCAATGTGCACGACATGGGATAGGCTAACTGAGGGACATGGGTTGTGCAGTCTGCCGTCCGCACCGATGGCATGGGTTAGGAGATGGCCCTGGAGGTTTTCAAACCCTGCAGCCATGTGCAGCTGCCTCCAACACTACCCATCATAGGGCCGACATTGCGGGACGAAGACAGGAGCATCGAGGAGCCTTGTGTGTCCTCATCTCGGATAAGGCAGGAAGGAGGAGCGCATGTCGCCCCGCCGTTCGAGTTCGTATCGCGCATGGATGCTTGGGGTTCTTGGGGCCCCTAGGGCTCCTCCTGGGTTTCGCCTCTGAGGGAGATTACCCCAGATTTCGCAAATTCTCTGAGGATTCTGGACCTTGGCTGGATATCTGGCTCTGTCTGGGCTTGCAAATTCCGCCATTGAGGGGCAGTTCTTGATACCTCCAAGGGTGTGGAGACGGTCTGGGTGGAGAAAGCACTATATTTGTCCCATCTCGGGAAAGGCACCTCGGGCTTGTCTCGCAGCTTCACCTCAGATCGCGGCTTCTGACTCACCGCGGCGATTTCTTGGTCGAGCACTGCTCTTCCGAGAAAAAACGTTGGCGCCTTTGCCCTTCCAAGTTTTACCATTGTAGAGCTTCGGCTGTCTGGGGGGTACTTTTCTGAAGCACTACAGAATGCGGAGCAAGCCGTCCAATAGGTGGCTGAAAATGGCAATGCTCTTCCCAAAGAGGTGCCCGCCACACTGATCCTCGATTCCGGCACGCTGCCGCCGGACTAGCCTCTTTCTACACCCGGGTCTAGGTACCTCTGGCTCAGGTCAAATCTTGACTTCTTCACCGTGTCTGGCTGTCGCAGCTGCCGGCAGCGTCGCTCGGACAGAGTTCACGGCTCTTCGCCTAGTGGTTGGACTACGACAGCCGAGGTCCCTGTTCTGTATCAGTGTATCTGTAGGTCTCGAGGTGTCTATTCTCACCTGACGGGATTTCTGGCTCCTCGACACTAACTCAGGAGATCTGCTTGTCGTGCCAGAGATCCACAGCCGGTGGGCATAAGCGGCATGCTGCAGAACAGGGACTCGATTGAGCAACGGCCCTGGTCCCTGACTATACCATGGCACGCAATATCAGCGCTCCAGCCTTGTCGAGTACCTGGCCGGCTACACCCACCGGCACTATGGCGGATGTACGGATACATCAAGGCATTCACAGATACAGCCGCCAAAACATCACACCTGCCAGGGATCTTCGTCTTAGCTTCTGCGAATGGCGTGTTTCTGTTGCATCGTCACTAACTACCTGCATGGATTCCCGAGATTGTGAATGCTCTACACTAGCAACCTCTCGAGATAACCACTTGATATTTGACTGGGTATTGCGAGCTCGGTCGACGTCTCAGAGGCGTCAGGGCCCTGGACTATGCTTGTGGTCCCATACCGTTTCCAAGCCATGGCGGTCGATGATTGACATCGACAAACACAGAAGGGATCTCTTCTTTGCTTGAAAGAATACCTTACGCTACTACATAAGGGAGGTGGGGGTCCTCCAGGGCTCTCAGGGTCTTCTCCTTGTCCAAATTATTTTGACTTTTGTCATGCTTGTCTGATGTTGTATCGATTCTCTCATGTCTAGCAGTCCAAGACGTATCGACACATCCTTCTAGCAATCCGTATCTGTCACATCATTACTCTGACACCACGTACAAGTGGGATAGGGCGTCAGCCGCTATCTCGTGTCCACAAACCCCTACCGAGGCCTATCGTGTGCCTAGGTGCTCTGAACATCCCGCACTACATCCCACGCCGTTGTCGTCATTTTTAACAATGGCCCCTTCTGCGACCGTTGACGAGATTGCGCCTATGCATCTACCCGCGCACTCTAAACGGTCTACGATCAATGCGTCCGTCTTGCATGGTCCACGAGACCTACGATTGGTGAGTCGTTGGTTGTGACCCTCGAGCCTTATCGTTACACAGGCCAGGCTAGAGCCGGCCGCCTCATGCTGTGTCTATCTGATTACAAAGTACGAGGAATATATTAACATCTCGCCTCTGCACAGGAAACCCGACACATAGATGAACCGGGCATTGGTGAGCTACAGATTGCCGTCAAGTCGACGGGAATCTGCGGCTCGGATGTGTCCTACTACAAGAAGTTTGCCAACGGCGACCTCTGTGCATGTGCACCTCTCTCCCTAGGACATGAATCGTCCGGGGTCGTTGTGGCAATCGGCCCCCAAGCAGGAGGCTTCAAAATTGGCGACAGAGTTGCTCTTGAAGTTGGCCTCCCATGCGGTCAATGTTCCATCTGTAGGAAGGGGCGGTATAACCTCTGCAAGAAGATGCGCTTTCGATCGAGCGCAAAGAGTGTACCTCACTTCCAGGGAACTCTGCAGGAAAGGATTAATCACCCAGCTATCTGGTGCCACAAGTAAGCCGCAGGCTTCATCCCTCTGATCAGTAGTGTTGTGACTCATGCTTCTTCAGGTTGCCTGAGCATGTCTCGTTTGAGGCTGCGGCACTCCTCGAACCCCTTTCAGTGGCGATTCACGCTGTGAATCGTGCCTGTCCCGTCCCTGGGTCTACAGCGCTGGTCATGGGCGCCGGGACTGTCGGCCTCCTGACTGCAGCAATGGCACGCCAATCTGGTTGCACCAACGTGACGATTACCGATGTGGATGCTGGCCGCGTTGACTACGCTGTACAGCGAGGCTTTGCAACACATGGATATGTGGTCCCACGCCCGTTGCATAGTTCGTCCAGTAGCTCGTCCATCTTCACCAACTCCGGGGCTTCGACGCCGCCCGACGCCGGGGTCATGACGCCGGCCAGTCTCTTCTCCAATTCGATCCAAGGTCAGCTGGAGGGGGCTAAGGCGCTGGCATCGGACATCCTGGCGCTGACAAAACCGCCGCCGGGCCTCGAGATGGACGATGAAGATGATGGGGTGGATATCACCTTTGAGTGTACTGGGAAGGAAGTGTGCATGCACACGTGCCTGTATGCTACCCGGCCGGGCGGCAAGCTCATCATGGTCGGTATGGGCACGCCGATCCAGACCCTGCCCATGTCGGCGGCTCATCTCAGGGAGATCGACATTCTGGGCATCTTCCGCTACGCCAACACGTATCCCACAGGTATCCGGCTCCTGTGCAGCCAGAGCCGCGGCGGCGCGGGATACAGTTTCCCGAGCCTTGATGAGATGGCGACCCACCGATTCAAAGGCCTCAACGCCGCCAAGGGAGCTTTTGAACTTGCTAGCAGGACGGTTGACGATGACGGTAATCTGGTGCTCAAGGTCGTCATTGAAGCTTAATCCGCGCCTACCAGGCGGGGGATTGTTTATGGCGTTTGAGAAAAACAACCTGATAGGGGCCTGTTAGATATTTCCATGTGTTGCAATAGTGTCTTTCACTCGTTTCTTGGTATTGCTGGGTGTCGAAGACGTAGACTGTATACTGGGAGGGTTTGCTGAGATTGTCTACAATAAAGGATTCACATCAGGTGGGGTGGCTGGCTTGGTTTGAGGTCAACTTTCTAGTCAGGGGGGCTCTGCTATGAAGAGTAGGTTCCTCACACAAATACATTTAAGAGGACATATAGATATAGCTTTTGTGGAATGTCAATCGCTCATGATCTTCGTTATCGTCTATCTAGCATGAAGCCTATTTTATTGTCCCAAGAAGAACCTTGGCATGCTTGTTCGTGAGACTTGTATCCCTGACCAGTCTCGAAATCCAGCACTCTTCGAGCCGGAGGAAACGCCCCTTTCGCCGTGCCGATGCAAATACTCCAGCCACTGATCCGACTACGGGATCATTGCCTTGCTAGTGGCAGAATGCCTATCCCTAGATGCTGAGATCGCCCGCTGCGCCCCCCATTGTCAGGGACTCGACATCCATGCGTGGCGCTCTTCTGCTCTCCTTCTTTGCCGACTCCACAGCGCCGTGCTTCTTGCCGATGTCCCGGATACCGATTGCGCTTTGCATGACCTCGTTCAACAGCGACATCAGATGGACATCATTGGCCTCTGACAGCATTTCCTGCTGGAAGGCTCCGCTTGCCGAAGGCACCAAGAGAGCCAACCTGTTTACTAGGGCTTGGATCGACCGAAGAATAGTGTGTGAGGGAATGGTGTGTGAGTCGCCAGCCAGATCCGCGGACGCAGGGGCATCGGCTCCCGAGAGATGTGAGGGCGGCAGGCGTTCGAGGTAGGTAATGAGTAGCTTGATGCGCGACTGCAGCATCTTGACGGCGTTGGCCTTAGCGGTCAAGGACGCGATGAGCTCCTCGTCTTCTCGCGAGAGCATGTGCTCATCGGATGCCTTGGTTGTGTCCTCCTTCTTCTCGGGATCGACAAGGCGCCGCTTGCCCTTGTTGTCGACCTCTTGTAACACTTTGCCCTTGGGCTTGGACGGCTCGGTCGGCTTGACAAGCGTGGCATTGCCCGCCCCGCGGGCGACAAAGTCCATGCTGATCATCTCGGCCTCACCGGTCTCGACCGAGTATGGCAGCTCTCTGAATTTTAGCTTGAGAGGTGCATCGCCGTCCCTCATTTCCTTGTCCTCGCCCTGGTCGCCCTTGGGCTCGTCCACCTCGTAATTGCTTTCGTAGATGGTCAAGGGCAGCCGGCTACCTACCGACTGATCGACGGCCTCTTCCGGGTGGAATGCGAGCAGCAGTGATGACTCGTTGTGTTCTGACAGGATCCAGTTGTGGATGGGGAGGATGGCAGGCGTGGGCCCGGCCTTCGGGAGCAAGGTGTACCAGCCGACCAGGTCGAGCTGTGGTGACTTGTGAATCGTCCTCACTACAGCACCATGATTCGTCAGTATATTGGTCTTTGAGGGCACGGCCGGCGTTGCTCATGAGATGCGGGCCACCTACTCTGGTCCAGCCTCTGCGCAAACCAAGCGGCATCCAGCACGGCGTTCCCATTGTCGTCGACCTTGGTAGCACACTCGAAAGCATGCTCTATCGTGATCTCGCGGCCGTTCTGCTGGCCAAGGAGGGCGCCTGCGATGGGGCAGGTCTGTTCGCGCAGGGTGTGTCGTGTGATGTAATCGGAGATGGTGAGGAGGACGAGGGGGTGCAGCACCGCCTGCAGCCCCGAGTCGGAGGACTTCTGGGACGAGACGAGAGCGTTCTCCATGGCTCGCAAGCTTCCGGTGCAGTCGGGGAAGCTGGAGAGGGGAAAGAAAAGGAAGGGAAGGGATGGGAGTGTGAGAAGCCCAACAGCAACAGTTGCTCGACGGGCGTGCACAAGGCTGAGATGCTGCCTGGGTGTTGGACCTACTGCTACTGGACTGCCTTGTGGTAAGGTTGGTGGTAGTGGAGGGTGAACTAGAGTCCCTGGAGCTCGGCGCCGCTGTGCAGTCCAGCCCTGCGGGGTACTTTACGTAACCTTCCTTGCACCCATACCGCCATACCGGGACTGGTTTTGACGTCTGTCACCCCCCCGCTAGGCTGTTACCTACTACCTAGGTAAACGTTGGGCGGGTGCAGCGCGTGCCAATGGGGGGCCAACGGAGCTGTTTGGTGTCAAGTGTTGGTGGCGTTGTCGCTACAGAACGCCGTTATAACTTGGAGCTTCCAGGATGTTTAGCGAGCTACATCCTTGTCTGCCTGCTTTGCTTTCTTGCTTGCTCTTGGACCTGAGAGCCTATACTCCGTAACTCGATTCCTCTCCCAGATGGGACAATCTATACCCGCGGACCGACAGACAGCACATGCACATCAGCCCGCGACGCTGCCAGTCTATCCTGTGCAATTGAGGCTCATGCCAGAGTGCCACCCGCCGACACACAATCTTGAAAACCAGCCCAGTCGAGGCGAGCTGGGCCCAGGAGGTGACCAGGGTCGGCGGACGAGGCGATCAGCAGACAATCGAACCTGGTTCACCCCACCGCTTGCCACCTGCGACAAAACAGTGGCAGCTTGATGCTGACTGCGAGTCTCACCTATATTATCCCGTGCCGCCAAGCTGGGAGCGAGCACATGTCAACAACGTCTTGTCAGCTTATTTTGTTTTTCGAGCCTCATGCCTTCTTGCACTTGCACTTACTTACTTCCCCCGTGCACAAGATCCTCTGATTGACCGGCCACAATGGATTCCTTTGCTGTGCACCACTCCTCACTGTGAATCTTGTCCGTAGCGAGCCACGCCCGACTGCTTGCGCTTGCTCTGCAGGGGTACTTCTGAAGTCTTTGACACTGGTTTCAGTCACCGACTCCTGACGGACAAATTGTGTACGAAAGAAGCTTCATTGATGATCGTCTTTGGCGAGAAGAAGCCTCACTGCCCACCCCTCGTTCTCTTTCCTTCTGGTCTTGTACGGCTGCATTTCTGTCATCTTCTCTCACAACCAACCACCACTCGACGAGGTTTACAAATATGAGACGCCAGCACCGTACCGCCAGATGACAGCCTTCTTCCCTTCCAACTCAGTTGCATCACAAGTCTCTCTCGCATCACAGTCTATCTTGAACATTCATCCGCTCGGAATCATCAGCAATTGGGCCACAATGTCTACCGCTCCCTCTTTTCCCCAACATGCTGGCCGATCTCCACAGCTCCCTCGGCAGCAACCTGGCACTCGGTCTTCCGCGTCTCGTCCACCACTGCGCGCCTCTCCGGTCGTTCCGTCCAAGAGATCAGACGACGACATCCAGTTCATTTCAGCGAACCCAGTCAAGAGACAAAAGATTACCGAAGCAAAATACCACACAAAGGTGACACCTCCGCCGGCGCTGTCCAACAACCAGGCGCAATCACCGCAGACCCCTCCTCATCAGCAGACGGATTCTCAGCTCCAACAAGCTATCGGTGAAATCGACTCTCATTCGATCCTCCCTGTGACTGGCGCTTGCCAAGATGCCGGTCAGGATACGGTGAACACACACGGACGGAGAGTGAGCACCGGCATGGTTGGGTTGCCTTCCGACTTTCACGATGTTGGGGCAGGCTTTGGAAACCGAGGTGTATCTCTTCCTTTCCTGGAGAACTTTGTCTTGAATCAACCGCCGAGGAAATACAGACCCATGAGCTCTCCTCCCCTCTCCCCGAAACAGCTACCGCCAACCAGCTCGCAACTCACCCTAAACAATAATGTTGCGAACCGAGAAGGAATCGTGGGCAATTATGGCATATACTCTCAAGCCAATACATCGTTCTCTGAAGAGCATTCCAGCAACTGGCCGGGATTCTGCTCGGCGCCCACATCAACTCCAAGGCAGAACTCTCCCACCGCCACAAACAGCCCACTTACACCGACGAGTACCACTTCCGCTGTGCACCCGATGAACGTAGACAGAACGATGTCAAGTATGCCGCCGCCCTCCGCCCCTACTTCCCATCAATGTGAAAAGCCGTCTGACAATTTGAGACAGACTCCTCCTGCGGTTCAACAGAGCACCTTGTCACCAGCCGACGCCAGTCAAGCATCGGGGGCAAAACAGCCCTGCCAGCTCTGCGTCCAGATGGCGCAACGAGCAACTCTTGCCAGGCAGCAGGGTACGACAATGCCTATGATGAGCCAGAGATTGCTATCTACGCAAGCAATGCCACCCATGCCTTCTTCTCCAATCCCACCATACCCGCACTTACATTCACAGTTCATGACGATGGGCCCACACAATATGCAAGGTTATAGCCCTGGCTATCCCCATGTGATGATGCCAATGAACTTGGGTGGTTTCGGTGGGATGCTACAACTGGGGGGCATGACGACTGCGCAGCAGACGACTGCACATCAGCATCTCTCAACAACAGCCACACCACCACCCACCCCCACCAAGGCCGGAGACGCGAACCAAGCCTTGCCATCGACTCCTACCCCGGGGTCAAACACATGCCCGGGCTCTTTCAAACCACCGGCCACGCTCATCCAGCCAACCTACCGCAAGCCGTCGCCAAACCTCATCGTGGACGTGGCCGAGACTTGCCAGGAGAAGTTTCCCTTCGAGGAGGTGGCGAGACGCCACAATACGCCGGTTGACAAGGTGATCGACGTCTTCGCGGCCATCATCCAGGTGCCGCTGCTGCGGTGCCCGACGGACCGGCGCAGGCCCGGCAAGCTGGCCACGAGCCGGGTCCGGGAGTACACTCGCGCCAAGAGAGACATACAGGACGAGCGCGGCGCCGGCGGCAGCAAGGACGAGATCGTTGTGCGGCCGCTGGAGATTGCGCAGAGGCTGGGGCCTACGGAGCCGTTGGAGGATTTCAGTTTGCCCGGGTGAAGAGGTCGGATTTTCACACTAAGAGGCGGCGGGCTTGATTTTACTGCATCGTCTGGATCTAGACTCTCTGTTTCAAGCGAGCATAGCACAAGGAGCATCAGCATAGCATGGCCGGGCGCCTGCATCTGCATAGGAATCTGGAGTTATGGACGCATCCCCATTTTAGACGATCCAAGATCGTGTTTTGGGGGTAATGTAATATGCAATGGGCTTAACGAATATTGACGATGGCATGACCAAGTAAACAAGTTTTATTGCAACGTCTGACCTATGAAATAGTCGACTGAGTGAAGGAAGCCAGTATGTACATGGCAGGAATCGTGTCTGTACAGAGTAATCAATGCAGGTCGAATGCGGGAATCTAAGCACACGCCGAGGATGTTTGCTTTGTGTCACTGGATGGCCTACTTATGGCGTTTTGTGGCGGTACTTGACCTCCTACCTCGAGGCGGTCCAAATGCTTGAAGAGTGAGTATTCGCGCCTGTGCGGCTGGTCTCTTAGTGGTGCTTGTACTTCGTTGAACATGTACTGCCTGATGGGAGGAGCCATTTCTGACCAAACCTGTCTTGTTTTTGCCATGATGAGGCTCTCGGTGCGGTAAAGCTGGCTTGTAATTCTCCATCTCGGGAGGCAACAAGGAGGGTAACTTGTCTGGCATAGGACGGGGCCCACTTGGCCGTGGCCGTGGCGGCGGTGGAATTGTATAGCCCGGGTCGCTCTCCATATCCGCTATTTGTAGCCATATGTCTTCCACATCGAAGATCGAATCGTCGTGTGCCTGCTCGGCTGTGTGCTCATCCGTTCCGCTAAGCTCATTGATGTCTGGATTCTCGCCGCATTCAGTCTCGCTGAATCCCGACTGGTGATCGGAAGTCGAAACCACGCGGCTCGGGGCCCTGACCTTCACCATGTTACTCTGTGCAGAGATCCTTCTGAGTGACTTTCCGTTCCCGGAAGAGTCGTACCACAAACACATCGACTTATGTCCTGTTCCGTCACCGTCGACCCATTCAGAGTCCAGTCCCTCGTCAATCATGGTCCAGCATGGTAGACGCCCCGGCTTACCTGGTGACCGCCCTCGGTACGTCTCTGCCAAATCACACTCTATCTCATGTATGTGATGGTCGAAGGACCGTTTCAACCTGTCCAAAGCGTCTACCCTATGGTCGTTCTCCTGGACTGTGTCATTCTCAATCTCGTCTTTGACCGTTGTGTACTGTTCTTCGGCCTGCCGAATCTCAGATCTGAATCTCTCGGGGTGGCAGCTCGAGCAAACATCATCAATGAGGTGGGTCGGGCCCAGAGGCTTTGCGCAGTTCCTCCCGCAACCAGTTTCGAAATGGATTAGTTCGCACCCGCACAATTGCAGGATTGCTGTGTATCCGAAACACATCGGGCTTTAGAGCAGGTAGCTGGTTCAACGAAACAGGGGCTGAAAAGTAAGCAAAGCAACGCGCCAAACAATTTTCTACGCCGCAATGTCCTTTCAACACGCATCGTGAGACATTCTGCCCTGTACGTCTATATAGGAGACCAGGGGTGCCAAAACGACAAAGGCATTGCATCGCCATTGTCTGTCAAGGACCAAGTCAGATGGAGACAGCCTCACAATGGGTTCTTACGTGGAGCAATGACTCGCTTTTGTTCTGGCGGCATTGTAAGAAGAGGGCGGGGCAATCGGTCAGAAAGGACCGCGCGATAGTAGACTGGGGGCTTTGTTAGACCCTGACAGATTCGACCTCTTGGCCACTTGCCACATCCTTTCCTTATCCATTTGAAGCTTGCGTAATACGCAATCAAGCGAGCCGACGATCTGGTTCTGCGGCTTCTGCAGAGTGTTAGGGGCGCTGAAGTAACAAGGCCACGATGTCATCATCCGGCGGCGACGATCCTGATGGAGCGTCATCACGAGACAACGGAGATAGCGTGTCGTGCAAGCCGCGTATACGCAGCTGTAGTGATGCCTACCACCCAAGAGGAGAAGACCTGCTATGGAGAGCATGGGAGTCAGTGATGATGCCGGGAGTTGAGGAAGGCGAGAACACAAGCCCTTGGCTTCTCCGCGTTGATCGATCGCCAGTGCGGAATGTATGCAGTCCACCTGGTCTGTTCACGATCTACAAGAGGAAGAGGAGGACTCGAAGACCGTCCATTGGTGGACATGGAACAAAGGAATCCTATATCCATGTCCCATGGCCGGTAGGGTGACACGGTGAGCCGGCGGGCCGGTAAAGCCAGCTTGGGAATGAATCCGGGGTTTCTATAGGTCGACAAGGGGTCATAGACAAGGGACTACAGAGGCTGCTGATCCCCACCTAAATGGGATAAGCAAGTGTAGATGCGACGAAACTACGCAATACCATTGTGTCGATGATGAAGCTATCCGTTTCGAGTCCGGACGGAGAGCCACATTCTGCCGTCTCCTTCGCTTGGTGCCGCGTGGGGAGACAGCGGACTTGTGGAGTGGGGGCCAAGCGGAAGGACAACCAAACCTCGATCGACCTGAAGGCGGAACTGATGTTCGCAGATGTACTGTACCTCGCTCGAGGCGGAATCAGGTGTTCCTGTACTTGGAGGCAGACCGGGGTGCCACGCTATTGTTTGGTCCAACGAGCAGCTGTGCTCGGTAACGATCCGAGCACACGGGAGAACAGATGCGAGCAGCCATTGAAGTGTCACCTCGCCTACAGCTGGAGTTGGAGAAGAAATATATATCCAACGCTTCTTGATTGCGCAAGCCTGAAGATCCCAGGGTGGCAAGAGTACCAAAGAGAGCCAAACTCGATTGAGACCAGCATGTCGACAATTCCCATGTAAGTGAGTTCCTCACTTACATGATACGATGAAAGTCTCCCTTGAGGTTCAGATATAGGTACTTAAGTAGCTTTGGCGCTAACAGCCCAGGCAGGGGCAGCCCCTAGTGAACGGGCACCTAGGGGTTCATCACCCCCCAGACGTCAGTTTAGTGGGTCTTAGATGGCAGTTCAGCCTTTCCAGCAGCCTCGCATGACGACGTCAACAACACCAGACATTCTTCCCCGTGCCGAACTCTCACAATCGGCGCAGGCTTCCCAGCTGGGCCGCAGATCGCAGCAATGGCGCACATGGCGAACCCGCTCGCAACGGCGGACCAGCTCTACCGGCGCAACAACCTGGCCGCGCTCCCCCAGGACCTGCAGGACGCCATCTTCTACCAGACGCAGCTGCTCACCCAGGCCGCCGGGCTCCTCCTGCGCATCCCGCAGTCCGTGACGGCGCAGGCGAACGTGATACTGGCGCGCTACTGGCTGGTCGACTCGCCCCTCGTCCACGAGCCCAGCGACGCCTCCGCGGCCTCGCTGTTCGTCACCGCAAAGCTCAGCGCGCACCCGGTGCCCCCGCGGGACCTGAGCAACGTGTACGCCTACCTGCTGTCGCCAGGCTCGCCGCTGTTCCGGAGGCCGGCCCCGCCCGACGACCCGGCCTCGTACTACCTCTCGGAGGCGGCGTACACGGCCTTCCACAACCGCATCCTGGTGGTGGAGGCGCGCATCCTGGGTGCCCTGTCCTTCGACACGCACGTGGCGCTGCCGCACCCGCTAGCCGTCACGTACCTACAGGCGCTAGACTTCATGGCGCAGCCCCGGGCGCGGATCACCAGGCGCGTCGTCGAGTACCTAAACACAGCGCTATTAAGCCCGCAGATGCTGTACGTGACCCACCAGCCGCATGCCCTGGCCGTCGCCGCCATATACAACGCCGCCAAGGATACCGGGGCCAAGATGCCCGAGTGCCCGTGGTGGGAGGTTTTCGATGTCGACCGGGAGGAGCTGGGCTTTCTCGTCGTCGGCATGCGGAGTTTGGACGGGTGGGTCAGAAAGATGGGGGAGGAGATCGAGGAGTTTGGCGCCGGAGGCATGGTTAGGAGGAGAGGTATCGAGGCGGAATTGGCAAAGAGGGGGATCGTTATTGCTCAGAATGGGGTGGCCGGAAAAGAGCTGGATGAGGAAGAAGCTATGATGAGAAACTTGGACGAAAGGGCCGCGCAGATGGAGAGTTGATGGTCACGTCTCAACCAGTCGGTGGGTTGAATGCAAACGAAGGGCGCGCAAAGTCCAACTGATCACCGGAACGGATCGCCTCTTCCCCCGACCTACATACCTACTTTGTTACCTAAAAGGAAATAATACGTTGACAACGTAACAACACCGTATGTCAGGGTTTCGAAGGCGACTCTTATGAATTATTTGTGGATATAGCACGACCCGTTGAGGGATGAACTATATACTATATGCTGGTCTTTTTTTGTTGCCTTCAAGACGTTTAAGAAAAGCCACAAAGCTGAGCCGTTCCGCTATTTCAATTCACCTCACAAGTCCTTAGTTACATAGTGATTCTTCCGGTAAAGGATGATCTGACGCTACGCAACCCTCCATCCAGGTGTAAATATTCCGTCATGCAGTGGTTGCTAACAGCTGCTTCAGAGTCTTGAACGTCTCAATGACGAACTCCAAACGATGCTCTTGGAACTCTATCAAGGAGCGGTCCAGTATATCAATTTCGGCTTTTGTTTGATAGAACTCCTGAACATGTCTCGGAGTATTGCCGGGGCTGTGCTGTGAGCGTTTATGGAGTTCTTCAAGGTCCGCGATGGCTCGACGTTGTATATCCAGTTTCATGCAGTCGAGTCCAACTGGCAACCACTCAAGCTTCTCCTTGGTCTTCTCCATCAACACCCTACGCTTGTCATCTCTTACAATTTGACAGACGCCACGGCATTTTTCCATCAGACGTATGAGTAGAAGCGGTGTCATTTCCCTCTCGCTACGGACATTAGCCCGCGAACTAAAAAGGAGTGACTTCGCCATGCTCTTCATGCTTTGAAGAGAGACGGCCCTGTCCACAATGGTCCAGTCCAGTTGAGGAGCATCGAAGTTGTATAACGCTTCAACACGAATGTTATCACTCCATTTCGTCCCAGGGCATGATTTATCGAGCCACTCATGTGCTGCCTCTTCGGCGATCTGTTGGAAGACTTTTCCCACAAGGGCTAAAGTTTCAGTCTCGATACCGCGAAGCTGCTTGTCGGGATATTCGGTGTACAGTTGAGCGAGGGATTTGCACCTTTGTGGGTGCCAGTTTGCAAGTGTTTCTGGATCTTGTCGCACCCAACAAACACGGTCAAAGCCAGGGGCAGGTAATGCGGGTTCGCCGAAAACTTGCGGTCTCGTAACTTCATGGTAGGGTTTTCGAGGCTGAAGGAATGGGCGTTGAGGACTTTCAGAACTCAAGTCTATCGGTTCAGGGGCGGCACCAAACGATCCAGTGGTAGGTAATGCAAATGACGGTTTCTCTGATCGTGGTTCGTCTGGAAGTAGGGACGCCGACTTCGAAATTTGACCAAATGGCATCATAGTCTCCGTTTTATATGCATCACCCAGCGTAAGGGCAGGCCTTTCTAACTGATAGAGCTGTAGAGCTTGTTGACCGGCGGCAGGCGATGTTGAAGAAGGATGAGCCCCGGATGCATGAGCGGTAGCGGATTCAGTGACAGGATCCAGTAGACTTCTCGTGTGGGATGAAGTATCACGAAGGATGTTCTTGTTGGTTTGTCTGAAAAACTGCTGGTGGAATATGTCGGAAGAGACTTGAGGGGTTGACCAATCGATGGAGGTTTGAGGAACTGGGAGCTCTCCCAGTGGCTCTCTATTCTGGGACCTACCATCGGTAACACCAAATATTGGAGCTGCATCGGACGCAGCCCTGGAGCCGAAAAAACTGTCTATGTGTTCCTGTGTAACAGCTGCAGCTCTGTCCACCTTAGGGGGGTGAGGTTGAGGTTGAGGCTGAGGTTGCTTCTGCTTCTTTTTCTTCGTCGTCGCCCTTTTCTTCTTCTTGACGTTGGCAATTTCCTTCTTGCCCTGATACTGCTTCTGTTTAGCTTTCTGAGCAGCCTGTCTCTTGGCTTCTTCTCGTTTGCGTCTTCGCCGCCGGGCGCCTTGCGACACGCCTTGTCCCCATGCGGCTTTAGGCCTGCTGGGTTCGGAATTGCCCATCGTGATTGACGGACCAGCAGTTGATGATTCACACTTGAAGTGTGCCTCCTGTTTGTTTGCAACCAAACAACCCATGTGCGAGTGTGTCAATCGAGAAAAACAAGTGCCTTTGTGTGGCTGCCACCTGGTGGCGTAAACACGGCCTGCAGTCGGTCGCCCCTTGCGCTCACTCGGGCTCGAACACCGGGTCTACGTCATATTATTCAACTGTCCTTTCCATAAGAACTGCTCTGAAATTGCGCCGTTCGACACGTTGATCGACTACCTATGTAAGTGGCGCACCATGGGCAAACAACTCGTCTTAATGGATGCAAACGTGATTGCGCTGTCTACTTGGGGTGCCTGGCTCTGGGTGCCTGCGCAACCAGCCTACTTGGATGCAAACTCCGACAATACTGTGGTCATAAGAATGAGAGTCTTGCTCCAAAGAAGGTGCATAGTCTTGGTTATCCACCTTTCCAGTAACGCTTTTGTCGATGCTTATAGTCCGGCTCATCTCGATCGATCAGAACCGAATCCTAGTAAGTTGGTCATCAACATGCTGGCGAAGAACATGATGATCCTCTGACCGCATAGGAAGGAGAGGTTAAGAAGGCCATGCAGGGCTATGAGAGACTTGAGCCCTGATATGGGAAACTAAGGTCAGTCGTTATCTAGATGACCAACTTCCTCCCTGAAATTTATAAACATGGACCTCTTTACTGAACTGCTTGTCATTATCCGACTTTAATATCTCACATCATCTTGGATGCTCGACCTCTTTATATACATTTTCCTAAGATTTGTTGTGAGCAATCATCAACGGTCACGTGGACAAGTACCCTCTATAATTCTTCAGCCGCATCTGACTACCCACCAACCCGTCCCCACTCTGTAGGTAGCTGCTCATCGCCATATCTTCACTTGTCACTACATCGCAACACGTTCCTATGCCCGTTTTCACTCCTTCAACCAATATTTTGGGAATCGTACATAATGTCTGATCCGCTATTACAAGTCACTGGTTGCGAGGATCCTGATGCAGGGCTTGGTGTTGTAATTAGTGACGTTGCTCACTATCACTTTTGCCGCTTTCTATCAGACCACTACGGGCCAATCTCAATTATCGCCCACCTGAAAGATCTTTTGAGCACCGCAGATACATGTAACATATGCAAACTACTCGTGCAAGTTATTAATGCTCAGCTTGCTGGCCGCTCTTTCACAGATGTGACTATCAGATGGAGAAAAAGCTACCCCGCGGATGAATTTATCGTGTCGGGAAAAGACTTGGAAACGCACGCTGATGTATCATGTCCCCCGTTTTTCTTCTTCACCGACTCTGGTTAGTCCCCTATCCTTGTTTTGATTGTTATTCAAAGCACAAGCTTATCACATTATTCCAAGGCTTCTCTGAGACGGGAGATTTCCCTTTCAAGATGCTTTACGATACTCCAGGTGTTCCGGAGGATAGTTCGTCTGAGGCAAGCATATCGTGGGCAAGGGATCAACTAGCCCACTGCAATGCTAATCATAGCTGCAAGGGAACTTGCGAAAGCAATTCGTTGCCAACAAGAGTGCTGGATCTACGCAATTCATATCCAGGAGGTGTAGTGAGGTTGCTACTTACTTCTGGACAAGTAGCCCGATATGCCTGCCTCAGCCATTGTTGGGGGGATGCGTCGAGCATCGTAAAAACAACGAGCACAACACTGGAGGACCACACCAAAGCCATTCAGGTACATACCTTGCCGCGGACCTTCCGCGACGCCATAGATATCGCCCTACGATTTGGAATCGAGTACCTCTGGATCGATTCACTCTGCATCATACAAGATGATGAGAAAGACTGGGAAAACGAGGCCGCCCGTATGGCTGATATTTATCAACAGTCTTATATCACAATCTCAGCCACTGCTTCGAAAAATTCGCACGAAGGATGCTACCGTCAGGTCCCAGCATCCATGCGACCAATGAACTTCTCTTACACATCACAGGAAGGGAAGCAAGTCACGATTGATTGCCGCCAGAAACACGACCATTTCGATCTCGGCTTAAACATGAGAGCTGAGTTGACTAGCGACGAATTCCCGCTTTTGAAACGCGCTTGGGTCTTCCAGGAGCGATTTCTTTCTCCGCGGGTGCTACATTTCTGCAGCCGTGAGTTAGCTTTCGAGTGCCTTGACGGCAATTCCTGTCAGTGTGGAGAGAGAGATTTCGAAAGCGGCTTCAAACAGGGATTTGTGAAGATTCTAGCAGATGGACCATCTTCCCACCTGTATCAATCGAACAAAGGCTGGTGGGGGATAGTACGACGGTACACTCGGCTGGGTCTTACCTACGACGCGGATGTGCTGCCGGCTTTGTCAGGAGTCTCCAGGCGCCTGGCGAACAGCGCCTCAGACAGCGATTATTTCGCTGGAATATGGAAGTCTACCTTACCATTCGGACTTCTCTGGCGCACAGTTATCTCGGGATTAGAAACGACCGGTTCTGATCAACCGCCCGGTCACGTATCGGGGCCCCAAGCACCATCGTGGTCTTGGGCATCTGTGTCGGGCCAGATTACTTGGCAGCTTCCGCATCAATTTGAAAGCAAGAAATCTCTTGTTGAAATCAAGCACATTTCGTGCTCGTACGTTGGTAGTGACATATATGGAAGAGTCAGGGGTGGTATTTTGCGGGTCATAGGACCGATAACGTCAGGGTCTCTTTGCCAGATCGAGCAAGGACCAGTGTCCGAATACTACGGCATTCTCGACCTACGACTGCTGGGGCTTCCAGAACCAGGAGATGCACACCTGGCGGGAACTTTTTATGGAGATGTTGCACTGAGTATAGAGCGATCAAGCCCAATGCCAGTTACCTGTCTCTGGGTTACGAACTTGGTCGCACTGATTCTCCACCCAACGGAGTTACCCAATCAATTCAAAAGGATCGGGCTATACCAGGTTCATTCATATGGCGACGATGAAAGCGAGCAGGGTTTTGAAAAGCTTCAACAGTTTATCAAGCCTCGATATAACGAACTAGACATAATCTAATTCTTCAACTAATGACTACGAATCTTTCGTATTTCATAGGAGCACCGTAGACGAGACTTGGTCACTAAATCGGCTAAATCGAATAAACCATCCTCAACCTACGAGCAAGCTACCCGCATATCCCAATGGCAACACGGCTTCGCGATCTTCACACGCGTTTTGTCTCTTGGTCAGTACTGCGGGTTTTTGAGACACCACATCTGTACTGAACCAAGAGAACATACTGAATATTAACTTGCCAAAGAAAAAAAAAAAAATCCGGAGAATGATGTATCCTGGCAGGATGTTTGTTGGACGTGCCTCGACTTTCTTACCTACACGTTCTTACGGAGATATAGTGGCACACAGAAGGAATGGGCATCGTTGGTGAAATATTTAAAAACAACACTTGAGGCTCTGTTCGGTTAACTAGTAACAAGTTCACACGCCATGAAATCGCTTGGTATTGATAATGAGTGTCAACCTTCGAGGGGAAATGCATTTCGCCTTCCTAAATCTGCCCAAACTCTCTTAATTCGAAATGGGTTTCCGACCTTTCCTTAACACCAGGGGCCTGCCATTCACAGCCACATCACTCGCAATTACTTCTCCATCAACGTCAATATTCGATAAAACTGATGCCTATATTGCTCCAACAGCCTCCATGATATTGCAAAGTGATGCGGGAAGTACGGCAGGCCTGGTGGCCTGATTGAGCTAGCGAGAGGATGTATAATATGGATTTTCGGTTTTACTCGACCTTCTGGCTGTGTGCAGCGATCAAGAAGACCTCGGGGATCAAGACAAGCATCATCGCAAAGTACACAGCGAAGCTGACCAGGAAAATCTTGACGTAAAGTTTCACCAGTCTGATCCATGACGCGCGAGAGAAGGTCTGCCAAGCATCGATGATCGTGACATAGCCACGGCCACCAATAATAGCAGGCTCCAGCTTGCCCTGGAAGGATCGGTCGAAAGGAACAATAGTCTCGTCCTCCTCGGGCAGCAGAGACGCCTGAACTCGGGTGAGGACAACGTGGGCGGGGATAGTTACGAAGACGGTCAGAACGATGGCGACGATGAAGACGATCAGACCCTTCCAGCTATCGCCGGCCTTGGGCTGCGGGACCTGGCCCGGGTTGTTGGGATCCAGCGTGGTCATGCCCATGGCACCAGCCAACCACTTAGGGAATGCGGTGTGGATCTCAAGAGCCAGCATGTATGCAACGGTCGGCAGCGCGCACGCCTGGAATGCCTGCTTGAATGGCGGCAGGCGTTGGTAGAAACGCTTCGGCGACGGGGCGGAGATCACAATGTGCAGCCAGGCAGTGTAAAGCTGAACCAAGCAAACACCCGCGATGATAACCGCAACAAAGTTGGGAATGAACGTCTCCTTGATGATGCTGTAAACAATAAGTCCTGACACAGTCAGGACGATCCAGGCAGCCAGTCCACGGAAGTAGGATCTCAGGCCGGAGATGGCGTAGAGGGTGCGGTGAAGGGCGCGGAAGCTGGAGCTGATAGCCTGGGTGTCCTGGCCACCACGAGCAGCCTCGTCGGCGAGCGCGGCGTTGTCTTCGGCCAGGGAGTCGGCGTCGGTGTTCAAGGAAACAGGCTCATAAGCGGGGGGCGACGGGTCCTCGATCATGGCAAGCACTGGGAAGATATTGTTGAGGGTGTAGCCAACCATGTAGGCGAATGGCAGGAACACGATGATGTCCAAGAGGATGACTAGCCAAGCCCATCCTGGGATGTTGTATACGGCGTCGTTGCCTTCGCCAAAGGCGACGGCCCGCTTGTAAACATGCGTGGCGATGTCTCGGTACATTTTGGCGGATACGATACACCGGTGGGGTTTCGCAACTGTAGTGGAATGAAGGGAATAAAATTCGGTGATGGAAAGTAAAGAAAATGGCGGCGTGGCCAACGATGTGATCAAGAACAACAAAGATGATGCGAGAAGTAAGAACAATGGTGAGAGAGGCAGCTGAATGAATGGTCTTAATTAAGGGACCGAGAAGTCCGGGGACCCGAAGGTAAGGAACGTTTTCGCCGCCGCACCCCCCCTGTCGCCCAAATCGCCCTACGTATCAACCTAGGCCCAGGACGCAGGCAGCGATCGGCACAGCCTCATTCGTGCCTAGCAAACTGCAGCACAGTCGCTGCAGGTCTGCCTGGGCCGCCCCATGCTAGGCTGGACAAGCGCCAGAACGACGGATTTCGCTTGTAACGCCGCTGCAAATCGGACCATTGGCCCCCCTTTTCTCGCGTTGTCACGCCAGACCTATCCGCGACACCCTTGCATGACCCCAGTGAAGCTTTAGCTGTCAGACAAATGTTTCCGGGCGGAACACGCAAGAGTTGCCTGTGGACGACAGTCACTTATCTGCAGCAGTAGTCGGAATATCGGGGCTCTCCAGTGTATTTGGCCATGCACCGAGCTGTTGGTCAAGAACGGGGGATGGAAGAATGGGCCACTTGTCCCTTTCTGAAAGATCCCATCAACCCGTCAGCTTCCAACCGGACTGGACAGACTGTCAACATCTGGTTCGTGATGTCATGCGCAAGCTAAGCGATGATCCTGATCTTCGTATCGATGAAGCATGCTGCTGAGCTGACCCCGGACACGCCACAAATCACCGAAACGCCCTCGATCCAGTGCCTCTTGAGTAGTATAACGGTATACTGTGAGTCTCTTGTGACTCTTTCCATTGCAGGCAAATTTCGACACTGGGAGATCGAGGTTGTATTGCCCGAAACTAGTGACAGTTAGCGCCTCGTCGCAACGGGGCGCCACCCGCCTGCTAAAGATAGGGGCCCCACTGCCCTGGGATGCTGGGATGCTGGGATGCCCCACCATTCGGTTACATCACCGACAACGAGGGCCGATTCCGCCAATGTCTCAGCCGGCATAGGTTGTTGAATATCCAGCCCCGGTCCCGTTGAAGAAATATACGGCCATTTGACCCCATGTCTGCGCCGCAGATTCCAAACCTTCTCTCTCTTCGAGGGCGAGGTGGTGCTCGCGGGCGCGGTGCAAGAGGCCGGGGCGGCTTTGCGAGCCCCGCGGGACCGGGCAGCCACGATACCGTCATCCAGGGTACCGACACCGACGCGTCCGTCTCGCGGCTGAGCGCCGTCGACCTGGGCTACCTGGAGGACCCGTATGCCCGGTATTTCGTGCAACAGAACGCCGGGCCGCCCACACGCAGATTGCCCATCATCAACCGAGGTGAGACTGAGAGCTATCTGGGATGAGGACCGCCTCGGAGTGCTAAACCCCCGAGCGACAGGCACCTACACACGGACATCGGCTCTGGATCGACTTGTATCTACCTTTCTCTTTAAGGGTAACAGAGAAGATGGAGAGAAACGGCAGATCATCTCTCTGGGTGCTGGAACGGACACACGCCCCTTCCGCCTGTTCTCGCGACCTGAGACGCGTGGTTTGATATACCACGAGATAGACTTTCCAGCGATTGCAGCTAAAAAGCGGGCAACTGTTCAGTCAATACCAGTCTTGCGGAGCATCATCACCATCAGTTCAGAGCTCGTGGATGGTACCTGGGGCAACCAATCTCTTGCAAATGAGAGCTCCTACTACTGTCACGGTCGCGACCTGCGAGACTTCGCACAGACCACACCACCGAGCCTCCCAGGGATTGAAAGTGGCATCCCTACCCTCATAATATCCGAGTGCTGCCTCTGCTACCTTCAACCGCCAGAGGCCAAGTCTGTGATATCCCACTTCACGTCACTGGTTTCCTCAGCTGCTCTCGTCGTATATGAGCCGGTCAGACCGTCGGATCCATTCGGCCGGCAGATGGTGTCCAATCTTGCAGCACGGCGGATCCAGATGCCGACTCTTGAGCTGTATCCAGAGGTGACGGATCAGCAGACGCGGCTGAGCGAGGCTGGCTTCCAGGACGGAACGAAGGCGTCCACCGTGGAAGACATTTGGAGGAAATGGATCCCCGCCGATGAGAAAGAGAGGGTAGACCAATTAGAAGGACTAGACGAGGTGGAGGAATGGGAGCTTTTGGCTGGCCATTACGTGGTTGCTTGGGGCTGGAGAGGCCAAGGGTTTGAAGGATGGAAAGATTTATGATCATGATCTAGATGATATCCCACTGCACTGCAACCAGCAAAAGTATTGCGCAATGCAAATGCGCTTGTGACAAGATTACCAACTACGCAAAAAAGCCGTAACTAATCGAACTGAGAAATCAATAGGAATGCTGAACCCCATCCTAAGAACGCCATTCCCAACGTGGGTATCATCGAATGTATCTGGACATAGTCCAAGTCCACTGTCACCAGAAACGCCTGACCGCCCCCACAGGGCAAACACCAGTCCAAGTCCTTCACGTCTTCGGAGCAGTCTAGAAGAGCCGCAGGCTTGTTCTTGATTGAAGCCTCGTTCCGTTGAGCATGGCACGGCCCTTCTTCGTCCTCGTCTGCAGACGCCGGAATCCTTCCTGAATGTGGCGCGTCTCAACTGGTGTCTTGCCTTCGCTGGGCGGGTCGAAGAGGCCGCCCGGGGCCAGCTTCCGCTTCTTGGAATTACTCTCCAAGCCGGTCCGCTCCTTCCACATGTCTTCCTGCTCTTTGATCTTCAAGGCCTCTTCCGTGAGCGTCTGCACCATCTCAAAAGTTAGGAAACCGAGGATATCGACAATGTCGTCCGACGGTTTGCTATCCGTCACGATGCCGAACCCGGCCCACTCTCGGAAGCGCTTGCCCTTGCGGTATGTGAAGGACGCCTGTCGGTATTCGGACCAGGTGACGTACTCCTCGCGCGTCATGGCCTTTGTCCGCTCGTCGGCCTTGCGCAGGCGCTCCAGCGTGATGAAGTTGAGCTCCTCCTCTTCCTCGTCCTCCTCGTCGTCGCGCTCGGGCACCTCCTGGGTGTAGAAGCTGCTGGGCTCCCAGGGCAGCTTGACCTTGGCCTTCTTGTTCTTCTTGGCGGCCTCCTCGACGGGGCCGGCGCCGGGCATGCCGCCGGGAGCCGCGTCGTCGACGCCCAGCTCAACGTCGCCGCCCTTCTCGTCCGAGTCGCGCGCGTTCTTGCGCACGTCCTTCCAACTAAGAAAGGTGCGCAGGCGCGAGACCTTGGGCGCGTCGTCGCGGATCTGGAAGATCAGGTCGTTGATGGTGATGGAGCGGGCGCCGCGGCGCGCAGCGAGCTCAGTGCAGTTGCGCAGCATCTCGATGACTTGTTGGCGCACGATCTCCTCTATCATGGCTGTGGTTTCGACAGACGGCTCGCCGGTCTCCCCAGAGACGTACATCATCTGCTGGATCTCCTGCCGATACTTGTGCTGCTTACTGTCCGCCATGGTGGGCAGATATGATGGAGTGGCGGCTGATATATGTAGTGTCTCCCTCTGCACTCAGAGGTTTTCAAAGAATATGTCAGCCAGCGTGACCTCCCGTAACGTGTTGCTCGGGATTCCCAGCCAGGCCAGTGGCGTCCGTTTGTTCCACCAGAGGAGCGATATCTTGGCCGGCTCGACCAAGTATCATCACTCACTAAAGAATGAAACAGGGCTGAGGAAAGCTGTAGGGTGGTCTCGTCCCAGAGATTCAGACGCAGTAATCGTTCCCGTAACAATGAGCTGGGTAGTGAGAGCAATCAAGTTGATGGAGGTGTACTTGACAGAGTCACATGACCGGATGATCCGTGCACCCGCGCTAAGTGTCTCGACCGAGCCGGGCCCCACCCTATTCCGTTGAGCGTCTACCATAGTACCGCGGTATTCCGTTCAGCTGCGGGCGCATTGCGGGTCCATTGTTCTGGACCAAACCATGCAGGGCAGCATCCATCCCGATAGAATCTGCCATGTTTCTCTAAACTTTGAGACCACACCCTTTCGTTATGTAGCTGAATATTAGTCATTGTAGTCATTGGCCAACTTGGGACACTAACGAACGTCTCGATTTGCCGATAACAGCGCCACCTCGCTGAGCTGAACGGAGCTGAAACTATACCAGACGAGAATGCTCGTCACTTGAGCGACCCGTGAAGAGAAGAAGGGGAGACCTTGGAGTGACCTGGGCCATGGTTCTCTTGAAGGGAGGAGCCTATATAATGCGGCGCGTGCGAAACTCTGCGAAACCGACAAGATGGTTCCTCTCTGATTCCTCCCTTACCTGCTGAAGTGAGGTCGACTGGCTTTATACCATTTTGAAACGCCTGGCTGCAAACTGCTTGCTTTCCGGACCCAACCCTCTTCAGATAATGGACTTGCCCCTTCTCATCGGCGTGAATGCGCTGTTCCGTAAAGCCGCGACACATGTCGAACAGAAGAAGAATCGCCGAGCAGCACAAGAAGCCTCTGTCAGCGAAGACAACGTACCCAGGGGCTATGCACCCCAGAAGCCTCTGCTCTATGACTTCCCACTCGAGCCCGGTGAGCAGCTCATCGCTACCTTCGAGTTCACACCTGCCAAGTGGAAAAAGGACCTCTTGGCCTCCAGTGAGATGTTCCCACATAGCTTCGGCACTACAATCGGCATCGGCCACATCACTTCGGAGAGAGTATTGCTGTTCTATGATATTGAGAGAATCCATGGGGAAAGCACCTGGAGTGGCGGGTCAATCGAGACCATGGGAAAATATGGCAGTAAGTGGCAGCCCAGGGAGCTGATCCCCACCAAAGGCTGGCTGAGCTGACTTTTGGCTGTTCAGGCAAGATCATTGAGCACACCGTGAACGAAACAGTGGGAAAGCTCTTTGAAGCTTTTACGCGCATCGAGTCCGAGACTCGCGAGTACATGGAGAAAGTGGCTCATAGACATGGCCCCTATGGTGTCGTTGCTTTCCCGCGGGATGGCACCTGGGGAGTGGCATTTGGGCATGTCTTCTTCAACCACGATAGCGTTCGACATCTGGATGGGGTGGCGCCAGTAGCGTTCTCGCCAACCTTTATCGACTCCAGCGGTAGTGGGCATAAGCAGAATCTGTTCAGAAAGCTCATTGCCGTTGGCGGCGCAGACGTGGTCATCGAGGAGGAGGATTGCTATCCATACTACGGTACACGCTCCGACTTGGCGAGGGATATCTTTTAAGTTACAGAAAACTCGCCACTGGTCTTTTTATCCTTACTGCTTTTAAGCCCTTGCCTAGGCTCGCACTTTGTTTTCAGATGATATGTTCACTATCAGTACTAATATGCTCTTAAGTTGTTATACCCCATTTTTAATCCTCGGCCTTATATTTTGGCACTAGCATGGAGTAATGCTCGACTCCATACTGCCAAACCACATTTTGCTCACGCGTACTGCTTAAAGGAAGATATAGAATCAGTTCCAGCGATCCATTCATTGTTGAATGCAGTCCTGACAAGCTGGGTATTGGTTCTGCAAGTTCTAACTGAAGCGGCAATCTCCGCGGAACCCTTGCCATCCCAGGCCTGCAACACCCTGCTTAATCACCGGCCAAGGTCAATTACTAGCATCCAGCTGATAAGAAGATATGAATGAGCTATATATCCAGTTTTCACGCTCTGTATAGGTCTATATAAACAACATCTCTAGTTGTAGGGACTGCTATAGGACCCCGGTGTTTCTAGGTCGGGAGTTATTCCATAAACTCTGGCCAGGAATGTCATGCAATGCTGGCAACCAAGGAAACCTACGTAGTTGACGACGAACAGCAGGCCAATCATACAAATCCAGTTGCTCGCAGGTACTCGAGATCAATGTTGATAACCAGTGCGACTCCTTGGAGTCAAGAAGTGAAACACCGCTGACGAATAGAGCCCACAAGAGCACTGGCGATTTACTATCCTCATCCGTAAAAGTGAGAAGAAGATCGTGAATGGCGATCCCCAGACGCTGGGAAAGAAGAGGGTAATTTGTGTGGCCATTACCATATGCTGGAAGTAGAGTGGTCATGAATGCCAGCATTGCCAGACTTGCCACGTCGTCGTGAGGTTGTCTCGGTAGAGAGCGTCGTTGCCCCAGAGGAGAGAACTTTAACATACGGTACAAGAGAGATATGAGTGTTTGCGTGAAAATGAGTGGGTCAAGCTTCGCTTTCGCTCGCCCATCCTTCTCCGAGGAATTTAGGAGACCGGCGAAGTTGATGACGTCCAGCATGATAAGCGACAGTGCAGGGGTAATATTGGAAAGGTGATCTTTAACAATACAAGAACTGCCTGACATAGCACTATTCAGCATCGTGTCGCAGCGAAATAAAGTAGGCAACCCGGTTTGTAGCGCCAACTCGACATCGAGCCTATACGCGTCAGGTTGTTCTGTTCCTGAGGGCATGTTTAAAGAGAAAAGCCAAGAAAACAGGAACACCAGCGTACCTTAATGGCTTAAGTGCCAATGCGGGGTTCTCTTTCATCAGTCTAGCAATTCCTCCCCGTAACTGAATCATTCGATAGAGCCCGTTAAGGTGTATCAAGCCTGTTGAGTGTTGATGATGTATCTGTTGGTAAATGGCTAAAGTAACCACCGCAGCTATGGCGGTGTTTGAAACAGACTCGACGCCTGAAAGTTTGTGATTGACCAAAGCATAAGCCGTTGAGATATGATATAACGCTTTGGGGGATATGCTAGGCTTGCGTTCGTAAAAGTCGACGAAAGACGCTGTTATAGCCAAAGTGCAGTGGAAGTCTGGCCATGTCAGCATGGATCGGCAGACTTGATATCTGCACTACTTACATGCCTCATCTGCTAGAACGAAATTAACCCAAACGGACTTGACCATGTCGAATTTGGAGCAAAACAGGGGTGGGAATAGCACGTCACTAATATCAAAGAACCCTGGGAGAATCATGTAAGAAGAACCAACACAATCTAGATCGAGAGCCACCTTACACCGATGCATAAGCTTGGTAGATTCAGAATCCAGCTGTTGTGGGAACGTTGTTAGACACAGATCGTGCCAAAGCAGCGGCCGTGGTCTCGAATACGCCAAGCCCGGGGTGCCGTAGAAGGGTAGAACGCGTTTGACATGAACGGTACTCGTCCGTTTTCTCGTCGACGGACGGGGTCGGCCCGCGTTCTTGCCTCTCATGACATGGGAGCGAATGACACGACGCTCAGACCTGCCTATCCCCATCGCACTCTGGTCAATGAATTGCAGCTCCATGCCGCTTACGCCGGCCTGTGCTTGTCGCACCATTCACTTCATTCTCTGAAGGTATTCGATGCACTGTGCTTGGCCGTCACCGGGGTCCGAAATGGCCGAATGACCGGCAGACACAGCTTTGAGTAGTGCTGAGTTCGGAGAAATCGATACGTGACAGGTTACCCCCGAACAGGCAGTTGAACGCTAGTCCATAAGAAGAAATCAATATCTGATTGGTCGGATGGTCAAGACTTAGAGAAAGTGGACCTCTTCTGAAGCTGCCTTTAGCGTCTGATTGGTGCATATCTGGTTCCAATAATACCTCCATTGTGCCGAAAGAGGGAAGTAATATTTGATTGGCCTAGACTGAAGGGCCTCCTAAAGGACTTCGTCGCGGGCTGTCATCGAGTGAGTTCCGGCTTTAAGACGTTGATGCTTGTGAGAAATCCGACTCTTGCAAATCAGGAACCGTGCCGATGGTGGAAATAGTACCATTGCCCTCATATAAAACGGGAACTCTCTTCTTCCCTCTCCCTCCCTGTCAAGTTGCACAATTGTGACCCTTATCACATTTTACCCTACGCTGACTTGATCACACTTTTCAGTTATTCTCGCTCCATATCATTGCAACCAGGCGGAGGAGAGAATTACATCACACAAGCAAGATGGTTATGCTCCGATTGACTGCTGAGCAGTACCAAAAGCTGCCTATTCTGGCGGATGAGTCAACTTGCTCCGGGAAGACCTACATAGTCACAGGAAGCAACTCTGGTCTCGGTCTAGAGACTGCAAGGCACCTTGTCGAATTCTCGGCCGCCTGTGTCATCCTGGCCGTGAGGAACCTCACAGCCGGAGACAATGCTAAAAAGGAGATTGAGAGATCAACAGGCCGCAGCGGTGTCGTACAGGTAAACTTGTCGTGAAACCCCAATGATTACTGGTTCAGTCCGAGGACTCACTGTTGTATTGATAGGTATGGCATCTCGACATGGCATCGAGTGAGTCTGTTGAGACCTTTGCCAAGAAGGCGTCAGCGGAGCTGGATAGGATCGATGGCTTTGTTGCCAATGCTGGCGTTATGAACGACACATGGTCGACTGCTGAGGGCATGGAGACCAGTATCACTGTCAATGTTATCAACACCTTGTTTCTAGGGGCTCTGATGTTGCCCAAGCTGAGTGACAGCGGACGCAAATTTGGGATGAAGCCCACTCTCCTCTTTGTCGTCAGTGCTCTAGGATACACGGTGAAAAGCGAGATGGATAAAACTCGCCAGGGCAGCATATTCGATGGTCTCTACGACCAGAAAAGGGCCAACATGAGCCGAAGGTGAGATTGGCCCCAGTTCTTCAACATGTGAATGACTTATTACGGCAGGTATCAGATTGAATTGGCTAACATGCAATCAACCCAGGTATGCTCTCTCCAAATTATTAGAAGAGTGTGCCGTACGCCAGTTTGCGTCACTGTGTCCTGTCAAGCGTACAGGCGTGATTGTAAACATGGTGGCTCCTGGCCTGTGCTCGACTGGCCTGGGTCGTGATGTTGGGACTTTTACCAAGATCATGTACGAGTCAGTCAAAGCCATGATGGCGCGGACTGCGGAGGTTGGAAGCCGGACGCTCTTGCATGGCCTGGTGGCTGGCGAGGAGAGCCATGGGAAACTGCTGTCTGGCTGTAAAATCAAGGAATACTGGGTGCCAACTTGGCTCAGCAATGAACAGGGCCAGCGCCTGCAGAAGGATGTCTGGAATGAAGTTGCTGCTAGGTTGGAAAGGGTCCAGCCTGGGTGTATCTCTAAGCTCTCGTAGACGGGGACTCCTTTCGACTTACAGCTTGCTCGGAAATGTAAAGATTTCATTTCATAATAAGCCCCAACCTCATCGGGAGTTCCACGCACTCGGATTGATTATAATAAGATAAGGTAAAATAGAAGATATACGAAAAGTATTAATTTAGCCAAAGTCTATCCCGCAACCCGCTTACCTATACTAAGTCCGGTGGGATTAATAAATAATTCAATTACGCGGAACGGTGGAATCAACGGCCGGGAAAAATGGGGCGGGGGTTCATTTTTTGGCGCCGGCGCACTGCGACCCCTAGGATCCCCGATGTCACGCAAGCCATGGGCGGGCAGCGGGTTTGAAAGGGGCAATTAAGCAGTGATCCCTGCGCCAGACGCTAACTAACTTGCCGTGTGAGCACCCAAGGCACCCCTGATTTCACTGAAGAAGACCCCTTGCCGCCCTGCTGATTGCCCCTCTTTCGCAGTCGGTCGGCGGGGGGAGGGGCCCACCAACAAATCAGGGCCGCGATAATTTGTTGATTTCCCTTCCACCCTCGATTTGACCGTTCGGTTGGTATCTCTCCTCACTGTCTCTATCGTGCTCCTGTAAATAGTGCCGGCGAGCGACTTCTTCAGCATGTCCACCACGACCACAGTCACCGAATCCGCGCCCATCACGGCCGAGAGCATCCTGCGCCTGTTCCCCGAGATTGACACCGCCTCCGTGGCGCTCGAGGGTCACGATGAAGAGCAGATCCGGCTGATGGACGAGGTCTGCATCGTCCTGGACGAGGATGACAAGCCAATCGGGACCGCGAGCAAGAAGCTGTGTATGTACCCGCGCCCAGTATGCCGCCCGCGGCTCGACTAACGCCCTGCCTACAGGCCACCTGATGACCAACATCGATAAGGGCTTGCTTCACCGCGCATTCTCCGTGTTCCTGTTTGACGACCAGAACCGATTGCTCCTCCAGCAGCGCGCTTCCGAGAAGATCACGTTCCCCGACATGTGGACAAACACCTGCTGCTCGCACCCGCTGAGCATCCCCGGCGAGACTGGCTCGACCTTGCCCGAGTCCGTCGAGGGCGTCAAGCGTGCGGCGCAGCGCAAACTCGACCACGAGCTGGGCATCAAGAAGGAGCAGGTCCCCATCGAGAACTTCCGATTTCTGACCCGCATCCACTACAAGGCGCCCAGCGACGGCCAATGGGGCGAGCACGAGAGTAAGCCGGCCGACTCCCATATCCCCGAAGGTGCAAGTGTCACTCTTGCGAGGCTCTGGCTAACAGTAGTTTCCCACCACAGTCGACTACATCTTGTTCATCAAGGCCAACGTCGACCTGGACATCAACAAGAACGAAGTCCAGGATACCAAATACGTGTCGCCCGAGGACCTGAAGAGCCTGTTTGCCGACCCCAAACTCAAGTTCACGCCGTGGTTCAAGCTGATCTGCGAGTCTATGCTCTTTGAGTGGTGGGCGCACCTGGACTCAGGCCTCGAGAGGTACCTCGACGAGCAGGAAATCCGCCGCATGTAAAAAGTGCCAAGATCTAATGACTACACGAAAGCAAAAGATACCACAGAAGATGCAGCACGTAAGACGCAGGGAAGCAGAGATGACGAGGGCGACGCTTGTTATTGGTAGACAAACATACAAAAAACGGCTTACAGCGCACAGTGTCTCAGCTGTCCGCATATGTCTCCCGACGGAGAGCCGCCTCTTATTCGAAGAGCGCAGCTGTCCTATCAATACCACATATTTCTAATTATTTGCTGTCAGATCCCGGGCGGGCCAGGATGGCGGAGCTTGGCTTCCATCGTGGCCGAAACGGAGCGGGCTCGTCGATCACCCCGGTCGAGCCGAGCCGCCTTATCAACGAGAGGGTGTTTGTCCGTGGATTTGTTTGAGCCTTTCTCCAAGTTCCAGAACAGGGCGTATAGTCGCTCGGTATTGTGTTTGTCGTAGACAGCGGTCTCCATGCTTGCTCCTCGGGCACGGCTGTGTAATCTGGTCTCACCAAGTATGTGGCAATAATGCCGAACGAAGGCTTCCACGGCATTCATCACCTGACACTTATCGTGCAGTTTGCATATCAGGGATCCAAACCTTGTATGGCCCAGTGGCCTAAGAGCGATGGTGACGGCGCCGATGACAACCTGCCATTGGCCGGCTTCACCTTGATACGGCATCCAGAAGGCAGCACGTCCCAGCAAACCCCACTCTAGTTCGAACACTAGCTGCTGTTGGCAGTCTTAGGCGCATGACCTTCCATGTCCGCCGCCCACCCCCAATCGCCGCCTCACTTGGTCTTGCCCTGTTGCGCGTCAGCGTTCCGTCGTGGGGTAACTATACCTTGTCTAGCCACCCGATCAGACAGTATACAGTGCGCTGCAGTCCCTCGAAACCACCGAGTCCACTTCAACAGTCGGGCGGTTATGGGTTACCAGAGTGCCCCGAGGTCTGAAGCTCAAGCGGGCGTTGACAGGACCGATGTGCAGCGTCAGTATGACCCATTGACGCTCTGCATGTCTGGCTTGTCGCACAACGTATGCGGCTCCTCCTGCTTATCCTGGTACGCTGCATGTACAATCCCACGCGTATCTGTTGTAGGCTTGCTTCGTGGCGGGTGATCTACACTGTGTTGATCCTGAGATCCCTACTCTCGTACTCCCTACGCTCTTAAAGACTGCCCAAGCCTCTTTCAGTCTGGTTCCAGCCTTCTTTATCTCTTCAACTCGACCACTTTATCAAGACCTGGTTGCAGAAGTTCGATTCAAGGGATAGGAAGAGACAAGCTTCGCTGACAGCTCTTGTAACGGTCTAACACAACCCACCCCTGGGTGTAGTTACTTTCCAAGACGCTCTGCTTCTTGTTACCGACCTGAACTTACCACCTGAATCCAGCATCTTGACAAGTCTGTCTGATTGATTGATTGATTGATTGACTGATCATCATCACTGCCAATTCAGTCTGCTGCACTTCGCTCCCAGAACTCAAGTCCTCTTTTGCTCTCCCAAAGTATTCGGCGTGACTCTAGATCACCTCCCTTGATCAGTCTCCCCATCGTCTCTAGATCTTGACACCTCCCAAGGCTACATTGATGTCTGTTGACCTTCGAACGACCCTCTATTGCCTACGTCATCCGGCGAGATTTATGCCCGTCTCGAGAACCCAGTTGTCTCGAGTACATACGGGTGATAGTATACAGAATATATCAAGTAAACAGAGTAAGCTATACTCGCTATACGGCCGGACTTGCCAGCTATCCACCGAGTCTACGTCCAATGACGACCACATTTACTAACTCGTATGATCGCACACAGTCAATCCAATTTAAACGAGAAAGCCCATCATGGCGAATCTCCAAGTCAGTAGTACGGAGCAAATCAGTTCCACCACCGTCGGCAGCAGTCCAGGCGCCGCCGTCATCCACCTCCCGGCCGCGGAGCTTAAGAAGCAGCGGTCCCTGATCCCCGAGCGCTGGGCCGATCAGGTCCGGGCCATCGGCATCTCCGAGTACAAGGAGGCCGGGCTGTCGATTGCGCAGGCGTTCGCCACGGACGAGCTGGCGCACTACCTGCTCGACTCGGACGACATGGCGCACCTCGCACCCGAGGCCAAGTGGAAGCTCCACGTCGACATGATGAAGTACATCGTCGCCGCGCACTGCTACAGTGGCCTCGTCACCACCATCGGGCCGGACTACGAGGGCGTTGCGCTTTGGTGAGTTTTGACACGTTGTTCTCCTCTGCCGTCAATCTGTTCCTACTTTGATTTCGTTATGCCACACCCCTCCCATTCCCTTCATGCCTTATGCCCCGGCGTGAGGTATACTGCCCAAGCTGTTTTGGTAACACCAAGTGCATCCCGGAACTCAAGAGAGAAGGGTTGCATTTGGTAGATAATACGCATTATTGTAGCTACCATCACCCGACACCATGATCCAATGGGGTTACTATGACACGGGACGCCGTTATGAGGTTTCCTCACCGAAAGGGGATCACCTGGTATTGTAATCATACTTTATACATATATATACCCGCCTAGCCGGCCTTCACACATCTACCTTGTTTTCCTCAGCCGGGCCACATTCCCTCTTCTCACATCCCCTAACCCTCCCCCCCTCATCAGCCTGACCCAGAAACCCCCATAAAGATCCCACGACCCAGCTGACCACGGCTTGTTTCCTCTCTCAGGGCGCCACCGGGCACCACGACCGACGACTGGCTGACGACGTTGCGCTCGGGCGCGTGGCGGCTGTACTACCAGCTCTCGAGCGAGGGCTGGCGCCGCTACAACGACGAGCTGCTGCCGCTGCTGCACCACACCAAGGCCGAGGTCATGGGCGACCGCGACGACGACTGCTACTACCTCGTCTACATCGGCACCAAACCCAGCGGGCAGCGACGCGGCTACGCGAGGAAGCTGATCGAGGCCATGGCGGCCAAGGTGAGTGGTGACATCCCTTTCATTTTTGTTTCTCCCTCTCCCCTCTTATAATCTCCCACCCACCATCCGACCCCCCTGGTCAAGTATATATATTCCGCGTCAATACGTCAACCAATCAACAACCCAGAAAAGAAAAACAGAACCATCACTGACACGTACATTTTCTCTTCCCCTCCAAAAGGCCGACGCCGAGAACCGCGCCATGTACCTGGAGTCGAGCTCGGAGCGCAACAGCGCCTACTACCGCAAGTTCGGCTTCGAGCCGCGGCGGGACATCTTCCTGGGCGCGGCGGACGGCGAGTCGGCCTCCGCCGCGTCCAAGCCGCCCGTCCGCCTGTCCATCATGGTGCGCGAGCCGCAGACCGTCGCCGGCAAGAGCATCCCCATCAAGCTCGGGGCCGGCTTCAAGCGCCTGCAGTGACGGCGGCTGTGGTGGGCTAGCGAAGCCGCGCGGCGGGCCTGTGCACAGGCGGGAGGGCCGCGGCGTGCGTGATTTGGGGGTTTGGCAAGATTGTACGTCTGGTGAAACCCGGGTTTCGTGTGTTGTGCGGTCTTTACTAATGATGTCTGTTCTTCGTCAGGTTTCGGTACTGTGTTGGGATTGTCTCCCCATTCAACATGGGTAGATGTTGGTATCGACTTATATGATTGAGGAGAGGGTGATTCTGAGGGGGTCTTGATTTGGTTTGGTATTTTGAATTTGAGGTTTTATCTGCACCCAACTATTCCGACTGTCTCTACCGCACCACTTGGTTTTCACGGTTTCTCTTCTCTACAGGAGTATCATTAGTCAGTCGTTCCATACATACTTTAGGTATCTTCCACCGTGGGCCACTCATTTAGTCATCACGTCGGCAATGAATTGATAGCATGCCATAATGTGTCCCTGTCCAGCCGTATTCTTTGCCCGAACAAGCCAAGCTAGGCCAAGCCATCCCGGTCTGGTCCAACGCCGTGAACCAAGGCCTGAAATGCTTATGATACCAATATCGCTGCGAGTCGCAGAGCATTTGGTCGGTCTCACACTTTTCCCTGTCCAGCGTGGACACCTCAGTAGTCCAGGATGGCAAATGTCTCATCATCAATAGTGGTGTAGACGACACCGGTACCGAACAGCTCCTCGGCGGCGGCCATGGCGTCGTTCACCGACAACTTAGCACCCTGGGCAATGAGGTTGAGGTGGATGCCCTCGTTGCCGCCCTCGGCGTGCTGCAGCCAGTTGAAAAACTTCTTGGCGTTCATGGAGCAATGGCGCACCTTGTCGTCGTTGGCACCGTTGCCGGAATTGCCGTCATCAACGAACATGCTGTCGTTGTCGCCGGTGTTGCCGTTGGACTGGCCATTGGCGTCCGTCTTGGCGCCTTTGGTGAAGAAGAGATGGACGTAGGTGGCCTCGAGCAGGTGGTAGTTGACCTCGTTAAAGTCGGCGACGGGCTTGATGACGTGGGCGCCGACGTGGCGCTTGTTGTTGAAGCTCTTGAGGCGGCCCCAGACGCGGACGTACTCGTCGAGCTGGAACTGGGGCTTGCCGCTGTCGTCCTTGTCGGCGTCGAGCCACTGCTTGACTTCGATCAGGCCGGTGCCGTCGTCGAGCTTGAAGGTGATGTTGGTGGTCTGGGGCGAGATGTTGCGCACCATGCCGACAAAGGTGACCTGGGACACCTCGACGCCGTCGATGCGGAATGGCGCGTCCTGGTAGGCCTGCTCGGCGTCGATGATCTGTTTTATGGTGACGGGTCGGAGGGACTCTTCGCCGCTGGCCTGGAGGTCGGGGGGAGATGAGTTAATCATGTGTTCTCAGGAGGAGAGGAGAGGAGAGGAGGGGCGGGTATGGGTAAGTCGCGGAGAGTGTATAGACAGGAAGAGGGAGGCACATACTCTGCCACCGCCCTGACTGCCACCTTGTGAACCTCCGTAGACAAAACCACCGGCATCATCACCGCCTGCGGCACCGTACGAGGTGCGGGAGTAACCGCCTCCGCCACCGTAATCTGCAGTCATGATGTTGTATGAGTATGTGGGCAAGCAAAGAGATCAGTCGGGCCGTCGTAGGAACCTACTGCTCATGACGACTAGGAAGGGAAGGAGTAGTTGAATGACCCAAAAAGCAGACTCAAGGGAAGTGTGCAGTGGACGGTCTGTATCGATATGCGCGGGGTTGTCTCCCAAGACTGTGACTGTTTGGAAGTGCTGTGTCGTGTATGCGTGGACGTAGGGGAGACGCGTCCGACGCGCCAGGGAGTTTAATGGGTTTTCTGCTTTAGGCGGCGGACGGGCACGCGCTAAAAGTTGAGAGCCAGGTAGCCAGGTAGCCAGGTTACCAGAGTCACCACCCCCCACCTTCTGCTGTTACCAGGTAACTGGGACCTGTCACCAGCCAAGTTACGGTAAATAAAGTCTTATTTCGGTCCTGCGACCCGCTTTGGCTGATTGGCTCAGTGCACAACTTCATTCACTACGTACAGTACTTACACACAGTAACCACAGAGGCACGGCCACGTCCAGGTCTAATACGCCATACTCCGTACAGCACCCGAAGTACTTCAGTTGCTGACAAGCATGGCAGGTGCTTTCCCCGGAGCCGAGTTTGGATAAAGACACCCGTCCACTGCAGCGCACCAAACAGATAGGTGTTGCACATTCCCCAAACAAGCCATGTCTCCAGGCGCCTCCGTTTTCTTCGTCGCTATCTGAAGGGTTCTCTCGGGTTTCGTCTGTCTTCACGTGGCTCTCGGCTGTTGCACAGACAGAGAATCGTTCCCTGGGGTCTGGTTTGGGGTTGCCGGGAACCGGGGATGCGTGGATAGCTGGATGGGGGGGGCCCTTGGGTTCAGAGGGGCGTCGGGTAGCGCTGTGGTGCCACTGTTTCCCTCTCCGGCTCGCTGGCCCCAGGCCCCGGCTCCACTGAGCCTCGGCTCTGCTAGCATTAGACTTCCTGACATCAGACAATAGCATCCGATCAAGCAGCGGCCCAGCCGAGAGCCTCATCCGAGTTGCTTCCATCGGCTTCTGCTTCTGCTTCTGCTTTTGCTTCTCCTGGGCGCAGAAACCGCCGGTAGCAACCAACCATTTATTCCCCCTCGATTGACAGACGCCGCATCCTTATTGCGACAGCCCTGTGAACCTCGTCTCGTTGCTCGCCAGGTGCATGGTCAGCACCTAGAGTGTGTACGTACCCTCGTGTCGGGCGCATCGCAGTCATCCATCTCATCTACCTACACCCAGCTTCTCGACGCCCTCGTTCCACCGCAAACCGTCATGGCTCCTCCGGTGCAATCGGCCATGATGCCCGTGGTCCCCCTGACCAAAGGGAGCGTGCTGTTTCCCGGCTCTGTCCTTCGCATTCCCGTCCCGTCCAGTCGGGGCGACATTCCCGCCCTGCTGTCCAACGTCTACACCCGCGCATCCAAGGGGTCACGCCGTGTCGACCAGATCCCCGTCGTCTGCGTCCCGCTCAACTCGCCACTGCTCAGCAGGCGCGGCCAGCTCCTCATCGCCAATGACCCCGACCGCTACAACGACCTTCTCGAGGCCGACTCGGCAGACATCCGCAAGGACAAGCTGTACGCCTACGGCGTCACGGCAAAGGTTACCGGCATCCAGGGAAAGAACGGCGGCGAGTTTAACCTGCTCGTCCAGGGCATTTCCCGTGTGACCGTCGACAAGATCACCCAGGAGCACCCCTTCTTTGAGGGCAAGGTCACCCCTCACACCGACAACGTACCTGTTCCTGTACTGCAGTCTGCTCAGTTTCAGGACCTGTTCTCCCGGCTGAAGCAGCTATCGCGCGAGCTGGTCCAATATCTCCGCGTGTCTGCCTTCCTGCTCACCCCTGGGCCCTCCGGCCTGAACCCCCTCTTGTCCAAAAGACTGGAGCAATTCATCGTCAAGAAAGCGCCCAACGAGGGCGGCTCCCTCGCCGACTTCATGATGAATGTCGTCGAGGCTTCCTACGAGGACAAGCTCCAGGTGCTTGGCGCTCTCGACGTCTCAACTCGCATGCAAAAGGTTATTGAGTTGCTGGAACGCCAAGTGGAAGATATCAAGGGAAACATCAAGATAACAAGCGTGACTAGTTCCACGATCCCGATCCATATTGACGAGGACGACGCGGAAAAGATCACAAATAAGCGGCGCAAGCCTCAAATCTCTATCTCGGGAATGCCACCCGGTGCCGGGTTCAACCTGAGCGACATGTTCGGCGCAGGCGGAGGCGGGAAAGGGAAGCAACAACCAGAGTCGGACGATATCCAAGAGTTGGCCAAGAAGATCGAGGCTGCAAAGATGCCTCCAGAGGCTGCAAAAGTGGCCGAGAGGGAATTGGGCCGCTTGAAGCAGATGATGCCCGCCCAGGCCGAATTCCAGGTCATCCGGACATACCTGGAGACGCTGGTCGAGATACCTTGGTCTGTGGTTACCGACGATCCTATCGGGGTGGGAACGCTGGAGAGGGCAAGAAAGCAGCTAGATGATGACCATTACGGCATCGAAAAGGTCAAGAAGCGGTTACTGTCATACCTGACAATTGTCAGGTTGATGCAATCTGCAAATGAAGCCGTGGACCACCAAATCAAGCAGGCCGAGCAGGAGGCTATCGACTTGGAGTCGAGCAAGGACGGGGCCAAAGAGGGTCTCAAGCTCGATCCAGAGCTCGAAGAGAAGATCAACGCGAGCGGTATCAAGGTGAAAATGCTTCAGAACAAGCGCAGAGGCGAGAAGGCCCCGATCCTACTCTTAATAGGGCCGCCTGGCACAGGCAAGACAAGCATAGCCCGGTCGATTGCCACGGCGCTGGGCCGCAAGTTTCACCGCATTTCACTGGGAGGTGTCCGAGATGAGGCGGAGATCCGGGGTCACCGGCGCACCTATGTCGCGGCCATGCCCGGCGTCATCGTACAAGGTCTACGCAAAGTCGGAGTTGCGAACCCCGTCTTCCTGCTAGATGAGATTGACAAGCTCGGCATGTCCAGCCACAATGGCGACCCCTCGGCAGCTATGCTCGAGGTTCTCGACCCCGAGCAGAACCATGCCTTCAGTGATCACTACGTCAATGTTCCCGTTGATCTGAGCAAAGTTTTGTTCATCGCGACCGCCAACTCGCTCGATACCATCCCCATCCCCCTGTTGGATCGCATGGAGACCCTCGAGTTCTCTGGCTACACGACCCTCGAAAAGCGACACATTGCCTTGCGACACCTCGTACCAAAGCAGATCCGTGTGAACGGTCTCACGGAGGATCAGGTCATCTTCAGCGATGATGTCGTCTCCAAGATCATTGAGTCGTACACTCGTGAATCAGGGGTGCGCAACCTCGAGCGCGAGATCGGTTCGGTTTGTCGTGCAAAAGCGGTCGAATTTGTCGAAGCGAACGACGCAGGAAAACCTGAGACATACCGCGCCAAACTCACCGTCGAGGACCTCGAATCCATCTTGGGCATAGAACGCTTCGAGGATGAGATTGCCGAGAAGAACAATCAGCCCGGCATTGTGACCGGACTGGTAGCTTACAGCTCTGGTGGCAACGGTGGCATTCTGTTCATCGAAGTGCTGGATATGCCCGGAGACGGCAGTGTGGAACTTACGGGCAACCTGGGAGAGGTTCTGAAGGAGAGTGTCAAGGTCGCAAGGAGCTGGGTACGCAACCACGCATATGAATTGGGCCTTACCCAAGATCCCTCGGAAAATATCATGAAGAACCGGAGTCTTCATGTACACTGCCCTTCGGGTGCCGTACCCAAGGATGGCCCCTCGAGCGGCATGGCACAAGCCATTGCTCTAATCTCTCTCCTCTCGGGCAGAGCCGTACCTCCAACCATGGCTATGACGGTATGTCCAACCTGTCCACACCCACTTTATTTCCACCACTGACAACGTTACACCAGGGCGAATTCCAACTGTCCGGCCACGTCAAGCGGGTCGGAGGTATCAAGGAGAAGCTGATCGGGGCGTACCGTGCTGGTGTCAAGACTGTCATGTTACCAGCACAGAACGAGAAGGATGCCAGAGAGGTTCCTTCGGAAGTTCGAGAGGGACTAAAGATCATTTACGTCAGGTAAGCAATCGTCCGTTCTTTGAGGCTTTGCACATCCCGCTCCCGCTCTGTCTCTCGTTTCCCTGAGTTGCCCTTTTCCCTTGGGTTCGCATAGCTAACTCATATCGCAAAGCCACATCTGGGAGGCCATTCGCCAGGTCTGGCCCGAGGTGCAGTGGCCGCACGAGACGGCTTTTGCTGGCATCCAACCCCGACTCTGAGCGTAATTTTACATGGGTAGTGGTGAATTTGTCTATTATAGGGAGCCATTGGAGTCCATAGCAGCATGATGTGGTCTGGTCCTTTCGTTTCCCCAGCCACGGTATTGGGACATAGCGACAATCTTTGTTTTTCATCTCTCCCGCTCTCTGCATCACGGAGTTGTATATAACGTGCCACGGTGATCAACAGAACAATCTTTACTACATGATCCTTGGCCCCATTTCACTTGGGCTGCAAAAAGCAAACTCAGGCATCCCTATGTAACATGTTCGACTGAGAATCTTTCAAACAGCCTGCCTATTCATCCAGCAGTGCTCATCCCCAGCTCATACCCTGCTGGGCACACACACACACCGGTACCCAATTAGGTCCGCCATCCACGTTACCGGGACACCAATCTGCTTCGCGGATCTCTGTGGAACGAACACTGCCTTTCCCAGAGGGTGCAAAGGAATCAAAACGGGGAATGGAACGGTGGGTGCCTGCCGTCTTGCATGTTTGTCAACGTTCGAGGCTTTCCCCCCCTCCCCCGGCGCCTCGGTTACACGGCGTCACCCCCCTTTCTTTTGGCATACATACGTCACGACAGTTGTTTTCTTGCTCCTCGCGGTGGTGCCACCCGGCGACCGACAAGCCGGTACGTGTCTGTCACACGCGAAGGGGAATGCGAGGGAGATCAAAAAGCAAAGAGGGGAGGGGGGGAAAAAAAGCCCCTACGTGCATCCTCGCCTCGTGGCACCGGGTGTGGGAGGGGGTGTAGGATTCCGACAACAAAGCACAGGACACGGGAAGCACTCCCACCCCCCTTCTTTACGGCCGTTGTGAGGCCCGGGGCGGGCCTTGCGCAAACTGCCATCGGCGGAGACGAAGGGGAGGCTCTCGTCTTGCGCGCTCGGTAGGACTTGCATGTGTCCGCGCGTGATACTGAGACAGAGAATGGGCCCATGTCCCCCGTTTTCGCTTGTCATGTGTCATGTGCCATGTACGGTTCGTTGCTGCTTTTTGTCTCAGTCACGAAGATATCGAGAGGGTTTTCACTGTTGTTGATGTTTGCTTGGTGGTGATTTGTGCATGTGTGTCTTTGGTACGTTGCGTAGACAATCCAAGGGGGCTCCTAGGGGGACGTCAGACGAAAGGTGATTAAGTTGTCTGTCGCGAGGTCTCATTGGATTTATCACAGCTTGGATTAATACAGAGGTAGAGGTGTCTCGTCAGAGGAAGAAGGATATGACAGCGAATGCTAGCAGTGCAGTCAGCTGCTCATTGCCAGTTTCTCTGTCTCTGCTTCGCATTGGCCTGAGTTGGTTCATTCAGTTGGTGTTTATTCCTCCGTTCAATATGTCCGACTTCATAAGACAAGTCGACACGCGGTCACCATGGTATCGGGACCTCTCCGTGTAAGATACCAATGGCTAGGGGAAACAGTGTAAGGCAGACGAACACAAGCCCTTTTGTTGCGCAAGACTGAGAATGTGGGTGTTTGTCAAGATATTAGAGCGACATCATTACCGTGTATCACGCCTACATACAATCAGACATGCCTGTGCCATGGCCAACATCTGTACGGACAGCCTTGGAATAAGTGATGCTCTAAGCTGCACAATCATCTTGGCCCTGAAAAGGGAGCCTCGGGAAAGAACTTGAATCTCGACAAAGCTACGTTTCTCAATATTGACTCAAAGGTAGTTGCAATGGAACCGCCATTCACACGCAGATCTTGCTACAAATCCACAACAAGGCATGAATCAGGCCCGTCCGCTATGCCAATGATGCTTGCCATCTCAACGCATCGGTGACTTAGTTCGAGTTATCGTCCTATTCGATGTCGTCGTAACATGAAAACATTGGCCTTTCCTTCCTGTATAGAGTTGGATATTAGACAAACACGCAAGACACCATACGTAACAGCGTGGTATGAATTTGCAGCTTGCGTGTATTTGTTTCAATTCAGAGACTCTTGCTGCTTAATGGCATGTGCCTCCAGTCCTCAGCCAGCCTCAAAGGGTGGTTTCTTCTTCTGGTCTTCTTCTGGCATTTCTTCTTCAATTGCTAGTGCTATCGGTGGCACGTTCACAGAGATCCACGAGCAACTTGACAATAACGTTCAATAACTACAAATACGATGTTGCTGGGATTCCAAATTCTCTCTGCCTTGAGTACTGTAGCTTTGCGAGTTGGCTCATTGCATTAAGAACGTTGGTCGATCGTTATTGAATAAGGCATCGTCTCTTGACTAGAGACTTTCCTTTCATGCTACTTCCGGCAACCAGGTGGTATTCCCGCATGGCCGGTTGTGAAATAATGAGCTTGTGCACATTACCATTACACATTCGAACGGGAGCTGCCATTGTCACACGTTGGGCGTGATGCTTCAATATGGAGACCCGAGGAGTGTATTGGAACCCATGTACTAGCCATAGTCCTGTCTCAGCCTCTCACAGTAGCCTCACTTGCAGTGTTTCCAAAATTGGCGATATCCGGATGCACCCATGCCCTCCATCCTCGACACCGACAGCAGCATGATCCTTAGCACGGCAATCTCATACGATGCCGGAACTTTAATTACGCTAATGTTGAGCCGATGAGGTTGGCTTTTCCTCGGCCTTTCGATAGCCTCGCAGAGCCAGTGAGCCTAAGTCGTTAGTCCACTGAGCAGGCGACGGGTGGTCCCTATCGCCATGGATGGATAGGCAGTGCTCGATAGCTAAGGTTGGTCCTCCAGCAGGGCACATTCCAGATGGGACGATCCTTTCGACGCTAGAAGCATCGTGACTTCGATAGCTTCTTCACTAGAAGCTAGTCTTGCGAAGAGGCTGGAGCCCGGCAGCGGTCAGGCCAGGATGGTGTTCCGAGAAACCAGGTGCTGTAGGTATCATGAACCATGTACCTAGCCCAGCTGCGAAAGATACGTAATCCCGCAATGAGCACGCTAACTTAGGGGGATTTGATTCCGCCCGCGCACGTGGAGTCGGCGATATTTTCCGGCCGGCGGGATAATACCAATCATATTATATGGGTACGCCAAAGGTTTTGGTAGCGATCTATGCCTCTAGCTCTGAACCCCGACAACTCAAGGTTTGCACGTGCGCGCAGGGTGGCCCGCTGGCCTGGCTGGTAGACAGCAACCTTGTCCGGCTTGGGGTGAGCCCGGTCAGCTGTTGGTCCGTAGTGACTCGTATCAAGTAATGAACGGCCGACGATGCTGGAAAGGCGTTGCGGTGAGGGTCAGCAAGACAGGCGCTAGTGCCTGAGATTTTCATTGCAGAGGTGTCTGCCGCCTAGCGCGGATATCGGGCAAGCTTGTTAGTTATTTTCCCTTTGGGGACTCTGCGTGTACTGTGGTTACAAGGTCCGGCCTACGACCTTGCTGTGACAGGATCCGCTCTCGCCATGGCGCTGGAGAGCGGTGGTCGGGGTCTTCGCCCACCCGTGTAGGGCGACGATGTCATGGCAGTATTCAAGGTCGAGAATACGGCCTAATTTCCGAGAATTTCACCCGCCGAGAGCGGGCGGGTGTCTGCCAGTTCGTTCAACTCGAACGCGGTTTAGGCTGGAAATCAAATATGTAGGAGTGTAGGCTCTTGGTTCTCAATAGAGTAGAGCCGGGAGCCAGGAAATGGACCTCATTCACCTGAGGGAGATTTCTGCCCGGTAGGTTTGCAATTTGGTACATAGACCCGGCTGCTTGACTGCGTGCTAGGCCGTACCGACGGCGCCATGACACTTGACGTTGCATTCGGCGCCCCAGCTAACCTCGCTATTGGGATGTCGGCATCTAGCGAGCTGCCTCATATGGTTGCTGCACATGCGGAGACGCTGCAGACCGCTCCAAGCACTGGCCAGATCGTCAAACACGCCATTGAGCGGCGCACTGCCAGTCGGGAGTATCTTCAGTCTTTATCACACCAAGATCAGCAGCAGCACCGACAAGCCAGCTTGATCCTGCGAGCTGCGCTGTGCTGCATTTTGTGATAGCACCATGCATGCACAAAGAGGTAACCAAATCGCGGACCGAGCTTACTATGTACGGCACAGGCTGTCGTGACAGGCCGGACCAATGCCTCTATCAGCCATCGACCCTGCATCGTGCCAGGCGAATGCTTGTCTTTCTCGCTCGCAAGGATATACGCCTTTGGGGGTTTCGTGAGGTCCCCAGCAAAATAAAATAGGAAATAATATAAATCCGTCTGACGTACATGATCGCGAGGAACAAAAGATGAGACGGAATCGAAAGCTAAATTGTGCGGAGCTGGGGTGGAACGTGGTACGGCGTCGCTCCTGTAATCTGGTCGGGGTTTGACAGTTGCTTGCTGGCCGCTGCTGGGTTTCAACGACGCCGAATGCGACCCTAAAAGCTGAAACCCGATCGCTCTATTCCCTTAACTGCTAGAGAGGAGCGGGTAGCCATGTGTCTGGGAAGCCATATCGATAGTGGAGAGGGCCTTATTCCTCTACGGGCGAGCCCAGTCGCTCCGTTATTGACAGGGCATAGCTGCTATAGCCCCTAAAATAGGTCTTTCACCTTTTAGGTAGTAATGGCGAAGACGTCAACAAGACGTCTGCGTGTAATGTACGTTTATGATATGCCATCAGCAGGCCGTACACGTACAGGACAGGACTTCCCAAAGGTTTCTCGCTTGCTTCTCTCTAGAGTTTCTTGCGTCAGTTTAGTCGGACGAAGCTTAATTGATGATAAACATTACTGGCGCAAGCGTGCGCCGCAGAACCGAAATCAGTCGGAGAGTTACGCGCCCTTATTCCTCCCAATCGATCGATGTGACAGCTTCCCGCATCCCGCCGCCATTAGGAGAGAGCCTTGCCTTTGCCAATGGCGGTTCGGGCGATTATAACATCCCCCATATTGTCCGGCAATTCCGGGAAAAGAGGCGCTCTCGTCCCGATGACCGTCTATCTGTAGCGAGCGGGACATCGGGAGCCTCCACTCTGTATCAGTCTCTGGCGATGCGACATGATGCACACTCGGCGCGCAGGACAGAGCTGTTTGCTAAAGATGCATGCACACCATTGACCCCGCTCTGCCCAAATACTGTGAGGAAAGCAGCTCTTTCGAGTATAGTTGCAGGCCGTCAAAGCGTTGATAGTCGCAAAACGTCCGGCAGTCGTCGCCAATACTCCACCGCCCAGTAGCTTAGAGAGACGACTCAATATCGCGCCGCATCTAACCCGCACAGGGTCCAAAAAGGCAAGACCTCGCCTTGCTGCCGATCTCATGCACCCATTCGTGTTAGCAGGCTTCGGGAGGTTTCCCTACCGGCGGCTTGGTACTGTGATTCCCCACCTGCGTACTAACGAGTAAGATTTCGTTTAGATAGATTGAAATCGAAGTCAGCGATAGGCCGCCCAAGTTGACGAGATCCGGCCCCGACAAAGCTCGGCATCCCATGGTGAGCACATGCTTCAGGTGAACACTCTCGAGTGTCAGCTTGCAGCCAGAGAAGCAATGCCAGCTCACCAGCTCAAACCGTGGAGGGTCCAGCCTGGACCAGGCGAGCGGGGGATACGTACCGTACCGACTCTGCTTTGAGACAGGGACCCTGCGCGGGAAATTCTCCGTTTGGCTGGTCTTGCTAGCTGGTGTGCACTTGCATAAACTTGATGAGATGACGGCTGGCTTGTGTCGCGCTCTGTGCAGCGATGCTCTTTGAGGCAGCACAGGGGCTCTCGTAAGATCAGATGAAATCTTCCGAGCTAGGCGAGATGAGTGATTCATGCCCTGTCGTCTTTTCGTCTGATGTCGGCATGCGCTTCCATGATTCACCACCACCACAAATCTCGACCGCTTGGAACACCGCAAATCTCCGATCTACACCCTCCACACTCAACGGTCGGCGTCTACACGGGTAGAGTTCCGAGGCATGCACAACATGGCACACGCTACTGGGTCTAAGTCGTCGCTAGCGGATTGCTGCAATAAGCACCAGCTAGAGGATCCTAGTACTCCAAGACGTTGGCTCCTGGGGACGCTAGCATTGTGGAAACCGCCGAGCGACAAGGTGCTCGGCGAACGGTCGGATGGCATTGTGAAAGAATGAACACCTGGGGATTCTCTGAGTGGGACGAGAGATGACACTCGCGATATGTGGTCTATCCATAGCGGTGAAATAGACTTGATGATCGTTTGCGTTAATGGGATCGCCGAATCAATAGCGCTGCTGGATCTCCCATCTCAGTAAGTGGTAATGGTGATCAACGAATATACTCGACATCCACTAGTGGGGGCCGATGTGTGCCGTCGTAAATTGACTCGGCGGACTTCTGACCAGGTCCCCGGGCGCGATACGTTTTGCGCCGCCAGTGCTCAGGCAGGGATGGGACAAGAAGTAGCGCGCTAAGCAGGAGCTGGTGTAGACTGCTGCAGCAGTGTTCACAACGGTCTTCAGTCATCAGGCTTTGGCGACCAAATTGTCCTGCAGGTTTGTCTTGTGCAAACTTACCGGAATCCTGACGTAGGGGCCGGGCTGCAGGTGACGGGCAGCCACGTCCGCTGATGGGTGATGTGGCTGGATCTGCACCTGTATCTGGACAGGAAGTCAAGTCACAGAGGTAGAGACGCTCGGGTAAAAGAGCGCCAGTTTTTTTTTGTCTTTCTTGTCTCCTTTCGAATCCGGCGCTAATTTTACCTGGCTGTGTGCCCCTTGTTAAGCCAGCCGCTCGACTTCGGGTGAGTTGCGTGTGCACTCGGGTTGGTATTTAGCGGCAGTGGGGGGATCCTCTCTTCTACAGTAGTCAGGTGCTGTGGGTTATCACTGGATTCTTACATACTTGCTAGATATCCGGGTTCCCACGTCTCCTTATGCCTTCTCCAGCGCCCCAGTATTGCTTCTCGAACTCTACAGTAGTATGCAGCGGGTTGGAGTGTAGATTCCGATCCGCTGGGCGCATTCGATAGTTAGTTCCTACCACGCCGTGACGGTCAAAGCTGCGCAATGCAACCCTTGCTCAACGCGGAAAGGGCCAACATGGCGCGGCCCAAAGGACCAGAGCCATGTCGACCAGCCGGATGAAGAATTAGGAGAAATAGATTAAACCCCCATTCAAACTTTTCGGTCTTCAACATCAAGAGCAAGTAATAATCCATGGTGGGATGTGGTTGCATTCTGGAGTGCCGCAATCTCACTTCTGCATCTGGCCGGGGTTGGGATACGGAGGAAACCTTGGCCAGCCCATATCAATGACGAGAACACTGGCGCACCTGCCTGGTGATTCTATGAAATGACCTTGCCGGTGATCAGAATCCACAACCAGGCCAAGCACACTTTGTTTGGAGTCAATCATGATGGGACAGGGAAGGATTGCGGCTAAGTACTGGTCGCTTTGCGATTGTCCATATCTTACGCTCTTGTCTAGGCCGTCATCGTCTGTTTCTCAACTGCTCCTGAGCGACCAGAAAATCAACGCTGATATCGGCTTATGACGAGGGCCAGCCTAAGCCTCTGTATAGACTTACTGTGTAGGTAGTTATGTTGCATCTGTTCGAGGCAGTGGAGAAACGAGGTTGATATTCATTTGGTGTCTGTGCGCGGTTGTGGCTTGGTACGGATTCAATATATGTATGACCAAAGTCCACCAACCGTGTCCACTAGTTATCCGTTGACATTCAAAGATCGACCACGGCTGACTCTTGGGCCGAGGCGGACCTGATATTTTCTAGACGGAAAAATTTATACAAACAGTGGCCTCTCGGAAAATATGCGAGGATAGGACCCATCTGCAATGCTAAACACTACTCCGGGGGGTTGAGCAGAAAGTGTCTTGCCATCCTCTTCGACAGGGTTGTGCCGTAACTCTAATTGATCAGCGTCTCGAGATCAAAAACCGGGAAAAACGGGTGCTGGGTTCTGCATCCGCGTTAAAGGATAGCTGGTGCGCAGGACACAGTGGAGAAAACATTCAAGTTGAATCTTTGGACTCTACTGTGTACCGCAAGACCGACAGTGATACGCGCGGAATGAGTTCAGCATCAGCAGATCGCGATAGAGTGAGGGCAGAAGCTGCCGGGGGGTGCATCATGCAATCCGGCACCATCCCCTGCGGAGATCATTGCGATATAATATTAAAGTGCTGAGCAAAAAGTAATAGGATCAGAGCGGACGGCACATGTGGTTAGCGCTCAGCTCCCTACCTGCTGAGTTAGCTTCGAAATAAGAAAGAACAAGCTTAGGCGAGGCCAACGTCAATTGAAACCGGATGCGATGCCAGTTCGTCTCAACTGCGGGAGGTTCCTAAATAACTCCGACATTCTGACACATGCAGGCACGTCGCAAGGTTGGCTTTCGCCTGTCGATCGCGAAGTGTCAAAAGGCTCCTGCGACGTGCCCTGCTTTGTACATGCTATGTAGTAGCCGAGGATAGCTGGGGAGAACCCCAGCGAGCCCCAGCAAAGGGTGTGTGCAAGGCCCGTTCAGACATCAGATGAAAACAGGGACCAGGGCAGTACGCGAGCAACCCCAGACCCATGCAGCATCTTGCATTGTTCCTAATGTGATCTAACCGGCTTTTAGAAACCACTTCGCCAACGCTGCGAGAGCCGGATGAGATTAGAGATTTGCTGTTATTCAATTGCGCATTTGTGTGAAGAGAGAGATGCTCCTCGGTATAGTAATTGGAGTAGTAAAGACTTCTTGGGATGGCTATAACAACTTGACCAGCCAAAGCTGTGGGTAGTCCTTCCAACTTAGGGCCGGGCGGGTTCATGCTGTGTCACCAAACCACCTCAACCGCATTTTTATCTCGTCCGATGTATCCCTGTCCTACAAACCAAAACCAAACTTCACGCCCAAGATCAGGATGGCGGGGTAGTGACACAATGCAAAGGAGCAATCGGAGTATTCTTGGACAGCCGTTTTGGACAATTGGGACGATTTCACGGGGTCGTTTTGGCTGTCCGCCGGTCTTGATCCCTACCTTACCTATCGTCGGGATGCCATTCTAAGCAAGATCTCCAGTAACGCATAAAGGTACACAGACTCTTTCTTACACTGATGGGACAGGAGTGGGCACACCGGCCGATGTCGTAAAAAGTGACATGTAACTTCACGATCGCAGCAAGGACGAGGTGAGTTGATGTGGTTTGCGGGTGCCAAGTCAGATTGTCTAAGTCCAGTGGTTTCGCAGGGTGAGGGCTGGTGCTGGCCAAGCATTGATGGATGGCATCACCAACTGCATTGGTCAATTATCGACAAGGAGGCTCAAAATGCGTTGTCGGTACCTGGGTACGTACTCCTGCACAAGATTTAGCGCATCCCGGCATAATGGGCGGACTATGGCACTTGACGCCACAATAATGCCAGGATTACCATAGTAGGACAGGTGTACCGCTGTGCGTGCAGCCCGTTGCCGCGACCCATTAAGATAAACAGGCCTGTGCAATATAGCCAGCAATACGTGAGATCCCTCATCTTAACAATGCGCGAGTGCTCCGGCAGCAGCTTCACCAAGGCCTCCATTCGACCGCGTCTGGCCCTTGACGATGCCGCCTAGAGGGAAGAAGTGCTGCGCGGGCTCCTGGGCTAGTAGGAAGTATGCAGACCAACCCCCAAATGACAGTGTCTCGAGCAATCTCAATGGCGCGCCGCTTGACGGACCCCAATAGTGTCAGGTAGATTAAAGCCACGAGCCATATTTGGAGCTACTGGCCTTACTATGTGCAGCGTGGCCGTCGGTTACGCGCCGTCATGACCAGATGCCCCACCATTCATTATTACTACCCAAGTTGATATCAACGACGAGGTCAGGGTTCCACTTGAGCCGCAATCCAATGTCAGCAGATACTACCCAACTGATACCAACAATCTAGTAGAGGCCCTGAGCCTACAGTAGATAAGCCTATGTCGTGCCTAGGATTGCGCCGTTGCATCCGCGATCCAACTTCTGCAAGACTGCAGCCGGGTTGGTGCGCACCGACAACGATAGCTGCAGACGGGTTCATGCGTTCCCTCGGGGATCATGACGGATCCCATTATAGGGCATGCCCAGATGCGTACTATGTACACTGGGCTCGTCGAGAAAACATACCGACGAGGCAATTGGTGGGGTTTGGATAGCGTAGCGCGCCGCATGAGGCTCTACCTGATGGGACGAAATAAGCGTTACCATTGTCTCGAGTATAAATAGCTTGCGGTAAAGATCAGATATGTCACATCTTGAAGCCGTCGTGCGGGGACGTCACACCAGAGACTTGCTGCTGCGAGATACCACACGATCCTTGTAATATGCGAATCCCCAGGCCGTCTTAAGCGAGTCATTCTTAAACCGCGTACTCAAAAACTCCCGTACATAGTAATCGCCAAGCACCGCATTTAGATACAGCTATAGTGTGAACTGACCAACGTCGCCAAGACGGCGCTGGCAACGTTGTTGACGTTTCGCTCACGAAATGCAAAACATCGCCGGTCCATGAAGTGCACATGTCGCTGGAGACTGGAGAAGAATTCTCCGAGTCATACCCGGTAGGAAAGAGAGAGCTAAATCGGGCTGAGTACGAAACTCCGACTTGCCATCGGTGTTGCCTCCTTGGGAACACTTGTCCGGTGAGACTGGCGGGCTTACGATCGAGTCACGGCATCCAAATACTTGTTGTAGCTGTCGGTCGAATGCGGAAGGATTTCTAGTTGGGCCTATTGCCCTACCACGGACGTGCATCAGGCCCAACGGCCTGAGTTAGGGTATAGTAATCAAATCTGCCTTCCTTGCCTCATCGAGCGAAAACTGCGTCCTGTAGTCTTCCCGCGGAGCAGGGGGGAACAAGACCCATGCTCGTCTGCCATCAGAAATGACGAGAGAAGTTCCAAGGGTCGCGTTCCTGAGGGTGAATTGCGTGTGCAGACCATAAGATCGCCAGCCTAAGCGGAATCGCCAATGCTCCCCACGAATTTCGGATCACTCAGCACCGGCAGGATGTGGTACTTGCCGAGTCTGCATGCAGGTCGAGGACCCTACCCAATTTATGGGCTGCTGCCGGCGGCTTTTGATGGATCACGGGCAACATGTAACTCGTAGTCTGTTTAGCAGCGGTGCTCGTGCCTCTCTGCCTTCCAAGGACTGCAAGAACTGGAACCGAGGACGTGGTCCGTCAATGTGACATTCCTGGGTGTACCCAGGCCCCGGGAGCCGAGTATGTACATGCATGTCCGATTAAGTGTGCGAAATGGGCCGCACCGCAGCTGATGACACGAGATCGACGAGTGCACAACCCACCAGTGCGCACGAACTATACCCATGAGCTCTTTTGGAGCGACGGCTCTCTTTTTGGGTGAACCGAACCGTCCTAGCTTGCCACGGGAACCTCATGCAGCCGCGGGACGGTCGCCCGTATTGGGCTGCCGGCCACTGGCGGCAACCTCGCTCTCACACAAAGTGTGTATGAAATCGCCATCCTCAATTTCCTCGTGGCTCGTCTCGAGTTTGAAAGGCTGACGTCTACCGGAATTAGCTATGCAACGTCTTGTCAGCCGCCAGGCGTCTCTTCTAAGCAACGGCGGGAGCGTGTGTCATGGTGCTGAAGCAGCCCACGCGGCCAGCCCTCGATTGGTCCCGTGGCTCGCTGCTCCTCGTTTCCGCTTGCCTGGCGGAGGGCCGACCAGCGCTTGGGAGGCCCGTCTCGAGAGAACACATACCGCGATACCTGTCAGACTCAGACACAGCAAGCCATCCCTCTCACCGCGCCGTTCCATGACACGCCCCACCCCGTCATTCAATTGACACCCCTCGGTTAGGGCCATGTGTCCCCCTTTGCGAATGTCTCATTGTCTGTCCTCTGCCAGCCAGTTCTCCCCTCCGGCCCCAAGCAGCCTGGGGGGGCCGGAGAATTCGCAAGCGAGACAGACATGGGAGGCCATCATCGTCTTATTTTCACGGCATAGCTATGCACCTCCCTCAGGGTTAGGAAGCTGGCATAATACATGGCAGTAGATGGTCGAGCTGGCATGTCTAACTTAGCTTGACTAGCTGCCCGGGCCTGCCCTTTCGCTGCCCGTTGAAGGACCGGGGTCTATCCTGGACAGCCAGCCCACGCGTTATGCTCCACCTCCGGCGTACCCCCCCCTGTTCCCACCATCTCGTTCATTTTTCAGCACGGTCAACCCTTAACTTGTATTCCCTGGATACCCACAATATCCACCACCCATCGTCACGTATCATGCCGTGCCATGCCCACAGGCCCAGGTACCTTTCTGTGGCCCTCCCACTGCTCATGCCCCCCTGAAGTGAGGCCCTGGTCAATAGGCCCCCGGTCGCTCATCAACGCCAGTGCCAGAACGGCGCCAGTGCCCGTCTATGCCCAGCCAGCAGACCCCAGCGTCTGTGCAGCGGTGATGCGCCCCATGAACCCATGAACCATTACCCTTGCTGAATACATATTGAGCCAATCTTCTATTAAGTGGCACAAAAACCTCCGTCATCCCACCGTGATGATAGAGAAAAAGCTCTTGGGCTCATTCATCCCGGAGGATCTCACCAGTGTCCCCAACATTCGAACAGCACAAAGACCAGTCGTGCGGCCTCCCGATCGTAGACCCGAAAGACTGAGCAAGCTTCTGGTGTTACGTGAGGGTCTCGCTATCGTGCTGCAGTTCCCCGAGTGCTCTCTTCGGTCCCAAGATATCGGCGGCACCGCTTGCCGTGTCACTGGTGTCTGAACCTCCTTGAACAAGTATCACCAACCTCGCGCTGTCCTACGACTCTTTCTGGGACGCTGCCCCCTTCACCAGGGCTCTCCACGCTGTCAGTTGCGAAGGTGGCCTCCCGACTTCCTGTATCGAACATCCTGCCCTCTTCACGACTGCAAGAAACTCCCAATACCCACCAATAGATACCCACGACGACACTAGTCCGCGGTGGTCCTTCCAGCAACATTTCCGTGTGCCATCGGTTTTGACTCAGTTGCTTGGAATCGAAATCAGGTACCGCGTTCGCATCAGTTGCTGAGAGGATATTGCGAAGCTCGTATTCGATCGTTACCCTTGGCATGCAACTCTTCGGCAAGAACCAACCCCGGATCTGTACGCAAGATAATCTCAACGCAAATACCAGGCGCCGGACTATCACTTGGTGTGAGAAGCCGGGAGCTCAGCACTTTCTCCCGTAGTACCCTCTTGCAGTATCCATGCAAGCCATACTTCACCCTGGTGAACAGACTAACGCCCCTCTCGGCCAGCGCCGAGGCAAATCCGACCTGGCGTCCTTCGCTGGCAACCTGACCTGGGCCAGCGCAGAGACGGCGTGCCATCTTGGCACAAGGGCATATCCTTCTCCGCCCATGTCAGGGTCACCAACGCTCCCGCCTAAGCCCATCCAAGAGGCCGGAGATCGAGGTCAGAGTAGCTTTCGGCCAACTCCCCACGATGCATACCGCCCTGGCTCGGCTTTTCAAGGAGGCGACCCGCGGATAGCTTCCTCACAAACACCAATAACTGCTTCAGCATACCACCCACCATCCCAACTATCACAACCGCCCTCAAACACTGGAATAAGACCGCTGTCATTGGAAACCACCGACCGCTTGGGTTATCCGAGTAGTCGTCCGGGAGAAGTCATGGGTCACCCTTTGGCTTATCCACCGCAGCATATCTCTCAACCCCAGTATCCCCTTCCACCAGTAGTTGGACCAATGCCAACGACATCACCATATTCGTTGCCTGCGAGACCGCAAACCTCGGAGGGAGCCCCCTATACATCTCCAAAATCACAACGGAAAACAAAGGGACATGTCGCGTCAGCATGTGTCCCATGCAAAAGAGCACATCTTAGGTGAGCCCATCCCTCCTCTGAAGTGTAATTCCTTTGTCAGAATGAATACTGATCCTTATAGGTGCGATGGTACGTATTTGATCTTAATTCCTCATGACTTCAACTATCACCTTCGCACGGTTCGACCCACCATAACTGCCTCACTTGCCATCAAATACCGGACCAAGGCGGTTGAACTGCAAAGTCGCCTTGTACGGAGTAACTGGGCGGAACCGCGCCCAGCCCAGTTTTGACAAGTCCACGGCTGTTGGTGGTCTCTTTCTGATTGTCAAAGTTGACAGTGGTGCCAAATTTCATCCATTGGCTGATGTCTTGGGTGCAAGAAATCTCTATGCTGCATAGCTATTGCTACACCAGCATGTATACTCCACCCATTGGCGTTCTAATTGACCGAGGCATTCGGCCAGTTGGACCGGAGTTTATTTGAACCCTTGATGCTCCTTGGATGTCTGGCTAACACCACTCATTAACAGCCCAGAGACCGTGCTCGAGATGTTTAAGCAATGGGAAGGAAGACGCTTGCGTCGATGTGCAACATAAAAAACGCGGTCGCCCACGTTTACGGGAGGATAGGGAGTCAAGATTTGACTCGTCGCGGTTCCAACATCCAGCAGATTCAATGATCAGACGACCCGTGTCTTTATACGCCCCATCGAGTGCTGCAGTGGTTCCCTTCGATGACCCATTGCGGAGGAGTCAGTCGTATAGGGTGTTAAAGTCACACCCTTCGGATCCCGTAGCGCCGAAGCATCTTGAGCGAGGGTCGATCAGCGATGCCAACATATATCCACCGCCCCTGGCTCTGCCACAAAGGTCTCTGGAGCCCTTGGCGTTCTTGACGGTTGATTTCGAGTTAGCCCGGATCTCAAATACGTTCGTGGATGCCATCGGTGCTGGTTCGGCGCAGTCCATCCTAGGGCGGAAGCTGGCAGAGGTCATGGTTCCGCAAGAATGGGATAGAGTTGCTGCCCTCCAGCGGTCGCTTCAAGATGAACAGGGCAGGAAAGAGCCAAACTATCTGCCTCCCATTTTTGGTAGACAGGAGTTGGAGAGGGTTCTACATGCCCTTCCGCTAGATTCGGAATTAGTGTCCAAATACTCTCTTGACAGGCAAGACTTTTTCACCTTCATCACAGCCGAAGGGCAACCCCGGCCTTATCCGATCCGCATCGGGCTGGTAAAGGAGGATTCGATATACTTCGTGGTGCTGCATCTCAACTTGCAGGCGCGATCGTTTGCACATCCCACGCCGTCTCCGCATACCAGAGACGTCCCATACTCATACCAGGCTCCGCATTTGCCTCCTCAACTTACTCCCGTATCGGCTTCCTTTGATTCGAATCGGCCAAGGTTCGGGGATACGAGGGATCCAAGAGAAGGGGGGCTGACACCTCGTCTGCCTGTCACTCCCGGCCAATCGGTGATGGGGATCAGTCCAGGCGTGAGTCCGAATGTCCCGTCATATTCGCCTTCATCTGGACGCCTCGATCACACGGGTGGGCCTTCGTATCAAATTCCCCGCAGCGAACTGCCCGCAACCCGTGCACCGCTGTCGTCAGGGTACCAGCTCCCGCCCATCCGGAGCCCCGGTCAGCAGCCCGGCCCAAGTTCGGATCCGCGGGCAGGTCGCGTCGACATTGGCGGCTTGATCGACCGTCAGGATACTTCTCGGTGAAGACCACGGCGGAAGGCCTGACAAGGCACGGTCCTGTTGTCCGAGAAGCAGGTCCACCATCACCCTTGGTGCTCCCAGCGAGTGTCGTTTTCGGAGCGTTGTTGCCGCTTATCAGCTGCTCTCTTTGTAATTGTACGCGAGATACCCCTTGCTTGCTTTCAGTTGCGTCACGATGATACCAAATGTACAACATAAATGCATAAAGTTTGGGTTTCGACTGTCTCGTTCTTGTTTCCCCAAGCGATTCCACTCGGCGTTAGGTCTTTTATATGCATAACCCATAGCTGGCTCGAGGATTTGGTGGTTCCTTGTTGTTTCTTTCAACGCTCGGCACATCAGGCAGGGATGTCTCCTGTTGCCTTAGAGCGAGGTGGCAGACACTCTTGTCGGAAGTAACCCCGTGGAAGGGGAAGATATCACGATGCCGAGCATTTCATCGGGCCGTGAAGGCGTGCTCGTTCTCAGGCAATCTTTGATACTCACTTGTGCCCGATTTGTCATCGGGGCCAAGCGAAAGCCTTTCCGTTGCTAGCCGGATCATACGGCAAGGTTTTGTCTATGTTTCTGCGGACATCTCTGGAGAACAACAGCGTCGCGGTCAGCTTTCTCGTTGTAGGAGTATGTTCCTGCTCTCGAATAGAGTATGAGGCCGTTTCTTTAGTAAGAAGACGTCCCTGGGAATACGGGTGTGCGATAGTTGTACAAGGCGGGGTCTAACGACGGTGCATGGGTTGTCTTCATGACCTTGGGATGCGGAGGTAGACTGGATGTCGAAATCAGGTTTTGGCGGAGGGATATGGACCATGACGGCCTACATGTGCATAATAAGGAGGGAGGATGGTGGAAATAACTGCGGACACGCAAACATAATTGAAGAAGGATCGGAAGTTAAGATGCAATATTGCGCCTGTGACAAACGAAACGAAACGAAACATGGGGCTACCAAGCTCGGGGTTCTGGCCTACAGGGTTTCAAAACAGGTCAGGAATCGGAAATGGTAGGCCGGCCAGTCATCGGCCCTACGCGTCCACCCGGGCTGGGTGCTGAGGTTTAAGAGAAGGTCTTATAGCAACGACCTCATTTCCGGGCGGGAACCCGTCCCATTTACGGTGAGAGATGCGCAAATGCAACGGTGAGAAGGGCCAGGATCGTCTGCTAAGAAGCCCAACCCTGGCTGCGCTACCTCGCGTCGCCAAGGACAGACGCACGGCATCTCCCTCCATCGCCTAATAGATGGCCTACCGACGTACGCGAGACGAGAAGGCGGTATGTAGCTTATGTCTGCATATGCAGGCGGGTTGAGGAGTCGTTGGGATCACACACCCGGCAGCTGCAAGCACTAGTTAGCTCACAAGCTTATGGCCCAGTGTCGCTGCGGGCCAGTATGGCCAAGGCGGCGCGCGGGCTTTTAGAGGCGCTGTAAGCGCAAGGGGGGGGCCCTGCCGTACCTCGCTAGCCAGTCACAATATTTCCCGACGCACAGGTCGCGCAAGCGCTGGTCGTTGATTTGAAAGTCTATCTTGCTTTCTCGATGGAAAATGTCCGACGAATGCCATGCGGTGCGACCCCAACGTCCGGCAGGAGCCGGTGGGTGGCCTGGCACGCGCATTGGATGTCCTGGTAAGTTGGCAGAAAACTTGCTTGCGTGCCTCCTCCCTCGGCTCCGCCGCGACATGGGAATGGGGACGAGGAAAGAGATCCCCTCTCGTGAGATGCCATGATTAGGAAGCTGGAATCAGGAACCTCGCCAGGGAATTGGACCTGGTGCAGTCCACTTAAATTACAGCTGCCTTTGACGGCCGGGATCCGGCAACGCAACAGGGCCCCCGCCCCCACAAATCCGGCACTCGCCGACCTGGCTCACCCAATAGTTACCAGTTCGTCCTTACTGACTTTTACTCCCGATGGCCCTTTCTGCTGGGTTTAAGAAAAGCTGTCAGGTCCGTCGATCTCCTCGTTGATCGTGCGTCATCTCGTTGCATCCATTTTCCACAATAGGCGCTCAATTCGCCAAACGAAAGTGGGTTGGCGTTCAAGGCCTGGGGATTTTTTACGCGAGTTTCTTTGGGTCAAAGATTGGGTGTGTTTTCGGTTCGTCGGCCAGGTTCATTCACTTTTGCTCTGTCCTGCCGCGAACCGCCATTGGCTCATATTCTCCGAGTCGAGGTCCGTTCCCGTTTTCCAAGACCCATCTTCCAAAATGCAGGACTATCAGATCGCTTACGGTGGCAGACAAGTGCATGGTGTAGTAAAGGCGCTAATACACTCATAAGGAAGACATAAGACTTGAAACCTTCTCTCGGGATCGGGAACCGTGGCAAGAGCCGCCAAACTATAGGACTGGCCAACGAGATAGCCATAGATCACCCATATTATATATATGTAAATTCAAAGCGCAGTAGATGAATTGGTTCCCTTTGACTTTGTCGCATAAGTGTCCACTACCTTCTCCCTATAATGCATGACAGAATCCCCACCTTCACATGCAAACCATCTACATTCTCTTGCAGTCTTTTGACAAAGACTGCTGCTTCCCTGTGGAACGTCATGCTGTCGGGGGTGACTTGATTCTGATCATCCCGAGATTTCACATCCCAACATTCATTCGCTGTCTCGATATCCTGGTTGCTGACATGCCACATATCCCAGTCTGGGTCTATCCAGTCGTTGCATTCAATGTCCACTTCGACGAGTGTTCGGTCAGAACCTTGGAATACCTCTCGTTCTCTGGGCTGATGATTTCCGTAGAACGAGTTTATCGTCCGCTCGCTGACTAATAGATCTTCATCTCGCCATCGGATGCGGTAGTCGATGAACCATAATTTCCGAATGCAAGAAGTCATTTCAAGCAGTGAGACCAGGCCTTGAAAAGCTCCGGACGACTCTTGGATCAATGCGCTCTTCAACCAGTCAACATCCAGCTCTAAAGCAAGATTTCCTAATACACCAGTTCTCTGAGCACTCAAAAAGAATGGTAAATTGTAGAAGTTCCAGTCGAAGTCGATCCTGTGAAGTGTTGGATGGCCTCGAGGCTGTATGCAGATCAAATCTCTGTGAGGGTGGACGACAAATTGGTGTAGCTCGGACTTGGATTGAAAATGGCTCGTGAATGGCTTGAATCCCGTTGTTTGGACCTTGTCAGGTCTGTTAGGCCAAGATGGCCGCCTATCTTTGATTCGCTGTACCAACTGACGATCTTCTTTCCACCAGTCAAGCTGGAGGTGTAATTCTAGGCGTGCTCGCGATGCTTTACATGCTGTCCACAGTCCGCTGTCGAGTAAATATGCCGATGGGTTGCCTTCCGTCCAGGAAATCTCCCTCGATTGGTAAGGGGCTGGTGCTCCTAGTAGAGATTCGCACGGTCCTTGTAATGGGTATCTGAGCTTTATGAAATGCTCATCTACAGGTGTACCATGTTCACGATCAATATCGTCCACTGTGAACGAAAAGAAATGAGCTGACGGCTTGGCTGGTCGAATTGCCATATCCCAGATCATATCTCTGAGTTCCATTGGAAGGTGGGGAAATAGACGGAATTCCGCCATCGTGTCGTGTAATATGAGAGGCTCCGGCTTGTCCAGGTGACGGTTTTTGCGAGGTGATGGGGTCGGTTTGAGCTGCCACAAGAGTAAAAAAGATAACGGTCCCGGAGAAGGAAGGCTTCAGTAATGCTGACTTTTAATGGGTAATTGTGGGCGACGATGAGAGCAATTACGGTGTGGGCTCTTGAAGTAAGTTCTAATCTTCTCTCGGACATAGAGGGACCAAGAGAAGGTTAATTCTGACGAATGGTAAGCCGGAATTGACTGAGATAAATGATAAACTTTGCGACTAGATCCAGCTACCCCAAACTCTCGTGTAAGTATGGTTTTGCCTAATATTGTGGTTATAAAAAGAATGAATGGTGAAGTACATATGTACTAAGTAAACAATGGGAAGCTACCACTAGGCACTTCTGATTTACATCGATGGGGGAAAACCTCTCAGCTTTCCAAACACTCCGGCCTTTGAGCGCGTTGCCGAAGCATGTGACTTAGCTGGTATCAAGCATCCTGCTGACTGGATAGAGCATGTAAAGGCGTCCGCGACGCGCAACGAGATCGCGCACCACCCTCCACCAACGGCTCTCGATCACATCAAACCCAACGGGGTGACATTGAAGCCAACGTCTGGGGACTTTGTAACTTATAAGGGGAAATCGGCCTACAGTATTGAGCTGCAGAGACGCTACAGAGACGACTCGACTCGGACCTGAAATTGAACAGCATATGGGTTGTTGGACAAATTCAGGTATTGTGGCAACTGAAAATACGGCACAAAGCCTTAATTGATGTAGCCGAGGGTCAGGTCAGGAAGAGCGATGGGTACACGTCGTCCTTTTGGGCTCCGGAATCCTGGCGAGTTGCAGCTTTCACAAGGGAGTCTCAAGTCACTCGTGGAAATAGAGCAGTGTGATTGAAAAATGAAGTCATTCAATTCCAAATGACATATGCTGTACGCAAGGCAGTCTAACTATACGAAGCAAAAAACAAAGAAACAAAAACAAAAAAAGAAAAATTGACAGAGTGTTTCTAAGCTAAGAGCCGTATGTGTATGCAGGTAAAGTGTTGAGGCCAGCCAGGAGCAGAGTCGTGTATGGATCGTCCTAGCAATGCTAAGATCCCAACTAAGAACTGTGTCTTGGAACCCATCTACTCGCAGTCGTCACCACCCTTAAAGCTCTTCCACTGAGGATCGCTAGGTGCGGTGATGGCAAGATTCCAGACTGTAAGGCTGGTAGGGCAATTGTCCCGCGTCTCGAGCTCGTCACGCTTATATTTGTTGTTCATTGCATCGTCCGCGAAACCGGGCGAATGCTCCTGAGTGGTGAAAGCCTGGCCCTTGGAACTCATCCACTCTTGGAGAATCCTAATGACGCCGGCGAGTTGGCCTAGAACTTGGTTTGGGAGCTGGAACGTGAAGCCAAAGTCGGTGGCCCGCTGGCCCCGTGCCCAGTAGATCTGGCGCTTCCTGATGCCGAGAGCCTGGACAGCGGCGTTCGAGATGACACCATTGTAGTGCCGCAGCCATCCCGTGAGGTCCCGGGTCAAGGCTCTGGGCAGCTCGGCCTGGTTGCCAACTCGGTTGAAGCTCTGCAAGAGCTGCACGGTAAGAGCGGCGCCGGTGAGCACCACGATACGACCATCGCTGGACCAATGGATTGCCATGGAAGGTTCAACACGAGCTTCCAACTGACTGGTGGATCCAGTTGGTGCATCTCGACCGGCAAGGCTGTTATCGTAATCCGGAGGGCTGTCGGACGGCAGAGGTGTCGCTCTGACGGCGGCGGTGAACGACGTTAGAGCCAGAAATAACTTCTTGAAGGCGACCATCTTGACTAGCTAGTCCAAAGATAGAGATGAAAATTAATAAAAAAAAAATGAGATAATTGACAGATGTATGAAAGGTTGATGCTATCTTGTGCTTATAGAATGTGCGTTTTTGTGTCTTGAATGATTCATTCGAGAACAGTGAGAGGACTGATACGGGATACTTATACTTGTTGATGTTGAGATGATTAGTGACGGCATGATACGGATCAGTCTTGTCGTGGCGGTCGTATATTCTCACGACGGAAGTGCCACGATGGCATTGCTACTAGACGAAGCAACTGATTGATGCGGCAATGTTCGCGAGTGATGCAGGGTTTAGAACGGATTGCGTAAAGTTATTATCACCACAGGACTCCACACTTTAGAACAGGATTCGTATGCAAATCTAATCTGCTGAACCTTTACTACAATGGGTGTGGCACAGGGATATAATTTCAAAAGTCGTCGTGTGTACCGCATGCGCACAGTCAAGCCACTGCAGTTAACCAGGGGCATACGCAACATGCAACGCCAAGTAGCGCCAATTACCCACAAAGGATGGAATTGACGTTATTCAACCGAGCGTTTATGACCTCACACTCCGACAGGATTCACCTTTCCACCTTGCTCTTCTGCTGTAGTATTTTAATACATCGTCAAATTTGGGATGAGAAGGCTGGGCCCAAGGACTACACAGCCTCGGATGGGGCGAATGGTGCTATTTCGAGATCTGGAGCCACCTGGGAGTTGGCTGCGAGATGTCATCAACAATCCAAGCTTCTGCTGATACATGGGTCTCATTACGAAAATTACTATAAGTGAGCTTTACTGACCTCGATTCTCTTCTCAGATCTACTCTTCTCAAACATCACATCACATCACATCACATCACAATACAATACAACTCATCGAGCCTTATCTGCAAATCATCCTCCCGGCCTCAATCTTCATCTACATCTATCGCCTTAAAATAACACCATGAAGTTTTCTCAAGTCCTCTTTGTTGCTGTGTCCATGGCGCCAGCTGTTCTCGGCGGTTGCTACAAGAGCGGTGACTCCGGCCACTACGGGGCTGGACTTGGGGAGAACGGTGTCCTCGAGTCGCAATGTGGGCAGCTCGCTGGTACCTATGAGAAAGACGAAGATAGCCATGGATGTGGCACGGACTCTTTCAACACGAAGTGGCAATTCTACGTCAAGGTAAAATAGCCCTTATTTATGTCTTCGACGGCAATTAGCCAATGAGCTTCGCCCACAGACAGCCCTGCTAATCATTACAACATAGAACAAAAACGGTAAGAAGGCAACACTCGACTATGACAATTGCTTGTCATACATGAAGAAAGAGTCTGGTGCCTGCGAGCATGGGGGAGAGAACACGCACGATGGCTGGTTCGTTGTGTAAGTCCAAGTATCCAGATTGACTTTGCTGATTACCATTCTCTGACACAAAAACTACAGGGCTGATCCAAACGCGGGGACCTGCATCCCTTCGAACAACAACAAAGCTCGTCGAGCTGTCGCCCAGGAGTGGTCTGGCTAGAGACGAGAAAAAGCTTCATGGTTGATGTCACGATATAGAGGGTATACGATAGAGCGGAACAACTTTATTTCGCCTCCTATATAGCAGGCTCGTTAGACGATTTCATTTGTAGCTAGTCGGGATGAATTCAAGTCAATTCCTTACGCATACACACGCGTATTTGAGTGTGATAACTGCTCAGCAAAGAGCTGGTTGATACAACCTGAGAGCATTGAATAGTAAGAAAACAAGATACAAAATTCCCTTACCCGTTTTACGGGCTGAGAAGAGAGGGTTTGTAGGCCCAACTTGTGAATTAAAGCCCTGTGGCGCAGCCGCAGGTGCCATCAGCCACTCCGTGGCATATCATTGAGGGCCAATAATGTTGCGCTGCTTGCATTGTATATGTACAGGCATAGATGTTTTACTACGCTCAACGTTGTGGCTGCTATGAAACTGTGATATTTGATTCGGTGCATTGTTGGAAGCACTATAAAAGTCTCACGACGACCAAGAGTATTGGATTAACCTTTTGGTTCAATATGAAACACTGTGGGTATAGGGTGGCTGATTGCAACCGAATTGAACACTAACGCACAACATATTCAACCACTAGGGAATGCGCCTCAAAGTGGTAGACAAAGATCTGGAGCACCAGGATAGAGCCTTCCGCAGCGAACTTCCCGGGGCATACAGCTTTACTTTGGGAGTGAGTGGCTGCATAGCTGGTAGACATGCACTCATGACTGCAGTGCATTTTCTTCCACTATCAGCCAGTAGATAGCGGGGGCACGGATACTTAGAGGGAAGTTAGAGTGGGCCAAACCTTCAATTATAGCAGAGAAGACGCTAAGAAGTATAATTAAGGTTCGTCTCCTGGGATGTTACACCGTCAGCAGACATTACGATACGCACGTTGCATTGGGTGGTTCATTTGTAACATTGAATTGGTTAGTGCTGACGGCCTGTAGCAGTAGAGAAGTTGGCCAGTAGGCATAGCTAGAGCACGTACTTGTGCTAGTCAGCCGGGCGCCACAGACATGCATCAATTCCAATTGTTCCTTGCAGCCGCAATGTTGATTTAGCACTTTGTACGAGGAAGCTTACCTGTCAAGTGTTGTTGGTCCTCTACACCTATCCTACCTTGTTACACAGGGAACGGAAATCCACACTCACCCGCATTGCACTTTCTGTATGTAGAATATTAGAAGAACCAACAAACCACACAGCGAGGGCTTTCAAGCGATAACCCACCTCGCCGACGATTGATCCCACTTGCCTCCCTTGTTCCGGTGTCTCTCTTCTTTATTGGTCCCTGGTTCCCCAAGCCCGTCCCACCTCACTCCCCTCGCGCCCGATCTGAGCAAGACGTGACTTTGCATCCTATAGACGCCACGGTTGAGTCTGTTGGCTCGCCTTAGTCATGGCCATAAACATTGCACAGGCTACCCAAGACGACCTTCCCGACTTGGCAGAAGTCAACCGGTCAGCTTATTCCGGCGAGGCGGCCTCGAGGTTCGCACACAAGAATTGGCGAGATGAGAAGCACGTGTACGAATTCTTCAGAGGCAGACTTACCAGTCGCTTTCAGGATGAAGCGATGCAGGTACTCAAAGCCGTCGAAGCGGATACGAATAAGATTGTCGGATTTGCCTGCTTGACCTTGGAGACAGATAATGAGGCAGGACCTACTCCGACCGGCATGATGTTGCAGAAGATGCCACCTTCCATGAACAAAGACTTTATCGTAGCCGCTGGTACCAAAATCGAACAACTGCGGGAACACAGGAGAGATGAGAAACATTATTGTAAGTTCCTTCACACCACTTGAACTGTTGATATCATCTGACAACAGACAGACCTCTCCACCCTTGCCGTTACGCCCGAACGCCAGGGACGGGGCATTGGCTCACAGCTACTGAAGTATTGCCTCGAGATGTCTGACAAGGCCAGCCTCCCATGCTGGTTGATCGCGTTTCCTGCATCGTACCAGATATACCTGCGATTCGGCTTTGAGAAAGTAGACCACCGGGATATCGAACTGAATCATTGGGATAGCTACAAGTTCCGGGGTTATGGCATCTACCAAAACTACTCCATGGTGCGATGACCACGGAGATGTGCGATTGGAAATTGATTAAGACGCTAGAAGATGCAGTCGTATAATCTGATTAGACGCTGCAATATACAGGGCTGTTTCTCGTATAACCTGATTAGACGCTAGAAGATCAGGGTTGTATTCCGTATAACCTCGGAGCATCTAGCTGAAGAGGAAACATGGAAACATGGTAGACATTAACACTTCGGAAGCTTCACCTGGGTACCTCGGCGTGATATGAAGAGCAAAAGCTGAGAAGCGGACAGGCGTTGGCACGGGGTGATCCGTTGAACCCCCTCTCCGGGAGTAAAGCTGACATTGGCGAATAGAGCCGGAAATCATCTCTGTACTTTTGACGAGTCCGAGGTAGTCTTTAGGCCCAGAGCCTTTCAAGTTACAAGATACTATGCGCCAAGACGGTGCATGCAGGTAAAGTCCGCTGTGAGACTTGGAATACCCAGCTCGCCGGTATCAGTTGTAGCTAAGTGTGAATGGGAACTAGCGCTGTACAGCAGGGCATGATGGTTTTGCTCGCGTCGAGCATAGACGCAGGGGGCGGTCCAATCGTTTTCTCCCCTCCGCATGCTAGTCGCCAGACGAGAAATAATACACTCTCCGGAATCACAAGATGGCTTGGCTGCAGCAACTAACTTTTAAATTGGATTTGCAGCAAGAGTCCATGTATAGTTTAGGGCCTCATTCGCGAACACTCTGACCCGCCTTTTTTGGCAGCCCCATGACAACCCTCACCCTATCAATACTAGCCGTGGGTGGGTCAGTGGGGGATTCGTTCAGCTTCTATAAATCTTCCTCGACCTCCGAGGCTAAAAGATGCGCGTAAGGCTTAGTGCACCATCCAACGACGTATACCAGCACCACATAGCTTCCGACCGAAGACAGCTAAGATTGTGCCGGACCCGGTCTGTCTCGGGACAGAGGCCATACCGTTACTTCTTAGTGGCAGCTGGCTCGGAAGGGTCATTGTCGGTCGTCTTCGGGCGAGACACTAGTTTCATCTTCTTATTCTGACTGGACTCAGCCAGTTCATCAAGCTCCGCAGACAACTTGTCCTTGTCACGTGGCCTATCGTCTTCGATGACCTCCTCCACGGTTCGTGGCCTCTTCTTGTTCGGAATCAGATCCGAGGGCCACGGCGGAGGGGTCAAGCCACGCAACATGCCGTCATTCAATCGTTGGATGTCGGCCAAGCTAAGGGACGCCTGACCGTGCTCTCGTTGGCGGCGTACTTGCTCCCGGGTCAGGTGCCCGTGGCGTGGACTCGGCGCTGGCGAGGATGCTACTGATCTTGCCCTCGAGCTGTTCATCATTAGCCGCGGGAAGCTTGAGGTAAGTACCGGCACAGAGGTGTCTTACTGCTGACTGCCGACCGTTCCCTGAACTGAACTAAGTGCATCGTCGTCCCGCCCGGGGCCATGACCTGGCTCGCCGCCCTCCCCAGAAGCGGAATGTTCCTGTTCTTGGTTATGTGTAGGGGAAACCATGCGAGCAACGAGCAGTTCTCGTCGAACCGTGACGTGATATCCCGAGTCTACACTTGTATAATCATACCATGCAGGACAAGCTTGCTACTTTTATGATCGTGCTTCGAGGCAACCCGCCATCAATTTTTCTTGCATGCCGAACTATACATCGGTCCCGGAGCCCCCATGAAAGAGTGGCAAAAAGCGGTAGTGAGTACCTAGGTAGTTGGTTCCTGAATAGCTGCGCCTTGGGTGGACTGATGCGACCCCCAAGTTTCAGCCTTGCCAGAATCTTGACTGGGTTGTTTCTTAGTAGTGGAGTCGTCTGTGTTCTAGGCCACTGATCTCGTGAGAGCCAGTTGAGTGAAGGCACGTACCCCTGTTCCTATACTTAACCCCGACTCAGTACCCGGATCTGCTATAGGCGCTTAGGCTTCAAGGATCGCGGTAAATGTTATGTTTCTTTTATTTCTGCACTGTCCTTGTTCGGCGATGAACTTGGCCCAATTCTGCAGCCTCCCTGAGATTACCCTCTCAGGCGCCCTTGCACACTCGCCTGGTTTGGGTGATGGCGCAGAGTAGTAAGTAAATAGTAGGTATATTCCTAAAACTCCAAGAAATTCAGCGACCTTACTTTGTCTGGTTCTGATCTATTGAGGCTTGCTTCAGCTGATGGTACATCTTGGTAGCGCTATCGCCATCAACATACTCAGGCCGATCACACTCGCGTACTAGTGTGCAATGGATGGCTTTGATGGCATCTAAGCCCCTCGTCCAGACATCTGGAAATAGTACCTCGCAACTACATAGATATTGTGTAAATGTGTTTCTGAAGATGGAAATTCCAGGACGCAAGTCTCTTAATAACAGCATTTGACGGTCATCGCCCTCGGGCTGTGTGGTTCAGCTCTTCAACGCAGCCGGCTTGGGGGCCAAAATAGGCGAATTGTGCGGCAGGGAAGGCACCCCCGGCGCATGATTATTAGATGCGGCGCAAGCTAGTCAGATGAGGCTGATGAGCCTCAATAGATCACTGCGTGTCGTGAGCCACCTCTACACACACAAGGTATATGTGTCGCTTCAATAATGGCTGCTTCTATCCCCAGGGTGTGTAGGGTGCCAAGGGCGGCGCACGATGGCAGCAACAAAACACGAGGCCAACGGTTCACCCATGCATCTAGCCCCCAGGCCAAGACATTGGACCCAGCCGCTTGGTTCGTTCTGTCGGGGGCGTCTGAAGAAGGATCTGTAAATAGGTCTGTCTCATGTGGGATTCATAACGCCATGGCAGATTGGCGGGTCCGCACTGAACAATAGGTAGGTGCCGCACCAACCCGGAGGCAGCCGATGGCAAGTTGGCGACCATGTTTGGTGCTAGTCAACCAGAGTCCCCTCGACCGACCGATTCCAGAAAACACATGCAGCGTTAAGCGGACATAGCATGTTTGAATGTCTTGGTGGCTTGCCCGGATGCCGATGGAGCTTCCCGCACTGCATCAAAAGGAAAAACGCGATGAACCACACCGGCCAGGCAAGGAAAGCGCCATACTCGATCGCGACGGGCCATTGGCCGGTGCACTCAACACTAACAGGGCGCAGGAACCACCGAGACAGGCGCCCGTCATGTGATCAAGGTAACTTCATCTTTGCTTTCTGGAAGCCAGAGACGCACCTGGGAGCAGGGGATAAAGCTTATTGTCCTACACCATCGCAGCTGGTCAAGCCCCCCAGGCCAATAGTTGAATTGACGCCTCATCTGAGATCGCGTACCTAGGTAGCTGCAGATCTGGTTATAGATCTTTCTGGGCCTCTCTCTCAACAACAAGCCCACGCACCACACACCACACACCATACACCATACACCACACACCATACACCATACACCACACACCACGCATGCACCGCGACCCTCTCGATGGGGGAACCACTCAAGCACCTTTCCGCCGCCAAGCCCGCGCGGTTTCGCGCCTGAAGCCACATCCGGCATCCTGAGTGGCCACTCACGCGTCGTTGCTACCTACGCGACAGCCATGGACGGCGATGCCATGGAGATTGATGGCTTGCGAGGAGTCAAGCGGAAGGCGGGGGAGGATGTGGTACCCGATGCCGCTTCCCGCCGGATCAAAGTAGGCGCCCCATGGCATAGCTCGTCTGTACAGAGGTGGCTGACCGAGGGCCCGCCCAGGCATTAGACCCAGACGTGGTGAACAAAATCGCCGCGGGCGAGATCATTGTGGCGCCAGTCCACGCCCTGAAGGAGCTGATTGAAAACGCTGTTGATGCAGGCTCCACCTCCCTCGAGGTGCTGGTCAAAGACGGCGGCCTGAAGCTGCTTCAGATCACCGACAACGGCCACGGCATTGAGGTAAGCCGTCCGCTTTGCCTAGCCGCCAACCAGCCACCAACTAACCTCGCTGCAGAAAGATGACCTTGCCATCCTCTGTGAGAGATTCACCACGTCAAAACTGAAGAAGTTCGAGGATCTCAGCAACATCGCCACCTACGGCTTTCGGGGCGAGGCACTCGCCAGCATCAGCCACATCGCACATCTCACAGTCACGACCAAAACAAAGGCCTCGAATTGTGCTTGGCGAGCTCACTATGATGGAGGCAAGCTTTCGCCACCCAAGCCGGGCCAGACCTCTGATCCAAAACCAACAGCTGGGCGAAACGGAACACAGATTACCGTCGAGGATCTGTTCTACAACGTACCTACACGTCGCAGAGCTTTCCGCTCTGCTTCAGACGAGTATAATAAGATCATTGACATGGTCGGGCGTTACGCTATTCACTGCCAAGGCGTCGCCTTCTCCTGTAAGAAGCACGGCGACGCCGGAACCTCCATCGCTGTACAAGGCGCGACCTCGACGGTCGATCGGATACGCCAAATCCATGGGGGTGGCGTGGCCAATGAACTAATTGACTTCTCTGCGTCGGATGAGCGCTGGGGTTTCAAAGCTGAAGGATTGGCAACAAATGCGAACTACCATATCAAGAAGACGACTCTACTTCTATTCATCAACCACCGAGCCGTGGAGTCTTCCAATATTAAGAAGGCTGTAGAGCAAACTTATTCGACATTCCTGCCCAAGAACGGCCACCCGTTCGTTTATCTCAGCCTGGAGATCGACCCTCAGAGAGTCGACGTCAACGTGCATCCCACCAAGCGAGAAGTCAATTTCCTCAACGAGGACGAGATCATACAGGATATATGCGAGAACATTCGCGACAAGCTTGCGGCTGTAGACACTAGTCGCACCTTTATGACGCAGACGCTGCTCCCAGGCACCATCGTTCCCACTGGTTCGCCAAAGCCAGATGCAGATGTGCCGCCATCTAAGAAGTTGGCTGCCAAAGGCAAAAGCACGGTGCGACCATACGAGAACAACCTTGTACGCACCGACGCATCCCTCCGCAAGATCACTAGCATGTTCCAGCCGGCCAATAGGGATAATCTAGAGGCATTGGCGCAAGAGGGCGACGTCGAACCGGAATATGAGATCACTGATCGGGAACCGGTTGCCTGTCGCCTTACCAGTGTGCGAGAGCTCCGTGGCGCAGTCCGCGATGATATGCATCACACTTTAACGGAGGTCTTCGCGGGCCACACATTTGTGGGCATTGTAGATGAGAGACGGCGCCTCGCTGCCATGCAGGGAGGGGTGAAGCTGTACCTGGTTGACTATGGCCGCGCGTGCTTTGAGTACTTCTATCAAGTTGGCCTGACGGACTTTGGCAACTTTGGCGTGATTCGATTCCAGCCCGCCCTCGATCTGCGCGAGGTGCTGTCCATTGCCGCTGAGCGTGAGAAAGCCACAGCGGCAGAGGGGGAGTTGGCTGACGATGACGATTTCGACGTGGTCGAGGTGGTCGAGACAGTCGCCGCGCAGCTGATTGAGCGACGTGAGATGCTGCTCGAATACTTCAGCCTGGAAGTTTCTCCTGCCGGGGAGCTTCTCAGCATCCCCTTGCTCGTCAAAGGCTACACGCCATCGATGGCCAAGTTGCCACAGTTTCTACTACGTCTGGGACCCCACGTCGACTGGACCGAGGAACAGGCGTGCTTCGACAGCTTCCTGCGCGAGCTGGCGAGCTTCTACGTACCGGAGCAACTGCCCTCCCTGCCGGGAAACGCAGAGCAGCTGGAAGCCGAGGATGCGCCCGACGAGGTCAAAGCACGCAGGGCCCATGTCCGGCGAGCGGTGGAGCACGTCTTCTTCCCCGCCTTCAAGTCGCGACTGGTGGCTACGAAGTCGCTCATGAATGGAGGTGTTCTAGAGCTGGCTGATCTGAAAGGGCTGTACCGCGTCTTTGAGCGTTGCTGACCTGGTTCAACGAGAAAACCAGGCACTGTTGAGATACGAAAAGTAATATACCCGGACAGCTGGGGTTTGGAGCTGCTTATCTACGCTGGCTATTGTACCGTTCTACTTCTAAAAGCCGTACATTTGTAGACTATCGCTGCTAGACGATCGCCTCTTTACAGATAGAAGATGGAAAGGGCTGTCAATAAAGACCATCACATGGCATCAAAAGCTGGGAAACTTCACACGAGCCACACCACAGCATGCAAGAGACAGCACTTACCTGTGGCAGGGTCTGGGGAGATCGGGTTGTGGCCCTGAATATCGCCATCTGACCGTCGCTGTTGGCGTTCCGTACAGAGCACGATGGAAGAGAAGATGGGAGGCAATTGCCGTGGGATTTTCTGGGGGAGTTAGGTTCATGGGCGCATTCAGTTCTATCAAATAAACTCACAGAGTCGACGCTTTGTCCATGCCATATAAGCTCCCAAAGCCAGCGTGTCTTGTTATAGCGCCGTCGTGATGGGAAAGACTTCCAACCTGCCACCCAAAAAAAACCAGGATAAATCAACCATCAGTTCATGACAACCATGCCCCGTGCATGCCGCACCGCTAGAGTACCGTTACTGTACTGTGCCTGAATCCATGACTCCATATTTGAATTTGTTTTGCTTTTGGTATGTTTTGTTCGTCTGTTGATTTGCAGCTGGAGCTCAACCGATGGGCTTGAGCTTCTTCTTTTTCTTGCCCGACGACTCGCCGGCCTTGCCGCCCTTGGAGAACTGCCTCCAGCTGTCGATGCGCTGGTCGCGGGTGGCCTCCCAGTCCTGGTCGTGCTGGCGCTTGCGCTTGCGCTCCTCGAGCTCGTCGTCCTGGCGGCGCTGCTCGCGGCCCTCCTCCTGCATCTGGGCCTTGAGCTGGCGGCGGCGGCGGTGCTCGTTGTCGACGAGGACCTCGCGGGTCTTGACGCGCCAGTCGGCGGCGAAGGCGGCGGTGCGCAGCTCGGGGCTGTCGACGGTCCACTTGCGCTCGCGGATCAGCAGCATGCGGGCGTCGGCGATGGCCTCGTCGAGCCGCTCGCGGTGCTTCTCGTCCATCAGCTCCGTCTGGGCCTTCTTGAGGCGGTCGAAGGCGTCGGGCGCCTGCGGGTTCTTGGTCTTGTCCGGGTGGATCAGCAGCGACTTCTTGCGGTACGTCAGCTTGATGTCCGACTCGGGCACGCCCGGGTTCAGGTCCAGCACGGCGTAGGCGTCGAGGCGGAAGGCCTTGAGGATGCGGTCGATCTCGGCGTCCTGGACACGGGGTCGCATGATTCGTTAGTTCTCGGCAACCACAGACAAGCAGATAGCGATAGGGATAGACGAGGAAACTCACCTTCTCGAACTCCTTGGCCTCGGAGGCGAGAGCGTCAAGCGCATCCTTGTCCTCCTTGGCCAGGTCCTTGGGGTCTTTGGCGATCTCGGCCGCCATGATGGTCGCGCAGATGGTGTAGAGGGGTGGTACAACGAGTGACTTGGGGGCTGGTGCTGCTGCTTCAACACTGGAAGCGCCGGTAGGGGACGATGGCGATGGCGGTGATGGCGATTGATCAGTGGATGGGTTCGAGGTTGAGGTTGGAACTGCGGGTGTCGAGCGGCGGGCGCATATCCACGGCCATATCCCATCAGATCAGGGTACGAGTTACAGAGTACGTACGGAGTACCTACAGTAGGTATCTCCACCCCTAGGCGGGCACCTTATGCACGCCGATAAGAGGCGCTCTACCATGTTCGTACGGGGAAAGCTGCGATAAGCCCCACCGCCCATGAAAAAAAGTTCTGGGAGCCCGCCGTCCAACTCGGTAGTCGAGTTGCTGGGCTGGAGCCGTGCAGCAAACATCATCGTCAACCCAAACCCAAGGCCGGACGACAGATCGACCGCGGAATGCCAATTTCGCCTTCGCTTTTGTCTTGAACAAGCCGCAATCATGCCTCGACGCGCTGCTTCCCCGGCGCCCTCCGAGAACGAGGTCGACATTCTCGGCTCTCTGTTCACCGACGGCGCTAATGATGGGGACGCCGACTTCCGGGCTGGGAATGCGCAGGACGGCTTCGGCTTCGACGCGGGTGGCATCCTCGATGCTGACGACGGCGGCGGCGATGGAGAGGGCGACGAGGCTTTCATCGCCCTGAAGCAGGCTGCATCTTTCCGCAAGAACACCAACCTGAAGGGCAAATCGGTCAAGAAGGGCGGCGGCTTCCAGGCCATGGGTATGCTTCCTCCTGATTTACAACAAACCTTGGGAACGGGGCCACCGTACTGACTCTGTGATCTCTCCAGGACTGAATGCCAATCTTCTCCGGGCTATCACCAAGAAAGGTTTCTCCGTGCCCACCCCCATCCAGCGCAAGACCATCCCTCTCGTGCTCGACCGCAAAGATGTCGTCGGTATGGCCAGAACCGGTTCGGGAAAGACGGCCGCCTTCGTCATCCCCATGATCGAACGACTCCGAGCCCACAGCCCGACCGTCGGCGCCAGGGCCCTCATTCTCTCCCCGTCCCGCGAGCTGGCCCTTCAGACACTGAAGGTCGTCAAGGAGTTCAGTCGAGGCACCGATCTCCGCTGCATCTTGCTTGTTGGAGGTGACCACATGGACCAGCAGTTCAGCGACATTGCCTCCAACCCGGACATCATGATCGCCACACCCGGTCGTTTCCTGCATCTCAAGATCGAGATGGGCCTGAGCCTGTCCTCCATCCGCTACATCGTCTTCGACGAGGCCGACCGACTCTTCGAACAGGGTTTCGCCCCCCAGCTCACCGAGATTCTGCATGCCTTGCCGCCGTCGAGGCAGAGTCTGCTGTTCTCTGCCACTCTCCCTGCGTCCTTGGTCGAGTTTGCCCGCGCCGGTCTACAGGACCCGACCCTGGTGCGACTGGACGCCGAGACCAAGGTTTCCCCCGACCTTGAGAGCGCCTTTTTTAGCGTAAAGGGCGCAGAAAAGGAGGGTGCTTTATTGCACATCCTTCAGGACATTATTAAGATGCCGGTTGGCCTGCCTGAAGGTGCCGACGCCGACGCCGAGAAATCATCCAAAAAGAGGAAGCGTGATCCGGATGCCCCTAGGGTCAGGGAGAAGCCGACGGAACATTCCACAATCGTCTTTGCAGCAACCAAGCACCACGTCGAATATCTGGCCGCCGTACTGATCGAAGCTGGTTACGCAGTCTCCTACGTGTACGGTTCCTTGGATCAGACGGCCCGTAAGGACCAGGTCGAAAACTTCCGGCGAGGACGGTCAAATGTTCTTGTCGTCACTGATGTGGCTGCTCGTGGAATTGATATTCCTATTCTCGCCAACGTCATCAACTACGATTTCCCTCCCCAGCCCAAGATCTTTGTGCACAGAGTCGGTCGTACGGCTCGAGCTGGGCAGCGGGGTTGGAGTTACTCTCTTGTCAGAGAAACCGATGCGCCGTATCTGATCGATCTACAACTGTTCCTGGGCAAGAAGCTCGTGACGGGTCGCGATGGCGAGGGTTCAAACTACGCCGAGGACGTCACAGTTGGCGCCCCTATGCGGAGCAGGGTTGAAGCTAATGTTGAATGGTTGAACAAGCTCTTGTCAGAGAACGCCGACATCACCGCACTGCGCCAGGTCTCGGCAAAGGCAGAGAAGCTCTACTTGAGGACGAGGAACTCGGCCTCGAGTCAGAGTGCCAAGCGGGCAAAAGAGGTCGTTTCTACGAAGGGATGGGTGGAACTTCACCCCGTATTTGGCGGAGAAGCTGGTGACATGGAGAATGCCAGGGCTGATATGCTCGCCAGGATCAGCGGATATCGGCCACCAGAGACGATTTTTGAGAGCAAACTGGCCAATGGCAACAAGGTCTCAGCCAATACCGGTGCTGCAGAGATCATGCGCAATCTACGAAAGAGGATCACACCTCGTAACCAAGTCAAAGAGGACAAAACTTCCGGCGATGCTGATGAAGACTCCGCAATGGAAGATGCCGAGATGGACGGATTCGAGGACGAGGATGAGGATGAGGACGAGATTGAGGTCGCTGACGAGGAGCTTGGTAACGTTGGGGACGACACGGACTCAGACCTCGAAGTCACGATATCGAGCGGCAAGAAATCGGACAACAAGACACCGTCATCCTGGGCAGATTCCGAGGTCTTCATGTCGTACACACCCCGCACGATCAACGCTGCGGAAGAAAAGGGATATGGTGTGCATTCCGGTGGCAATTTTGTCGAAAATGCCAGGGGTGTGACTATGGATCTCACAAATGACGAAGGGGCAAAGTCCTTCGGCGCGCCCGCTAGGTCCAAGATGCGCTGGGACCAGAAGAGCCGGAAATACGTAGCCAGAGACAACGACGAGGACGGCTCCAAGGGTGCCCGTCTGGTGCGCGGCGAGTCGGGCGTCAAGATTGCCGCCTCGTTCCAGAGCGGCCGCTTCGACCGGTGGAAGAAGTCGCAGCGCCTCAAGATGCCGCGCGTGGGCGAGGCCGAGAAGAACTGGGGCCCCAACGGCCCGGGCGCGCCGCCCTCGGGCACGCGCTACAAGCACAAGATGGTCAAGGCGCCCAAGGAGGCCGACAAGTTCCGCGACGACTACCACGTGCGCAAGAAGCGCGTCGACGAGGCCAAGGAGCAGCGCGTCGGCCGCTTCCACGAGGGCGCCGGCGACAAGAGGGAGATCAAGGGCGCCGACGACGTCAGGAAGGCCAGGAAGCTGAAGCAGAGGCGCCTGGAGAAGAACGCCAGGCCGAGCCGTGGCGGCCGTGGCGGCCGTGGCAAGAAGTGAGGGGTTCGAATATAGACAGAATACCATATATACAGCCTGTTCAGCGAGGAATGCAATGGCCCTTAGTAACAAACGCTGCGCTGCAAATGTGATTGTCTGCTAGGCATTTCGCAGACGAAATAGCCAGCTTCATATCCTCTACCATGTTGGACTGTCGAGTTGATTTGGGCTCGAGTAGAACGCCATACAATTATGAGATCGGCAGTCTAGGCGACAGGCCTACCTACAGGTACAGCACTGCGTCGAAATTAAATACACTTTGCATCATTCGCAACTTGCTTGCACATTCAGTAGTAAACTATGCTTCCATTCACAGACAGGCCAGGTGTAAGTAAGGGTCTGCATCAGCAGGGAAGAATTCCGGTTCCTATAACAGACTTGCCCTGTCTATCTTGGTTGACCTTCCAAACTCGAAAAGAAAGACATCGCAGTGTATGAAAAATCGCATTGTATGAACGCAACGCAGAAATGAATCCCTTTTCCTTGGGGCTGACGCAATATGATGTCCTGCGTAGAACATAGCTGATGACCATGAGAACCGTTGGTGGTTTGCAGTGATATGCGTTCCACCATATTCCAATAGCAAGGCATCGTCCGTATCTGCGCATCCGAGGCGTAAGCGTGATTGCATGTTGCCAGGGCGAAAGTCGTCAAGAGAGAAGTAAGTAAAAACACATCCATCTAGCCACCAGTGTCATCGAAGGCGTCTGCATGAGAAGGGGAGATCATGCGACGGAGGGTGACTTGACTTGCGTGCTAGATGACTCCCTCATCATAGCTCTTATACTCCTCCTCCTCTTTGGCGGTGTCGTCGTCGTCGTCAATCTCTACCGCGCTCTCCTGCTTGATGCCACTGTAGCCGCCACCGGCTGCCTCTGCTGCGAAATGCGCGTTAGCGATTACATCGTAGATCTGGTCAAGCGTCGCCGTGGGCATGGAGGCATGGTTGGTGTTGTTCTTATTGTCGCCGCCTGCGCCGCCGTCGCTGTTGACGACGACAGTCTCGCGGACAGCGTCGCGGGCAGCCTCGGGGGCGGCCTCGGGGATGGCTGGCCGAGGAGGGGGTGGCATGAGGGACTTGCCGTTCTTGGGTTTCTTGGAAGCAGCAGCGGTGGGTTCGGTTTTGAGCTTCTTGCTTGGGGTTTCGGCTATACATATTCTCTTAGTCGTCGTAGTTCTAAGGGTGACATAGGACAGGGGGCGAAGAGGAATATCATTAGAGTTCGGGGTGGGTTTAGTGCACCAGATGGGATGAGAGAGGTTTGGTGCAATATGGGATGGAAAAGGAAGTCATGCCTCTGATCTTGTATGAAACATGGAATGGTTGAAAACAAGGGACCAAATAGTATACTTACGCTCGATATCACCGTCTGCGTCGTCCGCCTCGTCCGCGGATTCCATCTGGGAGAGCTGGGAAGCCTTACGCTTCGACGAGGTGGAGGAAACTGTGGCAGATAATAATACATCATCAGCAGGCCTGTGGCTCATGGTACGCGAGATTGCCTTACCAGTAGACCTAGCACGGCCACCCGAAGCTTTGGTCGGGGTCGAAGGCGCGCCGCCCTTGTTGGCCGCCTTGCGGATGTTGGTAATCATGTGCGAGATGGCCTTGGGAGTGCGGCCCGGCATCTCATTAGCGAGCTTCTGGAGGTCAAGCTTGGCTCCCTTGGATTCGAGCTGCTGGAAGGCCTTGGCCATGAGCTGGTACTGTTCGCCATGGCGGGCGCGCAAAGGTCAGTGATATCTGTAAATTGGGAAGCTGCAATTCGGAAATACTTACGCGCTCGGCATCAGTCCAGCTGCCACCTCCTTTAGACATCTTGATCGGTGGTTTTGGAAATGGGGTGGTTTGTGGTCACAACAGGTTGATGCTGGTGATATGAAGAGCCGTTGGTTTGATGGGTGCCACAAGACGGAGTGGGCGATGAGACCAGAGGAAGGAGGGGAAGGCAAGCTAGGTGAACCTGAGGGCAGTCTGTGAGATCTTCAGGGACTTGCTTGGGTTGGAAATGAATCGTCGGGTGAATCGTAATCTGGTATGTGTGAAAAATGGTTTCTGGGAAGAGTGGGAGTCATGAGAGATCCTGCACATTGTTTGCAACTGCAGTTGCTTGGCGGATGGCACTTCTTTAACCCTCACTTGCCGTTAGTCATTAGGGAAGAAAAAGGAATTCCAGGTAAGCGGAGCTGTCCTAACGGGTAGGAGAGGTACTCTAAATGATGAGCAGTCTTTTTGTCATCCTCGACGATAACATGGGCCGAGTGCCAGAAGAACATACCCTCGGAGATGTTACCGTATCTTGCTGTGGACATCAAACCTACCATAGGGCCAACAGACTGTGGATAAAACCTGTTGTGATGGACACGATGGGCAGATTAGAGAGTCTGACAGGGCCAGAAGACCGGGTGATCTCTCTCACAAAGAGAAGGCACAACACGACGAAATAATAGTCACACGCCAAGTCTGTAGTATTCACTGAGTGAAAGGGAAATGACAAGAGAACCAGTTGCAACGGCAATATAGTTTCGCCCGCACGTTCAGACTTATCGTTTCATTCGATCTTACGTTCTGAGCCGCCATCTCGTTCATGAATTAACATTAACACATCTGACATTCTCCCCATGCGTACCTCAGAAACCGGTATGGTGGCAACTCCAGGAATCTTGCAATGAGATCATTGGCTGTTTGGGCTATATATTATCGCTGCTCTTAGTAAGGATCGCAGCATCGCGCAAGTCGAATACATAATGATAGCCGAGATATGTGGGATGCTTCCGGCTGAAAAAGATAAGTGAATGTGGATGCGCGAGGTCAAAAGTGTCTGAATAATGCAATACAGATACCCGCAACGCAAGGAAAGTATCCGACAGATTCGCTCAAAAAGGCCTCAACTGCAAGTTTTACAGTGTTTTAGAAGGTGAGCCACTCGCCACAATCGAAAATGCCGAGACAATGTCACTGATGAGCTGGCTTCTCCTTATATTGGACAGCTTCATGCTACTCAATTCGATCCGTGGAAAGACTCATAAACTTCGTTGATTTCGTGAACAAGCAGCTCAAGATACTAGTAACACATAGCTGGCCCGCAGCCCCTGGCCCCTTTATCAAACTCAACCAAATGATCGTCTCAGGGATGTCTAATTCCTGTTGCGGCCCTTTCCCTTTGTTGCCTTTGCTCCGCTCGTAGCTGAGGCACCGCTGGAAGCGGCTGCATTGCCGCTCGCCTGCACCATACTGACCAAGAAGCTCACAGCCTCGTCTGCCCGCTTGGTGTAGTCCAGATGCGGGGGCAGAATAGTCAGTGTTCCAACACAGACAGCGTCGCCAGGGTTGCAGATGACCTTGGTCTTCTGAGGCGGGAACCCCTTGATCTGCCCGTTATCCTGCTTGTTCTGGGTGTCGCCAAACGTGACTACACCAGCAATCTTATCCTGGACAGCCGGGTCCAGGTCCTCCACGACGCGGTGTACCATCGCGGCACCCTGACTGTAGCCTCCGACGAGGATGTTGGAATCCGGGCACTGGCTGGCGGCGTCGTTGATGATACCCTTCATGGTGGCGATACCGGCGAGGTCGGCGCCTCCGGGGAGGAAGTTGGTGGACAGAAGCGCGCCGTAGTCGACTCCCTCGGTGGCTACCTTGTCGGCGCCGAGGGCCTCCTTGAGACCGTTGGAAGTAGGCGGGCCGCAAATCGCGCCCTGGTTTTCATGGTCAGTATGTAGCAACGGGGGCGAGCGCCATGCATGACCTTACCATGTTGCCGACTTCGGTGGACCCTCGAGAAAACACAAAGATATTGTCCTTGCATCCTCCTGTGGAGAACTCCTTCGCGATGATGCCCGTCTGGCGCCCATATAGACGCGCAGCTGCTTGCTCCTCGTCAACGACAGCAACAGGGCTGGCGACCGCCAGTGTGGTCAGGCCGAGAATAGTGGAGTACTTCATTTTCCAAAAGTTGAAATGGTGCGTTCAGGTGAAGAAATAAAGACGAAATTAATGATGAAGGGGCCCAGCCACAAAGATGTCAACTCTCTTGCTCAGTACAGATCATGGATCAAGATGGGATGGCACCCGTTTGGGAAGCCCTCTTTATACATTCACTCGAGCTCTAAGTTGAAGTATTAATTGGTGAGCGCTCAACCGTGCTCGACCTCGGCACCTACTTGAGTGAGCAATTGTATTTGAAACAGTATACCACTCCCGTTCTAGTGTAATGATGCGAATTAGGGGCGGCCGCCAACGTGCAATGCACATTGCTGATAGGTTCAGAGCAATGCCAGACTTGGCAGCAATGACCTAGCACTTGCCAAAGCAAGCATGCCCTGGTTTGTCAGCGAATGAGTGTAGACTCAATGTTTATAGGGAGACAAGCCAAGCACGAAATCGGCCGACTCCCGAGCTAGTGCGAGACAGCGCAGGCAGTGTTGACGCTCGGATCGCGACCAGTTGCCTAATTTGTTATGTCTTGCGGACTCCTGCCCCCACGGGGTCTGGATGAGGCTCAGCGGGTCCAGCGTAGCCGCAGAAGCTTGACGATTCCAGCATTCTGGCACCTGCCAAGAGTCGCTCAGACGATGAAACCGTCTAGATATGGGCGCGTCAAACACCAAGGAGTCCGCACTACCATAGTACACAGCAGTGCCAAGAAGATCTGCGGCGGGTGATTCCATGGAGCCAATCGGAAGCCGAGCGCGCTGGTGATGGTCAATCAATTCGTACAAATTGGCGAGGGCTTCGAAATATATCTGGGGGACGGTTGAGGCTTGCGGGAGAGCAAGAGGGTTTTCAGGTGTGCCAAGCCTCCATACCGACTAACTGCACCAAACATCGCTACATTGCCCGAAAAGGGAAGCGCGCTGCAAATGCTGAAGTCCACGTCCCACTGCCTACGAAAAATGAGAGAAACAACCTCCAGAACCATGATCATCTAAGTTAGGCGACAGACGGTCATTCCTCTCTGCAAGCTGCGCTGTATTACAGTTCCAATGTCAGGGTATCTTTAATATATTCGTTGATGCTATTCTATTCTATATTGCCTCCCCGTTTTTAGGAACCGCGTGCTAGTGCTAGGTCTCCGTTCTCGAAGAACAAGCTTGTGTATAGACCAAGAGGGCGTGCCCGCGACACTGAACCTCCATGAAAATCGACAGCCATAGAGGGTATCTCGATACAGAAGAAAAATTTTCATGATCTAGCCAACCATTGTATGCCAAACGCCATGGGAATCTATCACCACCTCATTCATACCAGCCCACTTCTCAAACCACACTGACGAGCGGCTTTTGCGACGTCCTATCATAAGGCCCCATCGCATTCTGATCCCTTTCGCCCTGGGGTTGCCTGAGCTGCGTTTCCTCGTCAGAGACTTCCTCAACGACGATTGTCACAGTATCAATCGACTTTCTCGTGTCGATTCCCGCCTCCTCTGAGACATCGTTGTTCTTGATCGGCTTGACTGCGAAACACTGTACCGCGCCAATCGCTGCCACGACGGCGCTGCCATACCAGGCAAGGGCGTTGAACGCGTGCTGGCTCCCTATCGTGTATAAGTAGCCCGCAACTGGAGGCGCGACCATCCTGCAGGCAGCTCCTGCGCTTGCTGCAAGCCCATTCACCTTCCCCAAGACCGTCGAGCATGGGGTCGCATCCTTGATCAGAATGAGGAGCAGAGGATAGTGGATGAGGGACAGGACATTCCGGATTGCTAGGAAAGTGTAGATGGCAAAGTACAGTAGCGAGTCCGGGACGTAGAGCAGGAATGGCATAATGAGGTAGGCAATGGGATGCAGAACGGCCACCAAGATGAACAGCCGGTAAACCCCTATCTGCGCGGCCGCGATTGGGAAGATGACGGCTTGAACGAAGAGTGCGATAACTCCATCAACAGCCAAAATCGCCCCTACAGACCGCATAGACAAGCCAAGTCCGCCTGGCGTGTAGAACGGGTTGAATGCGGCAGTAAGCCCACCAGAATAAGAACTGAACGGGACTTTCGCGTCCTCAAAGAAGATTGGCATCAGGTGGTCATACGTCATTGAGTGGTACGTGAAGATGGCCAGGGCAACGATGAGGGCGATGATCCGCCTGGTGAATATGGCAACGTGGCCACCCTTCTCAGGCTGCTTGACGCAAGGGACCTCACGTCTGAGTTCGGTGCTGTTCCTAAAGGTTCCGTACGTCTCAGAACGAATGTCGACAGCTGGATGCTTCAACGCATCGGATGTCTCGAGAAGAGGGGTCTCCGTAGAGACATAAGTATCGTCGGGGAGCATTACATGGGGGATCTTGTCGTGATGTGTCTCCTGTAGGAAGAAGTACCCAAAGCCAATGCTAACAAGCAGTAATGCTGCGCATATGAGATTGGGCATCAGGTAAGGAAAATTCGCAAATAATGTCCCCTCGGGGAATGCATTGGGCCAGGATTCGTGAGGTTCTGCAAAAAGTCCACCGATGCTGGGGCCAACAATTGTGCCGATGGACCATACGAAAGGCATGACGGCATATGCCCTGGCTGTGACTGATTAGTATCATGTACAAGTGCAAAACAGGAGACTATCCACGTACGCTCATGCTCCTTCTTCGTGCAAAGTTCACCCACCATGGTCTGGATAACACCTATGTTGCCGTTGAGAAGCCCGCCGAGAGCACGACCGATCAGAGCAACCCAGAAATTCGTGGAGAAGCCAACCAGTATCAGGCTGAACATAGTTCCGACGCAGCCCAGCAGCAACACGGGCTTTCGACCTATACGATCGGAGACACCGCCCCAATACATGCCCATGGATGCCTCGGCCAGGGCAAAGGCCGAGATAAGGAGCCCGGCATAGAAGGAGGCATTTTGCTCCTTCCCGATCTTGAATCTCTTGACCAATGACCAGGCATATGGAAATATGGACGTGAGGGCAATGGGCTCCGCAAGACGGACGATGGCTAGATTAGATGTCAGTATGCCGAAGTGGTGTCGAACTTCGAGCACAGGCAAAGCTCACCTAATAGGAAGAGCTGGACGGTCGGAAAGTCATCGCGGTTTGGTAATGTTTTCTGTTTGGTCAGGACCATTATCACGAGACTGAGTAGCGATCTTACGACAGCTAACACAACATCTGGTGCTTGTAGCTGGAGAGAACTTTTGTCGAGAACTTTCGGAATTCTCAAAACAAGCGTCAAATGTTGCAGGGGCAGACAATGCCTCCTCTTGTACTATATGGGCGTGCGAGGACAGGTCGAGGGCCGGGTCAAGGATTAGAAAGCGCAAAACGATCGGGTTGAGTCTTTGTCGACTTGTTATTAAGCCGCGGATCTGGCAAACGTCATAAAATTTTCACAGGCTTGCTTGATATCTCCGATCCAACAAGCCAGAGGCAGGGTCGGGAGCAGACAAATTGGCCTGCATCTGCGGCTTGCAAGATAACAAGTTTTGGGACATCTAAATCAGGCGCTGTGTAAGGAAGGGTAGCGGACCCACCTAGGCACGGGAGCCCTTCGAATCGGAAATGTTTGTTGTAGTGTCAGTGGGGATGGGTTAGTGAACGATGAGTCGGGGCTCCAGTGCGCTAAACCAGGCATAGCGGTGGATATCAGTGGGCACCAGCCCCGGGTGACTACACGGTCTCCATGTTTGATCACTAAAGCACTTATCCCGTACTCTGGACAGCGCTGTGTGTGGATTAGGCATGGAAAACAGATGTAATCAGACCCGAATGGGCCCTCGCAGAACTGCATTGCCCTGACATCCCTTGAAACTCAAAATCAAGACCAGACCCTGCGACAGAGCTGTGGACAAGTCGGACAACGGCACGTGAGGTGGAACCGCTGGCGCACTCTCACCTCATGACTTCCACCTGGATTGTCAGCAACGCCAGTAATCACAGTCTTGACCTCGAACAACCTCGGGGACTGTGTAACATTTAGACCACCTGTGTGTATGAGTGGACCAACCACGGCTACTCACGCACGGTGTCCGACAGCAGAGAGGCACAAACCGTCTGATCGATGCAGGCCGATGAGCAGCGAGCCCGGTTGGGGATCGGGGCGAGGCGGTCAAAAGACCCGGGGCAGATGTAGGACTCAAATCCCCGACGTCTAAGTTACTAAAGTTACGTGGCTTCCAACAGGACTGAGCTGCCCATTTGCGAGCTATGTTTCACACTGGTAGTATGCCTTCTTGAAGCAATGTGTATGTTGCACAAACTGCATGCTGCAAGTTGTCCTTGCATCTTGTCCCATCCGACCTTACCAACTCGTTGCCACATGCTACTTACACCCCAAGTTAGTGATGCTTTCCAGTGTCTGTGTTAGTTCGTACTCAATCGATGGCTGACAATGCGATCGTCCAAAAGAAGAACTGGATCTTCTGCGTCAAACGGCCGGATGCATTGATATTCGGGTACAAAGTCTTTGGGCTGGTGAATCTTTCTGGTTGCAACCATAGTTGATAGCGTACCATCGGTTCCTCTGTCTTCTCAAAAGCCGGGGACATGGCAAGCAGTGCAGCCAATAGCGCGTCGCGCAGGTTCCTATCACGGCATGCAAAGTCAGGGCTGCCAATCACTGCCGACCTTCACAGATATCCGCTGTCCGAAAACGACACCCGCTACCACCACATCACCAGTGGTGCGAAATCTGTATACTACCCTGACTACCTTCAGGGGCCCTGGCGCAGAGTCGAGACGCTAAGGCACTACGGTGGGGAGCGCCAGGGCTTACACGCCTAAGACTCCCGAGGTCTAGTAACGACCAGCTACATGCCCAGGATAGTGACCACGGAGCCATCCCTTCTCTTTCCGATACAGATCGGCCGGTTTGCTTTCACGGCCAGAAGGGTCCATCCTGTAGGTAAGTTACCCACGGCTGAATTCGTGACACAAACCAATAGCTCCCTCTAAGAGCTGGATCTTGACGGTGTAAAAGCAAAGGATAGGTGCTTAGCTTGGTTAGGGTCTTCTATGCCCTTCATCCCTTTCGCCGACGGACGAGCACCTTTACGGGTGTACGGCCTTTCAATATGTGTTTATCGCATGTGAAAACTGATCCATCAGCGATACAATAGCGAGCAACCAAGAGGATTGTAATGCGACGATGCGAAGCTTATTCCAGGACCGAAATCGGTTGGACAAGCAATGTAGGGTGACTGGGAGCGGTGAGGCCAGCTACCTGCCTGTGACCTTGGCATCAATCTTGCCGCCCATAATCCATACCTCCAGCCAGGTTGGCTTTCGTATACCATGTCTCCTGGCCGTGGAAGAGGTGCCTGCCCAAACCATCCCGAGATGAGATACACGATACACGTCATTTATGGTCCGCTGCCGTCTGTGGCCAGCCTACAGTGGTCCGCACAAATAAGGTCACCGAGACTTGCAGCGAGATAATGCATAGTCACCATCTTTTTAGTAAGAGGCTGGAGCTATCAAGCGATTGTCTCTTATCTTGCATGTCAGAAACGGCCTGATAATGCATTGGCACAGCAGGTATGCTGCGTCAAAGCCAACTAGTTGCAGCCCGTGCCCATGTACAACATTCCACCCATGCACGACAGAGCCATCCCACTAGTGCATCCAGCTTTCTGGCTGCCGCGGCCCGAGTTCCCAATGCTACACCTACCGCCCTACTGCGCGAGAAGACAGCCTGGATGGAGTACTCCGGAATAACGACTCCATGCCTCATAATCCCCTCTGCCTTCAAACTCATGGTCTAAGCATCATATTCATTTCCATAATGACTTGCTGCCAGGAGCTGTGCCCATTTGACCTGTTTTGTGGATCCTGACAAAGCACCACGCAACTAGGCCAGCCAGCGAGGCACCACTATACTCTGACCCACAACTCTCCATTTCTAGAAAACCAATGTCCATAATCGACAGGTATAATGATGAATCGGCATCCGAAGCTATGGCATGCATCAAGCACGTGCCATTAAGACCCTGATGCAGTTAGTTGTCTGTCACACTTTTTTCGTCATAACGCGCCTAGCAGTTTCGGTACACAACTCTAACTTCACAAGCACGTGGGCTTATGCTATGCAGCTGCTCTAGGCGGACGTATGTCTGACAACGGGAACTCTCTGCGATGCGAAAGAAGGCGGAACTGTCTGTCAACATGAGACAGAATGCAAGGGCAACGGGTTCGTGCGTGGACCCTGGATGCTGATGCTCCTTGACAAGCACCTTGAGCTGGCACCCCAAGTCCATCGTCAGGCAATGCCTTCCCCTACAGAACTATTGCGTCTTCATAGAAGCGTAACAGAGCTCAGAGACATGTACTATCTATTCTCATCTTCGTCTACCTTGTGTCTGGTGCATTGACACTCCACATGCCACAATATGACGAGAACCTCAACGTCGTCACGAACGATCGAGACCATCCTCATCGGCATTGGCTAGAGGCAGCGCATCGTCAAGGCGATGAGGAGAGTCGTCCGCCAGGCGAAGCCGCCAAGCAGCTGTTATATGACGGGAATCAGGATAATCTAAACGGCGATGGCAGCGCAGGTTTGGCCGACGAGACCTATTGTGGCCTTCGCTTGGCCGCGTTGGTGAACAGAGAGCTCCATACGCAGAAGGTAAATGTCCCCGACAACCAGGCGAGGCTGACGCGCGTGCTTCTGTGAATCAAGTAACAAGTCCTCTCAAACCTTGCGCTGCGTGCCATTGGAGATGGCATCAGCGCCGACTGGGCTGGGAGAAATACTGCTGCGTGTAGACGCTGAAGCCGGCTCACCTCGCCCCTGGCCGTTGTCTGCGCCAGGCTACGTATAGTGGCACTTACAAGAACATCAGGCAAGTGACCTGCAAAACATGCGCCATGGAGGCGCACGCTGAGAGCACCGGCGTTATTCTAAAGTGTCAAATTGATGGGCCGTAGCAGGCCCGAGGAGCAGCATTAAACGAATGCAGGGAGAGCTAGATATCATGTTATATGTGCCATTATCAATGCAGGCATTGCCACACTTCCACATGCTGCTCCGCTTATTACCAGCTCGCCGAACGAGTTATAATCACGCAGTTGCTAGCTAATGATACAACATTCTCCTCATTTCGACGTGGGCCCACCAGCCGGCTGAGCCCACTCATTCGTCGACACAGCCAACCGCACATATCCCTTACCTAGTTTACAGCGATATAATAGTTTCATTAAAGTGCGTTCCCCTACCCCCTCCTTGTCCCTTTAATCCGACATAGCTTTCTTGACCCGTATATAAATATTGCATCTCACAATGTCGACTGAGGATATGGTTGCCCCAGCCAACCTAACCAGCTTATGCGTAAGTGCATCCGGTCCAAGTCCGGTTTCCCCATACTTACAATCCTACACAGTGCCGTGCCCTGGCGGCCTTGCTTGGCCAGCAGAGTGTTGCTCTCCCAGGCAGCGCTGAATACACGGAGTCCCTGGGGTCATATTTCTCGGCACAGCAAGAGGCGATGCAGCCCGCGTGCATTGCATTGCCCCAGACCACTCAAGATGTATCGAACACAATTAAGTGCTTGACATCACAGGAGTTTGGGCGACCTTTGTTTGCTATCCGTGCGGGCGGGCACGCCAATTGGGCCGGTGCTTCCAACATTGCTGGAGGCTTTGTCGTCGACCTGCGGGCTATCAACTCGGTCCAGATCAGCGAGGACAAGTCAAAAGTCTTTGTAGGCGCCGGTGCCCACTGGGAGGATGTGTATGCGAAGCTCGACCCCCTCGGTCTCAGTGTTAACGGCGGCCGGGCAGCCGAAGTAGGTGGGTTGGCGGTCTCACGCACGAGCGCTCGTGTCGAGTTCTCGCGACCAAAAGCTCGATATACTCACGCTTCTTATAGGTGTCGGTGGATTGACGCTAGGCGGCGGCTTATCCTACTTCTCGCCCCGTTATGGCTGGACTTGCGACACAGTGGTCAACTTTGAGATCGTATTGGCTGATGCCTCGATTGTCCACGCCAACGCAGAATCAAATCCAGACTTATTCCACGCTCTTAAAGGCGGCAACAACAACTTCGGCGTTGTGACACGCATTGACTTAACTACCTTTGAGCAAGGGCTTCTCTGGTCGGGAAGTGTCTTCAACCCAGTCTCTGTTGTGGACGACGTGATTTCCGAGTTCGTCAAGATTGGCTCCCCTGAAGCGTATGATGAGGATGCTACTTTCTACACTAGCTTCGGGTTTTCTCAGGCTCGAGGCATACCCATCATTGCCAGTAACCTTGAATATGCCAAGCCGATAGCGCCACCGTCGATATATCAAGATTTCTTGGCGCTTCCCAAGCTGATGAACACATCGGAGCTTATGAACATGACCACGCTGGCGAAGGCCACTCGGGCCCTACAGCCTGCACACCCACGGTTCGTGCTAATACTTTGAATGGAATACTATTCACATATTACCTCCTATCAGAATTCTCTCTCGTGTCTCAACATTTGCATTGACCACAGAGGTGCTCAAAGCTACATATGCCCAGTGGAGCGCTACCATACCCAGTATATCGCAGGTGTCGAACCTTGTCTGGGCCATTGTGCTCGAACCCTTGCCACCCGGAATCTATGCGCGGCATGCGAATGGAAACGCCTTAGGGCTAGCGGACAGGACAGGATCATTTGTGGTGGTATTGCTTTCGGCGGCGTGGACAGATCCATCCGATGACGAACTGGTGGTCGACGCTGCCAACAAACTGATGGCCGCGATCAACGAACAGGCCAAAGATCTTGGCGATTTAGATCCGTTCGTCTACTTAAATTATGCTGGTCAAGATCAAAACCCCATTGGTAGCTACGGCGCAACCAGTGTTGCTCAACTACAGGCTATCCGAAACCGTGTTGATCCTGGTGGGATCTTCACGAATCAGGTATCCGGTGGGTTTAAGATTCCACCTGAAGCAACAGTATAGCCTGAAATATAGATTGGAATTGTCTCGAGATATCTTCCTCGAGTTTACTAGCACGATAAGAATGGTGTGTGCCCCTGAACTTGATCTGGGTATAGGTTAAAGTGCCAGTCGCTGTATAAGAACCAAAATCTATCGGAGGGACTCGATCTTCTTATCAACAGACTCAAAATGCAGCCTTGAAGAGCCGAGAGGTGACACATCAATTCTCCATACATTCAGGATCTAGTCAGCTTAACCCCTTCTTCCCCTCTTGCTGCCGGGCAAATTACGTCAGTTAGCGCTGGGGGCAGGTACCTGACGTAACTGTTCGTCTATATGATACATTCACGTATTTCTCTCGTTACGATCTAGACTTTACACCAGACAATGTTATCATCTAGTCCCCAGGTTGTGCGTAGGTATATATGTACCTTTGTAGTCACGCCAGACAATGACTTTCGCCCAAATCCGGATTTGGCGTCGAGCCTGAGCTGTGGCCGCTTTAACCCGAGTAAAAGCTGAGCACAGGTGATCACCTTGACCTAGGCACCCTTGCTCGGGTAGACTTGCCGCGTGTAGGCTGTTGTCACTTTATAGATTTTAACTGGTCAGCACGCAGAGGACAATGTATATACCAGTCGGACGAGAGTTTATCGGATCCGACTTCCACGTATCTTCTCGAGAAATGCCTGGCTCGAGGCAGACAACTGGCGAGGGGGCCCGCCGCCGTATCTTTGAACCCAGCTCTCTTTTTCGAGAATGTCATGGTACGGCCCCTGTTCCACCATCCACTCTTTTGCGGCCGGCACAGGGTACATCTGAAATTGTGCAACCTGCTTGGCCTTCATAATATCATCTCGCAAGCTCATAAGCCAGGGATGCACAACTACGACCCAAGTTAGAATAAAAACAATGAAAACAACCTCCTTTATTCCTTTCTTATTTATACAAATTTCAGGACTTACCGCTAACGTAGTCGTGCACCGTAACAAAGTCATTACCGGCAGAAGGCGTGACTGTCAGCTTCAGCTCTCGCTTCCTCATCGGCCGGTCTTCTCCACAGCACCTGAGAAGAAACTCGGTGTCCGAGTCCTCCTCCCAGCTGCCGTCCTCTTTGGGCTCGTTTGCGTAAGGCCGATCCTCGTCGTTGAGGTCTCCGTATGTGACCCACTCGGGATTACACTCGAGGCCGGTGTGTTCACTATGGCGCCTGACCCAGTCAACTTCCCATTGATGGAAGTCGTGGATCGAAGCGTCGATAGACGAGACCTTTGGCTCGGTGAGAGGCAGGTGCGCAATCTCGTGCCATGTGACGCTGGCCATATCCTCAGCGGCGGGTTGGAAGAAGGGTTTGAGCTCGTTGGCGCTGTGGACGGTCCTCATGACGGAGATCGCGGCGGGATACTCGCCGTCGAGAGGCCAGAAGAGGCGCCTGGCGTGCGGCGCGATGACGACGCCACCATCGCTCTTGCGCTCTCTCCACGAGGGGTACGGAGGTTCGTACGCTGGGCCTGGTTGCGAAGTTGCCATATTTGGGGAGCGAGCTTTCTAGGGCTGTGATGTTGATTTATAGTCGTGAGCACATGATCGTGGCGTCAGGATGTAAAACGGCCGAGGAAGCTCGCAAGTCGACAAGTTGAATCCCCTTGCGATGAACTGAGATTTAGCGTCAATTTGGTTAATTTGAATGTGCAGAATGTAGTACCGGAGCCAATCAACCCGGGGTTTACCACTTGAACAAGGGGCTTCTATAGCGAAATTAAAAAAGTTACTGGGAGAGGCGCCGCGACGTGCGATTGCAGGCAAGCATACACCAAAGTCAAGCCTGGGCGAACAACGCGAATAAGCATAGATCAGCACTTAAAGCGCATCGTTAGATCAGAGGACAGCTACGCGAATAAAGGAGTGATGGCGGCTTTCAATCGCGCAGTCGAGCACCAAGTGTTTGTGCAAGCCTCCCTGCCCACTGGGAAACGAGGGTAGTGGGAGGTCAGCCAGTTCTGCTGTAAGCTCTGTGGGAAGCAAAGCATCAACCCCTGCGCCGAGCACCAGAAGAAGCTGCTCTGAACCATCGGCAACCTCACTCAGCTCTGTCAGCCAAACCTCGACCCCTTTAAGAACTGCCAACGTGGGAGGCTCAATGGCCGGAGATACCTAGTTTGGCCTGCAGCTAGGGCCTAGGTTGTACTTAAGAGTACGGCGCTATACTTTATCTTATCCAGCCAGCCCAGCCCAGCAGGGGTCCAGTCTTTGGGACCTGGTCTTGGACCCCTGGCTGTAGGCGCAGAAATTAAGCAAATAGTTGGACAGCAAGGATTGAGACGTTGGGGAATCCAGGCGCCACTACCTTAATTCATGTATATTTTCCTACCTACCGCAGTATAAGGTACCCACGAAGAATCCCGGGCTGTCGGCTATTAGCAGGGGTCGGCGTTGAAGGATACCATTGTGATTCGAGGGCCTATGCAGTTGGTTGTTTGTTGGTTATCTACGCATAGACAAAGCACCACCTTCTGTCTGTTTTCTGTTAGCGAACCGTCTTTGCTCATGGTTTTACATGGAGGTGAGCAACCGTCCGAAATACACAACTTGTCAACCAATGTACTGTATTGAAACAACAGTTGTAACAATTCGACCATACCTTGATAACCTCCACTCCGCTACCTATATCACGCATTCGCGAATCCGCTCTTCCTCTTCCTCCCTCGCTTTTCTCACTCGTTCCCAACAACGCAATCAGGGACCCGGCAATTGCGGCTAGGGAGAGATTGCCTGCAATGGCGGCCGCGAAAGGAACCATTCTCGTGACTGGGGCAAACGGGGGGCTCGGAAGTGCTATTGTCAAGCAAGTCGTCTCCAACCCAGAACTTGCAGCCTTTCATGGCCTTTATGCCGTCCGCGACGCCGCTGCCGCGCCCTCTCTCAGAGCTGCATTAGCAGGCAACCCGTCGCATGCACACGATATCTTCTCGCAAAACCTCACGAACCTTGACAGCGTCCGCTTGACGGCCTCGGCCATCGTCACTCGTATTGCGGCGGGCGAGATTCCGCCAATCCGGGTGTTGATTCTATGCGCCGGATGCCGAGACTTTGGCAAGCAGACATGGTCCGAGGATGGCTTGGATGCGACATTCGGCGGTAACTATCTCGGTCATTGGTTGTTGACGCTCCTTTTGTTAGGGAGCATGGAGAAAGAAAATGGACGGATTGTGATAATTGGAACTCAGGCCCACGAGTAAGTGCCTTCCCCCCTCCCCCTGTGTCTACTCATACCGATCTGTGACTTATTGGAAAGCGAAGTCCCTACGACAAGCGCAATGTGTCGACCAAGGCGTTTATCGAAGATAAGTATAAGACGATCATTCACCACGAAACCAGCGTCCAGGAAATTGCCCAAGGCAACTGGAGTTGGGGCTCAGCCCAAGAGGACCAGTCGTTTCAGGGTGGAACGCGCCGCTATGGTGCTGCTAAGCTCTTTTTGATCATGTTCCAGCACGAGCTACAGCGCCGCCTGGATCGCGATCCAGCGCTGACGAGAATCTGCATCCTGGGCGTTGACCCCGGGACCATGATCACAGGTCTACCGCGCCACGCCCCATGGTTCATCCGTGTTCTCATATTCCAGATTGTATTCCCCATAATTGCTGCTCTTATGCCCAATGGACCGGTCCGAACCACCCTGAAATCAGCATCCCATGTCGTGAGTGCCGCATTAGACTCAACCCCTGAATTGGGTGAGTACCCAAAAGATAGATACTTGAATGGTTTGGAGCCATTCGAGACGAGTGCTGAGTCGAGGGATCTCAAGAAGGCCGAGCTGGTCTGGAAAGAAAGCGTACGTCTGGCACAGTTGAAAAGAGAAGAGACGTCGCTGGTCGATTGGCAATGACAGTGTGGCATTGATATTTGAAGGCCTGCAGTTGGTACACAGATTCCCAAAAACTGAATCCAGTCTACATCTTCTACTTAGCAGGAGCCTCTAGCAGGTATACGCTATATTACTCGTGTTTCTGCTCGTCAGCTATAGTGATAAGAAGATATGCAACTCTGGAAACATATGGACACGTTTGTTGATGATAGCATCCAATTTTGCAGCAACCGTGAAATATGAAGCCTTCAAGAGAAATTAGGGAATCTCTACTACCAACTGCCAGCGAGTGTGCCCGTTTGTGCGCTGTCCAGTACTGCATCTTATTCGAGACGGGTCTCTTATTCGGGCGCAGAATTCTAAGACGTTCGAAGTATGTTTGAAAACACATATTGGAAACACATACTGAACAAGCTGGAAAATAGGCCGCATGAAGCCTTGGTATTTTGAACCGGGATCTGCTGATGACCTGCTACGAAATAACCATGAATAATGAAGATCTCCTCTCACTGTTAGACTTGTCCGGACAGCAAGACTCAAGCCTCCACTCCCTTCACACGATAACCCCGTACCTTACATACGTTATTCCCTCTGATCATTTTTCGCTGCCATATCCGTCTCCAACCCTTCCTTAACTCGCCGCAATCATGCTTTACTCAAAAGTACTGTGCAATCTTATGACAGCATCCTATCTCTGGCAGTGACGGTATATACACAAAAGACGGAGAGGCCTGACAAAGGATGCAGCATACTATCGGGCGGACTCAGCTACAAGTGCAGCACTACTGTTTTCACGGGATTGCAAGGCCACCCGGGCAGTGAGCTTCCATAAGAGATCATGACGCAGTCCACTCTTCCCAACGATACCTTATACTTGAGCGACCGTCATATCGCCTGCCTATTCAAAGACACGAATTTCGTGCTTGAAGTGACGGACGTCAAAGCAGAGACGGGCCCGGCCAAGTTCCAACTTGGGTTTGACGCAAAGGCGAACAATGAAGCGGACAGCAGTAGGTAGAGGGGCTCCATATGGAAGTGAAGCCGTAATTGTTGTCATGAGAGTTGGAATTCGCCGGCCTGCTTCACAGGCTGCAATTCACGTTGATACTCCTGGAAGAGTATGGTTCATCAAATCCGCGTTCTTGAGTAATAGAATACTAATAATCTTCAATGAATTTGTCATTCTGTGATCCAAAAGTTATCAACAGCTGGCAATCCCTATTGCCATCGTCAAAATAGTCTATCCATCATCCCGTTCTTGAAAGCGCAACCACCCTAAACAATGTAGCGGTCTTTGTCTTGTAAGGTTCGCGGGTCAATGAGGTTTGCCTGGTTGCCTTGTGGAACTTGTGTAATACCGCGGCCTTGAAGCCAAAGGTAGTAGCCAGTCAAGGTCGGACTCGGAGTGAGCCATCTGGGTGGTATAGTCTCCCTAAGACAACCCCACCAAAGTCCCCAGAGCTCCTTGAGCCTGGGTGTTGCCCTTCAATACAGACATCAGTAAGACCGGAGTTCTATGCTGGATAGGCGCGACTCCCGGCTTTGCCCTGACTTCCACGGACCAAGGCTTCGCACATGGACTGCAGCGAGGAAGTGCCCTGTCGCTGGAGTCCGGCCGAGCTAAAGCCGTGTGGTGTGCTGTCATGGTACCATGTTCGAAGACACCAAACCAAGGATACCGCAAAGCTGTGCATCCATACCGCTCGCTTATCCAATGGCCACGAGCTAGACTCTTCGACTAGTACTCGATTTCCTTGTCACACGAAAACGGGTACCGGAAAATGGGTTGGCGTCCACAAGGGCAAACAATTACGAGTATGGTGCTTGCGGGCACCACTGATTATCGCCTGGCACGAGACTCGTGCTTTTGTGTGAAGGAAAAACTTGACTTATATAAGAGAGACGAGGGAGACAGATTCGGATTGCCTCCTTTACACGATCTGCCTTGCGATTAGCCGTGTGCCCACCCCCCTTATCGACCCCAGACGCTCCACAACCAACCAGCACCAACCACTCGTTCCCCGTGAGCAAGTATTTACCAGATTTCTATGATATGCCTCTTCTAAGGAGCATAGCTGCGTTCATCTCCCTCGCCGTGCTCGCGAGCCGCGGGGCCCAGGCCTTCATTCTCTCCTTCTACCTGGGCACCGAGTGCCACGGCGCCCCGTGGGGCGGCAACCACCTCTCGTACAACGAGACGGGCTGCGGCCGGTGCTTCGAGTTCCCCGTCAACACCAAGTCGGCCGTCATCAGCGGCGAGGGCCCGCAGGACGACGGCTACGGTATGTCTACCCTGACTTCCTCCCGTATCCTTCCGCACTCATCCCGCCCTGCCCCGGCCCCCTTTTCTTCCTGTCCGGGAACCCACTCGGCTGGCCGGCCGGCCGACTGACCCGCACGGACAGACGTCAACTTCTGGGCCACGAGCGCCTGCAACGGCAGCGCCCCGCAGCAGCAGCCGCGCCGCGCCAGCAGCTTCCGCACGCTCGAGGTCGCCGCCGACGACGGCCAGGGCCTGGTGCGGTGCACGGATCTGGCGGGGCCCGAGGACGACGCCGACGTGGTCTCGTACGCCATCTGCCGCAACGCCGAGCCCGCGCCGGTGCCGCCGCCGTCGACCATACCACCCGGCGGCACGGATTTGCCGTGGACGACGAACACAGCCGAGAGCAGCAACGCGACGGCGGGTGCGTGAGATGTTGGGACGGGAAAAGGGGGTGGCTGGCATGACGGTGGGAGAGAAGCTCGGCTGGTCCGCATGCAACTTGGATAAGAGGCCGATTCGAGGTAGTCAGGACGTACACAAGTAAGAATCGCGCAGAGCTAGAGTAGTGGATGGTATGTTGTTATAGAACAGCAAGAAAAAAGTTTGGATATTATTATGATGCATGGTCTGCCCATGAGCGCCCACCACCACACATCGTGTCCAGTCCCTCCCTAACTTGAGTAATGTCCCGACGCTTTCCAGCGGTGCGTGTAATGCCGCATCAGCACTTGATTCAAGACATGCTCCCTCCTTTCTCTCTCTCTTTCTGTTCCCTCCCTTCTTTCTCTAGACCGTTCGTAGTTTCTCTAACAAAAAATATGCAAGATGGAAGTGCGGATACAAAGGGCACGTAATTTACAGAACTCCCAAGCCGAATGTGTGGTCTGCTCAACTCCCAAGAAAACCCATGATCGATCATCAGTGATGCGCCGGCTTTCCCTTATTTTCATATGCGAAACAAACTCGCCAAAAGGTGCTTAGTCTCTCAGTCCGTCTTTCCGTTGGCCGTGTTGCCCAAGAGGCCATCCTTAAGCTCCTTGATGGGCAGGTTCTCCTCCACGCGGAAGCTGGAGCCACGAGTTCTTCGAAGGCGGCCGCGGAACCATGAGGCGGCCGCGACAGCAAAACCAGCAAGACACCCGAAGCTCAGGTAAGGGTGCTCGGAGAAAGTCATACGGATGTCGAAAAAGATCTTCTCGAAGCTCGAGATGGTCAACTTCGGCTTGATCTTGGGTGGCGAGGCGGTGACCTTGCCTATCGTCTCAAGAATCGAGGTACGCGAGGGAACAATCGAGTTTCCAGTGATGGTCTGGTCCCAGTAGCGGCGGTTCTAGTTGAAAATGTTAGCAAGTGGTGCTTGTTATGGTTGGGCTGCACACGGTGAACAACTTACATCCTCATCATTGATGATAACACGCTCTCCATCCTTGACATCAATACCGTAGGTGGTCCGGATCCATCTTTGCCAGAAAACACCGTCAACCCAGGCGAAGGCCACCTCCTTGCGGTCAGACCGATCCATGTTGATGCGGATGCTCTTGGCAGCCCGGAGCGCGCGCTGGTCGTTACGGTCTTCGGCCTCTTCAATCCTCAGCTGCTTGGCATCTCGCAGCTCCTGTCTCTCAAGCTGGAAGAGCTGGATCTGCTTGTCCATCCACTCGTTGGCAGCCTCCTTCATCTCGTGCTTGGCGCCGTTGAATGACTCTTGGTCTTCCCGGTTAAGGATACCAAGGACAACAATCTTGCCATCCATGATCTCACGAGCGTTGGAGGCGGTCATCTCGGACACGATGGGGAGCCAGACGGACTTCATCCAGTTCAGCACCTGATGGGTGTCGCGCATGTCCCTGGGGGTAAGCGGGGTGTAGTATGTAGGGCGTCCCTCTCGGGAAACGATCAATCTAGGCCAGGTGGTGATCTTGAAGCGGTCGTACATGGCAGGATCCTTGGTCTTGACCAGCTTGGCGCGGCCGATGAGACTCAGGGGGAACCTCTCCAAGGCAAGCATATCCTCGCTGGTGGCGGCGTGGTCGTAGAAGTAGACAAAGATGACGTCTTCCTTCTCCTCCATTGCCTTGAAAGACTCGGCAGTGACATCCGGCACACCGTCGGCAATGTCCAAAGCCTTCTCGGCGTACTTGACAAAGTCGCCAAGACCACGGAGGCCATCGTACTCAACACGCTCGCCGCCCTTGAAGAACTCGATGGTGGGATATCCGCGAACGTGAACGTCCTTACAGAGTCTCGACTCGGCATCGCAGTTGACCTCTCCAATGTTCAGGCGGCCTTGCATCTCCTTGGCCAGCTGCTGCCAGTTCGGGGCCATGGCCTGGCAGTGGTGGCACCAGGGCGCGTAAAACTTGATGAACCAGGGGTCTTGCGACATTGTGACAAGTTGCTGGAAGCTCTCGGCCGTAAGAGCAACAGAGGTACCGTCCTTGTTGGGGGTCCTCGTGGGCTTCACCTTCTTGGGTTCGGGAACCTCGAAGGGCACGCGGAGATACGGGGATGGTGCAGTGTCCTTCTCGTCGGCCTTCTTGCCATCCTTCTTGCTGTCGGCGGCCTTTGCGTCCTTGGCAGGCTTCTCAGCCTTATCCGCAGTGGTATCGCTCTTCTTCTGAGGAACCTCGGGCGCGTCAGGGAGGCTGGTCGCGCCGGGCGTGGGAAGAACCAAGTCGCGGGGGCGGGTGCCAGGGTGATCCTTCTCGAGCACGCCCTCAATGAGATTGGAGATGACAGTGATGTTCTTGCCGCCGGTAACGACATCGACAACCTCGCCGTCCTTGTAGACAGACGTCTGGGGATAGGATCGGACCTCGTGCTTGGAGCACATGTCACCGTAGGCAATACAGTTGAGCTGGGCGAAGCGGATGTCGTAATACTTCTCGAAGGACTTGTCCTCGGCGCTGGTCGGGGGTTTCGAGGTGTAGTAGTACTCGTACAGGGTCTGGTAGGTGGGTGCGAAGTCTATACAGTGAGGGCAGTACGGACTGCGACGGGGTCAGCTTTCTTTCTTCTTTCTGGCGTCGAGCACGGCAGCGGCGCCATCAGGAACCAGACTGCCTGCGTATATATCTCGACAGGCGGTCGCATCAATGTGGGGCTGGCTGGCTGGCTGCTTGTTCTGTCTATCGTACCTGAAATATTTGACCACCAGATATTTCGACTGCTTGACCTCCTTGGCGAAGGTGTCGGCCGTCAGGTCCAGCACGGGCGGCACCCTCTGGCCGTTGAAGTACGTGTTCTCCTTTGCGGGATCGTCATCCTTCTCGGCGCCGATGGCTTGCGCAGCGCCGAGGGCGGACGCGCCCAGCAGCAGCGCGAGCGAGGAGAGCCTCATGGCTGCGGCCTCACTTCACGGGAGGTGAAGTCGCAGGGCACGGGGGGGGGTCGAGGGCCGATATGGATTGCGGCAGTCCGTGGACGTCAATGGCGATGGGGCCGATGATGAGGCAAGTCGTGGCCTGTACAAACCGACCGCGACCCGGGCGCAGTCTGGTGGTGGTTTGGTGGAGGTTGATGGGATGGCGAATTGAGGGCAGAGGTTGGAAATTGGATACCTTGGGATACTTTTCGGCAGGTGGAACAGAAAGGGGGCACCCAGGCGGCAAGGCGCGCTATCTGTTGCTAAGCATTGAAGAAGATAATACGAGGCCACCGCAGAAAAACTACTGCGCGATTACACAGTACACGGTACAGCAGCAGCGCCTTAGGTGCTGGGCCGCAGGGCAGGCCAGCAGGGGGGGCTCCCGTCCCTTGTTCCCTCGTCCTTGTCCCTGTGTTGCTTTCTGTTCTGGGGGTGTGGGTGTGCGCCAAGATCAAGTCCAGGCCGTCCCTCCAGCTCTTCTCTAGTGTCAATCTGTGCCTTCAATTGCTCTTCGTGTCGTGAAGAGTTGACGCAGACTCCCTAGGTAGTTTTTGACAGCTGTTGCGGCCGATGGGGGCAGGTCAGAAGGCAGAGCATCAGTCCTCTGGAGCGCCCGGCCCGTGTCCAGTGTGAAGAGCAGAGACAGATATCACCTCCATGTTGAAGCAGGTCTCACTCCACAATTCACTATGTTCCTGTGTTCTTATCCTCCCTCCATCGTCCCAAGTCAGCTTCAGCGGACAACCTGGGCCAGCACAGCCTGGAGAAGGAGAACCAACGGGGCCGCCTCAACGGGGAGCACGGGCTGGGCTTACGGGAGCTGCCAAGGCGCTAAATCTCCCCCTTTGGTCTGATGGAGGTTGCAGCGACTTGCAGCAAAACTGCGGTGCCTAAAACCAACGCCCCAAATGCCAACGCTCTTTTTGCGTAGCTCAGCCGCACGAGTCCCGCAACAACCTAGAAGAAGTATCTCGTCCATGTCCAAGCAAAACACACCTGCCCATATCTCGCGCGACCAGACATCGACCGTGGCAGCTTCATCAACTCACTGCAAGGTGGTACACGTGTCTTGAAGCCATACAGCGGCTCAGTTACCCCAGCCGGCGGACCAAGCGAGCGACCACCCAAACCACCGAAAGCTCCACAGATCTTCGTTCCTTCGTCTCCCCAAGGCTGGGGACCGTTACCAACCTAGTGAATGGGCTATTTCGAGGCTGATCCAATTGCGCCTGCCTGTCTGCCTTCCTCTCCATGCATGATTCGCGTGCTGCTGTCAATGTCATGTTGCCTTCTTGGCGCCCCTGCCCGCTGTCAGACTCGAAGGACGCTTTGGGCAAGCTTGCTGTGTGTCTGGTCTGTGTGCACAGTAAGCCAAGTGAGGTGCTTACGTTGAGACAACTACCGTCCCTTGCACACATTCTCTCGCTGGGCCAAGACCGCCCCGTTTCGCAAACGCTTTGATGCAGATGCCAAGACCTGAGCCGCAACGGTTGTGTGCATTCCTGGCCCCATCACAACCCAGGCTATACCGTGGTGCATTCACACAAGTCGAGGGTCTGCACACGTGATTCCCCTCGGCGTCACCCCCCAGTAGACGGCCGTCCATCTACTCCTTCAGTCCCTGTTCCCGTTGAACCCCGGAGACCGGGGGAAGGATGGCCGAGCCCCCGGCAAAGCGCCGACGTTTGTCTGGCGCCGCCGGCGAAAGCACGCGCAGCCCCGGACCCGCATCACTTACACGCAGCATCAGCCCTCCCGCCAGAAGACGGGCAGCAGTAGCAGCTACAACGCCGGCAACAGCTGCTGCTACTGCTCCGTTATCACCGGCACCATTATCTTCGCAACAGCGGAAGCTGATCCCATCTCCATTCCGACTGACCACGATCCGGGATCTCCCCGACGCGGCAAATGCCGATGCCGTGAGTCTGCATGATCTGCTGGGCGACCCCTTGATTTCAGAATGCTGGGAGTTCAACTACCTCCACGATGTCGGCTTCCTGATGGGGCATTTTGACGAGGACACGCGATCCCTGGTCAAGGTGCACATTGTTCACGGTTTCTGGAAGAGGGAGGACCCAAGCAGGTTGATGCTTCATGTACGCAAACCCTCCCAAGCCGCGATAGGCATAATTCCTCGCAATATTTAACACGTCGCGTAGGAAGAAGCTTCGCAGTACAAAAATGTCACCCTGCATACTGCCTATATGCCCGAGATGTTCGGCACGCACCATTCCAAGATGCTGATCCTCTTCCGGCATGACGACACGGCCCAAGTCATCATCCACACGGCCAACATGATCGCCAAGGACTGGACCAACATGACGAATGCCGTATGGCAATCTCCGCCATTGCCTCTTGCGAAGGACTCCTCTCCAGGCCAACCAGACGCGCCGCTGGGAAGTGGTGCCAAGTTCAAGGCCGACCTCCTGAGTTACCTACGCGCCTACAATACGAAACGAGATGTGTGCAAACCCATGGTTGAACAGCTCGCCAAGTACGACTTCTCTGCCGTCCGAGGTTCGCTCGTCGCCAGTGTCCCCGGGCGCCATGCCGTCGAGGATGACCCCAGCGTCACCCGTTGGGGCTGGGCGGCCATGAAGCACGCCCTGCGCTCCGTCCCCCTAGAAAGCGGCGAGTCCGAAGTCGTCGTGCAAGTGTCGTCGATCGCCACGCTGGGCGGCACCGACGCGTGGCTGCAACGGACACTGTTCGCCTCGCTGTCTTCGTCCTCACACAAACAGAACCCCAGACCGGGCTTCAAGGTCATCTTCCCGACGCCCGACGAGATCCGCCGCTCGCTGGACGGCTACGCCTCCGGCGGCTCGATCCACACCAAGATCCAGTCGGCGCAGCAGCAGAAACAGTTCGAGTACCTTCGGCCGGTTTTCTGCCACTGGGCCAACGACACCCCTGGCGGCGTAGACGCCGGCGGACTGAGTTCGCAGCTCGGGGCCAGGGATGCGGGACACAAACGCGCCGCCCCGCACATCAAGACGTATATCCGCTACAACTCGTCGTCCTGCATCGACTGGGCCCTGCTCACGTCAGCCAACATCTCGAAACAGGCGTGGGGCGAGGCAGCCAACGGCGCGCGCGAGGTCCGCGTGTCTAGCTGGGAGATCGGGGTGCTGGTGTGGCCGGAGCTGCTAGCGGACGATAAAGAGGCGAAGATGGTCGGCACCTTTGGGGCGGACACACCACCTGCTGACAGTAATGCAAAGGCCGAGACGGGGGGTAAGGGTGGTTTGACTCGCGATACGTCTGGTCCATTGGTTGGGCTACGCATTCCGTACAACCTCCCATTGCGGAGGTACGGGCCAGGCGAAAAGCCCTGGGTCGCGACGGCAGAGTACAAGGAACCGGACTGGATGGGCCAGACCTGGAGCTCCTGGGGTACCTGACCGTGGCTTTCACGTGTGTGCTGTCTGTTATTGCTACCATCATGCGCTGTCAAGTGGCCGGTGCCCATATGCCCAAAGACAGCAGGATCCGGGGCCACTATATAGCATAATACAAAGAGTAGAACCCCTCGTCATTACAGGCTTCTGCCAAGGGGTTCCAATAAACAAGGCATTTGCTTACAGAAGTGATGTTCAGGACGATATTTCTTTCTTGTTTCAGGGTGAAGCTAATGATCTACTCAGGGTACCAAAGCAGAAAGAAGCCTAGTAGGCACCATGGCGCCTAGGGCCGATATATTCCCGTCATGCTGCTGGTATAAGCAAGCATCTAACTTGTAACTCCGCTCTTCCACCGTCTGAAGGCCGGGGGGGTACGGAGGCTGCTCCACACGCTCCCGACCCGGATGCCGTGTTTCTCGTTGATTTATGCGCCGACGGCCTCGGGGGCCTTGTTCTCGTCGAAGCCGTACTCGGCCTTGGCCTTCTCGATCAGGGCGACGTACTTCTCCTGGGCCTGCTCGGGGGTGGTGCCGTCGTCGACGACCTTCTGCCACGCGTTCTTCTTGGCCTTGCCCTTCAGGTCGAACATGCCGGGCGCGGGGGCCGAGGCAATATCCTCGCCGGTGGCGACCTTGTAGAGGGCTGTACGTCGCAGGAAGCGAGACACGATTAGCCATTTGGAAAGGGGGGAAGGGATCCGAGCGGTGGGGGAAGCGAGGATGGGGGACCGTTGGAAGGGAAGAAATGGGCAGGAAGAAAGACGGGCGCAGGAAGATGGAGCAGAAGGGAAAAAGAAAAGCAAGGCCTCATGACGTACCGTACATCTCCAGGAGGTCATCGTTGCTGGGCTTGGAGGTCAACTTCTTGGAGTCGACGACGGCCTTCTTGAAAGCTTCGGACTGGGCGACCATGTTGACGGCGGAATGTGGATAGCTATGTGGCTTGAGAGGGCGACTATGTGATTGCTTTTGCTCTTCCGAGAGTTTGTATGTATGGAGGGCAGGAAAGGGGGTGTCTGTGGCAAGTACAGGAGTAGTTGGAGTTGTTGAGGGTTCCAGGTCAGGACTGGGACGGGATCCCGAGTTTGGCGGGGTTCTGCAGACGATGGGCTCCCGTCGTCATAATGTTGAGTTCACATGGCCCTATGGCGGGGTAGAGGCAGGCCCTGTGATTGGCCTCTTCCCCTTGCCCGGGGGGCGGTCGAGGGCGAGAATGGGGACGCTGCGGCGTACAGCATGGCATTGCGCATGTGATCGGATCAATCAACTTCGGCAAGATTGGTCGCTGGAGATTGGAAGTTGCCAAGTTAGCTAGCTATTCTCTTCTTCATCCAGAAAGCAATGTTGGCATGATGCTGCGGAGGATATGGCCGTACGTTGAAAAGCGCTGTGATCCCCAGGGCAATTCCCCAATCTCCAATCCTGCAGCAGCCAATAGACTGATCTAGGACTACAATCCACCAGGAACACGACGGGAGCTTACCGTGTAGGGGACCTCGGAACCCGGTCGAAGCTTGAGGGTAAGCTTATGATAACGGAGCTGGGTTTCCTGCAACCATGACCACCACAGCTTCCCCCTACCATCTACGGTGATGGAGACATTCAAGTTGATGACCCTCATTTCACGCTTCCGTGTGATAAAGTCGCCAGTCGACCACGGAGGTTCGTCAGCTGAACAGACGAGTTGCCCGCCCTGCCTGTTTACAGGCATCACGGACTTTACTGGTCAGTTTAGACTCCGTGTCCGTGCAGATGCGCTGCTGTACCATTGTGAGGTGTGGTATGGTGGGAGGTGCAATTTCCCCTGGCGCTTTCGGGAGGCCTTGGTGGAACTCTGTAGGCCATCCCCCGGTGGATCTGTTTCAAGCCAATGGCAGTGGTCGAGTGGTCGAGTGGTCGAGTGGTCGAGTCTGGGAGATGATTCTCAAGCTTCAGTCAAGAGTCAAGCAAGCGTGCAAGCCAAGTCGAGCCAGCCACCAGCACTTCCATTCGGGACCGATTCTCATGAGCAGAATGCGTTTGCCTTGCCATTTCTCATTAGCTCTATGGATCGCAAGATGTGATTTCACGCGATCTACGAGGTCCGCGGAGCTTACGAGACCCCGACTTGCCGTGCTGATTAATGCATCCTTCGGTCCCGCAGATTGGGTCTAACATGATATGCCGGATATGGTGATTTCGAGCCATTGACATGGTAACTTGATTTATGGTTCATCCTGGGCGCAGATTACCTCGCGCTTGTCACATTTCTTGCACAGCCTGGCACCAGGGCATGTAGTGTATATTTCCAACCGGAAAGCACATATGAAGCTAGCATTCGTATTTCGTCTTTCAACGAAGCTCTGCACAGCTCAATGATCAAGAAAGCATCGGGGCCAAAACCTGATTGAAAAACTGTATTTGCCAAAGAGCGTGTACTTGAGCGAGATTGTAGAGTACATAAAGAACTGCTTCCTGCTCGGCTAGAGAGGGTGGCAGCACTGTACTTACTGGAACCAAGTCGAGGTTATCATGGATCTCCTCAGCCCTGTTGCGTAAGTCGCTTTTTTAGCTCCCGAAATATTGGACAGGGGCTTGGTGCACTGAAAAGAAAGTCAATCCCACCTACATGCATAAGCTGCAACGGAAGCTGGAAGAACAAAGCAGCAACTCCCGAGTGACTGTACAAATGCGACAAGTCCATCGAACGGGTGTCTCTGTATTGCAGCAACAGAGAGAATCAACATCTCACAAATCGTCGTCCGTGAGAGAGCAACGGACCGGCCGCCTGGGGCATCCGCTTCAGTGTTGTTAGAGTTCGACCTTGTAAGTTGGAACGGACCCTGCTCGCAGGTCCCCTAGCTCCGTGCCGTCCCCGTGCGGGTCCACGTCTTGTCTGACCATAACAGACGCCCGGACTGTCACATATAAGTCCGCGAGCGCCCTCTCGAGGATCCGTGTAGAGGCGATCTCTCTTCTCTCGCATTTCCGCGTTGCCTGATTTCCCCTCCCATTCTAAGATACCCCAGAACCACCGGCGTTCGTCGTTTTGTGAAAAACAAGCCATTTCGTCTTTTCTGCCAACGACTTTTTCCCCGTTGTCGAAGCAGTGCCAGCTTACACAAAAGGGTTCTAAGACGCCAATCTCACGGACTTCGCCAAACACACCATAAGCCGCCAGTATGACGCAAACAATCGTAGTTTTGGGAGGCTCCTACGCCGGACTCCAGGTCGCGCATAGGCTGGTGAAGAACACTCGGAAAACCGTCAAGGATCTCAAGGTGATCCTCGTTTCTAAGGTGAGACGCTGCTTTCTACTTGATCTGGCGTCATCGGGTTAAGCGCCGGGGGAGCGTGGGTTTGGGGACGGTGCTTGGGGACCACATTCCAATGTAACCTCGAGCATTTGCATTTGGGGATCCGGCATGACGCCCGAACCCGCAGACTCGAATATGTCCCAACCCTCTAGAAGAGCTACAGAGCATGGCAGAATGATTTTGAAATCGGAACAAGAATTCATTACTAACACCGGACACAGAACAGCCATTTCTACTGGAACCTCGCCTCTGTCCGTGCCATCATCCCGGGCATTGTCAAGGATGAGGAGTTCAGCCAGCCAATTGAGAAGGGGTTCGCCAAGTACCCTTCCGAGGCATTTGAGTTCATCGTTGGATCTGCCGAGGCCTCGGACCTTGTGGCCAAGACGGTCACGGTCTCGACGGCGGGCGGCGACCGCGTGCTGAGCTACGACCACCTGGTCCTGGCGACGGGCACGCGCACCGCCGGGGACGACGTGGTACCGTGGAAGGCCAGCGGCACGCACGAGGAGATCATGGACCAGATCCACAAGACGGCGGAGCGCGTCAAGACGGCCAAGCACATCGTGGTCGCCGGCGCCGGCGCCACGGGCGTCGAGGTCGCCGGCGAGATCCGCTACGAGTACAAGGACAAGGAGGTGCTGCTGCTCTCGGGCGACGCCCACATCCTGGGCGGCGACGTGACGGCCGGCAGCGCCGAGACTGAGCTCAAGAAGCTGGGCGTCACGGTCCAGACCGGCGCCCGCGTCGACCGCGCCGTCGTCCTGCCCGACGGCAAGACCGAGGTCACGCTCCAGAACGGCCAGACCATCCTGACCGACCTGTACCTCCCCACCATGGGCATGGCCCCCAACACCGAGTACCTGCCCTCGTCCGTCCTCAAGGCCGACAAGTTCGTCGCCATCGACGAGTTCTACCGCGTCAAGGACGCCGCCAACGTGTGGGCCGCCGGCGACATCGTGTGGACGCCCCGCGGCGGCTTCGTCATTGCGGACAAGCAGGTGAGTTTTCCCCAAACCCCGATGTTGCTTATATGCGCACGGAAAGCTGACTAGCAAAACAAAAAGGCTGCCGGAGTGGCCAAGAACATCGACCTCGCCCTGCACGGCAAGGGTCCGACCCCCGTCAAGCTGCTGCCCATGGACGTCTTCGTCTGCGCCGTGGGCCGCGGCCGGGGTGTCGGCCGCATGGGCTCCGTCAAGCTCTTCTCCTACCTGGTGTACATGGCCAAGGGCAAGACTCTGGGCATGCAGATGATGCCGGGCATCCTGAACGGCACCAACTACTGAGCGTGCTGAAGCGGGGTTTCCGGTATGCGTGTGTGAGAGTTTCTACTGGGACAACGACACGAAGGACACGATGTAGCTTACTGCTCAGTTTACATGGAACGATGGGCTTAATACTTAGGTAATGAGTGGGATGGACGGGGTGCTTCTGGTTTGCGCTGTGCGGGATTATTTTATAGGACGGAGAAAGGGGGGTTTGCGTGATTCGTATATCCCCAAGATACCCTGCTTCTCAGATATGAAAGGAAATTGCTTCGGTCTCTTCTTGGTCCATTGCTTTAATAGAATAGTATTATGTATCCAACCTCTGGTCGCTTAGTTCCCTACCACGGCCAAGTCTACATTTGTGACCCTTTTCGGTGAAACTGATCTGACCGTGATTACTACTCGCTCCGGATGCTGATGAAGCCAAGGAAGAAGATAAAAAGAGTCGTCTGTACATTGCAAGGCGTTATCAATACCCCTAGCCAGAAAGCACGTTTCGCCCACCATACTCTGTGTCGTGTCGCGGCTGATGTCTATCTCCTCGTCTTCTCGTCCTCGATCTCCCTCCGTAATTGCTCCAGGATCTGCAGCCTCGAGCTCAGGTGCGCCTCCAGGCCGTCGACCTGCTCCTTGACGGTGGCCAGGTCGTCGGCGACGCCGCGCAAGCTGGTACCGGCCTGGGCCTTGCCGCCGCCCTCCTCGAGCTCGCGCAGCTCCTTGCGCTTGTAGTCGAGCAGCTGCTCGAGCTCACGCTTGACGAGGGCAGGCTTGCTGTCGCGCTGGCCGCCGCGGCGGCGGTTGGCCATCTCCTCGACCTTGGCCATCTTGTCCTCGAGCTCGGCCAGCTGCTTCTTGAGCCGCACCTCCTCCCAGTCGTCCGTCTTGGCCGTGCTGAAATCGGTGCCGCCCGTCTTGAAGCCGCTCCGGCCCAGCCGCGTCAGGTACTGGTCGCCGAACTTGGCCTTGCGGCCCGTGCTGGTCGTGTCGTCGGCCTTGGCGGCCCAGCGGGACGCCGCCGGGGCGTCGCGCTCCGAGTCCAGCTGGTAGTTGATCTGCTTGCGCTCAAAGGAGGAGCGCAGGGACGCCGGCACGGTGCGCGGGATCCGGAAGCCCTCGTGGCGGTTGTTCAGGATGTGCAGGAAGGCCAGGCAGGCGTCCTTGTTGATCGTCGAGGAGGCGGAGGGGTTGATCAGGTTCCAGGCGCTGCGGATGTCGGTGTCGGGCACGTCTAGCGATTCGTATAGGTCTTCCAGGGCATTGACTGCAGAGAAAATAGCAGTCAGTACATGTCAACATGCTCGGGACGGTCCAAGGGCTCCGCCGTTGGGTAAGGAGAACTCACAGGATACTTCACCCCGCATGTCTCGGCTCTCCTGGTATATCGACTCATACTTGGCCTTGTCCTTGGGGTTCATATACCAATCGAAGCCATCCTTTAGGCCTGGCGTGTCGGAGTCGTCATCTACTTGCTCAAATGCTACTTGCTTTCCCGTCAACGCCCGGGTTGCTTGGATGAGGTGGGCTTTCGATTCGGGCACCAGCCAGTCGGGAAGAGTATTCGGGACATCGGCGTACTCCTGAGAAACAACATGTCAGCGCGAGATCCCGGGATGCGCACAGCAGATATCCGTGAGCCACTGACCCCATTGACTATGTCGAATATGATGCGCATGGCCACACAGAACTCCTCAAAGTCCAGGTTGCCATCATTGTCGATGTCCGACACATCCCATACGCGTTCTAGCTGGTCGTCTCGCAGTCCACTGTTCTTCAGCAGCGGCGCCGCCTGTTCGCCTGTGAGGAACTTTCCGCCGTTGGTCCTTGTCGAGAAGATGTTCCAGTAGGTCTCGACCTCGGATGCCTCGATGCGCGGCGCCATGGTGGCTGTTGTTGGCTGGGTGCTTGTCGGGGAAGCCCAGGAGGAATTGACGAGGAATGCGACCCGGGGTGTAGCAATTCGATCAACAGCTTCTGGGTTGGGTATCAAAGGAACGGCATCCGCGGAGCGTGCCTCTCTGAGTAAATCGCTTAGGTATTGATGTTCAGGGAAGCTTGCTGAGCTGCGACTGCGGCCGGGGCCACTGACGTTGCGCTCGATGCCCAGCCAGGAGGTGGGCTGCGCACCGTATGCACAGTACTATCAAAACGGTACATGTTAGACTAGTTCCCAACCTGTTACCCCGAACTAGAGCGATGCACTGGGCCCCATCCATTTATCATTCATCATAACCACTTGACACAATAATGTACATAGTGAATGTGTCTAGGCAATCATCGCAGTTGTGCCATCTACAAGCTCTCCCCTGTTTACGGTCACGATAGACGAGTAGTTACGATTGTATAAGTTTCTTGATCAGCTCCTGCGTTCACAGCACCATGCGAACGGTGTGCAGTTCTCGATGGTTTATTCATTACAAACAAAAGATTAAGCGGGTTGTCACTATAGCCAGATGTCAAGTATTTTCTTGTTGCACCTTACAACTCCCATCCCGCAGACTTGGCGATTCTTCCAAGCAGCCGGTGCGTTTTGGTGGCCGACTCAAAAGAAGCCTCCAGCCCGTCTCCATTAGCAAAGCTTTGGTATACCCTCGCGATGTTCGTGCCCGGGAACTGCACTTTGGATGCCGGCGACTTGTCAAGTCCAGTCAGTGGAATTTCCTCGTATTCCACCGCTTGCCCTCTGCCAGTTTTCAGCTTCAAGGACCACTGCTCTGATGTAAACTGGAAGTGGCCCTCGGGTGCCGTGACCACCAGCTCACCGTCGGTCCCGGTGATAATCCAGCGGAAACCGGTGCTATCGGCAGCAGAGTGTGCCTTTCTGAAGGCAATGGACGCTACTGCATCACTCTCCAAGGTTCCCTGGACAAAAATGTGGTCGGGAGACGTCTTGGGGTAGGCGGGATCGACAATTTGACCGTTCGAGAGGTCAACCACGGAAGTGGTTTTGTATTGAGCTTTTAACAGGCCGTGGACGTCGGCAAAGTCTCCCAAAACATAGGTAAAGGTGTCGAGAACTGTTTGCGCTATCAGTTTGTCTGTCGATACGATCGCCCGAGATGAATTGTTCACTTACAATGCCCAAAGTATATGGTGAATTCGTTGCCTCCACTCTTGAAGTCGAGGTAGTACTCTCCACCCTTCATCCACGTGTCCACCGGCAGAGCACCCGTAGTGGCTGTAGCAGTAGAGCTGATGATCTTGCCAATCTTTTTGGAAGCAATGATTTCCTTGACCTTCAAGATGCTTGGGTCCGCTCTAGCCTGGACACCAACAAATGCCTTGACGTCGTTGGTTTTCGCGAGCCTTGTGAGCTCCTCTGCTTCAGCGACGGAGGCGCCGAGAGGCCATTCGACAAACACGTTCTTCTTCTGCTCGAGGGCTGGTTTGGCGAGGGAGAAGTGCTTCTGTACGTTCACGCTGACAACCACAAGGTCGACGTTTGGGTCGTTCGCAATGTCCTCCGGAGTGCCGTAGGCTTTGGTGCCTGCGGGCAATCCGTGATGCTTGATCGACTTCTGAGCCGATTCCACAGTTGAGTTGGCCACAGCAACAATCTCATATTGGTCCAGAACTTGAAGCGAGCGGAGGTGAGCTATAACTCCCCATGCTCCATTGGTCATTGTTTCTTGGAGTCCCAGACCAATGAGACCAACTCGAATTGTAGGCATTGTCAGGACGGAGCGCTTGTCTCACGATTCTCAGTGCAGGTCAGAGTTCTACTTGTGTTGACTTCAGAAGAGGCGGCAGGTAATTTCCTAGCATTTAGAAGTCGACAAATGATCATATATATATATATATATATATATTATTTGGCTACACAAGTGACCTCGTTGCTGAATGGCTGCATTATGCCAAGATTTCGAGGTGAGCAGATCCTCCCGCGGAATTCCGCTTCGCACAACAAGGAGCATATTAGTAGTGAAATCAAGAGAAGATAACCAAACCAGTGGTTCAGTCTCTCTGATATGTTGAAATGAGAACTTCTTGTGGAGTGGCCAACCCTAGACGTCAATTATGACCAGCAGATATGTATCTACCTCGCGGGGGAGATGTCCGGAGTGGACCACGGGCATCCATGATGACGGCGGCGTGTTGCGGACCCACTTGAACTCCGGCGCCATTCCCACCGCTCCGGTCTTACTACCAGACCCCGCTGCTTACAAACCCGGAGTGTGGACGGTTGGCACCACGTCGCGTCTTGTGATGCTTAGGTTAGGCTCCAAGCTTCGTAAGGCTTTCTTCCAAGATAATCCGTAAGCACCTTTCGGAAGCGGCGCGATTGGCCGAAATGCCCATATCACGGAAGAAATCATGCGTCCAGTGCCGGGCGGCCAAGGCCCGGTGCAATCTTGAGCAGGTCTGCTCAAGATGTTTAGATCGTGGACTTCCTTGTGACTACAGCGTCATCCCATCACGGTCCAGTCCGTATGGCCGCAGGGTGGGTCACAGTCCCCGTCACAGTGCACCAATGCCGAGGAGTGTCGATGGGCTACATCCCCCTACTCCGGGCCATCTAGAAACGTTAACACGTCCCGCGGATCATATCCTGATATCAGCTACGGAAGGGCATCACGTGGCGGATGAAGCCTTCACGGTACCTCTTGCCCCAGAGTCTGTGCTTAATTCAGTATCTTGGCAAACGGATAGTTGGAACGACACTCTCCCTTCAGATTCCAATGATAGCTTGTGGCAAGAGGTGGGAGTTTCAATCGCTCTAGATGAACCATTCAACCGGAGCGATGATATGGATCTGCTTGACTTTATGGGGCCACCACCCGCAAACAAGCGACAAATGGCTCCGACAGCCGATCGTTCCCCCAGGCGACCAGGTGCCTTCACTCATTTGTGTCCTGAGCAAGTGGAAGGATGTGCCATTGGATTCGGCCGCGTCTTCTCAGTCAATGACAGTATCACCTCAGTCCGTGAACCACGGTTTCCCAACACCTTAGCTCAAAAGAAGACAGCAACCAGTCAATCTTTCCTGATGACACAGGTCCTCTTGGGTCAGATCAGAGAGTATCCGTACATGCTTCTGCAGAAAAAAGTTCCGCCTATCATTTATCCCTCTTGTGTGTTGGACGATAAGCTTCCGGAATCATGCATGAACAACGGAGTGCATCAGTGTTATCCGAGACCACTCGCCATCTGTGCCAGTGTGATTCGGATGACATCCAGCATAACTCCCGAGAGTAGAATGTTTGCAGTGAAGACCATGATAGATGAGGTTAGACGGTTAGGAAATGAGGTGAGTCTCATTTGCGAGTTTCAAAAGCGTTCGACCTTGACGACAAGACTTTCCTGACCACACCGGATCTGCTAGTTTGAAACATACGATGTTGAGGCTTTACTGGCGGCGACCCAGGCCTCCATACTTTACATTCTCCTTCAAGCACAATATGCTTCGTACCTTTCGCAAGATGACATCGCATTCATGGTAAATACCCTTGGCGTAAGTTCAGTTAACATTCGGATCCCTTACGTCGAGTTGCATTTCTGACTACGGGATATGCAGGACATGATGACCAAACTACACCTCTCGACAGTGTATCAGTCTGATATCCACCGAATAAAAACTTTGACCCAACGAGAATGGGCGTTGTATGAAAGCATCAGAAGGTATGCCGAAACAATCTAAATACCAAGCTACCCTTGTCTAAACCTCTCTGCAGAGCGGCAAACCTGCTCTTCGTCCTCGAAACACTTTTAGATGTCATCATAGGCCATCGCGAGGTTCCAGATTGCCCTGGCTTTGGTGCCGTTCCTTTGCCGTGCTCAAGAGACCTCTGGAATTACGAGCGCAAAGACGCATGGCCGCATCGACTCAAGCGTGATACAGCGTCCCGTACAAGCGGTAAGACGTTGACGATCGGTGACCTCATCAAGAGCAGCCAGTCGACCTTCAGTTCTGATCCAGGGGACCGAGACAGTGGACTTCTTGGAGAAGCGGCTAAATGGGGTGAAAGGGTCGATGAATTCGGCAGCCTCGTGTGGATGGCTATCACATTGAATTGACCCTTTGGAGTGCGAAGCATATGGCTACCTCTTAGCTTAAAGACCCGTCATGTATGACTTGGCAGATTGTGTATCGTATGCTCAGATTGGACAGTTCGAGTGCTTCAAAGTGGAAGCTTGTGAATACATGTGAACATGAATTATGATCGCAGCTACCATGTGTCCCCATAGTGCGTCTTGGATGACAAAATTATCAGTTGGTGAAATTATTTTGAGATGAACAGGTAATTAAATTCGTCTGGATTATTTAATCAGACGAGCCTGGGCTGTAGCTGCCTAGGCATGACAGACTGAAGAGTCACCAAACTCAACGGCCACCGAATCTTGATATACAACGGCAAGCAGTAGGCATTGCGATAAAATCATGGGCATACGAGAACAGATCAAAGCGATAATCGACTCCATCGCCTTGAAGCTGGGTCAGATGCGATTTCTGATTCTCATACTACTTCACAACTAATCAGCTTGGCCACGAATGGGTTTCGTCGTACCGCGATTTCGATTTTATCCCCATTCTTGATCAAAGGTTGGGATGACAGGTTTGTCATAGTTACCGCACTTTGGAAGACACGCTCCAAATTTCCAGGGGAACAAGAATTCGGGCTAGGATACATATCAAGAATGTAGATGTACCTTGTGCATCTTGCGCGGGTTTTACTTCTCCGTGGAGGTCTCATGTGGATTGTTGTGGTTCAAGTGAGAATTCTGGGCTGAATGAGAATGAAGAGCCAGGCTACTACATTGAATAATCGTCAAAGCTGCGCAAGTGCTTTCCTTGGATGGCATTTCACTTGGGCTTTCACGGATAGGTTTCCAACTGCGCGTTCACGTGGACCATCCACAGAACCCGTCCATCCCAACATTGTCGTCATTTTCATATTCACTTTGCCATCTCACGGGCACCACAATCAAAAAGTCCTGCCATCTAGGCAGCGGCCGCAAGATCACAATCACTTCCTCACTTGACAGGTACCATACTCTATGAAGCCCGCCATTGAAACGTCGCCGATAATATCATGTTCAAATCACTCGGCAGCATTGTCGGCACTGTGTGAATCACCAAAATGGACGAAATCACTGGCATGATCGCCGGCGACGCCGACTTTCTATTCGACAACGCGGACATCCCTTCTCCCAATACACACGATGGCGCGCGAGTCACCGAAGAGATCATAAAAAGCAGCAAAAGGCGAATCAACACATATCAGTCACCACCTGCTGAAGAAGGGTCTCTCGATCAAGTAAATCGCGATCAATATCCACAAGAACACTCCGCGCCCATCTGGGACGAGCTTGACATGGAGGAAGGCATCGAGAGCGCAGAATCCGATCCAGCTCCGTTGATGCGCGTGGATCTCGAGTGGAGGGACCTCGACCATACGGGCCAGTCTGTTGTACTGAAGGAGCTGACGGACTGCTACTCATTCCAGAAGGCTTGCGCCATCCTCGCACTCCTGCGAGACGATATCGAAACGTGGCTGGCGATACACCAGGCACAAGTCGACCAGCAGCGCCTCTGGGAGGAAGACATGGCCAAATGGAGAGTCCAAGGCATCGAGGTTCCTGACGATTACCAGGGGGATGGACCTGTAGGTGTGGCGCTCCTGACGCGCAGCGAGATGCACAAAGCAGCTCTTGTCGTTGAATCTCTTGGTCTGGTCGACCTCGCCGGCCATATCAGAGCAAAAGGCCATACCACCGTCGCGTGGCCGCTTGACATCGACCTATCCTCCTACAAGATACATCGAATTCATGACGGAAGCTTCAAAACCTCTGACATGAAGAAGTGGCTCGACCAAACTGACCACCCCGGTTCCGATGCTGGGATCGAGGAAGAACCAGATGACTCGACCCGTCAGGTCATCATCTACTCACTCGCCCTGACTTACCCGCAGTCGGCCACCGGCCACCGGGTGCTTCTTCTGACCGCCATCCTGCCACAAGGCACTGTAGTTGTCGGCCCTCAAGGAAGTCAGATACTGGCTCACGGTGGCAAATATCGCGTTGTTTATCCGGGCCATGACTCGCCAGACGAACAAGCATACTTCTCCTTTACACTCAACGACCTCCCACCTCAGGTGATGCCAGAAATTGAGGAGGAGCCCGAGACTGAGACCGACTCCAGGGTAATAGACGTTGGCGATACATACACTGAAAGCTCATTCTTCGAAGAAGCCATGGCTGACCCGTCGCCTGCTGAGCCAGACATACAAATCGTCCCCAAGGTAGTTGCTACGGTGCGTGAGAACCCAGTCTTTGACAATCTTTCCCGGGCGGCAGCCAAAATGCATCAGAAGGAGATACCTCGACCAGGCGATGAAACTGGTGGACCAAGCCCTGAAACCAACATGGAGCATTACATGGGCCTGCTCAACGCATCGCCGCTGACTGAAAAGGGGTTGGCCGCGCAGATACAGGCGGCTCAGTCGTTGTGCCTGCCTGAGCAAGATCCCGCTGAAGCAAGGCAGTCCAAGCTGGATGAGGAATATGAGCAGCGCAAGATCACCTTCGAAGCTTTCAGCCCTCGGGAACTATTGAAGGATGTCTTCAATGCTGACCCCAAGACGGGTACTGATCCTGGCCATAAACAGCAAACACTTGCGCGCGAGGTTCCAGAGGATCACTCTGTGGGCCCAGTCGAGTTGGCGAGAACACCTGCCGCTGTGGATGATGCTCGAGATCTTGCGTTTCTCACCATCGCCCTCCCCGAGGGGTACTCGATCCGCTCCCCGACAGGCTACATGATGAACTTCGAAACGCACCACCGTGGCCGGAATGATGGCCGTGCTCCTGTAGGAACAGCTGGCGTCTACGCTTTCTACTTGCCAGAGGTGGGCCGAGACTTGCCGCCTGGCCTTCGGCCATGCCTCCATGATTGGGTTGGGCTCCGCATACTCCTCGGTGAACAGATGAATGTAGCCTGCAATGGCTATCTGCTACAGCGTCGAACCTCGGAGGGTATGCATCAGATCGTCGAAATCGATGGTGAGCTTGACCTCGTCAATGAGACGGGCCGTTACCGGCTCTTCAATGGTATGCAAGCCATTGGCGTACCGATCGAGATAGAAAGCGGTGTCAACCCTCCCACGGGTGTTCCGTTGGAGAAAGAAGAGACCATCAATCCTACCATTCGTTGGGCCCGTCGTATCATCCAACCCTATCGCGAAGAGCTTGACAGAGAAGAGGCGCAAGCAATTGTCGACGAAGCGCGAGAGGCGGAGGAGAGAAAGAAGGTCGAGAAGAAAGTCAGCGACAGAGCGACCAAGCATCGGCAGCACGAACATTTCAAACAGCTCGCCGCCGAGGCTGAGGCAAAACGCAAGGCAGCAAGCGAAGAGGAGAACCGACGGGGTCAGGAGAACTTGGGGAGGGGCAACCGGGTTCGCCGCCCCAGCGAAAGATACAGCGGATTCGGACTAACCACGAACTACGGCAGGGAGATCGTTGAGCTGGAAGATAGCTCGTCCTCGGATGATCGTTATGAGGAGTCGGAGCCTGAGCCGGACGAAGAGCAGCAGGAGGAATATCAACCTGAGGAGAAGAAGACCATGATTGTCGTTCTCCGCGTGCCCTCCTGGAAGAACAAGGCAGCCGTTCCGAAAGAACCAGCTCCTAAGGCGCTGAAGGCGCCCAAAACAGTGCCGGTAATACCAGCGAAGAGACAAGCAGTCGCCGTCCCGAACACTGAGCCTCCGGTCAAGAGACCCCGCGGACGGCCGCGAAAGCATGCAGTCACAACCCCGGCTAACATGAATTCTACGCCCAAAGGGCCGGTGCTGAAGGCAAATACGCCGCGACCCTTAGATGGTGCTTCGGCTCCGAAAGCAGTTCCAGCCGGGGCAACGCTGGCTCCAGCTCTTCCATTTCTGCCTCCGCCCCCAGCTCCCCCTGGTCCGATTTCAGGTATGACTCTGAACCGGGTCGATTTGACTCGGGCTCCCGGCATTCCGGCTACAGCCTGTCCCCTGACAACGCCAGCTCGAGCTCCAAGTGGTCCATTGATGGGTCACCACGCTCCAGGTACATCCGGTGTGACTGTGGCAGGATCCGCTTCCAGTCGAGGCCTGGCTACTGGGAGCCCAGCAGGCGAGGAATCCCAATCGGAACCCCATACCCCGTCACCGGCGAGGAGGACGCTGGCCATTCTCAAGTATCCTCAGCTGAAGTCTGCGCGGAAGGTGAAGAGAACCGAAGCCAGCCAGACATCCCCAAAAGGGCTGATCACGCCGGAGTGATAATGCAATATCAAAGCAGGGGGCGAGAAGGATGGGGGAACTGCTTAGAGGGTTTTGCTACACAGTAGCAATATCACCCTTTGGTGGAGAAGGCGTAGGTAGATCGACGGCGATGAAAGGCAAGGCGATGTAACCCTTTTGGCTTAGGGCAGATGTAGGATAGTAACGAACCTCGATATAGGTAGAGGACAGGGACAGGGACAAGGACACGGACATGGACATTTGCGCAGGCAGGGAGAGCGCGGGGAATTCAAGGGCCTCGTGATGGGTGTCCAGTTTGGATGCCGAGAATGGCACCACGGTCACGGTATATACAAGATCACAGACTAAATTGATTCTTTTCACACGACCCACAAGAAGATTCGACTGTAGGTAACTAACATTCGTGAGAGGTGTCGTCGTCTGGAGCCGTGCCAAGCTTGACAACCTTGAGAGCCGAACCGGCCAGGGGACGGGGATCCCTGCAAGACCGGGGGCCAGAGAGCGCCACTTGGTGACGGGACGCTAGGCCGGGACGGGCAAGGCGGCCTGCAGAAAGGCGACGGGTGCCAGGGCTGCTTTTTGCCAGAGAGAGAGACCCGAAATCCCCAAGGCTGAGGAACGACGACATCAGCCAGAAGGGTTGTCGCTGTCCAGATCGCACAATTTTCTCTCGTTTTCCCTTGCCCCCCGCCCGACGCCTCCTGCTCGACGGCGACTGTCCCGTACTCGCCTGTGCGCCGGTCCATGTTTCGTCCTTGATTCGCCCGAAAGCGCTGGATGAGGCGCTCTTCTCCCGGTCTGCGCAACAGCTTCCGTTACGCAAGCCTTGCACGATCCATCACGACAGCGACCCTCGCCCGCTGTTTGCCAGCGCCCTGCATCAGACCCGCCCCGACGCCGCATCGTCCTCGCACCGCCGCCGCCCGGCCGCCCTTGCAGGCCCGTTTGCTGCCGTCGTTTGCCCGGCATCAATGCTGCAGCTTCTCGTCGCAAGCCGCTGAAGCGCAGTCGCAGCCGCAGAAACACCACACCTCCGTCGCCCACGCCGCCGCAGCCATGAACGGCGCAAGCTCGACCAAGCGCAAGGCCCCCTTCCTGGCCGAGGACCGCCCTCAAAAACACCGCTTCCTCGCCCCCAACGGCGGCATCGACTCGCCCGGCGTCAACACCCCCGACGTCGTGAGGGAGCTCGACGAACACGATGACCAGGACATGACCGCATACTTCCCTGTGCAGGCCGCCGACACGGCCGAATGGCAGGCTACTGTGGAGAAGGTCATTAGCAATGTTGTCTCTATCCGCTTCTGCCAGACATGCGCCTTCGATACCGATGCCGCCCTGACGAGTGAAGCGACCGGCTTTGTCGTCGACGCCGAGAAAGGGTATGTGGTTTGACAGCTGGCTGTCTTTGGCTACGCCATGAGGATATCTGCATAGACTGACCATGTGGCGTATAGTTACATCCTGACGAACCGTCATGTTGTCGGCTCGGGTCCCTTCTGGGGATATGTCGTGTTCGATAACCACGAGGAAGTCGACGCCTACCCCGTATATCGAGACCCTGTCCACGACTTTGGCATTTTGCGCTTCGATCCCAAGGCCATCAAGTACATGCCCGTCTCGGCCCTCGAGCTCCGCCCCGAATTAGCCAAAGGTAAACATTTGACCATCAGACCGCAACCTTGGGTCGCGCGCTAACATGACGCAGTGGGTATCGAGATCCGAGTGGTGGGTAACGACGCCGGAGAGAAGCTCAGTATTCTGTCTGGTGTCATCAGTCGCCTTGACCGGAATGCTCCCGAGTACGGCGAAGGATATAGCGACTTCAACACATGCTACTACCAAGCCAACGCCGCAGCGAGTGGCGGTTCTTCCGGCAGTCCCGTCGTGAACATCGATGGCCATGCTATTGCACTTCAAGCAGGAGGACGGTCCGACGGCGCGTCCACAGACTACTTCCTGCCGTTGGACCGACCTCTTCGAGCCCTGCGTTGTATTCAGCAAGGCAAGCCCGTTGAGCGTGGCACTATCCAGTGCCAATTCCTGATGAAGCCGTTCGACGAGTGCCGTCGCCTCGGCCTGACGTCAGACTACGAAGCTGCTGTTCGCAAGAGGTTTTCCAAGGCCACCAACATGTTGGTCGCCGAGATCGTTCTGCCCGAAGGCCCTTCTCACCTCAAGATCGAAGAGGGTGACGTCCTGATCAAGGTCAACGGAGAACTGCTCGCCGAATTTATTCCCCTGGACGACATACTTGATTCCAACGTTGGCAAGACGATTCGAATGACTCTACAACGTGGCGGTGAGGACGTGGAAGTCGAGCTTGAAGTCGGTGACCTCCACAAGATCACACCCGACCGCTTCGTCTCCGTTGCTGGGGCGAGTTTCCACAGCCTGTCCTACCAGCAAGCCCGCCTATACGGTGTCGCCTGCAAAGGTGTCTTCGTATGTGACTCTACGGGGTCGTTCCGCTTCGAATCGGCAGATAATGGCTGGATGATTCAGAGTGTGGACAAGAAGAAGACGCCGGATTTGGACACATTCATCGAGGTCATGAAGGGAATTCCTGACAGGAAACGCGTGGTTGTTACTTACAAACATCTTCGCGACCTTCATACTCTCAACACTACCATCATCAATGTCGATCGGCATTGGTCCACCAAGATGCGCCTTGCAACCCGAAACGACGTTACGGGCCTGTGGGATTTCCAAGACCTCGCAGACGCCATACCCGCAGTGCCCCCAGTCCGTCGGAAAGGCAAGTACATCCAATTGGAGCACACCTCGCATCCTGCCGTGGCCGACCTTGTACGCAGCTTCGTCCACGTCAACTGCACGATGCCCATGAAGCTAGACGGCTTCCCGCGCAACCGTAAGTGGGGCATGGGAGTAGTCATCGACGCCGAGAAGGGACTTGTCATCATCTCCCGTGCCATCGTTCCCTACGACCTGTGCGATATCTGGATAACCATTGCGGACTCCATTGTGGTAGAAGGCAAGGTTGTCTTCCTACACCCCCTGCAAAACTACGCTATCATCAAATACGACCCGGAACTGGTCGATGCTCCTGTCCAGAGCGCACGACTCAGCACCGAGAGTCTTACACAAGGTGCCCCAACGACTTTCCTTGGCTACAACAGGAGCGGCAAAGTGGTTCACGCTGCCACCACAGTCACCGAGATCACAGCCGTTGCTATACCTGCCAACTCCGGAGCGCCGAGATACCGCGCCACGAACGTTGATGCCATTACCGTCGACACCAACCTCAGCGGACAGTGTGGAAGCGGTGTTCTCGTCGATAAGGCCGGCACTGTGCAGGCGCTGTGGCTCACCTATCTCGGCGAGAGGTCGGCCCACAGTTCTCGAGACGAGGAGTACCATCTTGGTCTCGCAACGCCAACTTTACTCCCCGTCCTATCGCAGATCCAGCAAGGCAAGAACCCAAAACTGAGGATCTTGTCTATGGAATTCCGAGCCATCCACATGTCACAGGCCCGGGTTATGGGTGTGTCAGAAGAATGGATGGACAAGGTGTCGCATGTCAACAAACATGCCCACCAGCTCTTCATGGTGTCCAAGCGCACATTTGAGCGCGGGAACGAGCCCCAGGTATTGGAGGAAGGTGATGTCATCATCTCAATGAACGGGAAGATGATTACTCGTGTCTCTGAGTTGGACATCATGTACTCCCACGATGTTCTCGATGTCGTCATCGTCCGAGATGGCGAGGAAATGAGCGTGAAGGTTCCTACAGTATCAGCCGACGACGTCGAGACCGACCATGCCGTATCGTTCTGTGGCGCAATCCTGCACGCCCCTCACCATGCTGTTCGTCAACAGATCAGCAAGCTGCACAGCGAGGTCTACGTGTCCGCCCGGACTCGGGGTTCTCCAGCATACCAATATGGCCTCGCCCCAACCAACTTCATCACGCACGTCAATGGGAAGAAGACTCACGACCTCAAGGCATTCCTTGAGGCAGTCACCAAGATTCCCGACAATACTTGTAAGTCTTACCCACACCATTCCCTACCACTTGCATCCCACAAGACTAACACGATTCCTTCAGATTTCCGTCTCAAGGCCATGACCTTTGACAACGTGCCGTGGGTCATCACCATGAAGAAGAACGAGCACTACTTCCCCACCGTGGAGTGGATCAAGGACGGCTCCGAGGCGTGCGGCTGGAGGCGCGTGACGTACGAGGACAACGGCAAGGCCCACGACGGCGAGCCCTCGGAGGGCCTGCCCGTCGGCTCCGAGGATACCGGCGACATGGAGGAGGTTCTGGTCTGATCCCAGCAGACCTTGTGCAAAACATCGACAGCTTACGTGTTTGTGTGTGTTTATATGTACATCAAGAAAAAGTCAGGCGTGACACACCGAGGGGCCAGGCCGAGGCGAGCCTAGCCCGTGTCGATTGTAGATTTCCGAAGTAATATAGAACGGACCACGTGACTTTGAATCCATCACCTTGTTCCGGAAGCAGCATCCTGCCGGATTTGGTGTTTGATTGTGAAGCATGTCACAACATGTTCAACTGCACAAATCGAGTTGTCAATTATCCGACTGCCTATCCTCGGACTATCTTCAAAGCTTTTCCCAATACGCCCAGCCGGCAGCCCGCTCGGTACGTGGTATCTTTCGTAGCAATAAAAACCCATCCAACCCTGCAGATGTAGATTTCCCGGCACGCGCCGTTCTTGGCTCCGGGCTCCAGGTTTTTTTTTTCTCTTCTCTTCTCTTCCAACGTCGAACCAAAACCAGCAACCAAAAGTGGTACAAGAGTGAAACAAGGCGGCCAAGCACAGCTTGGCGAACCGGCCTTGGTGGAACAGAAAGGCTCTTAACAGGCGCTATGCTGCAAGGTAAACGGGGGTATCAATCAGAAATATAGGAAAAAAGCTTTGAGGGGGTTGGCGAAGAAGAAAGAGAGTACGGTTCATGACATCTCGATGAGCGCAAGTGATTTTCGTTTTTACACTTTTTTTATACCCCCCTTTCAGTCTCTCTTGTCAACTCAACTTCCGTCTCCAGTGTTGGCTCCATGAAGCGGGACTGGGATCCCGTCGGTCCCTCGGGCTTGTCATGGGTTCGCGGTGCCACACGTCGTACCGCAGAAAATTTAGAGCAGCGCGGCGAATCCGAGACCGGCCAGCACAACGGCTGCGCCCATCGAGCCTCGGAGGGTGGAAGCACCGGCCTGGACAGGAGTGGTCGAGACGGGCGACGAGGCAGTCGGCACGGAGCCGGTGCTCTTGGCAACCCCGGTGCTGTTGGTGGTGCCCACGGGAGTAGGGATCACAGTCTGGACGACCTGGCTGGTGTAGGTGGTGCACTCTTCGGTGGACGTCGTGGTGGTGGTGCCAGTGGCGCTGCCGTTTTCGGTGGCGACTGCTGCATTGCTGGTGCTGACGGCCTCAGAAGCAGACGACGTCACAGCAGCGGCGGATGAAGATGTAGCCGCCACACTGGAAGATGTTGACGCGGGAACCTGCGACGACAAGCCCCCGGTGACACCGAACTGTGCGGCACAATCTGCAGTCGACAGGCCGTTGGGGCAGCACCATGTGGCGCCTGCCGAGTCGGCAGAGCAGTAGTAGCCAGCATCGCAAGAGTCTATGATAGAGGGTCAGCACGATGGCTCTGGAACGCAGGGGTTACTTGATAGATCCTACCTCCGCTGCCGTTGGGACAGCAAGTCTGCGAGGTGCCGACATTGAAACAGTGGATCTGAGAGTCGGTGGAAGCGCACTGCTCGAATCCAGCTCCACATGCCTCAGCGCAAGTTGCACCAGTTCCGCAAAAGGTCGTGTCGGGCTGGTAACCGCCGTCCTCCTGGCGGCGCCCGAGCATGCTCCTGAGAGACATCTTCGCGAGCTCCGGCTTGTACGGTTTCTTTGCGGCCTCGGCCACCGCCTGGCCGGCAAGCGCCAAGATGGCGACGGTAGATGCAGCGCGGAATAGCATTGTGTTGTTAGTGTTGTGGGTCGAGGACGATGAGAAGAATGAGAAGGATGGACTTTCGAAGCGGCCGGAAGAATATTTCCAATGAGAGACTGAGAATGAGAAGAAGCGAGTGAACGCGCAAAAGAGCGACTGATGAGTGAAGGATAAGATGCTATCGAGTTCCAACGACCACACGTGCTATGCCTTGGGGAGCAGTGTCAGAGACAAGAGGAACGGCCCGCGGGCTTGAGCGTCTACATATATCTGAGGGAAGGGGAAAGGCACGGCCGACCGGGGTAGGCGAAAATGGAGCACTGAGTTGGTCAAAGAAAGCTTGGAATAACAAGCTGCTGTCCCACTATGGCACCAAGCGCAGAGAGACCGTGATACAGGCCAAGCCCGGTACGGAGTATATAATGTGAAACTCTGGACCAGTCGGCCACTTCGGATGTTTGCTGTTCACTTGAACGTGCGCTTGGGTGATTGTTTGCAGCGATGACTACCTCTTTCGGAGACCTGAGTTCTTACACACCTCAACGTTCCGACATCCAGGTTATCTGAGATGGGCGCTGCAGCTGGGAGGTGGGAGGTGTCACCGGGACACACAACATGATCGGGTGGGTCTCTTTTAATTTAACGTCCACGTCCTCCGTCCGCGCGCGGGAGCCCCAGGGCGACAACGACAGGGCCAAGGACAGTGTAAGGAGGCAGGCCCTCATCTACACCCACGTAAATGAGGCCCAGCGTAGAGTGCGCTTCATTTAGGCTCGTGACAGTGTCCTTGATAGGCATAGATTGCCGGCGGGGGAGGCTGGCCGAGTATGGCAGTTAGTCACCACCGTCGGCCTGCCGAAGGACATTGGCCACTCCGGGGCATCAGCTGTCTCTTGCGAGGCAAGCCAAGTGGTCGAAACAAAAGAAAACATGTTTGTGTTTCGAGCAGGTTCCCACGATGGCCTCCTGGCGAATATCCCCGCTGAGGTGAACCGCCGTATTGGATCAGAGGGGCTGTTGCGGCCAGCGACACGCAGGTCCCGCGTGGTCGCTCATGCATTATGGGCGCTTACCGCAAGAGGGGTCGTGGAGCGGCAGAGTCCATTGAAATGAAGGCGGCGTCAGCTCGTCAAACAGTGGCATGGGTTCGGGGAGTGCCAAGAGGGGACATCGTGAAATGAGTGGGAGTCGATAACTTAAGTTGAAGAAAGGTGGCCAGGGGGGGTCGCCGGGCGCCCGCGGCAGACTTGCATGCAGAGTGCACCCTGAAGTTCCATGAGTTGAGTTACTGGACCCCATTCAATTTAACGATCGTCAGGCACAAGGCCCAATTGGTCATAGCGGAGCGCCGTGATTCGCCGCCATAATTAAGGCCCTTGCCTAGGCCGTTTCAGATCTCCAGTAACATAAGTCACATAGTAAGTAAGTAAGGTTAGTTTGTAGGCACTCGCCAGCCAAATGCAACGCTGCAAATCCCCCGGAAAACGCTAGGTAGCATGGATGCTGTTCGCTACCTGCGATCCAACGCGTGTGGCTTGCAGCACAGCGCAGCGCACGAGCACTGGCTCCCGGCTCGCTGCATTTCACTTGGGAATCTCCGAATGGCCTCATGCCTTCCAGATCGTTCATCCGATATGCTGGAAGTGATGCCTCCCGTTTCCCGTCGGCCTTGGCGCCTTCTTAAGATTGGTTATGCGCTAGGGCCGATTTCCCTCAATGCGCATTCACGTTCGATCCACCAGACGAACCTGAACTGCCACGGAGACGGGTCTGTCGCCGTCCAACGCCTCTCGTAAGTCGGCACTGGATTGCTGCTTGCGTGCTACATCGCAAGAACACGTGTCGAAATGCATCGCTGGGTTGCTGCTGTACTACGGCAAACATGCGGTCCTGCGGATCAAGTGAAAGTCTCATTGATAAAGTGAGGGAACAGTGAGTTTCATGACTATTCTGCTCAGCAGCCAAATGTCCAAGTTGAGTCACTCTGCATGCACGACGCCTCCATAGTGAATAGTTTCAACGTAATATTATGTCTATCTCTGATTATATATATATCTTAAGAGTCTAGAGCCAACCATAGAGGGTCCGTTATTGGGTATCGTTTGCCTCGTTATTCATCCTCCCAGCACGAGCAGCCATACATTGCAGTCCCTGCCCGCGTACATAGATAGTAGTAGATCATACAGAGCAGACTCTTTATGCGATCTGCTGGACCTGTTGCTTGGTGCCGAAGCTGTCGTCTCTCGACGGGTCGCCAATGGTGCCGTGCTCGTCGGTGTATCCGATACGGGTCTCGCGGAATCCGTCGAGCTCGCGCTTCCAGGGGTTGATGTTCAGGAAGATGGGGAAAGCAAAGGCCACGATGAAGCCGATCAGGGGCACGCTCATGGCGATGTGGTATCCCTTGTGGTCGGCCAGAAGTCCGGTCAAACTGGGGAACAGCGCACCGCCACTGACGGCGGCGACAATCCAACTGCTACCGCGCTTGGTGTGACGTCCAAGACCACGGATGGACAGGGTGAAGATGGTGGGGAAGATGCAGGACTCGAAGAACAGGACCAAACTGAGCATGGCGACACCGCCCTCTCCCTTGATTCCGATGGCCAGGCAGATGAAGAGCATGATCATGGTCATGAAGAGCATGAGGACCTTGCGAGGCTTGAAGTCTAGTAGCGGAAACAGGTTAGCTTTCTCATTCATCCGTATAGTTGGGTAAAAGAGACTTACACATCATAGCACCGGCAGCAGCGAAACGACCGATGGCAAACAGGCCCTGGGCAATGGCGAAGCGGTCACTGGCGACGGCGTGCGTGACACCGGCACTCTCGACTGTGTAGCTGATGAAGTTGGCAGCAACACCGACCTGGGCGCCGACGTAGCAGAACTGAGCGGCGACACCGAAGAAGAGCTTGTACTGCTTCTTCAGCGGCTTCTCGGTGTATCCGGTGAGCTCGGTGGTCTGCTCGGCCTGCAGCTCCATGTCGGCATCCGTAACTTCGGGGATAGGCGCGAAGAAGAAGACAATGGCCAGCAGGAAGACGAAGGCAGCAATTCCCAGGTAAGTCCACTGGACCTTGGTCAGATCGCCGTCGGTCGTGTTGGCGAAGAAGACACGGCTGGCGAGCAGCGGAGCCACGACGGAACCAATGGCCTGGAAGGACTGGGACAGCTCAAGACGGAACTCGGACAGTCTCGGGGGACCGCAGGTGGCGATGAAGGGGTTGGCGCTGGTCTCAAGGGTCGAGAGACCGGAGCCGACAATGAAGAGGGATCCGCAGAAACCGGGGAATGACCGGTAGACGGCCGAGGGCCAGAACATCAGAGCGCCGACACCGTAGATGCAAAGTCCGGTGATGAAGGTCCATCGGTAGCCGAACCTTCTGACGATCCAACCGGAGTAGGTCAGGGGGCCGATGAAGTAGGCACCGAAGTAGGAACCCTGGAGGCCACCAGCCATGGCGGCCGTAATTCCTAGTGAGGTCTGGAACTTGGCGTTCAGGACATCGAGCAGGCCATATGCGAATCCCCAAAGGAAGAAGAGGATGGTGACGAGGGTAATGGGGAAGATGGACTGTCTAACAGTCAAGGCGGAAGCACCTGTCAAGCCTGTGTTGGTGACATTCTTGCGGTTTGCCATAGCCTCAGCATTGGAAGGGTGACGTTGGTCGTGGACCTCCACTGCCGTGGGCTCCTGGCGCTTGCCGAACATTGTGAGTGATTCGTATGTGAGTGTATAAGAGGGTTGGGTCGGTCCGAGAAAGCTTAAGCCGGGGCAGGGAAAGCTGGCGGAATGCTCAGGACTTAGACCCGAGGCGGAGGGCGAATCAGGCGGGAGGGAGAAGAGTCGATGATGGAGAGACAGGAATAGGAAAGATTTTCATCGTGGGAGAGAGCTGCCTCTTTATCCTCGCCCGACATGTTGGGACTCCTCCCCCAGGATATGCGACCCCATACCACAGTAGTCTCGACGCAGGACCACATAATCGCTCAGCACCATTGCGACGAGTCAAAACGCGGGGCCCCTTGAATGCGGTGGACACGGTGAAGGAGCATCTCCAGGCCTGCGAGAGCCTGGGCGGTCCAAACGCTCCCATGGGGAAGATTGTTTAGTCCCTCTTTGCGCACTAGGAGAGGACTATACTGAGATGTTTTGAACCAGAACCACGCAGCTGGCGTGCGAGCAATCAGAGAAGGGCCGAATGAGAGATCCCCCACGGGCTGGACAGCGGGCCTACTGCGAAAGGGGCAACGCCAACTGGCGCCCAGCCCAATCAAGGCCTCGCTCGACGGTGCTAGGCCAGCTTCTGCCCGGTAGCCCTCGCCCTGGCCGGCAGTTGAGGCTAACGTCAAGCGCTGGATTAGGCGTGGTCTGGTCGCGCTATACCCACGCGGGGTAGCCGCTTTCAGCCTCCAACCCCGTGGGATGTGAGATTCGAGCGATGAAAATGGCGTGAGCCGCTGGGGGCAGATACTGCCAAACGGCCCATGACTCGTCTGGTGAGATGCCGTGCCCATTGCGCTGTTTCTAGCGACGGGCTGCCCATCCACCGGTCAGGACAAGTCGCGCAGGTGGCTTACTGTTGAGCTGTCCGTCCGTCTTCACGGCTTGGCTCCCGACTCGGGTGGCAGAGTTTTGCAAGCCACAAGCTGGGTGGGAAAAGTTTTCTACGAATTCTCGTTCGATATGCCTGGATACAACCCTTGCCGTCTCTACTCCGCGACACGGGGTCCATTGCAGGCAGCATCCGAGCAAGACTCCAGCGCAGCCCAGTTTTCCCCCCGGACTCTGAGATCTGGAGTCTGGAGTTGATAGGGGATCTCGGCGCTTTTGTGGGTCACATCTGGATGCTCAACGCTGGGGGAACGTGGGCCAAAGGGGCCTAGACGTGTGTTTTTCTGCCCAGACTAATTACCATTGGGGTGGCTCCCCGTCAGTAGTTCGAACCATGCGCGACGCTTTTTCTCAGCTGTGTTCCAGAAGAACTCCCGTTCTAAGCAATTGCATCCTGGGCCTAACGTGCGTGTCGCCAAACGTCATCTCTGCATCAGGAGCGGGCCGGGACCGACACGTCGATCGCTAAGGAGAGCCACGTGAGCTAAGACTGCTGTGGCGATTTGCAAGCGATGCGGCTCTCTGCGTGGCCGGTGCCGCTAGTCAAACCTACCACACTGTTGGGCGTCGAGTTCTCGGCTTTACTTTTACTTGGCAAAGAATCGGTCTCGTGAGCCTTGGCCGTAGGGCAGGCTAGATCCTGTCCGCCATGAAGCTTGGGGGTATAGTGCTCGACGCTTGTCGACAATAAATTGAATGGTGACGGTGACGGGAGCCCAGGCGTATGGAGTTTTTGCTGGCTCTGTGTCACGCTCATCAACCATAGGATGCCATCTGGCCCTCTACGTCTCCCTAAATCGCAAAGCCAGCACGCTTTCTCCGCATACCTTGATACTGCCCCCCGCAATATGATATTCTCTCCACGATCTAAGCTGGCTGACTACTGCAATCTAGCCAGCCGCAACCATGCTGGGGCTTGGAGCTGGAGATGGACACACGTCAATGTGGATTTCAACGAGTAAAACCCCAATCTCCTCCCAGCGGCAATGGGAAAAGGCTGAAAATATGCCTGATCAACGGCAGTCTCGCGGTGCTAGGAGTATTTGCAGCTTGCCCAAATGGGGGCTTCCAAAGCCGCCGAGAGGTTGTCTGTGAGTCAAAAGAGGAAACGCCCAGAGAGGGCTAAGGTGTCTCTACATTCATCTCCGGATTGAAAAGTTCCTGCTTGCCAAGGCGGATGGCCTTCATGACTCAAAGGGGAAACCCCCAGATCGGAGCAAGCAACTATTGCACTTAGCTTATACGCTTTTAGATCGTGGCGAGTCTTGGAAGATCCACCCTGGACAACAAGGCTAAGAGTTTGATCCCCCAACAAGGTCAGTCTTGATACATGCAATTTGGTAAGCATACATGCTTCCTGGGATAATGTAAGTTAGTGGTTCCCAGGGTCGCTGCCACTTAGTTACTGTTGAACAATCCTCTTGGCTTATTCAAACCATACGGTGAATACATGTTCGAGAGTCACGGCTGTGGGGTGTACGAGTATCTTTTTCAGATATTGGTGTTGCGCGCAGCAAATATTCGCCAACAGTAGGGGTAATTTGAGTCTCTCAAAGGTTGTGTAATTGCGATTGATAATGGATATGAGAGCAATGCCATTGACCTTGGCCTATAATTTGACTTCTTCTAAGGAGAACCTCGTAGCATAAGACTAACAAATGTCTCAGCCCTCTTCTCCTCTCCAAGCATCTTTCAAAAGCATGCAGTTAAGCTTGGTATTAGACCTGCCTGTGTTCCATCTGAAAGAGTAGTGACGTGATTAGGGCCATGCAGTAAGTCTGTCAGATTCAGTCTTGATGCATGAACGGTAGAATAGCCAAAGACCTGGATTGTGTGATTGCGTAGCATCCTATGAAGCAAACAGTGGCCCATCCATGTATCTCCTCTAGCAATCAGAGGGCTAGCCGGTGTGGAAACATTCGCATGAAATAGGTACAAAAACATCACAAACACACTTCAGCGTATTATTGACTTACTTGATCGTAACAATCTCCAACACAGATTGCCCTTCATGTCTCTCGAGATGGAATTTCGCTAGTTGCCACTTGGTGTGCTTTTAGTGGTATATGAGGAAGCCAGGATAGTGGAAATCTTGAAGCAGCCAGCTGATTCCTTGAGTCGCCATGGAAGGCGAGTCATGACTTCTTCGGACGCAGTCTGGAGCTCAGGATACTTATCATGTGGCAATTGCAAGCTGGGTCAACACCGTTGTTCATTGCTATCGTAGCTGGTGTTATACGGTGGCAATGTAACCACCAGACAGGATTTGCCACTTTGAGGCAGATGCGCATGAGAGACGGGCCTGGTGACTCCGTCGGCGTTAATGCTGACTGCGTCGCTGCTTCCCTTGTCCAAACTGTGAAACTCGGCGGTCTAGTCGGGGACCAGTCGGGGACTGTTGTCGGCGCTCAAAGATTGTTGATGTAGCCCAACTAGGGCACGGATGTACATGTTTAACTTGCAGCCGTCTACCATGATTTGCAAGAGAGGCTTGCAAGGCATGCAAGGCGAGTCTGTGCCCACCCTAGCACTGGTCGAAATGCCCCTTGGGAGAACGTGTATATCTGAAGACGTGTTGGATGAACTGGTGGCTCAGTGGGATCGCTACCAATGAAGACAATCTTTGTCTTAAGAAAAAGGTTGGGTTGCCCTGCTCACTCGTCTGGGTGCACCGTCATGAGGAGTGGACCGGTATAGGACGCGACTTCAAGGTAGGTCGTGTATAATGGATGTCTATGCGCCGCCTCCCTATCAATCGGCCGTGCAAGCGCTGGGACTGCTTAGTCTCGATGCAGCAGCTGGATTGACCAGACGGAGTTGCCGTAAATGCGACCATCACACCTGACGTATGCAACATCGGCCAAGAGTCAAGTTGACCGCCTGTTTTCGGAAACAGCGGAAGTCAAGAAGACCTCAAAGACGGCATGGGGTTCGTGGGTGCATGATGGGGAGGTAGTCGGGATATGAACGCAGACGCGGAAGTAGTTTGTAGACATGACAAATGTTTCATAAGACGGTCAGAGGCTGCGAAGTGAGCTAGAAATGAAGTCGACAATAGGGCTGAGCTGGATGACGACAGAGGTGGATGAGATAAGCAGACGCGCGCGAGGCCTTGCACCCGGCTGGAACTTCCGGATCGGCCCACACACATACGGGGGGGCCTGCATGAGAGGTCTCGACGATGGGTATTACCCCAGCCGTTCCTTGGCTCCCACACTCGCGGGACAGCGCCATTACAACCCAATGACAAAAGCTGACCGAGCCTAGGTACCTAGGTAGTTTAGTAATCTGGGGCTTCCCCGTCGCAACGGAGGACGCGACGGTATCTGCTCGCAGCTTCCAATATACTCTTTTCCATGTGGCCCAACAGCCTTGATTCCTTACAGCCGAGAGCTGGGTCTGATTACGAAGGGCAGTCCATGTCACACGAGATGGCTTGCATGTGGGGCCATCCATGGACTTGGGTGAAGAATAGTGCCATGTCAGGACAAAATTGACCAGCTGCGCCTCTGCTAAAAGTATTCCGTGCACTGCCGGCAATAGCTATACAGGTCACGGGACAACAGTTGCGCAATTCAGGCATGGCATCTCCTCGGAAAGTAGGAATTGCTATTCGTAGCAGCATATCCCGAGCTGCAGCCTCGGCCAACGCAGTCATTCACGATCTTGATCGTACCACCATACCATCGTGGAAAGTATGGGCGAACCCGGCTTTGGCCGAACACAAACACCGATAATACCGACTGTCGCCCGCGATCAAGTGTTCTTTGACACACTATGTATGTCCTGACCGCATCGGCGTATGAATGTATTGCTTGAAAAGAATGACTCCGACCGTACAAAACTGGCTGTATAACCAGATGTACACTCTGACTCATCAAGGGACGTGCTGTAGCTGAGTTGGGGCGGAGCTTGCGCATTCTGGGAGTACCCATACACCATTTTCCGCATCTACACTAGTACCGGCCCTGCATGCGCTCCACCTCGCAAGACGCTATGCTGACATATACGCACCAGAAGCTTCATGATAAAGCGCGATCCAAAAAGTTGATTCTTCTCTACATAGTATGCATTCACTTTGCATGATATACCACGTCGAATCTCGATGGGCCTGCCTACACGGATCAGACCCCATAACACGTGACACATAACATGGGTCCTGCTATCGTCGCCTTACCGGCGCTACTGCAATGCCAAGCCTATACGGGGTCTGAACTATTCCTACTCCTGTCCCTGGTTCCATATTCAAGAAGCTGGCGCGCTGCACCATGCAAGACATGGACAACCTGGGCTATCCGACACCAGTTGCAAAGTTTATGACGCAAGGTCCCTGCATTGACGATTGGCATACGCACGCCATGGAGATCTGCTGCAGGTGCCGGTTGGATACTCGGACCAGACGAGGTCACGTTCCAAACGTGGACCATCCCACCTGTCAACGTCCGCAGGCGGCAGTTATAGACGCACTGCTCCCTACACGGATTTGTCATGTGTAGCTAATCAAGCTGGTCCTTTCTTCGGTAGCCATGCAGTATGATGCCCAACCTATCAACTGGGAGTTGTTGATATACATGTGGTCGTCTCATATCATACAAGAGCTACGCATCAGAGTATTCAAGACCAGGGTACCTATACACTTGAGATAGCACCTGCAAAAGATAGTGCCCTGCACTTTCCCCTTAAACAGGAACAGCTATTTATCCACTCTGGATCTCTTTTGTTACATTGGCAGCATTCTGACTCTGGCCACAGGGGCAACAGGAGGCTGAGAGACGCAAGGCGGAAACCTGTTGCTACGTGTGCCACCCAATAAGATCACGGGTGGCATATTCGCGTCAGCTTTATAAACCTGCCTTGCCCCGGTTCGAGGTTCGTCTTCGTCATCACAGTCTTGATATCGGCTTGAGCTGACACATTCCAGGGACATCGATTGCCCATTGCGCGATAGCGGAAGAGCGGGAAGCAGCCTCTTATCAACGTTAGCACCCATGAATTACACCCGGAAAAGTATGGTTCCTACTATCCTGACCTGAAACTAGCCCATCTGTTTGAAATAGCTGCTGACATGAACGACTTCAGGGGCTCTTCTGGCTTGCGACTTCTGCAGGTATGCCAGCCATTTATCTTACCCCCAGGAACACCACGTGTTAAAGCAAGCCCTAGGCACAGGAAGAGACGATGTGATGGCCAGAGGCCGTGCTCGACATGTCGTGATTCGAATGCCGATTGCGTGTACAAGGAATTGCCATATGATCGGTGAGCCTTTCTGTTTCTTATGTCTGGCGAGATATCGAGGCTCATGCCACTAACATTCGACAGTATCGAAGATGCCAGCCCCTCTGCTGTCGTTGACCGCCTGGCACGGATAGAAGCTCTTTTAGAGCAACAGGGCCAGCAGCTCCGTCACCTGAGCACCAGTTCGACACCTACAACTACCTCCGTGGTCCCCCTAGATTACTCACCGTCCCCATTGTTCCCACAACCCACAGAATTTACGGATTATCCACCACAGACACTCTTTGAAAACCCGACCGAGACACCGAATTTCCTTATACCAAAAGGTCACACGACATTAGCCACAACTCTTCTCTCTGTTCCCCAAGTAAGAGATATTCTCGGCGACTACCCTAGAGACTATTTTTACAACATAGAGGAAAGCCAAGGCTTGCCGCCCGTCCTTGACAACCCTCGAAGCGATCGTCAGGCGTGGCCAGCTTTGCGGCCCAATGTACTGAACAAGCTGGCGGCAAACTACTTTCAAAACGTGCACCCCCATCATCCCCTGTTTAATCCCAACACTTTTCGACAATGGCAAACGCAACTATTGAAGAAAGAACCCATCGAAGACGCGGTAGCAGCATTGTGCCTCTGCGTGTACGCACTTGGTAGCGTGACTTCGCCGCAAGCTTCAGCGCCGGGAGCCAGCGACGAAGTCCTTGGGATGAATTACTTCAAGCCTGCACTAGCCATCATCGTACACGAACACACATGGAATCTCAAGCCGGACCTGGCGGTCTGCCAAGCACTTCTACTCGCTGCGTCATACTTTTCTCATCTCGGACGGCCTCTGCACTGCTGGCGACTCTCTTTCTTCGCGTCGCAGAGGTTTCTACACTATATGGAGATGTAAGAAAAACAGTCGAGACTCGATCATCCCCCCGCGGGAGGAAGAAGCTAACGAATATCTAGTCGGCGCGGCCAGGACCCCTATTCACAATGGAGCGAGACGGAGCTCCGCATCTTCTGGCAGTGCTTTCTAGACGACTGGTGCGTTCGCACCTTTCACCAACCTCAAACCTACCGCTAACCAAAGAATCCATGACAGCAACCGCGCCGAGGACCTGGACGTCCTGCGGAGTGGGATGGAGCCACTGGGCGACAAGATGCCGCTGCCGCACAGCAGCGACCCGAGCGACCACGAGGAGACGATCCACTTTATCGCCGAGATTGCGGTGCGGCGGCTGATGAACCGCGTGCAAAGCTCGCTATACAATCCCGAGACCGAAGGCATGACGGGGGGCCACGCCGTAGGGGCCGCGATCGACCCGGCCATCGCCTGGCAAGGGCTCAGCCTGCCCAAGCTGCTCGCGCTCAGCTCTGAGCTCGACCGCCAGCTCGAGCAGTGGCACGCCTCTATCCCCGACTACATCCGCCCGCCGCGCGGCGTCGAGATCATCCCATCAGACCGCGGCCGCGTGCTGCGTATGCGCTACTACGCCACGCGGCACATCATCCACCGGCCGTTCGTCATGTACGCCGTGAATCAACAGCAGCAGCAGACACAGCAGCTGCTATTGCCACAGCGAGGCAGCAGAAGCGGCGGTGGCGCGGGCTTGCCGGAACCCCTGCCGCCCGTCGTCCTGGAGAAGTGTGAGGTCTGCATCGAGTCGTGCGTCACTTACCTGTACAACGCCGTCGAGATGCTGGACCGGCGCTCGCCGTACCTGTGGACGATCGCGCAGAGGTGCATGGCGTGTCTGCTCGTGCTCATGCTGACCGAGGGCTGCGAGCCGCTGCGCCAGTTTGTGCCGCCCATGGAGCCGTTGCGTGCCAGCGTTGTGGCCAAGGTCAAGCGCTGGGCCGTCCCGGGTTCGAGTTTCGAAGCGCAGGTGGCGATCCTGGAGGGTCTGGTGTTCAGGGACGGGCGCGAGGCTTAAGCGTGCTATCTTGGGTTGTACGATTAGAGAATGGTGCGAAGAGTTGGATCCATTCGTGCAGGGTTTGAATGCAACGAAGGCAGCCTCTTGCTCGATGATAGACTTATAGAAAAATCTAGCTCTTTTCGCCATCGCTCGACTTACCTCATTCTTTGCTTCGTATCTGAACCAATCGGCATTGGGTCAACATTGGTTGAATCCATATGGTATGTTTATTTATTGCATGCTGTCAGGGTTCGGTTTTAATCAGGCAACGAGATCAGAACGCAAGCAGTGGCGATATCAGTTCAGTGGACGCGTTTGAACGTCGAATAGAAATTGAGCATTTGACGACTTTACTATAATTGGCGTAGTATTATGAAATCGCCTCTGCACCTGCATATCTTGCACTTACATGCTTGCCCTTGAAAGGCAAACGTCGCGGTGGCAGAAATTTGGATAGGTGGCAAAGCTGTGCTACCATTCAATAGGTCGCTTGCTATCTGAACTGTAACTCGCCTCACTCGTCGTGGGCATATTATACCGTAGTCGTCTGCCCCTGTGGCAGATTATACCACAAGCCTCCGCATATGGACTCTTTCACCACATCGTAATGGAACGACTTGTTGTGTGATAGGTGGTTAGGTTGCAGAGTCGGAGATAAGTGATATTATCTCGCATATATGCATCGGTGTTTCTGCACATAAGCGAACGCGCGAACGTTTGGCAGTACTTGCAGATTCGCGTGCATACGGCGACGCCGCCCGATGCTTCCGGGGCATCACGACTGCGCTGGGGACGTTACACGGCATGCTGAGCATTAGATGTGCACGTTAACCCAGCCTGCTTGAAGTAGATGCGATTGACGGCTCGCGTAATAAAAACTCTTTAAACTCCTCGCCCAAAGTTTAGTAAAGATCAAAACTCGATTCAACGCCAACTTCAAGCTACCAAGTCTCTCATCAGCTGCATAAAGATGAAAGGGCGGTTACATTCAATGTGATTTACAGTCCTCAAACGATGCGCGAAGAAGTGGCGTAGTATGATAGCACTCAATGAGAATGTCCATAAAATCACACGAGTAATAGGATACCCATATATTATGCATCGTGCTTACGAGGTGCCATGGGGGCCTCAATAACTGCACTATGTGTCGCCCTTCCGTTAATGCTCAAGCCGGGCGGGGGCCATGATATAGCTTCATCATTCCTTACAACAGAAATACACTGTCAGACAACGCAGGAGATGTGTCAACGAGACGTTGTGATCAGTGGATGGATGAGAAAGACATGATTCTCTAAAAGGATAAAAGAAGCTGACTTTATATCAGTCCCTCTGCTGTATTAAATAATATTTTCCACACCGACTTGGCTGTTTCTCAGCGCTGTGGACTAATTTCGCAGCAGAATAGGAGTAAAGCCTCCAATGCCGCTTGGCCACATAAGAACGCAATATCATTATCTTGACTGCAAGGGCGCCAATAGTGAAAGAGAGCGGCTGACGGGCGCCAACAACTTGGCAACATCTGGTTAAGTAGTTCAACGACTCCCCACTGAACCATTGGCTAGTAGCTGCCCGTTTGCGCAAAATAATATTACCTCCGGCCAAGCCGTTGGCCGACTAGAAAGACTTCTTGAGCGTTAAAACCAGCCAGCGGCTTCTCTAGCTTCACAGCATATGTCGCGTAATCTTTCCACGAAAGAAGCTGTTGCGTCAATAACCTGCTGACACATCGCTCTCATTGTGCTCGCTTCTTCTCGACGAAGGTTTATGTTCAAACCATATTCCATAATTGCCTTCTGCAATATGAGCAGGGGCCTCTCCGAAGCACTCTCAAGACAGTGCCGTGTCTTATAGAATAGCTGGTGGCTGTTACCACATGGGCTACTGATGTTAACACACAACAGCAGCTACCGCTGCCCACAACGAACTTAGGCCCCCGGTCAGCATCGTTCGTAGATCTTACATATTGGTATGACACAAGACGAGCCTTTTCATCCCGATGCGGGGAAACCCAGTGGCTGTTTGTCTTGCCGCCTGGTGCTGCAGCCGCATGCTATGTGGTAGGGCGAAGGAATTGGCTCACGCATCTAGGGCTCCTCAGGGCTTTGACACAGGACGCTGACTCGGATCTGTCCATGGGATCAGTGACCAGGTGTGAGTGGCCGTGCCAGACTGTCGGGTTTGCGACTGCTCAGCTATGTACGGAAGTGGGCTCCATGAGCGCTTCGCGCAGATGGACAGGCACGAGGTCGCAAATGGTGCGCGAGCGAGCCAGGCCCAATTTGCTTAATAATTTAGTCCTAATTCTAGACTTGGAGTTAAGCTTAACTAGCGCAGGCTTAGATCTATACCACAGTAGTACGATCGCGACCCCCAAAGGGCTTAGTCGCCCGGCGCTAAGCATATCCTCCCGGGGTCACGAGAGTCTAGCCCCCCTGAACCTCTCTACGAGGGTGTCAGGTCCGAGGGCTGAGGGTCTGGTGCCTCGAGCTATTGTATCGGACAATTTCCACCGCAGGACGAGGCAGTTCTATCATTGAACCCTTCTGGTCCCACAGCTGGTAGTCGAACCAGAACGGGACTGGCCTTGGCCTGGCCCTTGGGGACGTCACAGAAGCGGCTCCTCGTAGTGCAGCTGAACTCTTCGAAGTACCCTGGAATACTGGGTCTGGCAATAATACAACCACGCCACATTCACGAACGGCTTCACTTCTCGTTCTAGGCCTCACGATGCTTGAGGGGCTGTTGCTTGAAAATGCTGCCTACATATGCTGAGCCCGCTGCACATACGTTACGAGGATGGCGTCGTGTTCAGGTTTCGCTGCACCACCCAACTTTCCGTCATTCGTTATTGCGGAACGTGCTTATTGCACCGACTATAGTCCTCGTGCTTGTCCACCGTGACCCACGGGTCGACGATTGTCATCATGCGTTCCCCTACACTCTTTAGTCTTTTCCTCGGCCTTCAGGCTGGCAGCCTGGTGCAGGGAAAGTGTGTGCCACGACCTCACAGCAGCAGTTCGGCCACTTCCACTTTTTCTGCGACCTCGAGCAGTTCGGTCACGTCAGCTCTTTCGGCTACCTCGAGCGCTTCGGTCACGGCCACCCTCTCATCTGCTTCAAGCAGCACCGACTCCAGCCTTTCATCTGCCTCAAGCAGCACCGATTCGAGCCTCCTGACATCATCCGATGACTTCACTGCTTCGATTACTGCTTCGGCTAGTCTTTCATTCTCCTCTACGCTGACGGCCTCATCTGTTTCCAGTACATCTAGCTCCATTGCAGATGAACCTACTACTGGCTACATCACCGTCCAAGACACTCCTGCATCTGGTATCACCCGCCGGGCGAATGGGGTCAGGTACATCGGCTTCAATGGCCAATATGCTCAAGCTTACGATGATCCGTCCCAAGCTGATCTCGTGACGTTCCATTCAAATGGCACCATTGAATATAAGGCTATGCTTGCCAGTGGAATTCCAGGTGGGGATGAAACACTCCTTGGTCTTTCCTCCACAGTGTCCTCCGCGCTGTCATCTTGGACACGTGATGCCACTGGCAATGCAGTTCTGGTTGGATCGACCGGGTTCTGTCTGAGCTCGGCATCCAATGTTATTGTTCGGACATCTGCTTCGTCAACAACAGCTTGTAGCCCGGTATACCTTATCGTCGTACCCACTATTGCTACCTCACATCCCGTGACCGGCGACTGTACAGCAGCCGGCACGAATGTTGCGCTTCTGCCTGCGCAAAATGTCGATGTCGATCGCTCCTCCAATTCTGTTTTGACTCCGTCATTGGACGTCACACTCAACTATGCGGACTCGACAGGCACTCAAGTCGCCGTCATGGACCTCACCATGAAGACTGGCATGCCCGCCGTTGTGCTTCCCAACAGCAACAAGATCGCTTCTGTCGCCTGTGACGCATTTTCAGTGTACCTTACTCTGAGCACCGGTGTCACCATCTCGGATATTCTCGCCTTGATCCCCGCAACTGGAACGGTTCTCATCACCAACAGCGCGAACTGCAATGAGGCTAATGCCTACGGCTTCTGGCTCCTTGATGGCCGCACTGACCAAAATACTGCTGGCTCGCAGCTGGTCTTCAACGCCTCCCAGAAGAAGATCACAGACGTCAGCACACAGGCGGCTATCCAGTACGGCAAAGTAGACAACAGCCACGCGACCTTTACCACCACTTCAACTGGAGCCGCCACAGCACCAACTGGACAGGCTGGAGTTTGCAGTGCCAGCAGTGCCAGCACCACGGCGAGCGCCTCCGCCAGCGCTTCGGCCAGCGCCTCTGCCAGCGCCAGCAGTACCGACGCCTACCACCCTGTTGCAACTAGCCTGTCAGATCTCTCGCCGGGAGCCTTGGAAGTGTACAACTGGCTCATTGACAACGCTCGATATGACTCCGACGGCAATCTGATCTTGACGCCGGCTCCAATTGCCGACACAGTCTCGATCCCTGCGTATGATCCGGATAACCTGGGTGACCAGGACGGCCTGCAGGCGAAACTGACGGAGATGGGTCTTCCTACCCCTGGTGACATGTTCAAGAAGGCAGACGATGGCGCAACTGGCACCTGTTCAAACACTGGCAGTGTGTCCAAGAGAGGTTTGTCTGGCTCGGTCTTTGAGGAACGATCAACCCCCGTTGGCTACTCCGGTGAAGTCCTCGTCAGCCGCCGCAATATTGAGAACCTTGGCCACTGGCTTCAGCGTCGTGACTGGGATGAGTTCTGTGACGGAACTGCATCCGAAATCCTTGGAACTCTCAGTGAGGTATGTCTAATCTTGCCACATCATTAAACCCCTTTCAACATAACCTTGGAACATTACAGCTAATAGAACTAGACCTACGAGGGCGTACACGGTGCAATCTGCACAGGTCACAGCTTGTACGAGAACCGTGATGCTATCAAGTGCTTCTTCACCGGATGCGGCGGCAGCCACACTATCAAGACGTCTACGTACACGTTCACTGGCGACTGGAAGGTTGAAATTCCTACGATCAGCCAGCCATTGTTGACTCAGGGATCGGCAAAGACGTTCAGCTGCGTTACATGCTCCTTCAAGATGGATCATGTGGTCTTCTCGGGCTCCATTGTTCTTGAGATGACAGACAATGGCCCCAGCTCGGCCAAGTCAGCTGTTGTGACCTACGGAACAACCGGTGGCACCACAGCGAACGTCCGAATCCAGTCGGATACCGCCTGGAAGGGATCATGGAGTCACATTTTCAACGGAGTTACGTTGGGAACGATCACATTGGATAATGCATTTGCAATCACGCCTCAGGTGTTCTACCAGATTGGTTACTCGTTCGAGACCGACTCAGCCGTTGATGTCCAGGGTGGAGCGGGCTACTACTGGAATGACGCATCCATCACCATGAACATCCTGAACCACCAGACTGACTCCAAGCGAAACTGGACCCCCAATGTCAACTGGATCCTGCCGCAGTTCAACACTGGAGCTAAAGTCAGCATCAACAGCTTCAGCCAGTGGGTCATTGACCTGGGAGTTGTGGTGCAGAGCAAGAAAGTGTTCAACCCCAGAATGTTCTCGTCCAACTCCGTGGGAATCAAGTCTCAGTACAGCTTTGCGGCTGCCAATGGATGTGGCGCCAACTCGCTCTCTGTCAGCACTTACGTTAGCAACGACAACTGGATCAACATCAATGACGGCGTTTCCAAGGTGGTCCTCCTGTCGAACGGCGAGAATGGCCGCCAGAACCAATGCTTCAACGTTCCAAGTGCTTGGCCATCTCCGTCTGAGATTGCTGCTGTTGCACCAGATGCTGGAGAGTACTGTACATCGCTGATTGGGTACAACCCTCCGACAAGAGTCACTACCCTCACCGAAGTCAAGACCGTTCCCAGTACCACTGTCGTCACCACCAGCGTCACAAATACTATCACCACGACGTACACGATCACAAGCTCCGAGAGTACCGAGTATGACAAGACGCGCACTTCCCCAGCAAGCACCACCACTGTTTTCAGCCCAGCAACCGTGACCATGGGTGGTAATCATGCCCCAAGAGTGAACCAGAAGCGAGACATGATACCCACTGCCGCACCTGGAGTAGCTCTTGACCGCCGAGCGGTCGCCGTACCGACCGCCCTGGCAGGATGGCCAGCAGACAAGGTGAGATACGCCTGTAGCCAGATCGCCACAGGAGTAAACTACATCTCCCGCACCAGCACTGTCACCTCAACCTCAGGCGTCACTACCGCCACGGCTACCAAGGTCTTCAACGCCAATGGCCCTCTTGTCACTACGACCACCACTTACACGTACTACAAGTTCAACGGCTACAGGACCACCACGACACCTGGGGTTGCTACGGTCACCTCTTGCCCAGTATCTCCGGCCGAAGCGAAGTGCTTCAAGCTCAAGGTCAAGGGCGCCGATTGGCTCGAGAACAACTACCTTGGCGATAAGCTCTACTACTTCGGTCAGGCCATGTGCGCCGGCGAAGTCGGCTGCACTAGCCCCTGGGGCGTTTACTCCGAGACGTTCTACCTCGATGCAAACGGTGTTCTCGTTGCTCCTGTGGGCGGCGGGCGCGAGCCATACGGCCTGCTGCAGTACAAGAGCAACGCCCCGTACTGGTACTCGGACACACCCTTCATGGGACTCATGAAGGACTACGAGGCGCAAAACTCCAACAACAACCTGATCTACCCCAAGTGCGTCATGGATGAGACCAACGTCTGCGACCGGACCCTGTCCTGCACGCTCGGGGACCTTACGGGCTTCTACGTCCGCGTCCCGTTCTGGCAGGCCTGGGAGACGTCGCAGTACTACCAGTCCATGCTCATGATGAACGAGGAGTTTGGCGACAACACGCCGCCGCAGAACCCGGGCCGGTCCAACTGGTTAGACGAGACGGCCCTCAACCAGTTCTACTGGGGCAACCCGACGGGCGACTCGCAGTACATCCCTATTACGTTGGGTGTGGAAGATGCGCCGTGCCCTTGCAACTTCATGGGCATTAACTACGGCAACCTTGCGTAAGAACAGGATGACTGCACTGCCGACTTTCTTATCCTTACCATCTCTTGACACTGCCGTGTTTCATTAACGCGAAAAATTACAAATATTCCAGGGATGGAAGCTGGAAGTGAATCGGAGATGGGGTTTGGAGGTGCTGTCCTGCCCATGCCAGCCTTATTCGTATTTATTTGTTCCAGCCTAGACCTAGTTGCTAGCTCTTAATTAAAACTTAATGTCTACCCTAATGACGCAGTATTCAAGTATGAACGAACAATCTTCGAAATTTGAAAGCTGAAATGTGAATCGCCCCTGGACTGATTAAAGCTTTTAATTTTAAGTCTGGTGATGTCCATGTCAAGCTCCTTTGTGCAAGGCGACAGGCGGGGTCTGGAAAGACTGTCTCGAAAGAACGGAGACCGCAGCTCATTTACGGGATGAGAGAATTGGATGACTTAGTTGTATTGCAGTAGGTCAACACTCTTGGGTATATTTAGTGATATGTCTGAGAACAAGGCACCTCTGACCACCAGAAAATCAGCGCCTGCGTGCTTTCTTCTTGTCCCGGCTGGATGCGTCGTCACCGTGACTTCGCTTCTTGCGACCCTCTTCGAGCAGTTGCTTCATTCCGGGCGTGGCCTTGAACTTCGGGTTGGACGGGTCGATGGCGAACTCATGGCTGTCGAAGACGGCCTTGAATCGATCGTCGCTCGTGTCCATCTTGAAGCCTTCCTGCAGGCCACCACGATCCTGAACGTCCTTCTGCTTCTTCTTGCCCTTGCCCTTCTTGAACTTTTGCTTCTCTGCGCGAGCAATCTCATTCATGTCAAAGTGATCAAGATGGTCAGCGGCGGCCTTGGAGTCGTCGGCCATGATCTTCTCCAGTTGAGCCTTCTCGACGGCCGTCTTCTTGGACTCTTCCTCCTTCTGCTCTCGCTTCTTAAGTCGTTCTTCTTTCCGTTGAGAGGTCTTTGTGGCCTTGGCGGGCTGTTCGGTAGTGAAGAAGGGGTCGTCAAAACCGAGGTCCTCCCCTTCTTGATCTTGAGCGTCTTCCTTCTCAGCGCCATTGGCAGCACCCTCCCTCTTGGCTAGATACTTCTCCTTCTTCCGTGCCTTCTTTTCACGCTCTTTGCGCATATACTTCTCCACGGTGGTTTCCTCCCTGTCAGGCGAATCTTCCTTCTTGTCCTCTCCCTCATCATCGAGGGCGAAGGTCATCTCCATTTCTCCCACCGGACCTGACTTGGAGGACTTGGATGCAGTTTCAGCACCAAGGCCCAGAGCTTCACGCATCCTCTGCCGAGCTAGTTCTTTTTTACTTAGCTTTGGCTGGTCCTCGTCTGCCTCGGCTACCGGCTCATCGTCATCGCCCTCGGAGTCGCTGGATGCCAGGTAAGCTTTCATGTCGTTCTCCTCCAGCTCAGCCCGACTGCCAGAGAAGGCCCGGTTGATCTTGTCTCGACGCGACGCCTCGTCCGGGTGCATGTCCCAGGTAAGTCTTTTGACAGTTAGCATGCAACCAGAGAATGTGGATCAGGAACGGGACGTACTTGACCTTGGAGTGTTGAAGAGCGTCCGTGATGAACTCGGTTGGCCTGTAATCCAAGGGGACGCTTTCACACTCATCCCGGGGCTCATCGTCGAATGTGAGCTCGTCGGGCACAAAGCGCAGGTCCATGAAGTTGGACGAGCTTTGGTATTCGGTGCCGTCCACAGCCTTGTAGATCTGCTCGGCCGTAGCCTCGTCGGAGCACAGTACAATGGCGTAGTAGTATCTCAGCCTGTCCAATTGATAGGACCGTAGTGCGTCGGAATCGAAGTCCTGGTCGTCGCCCTCTTGGATGAGATCCTTCTCGATATCGTCGTCCTTGTCGTCGTCGCTGTCGCCCTGGGACTCGGCGTCCGAGCTCTCGTCATCCGAATGAGCCTTCTTCTTGAAGATCTCCTTGGGCGGACCCTCTAGCTCCTCGCGCTGCATTCTCTCCTTTCCGAACTCGCTCGGGTATATAGAGACGCGGTCGATGCGTCCGCCGCTGGGAACGAAACTCGACATCAAGGATAGCAAGTCTGCCGACTTGATGTGGTCCCAGTCCAGATTCACGACGGCTATGCGCTTGGTGATCTCTCCGACCTCGACGTCAGCTTGGGCGTCCCGCAGCCTCTGCATGCTGCCCGACTGCGCCACTGCGGCGCCGCCTTCGTCGTCGTCCTCATCCTCGTCGTCGTCTTCCGAGTCGGAATCTGATTCGGAGGACGAGAAGCCCCCGCCTCTTGCGGGGTCGTAATTGGCCTTGGCCTCGGCCTTTTTGAGCTCCCGCTGGATTTCTTCATCGTCATCAACGGCATCGCTGTCGCTGTCGCTGTTGCTGTTGTCGTCGTCGCTCTCCTCCTGGTAGAGGCTCTTCAGAGCCTTTGCCTTGTTGTCGGACTTGAGCTTGCGACCATAGCGATCGACCTTTGTGGTCTTGGTGAAATCCTCGTCGTTCAGCACGCGAGAGAAACGCTTGTCGATCTTTGTCTTGGTGGACTTTTTGGACGGCAGGCGGAATCGCGGGTCGGACTGGAAGTTGGCGAAGCGAGAATCGCCAGTCTGGGCAGACGACGAGGCCGCAGCCTTCGGGGCGTTCTTTTTCGGCATTTTCAACCAAGTCGGGGCTTGCGACGTCAAGAGCTCAAACGCCTTGCAACAGGTTGGAAGCACACGAATTGCGGGACGATCTCCCTCTTCAGCAGGTCACTCGCCGACCGACAAGACCGTCCTGGTAAAAAAATTAAAGTGGAACAAGAGACACTCGCCTTATCGATAACGAATCGACTGATGGCATCCCTGGAATCCTGGACACTGGACGACGAGGGAACAGGACAGGGATCTCTCTGGTCTTTCTAGGTTCCACTGGGTTAGATTGGCTCAGACGCTGCCCCGCGTTGGTCCAAATTGACGGTGAACTGGTCAACGAACCCCTCGTGCCCCTCTATCGTCACTCGAAACGCGTTTGGAGAACCCAAACAGATCATTTCAGATCGGGGATTTGTACGGATACTCCCATCACACCACGCTTGATAAGCATTGGGCAAGTCGTAGAACAAGCAGTGTCACTAGCAAGGTATCGGAGTCGACACTGACTGTTCTGCATTCTAGCGTATGGGGTGCTATTGTCTTCGAGACTGCATTGATGGGCAGTTCATCCAGGTGTCATGCTGCACATGTGTTTGATGGCGACTCAGTTCGTGGCTGCTGGCCGGGAAGATGTGGTATGGTATGGTAGACAGTAGACTTATGGCAGGGTCCTGATCTATCCAGAGGCAGCCGGCTCATTATCTCTACCTCGGTGTACGTATTCGCTCAGCTGCACTAGAACCACTTTGGATTTGCGGTGAGTAGCCAACCCACTTGGGTAGTGGACTGTGGAGGAACGCATGATGTTGGCCTCGTAAACCAACACAGCCATGACCATCCAGGTACGTGAAAATGGATCCTTAGATCCAATTGGACCAATAGCTCTCCCAAACCGGCCATATGTTTATGCATTCTGTCCCAGCTCGTCAGTGACCCAGTGATGCACGCCAAGACTTTCAGCTTGGAGCTTGAACCGGTAAATCTTGTTTCACGTCTCCTCCTCATATCTAACAGTGAATCTCCCCTTGCTCCAGCCAAGCTCGAGACTCTTGCTTCCAAGCCGTTCCCTTCTGATTCATCTCGTCTGAAAGTTTCTGATCTACGTCACTATCGGCAGTGTCTCACAGACGCCTTAGATAGTGAATGAGCCATCGCTACAACTTGGGCCTACAAATAGCGCTTGGGAGTTAGCTGAGCTATCGAACCCCGCTGCCGCAACTCAGTAACCTCACGTGTATCTCTACTCATCGTGAACATGGACCGCTTCTTCCACAAGCTCGAGGAAAAGCTTGACGAGGTCAAGGATGTCTTTGGGCACGGGGATAATGACCGCCGTGACGAGAACCGACCACAGGAGGAGCGCCCTCAGGAGCGTCCCCATGAAGAGCGCCCCCCTCGGCATGAGGAGGACCCTCTGGTAGCCCATCACCAGGATGACGGCAGGCGACCTGACCCGGTCAACACGAACCGCTACCAATCTTTTGCTTCCCCAACCACAGGCGGTGCCAAGTGGTACGTGGATGGTGCGAGCTACTTCTGGGCTGTCTCCGTGGCCCTTGAACGTGAGGACCCTTAAATCCCCCGAAACGTAGAAAGAGAGACTGATCCTGACGGTGAATTCAGAGGCAAAGGAGAGCATTTATATCCTGGACTGGTGGCTGAGCCCTGAGCTCTATCTCCGACGACCGCCGGCTCGCAATGAGCAATACCGCCTTGACAACATGTTGAGGGCGGCTGCCGAACGGGGTGTTCAAGTCAATATCATTGTCTATAAGGAGGTCACTCAGGCATTGACTTGTAAGTTTACCGGAAAATTCAACGCCAATTGTTGGGATTTATAGCTAATCATCATCTAGTGAACTCCGAGGTATGCAGAACACGACATGGTCTTGAGGTGCAGTTACTAACTTGCTTTTTCAGCACACTAAACATGCGTTGGAGGGCTTGCACCAGAACGTCAGAGTCTTCAGGCACCCTGATCACGGTCTGGATGTAGACGGCGCCAAGGCCGACCTGGAGGCTGCATTCAGCAACCTGTCCATGGGGGCCTTGAATGCGTTCAAGCTTTCCAGCGCCCCTCAGGATGCCGTCAAATCTCTCTACGGTTCCGCTGGCGAGGTTGTCTTGTACTGGGCTCACCATGAAAAGCTCTGCCTCGTCGACCGCACAATTGCGTTCATGGGTGGTCTCGACATGTGTAAGTTATAGCAGCGTCGATTTTGATGGCTCTGCTTTAACTTACTCGCTTTATAGGTTTCGGCAGATATGATACCAACAGCCACCCCATCGCTGATGCCCACCCTGGCAACCTCGATGCAATCATCTTCCCAGGTCAAGACTACAACAATGCTCGTGTCTTCGATTTTGAGGGAGTGGATAACTGGAACCACAACCAACGTACGTGTTAATGATCGTGGGACGGGTGCTTGGCAACTGATAAAGTTTTTAGTGGACCGAACCAAGAGCTCAAGAATGGGTTGGTCTGATATCTCCATCTCTCTGAACGGACCCATTGTCAGTAGCCTGTTGGATCACTTTGTGGACAGATGGTAAGATATGGCACAATATGGGTTGTACGCAAGTGCTAACCTTCCGAAGGAACTTTATCTGGAACCAGAAGTACAAGGATCAAGATCCAGGCAAATACCAGCAACTCGAATTCGAGGGTGGCAGCACGATTGCATCCGGCAACTTGAGCGGCGACTTCCAGGGACGCCTACGAGGCCGCCAGCACAGATATGGCGGCGAAGAAGAGTATGGCCGCGGAGACTCTGGCTCTTCTGGAAATGCCTCTATCCAGCTTTGCAGAAGGTGCGTAATCCCCCTACACAATTCATTTGCCAAGAAGGGAGTTACTAATATTCCGCAGTTGCACGGATTGGTCTGCTGGACACCCCACAGAGCACTCGATTCAGAACGCTTATATCGACGCTATTGGAAACGCCCGTCACTTTGTCTACATTGAGAACCAGGTAATATCTTCCCTGTCCAACAATGCGCCAGATATAAGAACTAGACTGACCCTTTTAGTTCTTCATCACCGCTACCTCTGATGAGCAGCACCCTGTCAAGAACAAGATTGGCGCGGCCATCGTGGAGAGGATCCTGAGGGCCCACAATGCTCGCGAAGAGTTCCGCGTGATAGTTCTCATGCCCGCAGTGCCCGCCTTTGCCGGAGACCTGCACGCGGACGGAGCTCTGGGTACTCGCGCGATCATGGAGTTCCAGTACAACAGCATCAACCGCGGTGGCCACAGTATCATGGAAGCCCTCCGCCAACAAGGCGTGGAGGACCCGAGACGCTACATCACATTCTACAACCTGCGCAACTACGATCGAATCAACACGTCTGAGACCATGGGCCGTGCTGAGGGAGAGAGCGGCGTGCCGTACGAGGAGGCCCGACGCGACTTCGACGATAGAGTCGGTGCCGGTAACTACCCGTACGGCGAGAGAGAGGAGGGCCGAAGAGACGACTACGGCGGTAACCAGTATGAAAGATACCAGAGGGCCGCCGAGTCGGCCCCTGATCAGACATGGGACACTATCTCTGCCTGCTACATGGACGGCGGTGCGGAGTTGAACCGCCTCCCTTGGCAAGGTAGCCCCGAATCTGAGATTGATGCCTATGTCTCAGAGGAGCTATACATCCACTCCAAGGTGCTTATTGCCGACGACAAGCTCGTCATCTGTGGCTCTGCCAACTTGAACGATCGATCTCAGCTGGGCGACCACGACTCGGAGATTGCCGTGATCATCGAGGATCAGGAGCCAATCGAGACCACCATGAACGGGCAGCAATTCACCGCCTCCAAGTTCGCAACCTCGCTCCGACGCCAACTCTTCCGCAAGCACCTGGGCCTGCTGCCGGACCAGCGCGTCGACAGCGTCAACGCCAACTGGACCCCGATCACCCAGGATGCGCAGGAGTACGATTGGGACTCGCCCGCGGACCGCCTCGTGGCGGACCCGATGACGCGCGAGTTCTGGGACCTCTGGACGGGCACCGCCCGCACCAACACCGAGGTCTTCAACAAGGTGTTCCACCCGGTCCCCACGGACCTGGTCCGCACCTGGGACGAGTACGAGCAGTTCTTCAGCCGCCACTTCATCATCCCCGGCGTGGAGATGAAGGAGGAGGACAAGCAAGGCAAGGTGGAATACGGCCACGTTGTCCGCGAGGAGTTCCCGGGAGGCGTCGGCGAGGTCAAGGAGTGGCTGGGCCGCGTCCGCGGCACCCTCGTCGAGATGCCCCTCGAGTTCCTGATCGATGTCCACGACCTGGCCAAGGAGGGGCTCAGCTTGAACACTTTCACCGATGAGATCTACACTTAGATAAAGCAGCTCTGGATGTCTATACTCTGCCTTTCGCGGTTGGGGCCATTTCTGGGGTTGGAGTATAACACTGGGAAATCTCTGGTCATAGTTCTATTAAGAAAATGAAAGCTCCTGTATAGTCAGATTGGAGTTGTTGCCTTGGGGCGCACGTGCTACTTGACAGAATGCTCCCGTACATGCCTGCTGTGTTTTATGTAGGTTGCCGTGGTCAAGTTGCTAGCGGGCACTCATCCACACATCTTTGTAGAATATATACCTCTGAGTAATGCGCACTTACGTAGGTGATTGCTCCCTGTGGCGCACTATTTCGCATAAGGCCCGCAAACTAAGCAAATTCATTGCTTATTCTCGACCGTTGCCAAGCACCAATCTCGATTACTGAGCCCTATAGAAGACAATACCAAAGCACGTGTCTTAGCGACCGGCGGTTTACGGCAAGGCGGCCGAAGCTAGGCCCCGTCCAGGGCAGAGAACAAGTCCAGCATCAGAGATAGTCGGAGATAGCCTGGCCCAGCGAGCTTCCTAACACAGGTTCGCGCTGTGCAGGCCCTCCAGTCCCCCCTTGTAGCCCCCGGCCGCTAATGCGAGCCCGCGCGCCGCGACCTGTGCAACCGACCTGGCGATTGACCTCTCACATCGCCCAATTGGCTCAGGTGGCCCTGCCCTCGACCACAATGTTGCCCGGCACACCGATCCCGCTCGCTCGGTTCCCAGGTCGCATTTGGGGCCTGCATCGTGCTTCCAGCTGGGGTACGGCAGCTCGGCCTTGACATCAGCTCGCAGGCAAAAAGCTCCATTGGCATGCCATCCGTAATGAGGGCACCTATATAAGCCGACGGCGCACGCCGCCCTTGCGGCATCCCGGCCTGATCTGCCTCGCCTACGTAGTCGCCAGTCGCAGAGAGGACCACTTCGGAGACGGACTGAGAGACTAAGAAGCAAGCAACCCAGCCGCAACAAAGATGGCCACCACTACCAGCACCGCGGTCCGCGTCCTCGGCGCCGTTGCCCTGCTCTCGCAGCACGCCGCCGCCGGCCTCTACCCGGGCCTGACCACCGACAACCACACCTGCTCGCTGCAGAAGCCGGTGCTGTCGTGCTCGGCCGAGGCGCAGCCGGGGCTCGTCGACACGTGCTGCGTCGAGACCTTCGGCGGGCTCGTGCTGTCGACCCAGTTCTGGGACACGTACACGGGGCGCGAGGCCGACGGCCAGCTCCTGCCCAAGGACACATGGACTTTGCGTAAGTAGAATCAGATCGTGATGTTATGCGCGGGCATTATGAGAGCCCTCAAAGAGCTGTCTGTGCTTTGGGCAGCTGACTTACACCACCACTACCACCACCACCACCACCTAAAACAGTCCAAATAGATGGATCACCCTGACATGAAAATGACATTGCCTAATCACGTATAAAACATTTCTGACGTTCTATGTATAGATGGTCTCTGGCCCGACTTCTGCAACGGGAGCTACACGCAGTACTGCGACCTGTCACGGCAGTATGACCCGATCCCGTCACCCAACACGACGACGGGTACGCCAGCGGGCAAGCCGGTGGTGCCGTGGACGGGGCCCAGCATCGGCACGTTCCTGGAGCCGTTCGGCAAGTGGGACCTGCTGGCGTACATGAACAAGTTCTGGGTGGCGCAGAACCAGGACAACGGCGGGTTCTGGGGCCACGAGTTCAGCAAGCACGCGACGTGCTTCAGCTCGTTCGACGTCGAGTGCTACGGCCCGCAGTACGTCGAGCACGAGGAGGTCGTCGACTTCTTCGAGACGGCCCTGGCCTACTACGACGTGCTGCCGACCTGGGGCTGGCTCAGCGCCGCCGGCATCCGCCCCAGCAACGCCAGCTTCTACTCGCTGGCCGACGTCCAGGCCGCCCTCACCGCGGGCTTCGGCAAGCTGCCCTACGTCGGCTGCTCCGGCCCCGCCTACAACACCACCGCGGCCGGCAAGGGCAGCGCTGACGCCGGCAAGACGGTCCTGACCGAGGTCTGGTACTACCACCACGCCTTCGGACGCGTCCAGCGCGGACAGGCCGAGCGGGTGCACGCCAACATCACGGGCGGGTCGGTGTCGAGCTGCGCAAAGACTCCCGGGGCCCTGCGATACTACGAGAGGACCCCCGGGTCTGACGTTGCTGTCTAGATTAAGGGACGGGAAGCGAGAGGCTCTGACGACGCACGTCGTTTGGGGCTCGCTTTGAAGACGCAGAGAAGGGGACGTCGGAAACACTACCAAAATAGTAATGATAATGAATATAATGGAGATTCATGAACTACGTGCATGGACCCCCAACGAATGCAATTGCCCACCCCTTAAATGACAGTGCAATGTACTCTACAGTCCTTTTACACGCCCTGAACGCCGCGCCAAGCCAATGCAATCCCCCTCCGCGCCTACTCGTCGTCCAACTCTTCGACCTTGGGGGCCACGTACGAGGCCTGCTGCTGCGAGCCTACCTGGACCTGAGTGTCGGTGCCGGTCGTGGTAGCGGTCGCGGGAGCAGCGTGTCCGGTGGCACCAGCGAAATGGGCTGCGGCCTCGGCGTTAGTGGCCTTGGAGGCCTTCTTCTTCTTCTTGGGCTTCGCCGTCTGCATAGTGTTAGTCATCACGGGGTAGGGTTCAATAATGGGTGGGTGGTCCTTACCTCGTGCCAGGCCCAGACAGGTCGGAAGCTGTCCATGAAGGAGACGTCCTCCCATAGGTTGGGGTACAGCCAGAGTCCAGGGGGCACCAAGAAGTAGGTGGCGCAGAACAGAATGACACGGAAGATGGCCATGGCGAAGAAGAGACCCAGGAGCATGAGGAAGCCCCAGCTGAGGTAGTAGACACCCTGTCGGAGGAACAGAGGCCACAGGGGGTACAGAACGACGATGAAGATGGCAATCAGGGCGAGGACGGCGTAGACCTTGCGCATGACCTGGCTGCCCTCGTAGAACCAGATGTAGTAGCAGTCGTCGTGGGCCTCCTGCTGCTGCTCGATCTTGACGGTCCACTGGCCCTTGACGCGCTTGCCCTTCTTCTTGGGGTGGTCGTGGCCCTCGTGGGGGTCGACCTTGCTCACGCGCAGGGCGAGCATGGACATGGGCAGCAGCTTGAAGGCGTTCTCCAGGCTGGCCCGGTCGGTGATCTCAGGCAGGGCCGGGTTCTTCTTGCGCGCCTTCTCGTAGGCCGGGGTCTGCAGGGCGCGCAGGGCGCGCTTGACACGGAACATGTCCTTTCGCTCGCCGTTGAAGATGACGGTGCGCGGCTTCAGCTCCTGCTTACGCAGGAAGTTGGCCATGGCGATGGCGACGGGGTTGGGCGGGCCAGGCTGGACGGGCTGAGGTTGGCCTTGCTGCTGCTGCTGAGGATGCGGGTGCTGATGCTGGTGCGGAGGCTGCTGTCCCTGGGGTCCGCCCTGGCCCTGGCCCGGCTGCTGCTGTCCTCCTTGCGCCTGCTGTTGCTGTTGCTGCTGCTGGGCCATCTGGGCCATCCGCTGTCGCTTGATGTGCTCAATGAACTGGGGGACGGTCATGCCCATGGCCTCGGCCTGCTGTGCGATCTGTCGCTGCATAGCAGCAATCTGCTCTGGCGTGGGCTGGGGCTGGCCGGGCGGTGCCACGAACTGGATGCCGCCCGGCGGAGGGCCCGGAGGAGGTTGCGGTTGGGCCATTGCGGATTGGAGCGATTCGGTGCTGGCTGATGGGAATCGAAGGTGGGCGAGAGGAGCCGCTGACGGCGATGGACGTTGCCAAAGGAAGAGAGAGTGTGGTTGTGAGTGGGTGAGTGTGTAGAGTCAGCGACGACGGCCGGCCTCGAGTAATTTGATGCTGAGGTGATGTGCACGTATTCGGGCGAAACCAAACTGTGTCCTTACTGCACGCTCAACTCAGCCTGCCAAATTTTGGTGGGCCGAGAGTTGATGGAGCCCAAGCTGTTATTAGGTACCATAGTACCATTGGATAGTACCGTAGTACCTACAGACTTGAGCCCCTAGCTACTGTGGTAAAGGTACCCAGGTCGCACTAGGGGGAGATGGACAGCTGGCCACTCACGGTTCGGCGTCAGAGCTCCCGCGGCCACGGGGGCAGCGTGGACGCGGCGGGCTTTGGGGGCCGGGACGTTTTTGTTTTGTGGGCCGAATATTAATCCGCTGCGCCCGCTGGCTCAGGTCAGGTCGGGCTTACAGTGCCGTCGAGGTCGCTACCGTGTGGACTTGTCCCGTCATGTACTTGACGTACATTGCTGACAGACTTGCGGAGGCATTATTATTGTCGTTGTCCTGACTGCCCATACCTATTCGATCACTACATGCTCTCACTGCCCTGCCAGGTGCCCAACTGTGCCCAACTTGGGGGTATGGCCAGGGTTTGGTCTGGTAAATGAGAGCCGCCGGTGCAAGACTCGTCATGACACTAAACGGCATCTAACTACGCTGTCTCTACAGTCGTGGTGCAAAGCGATCAGTAGAAGCAGGGCAGATTATAGGGACACTGCATATAGTCAGGCATGGAAAGGAGAATGACAGAAGAAGAGAAAAAACGAGATATAAATCTTGATTTGTCTCTTCATGCCAAGGGACCCCAAGCCTCTTAAAGCTTCAAGCAAAGCAAAGCTTGACGACACGATGCAGGCCGTAGACAGGGTGGCCGCACGCCTTCCGTCTGTCAGCGACCGAACACACGACCTCGGGAGGCTTCGACTAGCAGGTGCATCGCATTCTTCAGCGGCTCAAACATGCCTAAGACTCATGACGCCCATCAACTCAAAATCAACGTCCCCTTTCGGTAGTTTCACTCAGATGCATCGCTCGCATGTGGTTTTGCATGTGACAACCTTTCTCAGCTTGGGATTTTTGTAATTCTCGCCGTTGCCGACGCCCTTGCGCTGTATCCCCATTTTTCCATCGCCCATAGACAGACGCCAAACCAAGACACATGACGCAGCGCTGTGCCCTCCGCCTGGTTGTGCTTCTTGGTTCCAACACCGACAATGCGCGTACAGCCTCAACGGGCGAGTGAGCATGGTATTCTTAGAAGCTTCCATTTCAGGCGCGGGGGCAAGGGCGATCGCGGACACGACCTAGACACCCAGCCTTGCCCGTTTCATGTGTCATCACAAAGGATTCCAAGGTTCGCCCTCGGAGTACCCTATCCAGGAGTACTCGGCCACTGGACGTGAGGTAATGCTGTCCCACGCGAGCACCAACCAAACAAAGCTCGACGTGCGCCTATCCGTCAAAGCTGTCAACCTCCAACGCAGCTCTCGCGCCAGACGGCCAGTGGGCCCATCCGAAAACAACCATCTGCTTTGTTTTATTTTGAGTTTTCAAACACGCACACACACACGCGCGCATACACCCCTGGGGCGGGCGATCGCGGTCCGTCGAACGCGACCTCGCTCGAGACATGCGACGCGCGCGAGATGCGACGGCCGTCCTTGTACCTTTTTGCCGTGAGACGAACTGCTCCGCCTCAGCGCTCGTCGTGTTTGCACCTCGTCCACTCCTTCGGCGAGGACGAGATGGGGCCCCCCTCCCTTCGTGATGGACGTCGAAGTGGTGCGGCAGCCATACACATGACCAATCTACAGATTACTTGACACACCACTTCGGGACTTCGTGGCAAGGTGCTGGTCCAAGTGTGGGTTCGCCGTCCTCTGGAGGGCCAGAGAACCAAGGCATTGTAAGACATCGAGTCGCTGAAAGGGACCGTTCATCTTACACCAGCCCGCGCTCCGCCAATCGTATGTGGAGCGTGCAGCCCTCCGACCCATCTGCAGACCCCCCCAGCCTCTAAGCGCCAGTGGTCCGGATGTTGAAGAACAGGCCCCTCCCAGCCTATCAAATCGTCAAGTCTGCTCGCGACGCCGTCGATACCTCTCGTCCCAAGAATTGTCAGGCTCGCAAGCTCAGCTACGTGAGCCTAAAAAGGTAGGGTCAGAAGGTAATTTCCTTTCCGTTTGCATAAAGACTTTGGCGAGGCCATCTGATCATGCCAGTGCATGCCCGCGCTTTCTTTGTTCTGCTTGCGTACTTGAACCCCGGATTCGCTGGCCGTCTTCCAATTCTTGTAAGCCAGCCTTCGTCGACATGCAGTCGTCTGCACCATCATGAGAGCGCTCGCTGGTATGATTCATGGGGCCATAACATCTTTCTCCACTACTGTCTCGACCTGTTGTGGGTGGTCTGATGAGAAGCCTTACTATGGTAAGCTACCCACCTCATTTATCTTCCCTTTTTCGTCATCGTCATCGTCACCAAGACCCCAAGGCACTAGTTATAGTCCTAACAGACATAGCCCCCGAGAAGTCTTTTATAATTCTGGACAGACAACCAGTCCTTGTCTCTCCGCCTTACATCGAATCAATGAGGCAGATGGATGAATCAGCGTCGTCGGTGTGGGAGCAGGCTCCAAGGAAGAGGCAAGAGTCTGGCAGGAGTCGCTTCTCCGTGAGAAAGCGATTGTTTTCGAGTAAATCTTCGCGCCGGCCGCAAATATCAGCTCCTTCGAATTTCCGTCATGTAAATTCAGGCTCCCTAGGGTACTCGCAACCCGTAGAGTCTCAGATGAGATTACGACACCGGTCTTTTCGTCCCATTCAACTCAGCATATACCAGAAACCAAATCAACGACTGTCTCCTTTAGTGCCCTATTTTGAATACCCCAGCCCGCCTACAACACCTCCTCAGCGGGTCTTGACCTACTCTGATGACACGGACGACGGCTACTCTGTGACGCACAAGCGCAGTGTCTCGACCCTCTCGTTCCATATACCGCGGAAGCCCACAAACACTGGCTCTGTTTTTGACTCCCCAGGTTCCGATGTCATCAGACGACCGTCGCCTGCCAGGCTCAGGCCTTCCACCCCATCGGACGGCCAGAAGCCTGGGATGGAAGATCTTATCGAGAGAGTTGCCACCGCTATGCTGGAACGAGACAGGCTGCAAGAACAAATCGAGGATGTGATAGAGAGGCAAAGCATCTACGTCAGCAGTAGGCCATCGACGGCCAACGGGACTCGACCGGGAACCATCCGTTCTGTCCGTTCGAATGCGGACCTGGAACCCATGCCCGAAGTGCCTGCTCTCCCTCCAAACGCGCCTTCTTTCAGCGAGCGTTTGAGTTTTGATCACCCCCGTGCGCCGCCGGCCAAGGCTCCTACCTACGGATCCTACCGTGGCAGGGCATTCACCGAGGCCTCACATGGATCGACGTCGTCGGGCTCCAGTCGCCGGTTGGAGGGTCGTGCGCCGCCGCCGCCCTTGCCTCTGCTTCTTCGCCCACCCTTGAGGAAGAAGAAGTCATTCTCCAGGGTCTCAAGCTGGCTGGGATTCCCTGACGATATTGGCCACACCCGCAACATCAGCCTTGACTCGATCACCAACAAGCCGATACCTGTCCAGGCTAGCGATGGCTTCTACCAGGTTGCGGCTCCCACAAGAAAGGCCAGCTTCGAGTCCGACGAGACTCTGAGCGACTGGACGTCGGATGGAGATGCTCTGGAGGAGCAAACGGTGCCCACCAGTTGGAGCCCGAGCAGCAGTGCGACGGTCCGGGCTGTTGATCCGCCGCGGACTGTGGTGATGGGGCAGGCGCCCTTCCGGGAGAGCGTTGTCGGCGTCGCTTTCTGAGGAATGAATGTTTTGACGAATCTACTTGTACTACCCTAATAACTGCATGATGATACCACGGAACGGGCTTTTCAGGGATAGACCTAGCATAGGTTGGCAGGGAGGATATTTTGTTCTAAAATTGGGGTTGGGGGCTATAGAATTACTACTTGGGAAGGGGGGGTCAGAGACCCTCACTTTTCCTTTTAATGAATGGATTCCAGCAATATGCAGTATACCTACGAACGCTTTGCACCAATACTGGCTTTATGGTAAGAAGTGAATGGTCAACTACCTTGAACATACTTGACGAAAGATTTAGTACCTTCGTTAAAGTGCCCGTGGATGTGAGAATGCGAGAGGGCTCGAAGCACGGAACGCTTCCTCTTCTGGACCAACTACCTAAAGAGCGTACAAAAATCTAACTCCCGCATGAAAATAATCATGTGTCCAGTCAAGTCGATCAGCTCAACACTTTCTGTAAGCCACTAGGGAGGAAAATACTGTGTAGTTGTGTCATGACCCCTCTATTCTATAGTTGTTTGCTATCCCCTGTGATGGGCGCCGTTGAGCCATTGGCGTCGAGTTGTAGGTGCACGTTCCGGGCCATGACAAAGAAAGTGGGGCGTTGCTGGACCGCAACCCGGATGGTCAGCCCCGACAGTCTGGGCCGAAACTTCGCCTCTACGACCTGTTCAAACTCATTTTTACATCGAACTGGTAGAGAATAGACAGCGCCAGATTGTGGACAATATCTCGCAGCGTCCTTTGCATCAAGCCATTTAATTCCAAGCGAATCCAACTCATTGATTTGCTGACGGCGGACCTGCGCAACCCCTACGTCATCCCAACCGGATGGTCAATGGCCACCAGACAATCGTCACGATGGACCGTCTAAAGGCCTGGGTGGCCCCTAACTCATACAAATATAGCGCCCTTCCAGATTCCAGCAGCGTACATGGTCGCGAGAAGAGGATAACGGCTGCTGTTGACCGCAACAGGACAACGCTGAAGCTCCTTACCGGCGGCTTAGTCTTCTCGCTGGTGCTGTACTTTGTGGTCGGCTACATGTAAGTCTCCGACACAGCCATGTGGAAATGATCGGACCCTCGTGACTAATTGTACCCAGGCGTTCATCGCCGAGTGGCTCCTGTGATAGCGCAAAGGATGGCTTCCAGTGCAGGGCTGAGATTTCTCACTTCTGGGGCCAGTACTCGCCGTACTACTCGGTGTCTTCCAATATCTCCAGATCTACCCCCAAGGGTTGCGAGGTGAACTTTGCCCAGGTCCTCTCGCGTCACGGAGCTAGAGACCCCACAGCGGGAAAGACAGTCATCTATGCTGCTCTCATTGCCCGGATACGCAGCAGCGTGACCGAGTACGGCAAGCACTTCAAGTTCATGAAGGACTACAACTACACCCTCGGTGCGGACCAGCTGTCAGATTTTGGTCGTCAGGAAATGGCCAACTCCGGCATCAAGTTCTATAAGCGCTACGAACATCTGACACGCGACGAGTCGCCGTTTGTGAGATCCGCCGGTCAGTTCAGGGTGGTTGAGTCGGCAGATTACTGGACAAAGGGGTTCCACGAGGCGCGGTTGGAAGACAGGCACTCCAAGTCTCCAGATGCCTACCCCTACGACATATTGGTGATCCCTGAGGGACCTGAGTACAACAACACGCTCAGCCACGATGCCTGCACTGCTGCCAATACCGAACCGAACACTGCGGTAGGCGCGATCGCCCAGGCGACGTGGGTCGATGTGTTCACGCCGCCAATCACGGAGAGGCTGAACAAGAACCTCCAGGGTGCCAACTTGACAAACAAGGAGACAATCTACATGATGGATCTCTGTCCTTACGAGACCGTAGCCGACATCAATGGCAAGCTGTCCGACTTTTGTTACCTCTTCTCGAAGGATGAGTGGCATGGCTACGACTACTACCAATCACTGGGCAAATGGTACGGGTGGGCGAACGGAAACCCCCTCGGGCCAACCCAGGGGGTTGGATTCGTCAACGAGTTGATCGCCCGGTTGACCGGAAAGGCGGTGGATGACCACACCGACACAAACTCCACGCTTGATAGCTCTCCAGAGTCATTCCCCTTGGGCAGGGCGCTTTATGCGGACTTCAGCCACGACAACGATATGACCAGCGTTTTCGCAGCACTCGGTCTCTACAACTTGACGGAGCCCCTCTCCAACACGACAAAGACGCCACCGAGGGACACGAATGGGTACTCGGCCAGCTGGTCGGTTCCCTTTGCCGCAAGGATGTACGTCGAGAAGATGAGCTGCGGGGACTCCGATGAGGAATTGGTGAGAGTACTGGTCAACGACAGGGTGATACCGCTGCAGAACTGCGATGCGGACAAGTTGGGGCGCTGCAAGCTCAGCAGGTTCGTCGAGAGCCTCAGCTTTGCCAGGGCTGGTGGATACTGGGATAGATGCTTCCAATAACTAGACAGAGCGATACCCGGCCTACGGAATACTACCCGGCTGCAAATCCACGTTAAACTGCTGCCTGCATGTGCTTAACTTGGGCCTCATCCTACGTTGTGTGCGGCTATCGCGGATTCACAAAGTCATCAATCATGTTGGCTGAGCGTAGGCCAAGGTCGCAGCAGACTTGCCATGCCACGTTTTGCGTCGGTGACTCTCACGCCATACAAATTGCCCTGGTGAAACATGCAGCGAGGCAGCGCTGTCCAGACGTCCTGATTATGTCCGTGATTCGTTGGCCAGGTGAGACATTTGCGAGGCTTGGAATGCCGGCCACATAGCTTGGAGGGAAGTGAGACGTCACTGGTGGAGCTCGCAGTAGCAGTCCCCCGGGCACCCCCTGCTCGACGGATACCCCAGGCTATTTTGGGGGGCTCCACGGGTCCTGGAGGGGGGCCTGGAGTTGGAACTTGGCACCTAATACGCAAAGTGCCCACCGTGTTTAGTACCCAATCCCGGCACTCCGGGCGATAAGAGCAACTGGACGAGGGACACACCCGGACAGATCCATCTCCATCTGGAGCTAACCTAGAGGTTGGTCGCACACCAAGGTCCACGGGTGGGCAGCACAGCGCAGCTTGCCATGTCTGTCAGCCAGTCGCTCGCACATACGTAACCTTACCCATCTGGACACCAACCAAGCAGTCCTCAATCCGGGGGAGCAGCATCTCAGCCTCACATCCATCTTCCGAGACATCCTGACGACTGACGACTGGGAGACGTCCACCATATCCTCCCTCCCTGCATATCCTCTCTACCGCCGTCGGCCTTCCCTTGGGGGACATCGACAGCTTCATTGACCGAAGGGCCACACAAGTTGCCACGTCCCCTGCGACGGGCGCTTTTCTGACCTGGGGCCGCCGCGATGAACGGCGTCGGCATCTTCTTCATCGTGCTGGTCGTGATGCTGATCATAGCCGCGGCTGGCTGGATCGTCTTCACACAGCTCCGCGCCAGGAGATTAGGTGTAAGTAGCCCTCACTTGAGTGCACTGCTTGTGCACCATCATATCACATCACGCCCGAGGGGGGAGTCACCGAGCAAAGCTACCCGGCCTTGCCGGTCGATTTGCTGTGTCCATTGGCACATCCAATTCCCTCATCTCGCAAACAAGTACCCACCTGCTTGTACCCACCTCGGCACGAGCGCAAGGCCTAGGACTGACTGACTGACACCGCACACAGCTCCCCGCGCCGTCGCTATCGTCATACAACCCCTTCGCGCGCTCCGACCCCTCGCCGTACGGCGCGCCGTCGCCGGCACCGGGCGGCATCCGCGGCTGGTTCAATGACAAGCTGAAGGGGCGCAACAAGCGCTCGGCGGCCGGCGCGTACGAGCAGCCGCTCGCGGGCGGCGGCGGCACGGCCCACCGCGGCTTCGGCGCCCTCGACCCGGACTCGGCCTGGGACACGCGCGTCGGCACCGAGGCCGACGCCTACGGCGGCTACTACGAGGAGCAGGAGCTGGGCGGCGGCCACCACCACGACCCCTACAGCGGCTCCGGCTACGCCATGAACCTGGCCGCGACGCCCGGCGCCCCGCCCGCCGGCTACGGCGACCACCACGACGAGCGCCGCGGCCGCAGCCGCGACAGGGACAGCGCGCTCAGCGTCCCCGGTGGCGGCGCTGGCGGCAGCAGGTCGAGGCAGAACCCCTTCGACGACGACGCTGCCGAGCCGAGCAACATGAGCCTGCGAGGCGTCAGCCCGCGGCCCATCGACACCGGGGTCTCGAGGCACGGCGTTGCGAACGACAGCCCGACGGAGCGCAAGAGCGTGTTCCGGGAGAACGTATGAGAAGCGGGCGGCTTGTGTCCTGGACCGATGATAGGGGCCAGGCTGGGGCGGGGGACGAGGACGAAGCAGTAGTGTGTGTCGACTGTGTACGGTCATTTTGTGCCATTCACCACCGAAGGGCCTACGAGAGAATTCAAAAAGTTCTTGTTGGCATTTTCGGTCATTTCCAAGGGGGGGTGACAAAGGGGGAGGGAGTCCATGAGCAAAGGGTCGGATTCAACGTACGAGGAGTTCAGGGGGGCAGGGCAATGGCACTTGTGTATATTTTTCCCGTCCAGATTATGTACTATGGAGTTTATGTGGCAATGGGAACGAACTCCTTTTGGAACTTGAGGCGGCCAGCTGTCTGTTGTCCTGGTGTCTCCATGTGTAGCATACTACTATGCAGTGCAACTCGTGGATCTAGGCGAATGCTGGAAATATCGCCCTTCGCGACACGGGGAGCTTGACGCTCGCTGGCAGCATTCGCCTGGAATGCTTCAATATATCACTGGGCTATATTGGGGACTCACTGCCTGGGCACCTCCGCACATCCCTTGCTGACGGCGTCTAGCCAATGGCAACGATCGCTCTCAGCACGGAGAGGCACATTGCTGGTCAACTGAATACCACGCCATTACATCGACCCCCCCACCAGCACTGGTCCCACTGTTGCCCGCACGTCCACCTCTAGTTTGGTAGGCTGATTGATGGGGACTGGGAGAGCTCGTGAAGCTCTTCTGCAGCTCCCCGGTGGCTTTTCAACCCTGGATCTCTTCATTGTCAACTCACCAAAACCGCGGCCTCCAGAAGACCTGACGAAGATGGCGGACCTCAACCTTCAAGAGATTCACGATGCCCTCGTATCGATTGCCCACGAGGCAGGCCGCATGATCCTGTCGGCCAACCCCACGGACATCGACCAGGGAACTAAGCTTAACTGTAAGTGCTGGTGGTCTCAAGAAGCCGGTACCCCAAGTACAAGTTCCAGTCCAAGTACCCCGCCATAGCTGGACTGGACTGCTGCTATACTACCCCTCCATCGTCACAGGCTTCAAGGCGGATGGTTGACTGCCCAACACGCCGTCATCATGAAGATATACCTCTGTATCCCAGAGCCCGGACAAGGTCTGGCATGATCAATTGGCGATGGCTTTTCCACCTGAGGCATGCCCTGGCAAACCTGACCTGGACATCCAATCCCCCACCCCATCTCAAGCCACATTGCCCGTGATGGAATCCCAGCTAACCTGAACCCCTTCCCCGCCAACCAGCCGTCGATATCGTGACCGAGACCGACAAGGCCGTCGAGGACCTGGTCTCGTCCAAGCTGCGCGCCCTGTACCCGACCTTTGCCTTCATGGGCGAGGAGACGTACAAGCCGGGCAACAAGATCGGGCCCGAGCCGACCTTTGTCGTGGACCCCATCGACGGCACCACCAACTTCGTCCACGGCTTCCCCGAGGCCTGCATCTCGCTCGGCCTGGCCGTCGACCGCCGCCCCGCCGTCGGCGTCGTCTACAACCCCTACCAGGACAAGCTGTACAGCGCCGTGCGCGGCCGCGGCGCCTTCCAGACCGTCGGCCAGGTCTGGGGGCTCGAGGGCGGTCGCGGCCGCGTGTCCCGCCTGCCGCTCGCCCGCAACCCGGCCCCGCTGGCGGGCCTCGACGCCAGCCTCGTCGCCGTCGAGTGGGGCAGCAGCCGCGACGACGCCAACTACGAGCTCAAGACGGCCGTGTTCAAGCGGCTGGCCGCCGCCAAGCCCCAGGGCGGCGCCATGGTGCACTCGCTGCGGTCGCTGGGCAGCGCCGCCCTCAACCTGTGCGCCGTGGCCGCGGGCCAGGTCGACTGCTACTGGGAGGGCGGGTGCTGGGTCTGGGACGTCTGCGCCGGCTGGGCCATCCTGGCCGAGGCCGGAGGCATCATGGCCAGCGGGAACCCGGGCACCTGGGAGCCCGCCATCGACGAGCGCAAGTACCTCGCCGTGCGCGGCGCCCCGTCCGGGCAGAAGGAGCTCGTGCAGGAGTTCTGGGGCGTCATTGGGGAGGGCCGCATGGATTATTCGAGTTAGGGGGCAGATTGGGTTCGGTAAGTGGGTGAAAGGGGGTTATAGAGGTCTCAGAACTGCACTCGTTGCTGTACTACCCTCTGGTCCGGCTTTGAACTGATAGATGAACTAGACTCGTAAACTAGATTTGTTGGTCTCGATATAACTCACAAGATTTGGAATTGTACCCTCTTTCATATCATTATCACACCAGTGGACTCTACATGGCAGGCAATATGTCGTATAGCGCCTGAACTGCTTGTTAGTGTTCGGAGGGCTGTCTCCGCTGTAAATGTGATCCGGCATGCTGATTACAGTCTGCGCGAGTAGACGGAAGGCCAGTATAATGATAAGAAAAGTCTTCTGTGGTTGTTCGACTAGATATTTAAAATATTGCAACGAGAGGGTCCGACTTATGTAGTGTCTTGTCACCTCAGTATTTTGCTACGCTCATGCCCCGGTCCGAATAAAACGCCAAATCTATGATGATGCAGACCCATTATACATGATCCCGACTCCCCCATCCCCAGCCAACTCCTTCGTATCAACAGACCTCCGAGCTGGATGGCACACAGAAATAACCCGCTTACTTCCGCGGTTTCGGCTCCTTGGGGGACGGCGGCGAGTTCCGCCCCGATGCGGTATCCCCCAGGTCCAGTTGGTCGCCCCCAGGATTGCGGACCCAGCTCGCGCGGCCGAGCGGGCTGCGTCCGGTGCGGCGCGCACCCTGCCGGCTGCTGCCGTTGTTGGGACCGCCAGAGAGTGCGGCGACGGGCTCGGGCGTGACGGCGCCGGACGACGACCCGGAGCTGCCGGCGCTGCCCTGACGGCGGTGGTAATCGGGACCGGCGTTGTCGGAGTAAGGGGCGTCGACGTGGTCGGTCCAGCCCGCCTTGGCCAGCTCGGCGTCCGAGATCTCGTAGACCTGGCCGGGGGGCGGCACGGCGAACTGCTTGGACGAGCCGACGAATTGGCTGAGCTGGGACTGCTGGGCCATCTCGTACTTCTTGCGGTCCTCGTCGCCCATCAGACTTTCGACGCGGCGCGGGAAGTAGACCGAGTTGTTGTGGCTGCCCGTCACGAAGCTCTCCCACGAGTCGCGGTGCGCCAGCTCGTAGCGCGGCAGCGGCAGCTCGGTCGAGGACCCGCCCAGGAAGTTGAGACTGTAGACCGACTCTGGGTGCGCGTACAGGCCGTTGGACCGCCGCTCGGGCGCGGCGAACTTGCCCACGGCCTTCTGGGGCGGCTGGAGCTGGCTGCCCGACCGCTTGAGGCCGGACTTCTTGCCCCGGAGGCTGGCCTTGGCCTGGACGGCGGGGATGAACGACTCGGGCACCACGTTGAGCTCGTCTCCTTGTTTCTCGGCCTGCTCGACAGCCTGCTGAGGCGTAGTGTTCTCATCAGCCTTGGCGGCGTCAGCGCGGGGACCACCCCAGGTCCGCTGGCCGGCCGTGAAGATGCCGTAGACCATGTACCACCAGTTAAAGAAGGGGTTGAGGATGAACATCATGGGATACAGCCAGATCTTGAAACGCTTGAGCTTCATGCCAAAGTAGATCATCATGAGCCAGTTCAGACCGAGCGAGATGGCGATGAAGCCGACAGGCAGGTCGGCCACCTTCTTAGTCGTGGTGATGATGGCCAGGACCATGATGAAGAAGAGCAGGGCAGTGGTGCGGATCGTGTTTTGCATGAAACGGACGATGAGCAGGATGGGGTATCGCTTCCAGAGACGCCAATCCGTCAACATGCAGACCTCGTTCGTGATAAAACCCAGGAACCATCGGCGCCGCTGCTTGATCAAGGACTGCATCGTCTGAACCGCCTCGGTCTTGCAGAAGGCCGATGTGCACATCTGGATCTGGTACCGCTTCTTGGCACCGATCATGAACAAGTGAGTAAGCCATCTGTCTTCTCCGAGATGACCCTTGGCAAAGTCGAAGAGATCCTCGCAGTCCTCTGCCTTGTCAGCAAAGTAGTATTTGGCCATGCGACGGAAGGCTGAGAATCGAAGCATGGTGAGGGCGCCGGGTAGACAGGTCACAGCACCACAGCCGGACTCAACCGTTCGCTCAAATAATTGGCCGTGGACATATTCCATGTCTTGTAAAAGTGTGATGACACTGTGGGTTTTCGTTGTCGACGTGATGACTCCGGTCATGGCCAGCATGTCCCTGTGGTTGCCGGGACTCAGCTCCATGTCGTAGATGAAGTTCTGAAGACACACGCGGTCCAGGATGCAGTCGGAATCGATGAAAAGAATGAACAGATTGTCGTTTCTCTTGAGGTAGTCTGCGTACACCTTGTCGATGAGCTTGAAGGAGGCCTTCTGGCAGTTTCGCTTGCCGCCGTGGGGGAACCTCGAGACAGTAATTCTGGCGGCTCGGTAAGTGACGTCGATGCTCTTGGGGTATGACTCCAAAGTGAGGGGAACGCCGAGTTTCTCGATCGTGTTCAAGTAGAGTTCATCCTCCTGGTCGCCATCGAAGGACAAGAACACATGAATGCACGAAGGAGGGTAATCGCAGTCTACCACGGAGTTGACAGCTGTAACGAGGACGTCTGGATCCTCTTTATAACAGGGCATCACGATGACGACCTTCGGAGCCGAGACCTCGTCTAGGACCTTCTTAATGCGCTTCGTCCTTCCCAGCTGATGTGTCACCAACTGGTAGACACAGAACAGCCACGGAACGGTCAGCAGTCCAGCGAAACTCCAGAATGCGAACCACTGAAGGACGACAACCATCTCTTCGGGCCAGTATTGTACTACGACACTAGGAAGTGGTAGCGTCACGACCATGATCGGTAAGAATATCGCTCTGTGTTAATGTTAGCACTCTGTGGCGTTGGCAAAAAAGCACATACGGGGGCCGTACCGGAATAGGGTAAACAGTATTGCAATGATGACCGCCAATACCCTGATGGTCCAATGCTCTGCCTTTTGAAAGACCTTGACAAGGCAGTATAGAAATGCGGCGATCCATAAAAACCATTCAAGAAGCGCAGCCAGCATCACAATACCGACGATGACGGTATAGATGATCTAACGGCACATCAGTTTCAGGGTATTCCACCGAACTATCCAGACAGATTGGCTCACCTCGTGGACCGGCCATGTTTTCGTGATATCCAGATCTCCCGCCATTTTTAATTGTGTTTGCGTCGAAAGACTGCTGTTGCGTGAGAGCCGCTGTGGGTAATCAGGTCGAGATAAAGAACCCCCTTCGTCGCAGAAAGGCAGGGTCGGAACAGGCTCTCGGCCCTAGCTCTGCAGGCACCCGGAGGGATCCGGAGGGGATAAAAAAAGAATATGGGATCCGTGACGCAAGATGGCGGTAACGGGGCAGAGATGTCGACGGCTGCTTACAGCTCAACGCAAGGGACGTTTTTGCTGCTTATTACTGGGCACTGGCAGATCAGCACTCAGTCGGCTCCCGAAGCTGCCGGGAGGCGATGTTATTGTAGTGCTCTGCCCGGCACTACAATCGTCTCCGGTACCCTGGATCGAGTCGATCGTAGCTGTTGACTGGATTTCGATAATACCGGGTGACGTTGGTAGTACAAGACTCGTACCGAACGAGACCTGGGACACTTCGGCTGCAGTCGACGAATGACTACCAAGCCTCTTCCGAAAACACTAAGAGGGCCCTAGCTTGCAGATGTCCAACAACTCTTGTACTCCTGAGGGAACGAGAAAATACGGTAATCTTTTCTTAGTATCGGAGCGGCGCCATTGTAAGCCAAATGTAACCCGTTCGTAAGCCTCTTCTGCTGCAGTGTCGGAAATAGAAACGAATGTCAGAGTCCCTTTGCAACAGGGAAGGACAAACGAGTGGACAACTTGATGCTCCAAGAAACGAATGAAAGGAGCCGCTGGCTGTTGCAAAAAAGTCAATGAGTCTCCCCCAACAGTGTTGGTTGTCGAAGAACGGGGAGGGATTCGAGACGATCTCGACAATGGGGAGACAAAGCCGTGTTTAGCACCAGACACCATGCGAGAATGGGTCCGAGTCTCTTTTGTATAAGACGACTGACTAGCAGTCCCTGCGATCTGGACTTGGCGGGTGAAAGCGTCTAGTATGCGGGACCTGCAGCAGCGTTTCATTGATGGGACCTGGACTAGTCGAGATGTTTACGGAGGCTAGCTCAGGGCGCTAGGGTCTCTTCTGTGTATTTGGGACGAGATTGCAACTCAGCCCAGGGTCAGGGAGACTGGAGTGCGATGTAGGCCCGTAGGTAGTCTGTTCCACCGTTTTGACCGGGCGTATGAGTGGGGCCGATGGGCGTTTGCAAGGGCAATCCACAGCTACGAACTCTTGGCTGGCAATGAAGTGATTGGGGAGTAGGTGAATGAAAGCTTCAATGGCAATACCGCGGTATCGGAATCTGCCATGAGCTGATTATGTGGTTCGTCCGTTCGGTGCACATGCTGTCAAACGAAGTTTTGATTCGGGGAGCCAGACAGTTTCGGCTGCCACTATCTACAGACGATGCTGTGGCTCGCGGGCGAACTGCCACCCCGATCTGCCTGTAGAGTCCTTTTTTCTTCTTTTCTCAGAGCAGGGAACAAGTATGATGGGATCTGGTGAAGCGAAGGAAAGACCGGCAGCAGGAGCAGCAGCAGCAGCAGCAGAACTTTCTGCGCTCGTGGGCAATTCATCTGGTCGTGCCGCGCATTCCCATACGGCCGCCCAATCGCGGCTGTAGCTCTGCTCGTCTGGAAGGCGGGCCATCTGCAATCAATTTACAAAGTCGCCATTGGGTACGGGGTATTAGCTGACGAGGACTCGGCTGTTGCGGCCACAGCATTTCTAGAACTCGAAAGGAACACCTACATCGCGATCTTCAATACGACCGTGACACACGACCCGGAGGGTATTATGTAGAGACAGGCAAGAGACTTGACACTGCTGGCGAGCTATCCCGCGGCCTGGTTCCGATGAGGCGGTTACACGAGACCCAGAGTTTCTTGGGATTCCCGATCCCAGCATCCCGAGGTATTGGCCGTCAGAGATTCTCAGCCCGGTCGAGGAGCTGAGAGGTCCAACGCAGCCCGATCCACACCGGAGTGCTGGATGCCTCTGCCTGGGGCCAGGCGGCTAATTACCAGAGGTTCTTGCCTTACGTACGGTGTGCTGCCACGGGGCGCCAGATCTTTGCTGCGGAAGTCGATGATCGACGAAAGAAGCGTCCACACAAAACGGCACTGGTGAGGATTGACGACGGGTGCGGTGGGCCCTCGCGACGGGAGAGGCTTGCTCGCTTGCCAATTGCCTCAGGGAGCAGTGCCGAAGAGGGAAATGTGGGGTCGCTTTTCACCAAGAAGTCTCAGGTGAAGGACACCCGATCCTAGTGGCAGATCGCTCCAGCAGGGGTGCTGTGGTGCTATGGGAGACGTGCTCGGAGAATAAGCAGTGAGGGCTAAGCTGGGACAGGGGATGGAAACGGGGACAGGGCAGGGGGTGGAGGGGGGCCAAAGTTCAGTGATTTGCCCAAGGGGACCGATTTCAGGAACAAGAAATCGAGAGCACGGCGACAGCCATTTGGGACTGACAAGCATACGCAATCCTCGGCATGGCACGATGCTCGACGCACCCGGCAGCGTATGATTTGGACCTCGAGCTGAAGGCGCAATATAAAAATTTTCGTCTGGGGAGCATTCGCGAGAGACACTATTCCCAGGCCGCAGAAAGCCTGGGGTAGCGAACCCCAGCCTTTCAAGGCTGGCCATTTTATCCGGAATGGCCCATTTGTCCACCAAGTATAAAGGCGGGAACGGGGCTGCAGGCAATTCTGCGCACATAGCACATGGTATATTCAAAAGGATGCTTCTGGAGCTAGTGGCGCTGGCTCGCTACTGCTCCCTTTTTCCATAATTGGGTTCGTCGTCGTTTTGGGCAACACAATCGTGCACCTCCGGGCGTGGGTCACGGCGGTCTCGAAGCCAATGGGGCCATTTCCTCTAGCTACATACCTACAGTGCATAGTACGCTGAGTAGATACCTACCTTGCCAAGCGGCAGCTCGATAGGTACGGTGGCAGCGAGCTCTCTGTATCGGGAGTGGCGAATTATTTATATACAGTAGTACATAATAGAAAGTGCCGCTCGATCCTTTTCAAACAGGCAAAAGTCAGCAATAGCGAGCTGACAGAACAGGGGACTCAGTGCCCAGCAGCTCATGTGCCAAGTCCAACTTTGATGAGCAACTGCAGCTGGAGGTTTGAAATCAGAGGCGCTAACTACAGAATTAGCAATTCCTAGGAGGCTAGGACCAACTGCAGGTGGCTCGCGCGCGTCCCCCCCGTGCAGACGTGGCCGTGCCCAATGCTGAAACCACCAACCATGAGTCTAGGTCAACAGGCGCGATCTTGGCGATGGAGACGACCTGTGAATGCAGTCTGAAATACGAGAGACGAAAAACCATCGAAGGAAACAACTGAGGGGATCGTGCTTCGACCCTTGTTCCCGTACAGCTGAGGCACAGCGGACGAAGAGGGCGGATCGACACCTCTTCCACCTAAGTAACTAAACGTCATGCTCCTCGCATAGGTATTCAGCCTAAACCGCGCCAACGCGTTGTCCGCTCATGCAAGTAGAGTTCACTACGTCGGGCGGTCACACAGAGATGCACATAATCGGATTATACGTCAAATGAGTGTTGCTTACGCTGTCGGTGCCGTGCGGCACAATAACTGAAGCAAAAAAGTTGAGCTGTCTGTAGCAATATTGTGCAAGCCAACTACGTCCATCGTCTTCGCCGTTGTGGAATCTCAGCCACTACCTGGCCACCTCGGAAGTGGTAAGATATGCTATGATTGCAACCCAAAGATCACCAAGCGGCTGTCGTCATGAACGCAAGCCGAGTTGGACCACCCGAGAATCTGAGTCTTTTCTCCCCTACAATCACCGAGCCAGTCGCTAGCCAGATGATCCGACCCACTTCCGTTGCATTCTGACTGTTCAGCGTTACGCATGCAGCATAGGCATTGGAGGGACTTTAGCACCGTGATTCGGTCCGGTTTATTGTAGATGCGTGGTCGCTTGTCGGATATGCGATCTCGTCATACTGTTGGCGCCGTGTGCGGAACGGGCTTGTTCCCATGTCGCCGACTCGATGGCCGTGGCATTGTCGGAGAGGACGAAACTTCGTAGATGTGCATAGTTGAGGATGGTATGTCTGTCATCTGTGCATGTAAGATCAAGTCCTGTTCGCGACGCCCAGTAAGGGGCTCTGTCAGCAATCACTTTCCAATGAACACCGGCTTGCAACGACGACGGCCCTTCGAGCGTGGAGCCTGACGTTGTCCTCGAGTCTGAGATGCAGCACAGTGTCCGCCGCGCTTGCTTGATGGACCCTGTTTTTCGCGCTTGCTTGCTGCATCTTGTGCAGACCGACCCTCGTCACTTGCTTCCATGTGACGAGAAGACTCGGCATCCGAAGATGTCGCTGCTGCCTGGTCATTCTTTTCTGAGGAAGATCTATCGTACCAGTCCAGGTCGTTCATTTGAAGCCTGCGGACGCGTTGCGCGCCACGCTCCTTGCCCTGTTTATCGGAACGGTTGATGTGAAACGACGTCGGCTTTTCATGACCTGCTTTCATGGAATTGTGAACATTGGAGTTGGTGCGAAGGGGAATAGCGGTAGTGTCACCATCTTGGTCCTCATTCTCGCGAAGATCGTAGTTCAGCACTAGATTCTTGATGCGCTGTTGTTCCTCCTTTTCTGCTAACTGTTGAGTCTTCATGGCAACAGCAAAGTTGGAATCCGAGGGAAGCTCGACGTTGCGAGTCTGCACATGTCAGTGGTCGAGATCATGCCAGAAGATGGGCTACAAACCTGTTGTCGGTTTCCTTTCTTCGTGAGGAGTGAGAAAGCCATTGTGTTTGTCGGAATCTCGCTGCTGGCATCACCAGTATCCACTGTCGGCGCGGTCTCTCGTGCCTTCGACCGAACAGGCAGAGGAACGTCGAACAGTGGCTTGCGTTCGAATTTCCGGGACTCTAAGCTCTCAGCCATCATCTTCGCATACTCACGCTCAAATTCGGCCTCATCCTCGGGGTCGATCGTTCCTGCGTTCCTAGTGACAACGATTTCTTCTTCTTCAGAGTCTGCATACTGAGGAGAATCTGGAGTTTGCTCCATTTCCTGTGACATGCAAATTAGGTTGCTATCCCTCACAGCTTCCTTTTGATGTCTGAAGAGACTTACGTCGATGTCTTCATCGTCCTCAGAGTTCGAATCTTCTTCACCGTCTGCCACAGGGAGAATCTCGTCACCCTCGCCTTCAGCAGCATCATCCTCGTCAGACGAGGCCTCACTATCAACGTCATCAGGGTCGACTGTCTTGTCGATGCCCGCGTTCTTCTGGTCCTGAGCTATCGCCAGCTGGAAGGCTTTCGCTGCTTCATCAAAAGTCGTGGCCAGCTTCCACTGAGGACGTGTCAGGGCGAAGGTGTCCTGGACAATGAACTCAATATCCATTGGCAAAGGCGCCTTGGTATGAATGTAGTACTGCAACAAGATTAGAACTCCGTGAATGTTATGCAAGGTCACAAACCTACCTGCAGAAATGAGAGAAAGTAATCGAGCTTTTTACCAGCTGCACCACGGTTGAAGAACATGCCACTGGTCTCGAGGACAGTCGCGACGAGCCGAATGCGGAAGAAGTCATCCGGCAAGTCGAAGGGGTTGAGGCGGCCAGGAATCGGGGCCCCACCTTGAAGATGTTAGCAGTATGCAATGACCTCTACACAAGCCAACTTACCATGTCCGAAGGTCATTATCTTGTACATCGTGTTGAAGATAACGGGGTGCTCGAGCATCCTATAGTTATACAGCTCACCCAAGTATTTGACCTCGGCAATACGCTTCTGGTTGTACTTGAAGTCATTCTGCTCCAGGCCACGGCTTACGGACTCCAGGACAGTATCGATGACGCCCACAACAAAGTCGGGGTGGTAACGGTAGATGGCGCTGAGCAGCGTCGCGAGGATGTGGACGCTACCGTACTTAACTTTGCCAGGTTTGGAGAATACCCTGGCAAGAATAGCGACGACCTCTGGCTCTTCCCAGTGCAATCGGCGAATCTGCTTGAGTATCTTGGTGTAGTTGCGCTTAGTCATGTCCACGTAGATGAGCTTGCGAATGAAGGACTCGGTGGGGGTCCTTTCTTTCTGCTGTATAGCAGCCCTCTCAGGAGGGTCCACGTAGTAAACGGCATTCTCAATGAGCATGCGTTCCTGCTGGCCAATATGCTGTACAGACTTCTTGCGTTGCAGTGTTTCCAGGAATGTTGCCATACGAGGGGAGGTCTCCCCATTGCGCAATAGAAAACGACCACAATTCTCAAGGAGATTGCAAATGATCTCAATGTTCATTCGGGAAAAGTCGTCCAGACTCACTTTCAGGCAGTGGAAAACGACGTGCTCGGGCACGATGCTGAATTTGGTCAACTCGGCGAGATAGCGGATGTTGCTCAGCCGGACCTGGCCCAGAAAGTCCTTCTCCTTGCGGCGCTGAAGACTTCGAAACTCGGCATCGAGATACTCGACAACACCTTTCGGCACGTCGGGCATATACTGACCAAGTGTGGCAACAAGTCTACTCCAATAGGGAAGCAGATCAGTGCGCCCCTTTGGAACCTCTGTCAATGCCTTGATGAGACGGTTGCGGGAGGCTTTCGAGTTCAAGAAGCAGAAATCCACGGCAGTCTCATCCACAGCATCCTTGTTGGTCAACTCCGGGAGTCGAGTCAGGATGGCGTCGACCTGGGCGCCAATCGTCTTGTTGGCAATTGCTGTGGACTGGTCCTCGTTGACCTCCGTTGTCTTTGGCGATTCCTGCGACTCTGATTGTTCAATTTTCTTGCCGACTTGGTCATCACCCTCGGGCTTCTTCTTCTTGCCGTCTTCGAGGAGAATCCCGGGCACCTTGCCCTTGAGGTCTACCAAGTTTTCGTAAAAACGGCGTTCTTCGTCATCTTCCCAGATGCCGGCGCCATCGCTTTGACCACGCAGGTACTCGCCGGTCTTGACGAGACCAATGGAACCATTCGTTGTCGCAGATGAATCTCCAGCATCCTTCAAGTCCGGCATTTCGGCACCGACGGCCTCGGCAAGGACTTGGGCGTTAGTCGCAAGGCGCTCCTGCGCCTTCAACAAACGTTCGAAGTTGGCCTGGCGGTCCTCGAACACTTCGCCTGACTTGACGTAGGCCTCCGAGTTACGGCCCTTCTGCGCAACGATGTGCTTCTGGTCCCGAAGCAAGTGGCCTTTGACGTCTTCAAAGTACCGCTTGAGAATGTTTCTGAAGCGCTCCTGAAGCTCGGGGCTCGTGAAAGGAGGGTCGTCTGCGGTATCGGCAGCGCCATCGGTGCCATGAATAGGCTCCGCAACTTCCTCGGCCGTCTTGGTTGTGCCATCTTCCTCGACAGTCTTACGGCCTTCGGACCCCGAGGGTTTCACGCCTAGAATGTCCCAGCTGAAGGACTTGACGAAGATGACCAGCAGAGGAAGGTTTGCGTGCTCTCGATCGTGGCCCAAGAGGTCTTTCAATACCTCGAGAGGAAACGGCTCCGCGACGCCGCCCTTGGCGGTACTAGAGGACTTGAGCTTCAAACCTGCGTCCTTGGCCCCCGTTCCACGTGCTGCATCATCGGGTTTGACGTCATCGAGCGTGCGAAGAACGCCGACGAGCCATAGCTCGGTGACGACCCGTAGGAGAGCTCGCTGGCGCACCAGACGCTCCTTCTCTTCCTTCTCGCGAACCTCGGCGGTCAAGGTCTTGAGCAAACTCTTGTCTGGTGTAGCCATACCCTTGCCAAGCAGCCATCCCAGATACTCGGTAAAATCGGCGGGTCCAAAGCGCTGGTGCAACGCACTGACGATCTCGACGCCGGCCTCGATCTCGCCGGGGGCCTTGAGCTTGCAGAGGCCTTCGTAGCATGCTGATATGATTTCGGAGAGGTACTTGGACAGGCTGAGGGTCTTGATCTCCTGTAGGAAAGTATTGAGGGTGGCAGACGATATGGCGGTGCGCAATCGTTTAATGAAGGCCGTGTTCTTCTTGAGGGACGAGTCTAGAGACTTGCCGACGGGTAATATGCCTGGGAAACAATCGGTCAGTCGGCGCAATTGCCACAGGGCAGAGGGCACATGACGGCGTACCTGGCTCGCCGTTCCAAGCGCGTTCGTTCAGGGAACGCAAGTCGCCTGCCTGCCAGTCAGTGAGGGCTCGCGCGATGGTCGTTGCCGGCGCACACGACATGCTGGGGAGGGGGAGGACGAGGACGGACGTTTCCTTGAGCGATCCATGACGGACAGCCCAATGTGTGGTTGGTGGTATGGATCCTGGGGACGCAGGGACTACATCCGTAACAAAAGGCGTCCACTGCTAAGGGATCGTATGCCCTAGGTAGTGGAAAGGGCAGAGCGCGTCCGCTTCGGTCTGCATCGGTGGGAAGGTCGACGGTGTCTGCCCTGCGGTAGGAGCCAAGGCAGAGGGCAGAGGGCAGAGGGCAGAGGGCGGAGGGCGGAGGGCAGTCTGGCAGCAGCGACGGCGGCGGGCGGCGGGGTCGGCGTTGGGGCCGGAATCCAGCTGCGACTACGCTGAGCAATTTCGACAGTCTCTGGGCTGGAGAGTCAGAGTCGGAAAAGCGCAATGGTCCGAGATCGAGAGGCGATCGTGTCTCATTAGGGATGCTCTGGAAAGCAAGGCGCTGTTGAGGTCGACTATCAGACTGTCCTCCCGGTCTTTTTGGGCGTTGATTGCCAGCCGCCAATGAGAAGCTGTCACTGTTGCAGCCAGGTGAACCCAGATTCCAAGCTGGCCCCTGTACTGCATGCAGTTAGTGAATTTAGTTCACTTGGGCTCCCGGGCGCGCTCTCAGGCTCTCCCGCTCTCAGCCTTCCAGGCCCCGGGATGACTGTACTCGATCGCTGACCCCCGCTGGGCAACTTTTCCCAACTCCGGATGGGCAGTCGGCCGGCTGGAAGGTCGGGAGGTACGTCCAGTATGGGCAGTATCAGAAGACGATGGCCACCCACTTCAGCAATCATCTGCGTAAGTTGTCCCGCTTTTTCTCACTTGGGAAGCTGCATCAGCTCAGCAATTCATCCAATACTTGGATTCTGACTGTTCTCAGCCCATGTTTCCTATCTTGTCATGCTGTTGTACTGCTTCTGTCGGGACCCGATCCGGGTGACTCGCCGTACTCGCAACCAAGCCTTGCAACCCCATGCGGCTACCAGCACTTCTTCACGTCTCTATCGTGGGATGGTAGACCACCAAGGTTCTAGCAAACAACAGTGCTACGCTGGTCCTGCTGTGAAACCTGAAGGAAGCGAACGGTGAGTCTTATTGCACTTAGCCCTCACTTCTTGCGGATACAAAACGCTTCGCATGCCCGGTTTTTCAAAGACTTGGTGACATGTTCCATAGACAAAACGGCTAATGGCCTGCCCTCCAGGTTGACTTGCATTGCGTGAGAAGCAGGTGGGTGTGCCAATATCATGTCAAATCAACACTTATACTTCGACATGGGCTCGCTGCGTTGCATACGCAGCTACTCTCAAAATCCGCTCGTTTTCTTGTCCAAGCCATGGCTGGGAGGTGTATAACATAAGTCCGTACCGTGACCATAATCGGATTGTCAAAAGAGTCTACGCCAGGAGGGAGGAAGTGCATGGGCATTAAAGCGCCACCTAGAGCCAACTCAACACGCCTGTGAAGTCGGACTGATACATCTAGGTAAGCAGGCATGGTGGTACGTACCTCTTGCACATATATGCGAAGCGACGATGTTGGATGAGAGCTGTATACTTGATTGGCTACTGTTTAAAAAGCACCGCGCGCTGCACGCCAGGTAGATGGGTCGGCGGAAATGGCAGCCCTGGAAACCCCCACTATGCCAGGCCAAGCACTACTACCGCGACGTCATCTCGTCAACCGGACGAGACCTGGAGCGTCATGTAAGCACGTCAGCATGGCCAACACGAGGGTTAAATCCTTATCTTCGCCTATAAGCAGTATGCACATACATGCCAGTACTGCAACTATCGTTCGATCGTACCGACCACTCAAGACCAGTGAGGAGTATCGAAACCAGAGGCCCGATCATTGATGATCCTGTCGGCTAGTCAGAAAATACATCTCCGTGTTTTTCACACCAATGCGAACCCACTCCCTTATCATCACCAATGACAAGCCACCAATACTAATGCCACAGAAAACCCCTTGCCCCAGATGCCGATAAGGCCTGGGTCTAGAATAGCGCGACTGGCGCACATCCGCGGGATACATAGGATCTCCTGCCCCTTCCCCAGAGGGAAATGCATTCTTTGCGTGTTATCGTACCCTCAGCTCCGCGGTCCCACAGGTGACTGAGACATCTTGGGGTGCATACTGTCTTGACACCGGAGATCCTCTCGAGACCGGCCATATCCCCACAGCATGCTTGCAGACATACATGTTCCAAGGTCTCCTCACTTGCTGCTCGCAAGTTTACAATATGTATTTGCTGTACAGTCCAAGTGGATCTAAATCCCATTTCTTGAATGAATGAAGCCGAGGATCTCCAATAGAGATAACTGAAAAGGTATCGTTTGGATGGCTGCTGCTTCCATCTCCTTCGTTCATCACATCAGTCGATCTCCTTGATGGCTCGCGTGTGGGCATTGGCTTCTTCTCTTTTGACAATACCTGTGTCTTACGATTCTCAACCTCACGCCTATCCGCTCCACCATCTTTATAGATCTATACCCAAATATCCCTCGACACGAGACTTCGAATACGCTCCCTTCCCACAAGCGTAATAGGTCGGATTATTGAGTTCAGCTCGAGTGCGATACACGATGGAAGTACTTAATCCACAACACGACACCACCAAGCAATCTGCAAAGGTGTCATTCGGCCGCTTTCCTCCATCACCACCGGAGACTGCTTCGAACACACGAGAACCTAGTACAGATGGCGAATCTGATGCTTCGGGCCCCTCTTTTGGAATAGATGAAGTGGGTTTGACGGGAGCAAGGGCCTATGCTCTCGCTCCTGCGTCAAGACCAGACAACAAGGTCTTACCGGAGGACTTGAAGACACCGGACAATCATGTAGTGCGAGACCCTCGCTTGATTCGCCTGACCGGTGTTCACCCCTTCAATGTAGAAGCGCCCTTGAGTGAACTATACAATGAGGGTTTTCTGACCTCGAAAGACCTCCACTATGTTCGCAACCACGGGCCGGTGCCCAAGGTGGACGACACTGAAATTATGGACTGGGAATTCTCGGTGGAGGGCATGGTCGAAAAACCGATGAGGTTGAATTTGGCAGAGCTTATCAAGGAATACGAGCAAGTAACATATCCAGTTACACTTGTATGTGCCGGGAACCGAAGAAAGGAACAGAACGTTGTGAGGAAAACCAAAGGATTCTCATGGGGAGCTGCGGGACTCTCAACAGCACTTTGGACAGGCGTCGTTATTGGCGACGTACTTAAACGAGCGATTCCGAAGAGAGGAGCCAAGTATGTCTGCTTCGAAGGTGCAGACAAACTCCCCAATGGGTATTACGGCACTTCGATCAAGCTGAACTGGGCCATGGACCCCAATCGTGGGGTCATGTTAGCACACGGCATGAATGGCGAACCGCTTCATCCTGATCATGGCAAGCCGCTGAGGGTCATTATTCCCGGCCAGATCGGTGGACGCAGCGTCAAATGGCTGACCAGGATTATTGTTACGGCAACACCAAGCGACAACTGGTATCACATATACGATAATCGTGTTCTACCAACGATGGTGGACCCTGAAATGAGCGCACAGTTGCCAGACACTTGGAAAGACGAACGATACGCGATTTACGATTTGAACACCAACAGTGCCACCTGTTACCCTGCACATGATGAACGACTGTCCAACACTGATGCACTGGGCACCTATAATGTGCGTGGGTACGCCTATGCGGGTGGCGGAAAGCGAGTCACAAGAGTTGAGGTTACTCTCGATAAAGGGAAGACTTGGACACTGGCCGATATCTCGTATCCCGAGGATGACTACAGACTCGCGCCTGACGATGATCAACTGTATGGTGGGCGTCTAGATATGTCATGGAGGGAGAGCTGTTTCTGCTGGTGTTTCTGGAACCTCGAGAGTCCAATCACAGCACTACAGCAAGCAGATGACATCATGGTAAGGGCCATGGATGAATCAATGATGGTCCAGCCACGGGATATGTACTGGAGTGTACTGGGAATGATGAACAACCCTTGGTTCAGGGTGGTAATCCACAAAGAGACTCACGGGCTTCGCTTTGAGCATCCGACATTGCCTGCCCTGCAACCTGGTGGCTGGATGGAACGTGTCAAAAAGGCCGGTGGCAACCTAACGAATGGGAACTGGGGCGAGAAGACGTCCGGCGAAGAAGAAGTTGCCATTGCAGAGGAGCCTGCGGAAGAAATATGCTTGATCGACGAGAAGGTCAGCAGGAATATCACAATCGACGAGCTGCGCACACATGACGGCGAGACTGAGCCCTGGTTTGTGCTCAACGGACAAGTATACGACGGCACGAAATTCCTGGAGGGCCACCCTGGCGGTGCAGCGTCGATCTTCGGTGTAGCTGGCCAGGACGCTACCGAAGAATTCTTGGCTATACGTGAGACACCTACCTCTACCAAAGAAACCAACAGTAATTGCTGACTTGTTTACAGACAGTGAAAATGCGAAGCGAATGATGCCCGATTATCACATCGGTTCGCTTGATGAGGCCGCTCGGGCTGCCCTTGCTAATGGAGAAACCGCCATTGAGGAGAACTCATCACCCAGGCAAACCTTCCTGCAGTCCAAGGTCTGGACGAAGGCCATATTATCTGCAAGGAAGAAGATATCAGCAGACACCAAAGTATTCACCTTTGATCTTGAGCATAGCTCCCAGGTTGTTGGTCTGCCAATAGGTCAACATCTGATGATGCGACTTCGCGACCCAGTCACTCGAGAGGCTATCATCCGGTCGTATACCCCGATCTCGGATGTAGATGAGCAAGGAAAGCTCCATGTTCTCATCAAGGTGTACTACGGCACCCCTGAGCGGAAGGGTGGCAAGATGACACAGGCGCTCGATGCCATCCCCGTCGGCCATTTCGTTGACTTCAAAGGCCCAACAGGAAGATTCGAGTATCTCGGAAGAGGCCTGTGTACCATTTCAGCGGTACAACGGAAGGTGAAGCGCTTCATCATGATCTGTGGCGGCTCCGGCATTACGCCAATATTCCAAGTATTGCGTGCGGTCATGCGGGATCCTGAGGACCCGACCTTCTGCCTTGTACTCGACGGGAATCGGATAGAGGAGGATATTCTGTGCAGGGAGGAAATTGACGGCTTGGTCCGTGGCAATGAACACAAGTGCCGCTTGCTTTACTCGCTCAGCAAACCGGGAGATGACTGGAAAGGTCTCAAGGGGCGGATGGGAAAGGACCTGTTTGAAAAGGAGGTCGGCCCCTGCAAGAGCATCAACGGCGAAGACCTGGTGCTTGTGTGCGGGCCAGAAGCTCTTGAGAAGAGCGTCAAAACGATATTTACGGGAATGGGATGGAAAGAGGAAGACGTATTGTTCTTTTAGAAAGCAACCAACAAATGTGAATAACTTAAGATTATTTGCCATGTGGCTGGCTCCTTTGGCTGATACCAATATCTCGTATAGAATGTCAACGATGTGACATATACACAATCCGACTACCATGGCTACCTCTGCTGTCTATCCTGCCCAGTGGCAACCAATGAAGCTTTCTTGATCCTCTGCGCGATGCGCACAGCCCACTCGTTGGCTGCACCAATATCGCCATCTTCTAGGCTTTCAAGAATGCCTGGAAAGACTACCCCGTCATAACCTGCCCAAAGACCCGGCGCGAAAATCTAAGGATCTTGTAAGTCACCAGGTCAAAAGCGTGTTAGTATTACACCTTCATACTTACCAGATGCTTGTACCACGGCCTGCCCGGTAGTCCCTCTTGTGCATTGAGTATAAAGCTCTTTTCCACTCCCCGGTAGCGTCTGTTAATCTCATCGACGCCAACTTGGGTGCGACTGACGATTGTCCCCGCCACTGTCATGAGATCACTACCTCCGCCTAACTCATCAAGAGAAGCAGTGGCTTCTGCGAACTCAGCTACTGCATCCTCAAGGGCGGTGAGTTCTAGCCCAGCAACCTTCTTTGCGTGAAGGTGTTTCACGTGTTTCTCGAGCGTCGCCGCGTAGTCGCGGGCATTGAAGCCGAGAAGCGGGATGCCCGCAAGCCGCACTGCCAGGGTACCCCATAACCGGGCCATGGCAAGATGCTTCTTGAATCCTCGGTCGCCGAACTTCTCAATCCAGAGGTAACTGTCGTAGTTGGAGTGGTAAGGATAAACTGCCGTTCCGCGCTTGTTGAAGACGAGGTCTAACGACGGAATGCCCATGTGGTGGAAGAACGCAGTGTAGTCACTTCCAGTACCCATGGGAGAAAGCAAAGACATTGGCTTTGGCGCAGTTTCGCGATATTCTTTCTCCAAGCTCGCCCAGTCGTCATAGACCGTTGTAGAGTCATGTACGGGAGAGGGCACAAGGCGCATGACGGTAGATAATGCATCTGCGAGCAAGGGGCTACCTATTGCACCTAGTATAGTTCCCCCATTGGTAGATTCATCGACGTTAAGATCTGAGAAGTTGTTAGTAAGAGTTCAAGTGATGAGTGATGCGGCTTGTAGTACAGGCAACACAGTGTTCAGTGAGCTCACTCTCGTGTTCCTCCGCAAACTCGGTAGAGCCTACTAAGCCGTACTCTTCATTATCCCACGATGAAATGACTCTGTGTAACTCAGTATAACTCCGACCGCAACCGGAGAGTATAGCTTACAGTTTTCGAAACGGCTTCCAACCGGCGGAGCAGAGCTCCCCGAGCCCGCGCACCACCTCATTCATCGCGGCACTTCCACTGACTGGATCAACGGCACCGCAACACCATGAGTCGTGATGATTCCCTAGCATCACAATCTCTTTAGTCCGTCCGGGGATGGTTCCGATCACGTTGTATATAGGAGAGTAGCGGTACTCGCCATGATTGAGAACCGAAGCCTTGACTACCGATGGACCAGTGCAGTAGTCTACGCCCGGCAGCCCTCCACGCCAATCTGTACCTATCCCGCCCACGTCTTCGGGAGAAAGACCACGGCCGTTAAGCGACTCTAGTAACGGCAGCGCGTCTGCGAATGATATCGGTAACGAGGGTATGCTTGGAATTGCACCCTTTGGATCTCTGCGTTCCGTCCCTGGCCCAGGCAAGCTGGGATAGCCAGGCGTAGTGGGATCGCCGACAGCAATGGAGAAGAAGTCTACACTCCCTCGCTGGATGCTGGTTGGATGACGAGCTGGCCCGTCAGGGTACGGCTTGTACCCGTTCGCGGCCGTGAATTCGCCATCCTCCTGCGGGTCACTGTATATGAGGACTGCGGCGGCTCCAAACTTCTCCGCCGCACGTACTTTCAAGCCTCTGAACACTTTGCTGTACTTGCAGATGACAATCTTCCCCTTGACCGATATACCCTTGCTTTCGAGCAATTTGAAGTCATTCAATGTCCCAAAGTTTGCGTACACTATCTCAGCTGTAACATGGCCGTTAGCACTGAAACCGTGAAATGACGGCAGCCCATTCGCATGTGACGAGGTTGGATCTTCGACGATCTCGTCTTCCTTCAAACTGGCCTCAAATGCGATAGCACCATCCTCCGATAATAACTTGAGGGACGATCTGGCCGGAAAGTTCTGGAGGACATCGTAACGAACAAGTTCAGTCTTGACGCCATATGAACGCCACAGATCTCGGATCGATTCCGCGTGCTGCAAGTCCCCAGCAAGATGAGGTTTGGCGCTGTAGGTTTTGGACCAGTGCCTTAAATTGTCCACGGTCGGACAGTGCAACATATGTCGTTCAACTTCATTTTGGGCCAAAGCGCGCATGATGCGAAGTGCCAGTGAGGTTGATTGGTTAACAATGCTGTCACAGCCATCTGCTGATACCCAGGAGGCTCAAGCTGCCGAATTGGTAGAGATAAGGTCATATACTGCGTCAGCCGAGATCGGCTCAAGGGGCACCAAGTCCCACATCGATCGGCATCGGTGTGCCGAGTTGAGAACGTGGAAAACACTAGGGACGTGACATTGACACTTAGCATACTAAAATCACAAATATGTAGATAAGGTCACTAATTTAAAACCATATATTGTTTGTGTGATAACGGGATTTCAATTGAGCCATGGTACTGTAGGTGCTAGCCGCAGATATCTACAATCACCCTCATAAACATCCTGATACAGTCCAGATAATCTGGAATATCTACCTTTTCATCGGGTCTAGTATTATACTTCCCACCTGGACCACAAACAATACCTTCCATACCTAGGCTTTTGTATAGGTGGCCAGCGTCAGAGCCGTAGAAGCATGTCGGTGCGATGACGCCAGTTGGCTGTGGCTCTCCCCTTACGCCCTGGTAGGCCTCATTCAGAGACTTGACCAGTGGAGATGCTGGAGATACCTCAAACGAGGGCATTGTAGGCTCGCTCCTCTGCTTGAGTTCGTACTTCATGCCTGGGAAGCCGAGGACAATCTCGTCGATAACTGCAGCTAGATCCCTCATAACACTCTTCTGTGTCTGACCCGGGGCATACCTTGCGCTGCCAGCAATTTTGCACACATCTGCCACCTGAGGTGGACGCCATTCGGCCAGCTCGTCGCCCAATGCACCATGGACGACGCCGACCTGGCAACGATTGCATTTCAGGTGATCGTTGCTCTTTGCCCCACTGAACACCATACCGTTCAACCTCGGAATCAGCCGGCAGGCTGCCATGATTGCATCTGCTGCCTCTTCCCTTGCTGACATATGTCTAGTGATTCCTCTCAAGGTAATTTCGAAAGTCAATGCCTCGGCATGCATCGTGATGGCCCTGATATCGGAAGGCTCGCAGTTGATGAAGTAGTCTGCCTTAGCTTTGCCTCGCTCTATCAAGGCCATCGTGCCAACTCCCCCTTGTAGCTCGCCCACCACGTATGTCAAAGTAACATCAGCTCTGGGTCTCCAGCCGCTAGCTTTCAAGGCTTCAACAGCACAGAAGTAGGCGGCACACCCTGATTTCATGTTGCTAACGCCAATGCCGTAGATGAAGTCATCGTCGATTTTCCCTTCCCATGGATCTATCGTCCATCCTCCACTAACGGGATTGGTGTCCAAATGACCATTGAAAAGGAGAGATTTCGCTTGGCGTGATGAAGGGTGGCGCTTCCACTGATCTCCTTTGCCTCTCCAGATTCCCACTGCATTCTGCCGTTTCCCATTGTCGAATGGTACAATCTCTGTTTCGAGTCCAATCTCTCTCATACGCTGAGCAATGTAATTAGTCACCACCAATTCCCCATCGGTCTGTGAATAGCTCTTTATTTGGACAAGGCTTGATAAGAATGCCAAACATTTCTCGCGGTCGATGCCTGGCAACTGCATGCTGTTCTGATGCGGTGCAACTCCTTGAACTCAATTCTGTGCTAGGAACTATCGCTTGAGTTGCGGCGTTCGTCTTTCGCTGAGAGAGCTGTCCGATTTACGGCTGAGCATTCCACGCCTGGCTCTTTAGTGTCGGCCGGAAGCCCGGTGACTAGCAAGGATGGCCGGTTTTGCCGGTGTACGGACCAATCACGGCGCTCCGCAAGGCCCGAAACGCATCGGAGATCCTTCCGAAGCTGCGATGGATGGTCTCCCTGATAAAGACCACAGTTTCAGTAGTCTTGACCCATCTGAATGGCTCTACCGACGGCTCTCGGGAATGTAATAAAACTGATTTCCGTGCGATACGAATTTCGTCTGGATATCTTCATCCTGATTTATATGCTCCCAGCGTTCCTCCAAGCAAGTAACTGCGATTTCTGATCAAAAGAAATGAGTGATAGCAACGGTATCGAAACCGCTGATGCGGATCAGCGTTCTGCAGCAGGGCGGGAAAATCCAATGAAGGGCGACATAGCTGACGAAGGCTATGAGCTATTTCAGGACTCTACGCCTGAGGTCTCACAAGATGCATCCGAAGCCGTTCGTCGTAAGATCGATCTCCACTTGCTCCCCCTCATGTGTGCACTGTATGGTCTCAACTATGTCGACAAGGTCGCGAACGGTTGGGCGGTGCTGTTCGACTTGAGGGCTGACCTCGGCCTTGTTGGAACCGAGTATGCTTGGGCTAGCTCCATGTTCTACTTCGGCTATCTGGTTGCCCAATATCCTGCCAACTACATCTTGCAGCGATACCAAACTGCAAGAGTATTGAGTATATCTGTTATCACCTGGGGAATACTGATGCTAGGGTAGGTGTCAATCCAGATAAGCAACATTCAATGATAATAGACTGACTTGGTGATAGCCATCTGGGGCTGAAAAACTTTGCCGGCTTCATGGTTATTCGCTTTCTTCTCGGCGTTGCCGAGTCAGTTGTCACTCCTGGATTTGTGCTGTACACATCAATGTTCTATACGCGGAAGGAGCAGGTGATGCGGACTATGCTATGGGCGGCCATGCAAGGAGCATTTAGCATCGTCACAGCGCTGATGTCGTACGGGCTGGGGCACATTACGAACACAGCCCTCAGACCTTGGATGTACATTTTCCTCGTTCTGGGCCTCCTAAGTCTCCTGGTCGGGTTTGGTTGGCTCTTTTTAATGCCGCAAACTCCCAACAAAGCCAGGTTTCTTTCCCCAGAGGAGCGAGTGATCGCAGTCCAACGTGTTGCAGGAAACATGATGGGAATCAAGGGTTACCAGTGGAAGAATTACCAAATGTGGCATGCCCTCATTGACCCGAAGGTCTGGCTAATTCTTGCGTTCGTTTTCTTCACGCAGCTACCAAATGGGGGACTTACGAGTTTTGGTTCATTGGTTATATCTGGGTTCGGATTTGATTCGTTCAAGACCTTGCTTATCGGGCTACCATCCAGCGTTGTCAGTGCAGGTAGCATGATTGTATGGGGAACATTTTCGATCAAATATGGCAATCTGCGGACCTGGGGCATGATCTTGCCACTCCTGCCAGCCATCGCTGGCATCGCAGCTGTATACGGTACGATGGACACTGGGTCTAATAAGTATGGAAGGGTGGTCGCCTACTGGCTTATCAATTCGTACGCAGTGACAGTGAGTTTTCCCATACCCCCTGAGAGATTGTGCGCTAACACCGTTGAAGTGGCCTTTCGTCCTCACCATAATTGGTCAGGATATCGCGGGACACACCAAACGGGCATTTACGAACACGCTGATGCTGATTCTATTCGCAACTGGCAATATTGCTGGCCCCTTTTTCTTCCGGAACCAAGATGCCCCGAAGTATGTGCTAGCGATAGCGAGCATACTTGTCTTCTTCTGTGTCTCTCTCCTTTGTGCGGTAATACTGCGATTCTACATGATCTGGGAAAATAGGAGAAGAGACCGGGTTTATGGAGCTGTGAACACTACTGAGGCTAAGGTAGATGGCATGAGGACTGGCATGCATGACAAGACAGACCAGGAAAACACAGATTTTAGATATGTCTTATAAGATTGGCAATCATACTCATAAATATCTGAGATCCATTGTATTTCTTCCAACCAGATGGGTGTGTGGACATGTGAATTGGATATATGTAGATATCAGACATGCCATGGAGAATGTTGATACATGCAAAGTGAAACCTAGCTTCGATCTATTAAATGGCTATAGAGAAGATACTATTATGGAAGACGCAAATATTGGCTCGACATTTGGGCTGGATAACCAAGACCATGAAGCAGAAGCTTACCACTGCTTCTTGGCATAGCTGGCGACACCGTCGATGACCTTGTCAGTGAAGTCCTCGTTCTTGCGCTCGCCGCTTGTCTGTTTGTTGGAGCTTCCACCGAGCATGGAGCCTAGCATGCCAGCACCACCCTCAGAGCGCTCGCTGCGCCCCGACGAGCCATACTCATTGTCATCTCGACGGCTGCTGCCGTAGCTGGAGTCGTTATTGCCGCTGCGAGAGTTTCCACCATACGAGTCCGAAGAAGAGGTGCCATAGCTGTTGTCGTTGTCACGGCGGGAGCTGCCATAGCCATCATCATTGTCCCGACGAGAGTTGCCGCCGTAACTTGACTGGTTGTTTTCTCTTTGGGAACCTCCGTCGTAAGAGCCAGAGGACGTGTTTCCGTAGCTACTATCACCGCCCCTCTCGTTGCGGGAACCTCCCTCACGATCATAAGATGAGTTGGATGAACCGTACTCATTAGATCGCTCCGACGAGCCATAGGAAGACTCGTTGCCAAAGCGGTCTAGCGCACTATTTAGTTCCCTGGACCCTAGATTTCAAAATTAAGATGACGATGCTAACTCACCGTTATCACGACTGTTGGAGCCGTAGTTGTTGTTCTCGTAGGAGCTCATTGTGGCGGTGGCGAAAATACTATTGCGCGTGAAGGCAGGCTGTCTGGGATTTTGATCAGATGTATCGATGCGATGATGAGAAAGTCCAGAGTTGATGCTGGCAAAAGGAGGGCCTTTATACACGTTGGAAGTCTCTGTATCTTAGCATTACAGGTCGAGAATGACTTCATCCTCTGCGTATGAGATCCTACTACTGAACCTTGGGGCGCTGTACTGTTTCTAGGATATACTGTGAAGTCATCGTGCACGGCGATGGCATTCAACCTGCTCGGCTTGCATGAATCCTGAGACGGGGTCCCCAATCACGTAGCAGGGGGTTCCAGGATTAAGGCTGGTCGCATGGACCCCAAATGATTCGATTGATACGCTTTCGGGAATCTATACCTGGTTCTGAACTTGATTCTCTTTCCCTAACTGAGAACAAACCCCGCCAGAATTGCCCCTTCCCAGGTGAGTCTCATGCAGGACGGGTAAGCGAAGTCGCGATACCAGGCTTGAAATCAGGTTTGATGCGTTATGCGGCTCCAGTGAGATCGTATTATCCCGCAACGAGACCAGGGAGTTGGAAGCATCGGTTTCCCTTCGTCTGTGCCTCCAGTGGTGGTCCTGAAGGGGGCAAGCCTGTTCCTGGATTTAATCCTGGTTCTGATAGTCGACTGCAACCATCCCTTCGGGATGACGCAACTTACAGGGGTGCGGTCGGCCGAGTGGGGGTGACCAGGAAGTTGGAAACTATAGACCATGCATACATGATACGTCTGCGTCTATGACTAGCAACGTATTCATTTTACGTCTGGTTTAGATGTTACCGATACTCCAAGATATATGTCAGGTGCTCTGCGGACGGACGTGATGGTTCTTATGAGGGCGTTGGATCCACTGGCTATTCGCAGCTATCAGCAAGCGCCAACATCTACATATTCACCTATAATTAATACACAGGATGATTGAATGAAAAATGACTACTGAAAAAGGTGAATGACAATTGGATCCTATCATAAAATTATCAACAAAACCCGGCAATTTGTACCCGCTATACCTGGCGGGTTTTAGGCTTTCCAGCATTTCAGACAGCCAGTTCCTGACAGCACGGAATTGCAGGCACATCGCTAGGCTGTTTTGCTATGCTCTACTTTTGATGATGTCTGTAGCTTTCTCGGCCACTGCGTACATAGTCATCTGTAGATGTGTACCTGGAATTAGGGGCAGGATTGATGCATCCACAATTGACAACTTCTGCGTCCCATACACGAGTAGATCCGGCCCAACACAACCGCCCAGCTCTGCAGGCATCATTGCACAGGAACCACTGGAATGAGCATTTGTTGGAGTCAGTATGCCAGTTGCGATTAAACCATCCAGGATCTCTTCGTCTGTCTGATACTGTGCACCGGGGAGGGTTTCAACCGGGGAAAACTGAGCAACTTCCGGGCGGGCCCAGTGTTCGCGTACATACCTCACCATTGCTATTAGAACTTCTGCATCGACAGGATTCATGAGAGTATTGTATCTGACCAGAGGCAGACCGTCGGGATTTGCAGGATCAAGGGATATAATCCCCCGCGACAAGGGCTTCTGAAGGCTCATTGCGGCACCACCACCGAGTGCAGGATGTGTCTCGCAACAGGAAGAGCTATTGGATAAGATGATATTCCTTAAAAATGTCTCGTTGTGCTTCGAATCCTCTAAGGAGTGACGCGTTCCGCGAATAGATCTCCGGGAGAAAGTCGAGCGCGTTTTGCGATGTTATATTCGTTGCAACGGCCTCATAGTTAGCGGCGAGGCGTGAAAGTGGGTGTAGTGCAAGACTATTTCCTGTCCCTGTAACTCGACCACCGGTATAAGGTCCAGTATGATTTTGGAGGTACTCATCCCAAGAAGTAGCGTTGAAGGTTGCATTTAATACCATGGATGACGGATTAGGGAATGATTGATTGGATATGTTATACGCCATCGCTGCAACCGGGTGGTCCTGGAAATTGGACCCAACGGCTGGCAAATCCGCTTTGACTGTCACATTCGCGGCTTCAAGGACATCTTTCGGGCCTATTCCACTCCGTTGGAGAAGGTGTGGTGTAAAGACAGCCCCAGCAGCGAGGATCACCTCCTTGTTTGCAGACAATCTTACGGTGGAGTTATCTGCACGGGATATTGCCAGCACGCCGGTGGTATCAAGGCCATCGTTTTTGAAAAGAATTTTGAATACGCGGTGTCCGGTGAGAAGACGTAGATTCGGGCGAGCGGAAATCGGGTCGTAATATGCAGCACGGGCAGAGGACCTCGTCCCACTGCTGCTATCCAGTGAAGTTGGCAGCCAAAAGAGACCCAAAGGATCCCCCGAAGCGCCGTCCGTCACATTCGGCACCCCCTGAGCAATCCATGATCTTCTAACAGCTTTGACATCTGGGTAGATGACACTCGCAAAGCCAACTTGCACAGGTCCATTGTGGCCCCATACTGAGTCATTCCAGGTAACACCAAAATCTTCCACAAATTCAGGTAACGGCGGCGTGAGGTTGGTGCTTTTCAGAAAGTATGGGAACAGCCCATCCCAGCCCCATCCGGGGTTGCCAAGTTGTTCCCAAGCATCGTAGTCCGCTCTAGAGCCCCGAGTACAAGCCATGCCGTTTACCGCCGATCCGCCTCCAACCACCGAGCCGACGGGGACTCGGAAAGTCGCGTTGTTGAGTTGTTTGTCAGATACAGATGTGATGTTCCACATGTCGGCAGTATTGAGACCTAAAGTGGCATAGGGCAATTCCACAGCATAACTTCTGTCAATGTAGCCATTTTCAACGACGACCACAGATCCTAGAATAGAATTATAAGCTTTCCAGAGTTATGTCCGGGAACACATGGCAAATAGGCATACTCTTGGGGTTCTCACTAAGACGATTTGCTACAACCAGTCCTGTCAAACCCCCTCCAACAACAACGTAATCATAGATATCGGGGGACCTTGAATCTTCGCTTATATGGGCCTTGTTGTATACCGATAACGACGTAGCAAGTGTGGGCCACGCCAGCAGCAGGCGGAAAAGCCTTGCCATTACCTGAGACGGAGAACGACTGTGCATCGCAATGAACGGAAACAAGGCTACAGATAAGATTGTATTCCTCGCGATTAAATTCTGTTTGACGCGAGTGTTCTATTCTAACTACGCTAAGTTCACTGTATATACTACACCAGCATTTTGCGGGGTATACTAGTTTCACGAGGGCTGCATATCTTGGCATCATGTTGGCTGAAAGGGGTATACCGGACTCACGAGGACTGCATCTCTTGGTGACATATAGGCTGGAAGGGGTATCTCCGATGTCATCCCTTCTGTAAGAGTCGCAATCTCATTCCTTGATTGCTTTCTTCGTCGCATTATCGTTCCTTAGTTAATTTTTTCGTCGCACTGACAATATGTCGTACAACGACAATTTGAGCATGGGAGAGTGCTACAACGTAGACTGGTTTCCCTCACACACAACGGCGTCGAGACTCGAGCATACTCTAGTCACGAAGATGATTTGTTTTCTGATGACTGACAGACATGGTAAGACAAAGATGGGACGCTAACGAAGCGAGGATCAGATGAGTAACACCACTTAAGGTCTACCTGCTAATCTCGGCTTCAAAGTTCAGCCAGATCCAAACGTTTCACCGTCATTGTCCAGGAAATCTTGCTCCTCCTTTGTAGTTTCCCTACCCACCCACTTATTGCGATGAGGATATCTGCCGAACCTGCGAATGAGATCCGAATGAGCCTTTCCAAAGCGGAGCTGCGTCTCCAGGGATTCGATTCGAGCCTGATTGTCTACTTCCTTCGCTGCCGACATTTCAGACTGTACGTAACGCTCCAGCTCAACATGGTCTTGAAGGAACTCTGAGTGCATGAGTGGCATATAGAACCAGAACCGCCACACGTGCGAAATTTCGGCATCATGCTGAATTCCTCGTGAACGGATATCTTGAGACACAGCTCGTGCCAACCGGTCATAGTGTATATAGACCAGCCCCTGGTCGCTCCGGTACAGATTACGTGAAAATTGATCCAGCAACAGGACAATCGCAAGAGCCGCCTCTGTACTTTCTTGCCTCTGGATACCCGTTCGATTGTACTCGTCCTGAAATGGCCGAGCAAGAGCCAGGTAGTTGACTTGATCTTTCTCCACAGAGGTGAAGTCCGGTAGCCCCAGTCTCTTAGGACCAATAGACTCTAGGGCTTCTCGTGCCGTATTGTGGCACTCATTGTCGAACGCGGATTTTGCAGCCGGGTCAACACCCGCGCCGAACCATCTCATCCCGGCCTCCCGGGACATGACCGTGCTATCTTTTGGGATGCCTTCGAACCAGAGGCTGGTGATTCTGCGGTAAAGCGAAGGATTGAAGAGGTGCTTGTCCAGCGTGAATGCACGGAGAGAGGCCATTGTATGCTGGATGGGTTGAGCAAGGGACCTGGCTCGCCTGTCGATAGAACCGTATGAGAGTCGTGAAGCAACGGTCAAGTCTCGAGGAAAGTCGCGTGGCTACAAGCGCGTCTGTCAGTGGCGTGGAAAACAAGGGCCAGCTCAGCGCGCTAGTGGCGTGTTGCGCCACTATGCTAAGTACTGAAGTAACTAGCTAGCCCCCACGTAGCTTGTTCATCTACTTCGTCTACTCTGCGACGACAAGTCATCCCTCCGCTGGCGTGAATGCCTCCGCGTGGTCTCATACGAAAGTGGAAGGCCGAGGAAAAGGAGAAGAAATACTCAATCCTCAAGAAACCTAATTCTCCATTAGACTAGCACTCCTTGAGGTCATAACGTGCTGCGACCCGACGACACATGGAGAGCTTTGATCGGGGCGACGTGAGCAGAACTTCATGAAACAAAGTGATGCTGGTAATCTCTTTCTTACTTTTTTTTTTTTTTTTTGACTTCCTTAGGATGTCAATTGCTTTGTCTCTTTGACAGTAATAAAAACGGGTTGCGACCTCGCATACAACACAATACCATTCGTCCGGCTTTGCAACTTTCACTTCGGCGGTATCACAAGTGGGCGAAGGGCAAAACGAACCTACCAGGATTCAAGTCGCCAAGACTAACCTGATTCATTTTGAGCAAAGTCCAATCTGAGATTTCGCAGTCTGAGAATAGTTGCTGTGTCTATGATAGTGTCTCAGGGGGGCGGGTCCCAGGACCTTGAACCACTCATAACGTATCGAGCACCTTCATACGGCACAGTTGCTGTACCAAGACTAACTTTGAACACTCAACAGGCGCTGCCAGTAGCCCCCAAAACGACGTTTGTGCATGATCACGGCAACAGCAGGGCCGGAGAAGAGAGCACACCAATCAACTCCGCCGTTCTTTCAAATCGATGCGACTTTTGCCTCCAGGGTGCTTTTCCCTCCCACCACCAACACTACGAACAAAGTGGGCGCTACTATGCTGACGTCGAAGCTGCCCTCAGCGGACGGTCGGACTCATATGCAGAGCCTATGTCGAGAACATCAGTAGCAAAGAATGGATTGCTAGCGATGCTGGAGGTTATGATATCAGTGCAGATGAAAATATTGGCCGTCCTAGTTCCATCGCTATTGGTGGTAGTTCTCTATGTGCATTTGACCTCCAGCCATGACCATATAGACTCTGGGAACAAGTCCACTTGATTACCAGAAGTCTGCAATTGAAGTTTCATTCAATAAATTGACAAGTTTGTTCTTCTTTATCTCTTCTTATTTATTTTTTTAAATTTTTTTAAAAAATCACAATGAATAATGCCATTCCTGTGGTACATCATTGGGACAATGATTCCAAACCATTTGCACTGTCAGGTCAAGCCTGCCCGCCAGATGAGCTATTCCAGTTCTGGAAGGACAGGGGTCCTGCGGATCACCTCGGCGCATGTCCTTTCGGGATGATGCATCATAGACTTCTTGATTAAGTGGCTATGGGAGAACCATCACTTTTATCAACTCGATCATTGTCCCGATCTCATAACAACTCGTCAAGCAAGTGAAACCATATCGTGTCATGGCGCTATCAGAGCTACAGCAGCCACAAACTGCGCAGCGAATCATTCGCACCAGTGAGCGCGCCACGCTACAGAACGCGCTGCAGGACTCCAGCCCGCCCGTGCTGATCCACCTAAACGCCGACACGACATGGCTGCTTTCGCTGCCATATCCACCATCAAGTCAACCACCTGCAGGCCGCAGTCGGTTCAATATACTGCTGGACCCCTGGCTGCAGGGGCCACAGTCCGACGTCGCTTCGTGGTTCTCAACCCAGTGGCATATCGTGACGCCGTGCATCGAGACCATTGAGGAGTTGAACCAAATTCTGGCTGAAGCAGAGCAAGGCGGTGCTTCCAACGAGTCGCAATATCCTCTCAAGTGTTATATTGACGTGGTCACTATATCGCATGAGTTTACGGATCATTGCCACGAGGCGACGCTCAAGGAGTTGCGGCGGGACGTTCCTGTTTTCGCAACAGAAAAGGCTGCGGAGCTTATCAGGTCATGGAAGCATTTCAGCAATGTAACGACAACTCCAGGCTTCTCATCCTCTACCAAGGATTGGCAGCGCGTCTTGAGTGTCTCGCCACTCCCTGAGTGGGTTGGTATTGGGCGGGTCATTACGGCGGGGAATGCGCTTTACTACCACTCTGCCGTGATGTTGGTCTTTCGCCACGGTACCAAGTCGCAGGCTGTCATATACTCGCCACATGGCATCAAAGGATCGGATCTCCAGGCTGTCCAATCTGTTGATATAGAGACCCTTGCCCTATTGCACGGTTTGCATGATGTCAGGATATGGATGACCAAACAGCTGAATCTTGGTGCGTTGAACGGCCTCGAAGCAGTCCGGGCAAGTGGCGCCCGGTACTGGATTGCTACACATGATGAGATCAAGAAAGGGGGTGGTTTCATTGCGCCAATGCTAAGGAGGACAAAGTATACGGTTGCAGATGCTGTCAAGAAGAAGACTCAGTCTCTGGGAGAGGAAGCGCCAAATTACAACTTCGTGGAACTTGGGTCGGGTGATGGTCTAGTGCTGGCTTAACGGTAGATGTTCAGCTTCTCATTGCTAGCCGGCGACGGCTTATAAGGAATCATGATTCTAATTTGATGGGAGCCAAAATATGAATTAGCATAATGTGGTTGCTGTGGTATCGTATTCATTCTCAGTTTCCCTAGCTTCTACGGGTATTAGGAAATGGCGCGAAGAGGTGGAGGATTGCCGTAAGCCTTGCGATAGCACTGTAGGAGCAAACGTCCAGAGGCCCAAAACTACCATTGCCATGAGAGAAGATAAGATGTACCGAGACAATAGAAACCCCGCATACGCAAAATTGATCAGCCGATACACTACGAAGTAGATGGAGAAGGTGTAATAGTGTAGACGCAGGTAGGTTGCCACATTCATATTCGCTCATCGTCTATCTTTGCCACACATGTCGGCCACCAAGGCCACCAAATTGTAGTATCATTCCTTCTCATTATGGGGCCTGTTATGATTTCGGAAGATCGAAAGACACGAGATGCCACGAAAGTTCCGAAATGGAAGCAAATTTCAAGTGCCGGATGTTGTGCATCTCTGTTGAGGGCAAAATTCGGCTGATTTCCGATACTAAGATAGTTTACCTGATTAATTGCCGCGGGAAGCTGTTGCGCAAATGCGGCTGAACAATTAGCGCAGCAGTGCAACATACCAGGCAGCCAGGGGTCATTAATGACATCGCGTTCGTCTGTTATCCTTGTATCCTGGGTGGAATGTTTTCCGCTCTTGTATAATATGTAGGCTTCACTGTGCGAATCCGATTGTGTTACTGATCTTGCGTGTCGACAACCTGATTTGGCTGTAGTTGAATATAAATGGACGGCGTGTTTCATAAGATGTCAAGCAGGTAACCGGACAACTTCCAAGAGACACTAGATGCACTGTTATTAACTTAAGTGGTTCCTTCCGGTCTGCCCCGGTCCCCAGGTCCCCCTAGTGCCGCAGATCACTATACACAGTACGCGAAACTCAGATTGCTAGACTGTTCCATTCCCAGACCGTTCGTGGATGATCATTCTCCAGAGTTCCTGCTGGTAGTAGTGGCTACTCCACTGCTCATGACCTCCAGATCGAGTACACGAGAGCCGACAAGCGCAGTAAGAAGATGAGGATCTTGCATAGGTCTCACGCATGTGTAGCTGCAAAAAGGCAATTGCGTGTTTGTCCGAGACTGGATACTATTATATTAAAGTTGCGGTAAAACAATTCCAGTCGATAATATATACATAGCGTTTCCGCCAAGAAGTTACAAATCTACCTATCGTTGAGGGGATCCAGCCATCTCAGAATTCACTTCAGGCAGCCCGAGCGTCGTTGATAATTACCGCGCTAGCTTTCTGAGAGACGATATAGAGAGGAAGAGCAATATAAGTCCCAGGTATCTTTGGAAAGATGCTGGCATCCACAACTCGCAGGCCCTCAGTGCCTCTGACCTTGAATTTGCTGTCTAGGACCGCCAAGGGATCATCATCAGTACCAATAGCACAAGTACAGGATGCGTGATGACCCCAAGCCTCGTTCTTGAGGAAGTCTTTGGCAGCTCCTTCGTCGGCAACATCTGCACCCGGCCAGACCTCGGTGAACGAACCATCCAAGGGGATCAAGTCGTCAAAAGCTCTTCGCGCGAACTGGAAGCCTTCATATACGGCCTGCAGGTCTTTGTCACCTTCACCTTGGGAGTTCACTCCCGTGTCCAAGGAGTTGAACTTGATCAACGGCATATCCCGAGGGTCTGTCGACTTCAATGTCACCGTACCGGCGTTATTACGGCTATGGGCCTTAAGGATGATCCATGCCCAGTGTTGTGCATCCCACAAAGACTCGTTCGCGTATCCAGGGAAATAGCCCTGGAAGTTGGCGGGTGCTCCCGAAATTAACAGGTCAGGCTCATCTTCTGCAACTGATGACTTGAGAACAATGGCGATGGCGATACCGTTGGTTCCATACACTCCCCTGGTGATCGGGTCGATTCCAGCGCGGTATGCGTCAAGGCAGGGGTCCGGCATCGACTGCAGAAATGTACACTTCGAAGTGATAACGAAATCGGTATCCGTTTTCCCGACCACAGTGTTCTCGTATCGGTCTTGCATGTTGCCACCAACGCCAGGAAGGTCGACTACTACAGGGATATCGAATGACTCCAGCTCTTCCCGCGGGCCGACGCCACTCAACTTCAAGAGTTGGGGCGAGTTGAATGAACCAGCAGCAATAATAACCTCACGAGCTGCGTTCACGCTTCCCGAGCCCTTAGGGACCGCACCGTCGGATCGGGGATCCGCCCTATACAAGGATTCGCCCTCGAGGTAGTCGACACCTACGGCCTTGGGTTTTGTTCCACTCTCGTCGAAACGGATTTTTGTGACCTGATTCATTATTCGTCAGTACAACCACAATAAAATACCAATAATGAAGGGAGCATACAAGAGTGTTCAGCTTGACATCGAGGTGGTACTTGCGCGATCCGTCTGAGTTGACTTCATGGGCGGTATTCAGAATGAAGTCTCTGGGTCCACCTCGTACGTTATCGTGCATAGATAGAGGGACTTGGTAGAGCCCAGGGTGGCTGACTTGGCCAGGAGCGTTAATATCGCGGAGCAGCACTTGGCCAAGACCGAAGACGGTATTTACGAGGCCGGTAAGAAGTCCTTTACCCATGGCGGTAGCGGCGGAGATGATGAGAGAAAGGAGTTTCTGATCCTCGACAACGAGAGAGAGCGACGTCAACGAGGTCCACAGCCATCCATGGAAGCCGTGGCCAACGACGCTGTTCGGCAAATAGGCGCTTCTCTCGATCTGCTCGAAGTAGGTTTGCATGTTGCTTGATCTCCACGAGTCGTCCCCGGTCAGATCTGCAATATATTCCCAATCACTGTCAAATGCTTTGATGCTGATCAAGGCGTTATGGCGGGTGCATCCTCCCAGTGCCCCGGCGCGAGGATACCAAACCCCGAGAGGTTCTGCATCGGCAGGAGGATCCAGGCCGACGTAGAAGCTGCCGTCTGTAGTGCGATATGTCATCTTGGAGTCCTTCTTCTGACGGTCGGGGTCTTCGTAGTGGTTCACGAAGTAGTTCCACCTCGAGTCTTCGAACTCGGTCGAAAATAAGTGCATGGCTGGGATAGTTTCGGTGTCGTCTGTGCCCGAATCACCGCCGGCATCAATCAACAACACGCTGTAGCCTGCGATAGCTAGGTTCGCAGCCAACGGGCCACCGCCTGGCCCAGAGCCGACGACTACATAGTCATATGTATCCGAAGATGCGCTGGCTTCACGCTTGTCAAAGAATTGGTGATGGCTTCCGTAGTGATGGGCGGCTCCCCCTACTGTGGCACTGCCAGGTGTCGTCAGCAGTGCGTTAGAAACATGTCACTAGAACTTTCATACCCAAATAGAATGCATCCAACTGCGGCCGGAAGACCAGCAAAGAATGGAGAGGTCTTCATCTTGAAACAATTGTTCCTCTCCTCCGTTTCTGATTTTCTCGTTCGCTGCTAGCTGATGGGGGACACAGACGATCGGATTTTCTAGTATTTAATCATGAACGGACACTTTCGTGTCTTACATGACCCACCCCCTTTCACGATTCCGGCGCGATAGTTGAGGCCGAGTCAAGTCAAGCCGATCCACCGCCGTTCCTCGCCCTTGCCCGCGTAATTTCGGCGGCTGACTAGATGGTATATCAAACACCAGCACATGGCCGTCCGACTTCCCCACCTTACCCGGAAAGGTAATTTGAGGGCAGTTAGAGCTGTCAGGGTCCGGCACTATGAACAAACTGTCCAATTGTGCGTCGCTCAAGGTAAGCCCACATCTCTGGGTCGCTACCTAGTATCCCATTGGCCCGAAGCGGGGAGCGACAACGTAACAATCTTAATAAAACCTGAATAATAAGCCCATTTTCCACCCTGGAGTTTGGCAAGCTGCATTAGCTAAATCCAGCCCTGCAGGGTCGGTATAGACTAACCAAAAGCGCGACCAACGGCGCCATGTACGCTACCAGCCGGATAAACTGTGAATTAGGCAGTCAACTACGTAATTCCTTCTATGACTACTCACCTTTGGAGGAGCTAAGAGTCTACAACTGGGCAATCTTCCAACGCCTTGGGGGAAATGTTGTTCTTTACCCACATCTCTCAGCACATACCAATTCGCTCGATTAATTCTTGCCATGATTCGATTCCTACCTTTTACTCCCTTTCCTCTCACCCCTCTTTGAAACCCGACCTAGACCACGGTGTCGTGCGCTATTCCATCAGCTTCCTGTATGATCCTGCAAGGAAGAACCGCATTAAGTATAGCTCGCAGCCTGGTGTGGAGCGATGCCTAACGTCTTTAAGCTATTCCGCGCTACGCTAGTGTGAGGAGAATATTCGAGTGCCGATCATCAACCAAGATGGAGGCACGATACGAGTCACGGCATTTTGGTTATCAAGGGTTCTCTTTCTTTAACTTTCAGCTAAATAGAAATGCAAGGCAAGGGATGAATGGATCCAGTTCCAGAATCACAATCCCTGGCCATAATTGCCGTGTATACACCCCACGCAAAAGTACGGAAAATAATGAGCAAGTTCCTCAAATTATGAACGAATAACCCTGCATATTCTTGATTTCAAGAACATGGTCGAAAAACGAGTGCGGTTGTCAAAGTGGAAATTTAATATCCCTGCGATATTATCAAAAGAACAATTCCAGACATTATCAGTCTCGTATCATATATTATTCCACGCATCCAACATTCATCTAAGGTGGATTACATGACTGTTCGGCAGTAGTTGATGTTCGACTGCACTCCGCGAAATCTTCGGGATCATATCAAGTGGATATCTGTAGGGCTCAGTATGAGCTTATGTAGGACCCTTAGGTGCCCCAGTGTTAGACAACCATACGCTAGTTGGCACAGACGTGCCGCTAATTCCAGGACGGACCGTAACAGTTTGTGGGGGTTTGTTGACGGCGGAATTCCCCGGTATCCTTGGCTAGACTGTCCCAACAGCATGGGTAAGGACTGCCTTGCACATGACTAAGTTAGCCAGATTTATGCAGGGGGTGTGCAGGGATCGGCAATGATAGTATTGACCACCATGACCCAGCCCTGGCTGATCTCAATCAACTACCAAGGTAGCCCATGACATGGATATTCATCCCTGCGATGTGGATATGAATAAGGGCTGGCATCGTTACAATCTGATAACGAAGAAAAGTGCTTCCCGTTGAACCACATGGCTTTCACTCCTCGTCACTGTTAAACATCATCGTCGAGTTTGATGTCTCTAGGACGACCCAACGCCTGCAATGGCGTCCACGTTCGGGTTCCACGACCTAGCTGCACGAGCGATGGCTCCGGACTGCGGTGTAAGCTACAGACTTTCCACTAATCTCGGGCTACCAGACTGACCAGAGCAAGCTGGAATGTATTGTGTCGCTAACGAAGGAGTCAACATGCTCCATTACGAATGCTACCTGTGTGTGCACAAACGTTCCTCTAACCGAGGACATCACGGCTTGCGTGAAGGCAAGTTGCAGTATATACGATCAATTAGGTGGGTATGTTCCACAAACCGACTGAGAAAGGTCACTCACCTCGCGACAGCCACCACCAAGTATTCCAAAGACATGTGCGGTGTTGCACCTGTGGACCGTACCGCTGAGGTGGTTATCGTGCCAATGGTCATCGGCTCCCTTGCTTTAATGGCATTCGTCTTGCGTATCATAGCACGGACTCACGTTGCAAAACGGAGCTGGGGCATGGACGATTGGACAATCACTGCCGCTGTTGTAAGTTCTTCGCCCACTATTTCCTGGAGCCACGACTAACTATGTGCAGCTTTTCATGATCCCTTTGATGTTTCTCAGCATCCCGTGTATGCTCCCAACCCCGTCTACTTCCTCTTCTCCGCCTAATAATCTGCTCAGTATCCCAGTATGGTCTCGGAAAAGATATATGGAATATCCCACCATCGAATATAACCGAAATCTTATATGTGCGTGCAGTTCGACCAACTCAGTATGTACAGGACGTCAATGCTAATTATTGAGTAAACAGTTGTATTATTGGGATGAAATTGTCTACTTCCCGGCTATCGCGTTGACGAAGATCTCGATCCTCCTTTTCTACCTCGACGTCTTTAGACGCTCAATTGCTGGCGTCCAACCAGTCATATACACTTTGATCGCTCTCAACGTTCTCTACGCCATTATATTTGATCTTGTGTCAATTTTCCAGTGCACACCAGTCCCTGGAGCGTGGCTTTCCTGGGACCACGAACATCCTAGCACCTGCCGAAACGTCAATGCGCAGGGCTGGGCAGCCGCAGCAATCAATATCCTCCTGGACTTGGCTACTGTTATCTTACCGCTACCAGAACTGTGGCAGTTGTCACTTTCAAGAACCAAAAAGGTCCAGGTCATGTTTATGTTCAGTCTCGGCTTTATGTACGTTTGTCAAATTGTACCAGTTATCATGGCATTTTTGTGCTGACTGCTTCTCAGTGTCACGATTGTTAGCATACTTCGACTTCACTCCCTTGTGAGCTTTGGAAACACGACGAACTTGACCCGTAAGTGGCACTGTCTTGATCTTCAATAGGCCCGACCCCCTGGCACCGCTCATATTGGGCCGGCCGCCACAAGGGGCTTGTGTGTGCAAGATCTATGTTATGCAGTCTGCGCTCCATACACTGACAGATCAATAGAGGACTACGTAGTGGTTGGCGTGTGGACCACTGTTGAGGTTCCCGTTGGTATCCTCTGCGCTTGCCTCCCAGCAGTTCGCACCATACTGAAAGTGTACTACCCTGCCGTATTTGGTTCAACCCGCCCAAGTCGATCCAAGTACGTTCAGTCAACGACCCCTTCAGCTCTTGGGTCAGCGCTTGGCTCTACTAAGCCACAACTTGACGTATCTGTCGATCGCGAAAACTGGGCGTCGAAGGACGGACGCCAATGGAACGAACCGTCTGCCCTGGAGCTTCACCCAGTGCGCGCGCGCGCAGAATCACATGTATCAAACAACGAACCTATAAGACCAAAGGAAATGGCTTGAGTATCGAACTTGACGAAATCATGACGCAATAGATACCAACATAAATTTCCACACATGGGATGCAGCCGGGCGGGAATATGTTATTCGCTCAATTTAACTTTCTTGGACACACTCTTTTAGACTCCTAAGTATCCTGGGGCTTAGGTAGTAGGCCTAAGCCTCATTGATTGGGGTACTAACTAATACTACGCCTGCGTCGACACATCAGCGCTACAGTCATTATAAGCATATCTCTTTAGAGCGGCCGTCCTCCTTGTATCACTGCCCCATGGATTAGTGGAATATATGATTAGACCGATACAAGTCTGCGATTAAACAAAAATATGTTGAGATCATATCCACTTCCTTGCAGGGGACCCGGTCCCAATTTACATTGGTCATTATTGGTGAATCGACCGCACCATCAGCGGATCCGTAGGTGACTGGGGCGCTGTTAGATATGTTGGATAGGCCCGTACCTGTGGCTCAAGCCCCGAGCTTTCGCACTTGAAACATTGAACAACTAGATAACGGTGTCACTCCATGAATCTTGACCCGCAATCAGACTTTCAGTCAGGGTGGGCGAAACGGCCCGACTGAATCAGTCAGAGTATCGGGGAAATTGCTTGCCCACGGCAAACTGCAAGGGTCAAGGAACATTGAAGCAATGCCCGCATCCGCAGCCGCATCCCAACCCTGTTGGAAATCCGCCGTCGTTGACTCCGCCCTCGGTGTTTGCCGGCATGCGCAGCATAGTCCCCAGGGTCTCATCCAGGGTTCAACCAACCCTTCTACGAATATCGCGTTGGATTCCTGAAACGGCGTAATGGCTTCACCTGCTACTCACGGTCATTTGAGCCTCCAATAATCTATGACCTGGTGGCGTGAGTAAAAGAGTTGCACCCGCTGTGTCCAAAGTACTGACGCTATGAAGTGGCGCTCTATTTCACGATTCGTTGCATCGAAAGCTTGCATTTCCTTCCTCCGCTACAGTATTCTGGCTCATGGTTTGCGACTATGTCCAGTACGTGGTTGGCATTTCCACGGTGGCCGGCCTGAAGTTCAACCGCAAGACGACAAGATGACAAGACGATGTACACCAATCATTATCAGGCTCCGGGGAAAATATTCTTGGGGTTCCCGCCAGAGCCATGGACAAAATTAGTCAGAGATTTTAGGTGAGAAATGGAACAGGTGCCAGATATGTATTTCGGCTAGTCTGGCCATGGGCGCCCACCTGAAATATAAACAGCTTTTGAGCGTCGTTCAGATCTTGTGCACTATGGTCATATTGATGCAAAATACTCAATATAGTCCTGGATGATGAATGGGATTGGAGACTTGTTCGAAAGTAGCATCGACATTATTGCGCAACCAGCCATTGTTTAGCTTCCCTGTATTAGCTCTGGGAGGCTAAGATGGCAGCGACCAATATGGCCACTCTGGCGTCACTCAGAGCATGCGTTGTTCCTACAGATATGATGTTTTCCAATCCAGTGATAATTTTTAGTGGCAGTGGCTTTTGCGAACGACCAGACGAAGGTGCTTTGGCCTTTCAGTGGCGTCTTTCAAAGCCAAGCCGCGCGGGGTTGGCATTTGCTAGAATTGCAGCCGAGTGCGTATATTGAACCGTTATTGGGCATCTTTGTCGTCTTAATGATCCTTGCAGGCAATGACTTTATAACCACGAAAGTCCGTAGATCGCGTGCAGTACAAAATGGAGACTGTCCACATGACTTAACCTTGTCCTGCTTTTCCCTCAGGCACTCCCTAAGATTATCGATCATACCCGAGAATAGCGGAAGGCTCACTCATAGAGGTCGAAATCCAAGCAAGGTACACTATTGAGCCTCTGGTGAAGCTGGCCCTCACGGAACTCTACGTGAATAACTTGCAAACCGATTATATGAACTGTGGAGGACAGGACACCAGTGAGAATGGCAGGATACGAGTATGCAGCAGCATTTAAAACTTGGAGATGATCATGACTTTGGCATTGCTTGCGCATGCGATGACTTCAACACTTTTCTGACGGCCCCGCTGGCCACGATTTATGGGAACGGATCCGGGTACGGATTCTGCCCGGGCAGCGATCTCGGGTACCCCTCGGGCGTTTCGTTGATGTCCATTCAGCCTTCAACTGCTGGTTTAGTCACCGAACGCCAAGGCAGATCGAAATACCTGCAGAAACAAGGGTGTCTCACGTCTATCTCAAATTTAGCTGCAAAATTCCCTTCGTGTTGATAAACCCAGTATATCCTATGCTGCCACGAGTCTGAAGGGTTGTGAGGCCAAAAGGTGCATTTGCGGATTGACACGATAGATCATCTTGCTCTATTTCTCATACCTAGATGAATAGCAGCCAGATGCTTGCTTACTTTTCTTCCTGACTGCTAGTGGTGGAGTAGCGTGTCTTGGGCGTCTATGTATGCCATCCCAAACCGACATATCGAACAATTGGAGCAAACCCATTGGAAGATGTAGTTCGAAATGATCTGGTGTATTGCAGCCTAGCCACTGGCTACGGCCGCTGTGATGCCACTGCCCGGGCAGAATCCCCATTTCTAGCGTAATCAAATGGCTGATTGTTCTCACACCAATCAGCAGATCGCGACGCAGACGCACATGAACCCTAGTATTGACAAATCACTACAGAGATTCGGCATCCTCGTGAATGCGGCGCCTTGTAATGGTTGACTTAGATGACATAACTAGCGACCAAGAGATCGAAAGCAAACGTATCAAAGCGCCGGATCCCGAAGAACAACTCAAACAGCACCCTAGTCACGGGGCAGACAGCCTTGGCAGGGGCAGGCAAGATTTCTGAACTTTGCAACGAGCTTGCATCGTTCCGGTGACTATCATACAAGTTTGACGTCACCAAGTGTGCCCCCACAAAAGCTCAAGGATCAAGCTTTTCTATATATTGGTTCTTATATCAACCCGACGGTACTGTATCGAACAGGCCAGATTTCCTGTTTATTATTTGCACGTTCCGAAATGGCAGGAATCAAGAAGACAAGAAAGGCTTGCGCGCGGTGCCGATTCAAGAAAACAAGATGCGATGGAGGACTCCCGTGCCAAAAGTGTAAGGATGGCGACTTTGTTTGCACCATGAAGTCGAACAAGAAACCAGACTCTTACAAGGTTACACCTGAGTGAGTACCTAGAAGAAAAGCTGTCATCGCTACACAATCACTGACGGTTGTAGGTATGTGGAATTCCTTGAAGATTCACATATAACCCTGGTTAGGACCATTCATAGATTGTATGACATGGTGCGGAAAGGACAGAGAATCCCTCGGGATGATGAAAACGCAGCAGGTTGTGGCGGTGCGACCATTCACGAACTTGTCGCAAGCCTACAGTCCTGTGGTGCATACTCACCATCTAGTTCTCCATATTCAACGATGAACGACACTGATACGGATGCTGAGGCAGTGGATGAGGGCTCAGAGGCGGCCTTGATTCCGTCAATGGGGCCGAAATGGAACTCGTTCCAATCTCCCTCGATGATATACGAACAGGCCAAGTTTGATAGATGTCCTCAAGTATCGCAAGAACCATCGCCTCCATGGGGCTTGATGAGCGGTTGGATACCCTTCACGGGCTGTTGCAACGTTGAAAGTGAGAAGCAACTGCCATTAGGCATGAGTACCAGTTCGAGCGAGGATGTCATCGTCCCTGAAGCAGATTTGGCACCAAGGACCTTGTCGATTGCAGACGCGGAACAGTTCGAAATGTTTCCAATCGGCCAAACACCACAATACCAGAGTAATAAACAGGTTGAAAGCGGTTGTAGTAGCTGGGATTTGGATTTGTCTTCGATCGGGGTTGGCCCTGAAATCAACTGGTTCAACAGGTGAACCAGTGTCAAGTCAAATTTCATCAACAGCTCGTCAGTCAAATATAACATGGCTGAAGTTTTCAAAGCCAGTTGGAAAACACATGGAATAAGCCGTCCACTTCAAATCCTTTTGCACCCCGAGTACCACAAGGAAAGCTTTGCTCTTTTGCGAGGCGTTCAACATTGTCTCGACCAAGCGGAGATGGCTTCGACGCACTGTCTGTGTGCAACCAGTGTAGCTATGTAGCTCTGGACTCAGTTTCAGAGATCAAGTCAACCAACTTGGTGGAACGACCCGAAAGTGGTGTTAAACAGCAATTCCTCTGAAACCTCAAGCCTGGACACATAGTTTGAGTGCCAAATGGCAGGACAGCTGTCAGCTTCAAACTTTCTCGTTAGCCAAATGCCCGCTAAACCCAATCCGTCAGTGATGATGCAAGCCCCCCGAGTAAGACAAGGCAGGACAAGTCACAGCCACGGTATGGTGTATTGGATGGATGAGGTTATGACGACCCCGCCGAGAGCGCGTGTGGTATCCTCGATCCGACGGTTTCATGCCATAGCGCCTTCATGAAATATTTTATCCGCTGCAGTCTGATATCTGCGCAAGCAGCCAGACATAGTTCCCTATTCCTCTGGGGCTTGGGGCAATTACACATTGTTGGATTAGGAAGCAGACATGACGCAGCAACACCATCAGCGGTTCTTCTCCAATCCCAAAGAGATACTCCAGGCGAGCGACCCACACCAAGAGCTCATTGCTAGCCTAGAGCGTATCAACACCCACAACCCCCCGGTTCATACGTGTTCGACTGGCTGGACTTTCCACGGCTTCTACACGGGGCCTACCTCGATCGCGTACCTGTTCCACCGTCTTTCCGAGCTGTATCCGGATCTCGAGTTCAAGCAGCAACCATTGCGCGAATGGTGTCAGGAATATCTCAATCTCTCCAGTCATACCAACAATTCGCCGCCATCTCCTAACAATTGTGGAATCGCAAATGAGACCCTTGTTCATCTAGCTCTGACAGCTGTAAGCCAGCAGGAAGCGGGCCTCGTCAAGCAGCTTTGTTTGTTCGGGCCTTCCATCAACTCTACTCAGGACGATGGATCCAATGAATGGATGTATGGTCGAGCTGGGTATCTTTATCTCCTGAGGCTCTGTCGTCCGGTGGTTCGAGACAAGTCGCATTCATCTACAGCCTCCTTGCTAGAGACCACGATCGAAAGCACGGTCCATAGAATCTGCAAGGTACCACAGCCTTGGACTTGGCATGGGAAAAGATACCTCGGGGCTGCTCACGGGACCATAGGAATAATCTGCCAAGTCATACTATCCAAGCCCTCAGTCGCGCCCAGTTTTGAAAACATAATATCCAATCTACTGGACAAGCAGTTTGAGAGTGGAAATTTTCCATCGTCGCTTCCGGCTGGGAATGACAGGCTGGTGCAGTTCTGCCATGGGAGCCCAGGAATTCTTTTAAGTCTGCGCTCTTTACAGCCTCTCTTCCCACGGCTCCAGAGCAAGATCCAGGAGGCCATTGAAAAAGCGCAAGGGGATATATGGGAGCGCGGAGTTCTTCGCAAGGCTCCATCGCTCTGTCATGGTCTGGCTTCCAACGCGTTAGCTCTCGACGATGATCAGCAGTTTGAAGTGTTTCTCTCGTGTCTGTGCAGCACGTCGATGGAAAAACTGGGTTGGATGAAGGTAAAGGGGAGAGGTGATGAATTTGCCAGCCTCTACACCGGGGAAGCAGGTCGAGCCTGGACGTGGGCCATCGCAGATCGGCGGTTGCCCAGGACATGTATTGGATATAATGACTTATGAACAAACATGCAGCTGTTCTGTTTTCTGTTCTGTATACAAAGGAAAACAGATAGTATCAATGCCGATATTCCGCGGTTATGCCTGGAACGATGATCCCAATTCAAAGACCATTATGCAGCACTCACTAATATGTGCGAAAAAAAAAAAAAACATCTATCTGACCAATGAGTCCTTAATGAGAACACTATTCTTTTGGGCCTCCCGTTGTGGTGGTTTCAAGTGTATTCCAAGTGAACCCAGATGGCCACAGAACTACCCTCGCACAATAGCAGGCTTCAGGAGATCTATCGGAGAGAGAGTGCGTCTGTGTAGGAACCACGCAGATGTGTTATGTATGAGATAGAAAGTATGCATGGTATAATATAAACAACGCTAAGCTTAATTAGGTAGAGAGAACTATACCAATACCTCGGGCACGATAATATTTATCTACCCGAGGCGTGCCTGTGTAGCAAAATATTGCGTGCACCAATGCTCAGACTTTTGTTATATAGCCAACACCGATATACGCAGCAGCGATGGGAAAGGAAAGAAGTTTCGTCATGCCTGAGAATTCCGTAATTTGGAGTTACTGATGCTGATTGTTGAGTATTCGACATGGTTTGGAAGCGGGGTCACCGATCACGTGTTAGCTCAATCAGTCACGCCAAAGTATTTAAGTAATTGTGGGCTGAAAATCTAGGACTTTTTAATAGCTAACGAGTAACACTTTGAGGCGTGATGGATAGATCGTAACGATGGCATCGGATCACTACTGTCTCAGCTCTCCGGCTACAGAAATTCGACTCCTTGACCTACTTGATCCAACGCCTTCTGGCGCCCTTTCTGGACAAGTCAGACGGGTCCCCATCGGCCAACCACCACCGTTCATCTCGGTTTCTCATGTTTGGGGCCAGAATCAGGCGGACCAATCTATGTATATCACTTCGGGCTGCGGCAACAGAAACATCTCAATATCACGTAACCTTGAATCGTTTCTCATTGGCTTACTTTGCCATACTCCAACTACACTGCCACACCTCTGGAGCAATGGGTCCCGGCTTCCAATGTGGATTGACATGGCCTGTATCAATCAGGCCGATTTAGACGAGAAAGTATGTCAAATTCCTCTGATGCGACAAATATACTCCCAAGCAACTTCGGTCTTTATTTGGATCCATGAGTATGACAGCCATATTCGATATGCATTTCACTATATTCGGCAGTTGCTTGAAACCGGAATTGAGGGAGATGGCGATCCTCCCAGGACTCGATTCGATCCTATCGGCTGGGACGCAATCAAGCGCCTTCTGCAATGCGAATGGTTCAATAGGCGATGGGTTATCCAAGAGGCAGTGATCTCTGCAGAAGTAATCATCCTATGTGTGTCTGACTATATGAATTTCGACGATTTCCTACGCGGTGTTGATCATGCGACAACTGCTTTGGTGGCAAGGCCAAAAAGCATGAAGATGCTCAAGGTCGCCTCGACTGGTGAAGTCAGGCCGTTGCTTGCAATGAGAAAATTACGGGACTTCGCGAGGAGTTCGCGACATCTCAGTCTTCTCTGGTTGCTTGAAAACCTTCGATTCACGCGCGCGAGTTTGGCTCACGATCAAGTCTATGGGCTCCTGGGCTTCTGCAGCCTATCCGAAGCTGCTGGAAACCCCATTCAATACCATCGTAGTGCAGAAGAAGCATACCAGATTTGTGTCATGACGCATGCGCAGTTGTACAATGATCTCAATTTCCTCGGCCTGTGTACTCATACTCAAAAGGATACAATATCTGATGACTTGTCTGGGACTTGCTTTCCCCGCCCCTTCGAAGGGCCATCTTGGGTACCCAACTGGCATTCAAGATATCTTCGTCGATGTCTTGGTCTCGGCGTCTTAGAACACGATCAGACATATTTTAATGCTTCAGCCACGCTCCCGGTAGAGTTTGCTTTCGATCAAAACAAGCTAATTGTATCAGGTGTTTTAGTGGATCGCATCCAGGCATTAGCTGATTTTTCCGCCTTGCATCGAAAATCGGACTTATCGGACCCTGACGCAAAAGTCTTCCAGGATTATTTCGATTTCTGGGCGCAGGTAGCAGATAGACCAGCACCATATGGAGAGAGAGGTGCTTGGGCAAGGGCATTTACTCGTACACTGAGCCTCATGGGAGTGTACTTGAACCCAGTACCCAGACCAGATGACATACCCACAATGTTTTGGCACTGGTGCCGCAATACAAACATGGGCAACCAGCTGGAGGGCAAAGCACTCAGTCTTCCTGAAGTAACCGATAATATTGACCAACGAGGGTTCGCTAGAATGAAGCGACTTTCATCGTGGCGGCCATTTATCACGGTGAAGGGCTACATTGGGCTTGCGCGGGAAGAAGGTCACGTAGACGACGAAATCTGGATTATCGGCGGCTGTAGCGTTCCAGTTCTTCTATCCTCTGCGGATCAGCGTGAGGTACGCGGCGAAGTGTTTCTTGATGGTTTCATGTTCGGGGAAATTGGAGGAATCATGGATAGAATTTCTATAAGCAAGGCAACCCTAGTTTAGTGACACACTAACGTGATCCACAACCAAAGGGACATGGTAGTTCCGATATATGTCAAAATAATTCGTCCTAAGATCGAAAGTGATGCACGAATTATGGGACAAGCAAAACCAGTGCACCAGAATAACAGATTAGAATCGAATCTTGGGTAGAAGACTTTGCCCTTGCCAGAAAAGTCTCGTATGCTTAGCCAGGCAGGTTGACTATACGCTAATGATGCTACTACACGCTAATTATAATGCCCGATACGGTCTTCCAAAGACTCCAAGGAGATTTGGAGACACACTCGTTCTTGCCGCCGTGCCGAAGTCTACTTGCCATTACCTGCAGTCACATTCATTTTGGGGCAATCATCCGCAGTAGCCCTGCATGACTGGTGAAGAACTCTTCCCCGCGCGCAATTATTGGCCTTTGGTTGGTGACTGTCCACCTTGTCATACACTTGGCGACTTGCTGCAGAGTTGATAGGCCGGGTATTATCTGTAGGATTGGAGGCCCTTACACTCTGACGTCTGTAGGAAAACATTGTGAGGGGTTCGGGGTGAAAACTGTCATAGGAGTAGTTCAGCACACAAGTTTCGATTGACTACACACAACATCCCAACCCATCAATTGCAATTACGTATCGGCGATCATGTCTGACTACCAGGCTGTCATAAATGAATACAATGAGCAAGCATCTTCTTATACCGATTATACCTCTCTCCCATGCGGGGTGTTGGAGACCCAACTCATGACCAATGCTCTAGGCAATTGTGAGGGGCTAAAAGTGCTGGACCTGGGCGGCGGCTCAGGCCTCCGAGCCCGTCAGGTAATTGAGCTTGGAGCGAGCTCCGTGAACGTTGTGGATCTCTCACCAGAGATGATGCGCGTTGGGAAGGATATCGAAGAATCCCTCGGCCGCAACAAGATAAAGTGGGTGGAAGCTGATCTATCCCAGTCGATCCAACATTTGCAACTGGGAGAGTATGACCTGGTCATGGCGAACTGGCTTTTTGATCATGCCACTAGTGAGAAGGTACTCGAGAAGATGTGGGAGAATGTCGTTACTCATATCAAGCCTGGAGGACGATTCGTGGGTGTGAGAAGCGGGGATCCGAGGTCTTTGGTCTTCAGCACCGGAAAGTATGGTATCTCGTACAAAGACCTCGAGGACATACCCGGCGGCATAAAGCTGCGATATGTGATGCACGTGGAGCCACCGATTGAATTCGAAGGCACGCCCATGGAGATTATGTACTCAGGCTCGACGAAGATGCACGAGAAGTTTGGACTCGAGGACGTTCGAACGGAACGGTACGAGGATACCGAGATTATCAAGAATGGAGACCCTGATTATTGGAAGATGTTTCTAGATAACCCGGGAATGGCAGTGGTGAGCGCTAGGAAGCCCCGTGCTGGATAAATCTACTAGTGGCTACTGGCAAGAACCACTATCACACTCGTTAACTGATTGAAACTTCCTCTTGCTATTGATAGTGTTGGGTCGTATTTGGCACACATGATTGCGTATCAGCGGTCATATTTTATGTATTTTGACTTTCGTACGTGGCTGAGGATGAATGGCAGCGGACGATCAAAATTAGCTTCAAAATTTGAACTCCGTAATATGAATCACATGGTTTAGATGCGTTTATATACGCGAGGGTCCTGATTCCGCCGTGGACACCAGTTCACACCAGTTCAGGCTTTATCATGGGTTTTGTGAACGAATTATATCCTGACGTACATCGATATCTCGGAATAAGCCACGACTGCGCTCCTACGGACAAACTCCGATTTGCGCCGCCTCAGCGTTACGAAAGCAAGAGACACTTGAACGCCTCGGCCGTCCCATTCGCGTGCCCACAGTTTGGAACAGGTACGCCGACCATCTGGTTGGTGGACGAACCGTGGTTCATGAACGTGGCACCTTGGAGCGAAGACTGTCTGTCCGTGTCAGTCTAGACCCCGTCGAGGGCCTTCAACACAAGCCGGGAGAAACTTCCAGTCTTCGTCTTGCTGCATGGAGAGGATCTCCAGGCCGGTTAGTCCTCGGTGCCGTACCAGCAACCACAACCCTGGATTCAACAACGCCAAGCCCACATCGTCGTCGCCGTGCAGTATCGCCTGAATATCTTCGGCTTCCCTAACGACCCTGGGTTTCCCTGATGGCCATGACTTGAACCAGAACAACCTGGGCATTCTATATCAGCGCATGGGATTAGAATGGGCCCGCGACAACATTGCAGCCTTTGGAGGCGATCCGAACCGAATGGTGCTCTGGGGGCAGTCGTCTGGCGCAGCATTGACTGACGCCCAGAACCTCGCTTTCCCCGAGGACCCCATCGTCCAGGGTCTCATACAACAAAGCGGAAGTGTGCTGGTTCCAGTGGGAGAGGAACTGGTGACGGAGGATCCGACGCACAGCAACTTCACGCTCGTAGCTCGGGGTGCGGGTGTGCCGCACACTCGGGCGCCGAGCAGCTTGAATGCATGAAGAGGCTCCCCGCGGACAAGATTATCAACTTTATGCGGAGCTATACCGTGAGCAACAATAGCACTAAACCGATGCCGAACTTCATCGCCACGCCGGACGAGGGGCTCATCTTCTCAAACTACACAGATCGCTACGCCAAGAGTCATGCAGCAGCAGCTTCGTCTGCCGCACGGTTGACCGGGCAGCCAAGCAGGAAAAGGCTATGAGGCCCAAAAATAGCTGCAGAGCTACCTTTGGTCCCCGGTTCTGGCGAAGCCGGTTTGCTGAAAGGTTAGGGATGCGGCCGCAACATTAAGGGAGCGCATGATCCGGCCTATTACTTGGGCCCATGCATCTTACTTGTCGCCGTCACGAGACGAGCGCCAATATCTTGTTCCACGAGGTCAATAGGCTTGATATTGCTGGAGACGACGACAGCCTGGTAGAAAAGATCCAAGTCGCAGGGTGCTGCTAGAGATTGCGGCATGTCTTCTTGGCAGGCAACGGACTGAAATTTACCGAGTGCAAACTGGACAGGAAGTTCCTGCGCATTTGCGGCCTTGGCCGTCCTATCGTTGACATATCGAGCAGTTTTCTTATCGGGAACGGGCAACCCGGTTGGGTCGACGGCATCTCCGTCGAAGGTGTTCACTGGTAAGCCAAGAGCATAGATCCCGCCACGGCGATGCGCCCTTTCCAAACCATGACGTATAGTTGAGGGATCACAGTGTGGTCGGATGTTTGTAGTGCCCGAATCGCACTTAGACGTATGGTACAATCCTAGCATTTCTCAAGTGGTATCACAAGCTATGCTTTGCGAAAGCAAGCTGTCCGCCAGCATTACAGGTCTGATGTTCTAGGATGATTACAGCTAGTTTGACAAGCACCCACCACCCTCTTCAGTGGCGCTTTCAGGAGATGTCCCAGTCGCCGCCTTCGTAATCCATATCCCCCTGGTCCCTGTCCGGCCGTCCAAAGGCGTTGGTCTCCTCAACGTCATTGGCAGTCTTGGCCGCTTGTTCGTCCTCCAGACCACTAGACATGGGGAAGTCGCTATCTGCCCCAGCGGTCCTGGGTGCTGAGTTGGCCCAAGTGAGCTCGACTGTGCCGTCTACACCAGGGATGGTCTTGTTTGCAGATACACCGAACATAAACTTTTCAGCCGTTTTGCGGTCCTTGAAGGTGATTTGTGTGGCACCGGAATCCGTTGAAATATCAGTGAACTCACCAACACCCTAGAAAACTTGTAAGTATAGGTTTTGAAGGAAAAGGAAGATGCAGACATAATCCGCGGGGTAAATACTCACGAAAAGGTGCTGACGGAGCGCTTCATCCTTCGACGACTCAGTGAAGTCCACGCCCGTGATTGCAATGACCTTGGGGCGATTGTCGAGCGAATAAGCTGCATAGGCAGCGTGCACATCTTGCGTCGCTCCTCCTCGACCGCGGTATCCATAGCCGCCACGGTATGCTCGCGGCGGAAAGCTACCTCGGCCCCTGTACGGCCACCTGCCCCGGCCTCGGCCTCTGGAAGCCCAAAAGGGAACTTCGTCGCCCGTGGCGTCTGGATCTATACCAAGGGAGTCGGCTTCCTCTTCCAGGGCGGCAAGCTTTGCCCGCAAGGCTTCTGCTTGCGACACACCGCCTTCATCGGGTGTTGCCTTTGTCAAGACAGGCGATAAAGAGTCCTCCTTGACTCCATTTTCAGCAAGCTTGGCTTGCAACTTGCGCTTCTCTTCCAGTTGTCTGGCGATGAGCTCCTTGCGTTTCTCCTCAAGCTCTTGACGCTGACGCTCTAGCTCCTCACGCTTCTGCTGTTTCTCGAGATGTATTTTCTGGGCCTCTTCTTGTTTGCGCTGGAATTCTTCCATATCAAATTCAGGTTCGTTTGACGCCTTGTCCCCATTGGTATCGTTTCGAACGCCATTTGTGCGTTGCCCATCAGAGGCAAACTTGGATTCATCCTTGAACCAGTACAGCTTTACAAAACGGTTGTCAAACACGACCTTTGGCGACTTCCAGGCAGCATTCGCCGCCGCCCAGCTGTCAAAGTTGATGATGGCTATCCGTTTCTGCGAGCCAGGGATCGAACGTAACGACACGTCGGATATGGTGCCAAACTGAGCAAAGAACTCCCGGACTGCATCTTCAGTGAAGTTCTCCTCGGGTATATTTTCGAGAACGAGCTTGGTGTTTGTCTTGTCATGGGATGGGCCTTCAGCGGAGACGGATGACCTTCCACCCTTCCTCTTGGGCTTCTTAGGCTCACGGCGATTGGGTGGCCAACCGTGGAGAGCTTTGTCCTGGGGCTTGATCGGCTGACCCGGATGTTCCAGCATGCCCATGGCAGCGTTGTTCGGATCGTACTCGTCCGCTGCTGGTGGCGCCACGAACGAGGGGACGTATACAGAGCCGTTTCCATGTTCGTACTGGCATCGATTCCCTCTAGAGCAGTATCCCTTGGTCTCATAATCTCTGCAGGGCCCCTTTCTCCGGTGAGACGACGCCGGTATCAATGCGGGCCCTGAGTAGAGAGGCTGGGGCAAAGGGCCGGTTTGTGGCATCTGAATACCCATTTGCGCTCCAAGTTCTTGCAGCCGCTGAATATTTTCGAGAATGCTATTGGCGTCGAGGGACTGCTGAGACATTGGGAAAGGCGGTTGGGAGGGATAGCCTGGTGAGAGTCCACTGGGGGCAGCAAACCCATTAGAAGCTGGGTGGCCCCCACGGCCTCCAGAACCGTAGGGTTCGTCAAAGCGGCTACCGCGCGGGTTGAAAGCACCTCCTCTGCGGGCCTGCTTGTAGGGTTGCTGATATGGCGCTCCACCGTAGAGGTCGGAGCTGAAAGGCTGCGAGTCCGGAGCATCGAGATCACGATAGGATCGCTTCTTGGAACCGTTGCGGAAGGTCTGAGAAGAAAAGCCGGTCGGGGTCTCGGCGTACGGGGTATGCTGCACATTGAAGGGTGGCACATAGGGCTGCTGCTGTGCTGCAGGGCCTAATGGAATGTGCGGTGCCTGTGGAGGGCCTAGAGGTGGCTGTCGGGCGACTGGGGGAGCGGGCGGCGCTCCCGGGAGGTAGGATTTGTACTTGACAGCCTGGAAGACATCGTCGGTGAAGGCGGCAGCATCTAAAGAACGGCACGATTAGCCTTGATCCTAGGTCGACGCGGCAGCGATGCCGCGACAGGAACCGGTGCAGCCTACCTTCCCTCATAAAGTCTGGTATTTCTTCCTCAAACACGCCGCGTATAGACTCCATGTCGCCGTCATGTCGCAGAAGCGCCAGCACATAATCGGCCAGGACGTCGGCGTCAGCATCGGTCCTTGGGCAAACAGTCAGCTACGGGATCGGAGGGAAGGAAAGCGCGGTGCCTAGGGCTGCACTTACGTATTCGCCAGGCGCTTGATGATCCACGCCCTCAGATGAGGCGCGTCGCCTTCGGCAAACAACATGGCCGAGGATTCAGATAGAGACGAGTCGAGGGAGCTTGTGATTCAGTCCCAGCGAAGTGCCATCTGCGCCGACTGTTCTAGGGCATTCGCTTTCGGGGGAGGCAGCTAAGTGACAAGAGATGTTGGGCGTCGCACGGGTTGTTGGTCCAGTCCGCGACAGCTTCTCATGTCCAAGCACGCGGCATGCTGTGCACCCAGTTTGGTTGGTGGGAGCTCGGCCGGGGATCTGTTGCGACGCCGGTGTTGGTGTTCTGGAGTTTCGGTACACAGCTGCAAGGCTGCCACTGAAGTCATGCCCGTGCCTCTGGAAAAAATAAACCGGGGCCAGCGGCACGGCAGCTCATTGGCCAGAGCTTGCAACAGCAATCGCGCGCTACCTAGGTAGGGGATTAGGTAACTTGCAGGGGGCCAGCACCGCGCCCTGATCAGCAGCCTGGCCCGGCAAGCTGGACAATGGCGGGGGCGGGGTCCGCGGGCATCAGAGCAAACCGCCCGTCTCGTTGCGACGGATGGGGACCTGGAGACAAGCTCCAAGGATAGATGCTTGGGATCACAGGCGAGTGATACGTTGATCATGTATGGATTCCACATTCTGCTCGCAGGTACACCGTAGTCAAACGTGATGTTCCGAGGCTGCAAGGATCTGACCGCAACGTGAGACCTGCAGTTCTATCGATTGGCCCTCCACCTCGATAAGTTGCCGTGAGACGGACTGCTCGCGATGGGCCTGACTCTCTCATAAATCCCGACCGAGGTATCCAGCAGCCTGTGCTATGCCCAAGGATTCTTCGCCATCTTGACCCAAGGAAGCCGTTCCCTTCTTTTATCATCTTCTTTTCTGTGACCCCCGGGGAAGGCTGAGTTGTCTCTCATTCTCCCAGACGTCCGCCGCCCAAGGCCACTGCTCACTGCTAACTTGCTCCGAACGCCATATAAAAGCATAAAGACATACATTCACGGATATTATTTTCTCATTCCCACCTCCTGTCTCTACTACCACCGAGAAAGTCTCCACCTGCGACAAGATGGCTTTCACCATGCATTCCCACTCGGGGCAGTTCTGCCCCGGCCATGCGGTGGATCAGCTGGAAGACATTGTGAAGCAGGCCATCAGCAAGGGCTTCACCACCATGGGCCTAACCGAGCACATGCCGCGATACAGTCGCGAAGATCTCTACCCAGAAGAAGTACGTGCCACCTCTTCATTCACTCCATCCCGGCGTCAAACGACTGACAAATTCCTAGTGGGACAACCCCGAGGAAAGCCTGGCGGCCCTCGTGCCTCGCCATGAGGCCTACCTGGTCGAGGCCCAGCGTCTCCAGAAGGCCTACGCTTCACAGATCCACATCCTGATCGGTTTCGAGGGCGAGTGGATCAGATCCGAGTACGGCGACCTGATCACCTCGCTCGCGTCACACCCGTGCATTGACTACTTCATGGGCTCCATCCACCATGTCAACGGCCACCCCATCGACTTCGACGGCGTCTTCTACCGCCGGGCTATCGAGTCCGCCGGCGGTAGCGAGGAGAAGCTGTACGAGCGCTACTACGACCAGCAGTTCGAGCTGCTGCAGGCTCTGAAGCCCAGGGTCGTGGGCCACTTTGACCTCTGCCGCCTGCTGAGCGAGAAGCCCGACAGGGACGTCCGGGAGTGGAAGGGCGTCTGGGAGCGGATTGTAAGGAACCTCAAGTTCACAGCTGGCTATGGTGGCTGGCTCGAGTGCAACACCAGTGGTCTTAGAAAGATGCTGGCTGAACCGTATCCCTGCAGGATCATTGCCGAGGTATACCAGTACATATCCGTCTTGCCATCTCTGAAGTCACTAACAGTGGTATAGGAATGGTTGAAAATGGGTGGCAAGTTCACATTCTCTGATGACAGCCACGGTATCGGACACTTGGGCACCAACTACCTGCGCGGTCTTGAGTATCTCGAGAGCTTAGGATTGACTGACGTCTGGGTCCTCCAGCGAAACCCTGCGCAAGACACCGATGGCACCACCAAGGCTGCGCTTAGCGACAAGAAGGTGGCCATTTCAGATATCAAGGAGGTTGTCGCCAAATGGTGAATAAGAAGGATTATGCGTTTCAGGGAAACGACATACAGGAGGATGACGACACTGCATTAGATTCCCGGGTTCGGGGGTGATTTTCGACGGAGATAGACGGCGAAAAGAAAGGAAGAGAAACTAAGATTACAGGTACACCTTATAGCAGGGTATCCTACCATTGTTACGGAATAGATAGAGAAGGAGAAAAAGCCTAATACCGGGCACTTCTCGTGATACTCACAAAACACCCCCTCGGAAAACGTTCCACACCAGTGAGTTGCCCATCCACTTCACCAAGGCTTCAGGGAATTTTGTATTTTTGGCCTCTGGGGTACCATCTTAAGTATAGCGGGCCCTTGTCCCATAGGAGATAAGTTTTCTGAACCGAGTGCCAGTCATCTTGACCCGGCAAGACATCGACATCGAACTTGAAGAGTAAGCGGGCCGCGATCAGTCTCATCTCTGCGAATGCGAGATTCTTTCCAATGCAGTCGCGAGGGCCAACACTGAACGGTTTAAACACCCCGTGGCTGTCGGCAGCGAACCTAGAGTCATACAGTGGGTGTGTTTGCTTTAACCATCGTTCGGGACAAAAAGAGTCGGCATCGACGAAATGCTGAGGGTTTCGAAATGTTGCCCACTGATACACGTGAACCGAGGTCTGTGGCTGTACTCAGATAACAGAAACCCAAGAATAGTGTGACGTAGCAAGAGTGGAACTTACGCCTGGTGGAATAAAGTGGTTTTCAATCTCAGCGCCGGGCGATATCCGCGGTGGTGGCGCTGGAGCCGGCGGATACATCCTCAAAGCTTCTTCGAGACAGGCTTGCAGATATTCAAGCCCATGTGTACTAGATATACTAATTTCCGATTCCTGCGAAAAAGCTCTGCGGATCTCATCGACGAGGATAGCTTTGACGTGAGACGACTGGTTCAGGTAGAAGAAAAACCCGGATAGGGCGCTCGCGGTCGTCTCACTTCCCGCAATTACAAGCAACGGAGCGAAAGCCGCGATCTCCATTCGAGAGAGACCCGGGTCATCACGATCTGGGCGTAACATGTGCGTTACAAAGTCACGCCTGCCCTTTGGCTCCATCCCGAGGCCTACCTGGTCTTCACTCTTTGTTCTTGTCCATTCCCTATAAGCCTTACCCCTTTGGAACTGCTTGCCTCCAAATACGCGTTTCAATAAAGGGGAAACAAGGGGGTAGGTATTGCAGGCTCGTAGAAAAGCATCGGCTTTCACACCTTCAAAGATGCTCAGAACTAGCGGGTGGTAGGCGCTACTTTCGAGGCTGCCGAAAGACTCGCCAAAGGTCAAGTCGCTGATTATATCAAAAGTGGTAAAATTCAGCCATTGTACAATGTCCATTTTTTCCCCAGTATCCACAAACAGGCTCTGAATACGGTGGACAAGCAGATCGATGTAATGGCCGATGATAGCTTCCTGCTCTTGGATCGCCGTACCAGTAAAGGCACGGCCGAGGTGCCGTCGCTGTCGGCGTTGCACATCCGCGGATGAGAGCCCCAGGGACGCATACATCTCTTTGTCGAAGCCCCGAGGAAGTTTATCGAAGTGAGCCTCCCCAGGACGCCGGGTGTAAACTTGTGGCCAGCCGATGCTCCCGTCCATCGCCACGCTTTTAGGACCTATTCGAACAATCGGACCATAGCGCCTGTGAAGCTCAGAGATCTTCCAGACGCTTGTCCCGGCGATCTCGCTGGTGTACGTGAAAGGCAGACTTGAGGCAGCCCATAATTTGGGCCCAGGGAGCCTACACAATGGGTGCAACCAAATCCGATACGCGGCCAACCCGGCCCTGTACAGAAGAAGCTATCAAACCCATAGGTCATTATTCGAAACTTCTTGAGCATATTACAAGCTTGAATCTTGACATACCAAAATCAGGAACAAGGTGACGACAAACTTAACGTTAAGCCGTGGCTTATCAGACACGCTGTCGTCTTTCCGTAGACAAACTTGCCCACACATCATCGCACTCGATCGCGGACCGTGTCGAAAAAATATCGAGAGAAAAGGAAACCACCAAAAAACCCCCATGGGGTAGGGTGGACACCTGGTCAGTCTGTGAATATTCGAGCAACGTGTGATAACGTTGCCCCCAACTCTGCCGCGAAAGCCTAGATATGTTTTAGGGTCATTCGCCATGGGCACCACGGCAGATAGGAACCCAGCACATGGGTCTCTGAGATGAACTAACCACGGGTGAGACTGTTTGACTGTCACCATACGTCATGGCGAATGATACAATGTAATGCAGCCTACTGCGGTAGGCTATCGAATAGCACATTGATGACGCGGCTCCTAGACCTGTCAACCGGTCTCAACATTAGTTAGCAATGAAGGCCAGTGGTACAGAAACGGATCATGGTATGCATCCTGTATCGCATTGCGTGGCCGGTGACCCGAGGTGCGCTATGGCACAGAAGGTCCATGCACTTGAATCTATCCTTCATACGTCCTCGCGCCACGATGCATTCGCTCAATGCAACCCTCTGCTTACAACTCACTTAGCATGGTACGAGTGATCTTCACACCACTACATAGGTCTGAAAATGATGTGGAGTTCTCCCCAGGAGAGGCTTGGAATGGTGCCGTTGAACTGTTTTTCCTCATTCACTAATTCAGAACCAGGCCTGAATTCGCCAATCAGCAGAACTATGAGTCGATTATCTAACGTACTATTTGCGAGCTACAATTTGGGATCTGCGGGTCATTATTCTGTTATAATAGCAATCTCATAACGATATGAAAATATAGCAATCTTCGCATGCAGCGGCGGTGTAATCAAATTACCAGAAGGCTATGAATTTCGTTTCGAGGCTCTCTCTGACCTCTTCCTGCTCCGTGCCTGGAATATGGAAGGAGCAATGATGCACACCACCAGCTACGGAGCTCAACTCTTTTTCACTCTCCGTATCAAATATCTTCATGAAGAGCACTTCGTCAGGCGTCTGATCACTGAGCCAGTACCATCTGTGTTGCGGGTTGGCCTTGGTGAGCACCACGTCAGACCTAAAGGGGCCATTGATTCCAGGAGGGCTCCGCCAAAAGCTCACACCGTCATTCTCTGTGCTCGAAAAGTAGTCCACGTATCCCATAGGGTCTCGCTTCACTGGCTTGAGCGGCCTCCACGTTGTGTACAAGGCCCACCTCCTCCCTTGGTAGTTCTTCGTAATGCCACCGAGAAGCCTTTCGGCCTCATCCTCTGCTTCAATGATGTCCTGAGCTTCAGTGCGGAGGTCATGGCTCCAGTTTCGTAAGGTGTTGCGAGCGCCCAAGGTGCCCCAATCTTTGTGAGGCTTGCGGACTGGGCCCTCTCGAATACCATCTGCAAATCCCTTTCCTCGTGTGGTAAGAGGCTGTTCCGGAAGAACTTTGGCTTTCACTTGACTTGAGGGGTTGGAACGTGAAGTATCCTCCTCCGAGGACGAGGGCTGGGGGTACGGCGGGGCGCTCTCAGCTTCCTTGAATGGCGCATTGCGTGCAGAAGCTAATAGGATTATCACCTTCTTGGCGCCGGTAACGGCCTTTGCCAGCTCGGCTATCTCAGGGTCGTAGACTTCTTCACGGATTTTCTGATTAGTCCAAGAAGACGCTGTGTAGGGCGAGCGACTGAGAATAGAGTCATGCCTGGCAATTTGAAATCCATTGTTGTCCAGAGTAAATGAGGCTTTGGATGGGCGAATGTCCACAACATCCACAATCTGCGGACTGGTGTCTTCTATCGTAGAGACACCCGCAATAGGCGACGACGGATCCAAAGGACCGTCGTAGTAAGGGATAGCTACTTTCACGGACATGATACCTGGTAGACAAATACCACTTGAAATTGGACTTCAATAAGGGCGCGGTATGGCATTGGGCACATTATAGAGAAGCGCAGATTAAGCAAGAGCTCGTCCTCTTTGCAAGCGGCCTTGACGTCTCCTCACTGGATCATGTGTGGGCAAAAATCACATGTCCTGTTGCATCATATCATACTCTTAAACCGGAAGCTCGGCAACTTGACTGTTGCCATAATGACCGAGAGTCTCACAGTTGTCAACTGCATGAAGGTTTCTAGTACCTAGATCAACATAACTGAATACACCGTTATCAACAAGTCTATACCTCATGGTGTGAAGATATGAAAGCAATGAGAGCCGTCGATCCAGACAAGTATTGCAGGCAGGGGTTGCAACTGAGATACGGCTCATCACCTGCGTAGAAGAGTGGGTCGATGTGCTGCTGTTTGACAACGAAAACTACTTCGGCCTTGTGGAGTACATCTTGGTATCTCATACATGGGGTAGACATTTGAACCAACGCTGCAGCTGTATGTAATAGATATCGAATCAACGGAACCACGAAGATTGGTGCATGGCGATGAATGTGCAAAATGTCCTGCAGCGAACCTTAAACTTTCAGAGCTCCGTTCGGCCGAAAACTCTTATCGTGAGAAAGACATCAAAAAGAGGTATGGCACGATGTCAAGTTTTACATTACGGCTTGAACGCTTTCTCAAACCTTAAATTTCTGGCGTGGGGGCGGAGACGTGCTTTTACTATCTACAGCCAGTGATGGACACACATGCATTATCGTTGTTCGAATACATTCCTCCGTGGAGTCTCTGCATACGTCATAATGCAAGGGCGAATCGAATCGATTTGTAGAATATTTATCTTTGACACAAGTTTTACACTCATTGAGAAACACTCTCTCTGCGTGGGCTACCATATGTTGTCAGGGTAGAACCAGATTGGTCATCAGCATATTGTATTTAGCTCGTAAGAAAGCAAATTATACACGAAGTCATGCTAATGCAGCCAAGGATGTCTGAGTGTCACATCAGGCTCACTGGAATTTCCAACCGGAACGCAATCTAGCAAAGGATCTTGGCCCTTCCGTGACTATCTTTGCACCAATTTTGCTATAGCGGGTTCCAAATCTTGACGCTGTCTCATATAGAGGCGGGCTCTCGGATCAGGAAACATGTCGCTATCAAGTGTGAAGTTTCGCGGCCGTTTGGAGCCTGCTGGTAATTTGAAGTCGTAACGTAGGAGAAGATGGGCCAATACCAGTTTCATCTCATTCGAGGCGTAAAAGCGACCAGGGCAGGCGTATTTCCCGTACCCAAATGCCATATTGCTCGAATCAGTCATAGAAAATAGAAATTTATGTGAGTTCTCGGGGTGCGCTGGGTCTTCCCGAAGCTTCGAATAGCGGAACGGATCAAAGTCAGAAGCTGCAGATGGTCCTGGGACGTGAGAAGGGTCTTGCAGCATGGAGTGCGAAGGAACTGCTACTCTAGTTCCAGCATGCATGATGGTTCCATCTGAAAGCCTCATAGACTTGTGAAAAATTCGATTGAAAGTCACTATAGATAGATTAGTGAAAGGTCACCAGTGAACACTTTTGACTTCTCACTCACGGAGGAAAACTGGACAGAATCTTTGAGACTCTTTAAGTAAGCTGTCCAACTTGTAAAACCGGTTCAGCGTAGTCTTCTGCCATCCTCCATCTCTCAGCAGCACCTCAGTCAATTCCTGCCTGAGAGGTTCGAAATACTGCGCATTATCACATAGGTCGTACAATGCTTGGGTCATAGTCAAGGCTGTCGTATGAATTGATGAAAGACTCAATATCAGCATCCTCTGAGACAGATTCCCGGTCTCGGTCTCCTCGCCCCTTGCGGCTTCCATCATCCATTGGAGGACATCGCTTCGTTTCTCATGTAGAAAACCATTCTGGGCGTCAGAAATATTTCTAGCATGGACTATATCGCCGATGATCTGCCGTGCGGCAGCGACATTTTTAAGCAGCCCTCTATGTGAAGGCAGCAATGCTGCGACAAGTGGCCGAAGAAAGCGAGGGAATACTCTCAGTATCATGCCAGTCAAGAATAGATTCTCCGTGTATTGAGCTGTTGTTTCGAGCCATTCTTCATTACGACAGTCTTCTGGTCCAAGGAAAACCCTCGCTGAGATCCGAGATATGATGCGAACGAAAATTGCCGTTATGTCAACCGCCATCCACTCATCCTTTCCTTATGTTTGTTAGTCCATGATTTCTTCAATTCCTGAAATTATGAACAAACCTTCTGGCTCAGGGATTTCTCTCTCAATGGCGAGATCCAGCTCCTCTTTCATCATAGAGGTTAATGAAGACAAGGTTGGTGTCAGCTTTTGCTGAATTACACGATTCTGTAAGTCACTCTGCAAAAACACCAGTCCACGGGTATATTCTCCGGCAAAATCGTTGATGAATGGTTCCACAGAGCGTATATTATCTCCGGATAGCTTTCGAATTTCATCCACGTATTTTGGTGGAATTATGAGGATATCTGTACCGATACGCCGCACCTGGAAAATGGAATCCTTGAACTGATTTCGTCGTGAGTAGTCTTCCACGACACCATATCTGTGACGTTAGGCGCATCAGAACATACCTTATGATAACCCTCCTGGATCATTGAACCGCCTTGCCATAAGAAGCGTAGACGTACTAGCCACGTTGGTTCAAATATACTCCTATATCCAATGTAGGGTGCTTTGTTTGTGAATAAGTATGACTGTATCACATTATTGAAGTATAAACATGACAAGAAGGCAAACAGAAAGAGGTAAATTGTGCGAGCCTCCATCCATCGATATTGAGATGTCTCCAAGGAAAGCCACTCGGGCCAAAGAAGACTAGAAACTTTTTCGGCCATATTTCAGAGTTGCTTCCTGTCTCAATTGTTGGTATTCGGTATGGAGGAGCTGGCAATGCTCAGGTGGGAGACTTTCACTGGTGCTCTCTGCCCTCTAACTAGAACAATCAACACGTACGCTTACGGAGAGGTAGATTCAAAGCAGGGAGGAAGCCTTCTAGCCTTCTTGTTACGTTACAGTCGGCTCTGAACTGCAAATGTCGTGCATATAAGGAGCGAAAGCTGTGGTTGGGTGGCCCCCCAAACAGAGTATATCTGTGCTGTTCCACCGCCTGCATGCATAGTCAGCTACCAAGATCGGATGTACTGGAACTTGAGTGCAGAAAACTAGGCACATCTTCTCTTATCTCGAACGATAATTCTTCACTCAATTGGCTGTTGTGACTAAAGTGGATACCACGTTCCCTGCTAACTACGTGATGTGCGCGTTGTACATTACCTAGTATGATGCAAGGCTAAACCTTCTATCTCGATGCCAAGTACAATTTCAAACTTCTTCTCAAGATGATCGAAATCTCCCCAACTGTAGACTTGACATCAGCCGGATGCGACCATGCGCACAGGACACCATGCTCGTATCTCGTCCGAAATATTCCGGAAGTAGGAAACGGTCCTACGGCAATCAATATTCGGTAGATTGGTTGATTTGAGGACCATTGTTTCCGTTGGGATGACTGGCCTATCTATGCCCCGGCCAACATATCTTCTGAATCACAAATTCTCCTGACGTGTACCCTAAGGACTGGAATCGTTTTCTAAACTAGTTTCTGTTCCACGTTGTTCTTATCGATACGATCACGAAAATGTCACGATTCATATCTTACCCTAGGTATAATTTGTCCATTATGCCATCTGCTAGTCCGGTACAGGCAGGACCCAATATAGCATACTTGATAATCTCTAGTTTTCTGGCTGCCACGTTGGGATTCTGGTGCTTTTGGGCCTCGAAGCCGTGGTCTTTCAGTCTCATCAATGGCAGAAAGTTTTGGGAGATCACCAATGCTCGCGCCAAGAAGGACTTCATGCTTAGAGCTAGAAGCCTGATCGCCAATGGCCTTCAGCGATATCCTGGACGACCATTTCGTATTATGGCCGACGTAGGTGAAGTGTTGATTCTCCCACCCAAGTACGCCTATGAGATCCGCAATCATGATGATCTCAGCTTCACCAAAGCAGCTTTTAAAGTAAGTGATTCCGACAATATTTGAGAAAAGCGCTAACAAGGCTCAACAGTGGTTCTATGCACACCTTCCAGGCTTTGAAGGATTCAGAGAAGGAACGAGCGAAAGCCATCTTATGAAACTTGTTGCCAGGCACCAACTCACACATCAATTAATGCTGGTAACCGAACCAGTTTCCGAGGAGTGCACTTTAGCCCTTCAAGAGATTTACACTGACAGTGAAGGTAAGTGTGGAATTGTCAAAGTAGAGAGCATGCACCAGCTGATGGCTCATTTTACCATGATTAGAATGGCATGAGGTTGTCGCCAAGACCGCCAACCTACAGCTCATGGCACGAGTGACATCTCGCGTGTTCCTGGGGGTGGGGCTTTGTCGGAACGCGCAGTGGCTTCGGATCACGACGACATACGCAGTCATCGCTTTTAAAGCGGTGGAAGAGCTTCGTTTTTGGCCATTTTGGTTACGTTCAACAGTCCAATGGTTTTTACCACAGTGCACGGCGGCTCGCGCGCTTGTGGACGAAGCCAGAGCCCTGATCAATCCCCTTCTCGCGCAAAGACGTGCGGAAAAGGCCGAAGCAGCCCGACGAGGGGAAAAATGTGAGTACAATGACGCTATAGAGTGGTTGGAACAGACCGCCCAGGACAAACAGGTACACTATGACCCAGCTTGTGCACAGCTTTCGCTCTCTGTGGCAGCACTGCATAGCACTACCGACTTTTTTACCCAGGTCATGTTGGATATTGCCAGCCATCCTAAGCTTGTCACAGCACTTCGGGAAGAAATCATCTCGGTGCTAGGCCCGGGAGGTTGGTCGAAGCAATCTTTGTATAAGCTTAAGCTTATGGATAGCGTGCTCAAGGAGAGTCAACGCCTCAAACCCATCTCAATCGGTGCGTTATCATATTCCTAGCGGCAACATGTAGTTCTGCTATATTGAGTTCTATACGCGTTACTAACATCTCTAGCGAGCATGCGACGTATGACGACCGCAAATGTGAAACTGTCAGACGGTACCATTCTGCCAAAGAACCATCTAACCCTTGTTTCTTCCCACATGCATTGGGACCCCGAGTCTTACGTAGAACCGGAAAGGTTTGATGGTTATCGTTTCTATAATATGCGTCAGCAGCCAGGGAAAGAAAACAAATCTCAGCTTGTGAGCGTGAGCCCGGATCACATGGGCTTTGGGTTCGGACTCCATGCTTGTCCTGGCAGATTTTTCGCCTCAGAAGAGATCAAACTCGCTATGTGCCATATTCTGATGAAGTATGATTTCAAGGCAGTTGCTGGATCAGATATGGAGCCCCGTAAGTTCGGGCTGAACATGAATGCCAACCCAACCGCAAGGTTAGCGGTGCGGCGGAGGCAGGAAGAAATCAAGCTTTGACTCCAGTCTGTCTCGTGAAAGGTCAGGGAGCTATGCATGTGTAGCATTATGCGACTTAGTTGATTGAATGAATACAGCTCAATGAAAGTGCCGTCAAACTCAAGGATCTACCGAATATTGGTGCGTACCTAGAACCTTCTGATACGATCCATTCGTCGACATTGAATCAATACCACATTCGGAGAGTCCTGCAAGTCTCCTCTGCACTATTCTATTTGACCCACGGCAAATTTCGGAACAGTCTAGACCATCGTCTGTTGAACACATGATAGTCGGAGCAGGGATTTACGTACTGCGACGTTATCGACAGCCTGAGCCACCTTACATGGCGTTGAAATCTGCAGGTTGCGAACTCTAATTTGGCCCCCACCTCCAGGAAGCACTCCGGGTCGCCGATCTGGATCGCCATCACATTCTACATGTCCAATGGCGATCTTTGTAGCGTTGCGTCAATACGAGGTCAGACGGGACGGTGCGAAGCGCCTAGCTAACTACATAGGGTTTGGTGCATTTGATGCCATTTGATACATCGCAAACTTAGGAGTTCTGACTTCTGAGCAGATCTCGGCCGAGAAGACGCAATTGCTTCAGTTTTCTGGCCAATCTAAGTAATGCCGCTTATCGTCTCTTCTCTTCTTTCGTCAAGCTGTGGTCCCGCGGAGGCCGAGCGTGCCCCTCGCCTTTTTTTTTTTTTTTTGAACCAAGTCTGATGTCTCATTCAATCGTACCTTCATGCATTTCTCACAATCAATACAGTATAGCCCCTATGGCGATCCTCATGTTATACGTTACGGTCTTCTTGATTATAATCCCAGTCTTGTTACTGAAATTCCTATTATCACTACGAGAGGACCAGAAAATACCAATTGCAAACCCTGCCAGCTGGCTGTTTGCCGAAAATAGAGCAAGGGTCAGAAACTTCGGCCTTCTTTTCGCAAAAATGAAGACTAACTTGAGAGAAGAGAGAATTTGTGAAGCTGAGTAAAGATATACTTGCTAAGGCTAGAGCTAGATATCCCCATCAGCCATTTCGGCTTTTGACGGATTGGGGCGAAGTAATTATATTACCGCCGGAGTTCGCCGACGAAATTCGGAATGACCCAAGGCTCAGCTTTGGAGAGGCTGCTATGCAGGTAACGAATTCATAGCATTAAACTAGTTATGTCCTGATATTGACCGTATTCATGTAGGACAACCACGCAGGCATCCCGGGCTTCGAGACTGTTCGTCTCGTCGGTAGGACTGACCAACTCATCCAAACCGTTGCCCGAAAGCACTTGACCAAGCATTTGTGTAAGCGGGTTCCCTATGACACGCCACAAACTGATATGATCCGCTCAAAATATGTACAGCTATGGTGATTGAGCCTCTATCGATGGAGACAGCATTGGCAGTCTCGTTGAACTTTGGGGAATCTCCTGGTAAGCATTGCTCTATTCGCAGAGAATGTCATCAGTACGAAAGATTCACTGACCATGTGGTTGGACGGGGTAGGGTGGACCCAAGTGCGGATTAAGCCGGCTATCCTAGATATCATCGCCCGGATCTCGTCACGCATTTACCTTGGGGAGCAGTTGTGTCGAAATGAAGAGTGGCTTCGGATCACAAAGACTTACACAACCAACTTCTATACTGCTTCAACAAACCTTCGGATGTTTCCGAAGTCAACACGTTTCCTAGCTCACTGGTTTTTGCCAGATTGTCGAAAGCTTCGGTTTGAGCTCAACGATGCAAGGCGAATCATCATGCCTCTGGTTCAGCGGCGAAATCAGATCAGACAAGAGGCTGCTGCTGCTGGTTTGTCAATTCCTCGCTTCAATGATGCAATTGATTGGGCAGAACAGGAAGCCACAGCTACAGGCACGAGTTTTGATCCAGCGATATTCCAGTTGACCTTGTCCCTCTTAGCAATACATACTACCTATGACCTCTTACAGCAGACAATGATCGACCTTGCCCAAAATCCCGAGTATATTGAGCCGATCCGCAGGGAAGTCATCGACGCTCTTCTTGCTGATGGCTGGAAGAAAACTTCGCTCTACAAGATGAAACTTCTCGATAGCGCCATCAAAGAGACACAGCGAATGAAGCCTGGCAGTATAGGTAGGAATACGATCTTGGCCACCTGACAAATCCACTTATGAATAATCACTGATTCACTAGTTCGTCGTGGTAGTGACGATGCGACGACGTGTCATGGAAGACATCAAGCTATCTAATGGTCTTGTTCTGAAGAAAGGAGCCCGCATAAATGTGGACAACCGCCGTATGGATGATCCCGCGGTTTACAAGGACCCCCAGCTTTACAACCCGTATCGGTTCTTCGAGATGCGATTGGAGCCTGGCAAAGAGCATATGGCGCAATTGGTATCCACAAATTCAACCCATCTCGGGTTTGGTCATGGGGAACACTCGTGCCCCGGGCGGTTTTTTGCAGCGAATGAGATCAAGGTAGCACTTTGCCATATCTTGGTTAAGTACGACTGGAGGCTGGCTCCGGAGACGGATGTCTCGCCAGACAGGAAGGGTATGCTCGTAAAATCAAGTGCAGGGACCGACATCCTAATTCGACGGCGTGATAATCTGGACATCAAATTGGGTATGTTGTAGAGTATCCACTGTAGCCGTTCTGGCGAGGGGGCGAATTATATTATAACTTTATAAAATTATATCTTTTAGCCTCGTAATTCCTTTCAGATATCTTTGAATGTTAATATGTGGATGGGTTTGGTAGTAGTTGAGCCATCCAAAGAAAGTTGCTAGCAAAGTGTTGTACTCCTATCACGGAGCGCTGGCAGCCCTTCAAGCCGAGTACAGCCAACCCTAGGTACATGGAATCCTGTGTTAGGAAAGTTGTTGGAGAAGATTTGCATCAAGGATTCCCTGTCAAGGAAATTAACCGGGCGACCAGCACGCGAGGCCGATCTGAGCCTCGACTGCGGGCCTAAAGGCTTGGTACATAAATTCCTGAAACGTGGGCTGATCAGCAATGCACGATTGGGTTCTCAATTGGTCCGGATCCAAGCCGAGAAATGAGTTGGCGCACAGTTTGTACGTTAACTGCCGGTACATGATAAGCTCAAAACTGTGGGTTCATGTACCAATACTTGACAAAAAGACGACTATCTTTACATGTGTGCTTTATCAATCCGTGCGAGTACTCGTAATACTTCTTCGAATGTCTCACGCCACGGATGGCTCGATCAGCCCATGGGGGACAAGGAAACACGCTGGTAGTCTAGGCACTGCAACTTAGAGTGAAGAAGGTAATCAATTTGCAAATCTTGATGCCGATAATTGGGTTCTTCTTGGTATTCCACGCTGTGCCATCATCCTATCTAGCAAAAACATAAGTTGCCATGCTTCTTGGGTTTGGATTGGGTTTGGATTGTTTCTTGGGTCCTCTGACAATGCCCACCCGCCAACCCCCGCCAACTAATTCTAGCGTTGGAGCATCTCCACCAGCGATCTCAACTCGTAGTTTACTCTGCCAATATCCTTCTCTAATAACCCTATATCCGCTATTGCACGCTGATGTATATCACTCAAAAGTGAGACTGTCCACTCTAGGCTACCACATGACCTGATTCGGTCTAGCATCAATGCTTTTTGTTGAATAGTCAGTTTTCCTTGAACACGTCTCGTAGATATCATGTTTCTCAGTAAGAGTCCTCCAGAGTCATTCTGAAGGGCGTGGATCAAAGTGATTGAGTATTTGCCTTCGTCCAGATCTTCGCAAAATCCTTTTTGTGAAGTATACTGGATTCAGGGAGTTTTTAGTTTCCCCATATTCAAGTCAATATTACTGTGTTATACATACCTCAGTGCTGACGAGATTTTGGTAATCATCTCGAATTTGAAAATACTGCCCGAAAAGCGACAACAGTGCATCAATGGCCGTGATAGTGCCTTCACTCCAGTCTACCCTCGCATGTGTTGCAAGGAGGTAGCCTGCCAATTTGAACAACGTTCCTGTTTCTTCGGTCGCCCTTAGTAAGCTGCGTGCAAAGTGACGCATGTGTAGAGTAACTCACTATCATCGACCATCAAAATGTAGTCTTGCATCGAAGGGCATGTTTCGTTGAATGTCCAACTCAGGTCCACAGCCTGGCCCTCAAATAAAGTCAAAATCATATCTGGAACACGATATGAGCTGAGGCGATTTTCCAAAAGGCATATAGCATCTCACTTGTAGCTTTTATGACGCAAGAAGGTTCCGAAAAGCTTTGTATCTTCGACATTGCTCTGATAATAATGTACGCAGCTGAGTTGATGGACTGAGCAGGTCCAAAGACTGTGTGCGTGGACGGCTTGCTTCGGCGCAAAGGCGAATTGTCTTGGAAGTCGTCGAGTCTGGGTTCTCTTAGCAAACATAACAGATTTTAACTTGAAAGGCGAGCACACACATCAGCGATGAGTTGTGAAGCATACTTATGACACTCTTGATGGTTGATACTGTCTCTTCTGGGCAGTCGAACCAGATGTTCAGCGCGTCAATCAGCTTTTCTCGGACTCCCTTTGATGGCATCGTCGCTATGTACTCGTACGGGGAGTTCACAACCTACGACTCCATTAAGTTTCGGATCTTCTTGGTCCCTGAGTAGAGTTGCTATGTTAAAGACCCGGGTCACTCACTCTGGTGCGGCGTGCTGGCCATTGGCTCTGCGTTTCTTTACTTGGCCAGATTGTGAGGCAGTCCTTTGCAACAGGCTCTGAAATAGTCGTAACAGATGAGCTTGGGACGGGGCCGCACACGGAAGACTCTTCAGAGAAGCTTGAAGACACCGAACCAAGGCCATAACAGCCGCTCGATAGTTCATTTTCCTGAGATTCTTGCTCAAAGTTATGAGCCACCAAAGCTGACCCTTCAGTTGGCATAACTGGATTTTTTTATCACAAGGGAAGCCTGGGATGGTTCATCAATATACGCATATATTAAGGCGAGAAGCGGTGATTATTTCGACGGATTACTAGATCCCGTCTCATAGTTCATAGGGAAAGAACAAGTGTAAATGTGACTTTCGAGAAAAAGCGCCCCCCAGATTTATTTCTCCGAAATTTTGGTCGATAGCTGTTGCCTCCAATTCCAACTGCCATATTTGATATCACAAGAATGAGGTTACATGCAGTGTGGTGGCCCAACCTTTCATCCGAACGGGCAAAAACGGGATGTATGTGGGTGACCCCACCGGTCGAATATATCCACTTGACATGGGGCTATACTTCGCGTCTTATCTTGCGTATGCGTATATCGGCATTCCAATGTATCCCCCATTGATTTCACTGATCTGCATCGTTTCTCTTCGTCTGGAATTTCTTTGAGTCTGAGCGTTTGTAAAGACGAGTAGGGGGGCGGGGGGTGTCTCCATCATACTTTTTCTTTGCATCTTGTCTGCCCATGGTTTATTTCTATTCCACTGCGTCGCAAAGTACCTGAGCTAGCAAGGACTTGGGTATCTATACTTTCGATGAGGTATTGATGAGGTGGCATGATCCCATAACAGAAGCTGCATGGACGCTGAGTCATACAGACTGCTGAAAGGCAGATGAACGACACCATCGCCTGGAAGGATTAAACTGAGCCTAAGAGTACCCGCGCTACGCTGGCCTATTTTACGCGTGAGATAAGAGCCCCTTCAGTTACCTTTGCGTTCTTCAGGTGGTCACATAGCTTGTTTGATAACAGTACGAACATCGTACTGCGCCGTGTTGAGCAACTGATATTCTAATTGTCTACATACACAACTGCAGCTCCTATCTAATTTCGAATATTCAATCATGGATAGTGCAACTGAACTCAAGTCAGCTGATGAATTACTTGCTGCGGCCGCACGATCGCTTATTACCCGAGCTTCCTCAAGCTTTCACGCCTACTATGGCTTATCAACAACAAGTTGCCAGGTCTATGATACGGCTTGGGTGGCTATGATTTGCAAGAAAGATGGCGAAAAGAAATGGTGGCTTTTCCCAGAGAGCTTCTACTATCTCTTGAAGACCCAGTCAGAGGACGGTAGTTGGGGCAGTGATTCTGCGACGCAGACCGCAGGCATCTTGGACACGGCTGCCGGCCTACTGGCACTTCTCAAACACATCAAGGAGCCTTTCCAAATCAACGATGTATCGAGTGATGAAATTTCCAAGCGAATTGACGCTGGTATTGACTCACTCAAGCAACAGTTAGCAGCCTGGGATGACATCCAAAAGTCTAATCATATAGGCGTTGAGATCATTATGCCCTCATTATTAACCTACATTGAAGAGGAACATGGGACATCTTTCAATTTCCCTAGTCGATCGACACTTGAAGCCATGAACATAGACAAAATGTCACGCTTCAGCTTGGAGTCGTTGTACGACAAAAAGCCTTCTTCAGCAGTTCACTCCTTAGAGGCTTTCCTGGGTCGAGTTGATATGGGACGGCTGTCCCATCACTTGTATCACGGTTCTATGATGGCTTCACCTTCTTCGACAGCCGCCTATCTAATAGGCACAACTCAGTGGGATGATGAGGCTGAAGCATATCTGAGATACATCATGACAGCCGGCGCTGGACATGGAGATGGCGGGATTTCAGGGACGTTTCCTACCACGTACTTCGAGTATAGTTGGGTCAGCAGATCGCATCTTCCACTATGGGTAGAAACTAATGATAACTGGTTCAGATTCTTGCAACATTTTTGAAGAGTGGCTTCTCAAAAAAAGAAATCGAATGTACTGGGATGCATGTCTTCGCAGATATCCTACGTACGGCTTTCAACACGGAGGGTGGCATAATTGGATTTGGTAACACTCTCATTTCTGCTAGATGGCAGAATCCATGGCTAACTCAGACGTAGCCCCTCGAACAGCAGACGTAGATGATACAGCAAAAGGCCTTCTAGTGCTTAGCCTACTTGGTTACCATGTTGGCCCAGACCAAATGATCAAGGTTTTTGAAGGCCAAAATCATTTCACTACATTCGGGTCCGAGCGAGACCCGAGTTTTACGTCAAATTGTCATGTTTTGCTTGCACTCCTTCGTCAACCAGACGTTTCGTCATATCGCTCGCAAATAAGGAAGACCATCATCTTCATCTCTGAGTGGTGGTGGTATAACGATCACCATATCAAGGACAAATGGGTAGGCCTGGCCTGGCCAACTAGAGCTGCATCTTCTAACCGATTTAATAGCACCTGAGTTATTTATACCCGACCATGCTTTTGACTGAGGCCCTTGCAGCTCTTCTTCAATCTCTGGACCAAGGAGAACTACCGGAAATCCTGGATGCCCAGTTGGAATGTCGAGTTAACATTGCGTTGTTTCAATCCTGTTTGCGAGTCCTTCTAGAACAGCAAGCAGACGGCTCCTGGAACTATCTCCCCGAGCAGACTTCTTATGCAATTCTAGCCCTTTCTCACGCCCGCAGAGCGTTACTATTTGAGGACCTACAGGTAGAGATACTGTCTAGTATTAGTCGAGGAGCTCAGTTTCTCGAAACATGCAGCTTTCGTTCAGCGGACTTGAACTGGACTTCAAAGACTACCTACAACGTTTCATTCGTGGCGGAGGCGTACAAATTGGCCGCTTTGAAGGTGTCTCACTCACCGCATGAACATAATCGTTTTGGTCAGAGTATCAGTGCTCACCTGCTTCCAGCCGGATTAAATCGCTACTTGGGCTTGGTTCGTCGAACCCCATTATTCTCCGAGGTGCCAGACTGGCAGATACGGGCATCACTACGAGAGTCATCTCTATTCATTCCTCTTCTACGTATGAAACGGCTCCAGGTGTACGATAGGGATGATATTCCGGTAACTGAAGATAACTATCTGGACATAATCCCATTCACCTGGGTTGGGTGCAATAACAGGCGTGGTACTTTTGCATCCGCTTCCTTGCTCTACGAACTGATGACACTCTCGTTATACGGATACCAGACGGACGAGTTCATGGAAGCCATCGCTGCGCCAGCCTCCCATGGCGCCGTGGACTTGCATGCCGTCATTGATGATGTTGTAAACAACTTGACCAGAAACACAGACCTCTCTTGCAATGGCAACAATAATATGGACATCACGAGAGAAATTCCCAATAATGGCTTCCACCAAGGGGAGCCGGCAAGCAAAAAGATCAGCGCTGCTCTCGTCCGCTTCGTGGCATACGTTCTCAACCATGAGGCAGTGGCGAGAGCCAGTGCTCATGACAAGCAGAACCTACAGAGAGAGCTCTTGGCGTTCTTGCATGCGCACGCTACCCAGAATTCAGACAACTCGCGGTTCAAGACGCAGCAACAAGATCCCACCTTCTTCACCTCTGCCGAAAGCTCGTACTTTCAGTGGGTTCGCACCACGGGCGGAAACCATGTCGCTTGCGCGTATTCCTTCCAATTTGCATGCTGTCTCATCTCAGCGTCCCTATGCTCTGGCAAAGAGGTCTTTCCAACTGTGACGGAAAAGTACCTCGCAGCCGCACTCACTCGCCACCTAACCACTGTTTGTCGTATGTACAATGACTTTGGATCAGTATCCCGCGATACTGCCGAGGGAAATGTTAATTCTGTTCACTTCCCAGAGTTTCGTCAATGCTATCCAATACTAGACGGGAAGTTGGCGATGAAGAAGCAAGCCCTCATTGGCCTGGCTGAATACGAGCAGAAGGTCCTCGAACAGACAATGCAAGCTCTCGAGCGCGAGTGCGAGCGAACAGCATCTATCAGCGGTGGGAGTGATCTCGTAAGGAGGAAACTGAGCATTGTGAAGCTTTTCTGCGACGTGACTGATCTCTATGATCAGCTCTATTTCTTGCGGGATCTGTCTAGTACCATGAAGTAAAGTTGCCTTCGGAGAATAGAAATGTCAAGTGTGAAAGAATTAGAGGTTTGGCGCTAAATGAAACCTTTGATTCTTGATTTTATTCCAAAGAAGTTAATGTCTGAAAGTATACGAGAGCATCATTCGTGAGATCAAATATGTCTTGTAAGTGACGTCGTGGGCAGAGACCATGCGTAGAGCTTTTCCCACTAGATGCGATAGAGTGCTCTATAAGGGATGCTACCGGCGCAGACAGAAGGAGAGCCTGTTTTTTCGCAACGTTACCAATAGCATCTTGGGATCTTCTTTCCAGCAGGGTGCCGTTTCATGCTAGGCATAAGTAAAAAAGTTTGTAAATCGTGACTAGCAGGATTCGCTTGTAAGGGCCTATGTACCCGTAAGCAGTTCGCTTGACCTGCGGTGTGCGGGATTGAATTAAAACATTTACTGTATCAAATTTAGTTGAGCCGGCCGTACTGCTCTCGGTTGCCTATATCCTCTCCCAATTTTGCATTTCTGAGAACACGATTAGTACCCTTATGTTGAACTACTTGATGTCTATCGAACACAAATAGTATGGGAAGGTCAATTTTGATCCTGGTCACCCGAGTACTGGTGATAGTAGCTACAGCAGGTTTGATACAGCACCATAAGCAAGACCCTTCACCAATAGCCGTATGAGCCACGTTGCAACAAGCCATTAATTATAACTACAATGTCTGAAATTAGGAGATGTATCAAGTCAATATGCATAGTATACCTGATCTCAACCGACTTAGAAATACTGAGGACATCCTGCGACATATGCATCCCGCGTGGACTGTCCGTCGGAGATGCTAGGGTGCGCATGATCTGATAGTGGGCGAGATTACGGATGCGCATACATAACCACATCCTCGATCTATTAGACTCAGGTGCCCATAGTGCGAAAGGAAAATCGCAAGAATTAAAACTTTGGCAAAACTACCCGAAATGCCGGTAGCGGAACTCTGGTAAGCGAGTCCTTCCTTCTACTACACATGGTCCCTAGACTTGCGTCCAAGTGCAAGTGTTGTTCGAGTCCTTGAGTTCTACCAAGAACCGTGAACATACCATGCAATACCCGCTGCTGCTATAGCGCTTAGGGCCCATGGTGCGGCGATCTTTGCCGATGAGGTAAAAATGGTCCATTTTCTTCCCATCTCCCCTTTATTGTGAGACGCTCGGGTATTCTTCCGCGGGAAAGGCACTTTAGGGATCTCCTTCCCAAGAAACGCACAAAGTGGCTCCCAACCGTCGCCTAAGCAGTATTCCAACCTTTTTTCAGGAGGGACCATCTGTCGAACTTTCTTATAGTACCTGTCGTAGCCTTGACGTGCATTGGCTTCGATTTCTGGTCTGTTCTGTGCTGCGAAGAATCCAAAGTGAATCTTGCGCATAGCGTCGCCAGCCCGGATACCCATAACATGGGATAAGAGAAAGACGACAACCTGTTGCACTGGAGAAAAGAGGGTGTCCAAGAGCTCAGATCTATAACTGGCCCACCAGGCGTCGAACTCACGCTGGATAACGACTACCTTGGCGTTAGGATATGCTTCAATTAACTGATCCGCAAAAGGTGAAGCCATATCTGTTGCGATGTCGTACTGGCGCATTGTCAGTTGGGTGTGGTGCAAGCACAGCGAAGTTGCAACACTTACGTGAGACCCCCAAAGATTGTCCCAATCGCAGCGCGTACGGCGCGGCCGGGGATGTGCCCCTGGAGCTGTAGGCCAAGTAGCCTCCGCCGCATGCTCCAACTGGGTCCAGGGCATCCCCAGCGTGTCTTCTAAACCGTGGTGAACTTTGTATCCAAGGATTCTGTAGGCCTCGGCCAAGGAGGCCGTTGCCATCCGGAACAAAGCTACGTGAATGACGACAAGGCCATCATTGCGCGAAGAAGCCTCTCTTTCATCCATATCATCAGGGCAGATAAGGTAGAGAAGCGTGAAGCAGTACTAGGCTGCTATTTTAAGAAGAAAAGTCTTTAAGAAGTCGCGCGTCAATGCCTGGACCTGTTGGTCTCTCGGGATGGAATTTTGAAAGCTGCAAGGGATACCTCGCATTAAACTGCTAGCAACCGCGCCGTACGATACATTTGCACGCACTGTGATCCGTTCAAACGATAGTTATTCCCTGCATGATCATGACACGTCCAACGGTCGGTCGCCCGGTTAAACAGAATGCGAGTGTCAACGGAATTTTACTTTGATGTCCTTGTACTAACAAAACAACACCGGAACGCTAATTCTTCGGCACCGCTAAGTGAGGAATCATTGTCGATACATCATTCTATTGACAGAAAGAAGGAAAAGTCGCAGTTGATGACGTGCGCTGGGTAGCCGCTATATTGCCTCACGAGATGGGTGTGGAAGCCAACATGGTCCTACTCAAAGGTAACGTGGTCTAGCGCCAAGTAAACCATCTCCGGGCCTCCGGCTCCAGAGGATCGCAATCATAGATCATAAGTATCTGGCTCAATTTCTCTCATATATAGCCAGATTGAATTCTAATGGAATTGAGTTCCATACTCCCACAATCAAGACATTGCGTTCCACTTCATCAATTGTCCGCAATTAGATACTCCAGGAGAGTGGGCAGATTGTGCTCATGATATTTATGCACTTACTTGTATGCCTATAAGCAAAGTTCAGTGAAGATCCTATGGCGAAGTCGAAATCTATCCCGCTGAGTTTCTCCGAAGTTCCTGGTCAGTCTTCTAACTATTGTTGTTACCACAAGCGTAATACCTGCCGACTTGGAAGTGGAGAAACTGTACTTACGAATCAGGACTGGGCCGACAACAATGACAGGGGCACCACGAAAGTCGAGTACGACGAGACAGCACTTAATCGGAATGGGAGAGAAGCAAGCAGATGGTTAAATGAAGTAGAGGAGCGGGCCGCTGTTAATGGTGTGGTAGGTAGAGTGTGAAGTTTGTAGAGGTCACAATACATCGGTGCCAACAGCGTCGACGTGAAGCTTTTCACAAGCCCTATGCTGGTCGGTCTAAACGCGGTCCCTTAGGATGGGATTGGCATCAAATTCTGCTAGCACTGGACCCAAATCTAAACAGCTGCTGATTGAATGTGACAGCACGGAGTAAATGATTCCTACGTAGGTAATTAAGGTCGTTATCTGGATCAGAGTGTGAGGTCGTAAGCGCCAGACTGAAGTCGAACGGACCTCTCGGAGGACCTCGGGAGTGGGGCTTACCGCCGTAATACGTGCCCCACTTTCTCCGAGGCGTTATGTTTAAGGGTTATGCCGTCCTTTACCTCTCCTGAGTCAAGCCATCTGAGCGAGTGCAGAGACAAGTACTTATATAGTCGGTCTCAGGGCACGTCGTCATGCTTGTTCGTTATTCTGGCGCTCGGTAAACGGTCGCTTGGCGACTAATCATCTCCGTCAACGTCAAAGAGGTATGCATCTTGTGAGGCGGAGTCTGACGGTCACCCTTGCCCTTGAGATCCCGAGACCGTGTGCCAGACTCTACTAGTACGTGTGATGATGGCCGACGAGAGAAACCCGGTCACGGATGCCGGAAAGAGGCCGAGAACTCGGCAACGCATCCACAAAGCTCCGCCAGAGTTGGAAGTCCCGGATATTAACAACGATGCCGCTGAAAGGAAAAGGGTTCTGAACGTACTAGCGCAGCGTCGTTATAGTAAGTACCCAACATTGAATTGGCCAAGTCTCTGAGCCTTACTATGTGAAGGGCAACGTAAGCGGCAGCATCGACTCGGTAAGAGTGCGTCGGTTAGTTGCGAGCAGGCTACCGAAGCGCAAAAAGGTGATGAGATAACTCATCATGAACAAGACGGAATCTCAGAGACCAGCACCAGTAAACCCGCAGGGGCGTGTAGCGGTGGGGTGGAGGAAAACCCAGCACTTGCTGTAGAGTCACTTCCTGGCGTATCGTCGGCGTCTGATATAAACCTTAACAACTGGCCTACGGACAGTCTTGTCCCTACCAGTTTGGCCAGTCAAGCCGAAGCCGAAACGGATTATGGGGTCGCTGCAACTGCGGCACATCTCAGTTTCGACCCTGTAATGCCTGATATACTGACATCAGAAGAACCTCTGGCCATCGACCCCTCGATACTGGACTTCTCGTCTGACTCTTCTACCACGTCAGGCATCGTGGACTCTACACAAATATCCTGGACCTTTCCAGATTCTTACCTCCTCCCAATGCCAGAGCTCAAGTTGCTTCAGGCCTTTCTCCGCATCGCAAGCTGTCTGCAATGCGAGGCCAGCATGTGGGATCTCAACGCCATCTCTCCGTTCAATGACCCGACTTTGTCTCCGATGCCCACTATGATGGCGACGAGTTGGGCGCCAACTGAGAGCCAAAGGACCGTTGTACACCACCCGCTCTTCGACTTCCTCCCTTGGCCTTCGGCACGGGACAGACTTATTGCCATTTTTAGCATGCCCGATGAATTCAGACCCGCGGAGGCTTCGGGCCCGCTGGCCCTGGTCAAGTTTGCTTACGATATGGAGGACAGTGCCGAGGGAATGCGGATCTGGGGGTCTTCTCCATGTGACACGAGCGGCTGGGAAGTTGGTCAAGTGCTATTCGAGCGGTGGTGGTTCATCTTTGATCGCCAAATCATTGAGCAAAGCAATCGCTGGAGGAATCTCAGGGGTGCGCCGAGTCTCCGATTAAAAGGGCCGAGGGTGGAAAACATGCCACCAGAGCACGGCGATATTGATCCATAGTCTTCAGAACACCGAATCAGGGCCACCGGGCGTGTAAACAATGGAAACAAAGTCCGGCTGGGGGTCACCTGTGGAAACCTTCAGTAGCTCAAGCAGATGTCTAGAACTACGTGTCACAGCAATACGTTATATGATGGATAGTCAAGCCCTTGCTATTGTGAAGGGGTGAAGTCTTGTTAGAGAGCCAGTCGGGGGGGTCTTGGCGCCGAGGAAGCAATCCAATCCCCCCAAGAAAAAAAAAAAGCACCGAATTGGCCCTTGCATCGTGCACTGGGCTTCTGCTGGCGACTTCGCAAGGCGGTCAAGAAGGGCAATGCGGGGTGTTTCTGTCTCTCCCCCAAAAAGAGCACGACGTCAGGGGTTGGGGGTGGGGGGGGGAGCGCCGCCAGGGTCTAGTTCACTGACCAGACTCCCAGCAAATAGGCAGTCCACCTGGGCACTCAGCACTCAGTGGCTGCTTTCACCGAAGCACCCGCAACATGAGAATGGAGGGGTAAGGAGGGGCAACGAGGGCCGTTGGATTCGTGCTCGACGCCTGGGCAGAGAACCCCGAGTAGAATGCAGGAACCGACGAATGGCGGCCCGTGATCATCGCCAGCTTTGAACGGCACAATTTGCAGGCCTGCTGGTGCTGGGCGTTAGTGTCATCGAGCTCGACCCTCAGTGAGACGGTCTGTAGAAAATCTGCGCAATCGCAATCGACGGGTGATGATTAGTGTCGTTGACCGACCGGCACTCGCCGTTCATTGGCAGCAAACCCACGCAGAACCAACGTGGGCTGGCGGCGTCGACTTGCCCAAGGGGTCCTAGAAGGGGACTTGCATGGCTTCCAGCCAATGAGCGGCCCGCCACTTTTCGGAGCTGCACTGAGGTGGATGCTGACCGACCCTCCATCTGGGCACCTCCCACCTCCCAGTCCAGCGAACCTACCGGCGGCATGGGCAGGCGAGGCAAAGAATTTCGAGAACATCCCTTGAGAGAGCCCTCCTCCCTGTAATACATACTTCTGTGTGACATTGCGTGCTGGAGAGGGGAGACTTGACAGAACACGCCTTGGTCTACATCTGCGTCCAGACTTCTCGCTCGAGGGTCTCTATGCTGCGTCTTGTCGTCCGCCAGATTGCAAGGTAATACAGACACTTACTTTCCTTGCCTGTCATGTTGTCATGCAAAACGGTTCCCGAGCCCGACTCCCAAGGGTCAAGGGTGTATCCTGCAAGCTTTGGATGTCGCCCTGCAATGACACTGCAGCATGGTTCTTGGGCATCTCGACAATCGGCCATCTCTGGAGATCATCAGCTAACAAGCTCACAGTTTTCTTCCATAGTAAACAGTTGTCCGGCTCGGCCGCCCCCCTTGAGCCCCAGCTTCCGCTTCTCACATCGCCGTCGCCGTCGCCGCCGCCAAGATGCATATCAACGAGATGCTGGCGGACGCCGAGAAGACGGGCCAGCCGTCTTTCTCCTTCGAGTACTTCCCGCCCAAGACCACCCAGGGTGTCCACAACCTGTACGATCGTATGGAGCGCATGTACAACTTTGGCCCCAAGTTCATCGACATCACTTGGGGTGCTGGCGGCACCATTGCCGAGCTCACCTGCGAAATGGTTGTCCAGGCACAGACCTACTTCGGGCTCGAGACCTGCATGCACCTTACCTGCACCGATATGGGCGAGGGAAAGGTCAATGACGCTCTGCAGAAGGCTTACAAGGCCGGCTGCACCAATATCCTGGCGCTACGAGGAGACCCGCCGAGGGAGAAGGAGAAGTGGACTGCCACGGAGGGTGGCTTTCAGTACGCCAGGGACCTGGTGCAACACATCCGCAAAAAGTATGGGAACCACTTCGACATTGGTGTTGCTGGCTACCCCGAGGGATGCGACGACAACAGGGACGAGGACCAGCTGCTGGACCATCTGAAGGAAAAGGTCGACATGGGTGCCACCTTTATCGTCACCCAGATGTTCTACGACGCCGACAACTTTGTCAGATGGGTAGGCAAGGTGCGAGACAGAGGTATTACTATCCCTATCGTACCCGGTATCATGCCAATTGCCACATACGCTAGCTTTCTTCGGAGAGCCAAGCACATGAACTGCAAGATCCCAGAGCATTTCATGGCAGCATTGGAGCCGGTAAAGAACGACGATCACGCGGTGCGAGAACTGGGCAAGACCTTGGTCGCTGACATGTGTCGGAAAATCCTGGCTGCTGGCATTGTGCATCTTCATTTCTACACCATGAATCTTGCCCAGGCTACCCGCATGGTTCTGGAGGAGCTTGATTGGATGCCGACCGACAACCGCCCCAGGAAGCAGGCCCTACCCTGGAAGCAGTCCCTTGGGCTCGGGCGCCGCGAGGAGGATGTGCGCCCGGCTTTCTGGCGCAACCGCGGAAAGTCGTACGTTACACGAACTCAGGAGTGGGACGAGTTCCCTAACGGCCGTTGGGGTGATTCTCGCTCTCCCGCCTTTGGAGAGCTCGATGCCTACGGGATCGGTCTTACTGGCACGAACGAGTCGAACCGGAAGAAATGGGGAGAGCCAAAATCAATTCAAGATATCGCCAGCCTCTTTGTTCGATACGTCGAACAGGATCTCGATTCACTACCGTGGAGCGAAGCCCCACTCACCAGCGAAGCCGACTCCATCAAGCAGGACCTTATTGATCTAAACAAGCGCGGACTTTTGACAATCAACTCACAACCTGCTGTCAACGGTGTCAAGTCTAACCACCCTGTCCATGGATGGGGCCCGCCCAACGGATATGTCTATCAGAAGGCCTACCTCGAGCTCCTTGTCTCCCCCGAGGTCCTCCAACAGATCTTGCCGCGCATTCATGATCACCCCGACCTTTCCTACTACGCGGTGACAAAGACTGGGTCTCTGAAGACAAACGCGCCATCTGAAGGCCCTAACGCCGTTACCTGGGGTGTTTTCCCGGGCAAGGAGATCGTGCAGCCTACCATCGTCGAGAGCATCAGCTTCCTCGCGTGGAAGGATGAGGCTTTCCGATTGGGAGTCGACTGGGCGCACTGCCACGAGTCTGGCACGCCCAGCCGGGCCTTGATTGACGAGATCATGAATGATTGGTATCTGATCAACATTGGTAGGTTGCAAACTCTGCTTGCTCTAACGTAGTTATACTGACATTCCGTCCCAGTAAACAACGATTTCCACCAACCACGAACGATTTTTGAACTTTTTCAGGGTCTTACGGTAAAGGGTCTCAATGAAGAGGTTATTGTGCCTCCTACCGAGACAAACGGCGTTCAAGCAGAGGCGCTGGATTAGGATTGCCGTAGGACACGGCAGCACGAGCAAAGGCGTTATTGCGTTTTCAACAGCATAACGATGTCACGTTGATGACATTGTGACTTACATTTGAGCATACATCATGGGCGTTTCAACCGGAGTCCTGATTTTTCAACAAAAATGAGGGCATGCAGGGGGCTTGGCGACAACCTAGGAAAAAAGGGTCAGGCTAAAATTGCATCATATCTCAACGATACCCCAGGAAATGACAGGAGAAAGACCTCAGTACGGGTCATACGAAGCATAATCATTGATTTCAAGGAGCGTTATCCACCGCGATGGGTGGGGAAAGGTTCTAGGAGCTGCGAGTGAGAGTAGAGTCGGCGTTTTCGTCAGGAGCAGGTGACTGAAGCTAGAGGCGAGGCGACAGTGGCTCAACGGATAGTCTAGAGGTCTTCAACACATCACAACTGAAAGACTGTCGGAATAAAATCGTCCGTTTCATTTCAAAACTTGGTCAGATATTGGACTAGAGTATGCTCTACTAGAAACCTGGGCACAAAGTCTCCTAAGTAAGTAGAGGCAGGATTCCGAAGCTCTATAGCTTGCATTCATGAGCCGTTTCGATGATATCGCAGAAGGCGAATACGTATCCTCCCCATGGTTAATCGTAGCTGGCATAGTTGTCACCTGGGCGGCCAATCCAGCGTTAAGCACCACTTACCCGAAGTCACGTGAGGTCGCGCCACGGTAGAACGCGCAGTCCCTTGTCACCTTGATCATTCACGCCTTAGGGGTCTGTGACGTCAATCATCAGCATCTGAGTATTGATTGTCAATGCCAGACAAACCTGGTACTCGATGCACCACGACTATAGTTGAGAATGTCTTCGCTGAAGGCCGCCACGGTCTCAAACAGGATTGTACGACGGAAACGTAAGCGGAATGACGATGAAGGGTCCCGAGAAACAGCCTCCATCCACGATGCCGATCCGGCTTCAGCTCCAGGCACATCTCAAGACCAACCGGATCCTCTTCAGCCAACAACGCCCCATACTACCAGCCCGCCCACGGACTCTCGGAATCGACACCCAAAGAGGACCGCACCACCCGGTGCCGATGCCGAATGCTCGATAGACTGGCCACCCTTGTTCAAGCAACTGGATAAGACACACCGGGCGCTTAATCTTGTGTTCACTTTTTGCTCCACTCGCAAGCATCTTGCTACCACTTTCGACACGATCAGGACCGCAGTCGAGTCTCACACCAAGAGCAAGCTCCTCATCGAAGATGTGGCGGCGATCGTTGCGCTGCGGCCGGAAGGCATCAGCTTTGCATATGTCGACGAGGTTATGCTTCAGATCGATATCAAAGGGGCCGAAAGAGACGCAATCTTCAAATCTGGCAGATCCAATGACTTCAGGACGCAAGGTCCCGCACCTGACGCCTCTGTTGGGGGCCTCACGGGTATGGATGACCTGGCCGGCCGTCACCCTGACGAACCCCGACCCAGTGGCAGCGAGGTCCTTTACCTTGAGTTCATTGACGGTGACCTGAAGCGTCAAGTTCAGAGCAAGAAGACCGGGGAGCCAACTAAACCCAATCGGAAGCTTCGAGACGAAGATCTCAAGATGCCAGTCTTTAGCCAGAAGCAGATGACCTCTTTAATCGAGAAGCGGAACCAGAAGTTTACAAATGCTGTCAACGCTTTTCTGAACCGATGTGTGGAGGAGAAATTGGATCCCGAGCTCGTGCTCCGACAAGAAGCTGAGCCCTATATTCCTGTTCCTTCGGAGTCCATACCGTCTACGCCTAAACCAGAGCCAAGCACAATACCGAAGACGATACCCAAAGAGAGAAAGGCCATTCCAGAGATCATACAGGAGCTGAAAGAGAGTTCTTGGTATACAGGTCAAATCGTACCGGACGGCCATCGTGTCTTTGAGGCTCAGGAGCCTGCTTATGGCGACCTTGATTTCCTGTTAAGCCAGGAAATGGTCAATGCCTTATACAATGCCAAGGGCATTACCCAGTTTTACGCGCATCAGGCAGAGGCAATCAACCATCTCCAAGCCGGGCATAATGTTGTTGTGTCTACTTCGACGAGCTCCGGGAAATCGCTCATCTATCAGCTGCCTGTCCTCCATGCGCTACAGCAGGATTTCCTCACTAGGGCAATGTACATCTTTCCAACAAAGGCACTTGCACAAGACCAGAAGCGCAGCCTCAAGGACATGTTATCATACATGCCTGGGCTTGAGGACGTCCTTGTTGAAACATTCGATGGTGACACGGCCATGCGAGACAGGAACCAGATTCGCGATGAAGGTCGAATCATCTTCACCAACCCTGACATGCTGCACATCACCATTCTTCCTCAGGAAGACAGATGGCGCACATTCCTCAAAAACCTGAAGTATGTCGTAGTCGATGAGCTCCACTACTACAATGGGCTCATGGGCTCACACGTCGCTTTCATCATGAGACGGCTTCGGCGCATATGTGCAGCGGTAGGTAACCGTCGTGTCAGATTCATATCCTGTTCCGCCACAGTGGCGAATCCAAAAGAACACTTCAAGACCATCTTCGGCCTTGATGATGTCCATCTAGTTGACTTTGATGGCTCACCCTCGGGCCGGAAAGAGTTCTTATGCTGGAATACACCTTACAAAGACCCAGGTGATCCTTCTAGCGGTCGCGGTGATGCCCTAGGCGAATGCGCGCGGTTGTTCTGCCAGCTCATATTGCGAGGAGTCCGAGTCATCGCCTTCTGTCGAGTCAGAAAACAATGCGAGGCTCTTGTGTCGGCGGCCAAGTCTGAACTTGAATCACTGGGCCGTCCTGAATGCATGGCTCGTGTTATGGGTTACCGTGGAGGCTACACTGCTCAAGATCGTCGACGCATCGAGAGCGAGATGTTCGAGGGTAAGCTCATGGGCATCATTGCAACGACTGCACTTGAGCTGGGAGTTGATATTGGCACCTTAGATTGTGTTATCACGCTAGGCTTCCCTTATACCATTGCCAATCTGCGTCAACAGAGTGGCAGAGCCGGGCGACGTAACAAAGACTCGCTATCGGTTCTTGTTGGAGACTGTTTTCCTACTGATCAGCACTACATGCAGAACCCGGACGAACTTTTCACAAAGCCTAACTGTGCCCTTCAGGTTGACTTGGACAATATGTTAGTGTTGGAAGGGCACATTCAATGTGCTGCATATGAAATGCCTATTCGGCCTGTTGACGATGCGAAATACTTCACCAAAGACTTGGCGAAGATTTCCGAGGAACGATTGATCAAGGATGACCTTGGGTATTACCACTGTCACGACAGGTTCCGTCCGGTTCCTTCCAGATTCGTAGCGATACGCGATACTGAGGAGGACCACTTCGCGATTGTGGACATTTCTCATGGTCAGAACATTGTCCTGGAAGAGCTTGAGGCATCCCGTGCTTTCTTCACAATATACGACGGCGCAATCTTCTTGCACCAGGGAAATTCGTATTTGGTCCGGGACTTTCAGCCGGACAAGATGATAGCCAAGGTTGAGAAGGTCAAGGTCGAGTGGACTACACAGCAGCGCGATTTCACGGATATCGACCCCGTTGAGACCGAGGTCATCCGCAAAATCCCCGGATCCCTATCTCGTGCTTTCCATGGTTCCATCAGGATAACGCAAAATGTGTTCGGTTACTTCAAGATCGATAAGAAGCGAAGGATTCTGGATGCTGTCCATGTTGATAACCCGCCCATCATTCGGTATAGCAAGGGCATGTGGCTAGATGTGCCGAAGAAAGCATTGGAAATCCTAGTCGACCGTCGACTTAATGTCGCAGGTGCCATCCACGCTGCCGAGCATGCCGTTCTCAGCCTCATGCCCAATTTCGTCATCAGCATGCCCGGAGATGTGCGGACGGAATGCAAGTTTGGGATAAAGGAATTTGCGGAGAAGGAAACGCAAAGAAAACGACCAGGTCGGCTCACGTTCTACGACGCCAAAGGCGGTGCTGGAGGCTCTGGAATCAGCACCAAAGCCTTCGACTTCATAGACTTGCTACTGGTCCAAGCCGTGAAGCGGGTGGACTATTGCCACTGTGAGCACGGCTGCGTCGAGTGCGTCTGCTCCGAGTTGTGCAAGCACTCCAACGAGGTCATGAGCAAGGCGGGCAGCTCCGTAATTCTGAAGGCGTTGCTGAACATGGAGATTGACGTAGAAGCGCTGCCCATGGGACCCGAGGAGTTCAGCCCTGCAGGTATTGAGACAGTCGTGCTGGCCAAACCGGTGCCATCTCGCGGACGGATAATGGTGGATGGGATTGAGGTTAAGATGGAAGACACAGATGCACCCAATGTGTGATTTACGACCTGGGTACAGCCAATATCCAGTTTCAAGAACAAACAGATCTGGCGGAAGCTTCAATCCTGAAAGTCACAGGCGCAACCCACAGCCGTCCAAGTTTATGGCCGTTCATAGGGCATGTGACTTTCTTAACTGAATCGACAGCATTAGAGAGAAGTGACTCCTGTTATCAACCGTGCGCTTCTTTCGGCAACTTCCCTTGAAGATCCATGGGCATGGTGGATATAGTTTGCGGTTGCTGTGCCACAGAGATGCAGCGCCAGCGCCTGGGCGGAGGCTTGTGATTCGCCAATCAGGCTCACAAGTAATGACCTCCTGTCAGATTGCGGGTACATTATAACGTTTGAGGCAATGATGGGAGCATCTCGGGCGGGTCTCAAGAGACCTAATGCCCAGAGATGGTACAGCGCTGATATTGTGCTGAATTCACCATCTCGCGCGCGCAACCATAGCCATGGGTTCCGGCAGATGGGAACCCCCATGCCAGCCCTGCAGCTCCCGGAGTGGCAGTAGAGATGCACAGCCCTTGGACTAAAGCGACATGGGGGCAATCGCATCTAGGCTTTTATCAACTCAGGCGCGCGGTTCTTCACCTTTTCTCTCTACAAATCTCTTTTGCTGCGCTATAAGTGAGATGTGTTGGCGTCTTTGTTATTGATATCGCATTGCACCTGGCTTTCTATCTAATTATTAATAATTTGTATCAGGAGCGCGGATCGACGATCCGCGCGCGCATACCTACATAATGTCTCTAGGCGCGCTAACGACTGCTTTCGCGCCGCCGGCAGACTGCCTGGCGACGGATGGACTGTACTGGGTCAAGACATCCTCGACTTTCTACTGGCTTTATGGCAAACCCCACCAGACATCATGTTTCCCGGATAACTACGCGCCGTATCAAAACAACTACTACTCGCCAGGAGTCTGCCCGTCTGGCTATGTCGAAAGATGTCGATCTTTATTTACTGGTGGCTCCACCACTGAGACCAGAGCTACCTGTTGTCCTTCGTGAGGAGCTCTGAACTCGCTGATAATTGAGCGAGCATGGACTGACCGCACGCAGAGTCGGGAATTTCGTATGTGCATCCACATCCAGTCGATACACATACCCATGGGGTCCAACTTTGGGATGTATGAGCGTCTACAACATCGACTTTGAAACGGCGTTCACCACGGTTGAGGCAACGCTCAATGGTGATGAGGTGGCTGGCGAGAGCAAGTCGCTTCGGGCACCGGGGACTATGATGGCGTACGGCATCCCAATCCGGCGTCGGAATGACGACAACGTTATAACATCTGCCTCCCAGCAAACGGCGACGTCGGCAGGCATTCCTTCCAGCCAAACAATGGCAACGACATCAGAAACCGCCGCCGTTCAGGCAACAGCCACGGCACAGGGCGGTCTAAGCGCCGGGGCGGCGGCAGGAATCGCCGTTGGCGCAACGTTGGGGGGCCTGCTCCTGCTCGGCTGTATCGCCTTTATGTTCTGGAACCGCCGGCGGCAACGGAGGCGGGACGTAGCAACTCACTCTCAAGGGCTGTACGAATACCCTCCCCCTCCTCCGCAGGAGTACACCAGCCAATACGCATATCAACAACCTCAAGGGCAACCCATGCAAGAACCCATATACACCCAATCAACTGGCAGCTGGCAGCCGACAGAGCTGGCCGGGGGCAATGATGGAGTTCATGAGGTCAGTGGAGGGTATGTTATACCCGAGAAGGACGGAACAGGGACGCATAGATGAGAAGATCTGAAGCCCTCTATATAACGATAAGGAGAGCGGCCAAGGCTCCTTTCCCAGGTATATTGCATCAATAATCTTTCGCTTTGCTGGTCCAAACCACAGTGGGCAAAACCAATCCCGTTGGTAGGCTTGATCGGTGTCAAATGATTTAGTTAAGTAACAAATTCAACCCCCGATAGTACCGTTAGAAAGTATGACTTCAATTTCGAAGTTGGAATCTCTCCGTGAGGCAGTAAACCCGCCCACCAAATTGCCAAACGGGCTCTAACCTTGCTCGTTCGCCGATATGTTACTTTGAGATTTCATAGGAAGTATCTCACCCACGCTGTAAAAATGACACTACGAGAAGAGGGCATATTTCAAGGATATATAAACCTACGATGTGGTAGACGGGCCGAAAAAAAAAATTTAGCACGCTATCTAGTCAGGGAAGTTTAACATGGCAAGTAAGTGAGACCCTTACTAGGGTTTAATCTAGGTTGAGGACTTTGCTGTATGAGTTCTAGGCCCCTTTGTGAGATCTGTTTCCTTGATCCTGAATACATATTTGAAGCCGCTGTTTTTCCCATCGCGCAAGTTTCGCAGTCCCGTCAAGACACCATCAAGCCCCCCAGGCACAACCTCGTAAGGATGCGCCTTCAATCTTCCATCTTCTAGAAGCTTAGCGAAATAACGCGACCAGAGGTATGCAAAGTCCTTGTGTGTCGATAAGACCTGGGGCGTGGCAGCGTTGATAGCAGTAACTCCAGCTGGGTACTCAAAGTTCTTCGGGTCTCTGGCAAAGAGCTTTGGGGGTAGCATGACGCTAATGGTGCCATTTGGATCGACCAAACGGAGGGTTGTTTCGAGTGAGCCGTGCTCACTGATAGCATCCAAAATGTAAGGAACTTTGCCGCCTAGTTGCTCCTTCTTTAGTATCCCCTCGACTGCCTGCACAACAGCATCTTCACCGATACGATAGTCTATGACGTAGTCAACCAAGGTATTCGCGAACTCGCCCGCTCGTCCGGCAACGCCAATGATAGGGTAAAACCCCGAAAGACGGGCTAACTTGGCACCAAATGCACCGATAGACGTCGTGGCGCCGTAAACCAAGAAAGGGACGTTTTTACACTTGTCCCTAATATGCTGAGAATCATACGGTGTGGGAACTCTCAGGTCGCTATAGAGGGCAAGTGCTGCAGTTAGAGCTGCGGTTGGCATGGTGGCAGCCTCTTCAAAAGACACATGCTGCGGGATGTGGAACGTCAGATAGGCTGGCGCAACAGTATATTCTGCGTAGCCTCCGTTCTCTGTGATCGTCACGTGCATAGCGGCCACGCGATCACCTGTCTTGAACTCGGAAACGTCCGCGCCCACCGAATAGATGATGCCTGCAACGTCGTCGCCACTATTATGAGCGCCTGGGCTGGGCGGTACCTGGGATTTTATTTCCGGATCAAGGGCGTCGCTCTGGGCCCATTCCTCCCTGTTGCTTGCTCAGCATCATATGGCTGCAACTTGGTCATGGATGGCGACTTACCACAAGGAAAACTTCCAATCTTTTGGATTTGCCCCGGCAACAACGGTCTTGATAACCACCTCTTTGGCTCCGGGTTCGGGAATAGGGGTCTCGATTATATCAACCCTCTCGATGGAGGGATGGATGATTGCTTGCTTTGGCATTTTGACAAATTGTTGAAAGTTCGCTAGGTTCAATGTGTAGGTACTCTCTGTAAAATTTAACTCATCACAGCATTTTCAGACGGATCTGCCGTTATCATAGGCCTATTTATCGTGGTATAGCGGTAACTCTTGACTCGCCCGCTTTTCCCCATGCAGCTCGTCTGACCCACGCAAAACCCGAGCCCCACCAAAACGCTTGTATTGGAAGCTGGCTCTATGGATTTACCCCGACTAGGTACAGCTCCTGCATAAAAAAGCGAGCCCGAGGCACATGTAACTCCCGTGCACTCAGGTATGGCGATATCACAGAAATTGTCGAATAAAACCGAGATATATGTTTTGCATGTGTGGCGAGGTTTCAACGGCCAGCTAGGTTTCATACAGCGTTGAATAGTCCTTGTATCCAACCAGTTTCGGCTTCGCAGGAGGTAGTTCGGGAGAATCTTCTCCCCGGGGATAGTAAGCCACGGGTCCTCAACCGCTTCGTACTTGTCCGAGTTTAGAAAGAACCTTGTGATATTGAAGATTGGCCATGCAGAAAGCGAGGGTCGGACCGATCCCATGTCTACAGGATACATCGGACAAAAGCGGCAAGATGCAATCCAGTCAATCTGCCACGCGGGTATCCTTGCATGTGTCGAGAGACTGGAATCTCGGGTTTCCGGACATAACACATACAGCCACCAATGGGAACTCAACCGATCGTCCTGCGCTCATTTAAGGGTCACAGGATGTTAGCATCCTCATTGACCAGAGGCAGAACAGAAGTGCATTTGTTAGAAAATAGTAGGTGCCCACCATACACACCACATCTTCCCCACCCATCAGTCCGACCACCCGCAAAAGCCATCTTCCAAAGAATCACCAAGCTACGCCAATAAATCCCATAAGTGCGCCTAACCTCTCTGATATACACTACTTCCAAGTTGGAGGTTGTGACCAAGCACAGCGTCTTCTGCCTGCTTAAGTTTAGGGCAGTTCCACCTTGGACATTGGACTGTTCGCGTCACAATACACTGGGTGTTATAGATATGTGTTATCCCAGATAATCCCTTCGGTCGGCGATAGAATGGCAATTAGTCCGGTATGGAACAAGATCTCAGTCCCCTGAGCATTACTAGTTGCCATGTGTGACGGAAGCTGTTTTGACATCGCAGCTACGTACGGATCAGACACCTCCCTCCGCATCGTGAGTGGGAATAGGTACACTGTAGCGCACATCTCCCCCCAATAACCAACAGGGTACACTTGTAAACTTCAAAGCCCATGTAACTTTCATATGAGTACGTCAAGGCCCAAGCCGAGCTGATTGATGGACTCCTGTTAAGCAGCCCATTGTACATCTGGCTCAACGTGCTTGGCCGGGGAAAGAGCAAACGTGTCGAAAGTCTAACCTCACGATACCCAAATTCTGCTGGGTACTACGTAGCCGTCGCCGCCGCTCCATGTCAACATACAAATTGTTCAAGGACTTCTGTACAGACGGACCTTCGACTTCTGTTGCGTCAATTCGAAACACGAATGATTAGGGCCGGTACATCCAGTTTTTCAGCTCTCCCAGAGTCTCAGCCAGGGATCAGACCTGTGGTCATGGCAAAGGCGTGTATGTGCATGACGATGCACTAGGCGGATCAGGTTATGGTCGTCATAGTCATGTGCTCGTGTTTCAATCGCGGTACAATGGATATGGAAGACTTCATATTCTCAGATGACCTTCAATTGTGAATGATTTTTTTGTTCTTAAGGCGATTTGATAGAAGACTGTAGCCAATGTAACCCATTAATAGGCGACATTTAGCTATATGAACTCTCCTTGTCATGCCGCCCAATGAATGAAGAACGTAATCGAAAAGAATGCTGAGCTATTATCACGGGTCCAGGGGTCCAGAGTGGCTAGCCCTACAGTACTGGGTATACTAATGAGTGATGATAAATTGGAGGGATACTGATCAGGGCCACAGTTGCAGACGATCTGGTAGTGGTGGGATATCTAACCGCTGACTGATAGCGGCAGAAGCAGCTGGATCAGCCCCAGGCCGCCGCAAATATATGGAGCTTCAGCTCCCGTTCACATCCAACCTGATCATTTTACCAGAACTGCTGACAAGTGCGGCTTGTTGATGTAGGTGTTTTAATGAAGTTTCTTCCGCATGACCCGGCGGATCCGGAGGATGCTTATCGCTGCCCATGATGAATTTCAATTGTTAGGCGGGCTTAATCTGCAAATGTTGGTGTCAAAGCTTGCCAGTAGAGTACATGGTGCGCAGAAGAGACAGTATACGATGCCATGAGCTGTTACAATCTGGAAAAGATACGCTTAACTGTTTTTTCATCCTAAACTTGAAAGGTTTCTTTACAGGCTTGCGAGCTTTCTCTGGATGTAGCGCTACCCAAAATTCTCTTTGATATGTATCGAAGCTGTCTTGAAACAGACGCTCGGAATGAAATGTAACTTCTTAACGGTCGTTAAAATCCTCTTGAGAGCGCTATCTTAGAGTTCCAAGATACCAGTCAATCAGGGTTAAGGTTCAGCTGGTCGGGAAGCTGACCAAGAGGCTAACCAACAATCTGACGTGAGTAAGCTGTCCACTCCTTCAAGGCGCAGCATATAGACCCCCACGGAACACTCATTTCCCTTTCCAGCCTCAATACACGTGAAACTCCCACTTTCTTACCATGCACCCAGAGCTCAACGTCTTAAGAGATCTTTTTTCAATTCAAGTCATATTTACAAGAGAAAATTTGAATATACCGTCAATATGGTTCCAAATTGAATGTGATTCTATGCATCTCCTTTTCATGACTCATTGATACCCCATTATTGTGGTTCAAGTATCTGTACAAGCCATATATCAGCCTCGTATTCGCTCTTGGTAATTCGCAATTCGCAATTCCACTTTATTGGTCACGTTTCAACCTGGTGCTCACCTCACAATCTGTGGCTTGCGCTTATCGCATCACTCCCCTTTTATCAATCGAGTACCTGCGCATTAGATCTGATGTCTATCATGCTGGCGTTATATCTCGAGCAAGCACTGTCACCTATTGGGTGATCTGACCTCGCACACCCATATGAAAGGATCCAAGCCACGTGGAAGGATGCAAGCCAAATGCAAGGATGCAGGTCATCCCAAGCTGCTGGTTCATCATGTGAGGCATATCAACGGAACCGACAAGACCAGGTTCTAGGGTCTGGTCCTCTGTGTTACCATAGACAAGCCAGGTCAATCCATAATGAGGGTGTTTTCGAAGCGCCTGGATACCGATCCATTTCCAGTCAGCGATGGCAGTCAGACGGCCTTCTAGGCACCTCGACTCGAGCAAACCGAAAGCTACTTCACGATACGATGTCTACAAGTATATAATCGTCTGAATGTCCAATATCTAGAGCGATTGATTTACCCAGCCTTCGTTCCCACGCCTCATTTTGCAGCCTCTCTTTCATAACTCTTTACTGCTGAAGGCTTTGGAACGTCGCGTAATCCAAACCATTCTTTAAGTTTGAGATTATTTACCCACTCCACTTTACATCGTTAGTTGGCCTCGAGGCTTCATTGATCCAATGAGGCATCCAGTTGCACTTCCATGCCTAGTAACTCTGTTTCTGGCATCGGGAGTATGCAGCCTTTCAATCAAGCGGCCTCACCCATCCATGAACCCACGAGAGTTTGATCCAGATGCACTCTTCTCGTCTGCATTTGGTGTTCCAGGACGGGATGCTACCTACGACTATGTCGTTGTTGGTGGGGGTAATGCCGGTCTGACTCTCGCAAGTCGTCTTGTCGAACAAGGAGTCGGTAGTGTTGCTGTGGTCGAAGCTGGGACTTTCTATGAACTCAGTACTGGAAATATCACCGATGTACCGGCAACTGCAGCAGCATGGGCAGGCAAGTCAGTTGACGACTGGCAGCCTTTGGCCGACTGGGGTTATGTAACCACACCACAGCTGGTAAGCGCATATTGCCCAACCTTGATTGACGCAGCCTCTAATACTGAGCAAAGGGAGCCAACAATGCATCACTCCATTACCCCCGAGGCAAAATGCTTGGTGGATGTAGCGCACGGAATTTCATGATTTACCAGCGAGCGAGCATAGGATCATATCAAAGATGGGCAGACGCTGTTGGCGATAACAGCTATACATGGGATAACTTCTTGCCTTATTTCGAGAAGAGCACAGCGTATAGCCCTCCCAACAACAACCTAAGACTTCAAAATGCGACCCCAGAGTATGACTCGTCGGTATCAGGCATGGATGGACCGGTTTCTATTACGTTTCCTAACTGGGCGTACGCCTTTTCCACATGGGCTTTAAAAGGCCTCGCTGCTATTGGGGTCCCTCTTCGAAAACAAGGATTCAACAGCGGCGGTTTGCTTGGATCTGCATTCACCACCTTCACTATAGATGCTAAGAAGCAGACTCGAGCATCTTCTGAGACGGCTTATCTGAGGAAAACCCTTGGAAACCCTAATTATTTTGTGTACCCGCTTACGCTGGCAGAAAGAATCATTTTCGACGAGTCGAAGACGGCAAGAGGCATTATTGTTAGTACGGAAGGCGATAGCTATACCCTCTCCGCTCGCAAGGAGGTGATCTTGTCAGCAGGTGTGGTTGGATCGCCGCAGTTGCTCCAAGTCTCCGGTGTGGGACCAGCTGAATTGTTGGAATCTGTTGGTGTTCCGGTTATCAGTGACAGGCCTGGTGTCGGAAAAAACATCGAAGATCACATCTTCTTCGGCGTTTCGCATGCCGTAAACGTGGTCACGGCCTCGTCGCTAGGTAATCCCGCTGTTCTCTCCCAACAAGAAATACTTTTCGACACCAAAGCGGAAGGAATGCTCACAAGCCCCGGGGCCGATGTTCTCGCGTGGGAAAAGCTTCCTAACAGCACTCGTTCAAGCTTGAGCAGTTCCACATTGGAGACTCTCGCTACATACCCAGATGACTGGCCCGAGGTCGAGTTCGTTACTTTTTCGTCTTATTCTGGTGACGCCAATGTCCTTACCACAGGCGATCCCAATGACGGGAATCAGTATGCCACACTTGCGGTAGCACTGATAACCCCGCGATCCAAGGGATCTGTCATGATCACTTCGAATGACACGAGCATCGCACCAGCCATCAACCCTATGTACCTGACCGATCGCGCCGATATAGAAGTATCGATCGGCGGCTTCAAAAGGGCAAGGGAATTTTGGAAATCTCAGGCTATGCAAGACATTGTTATTGGAGAAGAGGCATTCCCTGGCCCCGATATTCAGACGGACAGCGAGATTGAAGCCGCCATTAGGAAGAATTTCCAAACTGTATATCATGGGGCATGCTCCTGTGCCATGGGCAGGGCCGATGATACAAATGCCGTAGTAGACTCGAAGGCCCGTGTCTACGGCGTTCAGGGGCTGAGAGTTGTTGACGCTTCTGCGTTTCCCTTGCTAGTGCCTGGACATCCACAGTCGACCGTGTATGCCCTGGCTGAAAAGATCGCCTGTGATATTTCTGGCAAGTGTTAGAAATCGGTACTATCAGCCATACTAACCCTTGTTGGTACCTCGGAGTTTATTATTTTAGAGATTGTGTATAGACGTGCGCTGTTTTATTTTTTATTTTATTTTTCTATTTAGGATGGAAATAGATTGTAACGTTCTGATTATCATCTGGCTTGCATCTTTAGAATGACTGTATAAAAATAATTAGTGACGTGTGTGTTCTTAGTAGCGAAAACGATGTGACAAGTGCCACTTATTACTCTCAAATCATGATTTACAGTTGTCCCAGAAATGCAACAGTACGATCGGTCATCCAACACAGCGGGTAGGATATGATGAGGTACTGTGCAGGCTGAAATGTCGCCAGTTTGAACTTGCGCCAATAACTGAGGATTCTTTCCAAAGTAAGATGAGGAAGTAGCCAACCACAATATTCCTGTCCTAATTAGAATCAGAAGCACCTGGTCAGCGTTGGCGCTTGATTGATATCACTTCAATACGAGGCATGCTGAACCGGCCTGTTTCAAAGATCGCTGCGAAGTTCTGCCGATCTGACAAATCGGAGTAGTTTGGTGGCTGCAGGATTTGGGTGAGATGCCATGTATGTCTGCAACACATCCTATCTTTCTGTCGTACAAGATTTTCTCCACCGGCACAACCAGTTCGCCGAAGCCCCCGCTGATTACATAGCATGTAACCATCTGCACCTTGATAAAAGAAGTGTGTGCGTCGGATTTACACGATCATTTTCGGTCAATTCCTCAAAATCCTACCTCGCCAGCTTAAACACACTTTCATCTAGAGCTCCTGGGAATTCTTCTATTTACCGAGCTATTTACAGACTTCGCAGTATACACCAGACTCAAAACTGTGGCCATGGCACCAAACGCCGTTACTCTTAGAAAGCTAGGTAAAAATGGGCCTAATATCCCAGCCATTGGCTTTGGGATGATGGGCATGTCCTTCATGTACGGGGCTGCTCCCAGCGACGAGGAGCGCTTTGCAGTACTGGACCGTGCCCTAGAACTGGGTGCAACGCACTGGGACACCTCCGAGTAAGCTCTCAAGTCAAATTTCGAAAGTATGTAGGGATTGACGCCCCCCACAAATAGTATGTATGGTGATAGCGAAGAGCTTCTGGGCAAATGGATCAGACGGTCTGGAAAAAGGAGTCAGATCTTCCTCGCCACAAAGTTCGCATTCGTGAAGGGCGCGGCCGATTGGGCGCTCGACACTTCCTACGAGTATACTAAGAAGGCTTGCGACGAGAGTTTGAGGATTCTTGGAACAGATCATATTGATCTTTACTACATGCACCGGGCCAACCCAAACACCCCAATCGAGGAAACTATGAAGGCACTTGCCGAGCTTAAAGCGTAACGCTCTCTCTCACTCTCTGCTCTATTCCAGGAGTATAAATTGGCTGATGACGACTTAGTGAGGGCAAGATCAAATACATAGGTCTGTCGGAAGTCAGCTCTAACACCTTGCGTCGCGCATGCAAGGTTGCACATGTCGATGCGGTCCAAATCGAGTACTCGGTCTTCGAACGGGATGTCGAGGGGCCCAGTGGTACATACCTTCTCCAGACGGCGCGCGAGCTCGGCGTCGCAATTGTTTGTTATTCCCCGCTGGGACAAGGGCTGCTTACGGGCGCCCTCAATCAAAAGGACGCAATCACGAAGGAAGGCGACTGGAGAGCTGGGTTTCCACGCTTTTCGGGTGAAAATTACGAGGCCAACGTGCAACTTGTCAACAAATTCAAAGCAATTGCCGATCGGAAGCATATCACCCCGGGCCAGCTTGCCCTGGCTTGGCTGCTCAAGCAAGGTGATGATATTTTCCCTATCCCGGGCACAAAGCGGATCAAGTATCTGGAGGAGAATTGGGCTGCGCTCAAGGTCCAGCTCACGGATGGCGAGGTTGCCGAGGTTCGCACCCTCGTGGAGACCACGAATGTGGCTGGAGCGAGACATCTCGAAGCAGCCCTGTCACAGTGCTTGGCCGACACGCGTGAGTTGTAAAGAATGCGTCATGGTCCAATGTTCACCAATCCAGGAGGTTCTGGTTATGGTCCTCAGAAGCTTAGCATGGATTAATGCAGTACTGTCTTTATTTTCCAATCACATAAACAAACTCCTTACAATGTGTCGCATGGCGCGTATTTGAAGGACTTGACGCACAACAGGTGAATAAAGTCTTTCTGTGGTAGGCAACTCCCACAAGTCCCCCTTTCCGAAACTTGCTTAGTTTTAGGGTGCCCGAACATATGCAAACATCCAATGAATCTGCTATAGAGTGTCTAGTTGAGGGCGCAAATGTCCCATATCATATGGTGGCGAAAGTAACTGAGTTACTTCTCTCTGTCCAGCCTTGATAGCAGCCACAATGAATTGAAAGCACGGTAACAACAGTTTTACTCATGCCCTTAGAGTGCGGCCTGACCCTTTTCCACAATCAAGACTGTCTGCTTTCATTAGTCATTTTCTCAGGGTCTGAATGTATTCACAATCAATCCGGCGGCCGGGTTCTCACTTGTGCAAGTTACGAAAATAGCACTGTTCTGTTGTGGGGCAAGCAATGTTAGGTGGAATTGGCCGAGGATATTACTACGACACTTTCGGCTACTGCTAGAGTGTGATTATCTTTGGCATCATGATAAGTAAAGACTGTCCAATAGTCACCGTCAATATAATCGTGGTTATTTGAAGTTCATGTCACTGTACAAACGATTTCGGGTTTATGCTCGGCGCCTTTTGCGACGTGCATGTACATATGCACATACCTTTCGACTTTCGCACACAAGTGTTGAAAGACGACGCTGAATGTGGCTTTTTGAAACTACCTGGTACAGTACTCTGGTGTCGTTCGGACAGCTCGGCATACTCGGACAATTCGCACAATTCGGAATTAAGCGACAAAAGCCCGGGGGATGCCAAGTGCTTATGCCCTCAGCCAAGCAAGTCCTGTCCTGCATGTTCTCATACAGTCAGCTATTTCATGCAGTTTTACAGCCACATCGCATCTTCGCTCGTATCGATCCTCTCGAAATATTGGGTTTGTCAGAAATGCAGCTCAGCCCGAATGTACCTTGGTAGGATGTACACAATGTACATCTCACACGTACAGGCGTAAGCCTATGCCGGTATCCGGGACGAAACACTGCTATCACCTGTGGCCATTACGTGCTGCTAGTTAAAATTATTGGTCACACATCAATTGATATAGAGTAAAGATATTTGAATTAATATTTGCGGTATCTGCAAACGACGATTATAAGATACTTCCGATGAAAATTAAAAGTATTTAAATCGCCTTATAAAGGGTCAATATAATGCACGTGATGGATGTCCAGTTCACGTTCCTTTCGTTCACGGTATTTACTATGTTAATATTTAAGCGGGATAATTGCGATCTTGATTTAAATGATCTGTGTCGGACAGATCGGACTCGAAAGGAACTCCCGTATATTTACAAAGGGATCCTCCCGGTCTAGCCCTTTATTCCACCTTCATTTACATCATTCCCAATCAAGAAATTAATAACCTACCTTGAGATATTGCCATTTTATACCTGTCAATATGTCAACATCAAGCTGGTCTCAAATTTATTCACTCTTTCTAGACTCCTTCGCTGGTCTTATCGGCTTCCTCCTCATTTACTCTGGTATATTGGGAACATTTATCGAACCACTGTCATGTAGGTGCATTTTTTCAATATCGCGAGGCAGAATCTCCATTAACAAGAAACCAAATGCAGGGTCTGTGAAGTTTGGGTTTCCTCGTGCAACATCTGACACAGCCACATTCCTCCCTTCCGCGACGGGTCGTAACCTGGCTGCTGGCATTTTCGTATATATATTACTCATTTTAAGAGAGAGGAAGGTGCTAGGCATATTCTTGATATGCTGGATATGGGCTGGTATCGCGGATGTGAAGATCCTATACGAACATCCACACGGAAAAAATATTCCGGTTCATATGAGGAATATTGTTGCTTTGGTGGTGGTAGGGTTTCTATTGATAGGAAATGCGACAGCATAGAGCGAGGAGTACTGAAACGATACCCAGCCATGAGTATAGCTCGATGGGTAAATGAGTATTCTTTACACAGTCTCATATGCCTACTATGGCAACCGAGGAAACCAAGACCTTCTCACATTAAAAGTTCTCTCAAACGTATGACACGAAATCTATTTATCTCAATCATAATTGTATACAAACGAATTTCCTACAAGTAAACTAGAAACCAAACACCGACTTATTGCCCAACTCTTTGTCAACCTCATTCCATCCCTTGTCTGGCTCAATACCTGCGAACTTCCATGCGCCGTCTACCCTACGGTACCACACAGCACACCTGCCGTGCGCATGCATCTTCGCATCGAGGTGGACCATCGCATCGTCCTCGTATTTCAAGTGAGATACACGCATCTGCTGATGGCTCATAATTTCATCATTGCTGATTTGCGCCCACTTGATCGCTCCGACCAAATGCTTCAAGCTAGTAGGTTAGCTGGCAGATCTTCAAGGGTGTTTAATGGACCAATACAGAGTCGCAGGATTTGTTTAAGCAATAGAAGTCCCCATTCATATTACAAACGGGGGACTTCGGAGCTTACCTGAGTTTTGAGGCGTGGGTTCCCCAAGAACTTCGGGTCAAATGCCATCTTTATGAACTCATCTGCTGGCATAGCCTCCCAAAGTTTACCCATAACGTGTGTGTAGTCAATCTATAAGCATCCCTGACGTTAAATATGTCGGTATCAAGTGCATTTTGAGAATGCTTACCCTGAGTTTGGGTGCAATGCAGTTAGACAGGCGGATCGGGTCCTTCAAGTCATAGCTCTCAGCCCACTCATAGAGCGCAGCCTGGCAACTTAATACATCTATATGGGTATATTAGACAAAATGTTCGGCTCCAGTATTGGGACACGAATTTCAAACCTTCAAGACTAGGGAGTTGTACCATATTCGTGATACGGAAATCCAAGAAAATAAAAACCACTACTTGAGACGGTAAACCAGTATATACGAGGTTTTTTTTCTACCTCACTCGAGTCGTACGTATGAGCGTGTGCTTTTGTGATGTATTCGATTGTGGTTGCGTAATGGTGTAAAGATAAACCACTTCCTCCCCTCCTTTAGAACCACTACAGTATATAGCCGGACTGTATTTGGGTAGTATACTTAGACCTGGGGTGTACACTAAGTCTAACTTTATTTGCGGGTCAGCGACGGTGATCAGACCTCGACTTTGATAGTCCGTGTCGCAAAATCGTAAAGTCGGGATAATGACAGAGATGATTCCGACCCCCGATAAATGCCCGAGAAATACGATTGGAGGTTCAATCCGCATCATTCCGCCCCAGAGATTCCCGAGGTGAAACTGAAAGCGGACAATTCGGACAACTGCATTCCGCAGTTTGGCGCCACACTGCTGCAAGTGGCGAACAGGATGGTGAGGAACCCGTGCGGCGGATATCAAGGAATCTATAAGGATAGAGCCACGGCGATACCGTGGGGTGTCATTCCAGGACACTTCAAGGAAAGCACTCGTCTCAGTTATCACTCTTTAACAGTAATTGAGAGGTGCTCATCCAGCCTGCCCCCTTCTCGTTTCACCTGAAGCACTATCATCAGATGTCAACTCCCCATCTTCCTTACCGTCTCGACGGCAAAGTTGCCCTTGTAACAGGCTCTGGCCGGGGAATTGGGGCAGCAATTGCCATCGAATTTGGTCGACTGGGAGCAAAAGTAGCCGTGAATTATGCAAACTCCAGCAAGCCGGCGGAAAAAGTCGTTGCCCAGATCAAGGAACTGGGGTCAGATGCAGTTGCCTTCCAGGCTAATGTGAGAGATGTAGGGCAAACCGTCAAGTTAATGAACGACGTGGTCGCCCATTTTGGCGGGCTCAACATCGTTTACAGTAACTCGGGTGTGGTCAGCTTCGGCCATCTTGGTGATGTGACTGAGGTATGTTCAAGACAAACCATTCAGCTGCTATATGCTGGCTAACACTTTACGCAGGAAGAGTTCGATCGTGTCATCAGTCTCAACACGCGCGCACAGTTCTTCGTCGCTCGCGAAGCGTACCGGCACCTTAGCGAAGGCGGCCGAATCATTCTGATGTCATCCAACACGGCTAACAGCATGATTGTGCCTAAACATGCATTATACGTCAGTATTCAAGATACTTCTTGCTTTCTTTCTCCCTTCTTCTTCTGCTTCTTATTTACAACATTTTGTATTTCACAAATCGCTATTTTCTCCCCGGACTGTTTTGAACTAAAGGCATTGATATTGTTCTGGAATTTACATTTGATAATAGGCTGGATCGAAAGGCGCCATTGAGTCGTTCGTACGTTCATTTGCCAAAGACGCCGGGGACAAAAAGATTACCGTCAATGCCCTTGCACCTGGAGGCACAGTGACCGACATGTTCCATGACGTATCAGTAAACTACATACCCAATGGAGAGGCTTATAGCGCCGAGGAGCGCCAGCAAGTAAGTTCTTGTCATGGTTCTGAGAAAACTCTTATTTGAATGGTTATATTAATATCTACAGATGGCGGCAAATGCGTCTCCACTGAAGCGGAACGGATATCCCATTGATGTTGCCCGGGTTGCTTGCTTCTTGGCGAGCAGGGAGGGTGAATGGATTAACGGCAAAACTATAGTTCTCGATGGCGGAGGTGCCTGAATTTTTCACCGGCGAAGCAGATTAAGAGAGTATCCTAGCTCAAACTCATTGAGCAGGCCAACCCTAGGTACACACGATAATAAGTTATTAATAAAAATGCTTTATACATTACACACATATTTTGTTTGTATTCATGAACATTGATAAAACGTGAAGTCGTACTCGAAGCGCTTTTCTTATTCGCTGATTAGGCTATGTCTCATTTTGTCAGTCCGGTTGTATTGCTGGCCGAGTCCGCCGGCAAGGTGCCGGTAACACTGGTATCATAATCTTCGAGGATTACCCGCTCTCAAGTCGAGCTTATATAGATGCCACGCAGCTTGGAGGAAAGAATTTGGGCGTGGGGGGAGTTCTTCCTTTTATTTTTAGCAGAGGATACAAACCTCATTTGGCACCAACAACGGCCGGTTCGTAGCCTGACCGGTAACAGTTCTTGTGTTTCGACAATTTCCGTTCCACACTAATATAAACATGTAATTATTTGCATTGTGTACCTGGCCGCCTGCGAAGTACTGGGTAGCCCAAAGCCTTGGAGACGATGTTGTCATTGATTTATCTGGTTTATCTCAATCTTAATTTTCTCCTGTCCGTGTTCATCCAGGCCCTGTATGAGGCAGATAAGGAAACAAAAAGGGCAAGAAATGACTAATAAGTCCTACAACGATGGTCATAGGTGTGCCTCTTGGAAAACAGGCCGCACCATTGGTGTTGAGCACCCCAACATTCTGCATATCATATCGTGTTCCCGTGTCATCAGCGGCCTCGATCATAGCCGCGGCCAAATCAAGATACGAAAGCGGACTTCCCTCATCTGTTAGACTCAGCGCATGACCTCGCTGCACATCAATAGAAAGCGCGCCCGGTTTCATGAAGATTGTCGTCAGCCAGTCTTGTTGCCCCCGAAGCATGCTTTCCGCTACTTCCAAATCTGCATAGACATTTGAAGCCGAGAGATGCAGTACTTTCCGTAAGATCCAGGGTGTATGGCGGGAAAGGTGGTCGTCGAGAATCGCAGAAGAGAGAAGAACCAGACGGGGTGACTTGAATGCCTTGTTGGTCGTCCTGAGGCACTCGAGCGCGTGAATTACGCTTGCTGCGGTGTCCTGGGCGGCACGCAATCCAGGTATATTATCTGCCGTCGAGATGACTAGAAATATGGCTTGACAGTTGCTGATGCATTTAGTGAGGAGTTCAGTATCCTCGATTCTTCCTTCGAAGATGGTGGACTGGGTGCTAGATTCGATTTCTGGTAGAAGATGCAGAAGCTTCTGGCGGTTGCGGCAGTAGGCTCGGATCTTCGCGTCGGGACGTCGCAGAAGATTCTTAATCAAGGCGGTGCCACAGTTGCCCGTTGAACCTAGGACAGCATAGGTCCCCATCTGGCGTGATGCTCGTGTACTATCAATGTGAATATCGCAATGGCAAAGGTGTTGCCTCAATAATCAATCAGAAGGATTCTGCGGAGTCGTTATTGACACAATAAGAATCAACAGCGCTTAGGAAACAGTGAGAGGAGTAGAATGAATGTAAGATTTGGAGTACGCTTCATATACCAATGCTCCGAACTACCGGCACGGGGTCATAATATGTTTGCTAGCCTCTACAGACCTAGACTTCAGTGCCGAAACTGCCCGAAAGTAGCTCATACTTTGAACTTGTGGGGTCACTACAGGCAAAAGTTGTGCAGGATTAAATTCGAAGTTTCCGAGTACAAGTTCAATTCAATTGCAAGTAGTCTTCAAAGAGACTCGACCCCGGCTGTTCACAATTGGTGGTTTTCCAATTTTGCAGAGAGCTTAAGGTCGTGATGCAGAGTTTGCTTCCAATGTGTTATAGACTGTTTTGAGGTTCTACTTGATAAAGACGGCCAACCAATACGTATGAAATGATCCCCGGATACAAAAGCCAACCAGTCCTCAAGTCTCAGAAAATATTCAGGGTTTTAAAGACTAATGTAAACTCCAATATAGAACTCAGAAACGGGAGAAATGTTTACAACAGTGCAAGACTTTCAATATGTCATACAGATACGTCAAGAGATCCTTTCATAGTAATATTCTCACAGAATACTTTCTTGTTCAATCAAATACTGCTCAAACCTGGGGTAGAACTCACGGAAGAATGCCGTGTCGACCATTTCCTCGAGTTTTTTTATTTTGCTGCCATCTTCAGTGAACGATATGACTATAGAATATTCATTGCTCCACTTGAGATCTCCAAAAATTGTGTCGGCCTGTGAGGTCGCGTAGATGAACGCTTTTTCTCTGGCGATATCATGGACGACTTGGTGGATATTGACCTGAGTTCGTGTGTGAGCTGCTGAGTTGGCCGATGTAGAACGATGGTAGACATAATATTTTATCACTCAGTCTTAGAAATAGGGATGGTAACGAAATTGACTTAGCTCACTTTATAGTTTCTCAATGTCCCGATCAATTTTGATGCACGGCTTAGAGCTTGGGATCGGGGCTGAGGTGGTACGCCTATCGTGAATGGAAGCATCTGTAGCTCGAAATCCTCAGACCACAGTGAAGTCCACGATTCGGGTGTGAACTCTTTCCATCCTGCAATGTATTTGTCGATAGTAGCTACTTGAACGTCGGCTGGAGCGGGCATATCGAGCTGTCCTTGTCTTTGACGTGCATGCGCTTCTTGATAGCACGAGAAAAGAACAAGATATCTTTGTCTTCACGTAATATACTATGTTTTCAGGGCCGATGGGACGCAGTATCCACATGCGTTACCAACATCACCATTGCACACCTTCCCGGACTCCTCCCGATCACTTGATCGTGTCGCAAGTATGAGATTATATTGAAGCAGGTACATTCCTTGTATTGTTTGTTAACCAATCTAAAAGTCAAGTTACTAAGCATCTTCCTGAAATACCCGAAGATCCATTTCGAGGATCACGTCCTATCCTCGTACTGAAGAGCTCAACAGATCCCACAACGGCAATATCTGTCGAAATGGACTTCATCAGTGGATTTGCCCGAAACAAGCCGGAGTATATGACGGGCTGCAAGCAAAATTGACCCGAAATCGTGCAGACGGCAAACCAGCAGGATAGCTTGCTCCTACAGAAAACAGCAATTACGTGCAACCATTGTGGGGAGGGGAACCCTGCATCGGGGACAAGGGCCGTTTTCCTCCACGCATTTACGCCGAGACATCTGATGTCAGATTTATCAATCCTCATGAGTCTCGCGTCACTTGGCTGTTAATCTATTGGTATCTAACACTAGAGATGCGTGGAATGTACGCATGTATGTCAGTCAGCAATACATTGATATGCAGTGACATCCAAGATTTCCGAATGTGCAGTCTCCACTTAGAATGGGTCAGGACCGGGCCGGCACCGGCTTCGTATCCGGCGACAGGCCTTCAGGTGTGAACAATCAACGGAGATGCAATTGGACAAAGTCAAAAAGTACAGTACATCTCGGGTATGGGACAACGTAAGCTGCCAGGTCTGAAGGATCTTAAGCGATCTGAAATATGGCCTCTTTGGTTTCGTGTTCGTCTCCTTGCATTGCCTAGGTTACTTTGGTACACGTTACTTCATGCAGGAAACTGCACGTGTTGGAAGCTGTCGCGCAATTGGGAGGTTGCTTACCGTACCGGTACCGAAAATTCAGTATCAGACGAGTTTGAATCCGAGGCCATCCTGGAAATTCTTGCAATCGCACGATTGGCTAAAAAAAAAAAAAAACATTGCGCAACAAGTTTACACTATTGCAAGAGTTTTATGGACTTGAACGCTATATGCCAAACGAGATCTTCCCTTCGTGGCCTTCTTGCCTCTTTCTTAATGCTGTCATTGAATCAATGGATTTGATGCGAACTTTCCAAGCGGAAAGTCGATTTACAACACCAGCGATATGATTACTCATTGGCGTGTGGCGAGAATGATTGTAGCTGGCCAACAGCCTTGGACGACTTTACCGCCTGCCATGGCTTCCTCCAACTCCCGAAACAAATCTGCAAAACTCGACGGATCCTCAGACACAAAAGGAAACGAATTAAAGTGTTCCTTAACTCCTTCCAGATCTGCATTGAAGCTCCAGCCTTCTTCGTCTTGAAATATCTCATCATCATCTGGACCGGTATACCCAGGTTGAGTTTCCTGATTTTCTTGCTCTGGCGGAATGAGAGCCATGTTTCCACCATGAGTCATATTCAAGTGATACCTTTTAGCGCCCGGGATAAAAAGATCTGGGCTCAGGGGCGCCACGTTGTAATGGCCGTCGGTTCTTGCCAGGATAGCCATGGTCTGTTCGGGGCTTTCAGCTTTCCGCAGGAGCAGACGTCCCCCTTGGTAGTTAATACGAGCCCATATATCTTGCACTTTCGCGTCGAAAAAACGAGCAGTACCAAATGCGCTACAAATAAAGCTTCCACCGGGTCTCAATTGTCTGGCGACCGCCGCCATGGTCGCTTCCTGGTCGGCAGGGAAGTGCATCACGTTCGTAGCAAAAACCATATCGATGCTGGATTCCTCGATATCATCCGCTTCCTCCAATTTGCCGGCGCGATAGCTGAATCCATTCGTTCCAAGGCGATGCTGGGCCAGTTGCACGTTCCTAGGAACGATATCCGAGACGATGACATGAGAAAATCTGGTTCTCAGCTTTTGTGCATATGGGCCGTTTCCAGCGCCTACATCATGCACAGTGCCAAAATTTCCGTTGCCTTGAGTTTGATGATAGGCGAAGATTCGATCAAAGAAAGCATCAGGGGGTCTTGGACGGCCCTTGAGATAGTTCTCCCAAAAATCATTGTTTTGCGCAAAGAATACTTCGCCGTTAGAGCCCATGTTAGGGAGAGGCTAGGGGCGAGTTATAAATTTACGAAGAAGGTCAAAGAAGTAAAGAAGCAACCTGGGGACTTTCTAAATTACGATATTGTCAACAGTGCTATAGATAAGTTTTGTCCGTGATCATTGCATGAAAGTCACGCAAAATATAATAGGCAAAGAACATCGGCAGATATAGCACTTTTCGGTCGACAAAATCTTCCGAAACCGTGCTTAATTCAAGGGGTCAAAGCTCATAATTGATATGTTCCGCCTGATATTCCAAGACAAGGCCGGTTACGGTATTGTTGCTTGACACCAGCCTCCTAGTCACGGCTAATCGTCCCGAACCATTTTTGACGGTTCCGATGAGATGTAATAGCTCGGTGAACTCTAATTCGCTCTCGTTAGACAGCTGGAGCATTCCGAGATCCCGTGATCGAGCGATGGCTTCCGGCAAGATATTGCAGATATTGCCTGGTTCAGGCAATAGATATGCGGTTGGTATGAGCACGATACCTTTGTTTGCCCGAAGAACACCGCAGTGGATTTGGAGTTCCTTTTGGATCATTCCAAGTGAAAATGATGAGACGTGGAGAATGTAAAGACCCGCATCAGTGATTGGTTGTTTGGTACCGAGCGCTCGGGGCATGATCTGGATGTTCGGGAGGTCTGCGTCCGAGTCCACGCCGGTCTCAAAATTTGGCAATTCCCCTAATCTAGGACGTGGGGGATCATAAAGCTGTATCACATAATGGAAGGATGAGTATGTGCGGGCAATCTTCCGAGTGGTTGCTTTCGAGTGTGGTCCCACCTGCATGTCATCGCAGATAGCGAGTCAGCACTAACCCTCTAAAAGAAAGACGAGAATGGGATGGAAGTAGGTGTGTACGGGGGTGGGGACTAGAAGTCACCTCTACTATACGCGCATTGCGAGTGTTGGACCAATTGAATTGTGCAAGAGTGTCAGCCAAGGTCTCCCCTACGTGCATTCCGGCTGCATATTGTAGATAAGCACGGTATTGGCGACTCAGTCTTGGCTGCTCTTGACAAGCCATATGAAACGGTTTTGTCCCACCGACCGCCAAATTGTAGGCAGTCCGATAATCACCCTCCGAATCATCCGGGTTAGGTGCATCCATCTTCAACGCCGCCGGAGCTGCAGATTCGGCCATGAAGATGGCTGCGTCAAGGAGCAAAGGATTGTCAAAAAAGCTTCAGACAAAGCCGTGTCTGACGGAATTAGCCACGGTTCGAACGCTAAAGAGCAGGGCGAATCTCACGGCCGATGTATCCGTGCGGCTCTTCCCGCAGAAACCCCTGCGTGGCTGTCAGGCGAATGACGCGGCGTAGCTGGCTCTCTGCAACATGTGCCAGATCTGCTACATCCTTGATGGAAACAGTATCCGTTCGCGGTATGCATGCCAATATCTGGAATTTTCCAAGCCACCGTAAACAGGCAAGCATCTCATTCTGATATCAAATAGTTGTTAAGGGCCACGAAGAAATTTAAGAGGGGAAAATGGGGGCCAGCGCGGAAAGAGGGGAGTAATCACTATACATACTTGAATAGTTAGGTGCTCCAGAAAATCCCTCGGTCCACATACCAACGTCTTGATTTTGGTAATGATGGACAGTACGTTTCTGCGAGCCTGGTCTACTTGGAGTGTTCTTCGAGGGTCAATGATAGAACTAGCTCCTTGTCCATCGTTGCTCTGAAAACAGAGGGCCAAACCTTGAATGGCAGTGGCGAGTGCAGATGTGGAGGATTCCAATTGAGCCAGATTGTCCATGGCAGTATGTGGGCCAAATGGGCGCGGAGATGAGATTGAGCATCGAGCGAGGTCAGGTTTGACCACGACGGACACTAGTACCAAACCACCCAAGACCGTGTGGGCATTATAAACATATATATGGGGGCTAAGCTATCGTCCCCTCCACCGATAATAATGCTGACCTGCACTGTACGAATTTTCACATTCTGAATCGGCCTTGACACGCGTTTAGAACCGAACTGAACCTGCGCATCACGGGAATTGCCAGGGAATAGTCAGCAAACTGCGGGGACGTCCCTGGCGCCCCTGTGGAGCGACTCTCCTTTGGTGTGGTAGCTGCTGATGGGTACGCATTACTGAGTTGTGGTCTGGGTATTTCTTCTTATCAGCACGCAATTTCCGTTCTTAGCGTCAAGTTGTTCTCGAATGCGTGAATTAAACCCAAGCATTCCATGGTATGAGTATGGATGGAGTCCTAAGATCCATATCCAGGCCCGTTTATTGACCATTAATTTAATAATCAAAAGGTGGTGCCTCTTTATTCTCGTCCTCGGTCTGACTGGGTTTCGCAATATGTGTAAATTAGCATGTACTCTAGAGAAGATCGGATGAGATCGGCATTGTGAAATTCGCCGTCGTTAAATGGCAATGTCAGGGATCTAATACTGTAATTGTAATCATTGTATCTTCTTACATGACCTTCAAACATCCTGCAAGCCATCCCTTCAGCAGAAGAGGAGTACGCACACAACAAGGGCATCAGGACAGGGCGTGGCCACACGGCGGTGAGAAAGCCATGCATATGCGGGCTGACACTGAGATTGGGTGAATCATGATTGTGAGATCCTCGTCTTATGTAGGCTAATGGTCTAGGCATCTGTTGTCAGAGAGTGGGGGATTCCTATGCTTCTCTTATCTCGGGCAGACGACAGTAAAAATGAAAGAAACTTCTTAAGTGTATTGACACCATGTGCTGTCAATGTATATTGGTTCGCAGGACGTCAGCTATTCCAAGTCTTAAACATGGCTGATGACAGAAGTCCGAAGCCAAGGCCAACTCCACTCCAGACCCCGAATCATACGACTGCCAAACTACGGGGAAGTTGTCGAGACTGTGCATTATCCAAAGTACGATGTCAGAAAGAGAAGCCAATATGCTCACGATGCGCTAAACGTGGTACCACTGTATGTGAGAAAAAAAACCGATTATTCCACGGATTGGGAACAATGTCCTTTGCCTTATAAACTTCTCTTCGTGGAACAAATTGTTTTCTAATGTGTTGAGTTAAAGTGTGAATATGTGGCTGCAAAGCCCCCAGGCAGGATTCGCCGCTCAAAACACCAACGAACTACCGACCATGGTAGCAACAATGGTGCTGGCCAACAGCCAACAGCATCAGAAATACACGTGGACCTGGGATCCACGACTACAACAACGCACGGTGATCAGTCATTTGGAACAGGCGCATACTCACCCCCCTTTGATATAAGCCCACAGTCTCTTCGATCTGATCAAGTGTCGATTATCGGGAGCTCTGAATCCTTGGATTTGTTTTCTAGTCTATCTGCGACTTTTCAACAACATCCATTTAATGAGCTTCCAGAGATTCAAGGCGATTTTAGTGATTTTCTCAGCTCAGAATTTTCCGAGTCGAATGCCTTCGGACTGGGTGATTTAGACCAAGAACGCGGTAGTATCACAGGCATTCTTACAAACAATCAAGCAGACCGCCGGGTGACACCAAAAATATCTCATGGCTATCCATCTTTGGCACCATCCGCCAACATGTCAGAGAATCCGACGCCGGCAACAAAAGATACAGAAGTAAGCAATTCGACACCTGCTTCTTCTTCTTGCAACTGTTTGACGCAATTGTTTGGAGCCTTGAAGAAGCTTATGATGGATATATCGAGCGAATCCAACCTCCCAAAGGCGATTGACGAACCAGCAACAGGATGTCGGACGCCGCTCAATGGCAGGACCAAAGCCCAGATTGTGGTGCTAGATAATCAGCAGGTGATTAGCTCCATTAGTGGTATACTACAATGTTCTTGCGAAAAGGATGGCTACATGCTTACAATACTGGCTACGATTGTGACAAAGCTTTTGAGTCGTTACGCGGAGGCAGTACCCAGATTACTTGGAAGTGCAGAAAAGCGCAACGCCCAATGGGGCTTCTTGGCCGCGAAGCTTGTCCAGACACAACATATAGAAGATGACTGCGTTTTCTTTGAGGATGCGGAAAGGATGGCGGCTCAGGAGATCCTTAACGAGCTACACCGGGTACAACGACTGGTTAACGAACTCAGTCCACGGCTGCGGACACAGGAGGATGCCGTACACCCAGATGACAGCCCAGAACGCCAGCTTTTACTCTCGCTGTCTTCGCAAAATAAGGCTCTACAGCGACCGTTTTCTGCTATCACTGTGGAAGGGATCGGAAGAGATATGCGCGCAAGCCTCAGCTCTCTATCCAGAGGAATCATCAGCATCCTTCAAGAGACTTGAAAATCAAAAAGCTCTAAATATTCTGGCTAGATCTTAAGCTGATATTACCATGAAAGCACTGCAATAAATGGCATTTATTTCTCCCTTAATTGAGTCCGAATTCATATCAGCGCGACTGATTACAATATTCTGGTTGGTCTGTACCGATGTGAATCCAATAATAAAGAGCCATCCGTGTCAAACTGCCATGATTTCTCTCATTAATTGCATTTTGACTTTGCCGTAGAGACGCATGATCTAGCATTTGTGTTGCCTCGTTAGGATACAAATTCCAGAACTTCTCGGGGGAAAACGCCCCCCTCCGTGTCTCACGCTCGGAGTCTCGGTCCCAATTACCCAGCCTAATGAACCCGCCGACGTCAAGCTACCAAACTGTTGAACTAGGACAACTACTACGAGAAGTATTGTCGCAGCCAGTCATAACTTCTCTGAAACGATACTACTGTATTTTGCTCTATAAGATGGGTCGTCCACGACAGTACATTTCGCCATCAATATATTACATCTCCTCCATCTAGAAACACCACCGTGAGCTCCGCGTTCATCAAAAACCGCAGTTATGGCCCAATTCCTAGAGGCGTCACAGGTCCGCTTGTCATTCAGCCATTTGGGTCTGGCCCGTCTCAATCCATCGCCTCCGTCTGCAGTAGAGGTAGCAAACGACCTACTGCAAAAGAACCATGACAGGTATCACATGTACTTCCGTGATGTTGCCGGCCACAATCATATCCCCCATTCTATTCTCACAGTTCTTGCAATGGGTGGCGGCCCCCGGCAGCTGAAAAGAGCATTTGACGATGGAGTGCCCATACAACGGCCGCTGCCTCCCGTTGATCTCGAAGTTGTCAAAAGCTTCAAGGACCCGGCCAGGTTTCGAGAAAAGATGACTCTTTTATCAGAGTACACAAATTATCTAGCGTTCTTTGAGGAAGAGATCGAATACAAAGGCTGGGAGGCTGTCGTCAATGAGCGCTGCTTCAGTCGCACCCCTAACGCAGACTACTTGTTGTCCCAGATGTACGAGGGCGTTTTTCATCCTATGATCCACCTGGGCTTTGGTGTTGAATTCCAACTTCCCAGTATTGTTGCCGAGGGGCTCGCGCAAGCTGCTTCACATTATCTTGGAAACCTGGACCATTTCTTCTCAGGTGCTGAGAGACTGGTGCAGACCGGATCTGTAGCACCCAAGCGACTCTTTGATCTTTACCAGGAGGTTCGCAGCAACGAGAAAGTCCGTACAGCTGCGCTGGTAACTGATAGAGCCTTCAGAGTCCGCGATGGCGTGCTGGGTCGGGCGTTACATGAGATCATAAGGGTAGCTTCCCAATATCAGATCACACCTGATGATTTGGAGCGTGCGACCGCTGAAATGATCAGTTGTGCTGCCTATGCCGCCGCTACTATACAAAACAAGCCCGGGAAAGTCCGAAGGATCGACTTTTACGTTATGCATAATGTTACCTGTTCCGTCGCTCTGGTCGTTCTGCTCCGTCAACCATGGATCAAACTCGAGGACAAGGTCCGTGTTTTAGAGTGGAAGGGCCGGCTCGATCTCGTCATGTACGCCGCCATCTCGGCACCCGAGCTGCACCTCGAGAATATCCTAGAATATAAGCCGACGCAAAGCAAGGATATGACATGGAGCACAATGTACGAAGCTATCAATGATATTCATGATGATGGACATATCGCCAAGTTCGTTCGAGCTTTAAAACTTGGCGAGGAAGTAGCAAAGCCGTTCGAGCAGGATGACAAGGCTGGTGATCTGCCCGTGAAAGGAAACTTGTGGTTCAGGATTGCTCAGTTGTGTTTCGATACGACTTCGCTAAGTGATGGGATAGAAGCCGATGAGAAGTGGGTTATGGGTGCTGGATTTGATCCCATGTGGCGAATGGTCCCTGATCGATCCGATTCTTATGACCCTAACTGGCGATAATATGAAATTCATCTCAGCGGATGAAATATAAATATTGTATTCTTTCTTTACATGGTCTATGGATCTCGTTACGGCCGCCTCTGGCAATTGAAGTCTTAGAGACTTTTGCACTACACAAAACAGCACTCGTTAGGCTCATATGGTGGAGTTCCTGTACCAGATGTCACGGCACCACAGGTGAGATCGAGGCTGTGCTGCAAATCCTGTAGTATTGCAAAAAATCTAAAGCTGGGAGAGAGTGGAAAGAAGAGCTCTCTCCATAGCTGTGGCGTTTGCTATTTGCAGGTGGGGTTGGATCACCCCTCGTCCCCCACCACAACAACCAGCCGCACTAGCCAGCCCGTAACACCAGTCCTATCTATCCTATTACCTTTTGTTCACCATTTGGGGGAAAAGAGCGGCCAATCTGGAAATCGGCGAGTCGAATCTACCATGATGGTCACGTGCCCCCTTCAGGTTGTCGTTAGATACAAAGATTAATTAGGTAAGTCTGACCAGATGTAGGTGCAACAGAGTTACCTAGTGACATCTCGGAGGAATAGTCGCTATTAACACCCGACTAGATTTAAGGGTTTTGAATGTCCAGAACTATATCTATATCTATAAGCCTCCCATAAAGCACTATAAACCTTGCAGAAATTGACAAGGAACCTAAAGGAGCTCATTTCACCACATCACCGACATCGCAATTATGGCAATTGTAAAAGGGGTTTCTCGACTGCCAAACGTCGGAATGCAGTCCACCGCCGTAGTCGCTAGCGCTTTCTTATCAGGTAAGACACCTTCAAAACGCTAGAAATCTTTGAGTTTCTTGACACAACTTAGGAGCTATGGCGGGAATTTCAATGGTGACAGTGCCTGTGTTCCTCGACACTAATACAGATTTGTCTCACTTACTCCGACAGTGGACCCGTACCTACTTCTATGGACACACGATCATGCCGGCAATTTGTATTGGGACTTGTGGATTGTATTGGTATTCAGCCTTGAACAAAGGTATATCCCGAAGCCAACTGCGGTTGGAATACCTGGTCGCCGGAATTATTACAATCTTCATGGTTCCTTTCACGTGGCTGGCGATGGTTCCGACCAACAACACTTTGTTCGCTCTCGAAGCTTCAGCGAGAGCGGGGTCAGAATCGGTCCGATCCGATCTCGGGATGGCACAGGCGTTGCTTATGCGGTGGGCTTGGCTGCATGCCGCACGCTCTCTGTTTCCCCTTATCGGTGCGATTTTGGGTCTTCGATCTGTCTTGAAAGAGGTCAGCTTGCAGGAGGAGCGTTAAAGTCGGATAGAAGCTCAGAGCGAAGTTCTTCGGGACCGACATGCCCAAAGTGACCGAATATCGCAATGGCAAGTTATCGTATTCGTCAACGGGTTAGTTTCGTCACGCGAATCAGCCCGATTTCTTTCGGAAAGGCGCAGTCTTACCGAGATTAACGCCAATACGGGACATGAAAATTCACCGTTGCAGCACGTGGCAAGAGTACGTTTGCGTTCAGGCCATACGGGTAAAAATCAATTTTGTCAGTGGACAGGGCGATGGCCTGCATTACAGGCCTTACTACTGCAGCATAATCGAAACGTCATTGACCAAGATATGTCGAAGCTTTTTGGCCCGTGAATCTCTAGCAAGGAGTGGCAGGTTTAGGTTTTTTTTTTTTTTTTTTTTTTTTTTTTTAAAAAAAAAAAAAAAAGTCTAGTTTGTGAATGGGCAGAAGAAGCGAAAAAGGAACTGTATTTAGCCTTTTGCGTGATTATCTCGGCCTCAACCAAGCCAGCATCATCGGCCTCGATCCTCATCCAGCATTGTCCTCTCTCTGCCAATCATGTTGCCCTCTAGGCCAGAGTGCATCGAAAAAATAATACTGAAGATATTGAACTTTGTAATGACTAAACGATTCAGAAGGACAGGGCTTTCCCTTCGATTTAAGTCCCACTGTCATTCTTTTAACGTGAAGTCAAACCATACAAGTCGGTAGACATGTTCACATGTGACAATGCTTCCATCTCTACTTTTGCAATCTCCATATCAGAAAAGTAAATCCTTTCACATTATAAGCCGACGAGTTCGCTAATCTTTGCATCTGCCTTTATCTTTTCTTCCACAAGAGCTCCTATAGTACCCTGTCTCCGTGGCACAAAATCAACCTTGAACGGTTTCGCCTGCATAACAGTTGAGGGAAGATAACCAGACGTGGGGCTGGTATCTAGCTTCTCGGCAGGCTTAATGTCAAATGCCCACAATATCAGGGCAAAGGCAATTTTGATATTCTGGTAAAAGTAATCTTTACCCAAACATTCCCTCGACCCGACGCCAAATGAATAGACAGCTCTTCGGTGTCGCTGCGAAGTCCCATTCTTGGCGCCGACTGGATCCTTGAGCCAACGTTCTGGGATGAAGGATGAAGGATCCTCATAGAAGCTTTCATCATGTGCAATAGACCACTGGTTGATGACTATGGTGCTTCCTTGAGGAATGCGGTACCCTGCAACAGAGATGTCTGCCGTTGTTTCACGTGGAAGACCAAAGGGGCCGAAAACGTAAGAACTCAAAGGTCTCCAACGTAATACCTCCAGTATGCAGGCGCTCAGATATGGCATTTTGTCAATGCTAATATTTTCTGGAAGGGTCAGCGTGCTGCCGCCATCCTTTTGGAAAACCCCTTCGACCTCAGCTTGCGCTTTCTGCTGGACTTCTGGGTTGGCTGCGAGTGCCTGTACTAGGTTGTTGACACTCATGACGGTGGATGTCCAGGTAGCATCGCTAGGATACGTGTAAGCATAACTTTCTTCGAATAAATAATTAATGGCTAGAGGATAATGAAGAACAGTGAACATACTACAAGCCGCCTACGAACACATTAACCTCATCGTCAGTAAAATTTATGGTTGAATCCGTGGCTTGCTTTAGAACTTTGGACGAGAATGGCGCGAATAGCGGCTGCCGATCGCTCTTCCCTGCGTCCATTATGGGTTTCCAGGTATCCAGAAGAGCTTTGCGAGTGGCTATAGCTTTGTGTTTCTTGTCGGAAGCAAGAAAAGGTACCCAACGTAAAATAGGGAAAATATCAAATCTTGGCGACTGATCTGGATCCAAGTAGCCCAAAAACATCCTTTGCGCATAGTGGTACTGCTGCATCCAGTTCTCACCAAGGTCGCGGGGCGTCACCCCGGCCATGAACCAAGTCGGTGTAGATAAGGACCTGTATAACTGCGTCAGATCTTTGCCAGCACTTGAGGTTGGTTTTGTGAGACTCACCAACTCAAGACATGCTGAAACCATTGATCACCGGCATCAATCAGGTTATTGAGTAATTGTGTGCCAGCAGCCTTTTGCATAGGGGCTAATCTTAGGAGGCCTGCGCCGGTGATATACTCCTTTCCCATCGTCCGCAACAGTTTGCTCTCTCTTGCAGGTGATAGAAGGCTATAAGATGGCCATAAATCAGGTAAGACATGTCGCTGGGCCATATAGACTTCTGGTCTGGCATTAAGGAAAGCCGTTTTTTCTACCAGAAACTCGTGCACCATCTGGGCATCGTTGATCAGGATCACATTTCGGGTGCCCAACTTAAGGCCTGTGAGAGGGCCATACTCCTTGGCCCACTCATGAACCTTGACGAAGCTATATTCCGAGGGAATCTGATGAAAATTTCCAAATCCGAGGCGCGTCGGTGGGCCTGGTGGAAAGTTCAATGGTCGCCGTGTAGCAAGAAGCCATCGCACCAGCCGAGAAATAAGGATCGGGACAGCGGTGGCTAATAATGAGAAGGCTAGGTGTATGTACGAAAACATTTTCTCAAGATATTCTTAGAGATCACTTCGATATAATTCTGATGGGGGGGTGGGGAAATAAGAACGGGATAACAAGCAGCTTAATCTTCAGTTATCCAAATGATTCCGAATGTCCTAATGACTAAATATTCTCTAGCGTGCAGATGATAGTTATTCTATCCCAAAAGAGTATAGTGCCGAATGCAGTGAGGTGCTCGTTTGAAAGGGGTTGAGCCATTCAACCGAAAACCTTGCCTCCCATGTTTCGGATCGCGGATGCCAACCTTGATTGGACGATCGGTAACGACTGGCCAACGCTTCGGAAATTGATGACCATATCCGGATCCACGTACGAGCTTGGCCATGTTCCGAACGAACCGCACTAATAGAGCATCGTCCGATTAACATCCATCAAACGGCCTTCATCTAACTAATCGACTATTGCCCTGAGAAAATTTTTCAATTTGAAATTTGCAAGATGGATACGTATCAGTGGTACCTGTTACCAGCCGCTCTAATGCTGGCAATGCTCTGGGTATGGCATTATAGTCCCCATTCTATATTCTGACCCAATGTTTCCAAAGCTAATGGATATGGAGTGGATTTACGATGTGCTCAACAGTCCAATAGCGAACTTACCGGGCCCGTGGTATACCGTTCTTACAGACGCTATTCTTCGCTACAGTGCAGTTACGGGGACGAAGGTGATATACGTGGATAATCTACATAATAAATACGGTAGGCAGTTGGTTCCTGTCGAGTATCAGCGGTATGCTTGAAGTGGCTTATTGTCTGTTGTAGGTCCCATAGTTCGCATCGGTCGTAAGGAAATCAGCCTCCGGGACCCAAGCGTGACGCGAAAAGTTTACAGCGTGAAGGGCGAGTTCCCCAAGGCGGACTTTTACGATAAGATCCTGACAGGCACCCCCAACGTATTCAATACGCGTGACATTGAGACTCACAGGCACTACCGGAGGCTCCTCTCATCCGGCATTGCCGAGTCAAGCCTGTCCACATACTTGCCTGTTATCGAGACTAAGGCAAGGATGGCAATCCAGCGGATGAGAGACGAGGCGCAGACGCGCCGTGCTGCGGTTAGAATCCTTACTCAATTCTCAAACATAAGCTTATTTCGGGCTAGGACGTGTATCATTGGTTTCTTGCCATGGCGACTGATATCATAGGCGAACTGAGCTTCGGTGAGGGATTCAGAATGCTGGAAACAGGAGAGGTGCCAATCGCTTGCATTCCTGCCCAGTGCTGTTCACTTACTTCATCCAACAGAAGAGCCAATACATACGCGACCTCGAAACTGTTAATAAACTTGGGGGTATCCGTGTAACATTTCCCTTTCTTGTTCAACTTGGACATTACGTTCCCATTCCATTCATCAAAGCGGCCATCGAGAATCGTCGCCGCACGGTTGAATACGCTGAACAATCTGTTTCACGGCACTACCGCATTGTGGAAGAGCAAGGCGAGGATGCAAGGCCAACGCTACTTTCGAAACTATATAAGGCAGGCGACGATGGCATGTCTTTTGACGAGGTCCGTTCGAACGCAATGGCTTATGTTATTGCAGGATCCGACACGACAGTATGTAAAATACCCTCGGTCCAACTTCAACATACCAAGAAAATTCCTGACTAGATCAATCCAGGCAAACACACTGACCTACATTATCTGGACCGTATGTAAACATTCAGAGATCAAATCAAGCTTACTTGAGGAGCTTCAGAAGCTCCCTGAAAATTATGAATATGTTGACTTGAAACCCCTTCACTATCTCAATCTTGTTATTGAAGAAGCCCTGCGGTTATACCCAGCAGCACCCGCCGGACTGCCGCGTGAGATACCGGCTGGGGGCACGGACCTTTTTGGTTACTACATCCCAGCTGGATATACTGTTAATATAGGGGCATTTAGCATGCACCGCAACCCATCTGTCTTTCCCAATCCTGAGAAGTTTGATCCGCTGCGCTGGAATAGCCCAACGAAGGCTATGAAGGAGTCATTTGTGCCATTTGGGGGTGGCAGTCGTAGTAAGTTCTGGACTATCCCTGTGTAAGGGGTCAGAATTCTTCTAATTAATGGGTTTAGTCTGTTTAGGAATGCATCTCGCGCGTATCGAGCTGCGCTTAGCTACAGCACGCTTTTTTACGACGTTCCCAAATGCCAAGGTCTCAACTGTCGAAGGGTTTTGCGACGATGATATGAAGCCGGAAATGTTCTTTTTGTTAGGGCCAAAATCAAAACGCTGCTTGATTGGGTTATCTTGAGCTATTAAAATGCCCTTTACTGAACATTAAGCTAAGAATTAAAATCAGATGGTGTGATTAAGCCTAGAATGATAGAATCTCCAATGCCCCTTTCGTTATGAAAGACTGCCACAAAGGTTTGATTTGTATTGTATTCGCTTTGCTTTTATTGATTTTATTTTCACTTTCGTGACCTAGAAGCAAGACTTTCATTTAATGCCAGAACGTCAATGAGTTGGCTGTGTAACATCCAACCATTTGACATGATATTAATCTATGGTCTGCTAGTCTGGATGTTTGTGGGCCGTAGTGCTTATCTGAATTCCAGTCCATTGGCTGGCTTTCCATCCGTAACCCATTCCTCAATCCATCCGATAGTCATCCTGTTTTGATTTAGCCGACTTACGTCACCTAGTCATAATCGTATGTGATAATGGTTCGACTTACTTGCTCTTCTTCGTGTCAGCAAACTTCTCATGATCTCCAATTAAGCGTTCCTTGTACCAAGGATCTTTTTTCATGCGCTTATAGTCATCCAAATGCTCAAATACGACCTGGCTGAAGCAATCGAAGTCCGCGACGACTGTCATCTGCGGATCGAAGAGCTGTGACATCAGCGATCGTGTGGCTTCTGGATTATGAATCTTCACATTATGTTATTCAGAGATTTGCATAATTTTGATGGCGATAGCTCACCATGGTCCACCTCTTAATACCATACTGTGCCATTAGGTCTTTTGTCATTGGCGCAGAGATCTGAGTCATGTGAAATCGATAATCCTCTTCACTCATTCCTGGTCTTCGATACCCACAAATGGTCAAGCATAAGTATTTGCTTGGTTTCATGTTGGAGGAGCTGGTAATTTCGATTTCTGACATGGCTGCGTTTTTGATCGAAGGTATTCTGTTGGGAATCTAATGAGATTGAAATTATTATCTCTACGTTAATATGGATGTAGGATTCATTGTGACTTAAGGGCACACTTGACAAGTATTACCTTAATTTGTATGCTAAATACCGTGTGTCAACTGTAGAGAGATGCTTGCCGCCAGGGCGGTTTGGACAAAAGACGGAACATTATAGGTTAAATACTGGTTCAAGAACGCTTGTGGCCAGCAAATCAAATGATAGAAAATCCAAAATGACCGAGCATCTTCTACAATCACATTATCAACGCTGGTGCGTCTGATGAGCGTGATCACGTTCTTTTATTTTTTATTCCCCTGGGAGAAATTTGTAATAGTGAAATGCTTATTCCTACTAACCATCAAAACGTTTAAGACTACGCGTGAAGAAGTCGTCTAGCATAAATGCGGATCATGATAACCACCACGAAGGTCAACGCCACACACAAAGAACTGAAGCGCTGCAAGCCTGTCGTTTCGAAATGCATGCACAATGCCTACGAACGAGTGTTTCTACAATTATCTGCCCTCTCAATACCGCACACATTCAGCATCGCTTTCGGATGATCGCAATATTCACTGTCGGAATTTTAGGTCTGAAGCCGAAGACGCATCGTCGGCCTTGATCGGAGCATTCCGGAAGAATATATACTACATTATTGCCGATGGTGGAGCATCTAGGGCGTAATGGCCCGAAACCGATTTTACAGAAGAACAAACGATCTGATTGGCTAATATCTAGTTACCCACCCTGGCACATCGAAAACTTGAAACACACATTTCATCAGGCTGTCAGGATAAGTCTTTGGACCCGGATGTGGACTTTCATGCAGCCCCCGCTTAATACACAATCAACTTCACACTGACAAACGAGCTTTTGTATTAGAGAAGTTTAATACCCTTCACGCATGTTTGAAGTGTCCAATTTGATTTTCTTACGTTAGTTCGCACACCTAGGGACAAAACTTTGCAACCCGTGATAGATTTTCAGTGTCAGCTAGCACATTATCAATCTTGTACTGACATTTTATATGGTCTGATCTTCCTAAGGTGAGGTGGTTCGTAAAGCATCCCAACTCAAGAGACAGGGTAGCCCACAAAGTCGCTGTATAGTTTGCTATGCTACAATCACGATGGAAATCACGTACGTGTTTAAACAAAATGATTCCTATGCACGGTGCAGCTCCTGAGCCGTTTGTTGAGCAAGACCGAAACAGTGGGGAGATTCAGCATGAACTGCGAGAATTGATGATTTAAGTCTTGTATCAGTGGACAAGCGTTCAAATAATGGCAAACCACCTTTTTATGCCCGCACGTGTCTGAAAACCTACCATACGATCCTCAGCCAACTTTTGACAAACCTCCTGTATGAAAGGCTCTAAAGCCTGTTTTCGAAGGCCCGCATCTACCTTTGCGCCGTATATGGCCGTAACGAGCTCCGGAACCGTCAATCTGACCATGTCTGATCCAGTCTTCTGGAGGGCCTGCATTACTTGGCGCTCACGCCGCAGTTTTCCCGCCAGCTCTCCATTGATTTTGGCGACCAGGTCTGCAATCACGATCCCATGTGCTGGATACCCAATCTTACAGGCGTGAGTCCGCATGCCCTGAAGCGCTTTCATCCATGTGCCCAGGTGCTCGACAGCGGCGGTGCCGTGGCCCAACACGTTGTCACCGGTGAACATTGCAGCCTCTTCCTCGAGTATAAAGCACATGTGGTCGTGGGAGTGGCCAGGGGCGTGCACCGCGCGCACGGTGGCGCCTTCAACGCGGAAGACTTGCCCGTCTACAATCGGCTGCTGTGTTTTGCTTGGAGTATGCTTGAAAATGGCATCAGAGAGGTCTTCGGGGTACATGCGTAACAGATCGGGCACACCACCCGTATGATCGCCATGCCAGTGCGTTAGTAGTACATGTGAGAGCGAGAAATTGCCATCGGAAACCTCCTTGGCGATCAAATCCGCCCATTCGGTCGCACCCTGGCCTGTATCGATGATGAGACGTTTGGCCCCGGTGCCGATAATGTATGTGTTTGTGCCTTGGAGCGTAAACTGGGACACGCTCATGTTAGTTTATATGTTTGCCATAGGAACCCGACCATGCTATTTCAGCCATGTGTGATTTCTTGTCTAACTTGCCTTTCCCGGATTTTGGCCCAGTATGCGCAGCACACGTGGGCTGATTTGCTCCACGTCCAGCAGTTTGGGTAGCACTGTCTGTTGGCCTTCCAAATAGTCCTCGAAGGCGCATATATTGAGTGCTTTGTTGATCTGGCGATAACCGCCAACTATACCAGGCGCCATGCTCTATGGAGTCAAGGTCAACGTGGTTGATCAGACCTGTGCCCTACAAAGGAAGACGAATGATGAAAAGGCAATTAAAAAAAATAAAAATAAAAAAGGTTCAACTGGCAATGACTCTCAATGTAGGTGGACGGTTGGAAACTGAGCGGCTGGGATGAGTTTTTCTGTGAGCATGAGAATTCCAAGAGACCATCATGTACGTTGAAGAAGGGGAAGACGCCGTGTTTCTACGAGCCGTAACTGGGAGTACCACTGTGATTACACTTTCTGAAACCTGGTAAGCCCCCTTGGGGGATCTCCTATCGGTGCTGACAGAGACGGCCGACATTTTGGCAGGATCATATCAGCATGACGAATGGCACTTGGCACAGCGAGCCACATCCTCGCAACATTGATCGGGGTCTTATCGTCCACCTCTGGTAAAGCTTTTGGTCCGACAGGTAAAGCTCAATCCGGAACGGCATAATGTGGCATGACTCACCAATACCGATACCTGACTTTGTGGCTGACTCTACTTATCCTCCGATCAAGAATTGAGCCGGAAGCCTCCCACAATAGCTTCGCAGGTAATAGCCACGGACAGTATATCAACCCTCGGATACCAAGTTCGGGCAGCTTATGACACTATAGTTGCGATCGAAACCGAGGGCCTGGGATCAAGGGTAAGCACATCCTAATCTACGAGATTGGGGAATATCACGGCTCCGGTACGTACATAAGTGTTCTGATCCGTGGGTCTTTGTTTAAGAGCAATTGTTCGATTGCCTTATAGTCTAAGATACAAAATCTCCCCAGGGCATCATAGGCCACTAGAATAACAGCCCGTCCACAGCCCACCGTCACCGTTATGGAGTGGCCAACTTCATACCATGCAGCAACAGCGACGGAACACTCAATAGTCACACCGTCCTCTGCAACGACCATGGCTTCCATTGTTGACGTAAACAAGATGAAAATCGGCTACTTTAGCAATGAGTTTCCCCACGACGACCTCAAGACTCTGTGCCGGCGACTCTACAAACACAGTAAGGACAAGCGGTACACATTACTCGCGCGCTTCATCCATGAGGCCACTCTGGCTGTCCGTGACGAGATCCGCCAGCTGCCGGCGCAGCTCCGCGGGCTTGTAAAACCCTTCGAGACCGCCTTCGACCTGGCCGACGACACGGTACTCCGCAGCGGGGCCCTCGGGGGTTCTATTGACGGAGTGCTGCTCTGCGTCGTGCAGTTGTCTATATTCATCGGGCACTATGAGAACGCTACCGGGTGTGAGAGCTATGATTTCCACAGCACCGACGCATGCCTCACGGGCTTAGGTGTCGGACTCTTGGCCACGGTGGCAGTGTCACTTGCACCCACACTCGCTGATCTGCCTTTGACTGGTGCCAGTGTAATTCGGACGGCTTTCCGACTCGGCGTTGTCGTCGACGAGGTATCACAGAACCTTCATCCACGTCCCGCAGAAGGGCCAGGAGACAGCTGGGCTTATGTAGTACCTAGTGTCACGGGTGAGGATGCACAGAGGCAGCTGGACATTTTTCATGCAGCAGAGGTCTGTTGGTCCCACTTTCAAACACCCTCGAAATGCTCAAATCTGCTTCTCGTGGGCTTGTTGAGGGATACAAGAATCGCTAACATCTACTCAGAATACGCCTCAGCCTAACAAGATCTTCATCAGCGCTCTAAGCCGCTCTTCGGTGACGGTCAGCGGTCCGCCCACCCGGCTGAAGCAACTCTTCCTTGTGTCTGATTTCTTTCGGGATCGCGATTGGGTAGCGCTTCCGGTGTACAGCGGTTTGTGCCACGCGGCGCACATATATACTTCAGCGCACATCGAAAGAATCATCAAAACAGAGTCGATGGAGTGGCTGGACGAACGCTTCTCGCCGGGCGTACCCATCTTCTCCACTTCCACCGGCCGTCAGTTCCCTGCTAAGAGCGCGGGCTCTTTATTACAAGTTATAATCGAGGAGATCCTCACGCAAGCAATTAAGTGGGACAATGTGGTCAAAGGCGTGGTGGAGAGAGCGACGGACGTGGCAGCGTCTGAGTGTCAACTACTCGTTTTCCGCACCTCGCTTCCCACGCGAGACCTGATCAAGGCCCTCGAAGGAACCGACCAGCAAGGTGTGAGCATCCGCACGATTTTGAAGGATCTAGTGCCATGGGTAAGCAAGGCCGACGCTGCCAGTCCGCGACAACAACCCAGAGGCACCGAGCAGGCCAAGATTGCCATCGTGGGCATGTCTTGTCGCTTGCCCGATGGAGCAACCGACACGGAGAAGTTTTGGGAGTTATTAGACGCAGGGCTGGATGTCCACCGTGAGATACCCGCCGATCGATTCGACGTTGGTACACATAGCGACCCAACAGGCAAGAGGCTCAATACTAGTCTTACACCCTACGGCTGTTTCATCGATAACCCAGGATTATTCGATGCGCCATTTTTTAATATGTCGCCTAGAGAGGCATTGCAGACTGATCCTATGCAGCGATTAGCTATTGTGACTGCCTATGAGGCCCTTGAGCGCGCGGGCTACGTTGCAAACCGTACAGCGTCGACGCAAGGGGAGCGTATAGGCACTTTTTACGCACAGGCCAGTGATGACTATCGTGAGGTCAACTCAGCTCAGGAGATCGGTACCTATTTCATTACGGGTGGTTGCCGCGCCTTTGGGCCCGGTAGGATCAACTACTTTTTCAAGTTCGCTGGCCCAAGCTATAGCATTGATACGGCATGTTCGTCAGGATTGGCCACTATCCAAGTATGTCATTACCTGCCCTCCCTCTGTCCCTTTCCGTTCTTCCTTCCTTCCTGTCTATCCTTTTACAGATTCGTGTTCTAGGTTGACACGTGCTGACTGAACGTCTGATAGATTGCGTGTAACTCTCTTTGGAATGGCGATACCGATATGGCAGTAGCGGGTGGTATGAACGTGCTCACTAATTCGGATGCCTTCGCGGGACTTAGCAACGGGCATTTTCTTTCCAAAACACCTAATGCGTGCAGAACATGGGATAGTGAAGCAGACGGATACTGTCGTGCCGACGGAGTAGTGTCGGTGGTAATGAAGCGTCTCGAAGACGCACAAGCCGACAATGATAATATTCTTGGAGTTATCCTTGCAGCTGGTACGAATCATTCAGCCGATGCAATATCCATCACGCACCCTCACGCGGGCCACCAAGCCGATCTAACACAGTCGCTATTGCGACGGGCCGCCGTGGATCCTCTTGACGTAAGCTTTGTCGAGATGCACGGTACAGGCACGCAAGCTGGGGATGCACAGGAGATCCAGTCTGTTACCAATATCTTTGCCCCATTAGAGACACGTCGTCGATCGTTAAAGCAACCTCTGTACATCGGTGCGGTTAAGTCCAATGTAGGGCATGGTGAGGCGGTAGCGGGCACTACTGCACTGCTCAAAGTACTGTTGATGTTTGAGAAGGAGGCGATCCCGCCGCACGTAGGCATAAAAACTGCCATCAACCCGGGCTTCCCTCAGGCACAGGAACTGGAGCGCAGAAACTTGCACATACCATTTGAGAAAGTGGCCTGGCAGCGCAGCCATGAGCGTCGGCGCATCGCTGTTGTCAACAACTTCAGCGCGGCTGGCGGTAACACGAGCATCATCATCGAGGAGCCACCGCTACGGGAACTTACAGAAGACGTTGATCCACGTGCGAGCCATTTGGTCGTGGTGTCAGCCAAAAGCAAGGCTTCACTCAAGGGCAATCTTGAGCGTATGGTTGCCTATCTGGACGCGCATCCAGACGTGTCGATACCAGGTCTGGCTTACACCACCACGGCGCGGCGCCACCACCATAACCATCGTGTTGCTGTGTCATTAACCGTAGGGATATCTTCGTCGTCAGTATCGGGTGCGGCCGGGTCCCTTAAAAAGCAGCTAGAATCACAAATACGGTCTGCCGATTCGCACAAACCCATCCCACCCACGGGTCCGCCGCCGGTGGTCTTCGCTTTCACGGGCCAGGGCGTCTCGCACCGTTCCATGGATTTGCAGTTGTTCCGCAACGCACCAGAGTTCCGCGCACAACTCTTGCACCTGGACTCTCTGGCACAGAGCCAGGGTTTCCCATCGTTCATCCCCGCCATCGACGGCAGCCACGCACAGGACTATACACACTCGCCCGTTGTCACGCAACTCGCCTTGGTTTGTGTTGAGATAGCCCTCGCCAAGTACTGGGCATCGCTCGGTATACGCCCAGACGTCGTCATCGGGCACAGCCTGGGTGAATACGCGGCATTGCAGGTCGCCGGCGTGCTCTCCGCTGCAGACGCCATTTTCCTTGTCGGAAGCCGTGCCGCTCTTCTGGAGCGGAGATGCAACACTGGGAGCCACAAGATGGTAGCTGTGCGCGCGTCGGCGGACGCTGTGCGCGAGAAGGTCAAGCCTAAGGTCTTGCCATTCGAAGTCGCCTGCATCAATGGACCCAACGACACCGTTCTTAGTGGACCATCTGCCGACATGGATGCGTTGGTAAATATGCTGCAGGCCTCCGATAGCAACTCTGTCGGGTTGAAGTGCTTCACTTTGGACGTAGCCTTTGCTTTTCACTCGTCGCAAACGGATCCTATCTTGGATGAGTTCGAGGATCTGGCGCGGAAGGGCGTCCTTTTCCAGCCACCCACCATTCCCATTGTGTCGCCTCTGCTTGGACGTGTTATCTTTGATGAAAAGACAGTCAATGCAAACTATATGTGCCGGGCAACCCGTGAGACAGTCGACTTTGTAGCTGCCATCGAGGCTGCGTGCCGCACTGGCACCATCGATGATACCATGGCGTGGATCGAAATCGGCCCACACCCTGTGTGCATTGGCCTGGCCCGCAGTATTCTATCATCTTCATGGTCGTTATCAGCAGCAGTGCCCTCTCTGCGGAGGGGTGAGGACAACTGGCAGACACTGAGCTACAGTTTGGGTGTGTTGTATGAGGCTGGCGTGCCGGTCGACTTTGACGAATTCCATTCTCCGTTTCAGCATACGCTGCGGTTGATAGATCTGCCTACATACGCATGGAATGACAAAAACTACTGGATCCAATACAACGGGGACTGGGCACTGACTAAGGGCAACACTTTCTACGACAAGGAGAAGCAGGAGACGGCAGCAGCTAACAAGAACCCGCTGGCTGCGGCTCACTCCAGCCTGCAAACGTCGCTGGTCCATCGAGTCGTCAACGAGTCATTCATTGGCAATGCCGGTCATGTCGTCGTGCAATCCGACGTGATGCAAGCCGACTTCCTAGCTGCTGCATGGGGCCACAAGATGAATAATGCGGGTGTCTTGACGTCGGTAAGTCTCAAATCTTGTTTACGACAGTGAACAGTTGCGCCCTGCCTCAGGGCGCTGCAGAACAAGACTGACATGCAAACGTACTTATAGTCTATCCATGCCGACGTCGCGTTCACACTCGGCAAGTATCTGTTCGAAAATCTTCGGCCGGGCGCCGCCACAGGAGGTGCCTTGGTGGATATGGAGGTGTACAATATGGTCGTACGTGAGGGCATCGTCGCCCAGAAGAATACCAAGGTGCCGCAGCTGATCCAGGTCTCCATTTCGACCCCGGACATTGGCTTAGGTGTTGCCTACCTAGAGTGGCACAATCTCACATCTGATGGCCTCTCCGTCGTCGAGGCAGAGCCTGTGGTAACCGCTCAGATTCGGTATGGGTCGTCAGCCGACTCACTCGCCGGCTGGGTGCCTACAACACACCTCATACTCGGGCGAATCGAAGCGCTCGAGCGGCTTGCCGACCAAGGAATGGCTAACCGGCTATCGCATAACATGGCATATTTGCTTTTTGCCAACAACCTTGTCGATTACGCGGACAAATATCGAGGGATGCAGTCAGTCGTAATGCAAGGGCTCGAAGCGTTTGCCGACATTTCAATAAAACTGGATAAAGGAGGCGTTTGGATAGTGCCACCTTTCTATATCGATAGTGTCTGCCATCTTGCTGGCTTCGTTATGAACGTTTCTGATGCAATCGACACGAACAACAACTTCTGCGTTACACCCGGCTGGAAATCGTTCCGCATTGCTCGACCTCTTATTGCTGGTGGAAAGTACCGCTCGTACGTTAAGATGATACCTACCATAGAGGACCCCAGCGTGTATCATGGTGACGTCTACATCCTACAAGATAAAGAAATCATCGGCGTTATGCAAGCCATGAAGTTTCGTCGTTATCCCCGCGTACTGCTCAACCGCTTCTTTTCGGCTGTTGATGTCTGTCATCCTGGGACAGGCACTACAAGCGAGGCTCTATTCCCAGCTTCTAAGGTCAGCAAGATAGCGAACCAAACTCTACCACCGACTCAGGAAAAGGCGGTGCAGCCGCAATTAGTAGCCAGCCCAGCGCCAAAGCGGGAGCTAAACACCACGGAAATAGCACCTACCCCGGCGATTGCCGCCTCCGCTGCCGCTGCCACCGCGGACTCGGACAGTACTACCGCAAAGGCCATTGCCCTTTTGGCTACCGAAGCCGCGCTAGAAATCACAGATCTTGTTGATGATGCCAGTTTTGCCAACTTGGGAATAGACAGTTTGATGAGTCTCGTGATAGCTGAGAAATTACGCGAACAGCTTGGAGTTACGGTTAGTGGCAGTCTGTTCTTAGAATATCCGACCGTCGGAGATTTACGCGCTTGGTTGATGGAGTACTATAGTTAGCTATGTCCAATTAGATTGTTGAACAAATTGTTGACCGAGACTCCGGGTCCCTGTTATCCTTTCTTCTGCGGTAGAATAAGTTACCAAGTACGACGGATCACGTGAATGGTATTGCGTTTTAGAGAAAATGTGTCACTTCTTACAGTTGCACACGCATTAGTTGAGTCCTGGTCTGCTGCAACACGTATCAATACGTGGCCGGGGATACGACATCCGTGAAGCATGGGTAACGAACCAGCATCATGAGTATAACTTCGTAGCAAAGGAGTTTAGGCTCCCCGCGTCCCACGGTTGCTGTCAGGAGTAGAATTCTGTTGGTTCACTGTATATAGACCTCACGAGCTCTCAGGCGTATTTCGTCAACGTATACGGCGCCGATGGCTCAAATACAAAGCAGTTATGATACCCGGAGATACAGTTGCAATGCGGAATGGCGGGTGCAAGCGCTGTACAGCTATTGGACAACGAATCATGTAGTCACGGAGTAAAGCCAAGCTAAATCGACGGCGGCTGTACCTCCCACATGCAGTTACATTCTCAATGAGTCTGAGCGTAGTGACCAATCACACGCCGAAGAATTTCAAGCCCACGCCCCGCGTCGCCGAAAGGGCGTTGACGACTGCCCAAGCACATAGTAGAGATGAAATGATTGCGGATTGACGTCTCCGCGGAAACCCGACGCTATCCCGCCTCCACGGTTGTGATGACTCAAATTGTCTACGCATCCCATTCAATCTGAGCTGATCGTCTCCTTCGTCTGGAATTGCTTAGTTCAGATTCTTCCGAGGCGTTGCGAACTGGTCCATTTCAACCAACATGCAAATCCGGGCAGTTCACGCGGAGACGCGCATCTCTGCGCTGCGCGACTTGATACGAGATCACCCACTTGGGATATTGACGACTGCCATTCCTTCAGATAAATATGCATTGATCCAATCCTCACATATTCCATGGGTTCTTGACGTTCAAGATGAGAGCAGCGAAAGCCAGCTCGGCTGTCTGCGAGGACATGTGGCGAAAGGAAACCCCCAGAGCAAAGCTATGATTGATTCATTAGTGTCGCCTGAACGCAAATTTGATGCACCGAATACGCTTGAGCAAGAGGTTTTGGTCCTTTTCACGAACCCAGTGCACTCCTATGTCACTCCAAAGGTGGGTAGGATCACTGCATTGTTCTTCAGGGTTTGGTGATGGCTGAGTTATTGTACAGTTCTACACCGAAACAAAGCCATCCACGGGCAAGGTGGTTCCTACATGGGACTACATGGCAGTACAGGCGTATGGCAAGGCAACTATCTATCACGACTCCAAGGCCCCTGAAACCGGTGACTTCCTGTCGAGGCAGATTGTAGACTTGACCAACCACATGGAACACCACACCATGGGTCACACTGGCACCGATGGCAGACCTAAGCCATGGCTCGTTTCTGAAGCACCGGAGTCCTACGTTGAAATATTAAAGAAGGCGATTATCGGCATTGAAATTAAGATTGAGCGCTTGGAGGGTGTTACGAAGATGAGCCAAGAAAGGGGAGAAGCTGACAGGCTTGGGGTTATTCAGGGGTTCACGGACTTGAACTCTGCTTTGGGTCGAGATATGGCTAAGCTGGTTAACGAACGTCATGAGATGAAAAAGACTGGCTAGTAGCTTAGCGCCCACCCACATACATCCCTAGAAGTGCCCTGCGACAAGGAGGAATCTGAAGGGGTTGAGAAGCATCAACAGCGTTGTCAAAGGGACTGTGAGGTCAGGTATAATCAGAAGTCGAAATGTATGATTCAATTCATAGAGAGACTGAATCTTGTCCCCTTTCAAGGAACAAGACAAGATGGTGATTATATAGCCGGAACTTTTCGGTGTCTCATCGGACCTTCTGTAAACCTAATGCACTGCCGTGGCAAGCGTATACATGTACCATTCTAGAAATATGCATGATCTTGATGTCTTTCGTGAAGCTGTCACCCATATATTTCGCAAAGTTGTCAACTATATAGTTTGAGGACAGTGGGAATCGGGAATGGTCCCAGGACTGTACATGTCCCGCCTCAACATTGACAACAAGAACGTTTCCTTCCTTCCGTATAAGAAAATTCTACCTCTATAGTAGTTTGAAATTAATATCATTATATACGTGATTCTAGCAGGGGTCCTTGATATATCTATGCCACATCAGGCTTGCTCTGTCATGCGACGGACCATGGCCGATATAACTGGTCCAATATTCTATGTCTAAACGAACCGTCTAACCAAGTCTGTATCAGCACATCTAGCCCTTGGTGGCTCCATAAGCAGGTTGTTCTGAGAAAGTACGGGCGTTGAGGACTCCAAGCTGAAGGGCGTGTTTGAGCAAAGCGGCGAATTCCACCCCAGAAGAGGTATCTCCCTTACGGGCGAGCATTGCTCGTTCGAATGTCGGGCCCAGTGGTGGTGCAAAATATTTGAGCAAGAGCAGAACCAACCTCGGAACAGCGGGAATATCCAAGGAATATTAGCTGTAACCAATGCGACAAAATTCTCTCTTATTGCCCACATTGTTGCGGCTTGAGGCCCCGTCATCTCGTCAGCAAAGATTGATACACACCGCAGCACAGCAATCGCAATATCGACAACACCTCCGGAAAACAAAACCATGAGACCAATTCGCTTCCACCACGTGGTGAATACTGGTCGAAGTATCGCCATGAAGAACACCAGTAGATAGGCTTCAGTCAAGACGTCCGGCAATAGCGTAGCTAATGCAGTGACGCGTGAAAGTGCAGGTTGGCAGGTTACTAGCTGCTGTCAGAAGTGGACCTCGTGCCCATGAGAAGTAACTTACGCCCAGGGTTAGGACTTATCTGCCACAGCCTATTTAAAGGCCGACAACTTAGCAAGATACACAAGATCATGCCGACCCAGGTAGTGACCAAGATGCCAAATCCAAGATAGATTCGGGTTACATAGATACCCGAACGCGCCTGGGATTGTTTAAGCTTCAGTTCATCCGGGAGAAGTAGGTAGCAATACCGTCAGCCGTAGGAGAGTTGCACACGTTGCCGCCTTCACGGCCCATAGAGCTGTGCAGTATGTAATCCGTCCCACCAAGTGTGCTTTTGATCCCTTTACCCTGACTCATTTCATCAGCACTGTTTTATGTATGTTACGGAACAGGTGCCTTACCTAGAATTGAATTCCGTGCTTCCCACGCTTAAGGCGCTGCGCTCTTCATCTGACATCCCCGAGTTGCTCAGGCCATGCAAAGGCCCAGAAAGAGAAAAGGCGATCCCAAAATTAGCGGCAAACAAGAGCTGTTTCATCATTAATCTCAAGTTTTGTATGCAGGTGATATATGGGCAAAGGGAAACTTACAGCAGCAACAAGCATCAGATAGTCGTCAACTGCAATAGCCCTCCATCCCACTACCATTATGCGTGCAACTGCGCGGAAGCCGACTGTCAATAGACCTGTTATGAGGAGAATGGACAGTTCAACTATCTCGCTGTTCATTCTGTGATAGTAGACAGGATAGATATTTGTGTCAATGAATAGATCGGTGGTCTACGGATCTAGACATTTGTATATTGCAAGGACTACTCATCGATGAAACTTCATGGTGGAGGGGATGAACATATCAGTTTATACATGTCGATTCGTGCTAAGCCGTTCGATTATTCGAGTTGAATCGAGAATGCTTGGCATTAGATTCGGTCCCGTCGTCCAAAGTCAAAGTCGTCCAACAAGTCGTCCAACAATGGCGTTCCGATGGGACAAGATCCCTACCCTGAGCTTGGACGATACCACGCTTAACTGTGATAGGCACTCCGAGAATCTAGGATATGCCTTACCCCAGATTTCTAGCCACTTCGAGATGAAACTAGTGACGGGGAAATCACCCCATAGGGACAAAATGGTCCTGGCTAGTAAGCAACGGTGACGTTTCTAGTCGCAGGCTAAGCCCTAAGGCCGCCAAACTCTAAGATTGTCGGACAGGCCGCTTGGAAAGAACGATACTTTCTACTAGAAGGCTTGTCAGACAATCTAGTTCTGCTTTTTAAGCGAGGAGGCCTCTTTCCCAAGCTAGAATAACCGCGGAACGAGATCATCAGACCACAATCAGACATTTCTCTCTTTAGCGTTTTTCGCCTATAGGGCGCCAAGCATCCAGGTTTTTGGTTGACTTCACACCATCTATGATGTCTGGTCCCGTAATCTGCTTTCTGGTGCTTCTAGGACCATTGCCGCGCGGCAGCATCGTACGATCGCGGAAAAAATTCAAAGTCTGACGTCTCTTCATGGCCTTAGCATCTGACACAACGCCTCCGCGTCCGAAGTCGATAACAGGCTGCAAGATTTGAACAAGTAATCGCATTGACATCAATTTAGAGATATCTATACAAAGTAGGTCCTCTCGTCGGTGGGACTCAATATTGGTACGTCAGAGACATGACAAAAATTTACTGCTGACTATCGCCACAGCGTGCTATTGGTGGGCGAAAGCTTCTACATCATATCTGCCCTCCTTAAATATCTTTATTGGTTGGAGAAGAAACATGCATTCTTATTTGACGGACTACTTGAACAGTCTATATTTCCTACAGAAAATATTTGAGCCATAAGATATAGGCAAAAGCCAAGAGCAAGCCAAATGAAGTACTGAGTCCTCAAGTCATCAATCGGCGATAGTTATCCATAACAAATGATCACCAATAAGACATAGCTTCTTCACTTGTTGAAGTGCGAAGTGACATTACTGGCACCAAGACGTGCTCGTTCAGTGAGTGGATTGGATAACTGCGGCTTCTGGCAGTTAGGCTGCCCACGTCAATTGTGACGGACACGGCCGGCTTCCGCGCCGTTGGGCCACCACGACCGGGATCCCACTACCGGGCAGGGGCGGGAGCCGCCAAACTTTAATTTCACTACGGTGGTTTGGAAGTGATCCAATCGCGGGTTTTCTCCTTGTCGGAAGCGACCGTGTTGATGAGCTTTGGAGATGCACTATATCATACCAAACAGTATGCTGCCCTACCGGATCTCGGCTATACCGACTAGCGATGGCTGTGATGAAGAATATTTTCTTCGGCAGTGTTCCTGGCATGATTATTGGTCACTTGCCACGATAGATAGCACATACTCATCGACTCATTTCAATACTTCTGCGGATGGTGACACTCTCCCGAACGACACGATGATGTCACACCACCAGCAGGGAAACTCGATACGTGTGCCATCTCAGACCACTGTATCATTCGGCTCATGCAATATCCGACCCATCTCCAATGACTCGAATATACTCTCCTTCGGTTTGGTCCATACCCTTGAATTGCGTAAGTGTCGACGTGGCAAGCCTAGATCATTCATCCTCTGTGCCTCCTACCCAGCCGCTTATCGTTACTCCCGTATGCTAATACGATGCCTTTGCCTAGGAGTAGGTATATTTTTAATCACGTCGAAAAATGCTTAATACGATCTCTCATATGGTTGACACCGGGCAGCTGCAAAACAAGTCGCAGTGTGTAGTCACACATGGCAAAGTGTTGTCCTTTGATGCCGCATAATTTACTCGGTTCATTTGCATGCACCAAAATGATAGATAATTATGAGAAAAGGTGGTATATTCCCAGCACCGGATATGACTTCATCAGTGCAGTAAGAGACATCAAAATATCTCAGTGCAGCTTCCCACCATTATATCCCTGACATACTTCATTACGCGACATCAAGCCTGGGTCATTCTCACCTCCTGTTGCGTATTTACGGGGCAGCAACCCAGCTGTTCCACCAGGGGTAGAAGCGTTCTCCCTCAGCTAGAGTCATAAGAGTGCAGCCACTACCCTCGCAACCGACAGAGGGCTGAGTCGTTCCCCACCATTCAATATCGACATTGTACCACCCGACAGTGAAAAACATGACGATGCCTGAGATGGCAATACCAGCGGAGAAGGCGGCGGACAAGACAAAGTTGTACTGTGTGTCATGTTAATAACCTATACTTAACATATGACGACGTTGGGAACATACCTTAGACCAGAAAGCGAGGTAACGTGGCTTGATATAGATCCAGGAGAGCCAAGCAATAGGTGCAGATGGCCAGATGTAAGAGAACCCGTAGGGTGCCCAATTGAGACCGCCGTACCACAGGGCAACAGGGTGGACCTGGCGAAGCCAGCGACTGCTGGGCCACTTCTTCGTGGCAAGCCAATATAAGACCACCATAATAGCGCCGAGAGGGAAACCTAGCAGCAGCATTCCGTACTGACCCTCGGGGCCGAAGACCTTGATAGGGCCAATAGTTCCCCATAGCACGGAAGCGGTGAAAAAGGTTGAAGGTCCCGGGCATGTCAGTCTCATGGGAGCCTTAGGCGTGCAGATGTTCTCGATGTTGATCTGGTACTGCATGACTGCAGTAGCGACGAATGTGCTGATGAGTGTTCCGACCATCTGAGCAGCAAACGTGTGCCAGGGAGGGATATGCAAGTAGTGAGCCATCTTCAGATCATTGGCGAACGAAACGGCGTGCGCGCAAGTGACGTAGCCAAACGACTTGAAGTAGTTCATCGAGAGAGCATTGCCTTGAGAGAACATTCCACCAATGAACTCTGCGAGGACGTTCAATGTAACCTCAATACCGGTCATGGCCTTGATGACTCCAACCGGAATAACGAAGATCAGAGCCAGCAGGACACCGTACGGAACGACTGCGGCCGTCGTATATGTAGGCCAGGCACATACACCGGCAAAACCAAATGCCGCAGCGACAGCGAGGACAGTCATGTACCAAAACTCTGAAACTTCAGGATACTTGCTCATGAGTTTCATGTGGACATCGCTGTACTCGCCCTCAATCTCTGCAACGCCTTCGGTGGTGGCGGTCTTCTTCTTGCGCTGGAAAACCTTAACCAAACTCTTGAATCCCATCACAATCTCGTAGCGATGGAAAAGAGCTACATAGGTGATCGCCGCTGCGTAGACACCAAAGAAACAACCATAGATCAGAGTGTTGGCGGCGCCGAGATATGGAGCGGAGTATTGCATGTATTTCTCATGGTCGTACATGCCGTGCGCATCGATTGCTCTCGAGACATTGTATCTCAGACCGAAGTGGTCCCAGACATGGTTGTCGACAATCTGAATGTATCCAGTGTTCCAAGTGTTTGTGAAGTATACAGCAATGATGATAAGTCCTACAATGAAACCACCGGCAACGGTGTTGAAGGTTGAGAAAGCGGGGATCATCTACTCAAAGGTTAGCCCCCTCCATACAGATTCGTGATTGTTTGGGGTGCTTACCAGAGGGTCGGTACCGGTGTAGGCTACAATGTTCCAGTCAAAAGTAGGAAGTGGGTTGAATAGCTAACGAGAATTAGTTACCTGCTAGCGTGTACCGATGCCCATTACTTACACCAGCAGCGTTGAAGCCCGTCAAGACATCCAAAGTATGGTTCTCGGGGGAAATCCATGTCATCCAGGAGAAGTAAGTCAAGACTGGCATGATCTGAAGTAGAATGATATTAGCTGTTGGTTTGTCCGATACTGGGACTGAAAATAATCAGGGGTACTTGTTGGTAGCTGGAGTTGCAAGGAAATAGGAAAAGTGCCACTTGGCCCTGTCCATTTAGTCCACGACCCCGAATTAGGGGGCAAAGAGAATTGGTGGCATGAGAAGTTTGGGTACGTACAAAATTTGGGAACCAGAAATACACAAACATGGCAGTAAAAGCCAGCATGAAGAACTTGTACCTTGAAGCCCGGAAGATCTTCTTGAAGGGGCCAAGGACTGGGGTGTTCTGCTCTCTGTGCAGGGCGGCGTTCAATGCGATCGTGACAAGCGATGCAGGCCACAAACAGTATGCAGGGTATACCAGGAACTTTCGAGTCAATCCAGCAAGGCCATAGCCAATGAAGTTGGTCGAAAGTCCGATAAGAATCTGATAACCGAAGCTGCGGGCGTATTGTTGGTTGAACTGGAACGGTAGCACCTGAGTCCAGACAATATACTGCGTATAAGGCAGACTCTGGGCTACAGTCGCCATCAGTGCAATCATCATGTGCTCTTTTTTGTTGAAACGGCCCGGATTGAGACTGTGCTGGACACCAAAGAGGGTGAACCTCCAGTCCGGCATAACCTTCTCCCAAGCTTTGCCAATAGGATAAGCGAGAAGCTGGGCGACGTTGGAGGTGACGGAGATCGGAGGATTTCGCACAGAGAATAGCTGATTGATAGCGGACAATGCGACGGAGAAGAAGATACCAATGGCCCAAGCTCGGACAGTGGAGGAAGGTTGAGAGGTATCATCGTGATTCTCGACGACACCACGAACCTCAGCGTAGGGCGAGTTGTTGGTAACAAGAGCGGCCTCGAGCTTCATCTCCCAGATGAGTTCTTCGTGCTTCTCAGGGTTCTCAAATAAACCTTCGGTGCCTATTCAGATGTCAGTTACATATGTCAGTAGGTGCGACAACTATTGCTCATACTGAGGAACTCCTCAATCTTCATTAACACGGAGTGTGGGAAGTTCGGATCGCGGCTGTGAATCTTGTAGACATTTTCGACCAACTTTCACGTCCCAACTAAGTCAGCGCATGATCTATTTGACCGTGCTGGGACCATACGTACAGCCTTGACCCCTTCGAGAGTCATGCTCTCGGCGGTAGCCTTAGCCTCAATGAGATCCTGTTCCGTGACATTGAGCTCCCTATCCACCAAGTCAGTGTCTTTCCGGTGTATATTACCAACGTGAGACTTACGACTCAATCGCTTGTTCGAATCCATTGAGTTCCTCGTCAGCGGAAGACTATGGGTTTTCATCAGCATCGAGCTTAGTCTAGGCCCAGTGAAATTCCAGTTCATACCATAACCTGCTTCTCGTCTACCTTCTCATCGGAAGGAGACTGGGCGGAGACAACGGTCTCCGATTCCCCACGATACCTCATGGCCGCGATGCTCCTTTGCGGAGGCGTACAGGTGTGGCAGAAAAGAAGAGATGCGATAAGGGCACACGAGACCAAGCATTGCAACAGAATCGAGGGGGGAGGACGGTGCTACATATAACCGGCAATGTAGATCTCGAGTGTCGACAGGGGTCACGAACATCAATGGACGTGCATGCTACCTGGCCATTGAAGGCTGTGTCCCCTGGTGCTGCTTATCTTGGCATGATCTGGAGTCAGCTGGTAACAATACATGGGGCAAGAAAAGGCTCAGCGCCCTATCGGAAGCCCGTCGTGAAACGGGTAATTCGTCTATAGCCAGCAGCGAGACGCATTTGAAAGGGCTTGGACAAGTCTTGTGACTTGAGACAACCTTCTCATTTGAGGTAAGGTGATGCTCGGCTCGAGAGATGCAGACATCGCTGAGAATGATAAGGGACGTTTCCAAGAGTCTTAGCTAGCCTCGCCAAGCACGGTGATGGCCAATGATGGATGAGGTCCGCCGGGAGGGAACTTGCTGAGTAACACCGGGGAGGTTTGGCGGGAAATGTGAAGGTTCCAACCCGCAGCTGCCAAGTGCGTATACCATAAAGAGTACCATCGTCCGGAAGGACAATGCAGGTCACGACTGGGATCAGAGAACGAAAGCTGCGGGTTCTAGATTCTCACGATGCTCTAACTGCGCAACTGTGGAGTGTTCCGAGGATGTGGCTCACCGGAGCGCGACCAGGGAAGCTGATTTGGCGCCAGTGCCAAGATCTCCAAAGAGAAATCTTGGTGGGTTGTATTGCCGAAAAAGGGAGGCGATGGTCATGACGACCAAGATAGATTTGATCACGCAACGGACTAAGTGTGATACTTTTCGTTTATACGGCCCATACGGTTTAATCAAAGACCCAACCGGCTCTCTCATGCAAACCTGGGTATGGGTTGTCGCCATTGGCTGGCGTGCCGCCTCTTCCATGGTTCCGGGGTCCAATGGCCGCTTCTCCTTATCTTACTGGGGTTGCATGAATGCGGGGGAGAAGGATACAACACCATCTAGGCTGGCATCGCATTGGGTGTTCATGTCCGCTGTGTCGGGCTTCCAGAAAACGCCAACGTGCCCAATGGCATTGTGCAACCTACGCGACGCCCGTCTTCCCTGGGCTTGGCGGGTGTTATGTTGCAGCCGAAATAATAAAGTGCATCAATCTGAGGTGGTGCAAGCATGTTAATGGCAACTTAGAGTTCAGGGAGCACTTAGTTCATCCCTTGCATGTGGCTCATGGTTCTTCCACGCACCAAAACGATCCACTGATCCTAAAACAGGTATGGTTTGGTCAAGAGCACACCTCCCGGCAAATATACTGCCAGCCTCCGCCAAGTCCTATGCATTAGTGGCTGTTGATAACGGTGCGTTCCGTTATCTGAACTTCCGTGCCCTTCAGGATGCGCTCGTGTCACTCCCCTCCTTGAGGCGTGGGGGATTGAGTGGATTCGTAGCAGCCGTGGAAGGCAAGGAGAATTGGCGGGAGGATCATCAGCCGTTGGCTAGTTAGTGTGGAACAATAGATCGCACCATTCTGGAGCGCCGCCACGAACGAACTTTGTGCAGGGTATTGTAAAAGTCGCGATTTCCTTGAGCCGTGGCGATCGGGTCTAGGCAAGCCACCATTGCAACGGCTACAAGCTTCAATATCCAGCCAATTAGCCTGGGAACGCCTCCTGGTCTTGGAACAGCCATCTTCAGTGTAGTTCTGCCAAGAGTGAAGCGGGGTGGGTCTCTGGGCAGCAAGCATCGTGAAGCTCCGGGCTGAGGAAGCTTATGGGTGGCTAATCGTTAATACCAAGCACGCCACCGGCCGATTTAGCTGTATTGGTCCCAATTACGTTATGTTCCTCTTATCTTGGGGTTTGGGCCATGGACAGACAATTCTGGTGGAGAGCCGGTCGAGCGCGCCCGAGCACCTCGCCTAAGCGCTTTCTCCCCATATCCTCTACCTTGGTAGAAACTTTAGCTGAGGGGATTGGCTGTGCCCTCTGTTATTCGTCGGTCACAGTTTCACAAGCCTAAGGGGAGGAAGTGTTTCACTCATCGTTCTCATCCCATGTTCAATGTGCACGCAGCAGACCGAAGCGAGACAATAGATCGACAGCTAAGAACTTGACGAACGACGTTGCACTCATCATGGTCACAAACCCAGTCTCGAATCTTGGCCTGTATGATAAGCAAGTGGCAAAAAACAAGCCTCCATATACTATATTGACCAGGCAGACTAGGATTAAGGCCCGCTTGTCCGGATCGAAGATATCCTCCATCCGACTCAAGATGCATGCGGAGCCCACGAGATTCTAGACTGAGCGTGCAACCACTACTGAGACCCTGTCGCAATTGGAGTTGATTGTAGGATGGATCACTCTGATGGAACAGATGTAGAACAACATCGGTATGCGGTTGGTATTTGATGTAGAACAGGGTTGCATTGTAACTACCACTCACACGACATTGAAAACATCGTGTGTAGCTGCGGCAGTATGCTGCATTGCCGACGACCTTGCAGTGCATTGAGTAGCAGTGCGATCCAAAGCGATTCGTCGTGTCGTAGTAGTACCAAGTCTCATGAGCAGCTGGCGTCATGTCTTCCGCTGAGACTGTCTCGTATCTTAGGCTCGCAAGCGATCTGAGCCTCGTTTTGTTTACTGCAAAGCATGACGAACAAGCCTCAAGGACTGCTGGAGCAGTTTGAACCTGTATCACTTTCCACCAGCATTCCGGTAGCAGGACCAATGTACCTCGCGGATATGTATGCGCACCCCTCAAATGCTAAGCTGTTCTGACCTGGGTAAGAACCAATCCAAACAGTACCCCACTTGCTAGACATGGCACCTGTGGTTTTTGATAGCGTCGGCATTCTAGTGACTCAAGACAAGACAACACCTACACCTTACCGGAGGACTTTACCAGACGGCGTGAGTTCACAAAAACAAGGGGGGAAACAAAGATGAATTGACTCTACAGCTTTTCTCGAACCTTTTTATCTGAAAAGAAAAACTGCAGCTACTAATGAAAAGCGATAGCCGTGACGAATCCAGCAATTTGCGCTTGCGTTGTGTTGTCTACCTATGGCGGCTGATTGTAGCAACTCTAACTTAACATGGGGCTATAGCACTATACGCAACCGCTCAGAAAAAAGTAGCCCCTTGGAATTAGTATATTCGCATTATGTAATATCAGTATAGCGCAGGAGTTGGGACATCAGATCATATTCATTAGGAAGTAATGCTGACCCCTGCATAAGCGCTCTTGTTGCCGCCGCCCACCCGCCAGGCACCAGCGTCGGTGCCGATGCGGCTACGTGGCACAGCATTCCGCCTTCGGCACTCAAGGTCGCAGTAGACCTTGCTTGGATTGTTTTTGTATGCACGGTGATCTATATAGGGCTGAGAGAGTAATTTCCTGGGCCCTTTTGAGATGACATCGGTCCCGTCGCGGAACGAAGGTCTTGGCCAGCCGCAGGTTCGTTCCCGAGCCCTGACGGGTCCGCCCGCGGAAGCCTCTGCAGCGCGGGCAAGCCGCTCTGTACCACTCGATGCAACACACTAGAGGCGTGAGGCCTTGTCCGCGTATGGCTCCAGTCACTGGCGGGCTCCCGCATCTAGCTGCCCTGAGACCGACGTCGAAATAAGGTGTGGCTTACCGACTATACAGCGTGAACGGGGCGGCATTAGCTCGACCTGAGCCAAGCAGTCCGAACTCCGAAGCGTGTCAGTCCGGATTGCGGATCCCATCAGACCATGATGTTACACATGCAAGGTTGTCAGCACGGACTGATTCGCTGCCCGTCCTGCTGTGCCGCCTCCCTGACTGCTGCCTGATAGATTGTTCGAGCCTGAGGCTCTCTTTCCTCACGCTTTTGCCGCTTGGTGGTCTCATTGATGGCCAAATGAGATTGCTGGGGGAACAATGTTTTAGCTAAATCACCAGCATAATAACAATGCCGATGATTTCTGACTTGTGTTGCGAGCAGCTCATCTCCATCGTTACAATACCAGCAGTCATGATGGCTAGCATCGTCCCCCAAGTGGTGTCACGATGTACCATACGTTGAGCGCGATACAAAACTCAGCGCATAGAGGGTTCGGTATTTCGACGTATCCGTGATACTTTGAAATGACATCAAGATATCGTGCAGCGGAACGCTGCGCTGTGTTTGTCGTTCCCATAGATCCTATATATGAACTAACATTGGGGCGAAAGCACACGCAAGGCTTCCCGTTGACACCAGCATAACAGGAGTATTTGGTCTCATCAACCTCCTGAAGGCAGAGTTCAATGAGTTCAGTTACTGTTTCACTAAATGGATGCTCAGAAATGAGAGACCAAGGCCGAAAAACATAGCTTGAACCCAAGGCACCGGACAAGTACATACAATGTCTCTCCCTGTACACCCTTTCACACCAGCAATATCATTGTACTCTTCTACGGTGATACTCCAGTACAAGAATACTCAGGGAGCGTGATAACTGTGTCTCTAGTGCTTTGGCATTATCACTATTGGTTCTAATCATGTATCCTTGACAAGCCGAGCCGATTCGGCATTGGCATCGTCATCTTCGTCGCTCTCCTCTTCCTCTTCATCCCCGTCATCGTCATCCGTCTCTTCCTCTTCTTCCTCGTCGTCATCCTCGTCTTCCTCTTCCTCTTCCCCAGACTCTTCCTCCTCGGAGCCTTCCTCTTCCTCTGTCTCTGCTACATCCTCCGCCAGCCAATCGTCCAGCGTCTTCGCACCCGTCCCTTCGCTTACCCCATTACTCCTGTTGGGCATCGCTTTGGAGACCTCGTCAAGTTGCTGTGAGGCGGGGAGGATGCGCTTCTCCGCGCCGTACTCGTTCCTAACACCCTCTTCCAACCGTAGTGCTGGGTCGGGCTCCATGCCCTCCGGAACCCAGTCGGGCAAAGGTTCGTAACCGCGCAGGCCGTGCACTCCGCTACCGCCGGCAAGCACGAGAGCCGACGAACCAAGCATGAATCCCTTCCGTGTTTCGGACGGACTAGGCGCCTGTGGTGCCGGCTTGGGGGCGAGGAGCATCAGCGTCGCCAGCTGCGGCACGCCAAGGAGCGCTTTATAGAGACGGGCGCGATCACGGAGATCGTACGATGTATCGTAGCGGACTAATAAAAGAACATAGTTCCATAGACGTGCTATCGGGTGGTCTTCCGAGGGCAGAGGTGGCTGTTCACCATTTTCGGTTTTATTGGCTTCAGCCTCTCGGTTGATGTGATGCAAGTAGACCTTGGCAGCAAGCAACACGATTTGTCGCTTGGCGACCTCCGATTCCTCAGCAAATTCCTTGAGAAGAATACGCATGACATCTGCAGCGATGTTGTCTTCGCCGTTGATGCCAGCAAACTCGCCCACTAGCCATATGATGGTCGCGCGAGCATGCGGATCTGTGGCCGAGTCCAAGTTCTTGGCTAAGCGTACGACAGTGCCGACATGTGCCTGTGGGTCTTGTTGGATAAGGTGGCGTATCACAGTCAGAGACTCTGCTGCGAGTGTCCCGTCTAGACTTGTGATCTGTCCAAGGAGCAAGCGCATGCACCGCGATGCCGTGGAGGGGTCTGTCTGCGCGCATCTCCCAATAGCCCGAACAGCCTCCCGCACCAATGCCTTATTTGTGCCCCGTGAGAAGTGTTCAAGCTCGCTCAAGATCAGGCTTTTCGTGTGGATTGGACTGTGGGGGAAGATGAGAGCAAGCACTTCTAGCTTGAGCTCCCATACTGGTGCAGTATCGGTCGCGCGAACCAGAAAGTGTGATGCATACTTGACGAAGTGGTCTGGTTGAACAAGGCACACAGACACGATGTTGTAGAGTGCGATTTGTTGGATGTCCTGGGCGGATCGGAGCAAGGCGACCAAAGGACCAACGGCAAGCTTGACATAGTCCGGTGTGCCAATGGAAGCGTAGCAACGGGCCACTGCTATTACGACCCCTGAATTGCGGCTTTGCAGCAGTGGCTTGATGGCGTTAAGAAGTAAAACTAGATCTTGATCCAGAACAACCAGCTTATCTCCTTCGTCAGGACCTTCCGAGACTTTCTCGCCATAGAAATCCTGCAGGTTAGCCGACTTGTCTTCAGGCTTGACAGTCCGAGTCCGCCGGGGAAAGCACTTGCGGGCATAGACTGTCATTAGCCTCAGCATCGCAAGCTGGCTCCATTCGTCCATGTCGACAATCTTCTTGACCAGCGCTCTATAGTGCTTGTGTATCAGATCGAGACGGTCTGGGCATATCTCCAAGAAGGCAGCAACCGCGGCACCGGCGACAAAGTACTGCTTGTCACCGAGCAGGGTCGACAAGTATTCCAGCAGCTGGGGAAGGGTACTCGGCTCAAGGCCGTAGCACTTGGGGATGGCGAGGGCGGCGGCTTTTCGCACGTGGGGAGACATGTCGCCGGCGCCCTTCTTGATGGCCAGCGAGACGATCTGGCTGATGACGGGGACGCGGATGCCGGACATGGTACGCAGGGCGAGGGCGCGGACCTGGGGGTTGGCGTCGGACAGCGACTTCTGGATGGTGTTGATGGACAGCAGGGCCAGATCGGGCTCCTGCTCGGCATGGTGGATGAGGTAGATGTAGACCAGTTTCTTGATCTCGAGGTTGGGCGAGGCCACGTTCTTGACGACGGACGAGAAGAAGGGCAGTGTGCGCTGCTGGCGGTACATCATGGCGATGACGCGGCGCAGGCCGTCGAGCACCTCGCGCTCATTGCGGCTGTCGAGTAGCTTCTTGAGCTGGGCGGTCGGGAGCGACTTGGTCGTGGTGCGCGTACTGCGAGCTGCCTGGGCTGCATCGAGGGTGAGTTCTCGGGCTGGGGGTTTCTGGGTGTTAGCTGTCCTGTTCCGTCGTGTCGCTCTTCGAGAGCGTGGGGCATACCGTTCTCCAGCAAGCTGGATATCCGCGATATCGACTCCATACTGTCTGCTAGCGGTCGGCGCCGCACCGCAGAGTTGCTGTCGTGTGCCGGGTGCTTGGGGTTTAAGAGAGTGACGTCGGTGAGGCTGCTCAGGGCATCCCAAGCTTTGGCGGGGCACCGCTCAAGCACCACCTCCAGCTAGCACGCACCACAACATAGCGGGGCGGGCCCGAAGCTGGGGGTTCTCATTCTACACGACAGCCCAGTACAGTAACCATCTGAAGTCTCATGAACACAATACACAAGATCGCGCTGTGTTGGGCCTGAGCTCTCCGTCCAGGAGACAGGTAAGTAATATCTCAAAATACTCTCTCATATTGAATACGGGCTCTAAAAGCATTGTGAAGTCACAATAGGGCATCATGCCTCTCACCCCGTTGGTGCTCTCCCCGGCACTTCCGTCCGAGTTACTCACATATATTCTGGACCATCACGTGTACCCTACTACTCTCATCGTCTGCTTTCCGCGGACAGATTTCCTAGACGCTCTTGCCAGGGGAATCGAACATCAAACTGGTATTCATGAACATCAACCACCCCTAGCAGCCGGGTCCAGTGGCCAACCTCTAGACGATGTGCCGCCAGAGGGGCTTCCACCACCACAACAAACTCACGCTCCCAACCATCAACTCCTCTCCTCACCCCTATATCAAGTTGCCATATCTAGGCACGTGCGCACAGTCTTCATACCCACCGTAACCCATCTACGGGCCTACCTGTCTGTCTTCTCACCGGATGCCTCCAAGATTCCCGCCCCGCCATCAGATTTTGCCCCTGTCGGCAGAAGACCGCCGCACCTGCTAGTCTACGGGGCGGTAGAGCTGCATCGGGACACGAGCGAGTGGAGCGCTCAGGGTCTGGGGAGCACTGCCGCGGCCCTGGTAGAGACGGGACATCGGCTTGGATGGCGCGTTGTGCTGGCTGAACCGCCGGGGCAGCTTGACGACAGTATGATGGCGGACGAGGACGAGCAGCGAGCTGGGGACGCCGATGCGTTTGCGCAGCTGCTGAAAGAGAACATGCCGATTCTAAGCGGCAGCGTGAGAAGATTGGGACTGGATGGTGAGCAGGGCGGCGGCTGGTCAGGGAGGACGGTAGAAGTTGGTAGAGTACTGAGTCGATGGTTTCGGTTTCAGAGAGGGGACTGGAACGACTATAGGGACGACAACTTTCCGAAGTGACATGCTGATCGCTTCAGCGGGCATCAAATCGCATCAAGAACTCCTTTAAACCCCCATGAAGAAGCAAGTGTAAAGCTTGCGGATGATCTTGGATGTTGGGATGGAGGCACTTTTCAATTCCAATTCCTAAGCCAGGCCATGGTTATATAAACCTTCCAGGTACCACCCAAGGTTTGACCAAGGTGTATTCCCCCAAAACGCCAGCCGTGGTATCTCGTCGTCAATCGTAATTCATACAGGAAATGCCAATGGAGGCGGGGTGTGTCAAGACGTAATGCCTTGGTCCATTTCTGTGATGTACAACTTGATGTGGGCCTCCATCTTAAGATACTCGTCCTGGGCGCTGCGGACCTCCCTCTCAATGTTTTCCTTGAGATCCAACATCTGAAGACTGGGTCAATACGGTGGTAATTACTTCTCGCATTCAGAGGGAAACGTACCTTCTTCTCGGTCTGCTCGATTCGGACGCGTCGCCTCTCGACCTCGGTGCCTTTTACTGCTCGTTCCTCCGTCAACTCCTTATGTCTTGCACGCAACTCCTCCATCTTTTCCTTGGCCTCCTGTGCCTTCTGACTACTCTGGTCTCTCAGCTTCTCTGTCCGCTCGTTCCATTTGGATAGCTGTCTCTCCAGAAGGTGCTGCTCGCGCTCAATCTGCCTGGCGTTGTTACCCCTATCAGTCAGGGTGTCCCTCTGCTTGGCATTTTTCTTGTTCTCGTCGTCCTCCTTGGACAACTCGTCGGCAATCTCGTCCAGCGTCTTGATGCACGAGGCGACATCGGCCGCCACGACTGTGAAGGAGTCGGTGGACGTCTGCAATGCTCGCGCCCTCCGCTCCAAGGATTCGATGTGCGCCTTGTCCGTGCTGAGCGAGTTATTTAGCTCGGATAAGCTTGTCTGCAGCGCCGTCGGGCTCTGGAGCGTGTATGGCCGCAGTTTTGCGCTCTCTTGCTTGAGGTGGAGCTTCTCGGCCGTCTTCTGTTCGAGCCTCTGGGCCAGCTCGCCTTTCCTCGTCTTGGCCTCCTCCAGTCTGGCGGCCACCTTCTCCTGGTTCCGTCTTAGATCCAGCAGGTTCTTCTTCAACTCCTCATTTCTTGCCGTCTTCTCCCTGACCTGGACCTCCATAGCCTTGCGGTTACGTTGCATTTCGTGGAGCCGTGCCTCCATGTCCTGGTTGTCTTGATACAAGGTCTCGATGCGCGCCTTGGTCTTCTCGGCTTGGTCGAAGTGCTTGTCGATAACAGACGTCTGGCTCTCGCGGAAGCGCACAAAGTTGATGAGGTAGCTGAAGATCTTGACGAGGCGTTCGCGCGTCGGCTTGTAGAGATCGGCGAAGCTGAAGTCGGTAATACCGCACTCGAGCAGCAGGCGCCGTAAGGAAACGTAGAAGCCCATCAGGTTCCGGGTATCCGGGGCGACGACGTCGGCAAAGTCGCCGCAGACGTCTTCGGCAGCTGCGCGCATGGCGGGCTCGATGGTCTCGCGTGTGGCGTTGAGGAGCAGCTCGGCAAACCACTCGAAGATCATCTGCACCTGCACGGGGTTGGGCTTCTGCAGGTCGGCAATGGTGTATGGGATGCCTATATCGGTGATGCATCCTACGATCTCCTTCTCCGGCAGCCGCATGAATGCATCGGCCTCCTCCTCCTTCTTGCGTGTCGTGCGCGACGAAGTCTGCGATGCCGGTATTATCGACATGCGCGGGTTGAACGACATGTTGGCGGGTCTGTCCAGGTAATGGCTGCGGTATTCGGGTATTCGTACACGTGGTCTTGTGTTTGGAAGCCAACAGAATAGTCCAAGGCTTGAACTTGCGCACCAAGATATCGCGGGCAATGGCAGTGGCTGTGATTCAGTCGCAGCGCGTCGCCGAGAAAGCGGCTTTAGCTAATCGGAAGATAAACAAGTGGTGGGCGTTATTGGGTTGTTGCTCTGACAACCATCTGGCAGCTGGCAGCTCACTGACGCCGTGCCTGTCTGAACTCGCTCCACTATTTTCGCGCACAGCCTGGCCAGCTGCCAGCCCCCAATACCAACCCAACCCAATTGTCTGCTCGAGACTTGATAAATCTACATTTGATATCTAGACAGATGTCGTCGATTGCTATGTGGTAAAGTCAGGTAGGTGGCATTAGTTTCGGCCGCACGGATAGTCCAAAGAGCGTCTCCGCTGTAGTCAAGCGGTCTACACAGAGCATCAGGCTTGGCTGGTAACTTTTCAAGTATTGTCGCGACCCCCTTGTAGGACTGGCCGCTAGGCAATACCATGGGTAGGTTGCGTAGGCCAGCAACGAGTAGAGTTTCAAGTGTTCTAGGGCTTCTTTTACAAGGCTCAAGCTCATGCCCTCTTACCTCTGCTAGATATGTCTGGGGCATAAGGTCTGGGTGGCGACCTCAACTACAATATGCATATCTTAGCGAGCTACCGCACAGTATCTGCTCGTCATATGATCTTCAATTCCGTTCTCCGTCGGGTCGGTCACACCAGCTAGGCCAGGGCCAAAGGGCCCTGTAGATAAGTAAGGTTAGAGCAAATGGGCTCGATACCAAAGCATGCGCATTCCAAGCTGTTAATCTCGAAGCAAGATCGAAGGCTTAACTGGGACTGCTATAGGCCAACCCGTGAAATTCGCCGCCGAAACAATGGAGCTGTTTGAAGTAATGATTGGCCGCCACTTCTGAGATAAGCACTGACAGGAACTACTTTTGAAACACAAAGCTCTGTGCAGCTGAGCATTAGCCGTCTTCTAACTTCTTCTTTTCCATGGCATCTCCCAAGGCCTAGCTGGGGGACAAGTCAAATTGCAAATGGGATTTCGCAACCTTTACTTGATTCTTAAGATTGCTATTTCCTGGCCTTAACTTTGACTGGCCAATCGCCGCTCAGACGTTTCCATTCCCATTACCGCCTTGGCCCCTCAGTATGGGATACTCCGGTCTAGATAGCCCTAATAGCACCACTCCACTTCAACTGTTTGATAATGAGATTACGCCTGTGGACTATAGCCAATCCTTCACTTTCACGAAGCTGACCAAGGAAGCCTGTCACTTACGCCACAAGACGGACAAGAGCCTGTCAAGCCCGTCTACATACCCTCCATTGCATATGCAGGTGCTTGGCCGTACTGGGAGACTTCTATGCTCGTGCACGGCATGTACTACGTGGCAGTTTGACAGGCACAACCAGCAGTTTGCCCAGCTGTAACTTGATGCCCACATTATATGCAGGTGCAGTATCAAAACGGGGCCCGGACGACGGGGTCTGGCCGCAGGTCCGTTTTCAGGGCTCGGGTCAACTACAAACCGACCGCCCGTAGTCACTCGCCTGGGTTCACAAGGGGTAGCAAGGAGCTACTACTCGTGTGTGGTGCTAGGTAATATTTGCTTCTGGCACTCTTGATAGTTTGTGGCTACCTTGGGCATGCATGTCCCGGGGCTATGCACAGCGGCGCGACAACGAAAACAAAAAAAGAGGCTGTCGCACCATCAACCTCCCAGTCTCTCAGTGTTATGACGGCATGTCGTCGCAACACAGCACAGGGGGCCGGTGGCTGCCCAGGCACAACCTCCGGGTCGCCGGCCTCTTGACACGCGAGACACACGCACATGCCTTATGCTCTCTCTGTAGGCACGGAGAGGGGACTCCCTCCTGCATCCAGGCGGAGGCACGGCTCGCTGCAGCGCGGGCGTGGCAGGTCACATATCCCATCTTCCGCCGTCTAGATCGATGTCGGCCTTGAGGCTCGTATTCCTCTTTAGTGGGAAAAAAACGTGGCACTGTCCCCTGCTTTACATATGTGTCGAATCCAAGACAGACACACAGTCACGACATTCCGCCGTTTCCCTCGGTACTGCGGGTCGGTAGATTCCTGTTCTCGCCTTCCCGCGGGTCCGTATAGCGAACCGGATTACGAGGGGACGCAACCACACGTACATAGTAGACCCAGATGGACGGGTGGCATTTCCAAGTTCTGGTTTGCTCGTTACGTCTCTGCCATGGCCTGGCCATGTTACCGCGCATGACGAGGTAACTCGACCCAAGCTGTGGCGCCACAGGTGGGCCGCTGTGGTCGTTCCGGGGCTAAACGTAACACGGGAACGATCACCGTTGCTTGGCGTACCAGAGACCCCTGCGTTTCCATGCCCATTGACGCACGCCCCTGTCGGCCGACGTTCTTCAGATGAGATGGGCCGCAACACGCACTGCGCAACCTTGGAGCCTGGAAACACCCGTAACGATGAACGAACTCAATCACAAGCGTCCCCCCGACGCGGTTGTAAATTTAAGCTTCCCGTGGGCTCGGATAGATGAAGTTTGCATAACGCACAAAGCCTGAATGTGGCCTATTGTGAGTGTGATTGAGAGGGTCCGGCCGTTCATGCCACAGCACCCAAGCACCCACTGTAGTCACTAGTTGGGAGTCGCGAAATGGGGCGGCTACATACCGCAAAATGCTGAACTGTCTGGTGACACTCACGCTCAAGCCCCCATCCGGCACTCGGTTTCTGTTCTCGGGGTCGCCCATCTTCATTGTTTTAGCGGATGATGACTGAACAAACTATTAAGGGACTCGAACGAAATAGTATTCCTCAGAGAGTGGGGGGTTTCTTTCCCCTTCGTTGGTGGCTAGTACGGACTCGTCAACCTTGTCATGGATGGCTATGCCGATGTCGTCGGTGGAAGGGGACGCTGATGACGGTATTCAGATCAGTCGGCTTGGACAGGTAAGCCGTAATGTGACCATGACCCCGGGCGCTGTCGACCCTGAATGTTCCCTCGCGGGTGGGAATGGATGCGACATACGTAGTTCGGACCAGGGCACGAGAGCGAAAAGAGCAGGGGGCACTTTGCTTGAAGCCCTTTTCAGGAACGGACGCCATGCCACTTCCCAGACCATCGGAAGCCTTACAGAGCGACCGGTAGCCGCGCATTCAAAAGCCTCTGATCAGAATTGAATTGAATTGAGACCACCTGCAGCCTCCAGCGGCTCGTCAAAGTTGGGTTGCATATGGCATATGTAGTTGAGAGACAACTAAGGCTACGGCTAGCTACTAGCACCATTGGCGGTCGATGGAGATCTCTAATAGTCTTGCCAGCTTGCGTGCGTCGACGGCCGACCTATGGCTTTCCGAACCGCAGTACCCTTATTATGTACGTGCCTTAGCAAGCTTAGGCAGGGTAGAGACGAGGGGCCCTCTCGTGTCCATTCATCGGTTGGTTCAATGTTCCCAGGTGCCCGCCTATGGACGTACTTGGTGACTCCTCCCTCCTGCATCCGCTCCAAGTACCAAGGCGTTCCTCTCTCGCCCGGGTACCTAAATAGGCGCTGCCCTCGTCGGGTGGTCACATCGCACATCTGACCTCACCTGACATCGCCTCGCTCCCTCGCTCTCCTTCTCCGCGTTTGTTCTGGGCCAGGCACAGGCAGATTGGCAGGCCGGCAAGATTTGGGGTGCAGAGTCGAAGGCGTGTCATCGCGGCGATTAACTGGAATCAGCTAGGCGGGCTGCTGATCAGCGCCTCCCCCAGCCTGGTACCAAGCGACCCAGGACCCGTCGCAGGCTTTTGAGCAAGCCCCTACACACCTCAGTAGGCCCTAGACAGAGACTAGGGGGCCCCCAGGCGTGCCAGGCCCCACCCGGCGCGACCCAGACGCCAGAACCACAGTCTATCCGCACATCTTATCCCTCCTGGGAACGAGAACACGGCCCAGGAAACGGCTTCAAGCCCTTTGGAGGGAGTCCGACGATCCAGCAGCTGGCATCTGTGGCGCCGCCTTGGTTGAGAAAGCCGTGCTGCCCATTTATTAACGCTGGCATTCCCTGCCCGCCTTGTCCGGCCGCCCGCTGCCACAGGAAGCTCCCCATCCACGAACGGACGGGCGATCGACACACTCCTCGCCTCTCAACTACCCCCGCGCGCCTCTTCTCAAGTTTGATGGTCAAGAGGACGCAATCGAATCTCACCAGCCCCAACTTCGACTTTGGATTCTCATCTAACAAAGCGGACCCGGCTCATTTGCATTGCGCTGGACTGGATCTCGCATGAACAACCAAATATAGCCGCGCTGCCGAACAGGAATCCTGGCCGTGGCTGAGCTCTCACGTATTCAAGCAGCACCAGCATTCGCAACATCTTCGTTCAGCCTTGCAAGGATCACCACCGTATTTCTCTCCATTTGGGCCAGTTGACTTGGCTCATTGTCCCTCCTTGAACTATCAACCATCAGTCTTATACCGCCAACGCGCCATCACGACGGCTGTCCCACCAAGACTGTAGCACAGCAACAGTTTCCCACAAGCAACATTGACGTCAACGCCTAGAATCGAGACTTTTCCTGCCTGGACCGCATCACTTTGTCGCCCTTCAATCATTGACCGTCGGTAGCGATCCACGAATCTCCTCAGGGCTTCCCGCAAGGCACTTACACACGAATTCACACCGGATGAACACTGTCAATCTGCGCTCATGGAGCTAATCACTGAAACTTTACCGCCATCCATTCGAGATAACAGCCATCAACCCTGCGGGAAGACGTCAGATTGCTAGACTGCACCCGCCTACTTGGCGCAGCCTAGACAGCACACCAGCCGCCAAACATGGCCTTGTGGCCCTTCAGGCGGAAAGCGTCGCAACGACGCTCGTCCACCGGGCGAGGGCGACTTGCTGGGGACCATGCAGCACCGCCGCCGCGCTCCATGACCGAGCCCCCGATGGCTACGACCGACACACCGGGCGGGACTGCGGGGTCATCCCCGGGTCCCGACCGCACCAAGAGCAAGAGGCAACGCAACTCGCCTGGTAACAAGAAAATCCAGCGTCGCAACCGGACATACAGCTTCTCACCGGGTCGTCGAGACTCGATACGTGTCGCCCGGGCTAGGGAGGAATCGGTCCCACCTTTGCCCGCAGGGCCCATCCCGGTGGCCGCCATGTATGATTCGGATTACGGGGGAAAGGGTCCCTCCGGCGTCACTCATGAAGCTGACCTTAGAAATCGGGTGCCCACCCTACACCACAGCACCTCGCAAAACAAGAGGCGGGCCCAACCTTTACCCAGGAAGAAGTCCAGCAAACGACGCAAAGAGGATCATGATCGCGAGGCCGAGATCAAGGCTATGAGCCATTCTCATCCTGTGCCAACTCGTCCTGCTACCGAGACCTGGATTGCCGGGAGGCCACTCAAGCGGGAAAGCAAGAGGACGGCTGGTGGCCACACCAAAGACTGGCATAGACCAGACTCTGACATTTCCTTGCCGGAATCGATACACTCGAGCATGTCTTCGGATTCCGAGCATGTGTCGTTCCGCGTGTCTGCCCTCGATGTGCTCGCGCCCCGACCGACGATACGATATGCTTCGAGCCCGGTCTACGGAGTTTCGAACAACTCGGAACCCGTGAGGACACTATCGCAGAAGAGAAAGCTATCAGAGAGAGGCCCGATTCCCGAGGCAACCTTGAAGGCGCACAAGAGAGTAGATGATCTAGCCGACGATTTAGACGCATCCGACCTTCGAGAATTGATGGAACGAGATAAACGCAGAAGAGAACGAAAGAGAGAAAAGGAGCAACAAAGAGTTGAGAGGCGTCTAGCAAGAAGAGCAGAAAGGCAGCGAGTCGAAGAAGCTGAAGCCAAGCGCAATGGAACACCGCCACCGCAGAATCTAGAAAGAGGCGTTCTAGGACGAGAATCTCCACCGGCCGGACAAGACACGACATCTGCGGTTGTTACCTCGTCACGGCGTAGACAGTCAGCCGAATCACTAAGCAAACAGACAGAGCCAGCTGCTGCGGCCAGCGAAGCGAAGCGTGCGCCATCACCATTGGACCAGTTCCATCGTGTAGACAGTATCACACAGACACCTACAGAGTTTATCGAAGCTGCGCAACCAGAACAACCACCTCGACCGGAAGAGCTCGAACCGAGAACGTCACGGTCGCCGAGTCCCAGGTTAATCAACTTCATTCGGTCTAAGAAACGCCGATCGAAGTCGCCTCCCCAGACAGATCTGGAGAAGACTGATGACAAGCCGTCGGCGCCAGCGTCGACACGAGTGGTCTCCAAGTCAGAATCCGAATCAGCTGGGAGACCATCTGACAGCAGTTCCTCAGGGAAAGCTTGGATGTCCATCTTCAAATGGGCTCGGACTGGGAAGAACAGACGGAGCTCCGGCCCATCGTCGTTCTCGAATACTTCTCGAGACTCGATGCTGGCCAGCCAGCCACCAAATCAGACGCCCAACTATCTGCCCATCCAGAGGTCTAACTCCAAGGTGCCCAAGAGGACGATGTCTCGTTTCCGGGAGGATCTGCCTGAGCTCCCTCTCTCGCCGCCGGACTCACGTGTAGCCTCCCCTGAAGCTGACTTCAGACCTGCGGAGCCATTACCCGTCATTGCCGATGACGTCGTCATGCGATACGATACCCCCACCTCCGGCCACCGTGCAACCCCCAGTTCGATGCACCGCGATGAGATGCAAACCTCGCCGGCACCTCAGTCCATGTCTCTGGCATCGATTGACTCGGAGGGCTCATGGCTGTCTGGTCGTGCAGCTGGCAAGCGGGCGTCGTCTGGAATGCGCGGTTCCCTGACCAACTATCCCTTGCGCTCTGTGTCTGGAGACTCCGAGGACCATGACGACGACGCCGTGCAAGATGACGACTTCTTGAACATCGTTGACGATAAGAAGCTGCACCGCAAGTCAACTGGCGAGGCACGCCCGAGCAGTGATGAAGAGGAGCAAGAGGACGAACAGTCCCCGAAGTGGGGCAATCTCACTCGTACCCCAACGTTTACACACCGCCGAGAGACAATGAGAAGTCGTGAGGGTCTTTTATTACAAACATATGACGATGATGACAAGGAGATTGGCATCGACAAGGACAGTGAGGACGGAACCTCTTTCGGGGGCGAATCACCCACTGTTCCTCAGCGAGCTACCAGTGTCAACTTTGGCAAGGGGCACATCCGCAATTTTAGTGCAGGAAGTGCCAAGCTATTGGAACTTTCTCCACGAGCATCTACCGACAAGCGCAGGAGTGTCCACGAGCCAGTCACTCAATAAAGTGACACTGAGTGAGAACTCTCATATCTTGACTGACGATTCAATAGGGATAACGATGATCGGAACTTGAAGACACGGGCACGTTCACTCAATATTTCCTATCCTCGTGGATGCCAACGAGATCTGCTTCCAGACTCCGCACACTCTTTCACATTTCCTTACTGTGGCCAAACCGACCCTATTCGCTCATTTGAATCTTTTCCTTTTGACTTACATAAAAAAACACCAAAAACACCAGAAAACGGAAAATTACGTGTCTTCTCGATCTATCATCGTTATACCTATTCGTCCTCGGTCAGATATATTTGCCCCTCCGGCCGCTTATGCGGCATTGTCGCCCCCCCCCTCCTCTATTTGTACTCTATGTAATGGTACTACCTATATTACGAACCCAGTGCGCTTGAAGCGCTTGGGTACATTGGCTCACACGGCTGTGCGCTTGACACAGCCTCCTGCCTGCTTTTTTACGATCTTATACCCTTCGCCTGCATCAGCCAGGCTTTCAATTCGACTCCACGCATGCACTCATTCGGCCTTGATACAAATACACTTTGGCGGAAACTTTACATTCATGGACGAGGCGAAGTAACAGAACGGAGACTAAGAGTCTCCGCTTTTGAAACTCTCCTCTTCACCACTCTCGCTACTACTCGCAAGCCCAGCGATCTCTTGGCAGACCAAGGGTCGAAGAGGCCACTCTGGGCGCAGGTCCCCATGTACTATTGAGATTTACAAGGGGTCTCACCTCAAAAAGGGAACAGGGGCCGGAAAATGTGGGAAAGGAATCTTTGTATTACGGTCAGCGTTGTTCTTCCGCAAACGACGCTTTCACATAGAAAAGGATATTGGGTTCACAGTCTGGGAGAGCGTAGCACGTTTTCTGTTGTTTTTGGGACACATATACCCTTTGTTGTAGTGGCAGCGGTGTCTTGCGATTGATTTACCGGCCACACCCCCTGTTATGTCGCGAGTGCCTCCTTCTTGGGAGTTGTGATACCCCTGAGATATGAAGTTCCCGCGTTGATGGGTTGAACATGCAACTCCATGTATGAGAATGAGAAAAAGATGCATCAAGACAAACATTGTTCATATCATGACCAGTAACTCCATCCAAAGGACATGCCATGACTCGACTTGGCTTCTAGCACACCGGCGAGTTGAGCTAGAAGCTGGCTAATGCGAGATTCCCGCGGCCCTAGATTAAATCACGATGTGGCTGTGTGTAGTACTGCAGGGTAGTTCCTTCTAGAAACTCTTGCGGTAGTTTGGTAACGTATGTTACGAGTATCGCTAGTGTTGAATTGTGAATATACATGTTGTATCTAACTATCCCTATTCTAAGCACGATTCTTCAAGCTCGGCTCGGTGACGTTTAACTATGCCCAAAGCCGCAGAATTATGCGGTCAGCAAGAGGATCAAATTAAATTACTATCCTCGACATGGATCGGCCAAAACGGGCGGCTATAAGATCTCCGGGAAGCATTTCATGGTGCTTGATCGTAACGGCCAAAATCGAAGCTTCCAAGGCCACACCATCATCCCACCACATTGACAGCAAGACTCAGACCCTCTTGCCCTTCCCGCCGACCACGGACGGCAGCCCCACGCCGCACAGGAAGGCGACGCGCACGGCGCCCTGGCCCCAGAGGCTGCCGAGGTTGACGGCGTCCTCCCAGCGCCAGCGGCGCGGGTCCCAGAAGACGGCCGGGCCGAGGGCGCCGGCGCTGCCGTACAGGTGGATGGCGTCGCAGAGCAGGATGCCGGCCAGCACGGCGCGCCAGACGGCCAGGTCGCCGGGCCGCAGCCGCAGCAGCACGGCCTCGTTAAAGGCGAACAGCACGTACGTCGCGCACAGCATGTCGTAGACGACCTGGTGGCCCGCGGCCGGCCCCAGCCCCGGCGCCATGGTGTTCAGGAACGGCTGCGGCCGCCAGTGCAGCAGCAGCGCCCCGAGCAGCGCCCCCAGCGGCTCGATGTACAGGAAAAGGGCGCGGTAGAGGAGCGGGATCTGGACGGGTGTTGCGGGGGCCATGATGGTGGTCGTGTTGGCGGCTGTATGTGCAGAGATGATCAGGTATCTCCGGGAGAGCCCGTGGAATGTCGAGCGTGAGGTGGGCAGCAGGTCAATTGGTATATCAATTCGGGCAGCAGGTTCAAAAGCGAACACAGGACCCGACCAGAATAGTGTGGAAATGCTCTATCAAGATAGGTACGATATGGAGGGCATGATATACGAAGGTATCAGACTGCCGCGAGTGTCATATGCAACTTGTTTCACAACGAGAGGCAGCATGCTTACATTACCAGAATGGGAATTTCGAACGAAGTCACCTGAGACCAATGTCGACAGGAAATTTCCCTTGCTCTTCTCCGGAAGCTCATTCCAGTTTAATTGGTGATCCCGCTAAGAAACTTTGTCAGAATGGCGGATCCTGGTGTTGGATGGTGTCGGGCGACACGCTGCCCCGGCTCCCGCGCCTGAATTTCGCACAGTAGGTAGGTACCAAGCTTTACCGAATGCGCTCCAGGACACGGATGGATCCGAGATAAGAGAAAAGAAACGCGAAAAAGAAGAAAAGAGGGAAAAGGGTACGGTGGATAAGAGCGAAAATAATCAAGCTTATATAATGGCCTTCCACAAGAATTATCTCCTTTGCCTTTCCCTAACTTTTGTGTCTCTTACTCTTGCGCTTCATTCACTACCGCGCCATGGTCTGTTGATGTACACCGGGCACTGGTCTACGAAGCCCACTCTCATGCACAGAGAAACATTGTTCCTGAAGGGCCTGATGTATTAAGGAATGGCCCAAGTGGCTCTGCCCTTACAATATTTGGTATGGCTGGCTGTGGCCCAGACGCGAAGAAGGCGGAGGGACCCTTTCCCCAAAGTTGGAGAAATGGAGAAAATCCCGGGGTTGGTGCTGCTTAGCACCGGCAACGATCGGTTCTCCGGATAACCGTACCCCGCGAACCACACAGCACTCCACAGGATCTACACTTCATCCCATTGCTCTCACGACAAAGTTGTCTTGTTAGTCAAGCCGTGCTTGGGTCAAACTCTCCCAATTCACCCGTTCTTGATGTCCAATCGCAATCTGTTCCTTGCATTATAGCGCTATGAGGATCAATTCACTCGCCCGGAGCCTGCTCCAGGCGCAGAGGCGGACATTCTCCTCGACTCCTCGGCGCCTGGACAGGTACGGCTTCATAGGCCTCGGTCAAATGGTACGTCTGCCGCGCCCAATCCCACAGGCCACAGTGTCGCTGACAATCTCATAGGGCTACCAAATGGCAAAGAACCTGCAAGCCAAGTTGCCGCCCTCCGACTCGATCCGGATATTCGATCTCAACGCAGATGCAGTCCAGCGCTTAGCCGAGGAGATGAAGGCCAGCACGGCCGGCGGCGCCGTCGTGGAGATAGCGAAGAGCGTGAACGAAGCTGCCAGCGACTCGGTATGTGCCACCCTTTCCCCACTTCTCCTCTAGTGTCTATATGATGAGCATGTTCTATCAATGATCTAAGTTGGGACCGGCTTGCCGGTCCTTTTGTGATTATCCATATACATAAAGCCAATCCTCTGAACCCATGACACGATATCCAACTTCGAATAATTAGTCTTTAATTGGAAGTGCTGGACAATCTGCTGACCGAATCAAGGACACTGTCATTACCTGTCTGCCCGAGCCCTCGCATGTGAAGGGGGTATTCTCCCAGATTCTGACGCCAGACCTGCCCAAGAAGGATCGCATATACATCGACTGCTCCACGATCGATCCGTCGTCCTCACGACAAGTCGCGGAACAAGTCGCATCGGCGGGGCAGGGTCAATTCGTGGATGCGCCAATGTCGGGGGGTGTGGTTGGTGCTCGTGCCGGGACCTTGACATTCATGCTGGGTGCCCCAGACTCCCTTGTGTCGAAGCTCGAGCCTATCCTACTCCGGATGGGCAAAGCCGTGCACCACTGCGGACCTCAAGGCACCGGGTTGAGCGCCAAGCTGGCGAATAACTACTTGCTGGCATTGAACAACATTGCGACGGCGGAAGCGATGAATCTCGGTATTAGATGGGGACTGGACCCCAAGACCCTTGCAAACATCATCAATGTCAGTACAGGTCGGTGCTGGCCGAGCGAAGTCAACAACCCGGTGAAAGGAGTCATTGAGACAGCTCCGGCGAGCCGGGACTACTCCGGCGGCTTTGGCATCAGCCTGATGAAGAAGGACCTCAAGCTGGCCATCATTGCCGCGGACGAGGCTGGCGCGAAACTCGAGCTCGGCGGCCGGGCGAGGGAGGTCTATGAGGAGGCTGAGAAGGCCGAGAACTGCAAGGGCAAAGACTTTTCTGTCATCTATAGATTTATTGGCGGGAAAGAATAGACTTGCGATCTTGTACGTTCTATTACTAGCATCTTTCCGTCCCTGTTGAACATGAGTAGCCTGAAGAGATAAATCCTTGGTTTCTGTCCTGATGGGCGATCGCACATCAGGCATGCTGATTTGCCTGCGCCGCCGAGAAATGTACAACCACAGTAGCGTGTGCAGCACGACGGGTTCGGCTACAATAGCAACCCGACGTCCGATAGCACATCAAGCGACCCGACAGCATGCGGGCAGAGCAAGAACGTGGCCCTCGCATCGAAGCGAGCGGCGACTTTTTCTGGCTTGGCGGCCGTTGTATAAGTGTAGGGCCAGGCCTAAGGCCTTCGGGAACGCCCACCTCCGGCGTTGGTTCCAAACAAAAGGCCCACTTCGATCACAACGCATGTCATCCATCCGACTGGGCTCCGCTTCGAGTTGCCGCCATGGACAAACACAGGCCCCAACAGTCCTCAGGATACTGCCAGAACTGCGACCAGTTGGCCGTTCCCCTTACTTGAGCCTCTTCGCTCCCCATCCGAGCCCCCTTCTCGGACCGCGCATCGTTGCGCAGCCTTTGCCTGCCGTAGGGCTCGTCGGGGTCCATCGAGTTCTAGGCGCAGGGTGGGATTTAGGAATTGACCGGGAACACGAATACGGAGATAATTGAGATCTCGGTTACCCTTTTGGGAAATCTCCTCGCTCCCAGTGGGGGGTCCCCAGGCGGAGCCTGCCAATCGTTTTTATGACCGAGACGACCGTTTAGCTCCCTTATATTCGGGGGCCGTAGGGCGAACCTGAGAGATTGATCGCTTACGTTGGCTCGGTTCTGCTTGCAGCCGGGAGGGCTAGCGGTCAGACTTGTGAGATGTGAGGAGATTGATGATCAATAAAAAGACTCTGGGGGGACCACTCTCTCGAAAGGGACGATTTCAAAGTCTTGCGGCCCCCATCCATCCTCTGTGTGTGTGTTGGTTCCAGATTTGTTTCGTGGACCCCGTATATTCCGATCGCGACAACGGCGAGACAGCCACGACCAGTTGTATAACTAGCGGACTATATTCCTAACCTCTAGAGTGGGCGCCTACGGTCAACCATCAGCAAAACTCGCCAGAATGGCCAACGGAACGCACTTCAGCACCCGGGACTGCAAAGAGGTCAGCCTCTTCTGCCCGGTCGAGGCCACCGTCCTGGGCTACTATCCCAACCTGGGCGTCAACGCCTTCCTGGCCGCTGGCTTCGGTCTCTGCCTTGTCGGGCTCATAGTAACGGGGATATGGAAGAAGACATGGGGATACTCGGCGGCGCTGGTGGCCGGGTGTATACTTGAATTCGCAGGTGAGTCCGGTGTTGTGACCCCACGGCGCATTCCATCTCATCCCGCTATGGGCAACATGGGCGAGGGAAAGGAGAAGGAAACACGCAGAAAAGAAACACGGGATAAGATTCATACAAGACTAACACGAACTCTCTCTACCCCCCAGGCTACATCGCCCGCGTCCAGATGCACGCCAACCCGTGGAACCAGGACGCGTTCCAGACGCAGATCTGCGCCATCATCCTGGCGCCGACGCTGATCTGCATCTCCATCTACCTGACGCTCAAGCACGTGGTGCTGTCGCTCAACGCGTCGCTGTCGCGCGTGCGCCCGCGCCTGTACCCGGCCCTGTTCGTGCCCGCCGACGTCTCGTGCCTGGTGCTGCAGGCCATCGGCGGCGGGCTGGCCGCGTCGGCGGGCCACGACAACGCCGCGCTGCTGCTGGCCGGCGACCGCGTCATCATCGTCGGCATCGCCCTGCAGGTCGTCGTGCTGCTCGTCTTCGGCGCCATGTGCGCCGACTACTTTGTGCGCGCCGGCCGCTGGCTGAGGGGCCAGGGCGACGGCGGCGACGGCCCGCAGCGCGAGGCCGCCCGCGCCATCTGGGAGGACAAGAAGTTCCGCCTCTTCTTCTACGCCGTCGCCGGCGCCTACACGGGCATCCTGATCCGCTGCATCTACCGTATCGCCGAGATGAGCGGCGGCTGGGGCAGCCCGATCATGCGCGACGAGCCGAGCTTCATTGTGCTCGAGGGCTTGTAAGTCGAGTCCCCCCCTTTGTGACCTGTCGTTGCTCCTCCTTTTACCCAGTTGGCTAACATGATGGTGGATAGCCTCGTCCTGATTCCGGTCGCGCTCCTGACCGCGTTTTCACCGGGCTTCCTGTTCCCGGCCATGGCGGAGCGGGAGAGCCAGAGATTCCGGAGGAAGAACAAGGGCAGCAACAACAGCAGCGACAACCACGTCAGTGAGGCAGAGAAGGGCGGCGAGATGGGCGTCACATCGGGCGACGAGACGCCGGATGCGAGAGCGGGTAGCGTTTAGACGGATCCCCACGTAGACTTGGAGAGGACTGCGGTTCTAGAGTTTAGAGACACAGCAATGGCGTTAGGGATACCACTTGAATAGATTCTGCTCATTTTGTTGTTACAGTAAGCCAAGTCAGCAACCGGCCTCTACATGTGTGGCGTTTTATGATGCGTAGTAGAAGTACAATGCGGGTGTGGGTATTGCTTTTGCGGCTTTCATTCACCCAAAGTAACTCGTGACTTGAGACAAGCCAGGCTCTTGCAGGAGGAATAACGTTGGCCATGGACAAAATTGGAGGCTTGGTTTTGTACAATTATATACTGAGATATTAGCTTCACACGCAGAAGATCATCGATAGCCAGCCAGTCTCTCGTTGAGAGGCGGACTGGGAAGCATAACGGATTGGCATTGAGACAGTTCCCTTGGCCTGTTTTCAGAAAGTCTCGATATATCCACGGCGGACAACCATATGCGTTGACACAAGCTGTCCGAGTTTAATTAGTTGATTCTTGCTGTCGCTTCTTCATGACACCCAGGCATACCTTGTCTCATGATCGATACAAGCAACTCCTGTATGATCAATTGCATAGAACAGGTTGTGTACGGGATTCAGCCGAGAGGCCGCGCACGCTGGAAATATCAGGTATCACGGAACGACACATGGACCAGGGAATGTATGCATTTTCAGACTTGTAGTGATTTGCTCTATGTGAAAAGAACCTCCCCTATGCCGGGCCACTCAATGCAAGCATGCCACGCGGCCGGCGTTTCTCAAAACCCCCCATTGGATATCATTTGCTCGATCCCGAGCCTCCACTTGTGTGCTCTCTATCTTGGGACAGGGGTTTTTCTCTTTGATGGGGTATGTTTTCTGCTCTCTTCTTTCAAATCTTCCGCCTTGGGACTATTCTCCAGCTTGCAAGAATTTACAAGCCCTTCTCGATGAGGCCGACCAGGGCGTTGGGGTTGGCACCGACCAGCTCGTCGGCCTTCTCGCCGTCCTTGAACAGCATGAAGGTGGGCATGGCGCGGATGCCGAGCTCCTGGCTGATGTCGGGCAGCTCGTCGACGTCGATCTTGGCGAAGAAGACGTCCTTGTACTTCTCGTCGTTGGAGTGGCTAGAGGGGCCCATAGTCAGTACCTGCGCGAGAATACATGAAAGCGACGCGCGTATTATTTTTCGCGCATAATGAGGGGCCTGTCGTCGGGCGAGCAGGGTAGAGGGAAAGCTCGGATCGGAGGCAGCTTTAGAGGGGCGTGTTTCAAACTTACTTGGCCAGGAGAGGAGCGATGGCCTTGCAGGGACCGCACCAGGTAGCGAAGCAGTCGAGCAGGACGACCTTGTTGTCCTTGATGGCGGCCTTGAAGGCCTCGGCGCTGTGGAAAACGAGATACGTCAGTATGGCGCGCAGCATTTTTGGACGAGGGGTGGCATCGAGCGGAATGCACGAGAGGAGGGGTAGCTTTCCGCGCGGCGGACTGGGCGGGCAGCCGGCCAGCCACGGCGCTGCACGGCGCTGCAATTGCGCACAAGAGAGGGGCACAGCCGGGACAGAGGACAGAGGGAGGAGGAAGCAGTAACGTACGTCTGGAGGTTGTGGACGGTCATTTTGGGCGAGGTTGCGTGGAACTGGCGGACGGCAGACAGATGCGACGACGGTCTAAGGATGCGGTGTCTAGAGGCAGACTGGATGGCGGTGCGGAAGAATGTTGATGTTGACATGGGGAAGGGTAGATTTTGGTGTTGAGGGGTGGGAAGCCAAGTGGGTTTTTATTCAAAGAGGTTACCGGTCGGTCGGAGTGGTTTCGGCTCGATGACAGAGAACACACACTTGACACACACGCGCACACAGACACACACACACCCAAAGGCCTTAGGTTGTGGATGGGGACTTGGGGACGGAGCACACACTGGACACGCCGGACACGCACTGCCGAAAGTAGAGCGGATCGGACGCGGGTGGATTGCTAATGAGGCTGGCCGGCTGCAGTATGCAAGGCAAAATTGGTCTCTACAGCTTCCGCTTTGTGTCTGCTGGAATGCCCGAGAAAACGGCACCAATTTCCAAATTTAGGGGTGTTTAGTGAGCTGGTGGATGTGTCGTAGCTAGGTCGGTCCCTAGGTATGCAAGGTGCTTTCAGGCGTGGTGATGTAACTTAGAAGGCTCGTTGGATTTGTCAGTATTCTCGATGACGCGATGGGCAGAGGTGGATGACAAGCAGCGGGAAAAATAACACGAGGCGGCCAATTCGAAGGGGCCCCCCGGGTGCACGTCTCAGCAATCGACCCAAGTGGTCAACGCCGAGGCAACCCCTGCCGTCGAGCAGTTATGTGAGCTCGACCAGCGTGCGGACTGGTGCGGACGTTGGACCAACTGGACACACACAGTGAGCAGCACCTGTCACAACCCCTACACGCCCCCCCATGCGCCACGGTTCGACGCGCGTGGCTGCTGCTGCATTCAATCTTTAGCAGGGCTTGCTTTGGAATCAATGAACGGGCACGCAACCTGGGCACACTGAGACGCCATGATATTGAGTTCACGTGGGATCTATAATTGTAATTGCACCAGTGATGCGATCAAAAATGCCATAAGCAGCCATCTGGATCTGTCACCCGGCCAGGGTCTTTTCATGTTATTGCTGTTGCTCTTGATGGACAACTACGACCGTAGATTCTGTTGTGCGCGACATGCCTCACCTTGATAGTACCGAGAGCGTAACGCCAGGCTCTTGGTGTCATATCTCGTAAACTGCATCGCATTATAATCGGCTCTTAGGGATGCGGCTCCGGAATCATCAAACTCCCAGTTCAGGGCGGGTTCATTACCACCTATGTTATCTAGCCAACGCCAACAGAGCGCTGATCATCTGGAACTGCAGCTACTTCTGCACCATCTCCAGATATATACTACATCTCGAAGAATTAATTTCATTCCCATCTCGCTTCTCGAGGATCTTGGCCTGTCTCTTTCAGGCTCCTCTGCGCGTCTCTAGTCCTGCGGCTTCCATCCTCCCCCCTTGTTTTCCGCTTGGCTCGCGATGATGCTCTATAACATGCCGCGCTCCGGTTCTGCAATCATGGGGTATGTTGCGGAGCCCAAATTACAAGAATCCCATGCTACCTCTGAAACTGCCTGATCCAACTCCAGCGAGTCCGTCGACCGCCTTCTTCACCTCTCTAGCCTCCCTAGCCAAATCAGCCAGCGCCTGACTTGCCTGGCCTTGAGGAGGGTTTCGCACGAGCGCCTCGCACTCGGCCATCAGCTCACTGACCCAGCTTTCCAGGCCACGTTCGGGCCTGGCCGACCGGGTGATCTCCCTGACCCATGCATGTACAACATAGATGATCCACTCGACAACTCGGAGGCGGCCTACGCCACGGAACGGCACGTCCTGGCTCTCGAACATCTGCTCCAGAATCCGCGTTACAAGGTCGTGACTGACACCGAGCTGCAGAAACAGGAGAACGGGCCAATCAAAATCAGCACCGATGCGTTCATCTTGACCGTTCTCCACTGCGTAGCGGCACACTTCCGGTAGCAGAGTCGCCACGGGGAAGATGAAGCTATCGTTCGAGGCACGGTGGCACACATCCTGGATGACACCAACGAGCCTTTCGTAAGGTTGCGGCGGAGCCTCGAGGTTGGCTTTGTTGGGGTGGGCGTTGTACGAATCCCATTCCGCTTGGACATCTTCGTGAGTCTGCGCAATCAGGCTGAGCCACGTGTTGGCAATTGTTGTCGGATTGCGGAAGTCGGCAGCGTGGAAGATGAGCAGACACAAATCATAGTAGCCCGCCTGGTCGGCGTACGTGTTGAACAGCTAGATGCCCAGAATTAGTAACTTTCGATTTACCACGACACTTTGGAGAAAGAAAATTGACGGACGGGACTTACCTCTGAAAGACCCTGTATCGGGCCATCCAGTGATTCTTCGATCTCGGGGCGTTTCTCGGCAGGGATGCGATCGTCCGCTCTAAGACGTTCAAGCAGGTCGTCCTGGATGTGCGCCACTTCCAACAGCTCGGTAACCTCGTGGTTAAGCATCTGCAGTTCTTGTCGTCCAACGCCAGCGGTCATAACGCTGACGTTCGTCTTTGCTCTTGAGAGCAGGTTGAGGCGTTCCTTTATCGAGATATCGAAATCGGACTGTGCAAGTTGCGCTTGGACTTGTGCCGCCTCGTAGTAGCGGCTACGCATCGTGAAGTAGCGGCACAGAAGATCGGCGTGTACAACATTGGAGGCAGCCAGATTCTGGAGGAACTTGACAACATGGGGTGACTCAATGTTGAGTAGCCGGTCTGTCCACCCTTGCTCAACGTACCACTCGTAAAGGTCATTGTGGAAGACTTCGTCGGTGGACGAGTTGACGACTTCGTACGCCTCATTCCGCTTAATGGCTATCGAGGTCAGTTTGCCATCGATGACCTCAGGTTCAAGGTTTGAGGCGGCATCCAGGCTTTGAAGGATATGGTGCACCAGGTTATAACAGCGCTTCCGCTCCTCAAATTTGCTGAGCCTAGGGTCGTTGGCTGGCTTGCCATCGTTAACCCAAGAATGGGCTGAGTTGCCACGATCCCTCTCCTTGGCCACCGTTAAACAGAGTTGAATCGCGCCCGCGTAGTATTTCAAGCCCACGTACTGATCTACTGCCGTCTCAAGGTTCGCTTGCGTCAAACTGCCCGCCACCTTTTGGAACAGCTTCAGACTCTCACCGAGGAGGGCACGTACTGTGTTAGAGTTTTGTGCTGGGTCTGATGCCTTCTGAACTTGTTCCTGTGCCTTGAAAACGACGGCGTCGTCTGGGCCGCAGAAGCTGCCACATCGCCTGCGCAGCGCGTCGGTAATAGTCTCGGTGTTGGAGCCATTCTCGATATTGCGCTTAACAATAGCCTTGACCAGAACTCTGGCAAGATCCTTGCCGGCATCCTGGGAGAATAGGCGCTCATACGTGAGCTCTCTGAGCTGCAGGCGAGCTTCATCATCCAAGCGGGCGAAAATGTCGGCAACACGCTCGTCAAAGAGGACTTGAATAAAGGATATACCCTCCGAGATGCTGACCATCAATACCTGCACGGCGTGCATAGCTTGGTGTTCGCCTTGGAAGGCGATCTCCTCCTGCTTGTTGCCGGCGCGCTGAAGATCTGCTGGCCCAGACAAGCCTTGAATGAACCCCTTGTTGGCCTCGAGGAACGATCTCAAACGCTCAAGAGAATCTTGGACTGCCTTCAATTTGCTCAAAGGCACCGTAGAAGCGATGGCCAAACCACCAACGGCATCAGTTCCAAACGATACAACGCGCGAGCTCCACAGGGATCGGATGAGACGGCTGAGATACAAGGCCAGAGCGCCATGCCGCGATGAGGGCTTCACGGTGTCAACAGTCGGCTGCTGCCCGTCTTGCTCGGGAAGCGTGGGATTGCCACCGAAGTTGACGAAGGCTTGTCGCGCACGATCTTCTGTGGTTTGGTCTATGGCGCCACGCCCGGCACCATTCTCATTGCCTTGACCACAGGCGACTGCAAGCGCAGCTGTTACGCTCTCGATGCGTCCATACATATTTTGGAACTTGCTGAACTCGGCCTTCAGGCTCTCCTCGCCAGAAGTATTCCTAATTACTGCGGCAAAAATGTCCACCAGTCGCCGTCGTCGAATGATATGAACTCCAGTATTCGTGAGAACGGCAAACTCATTCGCGGGTTGGTCAAACTGGACAGCCAACTCGTTACCGAAGCCCAACGGGGTCGCAGCGGCCGCGAACGGTTTCGAGATGATACCGATATCTTCAGGCTTGCCACCGACATCAATCCACACGCTGTGCTCATAAAATCGTAGAGGTTGATTCGGTCCGCTGTTCTTAATGCGGCCGGTGTCGGGGGCCGCTGCAAAGAGACCTTCGCGGCTCCCGCCTTCCTTAGAGACTGAGGCCAGGAAGTATCCTGGAGCAAACCTAACACCACTGCGTGTTGTTATCAACGTTTGTGACTGTATATCAAAGTAATCGCCAGGGCCGCCGTACGCGTCACGGCCTTGTCTCACCGATGGCCTGGACGTGCTTGAAGGAGGAAACTTGATCGAGTGCAGCTGCATGCTAGAGGGCACCTGGTTCGGGGAAGCCATGTAGTACGAGGCTCCTGCAGCACTCATGTACAGTCGACAACCCGTGTTCGTCACGGCAATGAGGTGAACCTTGGCATCCTCGGTTTTCGTGACAGGGCAAATGGAGACAATGCTTGTTTGGTCGTTGAGCAAGGGAGAATTGCCGCTGAGCGCGTGCATTATATCTCGCAGACAGTCGTGCTTGGTCTTCTCGATGACTTTGGTGAGCTTGTCGGGGGCTTCCATGTGGTAGGTTCGGATGGTAGACAGGTTAGAGAGGGTGTAGAGCAGGTTTCGCGTATCGTCGATGACGATGCCAACGATGTGTTCATTGCTCTTGGCTGACCATATGGCACGGGGCTTCTTGGGGAGCATTGAGACGATTCCACTGGCGGAATGGTTCGTCTTGTAGGTTCTGTTTGTGAACCACTTCTCCTCTTGCTGATAAGAGAGCTCGTAAATATCGGTATCGGCAAAGCCGGCAAAGAAGATACGGCCATTCGCTGCCGCGGCAATGACATCGGCCTCGCCGCCGCTTGTGGAAGCCTGCATCTTGGTCTGGTACAGCGTTACTGTCGTGGCTCCGTTGGCTGATGACTGAGCAGCGACTCCAAGAAGAAATATGTTGGACGACGTAGCCACGACGAGCATGTAGTTGATCTCGCTGACGAAGACGCCAGGTTTCGGGGCGACAAGCTTCACCGAGGTGATGGAGTACTCGTTGTCTTCGAAGCCGATGAGCTCCGGGTTGGGATGCGTGTAGTCCCACAGATATAAGCAGTTATCGATGGTGACCCAGGCATGGTTGAGCTCAGCAAACAGGCCCATGCTCGTCGAGACCTCTGCCCGTTGGTATTGCTCGAAGACCTTGTCAGGCAGCACATACGACTGGACCGTCTTGTAGGGCACCCAGTTGGAGTCCTGCGTTTTGTGGTAGTCGGATGACATCTCTACAGGCATAGAGAGCGATCAGTAAAGGTCGCAGCAGATGAAGCACTCGGAAGATGTCAACTTACGCTTGCAGTATTGCTCGAGCTCTGGGTACTGCAGATCTGTAGCGAGAGCAGTGTTGACGTAGCCGGCGGCTTTCGTGATGGGTTTCTGGGGTTGCGCAGGTGGTAACGGAGCAGGGCCTGGCGCCAAAGCCGAGCCTATGCCAGCTCCCCCCGATGCCGCCATTCCTGTGCCTGCGCCCGGAGTCGCTGGAGCGCCAGCTCCTCCCCCGAGCGGCTGGAGAGCCCAGGGGGGGGACTGCTCAGGTCCGGTCGGGGCATCTAGTCCCTGCTCTCCAAAACCCGTCCGCGAGCCTAGAGGATTGGCGGTGCCGGCGCCTGATGCCTCGTTGAAGAGGCGCCTCCGAACCGGGTCGGTATTGGCGCCGAACCTCGAGGCGACGGCCGGGGTGTGCATGAATGCACCTGGGACAGGCCGCATGGGCGTCGGTTGAGGGTATGCCATTTTGCGTGGTGTGCCGTCGGATTTTATCCGTCTCAATTGACCCTCAAGGACGGCACTCCTCCACGGCTCAGCAGGGGAGCTTTGAAGATGGTGAACGGCCGGTGAGACGTCTGGGTGTGTATGTGTCTAGGCGTCGAGGCGTCGAGGCGTCGAGGCACCGTGGATGACGGACGGGTTACCGGGGCATCAAAGGGCGATTCGGCGAGAAGGTGCGCCGCGCAGACACCATGCGGTGGTGGAGAAGATGCGCGAAGGTGGGCGAGGCGGGGGAGAGACCTCTTCGGGGGTGCGCACGCGTCGTCTCGGGGGCTTGCGTGGTCTCGCGAGTTGTGGTGTTTCGAGGTGTTGCTCCTGATGGTTGATCTGAGAGGCTGGAAATTTTTGGGTCAAGCTTGGACGCGACTTCCGCCTTGCCTGGGCCTGCTCTGCCTGCAGCTGCAGCTTTGCTCGCGACCCCCCAATCGCGCTAAGCCGGTTTGGTCCCCAGGGAGCTCCAAGCTCCAGCGGAGCCCTGGAGACGGTTGACGGTTGACGATAGCTGGGACCTGGGAGCTGGCCGACGTCCGTGGATGGCATTGTTGATGACTCTCAATAGTAACACCGGGGGAAATCATGCAAATGCTCGCGATAGATCATGCATTGTTTGTTTTATTTTCTCTGGTTGTCTTACGACATGCTGATATCTACCTCTTCCCACACCCCGCCGCTGGGGATGGCATCTGACCTCCATGGGGGTCTAGGATGTTTTCTTCGAGCCCCTCCCATCTCTACAACTCCTTAAAGCTTTTTGTCTTGTTATTCCGCATACCGTACAATATCACAAGTTCATACTGCGCGCACACAACTCGGCATCGCATGGCTTTCGTCGACCGTAAGACGTAAACATGCGTCTGACCGTAACGATTTCCCCACGTTGCCCTTGTATTGTGGTAACAAAGTCGGCATCATGTTCCCGCCTACACGACCTCTCCTCTTTAACCCGACGAGGGTCTATAGCTCCCGAAATCACTGCTTCTTGGCATCACGAGCAGCCTTTCGCTGGGCTCGCTTGCGGATGTCCACGTGCATGGTCAAGTTGTACCACCGCAGCAGCTTGCTGCCAGTCCCAAGGAAGGTCTCGGCTGCGTAGCCCATGAAAGCATGGCTCCACCAGGGCGTGTAGGTGTCCGGCATGAACTGCCAGCTCCCGGTGCCGACCTTGCCCAACGCAGCGCGGACGAACTGCTTTGGGTTGGGGATCAGGAGGCTGGAGCGGCGCACCTTGGACATGGCCGTGGTCACGAGGTACGAGAGGACGAGCTGGACGTCGACGTTGCTGGGCTTGAGCTCGGCAGCCAGGGCTGAGGACCACTGCTGGAGGAAGGCCTTGGATCCCGAGTAGGTAGCAAGGTAAGGCGTGGGCGCCCAGCCACCGAAGGAGCCCATGGTCAGGATGAGACCGCTCTTGCGAGACTGCATGCCGGGCGCGACGACCTGGGTGACCTTCAACGTGCCCAGGCAGTTGATGGTGACAATGTCCTGCAGCTCCTTCTTCTCGGTGAGCAGGAACGGCGTCGGGATGCTGTGCGACTGTCCAACGTTGTTGATCAAGATGCCGACGTCCAGTCCCTGGATTAGCTTGGCCAGCGCCTCGTAGTCCTCGTCTCGATCGGCGGTGAAGTCCATGGCCAGGATCTTGGTCTGGAGGCCGCTGAACTTGGATTCGAGCTCCTGTGCGAGCGTCTGGAGCTTGGATTGCGTTCGGGAGACGAGGACGAGGTTGAAGCCCTTGGCGGCGAGCTGGGTAGCGAACTCCTTGCCGAGTCCGTCCGAGGCGCCAGTCACGACGGCCCAGGTGCCCTTCTTGCCATACTTTCGCAACTGGAGGACAAGTGCTGTTAGCAGGGTATCACTCAAGCAATAGGTCTCACGGATGAAAAGGAGAAGCAGAAAGCAGACTCACGTTGGTGCCGCTCAGCACAAAGACGCTCAGGAGGAACTGCAGGTAGCCGAGGACCTTGGTGCCCACGTACAGCGCACCGATACCAGCAAAAGCCCACTGCACTGGCTGTGGCACGTTCGCCACCAGCTCATTGAAAGAAGCCATGATTCAATTGCTCGGCACAGATCCCAGTTCAGATGAAGGGGCCGGTCGATAGCAGGTGAGCCGAGTGTTGAAGTTGAGAAAGTCCGCCAGCTGCGCATCCGCCAATTGGGGAAGCAAGTGCAAGATTGCGTCCGCGGGCCGCGCAAAAATGTCTGTGGAGCTAAAAGTTGCTTCCAACTTGCCTGCAGACCAGGGACCCCTCCAAACAAGCCAATGGCTGGCCGGCCAGGGGAGGCTTGAGAGCATGTGAACCCCTGAACTGCAGCAGGGGTACTTTTAAGCTCCTGGCGCTGGATCCAACTCCAGCCCGGCGAACGCGGAAGAGCTTCCTTGGATTCTGCCTGCACTGACGACTTCCTGCTGGCTGTCTAGTCGCAAATGCGTGTTTGGGACGACACAAAGACCAATTAATCTCTATTCTTGAGTCTTGATTCCACCCAACTGTCCATATCCCCCCTTGGACAACCACGCCGACATGGACGCCCTCAAGCAGTACCTGCCGCCCGGCGACGGCTACCTCCCCTACTACATGTTCATCGTGAGTCCTTCCGAAGTCGAGACCGTCTACCACCCACCAACTGACACGCCGCGCAGACCTCCGTGATCGCAGTAGGCAACTCGCTGCAGAACTACCTGACGCTGCACTTCTCGCGCCGCTTCTACAACGGCCAGTTCGTCCCGAACCCCTCGCTGGGGCCCAAGACCGCCGCCTTCAACCCGGAGGACTCGACCCAGAAGCTGATCCCCGCCACGCCGGCCAACGCGCCCAAGACCGCCCAGACGACGGACCAGGTCACGCCGCTCGCCGCCCGCCTCTTCGCCACCTACACGCTCATCTCGGCCATCATCCGCCTGTACGCCAGCCACCACCTCGACATCGAGCCCGTCTACATGTTGGCCGTGTGGACGTACGTGGTCGCCCTCGGCCACTTTGTGAGCGAGGGCCTGGTCTACAAGACCTACTACCTCGGCGGCCCGCAGGTGCTGCCGCTCTTCTTCGCCACCACCGGTATCGTGTGGATGACGATGCAGAAGGGGTTCTACGTGCAGGCGTAGGGAATGGATTTTGGTTAGGGCCAACATCCAGTACGACAACTTGTGTTGTTCAGGGTAACAGATGGCTGTTCGGCAAACGAGGACCTTGGGAGCCAACTCGTGCGGTCGATATGTGTAGAATCAAACCCAGCCTAATTAATGATAATGGTTTTGCAAGAAGTTGTGAGCTTGGGGGCTCACAGCTGAGCAGTCGTGGTCCCATCTCTGTCTTTTGTATCTACTAGTCTTCTTCCCGATATATGCATACGGATTTGGGTTTCTCGACCGAGCAAGGCATAAAGCCTTCCTGGAACCCAAACAACGCCGAAATTGCCGCGGTAAGTGATGGTGGACCGAATTCTTCCTTTGACTGGCACAACTCGTGCCAACTTGCAGCATCGAAGCTAGCAGAATGCTCTTTTCCGAAGCCGGGTCACCTTCATTTACCGTATACATGGACATTAAAAGTAACTTGGTGTAATTAATAAAAAGAAAACGGTTAGCTACCAGAGGAAGTTTCGAGAAGCAATGATACGTCGCGGACATGTACGGCAACACACATCGCGCTGAAGTGCTTGAGAACTCGCCGTGTGCGTGGACTGTTGGGTAATCAGCATCAGAGTAGGGTACTCCCTATTGTTCCTACGGGGCGCTTTTCCATGCCATTCCAGATAGGGACAATGAGACCGATCTCTGGCTATTAGCCCAATAGTGAAAGCTCTAGCCGCCATGCATATTCCAACAGGTGCTCGTTCAATCAACAGAAGCTTGTTCAAACGGCTTGGTGGTGTAGTGGTAGCATGCTGAGATACGAGGACGCAGCACTCACGGGAGCCCTATGGGCTGGCAAAGGCCAGCTCGGCGGGCATCTGTGCCGGTGTCATTCATCAAAAGTTGAGTATCCAGAGACGCAAGTTCGAATCTTGCCCCAGTCAAAAAGCCTTCTTTTTTTGGCTTGTTATTATTGTTCTTTTGGTTTCCTTTCGCTTTTCCTTCTATAATTTTTTTCGTGCGCCAAAAATCCATCCTGAGGGGCTTACTTACTCACTTACTTCCTTACCATTGTGCACACCCTGTTGTAACATGCCTCGCCTCTCGATTCAATCGCCACATCATGCATGTACACGTATCGAAGGCGGCTTTAAGCCTGGAACATTTTGTCAGTTGTCCGATCCAGCATCGACATGGCTCCAACTACAAAGCGAATCTCCATGGCGTCGGGTCAGGTCATAGAGGAAAAACAATTACCATGGCGAGGAAGTTGCTGTCAATATTGAGACCGGGCCCAGTCTTCCGCGCTTCCCCCCTTCTCTGACCTTACTATTGACGTTCAAACCCTTCAGCTATCCTAATTACCGCCCAATCAAACGGCTGGGTGGTGTAGTGGTAACATAACGAGATAATAAGACGCACGCTAATGCTCAAGATTCGCGCAACTTCTTGTTTATGCTCGCAGCCAGGCTGATCGTTACAGATGATGGCGAGTGACTGCCTCCTCAAGCTTCTACGGCACTGGTCCCGGGTTGTTTACAGTTGCTGGTGGTGTGGCTCGCCGCTTGCTGAGTATCCGGAGTCGCAAGTTCACGCCTTGACCCCGTCAATAATTTTTTTCTCCCTTTTCTCCCTTTCCAACCTCTTTGGCCGATTGGCGATCGGCACGGTTCAGGCTGAACTCAGTGCAGGCGATCGTACGCTTGTCTGGGATCTTCCATGACAGGTCAGCTGTTGGTCTCGTGGCCACATGAATGGTGCGAGACGTTGGTTCAAAGGGGATATGTTTCTAGGTCCATGCTCTGTCAGTCACTATATTCGGTAATTGCTCGTCTCTTGTTACGGTCCTAGTGATGTAGTGAGTAGAATGTTGAACTATACAGATGCAAGCATGATTCCATCGCTCCCCGGAATCGATCACAGCAAATATAAACCATTCAGGCATGCTGGCTTTCTAAATGTTGTAGAGTGTCCACAATCGCAAGCTTGAGACTTATCTTGGCCAAGTGTTTTCGCTTTGTTACCATGACCATTGCCGCGCTCCCATTTGTCTTGAGCAGATGGCACAAGCCGTGACGGCGATAAGGTACGGTCACCTACCGCACTTACAAGGGTGCCATATGCAAGTACCCGAAGAGATCCTCATGTGTGCCATTTGAGGCATCTCACGCAACAGAGGCTGGGTGGTGTAATGGCAACATGCTGAGGTACGATGACACAAGTCTGATCGTGCCGTGATTGGCCACCTGTCTTATGCGGCTTCTTTGCAACCCACGGCGGTCGCATCTTGCCACAGGAAATCATTGTTCGCTTTCAGGTAATGTTGAGTATACAGAGCTGCAAGTTCAAGTCTTGCCCCGGCTACGAGAAGTCTACTTTTTGAACCTTATTACTTCCCATCTAGCGAGACCATCAATGAGACGCATAACTGTTTCACTGAATAGAAGTCTTCAATTAATGTCTCTAAGCACTCCTCACCCAAGCACCGCGCTCAAATCACACCAGCCGCCCTTTTACACGATCTACAAGTTCTTTCTGTACAGCTCGCCCCCGCAATCCCTCAGCTTCGCCGCCGCCTGCTCAGGAGTGATATCCCTCTGAGGCTCAGCCATCAGCTCGTATCCGACCAAGAACTTCTTGACCGTCGCCGACCTCAACAGGGGCGGGTAGAAGTGCATGTGGAGGTAGCTGTTCTCGATCTCCTCCGCAGTTCCCTCGAGCGGCGCCTGGTGGATGCCCGAGCTGTAGGGGAAGTTTGTCTCGAACAGGTTGTCGTATCGTCTGGTGACCTCCTGGATCGCCTCGGCGAACTGCAGGCGCTCGGCCGCGGTCAAGTCGACCAGGGCGCGCGCGTGGCGCTTGGCGATGATCATGACCTCGAAAGGCCAGACCGCCCACCAGGGGCAGACCACCAGGAAGCCGTCGTTCTGCCAGACGATGCGCTCCTTCTTCTCCATCTCCAGCTTGACGTAGTCGGCGAGCAGATGGCGCCCGCCGTGCTCGGCTCGGTACTTGCCCATCTGCACGGTCTCGGCAGCCGGCTCCTCGGGGAGCGTGCTGGTCGTCCAGACCTGGCAGTGCGGGTGCGGGTTCGAGCAGCCCATGGCGGCGCCCTTGTTCTCGAAGATCTGCATGTACCGCAATTGCTCCTTGGGCAAGGGTGCCACGCTCTCGGGCTTGGCCTCGCGGGACATGAGGTCGAGCTTAGCCGCCACAGCAGATAGTGGGTTGTTGGGAGACAGGTGCGCGGCGTATATTCGGGTCCAGGTTTCGATGATGGGAACCGTTTCAGCGGCGGACATGTCGGCGAGGGTCAGGTGGTGCTTCGGCGAGAAGGTGAGGACGTAGCATTTGCCCTTGACGCCCTCGGCGCGCAGAAGTAGAGAGGCCAGGTCTGTTTCGGTCAGCATCTAGGGCATATAAGGGGGTTGTAGGGGCGTCGCGAACCATCGCTTGAAGCTTCTGCTTGGTAGTCTGCCTGCTCCTCCTTCACGGCGCTGTAGTCGTTGACAAAGACGAAGGTCTCGCTGTAGTCGGGATTGACCTCGCCACCTGCTCTCGAGTTCCGCGGGCACAGGTAACACTGCCTTGGTCAGCAATTGATGTGTTGCTTGCTGGTATGCTGGGACAGCTTGCCTTGGGATCATATTCAGGTAGGTCAACGACGCCCGGCCCCTCCTGCGCGCCTCTGGAAGCTGTGTCAGTGACACGGCCATGAAGAAGACAAGCCTGCGACCACTTACTGCCAGGGGCGCTTTGTCCTGTGAGGAGACACCAACAACCACGACCCCCTCAGAGGGTTGTAGCGGCGATGGGAGATGTCATCGAGCACCTTGTCCGGCATCTTGGTCGGCGGGTTCTTTTGTCTTTAAGATCAAGCGTTCACAAGAAGCGAGGACAAGTAGGTATAGGGCCAGAAGTTCCGGGGCAAGAGACAACTATGGAGGGGAAGAATACTGCAAATATTTACCGCGATACGACCCCCGTCGTACCAACATTGTATCCACATCCCCCGAGGCGGGCCGGAAATCGACGGCGGGGTATTCATCACATGGAGGGGTGAACTGCACCGAATCCCACCCGTCGTAAAAGCTAAGCTAGCGGCCACTGGGAAAAAAAGACCCACTGGACGCCGCTGAGACGTTACCTTGGCTTGGGTGAGATCTCGAGTTTCGCGCTTATTTCCCGCAGCTATCCAATGACGTACCATAGCAGATTAGTTCGCGTGCAGCACTAGGGAGATGGCGCGCTCCGGGGCAGGGGGCCTGGGGTTCGGGGGGCGCCTGGGCGCTTCCCTGGGCGGTCCAGAAGCCTTCCTGATGGGGGTCTCCGATGCAATGATCTGCATAAGTCTGAAGTATATATCTCTACTTGGTGTATTCAGGTCACGTAGGATTGAATTACTGCACTCGAGCAGCAAGTCTGTCACACACTCCAAGATAATTCACAGGGGGCCAAATCGCAAGAAATTTTCATCGGTTCACGCCCGTTTCCTAGGTGACTATAGTGTCTCCTAGCTGTAGTCAATCAACCTTGCTCAATTTAGGTGCCTACCTCACATAAAGTAAACGTCTAACTAGGCAGCTCGAATCAATCCGTACTTCGGTTCCAAGGCGCTGCATGGTCACACAATCAGATAACCGAAGGTTGACAGCTACTATTTGCAACAGCTGCGTACGCCATGACGACAGTGGGGCTTTCACAAGAGGATGTGCGTCGTATCGTACTTGAGAAGGAGAATTGCTCTTTAAGCAGGATGGAATTTCGGCTTGTTAGATTCACAGATTAGACAGAAGAGCTTGGCCACCATTTAATCTTGTTCGTAACATAAAACCGTGTTGACCATGCCACAACTGGCACAGTTACACCGGGCGGACCCCAGAGTTTCGGAGGCATTAACACCCATTTGAATTTTATATTGCCAAATGACATCCACCAAAGAGACGAACAATGCTCGATACGTGAACAGGGCCCACGTGAACTTTGGGCAAATTTGCGTTTCCAGGAGAGAAAGCTGCTCTGAATTCCGTCGGGCTTGCAGAGTCCAATTCTTGTACCATTAAGGTTTCCAGACCAAGTGTTCCGCCTGACAAGTTTGATCGCTGTTGCATCCTACATGTGCGAGCAACTGCTACATACTATGATAAGTTGGTATCTCGCACAGTCAACTCCTTATAAGTCATTGAGGCAACGACAAGCATAGCTTATTCAGTTTAGAAAGCGATATTGCTTTGATCTGTCTTCTGCAGAATACGCCCATAGCCTCACCCATTCATATATAGAGACACCACAGCTATCGCGAATTAGAGCTAGTTTCCAGAATTAGAGTTGATACCTCTCTAAATTGTTCGTTCTCACCATGTACCTGTCGTGAGACTCCTCGGTTCTCCAATCCAAGATCGTACAAGTATATTAGATAGAACAGTTAGTAAACTTGGTCTTTGAATATTACCGAAGCTCCTTTCTTCCGCATCGTGATTTCAGAACAGTGTACTTGATGCTTTTCCCTGATCAGCGAAATACCGAGCAGTGAAAATATTTGAAAAGTCGTTTCGATTCTTTGAGGCGGTATCCACCCGAAGCTTATATCACAACTTTATTCTATACTGTGAATCTCCGTAGGCTTTTCTATCAAGGTTTGCAAAACCACCTCACCCGATCGGAGAAAGACAAGAAATTGATTTTGCTTGCTCATGTTCTGTATAAATGGCCCTTGGCTTCCCAATGCCCTTCCGTCTCTGCACCAAACCCAGCTCCCCGTCAACACGATTGTCTGATACCAAGGACCAGAACTCAGCCTAATACTCTGAAGCCCAACCCTTCTTCCTCACTTAAGACTTTCGTAGGATAATCGTTGGACTTTCGGCACCCGCTTCGAGCCACGATGCCGAACTGGACTGCCCGTCTCCCCTTCCGTCGCGGAACCAACACTGCCTATCAAGCCAGTATGGCTGATTCTTGTGACCCCACAGAGTCATGCTTCCCTCAGAACACGCCCAGCTCTGCTGCTGCTGGGCCTTCGATCCTCAAGAAGGGCTCTAAGATTAGCATCCCCCAGATCATCATCACTCTTGACCCTTCGGATGAAAACGATGGACATTGCAAATCCAAGTTTATCGATATCATTCCGGCCACAGAGCGCCCCATGTACATTGTCACCTACAACGGTGGAGAGTATCACCGCATCCGGCCTACCCCGATTCAGAGTCAGGATCCCTTCATCCACGCCAGTCCTAACAAGCGACTTGCTGCATCCATCGAGTCGGGGTCTCTCAAAACAGGTATCTGCCGCATTTCGGAATGCGAGTACTGTAACCTGTGTGATCGCTTCAACATCGACGCCTTTGCTGAACAGAAGGCGCTGCTCGGCGAAAGCAACCTCTGGAACGACTGGGACCCTTACTTCCACTGGATCATGAACGAACAAATCCCACACTTTGGCGACGACAACCTGGGGTCTGGTAGCAAGAAGACTGGTCCGTGCTGGATCAGTGACTGCGAAACTTGCTCAGCCGAAGATCGCGAAACCCTATCCAACGAAGAGTGCAATTGTAGTCGTAACAAGAAGAGTTTGACTATCAAGTGCATATGCCGCCATCGGCAACCATATCATGGGTGCAGGGCCGTCACGAAAGGGGTCCGTAAAGTCCCAGCATTTCCATCCCGCCTTTGCACTATTCCGGCCAACCGCCCCAACGGTAAATGCACTCACTGCAAGGAGATGAATTATCTATTGTCTAGTCTACACAAAGGAGGCCACAGTATCACGGATTTCACAGACATGGAGAAGTTTCATAACCATATTTTACTCCGCCGACTTGCATTTGCTCTCAGCCCTAAGGCAGCCCGGCCTTCAGACGTGGGGCCGCTGACTTTCAACCACGTCTTCGGGGTTGTGACCTTCGACCTCCCGTCGCCGGTTCCCAAGAGTGTTGTCTTTTCCATCGACTACGACGCTCGCATCTATCACAGAAAATCCCAATGGAAGCCAGCTAGGGATCCCTCGCCTTACCCACGTATGGCCAAGGCCGTTGACGAACGCGGCGATGGCATGAGAGGCCGTTCAGTCACATTCAAGCTTCTACCTCAACTCAGCGATGAGGAGCAACGTGGGCGAGCCTCAACCCGCACCGCTGTGCGATCACGAAAGGCGACACCGCACCCAAAAGTGGCCCGGGGAGGACTTATACCGCGCCCAATGCTCCGCGACGAGCCTCTCGGAAGGCCGTCATTCCTCAAACGTCGCTCAAGCTGTCCAGGGCCGTTTCCGAAGAAACCAAGACCCACCACAGGATACCTTGAGCTCACCGTAGCTGGGTCTTCAACAATACCCCATACACACTCCAGCCCGCCTACGCCCGGTTTCACCTATATTCCAAAGGATACGGCTTCTACAATAACTAGGTCTCCGCCAACACCTGGCTTCACCTTTATCTCCAATGATGGGTCTATCAGGGAGACCGCAGCTTTCAGCAGCCTCGCAGAATGGGACGGCCAGGACTACGATAACTCGCACGGCCAAGATCAGGGACAGGCGAGCACTAATACCGATGATCTCCCTGAGGTGCCTGAGCCCTCGTTCTTCAAGAAATGCTTGATCCTCTTGCAGGTGATAGACAACCCAATGGTCTGCAAGGGCTGCGAGCTTGACATCCACGCATGTGAGTGTTCACAATGAGAACACGATGGAAAAAGATGTGGACGACATCCAAGTTGGAACACTCGGGTTGGGTGTTGGAAACAAAGCGAGGTTTGAATCGGGCTATGACTTATTGGGGACTCAATGCTGGCGACGTATGCCTTGGTATACCAGCCATGCTTTTGCTGCACCAACATATTACTCCAGCGTGCGTGGTGAGAATGAACTGTAATTACTTTGCTTCTGAGTAGAAAATACGAAACTTTGAAATAATTGTTGCATGGTCTTTTTGAATTGATTACATGATGTTGAACGGCAAACATTTATCTCAAACCACAATATATTGAGGAAGTATCACCATAACACTGTCTCCTTTATCAATGGCTTCAAGGGAATTTCGCCACAAGGCCGACTCTAACAGGCGCCACGAGCTCAACCTTGGACTCCCTCTTCTCCATCGACTCAGCACCAACTTTAGGCATGCCCATAGCCCTCGCGAACATAAGCTTCGCGGGAGAGTAGGTCGAGGTACAGCTTGCTGATGACGCGCATGTGCGTCCGTTGGGGCAGGTGGCGAAGTATCCGCCGGTAAGGCAAAACTGACCACCCGGGCAGTCCGAGTCACGGTCACAGGTTTGCCCGCACGCCAAGGCGTCGTCACAGACCGAGTTGCCAGAGACCGACGAATCGCAGTAGCAGTTAGCGCTGCAGCCTCCGGCACCAGGGTTCGTAAAGTCTGAACCGGGCTGGCAAGTAGGGTATCTAAAGTTACCAGTCAATTCGGTATGTTCTAGCGTGTTCGTTTGAATAGCAAATTTATCTGGGAATAAAATGTCTTTGGACTTACGAATAGAATGTGGTGACTGTCGCTGTTGATGTACGGGTGACCGTGGTTGTGGTGGTCGAAGTTGAAGTAGTTAGCGCGACATCAGTTGTGATAATAACATCCGTGGATTGAATGACAGACGTCACAACTGGGGTGGTTGTACTATTGGGTCAAATAATTAGCAAGTCTTAGGCTCATCCTCGAGTAAGAAATTAACCTACACAGTCTCAGACGCCGTGGCGCTGCTGGTCGACGTAGCCGTGACGGTAGACGTAGCCAGCGGTGTGCTCGATATGGTAGATGTCTGGGGGGTTTCGATGCAGGTGCAGACCTCCCCAATGATGGAGCTGGCGTAGGATAGGAGGCTGCTCAACTGGGACTCCTCGGGCTTGGGAGGTATGTGGCTGTATGTAGCACTAGAGCTTGCTACTGTTGTGCTGGACCCGCTCGCCGTGCTTGACTCACTCGTCGTGCTAAACTCGCTCGACGAGGGATACACGCTCGATGAAGACGACGCGCTCGACGAGGGGTACACGCTCGAGCACTTCTTCTTGGAAGGTGTTACGCTGGGTGCCACACCCGTTGTCCGCTTTTGTCTAAGGCCATCACGTTTCCCGAACTGGTTGATAGTTGTCGTCGTAGTGGTCGTGGTCGTCGTGAATACAGTAGAAGTTGCAATCTCGTTCTCAGTAATAGTTGACGAGACGACCGATGTCGTGGTGGCCACATCGGTGGTCAACTCAGTTGTGGCATCGGCAGTCGCACTTGAGCAAAAAAGATAACGGATCAGCATATCTTTTTTTAAACATTTTTAGCAGAAGATCATTATGGAATCCTCACGTCAGGGTATCTGTTGTGACAGTTGTAATGGGCGACTCTGTGGCTACTGTGGTGAGAACAGTAGATGTAGGCGCTGTATAAGTTGTGGTTACGGGCTCCAAAGGGTAATTCGACGAGCAGTAAGAGAGAATCAGAGAGTTGTTTGCTACCGGGTACGCAAGTTGAGCTGGGAGACCGGAGCACAATTTCTGTGTGCCGGGACTCTGCGGTCCGACAGCTATAGCCGACGCGACGGATAAGCCGAAAAGCAAAGCGGTCATTGACGAAGCCATTGTAGGAAATTAACGAAAGACTGGGCTCTCAACGATGTCCGAAATGTAAACACGTGAAGCAAGCGAACAGTATCCCTTACCTAAAGAGCGAGTTCTACTTCATACGTACATTCCGCGGGTATATAAATCCACGCAAAGGGGCGGTACTTTTTCCCAAGCAAGGCTGAAAACGCTCAGTGTGGAATAGCTAGGCTGCGATCGTCGCCGAAACAATTTGGTGGCTTGAAGACTTGAGGCCTGCTAGGCCGAATCGATACTAAGACTGGGGTAATCCCCGATTCAGGAGAACTGCCACCGGTTTTGTTTGGCGCCTCGATCCAGCGATCTGACTAAATATCAATAGACTTCCTCGGCGGCTCTTAGCTGAGGCGCTACTTCAAATAACAAGAGGAGTCAACTCCGAACGGACTTATCGTTTATCTTTTTCATACACAGACTGAGAGATATGAAGAAAAGCGCCGCGCTATAATCTGGAGAAAGGCCCGTGCAGCGGCACTGGTGCTGTTGACACGGATGGATGTGGGGCATTATCTCTTTTTCTCTCGGAGTGTCACGCCCGGGACACTCAAGATAGAATGCTGTCATGAATGTCCTCAAACACTGACGCCGAAATCCAGATGCGCGGCAGAGTCACTGTAACCAGATATCAGCACGTCGACAATTGGTAGACCCAGGCGAATATATCATGAGGTACACGGCTGTTACTCTGACACATCTCTACCGCGGACTGATATACACCAAGCTCTGTAGCATGCTCCAAGTACGCGATAGCTCGCTTCGTCTCTAGTGTATAAGTACAGGCGCGCCGCGGTAGACACTGGAGGGCCATAACGGCTATGTTACCTCAGAGGCGTTCTCGCTCGACGGCGAGATGGTGGCATCGGAGTGGCACAAAGAGACGTTGCTGTTTCGGGACATCGTGACGATCGCGGCGTTGCAGATCCGCGAAGCCTAAGGCGGTTTCATTTGGTCAGTCGGCTGCTCGCCAGACGGCCGCAGTAGCGCCAGATCCACGCGACAAGGCACCACGGCTCCGTCATGCTGTTACGAGCGAGCTGCTGCAGACACTGGAGATCTGGCTGTCACATACACATCAAAATTCAATGCATATACATTGATCCAAATCGGTGATAGCAAGATCCCACAAATCACAGTAACGATGCCTCTTGATGAGCCTCCACGCTAAACCTACCTGAAGTCGAACAGGTATCAGATCTCTGCGCCTTGATTAGTGGCGAAAGCCATGTAAAATTGGGCTTTCGTGTATTCGATACACGCAATACCCAACGGCGGTTTGCCGCAGCCAGTCTACTCAAACTTTGGTATCTTTGGGCGAGGTCCTGTTGGAGTCCGTCGTGCAACGCCAACCCAATGGTTGCATTTTTATGGTGGATAGTTGCATAGTCAAGCTGACTATAGACTGACTCGTACGAGATTTATAAGGGCTACTACGTACTACATGCAGAATTATCTAGTCCCTAACCCAGTTAATCCAAGGACGAGCTTTTAGTATCCTTTTGATACGTGGATCATGGGGTCATAAAGTGATGTGTAGATAGCTGCTCCAGACAATTCTGCGGGGGAGCAGAATTGGCCTTAAGTGGCTTATCTCTATTCTTATCTTATGAGAAGCTATCTTGATGCGCCTAGGGGCGCACGCATCACCTTTATTGAAAGAGCATCGAGCCCCCGTTGCAGGTGCTGACGTCTAGAGCTTTTACGAAGTTGGAGTGCATCAAGCTCGCCCTGCTCACTACCCTCGCATAAGGTAGACTGCCTTGCATGTAAGGCAACGCCGCCGACGTGCGCCTTGCATTGCAAGGCGTGGCCGAGTGCCGCCTGGACAAGTTCGTATAATACAAAAGCGACTTAACCCCAGACAAAATTGTTGATCTTCAAATCATATTTTGCGGACCTCAAAGAAATTATTTTTGCATTGCTACTTTCGCTATTGTCAATATCCTAACGATGAACGTTGGTCAATCACGCCAGCAAGACTATGATTGCTCAGAGGATCTCCTTGGTGAGGATATATGCAACCCCGCAGCGGTGAATAGAAAGCGTGCACAACCGTGCGATTCCAGTTGAATCACATCGCTGTCGCTATCTCCGCCTCCACCGCTGCTTGTGAATGCGAAGGTGGAGATAGCGATGGTGATGTGATTTGACTGGCGTCACGGTTGCGCACGACATAAGTATGACACCCCTTCCTCGCCGAGAGGATGTGTCCCTAATGCATCTGCAGACTTCCCATCCTTATCATTCTGGTCTGGGCTTAATGAAATTGATTGTTTTCACGTCGACCAGGGCGGTCTAAATGCTGACGCTGGCGCGAATGCATTTCAACCATGGAGTGTGTTCACAACTACGAACCCGGTAACTGAACCAAGGCAGGGCGACTTCCTGTATCATCCGGTGAACGATGTCGGTACCCTTGAGGTGCAAATCAGGTATGTGTCGACACGCCAACGGCATATCTAAGAAGCCTAAACCTAATGAGTCCTTGCTCTGCGGCCACCAGCAACATCAACACAACCAAAGCGGAAGGAACACGTCAAAGCGAATGCTCCAAATGTGATGCTGCCTTCCGATCACAGAGCGATTTGGAGCGCCACGTATCCAGTGTCCATCACAAACTCGTCCGCTTTTTCTGCCCTGAGCCTGGATGCAAGCGCGCTTCGGAGGGATTCACAAGAAAGGACCACCTTGTGGCACATCGCCGGAGAAAGCATCAAAACTCGGATGAATATGTGGCGTCGAGAAAGGCAGAAAGCTCTGGAACCAGAACATGTGGCACTCCACCAGGGGAATCTTTAGTAGAGTATTCCAAAGATGCATTGATTGGAATGATATTGGAAGAACGGCGTATGAGACACAAGGTTGAAGAAGAATTGAGTCAGCTCAAGGCGCACTACCAGCAGCGGAAGGATATGTTGATCAAGATATTGAGGGAAGCGGGACCAACTATCAGCGTGGATGAGGATGAGGGATAGCCTGAGTCGCTTTCCACCGCAAAACTCATTGAGCCCTTCAACCAAGAGTTGCAGGTATCAAACGACGAAAGCCTTGTATGCTATAATTGAACGCATTTTTTAGGTTCAAACTTGACTAGGATCTTCGTTTCTATATTAAAGCCCAAGAATCAAGGGCTAGCACTCTGTTTCATATTATTCTAAACGATCGGTAGTCTCTGTATAATTCTAGAAGCTGGCCCTGCATCAGGCAGGAGACGTAGGCTCCACAAATGATACTGAAATGATCGTCTAGACGCCCAAACTTTCCACCACGCATAATGAGGGGCATACTGGCTCCGAACATAACTGTCACCAAGTCAGAAGGCTCTGTCTGAAGCGTCACACCATATGCCACTCCGATGAACCCCAGGGAAGTTAAGAAGAACGTCGATTTTGGAGATGCGATACAATGCTGCGCATATCGTTGAAAGGTGGGTTCTGGCTCTGTTGAATGCTTTTCTCGTCCTATCCGCCGAACCTTGGGCTTGGTTCCAGATATGTATCCGCCCAGACTGAAAATACCAACTTTTGATCCTTTGAGCTTATACCTTTCCGTATAATTCCAGTCGGTGGAGTCTTGCTTTCGAAACATTTTCGAGATCGCATTGTGGCTTCGAGCAGATCTTGAGACGATATCTGTCGTGAGATGCTGCATCTCAAGCGCGAGAAAATTGAGCCGCTCCTGCTCGTTCGCGAACTGTTCCAGGTCTATTGTGCTGGAGTCTGGTGGCTCTAGTTGGAAGCCTCCACCTACTTCAATGGTAGGGTTCTTGCCCTTGAAGAACTCGATCCTCATGATGATCTTGTCGAAATTCAATCCCCTGCAGATCATATACTGGTCTTCAAATTTGACCCACAGATCTCCGTCAAAAGTTGCGCATGGCTTGTTACCAGAAAACTCCATGCAAAGATCCAAAGCACTTACCCAGGTAGTGTCTGGCTCGTGGAAATTGAGAGACCACCTGGGCAACTCTTTTGGTTTCGCCCAGTTGCCACGCAGGTACACATCAAGTGAGCGTTCCGTCTCGATTATATGCCTTGTGACTTTCGTGTTCAGCTCCTGCATGTTTATCGAGTAGTCAACCATTATCGGGTTCCTCGCCATGGCCAACAGCCCGTAGATCTTGTCCAGAGGTTCAGTTGCTTTACGGTTTGTCGATCTCTGGATCAATTCGCTGAGCAATAGGCCCTTGCGATGTTCTTGCACGTTCCATGCGTACCTTAAGTCGTCCAGTGCCGCAATAGACTGGTTAGCAAAATGAGGTAATCGTGCACTTCGCGCAAGTAGGGTGAGATCATTCCATGCGAACAGATGAGGACCAATAAGCACCCGTATATCTCGAGCGAGAACAGCTTCCTGTACAGTCCAAAGCCTGTACCACCATTGAGATTGCTGCGGAAATGTGTCGTGAAGCCAAGTTCCCGCACCGAGCTCGGACGGCGTACGTATCAACTCGTGGTTATGCTTCTGACACTGCTCGATCTCGCAGTCCTGCCTGGCGTTCGTACTGCTCCGACAGGGACCAAGATAGATATAGACATGCTTGGCAAAAGAATATATCTGATCCATGAGCTCGATCTGGCTGCCCCTCTCTTGGTTGACAGATTGGTTGATGCAAATGGCATCAATCCATACATGTCTTCGCTCTCCCAATGCACGTATGCGGCGTAGTACGTGATATGCGTTTTCACTGACGATGAAACCGTAGACTCCGTTGACCGTGATGACTTTGGGGGTCTGCAGGTCTCCCCAAGCATACGACACAGCAACATATCTCGACTTGCTGTTGAGCGTCCTTGTCAACAGAGTACATTTAATAGGGTCGTCGAAGTTGCCGGGGTGGATTGACAAAAGTCTGATGCAACGCCCAGCAAGAGGCGTCCAGTATCCATCAATGTCTTTGCCATAGAACCAGCTGTTGTGAAGCCGTATTTTATTGACAATTGTTCCTTGGTCAGCGGGGACGTTCCCGGATTGCGTGGTTAGATGTTGGGTCTCAGCATTAAACAGCGCTCGGAGAGATGGGTTCGCGTAAATGTCTCCCTTAATCCTCAAGGTGCGATTTTGCAGCCACCCACAGAATAGTACGGCAATGGGTCCCAGAGCCAGCACGGATACCAGGAAAGACTGCCATATGACAGAGAAATAAACCAGCGCGAGGTTCGAGTGCGTATCGGAACTCTTACTGCTCCAATTAACACTTGAGCGCGGGAGAGCCTCTGACCGGGCGCCTAGCGCCATCTCTGGCCCAATGGTAGGTCTGTGGGCAATGCATGAGGCCTTGGTGACGAGCGCCTCCAATCGGCGTGGTAAGTTGGCAGCAAATTTCTTTTCCGGCGGTCGGCACGCAGGTTGGAACTTGGAAAAGTGCGGAATCTCCTTGCTTACTGCTTACTAAATTCTCAGCCTCAGTACTGTTAGCTATGGACTGGCTGATGCAGGTGGTTGCTGTGGTGGGGTACGAGAGGTGAGGGGTGGTCCACCCCCATGTATACCATAAATAGCAAACGCCACAGCATTGGAGGCGGCTCTCCTTTTCTTTCCTCTCCAGCTTTAGGTCGTCGCAAAACCATATTGGCGTAGCATAAAACCCTACCGCGAGAGATGGTGAACATCAGAGCTATCTCTCAATTGCATCCTCGGTACAGTGGTACCAACGATTCGGAGCAGGATGTCAAGCAAACCAGCGCAGGCTCCACCCCACTGCAGGGCCCTCTGTTTTCGGGTGTCAGCTTTCGCCGAGGGGGCGGTTGGCGATATACTATATATCGACAATTGGGTTTTCACACTGAACCATTCTAGAGCTTCCATCCGGTCAAAGCTTGTGGTCATAACAAGTTACAATTCTCTCGAGTGATCAAGTACACTGGTTAATAATGACGCCTATACCAAGATTCCTTACTAGCCTTAACTCTTTCTAAGAACTCTTCTAGCCAAGTCTCACTATATACTACTCAATTATATGCTATTCCCCTGCATAAACAGTCCATCTAACCAAGTCCCACCAAATTCCCTTTTCCGCTACATATGTATATGCAATTATAAGGTAAGTTTGGCAGCCCGATCCACGAAAGGGAAAGCAAAACGGCTAATTTCGAAACTCTCGTCCCTATTATTCGCTGAGATGACTATAGGCACTCATGTTCAGTCTGCCTAGGGGGCGCCTAGTTTCTTGCTCGCCAAATCTTGCAGCTGGGGCTCCCTGAGGCTTAGCTCTTTGGACCAAGGCAAAATGGCGTCCAGTACGTTGCAGATCTTTTCCGATATCCTCACCACGCTGGCCGTATTGTTGTGAGAAGTACTGGCTTTGACCCGTTTTCACCAGCCCGTCTTGTTCAAGGCGACCCAGAGCCCCGCCCACAAAGTTTTGGCAGTTGGTTCCATGGCTGACGCGGGGGATGTTTCTATCGTCGCTGGCGTAGCTTCTGATTGATGCCTCTACCCTGGCCGCTTCGCCTGAGGAGAGCCTTCCAACTACAGAGCTTCCATACAAGGATGGGGACTGAAAGACTTGTGGTTTCTCATCATAATAAAAACGGTCTTGGTCTTTTTGAACATCGCTCCGGACATGGTAAATAGTCCCATCATTTGCTCCCTTGGCGCGCATATATGCGGCCCAGTGCCCGTTCTCGGGACTGTACAAGTTGACGGATAGCTCGCGGTCTCTTGTGCTGCCACCGGCAGATTTCGTGCTGTCGCCGCTGCCCGATCGCGATGGGGCTGACGGCATGATGAACGTAATAGTATAATTGAACACACGCGAAAGGTATTAGCCTTGCTGGAGCAGGGAAGAATTGATGGCAGTTGCGGGAATTAATAGGGAAATATAATACAAAAGCTCTACAGTTCGAAGCGACTGGTGTTATATAGGTAGAAAACTCATATACTACAGATATTCTTGGAATCTTTCTGTTGGAAATCTCTTTCTGGTCGCCTCAAAAAAAGCCTGAAGGGCCTGGTTGCTGGCCGTAGCCGCTGGGTACGCGCTCAACTTTATAAGCGTTGACCTTCCCTGAAACGCCATGCGCCCCATCCGTTTTCGCTATCACTTACGATTCGTCCGGTATTGGAATTTATTTTGATGATCTGGGCCATGATGACAGGCCATAGCTGCGAGGTTACGCGCCTACGGAAGAAAGGCGACAGACCCCACCCGAGCGCTTACCAAGTCAGCCAGCGCTGCCCGTCTTTCCCACATGCGCCGGTTTCGAAGACGCGACTCGACCACCCTCTGATTGGAGATCAGGCGCGAAGCGCTCTGTCTTTTAGCTAGGACGGCGCAGTTCACTATTCTCCCTATCTCATGTTGACGTATGCAAGCGCCAGCTGAGTTCATTTGCTAATGACTGCGCGCGGATTGGACTGACATCCCAGCAGCACTAGGGTAGTGCACCATGTAAAGAACGCACAGTCATGGAGCAATTTAGCACTGTCCCTTCTTTCAAGACCGGCGCTAGCCGGATTTGTAGATAGACAAGCTGATTTCCCAGGGAAATCAGTTAGTGGGATGCCTACTCCTTAATGCATCTTCTGCGCCCCTCGAGTTTGTTGTCAACTCCAGACTCTTTTAATCGTTCCTCGTTTGCGTCGCCTGCCCTTCATTAACTGCAGAAGACGTGCCGGATATCAAGAATGGTGCATCAACAACCAGCAACAGAGAATCCTAGCGGCCAAGATGAACAGGGCGGAAAACCTGTTTTGATAACCTCGAAGTTGCTTGGTCCTCCTCCTTACGTGCTAGACCCAGAAACGCTGGCCGACTCATTCAATCCATTCCCATGGATGAGCGGCAATTCATTTCGGCAAGTTGACGAGAATACGTTGGTCAAATACGGCGCTGGCGTTACTCTGGTCGAAGCAGAAGCCATGGACTTTGTCTCTCGCCAGACCAGCGTCAAATGTCCCCAAGTCCTCGGTGCCTATAAGCTCGGTGGCACTGCGCATATTCTCATGTCTTTCGAACGTGGAAAGTCATTGGAGGAATTCTGGCAAGACGCCGCGGAGAACGAGAAAGAGGCAGTGATTGGGCAGCTGCAGCACTACCTCAACGAAATGCGAGGCATCAAAGGCGACTATGTGGGTGGCTTCAATCGCAACTCTTGCGTGGCTGGCGAGTTTGAGTGGGACTTCGACAAGACGGATCACAAATATGGACCGTACGCAGATGAAGATGGATTTAATCATGGAATCGCAGAAGCTCTGTCACGAGCGAGCCCAAAACCCGATGTGGAGGATCCCGATTCCCCGGAGTATAATAGGATGTATACCACCCAGCAAATGGTGCACTCCCTTCGTGGCCACGACATAGTGTTCACACATGGTGACCTTCACACTGGGAATATAATCGTACAGGATGATTTAACTGTGGTAATTTTGGACTGGAATACGGCAGGTTTCTACCCCGCCTACTGGGAGTGGTATAAGGCTACCTGGCACGGCACGTTTACGCCGAGTTTCATACGACAGGTCGAGCGATATATCCCACCTTATTGGATAGAGGCCAATATTTTGAGCCAGATATATAATCTGATAGTTGGATGAGCATACATGACATGACCGGTGTCGGAACCACCCAGGCAGTAGCGCTAGTGAAGGCATTATAATTCAAAACGAGGCTGCTAGCTCCGATATCAATAGAGAGGGAAATGCAAATGCCGAACGGAAACCGGGCTTCATGTTGTGCTACCAAATCCAAACTTTCAGACAGGTTTATTCGTACACTGGCTATTAATAAGTGTCATCCATTACGGCTGGCATACGCTTTTTTAAAACCCGAGAGAGCCATTACGCGACTTCGTGGCTAGTGAACAGGTGGGGATGGTTCACGACCCGCAAACACACAGAAGCATGTTTCCTGCAGCCTGCTTAACCTCCAAGAGATCTCGCAGTCGCAACCAGCCCCTACTTGAGACACCATACAAAAATTACAGGACGAGAAGGAAAAGGCAATGTCCGCTCCAGCCGAAGACAAGCATGCCATCTCTGTCGTGCTCTGGGGCGGCGACAACCCAAACGACCCGTTGGCAGATCCAGCCGGCCACGTGGCGCTCGCCGTGCACGCTGACGTCTCGCAGCCCGCCATCTGCCATCTTCACCACGCAAGGTGCCCGAACCAGGTGCGATTCATATACGAGACGCGGCCGTCGCAGACCTTCGCCGCGGACCCGGCGCCGCGCGGCCGCTGCGAGCTGCGCGGGGGCTTAAGCGCCGGCGATGCCCGCGCCGCCAACGACGTCCTAGCCCGCTTCGGCGCCGACGAGACCCAGCTGCCGTTTTACGGCGAGGGCAACTGCCACAACTGGACAGTAGCCGCAATCGGGGCGCTAGAGGACGCCGGTCTCGCCCAACGGGGCGACGCCGCGGTCTGGGCTGCCCTCATCGGCAAGGGACCAAGGGCCATGCAGCGCAGCTGGGTCGACGGGAATCGGAGGCGGTGGGTGGATTGCGACGAGTTTGGCCAGGCTCGGTCTGGACCAGTGGATGCGAGATGGAGTGAAGGGAGCGAGGAGAAAGCAGTAGCTTCGGCAGTGACAAACGCTGATACCGGCAATCTCAAGGATCGTGTGGCTAAATTACAAAAGTTGCTGGGCGGTGAACATAGGTAAGCTGGAGTATGGGGTCGCGTTCGAATGTCCTTATTGCCGCACTGTGCAGGTCGCTCAGAATCGCGCAGAATGGAAGTCAGTTGCTCATAAACGATATGTGTCCATAATCATGTAAACTGATTATATGTATCAGGCGACATATCTTTGAGGACCTACAACCCTATGTTTGCACCTTCGAAAATTGTATTTCCACGACTTTTGATGCCCGCCATAAATGAATCCACCATGAAAAGTCAAGTCATATGTTTCGATGGCAATGAAGCCTGTGCAAGGGTACAGATACAATCTATCCCACTCAGGAGATCATGGAACAGCATCTTCAATCCTCACACAGGGTGTCGGCAACTCTTAACGAACTTCTATTACTCCTGGATTCGTGCAAATGTTATACCTCGCCACCTGAATCTACACGATGTCCTTTTTGCAATTGGCGGGGAGACTTATTCACGACGGCAAAGACGGCCAAATGGTACTTCCGACATGTCGCCAACCACCTTCACTCAGTCTCACTTGAGGCTTTACCACTCTATGTTGAAGGTCTAAAGATAGCAGGAAGTAACGAAAATAAATTGGCGGGGAGTAGTCCTGCTGATAGTGCCGAAGAAAATGACACTTATTCTACCTTTAGGAGTGGGTCTCGAACAGATCAAATGCCCACGGAGGAATTGGCTTTGGATCTAGAAGACGAGACAGTGGAGACAGATCGGCTGGAAAGGTCACTACATCCGAAAATACCGTCTCAGCCAGAATTGTCAACTAAAGAAGAATCATCCCAGGCCCAGGGAGAATCCGGACATAATGATGTTTGATACCTTACCAAGTAAACACAAGCCCTTGCTGATATTTTCCAGGGCAGAGATATTCATGAGATTGACAACTCGACTTTGAACCCTCGCCCAGTGGGTTCATCAAAATATCCACCCGGCGCACTCTGGCAATGTGTTAGTCTCTGGACCGTATCTTCTTGAGTATGGATCAGACTTACCAACTTTATTTAGTGTATTGCCTAGGGGCTTATATGTCGGTCCGATTACATGCCAGGTCCATAGAGTGTGGCAGACAGCAATGTGTATTCTGTCATGCAACATACCCTAAAGTAAGGCGCTAGATGGGAGACCCATGAAGGGTCCAATAGATTAGCAGCTGCCTCAAAGTTGACTGCTGCTATAGCCAAGACAAGCTAGAGTGTGTCAACTATGGAGCTCAGGCTCCGGCCTGGGCTCCCTTAGATTTCATGCTTTCTACACATCCTTTTCACCATCAATACATCGCAACAGCTTTAAAGGTGAACTGGCGTTATACGGCAATATTATAATAATGAACGCTTCCAAAGAAAAAAGTGAATAAGTAGGCTGGTTGAGATGGCAAGATTTTCTAAGGCGAGTTGGATCTTATTTTCCGTAGGGAGAGGGTGCGACTGAGGGAACCGGTCAGAATTCTGAATGGCATTTCAGATACCGTACTTATAGTCATCGCATGATTGAATCTTGACTAAACTTGTATTGATCTACACTGTTTCGTAATTTACGTTGCGCCAACCCCTCCCGGCTCCAGTGTTTTAGTATCTCTTGCCCACTAGAACAATTTAGCACTCTGTGTCTGAAGCCGAACTCTGTTCAGTGTCGTCAGTGGTACTCTCATTAGAGGAGTCGTGATCAGACTATATCCTCAATTAGTTTCGATCCCGCTTTCACAACGCGGACCTGGTGCTTACCTCGATTTGAAAAGGAAGCTCTGTGGAAAATGATACAGAATATCCCGGGCTATCTTTCAGCCTCTCACTTCGTCTACGCTTGGTAGGTGTGGAGACATTGTTGAAGAAGCGTGACCTCTTTTTGCTGCTTTGTCGTGGTTGAATTCTTGGTTCGCTTGCGGGCGTCACGGGTTCGGCGGTTGCAACAGGGGGTTTTGTGAGAAGAGCTTCATTCTCTAATGGGGGATACTCCCAGCCGACTCGGTAGTGGTTCCCAGCCAAAACGTGAATGAACCATAGCCCCAAATTCACTGTTAGACTCTTATAGTCTTCTGGGTTCCCACCGTTGTTGTTATCCCACGGGATAGACACATATTCCAAGAGCCCGTCCTTAATCAATTGCTGCCTTATGATTTGGTCACTGCTGGAACCTTCCGGGGAGAGGTCTGCCAATATTAGCATAAATAACGTGGGGATTTTCATTTGTCCCTAACCACCTAGGGGTACATCTTACTGTTGTTTGGCGCTCGAGGCCTTATACGAAATATGAAGGCTTCGCCAGTCGAGAGGATACAGCCATACCGACACCCAAAGTTGACACAGTAGGTGTAAACTTGTCGGATGGGCATCGCGTTGTTCTTTTTGGACATTCCTCTTCTCCATGTACCATCTTTATGCAACATCTTTTGGTTTATAGCATTTCTGCTATCCCATTTGGTATACGTCTTGTAATCCTTGGGAAGCATTTCTCCAGTAGTTGCCTCGTGCGATGGCCACGAAGACATGGCACCTCCGTCTGCACCTTTCAACCTTCGCGATACAGCGTTGCTGTTTGACTTTTTCCCCTTGGTTCCATTTCCCTTCTTAATATCCTTCTTCATTGGCCGTGGTATCCACATGCACGGGTGAAAGGTGTCCCTAACGGCATCCAAGGCTGGTGTGACGATCCCATGGTTCCATTTTGTCATGATATGTACAGTGGCAGGTTCACAGTCGACGACGCAATCAACATCAGGCACACAAAAGGGGTAATCCGGAAGGGGGGTGTCCTTTTCGCGAGCCTTCTCTATAAGTTGCCCCTCATAGACTGCTTGTAGTGTCTGAAAGCTGAACTCGGTCCACTCGATGAGTTGCTTGGGAACAAAATAGCTGTTCCGGCTTGTATTCTTTTTATCGGCTGGCTCTCGGTTGTCGATGTCCGGATTCTTAGCGGTCAGATACTCCAATATAGACTTTTGTATTGCTATGACGATGACGATTATTGGTTTCTATATTGTACGGTTAAATAGGACGCGGGGCACGATGCGACAAAGACGTTGAGGGCGTTTGTCAATTCCCTATTGCTGTCACTACACAATTTAAGTAGCTGGATTTCAGCACAGATAACACCCTCGAAAGACTACGTACGTAAGGCAGCCTCTTGATGCCCAGAACCAATACTGGGGGCCAGCAACACTTGGGGGCCGGCCCGGCCCCGTCGCGACCAACCGCAGTAGATGGCATCGTCCCGAATGGGGGCCCACTGCTGGAAACAGCAAATCGTATCATACGTTTCTGGTTTCGTGGACAACGAAGGCGGGTAAGGATGCACAATGGACAGCTGCCCCGCAGCGGCATGCATGCGTGGTTGGTCAAACGCCCCTTATCACAGCCCGTGACGAATGTGCGTGCATATGCGCCAGATCACGAACGCAAGACATGCATGCGCAAGCCGAAAAAGGAAAGCCGAGAATAGAATGGGGGGCCCATTAGAAGTCCAGCGGCAATCCCTCTTCACTGCTCTTTTTACCACTTTTCCTCCCCGATGGTGGGATAACAGCCGCACCTTTCTGATGACATTTCATAATGCCTAAGCAAGGACAGAGCCCCAAACATGTTAAACCATCAATCAACTTGTGCCCAGGCCCAAAGATACATGCCTTCAAACACCAAAGTTCACCAATTGAATGGCTGGAGAGAATTGACACTGGTCGTGAAGACCACTCGGGGGCCGAAGGTGTGGTGTTCAAAGTAAAGATCAAATCACAACTATACGCCTTGAAAGTGGTGAGCAGACTTCCCTGGATATGGCACTTGCTTTGGGTTATAAATTCACACGCAATCATAGTTCGACTTTTTTGACCCTTCGAAAGATCGCTACTTTTGGGGTCCGTTGCTCAGCGAATCCTTCCCTTTAGAAAAGATTGTCTACTATACGGATCCATTTTACGCAGAATGCCGCGCTTATGGGCGGATACACGAGGCCCAGCGTAAAAGAAAAATCGGCTCAACGATTGTCGTACCATGCCATGGATATTTATTCCTGGGTGACCGAGATAGGCGACAGCTTAAGAAAAAGGGCATTATCTTTAATAGCAAAATAATCGACAAAGATTTGCGCAAGGCAATTGGACAAGATACCCCCCTGCGCGCCATCGTCAAAGAGCTAGCACCTGAAGAATCAGGCATTGGCAAAGCAGGCCTGACAAAGGTGCTAATGGATATACGAAGTTTGAATAGTATCAAGATCTATAATCGAGACATAAGGGCCGAGAACTTCAGGGGACGGCGGCTGGTTGACTTTGGCAGAGCCTGGACCGAGCCACATTGCATATTAAATGCGCTGGATGACGCTGAGGCTAGGGATACTAAACTGGAGGACTTGGTCATGTTTGATGAAATGATTGAAGACGAGGGAGTTGGGACAAAGCTGAGGGCTATGCCAAATATGTTGTACTGCGAAAAGTTACGGTCATTCGCGAGTTAGCGACATGCCGGCTATGATGTTGCTGCGACTTGTCATGTACATACTGAATACATATGCAAATCTAGTACTGAAGTGTGGTCCGGGATTGACTGCGCTGAACGATTTGCCGAAGTGTTCTCTCCATGGCGCGCAATTGCTCGTGGGTGAGGCATATTGAAGCAAGGATCAAAAAAGCACCATCAGGCCACCTTGCAGGAGAAAGCTTGACGGGAAGGATGGGACCTCACCTGAACCATGATACTGGCTGCTTGTCAAACACCTCGCGGTCAGGATCGTATTGACAGCTGCTGCTTCACGGCTTTCGTTCGAGGGCATGGAGTCGAGTTGGAACCATGAGGGATATTACCCTTGATGGCGAGCGGGCGGTATCTGTCGCTGAACGCGCCCACCACCTAAGTGAACACCAACGCGAATTGTGTCTCTTACAGGCGATCATAGAAGAACATGACTTGATGAGGAACAAATTGTCTTGTTATTGTATGGTTCCAGGCTCACTTCATCTGGACACTTCACATGGTATTGTTGTGGTTGAATGAGATGCCTTCCAAGTCTGCTGCGTGTTAGTGCCCCAGGCTTTTAGTTGACGTCGGTCTTGATTAGCGCGGCCAAACACCAACCTTACCATTCAGCCATACCATACCCATGTCTCACCCCTGAAATTAGCCCTGGAGGTAGGTTAGCATCTGAAGCATGTGGAGCATAACTACAACGACCAGGCTGTCACCAAAAAGTTGGGGGCGCCTCGTTGGGGAGCTCTGATAAATCTGGGGTCGCCTTTTGCATCAGGACGAACAGGTCGCAACGGACACCAACGCCGACGCCGACGCCGACGAAACGCCTTGCCAACACGGCAATCGGAATGAGCTGCATTCACTTGTAGCTCTGACCAATGCAGGACCCTGAAAGAACCAACGGGTCTCGATTGAACCCCCTGCCCACGATGCCGTCCTCCGCCCACCTCCTCGGCGCATTCGTGCTGCTGGCCCGTCTGGCGACGGCGACAGTCCCGCATCACGAGAGCGCACTTCCGTCGTATCTCTACGGCGCTCCCATATCGGTCGAGTGCATGAACCGCAGCATGTAAGGCTTGACTCTCAGCGCCTCGCCCGCAGCCTCTGCCAGCCGCGCAAAATACTGACGAGATGCTGCCCCCGCGACAGAGAAACCGGCGAGCACATCCAGGACGCCCACGACGAGATCCAATGGATCCCGTTCCCCGTGTGCAGCGAGACCTCGAAGCCGCTCGAGTTCCACTACGGCGTCGAGGCCGAGGTGAACTGCACCATCCCCATGATCGACGACCCCTTCTTCCACCTGCTCGAGTTCTACATCCACAGCGACGCGCCGCTGGCCTGCCGCCTGCCCTCGCGCCCGCCCGCCCACGTCGAGGCCGTCGGCGAGAAGCCCCACAAGATGGAGTACGTCCCGCTCGTCTTCGCCCTGGCCGGCACCCTGCAGCTGAGCCATCTGCACATCAGCACGCACCTGAACGTGCTGCTGCACAGCACCCCGAAGCACCACATCCACCCGCACGACTCGGGTGTGCTCGACTCCGGCGCCGCCTACAGCACGAGCCCCCTGAGCCACATGGAGGGCAGCCAGACCAAGAGGCTGGTCATTGGGGACCCCTTACCCCTGAGCTTCAGCGTTCGGTGGTTCCCGACGCCGTCGCTGCCCAAGACCGAGGGCAAGGTCGAATGGCAGGGCATGGGCGGTCACATTTACGCGAGCACAATATTCTACGGCCTCGTGTCGTTCATCGCGGGAGCTCTGGCGAGCACAATGTACTTCTTCGGGGTCGTCTTGCCCAAGAAGTTAAAGGGCAGAGGACTGGGAGGCGCAACACCACTTGGGTACGGGATGAACGGCAAGGGTGTCGGCAACGGATGGGGCATCTCCAAGAGAATCGATTGAGGGACACTATAATGCATAATCTGCCGGAAACATTGGCGATTCTTGTACATTACGACTTCACAGGGGGTTTATGCATGCATGAATGACTTATTACGGATCAGGGTCATGGATGATACTACCTGGTGTTCATGGAGAATTTTGGATGTATTAGATCTCGACTTGGTAAGGGAGGAATATGTCCACATGGGATTAGCCACTATGAAGAGAGATGATAATGCGAAAGGTACTAATTCGACCACTGGAGGATCAACGTGATTCGTTTGATGCGCTGTCGGATTGCCGCAAATGCAACATTACCATTACTGAACCTTCTTCCTTTGGTCAACGGCGTCCAATCTCCTTAACAGGCGTGCGTACATATCGACGCTCAGAACGGCAGCTAAGACTTGTCAATCTAGGTTCATATGTAGAGACTGCAGCAGTTCAAGATGGAGCAAAGGGTATTCATCAGAACATGCGAAAGAAGCAGACTCACCAAGCGCAAAGTAGGCCCCATACAAACCACCTAGTAAGACGGCCTTCTCCTTCAGCGTGATGAGGGCCTCATCCCATAGCCACGCCTCCCACATGCACGTGGCCGTGGTGATGACCGTCTCGAGGCCGTAGACTAGGAGCAGTAGCTCCGCACGCCCGCTGAGGCTAGCCTTCGTGGACGACGGCCACAGCGCACCTACCGCCCACGCCGACACCGGCAGGTGAAAGACGAGCTCCAGCACGGCGAAGAAGGGGAAGAAGGACGGCAGCGGCGCCGGGGGTGGCGCGAAGAACTGGTCCTTGTACGTCTAGTACCACAGACTCTGGTCAGCCAAGGCACGCGGGCCTAGTTCATGGGAATGGGCTTTTCCGGCAGGCCCGATGACCCGCGGGTTGGCCGGACTTACCTCGAGATAGTAGACGCGCAGGTCGCCCAGGAAAGACAGTGGCGCGTCAGGAGTGGCCCAGATGGCGCGTGGATAGAAAGGTACGAGGTCGACAACTATGAAGGTGTCAGTTCATACATTTGTCATGGTGTTGCGCCTCAGAAGAGCCAGACTCACAGAACAGGATGGGGATGTGCAAGACGAAGTACACGAGGTACACGTTGTCGAGCCAATGGCGCTGGACCGGAGCCATGGTGTCTTGGACTAGGCTAGGCCGGATTCCAGATATTATAACAAAGAAACTGCGGCTTGAGTTATATGATGTGATATCCCGTGGCGGCAAGGTAGACTTCGTCGACAAAGAGACTCTGGAGTTTGCAGAGTTCAGGGGTACGATACGCGGCGCGGTGAGATTTAGCGCACGTGCGAATGCAAGCGCACACGGCTCACCAGCACTGTACCTTTGGGAAGAGCCTGCGTATGGAGTGTGGGTTATGTACAAGTACCAATGCACCGAACATTTTTCAATATGCAATGGAGAACGTTTGGTATTGGTTCAAATGGACCATACGGAGACTACAGATAGTCTATAACAGTTATCATGCCTCTCAGCAACATATATTCCCATGACCTTCAATGTGTGGTCATCAACACCGCAACCTACAGACCCTACCTGGAGGTTTGATTACCCCTTCTGTACTCTCTATGACACTACACTGGGAGGGCTGGGTGACGCAGGTTACCGCACGTGTTTGATTTCTTGTCACAACACTATATCACTATATCACCATATCAGCGACTGGTGTGTCTGAACCGAAACCTCCGTCATACGACAAAGACCTTACCGCAATCCCATCCGATATAGGAGCCCAAGTCAAGTAGGCTCTGGTCCAAAGCTTCTCAGTAGAAGTCCGTGTAATTCAAGCATATGTACAAAATATCAGTGCTCATCACAAATGCCCGCTTGATTAGGTACTCGCATTAGATTGGTTGTGAGGGTTTTCCGTAGTGGCCCCCAGGTGCCAATCTACTCGGCCGGTGTGAATTAGCATTGTTTTAGAAGTGTCGGAGTCTAGTTCAGTGAGTAAGTTCGGAGTGGCGCAGGGAGTTAAAGACGGTGGGATATCAAAGCCTGCGACTGGTTTTGGGGGCAAGAGTAATTTCGAATACTGGCCTGGTGTGGAATCAAGTTAACTAAGACATTTTTTTATACATCAGAAATCCATAGCGACGACATTTTCTTCATTTCAGGGACCTTCTCGGCTCATAATTCGACTTTGTAGTTAGGAGCCGTCAGTGGCCATCACATAAGGGAAGCCTGAGAGACCAGGCCATATCCCCATCTAGAACATGTTTGACTCGCGGACGTTGAAACGATTCATTGCCGTCGGTGCTCATTTGTGAGACAGCCTGTCTATTCAAAATTACTATGAGGAGAGACATCAGGGGAAACTGTAAAACGTGAGCATCAAAGATAAGAGTAAATGTATTGCTACTATATCCAGTTGAGGAATACAACTTACGGGTTTCTCACCACGGGGTGACGGGTATACTAAGCTTTCGAACATATGGTAATCCATTCCAATTAATAGGGCTATGGTTGTGCCGAGCGCTACCATGATGCAAATGACTACTGTCAGAGCGGGCGGTGTTGATGTATGCTTGACTTTACCTGTCATCACTATGATGAGGCTCCTGAGCAACAGGCTTTTGAAAGTGACCCCTCTTGAAACACGATTCTCTGGGCACGGCTCTAGATCAACTGATCCACCCGTGCCGGGCGTTCAAGGTTGCCCCCGTTGCTTCTCGGCACCTGCCTCTCTGGAATGCGATGCGGAGATGGTGTAACTGATTCCAGCCCATGACAATCAGGTAGATACTGGACCTATGTACTTCTCAACGCATAATTTCGCCCAAAGTCGAAAGAGTCTGGCGGCAACATCCGACCGGCAACGTAACCCTGACGATACCCACTGCGCGACGTCTGCCCGCTGATTGGCCAACTCTGTCGACCTTTTAATTAATCGTCAGACCACTAAGATGGCGCATTTCACAACCCCAAACGTTCCCAACTCAGCGTATCCCTCGATGCTACCCCGGGCCGCTCTCGTCCAATCTTGCCTGCCAATCGCTCCATTGCGGACCCGTTCATTTCTGACGTTTCATCGACCCTGCCTGTCTCTTTGACTTTCTTTTCTTACTACGTAGACGCCCTTAGTTTAGCTATTCATGCGGCGCGCGGGTCCCGTCGCTGTTAGCTGTGGTCTTGTCGGCAAGATCAACTATCGTGCTATTCTTGAGCCGCAAGTCATTACTCGCGCAGGTATTCAGAAGTCGGCCGGCGCTGTTTTGTCGCACCCGGCACTGATGGATCGGCAGTTTTTAGGACTTGCGTAGATACTTATTTGCGAAAGCCAGAACATGTGATATTGAGGTCCCGGTACTGTGAAACAGCATATACCCTGCCTGAGCCAAGGATTTACCCGTAGAGGAATTCAAGGCTTGCTATTGTCCCTAAGCTCGTTTGTGATTGCTTGTTTGCGTCGTTTCACTCCGATCAATCATGGTACGCCTGGCTGCAACCTTGCAATACATCGGTACAACCTTGTGGTAGATCCAGGAATGCTATCAATCCCGTCGCCTGTCATGCCGTTTATAATACCCACCCCTGTGACCATCATCCATAATTGTCGTGTATTGATGTGATTTACTCCGCCACGTTTTGTGGGATGAGTGCTCCTGCATCAGGAATGCTTTCAAGCACCGTAGAGTATACGCACTAGATTTCGATTCCCTAACGGTCGCGGGCGACAACCACATTCCCTGATTTCACTTTTACTTCTTTTCCTCTGTTTCCTATCACACTCGAGATAAGAAACATGGCAGGCTGGGTTTCAGGCGACAAGACACGGTCGACATGGCAGGTCCTACTCTTGCCTTTGTGCTTCATCAGCCTACTCATATCGGGTATCGCTATTGGAAAGGCAAACAGTTATCGGCAGTATGACAGCGTCCGGCTGAAGGGCCGATGGAGCGCAGCACTTGACCTATTGGTTACGCCTCCTACCGCACGAGCGATTGAGCAAGATCAGTTGTTGAGGAGACATTATGCCGATGCCATAGGCTTCACAGCTGAAACGACAAAATGGCTAGCGGAGCGATATCCATCGAAGCACCTGGACGAAGCCCGCGCCTTGTTGGATAAGTATGCCACGGAAGTCGTTACACCTCGTGATCAGCCAGACCGCGACGTATCGACGAGGCACCTTACAGTACGACAAAACCCCTTTGAGGCCATTGGAAACCTGTTGGGTTTGGGAGGCGACAAGTCGGGCAACAAGAACGATAGCAGTATACTATCTGGTATAGGGGATGTGTTGAAGAATGGTCTTGCTGGTATTGGGCAGGATCTTCTCGGCGACGTCGCAGGGGCAGGTATGTTTCTAGGGATTGGAGTTGGCCAAGGAGCCGCTTCAGGCTTGAATCTCACCACTGCCCAAAAAGCGAAAGCCGTAGGGGACGGCGTCGCCGCCGCGAGTGGCATGGAAAGTACTGGTCTGAACCCTGCGATTCGGAATCTAGGTAGTGGACTCTCTGGTACCTTGGTTGGTTCTATCGACTTGAGCTCCGTTGGTGGCGGCGATACGATTGGCCCAGCTGTCATGGGCCTGGCTACTGGTATTGGCAATGGAGCGGTGTCGGGTCTGAAGATCAAGAACATTACAGCTCCCGTGGCAAACCAAACCAATGGGTTCAATCTGGCAGGAATCCTGGAGACCTTCGGCTTCGGGCTGACGTCAACCGTAACCAGCAACATCGACACCAACACCCTTTCGGGCGGTCCCATGTCACAAGACCTCGCCGCTCAAATACCGTCAGCTGTCTTGAGCCTAGCTCAAGGGATCGGGAACGGTGCCGTGTCCGGACTTAAGATCAATCAAAACGTTGCTCCACCAACTGGTACTAACGTTCCGGATATCGCTGGGGCATTTGGCTTCGGGTTGTCCCAGTCCGTCACCTCCAACGTGGATATCAACGCTTTGAGTCAGGGTAATGGCACCAATCTGGACATTATGAAGATCCTTCCCTCGGCAGCTACTGGCCTTGGAAGAGGCCTTGGTGAGGGCATTCCCATTGGTTTAGGGGTCCAGCCTGATCCAGGAACGTTGCCAGTCAAGACGATGCCCGATGGCTCACTGGATTTTGAAGGAATCTCTGAGAACTTCGCCATGGGTTTGACCTCCAGGGTACTAGCCAATGGGACGTTGTCAAAGCTGATGAGCATGTCAAGTCCGGGTGGCGGTGCTCTGGGTAGTCTGGACATAGGCAAGGCGGCGGGTGGTCTTGCTCGGGGACTGCTTCAAGGGGCTGGCGATTCTGTGAAAGCGATGGGAGGCGTGCAAGCAATACTTGAAGGTAAAGCTACCACACCCACTGGCCCGATTCCAGAGACCCCAGTTCAATTCAATGATTCCTTGAACGGCGCTGCCGTAGGATTTGGACAGGGTTTTGGTAGCCAGGGCGTTACCGTCATCCAGTCATTGATCGGTCAGGCGAAGGTGGTCACTCAAAAACGGGACATCGATGGGACTTCTGCCGTCAAAGATATGGAAGTGGCGTCAGTGAAGCCTCGGCAAACGGGCATTGTAGTTTCGAATTCGACAGGCACCACCTTCAATCTCTCAGCATTGATAGACGCGGAAGGTATCTCAACACTTTTGCAGAAGGGTATCGATGCTCTCACCTGCGAAGGTGTTGGCGGCCTCTTCCTTGTACTGTCCGGCCTGGCCAATGGCGGCGCAATTCCCTCGGACCCTCAGTCTGCCGATACTCTTGCACAGTTCAAAGATGTACTACCAAAGGGCGTTTTGCATTTCATGAATGAGGGTAACACCTACGAACTTGACATGCAACAAGTTGTGGATGGCCTGGGCGGTGGCTTGAGTGGTGCTGCCGATGGCCTCACTATCAATGGTAACAAGGCGTCCACCTTCGTGGGCTTCCTCATATTCCACGGTAAGCAAATCTGTCTATATATTGATTTTATACCAGTGACTAACTCATTGTAGTTATCCTAGGAATCGTTGCTATGCTGAATGTGCTGCCGCTTATCCTCGGATTAGAAAGTGCTCGGAATTTGCTTGTTCGTATACGCAAACCTCACCACTTTACTTGGGCTGGCAAGTGGACGAGTATTGGCTGGTTCTTTTTCATCGCCCCTTCGCTAATCCTGATCATCATTTTCGGCTCCTTGGCTATGGGTAATGCCGGTCACTTCAGAACTGCTCACGGTGTAAGATATCACAGTCTATACTGTGAAGTACGCAATTTGCTGACATATTCCCCTTTAGGTACTTGGTCTTCTCACGGTCATCGACGGCCTGGCTGCAGTTGGTCTACACTATGCCGTCAGGCTGTTTGGTTCGCCGCCTGGACAACCGCCTACGACGATGCAGCGGGTACGGACGTACAACAACCAGGTTCTCCTTATCCTCACCATTGCTACTTCACTCAGCGGGTTCGGGGATCTAAGCAAGATCACTGTGTGTCTCACTCGTATTGTCTCTCTCGAGATGGCTATCGCCGCTGGTTTTGGGCTTTCCGGTGTGTACACGATTGGCAGCACGATCACGCAACTAGACCTCTTCTTGGAGTTTAGAGATGCGAGGATGAGGAAAAAGGGTCTGATGGGCCGCAATGAAGGTAGCGTTGGACAGATCAAGGGTAAGGTCGAAGTCGTATCTTAAATTAGCGACGAACATAGTAAATTGACTTTTCAAGACCAACTGATTTGCGATTTAGTAATAAAGCTGACGACAGAATACTTCTCGCATAGCTATTATTCTCGAGAGTTTTGGAAATGAGACATCTGCATGTGCGTCATTGACGATGATGATTCTAAGTCTTCAAAGGTCTTGTGCTGGAAAACTGGTTCATTGGCCGAGGTAGAAGCTTCGAGTTGCTTCCGAAAAACTGATGGCTTATCACGGCTATCAATACATACAACTAAGAGGCCAATTCCAGGCGCTTTGTAAGTCTCAAGGTAAATGAGGAGGGTGTGATATACTGCGCCTGCGAAGTAGTAATAACTGATTAAGTTTCCTAAAGGCTACAGATGTGATATCTGCATGGAAAGCACATGCAGATTACCTCTCAAATGTTAGCTTAGTAAGTGGTATAGACCCCGCTCCCTCCCTTACGTGGTGCACCTACGCCTTTGCATTGACGGGGCATGTGTTCAATGTGCTGGCTGTTTTTGCCTATTTGTCTGCCTGTGCCGCCTAGAGGCAAGGGGGTCTTGTTGGTCCCCAAGTAGACTCGGACCGACTCAACCGAGGTCTCACAGCTTGAGTTCTTCAACCACAAGACCCATTCCATCTTTACTTCAGAGACTTTTACCAATAAAGGGGGTCCTTGGCATCATCTCAACCTTGGACATGGCACTGTTAGACTTGCCCTCCGCAGGGCTCATCGTTCGTACACTCTTCACTCTTTGCATCGCAGGAGCTCTCTATCGCAAAAGCAGCGCATGGCTTCATTACAAATCCGTTATGCGTAAAAATGGCTGCCATGAGCTGCCAAGATACCCCCATATAGACCCAATTTTTGGCCTCGATCTGTTCTTGGCATCCAAAAGGGCACTAGACGAGAGAAGGTTCCTTGATTTCAATGGGGAGCTCTTCCAGAAGTATGGAAAAACATTCCAGGCTAATAATCTAGGTGTTCATACCATCAAAACTATGAATCCGGAAGTCACAAAGTATGTCCATGCCACGTATTTCGACTACTTCGGCGTGGAAAAGATCCGTTCCGGTGTCGAATATCTTTGGGGTGACGGAATGACATCTTTAGAAGGTGAGAGATGGGCTTCTCGCCGGAAGCTGATTAAGCCCGCATTCGACGTGGTCCACATCGGAAACCTAGAGAATCGAAGTCTTGGAAAGCATGTTGACAGATTGATGGAACTGGTACCGCGAGACGGATCAACGATAGACTTGATGCCGCTATTTAGGCGCTTGGTAAGTATATCTCCTTCCCGCCTTCGTTTCTATGGCGACTAATGGAGTCGTGACAGAGCCTTGACACAGCCAGTGAATTTATCTTTGGAGAGTCTATGAATGCTTTGCAATCCTCAGATTCGCACAAGGAGTTCTTGAACGCCTATTTTTATGCTCAACAAGGAACGCTACCTCGCGTGATGCTTGGACCCAAACTGCGCTGGCTCCATCGCGATCCCAAATGGTACAGTGACAGCGACACGGTTCTCGGCTTCATCGATGAACGAGTCCAAAAAGCCCTGGCCAGACGGGAGAATGGCGTAGCGGAGGATGGCCATGTTCGACTGATTGATGAGATGCTGAAAATAACTCAAGATCGCATCACGGTGCGTTTCCAGGCTCAGAACGTTTTTACTCCAGCACACGATGGAGCTGCCATCACCTTGAGCAACGCGTTTTTCCATCTTTCCAGGAATCCAAAGGCATGGGCTACACTTCGAGCAGAAATCATGCCTACCAAGGATTCGGCAATCACTTACGACTTATTGAAGACCTATCAATACCTCAAGAATACGATACGTGAGACCCACCGAGTCTCGCCAATACAGACATTTATCGCCCGCCAATGCATCCGTGAGATCGTTCTGCCGAGCGGTGGCGGCGAGGACGGAACAGAGCCACTTTACCTGAAAGAAGGAGACGTCGTGGAAATGAATTTTCGGTCCACGCTCAGAGACAAGGACTTCTGGGGGGAGGATGCGGATGAGTTTCGGCCCGAGAGATGGGATGACCTGAAGCCAACCTGGGAGTACACCCCTTTTGGTAGTGGCCCTCGCATATGTCCCGGGTTTCGTCTTGTTTTCGCAGAGGTTGCATACACGTTGGTGACATTTCTGAGGGCATTCGAGAGGTTGGAAAGTCGTGACGATAAGCCATGGACTGAGGAAACGAGGTTTTCCTTCCAGAACTTGAACGGCGCTAAAGTTGCGCTATTTCCTCCCCAGTCGCCCTGACCTTGGAGTTCATATTATGACATTTAGCTTATAGCGGCTGCGTCATTCTCGTCATATTTGAATACACGATATTGCTACGAGTCAAAAGATTCTGACTGAGACCGAAAGAGTTTGTAGAATACGAGCTATACTGCTTTGATCGCAAAAAGCTCGTGATGAGTCACCTGCCTAGCCGTAATGTGATTGGCTATCGGGTTCAATGTGGCACAGGTAATCCCAGTGTGACTTGAACTCCCGACGGTGGTTCTGAACCGAAACAAAACCTATAATCTGCTGAGTTTGGTGTCATTTCAATCCAAGTTGAACTGGGCGCGACCAACGACCTCACGCAGTGAAGATGGCCGGTCTTGAGGATTTCCCAACCGAACTGCTCGACGTGCTCTTGGACGAGCTAGGTGAGTCGTTGATTTCTTCGGCCCCAGCTCTGCTACGATGCTGCAAACAATTGTACCGGCGCCTCGTACCCTGTCTCTACACACGAAAGGATGTCCGGAATAGGGCAATGGCATGGGCTTGCAGGGCCGGCGTTCTCGAAGTGGTTGAACTTGCAGCTTTCTACGGCGCGCCTGTCAGTACGGCAATCTCGACGTCAGGCGTGCAGGATCTGACGTTGCATCTTGCCATCAAAGGGGGTAAATCAGATGTGTTCAAGCTTCTTTTGCAACTGGGCGCTCGTCTGGATGATCCTGTTATGTCGCAGCAGGGTCGTCAGCGAGTGCATTCATCCATCATGAAGCGATTCTGTTCGCCACGCTATGCGTCTTCCAATCCCAACCTTATCAAAATGTTCTTCGAGTCAAGATTGCAAAACCAGATGCGAGACGACGGCTGCGGTCCCGAGGTTTATGATCCGCTTGCCCAGCTCATCGTAGCAGGTGCTTCCACTGAGTTGGTGCGGCTTCTGCTAAGGCAAGGTGCGGATCCTGAGGGTATTCGTCGCTGCTCGCGCAAAGACTACCTCTGTCCGCTCTCAGCTGCTATAACTGTCGGTTCCCCTTCCATATTCCGCTTGCTTTTAGAGCACGGGGCGGTATTTCATGGAAAAGGCATGATGGAGTCACCACACAAAGGCTCCATTGTGCCCATCTGCGCCGCAGCGATTTCACTGGCGCGTCACCACTATGGCATGTCTATGATGCAGTTGTGTCTGGAGCACGGTGCCGACATCAACCAACGGTTCCCGATCAGAGTCTACGGCCCGCGTCTATGGACAAACGATTGGTACGAAGCCTCACCTCTGTCCGTATTCCTGACTTCGATCATGGTGGGGGAGATTGAAAATGATCCAGTCCAAGGCTTGGTTTATTTGCTTGATCGAGGCGCATTAATCAGCAACCCGGGAAAGAACCGGGTAACGCCTTTCAACATGAAGTCGGACCTAGTTTCGCATTCTAGTTTGGATATTGTTCTAGGTCTGCGGAATCGGGCAGCCCGGGAGCATGTACACCTTTTGAGGGTGGTGACGCTTCTCGTTTATTACGGCGCGGCAAGGGATGATACTGGTCACCTACTCTCAAAATACCTCTGGGGCTCATACATATCTTCAACGCAAGAACGTTCTGAAGAGATAGAGTTGGCTAAAATACTAATTGCAGACTTAATGGTGGAAGAAACACACGAGGTCTTGGCTCACTACATCATCAACGCCTGCAGCCCAATACTGCCCCTTGCGGACGCGCTGAATATCAACGTGGTTCAATTGCTTATTGCCGCTGGTGCCGATATCAACAAACCTGTTGCATTTCCATACAATCGTAACTCACACCCTCATTTGCACAGGCAGTGCAGGCAATTCGGCAACAAATGCGAAAATTCTTGTGGCTCTCATCCCCCACTACACGAGTTATGCAGACGATGGAACAACAAATGCGGCGGTGACACACGGACACGCTGCAATGAAGGATATGAGTGTCGGTCTTACTGTCACAAGCACCCGCAAATTAGAGGACAATCTCTGAGATTTTTAATGTCTATGGGGGCTGATCCAAACATTCAGGCCAAGGGCAAGACCGCGGATGATTTCCTACTAGACCGGGTTGACGAGGAGCTTGAATGTAGAAAGAAGCATCTTCAGACCCTTGCTGAGGTGTTGCGCAGTAATTACAAGAGCTGACGAAGGGCGAAGAGGATTGTCAAGGCGTCAGCTCTCTATATAATCATTCAACATTTCATTGTACCAAACATTGAAAGGAGCCGACTTTCACTAAAATGCTGCATGGTCAACTTATCTAGACTTAGAATGACTTCGAAACCACCATCAACTCCTTCAGCCGAGGGGACCCGTGGCAATATTATCGGGAATCGTCGTTTTGTCAATTTGGGCAGCCTTACGGCGTCGCATTTCCCAACCGTTTCTCCCCACTGAAGCTCATATGCTGCTTGATCAGCCCAGGACACGAGGGAAATGCCGTCATGGTGAGGGCCAAGCTTGATGTTTGTGATATCTTCCTGCAAGGCAACATAACGTAGGGCATCACGTATGCTTTCCCCGTCAACGCTGCTGATTGAAGTGCGGATAGCACCTGCGATTCTCGCCCAGATTCGGATGTCTCCAGAACCAAGCTCCATACTCTCTGACGTCAAAGCTGACCGATCAGAAAGAGACAGCAAGTCATCTTTTGAGACAGAAGCCACCGTCATTGCAAAACCGGCTCCAAGATAGTCCTTTGGTAAAGGCGGGTTAAGCCTCGCCCGACAGTTTACGGGGACACCGGCCGTGTAGTGCTCCTTCATATCACCTTCACCTCTATTGCCCGAAGCGTGGTGCATTGCGTTCACTGTTGCACTCCAGAGCAGCGCTGTGAGGACATCCCCGGTCGACACCCACTGAGCTTTAGCTCCTGAAAATGCAAGATGACCACCACCGTTGATTGAGTCTTTGACTCGCCGTAGTGACTCCACAGGGAGATAGAAAATGCGGGTCTCACACTCAAGTTCTGGGGTTCTAGTCGCAGCGGCTTGAGGCAAAGCATCCTGTTCTACTATATGAATGAGCTGCGGCACTGCCCTTGATTCATCGTTTGCAGCTTCTTCGGGTGGGCCGGAGATTGCTTCTCGATTATACCAGCTCGGATCGAGCCCAATATTAGCTGAAGAGCCGCTTCGGCAGCGTGAGGCCCATAACTTGAGCAGCACCCCAAACCCAGTGATGTCAGTCGTGTGGTGGTGGACCGCAACGCTCAGCACGGAGCCCCCTTTCACCCGTGACAGCTTGGCACGGAAGACGGGCTCCAGTCGCGGGCCTGAGGCGGCCACAACGAAAGCTGGAAAGGCCGAAGGTGGGAAGTTGGCAGCTTTGAGGGTGGAGTAGTCCAAGCTTTCGGTAAGATCGTTCTGAGACAGCAGGTCATCCAACTTTTGGTACGAGGCGGTGAGTTGCACCGAGCCCTTAGGATGATCTCGGGCTACCACTCCGGAACACAGATATGGAATATCGGTAACCACGCCCTGGAGCCCATGTCGGAGTGTCTGGAAGACTTGGGGGTTCGAGGATGGAAAGCAAAGGATTTGTGTCACGTATGTCCTTGGCATAAGCCAGTCAAGTGGTGACAATGCGCTTCCACCCGTGGAAATAGACATGTTTGGGCGTAACTTATCCCAAATACGTTCAGATTCTTTTTGATATAACCTCGGTATAGTCCCAACGTCATCCCATTTAGTCGAAAAATAATGGCCTACCACCAGGATCGTCGTTCCTGATTAGTAAGCAGCGGCCTGCACATCAAGGTCCGTCTTACTGGCTATGCAGGACATCAGATTCAGCAGTCGTGAAGGTTATTGATTAGGCTATATTGTCTATTGTCAACTCGACTTAGTCCCGTGCCATAGTGATAGCGGCGATATGGAAATTAAAGGCAAAAGCCGCCTGGAATCGTCAGGCCGAAAGCCGGAAGCTAGAAAGCCTCTATGCAAATGCCGCTCAATGCATTGCTAAAGCCAGATTCTGACTTTCGAATACGAAAGGCTAGAGTACCTCGCTCGTAGCCACTCTAATGTCTGAGCTGATTAGGGGGGGTTGTGGCATATGAGAAGAGTTGGGTGTCATCAAGTCGTCAGTGAGCACGTGTCAGCCTGCTGGTTTTCTTCCAACATCGCTACCAGTCTGCAGCCCAGCCGTTGTCCTTCAGGAACTCTTCACAAGCTTGTCTTAACGCGAGATTGGGCCGCAAGTCGCTCGGCAATAGGGGTTCACGAGTAAGAGGGTCAGTAGGAGACCTCCGAAGATGCTCCAGGATCGAGGCCCGCTCGTAACTCTTCCCGGTCTTCGTCTGCGGAGAGTGTTAATGAAATGAAAGGTTTTCCACAGACATGGCGCACTTACTGTGACAGGGTCAATAAATATATTGAAACTGATCTCATCGATCATCCAATCCGGGACGATTCTCTGTTTGTCGTCGCCTTGACGTGCTTGCTCAAAGGTCCTCCGCAGGTCTGACGCTTTGTCGTCCCATTCCCCACGAACCTCATCCCGAAGGCCCTCAGTATCGCACGTCTCTAGCATTTCCTCCTTTTCCCTCTCCATCAACGCGAGGAGTTCGTCCTCAAGCATTTGGTTCTCCCGCGTCCTCCGCTTCTCCTTTTGTTCCCAGTTCTCTTTCTTGCAGCGCAGCACCGTGGATGTCACCTGGGGGAGGGACTTGTCGTTCTGGCTGATACACAGCGCATGCGCCCGCAAAGCCGCGGATAGAGCATCTTCGTAGTTGTGCAGTTCTATATTTGCTTGGGCGAGGTAGTAGTTCGCCTTCATGGACTCGAGGTTCAGCGTCAAACAGGCCTGGCAGTCGGAGATTGCCGAATCCCAGAGTTTGAGCTTCAGCCTTGCCATCGCGCGGTTCGTGTAGAGGGCTGGGTTGGCGTCGTCGGCGATGATGCTATAGCCCCGATTTTCAGTCAGCCTCGCCACCCCGCAACGCATAGTAAGGTAACACAGGCCTAACTGACATGGCGATTACGCCGACTCAGGGAAGCTTAGAAACATACGCCTTGGAGTATAGGCTCTCGGCGCCCACAAAGTCCCCTGATTGGTAGAGCTTGTTGCCTTCGTTCTTTAGGGCAGTGGCCCGCGCGGGGTCCTTGTTGTGCTGCATGGCGAGGGCCGATAAGTACAGGACGTTGACTATACAACTCCGGAGATAGTCGACGGACGGTACGGCAGTGCGATGAGTGAAGAGCTGGAGAGCTACCGAAATGATGTTGTCGCTTTCGCCAACTGCTGGTGGTTCAGGTGCCGGCGAGGTCGCTGCAACGGCAATGCGCAAAGGGGCTACAATCAAGGAAGGACAGACAAAGAACAGCAATTGATCATGTGGATAAAATCAAAATGATATGAAAGACACAGAAAATCGTCAAGAGTCAGCCTTGCTGTCCATCCTCCCAACGCTCGTCGTGCAGTCAGACAGACGTCTGCGCCAGCTCATTCAGCCTTGCTGCGAGGTGGTGGCCCGGCGTGGTCGGCATCTTGCATTCGGTCATTTGTCATGCGAAACTTCGAGAACACAGGGTCCAATTTAGCGGGCATCGCGGCACAGTCTTGGCCTGTCTCGGCAAGGCGGCGGTTGGCTGCAGCGGGGTCGGCGGCATCGATACGCTATTGGGCCACCGTAGCGGTTCGCTAACTGTCCCGCCTACCGGTACTGGACTTAGGTAACCGGTCGGGGCGGACGTTGTAGCCGTTCGTACGAGCTGCATCATGCGATCATACGGCGCAGTGACAAAATCACATATCTAGCCTGACTGACTGCACGGTCGGATGTCATGCAGCATCGGTTACATTTTCCAGATGATCTCAAGCCTGTACTCCGGCACTTTGCTCATCATCCCCGGATTGACACAGCTTGTTCTCTTAGTTGCGGAGTGCTCTAAGCTGGGCTGCTGAATTGCCAAGCACAGCAAGGCTACTCCTATAACCCGCCTTGTAGTCGGTGTTGCGGGCCTTCCCGGCATGGACGACTCCATCGCGTCCGAAAGACTCTGTGTACGCCAGGCTGTCAAGTCCTAGGAGACTGGTCCTGCTTGTCATGTTTCCAGCCTTCCCGCAGTTCCCTCTGTACGCTTCGGTCTACGTTGGAAGGCTCTTCCCAGCCTCTCCGTCATGGAGGTTCTCCTCGGCCTGTGCCCCTGTCCATCTCGATGAGGTTCCATCTGAGGCTGCCCTCCGCTCTCAGATGCCTCGAGTAAGAACGTTTCGTCGAGCTCCTCCCGGGAATTGGTCATCACCATAGGGCACATGGATTCTCTGTGTCGTGTGAGCTTGGATGATTTCGTGTGGCCAGAGAGCCTTGTAGCTTTGCTCGTAGTATTCACGCTCCGGGCCCTGTCTTCCTTTCCCGCTTTCCGTGAGGCACTTCGGTGATGTTTGCGATGGCGGTGAGACCTCGGGTGTTTCTTGCTTGCTCTCTCTTTTAGCACCTCTTGGACTATTGACTTGAACATACCCTCGACGTTCTCGCCGGTCTTCGCACTCGTCTCAACAAATGGTACCTGAAGAAGCAAGGTCCTGGCGACCAATTCGCCCTCAAGTTTTGATATTTGTCTCCTTACTGCTGTCGTCGACGAGCTGGAATCATACGCATTGACGTTCGCAGGGCCATCCCCCTCTACGATTTGTTCACGAGCCGTGCTTTCAATCACGGGTGTGCCGATCTCCAGCCATGACTCTACCTTGGAGGACCTCGAGGACCGTCTAGCGAAATGGGGAAGCCTCTTCTCATTGGCTGCCCGTACAGTATGCACCGACCGTTGTGTTGAGAAGACCGACAGTCTGGCGTCCATGGCTGCGTCCGCCGATACGATCGAGCGTCGAGCGGCTGCGAGGATGGATTCCCGTTGAATTGCCCCAAAGCTGCCCATCGATATTGGGGACAATGGCAGATTCTGGTCGAAGACCCTGCTCTCGCGGAACAGAGGGTGCACAACTTCTCTCTCACTCGCCACGTCTTCGAGAAGTGCTTCTTCCTTCTCGAGCAAAATGCCGCCAACATCGAAGTCTATCGCCTCGAAATCGGTATCCGTATCAGACTTGTTGCCTACCAGCCCTACCACAATCTCTCCAGCCCCTCGACCGAGAAACCGTAGCCAACCCTTCCGCCTGCCCAGCGAGCCATGGCCGCTTCTGGCACTGAGCGGTATCTCATTATGCAGGTCAGCTACAGTCTCAAAAGACCCCCGGCTGCCGATGTCATACACTAGGAGTACTGCATCATAGCTCCCGTTGAGAAGCGTCTTGGCCCTCTTCTTCGGATGCTGAAGGTCGGGCGAGTTGATGATTTCAACTAGAAAAGTACTGTTCTCCCTCTCGCAGTCCGAACAAGTAATAGGCTCCCCAGAAAATGATTCCAATGTTTGAGCTGTAATATGCTCAGCAGAATCAGGATCTTGGATCGATGCAGGATTTGAGAATATGGATGACTGTGTGGTGAGCCGGTCGTCGCGATCTGATAGGAGTGGGATTGTAAGCCCATACGAGGTATCCAACGGTCGTGTCTCCGAGTCGGGCTCTTGATCTTTGGGAGACAGAGTCACACAGCGTCGACTGTGCCGCGTTAGTGAAGTGTCGTATGCTGCTGGGAATTCGTTGGTCGTGAACTGCGATTAAATCAGTATCGCTTGCGGGTTTCAATCCTGTCTATACCTACTCTGGACTCCAGGGCGCTTTTCCCGACCCCAGGTGCACCCAGCATCAAGATTCTGATCGTACTGTCATTACGACGTTTACCCATGATGTAGCTAGCAGGCATTTAGTATGATTCGTGAGTGAATGTTAGGAAATTGGTATCCGGACGCGGGATCCTTTCCATGAACGCTGTCGTGATGCCTCGAATTTAAAAGACGTAGAGGCAAGATTTCAGGCATTCTTGATCCAGGAAAGAAGTTTGAGAGGGAAACAGAAGTACCGACTTGTGTATTTGGCATTAAACCCGTACTATGAATTCAGACTCGAGATGTTTTGCATCGACTTCTGCATGAAGTCATGGAACGGTATTAACAGGCTAAATGTTGAGGTTTTAAGCCTCTCATGTAATTGAGACAGCATCATATCGGTAGCGACGCTTTTACTACCGTATGAGACATCCTAGCGGGCTACGGTTGCCGTAGCTGTCCATGCGGTTAAAACATCATATCGCACGTGAACTATAACTCAAATGAGTATACGCACAGCGGGTGTTGAAACGGATTTATTTCCGCGGACAATCTGATCTACTACCACAAAAGCTGGTCTGGATGCATTATAATCTTTTTTTGTTCTTCTTCCACCATGAGGAAATGTAGGGAGCCTGTCCATGATCAGAAGCATAGCGACTTGGGAACTGTTCCAATTGACGGGGGGCTTGTTACGGCTATGACGAGAACGCGACCAATGTATCAATGTGGAACCGAGATTCTTTTGTAGCACGGCGATTTCCATAGATGTATGCAAATATTGGCTTCTCATACTTTACACGTCAGACTTATATATGCAAATCGAATACAAACGGATGCCGGATGTTACGGCAGCGGCAAAGATGCTGTCAGCTAACTGGCCTTCGGCATTAGCGCCGTCAGAATCTAAAGGCAAGCAGCCATGTCGACATAATTAGCCTCGTGTTAAGGTTTTAACTTCACCCAGATCTGGGAACTTGGGTATGCGTTCAACTTCTGCTTCAGACTCTATTCCTACAAGAAGCCCGGGTAAGGTGCCGCGTCATTCCCTGAACTAGTCGTTACTGTGGCCAGCCAAATACTGCTAGTTGCTCACGGTCTTAGCCAAGGCGGCCTAGACCAATGAATGGACTAAAAGTCAGGCACCTTGGTGTAATAGCTTGGGGCTGTACAATAGTAGTGCGCCTCTGTACCACGGTCCGCTTGTTTTTGGTGCTGGGCTAATTCGCACAGTAGCCCGCAAAGCTAACAGGACGGTCTACATTTAGCTACCTGAATGTAATCTTTCGTGCCTTAGTTTAAGTGCCAGCTCCACGCTCTCGTTATCAAACAATATCGTCACCGTTTTCCTCATTCAGGGACCTTATGACGACAACACACATAATCAGCAGCCTGTATCATAACCTCCGGCTGGAATTGGCGAAATTCTCGACTGTACTGCTGTACGTATCTCCTGTAGCGCGCCAGCTGGTTGGCTAGCGCAGCTAGTCAGAACCGAGATGTCATACTCTGGGTTACTCTTGCGAGGAAGCTGGGCATATCCTTGCCTCGCCCCCTCACACCTCCCGTCGCTTGTACGCTCTGATTGGAGAAATGTCCCCAAGAGAAGCCGAGTATACCGGCTAGCGCGTGTGGCTTGGGGCTAGAATCAAAATTGCTGCAGTGGAAAGATACCAGCCATATGGTTCAACGAAAACGGCCTCCGAGACCTGAAGATTATCCGATGGGATCCTTGACAAGATCATCACCAAGTTACCGCAGCACTGGTTCAGTCATAATCTCGCACAGGGATTTGGTGGGTTGGGGTTGTCAATTGCGACTCCAACGCGCATGCGCATGGGACCTTAGCGTCATCGTAGTGCTGATCTTTGGCATATTGTGCAATACTGGGCTGATGCTTTGATGCTACCCCAGATCCAAATCCAAATAGCACACAAGTAATGGCGTCGGAGACCCGGAGCCGGATGGGATGCGAGCTCCATCAGCTACGCCACGATATTCTACCAGTATTCTGGTCCTGCGCACGGAGGACCCGGGCGAGGGCGGAGAAGAAGCGAAACCAGCGTCTCAGGCATTCATCCTTCCACGTGGCGTGCTCTGAACACTCCAAAATTAGCCCCGACACAGGCTTGTCGAGCCTGCACTTTTCTGTAGTACGGCGGACAAGGGGTGGCATGATGGATGGCAGGACAGGGTGTGCGATATATACTATGGTACTAGCCTTGCGCTACGCCCAATGGACAGCCCCTGGCGCAGTCGCTGCTTTTAGGCATTTCCGTGCTCACCCAATGGACTCGAAACATGGTCTTGGCCACCCTTTTCCGCGGTCCAGCGATGGGCCAGTCCAGCGACATTATCTCCGGCCTGACCCAAAGGAGTTCGTGGCGAACGTGGGCGGCGCATTAATGCAAGACATTGCTGAAGAAGCCCAAAACGCGACCGGAGCACAGGGATTGATCCCCCAATCCTGCAGTCAATCCCTCTGATGACTAAACCCATTATGAGTCCATGGCCTGGGACCTGGGACCTGGGACCCATGGAAATGGGACCGATGGCTACTCCCCCGTGTCCCCCGAAAGAAATTACCAGACTCACCCCCTCGCGCCCTCGCGCATGACCTGTCCAGGCTTGCCTTCATTGGCCAATGCCGCCACCTTTTCTAGCGACCTCAACGACAGACTACTGTGACAGACTACTGTGCGCAGTGGACTCGCAAGAGCTTCGTCAACACGACTTGGTCCACGCCACGAGTTGCCCTCCACATGGGCCTGTGGCACAATATCCCAAGTCGACAGCAACACCCACCGCGCTCCATCAAGAGTTGCTAATCGTGCATTCAGGACCGATAGAAGGAGATTTATCCACGTCGCGAGTCAGTCCGGTGGTCGATTGTGATCGATCAAATCTTGCGTATCCATTTTGTCTCAGCGTCGTCCTCCAGGCCTCAGTCCAATTTACCTCTGCCAAGCTCAGCTAATGGATCATCTGGAAGAGGCTTGCGCCGCCAACTTTGGCTTCTCATGGGGCATGTGTGAGCTGAACGGCTTCCATGGGCGTTTCTAGCCACGCATGTAGCTCACGCAGCTGCCGCACGCGGAAAGCGAGGAGGTGGTAGCGACATGGTTCTCTGGAAGCCCATCTGTTTGTGACAACGGCAGCGTTTGCGTATCGAATCCTGACCCGGCCCCGTATGTCGGCGGTCGAAGACGATTGAGACTACGTGTTAGGTGGTGACGGCTTCATGCCCGAGCTTATCGTTGCCGCGAGCTCATCACATCTGGACGTCACATTCGCTACATTACCCAAAAAGAGGCATGAGACATTCAGCGAAGGTCCACAGCAACAGAACCACGTTCAGCTGACCATGCAAGAATGGGAAGGAAGTGAATCCAGACCTTTATGCAGAGCATCGCCAAAAGGATGCGGAAACCCGGGAGCTTCACCATGATCCTTCTCTGGAAATGGTCAGGCAGTTCATCATATCATGACGATCTGACATCCATCCAGGCGTAACACTACGGAGGTAGAAACTGTAACTACGGCCGCTTCGGATACGCCTTACTAACAGCTGCCGAACATTTGATACTTCTGCTCGGTAAGGTCCCGGATCGGCATTATGGCCCATTGCCATGCATTCTTCCGATTGATACAAGCACAAGCCAAGGAAAACGTCTCGCCTTGATGTAGCCTCATATTTCATTGAAGATCCAATAAATACAATCTGCTCTGTTCATTTTGCCACCATCCTTCCGTAACACCGAGTTGCAGCTTGAACAACGTGAAGCACACGATACAATGCGCAAACAATATCCAAGATTCTGTTGTACATAACACTTTGCGCTTGGCACCAAACGATGCATCACATCAAGTGTGCAGAACAATCTTCCATCTGATTGTGGCCCAAGGCAACCCATTACAAATAACTATAACACCCGTCACTGCAGCAACAACACCGCGACCACCACCACCACCACCACTGCCATTAACACCCGATAACACGATAACAGGGCTGCAATGCCGCCGCTCCGTACTCCCCCTGTATGGAATCCCCTGTAAATCGTCGGTTTTCCACCTCGCGACCAGAACTCCTGAGACTCCGTCCGCGTAGTTGAGTCGCTTGGGCTTGATGCTGGTGATGGGCTCAATGTGTATCCTCCTAGAGCGCAGATATGGGGCGTGCTTTGCCCCGTGCAGCGGAGGCTCATGTTGAGGCGGCGCTGTCGTCGTTGGTCCTCCTCCAGAAGTCAAAGTTGGGGTTCACGGTGCCATCGGTGTCGGCACGCGCGACGGCACTTCCGTGCTCGGGCACCGCGCCGGGGAGGGCGGCCGCCGAGAAAACGAACAGCGACAGCGACAGAAGGGAGAACTTCATCTTGGCAGATTTGTAAAGGAGAGAAGGAGAGGTAGAGAGTGTGTGCGTCGACTTTGAGCTGCGTGTCGCCGGTTTGATAGGATAAGAACGAATGCGGGAAGGTAAGGTAGGGCGCGACCCAGCGACCCGGCGATCTCGAGCTGATTTAATAAGAGAACGGCTGAGGTAAATGAACGTCTAGCGGGATCCAGGATTTGCGATGGAAACGGGGCTCGCCCAGGTTCGGCCACCCCATCTTGCCCATGAAGCGAGAGGGAAGCTCCACACGCATACGAACGGACGGCTGACCTCCACAAAACCATTGCTGCTTTTATGCCATGGCGTCCGTGGCGCACACACCCTTTCATGCAGACACCCCCGGCGCCCCTTAGCTGCCCCCCCCCCAGGGGTTGGAGACACTCCAAACTCCGTGACTCCTAGGCGGGTCAGCCGCAGCAAATTAATTCAGGCAGCTGGGTCAACGGCTCGATGGCGCGTATGCAATAAAGCCGTCTTGCTTGGTTGCCATGCTCTGCATTGAAACAAATTCCTATACTCCCTACATACCACCAATTGACACAACCTATGGTATACTTCTGTGAAAAATCAAGACCCAGAAGCTGTTTCCAATTTTGTGGGGGCCCAAATCGTATGCACCGCCGATGTAGCAGGACCCTATAATGCCAGCCACTCCGCGGTATATCACCAGCCGTTGGGTTTATGTTCGCATCGTCTTAAATATAGCCCCAGCGTGGACTCTTCAATTTTGGGTCAATAGCCAACAGCTCGCTTGCCCCGGCCTTGGCTCGCCAGACAAACTTAGGATATGACAGGGCATATCCAAAGTAGAAGGGTCAAGAATTTCGTCCATGCTGCCCAGACCAAGCCAATCTGGTGCTTGGTTGCGTTACGTTGATAGAATATCGAACTCTGTCCTTGAAATGTTCATAGGCAGCGGAGGCCTGATGGCAGAACATCACAAATGAGCCAGCCCGCAAGTGCGATCCGTGTCGTCCTTTTTACTCTGCAGGTGTGCACTTGCAGGGTGATGAAATTCAGGGAAGGTGGTTTTCTTATAGCCATGTTGGACAACGGCATTGGACTATGGTACATCTCACAACAAACTGTGCACCCTCACTGAAGCCGATTTGGTAAAACGGCAACAAATGGTAGTACATTCCTTATTAAAACGCCATGGAGAACAGAAGGCTGTGGAGTTAAGAGTCGGGAGAAAAACCAATGAATTTGACTATGGGTAATCTGTCGCACAACGCCTAAACTTGATAAGGTAACATACACTGCGTATCTGTCGGACGGCGTTCCGCGACGGCTCATTAACTTCGTCAAAGAACCCAGCTGCTTGCAAACATATTACTTGGCAATCTCCAAGAAGGACGGACTGCGACAACTGTGAGACTGTAGGCCATAATCGTGTCAATAGAAGTATCAGGTCGGTGAGGTCTGGATCGAGTTTACAAACTCGCTCAAGCCCTCTTGTCGCCTTGTCTCTAGTTCCGCTGCCGATTCCATATCGCCACCTTCCCGGTACCATTGCTCTAGAAATTTCATATCACCCCACACCTCACGCTGAGACCCTCGAGCTAGGCCTCCAAATGTCGAATACGGCGCAAGGTCGATTGCCTGTCTTAAATATTGCCTTGCGTACCCGTGCCGTGGATTCTCCTTTGTCGGCTGATCTTTCCACTGGCTCATATGATAATAGGCGAGCGCGCGCAGGCAGAGCCTCCGGGAGTTCACATCCGTCTCAGTCCTGTGAAGGTCGGTGGCAAGATCAAGAACCCGCTCGTCGTGCCAGTCGGACTGCTCCCCTAAAGTGTATAGGGCGTGAATTCGAAGTAGAGGGTGGTCTGGTTCCAGCTCTTGCTTGATCAACGGGAGCGCCGGCGCCTCGATCGCGTGTGCAAATCTTTCCACCGCCGGGTTTGGGTAAGACCGAAAGCGCGAGACGCTGTTTATATACCCCTGGAGGAATGATATGAGGCTCTTTTTCGAAAGATCCACCAACACCATCGATGGGTATATCATCCCCATCAGCTCCGCCAAAAACTCCATGCACATCTCGATCGGATTAGCGTCGAAAAACTCCCGTAGGGCCTGAAGCACGCCGCTCAACCAAGGCACAGGACCGCGCACCACGGCTGAATACTCGGACAGGTACTTCCAGATCAGCCGTTGATGGCCATAATGGGTGAAGGCCATTTGATACATGAGTAGATCGCACAACGCCCATGGGTCCGGGTTCTCGATGATTTTGTGGATGTTGTTAAAGGCCCTGCGCATGAATATACCAGCCTCGGCATTACACCCCTCTTCAAAAAGCCACGACGCATCACGGAGGTGCCTGACGGTTTGATAGAAGTCGGTCCGCGGGTAGTTGGCATAGACTTCCAACGCCGACTTGCTGCCCAGCACCGACTCGGAGCGTGCTGAGAGGTCCCCGAAGGATTTCACCAGTAGTTGTTGGAGGTCAAGAAAGCCCGGGGGACGCAGATTGCTGGGTATCGGCCGCGTTGGCGGCGGGGTGCGCACTCTTACGATTACCGGAAGTTCCTCTGCAGCGTTCAAACTCTCAAGCTCGCTGGAAGATAGTTTGGCCCTCTTGATGTAGGTATCGATGTCGACGACCTTGCCATTGCGCTGGAACATGGTCTTCTTGCCAAATGCCTTGCGCTGCTTCTCCAGCTGGACCATCTTGGCCACGTCTTTCCTGCGGTTGTTCTTGGTATAACCCCATTTAGCAAACTTGTCCTTGTACATCTTCTCACTGCGCGGCGCAGGGGTGGTTAGTAGCTGGAAGTCAAGACGGCATCAGAAGTTACTGGTACGGGCCACATACGTCGCCACAAAGCCCTTGTGCATCATGATCTCTCGGACCTCCTTGAGAGGCAACTCATCGTCGATATACAGACGATGTATCTCAGGTTTGAGCGATTCCCAGACAGCCGGGGGGTGTTGGCCCCGAAACTTTGCCGGCGCGGACAGCTTTACCGCCGAGGAGAGGCTGTTCAAGGCCCGGCCCTCATCGACGGCTGGACTCGAGCCGAGCGACGAAGGAGTGGTGCCTGGACTCCTCTTGAAGATGGGACTGTCCGGTTCAGAGTCCGGCTCACGTTTGATAAGATTTGTGACGAGTGCGCGATGGTCCGCGGTGCTGGCGCCTTGCGCCTCGGCGATGGCTCCGCTTTCTACAGCCATGGTTTGGGCGGACGATCTGCCCCCTACATGATAGCACTCCGGGGGAAGAGGGCAAAAATCGTAATGTATGGGCTCGGGAGCAGCTGCTGAAATGAGCGCCAGATGGAGCGTCCAGTGACTGCGCGTCCCTTGATGACGGTGCGTGAGCGGCCGGTGCGTGAGAAAGGATTGCGCCGCGCTGGTTGCGGCTCTGGTGATATGATGGTCCAGCTCAGCTTGTGGCGTCACGTTGCCCAGACCCGAGGGAGGGGCTCCCGTACCCCTGCCCTAAGTCCACCACGGAAGTCGCTAGCGGAGGCGGAGGCGAGGACGACGACGACAGCAACTTTGCCAGCCGTGCGACTCGCGACCACGGCTTCTTGGCACAACCATCGGAGCCTCGAGGTCGAGGCGAGGTCCTCTGCAAATTGCAAGTGCCCTTTGCTGATTGGCCCGTGAATCGCCTTAATCTGGGGATGCGTGTTACGCTGGAGTCGTAGCACCGTCCCAGTCCCTCGGGAAGCACGAGTGGGCCCAAGGCACCAGCCACACGGACTGGGAGCCGTCGCACTACGCTCCCCCAGTAGCCCGACCAAGTTAATCGGTCACATAGTGGAGTTTACGGTGACAGCCCGGCATCGAGCACTGCGAGCAAGGGCACAGACACCATGTAATTGCGTGGCGTTCGATAGACCGGATGTCTTGACACCAAAAAGGACCACCTGGGTTTGACGAGAGATGAAGCAATGTGCAAGCGGATATGATGTGGCTGTACGAAGTATCATGGATGTGTATAGCAACTGAAGTCCCAGGTGCTGTAGACTGCAACGCGTTTCCTGCGTCGCACGACTCAACCTATATAAACGAAGTCATGTCGCATTCAAGTTTGACACATCACGGTGTTACTTTTGTGTTACGCTGGGAACCGGGTTGAATCCCTGAGCTGGCACCTGAAATCCACCCAGCTAGCTGCAATGCTACATGCTACATCGATGCAGGACTCGACGGTTATACAACCAACACATGACTTCGTGCCGATGCATCCTTGACGTCTTCTCGATGCTTGTATTGAGGTACTGCACTTACCGCACTTGAAAGGGGGCTCGATTGCCCTAATAAATGGCCGGCTATTATGAGAGGCTAAATCGTTGTTCATGTTGTTATGCATCGAAAACAGCAAGTCGCTATCATCACACCTGGCCATTGTCTCACTTGATCGTTGTGACACCGCCGAATTTTAGCTACCAAGTATAGCGATACATGTGACATATAGCTATACAGTTTCATACACAATTCTTGCCCCCCGTGACATAGTCCAAGCCGGGCTTGCAATCCAAGCAGCGATGCAACCGAGAGAACGGCAAGAGGCTTCGGCAATCAAACAATCCTTTATTGTCACCGAGGGATTAAAGGATGAGGGGTGCCCGAGTTCCCACGCGCCGTATACTATGCTCTTGACCTTTTTCATCAAGAAAAGTATAGGATTCAGTTTCTCATAGTCAACACCCCTGTTGTGCGCCCTACAACTATACTCGAACCTCATCCTGTGGAGACAATTATATTATGCCCCTCGAGCACGACCCGGAATTCCCAAATTCTCACGGACATTGCATAAATCGCCACGCAACCGTGCCTTCTACATGGCATCCTTACTTGTACCACCTCGACCGCATCACCTTCCAGATATGCAGCGTGCCAAATGTCCCGTGCAGCTCGTCACCGGCTTCAAAAGCGACACATCCCCCGTGATAGAGACACGCTCCGGCCTGTGATACGGAAATCGCCTGATGGATGTGTTCAGCATCATATCATCATCCACCAGACGCCTGTTGGGCCGCTTGTGACACCGGGATAACGGGGTTGGCGATGCCAAACAAGCAATAAATGCAGGGAGGCGTTGCAGAGATGGAGTCCGGAGGAGTTGTGTTGGTCGTACAAGTGGAGAGGGTAATAAAACGCGGCGGCTCGAGTGAAGAAAAGGGCCCACGGGTTGTGGGTCGTGCTGGAGCGGCAAGGGCCGCCCCATGTGCGCAGGAGGAAGGGTAAAAGGGTAAAACGACATTCTCCTTCCTGCGGGATTCAAATTATGCAGCGGCGCTCGTCCGTACCGGGCAGGTTGTACGACGTTGGCTGGTAGGGCCGACTCGGACCCAGCTCGATCCGGCATCGTGATGTCCACTTTCGGGATGCCGAGATGTTACACACAGGGGAAGGCGGTCTGCAACGGGATTCCGAGGCTTTGACAAGTTACATCAACAAATGTGGATATATTCAGTTCAGGCTTCACCGAAGCCTTCTGCTTTCCCAATGTATCCTACTGCAGCGACCGCCGTTTCGGCTGCCGTATCTACGTGCATATCTATGATACAATCCCTTGTTGTGCGCAATGCAATGTCGACCCAGCCGGCGCATCTATAACATCACAAGACATCATGGTGATCATAATGACCGATACAGTCCCCTGGTTGCCGTACGTGGCAGTGTACATCATAAATCATTCATTGGTGCCTATCATATGACTATCATATGAAAGCGCCATTTCCCCCACGAGGGGGTGACTTTCCTCCCGGCGGTGGTCTTGGCGGCGACCCCCTCGGTGGCGATCCCCGGGGCGGTGTGTTCTGCCTCGAGCCTCCCCGGCTATCATTAAATCGCCTCCGACTGGCGTCGTACTCCGCATATTCAGGATCCTGATCATCATTGCCTCGCCGTGGGGGACTATTTGTGATTCCCCTTCCATATCGCGCGGCTCGCTTCTCCTCGAGGTATACTTCGGGATCATCGTCCTCGTCATCATCATCATAACGGTCCAACACCGGCATGGAATGAGAGTCGCCCTTAACAAGACCCAGCCTTTCCTCCTCCGTCGAGTCCTTGACCTGTGGGCTTGAGTATCCCCGGCTTCCCAAGCCTGCGCGGCTCGATGGCTTCAGGATCGACGAAGGCAGGTGCGCTTCTGGTTCCTGTGCTGCGTCAGTCTGATGCCGACGGAACACATTTTGGAACGAGAACTGCCGACGAGCTGATTGGCCGTCCCCTCTGTGCGCCGGGGGCGTCGGCGGTACGGCGAGTGATGTGCTGCTGTCGCCGGCCTTTCCAAACTGGATGTGACGTCCAGTGCCACCGGACGCTAAGCTGGCAGAACTCTTTGCCAAGGCTTCCGCGGCGCCTCCGTACTCGGTGGTTCGACGAAGGCTATCGGGGAGGCCATAGACGTGCTCAGCTTCGTTCCCGGCTTTCTGGCTCGGGACTGCGATGTCGGTCAGTTGAACGGGGTGCATCGGGCTCTGCATCTTCTGGTCGTTCTGGGCATCCCTAAAATCGGGATGCCCGGGGAGCAGAATGCTCCGTCCCCGGCTCCGAATCGTGCCAGCAATGCTCGACAACAGACCCGGGGACGCTTGGCGGTTCCGCTCCTCCTCCATCTCCTCCTCGCTGGGAAACTGCGACATGCCAAGCGGCAGATGCGGTGTCCTCGGAGGGGCGGAGAAGGGCATGGCGTGTGGATGCGTGAAAGGGTTGATCGAGGATGCAGCTTGGCTCCTCTGGCTCATACTCCGCTGGCTGGCCATAGTTGTCCTTCTCCTCCGGATGCCATCCCATTCATACTGTGTCGTACCGTCTTCACTGAGGGTCTCTAGGCGTTCCCTTTCCTTCTCTTCATGCAGGCGTTTCAGCTCCTCAGCTTCCATCTTCTGGCGTGCAACGGAGATCCTTCGCACAATGGCAGCTGCTCCTCGAATGGCGTCGGCTTTTGGCTCCGTCTCGGGCTGAGCCTGCTCTGCAATGGTGTGTATCTGATCCAGGTCTCCCTTGAAAACGGCGGTGTCGGGCACATCTTTGGCCGACTTGGACAGTTGCAGCAGCACGACCCCGGAACAAATGACCAGGAATCCCATGACCACGGTGATAATGGATGACGGCGTGCCCTTGAAACCTTGGAAGAGCACGGCAGACGTGATAATGGTCGTGCTCGTGAAGTAGACGTAGTACGTGGGGGTGACCATGGCCGCATTGAAAAGATTCAGTGCTTTCTGTCGTGCTGTTAGCGTGGCGTCATAAAACGATAACTCGTCTGGCTTACGTTGAGGAAGATAATCTCCGTCAGCAGCGTCCCTATAACAAAGACGAACAAGACGTAGAGGAACCACTGCTTAAACTGGGACTCCACCTGGCCCTGAGCCTGTGCTACTATGGCAGATCCCAGGCCCTGGGTGGCCACCACACTCAGGCCTCCTACCCAACTGCAAATGGAAATATAAACCATCATGTTCTTCTTGCCCCATCTCGGGCCGCAGTAGAAGGCGGTGATGACGGAGCCTATCAGAATGACTCCCGTGTAGCTGAGAAAGCCTGGCGCAATGACGAACTTCTGCATCTCCTGGATATTGGCCACAGATGACTCCTCTGGCGCGTTCATGACAATAACAACGGACCCAACGATGCAGAGGAAGCAGGCGACCTTGCCGACCATGCTCAGCCGCTCCTTCAAGAAGATGGCCGAGAGAACGGTGGTGATGACGACGGACAGGGCACCCAGCGGGGTGACCAAGATGGCGTCGGTGAAGGCATAGGCGACAAAGTTGCAGATCTCGCCGATGATCATCAGCGTCATGCCGGACCACCAGTAGAAGTTCTTGAGGTATCCATAACCCTCGCCGGCGACCTCGTTGTACTTTTCATTGGCCTTCAGCAGCCCGACCTTCTTCAACACAAACGATGTACCGATGAAAGCGCCGGACGCAATCGCCAGGGATATACCAATGACCTTGAACACCGGAGGCCTCGTCTCTTTGGTCGGGTCTTCTGTCGTTGTCTCGTTGGCGCGGGCGTATATGTTGTGCGCAACCTCGAGGGCTTGGGCGGCGTGGTCCATGATGGACGGCGGTGTGTCGCTGGGGCGACGGCGAGTCGTCGCCGTCTGGCGGGTGGAGTGGCCTGAGGTTTGCGGTCAATCGGCGTCGACTCAGGAGCGTTTTTGGCGCAGCTGTCTTTTCTGCCGGAATGAGGGCGAGTATTCGTTATTGTTTACTTGGGAGAACCAAGGTTTGCAGGTTTGTTGTGTAAGTGTAGCCGGGCAGCATTAGACTCGGGACTGGGAACCAAGGAATGGGTTTGGCCAGGGTTGCGATAAGCCAGCCGATTGTTTGGAACGGAACGGGAACGGGCGCTCGGAAAGAGCAGGTGGCTCGACCAGAATGTGTTCAGGCCCCGGAACGTGGATCGTGTCGCAATGTGCGCGCGCTTCCGACTCCTGGACAATGGGATGGGCGTTGGGGCGGTTGCTCGTAACAAGCAGCTCAAGTGACAGAGGAAGGGGTTGTAACCACTTGAGACAACAGCTGTTGGAGGTGACGCTGACTGGTGCGGCGGTATGTGGTGTGTGGGTGACCAGCAGATACTTCAGATCAAGCTCAGTCAAAGACGGGCTCCCTCAGGCTGCACTTCTGCTACCGGTACCGGTACCTTCTCGTCAGTGCTGTCAATGCCGTCAATGCTGTGCGACTAGACACAAGAAGACATGCTATTGTACTGTAGAGAGGGAGAGAGGACAAAGACGAGCTTCCGCGAACTCGACGACTGACACCACTGTAGAATCGATCGACACTTGAGCCTTCAGATGCAGAGTCGGCCCGCTATGTCATGGCCGCCAAAAACCCACTGCCTTGGGGGGGATAGTGGCATGGCTGGGAGATGGTGGAGGCGGAGACCAAGCAAAACCAAGTTCTGGGCCCGTCGGCTGCGTCGTCTGGGCAGCCATGTGCCACTGATGCCCCTTGTGGCCCCCCGGGTGCCCCTGTCCATCGGGGGCGCCAAGCGGCTGGGTGCTGGCTAAGGTTCGCGGGCCCTTCCCGGAACGGTCTCTAGTGAGCTGCCCGCAGGCCTATTGCTGATCGCCCTGGCGCCCCCACCAGTTGCACACAGTTACCTGGGTAGCCCGCCCGAGATTGGCCAGAGTTCCCCTTGCCGTTGGAAAGCCAACCGTGATAATGTGCGCATCTTATAATATAGTTGATCAAGTTACATATCAGGTCGCCCAGTCCGCGGGGAGACGAAATCGATGCTTGCCGCTGTGGGCACTCGTGCGACGGCGCGCATAGCTGGTCATGTCCTGCCTCAGGAAGCGCTGGCGACATCCAATCGTCACCAGACCACCGCACCACGGCCGGCCAGTTAGCGTTGGACTCTGCCGAGGATACGCACTATTCTGAGAACGCGGGAAACGTCCGGTCGCATCTGACGCCAGACTTCTGCCAAGTTCCAACACATGGCCCCAGACTAACCACCACAGAGCTGACCGTTGAGCCCGTTGGAGTCCTCCCAAGACGGCCGCCAAGTTGCCTCGAACGGGTTACTATAAGCCTGTCAACCTGCAGTGTTGCCAAGTACAGTACTATACGTGCATGGACTTGCTTCTGGAAACATGTGCCAGACTGCCAGACTGCAGACTACAGGGCTGATCGTCGTTTCATGACCCTCAATGATTTGGGGTCTGCCAGAGAAAGGCTGGTTCCAATCAAGTCAGGTGTTGCTTCCAACCGACGCTCTAGATCTGGTCAATCGTTGCAGCTTGCAACACAACTTAGATACTCTCGAGTATGGCCCTCATTGACTACTATCAGCCTTTTGCATCATTGCCATCAGGACGCTCTTTATCGAACCCATCTTTGTCGGTGATGCGAACCCATTTCGTCTTGGTAACGACAGTTCTCAAGCACAATGACGATTCCCCACGTCTCGGAGAGTAGATCCTCTACGCTTCTGGCCTGCGCTGCAACCCCATTTTCCCTTTCGGGCAACACCCTGTACCTTCTAGTTGGTGATGCTAGGGTAGTAGTGACAGGCGCATCTCTACCAAAGATCTGGCATTTGCATGGTGCTGCAGCGCTCTCCATCAGCTCCGGGCTGAGCTCGATATTGACTAGGTATCACCTACGTATTGGAATTCGGACGATCCACCACAGCCAATCTCGACAAGCCCTGGTGCGGAAATGCCATTACTAGGAGTCCACATTCAACATTAAGCTATCTTGGAGCGGGTTATAGTGCGTTTTCCATGTCTCGCCTTGGAAAAGTAGAGTGAGGGGCCGTTCGGCTTACAGGCACCTTTTGCTCTGCTACTTGCGGATGGCTGTCTTCAAATCACGCTTGAGAGAACCCCGAAATACGGCTTTCATACGAGGATTTCACCCGCCCGGAAGATGCTTCGCACACTCAGCTCGTCAGGGAATGCGACGTGGTGACGCGTAACCCTCCAAAGGCACTTGTGCTCGAGGCAGGCATAGGACTTCGGCAGGACGAAAGACGGTCGCCATTGGTCACAGGTCCGTGCTGCGACGTGGGCGAGTGGCTGAGCCACGATTGAAACATCCAGTACGGAACCGACGCTGCAACCGCTCCCAGAGTGCGGAAGCGGAATGCGAGGTGTTACTGAGTGCCCCTTACATCTCACGTGCTCGAGTGTGTGCACTACATTCTGGTACAGACCTTTCCTGCCCAATCGCCGGTTGTGGGCACCTGTCATAGCGAAAGCAGTGCCTTGCGGATGCGCTGACTTGGATCTGAACTCTCTGCCTGGAATTATTGAATGTATTACAGCGCACCGGCAGCATTGCAAAGGTAAAACAGTCATCCATGCAGATCTATGAACGGGCACAGGACCATAGTATCGAGTCCGCTTGGGCAATACCAAGCTGGCCGATAACAGTGGCCCTTTTTCATTAAGGCCATCACTCGATGCTTGCATACTTTATGCCTTCACCACAGACCCTGAGCCAAGAACAAGGCATTCGAGGGACTGGGTGCTGTATCAATCTGCTGCCGTTCTACGATGGCGACATTTGTACTATTCAAGCCTTTGTTCTCGACCGCTCCGTGGCGTCCATAGCGGCTCAGCCGCTGACGGAAACCAGTTAGCGCTTGGTGTCCGCGTGGGGTGAACGACTATAGCTGGATTGTGAAGCCGGCCAACGACTGCTCCTCAACTAACCACGAGTTCACGTTCAATCCAGTAAGCGCTGATTGGACTGGCCGTCTTGCGACAAATTCTTTGCCCTTCAAATACTATTTCTCAAGCCTACTGGCACGTCGTGGCCTACTTGAACTATCTTGACTTGGTCACCGAGAGGCTTTTTTTTCATGGCTCTAACTTGGTTTGTGCTTGGACAGCCAAGACATGCTCTGCGGACGTATAGAGGCGTCCTGACTTCTTAGCATCGACCCAAGCACGCGGCTCGAGTACCTATAAGCCTTGACCAGCCGTGTTTCCTGCGCAGCTATCGGCTACACTAAGTCTATCTAGCCTTACCCGCGATGTCTGATTCCGGGACGAGCCCGAGTTCTCGATGAGGACTGGGCTAGCGTAGATGGCGTACTGGAGCCGTAGATCTTAGACAACCACCATGAGTTCTTTATGAATAAGCGGTAAGCCCTCCCGCTCCGATGGCTTGTGTTCCCGTTTCTTGATGCGATTGTGGGCTGGATCTACTGCTTTCTTTCAACATGATGCGCTCTATGACTGCGCTCTTTACGGTGTGCGCCGTGGCGGCGTCCGCAAGGAGGCATGGTGTATCACAGAGTGGCGGCGGTGACGTTAGGTCTGTAGGTACAGAGATCAGCTTTTCAGAGGCATTTTTCTCGTTCTTCACGAGAAGGGAGGCTGCTTCTGGTGGAAGCTGCGGTCCCTCCGCTGGTAATGCTGTTTGCGCGGCGGGTCTATGCTGCTCAGCTGCTGTAAGTGGCAGGACGGTGACGATGTCCCTATGTATCATCCATTGACCCCATCGTAGGGTATATGTGGCACGGGGGCCGCGTTCTGCAGTGCGCCAGACTGCCAGCTATCATTCGGGCCAGCCTGTGATGGAAACCAAGCGCCAACAGGGAGTGATACGTCGAAAGTCCCGCGCCCGGTGCTTGGCAATGTCCCGTATGGGGTCTCCATCAGCCATTGTACTGTGAACGGGAAGGTGGCGCTGACTTTCGACGACGGCCCCTATATCTACACCTCGGAGCTGCTCGATACTCTGAAGAGGAACAGCGTTAAGGCGACATTCTTCGTTGTTGGAAATAACGGCGCAAAGGGGCATATCGAGCTGGCCTCTACCGGGTATCCCGCCATTCTGCAACGAATGTACGCCGATGGCCATCAGATCGGAAGTCACTCATGGAGCCACCAGGACCTCGGGAAGGTCACGGCCCAGCAGCGTCGAGATCAGATTCTCAAGAATGAGGTTGCCCTGGTGGATATTTTGGGCTTTATCCCCACATACTTCAGGCCGCCGTACACAAGTTGCCCTGATGATTGTCTGAAGGACCTGGGCGATCTGGGATACCACGTTGTAAGACGACCACTTATCTTGCAGACGTTGTAGACTGATGCTGACACCTCTTACAGGCTAACTATGACATTGATACCCGGGACTGGCAGGGCGACTACACGTATGCGCAAAACACGTACAATACCATACTAACACAGCACAGTCCGGGATCATCATCCTGGATATCGCTCGCGCACGATATTCAGCCAAATACTGTCCACAGTTTTGCACAGTACATGATTGACCAAGCCCATCATCTCGGCTACGAGCTCGTGCCCTTGGGCCAGTGTCTGGGAGACCCTGAGGCCAACTGGTACCGTGATCCAGTAAGTGGCCAGGCCTGGACCGGGAAGTCTCAGCAGCAGTCATCCTCTTCGTCGGGCACCCAATCAAGTGCACCTGCCACTGTTGCGATGCAAAGCCCTGTCGCCGCCCACGCTTCTCCAGCGTCGACTTCCTCGGGCGCCTCGCCGTTGACGCTGCTGACATCGCAAGCTCTGTCGATGAGCGTCACCCTGTCACTGGTGTCGACCTTGCTCGTCACTGCAACGTCAGATCCCACGGTGCCAACGCCGACTCCCGCCGCTGTGGGTGGTGCCTTTGCCGCCGGGACGGACAACGATACATCCTCGTCCGCGTCATCAACGATAGCTGCCAACGCCACATTGGAGCCTGCGGCAAGTGGAGCGGTGGACTTGAGCTCGTCGGCTTTTGGATTTGTGCTGGGGTTCTCGGCCCTCTTGTGGCTGTACTGAACTCTCTAAGAGCGAGTACCTTGGGTACATAAGGAGTTATGTTCGCAGTCTTAGCTGATCCCCGTCGACTGTCCCGGCAGTGTCGTGATCCGAGGACGGGTGTTTGGCTTAGTGAAAGGACTTAACGATGAAGATACGAAATATATTATGGTCTGAATTTCTTTGTATATAATATAGATGGCGGAAACATACGATAGCAGGGCGGCTTATTGGCGTTAGGCGTAGGATATATGAAGTTACTTCTTCTTAAGCTGTTCTAGATATTCACCGTGCATGGGATGAAAGCATCGAGCTCGCACAGCTGGGCTGTCCTTCTATAGAGCCCCAAGGTTCGGCGGCAATCAGATGGTCGCATCTAAGTTTGCGCAAACCTTCTCGCTCACACATCGACTCGCGAAAACCCTCGAAACGCTAGTTCAAATACAAATAGGGCAGTGCCAGCAGAAGCATCGTTCCTTAATATGCGAAGCATCGAGACGTAGAAACAAACAGATTCTGACATGAAATTTGATGTTCTGAGCTGCTTGACATGAACGTTTCAATTTCACGACATGGAAGCCTCAAGCACTATCAAGTACAGAGCCAACTCCGACGACAGCGCGCTGGATGATTGCTATTTCCCTTGCAGTAGGATTTCCCTCTCCCAGCCTCTCGATGCACCGATACTGACGTCTCGGCAGATGCCGCCTACCTCAAAGCCCAAGTCAGTCGAGACTGGGAGGACTATTGCGCCGCCGGCAACGCCTTCGAGACCTACTGGAACAACTGCCTGTGCTGCGTGCAAGCGAAGCTGGACAACGGTTACAAGGCCGAGGACTACCTGGCTAAAGACTTCGCAGGCCAGCTTGCGATATGCGAGTCAAATGCTGCCGCGAAGCCCGCCAAGCTCTGGGAGCCTGCCCCTTGTACGATCCCGTCATCAGCTCCCGCCACGCCGATAGTCACCCCGTTCCCGACACAGACGGTATGGGGCATCGGCGCACCCCAGGACTCCTTAGGAGTTGGGGTTTCGACAACATACGCGCTTAGCCAGCTGCGGCCCAACCATAACCAGCGTCCCGAAATCACGATTCCCACGATCTCTGCAACACCGACCGGAGCTAGGACGACGCTGACGACGGTCACGTCCAGCCGCACCTTTACGGACAAGTCAGGCCATTCCACTGTGTTGCTCGCCACCGAGACACTCTTGACGATTATTGGGATGGAGAGCACGGCCACATCGACACCTCAAAGTGAGGCCGAAGGCGTAACAGGAGGCTACGCATGGATAGCAGGCCCTGTGGTAGGCGGCTGTGTGTTGGCGCTTCTTTTGGTGCTGCTCGGGTGGCTGATACGGAAGCGGCGGGCCTCCAGAGTTGATGCGCGTGTTGGTCGGCAGGACCATTCGGAAGATGATGGGGATGCGTTTCACACCCACGAGCTCCCATCCAAGTCCATACCAACCCCAGAAATTGATGGGAAGGTGGCAGTCTTCGAACTAGACACTTCGGAGGTCAAGTCAACCCAGTGAATACACTATTCTAGTCCATCCATGGAGGATATTGAATCATATTTGTTTGGTTTGGAGTACGGAATCAACGGAGGGATGGGATATTGTACCCATATCTCTCCAGTAAGCCACCACCGTGTGGCTATGCCTTTCTATAGTGTGCTGTTTTGAATGAAGCCTCACATAGTCGCAATTCTCGGGTGCGTAAAGCCATCAAGTGGGCCTGGACAGGAAACAGAGATCGTCAGGCCTTTGAAACATCTCCATCTGCCACCTTGACTTTCCGCCACCGGTTCCAAGGAGCCGAGAGCCGCCGTATCAGTTCGCGCGAAGGCGCATACTGCCAAGCCAGCAGAACCGTGAGCGGCAGCGTGCACACGACGTACAGCCAGATCCAGCGGCTGACGCTCAGGTCGCCCTCGTCCCCCGCGACCTGGAAGAAGCCCATGCTGAAGAAGGTGGCCATGAAGGTGGCCGGCAGGAAGACGATGGTGACGAAGGCGATCCGCCGCATGAGCACGCTGTCCTCGCGGGAGTCCCGCGCCATGTCGATGTTCAGGTCGTTGTTGTAGTGCGAGATGACGGCGTTGACCACGTTCCACTGCGCCGTGATGCGCGCCATCAGGTCCGTGATCTGGGCTGCCTGGTTGTGCTGCTGGCTCACACGCAGGTCGAGCGCATCGGCTAGCTGTTGGGCGTGTCGTCTCGACGGAATATGCGACTCGTGTTGGGACCGGACCTCTTCGAATCGCCAGAGGGACTCCTTCAGGAACTGGAACAGTTCGCCCGTGTGTACGGACGCGCGTTTGGTACACCGGAGTGAGTCTTGCGTCGCCGCCATGTCTGTCCTGAGACGCAGCTTCTCGCGAGGCAGGGGTTTGATGCCGTGGAAACGGAGCGAGGAGACTCCGGTCGAAGACTCGAACTTCTGGACGGCGAAGTCTAGCTCCCAACGCTCTTGTTCGACTTCTCGAGCCCAGACACACGCGAGGGAGTGCAGGATCGCGAATGGGGTCACTTGTCCCTGACTATAGAACTGAGCCACAAGTTGCTGCATCTGTTCCTCATTAGAGGTTCCAGCAGTCACGACCAACGCTGTCTGGCTGTGGAAGTCATATCGCGCATACACGAAATGCTCGTAGGTCCACTCGCAGAGCTTGAAGCAGATGTGATAGGCGCACGGCTTGTCAGGCTCGAAGGGAGCTGTGCATGGTACCAGGGGATTGTCGCCGCAGTAGGAAACGTGCTGGAAGCTCGCTCCGTTATTTTCATGGAGGAGTTCCAGGGCCGTTGGTGGGACCATGCATGTACTTAAGAGCGCCAGCCAACTTTTTACGGGCATTGCTATCTCGACGAGGGTCGACTCATCGAAGTAGCGACGACGCTGATCGAGGAACAGAACCCTCGAGGAACCATGTCCCAATGCCGACGGGTCCAGGATCATCATAGCACTAGATTCCCGAGTATCAACTTGGAAATGAAAAACCCCGTTATTACTGAGGTCGAAGCATTGCAATGGGAGACCCGGCTCGGGATCTTGAGGAAAGCAACTGTCATCTTCGATCAGGTCTAAAGCTGCATCAACGTTCATAATGGACGGGATGAAGTAGCGACTGTTCTTAGGCCAGGTAGGTTCCCCGTTCAAAGCATTTCTGGGCTCCATGCCCGGATCATTCTTCGCGCATGGGGGATCAGTACTAGCCATCCTGAAGTGTGTATGCGTTGATTATTCCTTTGGTGTACTGAGAGTGATAACCGCCCTGTATCAAAACAGTCGATCTATAAGGCTTTGACATCGAAAGGTCTACTTGCGGTCTTCGTCCGCACGGCTTGCAAGGATTTCAACAGTGGTGGCAGTTTTCACAGGTGCGGCTGAAGGCAGGCACATCGACTTGTGGCGCGTGGCGCGTGAAGCTGAAAAGCAATTCCACGATAATCTAAGCGGGGAATTGCATCGAGCTATGCTACATCACATCAGTAACCAAGGGGGGTATCCAATTGTGATTAAGATGATTAATTTATGTAGAATAATACTGTATGGATCCAAACCCAGTAACCCCATAACTTCTCTTAACGCGTAGAGGCTGACGGGAATAAAATGCCCACATAAGCGATTTCGTAAGCTCATCAGTTCGCCTTTTGCTGTATTACCGTAGTGAAAGTTATCCATCTCCTGTTTCTGGTCTAGTTGATCCCGGTTACGAAACTGGTATCAATATCTTGCAAGATCTCGCTGACTTGCTGGTCTGTCATATTAACATTTGCTCCTGGTGGGAGTATGTCAAGAATATCCTGCGCCGTGGATGTTGGCACAGTTGCCGATGATCCGTTAGGGGCAGTGTACAATGTCTGCTGCTGTGCTCCGTCTAGAGACACAATGGGATTCGTGTTCGAAGCGGGAGCGGTAATTGCAGCCTTAAACTTCTCAAGGAGTTCTGTATCATCCGCTGCAGTCTTCTGCATCCCCATTATCGCTCGTGCACGCTCGCGCAGTTGGTCATTACTTGGCATCATGCCCGTCTTGATTGTTTCGCGTTTGACGTACTCCGTCAATCCATTTTCAAGCTCTCTCGAGCAGAAAATCTTGGCCGGTGCTGGGTATCGTTGGCCAAGTGTCTGCAAGTAGCGGTTGACAATAGCCGCGTCGGGCTCGAAAGGTTTCGCATTATCCCTGCAGAAAATCTTTGGGTTCTCTTTCAGAGGTTCGACGGTGGTATTCGGGCTGAGCGATACAAATGGGGGCGCGAACCCGGTGCCTCCCTCTGCGGCAGTCCATGGCAAAATGTCACAAGTCAACCCGGGACCGGACTCCGGGGGTAATATTCCAACGTCGCGTTTGAAACGCTGTAACCATTCGGCGTTGTCTGCGGCAGTCTGATTCCATGGATCATCTCTGATTACCAGTTAGCTACGAGCGGCACCAGCAGTGGGTTGGGGCTAACCACATACTCATCATAGATAATCCACCGAGCTTGATGTTGTAGTTCTTCGTCTGTAGGCACGTGGCGATTTGGGTTGTTCGCAGACATTACGGAGTTCGCATACCGAGTCAACCCCTTAGCCAAGCGCTGGAAACAGTTCGCGTCATTGAGGAAGAAGGGACCTGGCTTAATGGCTCGCGCTGGTGGGGTGAAGGTTGCTGTCGCAGTGGGTACCCCCTTCGGAGAACGAGAAGTCTGCAAGCTATACAGCTGCTGAAAGGGGGCCGCTCGGCTGCTTGATGGGGACCCGCTAGAAGTGGTGGCAGTGAGATCTGTATCGATAGATGAGTGACGTAGCCTGAAGTTAGCCAGCCACTCCGAGTCGTCTGCAGCTGTCTGATTCCAGTTATCATCATTATCGTAGATGATAAGACGGGCTTGCCGTTGCAGATCGGCATCCAGAGGCTCGACGCCCATGGACCTTTGGGTCTGGATGAACTCTCCCAACTCACGCTCCAGCCTACTGAAGTTGTGGATTGTCGAGTCAATCAGGCTTGGATCCGTGGATCGGTGATTGGAGTCAACAATGTCTTCACTGCGTGGTAGGTGTGCTCGCTTGCGGAAATCTTCGAGCCATTTCGTAGAGCTGTGGATGAGACGTAAAATCCAGTTTGCGACATCTTCGGATGGACTTGAAGACTTCTCTTCCATTCTCCCAATAATCTTGCAGGCCTCGACTTGCAGCTCATGATCCATTGCTGTTAGACCAAGCAAGGAACGGGCTTTGACATATTCTTGCAACTGTTGTTCGAATTCGCAATTCTCGAAGATGTTGTTTTTCCCATTGACAGACAGGCTGGTCATCCGGTTCTCGGACTGTTTCTTAGATGACTGATACATGGCGGCCTGAGTGACATCTCCTCGAGAGAGGACCAGGTCACGAAGCCACGACGGGGCTTGCTGCGAAGGACTTCGCGACAGCATGTCTGCCCCTAAGACGATTCGGCAGGCCTCTCGCTGAACTTCATCGTCTGTTAGTGACCGGCCGGTATCCTCAATGATATTATGAGCCCAGTATTGAAGCTCGAGTTTGAGCAGTTCGTAAGCATTGCTTGGTGATGATGTAGGGGAAGTATTCTGGCTGGCCATGTACGGCATCGGGCTGTTCCTATCGTCGTGGATCAAGTCTGTACGGGCGCATTAGAAAGATGAGGCAAATGAGTGTATCGCGCAGGTCTCTCACAGGGCGGAATGGAATTTTCGACCATATCGACGACCGGGGCATCGAAACCCCAGTCACCCTTCCAGTCAGCCATGGTGTTACCAGTCTTGAAATGTTCGGCAAGGTGATCCACTCGTGCACTCCAGCTGTCCATAACGATGCCGCAGAAACCACAGCGTGACCTTATTTCAGGCGATGCAACACGCCACTTGTCCATGGACCAAGGTAGAAATTTGACATTGTGAACCAGCTTGAGATGCTGCCGAAGGTGATCTTTCCGGTAGAATGTCCTCTCCTCCTGCGTTCGCTCCACACAACCAGAGAAGTTGTGTGATTCAATGTGCAACTCGTCAGGGTTGGTTTCTCCGCAGAAGACACAGCTCATGAGTCCATTCTCAGGATTCAAGGCTTTGGCGCCATCCGGCGAGCATACCCACCGCTCGAGGGAAAGATGAAGGGATTTTTCGTGTCTCTGCCAATCGTGTTTGGTTCTGAAAGTTTCGGTACAGAAAGTGCATTGAAAGGTCTTGAGAGGTTGAAGTAGTGCTTCATCCGATGGCCTCGGCGGGGCCCTTCTACGCCTCCGCCTTCCTCGGTTGCTTCGAACAAACGATGGCAGCGAGCCGAAAGAGCCACGAGATTGGTGAGACATGGTAGAGGCGAAGGAGCCCCCACTCGAGCCATGGGAGTTTGAGAAACTGCTCGCGGACGACTGGTTGCACAGCGACCTGCTTGATCCATCATCCGAATATCCTGAGATGTAGGGGCTGTTTCGTCCCGAGCTGGATGACACTGCTGAACCGGAAGCCGACACGGCCCTGGCAATGGCCGTCACGGAGGCAGGTTCGTTCTCTGGCGGAGAGTTCTGCCAACGCTGCAGCGGGTTCATGTGCTCCAGAGACCGAGGCGTACCCCTTCGCTGGGGAATGTCGATGGCCTGTATGTATCCGCGGCCCACGTGTGGCGAGGTAGAACGAGTCGGTTGGATCTTGCCCCGACGTCGAGCATTGGCAAGCCAATTTGTAATCTGAGTCTTGTTGAGACCAGTAATCTTCTGTAGACTTTCTTTCTCATCCTCCGTTGGGTATGGGTGACGACTGTGCGTCGAAACCCAGTTCTTCAGTATCCTGACGGACTCCCTGGAGAATCGCGCCCCAACCTTGGCCATGGGCTTCGACGACGAGAAGTTTCCTTCCGCATCGATATGAACTCCAGACTCTAGCGGGTTGAGTGTCCGGTTTGTGGCCGCCGCCAAGTCATCCTCATGGAGGATTGACGTCTCTGGACGATCGCCCATGATCGGCCAAGGATTGGCAGGAAAGGTTTCTCCAGCCTCTGAGCCAGCGGCGTGAAGTCCGTCAGGCCCAAAGCTGCATTCGCACCTCAAGGCAACACAGCTCGTGCAGTAGCCCTTGTACTGACCCTCACGCAGACGCTTGCACTCGTATCCACGTCGGCGGCAAGCCTCACAAGGGGCTTCTGGGAACTCCCATTTCATCTCAACTGGAATTGGAGGGTTGAAGTCTGGTAGGTTCAAGGCCGCCAGGGGATCGTCCAAGTTTGCCATGGGGGCATCTTGGGGGGCCTGGATGGACTCGAAGTGCTCCAAGGCCCAGTAGGACCAGTCATCGCCTTCGACATCTCCGAGCACGAGATCCATGTTGTTCTCCTCAGGTTGGTTGGGCACGCCCTGGGGATTCTGAAAGTCAAAGCCGGTGTCAGCGCCAGCGGCATCCCAATTGATGAAGTCCATCACGGACTCTTCCTCGATGGTAGTCATTTAAGGGCGTAGATGACCAGAAGCCGAGAATCGGGATGCACCGTGGTCCCTAGACCTAAGCATGGAAGGGCGCCACTAGGGTCTTGTCCTTTAATGCCGTCAGATGTCGATTGAAAGGCGCGGTTCTTGCTGTTTCACGAGATCTGGCAACACCAGCTCAGGATGAAGAAGAGGGAAGTGAAAGGTACAAATCCGGACCGTAAGCGGGTCTCCGGGTCTAATAGCAACCACAACAGGAAGCACCAGCAGCCGACGTCGAAGGGGGTCAGAGTCATAAGAGCAGACCCCGGACTAGCCTGCAGCGGTCGACAACGGGCACCGGCCTGGCTTGGCTCGAGGGCGTGGCCAGATTTTCGTCACGGTTCGTCGAAGCTCGCTGCTAGCAACTGACCGCCGGAGTTAGAGGAGGCTCAGGCTGGCCGCAGAGAGCCCACCGGGAGCGTGAGAGTGGCCCGCAATGGGACTAGGGTATAAACGGCTGCTGCATGTCGCGCCCCACGTCATGTCAAGAGTGCGCCCTTCGTTGACGAGCCCCGCGAGCAAGGCGCCGCGCTTGTCGAATACGGGCAGTCTCAGGCGGGGGATGGTGCTCTGCGGGGCACGGCGATTGGCCGCCTTCTCAGTCAACTCGCGGACTGCTGCGACCGTACGGCAAAGTCCAGGGCACTGTAACGCGGTGCCGGAGCTTGCCCTCTGCTCATTACTAATCCCGAGGACGAGTTGTTATTTCCAAAGGATTCCCATTTGCTTGACTACAAGGCTGCCTTTCCAATGTCTTATCATGTTGCATATGGCAATACCATAGGACAGCCACAACATTACTGCCGGGTAGAATGCAAGTAGTTCGCCTATAGTACAGCCTATGGTGGTGCCGAGGAGGGCGCCTGCTTCTCGGGAGGCCATTGGATTCTAGTGATCGAAAGCGATAGAATCCACGGAATTCGGCGCTGGTGCACGCCTCGCCCCGAACATTTCCCCCGAACAAAACCCGCTTGAGGTTGATACCTGCAATCGCTATCTGCCATACCTAGTAGCAGTCAGCCGCTTTTAGTGTGGCACTTATCTTGATCTTCGATAGATCATGGCGACGACCAAGACGACCTAGTATGACTCGAATTTGAGTCCCAAAAGCTAGCCCCTCCGCCGGCGAGCCGGCCAACCGGCTATGTTCCAACGGCGGAAGGTGGGGCCTAGCCGGAGTGGATGTGAAGTTCAGCAGACCTTGAACTCCTCTCGAGCCTGGGACGTATTCTGAACAGGACTCTGAGCAAGAACATCGGCGCAGTTCTCTACCGTGTTGTGCAATATGGTATCCCAGCTATTCTCGGGCATCTCTTGTGGTATAGTCACCACCTTTAGCAGATGACCACAGTGCCTACGACCCGAAGAAGAAACCCAGGCCAGGATAGGATGAGCCAATCCCCGAGGAAATGTGATTCCCCGTCTCGGCCGGCCCACTTCTGTTTCCAAACGCTGTTCGGAGTCGGCGTTCCAACCAACGGCTTACAGGGATCCAGACCGCCGGGGCACTGTTGGCACTCGTGCTCATGCTACCCTTGGGCCGCGCTCCGAGCCGTTCTCACCCTGGCAGGCCTGGCAACTCTCCGCAGCTGTTGAATGAAGGTCGATGAGCCTGCTTTTCCTTTTGTCTCCTCACACTGTGAATATTGACTTGATATCACCCTGCAATTGACTTATTGCCTGCATAATAACGACCTACGTACCCGTGTTACCGTCAATGCCCACTGCAGAAGCAGCGGCGGTCAGACCCTGGGCACTTGTCCATATGAATATCGACAGCGGCAGCGGCGACGGGACCGAGTAGCAGTTGATAAATAAGACCCAGTCTTGGAAAGGCTTGTTTACTGGGATTATGTTTCAGACACTTGTACCTGAATCCTACAGGGCCCAGACAACCAAGCTGCCAGGCATGGGGATAGGTATTGATCTGATTGATCTGCAGATGCAGAAGCCAACGACATCTTCCGCCCATGCATTGCATCCCACGTATACGTAACTACGTCACATTCATGATCTATATCAACATCAGCCTCGTATAGCCCTGCACTCTGGATATAGCCCAACCCGGTCTTTTGAACTCGTTAGAGGCAGTGTTGCATCCTTGCGGAGACAGGCAATGGGGAAGACCCAAAAACACGTCGACACGCAACTCTACCTACGTCCGAGATAGACCATTATAAGGCCGTTCAATGTCGAAGATTCAGATTGGCGGCTGCACGTAGTGGGAGCTCGGTACCGGGCAGTTGTGATCCCTAATTCCGCCACTTGCGTGATGTCTGTGAACATGCCATTCAGGCATATGCCCATGGTCAAGTACAGCCGCAGTCTAGCAAGGCAGGACACATGATCATGGTTTCACTGAAAGACTGAAGGTATTTGAGCGACAATAGGCTGGTGTCTGGGGACGATTGCCATGTCGGTAATACTGTTATCTATTATTATCAATCAACCCGACACTTCGTCAGGCATCCCGCCTATCCAAGTCGCCAGACGCTCCCCAAGGCCCGTAAAATATGTGATTGTACTGGAAAAGGTATATAAGAAGTCATGATTGTCGTTCCCTATAGATATTTATTTGAAACAAACGCTTGCTTCCTTGTATCCAGAGGGGTCCAGCGTGTCGTGATCTTTGGGCGGGTTGGCCCCAAACCCCAATGTATGCGCTCGTAGCGCCGGTGAACTGTTACGATTCATTGACAATAGCCGCATGCGTTTCTTGCCCGTTGTTTGGCGCATACAGAGCCGTCTTGTTTTGTGTACCTCCTTTTAAATAGCAGTTGCCCGGCGCAGTTCCCTCGGTTGCGAAAGTCTTGTTTGTCCAGGCGGGAATGAAGCTGACGGCAGAGCAGGTTTGATTCGTCGCGTTGGCGCTGGGGAAGTCCGTGGGGATGTAGTAGCTGTATGAGGAACACGCGTCCATGCAGTCGTCCAGGTTAGCAACGAATAGCGACTGCAGCGGAGCGTTGGGTGTGTCCTTGTTGCAGTATATCGTGTATGTTGCTTGGTTGAAGACTAAGGGTCCTGAATTAGCGAAGATCGAGGCCCGAGCCGTCATAGTATACTCACATGTTGACGTGTACGAGGACCCAGTAGTGCTGCCCGCGTTCGACGTGCAATTCCTGTCCAGCGTGTTGAAATCTGTTGCTGTCGAGGGAGGTGCCGTCACTGTTGTTGTGGCCCCTCCGCTTGCCAACTTAGATTCCGCATCGCTGGCGCGACTCGCTTCTACTCCTGTGCCTGCTGCCAGTCCTATCACTGCCGCCGACAATACTGCGATTATAGCCGAGAGAATGAAAACGAGAACCGTACAGCCGCAGATGGTGGCTTTTTTCGACTGCCTGCCTGGATCTGATTGCGCGGTACCGTATGCCGATTGGTGATCATACGCATATGTCGGCGCGACTGGGTGGCTAGGAGCATATCCTCCTCCTGCTCCTCCGCTGAAAGTCGAATCTTCCCTTTTTATCGACGGGTGCAGCGTTTGATGTTGTTGTGGAAACTGGCCGTACTGTGCTACTTCTGGGTGCGCCGGTGGTTGGTGGACTTCGGGCAAAGCATGCGGAGCAACTTCCGGCGCTTCATCGTACTTTGTGACGGTAAGTTAGCGGGCGTATTGGACGTAGCTGTTTGGTACTGTGTCTTACTCTTGGAGCCATTGCAGCGACAATGGACAAGCAATTTGGTCGCGGAGTCGCGAAGCAGCGTCACGATGTATCGTAGCAAAACCAGAAGAAACAAGGCGAGAGGATGGCGGGATTTGAATGCTGTGGAGTTCTGAAGGATTCACGAATCCACTCAATCCCGTGCACCCAGACCAGGCTACGATGGAATTAACAACGAGGCTTTCCGACTTTAGGAATGGTGCTCTTCTTGATGGTCCTCGGATGCCCTGGCCAATTTCATGCGCATCACCTGTGGTTGGTAGAGATTTCAAGACTGACGATCAAATGACAGGGGACTCCTGGTGCAACCCCGCGAGATGGGGAGCGAGATCCGCCAGGCTGGTACATCGCACACAGGATACGAGTTACAGGGTGACAAGATGCCATCCAATACTATGTATGCCACTCGGTCTCACCTCTTGCTGAAGCTTGCGTTCACTCATGACTGTCTTGGGTCGAAGCGCCCTGAAGCGCAGCAGCCTGCAGTAGCCCCGAGTTGGGAGGCGCAGCTGGCAGTGTCTATTGAAAGATCTACAGATTCGGCGAAAGTCTCGACTGCTCGACATTGCTTTTCCTGGACAACAGCTTCCGGTAACGCACCAATCATAGATTCAAGCAGCCCAAGATACGACGAACGGCTTTGACGGGGCACACCTGATGAACGAGCTGATCGTGGTGGAGAAACGGCAGTTCAAGGCTAGTTCTACCGCCGCCATCCTTGCATAACCCCTAACTAGGCAATCTAACCTTCACTCAACGGTCGCAAGAGGCTTGGAGCATGCGTTTGGACTCCTGCTTCCCGCAAACAGATCGTAGTTCAACCGTGAAATTGATATTATATCTCACTTTGGCGCCACTTTACAAGCTGGAACGGAGGTACATAATACATGCTGTGGGCAGCTCTTACCGAGAGGAACCACATCTGGCAATGACAAATTCGAGTTTTTCAGGACTAGTGCTGACATCAGAAACCGTAAGGGCCAGTTAGGGGCAACCAGCCAGATGCGATGTCTAGAGAGTGTGGTCGCGTGGCCAAATAAGAAAAGAAGAAGAGCCATTACGATACCGATCGAATGCCCGTCATCTTGTAGCGATGTACATGACCAAGCGCAATACAGTCACCACTGATGATTTTGCAATGCTCAGCTCCCCTCCCCTCTGATAGGATAATGGAATGCTTGAAGCGTTGGGGGTGGTGGCAGCTCATGACGTACCATGCTTCATTCGTTCACGTTTTGGGAATAGCTTGTACTGGTCTTCAAGTGGTTCATGTTTTTGGATATAAACGGACGCGGACTGTGAGTTTCATGGTCCTATACCAGCAGCAAGAAGAATCAGTTAACATACAGCTCGCTGCTTACTTCATTCATCGAGTCCTGGAGCCGCCTCGAGTGTATGAAGGATGAGATACATTATGATATTTACATATTTATCCTCTTCGATGATGTGCCCCTCTTGCAGGTGTTGCGGACCACAGAGTTTTCTTTCAACATGTCCCCTATACTCCCCCGTGATGGTATAACTTCGCTTCGACCCCCGCCCAACCTTGCAGCAGTTTCATCTCTGCTGTGCCCTCCTCAATTTTATCCTCAACGATATATACCGTTTCCCCGTTAGGTTTATTAGCAACCCATTTGTTCCATCCCTGCCAGTCCTCTCCACCGTACCGATTCGCATCGTTTCCGCTAAGAAAGTCCCAGCCCTTCAATGCTTCAGGCTGATACACAGTCTTGTCCATATCTGCATAATCGTTTGCATTCTTCGCCACAGCAGCGCCCTTCTGCTCCACTCTGTATCGCACAGATGGATGGATAAACTCACACGTCTCGACCAGCCGTCGAGATAATGTCGCCCCAGTATTAGGGTCAGTAGCGTGGTACTCACCGGGAGTTCGTACTGTACGGCCTGTGATCGCCGCGTCGATGCCTGCATCGGATGGCTGCATCAGACCCATGGCCCAAGAGAGAACGGGGACGGGAGGGTCCCTCCCCTCGTAGAAGCGAACATTCTGCTCGCGCTGGCGCGAGATGTAGGAGGTATCAAAGTCCAAAAAGGGCGAAAGTTGTGTGATCATCCAGGCGAGCGTAATATCGGCTGTGGATGTATCCGCATACCCGCCGCCAACGCCCTTATGCACGCCGGGAAACCACGTTTGTTTGAGTTGCTTCAGAATGGCGCCTGAATCATCTCCAGGCGTCTCCCAGATGGGAGGCGAGAACGGTGTCCGTCTCTCGTCGAGAGCAAGTGCTTGATAAGCATGCTCCACGTTTGGTGGCACTTTGGTATTCGTGAACGCGTATTCCCGGGTGGAATGGGTATGGATGGGAAACCCCAAGATTTTGATGGTTGGTACACCTAGAGATCCGGCCGTATCGAATACACCAATAGCCTTGATAGGAGGAATCGTACGGCTTGTCAACTTAGAGTCCACAAGCTTCGTCCAGTACACATTGTCGGCATCCCTGAAGGTCGGACGGCCCTTGAGAGGCCACGCACGCGTTTCCAGCTGTGGCTTGTACCCTGGAACGTTCTGGTTCTCCCAGTCCTTGAAGATGGGATAAAAAGCCCCAAGACCAGATCTTGTCAGTATCCCGATACTTGAGATCAAGCCTCCAATGCTTCGGGCAATGAACGCCCCACGTGAAAACCCAACGAGGAAAATTTCATCCCCTTCGTCATAGTTCTGCATCGCTTAGATAGAGATATCAAAGAGCTCGGGGTGGACTGCTCACGTTGCAAAGAAACGTATACGCCTCTCTAATGTTCTCCCCAACTCCAGCTCCCACGAAACCGCCCAGGTAGTTCCAGAGGCCCCCAGAGCTGGCCAATCCGGCCTGGTAATACACAATCTGCTGAATGCCATCTTCGGATTCTGGTAGAAGCGCTCGGCAGATACGGGTGACGTTGGATGAAACCGCGAGTTTCCCAGCAGTACTCCACGGCATCCAAGAGCCGCGGTCGAAACCGTCATTACTGTTCAGCCAAGTGCCATCGCACGCAATGATCAGGCGCTTATAGGACGGCATTGCGGTGAATATTATCTCCTACAACAGGCAAGAAGTCCAGCCCCAGGATGGTTGAAGATGACGGGGGCTTCCATATCTACCACTGGACCATATCCCATATATATATATGAGGTTCAATGTCACAGCTGAAAGCCCAGATGCTTTTGCCTCGATCCCTGCGAGAAAATGGATTGGTAGTCCCACAATAGAACGTGTGGTTGTTCTAGCCCGTGCCTATTTAGGTGCCGCGTGCCCGAAGAGACACTAGCTGACACACTATTTGGCGCTGTGGCGTGGCCAGGCCAGCTGAAGAGGTGCTGACGACGATCATTCATCGAAAACCACGTCCTCACAGTAAGACCACCAAGACTGCGCAAACACATTGCATGCATAGGTGACTAAAATGCTGTGTATATTCCGAGCTACCTTGTCTGTTGATCCCCCAACCCAAGTCTTTTGCATGAGCGTTCACCGGGGACTCTCATTCTCCAGTGGCTCGTGCCTCGGCCTAATGACCCGGCGTCAAGTCCTGAACAAAGCCCAGAATATCAATTAGAACGTTTTCAGCGTGCGTGAGGTAGATACCTTTTGATCAAAGTTAGTTATAATGGGATAAGGTTTTTCCTGATGTTACTCACCATGTCCACCGTTCTTGTAGATTTTCAGATCGGCCCAAGGGGTGATGTCTTTGATGAGAGCGGCACTAGCTTCCAATGGCATCCCCTGATCCGCATCTCCATGAAGGATCATGATTGGGATCTCGCTGCCTGTGTCACTCAAATTCCTGAGCTCTTTCTCTGAGCTCTCGTTGAAAATCGAGACTGTCTTTTCAATGGCAACACTGTCCGCATCCGCAACGATTCTCTCGTAATGCTCGAGAACTTTCGGAGTCACTTCATTGCCGGCCTGCATGGCAAAGACCCCAGGAAGTGAATCAGCAACGAATTGGGACCGGCTCTTCCGGAGTCCCTCTATAATGGAATCCCATAAGTCCGTGGGCGGTGACAACGGATGGTCTGGTGTTTGCAGCGGATATGGCATGACTGGGCTTAGCCATACGAAGCCCTGGGAGGCTGTTAAACTCGTCCAAGGCTGCTGATCACGAATGCACTTACTTTGCATCTTTCCCGAACCCGACTGCTTGTCTGATAGGCACGCAGACTTTCATTGCACCCCATACTGGTACCAATGAAAACGAATTGCTGGACATCAATATGTTCAAGCAATGCGATGAGGTCGCTCGTGAATGTTTTCCAGGTGAGATTGGTCGGTGTCGCAGCCTGGTTCCAGTCGCTGCGTCCAAATCCACGTTTATCCGGAGCAATACACCGGAAACGATAGCTCTCACACAGCGGCAGGAGCAGATGCTCCCACATACGGGAGGACATTGGCCAGCCGTGCAAAAACACTAGAGTCAACTGTGAAGCCCAAGACTGCTCAGGTTTGAAAGATACTCCACTCGGGACATAATCCCGGAAGAACAGCAGTGTCGAATCAACGGGGCTTGCAAAGAATGGCATCTTAATCGGAAATATTAGAAGGCTCTCAAGTATTATAATGGATGGAATACTGCCTCATAGTTCTGTCAATGGAGTCGTTCTAGGTCGCTCGCTTTATATTGATGCGACGGGTCGAGGATAACGCCTTCAGCGTGCCATGATTGCCATGGCATTATAACGATGCATTTTTTAAACATAGTCTCATGCAGTAGCAAGGCATTTTGAGTTTCAGTAATACCAAAAGTCTGAAGGCACAGTCGACTTTGAGCTATTGCTAACAAGTCGTGGTAACAGCCTATTCACCATAACGCCTAAGCATCACGTGTCTCGGACTTCCCAGGCATAATGGCTAAAGCCGAGCGACTTCACTCCTTGCGACTCATTGCTCCTTGTAACGGTGAATGCCATGACGAAGACAACCAACATTGCCAATGTTGGCTCTCTATGCTAAATGTCTTCGCGCAATATATCACGTCGCCGGAGATGGTGAGTGATGCTAGAACTCTCGTTGGCGATTGTGGGTCATTCTTGACGTCGCTATGACGTGATCTATTTCAACACAGACCTGAGCCTATGCGAACTCAATGGATAGTCAGTTGTAGCATATTACTCAAGACACAACATTTCTCTAATTATATATCTAGATTCAGATTGCTCACCATACAATATCATTCAAGAATGTCTCAGAATCCAGGCTTCTCGGTCCCAGATGGGGCCACTGCCAGAGTGCACATAGTTGATACGACGCTGCGCCTATCAAAAATGTCAGTGGACTATTTACTGAAACCACCCGTTGATAAATTCGATGAACTCAATAACCTGCCTACCTGGTCGTTTCTCGTAGAGAGTGGGCAGGGCCGAAAGGTTCTCTTTGACCTGGGCATTCCTAAAGACTTGAACGTTTACCCACCAACGATTGTTAACGACATTAAGAAACATGGATGGGATATACGAGTCGAAAAGGATATCGCAGATATTCTAAGAGAAAATGGCCTCAAACCCATCGATATACAGAGTGTCATATGGAGGTGAGCCCGTTACACGTACTCAATATGGTTTCCATTAGGCAATAACTCTTTTCGCCAGTCATTATCATTTCGATCACATAGGAGACATGTCAACTTTCCCCGACACGACAGACCTTGTCGTCGGCCCCGGATTCAAACAGAAATTCAGGTCAGCTTACCCTACTGACCCTGATGCTCCTGTGCGAGAGAGCTACTGGGAGTAAGTTGGCAACCCTGGAGACAAGGCCAGACCGGAAGCTCACACATGCGCAGAGGACGTCAGCTACGAGAGATCGACTTTGGTGATCGGGAATCACCACTGAAGGTTGGTGCCCTGTGTGCATTTGACTTCTTTGGGGACGGCTCATTCTATCTGCTAGATGCCCCTGGTCACGCCGTCGGCCACTTGGCTGGTCTAGTGCGGACGACCAAGAACCCAGACACATTCCTCTTCATGGGCGGCGACTTGTGTCACCACGGTGGCGAGATTCGGCCATCTTCGCATCTACCAATACCAGACCGTGTAGATATCCCCTTACAGGACGCGTTGCGCACCCGACTGTCCTGCTGTCCCGGAGGGGCGTCCTTCAGAAGGCTCAATACTAGGCGAGGTCGCAAAGAAAATGAACCCTTCTTTGAGTCGAGACTCGGGGCAAACCTTACACAGGTCATGGAGACAATCACGAAAGCACAGGCTGCTGATTCTCAGAACAGCATTTTCTTCATATTTGCGCATGATCCTACTATTCGGGGTGTTGTAGATTTCTACCCAGCCACGGCGAACGACTGGAAGCGAAAGGGGTGGCGCGAGAAAACGCAGTGGGCATTCCTACGTGATTTAGCCCCAGCCGCGGCGGCTGCTGCTGAGTGAGGTGGGCATTGAAAGGAGAATTGATCTATTTACGGCTACATTGGGGTTGGAGCGACGAAACGGTGATGCACGTACGCCCGCTTGAGAAGTATATTAGGTAAGGGTATGGAACGGTAGCAGCTGAAAGATAGAGAATCTCGGTCAATACAGCAAAGCAAGGCCGCGCCGAACAGAGCAAGTGAGAACCAACAGCTTGATGGAACCATAGTTGCCGATAATAGAATTTGTTCCATATGCTAATTCAGAACAGACCTTAAGGGAAGCCTGACTTACATATTCTTATTGAGGTTGAGTCATAGTCAGACCTTTGTTTACGTTTGCTACGCTTCTGCCCGCGTCCGATAAGTTCTTGATTGTGGTGTCTACCTAGGTACCTCGCTTACAGTGGGTGTGGGGCCTGAATTTGGGCGAGTGTTTCTGTTAATACCGAGCAAATGTACTTAGGTGCAATGGTCCCCGCTACCGGAGTCATGCCTCGGACCAGTGACCACCTGCAACAGTCGCAAAGCACTGAGCAGCAACTATTTCGATCTGTATGACTTGGTCTTCATCATAAACAACGCTTTCCAGATAATGATATCATTGAAGGGCTAGCACCACCTGGTTGAAGATATTTTGGTTACCTGTCGGCCGCTTCCGGCTTGACCCACGTCCTTGACGATAGTCTACCATTTTCAACCCAGGGCCGTACGGAAGCCATGGAGTCAGTAGCAGGACAAGGCGCATGTTATAGCATGCAGGATTCCAATGGCCACTCTCTGGGATGGGATCTTGGACCCTTCGAAACGATAGTAACACAGGAGGCCGCCCTTGACATTGATGGGACCTGGTATCGCGACGATATCTTAGAGGATGTATTCGCCTGCCAGAGGGACCCCCAAATTGGAGCTTACCGACCTCCATCGGCCTGTTCCTATTGCAGAAAACATCGCCTGCAATGCTTTTTGCTTCGAACAACCGCCGCAAACCCGAACCCTTTGACTTCGTGCTCCAGTTGTGTGGCGTTGTTCCGGGACTGCAGCCTGGTCAATGGAGGTAAACGTCCGCCATCGGAGTTCGAGACGATGTGGCCAGTCGTTGGCCAGCTTCATGGGGTAAACGAAGAATCTACGGACGACGTTACCTTTCTATCGAACGGACCAGGGATTATCAGTTCAGATGAAACCAATGTCAAGACATCAGGAACCGGGCCTATTGAGATATCTGTACCTTCAACGAAGAGGTCAACGTCCCGCATCACAGGACGGACGAGAGCACTGCGGCAATGGTTTTCGTCGCACCACGAAAGTCCATACCCATCGGGTGAAGAAAAATTGGCACTAGCAAAGGCATCTGGTCTCACACCCACCCAGGTGGGCAATTGGTTCACAAATGAGCGAAGACGAAAGCGGCACATGGAGAAGACATCAACCAAAAGCTTCTTTCCCCGAGGCTCTCCAATGCCACAGTCATACCTTTCAAACATGACACCCCTCGAGCGATGGCGAAATTCACCTCCCGAAGACGACCACATTTCTCCAAGTGTCCTAGAGACCTTCTTGACAAATGAAGATTATACCAAAGTCCAAGGCGTTGATCCTGCCATTGACGATACCAACCACGATTACGATGATAGCGACTGGCTCTCCAGGATGCTCAACTCTGCCAGTGAGACTGAGTCACTTGGGTTTGCGGGGTCTAGCAACTCAGTGTCATCCTTTGACACGACATATTCAACAGGCAGCAACCAGTCAGTCTCGCTTTCAAGGGGCTCGACTCAAAAAAGAAGAAGGTCCTCAGTAAAGGACGGAAGTGATATCTACCAATGCACCTTCTGTGACATGTCCTTCAAGAGGAGGTTTGACTGGTGTCGACACGAAAAGTCTGTTCACATTTCGTTGGATTCTTGGGTTTGCCGGTCGCACGATCAAAGTGTTTGGCAGATTGGGAACACTGCACCTCAGTGCAATTTCTGTGGCTCAGCCTCACCGACACAGGAGCATCTGGCCGATCATGACTTTGAGTCTTGTGCCGAGCGGCCGGAGGCTGATAGAACGTTTGCTCGGAAGGATCATCTGTGGCAGCACTTGAAGAAGTTCCATGCGTGTACGCATTGGTCTGGCTTGGGTCTCAACGCATGGCGGCTGCATCGCGACGCTGTTAAAAGTCGATGCGGCTTCTGCTTCCAGCAGCTTCACACATGGTCAGAACGTCAGGATCACATATCCAAACACTTCAAGAAGGGTTCCAGTATGACTCAATGGATCGGTGACTGGGGCCTTGACCCAGCCGATGCAAGTCTACTCAAGCAGGCTACACTGCCAGAGCAGAGAGTTCGCGCAACGTATTAAATGCTGCGCATATAGGATCCAAATCTTACTTTTATATTCTTATTGAGTTGGTAGTGATTAGTGGATATTCTCCTCGCAGTCGCGGTTGGGGGTACTAGCGACACTCTAACTAGATAGGCGTTGGTGAATCAGCGTAGACTTGCGCCCTCTACTTACACCTCCCCGCTATTTGCGCCTTCTCACGGCAACCGCAAGACGATTCGGGACCTGGAGCTGGGAAATCGGCAATTATGCACCTTTTGACAACAACTTGTCTGTGTGATTTTGAATCCGTGCTCCCCTGCGGCATCACGTTGGAAGATGAAGTGATTCCTAAGGCAGTTAATTACGAGACTACGTTCAGACGCAGCACCGCCGAGGAATGGTCAAGGTCTCAAAACTCCGAAACTTGACGACATAAATCTCCTCCACATGATCATTCAGTCTTGTTGCGAGCACAGTTGTGTCAAATCATGTCGTCCTCCCGGAGACCAGTTTATGTCAACAAGAAACTTGTCGACACCGGAGTTCCCTTGGTAGAATCGCGTGCTGCGGAGTCCTTCCATCGTCGGTTGTCAGGATACGCGCCAACTCCCTTGGTTTCTCTGCCGGATGTCGCGAAGCAACTGAAACTGAAAGGGTTATATGTCAAAGATGAGAGTTCTCGACTCGGACTACCGTCTTTCAAAGTCCTCGGAGCCTCCTGGGCCACGTTCCACACCATTGCAAGAACATTGGGACTTCCCCTTGACATCGAAATCCAGGATTTGGCCATAGAAGCAGCTAAAGCGTCCTTGAAGTTGTTCGCTGCCACCGACGGAAATCATGGAAGAGCGGTGGCATTCATGGCCAAGGTGCTGTCTCTGCCTGCGTGCATATATGTTCCTTCGACGCTGAGTGAACACACAAAGAATGCGATATCTGGAGAAGGTGTATCGGTTATCGTGGGGCCAGGTGACTATGACAGTGTAGTGCAGGACGCTTTCGAGGCCTCACGAGCTACTGCTGGTGGAATATTCATCCAGGACACTTCGTTCCCTCTTTATGAAGATATCCCAGCCAGGATCGTCGAGGGTTATTCAACGATGTTTCGGGAAATAGATGAGCAGCTTACAAATCGGGCCGCTGATTGTGACTTCATCTTCACTCCGGTGGGAGTTGGCTCTCTGGCCCACGGAGTCGTGCAACATTACAAGTCTCAAGCCCGGCAGAAGCCTACCAAAGTCGTCACAGTCGAGCCTGATACAGCCGCATGTCTATACAAAAGCCTATCAGCAGAAAATTGCTCCAAGATCAGGACCTCTTATACCATTATGACCGGCTTGGACTGCGGTACAGTTTCGCAAACTGCCTGGCCTGACTTGCGATCCCATGTTGACGCTAGCTGCACGGTCTCCGATTACGAGGTTCATCATGCCCTGCAAGAACTTGAAAAACATGGGATATCTGCCGGTCCGTGTGGTGCCTCGGGCTTTGCCGCGCTTCGATTACTAGCAGAAGGCTTGCGCCATACCATAGGCATCCAGGAAGACTCCGTTGTTGTGCTCCTCAATACGGAAGGACCGCGCCCATATGATATCCCTTACGATGTTACAAGTGATGATCCAGTGGTATTGACACGAATGCTAGCCCAAATCAAGTCTACGAATCCCACTCTATCCATATCGAAGAGAACCAGGGAAACTTGCATCGCCGATTACATCGAAGCTTGGCTGCAACATCGGGGCTTTGAGAGCCACCGTTCCGAATATACACGAAAGGTTGATGTGAGCCATCTGGCCTATTCTTGTTGTTCAAGGTTGAACAGCCGGGTCGTAACCGCGGGCTCTACGATTAGCGACTTTCATATTTCAGATCAATGAATGGTACCGTAGAGTCGAGTGAGACTTCTCCTACAGGTTCAGCCAGTTAAGAAAATGATCTGCTTGGATACCGAATATTTGGAGGGGTCACAATCACCCAGCTGCCAATGGAAAGACTGCTGTGAATCCATTCATAGTGCTCATCGCCATTAAACGTTCGTAACACAATCGTGGTACTTACTCCGCTGCTGGGCTACTGTTGAACGCAAAATACGGAAGAGCGGTATGCGAATGAGTGTCGTTCCGAAATGATGTAATCAGCCAAGGATTCCTCGTTAGATCGGCAATGAGCCTTGATCAGGTCACAGCCTAGATCCGAACCCATGGACCTGGCTCCCTCGATCACAGCGAGCCCTTGCCATCGCGGGGAAATGCGTGGGGGTTGTGTGGGAGCTGGGACGACTTGGAGTGGGATTTCTCAAGTCTAGATACTGGTGACACGCCGAACAAGACTTTGAAACTCCCAATAGTACTTCGATGGAGTCGGGAACAGCATGGATGCGCGGAGAATCGAGCCACAAATGTGTACTTCGCTCATCTGAGACATGGTTTTTGGTAAGATTCAGGCATTATCGGGAGAACGGGAATCCCTCCGTCAGATCGACATGAAAATCAACAACGGCGCGCCATGGAAGAAGCTGTGATCCTGAATAATGTGCTACGACGACGGGCAAAAACGACAAGAGATGCAGGATTGCCACCGTATTTCTTCACCGGTCGTAAGCCGACCTGCCTTCCCTGGAAACACCCTTGACCATGGTAGTTTTCGACGTAATGAACGAGTCTCGATCAGCTCTAAGATCAGCTCATCAGCCAGTGGGTTGTGAGCGGTGCAACGTCTCATTGAAATGCCTTAGGCCCCCAAAGGCTCCTGTAGCAATCGAGGCGGCAGTTCTGGGGTTTTGCCTAATAGGAGCGGACGGGCCCGGCCCGCGACAACAGCAAGAAAGTTCGCCCCCATAGTGACCGCACGGGCTGCATACATGTGAGACTCTGCTAGGTGTGGTTCTCTGTCTTGTCCCATCGCGTACGCCAATTCTGGATGACAATCTGGCGAATGTCTAGCCGGAATAAGCGAGGTGGCGTCGTGTGCTGCCAAAATGTTGGTGATTTCCGTTGATTCGATGCCATGGCTTCAACGGCGTGGCAATCTATCAACCACACGGCATCACACACACACAACCCCCACTTCAATGATGAAGCTCTTTGCAGGCACATAGTTAATAGAACAATGGGTATACCATTGGCTTGGTACTATAATTCAGAGACAGCAGACCTCAAGCTAGTTCCGCCAGACTAAGATGAGCAAATCGTTACCCTGCTGAGTAAGTGTAAGCTTTAGGAGCGGTTGCAAGTAATGAGATTGCTGGCACGCGACTCGATTCAATTTCTATTATACATCCGAACATCGTGAAGGGCCGACGGTGGGGTCGTAAGGCTTAGTCTGCGGAGCGCCCGTGCAGGATTTTCTTGTGAAGCCACTGAACGGAGAAAACCCGGCATCGAAGTCAACAATGCGAAGGCTGTAGCGTCGCTGGTCTCCTAAAATGCTGGGGATGAACGCACATTTGCATACACGAATATTAAGCGAGCCCGTCCAAGATACAGCATCATGCACCCCAGGCTCCGGTACATGGTAGGAGGATGCGGAGTCTGTTGCTAAGGAGCCCTGACATATAGACTGGAGAGAAGGGAGATGTTGGAGTCAAAATCATTCACCCAGGTCTCCAATTGCCATCTCCAGCCGAAAACCTCCAACAAGTCAACTCCAACAAAGGTCCATCTCCAATTCAACGGAGTCAGCCCCGCCATTATGTAACTCATTGTATGAAAAGTGCCCACAGAATAACGGCGAGGGGTCTTGACTACCGTGCAAGCGACAGCAACTAGCACTTAGGTGCAGCAAATAGCGGGCGCGACATGTGTAATGCGATGCAAGGCGAGGAGCTTGCTGACTGACTGGCCTGACCTGTCCGCTGGACTGCCTGGCTGCCTATGATGCTACTAAGTCGGACGTGAATCCCATTTGCCCCCAACCTTAGTAGACCCGACCTACTATGTAGCCAAGTGAAGGTCCATGGCAAAGTCGAGGGCAGAAGGGCATTAAGGGGGCTTATGGGTACACCACAGCATTCTGGTTCGTATGCATGTCATCCATTGTAAGCATGCTGTGGAGGAGCGAGACCCATACGGTCCCGTGTTGTCGAAATGTCGTAGTTACACGGGACGCAGTCGCTGAGATGGCTAGCTCTGAGATAAGGCTCTGCAGTGACCATGCATGTACTGCCTGGCTCGAGCCTCTTTTCATTCTCGACGTTCGGCAGCCAAACGAGGACATTCATCAATTACTATACGAAGTTGACTTAAACGCGGTGGTGGGGAGCTGCGAGCGCTGAGACTTTCTTGGAAGGATGATACCGAGAGAGCCAATTGGGATACCGCGATTGAGTTAATTGAGTTCGTCATTTATGTACCTGGATAGTCTGCCCAAAAATGCACGCGGAAGCTTTCCGTAACTTGGGTGATGGAGGTCGGTTTGCCTTTGACGAAAGGCCCCCGGCAAGCCAGGGGCTCTGTCGAACCTATCGAGTGATCAACTTAGTCATGAGCTGTCTTTCTGCGCGGATCTGCCGGAGGCGATAGATACACCTGGGGGACATTTCAGTCAGATCTGGTTGATTGCAGCCTCGGCCTCCACTAACCTATGGACAGTCTACAGTAGAGAGGGCAGAGGTTGGCGTCGGGCTACGTGCGATACGATATTATCAACCTCGGGTTTCCGCGTTCGTGATGACTTGACTTATGTAGCAGCGAACCTTGTTGGGGCGAATGCCGAAAACTTGACCCGTTGCGGTGCTACTGCTGTATGCAGATTCAATTCTCCGACGGCGTTTGTTAGTCATTACGCCGAAACAGCTTGGCGTCCACTGCCTGCCCGGCTCTGAGAGTCTGGGATACGATGTCGATTACTATCTACTATAGATAATGTGTGAAGTACACAGATGGGATTCCTTCCCTGCCTGCTTGCCTACGAAGCACAGTACATCACTAGTACTCCTAGACGATCATTCAGGGTCAGGAGAAGCCCGGAGATGAGAGCGTCAGATCGGTATCTCGAGGCCCAATAGCTGCCGTGTCTTCATCCAGTGCCATTGATGCCCTACGTATCAGGTCGCACAAGAATGCTACATACCTCGGGTGCTGCGACGTTTTGATTGTTCTACAGCCGGCAGCTTGAGGGGTGGCCTGTCAGCTTTTCTACCGTAGCCTGCCTGCCTGCCTGCCAGCCTGCTAAAGCGGCTGGGGGCTGGCTGTCAGGTTGGCTGGGATTCTGGAGTCTGGGCGCTCTCTGGCAATCTGGGAATAGAAATGTCGGGGCCCGCAGTGCAGGCCCCACCGCCCCGAGCCAGCCAACAGCGAGTGGGCCGCAACTGGCGTCGAAATCCTGGAGAAGACCCCTGTGGATTCGCGCTGCAGCCCCCTGCAATAAGGTGGGAAGTGCCACCTTACGCCCATACCCAGAGCTGCTAGAAGGCCGCCAGAACGCCAGAACACGTTATTTTCCCATTCACCGCCAGACCGCATTTTGCTTCTGATACCGGCTGCGGAGCCACGAGGGCAGGAGGGGCGGGGGGAGGTCGAGGGGCAAGGGTGACGGTGTTGCTTATCTCTCCGTATCGCTCCACTGGCATCTGGCAGCGAGCAGCGCGGAGCAAACAGATGCAACTTGCGAACGTTCTGCTCGGCCGCCTGCTGGCGAGGAAAGGTGGTCGGTCGCATTTCCCGTCGTCTAGCACAAGCAGGGGACAGCTCTTGCAGGTGCCGGACAGCCAGACCAGAGAGCTCCCTCGAGCTCTGCAACAGGCGCCGGCGGACGCGAACGAGGGCGCGATCCGACTTGCACTATAGTAGACGCGGTAGAGGGGTCTTAGTACTTAGTGAGGGGCCATTCCGGCATCTCTTTCCGTGCGAGGGCGCGATATGTAATGAAATGATCAATCTGGCCCAATTTTTCGACGCCGGGTCGTCTGCCCAACCCAGCAACCCAGCCCGCCGGTTCGACGTTCATGATCCGCCCCGTCCCCCGTCGGGGCCAGTCAAGCCAGTGGCCCAAATCCAATCCCAATCCCATCCCCTCCCCCCCTCCCCCCCAAGGTTCACCGCCCAAAGGAACGGAAGAGACACTTGGGCGAGGGCTGCAAGGTTCTCCCCTCGACGCTGCTGTGCACAATCTCGCAACCGGTGAGACGTCATGTTGTAAGGGTCCATGCTTTCGGATCGCTTTGGCCGCGAGAAGTGCTGGCCGCCAGTCCACCGCCCGCTGCGAGATTCGATTCGCACCTCTCCACCACGCATCCTTGATAGCCCCGTTAGCGGCCGCCGCCGTCTCGTAGTTCTATCTTACCGATCTTGCCTCGCTAGTTGCTCTCTCTTTCTTTCTCGCGTCCCGTCCGGTGCTTCCCCCTCCAGCCCGTTGCATATTCATTCTCTAATCTCTCAGACTCGCCTCTCCAAAAGGGCGTTTCTGGGTCGGCCGATCGACCAGCCTTCTCTGGAGACCGGTCCAACAGACGTGCCAAAAAAGAAAGCCGACGCCTCATACCTCAAGCCTTAAACGGTAGTCTCACATCGGGGCCGGGGATCGGAGACCTCGCCATTCGCTGCTAGGCCACTTACTTGCAGCAGCAAAACCACACTTCTGCGGGTCATTAAGCTTCCTCGTCCACCCGGATCTCGTCTGAGCATACATAATCCATTCCGTCTCCTGCGCCTGGCCCAACCAGATATTCTTATTCAGCCCCAGCCAACGACCCGCCCGCCAGCGATCACGCGGGGCAGCACTCTTCGCCGTCGGCCTTGGGGTGCACGACGCTTCTCTGTGGTTTCCTTTCCCGTGACTGACATGATGACCGACGACAACTTGACACATCTTGTGACGATGATGATGATGGAGGCCTGTTGAGCCAGCGTCGGAAAAGTTGCGCGTAAGGGACGCTCACGCATCCCTTTGAACCTCACAGTCTTGCCGGCTTGAGCCTCTCAAAGGACCCCGGCCACCATGTTGGGGAAACTATTCAACCTCACCTCGGGGACGGCCGCTGCAGCATCGCCCCAGGAAGAGTACATCCCAGTCAACGTGTCGCCCGAGTCCATCCAGGAAGAGATACATACGCGCAGCCTCCTGTTTCCGGACGCTCAGACACTCTTCAACCAGGATCAGGTGTTTCCGCTCTCTTCAGCTTCATCACTGCCGCCGAGCACCACGAGCACCTTCGATTATGACGGCGATATCGATTTGGATGCGCGAGATGTGCGGGTTATTATCATGCAGGATAGTCTGGGGGCTGTCAACCCGTCGTTACTGTTTGACAGTCATCCCGCACCGGCTGTACCCGCACCCGAGTCACGCCAGTCGCCCGGGACTCCGCATAACCAGACTTTCATGAAGGACCTCCGCCGGAATCCAACCTCCCCGAGGAAGACGAGCTTGAGTCAGACGAGGCCCATGGTCATCCAACCGGACAGCCCGCAACAGCGGCAGGGCGCATTCGACCGGCGGCCGTCCTTCCAGGCGCGCAACTACAGCTCGCCTGAGAGCGAGGCACAGCGTGCCGCCAGAGAATACCGCGAGGAGCTGTCAAGTTTCACCAGTTGCATCTTTGCGAACACCGAGGTCATGTCCTATAAAGGAACTTCAACAAAGGTCCATATCGTGCCTAGCGACAGCCGACCCGAGGTAGCGAGTTCATTCGTGGGGGATGGCAAAGGTTCCATGGGCAGGGCGAGCATGCGTTCCAGTCGACTCTCGCAGTCGTTCACATCTGAGGCGGCCGCAGCCCCGTTCTCGCCATCCAACGCGACGAACAGGGCGGGTGACCGCAAGAAGATTCTGGTCACTCGCCTATTTCCTGTCAACCTCCCAATAGACGACCCAGAGTCTCCAAATGCCGGCGTGACGCCCCATAGTCGCTTCTCCGAGGATGGCAGCGGGTTCCCCTTTCCGTGCTCTCCAGATGACTCTGGCGTCAAGAAGAAGAAGTTGCAGCCTAAGCAGAAGCGGACTCCCATGTACGCTGTGGCCTTGGTTCTTCAACTACCGCCGGACCCTACACCTTCGGCCACCCTGGGTACCAAGCCTACATTCCGTGGCCCGAGCTCCTACACCGAGCAGGACTCATTCCCATCATCCTTCAGCTCAGCCCGCCGTGCTGGTTGGACCATGGTGGGCACGGGCGCGGCTGATTCCTTCGAGTCTAGCTACGGCAATGAAGTAGAAGACAAGATGGATGCAATCACGCAACATTGGGACATCATCATGAGAACTTTGACGCACCTTCAGTCTGTCGTTGCCACCACGTTGTTCCCTATGCTGAAACAAGCGGACTACCTGTCTCCGGATCCGCATCAGCCAGCAGCCTCGGCGCAGGTCGTCAGGAATTCATCGGTCAACGGTAGACGGGGATCCAACGCCTCACTTATGCAGATGAAGCCTGCAAAGACCAATGCCAAATTGGTTACCCTTCAGCCAAACTGCCTGATGCAGGAGCAGCATCTCAGCCGCGCGGTCGACACAGCGCGCGTGCGCATTGTGTCGGGCCTGCGGGCAACGAGGGTAGTGACAGGACAAGGACGCTGGGGCCCCTGGCGAGAGGAAGCGAGATGGGTTGCCAAATATGCTGGAGCAAAAGAGCAAGGTTTCTTCTTCTTCAACCTTCTGACGGGGTTTCTCGCAACCCACACGGATTGGCTCCAAGCATTAAGTCCCATCTGGTACCGGAGACGACACTACCAGCAACAGAAGGCAAAGAGCGAGGAGGACACATCATTACCCTCGCGGACCATTATTGTTTCCAACAACAAGATGGCTGCAAGGCGCCTCATTTTTCTGCTGTCCGCCTTTCTCCCAGCTAATCAGCAGCTGCCCACCATTCGAGCTCAGAGGCCAAACACGTCGGCTTCGTTCTCACATTCGCCCCCTTCATATATCATTCCAATCCTGAAGGAAGAGTCTCTGCGCCGGAAAATCAACCGACGCCCTGGCGGCCAAAGAGAAAGGGGCGCGTCGCACCAACGCAGCTTCAGCATACAGTCACAGGCTACCACGAGATCTGTCACTGGTATACCCGCACAACTGGACCATCTAAGCATGGATAGCCACCATCGTCGGAGACCATCGGATGCTACCCTGTTTAAGCCAATGACAGCGACGACACATGGAAGTGACCTGAACACCCGAAAGAGTAGTGCAGCAACCACGCACACCATCACCCCGGATGCTGCCATTCCGCACTTCTCGAGCGTCCATCGAAGTAACACGCGGAGAACTAACAGACCGGGCAGCAGTGGGAGTATGGCTGCCGATGACCTGAAACGCACCCTGAGAAGAGGCGACAGCACAGGGCACGCCAGCATGGCCAGTATTGATTCTAGCCGCCGGAGTTCTCACTGGGGGAGTGTTATCAGTGGACTCTGGAGTGCAAGGCGCCGGGACTCGACAGCTAGTACCACACAGACTCTGGATTTCACAACAAGCCGTGACAGCCCGTTGCAATCTCCGACAAAGCCGGCAGAAAGAATGGACAGGCTGGCGGAAATGGTTAGCGAAATAGCGGTGGAAACTCCAACTCGAGACGACTTCGAAGTGGATCAGGTGCCTCCCGAAGGCCTTGCAGCTCAGCCCGACACTCCTCGTACAGTAGAGCGTAAGATCCCGACCGAAGAGACTGCCAAGCGGACCCCTGACCCCTCAGGAGCTTTTGAGTCTCCGGTGAAAACCTCAATTTCCGCAGATGATGGCGTGATCGATGTTGATGTCCAATTCCCAGACTATTTGACGTCTTTTGAATCTGCTATCAGCTCTCCGTCAAGCAGCGGCTATCTTTCTACCCCTGGTTTTGGTACCGGGGTGGACAGCTTTGAGCAGTTTTCGAGGGTTGCCATAGACGGGGAGGCCCCGCTCAACGTAGCCGGATGGTTGCAGCAATTCCATCCGGACTTTTCGTTGCAGGCGATTCCTCCGCAGTCGGACCTTTTTGAGAAGGTCAAGGAGTCTCTGAAGGCAGAGCCGACTCCTTCTTATCATACTCAGCAGCTCCCTGTTGCGTGGCCCGCCGAGCAGTGGGTGGACGTCAGCAGTGCTATCATTGCGGACACCACAAACTTTACCATCAAGCGAGTCAGCTTCCGTAGACTTGTGAAGCCCAAAGTACCCTCGGACGGAAGCAGTGGGCAACGCTTGTCGAGTTCCACCAACCCGTACAGCTCTTCAATGATAACCCCTGCTCTGTCACCATACGAGCAACCTCTGAAAGAGAAGTTTGAGGAAGAGGTCCTATTTACCTGGGACGAATCCTTGATTGAAGCTGTGGAGCGGGTTATTGCACAGACAGTGCATAACAGTCAAGAGAACTCGGCGAACTCGTCACGGTCTGTTAGCAAAAGGCGAGAACGACGGGATAGTGAAGTTTCTGAGCCAGGATTGCCTGACCTGTCACCGAATCAGCCTGAAGCCCTGGAGGTGCCTCGCGCAGAGTGCAAGACAGTTGTCCTGTCTGCTCTCGAAAACATCGTGCAGAACGTGGTTGATCAGAGGGAGAGACAGGGCCGCTCCGCTTCTGGGAAGGTCACTTATGAGACTTCAAGTGAGAAGGAGAGTGTGCTGAAAGGTGCAGTCAGGACGTGGCTCGAAGAGGTTGAGCTTGGGGACGCATGATGGCAACCACCGCCGCGTTCCTGTATGCGACGAAGTGCCTTCGAAGGGTGCTCGAGGGCGATGATCTACGACTTTTGACGGCCTATTCACCGTTGTCATTTGATTTTTGTTTCATTGTTTTTATTGCTGTTTTCATGGACATCCACGCAAGTCCATTTGTACTACCACCCCATCAGCTAGATGCGTTGAGATACCCCTGAGCATTTGATTTCGAGTTTGTGGTTCATATCTTGGAGGCATACATGGCTGGTAATAATGCATAGTCGGTCAAAGAGGAGGGATATGCATTGCGTGAATTAACTAATGGTTCACACGAGGAAGACAGAATAGCGTGGCGTTTCTAGATGGCACAGCGATATGACTAGGGACCAAGATATAGACATGATGCATCAAGTATGGTAGAAAGGAATGACATTCCAATGAAATACCTCCGTGGTAAGCGGCAGAGGTGACGTCGGCATTGTAGTTCTCCGTTTGTGAGCTTCCGCCATTGATTGTTGCCTGTCCAGTGACCGCGCCTCATTCACTCATGTCAGGACACTCCGCCTCTAGGCAGTCAAGTTGGCTTTCGTCAGCTACGCACCACTTTTGGCCGGGACGAAGTCTTTTAATTCACTCATTAACCATACAAAAGGAGCCTGCAAGATCAGTTCTCGGCGTTCATCTATTAATCCCACCTCGACACGTCTACCGTAATCCTTCCTGCGGAAAGATGACACGAAACTTGCATGATCTGCCTTTTGATTTGATGGTGTGTCTGGCCGATCATCTCAGCATTGGCGATGTCTGCCGACTGGGTCGTTGCTGTGTGTATAGTTGGGAGAACCTACAGTTCTACCTCTATAAGAGGGTGGCGCTAGAGCACAAATCCTTGATGCCAGACGTCGGCGAAAGGAATTGGACCCCATCGGATCTTCCGAACTTAGTAATGTTTGCTGTCAGCCATGACTGGTCTTTCCAATCTCTTCAAACAGCAATCGAGGCGTGCCAAGCGGTTCATCCCCCAATGCTGGATGGCTTTGACGCTTGTCGCAAGCCGTCGAGCCTTCCACTATTTGGTGCCGTTATCCATGGCAGATGGGATGCATTGGAACTACTTATTGCCTATGGAGCTGATTTGGGTATCAGGTCCGCTTGCAGAGCCATTCTGCAGTGTAGTTGCGACAGATTTACACCCGACTTACGTTGTCCATATAGTCCGCACAGATCCACGATATGTCTGCAACGAGACTCTTTACAGATGGGCGGGGTTCGCTGCGCATCTGTTCTGGACATTGCGATCAGTAACAACAGAGTGGAGTCTGTGCAGCGGCTTCTTTTGATGGACGAGGTAGAAGTCTCCCCGACCAACCTGTACACTGCCTGCGAAGCCAACCTCTCAGAGATGGTCCACCTGATCATCCGTTCGGGCCGCTTGGGGGCTCATGGACTTCAAGGCATCCTCAATTATGCACTATTTATACACGCTGGAAGCAATTATGGTACGGCAGGTACCGTCGACGCGCTGATTGAGTACGGTGCTGACCCGACCGTCCCGCACGGGAGGTGGGGTGACACTGCTTGTGAGCACGCCGTCAGACACGAGAACAGCGTTACAGCGGCAAGATTGGTTATAAGAGCGGGCGACAAGCTTAGCTTGGAGCTGAAAACCAAGCTTCTCCACCGATCAGTCCTTTTGGACACGCTACTGGATGTATCAAAGGCCATCATAGCAGCTCTGCCACCCGAGAAGGATGGAATCCTCTGTGAGGCTCTGAGATTGGCACTGACTGCCACGCGACCCGCATGGCGATACTTCGACTACCGTATGATGCCGGAACAGATGCCCATTGCAACCATAAAGTACCTCATCGAGGTGGGTGTGAGCATGGACGCGGCAGCAATGGCTAAGGTTATCCTGGTCAAATCCGAGCGCAGCTTCTGGGATTTCTGGCGATATGACATCTTGACAATCGCGGGAATAGAGCTCGACATCAACGGAACTAGAAATATAGAGGGTTCTGAAAAGTCATTCCTTGAGGTTGCACTGGAAAGTGCTTTGAATCCTTCTGTGCAGGGACTAGTAATAGAATGTTACTATCCTGAGCTTCTTCTCCGAAGAGGCGCTCGTCTTCCGAGGAATTCAGAAAGGATATTCGGACTATTTCAACAATGTAAGTCGATACATTTCACTACTTCTCTCCCTCTATAGGGGTTGGACTACAAGTATATGCTTACTCCGCCCCTATGCACCGTACTCGAGCGCTTTTGTCTTCTTAGCAGACGAGTAGCCTGCCACCAGTGTCATGAAATCCTGCCGGATCTTTTCGTTGGGTGAATAGTTTTTGGCGTTTTAAGCATTTGCAATTGTGTTGCTGGCTTTACAACTCAGAGCTAATGCGCCTTCAGGGATGAGAAACAGTTCATTCAGTTCCTTTGAATGGACACAAATAGTTACCATGAATAGTTTCTTTGCCAAGACCCCCAGCTTGCGGGATGATGATATGTATACTTGCTGGGCAGGTGTCGACAAAAACTAATCAGCAGAGCAGCAGCACGGAGGTGCACTTGGAGGGAGAGCGGTTTAAAGCAATATCTCTACTGTACTGGTAAGTGACTATAGTGCTCAAAGTATCCGGGTGCACTTCAGAAGCGAGAACACTAGGCGGTGTCCATATATATAAACGGCATTGGGCGATTGAAATATCCCCGTAACAGACTATACCTGAGATATTGTGGATCATGAATGCTGGTGCATTCTGTGCAGGGTCTTCATCCCCAATCAGCATGGCGCACATGATGACTTCCACCTAGAATGTAACAACGTCCCCCTACCAAATGTGACGCTGCATAACATAGCCCTTCGGTTTCCACACCAATCCAGCCGCTTTGACTCCACGTGGCCCCAACTACGGGATATGTTGGGAAAACTAGGCCTTGCCGAACCAAACTCGATCGAATGTATAGTAAAGTTCCCCCAACGCTGTCTAACGGAAGCAAATCGTCGTCACTCGTACCTTCAATCAACTCATCCACAAGTTTTCTCGATTTGACGTGCTCTTCTATGGCTCGCTCTCGATCACTGTCTGCAATGGTGCCTTGAATAAAAGAGGCCGTCCGATCAACCACCCAAGCGTTCTTGTCGTAATTTCCTATCAGGTGCTGCTGGCAGCGTACTGTGATAAGACCCGCATCTGCCTGCGTCTTTGAATGGGTCAGCATCGTCTGTATAACGCCGTGTGAGAATTCCACAACATCGGCGTCAATCCAGAACATATGAACTTCGTCTCGGAGACTTCGAAGCATGAGGTAGTTTCTCTTTGCAGCAATAGATGCTCGACGTTGATTTTGAACGGCTGGATTATGCCTCTCATGATAACTGAGCGGCGGGCCGTCATCTTGTCTATGGTAAATCGCAGTTCTTGCGAACGGGAATTCCGCCGTTGCCTTTCGGAATTCATGAAACTCAGTTTGAGAAGACGTCATCAAGCTTAATGACACTGATCCGAAGTCCAAGTCGGTAGAGACCAACAAGTCTAAGAAATCATAAATCGATCTGCCCGTTGATCGGAAGTCATTACTCCAAGATGACTCGTCCTTGCTTAAAGCGAGGATCAAGATACAAGGATTACTTCCTTTAATCTCCCTGCTGAAGTACTCCGTTCCATCGCTCAGGATCTCACTTCTGCGCTCAAGCGGAGGTCCAACTGGTAGAGGATGCAGGTAACTGTGTGGTCTGTTCCATAGACAGGATGAAAACGTCTTGCAGGAGTACGATCGACGTCTCGGTTCAGTGGTATAGAAGAGAAAGAGAACAACCGAAAATGCTATTACGATGGTCATAATCCGGCTAGGACGATGGAGCGGTGTTCGTCGCATAAGCATGATGATGGATGGGTAGTGGTAAATCGACGCGAAGAGCTACATATAGATAGGACATCTTCCTGAATAGCTTTGAAAGATACAAACAACAGATCAACAGCCATAACAAACTCGTGTACGTGTCGTTCAAAACAACCGCTTAAGCTGCAGTCGTGAGCGCCACGCGCGCCTAATGTCTCCTAACAGAACCGGTGATGCGGTGGCGGTGAGACAACATGTCTCACAGAGCGATCACCGCGATATCTGCCAGTAGCTGATATGCCTCTTATTAGCATCGTGGCCGATGGAAACCAAAAGATTAAGAAGCCCACCACTTAGCTGTAGGTTTGCAGTGTAGACTCGGACAGCCACCTGCATCATGTCGGCCAAGTCGTCACCTACAGGGAACGGCAATGACATCTATCTTGCTCGATAAGGGGGAGGTAAGGTGTATTAGGTCGAGTGACCTACTGCCGTTTTTGTCAGATGATGAAAACGCTTTGGAAAGTTGTTGGTCCTTGAAATTTCAGCTTCCATTAGTGGGTCTCGAAGCCTTCAGAGGGCTTCTGGGATAGAACGTGCATATTCTTAATACGTATTGCCTATTTGCCTACATCTCGAAGGCCAGAACAAGTAGCTACAGCACACGTTTCTCTTGTGATTCACGGGCTCTTTACCCTGTGTGATACTTTCAGAGTAGTCATAACCATAAGTTGACGTCTTGCTGAACTTAGAGGTAGCCTCAAGCCAATCTGTAAGTGGTACGCTCTATCATTATCTCGTTACGTTTTGAATGTCGAAGAGCTCATCGTCCTATACGATTTAACTAGGTTCTTGGTCAATGGCAATTCTAGGGCTTAGAGGTATCCTACAAAGTTTTTAGCACTAAAGTCCTGAAGGATTTCTCGTACTACCACACCGGGAGACTAGCCGGATGGAAGAAGTCAAGCCCTGTCAGCCACTGCAGGGTTTGCTGCGTCGTCCCCGCAATAATACTGCAAGGTCAGCACAACGCAACGTTGACCTTCTTCTTTCGGCGCGACTGTGCGGTGTTTGACGTATAGAACTGAGAATCCAAGACTCTAGTTGCATGCGGCATGCGATGGGCGCATAAAACCGAGATAAAACTGATCTTTGAAATAGCCCCAGCAGCGTTCTGTATATATGCAGCCTCAGCCTTATGCTCGCGCGTCTCTAAGCAAGCCCCTACCCATTTCCGTATTCCTTCAACACAAGAGATGCGTGCCGTACATACTCAGATTACCTTCTGGGCGATGCTCAATCATGCAACGCTTGCCTCTGAAGTAGGAGGGAGCGCTATTCCACCACCAACCGGGCCTTATGCTGTTGGTGTGAGAAAGTTTGAGATAGACTATGTCAACACAGAAGACCCCGTCGCTCCAGGCAATGTGAGCACGTCATTTTTAGCAACGGCATTCTACCCAACATCGGCACGCTATGGCAACATCGCAGAACCATACCTCGATCCTGCGGTGGCTGCCTTGTGGGAGACTACATACAACCTCTCAGCTGGCGACCTGGCGTCTTTGACGTCAACATTGGCAAGAAACGCACCAGCACTTGATAATATCTCATTTCCTACTCTCGTCTTCGGACCGGGCGGGGCGGGCCCACCAACTGAGGTCTTCACGATAATACTCTCCGACTTGGCTTCACACGGCTATACAGTATTTGGATTGGACCATCCTTACGAGCAACCATTTGTCAGATTTCCTAATGGTACTGGAATTTACGGGCTCCCTGTCATATCAGTTGGATTTACTCCTGAATTTGTGACGGCCCTTCATAACATTAGGGTTAATGAAACAATCGCATTCATCAACAACATCCCAGACATTTCTCGCGAGCTCGGGTCTTCGGTCAACACGACGCACATTGGCACATTTGGCACCTCGCTAGGTGGGTCTGCAGCGTTGGGTGCGCTGCTTAAGGATCCTCGCATCAAATCGGGAATTAATGTTGACGGGACCTTCTGGGGCGATCTCAGAGCCAATGACTCCTCAGTGGATGCCGCGCGACCTGTATTCCTCTTCGGAAACACCGGGCATTTTGGATCAAATAGGTCCGACATTACATGGGCTACATTTCCCGCGGCGCAGACGGGTTGGTGGAGGCAGCTGAACGTGAACGGCTCCTTCCACCACGACTTCAGCGATAGGACGTTCTGGAAAGAAGTCTTCGGTATTCAACAGAGCACCCTCGGGCCTATCAACGGGTACCGCATGATCAATATTACTCGAACATTCATTAGAGCTTTCTTTGACTACACTTTATTGGGAAAACCGCAGTCAATATTTGATGGATCATCAGACGCTTGGCCGGAGATCATATACAGCGGCGGTGGAAATGGGTCTGAGTCAACTAATGTCTAAAGTACACTGCATGCCTGCAAGTATCAAATCAATAAATACTTCCCAAATTTAAATCAAGGCGGAAAAGACAGACAAGCGCTTCCTCAATCTATCTATCTGATAATCATGTATCTCTAAGATGACTGCTTGATTGCCATACTTCTGACCGCAGTGGTGTTACCGTTCGTATACGTTATCAGGGCGCAACGATGAATGTCCTAATCCAGCGGTCCAGCTCCCCTGTCCAAGTCAACTTGGGATCATCCAGGGCAAGGCCAACGCCATGAGGCCCATCGGGGAGGATTAAGACCTCGAAGGCACAGCCATGATTAGCCATGGCTGAAGCGAAGAGCAGCGAGTTCTGGACCGGGACCGCGGCATCGTTGCCAGTATGAAACAAGAAGACCGGAGGCGTATGTTTAGTCACGCGCCTTTCGGCGCACATCGACCCGCGCAACTCGTCGCCGGCATCGTGGCCCAGCAAGTTGTGCAGCGACCCGGGGTGGGTCGTACCCGGCTGCATGGATATGACGGGATACGCCAGAATAGCAAAGTCTAGATGCGCCTCAGCGTTCGTAACAGTGATAGCGCTTAGGTGGCCTCCTGCAGACCAGCCCCAGATGCCGAGCTTGACAACGCGGCCCTCAGCGCGGATCTGCCGTACGGCATCCAAAGCCTCGTTAAGCGGCGCTGGGTATATGGGTGCAGGCGTCTCGTCGCAGGCCACAGTATACTCGAGGACCCAAGCATCGAAACCGCGCTGATTCAGCCATTCTGCAGGTGGGCTTCCTTCGTTACCGAGCGACACATAGCCGTACCCTCCACCAGGAACGACAAGAACACCGGATTTATTGGGGTTCTGCGCGGGGTAAAACGTCAACTTCATGATTGCCGCAGGGAACTAAATGTAGTGGTGAGTCGACTGGGATTGGCAGAAACGTTGGAATATTCGTAATGAATTTCTCAGCGCAAGCCAGCTTTTGAAACTCTGTTGTCTGTCTATGATGATGTCTTGGTTTGTGTACAATACCTTGGTGATACGGTCGGTATCCGTCACCACCCCTGCCGAGCACAGGGACCAGTTTTCCCGCTGGATCATCACCTAGGACTGCGGCGCTTTGCCGTCGATTTCCGACATCACTTCACCGCCTCGCGCCGAACGGATTAGCTAGGCAGTGTCAGCCCATGTGTCAACTGCCTGGCAGATGACTTCAGCTTGTATATGATTTCTTTTGCCAGATCCCTGTCAAAATCTTCGAGATTAAGAAAGGCACGAGCGATGTCTTTTGCGTTATTAAAGAGTGTGTTTGCAGATATGCATATCTGAGTGGATGGATATGCCGAATGGCCACAACTTCATTAGCTCTTCCAATGTCGTAGTTAACGTCTCTCGCTGTGCTTCCCGAGCTGCATCAGAGTGGTGACACACCCGTCACCTTTCGGAAAAGAAAATAGAACATCATGAAGTGCTAGAAATTTGAAACAACCAAAGTATCTCTTCTTTGTGTTTCCTATTGTTCCGACCTGTGCACTCGTTGGTGAGGCAAGATTTTTGCCCAGCTTGTCCGACCTATACTGGCTATATACTTCCCGTCCAATAGTGGCCAGATCCCAACAGACCGTCTGCCTACTAGCAACGGTATACGGCTGCAACAAAAGCGATCCACAAACTGACCTTGGGCGTGGCTACCATGCGCACACTTCAATGTTCATACAATTGATCACCGTGCCGTATAACAGGTCAACATCTGTCCCTGGCTACGATGCCTGACTTATGCAGAACGTGCACCAAGTGAGAGTTTGCCTTGACTGTCGAAAAATCTTTTATCGAGAAAGGAGCAACATGGTCGCCGTATCCTCGGGGGATTGATTGATAATTCAACGTAGAGTCAGGTATCTCATGACAAACTGCCCCAGTCACCCACGACCCTTGTGGATTAATGATGACATACATATTTATGGCAGCAGTCATGATTGAATGGTTGCTGCAAGTATATCACGGTGCGTATCAGCCTCATCGGCAATTTCAGGGGCGTGGCAATAGCGGTCGCTCCGTGCATCCGACAAACTATGATTCAGTACGGAACACCCTGCGTTTGATGCCATTCTGACACCCAAAAGGACAATGCCCAGGCGCCGGCGGAGCCACATCATGTACATAGAAGGTCTTTGACATCGCGGTTGTTCCTGTCAATCGGGGCGGATGACTTGGCACCGGAACCGTTGCACGGGTTTCCGCCCACCTAACCGAGACAGAAGACGGAGGTGCCACCTCCGTAATCACAGTACGACGCACGACCAGCAGGTATGCACGCCAGCCAATCAAGGCTACCTGACAGCAGTTTTATTTCAATATTTCCTGGTTTTCGGATCTCATGGACGTATGATTGCGAGAAGCTAGGGGCTTGATTGGCGGACATTGGGCCTTATCGACGCTTTGGGAGTGAAGTAGCTTAGTTGAGGCTCCGTGGTCACGGCACCATCTGAGACTTCGAAACATACAAGAGAAGATGGAAAGGTTAAGTCTTTGATGAACAGTCTTTCGTAGAGCTATCGCCAGCTGCAGTGTGACTTTCTTGTGGATAATTACGGTCTCAGCATCACGATGAAGTCGACAAGTATCATCGCACTAGCTGCCCACGCGGCCTCCGTGACGGCGCACACGATTTTTGTGCAGCTGGAGAGTGGCGGTACAACTAACGGTGTGGGCTACGGCATACGAGTACCGTCCTACGATGGTCCGATTACAGATGTCACGTCTAACGACCTAGCTTGCAATGGAGGGCCTAACCCCACGACTCCCAGCGACAAGATCATCGACGTCACCGCCGGCTCAACAGTGACGGCTGTCTGGAGGCACACGCTCACCTCCGGCCCCGATGATGTGATGGATGCGTCTCACCTGGGCCCGACTTTGGCGTATCTCAAGAAGGTCGGCGACGCAACCAGCGACTCCGGCATAGGAAGCGGCTGGTGAGCTCGAAATGGTCGTTTAGTCATTGCAGTCTGCTAATAGAGCTTTTCCAGGTTCAAAATCTTCCAGGACGGGTACTCAAATGGGGTCTGGGGCACTTCGAAAGTCATCAACAACGCCGGAAAGCAGGCGATTCCCATCCCGAGCTGCATCCCTGACGGCCAGTACTTACTGCGTGCCGAGATGATCGCCCTTCACGCGGCCTCGTCGGCTGGTGGCGCTCAACTATACGTATGGCCTTGCTTCATCTGCTACTAAGATCGTTAATTTGCTAATTAGTAAATAGATGGAATGTGCCCAGATCAACATCAAAGGTGGCAAGGCTACTGCATCACCTTCGACTTACAGTATCCCCGGAATCTACAAGGTTTGTTGACCCCCTGGACTTTATGTCGACGTATGAAGCTGAACACGGCGTTCCCAGGCAACCGATCCAGGCCTCTTGATTAATATCTACTCCATGACCAGCTCTAGCACTTACACTATTCCTGGTATGCTTGAGCCCGCCTAATGGCCAGAAAGTGTTCAGTTCTAATCATGTGTTGCAGGGCCCAATCCATTCACTTGTTCTGCGTCCGGAGGCGGCACAACAGCGGCCCCCACGACGAGCCAGGCTAGCTCGACGACTCTGATAACTTCTACCAAGACCAGCACAGCAGTGTCTACCACGACTGCGCCTTCGTCTTGCGCTGCCGCTCAGGTAAGTTATTCACCGGCTCAAAATAGCTGTGAACATGACAGGTAACTGACTTCGATGTACCTGCAGTGGGCTCAGTGCGGTGGGTCAGGATACACCGGCTGTACAACCTGTGTAAGCGGAAGTACTTGCGTCAAGACCAACGACTATTACTCTCAATGCCAATGAGAGGAGATTGAAGTGGTTATATCACAGCTTTGGTGGAAATTATTCAAGTATATGACGGGTCTTCATTGTAGGTTAGGGCCTAGAACATAGCTAGAAGCTTTGCTGGAGAAGGCATGTAAACTGTTGATTTATATCGTTTCAGAAGTGACTATACTCCGGTCAAGTCGAAGCAAATCCGTCATCTTGTCACCGCAAGATCTCATACTGTCGTAACCAAGCCTCACAGAGCTCCGGCCACCTGGCGACCGGTAAGCCCTCGGTATCCAGCGCAAACCCGTGCGGCGCACTCGAAAACACATGAAGCTCGACCGGGCCTCCTGCCTTGCTGATACCCTCGGCAAGACGGTACGCGTTGACCACGGGCACGACCGGGTCGTCACTGGAATACACAATGAAGGTGTGCGGCGCCGGACTGCGTATCTGAACGTCTGGTTGCACCATATCGTAAAGCGCCTGCTTCTCCGGCGGCTCCAGCGGAGCCTTATCGGGCACGATGGTACGGCCGGCTGCGTTGGTCGAGATGGGTCCGTAGCCGATGATGGCGAACTCGACCCTTGGCAGCGTCGAGGGCGCGGGATCCCATGCTGCTGGATAGGCAGCGAGCAGCGCCGACGCAAGGTGCCCACCGGACGATAGGCCGCAGACCCCAAGCCCATGGGTTCCGAAGCCCCTCTCGCAAATCAGATCCAGTGCCCGCCTCGCATCATCAAGTGGTGCCTGGGGTCCCGTCTCGGCATTTGGAAAGCGATGCACGAGCACAAAGGCGTGAAACCCCAGACTCGCCAGCCACCGTGCCACGCTGATGCCCTCGCGACCAACCATGAGTGAAACGTAACCTCCGCCACCTAAGATGAGGACTGCTCGCTTGTTCGCGTTCGCAATAGGGCGATAGCCGAAAAGCCATGGCCTCGACACTTTAGTGACGACTGCTTTCGAAAAACCGCCTGTGCCGTCTGGAATCTCTAACTCGAATGCGCCGTCGAGTGGTTGCTCATCGTAAAGAGCCCAGCTCGAGTCTGCATTAAGCGTAGTTGAGCTGACTGTAGACATGCCGTTGAATGCTGTGTACGCATACCTTAAGCTGATAGGGCATAGGATACAGTCCAATTGAGTATAAGCTGGCCGTTCTTATTTGAAGCCAGTCGCAATCCCCCATGGTGCGCTGCTCGTCGTAGTTGCTTAACACCGAGACCAAAGAACTGGTTGCCCACACTAGTTATTCCACCAATCATGGTTTTACATTGGACCAGCTACTGCAGACTGAGAACAGATTTGATGAGGGTTTACTTCGTCAGGCGTATATAGATAGTTAGCGACACTATACTGATTCAATGTACTCACGAATCAGCTCAAAGAAGTCTGAACAGTTGAACGTAAGCTACTAGTTCGATACCTAAGTTCCCATGGCATATATACGTAGTATCGGCCATGGTATGCGAGCACGCGCGGACTTGCTCCTGATCGGTCGTATTGTGAATATCTGGAGAAACTTTGGTCACCATGCATACACGGAGTCATGGCGTCTCAATACAAAGTCACTCTAGCGACACTAACACGTGGGTCGACCGAGTGCAATCAAATTTGGGCTGTATCTTGGTATCTCAAATTCACAATCGTTCCAAAAACGCCTTTTCTCTAGCAACCCAATTTCCGACGCTTTCCTGAATTAGCTTCGTGCGTGAGACTTTGGGCAAGACAGCAGCCGTGACTGGCAAAAGGATGTCTAAACCATATGAACCATCGACGCATGTCCGTCCGCTCAAACGACGCGGACCCCCAATCAGCCTAGCAAGCTGACCATGGGTTCAGGCCAGCTGCCCCATAGGAGCGGTCGATCACCAAGTCTGGCGTTCACGGGAGCCAGAACCTTGAGGCGCTTCTTCTTCTCATCGACGTCGGTGATATAGACAAAGCCCATGACGTTGGCGTCGCGAATGGCATCCGGTGGATCGCGTGTGCCGGCGTACATGACGGCAAGCGTGCAGTTGAGCATCATGTCGGACGGCTCTACTTTCTCTACGACGGAGTCCGTAGCGCCTGGGTCGTAGAAATCGTCGTCATCCTCAGCCGAGGTCGAGTCAGGAGCTGTAGAGTGTTAGTTGTCGGTCCAGAGACTGAGGGTACCATGAATAGGCAAGAACCCGTAATTGAAGCTTTATGAAAATGAAACTTACCTTCGGCGACCTTCCACGCCGTAACACTCTCAAAGCCAATGTTTTGCGTCCCGGGACTGAGGTTCTTCTTTGCATCTCCGAAAAAGTACTCCTTGATGGCCTTCTCCCTGACCCTCTGCATGAACGCGGCATCCCTCTCCGCAACGCCACTGCTCTTGTCCAAGCCGACAACGGCAATCTCCTCACCGAGACTCGTCTTCTGGCCGGCGAAGCGCCGCGCAAGTTCCGCTGTCACGCGTTCCGAGCCCAGGGAGACGACGATATTGGCCGAGAACTCAGCGACGATGTGTGCCAGGATATCGAGGTCGCCGGGCTTCGACGCATCGACGGCCGCCGAGTCGATGACCATGCCCGAGTGCCTGACGTCGGGGTCCTCGGACAGGCGGTTCGTCGAGGCGGCCGCGAGGCGGCTGAGCAGGCTCCTGAAGAGCTTCGGGTTCTGGTCCGGGCGCTCCAGGCCGTAGTAGTAAGCCAGCGGCAGCTTCACGGGGATGCCGGCCGGGCCCGAGGTCGGCGTGCCACCCCACTCGGTCGTGACGTCCATCAGCGTCGCGAAGACGGCGGCGCTCAGGGTCCCCGGCAGGCTCAGGATGCCCTCGGTGGGGTCCGTGTTGACCACCAGCGGCTGGCGGCCCATGCGCGTCGCCCAGGCCGTGAGCATCTTGGCCAGGCTCGTCTTGCCGCTGGCGTCGGGGCCGACCACCAGAACGCGAGGCCCCATGGCCTCGGTGTTCATGGCCTTGGCGGCGGTGGACCGCAGGCCCTCGAGCTTCATGTGCAGGTTCAGGTACGAGACCAGAGGGCTCTCGTCGGCGGCGTGCTCGGCCGTGTAGGCATCGTAGGCGCCCGGGTTGTCGGAGGTGACCTCGAGCTCGCAGCCGAGCCAGGTGTTGATCTTGGACTTTGTGCCGCTGAAGGTGTAGGGGTTCTTGGGGGCGAGCTCGGTGCCATCCTTCTCGGCCGTGCCCGACAGCAGGCGAATGGTCAGCGAGGACGAGAAGGGGACCTCGAACCGGTATTCCCAGAAGGGCTGCAGCGAGATGGTGGTGATGGCCGATGCCGAGGCGGCCGCGGCGGAGGCTGCTGTCGTCGCCTGTCCACGTCGTAAGGATTAGCGTCTTGCAGAGGTAAACAGCGGGGGCCAGAGGTCAATTGCAACGTACCGCCGAAGAGAATTGACCCAAGCCTGGAATCGACATGTTGGGTCACGTCAGCTCATTGTGCAAACGTGAGAAAACCGGAACGTAGACGAGGTTGAGTGAGGACGGGATAGCTTCGTATCATAGCCTTGCAGCACGGCGGGGCGAGGCTACGCCACGCTATTTCAGCCCACCCACACCCCGGCATCACGGAGCTTATAGCACTATAAAGTGGGACGGCTTTCACGTTTTGCAACTTTATGAACTGAGCCGTGAATGTCTAGCTTTGTGGAGACTCTTGGAGATGCTCGCAAAGGACACTCGGCGGCTCATATGCTCTGAACAGCAGCCGTCATAGTGAAGATTACAGGATGTACGACGTGCTTTGTTGTACATGGAAGACTGGAGCACCCGCTCGACCTCGGCGGCTTTCATATCGTGGAACGGGTTTTCGGGGGTCTCTGACTCTGAGACGTCTTGCTCGTCATCCTCATCGAGAAGTTGCCCGAGCCCGAGCCTGGAGCGAAAGTAATCATTCTAATCTCTCGTAACTTAGTTATGTTCCTCCTCAAGTTCCACGAGCTAGGTTTGGAGGGCTTCCACATCCGCTTTGGAGACCGCATTCCTTCGTTTCGCCCTGAAGGCCCTGCGCCTAGATGTCATCATCCGGGGTGCTCTGACGCGTCTTGGTAGTCTCTGCTGCAAGCTCGCAAAGCTATGCGTTCAACTCGTACTTATAGAGAGAAAATTGTCATGTAGTACTTATCACATTTCATATACATGGTTACAAAGCGATTGCCCAACACCAGATACGTGCCAAGTCATATTCGCAGCTCAAGTATGCGCCCGTAGATGGTAGAAAAAATGTATATGAAATCATCATTGTCGTCATGAGCAACTCCAAAACTACCTAAATGCCCTCTAGCCCTCTGAGGTGGGGATTTCTATAAGATGCCTTGAGCAGAAGCAGGATGTGAAGTGAAACACCGTCGAGTCTCTGGAGGTATTCTTGTCAAGAGTCGTTAGCCAGTCGATCCATGCGTCCTCCAGCGGAAATGCTGACGCGCATCTGCTGCTGTTGCCTTTTAGCCCGTCCGTTTCTATGCACCCAATGCAACGAGGAGAGACGCGAACATGTGGCGAGTGCGAATGCGAGCTCTCCATGCCTTTGATCTATGCCCTCCCACATGCCCTTATGCTCTTGCGACCGCCATTGCTCCTGGTTTCTGTGGCTGATGACTGTGCGTCACGCCGGGTATCCCATCATCACAAAACCACCAACACCATTTCTTTCCGGTGCAAATGCTGCAACTAATCCCTGGCTCATTTAGACATGTCGTCGAAAAGCTGGACCAGACTCCGTACGCCAAGTAGAACGTTCTCGTCGGGGCCCTGGCCAGGCACAAACTTGGCATGCGCAAAATCGATGAGTCTCAGACTGTAAATGCTGGGCTGGCTCGAGAACTCCTCTGAATCATCCGAAATGTCCGACATGTCATCGCCAACAACCGCGTCAAACACGGCATTGCCCTCGTTGTCCATGCCGATGCCGCTATCCACCCGGAGGTTAGCGCATAGCCCGGGGCCTGAATCCTTTTCGTGTACTGACGCTCTGTTCTCCTTCCGGGATGCCCGCTCCTGTTCCATGGCCGTGGTCTCTTCCATGGCGGCCCTGAGCGCCTCGCCATCGCCCTCGAATACGAAGAGCAGACTCGCCGAGTACATGCGGCTCTCGTTGGCCTCGAGCACCTCCTGCACGCGCCTCAGATCGGCCGTGAAGGCCTGCGCGACCAGCTTGCCCAGTTCGGCGTCGATGCCCGCGCTCTCAACAAAGACAAAGTGCTTCTTGAGCATCTCGCCCACATTCTCTTCCTTGACCGTATCCCGGCCCCAGTACTTGTCGTACACCTTGAAGTCCTCGTCGTCCAGCTCTGAGGGGTCTGTGGAGCCCTTGTAGACGCGCATGCCGGCGACGCGGAAGCCGTACTTCTTGTGGGTCGTCGTCTGCGCAATCTCGTCGAAGCGCTGCCTCTTCTCCAGCGGCGCATCGTCGGCCCACAGCCGCAGGCCCAGCTTGGCGTCCATGATATTGGGCTTCTTGTAGCCGAAGCTCGAGTTCTGGAGAACAATGGCGCGGTCCGTCGTGATCTTGCGGCTCTTGTTCGGAACCCAGGTCACGCCGTCCGAGGGGACGGGGACGGGAAGGGTGGCCGCGCGCTGGACATGGATCTCGGGACCGGGCGAGACGGCAGGGCGCTGGTCCAGGTGAAGATGCGACTGGACCTCCTCCTTGATGGCGGCAGGCACGTCTGCGTTCTCGACGATGGCCGGGATGGCGGCGTGGATCATCTCCTCGGTGGTGTTCTCCGTCAGCGCCAGACTACCGTAGTAGAGTGGCATCAGCTCGGCGAAATCAGGGTGTAAAACGTGGGCGGACTCGTAGAAGTCGATCTCGGCCTTGGTGCAAGGCTTGATGAACAGCTCGCCGTCGGCATCGCACAATGTACCAGCACTGTGGGAGGCGAGGTACGTTAGTCAGGGCGGTACGCGCATCGGCGGCCAGGTGGTCAAGACTTACTGTCCGGCGACGGCGTAGTTGTAGTCAATCAGCTCTGAGCGCTTGGGCATCTCTCGATCACCGCTGAGGGCGCGCTTGGCCGACGGGAAGGTTGCGGCCGTGGCCAGCAGTCTGGCCGGGGGTTCGCCGTTCATCTTTCTTTGAGACGGCGAAGGCGACGGCGGGGGAGGGAGGGTAAGTGAGGGCAGGGTTGGGGGAAAGTTTCTCTTTCTCTCAACGTATCCTCATGCTTTATGTGCGAGGGTCTGGCGGGCTGAGGGAAACAACAAAAAAAAATCACACGGGCTGGGTGAGTACGCAACGTGCAGTTGGGCGTTGGCCTGGCTGGGTGCGAAATGTCCCCCAATGCGGCACAAGGTGACGAGGCGACGGCACTAAGGAACCAAACGGCCGCGAGAAGATTAATTGGTTCTAGGCTCGGAACAAAGAAATACAGTTCAAGTTCAGCATGAGGTCAATAATTAGTCGTAGCAGTAGTAGTACAAAGGGGGTCGCGAAGGGACGAAAAGGAGGGGACGGGAGCTGGTTAAGAAGACGCGGGCCGCAGTGTAGAGAAAGGAATGACTGATTGACGATCTGCCTGAAGCGAGAGGCGAAGTCTGAAGGGAAGCGAAGCGATGCGATGCGCAGCGCAGCGCCAGTCCAGCGCGAAAAAGCCAAAGCGGTAAGTTGACGAGTACTGCGACTACGAGTTAGGCTGGACTGCAGGATTTCGCCAACGAGAGCGCCGATGGAAAACCCTACCGTTGGCGCTGGCAGGGGGGAAGGGTCAAGGGAAAACGCGCCCCCCTTCACCCCTTCACACACGGACGCCGCAGTTCACGTCACACCCTAGGCGAAAAGGGGCACTGTATCACTGTCCATGTCTACTACTTATTAGTCAGGACACTACGGCACCGGTAGTGATGTACTTGTGATGTGTAAGTTGCTGTGTATGTAAGCAGGCAGTCAGGCAGGCAGTGGATATTGATCACAGGTGGTTATCGGACAACTCATCTAGAGCAAACTGCCTCTGACTTGCATATGGGCCTTTTCGCAAATACGAATCGCATTCAGTTTCCCCGTGGGCTGGCCGGTGGACACAAGACGGGCGACACTAGTGACGGGGGTGACTGTCCAGACTCACGGATGACTTGATCAGGAGAACCCGATGCAGAAAGCGATATGCTTCTCTCTCTCTCTCTCTCTCTCTCCAGAGCCACATCTGCTGTAGCGGTAGGCAGACTGGCCGCAGCTCGTCAGCTTGCATCGTTCAGTCAGTACCTAGGTACTATATCAGCTTCCAGGTCAGCTTTCCACCGCCGGCCGCAGCATGCATTGACTAGTACCTACTGCCGCAATGCCGTACCCCGTTCTCCATCCGCAGCTTCGGATGCGAGCGGGCGCGTGGGCGGGCGGGCGTGTGGGCGCGTTGCGAGATGCTTTGGCTGAGCACGCATACCCCGCGAGCCAATAACCGACCCCTGCCATCGCGGCTTGGCCCCCGGCACAGGCGGCATCTCAGCAGCGATGTGGCGGGCTGGCGGGCGGGCGCGCTGGCAGTCGGGCTTCTGGCGGTCGTCGCCCCGCTGAGCCACACTGCCCGTGAATCTGCCAGGTCTGCCTTGACCACTCAGGGCGCTGAGGGCGCCTGTGGACTCCCTGCTCAGCCTGCCGCAGCACCAGCCGCCACTGGTAGGGGCCTAGGAGGCCAGCCCTTCACCCCGATACAGGCTGACCTAAGGGTAGTGCAGTCCGATGGCCATATCCATCTTGGACCCGATTGCTCACCATGGCAGGAAACGTATCATGTTTGTTTATGGTGATCTCGGCCCCGAAACCCCTCCACTTCGCCATCTGCACGCATGCCACAAGGCAGCAAACACGAACCACGGTGCTGGGTGCAACGCACCTGCAAAATCCGTATCAGAAGCCCCGTGTACCTAGGTAGGGACTAGGGACGAGTCAGACCACTGCTTGTGTTCCATCAGAGTAAGACATGCGCCGCTTGCAAGTCCAGCTGATCGCATCAGATGTCAATCACGATGTTTGCTGGCCACTGCCAGCATCATGCCATTTGACGAGCGACAGCTGATGCCCACAAACATGCAACGCAACCCCTCACCCAGAACCTTTCCACCAAGGGATGGACCAGTGAAGATACCTGTGTGGCACTGCTCAACCTTGGGCGTATGATTCGCACCTGGGCGAGTATAGAGCCCCACAGTCAAGGTAACCTCAAATGGAGCGTCTTGACTATACTCTTCCATCTCACGACTTATCAAACTCTCATCTTCCCCTTGTGAATTGTCCAAACGTGCTCCAATCGAGGTGGTGCTAATAGAATCTGACACGCGTCTGTGCCTTGCATGAGCACTACCTGCCTCTTGCCATGAATGCGCAGTGTTCGATTGCAGGACTGGCATATTGCAAACGAAGGTGGTTAGCTGCCTTGCCGGGCCATGTTTACCACTTGTCACTTATTCAGACTTTTGCATCTAGTGTTTGCAATACTACAGAATAACAAAATGAGATAGATCACCAAGAGAAGGCGCGCCACAAGCTTTCTAATCTAAAACAACTTCCAGACCCCAGCACTTGGTAATAATGGGACTTATTTTGCCGCCCACCCATTGTAATCCTCTCCATGCTACAATCTGTGAATCACAGCCTTTGAAGCCACAATAGGATAGGGCAATCTGTATCAGCATCTCAATATCTCACCATTCGCTCTGCCCTAGGAATCTCGCTGCCAAGAACCAAGTCAGTGGGTTACCCTCTTCCTCAGTATTGCTCCTTCCCAGCTCCAGCATCTCAGACACCAGTCAAAATTTGCGTAGGCAACAAATTTTGGTTTTCCCTTCTTTTTCATATCGCCTCTCATTGTTGAACGTACATATGTAATATCTGCTTCATCCCGAGTTAACACCGCGGTCAAGATGGCAGATCACCAGATCGAGCCCGTCGATCATCACCCTACTGACCATTCTGCTAATGGAGAGCGCAAAGACTCCACAAGCGGTGATTCCGCTTCCAGCAAGACCTTGAGCTCAGGCTCTGCAGGTTGTGATGAGAGCAAGGACCTCGCAACGGATGAACACGATTGCTCCGGCAGTCTCCCATGCGAGCCCCAGATGCTCAGCGCCCATGTCGCGAGTGACGAGGAAGCCGCGCCAGAACCCGCATCCACAGATGTTGGCGGATCTATGCACTTCTCTATGGACGCGCCCAAGAAAAAGAAGAAGAAGCGTAGCAAGCCTGGCAAGACCAGACGTGCCATCACTGGATTCGAAGGTAAACCAGCCTCCCAAGTGTGCTTATATGACTTTCTTGATATCTGACCGACTCTTCCACAGAATTCTATGCTGACTCTCCGACCACTCCGGACGAGCATCAGGAGAACAAGAAGCTCTATGACCCCATCCTCCCGTTTGCGCAGCGCATTGAGACGTGCATTCAGCGCTATCGCCAGAAGCGCCGCTTCGATAGTCCCAGAAACTTCTTGTTTGACAAGTATCTGGCTCTGGGCGGCATCGAGAGTGCCCAACGCATGTTTCAAGGCCTTGACAAGAATGACTTGAAGCAGTTGAGCGCCGAGGAGATCCGCGAGGCTACCGCGAGAGACGTCATCCAGCCCGGCGTTGGCGGCTCCAAATTCTATGACCCGGAGAATCCTGAGCACTGGCGAGTCGACTTTGCGATCGTCGTGAAGGGCTTCTTGTAAAGTTATCCCCGCGGATCAGCACGCTCCACAAGACTAACCAATGCATGTGTAGGTCTCGCTGGGTCCCTGAGAACTACCCTCGTAGCGATACAAGCTTTGAAGAAGACAACAAGCAGGCAGCCGATCTGATTCACAACTTCCTCAAGTATGTCCAGGCTGTCGATGCGTGCCCGGAGTACACGTCGCAGATTCTGGCTGCGGAAGCTATTTGCTCTATCGCGCCCGATGAGCTTCGCAACGTTCGACAGCTCTACAAGGAGCTGCGCGACCCCTTCAACACCGCCGCCAAGTTTCTGTTTTGCGACGGCGGTGTCTTCGAGATAGAGAAAGAACCCTCCAATGATGGCGCGGCTACGAAGACTCCACTCGCCTTCGACGAACAGGATCCCAGCATGGTTCCCGAGAAGCTTGACCCCTTCACTCAGCTCGTCATCTTCCGCCTGACAGTCATGGACGCCCTCAAAGACTCGGACCACCAGGCTGCCGACGAGGATCCGCGCAACATCCGCGTCGTGAGTACCATGAATGAGACGTACCAGGTCGTCTCCGTCAAGCGCCGCAAGAAGAGCGAGAAGAAGATGCTCGAGAAGCTTCTCGGCCAGCAAGACCTGCAGGGCAAAGTCAAGTCAGCCGGCACCTTGAATCTTCAACGGTCCGTCATCGACCATGCCTACAGCAACATGCCGCGCCCAGATCAGCTCGATCTCAGCAAGGAGCCGATCGAGGCCTTCATAATTGACGATGACATCCTCGCCAAGGTGCAGCCTGGAATGAAGCTCCAGCTCGTCGTTTGCGAGTTGAATATTGGCATCAAGTTCATCAAGGAGGTCAATGACGTGCGGGTCAGCTTCGATACCCTGCTGCCGCAGAGCCTCATGCTCACTTGGAAGGAACCTGTCGAGAGCGATCGACCAGCCCCCTCGGTTGATAGCCCAAGCTTGGGCATGGGCATTGGCGTGGATGATGAGACGGTACTTGACATTTGAGACTCGGCCCGTGATGCTGTTCCAGGATGAAAATAGGATGGCGACAGAGGGTAGTGTGACTTCGTGAACAGCCTCAGGGTTGAACACACAATCTCAACTCGAGATGAATGGCAAAAATTGCGAATCTGTACCGTATGCTGCGTACGTTGATAGAGGAGTTGCCTCTACGATCTCCGTAGTTGACATCCACACTTGATGCTCGCTTCTGTGGTACTTTAATTTGATCCAAGCTACGTTACCCGACTGCCCATACTTATGGTACCCATTCCGGCCACGAGACTACTCAGATACGCCAACCTTTCCCTCGTTTGTCAGTTCGGGGTGACACGTTGACACTGCTTCAGAGAACCACGTAGGCAACGCCGGCCAAGGCACCCATGGCCCCGATGCCCATCCAGCCAGCTTGGCTGCGCGACGCGGCATTAGGCTTGCTGTCCGAAGCACCGCCGCTGGCGGCCGTATCCGCGATGTATCCGGGTGATGTTGCTCTCACAGTAGTACCTTATAGGTGTTGTAACACTCTCATGCGAAATTAAGTGCAATGGTGGCCTAAGAAAGTCGCACCCATATGACTTGCACGCCGCGTGACAATATCACTCTTCTGTTAAATACTTCCCAAGCATAGCTTCATACTCTTTGTCTACGCTACCCGGATTCCGGAAAGTCCAAAGCAACCCTTAAATTCGGGTTTCTTGGCATCTCACGAAAAACCCACTTATAGCCCAAATTATCTTTAGTTTATCTTAGCTGGTGTTTTCAGCTCGGTTACCGTACCCGACAACATCGTAAAACCCTGACTTCACCAGTATCGAAGGCCAATTGACCATGGTATTCCTTTCCTGATGCTAACTTTTCCCATCATCCTATACATATCACTCCCTGGAGTTCTGGGAATTCCAAATCCCTGGAAATGTTAGACCAACCCGTGACAAGGCCAGTCTAGAAGCCGAGGAGTGTCCCCGAAGTCCTGTCACAACTACTGCACCAGAGTAGAACTCTGTCGACCCTGCATGCTCCCACGAGGAGTGCCGGCATGTGTTCTGAAAGTACTTAACGAATGCGACAATGCTGTGCCGGGAGGGGCGTCCCCAGTGATGTCTTCATGAGGTTTTTGGCAGTAAACTATCATCCTAGCATGGGATAAGCATGGGTAGAAGCCACTTGAAGGTGTTTGGAATCTTACAGTGAGATGAAACAATGTATGTTTGTGTCACCCAGATCTTTGTAGACCGTGTCAAGGAGTTGACTGAGCTCTTCTGCTGACCATCCTAAGATGTCCATGAATATGCTGGGCGACAGACTCTCGATGGCCTCCCTGGCGTTCGAATTCATCAGTGCCCCTACCCTCTTGCACCGCTTTCCGGGCGGCCATTCGTTCAGCGGCACCGAGTACTTCCTGTTAGTACAATTCACAAAACCCATCTGGGTTAGTATCTCCTTGTAAGCGGTGATGAAGTGGAGCGATTTGTGGATCCGACGTAGACCCGTTTTGTGTCAGCACGTCGGCTATACGTTATTGGGGGTCGGCTGCGCGCACCTTTGTCAAGCAGTTTGTTCCACAGCTCGATCGATGTTCCCCATAGTGAATTGTCTGGCGATTGCACATGTACAATCCATTCTCTGAACTCGACCCAACCACCAGGCTCTAGATTCTCGTAGATGTTTTCAAATAACTTTCTCTTATCTTCGTTTTTGAACTCTCCGAGACTTCGTGCATGGATGAAGTCGAACTTGTAAGGAAACCTCCATTTGGATCGTGCGTCATACTGTTCAAAGAAGCAGTTGCCGGTAGTGTTTGAGTGAGGGATGGGGTTGATGTCGATCCCCAGGACATCGGTAAACGGATTCCTCGCCGCTTTCGTTGTTGGCATATGACTCTGAGAACGATTGGGAATGTTACGTCAAGATACACTTACAGTATTCTTTGGCCCATATGCCAGTTCCAGTCCCGACATCCAGAACCTTTCTAGGATTGGTGAGAGGTGCTAGATGGAGTCTACCGTCAAGCAGGTCAAGATGGATTATATGCTGTGTGTCTGCCAGTCGTTAGCACAAACGGTTTATAGAAGAACTGTGGCTTACCATTTCGATCTAATTCCCGCTGGGCAAAACAAGGTCTTCGTGAGCTGGGATCGAGTCACAAGGGTTTAAAATCTCACCTGATCAGAGGGCATAAAGTATTCTTCCATCAACGTCAGCGAAAGTATTTATGCGAGGCGCGTGTTTTCTGTAGGTGAACGCACTCTTATTAACAGATCGGCCGAACCTGCCAAATTTGCGTACTCTCGAACGAAACCTGTGTTTTGGGTCCTCGCCTCGACTCCCCCTGAAAAACAACAGCTATGAGTCCGGATGACTTTGAAACAGGGGAATAGTATCCTCACCTTCTTGATTTGGGGCAGGACATAGGTTCATCCGACTCATCGCTGTCAACTGTCGGCCAGAGGTTTTCCTGGAAGGCACTAGCGTTGCCCTTCTTCATGTCAGTTGCTGGCAAGCAGTCCTCTTGGAAACATGGTGTAGTTACGAGCTGCATGGGAGGAGTATATGCTTGCATGGCTATAGAACATGGCTCAGAACGTCACTTACTGATTGGTCCGATAGCAGTGAAGCACAGGAAGCGGGACGAGGGCGCAGCAGATGGTCCGAGAAGCTGGCCTTGCTGCCTTGAGCTGCGGATAGCTTAGGAGAAGACAAGGCCATGACCTGCCCATTGATAGCTTCGGTGTGGCTTTGGCCACCCCTTTTAGGCTTCTTAAGTGTGCCCATTCTATTCTCGGGCCGCCCCTGGGCTGGGTACAGGTCGGGCGCTACCTGAAGCACAAACACGGATCAATACTTGGATGTATGGCGCGAGTACCCATTCGGACTAGAGCAGCTGAGGTCTCTTGGCGGAGAGGAAGCAAAGAGAACTACAATTGCGCCGGGTTTCTCTGGTTTTCTACTTTTTACGCGTCTGCGCGCTTTTCAATCTATGACCCTGGCCCCTGGCCTGCCCGGGCGCGCCGTTACAGCTCCGTATAGACCCCTGTGCCCAGAAAGTCTAAATATCGGGGCCGTGGACGCTACGTAAGCCTCCATTGAATCCTTCGGGGGTGAATAGCTGCATCTGTGCGGCGCAACCATGGTGATATTATTCGTTGCCATACCTACCTAAGTAAATAGGCATCTTGCGCTGCCTATCAACAAGTGCAGGACGCATGCACCTATGCATGGTGACCGCCGCACAATGTCCATCTATCTATTGTAACATACTGGACCTGGCGGCTATCGTATCACGCGCAAAGCTCCTACGTTGCCTTGTCTCTTTGAGCTAGTCGGCCGGGAGATCGACCCTGCTGCAACTGTCTTCATCGGCATTAGCATTTTCTGCAAGTCGACAAAAGCGGAATTCATGCACAACAACGAAGCATGTCAGAAGCATGGATCAAGCTGCCTTACCCATTTGGGTGGACCTGGGCAGCTTGGACCCCACTGCAAAACGTGCCCCTGACCGCGATCCTTGTTCATGAGAGTCAATCACCTATGCGCGTTCAATGGCACTTCATACATTACGACTTAATAATTGTAGAGTGTGGTACTACAGCATAAAACATTTAATATACCAATTTTTGGTACTCTTCTCCTTCGCCCGGTCTGCAAACAAGGAATGAACCTCGCATTCTGAGGTCCAATAAGCGTACGCCTTGGTGTAGTCAAGGTGCTGGTCTCTTCTCTGGTCTTGTCCAAGACAGCGTGGGCCCCCATGCCTGCTCAATACGGGCAATTAAGTTGCCGATGGCCCAGCTCGAGAAATATTGCGCTAAAGTTGCGATTCCGTGACTTCCTAATTTCCATCAGTCGGGCCTCGAGCCGACGGCACCTATTTTAAGTTCGGTGCGATCTAGCAGAAGAAAACATTTTCGGGTCCCGATCAAAGCCGAGCCCGTGGGGAAACAATTTCGCTTCCTATAGGAATCGTTTCGTCTTGAATAGGCCGTCAAATCGACTCGTATGAAGCCTGACTCGGGAATGCCGACATGGAGATCGACGGGAGAAAAGCAGCCCAGTTCGCAACAGAGACTTTTAGTTATATTGTAACCAACAGAAAGTGTCTTCAGTCCAGAGCAGGCTGCTCTGAAGGAACTATCTCATTATCCGCTCATAAGCTATTGCGTGGGTTTCTCTTCCAACTTGGCTACTTAGCACAGCTGTGGTTGTAGATTGATGAGATGTTGCCACTGCAGCGAACATTTTCCGGTGCTCGTTCTGCCGATGCAAGAAATGCAAGTGCCCGAAGCGTACGCAGTTAGGGTCTTCATCGCGCGGAGAACACATGCATCTTGGCAAGAATCTACCACAGAGTCTAGTCGATAATTGCTAGAAAAGACATCTCTCACGCCGAATCCAGGCTCATACACTTTCCCAGCGTCACGGGCGTCGATATCAAATTTGACAACATCATAGACAGATGAAGTTCCGTAATGATAAGCTCACTAAAATAGACAGGGCATATTGACCATCGTTTGTGGCAACCCCATCACGCGTGCAGTGCAGACAAGGCTGAATCAATTTTCCAGTATGTAACAGGTTCTAACCAGGAAAGCCATTGCATATTAAGCGCGTTCTCCACAGAAAGAGAAGATGTCCTAAATGAAAAACCCTAGAAGAGAATCCAAGGAGGATTCCGCTCATGATTAAATTGAGAGAATATTTGAGGAGAGCCCCCAGCATTGTATCAGCAAGGTGGGCTGCAGCCTTCAGCCGCCCGACGGTGCCTGACCACTTAATGCAGAGAATAAAAAAAGCAAGATGAGAGGATTACGGCTCAGCAGTAACCTCCAATGATATTGCGCTTTGTAAAGTAAATGCAGGGGCGAGCCTTCTGACGAATGAGTGTATTGGGGCCGCAGGGGCTGTAGTATCAATGCCTTCGCCAATGAAGAAGCACTCCTTGGCACAGGATCGTGTTCTGTGCTACCGTACAAAATATTCTGTAACTCAGCTTACTATCTTGGCGCAACCAGTGAAAAACCAGGAATCCGATCCTCCGGCAACTCTCGTCGCGGAAAAGAGCCGCCTTCATATCCGTTGGCTTGTCATTGCAAGACTGAGTTATCTTTCCCTCTTTCAAGCATCAACTACGACAACGAGCGACTAGAGGAAGCTTTTGAAGCAACAAGCAACTGATTCACATCCAATCAGCTAGCTTCTATACGCTTCATACTTCTTGGTTGTCTTGCGAAGGTCTTCGTTCCTGTCAACAGTTCAGAACGTCGCAAAGGCACTGCATGAAGTCGCCGCCGAAACAGCCATAAGACAAACAGTATGACTCGTCATCGACCCTATGGCCTCTCCACAAGAAATCTAGCCTACCTAGGCTTGTCGATTACAATAGTACAAGCCACGCCACGAGGCGTTCGGTGGTCTTCCACAACATTAGGCCCGGATGGACCGTGGAACGCGATAGAGGTGACCATGGGAGAGCGCCAACAGATCACCATGTACGCTGGGAAAATGTGGGAGTCATACTTCCTTAGCGAGACGTATTGTAGCAGTACGGCTTCTGAGGGGAGACCGTGCTATGCGAAGGAAGCTGGTGCGATCTATGACTCTTCCAGCAGTGGGAATACGCCCTTCATCTCTGTCCGCCCGGGAGTTTACTGGTCAGACAGCATGGATTCGAGCGGGTCCGTTCCGGCTCGCTACACCGACACATTTCGCCTAGGCGAGGCCATTTCGGAGTGGGCCACAGATAAAGTTGACGACCTTGCGATGGTGCTTCTCAACGATACCCAATTGGAATACCCCAACGGGAAGAAATATCCCCTTTTTGCCGGTTGTTTGAGCTTTGGGGCTGCACCTGGTATCGTTAACCATACATTCCGCGTGGATCCCAATACAGACGCGGAAGGGACTAATACCAGTCTCATCGCTGGCCATTTTTGGGAGCAGCGCTACATTGAATCCATGACTTTTGGTATGCACATTGGGTCAGTACAGCCGCAGAGGATCACAGGTTCGCTCAGATTCGGTGGTTACGACAAGAACAGAGCCGTAGGGCAAGTTCTCGCGGTGCCCATGACTGACCCCTTGCATACATGGACCGGCGCTCCATTATTAGACATCACAATTGAGGTCGTGCAGGGAGGTTCGCCTTTCAACTTCAGTTCCCGATCTGGGTACTTGGCGTCTGGCAATTCGACAATTGGTGATCGTCTAGACGTCAACATTGACCCGTGCGCTCCGTACCTTAACCTTCCGAAGAGCACATGCGATGCCCTTGCGGCCGACCTGCCAGTAAAATACAGCGACGACCTAGGCTTGTACCTATGGCAGACAGACTCTCCGGCTTACGCCAAGATTATTCAAGCCCCTACAGCCCTCACATTTACGTTTTTAGACCCAAACAATAACGTGCGCAAAGTCAACATTTCAGTGCCGTTCATGCATCTTAACCTCACGCTTGAGGCGCCACTCGTAGATCGACCAACGTCATACTTCCCGTGTAATGGTGCCTCAAGGGGTCATTATGCGTTGGGCAGGGCATTTCTTCAGGATGCTTTCTTTGGCTCGAATCTGCAGTCTGCCTTCTACTTTCTCGCACAGGCACCAGGGCCCAAAGTTGGAGGCGAAGCGTCAACCATTATCAAACAAGATGCTACCACCATAGATGCAAGCACCCATGACTGGGCCACAAGTTGGAAAGGAGTATGGTCACCCCTGGCAGAGGATGGTCCAGTCCAGAATACGACTCTGGATAGCCTGAACAATGGTGGCAATGCAAGCAGTTCCGGGACAAAGACGGGGCTCATTGCTGGTCTTGCGGGTGGTCTAGGCGGTGGATTGTTGCTCATCGGCTTAATAGGATGGGTTCTACGGGCACACACGAAGAAGAATGGCAGTGTGTCGATCTGCGGGATCCCGCTTACTAAGAGTAAGAAAAAGACTGTAGGTTTGGATGATAATAGCAGCGATAAATCAAGGAACGCTGGCTTGGCATTATCGGCACAGATGAGCCAGCAAGGTAGGGCTGAGTTATCGGCGACCTCGAAACCTACCCAGCTACCCACGCCTGAAGATATGGTGTATGAAATGCCCCATGACACATATCAACCGTAGGTCGTGGCATTGCAAGACATTGGTCGGTAATATATCCAATATATATTATTATGATAGCTGTATGATGAAGTGAGATATGTACCTCTTGCACCCCTGCATGTTTGGGATCCAGATGAGATTCGGCCGAAAGTCACATACGTAACACATAGGTGATTTTAGGCGCAACTATCCGCAAACAGTAGATATCTGGTTCGAAGTAAATCATTCCTTCGCAGTCATAGCTGACTTGTTCCATTGACTAAATGGAAGACCGAGCTGAAATAGTCCATCGATAGACAACATATTTAGATTTCCCTTGCTTTGGGCCTCTGACCTGTTCCGGAGGACTGAAGAACAGCGCTGAAACTGCTTGGTGGAAAAGAACCCATCAATGAACGGTACGGGCTTCTAAGTAACATGGAGATCTGCGAAAAGCCAGGCTATGACTTGAAAGCTTTCTACTAATCAGTAAGACGTTCCAGTTCGTCTAAAGGCCAGTGGAGTTATTGTGAAACTTGACTCGACAATGTCAGTTTGCACCCCGTATAGTTCATATCGAAGACTGTGAAGGCATGTCTTAAGACCATGAGTATAAAAGACTCCTAAGACGGATAATGAATTATATAATGAAGCCATTATATATTAATACTTATAAGTATATTAAGTATATTCAGGATAATAACTCATACTTAACATTATATTAATTAATTTAATTATTAAAAAATTTATATAATTAAAAACAACGGAAACGTTTTATATTTTATACAACATTAATTATTTAAATGATTACAATAGTTATAAATAAACGGTTTTATACGTTTTAACGTTAAATAAAGGGTAATATAAACACAATTTTAATTATATTTTTAAGTGTTAAATATAATGAATAATACTTAAATATTTATAAATATCGTTAAGTATTTAAAAATCGGATACTTATATATATATTAAAAAGGGACTTTTTCCCCGTTTTTTATAAAACGTTTTTTTGAAGCCATAACCAAGACGGTGACAACCTTATGGATACCAAAATTGATTTCATCCTCAGATGGCGACAAAAGAAGCAGCAATAAATGTTGAACCTAGCAATATCCCGACCGACATAACCCGGCTCATCGCCGTGCCAGGGACCGGCCCAGCGGGTATCGTGTTTCCTTGGCAGCTGTAGCTACCCTGGAACAGACCCTTCGACCTTAACGAATCCAAGAAAGAGCAGTTGAAACCAATGGCATCAGTGCTAACTCTGAACTCAGCGGTGGTGTACGTATGATTTGTCTCCGGTAATCTCTGTCCGGTCGTGTCATCCGGATCGCTGCCTCAAGTTAGGGAACGATTAGATCAAGATTTATAGGGTGAACGTACAAGAACTTATTGTGTAGACTACTTCCTGTCATGATGAGAGTCGAAAGATTTCGAGCACCCCAGTACCAAAAACCCCAGTCTGTGTCGGCGAAGTCCAGCTGGTCGCTATCTAGTTTTGGGTTCCCTGTGATCACCAGCTCCTTCCATTGGGGCGCCTTGGAACCTGTCGGTGGGCCATAAATAACACTTCTCACCAGATCGGAGTTTGGGAACAAGACATGATCAAGATTTGGATTGTCCATGATACGTATAGAGTCCTTAACCTCGAGTAACTCCAGCTCCAAGTCCGAAAATGTGTTCTGGTAGAGGTTCAGGGCGTTGACTGTGGTAGCATCAGGGAAGGGGAAAAAGTTGGCGCAACCAGTGATGTTCAGGGCACCAATAAACTTTGGACCCATATTACCGACGAAAAAGTCCACGGTCAAGACCCCACTCCCGTTAATGAACAGAGTATCGATTTCCGCAGTCCTGATGGGCAGAAGCTTCAGATTCGGGGCGTTTTGCAACGTGAAGGATTTCAGGCGGGAGGTTTCATTGAAACCTGAGACACTCTCTAAGCCAACAGAAGAAATATTGACTGTTGGATTGGCACCTGTAACATTATACAGATGCTGTAGTTCCATCTTGGTAAGGTTTGCCATTGAGCCCAAATGAAATGACTCAACAGAGGTCAGAACCGATATATTCAATGCCGTGAGCGATGGCAGAGAATCTAGATCGAAAACTCCACCTATCTCGTTGAGTTGCGGAAACGAAATGTCAGTTGCCTCTGCTAGCCCATGCAAAGCCAGATCTCGGCCAATCGAGCGTAATTTAGGTGCTGATAAGGAGGTAATTGGAGACCCTGAGGCTTTCAGGTTGCCGGCAATCTCTTCGACGCCCTCGAGACTGATGGCATCTGTGATATCAGTAGACAGAACGACGTCTCCGGTCACAGTTCTACAGCCTTGGATCGTATTGGCATCATCCTCTGAACTGATGGTAATGCTGTCACATGTTGCCGCGACAGCAAGTGCAGCTTGAATATTTGTCAATATCAGAATTTCAGGCAATCTATATCACTTACCTCTTAATATTATGAATGTGAGGAGTAGATACATGGTGAATTTATCGCGTGAGTGGTGTTCAAAGAGGCAATGAGAGAAGTGTGAACATCGATAGAATCATTGGATCTTGACTTGGTCAACTATTGTGCAGAGATCGAGAAGTAATAACGTCGCTTACCCAAGTTGATGGTACATTTAGATTTGTGGCGTTTGTGAGTTGAAGGCCGGGCTGGTGATGTCACAGCAGTGTGATGTCACAGGCATCATCCATCAGTGAAATAAACGTGACGCAAGCGACAGTCTCAATGCGCATTGCTGTGCCTTGCAGCAACCAACGGCATTCAAAAATAGATCAAGCACATGGCTGTCGGATTTTAGAGTGATAGTGGGGTTCTCAATCCGACCCGGCGTGCCGATGTGTTGCTAAATCTCGGGTAACGAGAGGGAGCAATGCATGTTGGTCCCGAAAAGAGTGGCTATGCATTAGCCCCCGGTACAAGGAGCCTGACACCAAATTGTAACGATCATGTTATGTTGGTTGAAAGATCGCCATCATGTTATGATACTTCGAATTTTGCCTTTGGATTATGATCCTGGCAGCTGCAGCTGCATTTGGCATACCCAGTTCCAGTCATTTGATTCTGCACTCTGTACCTCAAAAGAACAACCCACGACAGAGTTACAGGCACTGATCAAGTTTCAAACCCAGAAATTGACCAATCCAAGGTATTGTGTATGCACCAGGGAAAAAAAGAAGGAGAAAAAAAGTGGAAAACAGTGCAAAGTACCTGGCCTACCATTTAGTAATTATGAACCCCCAATTAGACTTCCAAGTGAATTGATCATGGTTAATATTCTATCACAGTTTACAAAGAAGTATTTATGAAAACTCCATGCCTCCAGATTTATTCAATGGAGACGATCGAGCAGCCCGGAGAACATTCCTACCGCCTGATTGTTGAAGTAGTTGAAAATGAGTATGATTTCCTCGTTGGCTTAACATTAAGACCCTACCATAGTAAAATTGTGGCAGGCGAATACGGAAATAAGGGATATGTATGATGACGTGCCGATAACCCATGAGTAATCCTGCAGCTAAGTCTACCGCATGTATTCTCGGCGCCAGCAGAAAGAAGAACTCAAGGGCTCAAATATGACCTTATCCATGTAACAGTGGCTTGGCTAATTCCTTTCTATCATCCTTCTATAACTTTTGCGTTAGAGATGAAGCTGTGATGATATCATTCCTACCAGAATCACTCAAACATGCCCTTCGATTTCGAGATCAGTATACGTCTCTTCAATGTCAAAAAAGAAAAGTCCCAGGGTAATGAACAATCGGACCAGGTCTGTTGCATTATGATTTGCAAGCATTTCGTGTTAATCTGCTAATTTTAGACTTTCGATACATACAGTCCCTTTGAAAGGTATCAAAGCCCGAGTGATCTGTCCCAGAAGTCCAGGTGGCTACCTGTCGATACATATCGTGATCCTTCTGCTTCGAAGGAGGTTGATGACTGTTTACGCCACCAACTGCTAGTAGACCTTTCCCAAACGTCAGCACGACGGAAAAGTGTATAAATAAGGAGACAAATTCATTGCAATTAAACCCTTCAGCTCAATATTCATTCGGAACTCTACAATACCAATCTTAGAAGTTGCAATTTCTTTCTCCTCTTTCGGCATCGTTCACGGCTAGAGTCTCTATAACCATGATCCCGTTATTCAATCTGATGACAGGTTCTCTATGGCTCATTTTAACATCTCACAGTTTTTTCACCGTTGCCCATTATGTACCGTACCCCCGTGTCTACGAACGCCGTCCTTTGCCCAATGCAACTACTAGTCCATCTTCTTCTGAGACGACAGGAGGACTTTGCTACAGCCCCCTACCTGGTGAACAGTCAGCCTCCGATGCTGCTGCGGAGCGTGGCGTACCGGCGTTCATGGACAGTATAATCGTGAATAGAATAAGACCCAATGGCACAATAGGTATGTATCCCCTTTCTATGATCACATCAAGGAAACCCGTCTGACGCTCAACTGATCGCTGGTTGGGTTCATTCACACACCTGTTCCAAGACTCAAATGCCATGAACTGTTTCAATGCACATGACAGCACGTGCAAGGTTGGTGCCCAGTCCACATCATTCTCAAGGATAGTCGTCTGATTGTATTTAGGCACCGCCCCTGAGCGACTGCCAAAAGCTCGGCCCTGAAGAGACCGCGAGAAAAGAGGCGTACTGGACGCTTGTTAATGCTGCGAACTTCTATGACCTGATGCATGTCTTTCTCAATATATTTGACACCGCAGCTTTTGCGACGAACTATGATATTGGATCCATTAGTGGCAATATAACAATCAAGGCACCCACTACAGACACCAAATCGTTACTGGCCAACATAGCAAGCGTGTTCAGCATATCTGGGGCAGCAGCCGGTGCAGCATCAGGTCCACTAGCCGCTGGTCTCGGCGTTATTGGAGGCATAATCACGGTAGCAGCAGATAATGTTAAAGCACCGGAAGAGACTGATACAGAGAATGCCCTGGACCAGAGGATGAAAGCCTCGTTTCAAGCAGTACAAGATGCAGTTGGAAACATTCTTACCGCTGTCTTCGCAGATGGAACCCTGGACCATGTACAGGGCATGGAGAATGCTTACCCTCCTGGCAGTCCGTATAAAGAGTCTATCTCCAGGTTCTTTGACGGGGGAAGATTCTTCTACGGCACCTACTACCTAAAGGAGAACGACCTCCGGAAGGCATTCACAGATAACCTGAGAATGAACCTCGTCTCCGTGGCTTTGACTGAAGCCAATTACTACGTTCTGAAGGATGGCTACGCTCCAGACAAGTGCCCAAAAGAAGAGTCGGGCATAATCATAGATGGCCACTGCTTCACCTTGGAAGCACCCGGACCTGGAGGATACCCAATGGCTCCGGGGACTCGTGAGAGGTACACCGTTCAGGCCGAGAGGAAGGTCCTAGATTATGTCACCAAAACACACAAGATCGACCTCGGAGACCTTTACCGAGTATCGTATGACTGTCAGAAAAAGCACAACGGATACAATGTGGCATCTCCTCTCGGGACGATCAACTTCGATACAAGTACGCGTCAGGATTGTTTCTACGACATGCCAGTCATTGAAGCTAGTTACACGGACAACTCCAAGGTCTCTAACCAATCTCCATGCTATGTTGTTTATCATAAAGATGAAGGAAAGAACAGGAAAGCTGGTTCCACATACCTCCCCAAGAACCTCCAGAACATCTTCGGCGGAAAGTCCGACATGTTCGACTACTGCGCCGAGTGTACTGATTCACCTGCCATTTGTTCTGGGGGCAGTCCTTTCAGAACTTGAAGGCCATAGTATGTTGTGTGTATACAAGTAGAGGATATATATTCCACGCTGTGTTTTGTGTCATAAGTCTTGTGCTTCAAGCCTTTTCTATGATTCTCTGGAATGTACCACTTGCCCTCTAGGTCTATGAAATCTAGGAAAGTGTCAAAAACCCCTGCGTCTCAGTTTGCGAGGGATCGCCCATCGCACTTGTTTTAGTTCTATGCAATAGCGTCCCCCAATACCGCGATAGGCTCTGTAGCTTCCCGCTTGGCCTCTTCCATCTCTGCCTTCTTGTTCTGAATACTAAGGTAGGTCTGCCAGCCAACACTCGCAACACCAGCGACCACGCCCCTGAACTGTATGGGGACAAAGGCCAAGTTGAAGGCGATGACGGCGGGCCAGAGCTTCCAGCTGTTTGTCCAGGTCACCGGGACCTTCTCTTTGATCCGCTCCACGATATCGCCGCCGGTCAAGAAGGCCTGCATGGAGAAGAAGTAGGTGTTCAACAGGGGCGCGAACGTGAACTGGTTGAATATGACGCGCGTGACGACCGAGAGCGCGAACGAGCGGAAGACGAACCAGCCGCTGAGGGCTTTGAACCTGCAGGAAACGGACCGTCGTTAGCCTCGAGACGTTCGCTTAGATACACGGACAAGATGGAGATGGAGGCCTACCACTCATAGGCAGGGATAGAGAATACGGCGCCCGTGATGAGCATGTTCCGGGTCCGTATGGGGTCGTATTCCTTCCCGCCAATCCTCTGCGCGTTCAGGTCTGCGAGCAGGAAGATGATCAGAGAGCTGGTCACCTGGGTCACCCAGGGGCGCCTCTGGTTCGCCCTGGAGTAGGCGTTGGCGGCGCGGGTGACGGGGCCCAGCCGCTGCCATATCGAGGGGGGACTGGCTGGCGGCGCATGGGTCGTCGTCGCATTCGGGGCCGGGGCTTCGTGGGGCTTCGGCGGCGTTGGTTTCGGGCCAGGACCCGTGGACTGGAAGCGTGATCGCGGAGGTCGCAGCGAGGGGAGCCCGGCCAGCTTGCGCCGCCAAGCAGCCCGGACAAGTGGGGTCACCATGCCGGCAGGTTTTGCGAGTTCACCTGGGTATCATGATCGCATCGTATCGTATGTTCGGGCGGGTGGTTCGAGCGACTGAAATATGTGGCGGAGCCGTCTCGTTCGGCACTCGAATCTGCAGCGCGCTTATCTGCATCTCGGATTTTGCGGACATCGGGTGGCGTCGGAACGAACTAAAACTATACCGCCCGCGGTACTTGGGCTCGGCCATAGCCGACAACCTGGAATGGCACTTGGCCTGACAGGGCCGATCAAATGGAGGCTCGTTTCAGGGATCCAAGTGCAGCAGGAACCTCAAGTTACCTAGTCATCACAACGCAAATGGCGGCGCATCTGTCGCACAGGGTCGATTTGGACCAGGATCGTGTTGTTCATCCACCGGACGTCCTTCGAGCCAGATGCTGGTATCGCCGACAGTAAGCAACAAGCATGCTGCACACAGTACTTGCACAGGTATCTGTGCAGGCTTGCCTCAGTTGTGCATGTGGAGCTCGCACATGATCACTCAGATCTACCTGCAAGTGCTGACAATGTGCAATCTCGACTGGCGGAAAGGTGAAGTAAACGTTGACATCTTGGGTTGAGGCTTCTGGCATGCCCAAACAGAGTGTGAGCTGATTTGCACCTGTTGTCCCTTGGAGTCGCGTCCTGGCTTACTCTCCACGTACGGAGTAGTTGTGCTGAAGTGGGCATCAAGAAGTCCGGGGACCTATCCTCAGTGCAGTCCCTCCGTTCTGACCAATGCCGGCCCACATGCTCCTCCCACACGCGGTAAAAGGCATCCTTTCATTGCCAATGAATCTCGGCCAGCTCGGTCATGTCGAATAAGCAGCTCGGCTTATTTAAATACATCTACAAGAGGTCAAGGGCGTGGCGTATCTATGGAGGCAATCGAGGAATGTGCCGTCCTGTCCTGCGGCCGGCCCAGCGTACAAGCTTTAGTGCCCGTCCGTATGCACTTCAGCCCCGCCAATGTCAATGCCCCCGCTGGAACTGGGACGCGGGACGCGTTGCCATTGGCCGTCTCCACTGAAAGTCAACAACACCCTGGACCGCCGTCCTGGACCCTTCCTGCGGACTGAATTTCCAGTGGATTCGTCACCGCCAAAAACCCGACCTGGGATCTCGCAACTGAAGCGGAGGACAGGGCCTGGCAATTGCACTGCCAGAATGCCACCATGTCTCTCAGTCAAGCGAACACGAGCCTTGCACGCACCAAGCCGCTCCGCAACCCGATCAAGTCGTCCCTGACCGCGACCCAGCCGAGCTCGGCAACAGGCAACGCCATTCCGAGCACAGCGTCACACGTCTCGCTGTTCCTGACCAACCTCCGTCTCCTCGACCTCGACCAGGAGCCCGACTGGCCCGAGATAACCCCTGCCACCTTCTCCGCCAGAGACGCCGCTGGCGGCCAGAAGAAACGCATCCAATGCGTCGAATGGGCCCTTTACAACCTCTTTTTGCTCTGGGACGAGGCCGAGGTGCGCAACAAGCTGAAACCCTTCTACCCGCCACTTGACCAGGTCCAGTCGGTCAATCTGAGGGCCGCCCTGCTGCGAGGCCTTGAGCAGGCGAAGCGCAATGGCGTCCTGGGTCGGGATGCCGTGATCCGCAAGACCATGCTCGACGAGTGCAAAGGGGAGCGCTTCGAGGAGGTCTTGGCTGTCTTTTCCTCTGCAGTTCTGAAGAAGCTGGTGGCCGAGAGGGCCCTCAACTCCGGTTTCGAGTACCGCCCTACCATATCCGAGAAGATCTCGCTGGAGAACTGGGGGTATTCCGGCGAGCGAACCGAGCTCAATGGCCTACTCCTTGCGCACAAGGCCTCCTTGGGTTCGACTTTGGCGGACAAGAACGCGGCGCGTGAGCGGTACCGGGATTTTGCAGATTTATTGGCCTTGAAGCAGCGGGGTCTGGCAAGGAGAAGAGAGCAGGCCAAGGCTGCCAAGGAACAAGCTGGTGCCACCGCTGTTCCGGAGCACACCAAGAAGCAGACACGCCAGATTCTGAGGGCCAATTGGACCGGAAATGAACAATGGATCGACACCATACTCTACGATGAAATGACATCTCGTCAGGGTGGGCTTCTGGCTTCGAATTTTGATCACGTTTGGAGTGGCGTCCGGGAGGGCAGGCTGTCCGATCTGGAGGACAAGACTTCTGGTCTCCTGGAGCAGCTTGACCAGAGAGTCAGGCTTCAGCGCTCAAGACTGGAGAAATGGCAAGGTTTCCGCCGGAAACTCTTTGGCGACGAAGCATCCGCCCCTATGCCGCCGACCTCTCAGCCGAGGGACCAGATACAGGGTGTTGATCTTGGATTCACCGCCCACCGACAGCTGCAACCGGAACTAGGAATTGAAGGCGGCACTGTACTAAAACCTCCTCACCCTCCTCCCGAATACGAGCAACTGCTCGAGTCGATGAGGATCGAGCTTCAAAGCACTGAGAGACCCCGTGTACTAGATCTGTCCAAATTGCGGAGAACACGAGCCGCTGAGTACGATCATCTTAGCCTGGCACCGCCCAGCACAGCTGTTGAGCAGATTTCTGACCTGAGCGAATGGGAAGACGAGCAGGAAGAAGAACAAGACCCTGCCCCAAAGACAGCAAGTGTTCCCTCAAACAAGGCTGTCAAGGGCTCCAGTAGTCAATTGACTCGAGATCGAGCATTGAGGAGGCCCGTCATTCGGCAAACAACGTCCGCTGAGAGTAGTACCAGTGTGGAGGGATCAAGTTCACTCCGAAAGGGCAGACATCAGAGGTCTGAGTCCAAGAAGTTGCAGATGAACTTGAAATCAGAGCCTGGCCCCGTGGTCAGGCAGGAGTCGCCTATGCCTCACATCAAAACCCCTGACATGGCATCCTCTCCTGAGCTGGAAGCTGCATTGCAATCCGACAAGGAGTTGGAGGTCGGATCTACGCAGCCAGAACCAAGGCCCATCTCACCCACCCAGGCAATGGCTGATCAGATACTTGCTTCAATGTCCAATGCGTCTCCGTCACCAATCAAAAAGTCGCGGCACACTTTATCCCTGGCGGAGCGGACTCGGATGTCCATGACGAGGACCAAGTCCTTTGACCCGGAGGACGATCTAGACTTGAATCTGCTCTCACCATCGACGGCTAAAAGCCTCAAGGCCGGCAGCATCTCAGCACCGGCCAACGTGGAACCCAGCTCGGGCGAAGCATATGAAGACCTCATTGCTCGCACGCGCCGGTCCATGGCGGGTTTTGAGGCTGCGAAGCAGAAGGCACAACTAGACAGGAGACGCTCGGAGAGGAAAAGCAAGATGCCACAGAAAAAGGACAGCTATTTCCCAAAGCTGGCGGAAGAAGACGAGACGGTTGATGCCTCGATCATAGACGAATTGTTGGAGGCGCCGCAGGAAGATATGGAAGCCGTGTTCAAGAGTCGGCCTAGGATGAGAACAAGTCCAGTTCCAAGTCCCGGGGGAAGATGGGATGAGGAAGGCTATGAGTCCTAGAGGATCCGAAATTCGCGGTCCCGAGAACAATCTTCTTTTACTCAACATCTACATCGGACACAACGTAGAGAGCAATGTGTGTGAGCATAGCGTGGCATCAGTAATTGTGTGCTCAATGGCTACTACGGCTACAAACATATATATCTGTGTTTGATTCCTAGCGCAGGTCGCGGCGAAAGATTAGTGATGGGCGGTTACTATTCACGTAGCGCAGTGCATTGGTCAAGCGGTGATTATTGAGTTGGCCCTTGCTCTAGTGTTGGCAGTATAAACAGGGTTGTCCCGGAGTTGTCTGCCGCGCCCGTCCCTGGCCACCATATTTCGTACCCCGCGTGCCGTCATTCGAGCCCCGCCAGAATTTCCACTTTACGCGTCTCTTTCCCCTGACCGCGTATTTCAGGCCCTCGCTACTCCACGCGGCACTTGAGGACCGTTGGACTGCACCCGGAGATCCGATAATATCCCCAATTAGTACACCGAGACCAAGTACAATCAGAACTCAGCATTCATGCCCGCCGGCAACGAAGCCTTCACGGCCCTCACCCCCCGCCAGGCCTTTGCTTTGGCGCGCTCGCACGCCGAGCTCCTACGCCAGCTATTCAACCACCCGGAGTTCAAGTACACGGAGCCGCCGACGTCGGTGCGGTACCCGGTCGACGTCGACCGCACACCGCCGGCGCTGCTGATGGTCAGCGACTTTGTGCAGACGACGTACGTCGAGCACGTGCTGCCGCTGCTGCCCGCCGGCACCTCGCGCAAGTGCAAGGACGTCGGCAACCCCTGGGCCTTTGCCGACCCAAACTACAGCTGGGAGTGGACCTGGGACGAGAGCGCCGGCGAGCTGCGCGATGCCCAGGGCGCCAAGATCGACTTCCCCGTCCTGCCCAAGGCCCGCGCCATCGAGCTGCGCGGCGACGTCTACAGCCGGTCCTTCATGGCCCACAAGTGTATCTGCGAGAATGACAGCGACGTCAAGGCGCGGATGATGATCGGAGGCCAATCGTTTGACTTTGGCGAGGAGGCCAGGCGGATCATCAAGTCGCTGGAGCAAAATCCATAAATGGGCAGGAGCTTGGAGAGTTACCACCACAATTTGAACCAGGGGCGAGGTGATACACATACAAGTCAATACGTGCGAATGCCCGCTCATGAAAACCTCACACGGATTTCTGGAGGTGCCGTATGATGGAAGACCACATGGCTGGTGGTTTTACCACGCATTGCCGGTGAACGCCTGATCGAGGCCACGGATGTCTCACGTTCTCGTGGGAGGTGCTGTTTTAGGTGCCCAGGCATGCATCATGGGTCGCTGGTAGATATGCCCACACAAAGTTACGACCGCGCGTACCGGAATGCTATAGACGAAAAAGTTCAATACCCCTAGCAGAAATGGTATGAATGACTGTTGTCGGTTCAATATCAACATACGACCTGATGCAGACGGTTTGCGAGATAGGGCATTCTTTGACATAGCGAAGCCCGATCCCGTACTTGATTTTCATCCAGTTCATCCGGTGAAAGCCCTACTTCCTATTTGTACTTTCCCGTTCTGCTATTCCGATTCCGAAAATCACATCGTCAGGTGTTATGTTTCAATGTTGAGCAGCGCAAAGGTCCCACTTTAAGATGTCGATGGCGTGCTCGCTTGTGCGGCAGCCGTTGGACTTGGGTCCCCATGAACCACTTCGATGCCCATTCTGTGTCCGCGACTCCCATTGTAATGCTGCTCATCGACGTACTCGATGCCATATAAGCTACTCTATCGTAACCCTCTTGCTTCTGCAGAGGATGTCGCGTCCTGGGTGCCCGAGGGTTCCGTGAACGTCACAACAGCGAATAGCGCCGGAACGACCTCTGTTCAGCTGAGCTCTGCAGGTGGCATTGACGATCACTTCACCTTGTGGTGCCCAGAGGTTTTCCCGTCACAGGTACGCATAACCTGGGAGTTCAGCCCCGTGTCGGAGCCGGGGCTTGCCATGCTATTCTTTGGTGCCGCGTCTGTGTCCGGGGGCGGCATCTTCGACGAAGGCGTTGCGAGGCGGACCGGCGCCTACCCGCAGTATCACTCCAGTGACATCCGCGCCTTGCACGTCTCGTACTTCCGGCGCCGCTGGCCGGACGAGCGTGCGTTCCATACGTGCAACCTGCGGAAAAGCCCCGGCTTCCACCTCGTGGCCCAGGGTGCGGATCCGCTCCCCCCCGTGGCGGATGCCAAGCCGGGCTTCTACAAGGTTGAGGTCATCAAAAGTGTCAACGAGGTGATCTTCAAGATCGACGGCCTGTTGCTGTTCAGGTGGATAGATGACGATATTGGGAAAACGGGCCCTGTGGTGGAAGGGGGGCGGATTGGGTTCCGGCAGATGGCGCCTTTGCAAGCCAGGTATAGGAATCTGGAAGTATGGGAGCTGGAAACTTGATGCAAGTCAATTCCTTGGAAGAGCCACGAAGAACGACTAACATGCCTGGCCCTGAAAGTTGGGTTTATCTAGGTGTCACTAAAGGCAGTATGCGCAGACTCGAAAAGACATTTCAACCCGTCAGAAGAGCACATTCTCTATGGATTAACACCCACGAGTATCCCATCCTTGTCTTGCATTTCTTCATAATTACCTCAATCATTGATTTCTTCAACAAGACCGATGATACGAGTAGCATATTATGTGGACGCGTTTGACAGAAGAACAAACCTTTAGCTTCTGATGCTTGTATGCATGTAGTGAATGGATCGCTTTATTGTGTAACCCAAAGAGCTATCATACGCTACGGGGTACAGTTGTCAAACCCTCAGTAAATTCGTCCGCGATTCGGTGATCTCCGTCGCGCGAATAGATCGCTGCTTGGTGATCAAGTTGACCTGATTGGCTAAATTCTGTGCTTCGTGGTAAAGAAGTGCAACGCAGCCGATGCCCCAAAGCATTTGTATCCGTTTAGGGCACTGTCTTCCGGCGAGGCAAACTCGCACCCACACATACACAAGGATGTATCAAGTAGCAAGTACATCGGGTTCTATTCAGATCCTACGAATTATTAACTCTACACCTCTATTCTGGCCAGCCGTTATTGGCCACTAGCCCAGATGTCCACAACGATAGCTCTCGACTACCGAGACATCGGTTAGGTATTCGTGCTGAAGAATTTTCGTGCGAAATCAGAAATGGAGCCGGTATGGCCTGTGATTTGACGCCGGTTTAATGACGAAAACCCATGCGGCCGGATCCTGAGTTGCAGGGCTGACGGTGCCTGTCCAATCGGCTGGGACATATTTTGTTTAGATCCCAGTGGCATCTCCCGATCAGCCTCTTCTTCGAGTATGCACCGCAGTGCTCGTAGAGGTCTTCATAGCTGGAATCATATCCAGAGTACAGTGAGAAGGTCTGCTCAATCGCAAATACCGCAAAGCCCTCCTTTGAAAATCGCGGATCACGCCTTTCATCTGTATCACAAGAACTATGCGTGGCTCTAAGGCTAACGGCCTTTACAGCGAACTATGAGATAGTGGCTGCGCATGGTTCTGCAGGCTGCGCACATGGCAGAGAACCATGGTAAGTATAATTCCGACAGATTGGATCCGAGCCGCAAGCCTGCAAAGATCTAGAACAGAGTTTTCCCGGAACTCGGTCAGAATTGAAGACGTGTGGTAATTCAGTCTAGACAATATACGCCAAGCGAGTGTGCCGGCCCCCAATTAAGCGTGGAAACGCGATTTCGAATATATAGCGCTGATGATGTCAACCGGGCCAAGCCGCCAAGCCGCGCACCCTTCCCCATTTATGAATTTCCACAGCTACACATTGTCTGATCCAAGATGTGGCCAAGAACAATTGCAACGAGTGCAGCACTGGATCAACGGTCGCGATTAGACAGGGTCCTCAATTGAGAGGAGAATGAGGACAGCCCTTGTCTGCCAAGTGGGAGTGCAATTCCACACCAAGATGGCGTAATGTGCACAGCAACCCGACATTTCAGCTGGGTTTATCAAACGATAAAAGAGCTATTTGAGGATAATAGATGGCTCTCGACGTTTAATATATAAATGAAGACTGCATTCCACACGATTGATAGCATATCATTACCCCAAACAGTCACTTGACGCTCACCTACTGCTAACCCGGCATGCACCTGTGAGGAATTTTTGTAGCACAGATTGGGCTTTCACCACACTCTTTGCTGCGACAGGTGGAGCAGAAAGCACGATTCACTCTCATCATCTACCAGCAAGATGCCTTCGTCTACAGACGAGAAACAAGGAGTCCCTGCGGGCTATGTCTCTAATAGCGACTCCGTGCAGACCTCCAACGCAGACTCTGATGGCTATGGCTCAACAGAAGATCACATCTTCAAAGATCCGGCCGTTGCTAGCCACTGGATAAGCGTATATGAAGCGGCTACTTACGAAAACCGCCATCGTTTCGACCCAGAGTTTCAATGGACAGCAGCCGAGGAAAAGAAGCTCCTCCGGAAAATCGACTTCAGGATCATGACCTGGGCCTGGATCATGTTCTGCGCCCTCGATATCCATCGCAAAAATATCAATCGTGCTATTACAGACAATATGCTGCCGGAGCTTGGTGAGTTCCAGTATCACCAGCGAACATAACTTCCAACGTAGCTAATAACCCTTGTAGGCATGAACACTAATGACTTCAACTACGGGCAAACAATCTTCCTCGCCTCGTTTCTCGCAGCGGAGCTGCCAAGTGGGCTTGTCAGCAAGAAACTCGGCGCCGACGTTTGGATACCTTTCCTGATGGTTGCCTGGTCGATCGTGGCTGGTTCCCAGGCATTCCTCAGCAACCGCGCTGGCTTCTATGCCATCAAAGCACTTCTAGGCCTCCTGATGGGTGGATTCATCCCTGACATCGTGCTCTGGCTGACCTACTTCTACAAGAGCAACGAGCTGCCCATTAGACTATCCTGGTTCTGGACAGCCCTGAGCACCGTCAACATTGTAGGTTCTCTGCTTGCGGCCGGCATTCTTCAGATGCGAGGCATTGGCGGATGGTCTGGCTGGCAGTGGCTCTTCATTCTCGAAGGCATAATTACCTTAATAATTGGCCTATTCTCCTGGGTTCTGATGCCCCCAGGCCCTTGCCAGACCCGCAACTGGTTCCGCGGTAAAAACGGCTGGTTCACTGAGCGTGAGGAGGCTATTATGGTCAACCGCCTCCTTCGAGATGATCCTAGCAAAGGTGATATGAACAACCGGAAGGCTGTCGGGATTTCTCAATTATTTGCAGCGGTAAGCGACTGGGAGATGTGGCCATTGTACTTCATCGGCCTGGTGGCCTACATTCCCCCAGCTCCACCAAACACCTACCTGTCGTACATCCTTAGACAGCTCGGTTTCTCGACATTCCAGGCCAACCTTATGGCGATTCCATCGCAGTTCCTCTTTGCCGTCAACCTTCTGCTTGTCACTTGGGTTTCGAATAAAGCCAATGAGCGCGCCATCATTTCTTCCCTCTCCAACATATGGATGCTTCCGTGGCTCATCGCTCTCGTTTGCCTGCCTGCGTCCACTAGCCCGTGGGTTCGGTATGCGTTGCTCACTGGACTGCTGTCATACCCCTACTGCCACGCGATTTTGGTCGGATGGAATGCGAAAAACAGCAACGCGGTCCGTACGCGTGCTATATCTGCAGCGCTCTATAACATGACCGTCCAGAGCGGAAATATCATTGCAAGCAACATCTATCGAGATGACGATCAGCCATTATATAACAGGGGCAACAGGGTTCTTGTGGCTATCACAGCGTTCAACATCGTTGTGTTCTATGCCGTCAAGGCCTTCTACATCTGGCGAAACAGGCTCCGGGAGAGAAAATGGAACGCGCTGACTCCTCAAGAGCAGCAGGACTATGTGCTGAACACCAAGGACGAGGGACCAAAGAGATTGGATTTCCGATTTGCACACTGAGAGTCTAGCTATGTTTCCAAACATTGACTCTAGAGCCTATGGATGAGGGTAAAGCGGTAGTAGGAGTATAGTAGACGAAGGATTCGATTCGGGCTGTCAAACCCGGTGTAGACATATGTTAGAAGCTGTTCATTGAATTCAGACAACTCTTCTGTCTATCCCACTAACTTGCACGCCTGCATATATTTTATGCCTCGATAGAAGCTGGCATCTCGTATTCAGCGTAGTACTAGCTCTAGAAAACAAGCGCCTTCTTCTGGATTATTGTAATAGGGCTCAATCTCAAGGAATCCCAGTTTTGCATACAATGCCCGCGCACCCTTCATACTGCGCAGAGAGTCCAACCGTATCCTACGATAACCTAGCCGCCTTGCTTGTTCTACAGCTTGCTGTGCGAGTGCCTTGCCAAGTCCACTGCCGCGACCTGAGGGGGATACATAGAGCCGTTTCATCTCAGACGTATCGGCATCCAAGGATCGCAGCCCAACGCACCCGATTGCCTCGCCATTGCTGGATCTGCCAATTAAGAGACATCCAGTTGGAGGACTGTACTTCCCTGGGAGATTGGCTAATTCGGAGTCAAAGCCTTGGAATGCCAGGTCGATCCCCAATGAGACAGCGTACTCTTGGAATAGCGCTGCTGTATCCTCAACATCCTTAGGCGTTGTTACAGCTGTGACAGAGTAGCCGCCCGGGATGTGGCAGATTGAGGTAGCAGGCTCCATCGTGGTAGAGCTTATTGAGTTATGAGAAGAAATAGCCACTCGGTTAAAATAAGGGCAAACTTGTAGGTGGAAGATGACATGAAAAAGTTACCACCCCAAGGACTGCTTCCGATGATCGTTGAAAGACGTGAATTAGTATGACTCAATCACGAGTCAAGATTTGATGCTTGGCAAGCATCATGCCTTTAAGGCTCAGAAGTGATGGATCGCCAGATGAACCTGTTCCCAATAAAGAATGTAGCACTGAGTAATCCATACACGATCAAAGAATATAGAGGCTGACAGAGGATTGGATGGACCTGCTCTCGCATAACACTGTGGGATATGCATGCGAGCTCGGCGACAAGGCGCATTACTCGGGGACTTTACACTGCCGATGTCGGTCCGGCCTACCTATACGTCGGGTGCATCACATTCCCGAGATCAGTGAGCTCCAGCTAGTCGCATACCGGGTAGTATCATTAATCCCGTAGCTATTAGCCAATCTTGGCGGCAGGCTGCCCAAAATATATTTTAGTTGCAGATAGCACATGCCTGTTGATTCAGTCCCGTTCCTGGAGCTGCATGGCCCCGAACGCTTGTGACAGTGGGGCACCTCTCTTTTCTACTAGCGAGTGACACACAGAACAACAAACGATGCTGACAAGCTATACCGATAAGGCTGATGTGTGGTAGAACTAGACTACCGGATATCGGGAGCCGATTTGTACAGCTAAATAGCGAATAAATGTATGCTGAAGCGTGGGGTTTCCATCGGGCTCGACGTCAGTCAACGTACACAGCACCAATCAACGACTAGCCATGAACGTTCCTCATTCCCATAGTGTATGGCGTTATCCAAGCTCGTCGCTGGGGCACCTCTTGCATCATGTCAACGCTGGCCTCAGTGGCGTCAGTACTTGGGGAACTCTTGTTTAAGTCGAGGGAACCGACACAGTTGTTCAGAGAGTCATCATAGAAAGCCCTGGCGAGGACATTATGGCACATCTTGAATCTCGCAAGCATATCTCGCCCGATTCGGGTTTCCCCATTACGCTTCATCCCAAGTTCTCGGACAAGATCAAAGACCATACGCCACCGGAGCCACCGCGGACTGAGATATTCCCTGGAAAGGACCGAGCTGCATTTGCCGATCCTGAAAAAAGAGCATTGTTGTCTGCGGCAAAGCGGACTGACCTTACCGAGTCCATCGGTACAGTGTTAGATGATGTTCAGCTTTCAACGTTGACGCCGGAACAGCTCGATGAGTTGGCATTGTTGGTGAACGAGCGCGGGGTCGTATTCTTCCGGGACCAAGACCTCACGACCGACAAGCAGGTCGAACTTTTTGAGCATTATGGGATTTTGGACAAGCACCCGGCCCAGAAAGACGTCAAGCACGTCATAATTCGAGGTAGCCGCGAGAACCACCGAGAGATTCTGAAGTATACGCCTTGGCCGTCAGGAGACTTTCATGCGGACACTTCATTTGAGATCAATCCACCCTCGTACTCAATGCTGCGGATGGAGGAGCACCCAGATGTCGGTGGCGACACAGCCTGGGTGTCAAGCTATGGATTGTATGACACCCTCAGCAAGGCGATGCAGAAGTTCGTTGACGGCCTACACGCCGTGCACACCTCGCGGTTACAGTACGACACCATCCTTGACCTTTGGAATGTCGGGCCCAATCGTCCGCCAATTGATTCGCATCATCCTGCAGTGCGGACACATCCTGTCACGGGCCTCAAAGCTCTAAACATTAACCCGGGCTTCACAACGGGCTTCGCAGAGCTTAACAAGGTCGAAAGTGATAAGTTGCTTGACTTCTTCCAATACCACATCCATTCTGCTGATGACCACTACGTAAGATGGAAGTGGACGGTCGGTAGTGTGGCAATGTGGGATAACAGGTAAGTGTGTTACTCCCTTGACTGAACTGCAAGGTCTTATGCATGTGAAGGTGTGTAGTACACCGCGTAATCCCGGGTCGATATGAAGGCAACCGGCGAGGCATCAGGACAACAGTGTTTGGAGAGAAACGTAAGCTTATTATCTAGTATTCCTTGAGAGACGGAGCGTGCTAACGTGTTTTGACAGCATATTTCGACCCCACCAGTGAAAGTCGGTATGAGAGAGAAGAAAAGTTCAAGGAACAAGGGCAGAATGATGGCGAACTTCAAGAGAAACTAGACGAGCAGAAAGGCACGCCCAGTTCAAGTTCAGAGCCTGAAGGCAACAAGGCAGTACCGATGACACCCACCAGATCTTAGAGTTATGGTGAGTAGACCGGTTCAAAAAGGCAACGTACCTTCAAGTGAGGCACGACTAGAGCCACGACTTGGGGCAAAAGAATGATGATGAGAGTGGGATTCGAACCCACGCAGATTTCTCTATACGGAATTATTGTTCAAGTTGACCTGAACCGTACGCCTTAGACCGCTCGGCCATCTCACCAGATGATCCGCAGCACGTGATGTGACTGCTGTTGAGGTGGAGGGAGTTAAATTTGCATATGTCCTGGTGTGGTAGAGTAGTTGGATTATTTGTCATGCTTTTTCACTTCGGTGTGCATCCAAGGGAAATTTTCGTCGTTGTTGAATCGTAGGGTGGATACCCAGTAAAAATTTTCGATCGATTGGCCTGGACCCATGTTGGGTGCGAGTTACTAGTCGATAGCTGGCGCCAAGACCCCTACTGCTTCGGCTTGACAATCTTATCTTTATCCAGGCTTAGCAAATGGATACGGAAATGGGAGTATCACCAAGTCTGAGCTGTCGTTGAATATAAATTGTGTTCTGTTCTTCTTTGACGATGTGACGTGTGACTTGGAGGCATAGTAAGGCTCAATCGTCATCTGCTCACACCCACTCTTATGATACAGATTACCTACAATGTTTCCAATCAGTTCACCACAAACCGTTGCGCTATGAAGCCAATTGAAGCAAGCCCATTGCATCAGAATGCGGTCCCATACACTAATTAGCCCGCAAGTTCCGTCCCATGTGTCGACTCTAAGTTCTCAACCGCATCTCCCAGTGCAATCAGCGTCTGCGCGACAACGACAAGCACCGCAGGAGCCTTGAAGATTGATAGTAAGCTGTCCGGTGACAGGATCGCAGTGAGCCCCATTATTCAGCCCTGAGCACATTGCTGTGACTGAGGTAGATCCACAGTCGAGTCTGAAGCCCAGAGCAGCTGTTGGGTCACTGCCACCAGTGCCAAGTTCAATCGAGATACCGAGGTCAAGGTCTAACTGCCTTCTGTGTAAGGTTACAATACTGGTTGACGTAGGTGCCGCCATGACACAGATTGCTTGGATGATAATCAAAGTCGTGTGTAACTATCTCGCGTGAGTGACTCGAATGGGACGGGTGAGACATATGGTAGACGGTAGTACCTTCATCTTTTCAATCGGTAGGTGGATAGGGGTCAAGTGAGAGCCAACGAATCACCAGTGGTATCAGTGTGGAACTCTATTGATCGACAAGCGCCCGTGCGAAACGACATGCGGCACTGATTTATATCGGGAGCCGTATCTTATATGAAAACCCTCCTTTACGAAGCCGCGACCTTGGATTTGGGACCGTGCCATGTGGCGGCTTATAGCAATCAAAAGGGCTGCAAGTGGTCTTACTCCTGGCGATTAATTAATAACTTGGCATGCTATTACCCAAAGAAGCTGCAACACTGCAAGCGTTCTCGCCAGTGAGCACCCCTGACAGTGAACGATCTTGGGTGGGATCCTACCGGATCAGTTCCGCGACTGACCAGCTCCAACCCTCGAGCAGTTGTGAGTGCTGCGGGGTTTGGCTTGTTTCCAGAATTAGCGGCGTACGAAAACGAGAAACATTTCGCCGAGACCGAAGCTGCAGGACTGTTGTATCTACATTAATGGCTGATCGCTCTAGCAGGCTTCTAGAAAGGGCTGCAATCTCGAACAGCCTGCACGCAATTACCGACCGCAGTACTTTCTCAAAATAGTAACGGTACCAAACGCAATGAGCTTTTCATAGCCGTTCCATTAGCCTTTTTATAGTGTGGCGTGCCCATTTAGCCGGAACTATCATGCAAGGGCTTCTCCAAAAGGAGAACCGTACTCCTAGCTGCCTATTATGATATCTAATTATCCGAGACTTACTTCGGTGCAGTTTGTGTCTTGTGCCTTCTTGACTATCACGTTGCTCAAATAGGAGCGAGCTGAAGAAAGGAAAGGTATGTGTTATAATGATGTTCATCATAACTCATGCCTGCTATGGTGGCACAAACAAGATTGCCACACGCCTCAACCCGTTGATCTTTGTCCAATAGCATTCTGCCTATGGACAGCGTAGGAAACGCTAGAAGTATCAGGATGATAAAACATGAATTCTGACGGCTGCGAACGGTGGCGCTGACGGTCATACGGTGAATCAATCGATGTATTACCATGTACATGTTGTTATCGCATTAATTTCAATATAAATATTTGTCTCTTGATAACCAAATCTGCGGCACTTCTTTGGCCCTAAAATGATGCCAGTGGCTCAAATGGAGTCTTCTCACGATTATTCTGTCGCTCAAAAATCCGAACATGGCTACCACTCTCGTTCGTACGGATCAGTGGGGGAATCCAGATCTCGCGAGTGTCAAGAGGAGTATGTGGTGTTTCAGTTGGTGCCACTGGAATTATGTGCGGGCGAGTTTTCAAGCAAGTAAAACCTTGCACAAGCGCATGGAGCGGTGTCACCCAGGCTTAATCACCATACCCTCCGGATGACCCACGACTGAAGGGTTGTAGCTGGTTAGAAGAGACTGAGGCACTACTTGATATCTGGAGGCTGGCGGAAGGCACGCTGTCTCTCCCCCACGGATCCAGGTTGGTGCCCGGCAGAAGGGCTCTTGGACATGTGAAGAGAGGGCGAGCCCACTGTCAACATGGGGACCAAGCTCGTTATACACGAATCAAGAGTGCTCACAGGAAATACCCTAGCCCACAGGCTGACCAGCGTGCTCACACTTCTTAAGAGCGTACCCAACATCGATCAAACATTCGCAACCAACCTAACGCATTGACCATGGCAACTGGCGGTCCCGTAATTAAAAAAATATGGCCTGATGTATACCCAGTTGTGGGCTTCTCACACGCATTTTCTTTCCGACATCTCTCCGGCACATTTGATATTAATTCATCAGATTGATCCGAAACACCAGGATGATCGACTCTAGGCCGCTTCTTCGGTTGCGTCATCAGAAATATGACATTACATAGAATAGGATCAAATTCTGGAATAAATATTTACATATGGAATAGTATCGGCTGATAACTGGTGTTAGAGGCATTCAACCTAGATCGGACTTGCCCATGGAGACCTGGACACAGCCATAATCGGTCTGCATTCTGTACGTGCCTCCGTAGTTGTTGTCTTCGCCGTGACCCACATCGCATTGACCGCCGATGGACGAAAAGCCCGTGTGACAAGGCTGATAAAGGTCAAAGTCCTTCTTACCCTTGCATCCAGTTTGGTCATCGGCCCATTTGAAGGACATACGAAGACCATTCTTGTTACCGATGAAGCCCTGGCCGTTTGTGGTGAGCTTCAAGCCCGAGTTACAGGTTGGGAAATACAGAGCATTGGCATCGGTCGACTTGAACGGCTGCCACTTGCCGCTTGCATTGTTGTCCCGGTAGCAGGTCATGCCAGGATCTTTGGGGGTGCTTGTCGGCGTTGGCTTTGCCGTTGTCTGGGGGATCTCGGTGCACACTTGTCTTGTGATACAAGCCGAGTGTCCATTGTTTCCGGCGCATTGAACAGCCGACGTCGCAGCCGAGCCGGCAGGACAGCTGGTGACCCCAGTTGGGGGCAGTGTTGGCAGGTTTGGTAACCCGGACGATTGGTTGGCTGGGTCGGTGAAGAACGGTGGCTGGCCTGTCTGTCCCGGCCGGCACCAAAAGTCTGTACAGAGCTTGCCACAACTAGAGTATCCCGAGTTAGTAACTTTCTCCTCGGAGGGGGCGGAATCAGAAAACGATGAGAAGAGAGTGACACCAAACAGGAACTTTAGAGGGATAAATAAAGCCCCAACGCCCAGGCGCTGACGTGTTCTAACTTCATGGAATATTGTATATGGAGAGAAACAGGATTTGGCGAGAGCAACTTACCCTGATGTGCATGTAGGTGACGGAGCGCCACTGTTGTAGGTGATCGTTTTCGTGGGACCTTGGCCGCTGCCAGAGCCATCACCGGGTTCAAAGGGACAGCTGTCTTCTTGTCGAATAATGAGCGTCTCGTTCGTTTCCTGAGGGCCTTCGATCACATCTCTCTTGGTGAAGGCGCCCGTGCAAAGATCGCCGACAGGGGTTGGGTTACCCAGGTCGATACTGGGGCAACCCGGGGCGTTCGGCTGGCGCAGACAAGACACATCCTTACTGAGCTGACCGTTCCAGATCGGTGGCACAAGCGCGCCGAATTTGCGGCCGTTCTTGTCTATATAGGCGCCTTTGTCCTGCTTTTTCACGCCCGCCTGGATGCCACGTCTCATCTTTCGGACGAGTAACTTCACGACCTGCGGATCGTCGAGGCCATCGCCATACCCGGGAAGGGCTCGATAGTAAGCAACCAGACCGGCAACCATGGGTGCAGCTAGACGTACGAGTCACCGTTAGCAAACCGAAACTGAAATCAGATCCTAAGATCATAGTCGTATATAGAAAGAAGGGTCCACGACGCGATTGTGTCTTACCATATGAAGTCCCCGCCGCGGTCTCCAGTTCACCATTCGAGTAATCAGCCTTGGCAGCATGGACTAGGTGACCTGGGGCCCAGACAGTAAGCCCAGCACCCTGCCGCGTAAAAAGACCCGCTCGACCGTTGATATCGGACGCTCCGACGTTGATGAGATTTGGGACGCCGTCATTGACGAACTTTTGTGGTAGGCCATTCGCAAACATCTGCGGTTGTACGGTGATGTCGGTATTTGGTTGGTTTCCAGAGGCGGCCACAAGCACAACGTTGAGTTTATCCAGCGCCTGAAGTAAAGCGCCTGCTCGCTCCCATCAAAATATCAGCCATGCCTCTGGAACAATAATGAAAAGTGTTAAGGGCTTGTGTTGACTTACGCATAACATCTTCGTATTCCTCAGCCTCGGGCATAGGAGATACATTCCACGACATGTTTACAACGGATTTGTTACCGCGTTTCTTGCCGCTGATATCCTCGACAGCGAGGGCGAGCGATTCTAATTTTTGAAACATGGCTGCCCATTTGTTTTTCTTTTCGTCCCATCGGTTTTGAGTACCCCCGGCGACTACCATCTGCAAAATCCATTCAGTATACTCTAATATAAGATTTGAATCAAGAGATGGCACATACCTTGACGATGGTGACCTTGCCTTGAGGGCAGACGCCATTTTGGTCTCCAGCTATCATGGAAGCAACCTTGGTCCCGTGGAGCATGGTTTCTCTGGTATATGGGCGCCAGTTGCCGTAGACCTGACCATCAAGCTTCTCGATGCGGTTAGCCCCATTGATTAGAGCCAAAGTCTGGGCGAGTCCTTGGTGTCAGCAATTTCATATTGTAGGTAAGCTGGAAGCTCTTACTGGATGGTTGTCGTCTATGCCATCCTCGATGACGTATACCTAGATGATGACAAATTAGCGAACGCATGAAAGCTATCGGATTCCGTTATAGACTTACGAATTGACCTTCACATTCAGATGAATCTCTCTGATATCGATAAGTCTTATCAATCTTATCATAATTTTCTGTCTTGAGCCAGATTTTTCTGGGCGGCACACTTATCTGTGACGGTGCCCAACCTTTGAGAAAATCCTCGGTTCTCTTCCAGAGCCCATGTTCGCTCGGCAACAATGCGGTTTCGTTGGAAGGGCCTTGATCAATGGACTCCTGGTCGGCGGATCTACTGGGTGTCCAGCTCGACGGCGGTGTTGTCGGGGTGATAATGACTATCGACCCAATCTACTACTTTCAGCATTGTGTACGATGCGTGTGACGGTCCGAATGACTTACAAGGAAAAAGTTTCTAAGCTTAAGTCCTCCGCTCTCTTCCAGGTAATTCTTCTGAACCTTTTCAAGATAGAAGAAGGCGACGACGCCCGCAGAAGGGGCTTCGATAACCTTGAAACTCGCAAGCTTAGGGCCACCCGGTGCACTGGACGCGCTGTCTGTCGTCAATTTTCTGCGAAGAGGATTGGCGGAAGAGGTGGGATTTTCCAGAAAAATAACTGCGTCAACCAGGACTGGAGGGTCACAGCCAGCCCGCGGGGTCAAATCCCTGCCTTCCGCGGCTCCGCCAACTAGCAAATCCGATGCTGCGGAAACTCCAGTGGCCTTGGCCGGGACACCGGCGGCCGGAGCAACCGCTCGGGCTGTTGGTCGATCGCACGCTGTCACAGTCGTAGCTATCGTGTTATCCTCGACGCAACCCACTATGGGGAACTCACGCGAGAGCGTCTTGGTTGATGTAGTCCTAACCGTGCCCTGAGTGGTGGTCGTTCCATATGAGGTCGATTCGATGGTAAGGGTGGCTGTAGTTGGCTCACATGCTTCCGGCTCCGGGGGTGTGCTAGCTATCTGACCATTGGGCAGAATGCTACGAGTGGTCCACAACGTCAGCGCTACGAGACTAGGTGGGTGGTGATGATGGGCTGGGTACCGATTACTTACGTCATCTTGGGCCAGGGGGGCAAACAGCATCCAACGCGCCAGCCGGACGGGAGGTTAAGAAGCTCAACTGGTGGTGGTCCACTGTAAGTATCTAGGTTAGTTTCACGCAGATGAGAGGAAAGGAGGGCTAAACTGACGGCCCAATTGTGCCAGGGGGTAACTTTATGTCCCAGGATTGGACATTGATATTCAGGTCGATCCAAGCGATACAGATGAAGAAGAACCATGATTTGCACGAAACTCTTGATGACCCTTCCTCAACGGGGTCATCCGGGTTCGTCACAGGTTTGACAGCACCCGTCGGCCAGGGGAACGGCACCGCTGTATCAGTACTGTCAGGGTCAGCCGGTACTGTGGTGATATCGCTGACATCGACAGGTTCCATATCATCATCTATCGGGTCGGGCGTAGGCTCGAACGGAAACGGGATTTCGTCACCACCATCACCACCAGGGTTATCACCAGGGTTAGTACCGCCAGGAGTTTGCGATGATGGGCCTCCAAGGGGTGGCGGAAGGACAGTCCTCGACGTAGGTTCGCCATTTTGACCGGTGACAACAACAGTAGCCGGCGGTGCCTCAAAGCTCGGTCGCAACGTAATAGGTTCTCCAGGCTGCTGTGAAGTGGTGATGTAGTAATTGAAGAAGTCGATGACCGTGACGGTTACCGTTTGGGCTGTAGGTACAGCCACGATGGTGGTGGTCGTGGTGCCGACCTCGAGCGTCGCTGTATACGGTGGCAGTGTGACGGCTGTAGGTGAGTCCAAAGTGCTAGGCGGGAAGACCATCACGCAAGGGGGCGAGCACTGCGCTGTGGGCTGTTGGTACACCTCGGTGCCGACATAGACAACTTCTCCGTAGTCCTGTTCTTCACCATCGGGACTAGGTAGCTGTTAGTTTGTACAGGACAGAGAGGGAAATGGATTGGGTGAAGAATGAAACGTACCCGCCTGACCCAATCTCTTGGAAATCGATGCTCCAAACCATGCTGCCGCCGAAGCACAAACTATCAGCATATGCCAACTTGGCTGCGAAGGTTTCTTCGTCGTCGTAACCGATCCACTGATCATCCCATGTGATTTGCTTCATCATTGACTCCTCAAGATATTGTGGTGACAGCCCCTTTTCCTTGATAAGGTTCTTGATCTCTACGAGCGACATCACGCCACCGAACGAAGTGCATGGCGCTGGCTTGCTGGGACCTGAGAACGGACATAGGAGCTGGTTGCAAGAGGGGTCGGCCAATGTGTAACCTCTGCCGTACATGGCGAGACCAAAATTGAGTTTGGCTGGGTCAAGTCCATCGAACCACAGCGGCAAAGTGTTCTTGGAGATTTCGCGGATATCGGCCTGGCCACGCACAAGGCTACCAAGAGTCTTGACGTCCGCATCCCAGGAGCCGTGAAGATCTGTAATATATCTGTCAGTTATGGGTGATATGAGAAGTATAGAAATGGACTTACCGTAAGCCATGAATCCAAAAAAGTCAACGTTCCGCTCCATTGCCTTGGCATCAAACCACCTCAAGTACCAGTAATCAGGAGCAAGAGTCAAACTAATACCATAAGCAGTTCCGTACGCTGCGCGCATTTCTTTAACCAAGAGAGACAAATTCCTCGTATCGGCGAGTTTCTTGCCTCCTCTCTCTGGCGCTCCTGGGTATTCCCAATCGAGGTCGACTCCTTGAAACCCATATGTATCCATATACTCCTTGACGGAGCTGATGAACGCTGCTCTGTTGGCCTTGGTTGAGACCATGTCACTCCTAGACACAGTCAATACTTTGCACGAGAGACTGGAGGTGCGATGACTAACCATGTAGTGTGAGTGGCAGCTTCTGGGTTACTAAAGTCAAATCCACCTACAGCAATCCACGTCTGAAGGTTGCCGCCCTTGGAAAGTGCTGTGAAGTCCTTCATGCCCTGGACGTCATCTGGATGCGCAGGTGTGATGCGGAATGACTGAGGGTCTATGGACGCAAACGAGAAGAACAAATGAGTATAGCCTTTCGTGTTAAGCTGGCTAGGTGCGACCTTGTTGCATTTTCGGTCTCTTTGGTTCCAAGACTGATAGTATCCAATTTTACGTTTCGAACTGGATCCGCTTCCGGAGGCACATGAAGGAGGACCTGTGATAGCACAGGAGCCATATCCAGCTTGGCAGGGCAAGGTACCATGAAGAGGATCCGCATTTCCGCAGTAAACCTCTGTAGTCTGTATATTATATTAGCTCCGGGTACAAGGAGGCAAACTGCCATCTACATAATTTCGTCACTTACACCACACCACCCTGTTGCTGAGCAGCATAGCTTCATACCACAAGGCATTTCACCATTTTCGCTGTACTGTCCGCACATGGCTGTAGCATTGCATTGAGACGTACATCCGTCGCCGCAGAAATCCGGGCCGTAGCCGCAAATACCATTTTTGCCGCAACAGCTTTTCGACTGTCAATACAATAGTGACACTTGGGATGGAATGTAGCTTACCTGCCATCAATACAGGGGCCATTGGTACAATAGAGGGGACCATCGGCGCGTCGTTCTAATGCGTGAGGGTTGGAAGTTGAATGAGAAGAAGAAAAGATAGACCAGTGTGTTGCTGGCTGAAGGTTGGAGCCATCTTGGCCTGTACCATTGACCACCTCGATGGCCGGATCATCAAGCTGCTCTATGCAGGTGTCAATAATTTAGGATCATGACAGAAGGGTACAATGTGCAGATCATTTTTTACCTCTGCTGGATAGATCGCGTTGGAAAATATCGCGTGGGTTTGCTCTTTGCTTCCCCTGGAGTTGGTTGTTGGAAAAAAGAATAGGAAGGCAAAGAATGAGAAGGCCAATGAAGGCACAAACGGCTACACTCCGCCCTTGTGACAGCATGATGGCTGATATGAATCCCTGTGGCCTTGGGAAACTTCTCAACTCAGGCCATGGGCTTCAGTACGCCTTTAAGACACCGGTACTCTGGGCATATACGAAAGCTACAGGCGAGATTTTCTGACCGAACCCGATATAGGACAACCGTTCCGAATATTCTCAGAGCCATGGTGGATATTACGCACCGGTGCTTGGCCACTGTGGCTTTCGCACACATTTTACTGCAGGGGCAAACTCACACATTGACTGATAGTAACAGAATCCATAATTATTCTACTCCACATATTCAATAGTCGTCCCAAAATGTCAAAGTCTGGATTCGATGGCCACGGGTCTCCTTTCGCTTATTCGGCAATCTGCAAGGACCCCCTGCCACGCTGGCAACTCAGAGGAGTCGCTGCCACCGTTACGAGTTAGCTCCCGCTCGCTTCCGTGCGGGCGGTGATAGTAAAACAGGGGACAAAGGAACCTTCTTTTTAGACTTATGTAACGTGCTGCCTAAACGTATAATCGGGTCAATCTAATCCCATTTAAGCAGCTGAAGAGTTCTGCAGCGGAGACGGCCCACATCTCAGACGGGGTATTTTGCGACAACTGCGGGCGGAAATCCTCAAATTGGCTAGCGTTTCGGAGCGGGTTGGACGCAATGTTAGCGTTAGCTTTGGCTCGAGGGATCGTGACTAACATACGGGAGAGTCCAAGACAGAAATAGAAGCGTAAAACTCCATCTCATTTTTGTGGAGTTGGTTAGACTCCGATACTGCATTCATTGGTGGAAAAGTCGATGAATGGTTCCACTTGATGTTCTAGTTTGAAGAAGACCTCCTTAGCCTCGGCTGGTATACCGGCGCAACTTCAATCTAGACCATAATTATACGAAACGTGCATCGAAGCGTCGAAGCCTTACGTGACCACGCTCTCATAGACTGCTGGCAAATACACAAGTCTCGTATAAAGCGCAATTTGCCAAGCAACAAGCGGCAATACTATTGGAATTCTATGGACCTCGGAAACGTTACTGCTTGCAAAACTTAGTCGACAGAATGGGCTCGGCGAATTGCGGCTGCCGGGGTTTCGTTACCGCAGCAAAATCATGTGAACGTCAGTGGATGGACCGTCAGCCACAGGAATCATGCTACACCAAACAGTCGTAATATATCAGCAAGCTCACTCCCAGGGATGAGTGACCTGTGGCACACGAGAGTCTCATATCCCAAGCCATCCTCAATTATGAAGTCATCTGTCTTCTGCTGGCTTTTGCCAGCCCTGGCAGCTTCCCAGACAACTACCACGTCCTCCCTTCCGGCATGGGCCACGGGAGTAGAGACGGAAGATGGTACTTGTGGCGGGACGACTGGCTGGGTGTGTACTCCCACCTGGGGTGCATGTTGCTCCAAAGACGGACTCTGTGGTCGTTCCGCAGCCTTTTGTGGCGAGGGCTGGTAGGTTTCCCTTTATCCCCTTCTTATATTATCGTTATTGGAGCTAAATATTTTATAAGCCAACCTCTAGCGGGAAACTGCAACGCACCTCCAGCCCCTAAACCTGGCCCTGGTAGCCCATCACCAGATGGCTCCTGTGGCGGTACAAATCAGTTTAATTGCACTGGTGCTACTTACGGTGCCTGTTGCTCGTCAAGTGGTTATTGTGGCGACACAACCGGCCACTGTGGTGCGGGGTGTCAGACGTTGTTCGGCACCTGTGCAACGGTAGACGACTCCATCAGCACTGACGGACAGTGCGGAAGCAACGGCAAGACTTGTGAAGGGTCGGCATTTGGCGACTGCTGTTCTTCTGGCGGTTGGTGTGGCGGCTCAGAGACGCACTGCGGAGCTGGTTGCCAAGAGGCTTTTGGTAATTGCACCAGCAACGGAAACAACCCGCCCTCCGGAGACATCTCTATTGATGGCAACTGTGGATCCAATGGCAAGACGTGTCAAGGATCGGCGTTCGGCGACTGCTGTTCGTCCAGTGGCTTCTGTGGAGGTTCAGACGCCTTTTGCGGTGCTGGTTGTCAGACTGGCTTCGGAGTCTGTTCAGCTGCAGCAAATGTTACAACAGATGGCGCATGCGGCAAGAACGGCAAGGTGTGCAAAGGTTCGACATTTGGAGACTGCTGTTCGTCAAATGATTACTGCGGAACTTCAGACACCCACTGTGGAGCCGGTTGTCAATCGTCCTTTGGCGAATGCTCTGCTCCAAGCAACATCTCTACCGATGGGGCCTGCGGCAAGAATGGGAAGATCTGTAAGGGTTCAACTTTTGGTGACTGCTGCTCAGCAAATGGCTTTTGCGGCAAAACCAGCGACCATTGTGCCGCAGGCTGTCAAGCATCGTTCGGGTCATGCGACACTGGCAGTAGCAACATTTCAACTGATGGATCATGTGGAAAGAACGGCAAGACCTGTAAAGGTTCAACTTTCGGAGATTGTTGTTCGTCAGATGGGTTTTGTGGCTCAACCACCACGCATTGCAAGGCCGGATGCCAAACGGCTTTCGGTACGTGTGACGCCAGTGCCAGCGACGTGTCTACCGACGGTGCATGTGGCAAAAATGGCAAAACCTGTAAGGGCTCAACCTTCGGGGACTGTTGTTCGATAGCCAACTATTGTGGCAAGACAACGGACCACTGCGGAACAGGATGTCAAGCTGGGTTTGGGACATGCACTACCGTTACTAATAACATCTCGACTGACGGAGCATGCGGTAAGAATGGCAAGACCTGCAAAGGTTCATCGTATGGGGACTGCTGTTCTGCCAATGGGTACTGCGGTAAAACCGCCGATCATTGCGGCGCTGGTTGCAATACGGCCTTTGGCACCTGCAACAGCGGATCCAGCGGCATCTCCACGGACGGTCTGTGTGGAAGTAAGAATGGCAAGACGTGTGTAGGATCTGGGTTCGGAAACTGTTGTTCGCTTACTGGCAATTGCGGCAGTACTGGAACTCATTGCGGTCAAGGATGGTGAGCTCTGTCCATTTTATGTCCTTCCCTGGACTACTCCGGCCCATATCCCCCAAGGGAGAAACAATGAAGGTTTGCTAACTTGTACAACAGCCAAAAAGGTTCCTCAAGCGCTTGTTTGACAACAAATATCCCTTCGAACGATGGTTCATGCGGAGCGAAGGTCGGCCTCACATGTACAGGCGGCAGCTTCGACGGCAATTGCTGTAGCTCGAACGGCTTCTGTGGGAAGACTACAGGCCACTGCGGCACGGGATGGTGAGTCTCTCCTTTCCAGTCAAACGTACACGTCTGTCACCAAAATCCTAACTCTAAGTAGTCAACGTGGGTATGGAAAATGTAATTAGTTCGCTAAAGCACAAGTCTCGGCGGTGCTTGCCAAAACCTCTTCAAAGCCCATTCAGCAAATTTAAAGGGAAATGCTCGAAGGATTCTACAAAGTAGACAATTTTTGTATTAATGTAATTTATCAAAGCGCCTTACCCGCCCATCAAGGACTCAATATTAAGTCTGCCAAACAAGAATTCGTGAACCTATGATTAACATCAGGAGCGTTCACGCAACATGCCATGAAAGAGAAGCAGAAAAAGCAAAGAGAAAAGGCTTTTAACCACCATGTAATTTCTTTACTAATAGCTTCTTTATATGTCTCTGATCATAATATAGATAGTTGACAATGTGCTTTTCTGGGCTATTTTCTGACAAGTAGCATAGTTTAGAAGATTGAAAGCATTAACAATTTACACACTATGGTTCTTCTAGGCGTTTTTCTTCCATTTAATGAACAATTTGGCCTGTATTCGGACATCGGTCCATAATCGATAGCTGAATTCAAGCCGTAGCCGGGTTTCGGCAACTATCGCACGCTATTATTCGCTACTAAGGTGCAATATTAAATTATTACATCTTATGTATCTGGGATACTACCTTTTACCGAACAATTTCTTGTGCTCCAAACCTTGGCTCTATTCGATTTTTCAGAAATGAAGAAAATATCGACGGCCAACAGCCTCACTTAAGCACTAGCAGAGTTATTAATTATCGAGCACCCAGTTAGATTTCAACAGATAGGGTATTAGACCCTCGGTACCCCTTTTCGAGTATCTGAGCGCATCGGAAACCCAGTCAATCAGCATCCAGTAGCAATTATAGATACGGGAGATATACACTTTCACAACACCATAATGCCACGGACTTGAAGGCAGGCGAAGCCGGGTTGAGCAGTGGAAAGACGATCACACAAAAGGCGCACAGGAGCCGGCGCGAATAATCATAACACTAAAGCATGGAGCACAAAACTATATTCGTGTCGAGGGTCTGCTTATTGGTACGCGTGCCGAGGAGGCGAATCTACAGAGTCACGCTTGACCATGGGTAAGACGGCACAGCATCATAAGTTAATATAGTGGACTCCACATTAGAAGTCCGGAGCGGACTCTCCTATCAGGCGCAGTGACACACTACTGAATTTTGAATAGATTCTGTGGGAGGACGTATGGAAGTCTGCTGGCATACCTAACCTTCGGCCCCAACTCGGGCTGAACTGATCGACTGATTTGCATTGTACTACACCCCCCGTGCTTTAAAGACGCGACCCCTTTGCTACTCGATTCCTGAAATCTTGCAAGTAATAATTCTTTGGAAAGTGCCGGAGACTTTGGGGCAACCAAGGGTAAATCAGCTGGTTGAGTGTTCGCGAGATTGTGTACGCTGTTCTTGTGTAGACGGTGCTGGGTAGGCCAAACTCATTTCTGATCCTCTCGGGCAGGAGTTCCGTGGTGGTGATTCTGGTTGATGGGCCCGTTAGCTGGGCATACAGCCATAAGCCCCATGAAGGGAGGTGACCCGCAGGGTATATGACGTCCTGGCCAACAGCCTTGGCTTCGTCGGTGATTTCGAGTTCCGAAATCGTCTTGTCCCAATACTCCTGAAAGGCTCTTCTGTCCTTGGGCCACTTGTCAGGGGGCACGCGTAAACCAGTTGCCATGACCGAAAATTCCTTGTATGCCCGGTCGGCCGTTTTATCGTCGAGTTTGCCAAACACCTCTTCGTATCCTACGATGAGACTCCAATAGGTAGTTGCCGCAACCCACAGCTGTAAATCGACATCATTCGCGTCATAGTCTGGGCCCTTCACGCGCGAGTGCGCTCGGTGTGTCGCGTCCGTCACGATTCGACGTTCTTCTTGGTTTCCAAACGCCATTGCGTAGATATAGACTATGCTCCTCCGGGCACGCTCGACTGGACGCCTAGTGAAACTGCTGTGCGCAGAAACACCGAGGCCGACACCTTTGCTTGCGATTTGAAGCAGAACAGCTGCCGTACCGCCATTCATGGAGCAGCTTTCAGCTACTATTTTCTGGATTATTGGCGACTGTTCCAGAATTGGATCGTTGTAGCGACCCCATTTTCCTTCCTCTACAGCCTTGTCGCCGGCTGTTGAGGTGGTGCGCAGTGTCACTGTGTTGCTCATGTTGACTGTGGACGTAAACATGAGGCAAAGCAGACCAAGCAGGACCGAGTCCTACGGCTTATATCTTTCCATGCGATCGGACAGCCTTTCTCGGCCGAAACAACGAAAGATCATCCGGCTGTGGCAGACCGTTATGGTGGCCAAAATGCGGGGCAGTCCTTGCAAGTATATGACCTCAAATAACAATCCGAGAGCCGAGGCTGAGGAAACCACCTCTTCAGGTAGGAACTTCATGGCCAAGAAGCTTCGAAACACCGTTTGGCCACCTGCCATATCTGAGCGGGTGCCCGGAGCACGCTCGGGTTCCCGGGGACTTGCAATGACCCGAAATGCACCACCACTCAGAAGGGCCTCGACGGGACTCTCCTAGGCCACCTGCGCAGTTCTTTGTCCGACTGCTCTCCAGCCGCGAACGACATTCATAGGCCAATAACCGTTATTCTCGGCTACCATACTGCTATCATAGCATCTTTGACGGCAAAGACAGCCAGCAGTAGTTCTGATGCGTACCACTGGAACAAGTGTGCTGCATTTCAAGTATACCTGGACCAATGCTAGCGACGACATCGTAATGATAATTCGGCGTTTGGGTCGATCGAGAACTCCCTCCTGTGTTACATGATAAAGTTGCATTACGTGAACCGCGAGACTCCGCAGGCGACCGCTAAGTTGGCTGGACTCCGGGGGCTAGGGAGCTGACTTCAAACCTGGCGATGTATAACGGCCAACATCTCGTAGTCTACGAGGCCAGTCTCTTTGCTATCGGCGAGGCGCAGTTTCCATCCTTGAATGCCTTCAAAGCACCTGGCAAAGTCTGACCAGTCACACTTGGGACCCAGCCAAAGGACAGTCTGGAGAATGCCATCGCCATTACGGGCAAATGTATTGATATACCTTGTCACCAAATCTGGGCTTCTTGGGTACACAAACATTAATGCCGTGGCCTCTACAGCTCGTGGTGACAGATCCCACGTGCCTTTGACGGTAGAGTAGTTGGGTTCCGGAAGATAACGGTTCAGTAATTGTGAGGCCGAAGATGATCCTGGCTGAAAGACCTCAACACCCTCTATGTAGAGTTCCGAGTTGGCTGTAGACCAATGCTCTAGTAACAAGGCTTCCAACAGACCAGAGCCACTACCAATTGATAAGAGGAGCTTGTCCGCCCCGGTACTGTCACCAACGTCAAGAAACAGAGTGATGGCATTGAGGAGCGTTGTTGACAGACTGAGGCAGCAGTCGGAGTGGCGAACAGCTGTTTCGCTAAGCCGAACAAGCTCAGAGCCTACCATTTCGTCGCGTGTGAGGAGGTGGTCAGAAGAAGCCCCAGAAGAAGCCCTGGTGATGCTGAAAGGATCTGGGCTGGCAGAAAGTTGCAGGAAAAACAAATCTTGCACCCAGCGCACTTGGTCCGTGCATAAACGTCCATCAGCATTCCAGGTTACAACTAAGCTTTTGACATTGCGGACTACGTTCATCCCTCACGATGCACTACCGGTACAAGTTGGTAACTCTCCGGGCGTTGCTCGCTATCATCCAGTATTTCCCGGGCTGGGGCGTTCCCCCAGGCCTCAGAAAGTTTGCTCACTCCAGCAGCGATCAGCACCATGGCCGCCGTGGCCAGAACTCCCCACTGTCCCACAGCATTTGGGGGCTCCGCGGCCGGAAGGTGAACTACTTCTTCCAAACCCCAACCCACAAGGGCAAAATAGGTGCACACACTCAGACCCTGAATTATTCGATCAGCCAGACAACTGAGGCATACTGACTGTGTCTCCATGTTGCGCACCCACCAGAACCAAGTCAATCGCGACAGCAGGCGCCTTATCTGACTCCAGATTTGGGACCGAATTTTGTGTTGTTTATGTATCTTGCCTCGCCTACGCAGCGCCAGTACTACTACGGAAAGGACTGCATACAGCAGCCAGAATCCGACGCCAATCCCTCTGCGGACAATGTCGACGTACCTGTTGGTCAACGAAGCTTGATATACGCCGATCTCGTTAGCTTGACGACCTAGGTATTCATCTCGTGCGAAACAGGCGTATATGCACCTTGGCCCGCGGGTCGAATTGCGGTATAGCATGTCGTCCAGATCAACACTCCAGTCCACATTCCAGGAACCAGCTTGGTATGAAGAGCCAGGAAGTGGTTCCGAATAACCCCCTGAACAGATGCGGTAGTTAATGTTGGGGTTCGTGATAATCAGGTTGAAGAAAACGTGACCAACAGCGAGCAGTGCTGCCCAGATCACGAGGATAGACCGTGCCTTAGTGGTTTTAAATGTCGACGACCATTCGAACATTGGGACTATTGTGAGCAGACCTGCACCAACGAGTAGACCGGCGGGGATGTAATCCGGGTCATGAGTACTGCGGCATATGGCTATCGCAGCATCACTTTGCTCGATGCTGAATCGCTCACAGTAGTTTCTCTGCGCGTCTTCAGCCAGACGGTTGTTGTACGCAAATAATACGACAAGGTGGACGGACGCAACCCCAGAATACGTCATGACTGACGCTGCAATGGCTTCAGACAACCGTGTGACCTTTCGCAGCAGGACTGTCACCGGCAGCAACAAAAAGTATAGTGAGACAGCAGTAAGCCCGTATTGACCACTGACAGGGAATCCACAGGTGATGGCTTCGGCTGTAAATGTCGCGGCAGCGATCCGTTGTGGCGCATCACGCTGAAAGTCTGTAGGGATATACAGGAATGGTATGCTCAGAGCACTGAACGCCAGGATGCTGGACATGATGAGGCTTAGGGCTGCTCTTTGAGCCCACTCTCCTATCCGTCTCCAAGTGGCTTGAAGCATCATTTAACTTAGAGGAAAAATTCGAGCCTTTGGACGAATATTTCGTGGGATTCCAAGCCCATATGGAAAATTCTTATTACTTGGAGCAGAATTGAAGGTGACACTCTTAATTGCCTGCCAGAGACTTGCCCGAGATGCAGGTCCTACTATATATCTAAGGATGGTATACCAAGCAGAGAGCTTGCTGATGAGGTGCCAAGTCATCGGCTAGGTTCCCTTCGGCTCACATAGGGACAGGGATCTGTTCAGCCTTGCTAAGTGTGTCGGGTCCTCATGTTACCGAACCATGACATCGTGGGGGTCGGGTTCGGTAACGGAAGTTGTTATAGTGTTCCACAGCACACCACATGCCCTTGGCTAGAATTTCAGAAGCCACTAGATCCTCCTAGGAGAAAGGCCTCAATAGAAGAGCATCCTGATGATTGGATACAGTGCGCTCTATGGGCTGCCAACTACAAATCAATCAAGCAGCGAAATGAGAGCCAAACGGCTGCAAACTGTGGTTGCTGCATTTTTAGTCCATGGCTTATGCGGCAGCTCCTGCGAATTGCTTTTAATCCCAATCGCTGATCTATACCCTGGCCCGGTGTACACACCTTCGAGTTAGGCTGAACGTGTGCCGAGCATACCTGGCCTTGGTCTGGCCACCAGGGGCGTGGGAGCTGAACAGTCACCTGACAGCGATGAAATATTGAACTAATAGCATAAGCACGTATGCATAACAACTGGGCGCGTCGTTTGTTCAGAAACAATCGGATACAAACAGGTAACGGCCTCTTCCTACGATATATTACCAATATAATGATACCACCAAGCTGACTGATGAAGCAAACGTTGCATGTATCTATCTACAGGCGCAACTGATCCAGCTGCATAGAATCAAAAGCAAAGGCGCACTTTGGAAACAACTCTGTTCCATCCACCTACAGGTTCCGTGCCTAGGAGTTCTCGCACGGCACTGATATACCGGTAGTCTGATAGACGCCAGCTGATTCTAGCTGGATGTAGACAGCCGCATAGCACGTTGCAAACACGGTCTACCTGACTTGGCGTTTTGATGAACGCCAGTCGAAGTGGAGTAGGGAATTGGTGGTAGCATGTCTTGGCAAAATAAATTCACATTGCGCCGAGTATGACATCTCAGATATAGTTTGTGTCTATAGGAAAGAGACAGACAACGAGCAAAACGAAGGAAAAAAGTTGAAGGTGCAGTGCGAATTCACTTTTTGCAAGTGACACATTGATGCGGTGAAGGTGGATCGAACACCTGACCTCCAGATAACAGAGACTGTAAGTGTGACTTCAGTCTGGCGCTCTCCCAACTGAGCTATCCCCGCTGAGGTTGAAATGTCCGTGGTTATGTCATGACATGACGCTAGCTCAGCAAGGATTTCATCCGTCCATCCACCGAACTATGTTAAAAAGCCCCGTTCACGTAAGCTCAGTCATGTATGGTAATATCTATAGGTTGTTCGCTTCGATACATGCTCCTAGAGTCTGCGAATCATCTGCATCAACGACTCTCATGGCCTCAACTGACTCAAGTCGTAGGAATAGTGTGTGTTGACAAGGAAGCAATCAAGCCAGCGGCTGAGGCGTCGCACGCGTTCCTATATGCGTGACATGTCTGGCTAGAACATGGCACTTGCTCATGGCTCGTCATAAAGAACAGATCGCGGGGGATCGACGGTATGCCGCATGAAAAAGGTTCAATGGAATCGTATTGTAGGCAGTGGTACGGAGTAGAGGCGTTTCGATAGAGGTGCACCTGAACTGCCTTCATTCATTACCCTGTGAGCACCGGCTATCAGTGTTGCGACTAGTTGAAATGGCTTCCAAGAATCAAGATCGCCGGCATATGATGTACGCGTACGCTGACGTGATGCGGAATGCGCAGTAAAACCTGCGAACCTGCGTGAGGTAGCGCAAGGCTGGGCAGAGAGCAAGATGCAGTGTTTTGGGATACGAATCCTTGCCCCTAGTGGCTGGGTGGCCATTGTTGGATTAGTGCTGGAGACGCCCCAGAGGGGAGGCAGCCCGTAGGGCCAGGCGGGCGCCCCGGGCGTCATGTGGGCGAGTGCTGCTGGACTTGCCGGGAGAATTAACGTTAAGCCTCTCCATATTCTGTTCAAAGCTCACTTGAATACGCGAAACCATCAGGCAGCCTCCATGGACCCTGGGCAAGATCTCTTATTCCATAACCAGGATGGCGTCTCCGGTTTTGTGAGGCCATTTTTTGTACTCTCTGTCTTTTCAGAATCACCGGCCACTGGTCTCAGATCGAGTGATTGAGTTGCCCGGGTGGACCGACCGATCTGGCTGCCGACCCCAATATTTTCTCGTGCTAGCTGGTTGTCAGCCAGCAGTGCCACCGCCCCAGGGCGAATCACAGGCTGGACTTCGGGCTTTGAGCCTCGCCAGCGCCACCAGATCAGCAATGGCAGCGACCCATTGCCGTCTAACTGGGCCTGCGCCTCGCTGTGACCTGCTGCCTTGATCCCACGCCACTTGCGGGCCGTCTGCACCACCTATTCTTAGCTACCCGACTCCGTATACTAGTGCTTAGATGAGGCTCGAGTCCGACGAGACGCAGATAAAAGACGTTGCCCTCTCAGTGACCAAATCCCTCTCGTTACACATCACATCTACATCCAGAAGCATCCAAGTCTTGATAGAACTCTCCTAGTTTCTGCTTTTCTTTTCTTCGATACCAAACACTCGCTTGCAAGGAATCATCACTATCATCATGCGTACCTCGGTCATTCTCGCCTCGGCCGCCGCCCTCGCCGGCACAGCACTCGCTACCCCCAGCGCAAAGATTACCGTCGAAGCATCACACAGCGGAATCAACAACACATCAAAGGAGTTCATCACCGTGCCCATCGGCCCTGTCTACACCAACTCGCAGGCTCTGGCTGCTGTTTCGAAGCTGTCTTTGACGGGGGCCGACGGTGTGGCGCTTGAGAGCATCACCTGCACGCCATACCACGCCACGAACGGTACCGGATCTGGCGGCCTGCCTTTCACTAGCAGCAAGCCATCACTCCTTTCCACCAACACTGTTCAAGTTGGCAGCATTGTCTGCAAGGTCACCAGCGGCTCCTCTACTGGCACCATCTCGGCACCGGCTCCCGGTTCCACGGGTTCGGCCGGCAACAACCCTTCCAACGGTACCACGACGCTCTTGACCACTTACACACCAACTTCCGCTCCCACATCAGCACCCACCAGCTCCTCGCCACCGGGGACTAATGGTGCCATGAGCAGTGTCAATATCCCGTACACGATGTCGGCGCTGCTCCTGGGAGCCGCGGCCTTCATGTTCGCCATGTAATTATTTCATGGAACTTTTGAGTTGATGATACATTAGACTTTGGGCCGGAGACAATTTTGTATAGAGCCACGACATCACGTTTGCATTGCGCATGGGTTTACAATTAGAAAGGCGTTGACCCTCAACACGGGTACATCAATTTGGCATAGCGTTAGCTTAATACGGCGTCAGCTTAATACCATAATATAAACGATTTACTGATACTATTCGCTTTGATGAAATGTCTTTTGTGGCTTTGAGAGACATCTCCTACTTCTTTCCAGATCCCTTTCAGGCGCGAACACATCTATAGTATTGTATAAGCTGCCTCCGGATCTCCAATACCATCTTTGTACTTTTTCAATACATAGCCCAACCCTGGAAGGAGAGGTTAGTATCAGTTCAGCCCTTGGCCACCCAAGAATTAAGGATAAACTTTACTTACGCCACTGACGCTGATGACTTGGCCCGTCACCCATGCCATATCTGCGTCGGCCAATGAAGCTACCACGCCCGCGACCTCCTCCACCGTGCCCAGGCGGTTTTGCAGGGGCGTCTGCTTCTTCTGCATCTCAACGATCTCTTTCGGTATATTGTCCAACATTTCGCTCTGCACCGGGCCGGGATTGACACAGTTCACCGTCGTCCCGTTCCCGCCGAGCTCCGCGGCCCAGCACCTTGTCAGCCCTTCCAGCGCCGCCTTGGACGAGCAGTAGAGACTCAGTTCTTTGAACCCCGCGCGCGCACCAACGGAGCCGATGTTTATGATCCGGGCCCCCGGATTTAGGTGGGGCAACAGGGCTTGCGTGAGTAGGATGACACCCCGGACGTTTAGATCGTAGACAGCGTCGTAGTCGTCTACGGTCAGCTCGGCCAGGGATCTCACGCGCTCCAGGCCGGCATTATTGACGAGGATGTCGACATGTGGGTCGTCGTGGGTCCACGCCCGAAGGGAAGAGATGACTTCCTTGGCGCCATCAACGCTGCTCAAATCGGCGCGCACGCAGTGCGCTGCTGGCTTATGCGGGAGCGATTGGATCTTGTGTGCGAGAGCCTTTACCTTGGTTTCGCTACTGGGCGACGTATATGCCAGCGCGACCTGCCATTCCCATCAGTCTATTATATTCGGAATCAACCTGCACGAGAGATTATATACCGAAGCTCCGCGACGAGCAAATTCAAATGCGATGCCCTCACCAATTCCCCTCGAGGCACCGGTCACGAGCGCCAGCTTTCCGATCAGCGGAAGTTGAAATTCGTGCGTTGGAGTTGCCATGACTTATGAAAGGGTGTAGCTCGCTTCGTATTCAATTGTGCGGTCTGAAGCAATACAGTTTATCAATAAAACGTCTTGCCTCCATCGACTGGGTCATGATTCGGGTCCCGCTGTCTGTTTCAGGTCGAATATCAAATCCGATCGCTATTCATACATCGCCGAAATCCTGGAATCGGCGTTGTCGATAATCGCCGATTGACGTCGTCGTGCAGTCTTGGCGCTCCTACAAACAGCATTGCGGCCGCATAGTGGAACTGCCAGGTGCAATTTAAATCAGCAAAGAACTTCCTACAAATCACAATTGAGCCGGACTAGTTTCCACAATCAGTATCGAACCTCGGACTAGTGACATACTTGTGTCTATAATCTCAGGCATTCAATATGGTCAATGGTAAGGCCCAAGCCCCAGAATTTTTGGTTCCAATTGGGTTGACACGCAGTGGTCGGGCGCTACTTCCTCAAGTCTCAAAGAAATCGGTGCTATTAGTCTCGACTCCTGTTGGCTATAGCTGAAAGCTAGATCCAGTATAGTAAGCCCACAGAGACATAGAGAATGCTCTGCGGGATAGACTGCCGTAAGCGCTTCTACCGCGCGCGTGTGTCCGTAAGCGAGCAACGGTTCAACGTTGTTTCTAAAGTCCACCGAGTAACAATATAGGAGGAAAGAGAGCGAGGCGCTCAAAATTCCGATACTACTCGTCTTTTCATTCACAAGAAATCCCCCCAGGCATGGATCAAACATTCATCGTGATAAGGACGCTTTGATATTAGAGGTAAAGTCACTGTACTGACAACCATCCTGTGCAACTGCAACTACAAACGACAAGACATCAGGTTTTCGCATATCATTGCAAGCCACTCTCGCGTCCTGTTGCCGTCTTTCAAAAGCAACAGCCATGGTTTAGAGTTCAGTCAGCTCGCACTTATCTCGTGCGAAGCGATGCTGTAGATTAGGCAATGTCGGAGTAAATCGTTCCGCGCACCCAAGATAGGTCTGTGAGGCTCATATTGTGCACAAGACCGTAGGATTGCCTGCCCCACAACTCCAACGGGTCGCTCTTTATTAAAATACCATGCATTGTGGGTAACTCGTTACTCTGTGCCTCTCGCTTAAGATGCAAGAACATTCTCTAACTTGCTCAAACCTCCCTTAATTATTCGTTACGAGCAGGTATTGCAAACCGCCGATTCGATTTCGCTTTCGAAGATGGGAACGACGCCCGCTTAGTCAAGACCATTGAGGCTTTATAAATGCCATTGTCGCCATACATCCTACTCTTGCCATTGTTCAGAGTTTAACCCATTTCGAAGTTTGACCAGTTCATCAAAACATAGAGTGCCGCCATGTCGATTCCAACCGGTATTGGGCTCCAGAAACGTTGCGAATGCAGAATGGTATGACTTACTGAGACTACAGTACCTCTCCGCATTGCGGTCGTGTTGTTCCCAGCACTAACGGCCCTCGATGTCTTCGGGCCCCTGAACGCTTTGAACCTCCTGTCAATTCAGCATTCCATGACCCTATCTTTGCTTTCGACAGACTTGAAACCCGTCAGCATTGACCGTACAATCATCGATGGTGTGTACCAGGGCATGCCAAGCTGGCAGTCTCCAAATTTCACGCAACTCGTCCTGCCTACGCATACTTTCGACGACGCCCCTGACTTCGACGTAATAATGGTGCCTGGCGGATCAGGAACCCGTAACTTGAATCTAACCAAGCCGCACGTGGATTGGCTTCAGGGGCGTATGGACGATCCGAACCTGCAGTATATGATGACCGTGTGCACGGGCACGTCCCTACTTGCGAGAACGGGCAAGATTGCTGGGAAGAATGCAACAACCAACAAAGCAGCGTTCAACTGGGTTAAAACTGTGGAGCATGCCGAAGATGTGAACTGGATCGCCAAGGCACGCTGGGTCGTCGATGGAAACCTATGGACAAGTTCAGGAGTCAGTGCCGGAACTGATATGACGTTGGGGTGGATTGAACATGTCTATGGCAGGAACGAGAGCGAAAGGATCAGAATACAGTTGGAATGGGTTTCCTTGAATCAGACGGATGATCCATTTGCAGAGATATATGGCCTAGTGTAAACGATCGCGTATACGCGATATAACTCTGTAAATCCTCCAACGGTATCAATGCCATTGATCGCATCATGCCATTTTACGAACCACAACTAGAACAGTTATTTTAAGTGAACAGTGGTGCTGGTAGATTGGGATAAACATACTACGAGGCGGCAAAAATCAGAACGTGGACATCGAGTAAATACGGCGCCGCCTATAATGCCAGACATCCTGCAGTAATTATATATGGTCCGGTGTGAGGTGGTGAAGCCTAAACTATGCGGCTGTTTTATATATGATACGTAAGAACTGGTTCGCTCCATTGAAGCCACGGAACTTACTTATTGCTTTTGCAAGACAAGCGTTACCATCGACCGTGACGGCACATTCACACTCGCTGTTCCGTCGTTGATCGAAGAAGCCAAAACGTCCAAATCATGTGAGTTATCGGTAATGTATGCCGTGGCATTACCGACCTTGAAGCTGTCTCCTCCACTTGCTTTCACCGTCAGTGCGGCTGATGCTGATCCCGTGTTGATAAACTGCACCGCAACCGCTCCATCGGTATTCCGGAAGGCCGAGGTCTTGACCCCTGATTTGGCACCGGAAACGCCGACTCTGACAGCGCCAGGCCGCACGAAGCGGCTCCATTGCCCAAAAGCCCACAACCGTTTTGACGGAATGACATTATTCCCATCAATACGCACGAGTTTGGAATTCGTGTTGCCACCCTGAACCCCGATCCAGTATAGGTAGGCTGAGCAGTTGGCATTTACCACAGCTGTGTATATGCTGTTGGCCCACGTCATCCCCTCGCCGGCGCCGCCACTCGAGTACCAGGCAGCCTGCCACGCCCCGTTGAGATCCGCCGCCTCGGTCTGCCACACGGGGTGCTTAGTGTTCATGGGTGATCCTGGGGAAGAAGTATATGCATGTGCTGTGATGGTGGAAAGATACTGGTCTACAGACGATAATTGGCCCAACATGCCAGCTTGGCTCGACCACCCTTCCGTGTCGCAACAGTTGATCCCAACATGCGAGAGGTTGGATTTCTGCAGCGTTGGGCCAAGTATCTTGATGAAATCGGAAGCTTGCGTGCCTGACGATCGCATGGATGCGTAGCTCGTTCTTTGTCTCGTCAGTAAGCATTTAGCTCCCCTTATTCAAGACCTGCCGGCGCACATGATGGCAGGAGACTCACGTCAGATCTGGCTCGTTCAAGAAGCCAAGATGCGTAATATTGACGCCTTCTTGCGCGTAGAACTTCACATATTGCACGAGATAATCCGCATACGCCTGTCTCCAGTCACCACTCGAGCAGGTCGCACCGCTGACTCCGCACAAGCTACCGCCGTTGGCATCGTTCCCATTTGTCTTCATATATCCTGGCGCGGACCATGCATCGGCGTAGATGGTTCGCACACCGCGCTTGACAGCCTCCTGGGATACCCACAGCTGCTTGTTGTCGCTGCCATCCCAGGTGTAGATCAGCGGCTTGGATGGGCTGCCGGGCGATTTTGGCGCAATGCTGACCATGTGATCGGAGCTCATGTCGGGAGATGATCCAATTCCATTACGTAGGATCGACAGCCCAGCACCTGAAGTCCTGCTAAACAAAAGGTCGAGCGCTTGCTGCTGTTTGTCCTCGGACAGCTTTGACATTTGCACGGCACGCTGGAAAGCCTCAGAACATCCGAAACCATCAATCTGTTGATAGGTCTGGTCCAAGTTTACGGTTACTGTTGTTGTGGACTGTCTCGCCCTCAACGGTTTGCTCGAGTTGGCAAAAGCCCCGAGGGGAACTAGGAGGGTGAGAATATGCCCGCGCATCGCAAAATACATTCAGAAAGCATCGCAGATATCTCAGGAATACAGAATAGAGGACTAGGGCAAATAAGTGGAGAAATGCTAGCAGTAGCATTTATATATGCGATCACGGTCCCATACCTCCGTGGTTTTGGTCGTATTATTTACACACTTAGTGTTGCAGGTACCATACACTGTATACAGATTCTAATGCGGAAGGACGGCTGATATAATGAGCCGGCACATCTACATTGAAGCAACAACGGAGGTAATTTGCTCGGTCTTTTGGTCTGCGCCTGGCCTGTCCACCTCGTGATGGAAAATGGCAAAAGGGCGCGGCTAAATTTGTTGCGGCACTCAGTGCCACACACACAATTTTCCCCATGGGCCAAGACTTGCACGAACTCGCCATGGCTGACAACCGGCAACGAGCTCTGACTCTTCACATGATACAATAAACTATTCACCATTGCAAGCGTATACTCTCCTCAGACAATGAAAACGTAGTGCGATGTTCTGCTAGCACTACAACTGTATATTTTCAACCTATCTAGCCCTATCAGCTTTACAACACGTGGCTGAAACTTCCCACCCTCTTTGCGAAATGGTACTTTAGTGGTATTGGCTCTTCAAGCACACTCCTCGCAAGAGTAAGCAAGGATCATGTCAGCAACCAAGTTACTGGTTGCAGATGGAAACCTCGCTCTAGGAGGCTGTGATAAAGCTTGAGAAAGAGATCCTTTTGGAATTCTAATTATACCAACAAGCCACTGCAACTCTATATTAATCTAAGTCCCTCCTGGATTATGCGGGCAAAATACTCGTTTCATGGTAGTTGAAGTTCTAAGCAGATATGTGAAGGAGTAGGGAGATACTCGGAGGTACTATGGCGGCTGTAAAACGATGATGCCGAGTCTCTGGATTGGCTACATTGTCAAAGGTCTCATATTATCCTCCAGGCTTATACTTGCGGCTTGAGTTGTCCTTAGACGCTGAGAATTCATCTTTCGGCCTAGGAAAATAGTTTCGAGTCACGCGGCACTTCCAAATGCAACCCTAGAACGACGTCTGCTTAAAGCGTCGAGAATGTCTTGTCAATATTGCGAGTACATCAGCGAGTAACCGCCCCCTGTAGGGCTCCTCTCCTCGTAAGCATCCAAGAGTCTAAGTATAGATGGTAGGCTTCTGCTTCGACCCGTGTAGCGAGGCAGGAACTTTTGTAACGTAAGCCAGCTTCAGCTAGGTGGATACTATCGGTAGAATGAGGTACCGGCCCGGTCCCCTAACCATCAAGGTACATGGGACCCTTATCATGAACACAAGGCAGTGTACAGGGTCTTCGTTGGTGAGATGAGAATGAGTCATTGGACGGACATACCGCTGCCTCTATGATCCATCCGTCAAGACTAGCTCATCGGGCTTCTTGCCTGGTCCAGGCCTTGAGTAGTACCATAACGCAGAAGCGCAGAAATTGGTGGAGAAACAGAGCCACACTTTGTCATATCATCGTGGGGTCCAGGCTAGCTGGGTCGCAGCCTTATGGTTGAGCCCATGTTTCCAGGTAACTGGATCCTGGCTAGTGAATGGCGTGAAGGCCAAGCTTTGTGGAGCTGGGTGGTTTGTATACAGCCAGGGATCAAAATAGACTCAACAGACGCCATGGCCGCCGGCTTCCATCCGGGCATAGGGCCCGTACGTCTCAACTGTCCCATGTGATTCGAGAATATGCGAGGTTGTACCGAGGAAGCAGGGTGGGACACATGAGATATATTGGTTTTTGGCGTGCGCAGATGGAAGTAACAGGCTCCGATCGTAATCTTATTGGCGCAACGGTTTTCATGCAAGCCACGCCCGACGACAGTATCGCCTATCCCTCTTTAGACTACCGTAGGACATCTTGCAGCACCAACAGGCTGCTAACGACAATGGATTGGTTGGGGAAAGTATGACAAGCCGTTTTGCAGCCACACTGGCGAATGTTTTTCTCACTTGGCAGACCATTTCCCGGAGACTGCCTGGTAATGAATGCTCCCCAAACCACGGCCTCGGGACACGGAGAAGCCTCGCTGTATGTGTGTAACTAGCTCTGGGACCTCGGGAGGGGCTTGCGAGGCTTGCCCGCCATTGAAGAAACGGCGAGGGGTTCTTGGCCACGACCCCTGCATGTTGAGCTTCAGCTAACCCCCTTCCAATGAATCCTCTCTTGGCGTCTAAGCTGCAACGGGCAACAGCTCGTCGGCGGCCCTGTTGACAGGCGAGCAGTCAAATCAGATCAGAGATCGGCTCGTCACTCGGTCCTGTGGGTGTGTGGGTGGTTCTCTTGCCTTGTGCTATTTATAATTATAGCCGTGCATGTACGCACGCACGGGCAGGCGAGAGTGCAACTCCAAATCTACTGCCCATCGTGCACGACGCACATCGCGAACAACTCACCACGGAGGCCGTTTCCCCCTCACTCCCACTCTGGCGCGCACACACCCTGACCACAGACCTCGAAGATATGCGCCCAGCATTCGACTCCGATGCCTATCGGACCGCAATGCTGGACCTGCCGCCGAGGTCGCGTCCCGTGTGACGGTGGTCTGCCAGCTTGTTCGCAATGTAAGGGGCGAGGGCTGGCGTGCGCTGGCTATCATGCCGCACACGGCCACAGCGCGGTGAGAGGAGCTTTCTCGGGGCCCGGCGCGATCACGCCAGAGTCCAGCGGAGGGGAGTCGGACCCGGCGAGCGCCGTGGACACAGAGCATTTCACTTCAGACCAGATCCTGGAGCCCGTCGCCGCGCGACCAGAGGTCGTGGTCAAGCAGCCTACGCCGTCGCTCTACCACCGGGCGCAGATGATTTTCGAGGGGCTGGACTACTGTGCGTATCATGACTCCTCAGGCCTGGGATGATTCTCGCTAATGTAATGGCAGTCAACAAGATGATATGCCCCGACCTGGTCTGTCTGGAGACGCATTTCAACCCCTACCGGGTCAACCTGCAGAGGGTGGACAACATCCCAGATATCTATGTCAAGGTGCTCGTGTCAGTAGCGTGTTTTCATAGGCTCATGTCGAACGGGCCTGAGCCAACGCCCTCCTCGGCGCTCATACAGAAGGACGTGGATGTGTTTTCCCTCCGCGTAGAGGCACTGCAGAGTCTCAATGAGCAGCTCAGTGAGCCAGACCAGCAGAAGAGCGATGCGACGCTTCTCTGCGTCTTATCACTGATGATCGCGTCGGTACGTTACGGCTGTCCTCTCTGGAACCGGCATTTCGCTGACCAAACAAGATACAATCGTCTGCGTACACCGAATGGAGGGCTCACTTGGAAGGAGCAAGAAGGATCATCTCCTTGAGGGGTGGGCTGAAGAAAATCATCACCGTGAACCCGTACTTTAAGCCTGTCCTTACCTTCTTTATGCTGTGAGTTGCTCGAATCCTTGCGTTCTGTGATGTCCACTGACCTCAGCTCCCAGGATCGACGTCATGGGGTCCACGACGACGGCTTCCACCCACAAAGACATGGCCGAGGCGACGTCCATGGCCATGAAATACTGGGAGATCGAGACGGGCGTGTTGCAGTTCATGGCGACCACGTGCATGCCGTGCCCGGACGCGCTGTTCCGGGTCATCATCCTGGTCAACTACCTGCGGACCATCGCGCACCGACCTGGCTTGGCCGCGCGGCGGCGCAACGGCACCAAGATGGCTATCGAGAAGGTCCTCTCCTTCTCGCCCACGGACTACGCCGCGCATATGCAGTACTTCAACGGTTGGGCGACCAACGGCAAGGAGGTCGGCTTTAGCCCCGTCAACGGCCCTCCGCGCACAGTCTCGAGCTCCTCATCTGGCAGCAGTCATCCCAGTGAGGCTTCTTCGCCGTCAACAGATTCGTCGCGCGGCGGCGAGGCCGACTTCTGGCTCAGCATTGGCGTCATGTATCGCGCATCGACGCTGCTGTACGTGCTGCGTACATTGGTGTTCGACTCTGACGACGAGCCCTCGGACTTGCTGCCGGCCAACCTGCTGCCTAATGTCGACTCGTTGCGCCTGGAGACCTTTCAGGTGCTGTACGGGGCTCTCGCCCCCGTCTTCGCGGATCCCGTCAGCATGCACCAGATCGGGAAGCTGATCATGTGGCCGCTGTTCATCCTCGGCATGGAGACAGACCACACCAACGTAAACCTGAGGGAGTTCGTGACGAATGGATTCGCGGTCCTGAGCCACGCCATGGGCACACTGGGCCCTCTGGGCGCCATAGAGGAGTTGGGAACCAAGTGGAAGATAGACGCCGAGAGCGGACCGCAGACACGTGTCACCTGGGATGACTATTTCCAGGGCAGAGCGGATTACATTGTATTCTAGAATTTGATATTCAGGCCGGACAAAAAACAACGGAGCATTGAGTTCAGAACTTGCATGCTAGAATGACTGTATAACATATGATTGAACCTAACCTTAATTTAAGCTTGTTTGGTGGATCTCTATAGCACACCATTGCGTGAGGTCGTACTCCCATAAGCCCACGCCGCAGCCCTGCGTCTGCAAGTCGATCGTACCCTGTCGTACCAAGCTCGCATGCAGTCTCACGGACCCTTTCGATTCTATCTTCGACACCTGATGCCCGCTATCGCCACAGAACACACCTCTACCGACTTGTTGTTACGTTGACACACAGCTTGTTGTCCACCACCAGCTTGTCGAGGAGCGAATCGCAGCCGTAGCACCGGCACATCTACAATCGAACCGTTAGCGAGGGCCTGAATTGCGTTGCCGTCACGTCATCCATGGCCGGGTAAGGCATATGTGACGGTGTCCGTTGTGCTCTACCCAGCACACCGCACGCCACGCCACCACAAGTCGTGACTACCGCCCGACCAACCAAGAAAATGCGCGACAGGGACATGATAGGAACCGCGACGCACCTCGGCCTTGCCCCCGGCCGTGCAGTTATAAATAACCGTGGGGTCCGAGACGGCCCCCATGATGACGGCGTTCCAGCACGCGCTGGCGTCGATGACCTCGTAGCAGGCGTCCGGGTCGCAGGGCCCAGGTTCGCGCCTCCTGCTCAGGGGGTACGGCGGCGGCGTGGCGAGGCCCTCGGTTCCCAGGAGGAACAGCGATAGCACGAGCGCGAGGAGCGAGGGCATCCTTGCCGGCGGCTTCTCCTGCTAAAGTTCGGATGGGGTTTGGTTGGCGATTGCTTTGGAGCTCGTGCGGCAGGGCACGCGGATATGAAAGATACGCAGCTCAGAGGGTCAGCAGGAACAGTTGTAATGCCCAGGGCATATATCCGTGGAAGTAGAACGAAGGGGCTACTATTCATATTTATCCACTACGAATTAACGACTTACCCCCATCCCCTTTATCGGCTCGGGCCATGGCGGCAGCTTCACGTTGCATTTCGCTATAGCCAAGTGTATGTATACTGGAAAAAGTCATTGTCAAGACCTGTGGCTTTATTTCCCGCCTATTCCAGGACAGCCTGGGCACTATCGCTCGTCGGGTCCTCCAAGACTGACATCCCACCCCGACACATTTAGCCTACAGGCCTGCTCCCTCAGCCCAGCGCGACGGCCATCGATCTCCAACCTGCCATCCCGGTAGTTCGCACCCGGAGTCTGATTGGCCCAGCCATATCGAGACGCCCGAGCAGTGCTCTCTCTCCTTTCCCAATACGAGTCCTTTCCTCGGCAAGGCCCCGCGTAGGTGATCCCATCCTCAGATCCGGCCAATGGAGTGCACCTCCTCGAAGTCGAAGCGCACCAGGAGGACGCACGTGGTCTCCTTGCCGCGGAGGTCGAGCATGCGGACGAAGCGCCACTGGGCGGGGACGACGTAGGCGAGGCGGACGGCGGCGACGGCGAGCAGGGGGTTGCGGGCGAAGCTGTCGTCGCTCTTGACCAGCAGCCGCACGAAGGCGAGCTCGTTGTCGTCGTACTCCCACTCGAGCGCCTCGTCCCAGAGCGGGTCGGTCGGCGGCGGGTTGCCCCCGGCGCCCCCGTGCAGGAACCCCGTCAGCTTGTGCTGCCGGTACGCCGCCGTCTTGCGCTTGTGCGGGCTGTCGTCGCCCGTGTGGTCCGGGTGCACCAGCGTGCACGTCACGTACGGCCGCACCTCGTCCTCGGGCCGCCCCGCCGGCAGCGGGATGCCCGTCGCGCCGGCGACCTGCAGGCGCAGCTTGGTCTTGCGGCCCGTGTTGAGCTGGCCGGAGCCGCCGGACCGCAGGGCGGCCGGCTTGAGCACGTAGCCCTCGGTGCCGCTGAAGAGGGCCTCGTTCAGCTGCAGGCTGGCGCCAAAGGTCTGCCAGTTGAGGGCGCAGATCTGCGCGCCGATGCCCCAGAACGCGGCCGGCTTGAGGTTCGTCGACGAGATGCGCGTGCCCTTGGGGAAGACGCGCATAAGGTGTCGGGAATTATGGACGGCGATCTTCTCGTTGTTGGCGGGCATGTGCTTGGCCAGCTGGATCTCGGAGACGTTGATGAGGTGGTCATGAGGGCCGTTCTTCATCGCCGCCGCCTCGAACCACGAGTTGTCGACAGGTTTGACGGACTGGGCGTAGACGCCAAGCTCAGCCAGCTCTGGGATGATAACGCTCGGCGGGGCAGCCTTCTTCTTCGCCTTGTACGCCTGGCGGGCCTGCTTCTCTTCGTCGTCCTCGGATTCCGAGCCCGAGCTGGAGTCACTGGAGCTTTTCTCGACCTCCTCCGGGAAATGATACTCGACGATGAGCACAATCTTGGAGCCCAGCTCCTCTAGGCTCACCTGGGCGCCGGAACCCTCCTGCTCGTCGTGTCCCTTCTCTCTGATGGCCTTGCTCAGCAGCCGATCGCCCCAGACCTCTTTCATGATCTGGACCAGGCGCATCTGACCGTGGGCGCTGCAGTGGTTCTCCAGAGAGAGGAGGATGGGCGCGGCGCGGTAGCCCTGCTCGTTGTGAGACTCGGCGGCCTCCTTATCGACCACATCGCGGATCGTCTCACAGACAGCCCGGAAGGGGATGTTGGAGACCAGAGTGTAGCCATGTGTCACTTTGGGCTCATCCTTGTTTTCCTCATGATCCCAGGCGTCGATCTCGACGCAGCGGGCACCTGTGTTCAGCGCTGTCCTGTAAGCCTCGGCGGACGAACTGCCCGTGAGCTGGTGAGCCAGCAGATATGTGTTGTGGCTGGAGCTGATGAAGTACTCGGCCAGCGGGTACGACCTGTCGGTGACATGGGCGGGCACATCGATGTGCGGAAGATCCAGCAGAGCGTTCAGGGCGGCGGACGGCTGGTCCGAGTCCAGCGCGGCCTCGGCCTCGGAGAGGACGCCCTGGTTGACAAGGAACGACTTCAGGGCGGTGCTGACCCGCAGCTTGTGCTGGGTGACATCTGTCCTGCGGGCACTGTGGCCGCCACCGGCGACGGTGAAATCATCAATCTCCTGGCCAAAATCCTCCTCGTCGTTCTCATGGGTGGACTTGGAGAAGGGGTTCAGCTTGGTGAAGCGAGAGGCTAGTGACGCGGGGTCCGCCATGGTGGATGGTAACGGGTGAGTCTGTTAGACCGGACAAGTCGCAAATCTGTCTCTCTCAATGGACCGGTTGTTATCGCCAGAAGGGAATGTCTAATTTCTCAAAGCGGTAATAGACACAGGAATGTAGCGCAGCGCAGGTCAGTTGAACACTCAATGAGCTTGGAGGAGTACCAGACCGCGCGGCTGACGTATTGATGCTCCGCCCCGTCAAGGGCCGGTCCAACCACCCGGCGGGGTAGTTCAGCTACTTAACTCCCGTGTGAACTTGAAGCCGCTGACAAGTCACTTGGCAACATGACTTCTCATCAGGTATCTAGTACTCGGTAATCATTGCATACCTGCCAATCACTACGTAAACTGCCAGGGTCGAGACAGCACGAGCAAGCGGCAGCGAACGTTGTGTAGCATGCACTTCAAATGGGTGACCGGCTGGGAGACTTACGCGATTGATTCACTTGGTCACTGGGAACCTGTGCTCTGTAACAGTATATAGACCTGCCAATGTCTAGTGTGAGAAGGAAACTATGCAGGCCATAGAAACCATGCTGGTATCTCCCTATGTATGCAACCAAAGTCCTTGTCTAATGCATACCAAGCCATCCCATGAGCGACTCCTGCTCGACCAGAAACGCAACCATGCCCTTGAACAACAATAATCCTGTCGGTTGATGCGCATGCTCTCGAGGGCCAAATCCCACATGCGAATCTGGGTATCTCTGAAAAAGTGTATATCAAGTCGCAGCGAACCCATACCAGCGAAGACCCAGTCGCAAATTTCGTTAGGGGATTTAGAGCACAGCCTCCAATCTCTTCTTCTTGACTTCAGTAAGTCTGACTTCAGACGCTGGGTCCTCGACAACTGCTGACTTGCGCTTAGGAGAGCACTGTCTCGTCTTGTCGGTACCGTGATGGGCAAGGGCATCGTCTTCCACCAAAGCAGAGGCGCGCTTTCTGTTAAAGCGTTGTGGACCTTGACCAGTCTCATTGACCGCGTCAACAGGAGGAGGCGGCGGGTTCTCATCAGAGTTCTCACTGCCCCAGATCTCATCGGCGAGTCTCAACGTATCCGGGCTGAGGCATCGTCTCGCATCATATTGCTCCCCTCTTGCATCACAAGCCCCATCAGAATGGTACCCAGAGTCCGAGCGTGGCGACTTCTTCTCGCCGCGGTCCTGCACGTCAAGACCGTTGCAGGGCTTGGGTGAATGAGGAGTTCTAGCTTCGTCAACCTCCTTGGAATTGTCGTAGTCCCCATAGGCATCCGCGCGTTCCTTTGAACACTCAAATGGCCCCCGTTCTTGACTCTCCAAGAGGTCCTCAGCCAGGAGTCCTGCAGCGGTTCCACCTAGCAGAGAAGGGGCCATCATTGAATCCGACATCCAGGATGATACCGTGCACAGGCGAGGTCGGGAAGCTGGGACTTGGCCGGGCACCTAGCTCGACTGAAGCTCGCGCTGGATCTTTCCAACCTCGTTGACAAAAGTCTTGGCGTTTGTGGGGTTAAGCTGTTGCGTTTATAGTTAGCATGTGCAATCTTGTTTTGAGATGCTCAAGAGTTAGGGGTATGAGAAATGATGACGAACCTTGAGCTGGATACTGTTGGCCTGGCCTTCACCTTCAATAGCGGTGAAAAGAACACAAACGGTCTTGTTCATGGGCTTCTCCTGGAAGGTCATGGCGGGGATGAGAGTCGTGTTGAGAATGAGACGGTGCGTCGAATCCTGGCGCATGATGAGTCGAACCGTCTTCACATCCCCATCCTCCAGACTCGAGGCATCGAAGCTTCCGGGGATGACAAGACCGTCGTCATCGACATCGATGCACTGCTGGGGCACGTTGATCTTGAGGACGCCGGCACCGCGCTCCTTCCAAGCCATGGGGTCGACAGTCTTATCGAGATAGAAGATCTTTGCACGCATCTGGAGGACAGTAGCCTCGCCAGCTTCGCCATCGTCCACAGCCACTTTGGGGGGTTGGGTTAGTTACAAATTCGTTGGTAGAAAAATGCAAGGCGGGCATGGTGTCGGCTTACCTCTTTGGAGCTTGGTCCTCTTCTTGTCTCCCTCGGCGTCCTTCTCTTCCTTTTCCTGCTTCTCTTCCTCGGCACCGGCATTGCTGTCGGCCTCGTCTGCGTTGTCTTCTTCGTCCGGTTCCGGGTCGCTGTCGGGTGCCCCGAAGGCCTTGGCCGGCTTGCTACTCTTAAAAGTCTCGCCAGGCTTGGCAAACGAGGTCAGCTTGCTGCTCCCTAGGCCACCGCCAAAACCAGTGCCAAAGACGCTCCCTCCGAAGGGCTTGGCCGAGGCGCCTCCGACGGAACCAAAAGGGGATGCGCCGTTGGTCGAACTGCCACTGCCAAAGAGAGACGGGGTATCTGACTTGGTCGAGGCTGCAGCGCCGAAGGGTGAGGCCGAGCCCGAGGCGCTGGCAAAGGAGGTGAGGGGCTTGGACCCGGCAGCTTGGAGGAAGGGTGACGAGGAGGTCGCGAAGCTTGCCAGGCCGGAACTGCCGAAGGCGGAGGTAGGCGCCGGCGCAGACTTGTCGGCGGACGGTTTATCTGCCTTGGCCTCTGCCGTGGTATCCTTGGAGGCCGAAGAATCCTTGGCTTGGCCAGTCTCCTAGATGCGGTTGTTAGCTTTTTGGGGCCGAGTTTCTGACACAAAGGCTGGGTGACTCACAGTGGTTTGGTTGTCGGTAGGCTTGGTCTCACTCGAGATGTCACGGTGGCGCTTCTTCTCGGGCTCTGAGCGGTTGTTGCGGCCGGTGGAGGCGGTGCCGTTGGCGGCAATGGGCGAGACGTCGCCGTTGGGATCCTGGTGGGGGTCCTTGTTCTGATCCAGCTCGTCGTGGGCGCGCTTCTTCTTGGGGGACGAGATCTGCTCCTTCATCAGGTCGTTCTTGTTGTCGGGGATCTCGAGCTCGGGGGTGGCCTTCTTGGCCGCGGCGGGCTGGTCAGAGGCAGACATGGCGGCGGCGGCGGCGGCGGCGGACTGCTTTTCCGAGATGGCGGTGTTGTCGAACTCCTTGCGGGCGGCAGCGGTGTCGGGATCTTCCGCTGGGGGCTTTATGCGTCCGGGCGAAGGGCTGCGCTTGTTGTCGCTGGCGGCGGCGGCGGCGGCGGCGGTGGCGGCTTTGTCTGCCATCTGAACTGCTCTGACCGGGGTTGGGGCCCGCTGCTGGGCTGGGGAGCGAGCAGATGTGAGTCCTGACGAGTCGGGTAGGGCAGAGGAGGCGAGAGATGGGCGCGTCGAGCCGAGGGCCAGGACCGGGGGACTCGGTGCGGTGAAGCCTTGCGGTGTGCTGTCTGCGGGATGCAGGATAAGTTACAGTACAGTACAGTACGGTGCGGGATGCGGGTGCGTGTGGATGCTGCGTGCGAGTGTGTCTCCCCGTGTATGTGCGCGTGTCCGTGGATGGATGTGGATGTATGTGTGTGCTGGCCGTCCAGCTCGGGGTAACGTACAGAGTAATTTGCAGCCGCTGTCCAGCGTGCAGTTGGACGGATGTCTTGGCTTGCTCTGATGTGATCTGATGCGTCTATGCTCTATGCAAGAGGGGAAACTCTAATTGGCCTTCTGGCGTGGGCGTCGGGGGGGATTCAGCAGAGAGCGATGCGATGCGGTGGTGAGTTCAATGGCCCTCCCGACGAGATCCAATGTGCTCGTCGTCTCTTGTCTCGACCGACCTGACTGGCTGCACTGGCTGCAGGCGGGCGGGAACAGTCGAAAATGACGAGGTGGGGGCGCGCGCACCGCCAGTCCCGTCGCCCAGGTCGTCCCGTCTCTGCCTCTCTCGGTGGGTGGGTACAGTCACCTGCAGTCAGTACAGGCGTCCAGAACTACCTAGGTACAGTACCTGGTAGCAAGTTACGGCTTTAGGAACCAGGGCCGATGGGTCTCTTTTTCCAGTCCCTCCTCCTCTCTCGTGCGCAGAGGACAAAACAGTCAAATCAGAGAACACTGTGTGGTCCTCCAATACCCTTCTGACAACAGCAATCAGCCGGAGGAGGAGCAGCAGGGGTCGATATCTGCTACAGGTCGTCGATGATTTTGCAAAACACAAAGACCACCGGATTAACAGAGGGTTCGGTCTTTGCGAGAGATGCACCGACGACACGAGAAGATTGCAGATCGCACGTGTAGGTCCATGGAAGTCCCACGCGTCAACAGTGGAAGCTTTGGGGGGCTTGCGGGCGGCGAGAGGTTTCCAGAGGTTGTGCGCAGGTGTGCTCTTAACTTAGGTGCTACCTAGGTAGCTCGGTCGGTATCTAACTCAGGTACCTATTCTGCTTGCGCCCAGTTCGGCTGGCCTCTGACGCTGGAACCTGGACGGGCAGATTTGTTTCCATCAGCACACCAGGCTGGCATGGCTGGGGTGACTTGGTCCCCGCTGTTTCGTTTCCCACGGGGGGGGCCACTACCTAACTTAACTCGCGTCCTTGACCCAACTCCGACTAGCTGCGGCTACCAAGAGGCCGCCCCAAGACCCTGAATGTGAATGCGAAATAAGATGGGACGAAAGACTACCGGAGATGAGAACCCAAACACAGACTTTCTAGTTTTATTGCAATTCTTCTGTATTTCTCTTTTGACCGATTGGGCCCCTTATCGCGTATGAATTCTACAACCTCCCTTCTCCCTGTTGATAGCAATGTTCCGTGGCAAGATGGGTGTATATGCAAACAGGGGGAATCTTTTCATCTTGTGCCTGCCAATAGACCAATCCGACTGTGTGTGATAGCTCCATGTTTGTTCCCGTAACCTGTCATTCCGGGACGAGGCTCTTTCGGTTTCCTGGCTATCATGTTGTATGACTCCCAAGCCAGCGTGTACAATCACTCGATCTTGCCCACGCCCTTCAGCCTCAGGTACACATCTGTGCCCCAGCCGTAGAGGCTCTGCACGCCGATGCCACCTCCAAAGTACTCGGCATACGCCCTGCTCAGCGGCAGCCCATATCCCAGTCCCGCAATCGAGCTGCCGCCCCCGCCCGTGTTGGAGATGACGCTCAACGCATCCGCGCCGCTGCCGCCGCCGGGCATATCATCTTCCGAGAAGGTCGTGAAGCTGTAGCTCCACACGTTGGGCAGCACCTCGGGCGCAATACCGCCGCCCCGGTCGCGGATCCGTATCGTGACTCCGGGAGCATTGTCGTCCAGGGGCTTGATGGCCTCGCTCCTGAAGGCGCCCAGGTTCTCTGCCGGCGGGTCGAGCTTGACCTTGGGCGGCCCGGCATCCGGGGGCTCGGGTGCGATGGTGATGACGATAGGCTCCTTCTTGTGGCGGTTCTCAATCGTGGCCCGGAACGCGTTCTTGAGAAGCTCTGTCAGGATGTACTCCAGATGCATGGGCACGTAGGCAAAGGCGGTCTCCGGCTCGCCGTCTACGATCCACTCGGGCCGTTCGCCGTACTTGTACTCACAGATCTCCGCCACCCAGTTCGCGCACGAGTTGACCACGTCGGCTGGGCACAGAGCCGTGTCTATGACTCCGATGTAGCTTGGGTGCTCCGGGCAGGGTGTCGGGCTTGCGCTCGGGTCAAAGTGCGGGACGCTGCTGTAGTGGAGCGCAATGTGCTGCTCCGCGATCAATCGGGTCCCAATCCGAGCCCGGAGGTGCTCATCGAGAAAGCGAGTGACCTCGCCAGGAGAGATGTAGCGGCGGCACTCGAGGAACCCCTTGGCCAGTATCGGGATCGTATCCTGATGCGTCTGCACGAGCTCGGCCAGGACCGAGGTAAACTGGATCTCGGCCTCGATGTTGGAAATGGTGCGGTGTTTCCAGGGGAGAAGCGTAGACAGCGAGTGCAGATAGTTGTTGTATATCTTGCTGATGTTCGGGTTGGAGACTACGATGAAGGGCAGGTTCCGCAGGGCCTGGATTCGGTGGGCGAGGCGGATGGGCAGCAGGCTCAGGGTAAAGTTGGCGGAGGAGTAGAGAGCCTCGGTCGAGAGAGGAGGCCGGCCATGTCTCACGAGGTCTGCCAGGCTCAGCGAGTGCTGGTGTTTGTTGCTGAGGTTTGCGATCTCGGCGTCGGTCACGGTCGCGGTGCTCGGCGGTTGTGACCATTTCTGCCGGGAGGGGTGGAGTTCGGTGGCCGAGGTCGAGGCCGGGGTCGAGGTCGAGTAGAATGATGCCGCAGTCCGGGGGCGTAGTCGTCGTGTGGGTGTGGCCTTGGGCGTCAAGCACCTCAATGGCCTATATAGACCTATCATGGCGGCATCGTGTGCTGGCGAGAGGACAGCGTGAATGTGTGTCAGGGCGGTGAGTATGGAGTTTCTTTGTGTCACAACAGGGGGGGAATGTGCTGCTGGCTTGTGATGTCACGCGCCTCACTGCTGCAGCGCTGATAACTGAACTGCCGCTAAACCTTATCGCCCGTCAATGCCGATCCAAGCCGCGACAAGCAGGCGGCATCGCCTTGTACTCGGCCTCGCATGAGAAGAACAACGGGTCTTCTTGAATCTTGCTTGACTCGCATTGCACCTCACAATGCGCGGTGGCGTGGGGGTAGAATGATAAGCTCAGGCATGTGCATGGCCCGCGTTGTCGTAGTCGCTGTAAGTGACGGTATAAAGGCCGCCAGTCAAATCCACCAAGGTGAGAGCCAAACACGATCTTATGCGCAAAATTGAGCATATTAGAAGCTCTATCCTAATCAAGAATAGCATTTAGCTAGACAAAGGTCCGTAGAGACCCTGTGTAAGTAGACTACAGATACGTCAAGTGGAAACAATAGGTGGGCATTATAACCCAGCATGGAAAATCAGCCCTCGACTGCATGAGTATTACTGACTACAAGCCATGCCTCTCTGCACCCTGCGGGTCGGACCGGTGTATCGAGCCTCTGCCAACCTTCTCATCGTACTTGAACTTTTCCCCCAGACTGCCTACTCTTTGTTCTTTGCCTTATCCACGATGCCACCCAGCAAACACAACTTTCACTTAGACGCAATGCGGCAGATGATCCCCTCCGAACTTGCATTGCTGAGCTCCAGTACATACACCGACGATCACGTAGTCTTTGCCTGTCGGGTCGCACTGGACAACCTGATGCTGGCCGTTGATGATCCTGCATGCCCACGGCCCGGCATCGCAGCTGCGCTTTCTGATAGCTGTGATCTCTTCAGAAGCTGGTGCACCCAATGCGTAGCTGGCTGCGAGTGCTGCAGCCAGGGCAATGCGGTTGACGAACATGGTCTCCGCAGTACGACTTGCGAGCTGTGGGTTTGGAAGACTACCGGTTGAGTACCCTGGGGGTTTTCGAATAGTGCACAGAATAGATGATTGAAGATGTAATGTGATTTTGCTTTTCAAGAAGGTAATGAAACACGTATGGAAGGCAAAAGAACTTTCATTTATATCTCACATCTCTTATATTCGACCAGCTGAAAACAGTCACTGAAGTCTTCAGTGATTCACATTTGGCTTAAGTTGACCTGTCGTTCGACATGGCTCATCACGCCGTCATCACCGTGTCAATCGCGTTCGCGATGCCTGCCTGGGCCTGGGTCTTTCGCTGTTCTAGATATGCAATGCCGCTAATGACAACCTCGTCCAGCTGAGCCTGGTTTAGGCCCTGCTTCAGAATCTCGAACCGGCCTCCTTGGCGATCGTGGTGATCTGGGCCTTTGTCCAGATGATAGATAGCAGCCTTGTACCCGTCGCTTTCCAGCGCGAGGTGCCCTCTACCTGATAGCCAGCTGTCGTACTTCTTATTCCACCGGAGGAACCCCTGGCCCGTGGTGCTCTGGAACTCGTCCTTGAACGTGACGTGGCCGTTGCCTATCTCGAGGTCTATCTTCTTCGAAAATGTGTGAAACTTTGCGCTTCCGCATTGCGGCCCATTGACGAAACGAGAGAATTGGATTCTCGTGCTTGAGAAGTGGACCGAATACAACACCTGGCCATTGTCTATGTTTACCAAGGTGTAGCTTTTCGACCCAGACTTTTGGACAGCCAGAACTCTTGGGATGAGTGTTTGGTTTTGAGGGAAGATGGGTGGATAGACTGGGGCTCTGTCTGCGAACGGCGGCCTGTAAGGCAGCTGTGGTATTTGGTGATGCCCTTGCGGCATAACTCCATTAGGCGCTGGTGGCGGTGGGTACTGATTATATGACTGCCACTGTTGTTGTGGAGGAGGCGGACCATATCCCATCGCATGACCATCAACGTAAGGGTAGGCACCATGTTGGAGGCGCTGTTGCTGGTGTGGTTGATGGGGATACGGCCAGCCAGGGGCAGGCTGGCCAAAATTCGGCTGGCCAGACATTGGCAAATGATGGAAAGGTTTTGGTTTTGGTGAAGAGGAAAAGAGAAGGTATTGGTGTATAGAACTGAGCAAGCACCAAATATAGTCGTTGAGCAATAACTTTTGACACTAATTGACGTGCAACCGGGCAATTTGGGTACTGCGAAAATAAGATCTGTACGAAAGTCAAAACGCTGTGAACTCATTAGAGCTTTATACATGATGCGGCGTTGAGACACCACAATAATGATTACTACCCCTTGGCCATCAGCAGCGCAGCATTTTTCTGAATTGGGTTAGCATGCATAGCCAGTTGATTGGCCGCACGAACCTGAGCCTCACATTTTCAGGAATAGATCCACTGGGCTGAAAGCGTGGGTGTAAGACACCACTAAGTGGAGCGGATGATGTATATGCGCCAAGCATTATTCTTTCCACAGAGCCATCTTGTAGTCCCGAACTTGGAGTAACGAGAGGCAGAGAGAAATACTTTAGGATCATGTGCCTGCAATGTCCAGATCAGGCATTGCATTAACGAATATCCCAACTCATACACACCAAATCATACACACCAAATCATACACACCAAATCATACTCACCAAATCATACACACCAAATCATACACACCAAATCGTACACACCAACTCATATACACAGGCTGGTTGGCTGTAGCTCGAACAAGAGCGCCACCGATGTGTTGTTTAGGAGAAGACTTTATAAACCAAACAAAAGCTGGCTCCGTCCTTAAATGATGGCAATACGCCTCCAATTAAATCGTATGCCTGTGCCTGGCAGGTGCTTGGTATCCGGCCCAATACCTTCCAGGTCCAGAAAGTTCCAGGTAGTTCTCAATGTGCCAACGCGGGAGAAACTCTCCGGGCCTTCCGGCACCAGCACTAAGCAGCAAGTGACGGAAGTTGAAAGACGTGCTGCCCAGCCAAGTACAGCGATTGTAAGAGGCTTGGCTATTAAATCCGTATACTGACCTGCATGAGGACAAAGTCGGTACCATATCTTTCGGTCAGAAAAAGGCGACTCATACAAGTACGCTTTCTCGTCCTCGGATAATTCTTTTGCAACTGGAAACTCGATTGTCGTTATCCAAGCGGTAAGGTACAACACCGGGCTCAACTCAGCCTCTCGCCGTAGGCTCACATCGTTGCAAAACTGAGTGATATTGAACGATTTCGGCTCCTTTTGGAGATCGGCCATGCCCTCACATTCAGGCACTCCTTCTCGTTCATAATAAATATCACCGTTCAATCTGTAAGGCTGCGCACCATTCCACCCTCTCCATCCAGCCCAAGTCCACGAGGGGAGGTTTCCAACGCGCCGCAGAACACGGGGCGGAAACGGCTCCCAAAACAAGGAGTTGACGAAGAATAGGTCATGAAGGAGCGAAGATCTCGAATACTCTACCACCGGTATACCCCAAAAATGATAGAATTGGGGGTGTTGAAAGCTTGTCTCGTAGAAACGTAATACTCCTAGCAGTGCCTTCAGATTGTCTTCGTCGAACGTGAGCTCTCGGTTACAAAACTCGTTGATGGTCCTTCGAATAGTGCTGTCTCTTTCCGAGGAACTCAAGAACTGCGACTCGGTCTGGAAATTCGGCTTCTGTAGGTAACCCCTTCTCCCGACCGTTCCGCGATTCCTGTGTGCAATTCGATATCCTTCTCTGCGGTATGCAGAATACAAACAAGTGAATGTCACTTGAGACTCTGTAAATATTATGCAACGTCTTGAAAGCATGCCTTCCTGGTACGTCCACCCGCGGGTGGACCACACAGACTTGGTTATTTCGTGATGAGGAGATCCCATCCGGACAGAAATATGCGATGGCGATGGTCCCACTTCTGCTTTCCAGACTCGTAACTTTCTCGATACACCAGGGAGACCATGTTCAGCGCTCTTCCCGGCCGCAGCGATGATTGTGAACCGCGCGAGATGGTAAATCACGTCCATGTGCCTGATTGTTTCGTCTAGGCTGGCTTCCTCGATGCAATGCCGGTCGACCCACAGGTACCGCATGCCTAACTTGCGAGCTACTTCGATACTGTCTATGACTACTCGCGAGAACTTGTTCTTATCGCTTTGGGAAGCTGGTCTGGATGTTTCCTTGCCCCAGACATAGCTCAAAGCGACAAACAGCGCATCACTTGGAAGAGGGCCGACAGAGTTTGTTGAGCAATCGATGAACTGAAGCCCGGCGCGTACTTCCTCTGATATGCTGGTAACGCATTGCCTGCAATCGGAATGGTTTGTTTTACAGTCGAGAAGCCATTGTTGTATCTCTGAGTAGTTGATACCGGTAGAAATCACCCTATGAGAATATCCGGGTGTATCTGGCGTGGGAAGCGTATGTATCACCTCAAGGTGCACGTCCCTATCCGTTTTCTCCATCCTGACATCCTTTTTCCAGCTTGCTTCCAGTCTGTCGACAAGAATGACATTGAGCGGCTTGTTGGCTTTCCCATCCGCTACGTCGTCTGGCAAGACAGCGCAAATATCACTGGGAAGGCTGTCGCCCTTGGCGTAGAGCACAGATCTGATAGGTTCAGATGAAGCCGACATGGTTGAGGTTTCCATATCAGCCATGTTGCGGTGGTGGATTTGAAACGGCAGTCTACAATATGGATAACTTGGAAGAAACTGCAATTGAGAAGCGCGGGAGTGAAATGTTCAAATGCTACCTCCCCGGGAAGTGCGGCTGAGCCACCAGCGTGACGGTCTAGTTAGGCTGGTTTCAGTCAAGTGCCCCGGCACAACGCCCATTGGGTCACGGCGCACGAAGTCCTCACGACCAGGCAGACTTAAAAACACCCTTATACAATGTGGCTTAGCGAGATGATACTGGGCACAGACATCAGGCTTAGATTTGGAGCGCATTGTATGCCAGCAAGCGAGGGATGGGATTTCCGACTAGGCTATACACACAATGGTAGACAAAAGCCCATTGAACATCGCTCGAGTGCTTCCGGAATGAATCCTTCTTACATGCCTCTATGCTTCTTACAAGCTCAACTGTGGGATGCCTCCAAGCTAACACCATGATAAGTAGGTATAAATGTCGGCATCACAGTAATTAAATTGCTGTCGGCGAGAGGCCGCCTGAATACAAGGTAGGCATGCCCGGACACTAGACCAGTCAGTGTCGCACTCGTCCCATGCACGCCCATATTGACAATAAACGGACTCGCGTTATTGGTGTCGTACCCCATCAACTCATATCGATCCACATTGTAACCCGTAACCTGACTCCAGCTGACATGGACGCCTCCGGCGACCCCCACATCGGTGATGTCCTCGGGCCCCGGCGCCGTCTAGAGCTGTGCCGTGACTGAAACGACCCCACTCCACGCCGACTTTTCCTCCTCCTTTTCGCCCACCGAGCTCCGTACTGACACGGCTGTCTGTCGAGCTCATTTCTCGAGATCTTCATCAGCAACAAGGCCCACACCTAGTCAAACATGTGGAGGATATATTATTTTACCCCATGCAAGAAGATAGATGTATGGCAATTTGATGATTATTAATCTTAGAGCTGTCAAGCGGTAATGTAGACTGTCTCCTACAGTCTTTCGCAGTTTTCACGATGTACGTGTTTCAGTGAGTTTTGTAGCATGGGGGGACATTTCTATGGAGCTTCTTGGGCCTTCTTATAGAGACTTTACTTTATGGTTCGAGTCAGGCGAAAATTGAGTCTATATTACCGCAGAGCCTGGTCTGTGACGTCCTGCAAGATTTTCCAAGGCAATGCGGTAGCTAAATAATGATATAGCCTGTCATACTGTCGGTCATAGGCGAGCACTGTGTAGCATTCATACGAAAATGCACAGAAGACTTGAATAGTGGGCATCCGAGAGCTGTTTCGCTCTCTAGAAAAGGAAGGGCTTACTCAGAAAGCTGATTTGGGCGGTATGATGATATATCATTTCTATATGGTATCATGTGCACCGCATGTAATTAGAGCCTTATAAATACACCCGACAGACTATCATCCATCTCCCACCACCTCGACCTTCTTACCTCCTCCTCTTGCCGCCACCGCCCTCGTCGCCAGCCTTCCTCTTGCGGCCCTCGCGCTCCCAGTACTCCTTCTTCTCGCGCTTCTCGCGGGCCTCCTTCTTCTCGCCCATGAGGGCCATCTTCTTGCGGAACTCGGCGCGCTTCTCCTCCTTCTTGGCGCGGCGCTTGGCGTCCGTGTCCTTGCGGATCGTCGTGATCTTCTGCAGCAGGTCGCGCGCCTTCTTCTCCTCGCCGCCGAGCACCACGGCGCGCTTCTGCATGTACGTCTTGTGCTTCTGCGGCTTCATCTGCACGATCTGCGACTTGAAGGGCAGCTCGGCCGCCAGGGCGCGGGGCACCTTGAGAGCGTTGAAGTGGCGCGTCTGCCGCTCGATGGTCCGGTACTTGCTGTTCTTCTCCATCGGGGTCGCGATGCCCTGGTCGCGTCGGACCTCGCCGGTGAGGCGCATGCCCTGCCATGAACCGAGCAGGTTCGTCATGACGTTGTAGTAGCGGTGCGGCTTGATGGGGTACCAGGCACGCAGGAAGACGATGTCGGACATCAGAAGCTTGTCCTCAAAGGTAGCTCGGAAGTGTCCCTCAGGCTTGGAAAGAGCTCGTTTGATCTGACCCCTGATTCCACTGACCGTCTTGATGGCAGCGCCCTCGAACTTGGCAATCTCGAGCGAGGAAGTGAACATGTCTTTGATGAAGGCTGTGTTCTTGTACACCTTGTACGGTGCACCGGTGAGCTTCAGCTTCTTGACAATCTCGGTCGACTCGTCAACGCTGAGCACAGTACCGCTCGCGGCAATACGGAATCCCGGGTTCGCAGAAGAAAACGAGTTGAAGCACACGAAACCCGTGTTGGGGGCGATGAGGGGAGCATAGACAGTTGCAAAACAATGCATGTGCTCGGGGGTGTACTTGAGCATGCGGTTTCGTGTCCGTGAATCCGTCGTACTGTAGATTGGCATCGTCTGGAATCTCCTCCAGCCAAGCGAGAAGATTAAGGGGTCGTTCGTCTTGAGGATCTTCTTGTGCCACCTGTGACGCTTAATGCGGACCTGAATGTAGCCGAAGCGGTCCTCCGTAGGTGCAAGGCCACCCACGATAACGGGCAACCTCGTGTTGAAGTTATCAACAAACTCGGCCGGCACCGACTCGATGATGATCTTGGCGTACTTGCCAGCCTTGTATCCCTCAACGGCGACACGTTGCCGTTCGTCCAGGGCCTCGAACTCGGACTTGTTAATGTCGAGTTGTTTCTGTTCATGTTAGATATGATGCACTTGTATCATCCAAGGGCGCCGGATGTCAAAGAACTTACCTGAATAAGCGCCTTCTGTGCGTCGTACCAATCATCCTCTCCGAACTCCTCGGCATCATTTCCGGCTTCTCTTCGGGCGTTCGCCTTGTCGTTGGAGAAACCTTCCCTGTCCTCCTCCTCGAAGCGCAACTTCAGCTCCTCCTTACGCTTGGCATTCCGGGCACGCTCTTCCTCGAGGCTCATGGCCGGCTTTGGCTCTGCCTTGTGTTGCTCACCGGTCTCGAGATCCTCGAACTCGCCGTCACCTTCGTCATCGTCATCACCGAACCCGTCAAAATCGTCATCTCCTTCTTCGCCGTCTCCTGCGCCAAGTGTAGCAGTGGTGAAGCGCTGTCTCAGCAGTTCGACGTTGTCGGGAGTTGACCACTTGGCTTCGAGTTGCTCGTAGTCGTAGACGGGGATCGGGCGGTCGTCACTCGTACTATCGTCCTTCTCCTGCTTAGTCTTTTTGAAGAACTCTTCGTCCTCAGAGTCAGCCTCAATGTCCTCCTCGGACTCTTCTGCCTCATCAACTTCGCCCTTCCAACGTTTGAGAATCTCCTCCGCAGTAAGGGATTCATTGTACATCAGCCTGGCCAGGTCAGCCGTTCGGTACGATGGACGGTTGCCGTGAAGCTTATGGGCCCTCTCTGTCAGGTTGTCCTTCCAGCGAAGCGCGGCAGCTTCTTCGTCATCCTCGTCATCAAAGTCGTCTTCTGAGTTGACCTCTTCATCATCATCGCCAGAAAGCGATCCCAAATCAGAGTCACTATCAGCAAATGCTACGTCCTCTTCCTTGCCGGCCTTGTCTGCTTCTTTGCGGAACATGCTGCCCAACTTCTTCTCGTCAAACTCAGCCTCTTCGTCCGAGACGCCGTCTTCGTTTTCGTCATCTTCGCCGCTACCAAACCCTTCGTCCTCGGGCAAGTCGTCGTCATTCTCTTCTCTTTCAGCGAACCTCGCAGATCTTGGCTTCTTCCGGCCGGTATCCTCTTCCTCGGGAACACTGGAGATCTTCTCGCCCCCACGGAACAGCTGCATGCCATCCTCGGTCTGACCGAGAAGCTTCCTCTCGCCTTGGAGGCCGACGATGAGCTCTTCTCCCTCGCCACGCTCTCCCTCCACATCATCCTTGTCGAAGTTGAAGCCCTTCTCGCGTGTGATCCAAATAGCATCGCCTTCGATCTTCAGGCCACTGCGGTCGCTCATAGGAGCATGGAGCTTCTTCTCCTTCTCATCCAAGCGCCTCCGGCCTGTCTTTCCCGTGGCCTTTGCAATGGCTTGTTCCATCTGAGGAGTGGGGCAAGGATCTGGCAAGGCTTCCATGCTCTTCACGGTGAAGTCCCCCAGGCCAGGAATGTGGACCCGCTGCCCCTTGGCCGAGAAGTTAGTTCCTCGCAGATAGCCAGAGAGAGCGACGGTGCGGTCACACTTCTCGTCGGCCTCGATGGCGGTGGGATGGGTCACATCCCTGACGCTATCGATGATGCTGTACGGGTGGTTGTTGCGCCAGATCAGGGGCCTGGGATTCTTCATGACGGACAGGAAACGCGACAGGTTGTGGACTTCTCTGTCGGGGTAACGGCCATTGATGACACCGGACAGGTAGAAGAGGTGGGCACCAGCGTAGAGCTCCCTCCAGAGGCGGTGCTTGAGTCTCTTCTTGGCGTCCTTGAGTCCCTGAGGCTTGCGGAAAAGATCCAGGTGGGTCAAGACACCAAAGATGTTTCCGGGCATACCGGTGGCGGAGAGTATGTTCAGGAACTCCATGGTCTCCATCTCGAAGCCGTAGTTGCCGTCGATCATCAGCAGCACGATGTCGGCAATCTTGGCCATGTCGACCATGGCCTCGAGATCGTTGGGGCATTCGACAAAGGTGAGGCGCTGCTTCTTGGAGGTGACGACGGTGATGGGGCCCTGGGGCTCGGACAGGGTCTCCTTGGCGTATCGGCGGATCAGAGACTTCAGGAGGGTGGTCTTGCCAACGCCGGGCGGGCCGACGATGGTGACGAGGCGCGGGGGCGCCTCCTCGGGCAGGCGGTCGACGAGGGGGACATGGAGACGCTTCTCCTTGATGTCTGAGGATCTGGCGGCTTGTCTCGCGAGCTTGCCGGGATTCGAGACGGCGAAGGCCTTGGGGTTGCGATCTGGACGCGGTCAGCGGCGGCGATTGTGGAACAAAGATCGGTGAGACATACCCCCGGACTGCTGCTTCTTCTCCTTGGCCTTGCGATGAGGCTTATGTGACTGGTCCTCCATGGCTGCGACGCGGCGATGGGAATCGGGGAATCGCGTACTCGGTCGACTGACTTTTCGGCCTGGGACTTGGTCGAGGTCGAGGCGAACACCGAAAAAGTGCCCGTTGGTCCAGCGTCCCCATGTCCCCAATGCAAATAATTTTTTGGCGGACCCTGGCCGTTTCCGCTAGCGCTATCTAATCGATAACGCCGATAACAGGGGGCTTCCAGGCTTCATTCATTCTAGCGCGGGGTCGTGTGAGGGCGCCCGTTGCCCATGACGGAAGCGGGGCTCATCGAGGGGACTGAAGGGAGCCCATGGCACCTAATAAGTTACCTACCTAATGCAAGTTAGGGTGGCATCTCCAGCTTGGTCAGTTGTCCAGCAACCTCGGGGAGAGGAGGGGATCTAGTCATCCATCCGGGTTCTCTTGTCTCGTCGTTCCGTCTTCGTGGCTGGGCTCTGATCGGCCGGCCACTACTACTGTCTGTCACAGGCCAGGATCTTGGTCCAGATCAGATCGGATCCGACCACCGCCAACTCAGCTCCATGCATGGGCCAATGGAGATAATGTATGATTATGTGCAGGCAGGACGAAAGCTAGCGGCTTAGCCTGCAGGCGAGCAGGTTACGCAATTGTCCGAGTGACTCTTCTGAAATGGCCCAAAACCTGGTATTCCGAAGGGCCCTCCGGCCACAGACAAGTCGTCGGAATAGAAAGTGTCCAGCCCAGCCTCTGCATGCAGCGACGTGGTGGGTACTCCGAGGACTCCACGCAACCTTTGTGCGAGTGCATCTGGCCAGTCCCAGTCAGCCCAAGATAGGCGCCGCAGCTGGTGTGGTTGGCGCAGGTGTCGGGTGCCTCTTTGCTGGTTAGTAGTGGTGGTGCTGAGAAGCGAGACTCTCGGGCATGACGTAGGCATCCCATCTCTGTCCTGCCCTCGGCTTGTCACGTCTCGCCTTGCCATGCCATGCCTGGCCTTGTATCCATTCTGCTTGGCTTGCGCGGCTGTCGACGGAGTGAGTAATAGTCTACTGGGTCCTTGGGTTGTTAGTTAATGTTGCAACGGAGTACTACCGATACTCTTGCGTCGTTCCTTTATAAAGCTCTAACACATACCCACCCACCTCATGCCAGCTTCTCACTGTTTCAAACACCTACCACCACAACCAAGCCCGACCTTCACTTCTCCGCGAGTGTATTACCTGAACTTCACCAGTGCAAATAGACGCCTATTCCATACAACCAACATTACCAACATGCCTTCCTACATTGTACGTACCCGATCCGCCCAGAGTCGAGGACTCCACCTGCTGCTCAGCGCACCGAGACTGACCCCTCTTCTCCTTCCCCCTCAACAGGTTACCTGCAAGGACGGCGCCACCGACGACCAGGTCGCTGCTGCTAAGAAGCACGCCCAGGACCAGGGCGGCAAGATCACCCACGAGTACAACCTGATCAAGGGCTTCGCGTATGTTTCCCTGCCCCCCAAGGAGCTGCTGTCATTCAGCTACATTCCCCGCTTTGGCCTTGCCCTCAGCTAACTTGGCGGGCCCACCACAGTGTCGAGTTCCCCAAGGACTCCGTCTCGACCCTCGAGAGCCACGAGCACGTCAAGGCCGTCGAGGCCGACAAGGAGATGAAGACCCAGTAGATTCGAGGCTTGGGTGATAATATCGCGGACACCGAGGAGGAATCGTAATGTCAAGTCGCATGACAGCGCATCGGCTGCCTCCAAACGAGAGGAGGTCTGGGCGGCGCTTGTAGCTCTGTTGAACACCTGCGACGTACGTGAATAGACTCTGCAACGAAAGCATATGACTGAATGCGATTATGACTTCTCGATATTCTGCCCGTTTCACTCGTACAGTGACGTGAAGTGAAGTGAGGTTTCCTTTATAGTGCCAAGTAATTATGACAGGCCTCATGGCGCCCATGACGACTAGATGAGCGGCCAGGCGATGCAGCATCCGAGTGCTTTAGTTGAAGTCACTGCACATGTGTGCAACGAGTTCCACTGTGTTCCTCAACTTCCCCTAAGCCTATCCACTCCGATTTTTACATGGCTCTTTATCAAGCCATTGGGTTTTTGTAGGTATGGCCAAGGATAGAACCTACGAAAGCGAAGCCCATGCATGTTCCACTATGGAACCAGTCAGGATTACTCAAGGTCAGAGAAGAAGGTTCGAACAAGTTCGTGCAAATACCCCATGGCCTGTATATAACCATAGCCATACGTCGCTGGATAGACACCGCATGGGCGGAATGGAGCGAGACAGCCATGAATCCCCCTTGCTCTCGAGGCTATGGAGGTAGCGTTCCCCCAGGCTCTTCGTGGGGCCTAAAATTGCAGTGCAAGGTTTAGTGAAACATCATTGCATTTGGAGAGAACGATACGCTACTGATACGCCCACAAATGGGATTATCTATGAATCAGTTGTGCACGTAGCAAGGCAATACATCGCCCCTAAAGGATGATCTAAACCATCCTCACGTGTTGGCCGCTTCGCGTGGTTGGCCGAAGTAGCAATCATGTCTCAAAAATATAAGTATTGTTGCTGTATCGAACCAAATGGAGCCCTTGTCCGCTCCAATATAAATAAACACGCGCTATCTTGTTGTTCGTTCCGTAACCCGCACTATGGTGCCAAAGTAAGAGACCATTCCGTATAAAATAGTGATGACCCTGCAACTCCATGCTCGCTGTCCGGCCCCTTTCCAAAGAACGAAGAATACATTTACCCCATGGCCGCTTACGGTCAGAGAAGCTTGGCAACCAAGTGCTCTGCGGTCTCGGCAGTACCCGTGGCATGGTGAACTTCGGGGTAGAAGAACGCAGCGACGGCGATAGCCACATAGACAATTACGCAGAGGACTCCCTCCAGGTAGTTGGACTTCTTGTCTCGGAGGAAGTTGCCGACCGTGATGATGGCCAGGATGAGCATCACCATGTCGAAGATCTTGAAGTCGAGGGCAAACTCCTTTTGCCAGCCGATAAGCACGACCAGGGGAGTGATCAACAGGGATGTCTGCAGGGTAGCACCAACACAGTGAGACAGGGCAAAGTTCATCTGGTTATCCCAAGCCTCGTCGACGGCCGTCAGGTGCTCCGCCGCCTTCTCGACCAGGGGCACGAGGATCAGACCCATGAATGGATCAGTCAGGTGGTGCTCCTCGATCAAAATCGGAATCTCCTGAACAAGACCATAGGCGATGACGGTCACCAGTCCGATCGAGATGACCAAGGCGATAATGCACTCGGTCAGCGTCAACTTGTCCTTGTCCAGATCCTTCTCACGATCGTGGTCGCGTGCCTCGTCGTGCTCGAACATGGCGGTGAAGATACCATGGTGAGTGTGTGTCTGGAACCACACAAACACAATGTAGGCAATGAGCAGCAAGATTGCCACAGCACGCGAGAGGTTGAGGACGTTGTGATCGATCACAGACTGCTCGACTCCCGTGCCCGTTGTTGAGCGCTCCAAGATGGCGGGGATAGCCAAGCCGATGCCTCTGTGCTGTCATTAGCTTTCTTGCCACAGCATGGCGTAGTCAAAAATGAAGACTTACGCGGTGAGTAGCAGGCCGCTCCCTGCCTCGCTGATGGCTTCGTCAAAGGTGGCATCTGGTCGTCGAATACCCGAGGCGATGAAGCACGCGCCCAGACAAAGCAGCATGTTCGCCAGGATGGATCCCAATATGGCGCCTTGAAGCAGGACGAATTGGTTGTTGAATAACAACAGTAGGAACACGATGAATTCAACCACCGATCCGGCACTAGCATGCATGATAAGTCAGCCGAGGCCACAAATTGGATGGGCTCGCAACTCACGTCGTCTCTAGCAAAGAGCCAAGAACGTGGGGCATCTTTCGGGAGAGCTCCTGCCCAGAGAACCCGATGAGGTTGGCACACGGAACCATGCCGATATAGAGCAGGATGAACTTGAGGGTGTGTTGGCCCTCCAGGGCGAAGTAGACAGCGATTGCTGCCGGGACCACAGGCCAGAGGATGTTGACGGCTCGGGACAGCCAGCTCGTAGAGCGCCATGTTATCCTGAAGAAATGGAACGGGTAGAAGCCTCTTCGTCCACTCTCGCCCTCGGGGCTGATGCGGGGGCCTTTCCTGTGCTTCTTGTGGCCGCGACGCGTGCCATTCATGATGTCTCCCCGGTGGCTTGGCAGCGCGGCATCTCGTGAGTTGTGTTGCGATGAGTGACGGGGGCTCTTCTCGCGAGCGACGCCGTTGTCACGCGAATATCTCGACGCCATTGCTTGGAGTTGTCAGCCGGTCTATAGCCTGGCCCGAGCTGAAGTGAAGAGAGAATGGGTGTGTCCTACTTGTGGTAGAGATTGCTCAAGTTTTGTATGGAGGCCTCTGCTGCCAATGGCCGTAGGTGCAATCAAATTATGGCCCCGATGCCCATCGTAAGCGGGAAACAGCAGCGCGGCCAGCCGAACCGCATGGGGGCCCGGGGGGCTGGCCTCAATTGGAACCAAGTCATTGCTGTACCGCCAGTGGAAAACAGGGAACTGCTTTCCTCAGATTGAACGGGGGCGCCACGACGCAGAGATCAGGGACGATCTGAATGGCTCCGTTGGCATTTCAATGGCTTGGCGTACGTTTCACATCCACCGATTCCAGCGCAGATGGCAGATGTTGCGGCGGTGGGGCCAGAAAAAGGGATAGCTCCCAGGGCACCAAGAGGGACTTATTTCCTGGGGATTGCTAAATTGCGTCACGCTGCATCCCTCGCCAATCCCCTGGATCGTGGACATTTCCCCCAACACGGTCTAGACACATCTCTGCCTACATACATACACTGGCGATCTTGGACGTAGCAGCAGCTTAGGTTACTATGTCCCCTACCCTGTGTACATGAACGACGACACAGATCTGGCGCGACTGATGCCTGCCTGTAACATGGCAGTTTCTGGCTGGAGTCGGGCGGGTTTCCAGTATTCTGGGGCGTTTGGTCTGATATGCGGACCATGCCGCCAATGCTAACTGGGTGGCTTGGCTGACCGACTGGCCACTGTTCGTATGGGAAAATGAGCAACGCCCAAGGACGATCCGCTACGCAAAAAGTCTTATTCTCGCCAAGCCCAAGCCTTCGCCCAACTTGGCGCAAAGCTTGGAGAGCTTGTTCTAACGCAGGGACGACCGCAAAGAATTATCTGGTCGCGTAGAGCCCCCAGGAGCCCTCAATTGGCCTCAAATGCTACAATCCCTCGAGAGGAGTCTGGGCCTTATCTTGTGTTCAAATGGGACAGACTCGAGACGCGATAGTAATCCATCAGACAGCTCGATGAGGTAAGATAGACGAGCGATGCAGCCCAATCAGGCACCTCAGCTTTCTGTAGTTCATCCTTCGCTGTAAACGCAACATCGTCGCAGTCGCAGGAGTTATAACTACTGCCACAAACACGCACATACTCACGATTTGCCCATTTGTCAGAGTCCGGCCAGCAAATACTGTTTTTTTGTTGCAATCTTTAGAGAGTAACAATATACTATGCCACCATCTATTGTGCATTCCAGTGGCTTCTGGGTTGGAGAATAGCAGCCCATTGCTTGTGTCGAGACAACCCCGACATGTGCTGTCAGACGAATCCATAGGTAAGACAACACTCGCATTGCCCAGTGCTGTCCGCATGTAGGTCGTATGCGTGCAACCCATCCATCGGCTGCCATTGGCCCTGCAATCCTACCTACCTTATCCAAATTGTCGCTCGCCGTATGCTCAGCCTTCAGCCGTCTCTGCTCGCTGTATGCTCTGCTTTTTTCCTGTGTGTTGTGCCATTAGCCGCCGTCTCCTCCCTTACAATAGGTAAATGTGCAGGGCTGCCTTACCGGTCAAGATCGCCTGCAAAATCCGGCTGAGCTCCACCAGCGCCGGACTTCCGCTCCACTGCGCCGGCAACGTCGCCCTCGCCCGGCGGCCGGACCTGCTCGCCCTCGAGCTCACGCCGATCAAGCTGGCCCTGCGTTCGCCCTTGTGTCTCCTCCCCTGGCCCGCCACCATGCACCCCTCGGCCCAAGCTCGAGGCGGTAGCATCCTGCCCTGCCGAAGCCGCGCTTGTCGGCTTTCGCTCTTCAACTGTAGGTGCGTCTGACTTTTGGCGCGAAGCACGCTGCTCCGAGGGCGTGGATGTGGCTGGATTGTCCGCCGACTTGTAAGCTGCGTCGGTGGTCGGTTGAGATGGTGCCGTGGGGTTAAGGTCGGCCATTGTGGGGTCGTGAGCGAAGACGATCTGAGACTTGTCTGATTTTATGTCAGTTCAAACTGTACAGTAAGTCGGTGTGATTAGGGAGCATTCAGACGAGGTGCACGCAGTTGGGAAAGTAACGTCGAAGCGATTGTTTTGCTGCTATCAAAAGCGTGCAAATAGGCTATGACGCAAGCCATACGTCGATGTGTAGATCTCCTCCAAAGTATCACAACCCTTACCCATCGGATCTACCCGCGCAATTGGTGCCTCGCACGAGGACGCAGTTTAGACCTTGCGCTGCCAATCTTAATCCTCGGTTTTCTTAAAATATGATTCAGGGTTCTATAGTGGTTGGGGACTCATGATGGGCGGTTGCCCCTCGCACTAGGGCTCCCAAACCCATAGGCCATGCCCGATACCTGGTGGTGATAGTTTGGCAGTACTTTTAGATATTGGTATATCTTATTACCGCACTCTATATCATCTAGCTCTAACGTCTATTCTTCTAAGCTGTATCACGCGTCAGTTTTCGGAATATCCGGCACGGGTGTGACTTTCTTCACGACGCGGGCTGGGGAGCCTATCGCCACGGAAAAGTCGGGAATATCTTTGGTGACGACTGATCCTGCACCGACCGTGCATCCCTTTCCTATCGTCACCCCAGGCATGATTGTGACATTGCCTCCAATCCAGCAGTCGTCTCCGATAGTCACAGGTCGGGCGTACTCGATACCGTCTCGCCGTGACTGCACCTCTGTCTCGTGCGTGGCCGAGAAGATCGACACAAAGGGGCCGAACAGAACTCTATCGCCGATCGTCACCAAGCCACAATCGAGAATTACTAGGCTGCACGAAGTCAGTATCTGCTTCAATGGCAAGTGCGAGAGATCGTACTTGAAATTTGAGTAGAACTTGTCCCCAACGACAATGTTGCAGCCGTAATCAATGCTGATCGGGGGCTCGATGTAGGTGTCCGCTCCAACGCCACCGAAGACTCCTTTCAACATCTCAAATCTCCCTTTCTCCAGTGACTCCGGCGTTGCATCATCTGGGAACCATGAGTTATATTTGTGCATGAACCGACGAGCTCTAAACCGGCCCTGAACCAGCTCTGGCGTTAGGCAGTCGTATCTATTACTCGTTAGCACCTTACGTTGGCCACAGGATTCTAGATATTCGGTAGAGCGGAGCATACAGAACGCCGGAGATCATCCTCTCGTAATGGTCACACCATGGTACATTGGCGAGCTTTTTCGCCGCCTCAATGGCGACTGGATCCTTCTCTGTGGCGGCCATACTGTTCAATCTGGGGATTGCTGATGACGATGTTGAACGAGGAACAACTTGAGCCGAAATATTCGCCGTTTTCACGGGTTCCTCATGCGTGCTTAAGTAGTCACAGCCAAGTATCACAGGTGTCCTCGGCGTCCTTGGCCCAGTTGCGGTACTCCGCGGCCGACTGGGTCCATTAACTGGAAGGGGTAATTGAGGATAAACTTCGGCCCATATTAAGCCAATCATCTGCTCAAAACTCCGCTCCGTCTGGTAGTCGCAAGTCATGTCCGCGTCGATTGACGAGACGCAGCAGGCTAATAATCCGTGACCAAATACATAAATGCTAACAGTCAAAGCAGGAAATTCGCGCCTCATACATCAGCAAGTAATGCGGGAAGTTGCAGTGCATCCCAGGAGCGACGTCCGTGACCTGTGGGATGAACCGACCGACCCACTTGCTCCGGTTTTCATGGCTCGTTATACAACAAAACCGGGGAGACCGCTATGTGAAGCTTTTCTTGATTCATATATTTTAGAACTGCCCTACGTGGTGAATGGTCCCCTGTACTCTACCGTGGCCTTTCCTGGACACAGATACGAGCTGACGCAAGTAGTCAATACAGAATGCTGTACAAATGTACGAACAATAACATAATCGATATAACCTGTGGAAGTGACGTGACCTTGCCCGAAAAGAACCCAGCTGAGCGCGCTGGTGGCTCAGGCTTTACTGCCTCGGGAGGCTGAGGTTTAGTAGGAGGTTTGCTAGGCTGAGGTGGTTCATGAGGACCAACAGGTACCCAAATTCCGTTCTAAGATTTGCGGTACCAGTTACTAACCGGATCGCCGAGACACTCCCCAAGTGTTACAAGCTTGTAACCGTGTTCCCGAGCCTCGTCGATCATAAACTGGGTGAAGGTGTGAACCGTCTCGGCGTGGATGTCGTGGGTCAACTCAATGAAGCCTGCCGAAGACGGGCTCGACGATGATAGTGCACTAGAGTAGACCTCTCGAGCAAAGTTGTAGTCTCCAGCCCAGTCCCTAGTATCTATGTTGTAATTGGCCTGGTAGTTAGAGTCAGTCAACTGAGAGTACTTTCGTTGAGGTACGGGTGCAGACTCACAACATGATATCCCAGATCATCCATATCTTGCATACAATCAGCCTCGCATGAGGTGTACGGTGGTCGCATGTACGTTGGGATAACTCCAATGATGCTTTCCAAGGCATCCTCCAGCTGGGTCATCTCCCGTGTCCGCTCTTCAGTTGACAGATGCGCAAGGTCTGCGTGCGACCATGTGTGACTGGCAATTTGATGTCCATCGTCATATGCTTTCTTGATAACACGAGCAAAGCCATTGTCCGTGATGGGACCTTGCCCGTTGTTTCCGTTGATAAAGAATGTGGCTTTGACGTTGTTGGATTCCAGGATTTGGAGAAGTTCTTCTGTGTACGGACCTGGTCCGTCGTCATACGTGAGCGCAACAGTGCCAGGGACGTTGCAGGCAGTGATATCGGCGTTGTACGGAACAGTGCCGATCTTCGGTCTTGCGATGTTGATCCTTGAAACTAACGACGAAAAGCCTTTCAAAGGACCGGAAGCAGCCAGAGGCACCAAGGCCAATGTGTAGAATGCTGTCGAGGAGGAACGCATCTCTGTTGGCTAAGTATCTTAACGATTGTAACTTGACTGGCGTAGAGAACGTCGGGAGGCTATGAAGAGGGTATGAACGATCGGAATGGCGAAGCCGATATAATATGAGAAGCTGCAAAACCTAGACAAGATGTGTAGAGACCGAAATGGGGTTGGGAGTGCATTATTCTTGGTTTGGCCGAGGTTTTAATAGTCGTATTGACGTGTGCAAGCTCCAGGAAACCAGCTCAAAATACGAGTGTCAAGATACTTTGTGGCGCACCTGCTTGCCCGTTCCTGACGATCAGAGAGGCGCGGATCGACCAGAACATGTCGGTGCTCGGTCCTGCCAAATTGTATGACCAAAGGTCCAGTGCCCTCAGGCACTCCTAAAATCCAGCCAGGATTACTACGCCGTTCTTTCTGTAACCAACATCAGGTGGCGTTGCTTGGCTACGACAGTGTGCCACAACGGGAAAAGCCACCATTGTCATCACAGACCACTAACCAGCCCTGCACGCTGTGGCTTCACTGTCTGCGTGGAGAAACATAGACATTTCATAAAGTAAATGGCTATGTGATCATCCCAGTTTCAGGTATGTCGTTATTCGTGGATTCAAATTTCAAATAACAAATAAGGAATACGAAGAGCCAACGTAAATCCATCTGGATGAATCCAACGCCTTTGGGATTAGGGCCCCGCCCAACGCCTTCCTTCAGCGGAATTCGCGCCTGCTTACATGTGCCGATGGATTATGTACAACTGGTGTCTAGCTAGAAGGCTTGCGGTGGCATGTTCCTTCGTTTTCCCTATGGGCAGCAGTTGTCACGACTACGCCCTTCTGAATAGCGAGGAGACTTCCTAACGAAACTGACAAAAACTGACAGCTTGAATGAAGCACTAAAGTCGCAAAACACCAGGCCGCAAAAGATGCAAGTCTGTCAAATTGTGGATATGTATGTCTATGGGCCTATGGCTGAGAGAACTGTAAACTGTAAACTGCAGACTGTATTGATGCCCAAACACTTGTGTCAATGTCGTTGGACTGAGTAGGTGGGGCGACGGACTCGGGATAGCCAAACGAGCAAGACCAGGAACTTTGAGGCCCAATCGTGACGAACACTAATCTTTTCCTCCCAGATCTGCTGGTCTCAAGACCCATAATCGTTTCGCGTCCCATGCGCCGTAGTCGATGCCCAAGATTGTGCAGTAGCAATAAGTCTCGCAGTGTCAATGTGATAGGTCGAAGACGAAGCAAGGGGCACCACTGCAGGGAGTTTAAATCAACTTCAATCCTCAATTGTTCTCTGGAAGTTCTCTTCCTCCTTCATATATATCGCCAATTATATCTCAGCCGCGTGACTACGTCCTCTATGTTACAGTCCTGCTAAATCCTCCAGTCTCATAACAGTTGTCAATTAATGCTGGCTTTCACGCTCCAAGTCCATGCATTGCCTGCCTGACACCGTGTCATCAGGGATAGTACAGTCATCATGTGCGCAGATTATCACCGATGTGATATATAGGGACTAGGGAGACCTTTTGTCGCGACCCTCGGACGCGAGTCGACCATAAGGCTCCGCCCCCAACTTGCGAACTCGCACATGCGAACAGGCGATCCATGATATCGGACTGCACCGGCTTCGTAAGCTCTGCGCGAACCCAATCAATAGCCTCCGATAGATCGCTCTACCCTTGATTGGAGCGCCATGGCGACCTTTTGCAGGTGTCGGCGTTCGCAAATGCGAGCTGGAACCGCCGTCCGCTGGATACGTGTTCGTGCATATTTAACCCCTCATGTTCGCAGCCTGATCTGTCTAGCTCAACTTCCCCAGAAATTCTTCCCTGGACTCCATTAGCCGTAGGCAAGCGACTAGCCAACTGAGTTGAACAAAATATCAGCAAGTTGAATGCACCCGTTCGTATACTCACGATGCCACTTGAGAACTCTACCGGCATCTAAGAGTCACCCCCTGATACGTGCTGTAAAACGATGCTTAGTACACTTCCGAGATCTTCACACCTTGGCCCCCTGAGTATTCAACCATCACTCCTGAGACTGCCTTCACAGCGCTACCCAGATTCTCTAAACTCCAGACCCGGCATCCGGCACAAACCTCGAGCTCGATCCTTGTCGCTCTGGAGGAAGGTAAAGAATTGGACTGCAAAAGCTACGAGCAACGCAACAAGTCATAGAATCAACCCAAAGTACGCTCTGGTAGTAACCAATACGGTAAGTATAGCGCATCAACCTCATACATCGCGGTCTAACACGGAACACAGTCAACACATCCGCTGACGGCCAACATTTACTCTTCCAACTTTGCATTGAAGGCCGAGGATGAAAATCTGACTAGAGAATCCAATACTCCACCGGTCTCAAGATCTGTATCATTGGCGAAAGAACTCACCCCGCAACCCAACGATTCGCTGGCAATGACCTCCAAGGCTGCCAGTACTTCACGCGGAGGCAATCACCATTCCACCAGTCAGAGCTTCATCGACGCTTATCTGTCCAGAAGGAAGCGTGACGAGATCAACAAGTTAATGGAAATGCTAGAAGAATGGATTGATTCTCCAGCTTTTGTTTGTCATGCTCCCGGGGTAGGCGGCTCGACGAAATCCACAAATACCAGTCGCGCAAGCTCTTCATCAAACAGTTCGTCACGCAATGTCGCTGGCCAGAAACGCTCCCATCGTCGCGACAGTTTTGATAGTTCAGATCCTGGACGGGATGGGAACGGAGACGACAAGCGAGACAACAAACGGTCCAGAGTAAGCTCCTCACCGGCGCTGAAGCTTGCTTGCCCCTTTTTTAAGAGAGACCCCACCAAATACTCCAATCGGCAAGCATGCACTGGACCAGGTTGGACCTCGCTGGCGAGATTGAAGTAAGTCACTGTATCAAGATACGAAGCTTCCAGTCCGTAGAACTGACGGTCTTTAGGGAGCATATATATCGCGCGCACAAGCAACCTGACAATAAGTGCAACCGTTGCTGTGAAGCGTTTCAAACCGGTGAGCTACTGGAGGAACACCAAAGAGCAGATGAGCCTTGTAGAAAATCAACAGACAACTTTGTGGATGGCATCAGTGAATCACAGTATCACCAACTACGCAAGAAGCCAGTGGGCACCAAAACAAACGCTGAGAGGTGGGAGGACGTCTATCGGATCATCTTCCCTAAAGCTTCGACGATACCATCGCCGTGTAAGATGAAACCTACCTAGCTACCAATGCCTGTTCATAAAGCTAATAAAAATGAAAAGACTACGAGTATGACGATGGGAAGCGAACTCCTGAGTATCGAGATGAAGACATAGAGTTCACGGAGTTCATGAAGAACCAGCTGATTGAGGGTGTGCGCAATGATTTGGAAGATCATTTCGACCAGTTCACCGCTGAAACGCGAAAGAGCTTCGTCAACATCATCAGGACGCGCTTTTCACAACTCGTTCAGCAATTCAAGGAGCAGCATAAACCGCCACAAACTGACAGTTCCAAGGAGGCTGCTCCTGTCAAAGATCTCCTATACAACCTTCCTGAAATACCCGTGTTTGAAGATTTGGGCAATGAGTGGATGCAGGGACTTGAACTTGACATTTATCAGGCCGACCCCAATAAGTGTGATTTCACTTACTCATCGGACGTGTCGGACTCGGCATACTTCTCGATGGACAGCCCAAGGAGCTCAACCAAATGCTGAGTTGGAAGTTGCGCTTGAGGTATGCGAATCAGGATGGAACTGTTTCTGTATATTTTATGTTACATATGTGCGGGTGCAGGGAACTCCACATATTAAAAGTGTATTCCTAGTGTCTGCCTTATCAGGGTTGTATCGGGTTATGTTTTTTGTTGATGCTAGTCATGATGTCTCCCCGCGGTAAGCGGTCGATTATCCCTCAGTTCCGTCAATCTCCTCTCATCTATTCGATATTTGTTTATATGTTACTTGATCAGATTGGGTTCACCCTTCAGGATTTCATTCGTTATATTATTCGTCATTTTTAACTTTTGTTCGCCATGTTATTCGCTAAATTATTCCATGAAACATCTCCATTCACAGCCGCACCCTGATAGCTTCCCTTGCTTCTAACCCGGCCTTTTCGTTGCGGATTTGGGCTATTGATTGGTTAGAATGTCTCCCCAAAGAATGTTGCAGGAAAGGGAAAAGCGGCGTTTTGACAGCATGCATTCCAAGTTTTGCACCGGCCTCCACAAACAGTCTGGTGACTTTTGCTATCTTGTGCCTCTCAAAAAGGGCTGCATCATCGTTGTCGAGGACTTTCCCAAGTTGGATGTGCCACGTTCCTGGAGGGCCAATATATCGAAGCCACCTGTCCCAAGACGTTGTCATTACGCAGTCATTGGCGTATATAAACTGCTCGTTTGGATTAAAGCCACTAGCTAACAGGTACTGGGCCATTGATGCAGCTCTCTCTTCGGAGAAAGGTAATGGACGTTCACGTACATGTCTCTCAGTAGTCGGACTAGTGGCTGAGACGTTGTATGGTATAGCAAAAACATTACGGTGACCTGCGCTGCAGCCTGCTTTTCAAAATCCCTATTGAGCTGATGGATGCGTTGGCATCCGGCCGCGCAATCCGTTGTCCCTTTGTCACGATCCGGGCAGACTGTCAGAATGATCGGGCCATCATTAGGGGCCAGTACTAGGTGTCGTTCGAAGTGACTGGAGCTCTCTAACACAAACCGAACTAAATTAATCATACCCATTTCTGCGGCCAACGCGAGGCCCAAAGATAAGTCGTCGCATATCCTTTCACAGCCAGCGGGGCTTGTGCGATAATATCTCCTGGGCTCGGTCCCAAAATGGTCCGTCAAACCCTGAACCGGCCCTCAAGACTATGAGTCAAACCTTCGAATTTGTCCTTGACGCGATCATATTCAGCAGGTCGATGCAGTCCTTGAGGGTGCCTAGTTATCAGTGCAAATGCACCAACAGCCCCGCAATCTCCATTTGTCTGGTATTAACTGAGCTTGGTGGAAATTGGTCTCCCGCCCGAGAGGTGCAATGAATCGAAGATTCCGTACTGCTAAATAAAGGAGTTAATGCGAAGCTAGATCAGCGACCCTGATGTGAACAGTTCGGCGATAAATTCTTGTCAGGTCCTTTGCAATGCGGAAACCAGGCCAAGCACCATTACGCTGCGGCTGAACCCGTGGCATTATCTCCACTTCAGTGTGGCGCTATATTGCGGTAAAGCTATACCTAACCAGATACCTCCTAATTATAGACAGCTTTCACTACTCGGGACGGAGAGTATGCTCAAACGAATGTTTCCATAGCCTAGGACAGGGGATTCTAAGAAAACTATAGTACAAAACCCTATAAGCTTACACTATCCCAACGTATGTGATCTTGGTCGGCTACCTCTCTCACAACCTCTCGTATCTCGGAGGCAATTCTGTTTCATCAACACAGCTGCCTGGCTTCTCACCCCTTCTTGAACTTTTCCGCATATCCTTCAGCATCCTCCAGATCCCTGGCATGTCCGCCCCAGGCCCATCAATGACAGATCCCGGATGGTGGGCGCCAAACACACCGATGGCAATCACCATTGGTGCCGCCTCCAGGGCATAGAAGTACGCTTCCTGTGCGGTCAAGTCGTTGTCCACACTGCCCGAGGAGAATTCGACAAAGCGGTAGATGATTCGAACAGTTATCATGCCCAAGGATACGTAAAGCGCCACAAGGAGCAACTTTATTCCCTTCCTTTGCTTATGGTCAAGCTTCTCACTAACCTTGGCCACCTCCAACTGAAACTTGATTGTAAGGGCGACGAAGATGACGATGAAGATCTGCTGCATCCCGATGCCACCCATATAGATATGTATAGCTTTCAGTTTCTCTTCTTGAGGCGTAGTTGGGCTGGCCGTGACTCCTCCCACGAGCTGGACAATGAACGAGATGATATCAAGGAAGACGAAGCCGGCCGCGAATATGGGGGCAGGAATGTGCAGCAGAGAGCGCGAAGGTAAGAATAAGTTGATCATACGTCCAAGGACAACGTACGCGAAGGCGTTAACCCCTGAAACCGGTTAGCGATGCGTTCGAAAGTGTTCAAAGATAAAAGGATAGTTCCTACAAAGTGGTGCCAGCAGAATAAACACCTGGAAAGGAAGATAGACTCCGGTGCTTTGTTGGTGCTTGGTACTGGCAGTCCGGAATATGAAGGCCAGTGTCTCCCATATACAAGCCATGATGATAACCCAGCACCATCTCTAGAGCGTCTTTTAGTACATCCACATATCTACGTGACTTGACATTGCCCGCTGGGACTTACGGACCTTTTTGTAATGTACCGCCTGCCAAACATGCGTTATGGTCAAAACTCCAAACAAGATCGCAAAGATCACCGCCGCAATGAATGAAGGGTAGTATGCCCAGAGTGCGCCGCACTCGCCCGGTGGCACATACCCGTTGGCGTCCGGGGTGATGGTCTGTATGCAGGTTGGGATGACAATATCGACGGTCTGGGCAGGAACAGTGGCATGAGCGTTAGTGATCCCACCAACGGTGATTTGCTTTGTGGTCATGAAAGTTCCTGTCGGAATCAAGGATGATGTAGCAGTCGAAAATGTTGTAGCCTGTCGGACTGCGTGCATCGTTTGGGTTGGCGTTATGTCTCCTGCCATTGTGCTTGCAGCTCCACTAAGGAGTAGGAAAACCCTGAATAGCATTGTGCCTGTGGAAGAGAAAATGCGAATATGGGGAAAAGGTAGGATAAGATGGTTCACAATATGGATACCCTAGGAGATGAGAATAAAAGCGGCTGTCAGCATTCTTTCTTTATATGACAATCTTGGGGCCGAAGGCGCAGTGGCTTTTCCCCCAACCTGCACCTGCGTCGAAACCGCCCCAGAGAAGGATCCGATCTGGCCAATCACCGTGTCGGCTTCCACATGGGTGTGACACCGCCAAGATCAAACCATAGTAATACATCAATTTTCACATGGCCGTCTACGTAGATTGGACTAGGCGGTTCAAAGGCTCTCAATTCTCTACTGGGAGTTATATGCTATCGTAACCCAGTGCGATTGGAAGCTACGCTTAATCTTCTTCACATTTCTCAAACTACCAGCCACTCGTCTCTGACTAGATGGCCATCGCCCATGGGATTCTGCACCAAGAAACATGTTTTCCTGTGCTCTGCATATTGACCACCTGCGAGTGGTCGCAAGGCGGTCTCATTATACATGAACGAGTCCCTTATCCGTTTGTCCTCGGGAGGGAAGATGCCATGGTCAACAACTTGATCCAGATCTATGTCTTCAGCCAACTCATGTTCGATCTCGATAGTACGCCTTCCTAGTGACGCGAGGGCCACCTTATCCCAAAGACTCTCTCTTGGTAGCGCAAGTGTCTGCATCAGATGCCACGCTGCAGTTCGAACTCTCAGACACCTGCACTTTATTACAACAAAGGCAAGTAATGGGCTGAATCCCCATTCCCAACTGAACTTTTGCTGTAAGCGTTCACTGGGCAATGCTGCAAAGACGGCAGCTGCCTCGAGTGACAGATCTAGGATGGTGCGAAACCTCTCCATATGTCCGTCGTATACAGTTTCTTCTCTTGCTAGACAAGTGCCGATCCAGATCTTACATATCAGCCACCGAATTTCTACCAACTGCCCAGTATAATCGGGTGGAGATACTTGTCGTTTCTCCGTCTTCAATAAGTGGTAGGCTGCAAACCAATGATCCAGAACAGATTCGATCTCTTGGCGAGCTTGCAATGTACTGATGTCTGGCTCTGAGGATGGCTGAACTCCCAGGCGATGTGCATCGGCAGAGCGCACGAAGCGGATGGCTCGTGTCAGGAGTACATCTAGAGCCGAGCTCGCGTCGTTAACGGTCTGGAAAGGCCCTAGCACTTCTGGCGATGGGATATTCAGGTAAGGGAACGTATTGGGCGTGGCCCCGAAGAAGAAGGGGAATATGCACAACCGTGAGAATGCAGCAGAGATGCGTTCGTTTATCGAGTGCGATCCGGTCAATGGCTCGTTGAGTATGTTAATGCCATGGCGGCAGTGTTCAATGGCACCCTCACTCTCGCCTCGGAGGAACTCGATGCACACAAATAGCAGACAAAGGACAAGGGACACGTCTCTGTCATTGACTCTTCTCGACTGCCGAATAGCCTCGGTATAGTGCCCCGTTGCAAGAAGGTCCTGCTTCTTGTGCTCTAGGCTTCCGTATGGGCCACTGCTGAATGTACGATAGAGACTACCGATGGCCAATACAGCATGCTTCACTGCACCGTTTTGGTAGCACAATTGAACTACCATATCAGTCCAAAAGTATGAGTCGTTCGAACGGCTAAGCACCGGCGCAATTTCTAGCAAGAAGAAGTCAATGGCTCGCTTCTCGGAGCTGTCCACGCTTGGTGCGGGTCTGTTCTTGCCGAGAAGTTGCGTCCAAGAGTATGTACCTGCGACGGCTGGAATATAGCCATCGCACTTCCGACCGGTGTTCACACAACGGTGGCATGAGGGCCTAGCTTCGTCACACTTGACCTTGCGTATCTTGCAAGTAATGCAACCGGTCTTCACCTTCTGCATACCCTGTCGTGGCATTGCCGTTGCTGTGATGGATACAAGGGTATGCCGTAGCAGGTTCACCTTCAGAGAGTCCGAAGTGGCCTTTCACAGTCGAGGACACTCGATCTTATTGCAGACTCCAGACATATAGGATGAGGGCTCAATGTGCCAACGCGCGGCATAGCTGAAACATGTCAGATGCAGCGGGCATAGCCTCATCCCAACTTGCAACACTTAGCCTCAAGTGGTAGCCCCCCCACTAAATACCATAGTAAGCGACGCCTTTTGGAATGACTGGTGGGGCATTTGCGACCGAGCCAATGGCAAGTGTACTTCTCAATCGTGACATGCGACATATGAGAATTACTGTTTTACGATAGAGCTCGATTGGAACTTTGTTGTTCTAAGGGGATACTTTCTACAGCGGCTGTCGTGTTACTGCGATTGAGGACAGTTCATATGGATTTGCTACCTAGCTGCGTGCCTAGGGACAGTCAAGCCCTGCAATAAGGTGTAGGACCAAAACCGCCCGTCGATTTTGTCGACATACTCCGCACTTAGATTCAGAATGATAGGAAGCTACCGTTTTCTACAAGATTTCTGTCAAGTGACCTACGAGGTATCCCAAGACGCCTCTCTTCACTATGAGCTCTATTTACATATGTCAAGGAGTGAATAAGACATGCGCTGGCTTCTCGCTAACGGGTGGTTTGACTGAATCAAATATCACGTATATCCATGGGTATCTTACGAATGTGCTCCCTCATCCCTATGCCTCACTAGATCTACAAGCCAGAGCCAGCCGAAAATCACTGGCAGCAATGCCAGCAGCACCCACCAGGCCTCAAGCGTAACTTGCGTCCGCAGCCACTTTGCCCAACGACTTCTGAGCTGTGGACGATGAGAACATGTATTCGTCCCGAACACCAGACATCCCAGCCCGGGCCGCGACTCGCATTCCATATGCTCTCGACGTCGCTGCATGAGTAGCCTACAAAGAGGATTAGTCGCGAAAACCTTGAGTGTTGAGAGTGGTACATCCATACCTGACGCTTCCCCGGCAGAATTTCAGGTCACTACCTAGGTCACATCGCCGATCATTGGGACACTCGAGATGCAGGCTTCGTCGCTCCATAAGCCAATCCACCTTGAGTATGATGCCGGTGTCGACCATGGTGTAAAAGTAGCGGCACGTGTGCTTGAGCGAGAGAGCATCGGGATACGTGAGCTCTTTACTGATCAGGAGATGGATCTCGGCCGGCAGAACGTCTAGCCCAGGAGGCGGGTCCGTCGCGCCGGAGAGCCCTTCGGCGTTGGTGGGGCACCTGATGGGCTTCTGGACAGCCATCTAAGGCAAAGGTGCGAGCCGACAGACGTAGATGTGCGTGGCTACAATATCGGATGAGTGATGGGATCAGGCGAATTGGTCGACGATTGGCGGCAATGCCTCGAGCCGGATCGCCTGCATGAATGCGCCCGATGCTGTTCATTTAGTATTTCGATGCTGCCTTGCGCCTCATCCTCCAACTCCGGTGGGGACCCGGATTGTGGGTTTCAGCTGGCTGTGCATTGCAGGTGGGCAGGCATCCAAATAACTAACTGGCTAGCAGTGTCCCAAACACGACTGGCAACTCGACTACGGAAGCCCGACATGTCTATAGGTGGAAGCCTCATTCGGAACATTCACTTCCTTCGATTACTTGCTGTGGACCAAGAGAAACAGGGAGTTCGCATCATAGTTCGTCAGCTGGGAAAATAGAGCCTGGACATGAACACCGTGGTACAGGACAGGGCCTGTGGGTGCGGTTCGGGTTGGCAGTTGGGGTACTGGCGGTGCTGCTGTGTACTACATACCGTACAGTGCCTCATCTAATCTGACCACATCCGCGCCAAGGCTACGGCATAAATCCAACGTGACCCTACTATGGTATCTGTATCCTACTTACACAAAGGTCTGACGACCCGCCGCGCTGGGCGCGCGGGAGTGGTCGAATTGGTGCTGCGGAAGTATTTCAACAAGGCAGCAGCAGATCAATGTAAGTTATTGAGAACAGCGGCGTGGACAACCTGGAAGCTGCCTATGGTTTAGGCCGGCCACGTGATAGCGCGACCAAGTTCCAAGGTCAGGGCTCCCGCTGACTCGACGACGCGCTCAGGCGGGCTGGACTTGGTGCAGCTTTAGGCACATACCACAGTGCGATGCGACTATATGGACATCGTCATTGAGGAAACACTTCTACCCTGACCCGCCAACTTTCGCATCGTAGAGGTTCTTGATTTTCCTTTCTTTATTTCCCCGACGGAATGATTTACTCGACTACCCTTGATGGCGGCCCCGATTCTCGCCACTGACCGCCCTAAGGCCCCGGAGAGCGACTACGGGTCCGATTTCTCAGTCGAGGAAGAGCGCCTGGTTCTTGACCTACTGGAAAGGCTCCAGGGCGTCCCAGCAGCCTCGGCCTCATCGCCAGACAGCCAGCTCGACTCGGCGTCCCAGGCTGACTTGGACGCAGCCATTGCAGCCAACCTCTTTGTCTTGCCTCCCGTGACTGGACGTGACCCTGAACATGTATGTGAGATCAGCAATCGCGTCGGCTTCGGCGCGCACCTCCCAGTGCTTAGCCAGGCCAAAGCCCTTGCTGGCCCACCGCTCAATTCGACAAGCAGAGTACCTGAGAATGTCACTCCCGTTACATCATCATTGCCGCTGGATGGCATCCGGTACCCGGATTGTAAGTACCTGACTTGGACACCCATCCGGGGCTCGATCATGTCTGATTGACCAAAGCGTCTAGTAAGCCGTGCATTATCGGACTCGCAGCCCGAGTCCGCAGCCAAGAAGACCCAGGCTTTGCTCCAGAGTGCACAGCCAAAGGGGGACACCAGATCGCCCATTGAGCGTTTCCGTTCTTTCCCCAAGAAGCCGCTCACCGTCACCGACATTTCGTCTGGAGCTTGGTGTGAGCTTCAGTACTGGTATACCCTGTCGCTTCTCCCTGGCGGACGGAAGACGAGGACGGCCGCTATGCGTGGAGGGACCAGGGTGCACCAGAAACTGGAAGATGAAGTCCACACTACCATACAAGTCAACGTCACGTCGAAAGAAGAGGCGTTCGCCTTGCGCCTGTGGAACTTCATCCAGGGCCTGCGGACCTTGCGAGATACCGGTCTCACGCGCGAGCTGGAGGTCTGGGGCGTCGTTGAAGAGCAAGTCATCAACGGTGTAATTGACGAGTTGAGCTTCACGAGCCCAAACGCTGGGTTTGAGGAAGAACTCAGCCACAGCCCGTCATCTAACGGTGATGCGGCCCACTCTGCTGAGAAGCAGTCCCCCATCACAAATTACTTCAACCCCCACCACCGAAGAGTGTACTTGACCGATATCAAGACACGCGGCAGTACCAGGTTACCTTCTGGGGCGGCCTTGAGACCGTCCAGGGTACAGCTCTTCTTGTACCATCGGATGCTAGGCGAGATGGCCGCTGGCCGATTAGACTTCGCGACAATCGTTGCCCGGTATGGACTCCAACCGGAAGCCCGGTTCTCGGACGTTTTCATGGCTCAGATTGGTAGTCTTTACGATGAGGTTTTCAACGATGCGTGCCCCGACGAGGCAGCTGTGTCCACAATTCCGATGGATATTGACGCGGGTGTTACCGACTCGAATACTGCCCCAAGCTCAGGCGCAAAACGGTCGCTCCCTCTTGACCTGATCAGATATCGGTCAATTCAACACATTATACCACTTGTGCAAGCGGAGCTTCATGAAACCTTTCCGCTGGGTAACGAAAGCATTGGCGATCTAGTGGCCGTGGTATATCGCCACAGAGATGATGGCCGGATTATTGGCAATCACACATTCCCCACAGACCCCGAAGCGCTGAGCAATTATCTGAAGCTCGATCTTGCCTGGTGGCTTGGAAAGAGAAATCCGGATGGTGTATCGATTGAGGAGGCCTACAAATGTCGCATCTGCGAGTTCGCCGAAAGGTGTGACTGGCGGCAAGAGAGAGACGACGAGATTGTCCGGAGATCCAAGAAGCAGATGAGCAACATGACCACATCGTGAGCCTCGTACTGGTCTGCTATTCGATAACGGGCTCCTGGAGGTCGCTTGCCGTTGCGCACGCTTTCATGGAACCGATCATTGGCCACCCTTGGCAGGAGGCATGTATCGAACAAGGGACGAATTCTAGAAGCATTAGTCAGGTACAGGGTCATCAGTCACAACCCCAGTTCTACATATGGGCGGTGAAGCTATTGTGGGAAGCCGGTGTGGGTATTTGGCCACCCATGGGCTCGGGGTTGCAATTCCAGGGTCCCATTTCACGTAGTCAACCCATCAACTCGGCTTTCAGGGGAATTTGCCATCATATATGCTCTGTCAATACCCTCTCGCTACCCGCCATACGCCCAACAAGAGTGAGACCTGCTTGCCAAGGTCTGACACCTCAGTGTTCCAGTGTCCAAGATACCGTTTATGCGTGAAGAGATCAAAGTCTAGCAGATAAGCATGTTTTCGAGTTACGAGTCAGTGCAACAAGCAAACGAGCAGGCAGGGTGTCAGATTCAGGACCGCGCGGCGGTGACAGGGCCAGTAGGCTGGGTCAGGCCCACGTTTCACCCAAGTTAGCGGACCGTGCCTCCCTGGCTCGCTGGCTTTTTAGCCCCTTGTCAGTCTGGAGACAAGCGACTGCATCCCCGTTCCCTGCCCATGCATCAGAGCATCGCGTTGCCGTTCGGGCGCCGGCACCAAACGGCGGGGCATTTCAGCACATTGTTCTTTTCGTGGACGTTCCTTTCCAGTGGCATGGTCGTGGCCGTCGTCATCTCAGACCTGCGACGGCGGTTTCGCAGTCTCTCATACAGCTTGGCCTTGTGCTCAGCATTCACCACTAGTTCCCTAGCCGATGCAGCGAGCCCAGCGCAGGCGACTGGAAGGCCGATCTCATTGACTAAGCCCCGTTTTTACATAAGGGTCCCATGTCTACAGCGTGAGCGTAAGACACTGAATGGACGCGGTGATCGTTGCTCGCCCTACAAGCGTCCGATTTTCGACATGTTTAATATGCCTGCATTGCACTGCAGATGAAGGCTCATCGAGCACGCACCGACAAGGCGAGGCCGACGAGCACCACGAATCTCCTGGGTGGCGACGTGCATGCGCAAATTTGTCGAGTGCGACGGAAGAAAGTGGTGCCTGCAGCAGCGTTCCCAAGCAACCGGGTACAGCCAAGCATACTCACCACCGGGATGTCCTCATGCGACCTCTTTAGCTCCGTTGTGATTTGGCAGGACCCTCACCGGGGAAAGGCAAGGACCCTTCCAGCCTCACCCCTGTCCACACATGCTCTCGATACTGGGAACCTTTGGGGGGAGACTAATGATCAACAGCAAGGGCAGCAGTTCCCGATGCGGTTATGGGTTGGTCCACTGCGATCCCCCGTCTCCACCTTGGTGCCCATGGACCTCATTCTGTATCGTCAACTTGATGGGGCGAGTCAGTCTATTTCGTTCGGTGCGGGCACTAGAGCTATATCGGTCGTATCGTCACCGCTTAGCGGGCATCCCTTGAAGCCTCGAAGCCCTCAGTTCTCGATTCTCCAACGGGCAGCGAAACTATCCGGCGCTTTTATCTAGCCTGCTTCCTCGCTTCTCTCCCATGTTGGATGTTGGTTCCAAGCAAAACACGTCGCCACGCCGGAGTTCTTCTTCTCATGGGATGATCTTGCTCTGATAGGAATTTTATTTGTCGCCAAAATCTGGATTTTCTACAACTGATCCCTCCCTTTGCCTTTATTGCTCGGTCTGACATGGAAGCCTATCTGTAACCATAGTGTTACCTCTCTTGTTACCGGCCCAGTCTGCGCAAGCGGTTCAGATGTCGCACTCCTCTAGGGCCGCCGACCCAATGCGGTCCAAAGGTAGCAACGTAGAGTTTCGAAGGATGAGCACGCCTCTCATATCTACCAACTACAACTACATGGACACAGCCTTATCTCCGCCAAGGGTCTTCTCGCCACCGCCGACCCCTCGAAGTCCCCCTCCCCGACCAGACAGGTTATCACTCCGCCTGAGAAGCAACTCTGGGATGAAGTTACACACCAATGAAGCAGCGCTCAGCCAGTACATCGACTACCAGAGCAATGGCCAGTACTCTGTGTACAAGGCCAACGGATACGCAGGTTCGACCGTGGAGCTTGGACAACCTAACATCGGTAGTGTGCTCTCACCCCGGGATGCGCCGGCAAGCTCCCGGCAAACTGTGGCTTGGACAACATCTGGCATGACTTCTTCCTTGCCATTTCTGGATTTTCTTGGGAAGGACGCATTCCAAATGGCGATAGAGAACCCCTCTGTTATCCGTCATTTCATCAGATACTGCGAACACCAAGGGTGCGAGGAAAATGTGGATTTCCTAATGAAGGTTTGTGACACGCCTTGAGCTTCTTATCAACATTTGCACTAATCCAAGTTCTGTGTAGATCAGAGAGTATAACTCCGCGTTGAATGACATGACCTCTGTCTTAACGAGTATATCAACAACGTATACCGCAATCGGCGCGTCCATACCGTTGAACCTCCCCCCGATGGTCTCGAGACCTCTAAATGCAGACATCAAGCGCATTGCGCACTCTATAATACCTAGTCTCGAATCGGTATTTTTTGAGTCCAAATCACATATTGAGAATGAGCTCGCTCAGGATGTCTTTCCCGGATTCGTTAAAAGCCAGTTGGTGAACTGCACCTCGGCGGCTCTCGCCAGTGAAGCGCTTGGCAACTCTTCTCAATGGCAGTACCCAGGACTTGGAACATGTTTTAGCATGACAGACGCTTCGGACTCCAAGAACCCGATTGTTATGGCTTCGGATGACTTCGAGTCCCTGACTGGATATCCCTTGGCAGAGATCATTGGCCAAAACAGCGGATTTCTCCAAGGACCGTTCACTGATCCGGAAGCTATTCGGCGAATACAGGTGGCTATGAGGAACCGACGGGAGTGTGTAGAACTTATTCTGAATCACCACAAGAACGGAGAGCCATTCTGGAACCTTCTGTGTCTTCTACCACTCAAGGACGCGCAGGGCATGGTTCAATATTGGCTTGGGGCGCAAGTAAACGTATCCGACTGTATGGGAAGTCGGAAAGACCTTTTGAGAGTCCTAAACGGCGGCCAACCCTTGGAGACCGACTCAATCGACGGCTCAACCGTCTTGAGTGATCCATCCTCTGGACGAGATACACCAAATAATGGGCGATCTCGTAAGGGCAGCATGGCGCATAGCCGACGAGAATCCAAAGCCTTCGGCACGTCACGGAATCGGTTGTTCCCTACATTTCGCAAGTCACCGCCGCCATGTCCCCCTTCGCCGCCACCGGGGTCTGATGTCGGCGATGCTGTATCGGTCACCGGCTCAAAGAAATCAAAAACCTCTCAGTATTCCTCACAGAGGTTTCAGCCACGACCGAAAGCGCAGATATCCATCACCGCCTACTCACACTACATGGTCCTCCGCTGCGTCAACGGAGGTGGAGCAACGAATCAGAGATTGCCAACGCCAAGTGTTCGGAAGAAGCACAGCACGAAGCTGATGGTGGCCTTCTATTCCGATGCTGTCTCCGAGCTCCTTTCGGTCCGGTCCGACATATCCCAAGCGGATGTGTTCCATGTCCTAGGTGAGAAGGCGAACTCGCCATCGGTAACCAAAGCCTTCAAATCCTCGGTCCGCGAGGGCATAGACGACGGCGAGTCCGTCAGTCTCGAACTGCTACTAGAGAGGGGTCGGAAGCGGAGAGCGAGCGCCGTAAGCAACAGCACACGGCCGACGTCTTACGAACTGGACGTGACCCAGAACGACGAACGTTCCGATCGCAAATCGGCAAAGCTGTCAAAGCATGAAAAGCTCTGGAGTCACTGGACTCCGATGAAAGATGGTAATGGTAATGTGGATTGGGTTGTTTTGATTATTAGTCCGGGAGCATAGATATCGACTGCATTTACTGGGCGTTAAGCGGATACTGGGGAACATGCATGGCACACGGGATGGGACTACGACGTAATGGGTTGTCTCGAAACACGGCGGAGCGATTGATTCAATGATACCATAATGCTTTTTATACACCCTGTGTAAAGTTATGCTTTAGCGATATACTCTACCTGCAAAGTCACCTCACCAAATACTCCTCTCATTCTTTCAAAAACCAAGCACTTGGCAGCATGACTTAAGTTGGTACTCAGCGGGCATGAGGCCGCGACCATGGCTGTTCTAGCTGTACCGCGCCAACTCTCCGAAGAAGCCTGATACGACTGGCACATTGGCGAGGACTAGAAAAACGAAGAATCTCAGGTATGATGTTGTGCCTATGGGTGCCTCGTACATTCTGATTTGTTGCGAGTATATTGATCTCCAGCGTGCGCGGTGTCGTTGAAGCTCAATTCCCAAGCAGAAAGGTGTCGAAGCACTAAAAGACCCACCATGTCATCAATCTACTTCTAGTATTCTAATGGCTTAGTTGAACCTCCTCCAGAGTGTACGGAGCAGCGATTTGACTACTTCGAACTTGACAGTTCATCAGATGAGTGCTACTTATACCGATGGCTGAGACGAGGGACCACGTTGGTAAATTCATCCCTTGATGGCCGACAGGTAGATGTCCCAGAGGGCTGCGGGCCGTGGCTAGAGAAAGCTCTTTCCTTCTACAAAAGCGGCGCTCGAAACTGCAGATCATGCAGCATGTTGCCGACGGGTGCGGAATTCAATAAGCGAGAACGTTTTGCTTTATCAATTGCCATCGCGCGCAAGTGCAGAGCATGTTGGCGTTTGGCGTCTCAGTACTTGACCCTGGTCGGTACTAAGCTCGCGTACCAAGATGAAAGCACCCCGCGCAACGTCGGCGCGCGTGCCTCGGCATGCTTACAGGCTGTGAATTGATGATCCATGGCCCTTTTCCTCCTCCCGCCGCCGTCTACATGATATCCAGTGTTAACCTCAGTGACGAATGAATAGAACCCGCCCGAAACGCACCGCCAACCAACAACCCGGCTGTTTTCTTTGTTTCAATATCATAATTCACCCTTACCTTATTTGCCTTCACCTTAATATCGAAAGATGGCCCCAGATTTCAAAACACCACCACCTCCGACCTCAGTCGTGACAATTGAGTTTCCCGAAAAGCATGTACTTCTCGTTACCATAAATCGCGAGCGTGCGATGAATGCCATTCCCATGGCCGGCCACTGGGAGGGTGAGGCGTTGTGGAGGTGGTTCGACAACGAGCCAAGCTTGCGAGTTGCGGTCGTGACTGGCAAGGGCCAGAAGTCCTTCTCAGCTGGTGCAGACCTCATCGAGCAGAATGACCGCAAGAAGTCGGCCAACGCCAAAGTCCCGCAACACATGCCTCCCGGGGGCTTCCTGGGACTTAGTCGACGCCGCGGGCTGAAGCCAGTCATCGCGGCCGTGAATGGATTCGCCCTTGGAGGAGGCTTTGAAATCGCGCTCAACTGGTGGGTTCATCTTCCCGTCTCTGATGGGTTTACGATGGCTCTCGACTAACAGTGTGGCAGTGATCTGGTCCTGGCTTCGCCAACCGCGAAATTTGGCCTGACCGAGGTGAAACGGGGTTTATATGCGGCTGCGGGAGGCTTACCCCGAGTTGTCAAGACATTTGGGATGCAACTGGCTGCAGAGATCGCCTTGACGGGACGTATGCTTACCGCGCAAGAGCTCCAGCAGTACGGGTTCCTACGGGTATCGGAATCCCAAGAATCGGTCGTGGGAGATGGTCTGAAACTCGCCAAGGAGATCGCCTCGCAATCGCCCGACGCCGTCATCGTCAGCCGAGCTGGGCTTCGCGACGCTTGGGAGAATGCGAGTGTCGAGAGATCTGCCCAGCTGACCGAGGAACGGTGGTCTCAGAAGTTGTTTGAAGGAGAGAACTTTCGCATCGGGGTGGAGGCATTTACAAACAAGAAGCAACCCGCCTGGGTGCCGTCCAAGTTGTAGTTAAATGAAAGGTATATGAATGTATGCTAAAAAAAAATTGGAATACATATCCGCGATATACCAAGCGTCAGACGTTCCCACCATTGGATCGTATCTGCATGGTTATCTCTGTCGTGATTGCCAAGCTGCTTTCTGGCCTGGAAAGTCTATATTCCAGGAAACACTCATGACACTTATTGCGCTATCAAAACGCTTTGATGGATCCGTAAGCTCAAGTTGTCGAGACCTAATACTGACCCAGCTATTCGTACGGCGATCCGGACCTTGACCCTTCCACTCCACCGTATGATAAAGCAACTGCCTGTCCTACCTGTCACTTTTTCACATTGAAATATGGCGTTTATTATCAGAAATACTTTAAAGTCTTAGTAACACTTGAATGTGGTTGTTGGAGATTCTCCAGTGTACTTAACTACCTAGTTGAGAGGGGCTGTGGTGGGTTTGCTTGCTTAATTAAGCGGGGCCGATCACTAACAGCAGCATACCCCTTGCCTCGGCAAGTGTTCGTCACAGCGCACCTCTCACCACCCCGCTCTACACTAAGAATCGGGAACAAATAACGTAAGTATTCATGCGCACATGTGAATTTGAAGTCAACGTAGGGTCTGTGATATTCACAGGGTGTCAATTTCAGTGGCCTCCCAACGAACGATTGCCATGGAAGATCGTACGCCAATAATTGTGGGCGTCGGAGACGTGCGACACAGGTCATTGAGGACCGACGAGGCAATCGAACCTGCGGAGTTGATGCTGGTTGCGTACAGAGACGCCGTTCACGATATCGGGAGCCAAATATCGGAAAACGAGTTCTCTACGCATGTCGATAGCATATACGTCGTACCGCCTTGGACATGGCCTTATGAAGACCTCCCAGCCCATCTTTCGGGGAAGTTGCGAGGCAATGTCAACCAGCGCCACCTTCGTCTAGGCATTCACGGTGGTCACCAGCCGGCCGCCTTGTGTGACGAGGCTGCCAGGCGGATTGCAGCAGGGGAATCCAACGTGGCCGTTGTCACCGGCGGCGAAGCTCTTGCATCCCGTGAGTCTCTAGGAGGCCCAGCCATCACGGCCCTCGCCGTCATATTGGAGCATACCAAGTTCTAATCCCGGGAGTTTAGTGGCCGCATGCCAAAAGGCCAAGGAAATGCCTCCACGGGGCTGGACCAAACCAGATCCACAAGCGAAACCCATCAGTCCCGGCGACAGATCGCGATTGGGTCACAACGCTGGCGGACTGCACTCCGTTGGACTCCCTATTCATGTCTATGCAATGTACGAAAATGGCTTCCGAAGGCAACAGGGGCAGACCCACCGACAGAATATGGAAGAGTCGGCTACGCTATACGCTGATTTTGACCGGATAGCATGCGAGGAGGCAGAATATAGTTGGAGGTTTGGTGAGACCCCGAAGGACGCCAATGCTATCGGCACGGTGACGGAGAGGAACAGGATGATCTGCTCCCCATACCCACTGCTGATGAATGCATTCAACACCGTCAACCTAGCCGCCACGTGCATCGTCACTTCAGTTGGGTACGCTCGAAAACTGGGCATACCTGATGATAAGTGGACTTATATCCTGGGTGGAGCAGGTACCGCAGATAGCGCCAATTGTGAGTCTCACGTTGAATGTCAATTACGAAAAGTAATGTACAGATGCTTACTTGCCTCTCTCCCTTCTTCAGTCTGGGAAAGACCAAACTACTACTCTAGCCCAGCATTAAGCCAATCTATTGACGCGGCCTTAGAGGTGTCAGGGTTGTCGAAAGACGACGTCGAGTGCTATGACTTCTATTCGTACGTCACACCGAAGAGCGTTCTCATCTGTCTTGTTTAGAAGCTGACGTTGGGATGAAGCTGCTTCCCTATCGTGCCGAAACTGGCATGTAATCACCTAGACCTGGACGTCTTGCACCCTCCGAAAAGAATATCTCTGCTTGGAGGGTTGACTTCATTTGGCGGCGCAGGAAACAACTATTCCATGCACGTAAGTGAAACCTCCTCAACGTCATTTCGATGTGATACAGAACAATAATTTTAGGCTATCACCGAAATGACCCGGCAGATCCGAAAGGGGGCCTTCCGTAATGGTTTGGTACTCGCGAATGGCGGCATCTTGACGTATCAGCATGTAATTTGCCTGTCCTCGCAGCGGCCGCAACACAGATATCCGAAAGATCTCCCACTGCCGGCCCAAGGTCAAAATACTGGAGCCCCTGACTTCATTGAAGTAGCCGAGGGTCCTGCAACCATTGAAACATATACAGTAGAATTTGCTCGAGGAAGCAAACCGTTCTTGGGACATATTGTCGGAAGGACTCCGGAAGGTCGTCGGTTCGTCTCGAACCATGGCGATGAGCAGACCCTCCGTACTTTGGTGAATGCGGATATCGAGCCCATCGGTCTTCAAGGTGTATGCCGGAAGGGGAAGGACGGCAGAAATCTATTTTATCTTGGAACCGGTGCCAAGCTATGACATAGCTTACAGTAGATATACTTTGCCATAATAATCACATCAAGAGGCAGTCAGAGAACGCAAGAACCTCAATTCAAGATGATCCTCATTCAGGTTTAGTGAAGTAGGGGAGAAGTAAACCATTCTCTAAACTAATGAGCAGGTCTGGCTAGGCCCTGTTTGGTGACGGCTTTTAATCTAGCGGCCCGATACCAGCCACCTGGACCACTTGACAGGTGTGACGTGGCCGTCAGCAAGGGCATCCATCATGTGGGCGCTTTATCGCCAGGTTCAGCTCCAGACTTTGTTCCTCATACGAGGATGGGAGCGCAACAGGGATTGCCCCAGAGATCAAGACCTCCCAATCGTCGCATGAACGAGGAACTCAGTACGATAGGGAAATGAGGCTCCTCAATGCAACCACAAGACAACTTGAGGAGTTTGTGGCTGACATCCCACCATATGCTATTCTATCGCACACTTGGGGTGAGCGAGAAGTTACATTCGCAGACTTATCGTCACCTCCCACCACTACCACCACCACGGCTTCTGTACCCCTAAACGACAAGGTTGAAAATACTTGTGAACTTGCTCTACAGCACGGCCTATCCCATGTGTGGATCGACAGCTGCTGCATCGATAAATCGAGCAGCGCAGAGCTGACGGAAGCCATCAACTCGATGTGGAATTGGTATCAGCTCTCGGTCGTCTGCTACGCATTCCTAGACGACTTTGGCCCGAACGATTCAACTTTTGCTTCCTGCAAATGGTTTACTCGAGGCTGGACCTTGCAAGAATTGCTGGCGCCAAAGCAGGTTGAGTTCTACGACAGGTCATGGAACTTCAGAGGAACACGAGACGATCTACTTTCTCCTCTCTCAAGCCTCACTCGCATTCCGAACCCAGTACTTCAAGGACGAATGCCCTTGTCAGAATGCTCTGTGGCGTCTAGGATGTCGTGGGCAGCTGGGAGGAAGACGACCAGGATTGAGGATGCCGCGTACAGCCTCCTTGGTATATTCAATGTGCATATGCCGGCCATTTACGGCGAGGGTATCAACGCATTCCGTCGCCTGCAAGAATAAATCGTGAAGCGCAGTAACGACTTGACCCTATTTGCTTGGCAACCGTCTCTAGCTGATATTGAAGGGAAGTATGGCTCGCGAGGTCTGCTGGCTGGGTCTCCTGATGGTTTCTTGAAAACCTCTGGAGTACGGCCATTTTTCGATGACTTCTCGACAAGATTTGCCATTACCAACCAGGGCTTGTGGATTTCTGGAGATGCACCGATCAAGTTAATCACGTACAGGGGCGATGGACCGAATTCATCAAGGTACGCCATATACTTGGGCATGGACTCAGCCGCTCAGGCTGTGGGTATCTATCTCCGCAAGATCGGCCCCAGACTTTTCTATCGTGATGTCGATCTTTCTATGGCCGGGGTAGGGGTTGGAGATGACGCTATAGTTGACAACTTGGATATCCCTGATTATCATATCCTCATCGATCCGGTGATGCACCCAACCCGACTGGCCATTCCCTTCCGAGATGGTGCACTGCATGTGCCATCCAGCCAATACTTCACCATATGCGATGCCATACCGACCGAGTTGTGGGATCACATGGGTAACATATTTCTGAAACCAAAGCCATACCAGTGGTGTCAGCACATTACTGTGCTTGGCGTCGCAGTCCAGTTCAGGCTGGGAGGCGTCACTGTTCCAATGGTGGTGCTATGCGATTGCCGTATTAGGCGACAGGTCAAGTTGCTCTCTGGAGACAAAATCCACGTTTTTGCAGCGTCGTTATTCGGTGGGCGCAATAGGAGAACGTCTGTTGAGTGGAGGGAGTTGGAAATCGAGGCGCCAGATCTCATGGAAATGGGGAACACCGCTGAAGTCACCGTCAAGGATAGAACCTTCAACGTCGAGGCTCATCTGATTGAAGTTGAGCCAATCTCCATTATCAAGATGCTAAACCTCCGTTTTAATGTGGAGGAGACAGAAACACCAATTATGTGGTGAAATTGGCCACCGCATTGTTAGCGCCGATTGTGCGAACAAGAAATGGCGATTGTGTTTGTCACGGTAGAAGTTCACTTGGCGGTGAATACTTTCAGCGGAACAATCGCATTTCCGGTCAACGTTGGCAGGCACATTGAATCAATTGCAGCATTTAGTTTGCGTTATTGATATCTCTCTTACCGGTGTGCAATGTTAAACGTCCGACTACTCTTGAACTCGCTTCCGGTCAAGGAGCCTTCTATAGTACTTTCACACTTTCCTCATTTGGCATTCTCATGGCGGCCAATTTCCGTTACCATCACACATCCAAGATGGAACCGCATCCAGATACAGTCGATCAACTCTTCGATCTGCTTCCTGATCCCCAGATTCACTTGGATCTTGGCGAGAGGGAAGAGCTCCCGCAGAAGTACTGTGATGGAATGTACACCTTCTTCGCCTCACTTACGCATCACAATTGGCCAGACGGTGATCTCAACCATCTTCGAGATCATGTCAAATGGCAGTCTGCGAACAGCATCATGGACTTGCAGATGTTCTGTTCACAACTGGCACGGTGTGGACTAACGCGGCCCCTGTCGATTGACGCGGGTGCCAAGAAGGAGCGACAGCTTGCATATTGGGCCTGGATCGCCAAAGGCAGAAGAGATGAGGAATGTCCATTGAAAGCGGCCACAAGACTCTCCGGAAACTACGAGGCCGAAGAGCCTGTTCAACATAACCTGCTACCTGAAGGCAGTGTAGTTCCGGCACTTTGTGCGGCATGTGGTAGCCCCGATGCTACAAAAAAGTGCAAGGGCTGTCTGATAAAGCATGGTGATCATATTACAGCTGCTACTGTATACTGCAACGCAGCCTGCCAAACATTACATTGGAAGACACACAAGGCGGCTTGCAAAATTCGAAAACAGATGTATCACGCCACGTATCTGCTTGCTGAGATTTACCGACAGCAGCTCCGAAGCACAAACATTGTGAACTCCGTCAGCGTATCAGAGGAGAACGGCATCATCACCATAGAAGAATGTGACCCAAAGCTAGACTTTCGAGGCAAAACATTCTTCCAGCCAGTCCCGAATAGCTCCAATCTATCCGATACACATCTTGAAGCCGTTTTAACATTTGGGTGGTGTCATAATCTGGTTCATGAAGTTGATCCTCTCCTCGACCTTCTGATCAAACGTGAGTCCTTTCGGTCTTGAACAAACGGAATGACGCTAATTAGAATGCTACAGCGCTTTGCAAAACATTGGAGGAAGTCACAGTTGTTCCCAAGAATGCCCACACCACAGTCTGTCGCCTGGAACATATGGGTATTTACCGATACAATGGGATGTGGCTACACAAGGTCATTCGAGCAACTCTAAAATCCGGAGATCAAATCGCTGTCGATCTGACTGGAGCCCAATATGGATGGTGCGAGGTTGCAACCCCCTGGGAGGCATATTGCAAGCACCGAGTTCACAGTGTTACCCAAAGTATCACGTTCGACGTCGGCGCTCCTAGTCTAACCCCCGACATGTTCCGTCATCGAATGGAGTACCTGGTGACTGAGGCCCGGAGAAATCTAGCCTTGCACGTGACCCAATTTTTGATTGCATGGATGGCTTCGAAGAACATGGCCACGGTGCGAGGGTTACTCAAAATGACAACTAGGGAATTTGAAGTTGCGTCAGAAGAGGTTGTGTCTCACGCGAAGGATATTTTTGAAGAGCTGCGCAAAGCATACCTCCAAGATCCACAGTACCGGCACTGAGTTTCCGTACTGAGATCCCTGAGTTCATTTCGAATGCCAAGTTTTGACAAAGGCTGGTGGAGGGAATGAATTGTTTCGGTACCACTGCTAGTCAGACTTCAACCGAAATAGAATACAATGGACCAATTCATGGCCGAGCCATCGTGAGTGATGTTCAAGGTAAAATGTATGCACATAAGTCAACTGCGAGATCGAGAGAAGCACTGGATTCACCATGAACACAATGTCAAGTCATTCAACGAATGGTCTAAGACGTCTGCACATACGACCTCAAATTTTGGCCTTGTCCTCAATACGCCTGTACAAATCCTTACCAGGGCCCCTCTTGACAAGATTCAGCATCTCCTTGCCCATCCAGGCCTCCTTGCTCTTAGCATAACCCTTTTCAAGGTCGACCATCTTATCCCCCTGAACCAGTATTCCCATGCCGTTAGATTTGGGCCCGCCATTAATCAGGTAGCCCACTGCCAAAGCCACACTCTCAACACGGTTAACTGTTAGCCCCGATCTGATCAAGTGGGCGGCGTTCTCCTCGGCTGTCATCCCAACCTCATCAAGAGAGCCCAGCATGGGTGTCGCTGTCACTGCGGGTGCTACGACTGAAATCGCGACATTAACCTTTGGGGTTTCCGCTTTGAGCGAGCGCATGAGACCCACGAGACCTATTTGACAATATAGATCAGTCATCTAATAAAACAAGTCCGCCATCGGCGGGTGCATGTGTGGCAATGCACCGATCTCGCGCATTCTACTGACCGTGCTTCGCTGAGTTATAGAAAGGGGCGCCCGGATTGCCGAGATAGCCCGCAAAGCTACTCGTCAAGATGATGCTCCCACCTTTCTCATTCTGCCTCAAGTAGTGTATGCCCAGTTTGACCGTGTCCGCATTGGCCGTGAAGTCCAAGTCCATGACGCTGCGGTCCGGCTCTTTCAGTTTATTGTCCCCATCGAAAACGTCCGAGAAGAACTGGTCCCCTCGCTCATTGATTCCAACGTTCGCAAATACAACGTCAATGCGCCCGAACTTCTGAGCCGCCGCCTCGAAGCCCGCGCGCTGTGCTGGCCAGGACGTCGCGTCGCATTGATGGAAAAACACACGCTCTGATGCAAGCGACGCCGGCTGCTCTGCGCGGTCTAGGATGGCAACACGATTAGACGGGGATAGCCCCAGGAGAAACTCGGCTGTGGCAAGGCCGATTCCTGAAGACCCGCCCGTGATGAGTGTCACTTTGTCCCTGACATTGATTAGTGCGGATGCGTCGACGGTGAAAGCTTCCGTCATTTTGACACCGGTTCTGGACATTCGCGGCTATTGTTATTACAGGAGTTTGGCGGTATGGAGACCGCAAGGTTCAAACCTTGACATAAGTAGCGAACGCTGCTTAGATGCCACAATACCAATTTACCTAGGCTATTGCAACCCCAATTGAGGGGCGGTTCGCAGTTTGCAGGGATCGTCCAGTGCGGGGAGAAGCAGCCGCACGAATCCAGGACGTCTATTGTGACAGACGCCGAAAGTATGTTCTTATCCGGATAGGTTCCTGAGGATGAAACCCGACTTTGCGCTCCAATCAGCAGTCCGTTGAGCTCGTGTTGGCCGAATGACTCGGACTTCAGGTATTGGTAAATTATTCTTTAGAAAACACTATCGATGTGTGTTGTAGTTATTATACTCTACAGCCTGTGGCTGGACTACCACTGTTCCCCCCCACCTTTTAACTCCGTAAATTGTAGTGCGCCCGAAAGGTGAGCCCCTGTATTGAGAAACTCGACGCGCCAGCTACCAACCCAGAATGTTGAAAAGCGTTCTTCGCGGGTCGCCGTTCGTTTCCACCATCAGCTGCCTTCTCTGCGCCTCCTCGACCTCAGGGGTGTTCTGTTGCGCAAATATCTTGTTGTATGTGCTTTTGCTGGTACTGAGCTGTGATCGGACATATGTAGCAACGGCAGCGACTATCAAGGGCATGGTGTTAGTGGGGAAGATTCCTAGAGTCGGAACTGGGGTGCCTGGATGGGCTTACCTGCACCTATAGCAGCTAGAGTTGGCAGTGACCTAGGAATGCCGAGTCAGCTTCAGTCTAAACTATAGCTTTGACGTGCATGATTGCAGGCTTTACCTTGACAATGGTCCTGCAGCTCTCCGTACGTTGGGAACCCCGGCCGATTGAAATCCGGGCATCTGGGGGTGTGGAGCCGTCATGGTTGGTTTGGGTGGCTTGAACTTCTGGCAGAGGCTGATCTGATGCGATGTAACACGATGATGCTGTCTTTGCACTGAAACAATTGACTGGAGGTATGATTTATTGTGACTGCGATACAGAGCTGCATGCTTTCGTCTGAAGGTTTTCCATGGCGAAATATAAAGCCATGATTGTTGTTGTTGGTCATGTCTGTTGCGCGCGGTGTAAGCCGATGGTGGTGTGATATTCCCAGAGCAGCCACAGGCAGTGATGGAATTGTGGGCTGACCGACAGTCCTGTGGAGCCCCCTGAACCAGGTCCTTGGCTCTCGCGACAGCCCGTCCCCGGCGATTTTAGACGGGGGAAAGGACCTAGGGAAGCCCAGGGAATCCTTCTAGGCTGATCCCTTTTTTCTGTGGCCTGACTTCAGCTCCTGCGCTCGGCGGTCCATTCTCGTTGCATCGGCCCAGAATGAGGCTCAGTCCCAACTGCAAACCCGACTTTGACTAATCTCAGCAGGAACGCGCCTTATTTCGGCTCGGGACCCAACGAATAGTGGCATCACAATGCCTGAAAGGTCAATCTCGTGACCGTGACGGAACCGAGGATTCTTACCATTGAACTGACACCGACCGGGACAATGTTAAGCCAAGTGGTCTGACCTAATCAATGTCGGAAATTCTCGACCAGCTGTCGCAACGCACCTGATTCGACAGTCATTTTGTAAATTGCATGTAAAAAGCTTTGGTCCATCTTGGAGAGTAAGGGTTCTCATCTCATTGGATCTGACATCTGGTCCAACCGGCGACGTGTCAGAGCCACCTCCGCTCATGGGGTACACGAGACTGAAAAGACGTTTATACAGACTCGGATTATTACGCCACCGATGTGTCTTACTTTGAACGTCAATCAGAATGAGACAATTCTGCGCCATTCCGGAGATTTCAGCAGCAGACCAGCCCAACACCTGCATAATCGTCGATCGCAAACTTCTTGACTCATCATTATATTTACACCTTGCTCTCTATGTAAACTTCAGGTCGTTCTAAGTATCATGCCCCTAGGTTCCTTCATAGACTCCAAGACCAACGGCTGCCACAGGCTTCAGAGCCATCCTTTGTTCGGCAACCCCATTAGCCGCCTACAAGCACTGCGAATAGTAGTCATTCGAATATGTACAAGTCGATCCCGAGGCGCACACCGTGCAACCAGAGAATCCCGACCCACCGCACTGGCCATACTTCGCAGTTGTACAAGAGGTACTTGTGGGAGCGGGCGCCGCGGTTGTCTTGGTGGTGCTCGTTGGGGACGGCTCTCCCGAGCATGCGTTCGAGTTGGTCTGAGTGAGCAGCCCAAGCTTCCACGGGAGTGCATTGTACTCGCCCGAAGCTGTGGGACTTAGACCTTGAAACAAGTATTGCAAGTTGCAGGGGCTGATAGTCATGGTCTGATCGGGGTTTGTGCGGATCATCTCGCCGTGGCTGATGCTCTTTGTCCAGGCTGTGCCAGAGAATGCAACGTTGTTAGCCCTTGCGAATGGGTTACTCTCGGAGGCTGCCAGCTGATTCCATGTCCCAGTGAGGCTTGTCGACGTCCACGAACGGAAGTACCGGTTCCCGTCGCTTCCAATAGCCTCAACGATCAGAAGGTATGTTCCGTCCCCGAGGGCATAGATGTTAGAGGCCTCAAACAGATCGTTTTTGGTTGAGTCGTAGGACTTGGCGATCACGGTATTTGACATACCGCTGGGAAAATTGGACAACGAGGTTGAAGAACGGTAGAGATGGCCATTATCATCGGAGGAGAAGAGGTAGCAGTTGGAGCTGTCGCAGATTGTCCACATGTCAACCCAATATCCGTTGCCGATGTTGTCCGAGATAATCTTTGGGGTGCCGCTGTAGAAATTCGTTGGGGCAGTCCATCCAGCTGGGTTGCCAATGTCCGTATTGGTCGAATATGCTGCATTTCCATTTTGATAGACGAGATACCAGAGTTTCTTTGGTGCAAAGTAGAAGACCTGAGGGGCCGCGCGGTAACCCGAGCCAATCTTGGACTCGGTATCAAGATAGTGAAACGTCGAAGACTGGGCTTTGCTGAAGTCAGTGAAGTTGATGTACATCAGGTTATACCCGGAAGCCTGCGCAGTGCTTGCGAAGACATGGTAGGTCCCGTCGAGGTAGACGATCGACGGATCTTTGATCCCAGCCAAACCCTTGCCGTCACTCTTGACACTAAGGTAGGGCTGCGAGCCGCTCCATTTGAAGCTCGACGTTATACTGGAGGCTGCAGCAAGGCCATGAGCCGAAAGCAACAGTAACCGGCATAGGAGCATATTGACAGGTTGGCCTATTGGCAGATGACTGATTCCAGATCCGGGTTTGACAACTGTTGAACTGTATCCGGGCTTGACTTAAATAGTGTTTTGTTTCCAATAGGGGGTGTGATCAGCAGTAAGCTTGCAACCTTAAGCTAGCCATCACATTACCTTCTTTGGGTCCAGCCCAAAGCGCCTACAAGCCTAAGGCGGGCGCTGGGGTTCCGATGCAACAGTCAAAATCGTGACCATTTTTCCGCCCGTCCATCCAAGTACTATTCGAGATCTCGCTAATCTCCCAGTTTGGTCTCAATACGACCTTGACCCATACATTGGCCTCACTGGCATCTCCCGGCGCTCCAGGTTCCGCAATTTTCCCCAGGATTGCCCGCCCGGCGAAAAGTGGAACCACAAATCGGAGATTCAACACTCTGGAACTCGCGCGATAGCTATGGCTGGAATAGGAAAGAGATCCTTCCCCATGGTTAGCCTCCTCTTAGTCTCCTGCAACGCGGGTCATGGCAGTCCCAGATCCATGGAATGCAGGAGTTCTCTACATATATAGAGCACATAGGAACAGTATTCACAATCCGGAGCAGGGCCAAACTTAGCGAGAGACCTTGCAGCTAGCGGCAACCACTATTGCCAGTCTCCTCAATATGTCTATCTTGACAATCGCTCTCCTTGTGAGCTCTCTTATTGGAGCAAACGCCCAAGGGGCATTATATTCACAATGTAAGTTGAAGACACAATTAGATACCCCGTAAAGAATCACCGGTGCTGATAGGAGAAAAGGCGGTGGAGCCGGATGGACTGGCACTACGAGCTGTGTCTCTGGAGCGTGTTGCACGTATTCCAATGACTACTACTCACAGTGTCTGCCGTGTGCTCAAAGTGATACAAGGGCTGTCACCACAGCCACCACTCCAAACACATTGACTACAGTCCGAAGCGCGACCTCTGCAGTAGCTAGCGCCACAGGATCATTCAATAACCCGGTGCTATGGGAAGACCTGGCAGACCTGGACGTTTTTCGAGTCGATGATGTATTTTACTATTCGGCATCGACCATGCACTACTCACCAGGGGCGCCTATCCTTCGATCATATGATTTGGTTAACTGGGAGTATATCGGCCACTCAGTTCCGTCTCTGAGCTGGTCGTCGAAATACGATCTTACCAGCAACCAGCGGGCGTATGTCAAAGGCATTTGGGCTTCTACCATGAGGTACCGCGCAAAAGACAATAAGTGGTATTGGATTGGGTGCATCGAATTCGGCACGACCTATGTCTACACCGCGTCGTCCGTAACCGGCCCTTGGACCTTGACAGCAACTCTCAACACATGCTTCTACGACGCTGGGCTCCTGATCGACGACGACGGCACAATGTATGTTGCGTATGGCAATACCAAGCTTTCGGTTGCTCAGTTGAGCTCCGATGGCAAGAGTATCGTCAAAACGCAGCAGATCTATGACAGCACCAACAGCCAGGGTACCCTCGAGGGCAGCCGCATGTACAAGCGCAATGGACAATACTATATTTTGGTGACTCACCCAGCAAACCAAGAATGGGTTTTGAAAGCCTCGAGTCCCTTCGGGTCCTACTCTATCAAGGTCCTAGCCAATAGTATCTCTCCACCGGTGTCTGGTGGTGGTAACCCTCACCAAGGTGGCCTCATCGATACCTCTAGCGGCAATTGGTACTATATGGCATTCGAGGACGCGTATCCCGGCGGCCGGATTCCAGTTCTGGCTCCCGTCACTTGGGGCTCAGATGGCTTCCCGACGTTGACTACCTCCGGCGGAGGCTGGGGCAAGAGCTATCCCATGCCATTAGCAAGTCACCCTGTCACGTCGACCATTGGTACTGACTCATTCTCTGGTACCGCCCTTGGACCCGCCTGGGAGTGGAACCACAACCCAGATACCTCAAAATTCTCGGTAAACAATGGACTTACACTCAAAACGGCGACGGTGACAAATGATTTGTACCAAGCTCGCAACACTTTGACACATCGTATCCGGGGACCAATCTCCACCGCGACTATCAAACTCGACACTACAAATATGGCAGCAGGCGATCGTGCTGGGCTAGCCCTATTCCGTGACCAATCAGGTTGGATCGGTGTGAAGAACGATGGAGGTACTCTGACAGTCGCCATGACTAATAACATTCTCATGAATACGGACTGGACTACCAAAAATACCGGGTCGACGGTTGCAAGTGCGGGAGTTTCCAAGGGAACCATTTATCTGCGGGGGACAGTGAACATTAACCCAGGATCTGGGCGAACTGGATCTTTTAGCTATAGCACTGATGGAACAACCTTCAAGAGCCTTGGGTCGTCGATAACCCTGAACAACGACTGGCAGTTCTTCATGGGATACCGATGGGGCATCTTCAACGTGAGTTCGCTAAATCTATAACGCTCGTATTGATGACCATTACTAACACTAATGAAAAGTACGCTACATCTGCCCTGGGTGGCTCTGTCCAGGTTGCTTCTTTCACCCAGACTGTCTCTTAATTGCTACACGTGTAGATTGCTACACGTGTAGAATATGAGCAACAGAAGGTTTTATATGAGACATAGCTTGAAAGATATAGTTGAACATATGTCTCTACGATGATTTCCCCTCACATTTAAGCCCTTGCTACTGGACTTATTTGAAGCTAGTGATGAAGCAATGATCCTAATGCAGCCTGTAGTCACCCGATGGTCGATTACCCCGCAGACTTACTATTCCCCACTGAGCAAGTATAACTCAACAGGCCGACCTACGATCTCCCCGCACCCCGCAGGCTGAACTCGTTACGAGGATCGCGAAGATTGCGTCGGCAGTTGATTTTGTGGCGATGGATCTGCCCTGGGCAATTAGCAAACATATAAGGATTTGAGTCGAATAGGAACCACTTCTGGTAGACCAAACCACCACTAAAGGAATCATAGACCTAAGCATTCCCTTGAAGTAACTACCACGATTGATCATGACCAGCGCCAAAACTTTGGAGGATAGACTGCACGAGCTGGAGTCTCGGGTTCTTCAACTGGAAGACATCAACGCCATCCGTAAACTTCATTTTGCCTATGGATACTACATCGATGTATGCAGATATGCAGACGTTGTTCAGCTCTTCTCACGTGACGGCGAGGTAGTGTTTCTCTCTGGCGTTTACAAGGGCCACAAGGGCATCGCTCGTCTCTACCAAACATGGTTTCATGAGTACTTCACGCAAGGGCGGCCGGGCCCCGAGTACGGCTTTTTGCTCGATCACCTCCAGATGCAGGACATCGTCACCGTGTCCTCAGACGGGAAAACTGCACAAGGAAGATTTCGGGCTCTTTTGGCTGGCGGAAACCATGCAAGTCGGGAGTACAAACCGGAGGGCTTGCCTCAACAATTTTATGAGGGGGGTGTGTACGAAAATAAGGCAAGTATTCACCCAGTCTTACATACTTCTAAATGCGCACAAACGGACTACAGAGAGGTATGGAGCTGCTATACAATGCTGGAGTTCTGTTTCATGGGTCTATAACAGGCCCAATGGAGTCTGGAAAGAAAATAATAGTTGACAAATTTCCCCTGCAGTACATACGAGAAGATGGAGTATGGAAGATCAAAAGGCTGGACTACGTAGTGCAGTGGCAGGCTGAATATGAGAAAGGTTGGGCTAACACTGAGGCTCACCTGAAACCACACGTGGTGACGTATCCAGAGAATCCTACGGGGCCGGATGAATTGCTGCCAGAGACGGAGGTACGCAAGACGTGGCCACATCGGGCAGATGTACCAACGCATTATGCGCATCCAGTCATGCAGTTCGCGAAAAAGGGGCCATGATTGAGATTGAACACCAGCATTGGTCCTGCGCATATTGTACAACTGCCGGTCCTTCAGTGCCAAACTATCGAAATAAAAAGAATTAGGAATCAACAGCAAGCCCATCAGACTCGGGTGGCCCTTTATACACTGTAATGTACTGGTCAGTATTGTGAGGGTGTGAGCAACTTGATTTGACATACCTTTGCGGGCATGAACTCCGTACCAAACCGCACTTAGAGCCATGAACCCCAGGAACACGACAATAGCATAATTCATGCTAGTCTCGGTGACCGGAAGAACCGTTGGCATTGAGAAAAGCACAATCTCAAAGCAAATCCACACAACTGCCAGAATATTCGCAGCCCACCCTAGGCTATTTGCCAGTCTCCACCGTGCTGTATTGACCTCTCTGCGCTTGTGGAACATGGATATGGCAATCGGAATACCATATGAGGCAGCGAGGGCCATGACTCCGACAGAAACAAAAGCTAGAAAAGCTGATGACGAGCCCAAATTTATGAGCCCGAGTAGCATTTGCACCGCTGTTGTTAGGACCAAGGCCCAAATCGGAGTGCCGTGACGTGAATCGACCTTTGACCACAGTCGAGATAGAGGGAGTGCATGATCTCTTGCAAACGCCCAGGTGCATCTTGACGCAGCAACCGTAATGGAGATAGAACAGAAGAGTGTGATTATTAGCACCAAGACTGTCAGGCCAACACCCCCACCTGGTGTACCCATCACGGCGCTGAAGATATACGGGAGCGCTTGTGACACTGGTGAGTTGGCGATTATATCCGAAAGAGCTGGCATAGTGGCACAGATTGGAATGATCTAGAAAATTTTGTGTCAACCCTGTGGGAGCTCCAAACAAGATACAAGTAACAGCTGGCTCTCCTTAATAACTGTTCAAGTAAAACAACTTACGAAGAAGAGTCCTGCAATCCCTCCGACAGGGACACAAAGTGAAATTGCCTTTGGAAGTTTCACAGTCGGATCACCGCATTCTTCAGCCATGGAGGATATCATGCCTATCGCCGAGAACCTGACAGCTGTTAGTTTGCCTGCGGGCCCGGTTATGTCTTGTCGCATCTTACGTGTATGCGGCAGGCAACATGCCGATGAAGAAGGAAAAGCCATCCCAGCCCGAAATCGACGTATCATATCCACCCTAGAGGAGCACCTCGTTAGCCAATAATACACGTGTCTCCTTTCACAGACTTATATACACGCACCAAAGTAGTACTAGGGGAGTTTCTCCCAACCTCGGCTTTCGTGGAAAGGCAGATCAATACTATGAAGATAGCAATAGCAGTGAACGCTGCGCATATTGTATCTACCATTGGAAGAAGCTTGTTGCCGAATGCCACAATGAAGAAGGTTAGAATCGTAATAGCGTAGAATATGAGCAACAGCTGCCACGATGTAACTTCTAGCGCAAACTCTGGAAGATAGAGGGCGACAGACGCTGCAATTAATGAAGCGAATCCGAAGTTAACCGAAAGGGTGATGGTCCAGTTTCCGATGAGCCAAGTCCATCCTGTGATGAAAGAAAGTACTGTCCGGTACTTGGGACTCGCCAGTTGGAAAGACCAGTAGTATGGTCCCGCTGACGTTGGGTATTTGGAAGCAAGCTCCCCAAGCGAAACAGCTACCGCTTCATCTAAGACGAGAACGACAATCCAGCCTACAAACATAGGTAGTTGACCTTGGAAATCCTTGTCAGCGCATTTACCTTCCTTGTTTTAGCAGGATAGCCTACCACCACCGTAGATGGCGCTTATCAGAGGACCACCAAAACCATATGGAATCTGGGAGCTGTTAGTTACACGGCCCGCGCTGAAGTGTGGTTTCTGTGCTGCTTACAGCTGCGATAGCTAGAGACTGGAAAAGCAACGTGAACATAGACCTGTTACGACGAAGCTCTGCCTTATACCCAAGCGCGTTGAGGTTCTGTAGGTCATGAACGGTCCCTAACTGCACCTCTTGCACGGGCACTTGCTGCTCTGCCGCAGCAGCCTTCTTCTCCTCCAAAGTCATCGTGGTGCAGAAGCACGCCTAGGCTGGATTGAACAAGTAAATCGGTGCTCGATATTGTGGTAAGAAAGCTTGATTAACTATTTGCTTTCGGGCATGGTATGTGTGAAGGAGACATTGCTTTATGTTTGACGCATTCTCAGAACAGGCGCGGGGGAGGCTAGGTCTAAAATGCATATCGTTACCGGGAGCCAATTGCCCTGAGGCAACAAAGTTAGTGGCGTCTTCTCACCAATCCAATGATACTCTATGAGACACCCAACCATGCGGCCAGCTCAAGGTTCGCCGAGGCTAGGGTACCACTGACCTGATAACCAATTGACCTGATAGCCAGAGCAACCCTTGCCTGAAGATAAGCATTTTTTCCTGTTCGGGCAAGGGCCATTTCACAGTCAGCTACCCTTGTAAGCGAGTCTCAGGGGTCCGGTTCAGCTAAGCCGCTTCAAGGCAAAAAGTCCAGAATCTAAACTCGAAGCGGAGCAGGACGGTCTTCTCCACATCATATGCCGTGAAGCTCCAACAAGGGGAGCTTCAGCTGGACGATAAGCAGCTCAATCATGACGGGGCCTCAGGAGCGATAATGCAAGTGGAGCCATGGCCAGGTATGGTGTTGAAGGTCAGGGATAAGCAATTGAAATGCGGCAGCTTCTCAACTCAAGTCTCCCGATTTGAGGGCCGTACTCTCTCTTGCATCCGTTTCCCGGCCTTTGACGATGGCAGCCCAGGTACTTGCAGCGTGGGACGAGTGTGACAAGACCGACACTGTCTTTATTCTTGTCTGTACCGTCTTTTGCTGGACCATTGTCCCAACTGTGAGACTTGCCTTGCCTATATCCGGCGCTCAACCGCTGAACCTAGCACGTGGCTTACAACATTAGGTTGGGATCGCGTACGGAGGTTACTCCTGGAAGCGCAATGGCTTAGCTTCTGTTATGCCTGCTGTTCTCACGATTGCTACCTGCTCGATACAATGGTTTGTAATCGGTTATACCTTAGCTTATGGTGAGGGTGGCTACGTCTTTGGTGACTTCCAGTATACCTTTCACCGCGGGGTGCTGTCGGAGCCTGTTGGAACTATACCTGCGATACTCTTTAGCGAGTTTCAACTCGTTTTCGAGGCCACTGTGTGCGCGATCGCTGTCGGCGGCTTTTGTGAGAGAGGTAGACTCCTACCGGTCATCCCATTCATTCTTGTAGGTCTAACCGCAGTCTGCTGAGTTCTTGTACTGAACTACCATGCCTAGTTGTGGTCGACGCTCATTTATTGTCCTCTGGCACACATGGTTTGGGGAGGCGGTTTCCTCGGTGAAGGGCTAGGGGTTTTAGACTTTGCGGGTGGTAAGTGCGTCTGTTAGAAGTCCGATGATGAATACTAATACACTCTCGTATAGGTACACCTGTTCACGTCTGCTCCGGGGCAACTGCGACAGCAATCAGCCTCTACCTCTCCTACCCGATCTTCCGCTCTCGCCGGTCTGACTATCGGACACCCACGCACATTCGACTCCACCGGCCAGGGAACTCCTTTGGTCAGTTGATCGCTTTGATTATAATCTGGGGCTCGTGGCTCGCTTTTGATGCCGGCACCACCTTGGCGCTGAACTTTCAATCTGTGATGGCACTATGTGTGACAAATCTGTGCGCTTCGTCGGGAGCTTTGACCTGGGCCTGCATCACGTACTTCGAAACCGGAAAGTGGTCCCTGGACTCGACCTTCATGGGCGCTATATCGGGATTGGTAATGATCACTCCGTCAGCCGGTTTCATTGATATGCCTACGGCCTTCTTCTTCGGCATCCTTGGCGCCGTTGTGTGTCGTCAAGCTTTAAGGATCAAGTCCACAGATTTCGCCCGACGTTGGCGTTGGGTCGACAACGGCGACACTTTCGCTACTCACTGCGTTGGGGGTGTACTGGCCACCGTTGCAACAGGCCTCTTCGCGCAAAAGGAAGTTGCAGCCTATGGTGGAGTCGTCGTCGATGGCGGTGTCTTTTTTGATGGTAATATACGGCAACTTTGGGTGCAGGTCGTTGAGGTCCTTGTGGGCTTCACGTGGTCTTTCATTGGCTCGTTTATGATCGTTGCTCTGATAGATTGCATCCCAGGACTTGAAGTCCTAGCGACTGACAAGTAAGTGATTGGCAACCGGAATGCGTTGACGAATACTGACTGGTTCGAACAACTATAGGGAAATTATGGCTGGTCTCGATACTTTCCAAACTGAAGAATCGCTTTGCGACATTGTATTTCCTGACGAGGAAGACTATTGCCCGCTTTCTGGGGGGAATATTGAGCTGTAGCACATGCTGCCCAAAGTATAGACTGGCAGAGTCTCGCTTTGGCAACATACTCTTACCCACCACGCCTTCAACATAGAAATACTATAAAAGCTAGGAGAACCGAGTGCAAACGACGACTAGCTTTGTACTACGGTCTAAATATATGTTCCACGCTAGAGTCGATCATCGATTGTACTAATGATGCAAGGCTTCACACATTAAGCACCGGAACGTGGGTGTGCATTTAACTACAGGGATTGGCGATGTAACCCCCACAATGCGTGCCCCACGTCCTGCTCAGCTTTTCGAATTTCTGCCATGTAGATAAGACACATGCGTTGCTTACTATCTGAGATGCAGTTCCCCATCACAGGCTTCAAGGCCTTATGATCTCAGTACGAAGCGGTTGGCTAGGGGATTCCATAGGAAGCGGGACAACAAGCCTCGAACAGAGTGTCATATGTTCAAGGCGAAGCATGTAATTCTCCTTTATTGAGCGCCCGTCCGCGTTAGACTATTACATCAATTTGGCACCCCATACAGACGTATTGCTTTTTGTAGCGTGCAAGACTGTGAGAACAAGTACGGAAATAAGCTGCAATATCGAATTTGGTGCTTTCAAAGATGAGCTGGGAACCGAAACTGGCATGAATCTCGTGCCAGCCTGGAGTGTCGTAAATAAACGCTCTCTGGATGTCCGTCCTCCTGATGAGACCACCCAACTGAAACGATGAAGGTCTTGCGTGCAGAAGACGTATGGTCCCGTCGACTTGTTTATTTGCCCTTCGAAATTTCACTTGTAGTTCAGGTTGAGCTACCTGAAGGGCAACATGTCCTCCGGATGACGGGCCCAAACTTGAGGATCTCTTCCCTCTGAAGAAGAAGAATCGACGAATTTGAAACAGTGTGATTACTGCAGCGATCCTGATCGGAGAACAGCTTGTGGAGGGGAATATTTATACTCCTATCTCGCAACAGATTTTCCCAAGGAGTTTAATTTGATGCAACATCGGGATGCATGCACTGGTGCGCGTTAAATGCTGAGCTTATAAATTTGCGGCAGATTGCATATCCGGATCGACCTCAGCTATTGGGTAAGCATATTTGACTGTGTCGATCACATGGCTTCGAGACCCTACAGCAGTCCTAGCTTTCTGAATGGCCATCTTGCATCAATGCTGAGGACCGTGTACTTACCAGGGACTCATTGGGCTGATCTCCTATCCCTAGACAATCTGCGGCATTCTGCAGGCCTCATTTTTTCAACCAAAAGTCTGTCCAGCATGATCAATCTTGTAAGTTAGTCAATCGGTGTAATCAGAATTAGGCGGCCTAGAACGATTCATACTTAAAAATGCCACATCCTTGCGTTCAGAACCGATTTAGTGCGTGCTAGCGGCAGAAAGTACGTGTAGTCGTTACACGGCCCCTAAGACGAGCCGGCGTCATGACCACTTACTGAATCGGCAGTTTTGCACCATAATAAAGAACAAACGTTCGTGAAGGTCTTGCAGCCGACTTGTTTCCCACCAGGAGAAAGTGGCTTCCACCAGGGGAAAGTGGCTTGCACCAAGGAAGGCCTGATTCTTGTGAAGTAGTCACGAATAAGCTCCTTCTGTCTCTTAAACTTATAAGAAGGATCCGAGTTGAGTTATGTACACTGGTACCTAGGTAGTCTCGGTATATCTTGTCTACGTTTCTCCCCCCAACAGGTTGTCTTCCCATTGTCATCGGTGCTAGTGCCCATATATCACATGCCCACAGCAAAAACCGACTAGGTAGAGCGCTTGCAGTCTGATTTATCCTGCATATCTTGATTGCGCAGTCTTGCCCAGTGTAATCCACCATCACTGGCTTGAAGCCTGATTATAGACTGTCATAATCACATAACCCAACTGTAAGGCGAATTGTTTGCGTATACCATTTCGCGTAACTCGACTGCGGGTGGTGGGCACCTCCACGTACCACATCCCGAAACGCCAGACATCATGACTAGGTCACATGGGAGAGCGCACTCAATTAACCGAAAACATGCCGCCAGTGATGCCATCGGCGAGCCTTCGCAAGCTCTAGCGTAATGTGTCTTAAGAGACATACACAGTAGCTCCGCAGAGACAAAGAGGGAGCGCGGGCAGGGCCAGACAAAGAAAAAGGACCCCAACCGAGGCGACAATTTAGGGATGGAGAACAAGCTTACGCGGCAGAGGACGGGTTGTTGGGGGCTGTCTCCCGCTAGACGGGCTAGACGTTGGCGCGGCCCCTGGCGCTGTGGGTCGGGGTTGAATAATTGCACTGCTGTCGTTGGCCACAGAGGGCTGCGGACAACAGGAGTGGACCCGGCATTGGCCAGCAGAGCCCCATAGGACGCCTGGAAGACGTGGCTGACGGGGCGGCCAGTGGGACGCACAGGCTTGTTTCAATGCACCAGGAGATTTGACTGCCGCTGGTTGTTTCTCCTCCTGCTTTCTTGCCAGCATCACCAACTCGTGGAGAACTCGTTAGGAAGTCTTGGCAGTCTTAGCAGTAATTGCTTGTTCATTATCGTCAGTGAGTCCCCAGAAACGCGTAATCTGAACTCCGCCATGACGACCAAATTCCCCTTCATCATCTTGCTCCCCAGTATGCCAAGACTTTTTGTATGATATACGTCGTGTAAATAGTGTGTAGAAAATCTGAAGTATATAACGAGCAGTGTCTCGCTCACTACCACAACATCAATCCCACCATCAAGTTCCATTCTCTACCCAGCCACGCCTGCGCCTTTCGTTGATTCATCTACCATTCTCACATCTGTCGTTATATCATAACTATATCAAGATGCGTTTCATCACCACTGCTGTCTCCGGCCTGGCTTTGCTGTCAAGCTCGGCCGTTGCGCACCCCGGCCACGATCTGACCCAAGAAATTGCCGAACGCCGCTCGTTCCTCAACAACGTCGCTCGGTCCGATCTGAGCCACTGTGCCTCCAAGCTCAAGGCCCGCGGTATCTCGGACCGCAACATTGCCCGTCGTACTGCCGCCGCCAACAAGGCCCGTGCCAAGCGTATGATAATCCGAATTTACATAATAGCAATAATCGACCTAACAGTTTTATCCTAGGTGGCCTGAAGAAGAGAGACATCACATTCGACTCTGTCCTCGCTACGGACCACAACAAGACCAGCGCCGGCTATTCGCAGAATACTGATGCCGCCACCCTGTTCGCCGACTACAACTCCTGTGTGCTCACCCCTGAGACCACCCAGGGACCTTACTGTAAGTTTCGACAATAATCAAGCCGGAACGTCAGTGACGGGGGACCCAAAACTGATAATCGCCTAGACGTCTCTGGCGAGTATGTCCGCCGAGATATCCGCGAGTCCCAGACCGGTGTCGATGTTGTCGCCGACTATCAGGTGATCGATGTGAACACCTGCGAGCCCATCCCTAACGCCTACCTGGAGATCTGGCACTGCAACGCCACTGGTGTCTACTCCGGTGTCTCCAGCACCGGCCAGGGTGGCCTTGACTCCACCTGGCTCCGTGGCATTGCCAAGACCGACACCGACGGCGTCGCCCAGTTCGAGACCGTGTTCCCGGGTCACTACACCGGTCGTGCTACTCACATCCACACCATGGTTCACCTTGATGCCACTCAGAAGTGCAACGGAACTATCGGCATCAACACCACCGATTCTCACGTCGGGCAGACTTTCTTCGACCAGACTCTCATCTCGGCTGTCGAGGCCACTGCTCCTTACACCACCAACGAGCAGGAGCTCACCTTGAACAGCGGCGATGATATCCTCGAGGGTGAGGCTGACGGTGTTGATCCCATCATGGAGTACACTCTTCTCGGTGACAGCGTTGAGGACGGTATCTTTGCTTGGATTTCCTTCGGTATCAATGCCACTTATTCCGAGTACACCAGCCCCGCTGCTATCTACTACGAGGGCGGTGGCCAGGACAACGGCGACTTCTCCATGGGTGGTGGCCCCGATAGCGGCAGCGGCGGCCCCAGCGGCAGTCCTAGCGGTGTTCCCAGCGGCAGCATGAGCATGCCTGCCCCTACCAGCTCGGCTACTGCTTAAGCCCAACTGTTCGCTTGTGCGTTATACCCTTCCGCTCTAACGGAGACCGAGCAGTGCGATGCGTTCAGATTGGCTTTTCGATTGTGTTATTATTATACTTCAAGTTTCTATAGAACAGTCACTATTTGATGCATTTTCCTGAGATACAATGCAATGTATATGCAGTAGTGACATGGGTATTCAGCCATTGGCTCTTGCACTGAGCGGTGATTGCTGCGCATTTTGGTATGTTCATATTTGGTAAGGCTTATGAGCTAATGAAACATTGGGATAGGCTTAGGGATGTAAACCAGATGGCTCTACGTGAGAGCATCCATCAAACGCAATGATCGACCTCGAACTCCAATAGTTCTTCTTGGTGGATGACCCAGAAGCTTCCCTGTCCAAGCGCTTCGGCACTTCCGCACTGTCAAAAATAATCGTTCGAACGCGCGTCCCATTGACGGGATTTCCGTGAGGTTCTATAGTGGATTCCAGGGAACAGAACGACGCCTTGTTGGACTATGTCGGTAAACATAGGCCCTATGCGTCCACGCCAAGAGTCTTAGTGTGACCTTGGTATGCTCCTAATTAGACGTTGACGATATTGCTCAAGAGTTTGGGGCTTTCGTAAAGCACTCCATCAAGCCAGTGTATTTTTCACAAGACAGTCGCCGTCCTTGTTCATAAAGCATCCATGAACGCTTACCTTCAACAAAATGAACAGCCTTCTAGGTGTGAGAATGCCAGCTACCCCCAACTTAGCCTAGTCACATTATTTCAGCGCGATACATGCTACATATTATGCTATTTTGGTTGCTTACAGATGATTTCTAACGGCTGCCAAAGATTGTTCTTATCTCTACTCAAGCGAGGGTGGCTATGTCGTTTGGCCTCGCCAGAGACCCCCAAAGCTGCAAATAAGCGGCCTTGATAATTTGTAGAGCTATATGCAAGGTGAATAGGGGGTAAACATCGCTATCCGATAATGCAGACATACAGTTGACTCAGCTTCTGGCGAATGCCCAAAATCACACCAAGGGACGTTGGTGGTAATCTGGGACGCTAGAAAGGGGCTCGATTAGGCCTAAACATGACATGGAGCTCTAGCGTATTGACGTATTAGGGGGCAGCCGGTAAACCTTTTGCGCTGATCAATAGCTGTCATAGTTCCGCCATGACCGTGGGCTGCAGATGGTTTGACACTAGCCGGTCTACCAGAAACCTGATCTGAATTGCCCTATCACTGTGTAAAACATTTCGTCCTTATTCCCCAGGGCATGACAGGACGCAATAGTTGAGTGATCTGGCAATTTCTATGACGATGCCAGTGCATATTAGCACCTACAAGGATGCCGCGCGGGTGCTGCCACGCTTGACAGATAGCCCACAATTGCAGTTCAAAGGTGGCCTTGGCAATCAGAGATTACTACTAATCACTCATTGGCTAACTTGCTGTCGGTAATCGCTGTCACTTTCCAGGCGCTTAATCAAGCTCTATTTGCTCAACATTCATGTCTTAGCATCGGCAGAGCGGCAGTATCCGCACCGCATGGAGGCGACCTACAATGACGACCGCTTCTTAACTGACTCCTGTCAAGGAGTCGTCATAATGTCTCACCATTTATCGCCAAAACGGACGTATAGGCCTCGTACGTCATTTTGCAATAGGTCATTGCTATCTCTCAAATAGCGAGAGCTCTGCACATTTAGAAGACCACATACTCTTCTTTAGAATCATATAAATACATCAGATTTCATCAAGATAACTGTCTTGAATAATAACTTCGCCGAGGCACATGATGGCCAACACTCTCAACATGAGCGGACAAAAATACGTCGTTGTTCCTGTCCAAGCGGATGGGACACATGAATTGGATCAGAAACAGACTACAGGTATGAGTAAAAAGATCTGGGGAAGCTCCTCATCCAACACTCACTGACTTCAGTTCTTTGTAGCTGCCAATGCACTTGGTATGTCTTCTGGGGGTACCGATATGTCCGGCATGGGCCAGGATGATGTACGAAATGGTCCATTGAAGGAGATTATGTGTACGCAAAAATCTTCGAATAATCCACAAGGTGATCACGAACTGACAGTAGTGGCGGTGAAGCCCACCGAGACAGTCTCTACAAGTATATCAACGTGGGTTTCGAAACAACAGAAAGTACAACTTCCACTGACGTAGATGGCCACAGTGGGAAGATCCCGTCCACTCAATCGGCTCATACCTTGGCCTCCTAGGCATCCTGGTTGGGGCTCACTATCTACCTTTGACACAACTGGCCCTAAAGCTCGCAGCTACCGGGCTTGGGGGTAAGCATTGAGTAAAACAATAACCTGGCTGGATATTCCAAGCTAATATTTATCCTACCAGCTGTTTGGGTCACAGAATATGCCGGTAGAGCATTTGGCGACAATACTCTTGTTGCTCGACTACGACCAAAGGAGTACAGAAGACTGCCAGAGTCGACGCTCAACGCTACCTTGAAGGACATCCATGATTTTATCCAGTATGCCGTTGTACAAGCTCAAAGAATCATGTTTGGGCAGGACCTTGACAAAACCTTTACTGTACGTGGCTTGTAGATCTCGATGCCTTTTCATGTTGCGCTAATAATTCGGTAGGCTCTACTAGGATGCACCAGCTTGTTCTGGCTTCTGAAAGTCATGTCCCCATTTTCTATGGCTATTCTTGGCTTGACCTCAATGTACATTATTCCTCTCATGACCTCTCCTCGAGGTCGCGAGCTGGCTTATGATGCGAGAGTACATGCTGGAGAATTGGCCAACACTGCTGCTGAAAGTAGCGTGAGACTTGGGAAAGATGGTAAAGAGAAACTCACAAGGCTGTCGGTTAGCGGGCGCGATGCAGCTTTGGACGCAAAACGAGCGCTGGGCGAAAAGTTCCAAAGCGGGAAACGTAACACGGCAGAAACGGCCACAAACGTCAAAGATACCACCGTGGACACGGCTAAAGGTGCCGCAGAAACAATTGGAGACAAGACGCAGAGCGGTTTGAATGCGGCCGGAAACATGTCCTCCAACGCCAAGGAGGCAACCATGAGTACAGCCAGCAGCGCAAGTAAGAATATCGGGGACACGGTACAGAGTGGAACACAAAGAGCATTCGACCTAACCACGGGTGCCAAAACTGCCACTGTGAACGCATCTCATAGCACTGCTGAGACTGCCAAGAAAATGCCGACTATGGGTGCCGACGCGGTCAGTAACGCTGCCGGGAAGGTCAGCTTTGCCTTGGGCGGCGAGAAGCAGACTGGCAGCAAAAATCCGTTCAGAACCAGCGGCGAGTTCCACGACGAGCTCCACAGTGACAACTACGTCTTGGCTCACAACAAGAACGTGACCACTGACATGAGACACACGGGGGCATATGACAGTCCTAGGACTCTTCTCAACCAGGGTGTAACCAACATACCTCGCCCAGTGGAGAGCAGCACGCAGCAACCAGTTAAACATGTCAGTCACTAGCATGACCACAAATTACCGCTCCACTAACCTCCAGTGGCTGCTTAGAAGGTGTATCATTATCACGAAACGGCATGATGCGAAATATGCGAAGTTAAGTCAACAGGATATTGCCGCGCCTGGACTTTTTCATCGTCACGCGTGGTCTCGGAAAGCAGACCATTGTTAGTTCCATCTAAATACATGCCCTACCCTCGCTGTCATTTTCTTCAGTTGGACATCGGCGGGACTTCAGAGGGTGTTATCTATGTAGGTAGTAACACTACCACCAAGGCTCAAGTTTTGCTATATGGTCAGTGATGTGAATTGACATGTTCTTTACTACTATAACATCACATGTCCAACTCCCAAGGCTTGACACCGATTTGCCTATCTCAGATGGGAACCACAGATGGGAACATGGCCGAATTCCCATCTAGTTTGCTGGACTGGTCTAGATTGCCCCTCAAGGCACCGTGGAATCCAATTTGACTTAGAGTTTAGCGCATTTGGCTGTTGCGGAGTACAGGAAAGCTAAGGCAAGTGTAAAGAAGCTACCCGTTAGTTCAATTGTCGCATCTAGGCTTGCCTGCAATGAATTGTGTGTAGAAGCTTATACCACCATCAGGAACGGGCCATATCAAAATCCAAGACCTTCGTGAGCTGATAAAAGCGCTGCGGCTAAGCAATAGGCTGCAGTATAGACCCAAGGGCGCCCTGATGTGCTGTTTTGAGATCAATATTGAACCATTTTGGGCACACTGTTAACGGATTGCTACATGCCTTTAAGACATCTCCGGTATTAATAATGCCAAGACATGGAATCTTGGGTACTTGGACTTTCTAGCTTAGATGTAGCAACCAGCTACGGAATCCAGCCTATTGGCTCTCAGCATCGCGATCGTCTATGACCACATTGATAGTCCGAAGCCAGGAGCTGAGGCTCCTGGTTTCTGGGCTCCCTTAGCTCTCAATGCCATTGAACTAGTGCATAGTGGTGTCTACAAGTAGTTACTACCATCCCTGTCGTAAGTGCGGAGCCGAGCACTAAGGGAAGGTCAATTGTTGGTCTGTCACGACTCCGCATCAGGGCCGCATGAGGGGCGGAAGATAGAGATGGCGCTAGGGGGCCGCGAAGGTTCGACTTGACGTGCACAAGAGCTTAATACTTATAGAAGCAGGCGCGATATACGCTACCCAGCTTTCCGGTGGCCATAACTTTGCCTTCTCTCCTCGTTTGCGTGAGGCTGAAGCTGCATTGCTGTCCGAATCCATAACCTGCTTGAAGGGTAGCATAAGCTCTGTGTCTTTCCCCTAAGTCAGCAACTATTGGTGGCTGATTTCACTGTGACATAACTGGAAGGCTCCAGAGTTGTTAAGAACTCGATTAGGCTTACCCGCGTCCTCACCAAGCTAGTAACATACAACCTTGCTCCCTGTGGTATCGGACCAAGGACCAAGGCAATTAGGTCTAAAACATGCCACATAGCAATGCCAAGAACGATTGAAATCAATGCTTAGTTTAAGGCCGGTGAAGAATATGCGGTGGAAGCTAGCGTTAGCTCTTCAGCTGTAGCTCCCGTAGCAATACAGCGTTGACCGATTCGACCACACATGGACGGAGTCGAGCCACTGCCCAAAGAAGATCCAGTTCTCGGTCTGTTCACAGAGTCAAAAAGAGTTGGAGCCGTCGATAAGAGCCAAAAGACTGGGCGACGGTAAATTGGCGTTGGGTAGTGGTTCGATAGTTAGTCAACTGATGTCCTTTATGCTTTTATTACAGTTTTCCATTGGTCAATGGCACTGAGGTCTGATGAAATCATTTGTTGAAGTCCCGAGGCATTGGTTCTCACTAATCTTGATCGTCTACTTGGCCATAATGTTCCGACTGACAATCAACTTGACAATTGTAAGGTGCATAGTAAACGGCTAAACAGTTTCGTAATGATGTATTAGATGTGCTTTGGGAACACTATAGATATCTGACTGAAATATGGAGAAACGTGTTACGAAATGAGTCCAGAAACCGCAACAAGTCTTCCCGAATCTTGATATTTCACGGGATTCAGAGTGAACCGCAGTGGTGGGACGAACTAGCCCCCATTACTCTAAAAATATGCCACTGGATTCACAGTCAAGCTTTGTACTAATAATTCGAATGGGTCTTAGGAGATAGCCGGTTGTGAACCTTCCCAGTTTCTGGGTCCCCATTATCCCGCTATTGTTGATTTACGGTGCATGAGTTGAACATCCTCAGGTCTAGATACCCTGACTATGAATGAGAAAAACGTAATAGAAAGTATGTCACAGTTCGATGTATCCAAGCGAAAAGTACAACAAATTTTCCCCGCTCACTCACCGGGCCCCTCATCTATAAAAGAAGGGGCGCAACCTCGTAACAGCCCACCTATTCCTAAGGAACAAAACTCAATGCCCTGAAACCCGAATTTGAACACTCAAATATTTATCACTATGTACTTGCCCACAATTATTGCTGTCATTGCTTTGGCTGCTCCCACCGCCTACTGCAGGCCTGGTGGAGAGTTCGACCTCGTCACCAGAGGGGGCAAGTGCCCTGGCGATCAGGAGTGGTGTGGCTGGGATAAGTCGTGCAAGTGTGACAACCTTCATCAGTGGGACGACAGAATCAAGAAGTGCCATTACCCACCTCTGCAAAAGCCCGATTGCAACAGGGGCCAGAAGCCATACTGTGGCAGGGAGGAACGCGATTGGTGCGAGTACGGTATGTCAGGCAGCAAAGAACACCAAACAGGTGCTTAATATTTGCAGATGACAAGAATGACAAGTGTTGGCACGATGGCCATAACAAGGCATTCTGTTGCGCCGATGACCGTGACAGGGATAACCATCTCAAGGACAAGTTCGACCATCATGACAGGTGTCGGGATACAGAGATCTGGGACAGCGACGAAAGGAAGTGCAGGTGTCCGAACGGAAAAGTGTGGCGAGACAACAGATGTCGACACAGGGCGATGAACAGGCCCGACTGCAGAAACGGTGAAAAGCCATACTGTGCAAAGAATCAGCATGACTGGTGCCCATGGGGTGAGACTGTCGCTGTGTTACGGAGCTGAGCATATTTAGGCTAACAAATGACGCAGATGAGTCGAAGAGAGAGTGCTCGGATACTGGCAGGCATGTCACCTTCTGCTGCAAGGAAGGCAAGGAACAGCAGTGGTGCGATAATCACTGGGGAAATTGAACAAGCCTCACAGAATGGATTTTTCTATTACATGATGTAATAACTTTCCCCATCACCGACACTGTTTCAGTCACTCCCTACGGTTTTGTTGCAGTATCTTGAATATATCACCTTCTTCGAGGCAGAATACAATCATTACGAAGTATGAATCTTGGAAATTGGACTGAAATTGAAATAATGAATGCTCCAAAAGCTTTTTTTGGTATGACGTTGAAGTCTGTATAATGACTTAAGCTTCATGAACATGTCGTCTGTAGAAAGATAACTCTACCGTATGGTGAGAAGTTCCTCGCGAATAAACAATGCAATTTTGTATCTTTTCAGATAGGGAGTGCTTTCGCGAATACTGGACACAGCCCATCACCCCAATCGCATGCCCTTTGTATACGAACAAGGAGGATTAGCTTCAAGTGGCGTAGGGGTCAACTTGGCACTACTATTATCCAATAGAAACGAGGGAGCGAACTAAGACATGGTCAGGATAATTGACATGCACTGTGACGTACAATCCCTGGCTTCTCCGGGCGGGGGGTCATGTCAGCATTTAGCAAATGTCTCATTTCTTACTATGGCTTGAGTGTGACTGGAGATCTCAGTGGCTTTTTACCACGCAATATATCCAACCTTACCCCTGACTACTATATGGCATGGCGAGCGGAGAGACACTATGCGAATATTGCTCCCAAATCGACTTCTCGTTTCTTCAGCCGCCCACGAGATCCCAAGTGCTCGCTTTGGAATATGGCAACACATTGCCAAATGGCCATCCTTTGAGGGATAAGTTTGTTCCGTACGAATTCAACAAAAAGCAGCGGCACTGGAGTCTTGGCCTGCAAAGTCGTGTTGCACAACAGACCCATTGCCCGCTATGTAAGGGAGTATGCCAGGTTCTGGAGCAGCACCCGGAGATACCTGAAGCATGGCCCTCGAAAGATTTTAGCGATATATACTGCATCGCTACTACAGATACTGCAAATGTTTACAAGCCTCTGGGGAAAAAGGCCGGGGGCTATGACGTTTTCGGCCTGAGTCGACTCACCTTGTACTGGAGCTGGTCTTCGGGTGAGGATCTCAAGAGACCGGGGCTTGCGGCGCCTGAGGCTCGATCTCACAGATGCGGCCAAGTGCTTGCTATGTGCCGGAATGCTTTTCAAGCCTGTAGTACACGCGATTCTGAATCAACAACCGAAGACAGCGTTGTATTTGGCGGTCGGCCGGTGCCAGCCATGGTGGACCCCAAGTTGCCGGCAAAGTGGCTGCACGACTGTTGCTCTAATCACCAAGAGACCTGTCAGCAGCCTGTGCTTGACGCGGAAAAGTAAAACCGATTCACCCTTCGGTATAAATCCCAGCTGACACGTTTGGTGAGATGCCTAGATTTGTTCCGCCTGATAGACGTCTACAATGAAAACATAGTCGAATTCACGGACACTCCTCTTTCGTCGTTGAAATACGCAACACTCAGCTACGTCTGGGGTGGTCCTCAGGATTCCTGCCTGAAGACTAGTTCCTATCGTTATTTGCTGCAACCGGGAGCACTGAGAAGCACACCAAGGACAATCCGGGATGCCATGTCATTTGCATCCATGTTAGGGATACGATACCTATTTGTTGATGTCTTCTGTATAATGCAGGATGACACGAGTGAGAAGAGAGATCAGCTTGCTAACATGGGAAAGATATACGCCAACGGGTTGGTGTGCATTGTTGCAGCATCTGGGTGCAGTGCCGAAGCAGGACTACCGGGGATTTCGGTCCCAAGGAAACGGCAGATCCAAGTTCCCATTTACGAATGCGGTATAAGTCTTGTCTCGTCATTGAAGCCTGATCCTGCGAGTTATAGTTATGTCGACGGAAGCATATGGTCAACGCGTGGCTGGACCTTCCAGGAGTATTTACTGTCTAAGAGGATCATTTTCTTCATTGACGGGCAAATCATGTGGTACTGTCGATACACAGAGAAGACGGAAGATACTGATTCGGAGCTCATCCCAAAGAATACGCACTGGCATATATCTATCGGTAGTCCAACCACTCTTTCGGACCACGCAGTTCAGCACCCTCGTTTATCGTTGCCTTATCTATGGTCACAGGCCGCAGAAACCTACGCATCGAAGGATTTCACGTTCCCCGGAGACGCTTACGATGGAATAACCGGCGTGATCTCCTTCTTCGAGAAGCACGGCATGGAATTCCTGTGGGGGATGCCACGCAAGGCCTTTGATGTTCAACTGCTCTGGAGCTGCCATAGCGGGCATGGGAGGAGGCAGTGTCGCACGACACTACCCATGGCGTCCACGGGCACGCAGGTACCGTTTCCCAGCTGGACGTGGCTTGGTTGGGAGCCAGGCAAGATTGCTTTTCGGGGTGCATCCAAATAGTAAGATACCATACCCATGTACTGGCCTGCGTGAAGCTCATGACTGCAGCGAGAGTTATGAGATACACATCCGATGTTCCGTTTTGAGGAGCCAGCCGATGAGACTAGAGCAGGTTGATTCCGCCGAGCAGACAATAAAGAGTGAAACTGAGCCAGTTACGATCGAAGACGTCGTCGAAAGCTGTCCCGAGATGACTACTAAGAAGCTATCTAGGGTGCCAGACGACCAGTACCTCGTTTTCCGGGCCGAATGTGCGACTTTCCGCGTGCATGACCATGTGCTAGATATGCAAGAAGTGGTGAAACGGTTATCCAATCTTCCGCCATTGCCAATCGGCAAATGTACAGTAAAGAGGGAAGTTCTAAACAACAAGGGTCAAAGGGTGGGGGAATTTGTTGGTCTTTATCTCATGCCAGAGGGTGAAGAGCCTGGTAATCGTTACGAGTTCGTGCTGGTCGCGACCCGGAAAGGCTTTCGTCGGCCCATCGACTTGCTGGTGATACAGAAAGGCTCCAATGGGATAGCCTCACGCGTGGGAGTGGCTCAGTTAGATGGCGATGCATGGTCACAAGCTTCCCGCCGTGAACAGGTTATCATTCTCAACTGAGTGGTGATATTCATTGACCTAAGGCTTCCTCTTGTCGTCACTGTCGACCTGGAGAGGCTGTGATACTACTGTTAGCATCAAACGTCGACGGTCGGTCACATGCAAGACGCGCATGTTGAGCAGCCGTCGTTTAACAGTGCTGCAAATGAAGATGCATGACGAGATGGAGATTCTGCACGTTTTGGCATATATGGCGGGTTCGGGAAATCCTGCTTTGGGCTTAGAATAACAGGGGACCTGGGGCCTGTGATGGTTACACTAGGGGGAGGCTTGGGAGGTGATGCGATGAGGCTCCATTCACAGTGATCGTGAGATAGCCCGAGATGGCTTCCAGCTAGATTGTTAGTGGGTGGGGAGGGCGCTATCGGCCGCTATGACGAAAGGGCTCGCGAATGGTGGCTGTTCAATGGATGACATAGATAACGTAGCCTCTTGAGGCTGAGAATCAGGGAAATCAAGGTTTGTTCTCACGGGCAGGAACATGTCTCAGGGAGGTGATTCACGATTCTCAGATCTGCCTGTTTCTGAAATAGCGATAGCGACTTTGTTTTCTGGAGCAGACAGACAACTCACCCGACTGCATTTATCTATACCCACGGCGATCGTGATAGCTAGCTGGAGCTCGCCCGCAATACCTGGCCACCCGCCGTTCACATTCTGACATCCAATCCCATTGTCCCTGGTGCCCCGCGACGCCCGGCGCAGTATCCAGCCCGCCATCGAGCCCACCAAAGCTCCACCGCAAATAGCTCAGCGCACCACCCGCCCACGGCACGGCACCACCGAGCAAAACCCAGGGCCCACAGAAGGCCAGAGCCCAGCAAGCCCCCAGGCCCCATCAAAGCCCCAGCAGAGCCCAGGGCCCAGAGCCGTGCTATTTAGAAAAAAAAACCCCTCCCGATTCCCGAACTCTAACCCCCCCTGTCCTTGGTGACGCACCGACCACGGAACTGGCCGCCAACCCCGACTGACGACTGACGACTGACGACCCCCAAAGCCCAGGGCGACACACGGGCCCACCGTCGTCATTTTCCCACCGTCCAGCCACCTCAGCAGCTTTCTGATCCCTCCACCGAGATATCGCATCGTCGTGATTTGTCCGAGGCCTCACAACAGCAGCACACTTCCCGAGCTTCATTCTTACCTTCTACATCCTCGACAACCACAGCTACCCTCAACCCTGCGCTCTCTTCCCCTTCGTGAGCCTCGTAGCCCGTTCATACCGACAGCATGGCTCCCCCACCGCCCGCGAACCTGCCTCTGCAGGAGAGAATCTTGGCCCTGGCAAAGACGCTTCAGTGTACGTGTCTCTTCCCACTCTCCTGAACGTCGCGTACTGCTACCCTGAGGAGGCTCCGCTAACACACCCTTCTCTGCAGTTGGCTGGTTCACCGGGTAAGTGCATGATCATGATCGCTGTCGCAGATGCAGCCCGAGACCAGGCATCGTCGACTCGACGTCGAGCTGCTTGCGGGTCCGGAGGCCCCACGACACAGCGGCGGGCGGGCGGGCGCAGAGAGAAGACAAGGCCGATACAGAAGCTAACAGCTGGCGCAGACACCTGGTGCTCCTGCTTTGCATCTTCCGCTACTCGCTCTCATACATCCGAATGAACTACTACTCCCGCACTGCCCAGTTCACTTACCGCACCGCCTTTGTGGCCGCTGCCGCAACCTACGGAATCGTCGTCTACAAGACATGGAGAGCCCGCCAAAAGGTCGGCGCAAAGTACCCCGGCGGTGCCATCGGTCTCCTGTCCGATGAGAACGTGCAGTATCTCGGTGAGTCTTGCTCTTGCAGCGAAACGCGTGGCCACCGTAGCTAACAGGCACCCAGCCATGGCTTTGGTCTGGCTCTTTGCGCCCCAGTACCCTCTTGCCATGCTCCCCTACGGCATCTACTCCATCTTCCACGTTGCGACCTACACCCGTGCCAACGTGATCCCCACCATCTCGCCGCCCCAGGGCGCCGCCGCGGGTGCTTCCCCGGGTGCCAAGTCCGGCGGCAGCCCTCTCGCCGACGCCATCGGCCAGTTTGTCAAGACCTACTATGACATGTCCATGTCGGTTGTGTCGGCCCTCGAGATCCTCCTGTGGGTGCGCCTGCTCTTCTCGGCCATCCTGTTCCAGCGCCGCTCCTGGATCCTGATTGCCCTCTACACCGCCTTCCTCCGGGCCCGCTTCGCGCAGAGCTCGCACGTCCAGAACTCATTCGGCCTCATCGAGGCTCGCGGCGACTCGCTCGTCGGACAGCAGAACACCCCGCCCATGGCGCGCCAGGTCTGGGATGGTGTCAAGCAGGGTGCGCGCCAGTTCCACGCCGTCACCGACGTGAGCAAGTACGTCAGCGGAGGTGCGGTGCCCAAGAAGACGTCCTAAGCGAGGTCTCCTCCGGGTCCCTCCGGGTCCCGCTTCGAAACGATGTCGAGGTGTTATGCTGTCGACGATCAAACGTGCCTACTGGTGATATGGCGAAACGACGACGGCGAGCCGCGACAGGGCTTTTGCGAAGACGGAGGTGAGGTACTAGGCTTGTCCTGGTTCTGCGCTCGATGAATTGAGCGGCAAAAAGGGGGGCATATCTTGGTCACAGGGAAATGAAGAGAAGGCATGCAAAGGGGGTTCATAAAGGTGTCTATTCATTTTTGGGCCTGCCGTTTTCGGAGTTGGCGAACACGAGCACTATAGGTTTTTCTGCGGCTTGTATCGATTGGAAGACATCGTCTTACTTCAGTATTTTTTCTTACGGTAATGAGTTCCTCGCCAAGAAACACGAGTTCCATGATCCAGATCTGAGCTTTCCATGTCCACCCCTATGAGATGCTATCGTGCAGTCGTGCAGTGAATGTTGCTTCACGACCGAGGTGCATGTCGATCCACTAATCCCAGCCGCTGCTCATTGCCGATCATTCCGATATAAGTTACGCATCACAGCAGAGTACCTACCTACCTACTCCGTAGCTAGAGCTCCAAATGACGTCAGCCCGGGCTCGATAATGGGCCTCACCAGATCCAATCGCGAGACCACCAGTGCCACGGCAAGCCTTTGTCTCCTGGGTCGAAGCAGTTGGGAAATCGCTGGTTCTGCTCAGCTCAAACGACTGGCTCACTCGGCCAAGTGAATTAATTGTGCGTGGCCGTGAGGCGTTGTTCTGTGGAATCAGGTTACGGCACGTCGCACTGAGCCACACGTCACCAGCCTCACGTTGGCGGGTCGGCATGACGTAGCCGCGCGGACCGCAGGATCCCACGTCTCCTACCAGCTTGTCGGGCTCGTCATTCCAAGGATGCACCATAAACCGGCCTTGGCTATAGTATCCACGTACGATTGAGAGAGGGCGACGCGTGACAACCTACTGGAAGTGGGTTTCTTCAACATCCTCGACATGCTAGATTCTTGGCCTTGAAACAACCGTCTATCTTGGTGTCAAACTTACCGGCCACGCAACACCATGGCTTCTCTACTTCGCCAAATAGTCGCCGGGCCTCGCGCAAGGCATCCCGAGGCTGGCCTGGACCTGTGCTATGTGACAGACAACATTATTGCGACGTATGATGCTCCCCTCAAGATTCCTCCCATCCCAGCCCTGACTAGACCACTGCTGACCCTATCAAACCTGCAGCTCGGGCCCTTCGCAAACCTACCCCCAGCGTGCCTACAGAAACCCGCTCGACAAGCTGGTCGAGTTTCTCGACTCGAAACATGGCAAGAACTGGGCAATATGGGAGTTCCGCGCCGAAGGTACGGGCTATCCAGACGACTTGGTCTACAACCGCATCAGACACTATCCCTGGCCCGACCACCACCCCCCGCCTTTCAGACTGGTCCCCATGATCATGGCCAGCATGCGCAACTGGCTAAACGGCAACGATCTCGACCAAGACGGCGTTGGCTCGACCGAGAACAAAGGCAACAAGCTCGTTGGGAAGGTCCTCGACGCCTGGAAGGACAAAAAGTCCCCTCGCGTCATCGTCGTTCACTGCAAAGCCGGCAAGGGGAGGAGCGGCACGTCTGCCTGCAGTTTCTTGATCTCGGAGTGCGGGTGGACACCAGAGCAAGCCCTGGCCAGGTTTACCGAGCGACGGATGCGCCCAAAGTTCGGCCCCGGCGTCAGCATACCGAGCCAGCTGCGGTGGATCGGCTATGTCGACAGGTGGACGAAGGGCCACAAGAAGTACGTGGACCGCGAGCTTGAGATAGTCGAGATCCACGTCTGGGGCCTCCGCAGCGGTGTCAAGGTGGCCGTCGAGGGCTTCATCGATGAGGGCAAGAAGATCAAGGTCTTCCACACCTTCCAGCGTGAAGAGCGTCTCATCATAGAGGGGGATGCCCCAGGTAGTGCTGGCATTATGGACTCGATATACGACATGGCGGGTTACGGCATGACGCCAGCTGAAGAGCAGGAGGTCCTAGACGAGGCGAGGAAGGCCGACGAGCAGAACGGCACCAACTTCACCAAGTCCAAGCCCGAAAATATAGACACTGGCACCCCGGATTCGGCCACTGCCAAGCCAACCAAGCGTTACTCGAAACTCATATCGCCCATCTCCAGGAACTCATCAACTCGCAGCGCATCCGGCGCTAAACCATCGCGGTCAAAGTCCAAGAAGGAGAAGAAGGACAAGACCAAATCCTCTCCCTCAGCAAACTCATCCTCCTCATCAGTCAACAAGCTCAAGGTAGACCCGGAGCCCGGTGGCAAAGCCGTCATCTTCAAGCCACACGAAGCCATCCGTGTGCCTACTGGCGACGTCAATATCACCGCGGAGCGCCGTAACCGTGCTCCCAGCTCTATGGGGCTGACAATGGTGACGGCAGTAGCCCACGTGTGGTTCAATGCCTTCTTCGAAGGCAACGGGCCGGAGCAAGATGGGAAACCCGACAACAACGGCATCTTCGAGATCGAGTGGGACAAGCTGGACGGTATTAAGGGCTCCTCGCAGAAGGGCACGCGCGCGTTCGACCGCATGGCAGTCGTGTGGAGGTTCGCCGAGCCCGGAAACACCGAGAAGGGCGACGTCATCCACGAGCCCGGCACCGACTCCCCCGTCCCGCAGATGGAGCCCGCCGACTGGAAGGGCGGCAACGAGGAAGATCCCGGGCGGGAGAAGAAGCTCGGCCTGCGGGTGCACAGCCCGGATAGCGCCAACGTCAGCGAGGCCAGCAGCGTCAAGAGTGAGGAGGTCGGCACCAGGGACGACGGCAAGGACGCCGCAGAGGTCGACTCGCTCAAGGGAGTCAAGAGCGACCTACCCCCTGCGACCGGCGACGAGGAGGAGCAGAGCAGAGGCCGGGCCGGCGCCAGCGACGCGGCCAAGCTGGAGGCCTACGCTGAGAAGCTGCCGAGTCCTAACGGCTCGTCCAGCCCGAGCGGCTCTGGGGCTGGCGAGAAGAAGTGAGACAGACGGAGATCATGAAGATTATAGATCAGACCTGATTGAAGTAGTGAACGGCCTGTCGTGTAAGAGATATTAATATACACCTGTATTAGTTACTGTTCATCAATGACATTGCTGTCTTTCCATAAAGACAATCCAGTCTACTTAAAAGGAACATATCAAGGTGTCTACTTGATCCTGACACAGAAGACATGATCGTTGTCAAGAATGCGTTTGCTAAATCTAACTGCAGATGTTGCTGATGTGATTAGGGTGATGGCATTCTAGTTTCGGACTCGCAGATCCGATCCTCTTCGACTTGATTAATTCATGACTGAGGACCTTTTGACCATATGCCCCCACAATGTGGAACGACTGGCCCGATTCAGGCACTGATGTTGGACGGTCTCATTGATAACTAGGCGAGTGCATTCACCTACGTTTCGAGCTTGATCTCCGGGCTTATACCTTTGAGCAGTTTATTTGCATAGCTTGTTACATAGGTAAACCGACCGGAAGCAGCAGGCAAGGGCTCGCGCAAATTCAACTATTAGATACATGGAGCTCAAATCAGCCGTGGGCCTCGACTCTAAGACACGTAATTTTTCCATAACCAGATACTTCCGTAGACTGCACCTCCAGCTACAGAGAAGATACCGAGCCAGACCTGCGCAACCCGGAGCAAAACCTTTGTAGCGTAGGCATCTGCGGCGGCGCCGTCGTTCGCTCGTGGGAAGGGCTCGTCGGGAATAGGCACGCCAAGGAATTGGCAGAGTGGGCCCCAGCCGTCCTTCAGATCCATTTCCAGTAACTGTCCCTTGGGAACGGCGGACCTCACTTTCTCGTGGTGCGCTTCCAGGATGTCTGTGCAGGACATAAGTGTCAGCTATCGCGAAGTAGTAAACTTGATGAGAAAACACGTACGCGGACCGCCGCGCTTGATCAGATCAGCTGGGCTGGCATTCTTCTCGTTCACGCCTGCGAGCCGCAAAGTGGAGCGGCTGTATACACTTGCAAAAGTGGGTATGTAGCGCCATCCCGGAATGGGCGCAACTACGAGACCCAGCCACGAGGGAGTGGTCCGACTGGTGAGGGTCGCGACGCTGTTCCACCACTTCTCCGGATCCCGCCGGACCAATACCACTTTTGCGTCGGGGTATACCTCCATCATCTCGGGGATGAAGTCGGAGGGGGGCAGGTCGGCGGTCGCCACGAAGCCGGCCGTAGCTTTCCGAACTAGCTTCAAGGTCTCCTCCTTGTTCCCGGCCTCTCTCGCCTCGTAGGCTTTGATCCATGTGCTGCAGTAGTCTAAAGGCTCATTAGTCAGTCAGTTGATCGACAGGTAGCTCTCGTTTGTGGGCCAGTTTTACCATCATCGCGCACCAGGATCTGAGTTCCGCCATGAAGAACGGGACCATCTACCAGCTTTTCCAATGCCATGGACATGGACACAGTGCCGGTTCTCGAGTAGCCGGCAGATATGACCTGAACCTTCCGAGAAGGATCGGTCGGTATGGACGCAACTCCGCCCATGATGAAGAAGGTTCTACAGACTCTACAGGCTCATCAATTGACGACCGGTCCCGAGGCAGACAGAAGGCCTACCTAGTAGTCTATACGATTTGACCTTGGGAAGAACAGGAGCCGTTATCTTTCAAGAATGCCTGCCGGCCTTGCTGACTGTAAGGATGAGCTCTTCGAAGGATTCTTCCCGTGCAAGCCCCTTACCGCTGCAGTGCAACCAACAAGGAGAGCTGTGTGGTTGTTACACACACCCATCCACACACCACCTCTGGGCGCCGCCGTTACTCAATGGGGGTACCCTGCGGAGAATTGAAAGTACCACGTAGGCAATGAACAAACGGTAGTTGCTTGGTTCGTGCCGTGATGATACGTGGAGCTATTGAACAACTGCATCTCAGCCGCGGGGTAGGAGCAGGGGATCCGGGGCTATGGGGGTGGGCTGCCTTGGCTGCCTAGGTAGGAAACCAACACATCGCCCGGAAATCACTTACTACAGTTGAGTGTCGGCATGCGTAGCCGACTATGTAGATTCCTATTTCTGGAACCTGCAACTAGACACTAGGCCGGCCAAAGAATTGTGTCAGTCAGGTGTGTGGTTGCAATATGCACGCTGCCAGCACGGCGGAGGCGCATATTCCTTGTATAAGCATCGCGCGGCAACCTCTTATCCTGGCCCCACCATGGATGTGACGGGACGTGATACCGGGACAATGTATGTGACGCACCATAATTCCACCCAGGCACCGTTCAGTCGCAGGAGGGAGGATTTGAGATGATGAAAACCACTGCGCAGTGCCGCGCCGACGGCCCCCTATCTGCATGACTCGTCTGTTCAGGGGCAGCGCGTTACTTTCGGCCCTATAGCTTTGCCGCAAAGCGATCACAGTCGACCGGTTCGCAAGGACAAGGCTCCATTCGAGATGAATTGGACCGCCCACGTACATGTTGTGCATAATCTCATGTGCTTACGTAGATCTCGCCTCTGCCTCAAAGGGCTTACCAACTTGCCTGCCAGACCTCGGCAGTCTTGCCAAGAATGCAACACCTTTAGCCTGCAGGGTACTTTCCGTATGTAACAAAGTCGTGGCCCCTGTTATTCCGCGCCGCCTATTTCCCCTTATCGCACTTTTTTCGTCACACTTCATCTGCACTTGGGTTCGGTCAGGACGCGCCATCGGTAGCTGCGTGTTCTCAATCATCCATAATTGCTGTCCTGTGGTAGCTAAAAGTCCCGATACCTAGGGCAGTAGATGCTCCAGACAAGATTGCCGATGTAGCTGTACAGCACCGCCTCTAGGTAAGCACGAAGGTCACGGGAAAGTGACAAGTCATCCCTTCTCTCCTCAAGCGTGTCACTGTACGTGGAGATGGCTTTGAGAGCCTCTTCGCGACAGACCGACTTGGCCTCTTCCTCCCCAATGTTTCTTTCCTTCATGATGACCCATATGGCATTGAACACATAGTCCTGGCCTGCTCGAGTGGCAGCGTCCCGCTCTTTGTCCCAGGAGTACAGATCATTCACTAGACCCAAGGCAACATAGGCCGGTCGTGCCAGCTCCATGCAGAGTTGGATTTCCTCATCCGGGATGGTGAGTGCCATCCCAAACGTCAATGTGCCGTACCAGATGCTGGAACAGGTCTACGCTTAGTGTCTAATAGCTCGTCGATGAGTTCTACACTTACAGTTCGCCAGCATCGACAGCTCGTGCGGGCATATACTCTTCCAATGTCTCGAAGGGCGATGATCTTGTCTTGGCTGCCGACTGCACAAACAGTGCCCATGCCTTCATTGAAGTGATGGCTCTTTCGGGGTCAACAGCCATCATGTCAGCCAGCAATCGGGCTTGCAGTCGCTTTTCTGGCCTGCATTTGGTGCTAACGCTAGAGTTGAGAGCGCCATCCCCAAAAGTGTCCAGGAACTCGGTGGTCTCTCCTGTATCTCTTTTCAGATCGAATTTCTCCATCCTGTCTGAAAATGGGTCAGCGCCTGATGAATCTTCCGCTTGAAACGAAGTACCTACCGTCATACAGGAACGCATACTCGTTTGCGTACGAGATCAGCTCAAGTCTGTCAGGTAGACACTCAGGGACCGTGACACAGATGAAGCTGTAGGGCTCTCCTAGTCCACCGTTATAACCATTGACGGGGTTCACATTTTTCGTCCAGTCCTTCTGGGCCCGAAGGGCGCCTTTGACTTCCGTTGGTTTGTCTTTGTGCATACGGAGCGCGATACCATAACCAAGTCCACACGTCTCATAGACGCTTGGATCTATCACTTCAGAGTACTGGAATTCCATTTTTCAAGTTTATTGGTCATCGATGGTAGCGCAATGTACAAAACGTACAAGACCAAACTACGAGGTGACTCAAAATTACCGGGTACTTATGGTTTTATGCACCGGCGAGTCGCTCGAGGGGAATGGGGGAATCACGATTAGCCGAACATGTCCGTATCTGATGGCCCCAATAAGACTAGCAAGCGTGCAAGATGATTTCATGATTGCCATCACTGGTAGAATGCTATATCGCGGCGCGGAACCATGCAAGGAGCAAACATGTTGATACAGTTCGCCCAGTCGCATCTCAGTAGACGGGGGCTGCTTGAGACAGGGGTAGGGCGAAATAACGTAAGTGGAATACTCAGCCGAATGGTTACATTGCATGAACTTTTTGGTTTGTCGGGCCCTCGCGCCCAAAAGGCCTGCGGATCACGGTGCGGGCTTTACGTGCGCATCTTGGCATCTGCCAGCCCTAGCACATGTGGAAGAAACTCGGTTTGCTTTCACATCATATTTCTCCCATGCTTTACTATCTCCTTGTGACCGTGTGCATCTTATAGGTTTTAGACGTCCGAACAAGATGGATTTGCACTACTTAGGTGACTCACAGGTGATGGCGGCTGCACTGACACTGTTATTGGCCCAATGTTTATACTCACTGTTGGTCGTCATTTACCGCCTCTACTTTTCGCCTCTGGCGGGCTTTCCTGGGCCTCGGATCGCTGCAGCAACAGGCTGGTATGAATTCTATTACCAATATTGGCTCAACGGCAAATACATTTTCGAGATTGAGAAGATGCACAAGAAATATGGTAATTGGCGCTTCCTGGCCAGGGCATAGGCTGCGCTAAATCACTTATAGGCCCCATCGTCCGAGTTAACCCTGATGAACTCTCCATCCACGATGCTGATTTCTACAACGAGCTGTACGTCACAGAGAACAAGCGACGGACCGACCACTATGACAGTTTTGGCAAAGGAATTGGCTTTGACGGTTTGTTCATCCACCTCAGTATGTGATGATCTGAGCTGATATGTGTCATACAGACTCCCACTTCCTAACAAAGGAGCATGATCTTCATCGTGTACGAAGAAAGGCTTTGGAGCCATTCTTCTCTCGACTTGGGGTCACGCGATTGCAGCCAGTGATTTCTGAGGTAGCTCTGCACCTGGAGTCTCGGTTGAGAGAGTATGCTGGTACGGACCAGGTTATTCGACTTGATCATGCATTCACGGCCTACGCGGGGGACATTGTGGGAAGGATGTGCCTCGACACCAAAGAACGTAGCGACAGATTCCTAAGCGACCCCGACTTTTCACCTGACTGGTATATTTATCTTCCCCAAAGAACGCCGCGCAATCTTACACTGGCCCAGGTACAACTCCATGCTAATGATCATACGCTCTCTGCCTCTGATGACTTCTTTTCCGTGGCTTATTTGGTATGTCAACAACCATTGTAGATCCATCAAATCTAACATCAAGGCAGGATCTTGAGCTTCATTCCAGAAGGAGCACTTTTATGGCTTTACCCTCGCGGTCAAGGATTCAGAAGGCTGGCCGAGGTAAATAAAAATTCGATCGATATGGCCTCAAGGCTCAGAATCTAATCTGGTTTACAGAGAGCTAGAGATAACATCCGGAAAGCCCTATCAGGCGATGCTATAAATGACGAGAATGTGTCATCTCTATTCCACCACGTTGTGACCAGCGATATGCCAGAGGAAGAGAAGTCCGAGCCGCGTCTTCTAAAGGAAGCGCAGATGATACTCGCCGGGGGTTCTTGGACCAGTGGCCGCACAATTGGTGTTGCAGCGTATCATATATTATCTCGACCACACTTGCGAGCTGAACTTCAGAAGGAACTGAAAGAACCCATGGCTACGTGGCCTCAGAATGTCCCAACGTGGGCTGAGCTGGAGAAGCTAGAGGTCCTACAAGCTATCATCAAAGAAGCTTTACGGTATGTCGTGGCAGTCTTCGTCAGCTCAGGTGGATCTTGGCACTAATACTCGGGTGCAGTATCAGTTATGGGGTGATGCATCGCTTGCCGCGGATCTCTCCAGATGTGCCGATCCAATACAAACAGTACACTATCCCAACTGGGGTATGCAACTTGGGTAGATCTCCGTCCTGCTCTCTATATACTGACCGATCTTGCAGATTCCTGTCGGGATGTCGTCATACCTCATGCAGTCAGATCCCGATGTGTACTCATCACCTTCTGAGTTTATTCCCGAACGATGGATCGGCGAGGTTACGCCCGCGATGAACAGAAACTATGTGCCTTTTGCGAAAGGCTCGCGGAACTGCCTCGGTATCCAGTAAGTCATCATCAGTATGCTACTGCATGCAAGTACTAATCTGGCTGTCTTTGATTGCAGTCTGGCAATGGCGGAAGTGACCTACGCCTTGGCGGCGCTATTCCGTCCAAATGGACCCAAGCTAGAACTCTTCGAGACTGATGAAACCGATGTGCGGATGGTGCATGATTTCATGGTAGCCACTGCCAAAGTAGATAGTAAGGGCATTCGAGTCAAGGTCCTATGAGCTCAGAGCAAGGCACCCAGCAAAAGATGGCCCCTTGAATCTCTCGGGCCCGGATCTCTCTTTCAAGTCACTTACATTATGTAACGTAGGAGCCACGGCAGCGTTTGGGTTTCACCAGGGTGTTGCTGTTACACAGCATACGTCCGAACTTTGGAGTAGCGAGTACCCAATGATAATTGCAGATTTTCAATGTTACGGCACATACGCATATTGCTGACCCGGTGCTGAGTCCCCGGGATCCCGCCTTTCTGTTGTAGAGCCACCTTCCAACTACCGACCGTTGAAAAGTTGGGGGCGATCGGCGGAAAATCTGTCATATTCGAAATGTAGACTAGAACGAAGCCAAGAAGCGTATGAAGCCAAGCACAGTCGGGCGCTTATGCGGTCATCCAAATTGCCGAGATTGATCAGCCATTTCCCGCCTGCAAGAGAATCCTACGGCGTAACGGCTGTATCTGGTTTGGCGCGCGATTGGCTTGCCTAGCCAGCCCGGGTGGCCAGCACCCTTTGCGACAATAAGCTAATCCTACTCTGACTGCGTGCTTATCAATGGCCAGAAACGTAGACACCAACGGGTTTGCAGGAATAATAGGGTTCCATGTCGCATGCGGCCTCGATTGGTCGATGCTCAGCTCACTCTCAGGTGATGTCGTGTTATGGTTGGGTTGGATGGGTATTGTCGCAGTGCATATCAACCAAGTCAGGTGCTGGCTATTGATATACTCAGCTTAGTACCACGTTCTGTGGAGTCTCACTTAAAGTCCTACCAGAGACTTGTGGGCCATATGGTGTGGAGATTTGGCCTGCCAAGGACGAGTTGGTATATGCTCCTCCCATTCGTGCCTTCACGGCAACTTGGTGGGCCCTCGACGCTTCGAATCTTGCCTCCAGCTAAGGGAATCGGATGCGACGTCCGTAAGATGACATGTGTCAAGCTCGTGTATAATTCACTTAACCGTGCTGCTGTCATTCATTCGGTTATGCATCTAGCCCCCTGTCTGATGTGCATCGAAGGAAGCATGCAGTGCAACCACATTCCGAATTGCCTCGCCTCAGCCACCCTCCAATAACGCGACTTGGAGGGTTGCAAGAAGCCTTCCGAGTCTGCTGAAGGAATGATCCCTCGCAGGTCCCCTTAAATCCAGACGAGTAGAAGAAAGCGCCACCAAGACATGTCCTCCCGCCGTAAGCTGACTCGACGTTGATTCTTCTTTCCTTGCACTCCTTCTTCTAGTTTTTTTCCTATCACAACATCTCGTCATGTCGTCACAGTGGTCGCAAGGTGTCGTACCGCCTCCCGAGGGCGTTACGCCCAACTTGGTCAACCCTCCAAACCAGTTGGAGAAGAATATCGCAATCCACGCTGTCTTTCTCACCCTGAGCACGCTATCCGTGGTGATGAGATTATACACTCGCATTCATGTATCTCGGGTTAAATTAGGTGCCGACGATTGTAAGTCATAACTATATAGTCATCCATGTTTTGCATAAAGCTAAGATGTCTTGACACTATAGATCTCTGTATATTCGCGTGGGCAAGTACATACCGCCACCGACGCACGGCCCTTTGAATATATAGACTAACAGTTACGTGATAGGCCGCCACAGCAACCTGGTCAGGAGTACTTTTTGAATGTGCGTTTACGGTGGTTTTTTCCTAAGCTCATGATGGGAACATCGCTGACTAGATGAAAGGTTTCAGATGGGGAATCGGTCGTCATATGTGGGACGAGCCTCCGGCCTGGCTTGTATCTGCGTTGATGGTTTGTCTACCTTGATCCGAAACAACACCAGCGTTCACTAACAATGTTCATAGTACCAGACTATTGCCTCCCAGATCTATCTCGTCGCTGCCACCGCTATCAAGCTCAGCCTGCTCTTCTTATATCGCCGCCTGATGAACCTGCAAACGAAGCGGACAACGAAGTATCTAATCGACGGAGGCATCGTCGTCATTCTTCTCTTCAATATTGGACTGCTACTTGGCATCATCTTCTTCTGCATACCAGTACAAAAGGCTTGGGATAACTCCATAGAGGGTCGCTGCTCATCTCCTGCGCCGCTTTCCTACCTTTCTGGGGTTTGGAACTCTCTGGTAGATATCTATGTGCTCGTACTTCCTATTCCCCTTGTATGGGGGTTACATATGGGCCCTAGGAGGAAGCTGAGACTTGCTGCTGTCTTCAGCGTTGGTATATTGTGAGCCGAGTCCCAGCATTATTCCCAAGGCTTGACAGCTACTGACTCTCTCACTAGTGCGTGTGCGGCAAGTATTGTTAGGCTAGCGTTTACGCCTGTCCTACAGAGCGATCCCGACTCTACATACAATATCGCGCAGGTTTCAATTTGGGCGTAAGTTCCTCACTGATACTTAAGCTAAACGAGTTATTGAGAGTCTGACATGTAATTAGAACACTCGAGATCAACATCGGACTTATCTGCTCCTGTCTCATATTACTACCTGCATTCCTTCGGCACCACCTACCAGAGAGTACCAAGTCATACTTGCGTTCCATCTCTGTCAGCAAATCGAAGTCGAAGAAGAGCTCAATGAACGACAAGCAAGATGGCTGGCAAGGATACCATCACCAGGTTGGTTCGGACTCGCAAAAGCTTGTTGCTTTGGGACAGGAATCCCAAATCAGGAGAACCGACACGTTTACGATGCAGAGCATGCCCGCGACAAGTGCACCAATGGATCTGGAGGCCGGGGAGCCGATGACAGTGAGGAAGGCCTTCTAAGCTATTATGAAGACGAGTATTCCCTGCTGCTTATCGACAACGATCTGTCGAGCTGCACCACGCATCATCGAAGTATATAGATCGACATAAAGTGCGACACAAACCGCCACTATCTTAAGCTGGCTGGCCATCAGGAGATTGGGTGTCGGATGCTCGCACCTTGGTATGCACACTATGAGCTGTGGCGATCGGACGGATGGTAATGTAAATTTGCACGATATATCACGTGAAACATAAAAGAAAACATATGATCGATTCAATGCTTCCTGAACTGTTCAATATTTTTACGTCTGTCGCTTCAACCGTGCAGTTGATTGCTTTGCCCTCCTGGAAGAATATCCTCTCTCGCCACGGTGTTCGTGGACTATGCAGTGGGGAACAGAATCGACACGGCTTAGTTGATGCGGCGAGGCTGAACTTGCACGTAATGGTAGTATAACCAATCAGTCTCGTGTTTGGGTGGTTGCAGTCCACGTGATGGTATGTTGCACAAGCCCCCGCGAGCACGGCATCAACACATCCAGTCATTCAGAGACGAAGTTCCACGGTCGAGTCACACCGGGTTCAGGCAAAACCAAGTAACTTTTGTCCCCTTGAAATTTTCAACTAGCTGCGGTATGTACGGGACGTTTCGACAATCTCGATTCACCTATGGGCATGTTGTTGCTGAGGATGAGCTGCGGTTACTGCGGCCCTTGCCAAGTCGTAGCGATTCGCCTTCTTTCTTGGTGTTGAAAGTTCGAAGATCAGCAGCGCCGAAGTACACTGCAGTTTCATACACGTGGGGAGATGAACAGCCATCTAGATTTGTTTACCTGGATGGTAAACAGTTCCCGGTTCGTCGCAATCTATGGTCGCTGCTCCACTACCTGAGCCCAGTCGCACTCGCACAAGATCGCCACTGGGACTACCTGTGGGTGGACGCCATTTGTATAAACCAGGATGACGACTCGGAACGTGCTGCTCAAGTAAGCCGCATGGACCAGACTTATCGCAATGCAACTTGTGTCTCTGTTTGGCTTGGACTGCCTTCGATTCCCAGTGAACTTTTCACTCTACACCCCTCCAGCGAACCAATCAACACATTGGAGGTGGACATGTACGACTGGGAGGACTCTATGGAGGATCTCGCGAATCGCCCGTACTGGTCGCGTTTCTGGGTAATCCAAGAATCCCTGCTTGGCCAAGACGTCGAGCTGTATTGTAGCAATACGAGAATGAACTGGGCGGATTTCAAGGATATTCTCTGCCGAGTAGCTGGCGTTGATCAATATGGCGATTCACCGTACAGCACAGAGAACACAGGGTCGAGAGCCTTTGGCGCTTTCCCACTGGTCATGGGCCGACACATCGACAAGCACCCGGAGTATTTGCAACCACTTCACGATCTGATCATTGACCACCGTCACTCCAAGTGCAAAGAGCCAAGGGACAGGGTTTTCGCACTGATAGGGCTTACGACACAGGATGAACAAGGTCTGCTGCGGCGAGTGTTCCCGGACTACCGCATGCCGGAAGACCACGTGCTGGTTTATACGCTTGCTCATGTAATGCAGTACGGACCACTGATCGCAATTCAACGTGAACAAGGCTTAATCACAGTAAAGTCAGATGACTTGTTCCAGGGACTTGGCGTGACAGGGGACTACCAAAGGAGGAAGAAGCTTCTTCGCCAAGCCAAAGCCCTTGACTACTTGTCTGGAGAATCTGCGGAAGAACTCCAGTATATGTTGGCCTTGCATGATGATGACTTCTCCCCCTATGATGAGGATGATAACGTGGAACCAGCAGCCAACAAGGGTTGGGCGCGCGGGAAGTTTGCACGAGGCGTAGTACTCATGATTATCGTTGTGATTGCAATATCACTTTGGGTACGAAACGGTTAACGGACATACTCAGGTCGACGTCTCCAAGGTAAATTTTGAAATCATATCTTGGCCAAAGATTGCTGCAGTCTCTCTGTCACGAGGATATGTGGGCAACATGATAACTTGTGGATGGGGTGACTCTCCGCTACGGCGGCCCGGACCTGCAGTCCTTGGAAAAATTGTACTACCGATCGATCTTATACTTTAACGCGGATTGGTTTAGTTGTACGTACACCGCGAACGACGGCTGGCACTCATTCTTTTTTTTTTTTTTCGAGTTGTGTTGATGAATGCTACCTGAATCAACGAAGCTCACACTCGGTCGTGAAACTACTCGCCTCAAATACACCCCAGAAATTGTGTGGCTGCTGCCGCATCTGGCCATGGTACGACAGAAAGCCTATTCGGGTAAAGTGTTCGTTACCGCTGGTTCGGCAGATAATGAGAAAGTACCGCTTGAAATTCTCGACCCTTAGAACCTCCAAGATACACACTCGTCGTCGATAATCCTTCCATTGTTGCTGATCATGGTCCATATACACATCCCGAAGGTCGCTGACTTCCCTGATTATCGTCGAGGTCAAATACCAAAAGACCCACCGATGATGCCCAACATGAGTCTCATATGTGAGATCGCAAGGCAGTAGTCTGCCCCGAATGACAATAGAGCTGCTGATCAGGGTGCTGAAGGGGTTCTCGTCTGCAAACTCACACTTCGCTTCGACGACTTCTGCGAGGCTAGTTACCGTACTATCTCCTTTCTGCAGATAATACACGCCGCCTTTCATGGACGCCCAAGTCCATGTCGGTAGCGAGGAGGATCGACATAAAGCCTTCTCTTTTCGGGACATGTCAAGGCCCAAGGGCTTACATATCCAGAGAAGGTCAGCCAGCAACGAGCCTGACCACAATCCAGCTAAGTATGTCTCCCCAGGGCGCGCTCGTTGGTATTGCTCGGCTATCGCTGCAAGGGCGGGCAACATGTCGGTTGATAGAGTCAAGTCAAGGCGCGAGTAATCTGTAACAATATCAGATCTCCATGATTCTTGTATGCGACGTTGTCGTGTGTCAGCATCGAGGTCGTCTGGACCATTAGCCGTGCTTGAACTCTGAGTGTCAACAACAAGGCTAAAGAATTGTGACTTGGCCAAGCCCATCAAGCTCCAATCACCACGGATCTCCTGCTCAGTTGCACTGCATTCGCATGCAACTGAGCCGAAACATTGAAATATTATCTCGCTCGCGGTGAAATACAGCACCCTTGGCGATGTCAGTCTCTCTTGGTAAGCCCAGGCCCTCGAAAACAGAGGGCCCCAATCCTTGAGGTCGGGATCGTTCGTGGTGTCATCTCGTGCAACGCCCGTAAGATAGTGAGACCTACGCATGTACAGAGGGCAAGATGCCTGGTCGAGAGCCAGTTCTGCGACTCTGATCGACTGGTCTTCCATTGATTGCGAACGCAGCCCTGAAGTGCTTGAGTGGCCATACACAGCAGCCAAGGTTACATAAGCGTTCCGATATGTGGGAAGCATTCTCCCAGCCTCGCGGCTCCAGTCCGCCTGATCTCCTTGGACGATACAGATGCCATCAATTCACAGGTACTTGACCCCGATGATTCGGGTGAAGCGGACCGCATCTTGAAACGTCGCTGGCAGTGTTGACCAGGGAATTCTCTGCTTGTTCTGGTGCAAAGTGCTCGGGGTAGTGATGCATGGTGGCTTATAGTCGCCCCAGCAATAACTTAGGGCGACGTATCGCGAGTCAGAGGGGATGGCAGAGCTTTCAGTCAATACAACGCCGTCCTGAAGTTGCTGGCTCTCAACGTCGATAAGGCGCGAGGGTAAGAAATAGCCCCCGGGTTCAGACTGACGGCATGATGGATGCGATGCCAGACACTCGGATATGCGACGAGACGCCCAATCTGCAGAGGCATGGAACAGCGATTCAAGATGTGCCCATGTGCGCCTGGGGATGTCATAGTTTGTTAGCTGTGTGCGGTGGAGATCCAGTGGTGTAAAGATGGTCTGCCAGTGCGTGACTGGATCTCCACGAAAACTGAAACTATAGTGGCCTTGAGGGTGAGCAATCATGCAGTCCCGGTCTGTGATGGTTTTCTGCCTTTGGACTGCCACTCTACGCCAGATAACAGCGGCGAGTTGGCAAGATGCACAGGTCACGGGAGCAGCGTCTTCGGCCACAAGCCCACTCAGCTTGGTGGAGTCTTCTACTACGAGGAGATCCCGAGGATCGCCTGTCCACAGACAGCGAGGGCAGTTCTCTGGGTAAGACGCTGCGATTAGATTTCCTTCGTGGTCCCATCTGTGAGGCAGCTCGATGACGGGTACTGCAGGCGCCGGTAAGGCGCTATGGAAAGATGTGCCATCAGATGCATCGGGTGAATCAGCACCGGCGGCCGCGGCCTCAGCCATGACGCGCAGCTACTCCCAATTAATAGCGCGCGGCCTTGATCAATAGGAGATACAATGTGCAACGTCCCGACCAGGTGACTTGGCCATGGTCGGCGACAACATGTATGGAGCTTACTCAGCTATGTGACATGACTGCAGGGAGGCCGGGGGACGTATCCATGGATGTTGGGTGTTGTTGGGACGAGGGGCCACCCAAGGGAGAAATTGGGAAGTCTCGGCTCCAGGCGGGGCGTCGCTCTCAGTTGCATCGTCGGCCAGTGGACGAACGACGGACGGACCGGGCGGATGTGGCGAGCGGTGCCGCCACGAAGGAGACACCTGCTGCCCCGTCGTGCATTCCAGCAGGGGAGAAGGGACGGGACGGACAGGTCGGCCAGAGTGAAAACTCCATTTTCTGTTGGGATGAATTGAACCGATTGACTGGCCGGAGGAATAAAATGGGTGAAGGCATGCCATCCAACGTCAACGTCCCTTTCAGAGCTTTGCGAGCTCGCCAGCAGCCAGCCATACAGGTAGGTAGCATAACGTCACCGAGCGTCGGGTGCGGGGCACTTTGGCAGCGGATGGGAACCCCTCGTCACCGCAATCCGTCCCAGCGCATCGTGAGCAGAGCTCTCGCCCACGACAGCTTCAACGTTCCGGCTGACTACCATTTTCTTGTCCACCGACAAATCTCATTCTCGCCTGTCTCAAGTTGACATCTGCCCGCATCTCCTACAGATCCTTCTGAACGCCCCAAAGCCGCCTAAATCAACCAGGGTACGTGAAACATGCATGTGTGATGACTGCAATGCCCGCTGTCGCAGCCCAGAATACCCCGCCGACATTTTTTTGACGATCCCGGACGACGCGCCTCACCTTGATGTAGCCCCGGAGAAGATTCTCGTGTCCGAACCTTGAGCTTCCTCCTGCTCCTCTTCCTTCCGCCAAATCCGCCTCTCCGCCCCATCCCATCCTGTCCCATCCTGTCCCATACTATCTCATCCCTCCGCTCAATTGACCTTTGCGGCACGCCCAAAGACTACTTGCAAGGCTGATCTCGTCCCTCCCTTCTATAGCAGCGACCAACCTCATCCCCACCAACCTTGGCCACCAAAGCTCATCTCTCTTTTGATATACCGCCTGCAAGATGCCTCAACCCACTGAGCTCAAGGCCTGGGCCGAGCTCGAGGAGCACTACAAGACCATTGGCAAGACCTTCGTCCTGAAGGAGGCCTTCTCCAAGGACCCCGAGCGCTTCACCAAGCTCTCCAAGACCTTCCACGACGCGCCCTCCAGCACCGACATCCTCTTCGACTTCAGCAAGAACTTGGTCACCCCCGAGACCATCGACCTGCTGGTCAAGCTGGCCGAGGAGGCCGGCGTCGAGAAGAAGCGCGATGCCATGTTCGCCGGTGAGAAGATCAACTTCACCGAGCAGCGTGCCGTCTACCACACCGCCCTGCGCAATGTCGGCGGCTGGGACATGAAGGTCGAGGGCGCCGACGTCATGAACAACAAGGGCGGCGTCAACGAGGTGCTCAACCACATGAAGGAGTTCTCGGAGCAGGTCCGCAGTGGCGAGTGGAAGGGCTTCACCGGGAAGAAGCTGACCAACATCGTCAACATCGGTATCGGAGGATCCGACCTGTGAGTGTCCGCCCCTACGGCGTGGTTCAAAACGCCCCTCAAAGCTGACTCCCGCCAGCGGCCCCGTCATGGTCACCGAGGCCCTGAAGTACTACGGTGCCGACGACATGACCCTTCACTTCGTTTCCAACATTGACGGAACCCACATGGCTGAGGCCCTCAAGGCCTCGGACCCCGAGACCACGCTGTTCCTGGTCGCCTCCAAGACCTTCACCACCGCCGAGACCACCACCAACGCCAACACGGCCAAGTCGTGGTTCCTCGAGAAGACTGGCAACAAGGGTGAGATCGCCAAGCACTTTGTTGCCCTGTCCACCAACGAGTCCGAGGTCACCAAGTTCGGCATCGACAGCAAGAACATGTTCGGCTTCGAGAGCTGGGTCGGCGGTCGGTACTCGGTGTGGAGCGCCATCGGTCTCAGCGTCGCCCTCTACATCGGCTACGACAACTTCCACAAGTTCCTGGCCGGTGCCCACGAGATGGACAAGCACTTCCGTGAGACCCCGCTCAAGGACAACATCCCCATCCTTGGCGGTCTCCTGAGTGTCTGGTACAGCGACTTCTTCGCTGCTCAGACTCATCTGGTGGCCCCGTAAGCTAGCTCTCTGTCCCAAGAATCCTCTCGAAGATGGTGCGAGATACTGACCCTTCCTAGCTTTGACCAATACCTGCACCGTTTCCCCGCCTACCTTCAGCAGCTGTCCATGGAGTCCAACGGCAAGACCATCACCTCGGACGGCTCGCCAGCCAAGTACACGACCGGCCCGATCTTGTTCGGCGAGCCTTGCACCAACGCCCAGCACTCCTTCTTCCAGCTCGTCCACCAGGGCACCAAGCTGATCCCGACCGACTTCATCCTGGCCGCCAAGTCGCACAACCCCATCTCGGACAACCTGCACCAGAAGATGCTGGCGTCCAACTACTTTGCGCAGGCTGAGGCTCTGATGATCGGCAAGACGGCCGAGCAGGTCAAGGCCGAGGGAACCCCCGACGAGCTGGTGCCCCACAAGATCTTCATGGGCAACCGGCCGACCACCTCCATCCTGGTCGGCGGCAGCATCGGACCCGCCGAGCTCGGTGCACTGATCGTCTACTACGAGCACCTCACCTTCACCGAGGGTGCCATCTGGGACATCAACTCGTTCGACCAATGGGGCGTTGAGTTGGGCAAGGTGCTCGCCAAGAAGATCCTGAAGGAGCTCGACGAGCCCGGCAACGGTGACGGTCACGACTCCAGCACCGGAAGCCTCATCGGCGCTTTCAAGAAGTATGCTGCTCTATGACTCGATGAGAGCGAAGCACGCCCGACGGGAAAAGCGAGGCTGTGACGGCCGTACAGACTGCGGTACCGGCCCAGCCCCTATGTTGGTCGGAAGGAAGAGAAAGGGAAGAAAAACAAACTCAAGGAGGACGTTCACATTGCACGGACAGAAACAAGATGGAGACATTGACGAGTCATGACATAGTCAGTTTATTCGGTTTGATGGATTGGCAATATATTTCGTTTAGATGGTCTGCGACGTCGCGACGTCTTCTGTTTCAAGGTTTCCAGAACTGGACGTCTCGAGGTTGTCACTCTTGGTGCATGAATGTGTCAACAAACGTTACTTTCCTGGCCGCAGATATACAAAGTAAACTAACTAGCCTAGCGGTCGCGTAGGCTGATGACTACACGTGAGCTAAGAGCCTCTTGAAATGTGGCAATCTGCACTCCGCAACCAGGCAAATGAGGAATGCGACCATGTGATGGATGATTCCTAGGCCGGATCGGTACGGGCACCCGAGAATACGAGGGCAACCAAGAGCAGCGCGGGCTCGGCATACCCAAACTATCGGATCAAGCTTTTCCGCCCAACCACCTGACAGGCAGGAGGAGGTGGTCAGGGTCGTGTTGCGCTCGTTCTTCAGGCCACGCTGGGAATGCTACTCATGAACCAGCCCTAAACCAGGAACTAGGCGAGGTTGGGAGACATCCATGGGAGTTTCGCAAAGGATCCCTCGTCTCACACAGACAAGACAAGGGCTTGCACGTGTTGTTTTGACGTCAGTGTGGGCAGCCGTTGGTTGCACGGACAGTGGCACGCACAGACATGAGGCTCCCTACCCTACAAGGCCTGCATCATCCCCAAGAAACGCCAGGAAAGCTTGCAAGTCCTCCCTCACATCGACACAGACCCGAACGCGGCACAAGCAATGTTTTGACAGAAGCTCCGTATCATCACCAAGTGGACCGCCGAATCTCCACCGGCAAGCCGATCAAGATAATCCCCTGGGGACGATCGCGGACCCCTGACTGCTCAATTGCTCGATTCGAGCTTTGGCCCCGCGCAGCCAGCATGACTCGGGCCCAGATGCGGCCTCTCGGGGTCTTCCTTATCGTCAGGGGTGGAGTCGCAATGGAGTAGCGAAATTGGAACACGATCCACCCCCATCGCGACGTGATCCACCGCCTGTGAATCCTTGAAAAGAGAGCCTGGCGCCGACCGACGGGGGACTTGACAGGAAACGTTGTGTCTGTCGCTTTTTCTTTTCATCTCTTGTCAACCGAACCGTAGGAGGTGTGGTATAGTTGCGGACGTCGATTCTTTTCACCTGCTTAATTACACGGCCCTAATATCTCACGGTCCTGCCAGCTAATTCACTGCTCGGTCGAAAACGACGAAGGATTCAAGAATGCACTCCACCATGCGTACAGGCCTGCTCGCGGCCTTTGCCGCATCCACAGTCGCCGGGGCGAGCCTCCCGCTCGAGGTCCGCCAGGCGACCACAGACACTTGCTCAGAAGTCCACATCTTCCTCGCCAAGGGCAACAATGAGCCGTATCCTGGTCGGCAGTCCAAGCTCGTCGCCGCCATCTGCCACGGCCTGGCCAGCTGCGACTATGAGGACATCCAGATGAACAACATGCTCGAGGACGAGTACTGCGGGTCCATCCACCAGGGCGCCACCAACGGACAGAGCCAGATCATTGCTTACAACAAGCGGTGTCCGGACGCGAAGCTGGTCGTCAGTGGCTACAGCCAGGGCGCGCATGTCGTGGGCGATATCATCGGGGGCGGGGGCGGCACCTTCTTCCAGGACTGCGTCGAGCCGAGCAACCCCAACCTGGACATCAACAGCGATGCCGGGAAGAAGAGTGCGTATTAATCCTGACACCCGCGAAAACGTGTACCACGAACTCATCACTGACTACTTGGCAGTCGCCGCCATTCTCACCTTCGGTGACGTGCGCCACACGGCCAACGAGCCGTACAACTTCGAGTCCGGCGCTGGGGACTCGGGTCTGTACCCGCGCCCCGCGTCCATGACGAGCAACCTCGCCTCGTACTCCAAGGTCTACCGCGACTACTGCGTGGCGGGCGACCCGATCTGCGCCGGCGGCAAGACGGTCCAGGATCACCTGAGCTACTTCGACGTCTTCAGCGACAGCGCCGCCGAGTGGGTCAAGGGCAAGCTCGACGCCGCCACCTGCGACCACTGCTCGTACACGGTGACGACTGCCAGTGCCACGGCCAGCGCCAGCGGCAGCAGCCCGGCCGCCTCGAGCACGGGAGCAGCGACCACGACGACAACCGAGGCGGACGCCTCGAGCACCGCCACGTCGACCGGCGCGTCGTCTACCGCCACCGGCACTGGCTCGTCGTCTACCACGGGAACCACGCTGTCCTCGGCTACCACGTCATTCGCCCTGCCCGAAGGCACCGCCGCTACGACGGCCAACCTCGCGGCCACGCCGACCTCGGTGGCTCCAGCTGCCTCGGCCTCGGCATCGGGCACGGGCAACAGCGCGGCCGGCTCGAGCCTCGACCAGCAGAGCATGAGCGTTTTTGGGTTGGCTATCGCGGCCGCGTTCGCCGTAATCCTGGTGTAATAGTAAAGAAGAAGGAATAATATAAAAAAAGGACATCTAGAAATTCGAACTCGGGGCATCTTGGTTCTGGGACGGGGGCATTGGCATTATCATCATGACGGGACGGCAACACTGGACGGGAGATATCCACATTCATTCATTAGCATGGCGTTCTTGGATATACATGCATGCATGGCTCAGCCGACAAAGCAACACATTTTTTGGTGGTGGTAGTAGATAGATACCGGTACATGCACATTACATAATGCTAATAATCACTCGGCGTCACGTCGATATATACTATACACTCTATACAATCCTTCCCGCCAGCATCTTGTGCTTGTATAGACCTTATTGTTTTACCAGCCTGTGCGTTCGTCTCCCTGTACGTGCGACTTCGGTCTGTTGAGTATGAAGCGACTCATGTCTTCTCACCAAAAGAACTTGGCGCCTTAACGCTAGAGACACATGCGGCAGCGTGTAATAATAGGCTTGATAGGGACATGTCTCTGCCCAACCTTGCAGGTGCGCATGCACGTATCCGCAGACCTCTAAATAGCTCGAAAAGTGGGGTGGAGCCATGTCGACACGGGAACGAAGATCATCGAGGTGAGTGGATGTTCAGTGGATTTGTGTTCCCACATATAAACTCTGCCAGGGAGAGACCCTGTACGGCTGACGCGTCGCTGGCCTTACAGTGATTGAGGGGCATTTCATGCCATGAATGACAGGAAACGGTTGCATTGGGCGGCTATGGTGGCTTAAAAGCTAAATTAAACGTCTATAGTAATGAAGGGTCAAACGGAAGACTTCAAGACTTGACATATCGTCCGCGAGTAGCCATACTGTTCTGCAACCGGCTAGGCTTGGCATGATGGGCGATCACCCTATCGCTTCGTATGGCGACCAAGCGACAAGGGGTCTCAAGTTGTGGGCCGATATTCATTCCTCTCTTGACGATCGTTAACATCACGCTCCGGGTCTGTAAACTTTATCAAGCAACGCCTTCACCGACATCGTGGACATAGCTTTCCTGGTTCACCGAGACTGGTCAATGACATCTTCTGCGTGGTTCACGACGGCGGCGTGGCTTCTCGTCCTGTCTTCTCGTCAAACTGCCTTGGCTTGCCTATTTAGATACACTATCCAAGAAGGTATCAATTTTTCTTCACCAGTTTGGGTACGATAGTCGCTATTGCGAAAATGGTTCCTTCGTATCCGGTTCGCACTCCCTTTAAAGAGCCTAACTTGGGTATCGAGCCTTCCGAGCAATCCCTGCACTCCTCTTTTCTCCACCTGAAGAACTGATCACCGTTCGCATCCCCGGCCGGTTCTCATGGAAGCCGCCTGATGCTGTTGTCGCAGTCTCTGAAGCTCAACAGCGAGCTGGTGGCACGAGGGGTGATCGGGCCCAAGAACAAGGTTCCTGAATTGAAGTGATAACCGCAAGTTCATGATGCGGCTGCTATGGTCTCCCAGCCTCCAGTAGAGGCCCGCTAGCTCCTCGTGTGCTTGGGGTATCTCCAGGCCGTTTAGTCCCTCCTGCTCCATGACTATTATCAGTCCTTGGAGACGCCCAATCGCTTCCCGGGTGTCGTTCGGAGAGTGGCTTTTCTGGTGATAGTATCCAGTCAGATTTGACCTAATCCTTTGCATTTCCTGCCGTCGTGCATCCGACGCGGGAGAGTTGCAGAGAGAGCAGGTGCATGTGAATCCCTAGGTCCCCAGGCGACTGGCTCTCTGTGCACTCGTGTGGTAAATGTTATCTTGGAGGTAATTGATGGTAATTTCTGTGCCTGGTTCGATTCGCTGCTGTGCATACAGTGTCATCAGACCCCTGTCATTGTTCCAATACAGAAAAGCGTTTGGTATACAGCTTTACACCTATCAGTATCCACGTTCATATTTTTGTCGTCCGATGAGGAGAATGCTCACCTATGGTTTACGGCTGAAGATCCAAAGGCAATGGCACATCCGGTGCCGTGGCCCTCTACTGCGTTGTACCGCGCTATGTTTCTGAGCCTCTCAGGGGCCATCATTAGCTGTTGCCGCAAAGTGCCATTTCTCACTATAGGAGCAATGTCGGTGGGTCCGGCGAAGAGTCGTAAAAATGTGGACTTTGTCTCACTGTCCAATGCATTGCAGTCTCGTACTATGTTCTGAATGGCCTCATCACGGGTCTCATAGCCTAGGATGACCTGATCGGCTAGAATCAACAAGCCTTTTGATAGGAACTGTGATGCGAACAGCCCAATGCCTTTGCCACCGGCATGGTTCACGTGGCAATTTGCGTTGACTTGGTACATAGCCATTGTGTCAAATGAGCTGGATTGCTGTAGCACTGTAGTGGACTGAGTGGAAGCAATCTCGTGGTGCAGGGTACTCTGTGCTGTGTGACAAAGATCACATGTCAGCTCGGCGGCTGATCAATTCCTTTATGATGGTGATAAAGAGCAGTCAACCAGCTGATAAAGAAGCATAATATGCCGATACTTATAGAACGGTTAGAAAACGCACAGAACCTTAAGTTGTGTTTCGATGAAATTTATAGGGTCTCAACCTTGAAATAGTATTAAAGTGAGATTCACAGCAACAAGTGATGTGAATATATCATGTGAATAGAACGTGTTAATATACTACATTAAGATACCACGTTAAAATATCGCCCTCAAATGCGAGCAACAGAAGGTGAAAGGAAGACGTCTTAGAAAAGGACTGCTGGCGATACTTAGTATTTACCATGTATTCCCGTCACGGCACATCCTACTATTGTAATTCGATTCACATTTCGATCCTTCTCATACCCAATGCTCTCAACTCCGCTTTCTTTTTCAAGGGGACGATGAAGGATTCAAGTGTATCCCGATAACTTAGAAGCAATGACGGCTAACAAAGTTCAATATCTGGCAAATCAGAACAGACAACTAGATCGGACTCCACAGAAATGGTTGTACTCAGAGTACACTTGTTGAGATTGAAGGGTAATGAATTAGTACTACATCGGTTGAGGACCTGGGATGAGGTAAAACGATGACCAGAAACTGATTATGGCTCTTATTAATCGCTTTACAATTATGTATACCACTGAGGTAGTTTCAATGACTGTTAGAGAATTATTATTGGTGGTTTGGTATATAATTTGTCAAAAGAGATTCGACATGTGATTTGCTGTATGCTTTCAAGCCTTTGGAGATTGCCTGATAGTGGACTGTTTCCACCTATAGTACTGAGTCTTATTTTCAGGCGCTTAGTATGCAAAACAAATCTAATAGATTGCAGTCGGGGTAAGGCTGTGGAGGACTTGCCCATTCTTTGTCTTTGGGATGTAAGTTGCTTTTCTGCCGTCCTTGTTCCCACAGTAAATAATGCAAGCGCTGAAGCGGCGACAAACGTTGCGGTGTTAATAACGATGAAACACAATTGATTGGAATAACTTGTTTTTTTGGGTAACATCATGTAATGTATATCACCCCCATTAATTGCATGGTTCACGACCCATAATCTCGGGCGTCTCTTCCGTGTGGGGCATCCATTGCAACTCTATACTCGCTTAACGAAATTCCTCGTCAGACTATCTTAGGATGTAGAAACATTGAATCCAGATTCTTGGTCACCCTTTATTCCCGGCCCGTTGGTGAATAACCGACAAGACTTCAAGAACTGTGCAGCCAAACCCATTTCAACGCATGCCAACAAAGAAATCATGAGCTTGAGATGAATGACCGGTATCATCACAAGAAGCAATTCTGACCACAAATTTCTTTCGGGTCGAGTTTCATGAATACTTTTGGCAAAAGTCAGGACGTATTAAGAAAACATTCACTTCTCATGAAGCACAAGGTGGTACTGTACCATGGAACTGTCTGAGAAGAAGAAACTCGTTTTGATCGCGTGAGCCTGCTTAGGACTTGCAGCTCAGGTACTGACTATTTGAAAATGGAATCTTTATTCAACCTTCACTTAAGCATTTGCAGCCCCGTATTCGGCCAAAGGCTGCCACCTTAATGTGTTAACATAGGCTTTCACCTCAACGCAACTCCCACTATTCCAATAATAAGCTCCCATGCTGACTGTGTTCTGTGCACTATTAACCTGTGCGGACTTCCATGTGATTCTGGGGTGCTGAGGGACCAGTAGTCCGTTCTCCACGTTGTTAAATGGCCTAAATGACTGAATGGGAAAATCTCCATCTGTGTTACTGCAAACCTGGCGACTGTGGGCACCGAGGTCGAGGACCTGGCAGTAATCGATTTTTTTCGACAGTAGGAAGACAAAGTCTTCTTTGAGCATTAGCTGATACGTTAGATCTAGTACACCCCAATGAGGGACGCTGAAAGTGTAACTCATTCCCGTGATTCCCGTGGATTGATAAGTTCGGTACCAGACATTGACGAGAATTGTCCGTGATGCTCCTTGGCTTGATTCCCCAGAATTCGATCGCCTCCATATCGTCACAACACGCTCAGCTGCATAATCGACGGCCATATCCAGGATACTATCCGACTGGCCAATTTGACTGAGATAGAATCCCCTGGACACATCTCTGACTGGAGAGGATAATGAATATCTGTTCAGTCGTCCAATGTAGCAGTACCTGCTCTTTCCCAGAAAGGCAATCGAAACACCTCCGTCACCCACTGCAAATGAAATCAGACGAGAAGTATCAACTGTTTTTGATAACTTTGCCAAAGACACCTCGACTTTTTGCCTTGCAAACCTATCGGTTATCGAAGGAAAAGCGATGTGAAAGTCGCCGCCCTTAGTTATTGATATGATGATGTTCTCGCAGAGCCTGGGCTTAAATATTTCTTTGACACTAAAGCAAAGCCCATCTCCTGAGCGATATACCTCATACCGCCAAGTCGAGGCAGAGTATATCATGACGTAAAAGCCCACTTCGCCTGAAAGCTCCTTGTGCTGGATGACGGAAACTCCACTCGGTCTTTCGATTCCACGCCACTTGCGCTTGATTTCGCCCACTTTAATTCCTTGGTCCATGTTCCAGATAGAGACTCGTCGGTGTAACTGCACAAAAGCACCAAGGTTGTACTTTTCAGAAAATCCAAAACTGACAATCTGATTCACTCCCGTAGGTGTCCATTTCAAGTCGCGAATTTCTAATTTGGCAGTGGAAATAGGGTCTTCTGACCAAGTTTCTAAGGCCTCAGTGCTCGGTGACGCTGCAGGAAAGGTCTCTGTGTACTCGGCATGAGATTTGTGTCCTAATATCAAATAAAGACTAAGGATCCCGGGGGAACCAATCTTAGCTTGAGGAGAGAAAGTGTCTTGGAAATGTTCTGACAAGTCGTTTTGGTTGAATTCTTTACGTGGAGTAACAGAATTTTGGGTACCATTTGTTTTTTGTAGTCTTGTCCACCGTGAGGACGCCTCGTCAAGTGAAATTTGTGGAATATCTTTCCGATACTCTAATTCTCCCAACTCCTGACTGAGGCTAAGCTCTCTTGCAGAAGCTTTGTCATTGTCCGTACTTGAAAGGCTCTTTTGACCGGAACTCTTTCGCTCTGGTTGTTTTCTGCTGTCAAATACACGAGTCTGATGTTCGTCACGGTTATGTTGCTGTTGACTGTATTGATCGTCGGTATTCCGGACTGGAGGGGACTGGCGACCCCGGAAAGAAGACCCTGACGGTGTATTCTGCAATGGCATTGGGGCAGTGGCCAGGTGAGTCTTTTCACGCTGGTCTACCCTTGGAGTCAAAGCTTCATCCGCAGCTCCCTTGACGGGAAGATCGAAATCGTCGGAAAGCCCTTCTGCGGATGAGCTGTGATCGGTGGAATGCAGTGACTCTCCCTCAGGACCATTCACTTCGTCATATACTGTTGCAGCGTACGTGCTAAGTGAATCGAGATACCTCTCCAGCACAAAGCTTCGGTCTGCTATAGGTATTCTCTCTCTGAGTCTCGCAATTTCCTCGAGGATCTGTGCTGTATCCTGCTTTATCGCTTTAGTGTCTTCCCTAATGGCACCTGTGTCCTCCTTCACGGCCTTGGTAACTGATCTGCAGAGCGATGAGAGCCCAATCACGATAGCCGTGGAGTCGCCTTTACTCACAGGTGAACCATCTCCAATGCGAGGCTTAATGCACCTCTATGCGCTTCGAGTGACTGCTTCAAAATGAAAACCTCTTTCTTGCCATCCAAGACCCATCTGACGGCACCGATACGGCTGCCGCGTAAGTTCACCAGCACTCTTTCGATCTTGGCTGCAACATCACCACAGTTGTTAATCACGGTAATGATCTGTGTGCGTAGAGCCCCGGAGAGAGGAATATCGCCATCCGTCTCTGCGGCGTCCTCTTTGAGGAGTTCTAGGACGATCCTCAAATCGGACAGCTCCTGCGTAACGGAGGTCAGATCCCCCCGAGCCTCGCGGCAATCGCGGATAAACTGGATGATTGTAGTCGTGGTTTGCGTCAACGCGCCCAATAGAGCAAGGCAGGACGTGGTTATTGATAGAGGATCCATGGCTCTTACTCGATGCGCCGACTACCGCGACCAGACAAGAATTGTCGACTGGGTGAGGATGATGAATCAATCTTTTGAGTGTGTTCAGCTCACGGCTAGGTTGCTCGAAGCTGCGTGGTGATTCGCTGAAAGCATCCCCCACTGCCTTTCCTCTCGGCACAGCCACCCAGTTGGACACTGAATGCACTTGATGAAATCGCCTCATCTCCACCAAAGCATCACAAAGTCGAGTAGCTCAAACTTCTGGCTTGTAGTAGCACTGACCTAGATATAACAATTAGCCTAGAGGCCGCAGGATTCAGCTTCGCGTTACTCCTAGGGGCAAAAGCCAAGGAATCCAGATCAGATGGCGCCACAAATGGCTGCTGAGTATCAGGTCATGTCACCCTGCTAAGCCTTTAGCCTCAAAACGTTATTTACATTGTTTTTGCGGTGATTTATCCTCAATTAACTGAATTATCAACCCAACAAGCTACGCCTACGCTTAGATCTGAATTGTTCCATGCAATCTGAAATCCCTACTGCTTGCACCTACAGTAACGTTGTAAGTACCAGGCTGCAAACGCCATTTTTGGACAATATGATCCCAGACACTTAGATCTCGCCTCGTCAGATCGAAGGTGACCGTACTTGTATCCCCAGGCTGCAGAGGTACTCTTTCAAAACCGCGCAGCTGGCGGACTGGAACTTCAAATTCATCACCAGGTATGCCAATGTATAGCTGAGTAACCTCAGAGGCAGCGACGCTACCGTTGTTGGTAATGGTGCATGTCACTGTAGCAATTGTGTCCCACAGGGATGGATGCCCGCCTTGGACTATAGGAACGGAAGCATCCGGCAGCGGAGCAGTGCTAGCGTTCAAAGCCAGTGAGCTCGTCAGGTTCCCATAGTCGAAAGTAGTGTAAGACAGTCCGAAGCCAAACTCGAAGAGTGGTTCGATTTCATTCTTGTCGAAGTACCTGTAGTCGATAAACAGACCTTCTGTGAAGTTGTCTTGTGGGAATGCATCAAAAGACACTGTTGAGTTTAGCAGAGCGCCATAGTCTGATTGATTCCTGGCGATGGTGTATGGCAGCTTGCCGCTAGGACTCTCGTCCCCCCACAAGATGTCGACGAGGCTGTTCCCACTTTCTTGTCCTGGCAGTCCAGCATAGAGGACAGCCGTAACATTTGGGTGGTCAATCCAATTCTCAGCGGTTCGGATACCGGCAGAGTGTACTACGACAATGGTGTTGGAGTAGTTTGCGGCCACATTGTTGACCAGGTTGTCGCTGAATGTGTCCGCCAAGGAGATGCGGTCGAAGCTCTCAGATGCATATGCGTTGATGAAAACAAGGGCAACATCTGCGTTGACGTATGCGGGCGAGGGGTTTTCAGAAGCAAAGTCCCAACGGAGGATTCCCTTGTCTTTGACGACTCGCTCCTGGATAGCTTGGAAGGGGCTGATAACGTAGGGGGGCGCACCAGACCCAGAGCCTCCACCCATGATCATGGTACCGTTGAAGGTGTTCCAGCCGAAATTGACCTCATAGCCACCACCAAAACGAGACGGGTTTTGCCATGGCGACTGAGATAGTGTTGCGTCGTACCCATAGACGCATACGAAGTTTGGCTTCTGGAGCGGCAGAGCATTGTTGACGTTCTTGACCAAAACCGTACCGGCAGTACCAATCTCCCGAATGAGGGAAGAATGATCGCCCTGAACATTGACGGGTTCGTGCTTTTGGGCGTTCGAATACATGGCCTTTTTGGGGAACGCGTCGTTCTGGCCCATATAGTACCAACTAGCAAGGATACGGGTCACCATATCCGTGACTCGTGTTGTCGTAACGGATCCGTTGTTGACCGCCTGGGTTAGATTGTTGCCCCAGAATCCTCCGTCCGGCATGACTATGTCCAGTCCTGCATTCGCGGAGGCCACTCCAGAATGTTGTCCTTGCCAATCACTGACAACGAAGCCCTCAAACCCAAGCTCGGTCTTCAACAGACCGTTCATCAGTTTTGAGTTTTGACAAGCGTACGAGTTATTGACGCGGTTATATCCGCACATTGCGGCTCCGGCGCCTTCTTTGATTCCCCTCATGAATGGGAATAGGTAAAGCTCATGGATTGTCCTGTCGTCTGCGTTGGCACTGATAGACTCGCCCAGCTCGTTTGGCATACGTCGCCATTCTTGCTCATTCAGCAGAAAGTGCTTAACGGTTGCGATAACGCCAGCATCTTGGGTGCCGGCAACAATCTCTCCCAGACCCTCCCCGGCGAGGTAGGGATCATTACTGAGGCCTTCCCAGTTGCGGCCTCCTCGAGCCATTCGGCCAAGGGGACCAGCAACGGGTCCAAGGGCGACATGGACTCCCTTGTCGTGGTATTCATCACCTAGAGCTTTACCATACTGATACATGAGCTGGCGATCCCAGGTGGCGGCAACATGGATTTGTGCTGGGAATGAGGACACGAACTCCTGTCCTCGAACTCCAAGTGGAGCGTCTGCAAAGCATAGCGACGGTATACCCAAACGAGGCACCGCCCCACTGTTACCAACACAAGCACCGGTATAACCGCGGGTGAGATTTGCTTTCTGTTCTAGGATTAATGAACCGTCTACCACTGACAGCTTGGATATCGCATACCTCCTCCAATGTCAGCTGGGCTGACAGGTGCTTTGCCTGCTCGTAGGCGCGGGCCCATCTGCTATTCGAGTTGCCGGATCCCTCCGCTAGAGTTGGTTCAGCCTTGATCCACAATACGGTCTGACATATACTCACGCGATGGATACACTGGTGGACTCAACCCGTAGTAGGGCACTTCAGACTCCTGGGTGTAGCCCGTGCCATTACTGGCGGATGCCATGCCAGCGAGCAAGGAGATGGTGAGCAACTTCATAATGACGAATGGATGAAGCGAGATGCTGAGAACGGCCTACCGCTAAGATTCAAAAGATATCGCATGCAGTCAACTCCATTCCTTATATATTTCCCCTCACGGCAACGTCGCACTCGTCCCGACCGCTAATACTCCGTCGCCAAGGCCCGGGGATCGTGCCATGAGATAATCCACATACATGATGCTGAGTGCGGCCGGTAAGGCTTGCGACTGCTATCGGGAATTCTCCGGCGCGATAGTAGGCCGATGTTCCTTGTTTGTTGCATCGAATCCCACCCAAGTGCGTGCGTGCTGGGATCAGGATGGGGTCGACATGACGTGCGCGGGGATAGTTTGCGGGGCGCCCGCCGAGTCAGAGACCGATCAGCGCTCCCGCTCCCCTTCATGGAGTTGGTTCAACTGGTCGCGTCTCGCGCACCCGTTGACAGGACGACAGTGTGCTGACCTGCTTGAGGTATAAGAGAGCGGAAAAGGACAATAAGAAAAGGAAGACGATTTGGCCAACAGGAAGGGGATGCTCGATTGCGCTATTCGATCTGGCGCTGCAGACGGTTGCTCCCTATGTCCAAACCTTGGCTTTCCCGATTCTGTGGGATAAATGCCCGGCAGCTTCACTTAAAGTTAACCATAAACTGCGGGTTTAATAGAAGGCTCACTTATCGGGGAACCCACCTGTGAGAAGCCCGCCAATGGCGCAACTCCTCCAAGCAGGGGTGCCACAATTGATCCATAGTTCGTCATGACGATCAATCATCGCATAATTCCCGCTCACTGGACGGTGCCCAGGTACCGATGACCCTGGGCAGACTCACTCCAAAGACGTCAAGAGCAGGCTCAGATGTTGCTAGAGCATGGCGAGTGCCACTCTCAACTCAAATAATATACATCGAAACGCAGTCGACCTTTATGCGACGCATGGCCGGCCATGCAGTTCCAGTAAGCAAGGTTCATTCTTCCACCTCAGTATTGGATGCAATCTGCCTCATGATGTCGGCGACTGTCAACTATGGTAAACGCATAGTTGACAGGGATACGGTCCGTCCATGCCTATGACTTTCTGTAGGTCTATCTTATATACAGAGTGCTTGTTCCACAAGATAATCTCATACTAAATTGAGAATGCTCTTGAATCATGAATGCAATGCCTTGTGGCTGTGTAAAAGCTCCGAGAGATTGAAGTCATCGTTCGATCACGTGCTATACTGTTGGCTTCCTTCTAGAGACCTCCTTGTTTTCTACTAGCACGGGTAAGATTTGACGTGAATAGCCATAAGTCGCAGACGAAAGCGTGATCTCCTCATGTAAGGCAGCAGAGCGATATCAAAGACTTGGTGGATCCCGACCCACTATAGAGAGTGGCCAGGACGTGTGTATTGTCAAGGTAGAGATGCCTGTCCTTCTAGCGACAGAGTGCCTGAAAAGTTCCCTCACCGAGTGTCACTTCCGCTTTCGAAGTGGAGCTCTTGGCAGTGTGACCTGAGGACTCAATCGCTTAGCAGAGATGATTTATGGCCGGAGCAGCCTAAGCTAGATCACATCTACCTCTTATTGATTTCTAGCGTCTTAGTAAGTAAGCCTTGAGAAGCCCTAGCGATGGTGTGTTTTGTCTCGGCTTTTGACTTGTACAAGTTAGGCGAACTCAAAAGGCGCTGGCGCGATATAAATTACGTCTGTCGTCGTGGCCAAAACAATTCCTTGGGCTATGAAATCATAGCACACCTTGTTGTTGTTGTTGTTGTTGTTGTTCCGTGGAGGAACACCGCGGCGATTGCAGGTTTTAGAAAATCAGGAGCTGGGTTTGGGTCGCCCGCGTAGCAGGGAAACCCGTGAAAACCGAGGTTTTTTTTTTTTAGAACCCTCCTAGATACCGTCTTCGGTTCTAAATTCACTAAAGATATGCCCATTCCGAGTGAAAATGGCGACTGGTCTTGGTAAAATATTTGATACACGCGGCATGAATTGTGGTGCTGCTCCAAAAGTCTTCATGTAACCCGATGGGAAGTTCTACCCTTCTCTCGAACTCGTGGTGAGTTCCTACCTGCGAGATGTACTATGCCCATGAGATAATTTGTATTTGGCTTTTTCAATCATTTCCTTTCCTGGTTCGTTTGGATTGGTAGACTGGTAGGGGGGGATGAGGGTGTTGTGGGTAGAAATAGGGGCTTTGGTTGGGAGAACGAACGTGACTCCAATAGGTAGCTTCATCTAGCAGCACTTTCAGTTAGTTCTCTGTTATTCCGGCCTATTGAATAACCTCAGGTGGCAAGTGTGGGCCTTACTGCAGGGCATCTCTGTGAAGCTTGACGCGTAGGGCCAACTACGGCCTGATACCAGTCCCAGGCAAGCAATGCCTATGCCAGTCAACCAGGATCCGCTGAGTGCCACTTCCCAGAGCTCTGTGTCCATCGTCCCTTACCCCTCAACTGCCCGTTTGCAAGGCTTCTCGCCTTCATCCAGAGGACTGTTTCTTTCCTAGTTACAGAATATAACGTCAGCCGAGTCAGATCATGTTTTGGGGTGCCCTATATGAAGCCATCTATCATGGGAGACCAGTCGGTCATGGACGGCCCATAATTGTTGGCTGGTACGTTGTGAGCAATCTCAAGCTCTAGGGAATGTAGGCCATCCCCCACTGTACCTTGCCCTCTCTTACGTGCTGTCCCGTGCCGGGGATTGGCCTACCGCGATGGGCTGTCCCACAGTGCGAGTTGTGCCTCCCTACATGCGGCTGCCTCTACCACGAGACATCGCCCAGCTGAGCTGTAAGCAAGTTGGGTCACGTGTGTTAGGACCTAGACCCGCCGGATATGGATAGGTGGGGTTCAGCTTAGGCACCCATGGCACATCAGGTATGCTTCCACCCAGCTTTACCAACAAAGTTCTCACTCTTGAGCAGGATGACAAGACAATGTCCCTTTACGAGAAGATCCCACTTCGAACTCGGGCCGCAATCCGTCTTATAACACTGTCTCCTGGACTTCAAGGTGATCCTGTCATCCAAATCTGCCTCCAGAACACGAACCTGGGGGCTGTTAAATCAGACTTCGAGGCTATATCGTACACCTGGGGCGACCAAATCCCACGCAAGACCATCTATTGCGCGCCGGGCTATAATGACCCCCTCCAAGTTTCCCTAAACTGCTACACAGCGCTGCGTTACTTGCGACATCCATCCAAGGCCAGGACGCTATGGATTGACGCGATCTGTATCGACCAGTCGAACAACTGGGAAAGGAGTACTCAGGTACGAATCATGGGCGACATCTTCGCTGCTGCTCGTCGTGTCATAGTTTTCCTAGGAGAAAGCGACCCCGAAAGTAGAATCCTTTTTCAGTATTTGTCCAATATCGAGTCATCGGCCGAGTTGGACAGATGGGCCGTTCTTCATCCTCCACCAGAAGCATCTACTACTGACCGCCTCAGGACTCTTTTCAAACGTCCATGGTTCTCCCGAGTTTGGGTAATCCAGGAAGTCTCAAACGCATATGAGACCCTCTTTATGTGCGGCGAGAATTCGATAACATATGAAACCCTCAGTCGTTGTCTTTATGGATTCAGAGCCAATCGCCGTATCCTGAAAGATTTTCCCGCACCAATTGAGATAGCTGATCACCACCATCAGTACCACCAACTGCGTTGTCGGAATGCTTCACAGGAAATGTTCAAGCTGCTTACTGAAACGGGGCTTTGTAAGGCGTCCGATCCCAGAGATCGGGTGCTAGCACTGGTACCGTTAATCAAGTCAAAATCACCTATGCTAGAGAACCTTGTTGATTACGATAAGAGCACTGAAGCTATATTCGAAAGCTTATCTATCATGCTCATCGAAGAGATCGGGCTTGTAACGTTGGACTTGGTCCGCCACCCCCATGCAAGGGCAATGGCGTCGTGGGCTTTAGACTTAAGTCAGCACACAGACCGAAGGGGTCGAAGCATGGCCCGCTTACCGGAATCTGCTCCTTTTAATTCCACAAACTTTCGCCAAAGTTTCACTCTCAGTACGGCCTCCACTATCAATGGTTTATCACGTGGACTTCTCAAAGTCGAAGGTGTTCGATGTGGTCGAATTCGTCAACTTGGCCCTGCGTTGCAATTTCAAGCAGACAACCAGTCAGATAGAGAAAAACTTGTGAAAAACATTTTTGCGACTATGGAGTCATTAAGAAGGGGCGAATTTCATCCTCTTTGGCCGGATTTCGTCTCGAGTGGTGAGTTAGAGTTTTCATATGCAGTTTGTTCCCTGCTTAATTGTTGCAAAGCCTTTCGCCATATTACGGAAAGGGATTTACACCACCTCTTACTGGAAGACGACTGGCCTGTTGTAAGTCACGTGGCCTTCATTAGTACAGCTCAACTGGTGAAACTCACATCATAGCACAGGACCTTACTATTCATGAGTACGATGATGAACAGATAACTCACATGATTTCGAAGTGCGAACACTGTAGCATTTTCGCAATGACTGATCATCAGCTGGGCATGGCGTCTAGCATGGCCCAAGCAGGTGATACAGTATGCCTTGTCAGAGGTGCAAGAAATCCATGGGTTCTTAGAGAATATGAGCCGGGGTACTGGAAGATAATAAGTGGCAGTGGTTTCCTCCTGGACCTTTACAATTATGCTGAGGAAAAGCATCAAAACCCTCATTGGTATGATCATGTCCAAGAGCACTATCAAGATTGGATTTCTGAACAAGAAAATTTGCAAATGTTTTGCATTCTATAATAAATATGCGGAAAACGAAGTTATTGTCAATAATCAAATCGTTCCTCCACATGTCTATCGTTGAATGTGTAATTCAAACATTTCGACAAACTCGACTGATGAACATGGTTTATCGTGTAAAGCGATGCCTACGGGTCGCTTTATCTTAGCCCTTGATAATAACCTCGCTAGTCGGCAGTGGCCGGTGTGTTAGCAGCTATTATCCAAGGGAAAAAAATGTACTCTCGAAATTTGCAGCCTTGTGTGGCTGACTACAGAAGAGAAATGTGACGCAATTCAATGGCAAACACAATTGACATGTTGGAAAGCAACCTGCGGCGCTGTCGTAGAGCGGTGGCTATTTTAGCATGGACGAGTTCCAGAATCGCTGAATTAATGAAGTCGGCGATTATATGCAATATTGAGCTCGGGCTGGTGAGATGTGGTATAGAATTATGGCTTGAGAAAATGTGGCTGTGCTTTTTATGTTTCGTTTATTTAATTTCCCTCTTTTCCGTAGCTTTTAATACACTATCGCACTTTCTGCCTTTATTTTACGATTATTCGGTTTGGCGACCGTCGATTTATACGTCTATTTTAGCCACACGAACAATGTACGTTCGATTCGTCGATACTAACGAGGGGGACTGCGTTAGCTGAGGTTGTGTTACTTGGGGAATATGGCCCAGGAGCAGCACTCCAGTTTAATATGTGGCCAGCATGTTCTACAGACCAAGCCTTAAAGATGAGAACTAGTAGCGGGTTGGGCTTGTATAATTCCTTAGCATGTACCTGTAAAGCTGGAACGAGGTGAATATTTCTTTTTTGTCGTGATGGCGTATTCTATCTACAGATGTCTCTATCTCCCAAGACTCTAGGTTGTCGTTGTTGGATATAAGGGCCCTTCCTGGTGATATTCACTGGGCATGATCCCCTTGCTGCGCCGCCCTGGCATTCTTCAAGGCAATATCCATCACCTCAATCAATTCCCTGTCAGAAGTCTCACAGGATACCTGAACTTGATCCAATGCAAGAACCCAAATATCCCACCTCTCCCGATTGAATCCTTTCCAGTCTTTACCCGCAAACTGAGAGCCAGGAGTTGCAAAATACTCCAACTCTGCGTCGGTCTCATTTTCCACACATCTCCACAGAGCGTTTGAAGCATGGATAAACTACAGGCACGCCACCTGAAACGTCGTTGTACCGACTAGTTCGAATGACCTTATGTCAACCTCGAAGGCGGCTCGTAGTGACCACATGGCAAGTGCGCCCAATGCAATGGGTTAATTCCATATGCCAAATCGAGGGGGGCGCCCTGGGTAAACTTGGCGGTGAAGGCAATCAAATTAATCCAGCGCTGTTTGGTGAAACGCTGTCGGAAAATATGAGACTCCTCTTCAGAATGGTAATGTCTACGCTATAAGTGGCGCCTGTCCATGTCTAATTTTCCAAAAGTTATCATTTGATAGTCGCATCTGTTTGATTCCAATACCTCAATTCTATCGTTCCCCCTATTGTCGTATGTTGTTCAAATCATCAAGCATCAGCTTCCAGCAACATGTTTTTCAATTTGAAAGGTGCTTTGATATTTGGGCTCCGAGCCTCGACTGAGGCCAGCCCTGTAACGGTGCCTGGCAGTGTGGCTATCGAAGGTCGAGCCAAGGGGAAGAAAGTCCAAGGTAGACAACCAGATGATTTGTGTTCAAGGCACAGTTTGGTCAAGCAGGTAGCTAATCTATTTCACAAAGACTACATGTGTGGTACTACTCTGGTGGGCAAAGACGACATCGGCCTTGCTTTGGGGAACGGCAGAGCATCCGCAGATTTCAGAGAGGGCGGTGATAATCTTGTGAGAAAATATCCTCACAGGTATGAGAATGGTGATGGAATATTTGCAGCTGTTGTCGAGCTCAGAGAGTATCCCATCATCCCCGGCAGGATTTTCGAGGGCAAGTTTGACCATGTTCATGATCCGAAGACTGAAGGGCTTTTCACAGTCATAAGCATGGAAAATAGAGACACTGACAAATGGATGACATAGGTAACAATGGTAATCCCGGAGCATTTCGTGTCTTCTATAAGAAGGACGGCCAGAAGGACTTTGTTGGTGTTATGTATGAGAAGCTCTCGAAGTTCTACCTGTGCGCGCCGGCACCTGACCCCAAGGGCGATTCCGAACAGCCTCAGGTGCCTGAGGTGCCTAACCCTCCAACCTCTCCCACTCCTCCCACTCCCTCCACTCCGCATGGCCCCCTTGCTCCTCCTGCGGCTGGAAAGGTCTGACAAACTAGGGCGATGAGTGAAGAGCTTGAAATCACTGCTTTGGTATCAATGGCTGGATGATAGTGAAATTAACGCATTGACAATGCAAAGAAAAATTTTTCTTTTCTTTTTTGTTAGACCCAAACTCGGGAATCAGTGGTGGTCAGGGTCATTGTTCGTGCAGCCTCTATGGACTTAAAGTCCTGATGAGGCTGCTTGGCCGCGCCTTTACGTACTGGCAACTGTTCAGGTTCTCAGGAAGTGTGACGGTTGATAAACTGTGGGTGAAACCCGTCTAAATCCCTCCAAACACCTTGGGTGTTAGAAGCAGTCATGATACGCCCCGCCTGATAGCTAGTCAATGTTATAGCTATTGATGACGAGACGGATACTAAAATCTATTCATTAACACAGCACCGCCTGATAATGCAGTCGTGCCCTGTCGTGCCCTGTACCCCACATTCAGCGGTCGCCAAGTAAAGTTTCGAACGGCTTTGTCAGATAAAAGAGGGACTCTCATCACGCGTACAGAACTAGTGAAGTTACTCCGATTAAGCGGACCGCACGGATACAAGCTAGCCAGGCTGGTATGCGGAGGGCAACGCTTGTGGACCTGTCAGCGGGGAACTATTGGATTGCCACGGTTGCTCGGCCGGCAGTTTCAACGTTGTCTGTCCAGGGCCTGATTGAAATTGACAAATGCCTAAGACGTGAATATATATAAGACCTCTCGTAAACATCTAAGTTTCAGTTCGAACAGTTTAGCACAGAAGAACCGAGGACCATCAATAGGCTAGTGGCGATTCATACCCACCGTATTAATCTGCGTCATTGCCATTAACCTTCATTTTTACATCAAATTCGAAAATGACTTTCAAGCAGCCTCTTGTTCTTCCGCCCGGGGTTGACGCCTCTCATTTCGAAGCCTATCTAGAGGCTGTAACGGAAGTCATAGGAAGCGAGAATGTCACTGTCATTACCAGCGAGGACGTGCTAGACAAGGAGTCATACCTCGACCCCTCGAAGGCTCACGACATGTTCAACGTCTTCGACAAGGACTATTTCATCGCCTCTGCGGTCGTTGCTCCCCGCAAGGTCACGGACGTGCAGGCAATAATGCGGCTCTGCAACGAGTTCAAAGTCCCGGTGTGGCCTTTTTCTATTGGCCGTAATGTTGGGTACGGTGGCGCTGCCCCTCGTGTGCCGGGTAGCATCGGCCTGGACATGGGAAGAAATATGAACAAGGTGCTGGAGGTCAGCGAGCAGAATGCCTACTGCTTATTGGAGCCAGGAGTCACGTACCAAGACCTGTATGATCACCTGGTTGAGAAGAAGTTGAACGACAAGTTGTGGATTGATGTCCCTGACCTCGGAGGTGGTTCAGTCTTGGGAAACTGTATTGAGCGTGGTGTTGGCTACACGCCTTACGGTGACCACTTCATGGTAAGCATCAGGACCCGCTGGCACGGCTGACATGGATTGTTGATATGCCATACCAGATGCATTGTGGAATGGAGATTGTGCTACCCAGTGGAGAGCTGGTTCGTACAGGAATGGGTGCTATGCCCAACCCAAGCGCGTCATCGGCTGACGGGACTGTGGATGAGCAACCTGGCAACAGATGCTGGCAAGTATGTGGCTATCGCCCATGAATGATGAGTAGAACTAATCACGTGCTAGCTATTCAATTACGGCTATGGTCCATACCATGACGGTATTTTCTCTCAGAGCAATTACGGGGTTGTCGTTAAGAGTTAGTAGTTCTGATCAGTGTTGACAACGCGGAAGCTAATTTGCGTGGTTCAGTGGGAATGTGGTTAATGCCCAACCCCGGGGGCTTCCAGCCTTATTTAATCACGTTCGAAAGGGATGAGGATTTGCCGCAGATCGTCGAAAGAATCCGTCAACTCCGGTTGGCAATGGTTTTGATGAATGTTCCAAGCATTCGCCATATTCTCCTTGATGCCGCTGTGATGGGCACAAAGAGATCATATAAGGATGTCAACCGGCCATTAACAGAGGAGGAGCTTGTGCAAATCCAAAATCAGCTTGGTATTGGCCGCTGGAACTTTTACGGCGCATTGTATGGGCCAGAGGTCATGCGAAACGCTCAATGGGAAGTCATCAAGGGCACCTTCGGCCAGATTCCTGGATCCAAGTTCTTTTGGCCTGAGGAGGGCAAAAAGTCACCAGGCGTCCTAGATATCCGCGCCAAGACGTTTGCCGGTATTCCAAGCACGGACGAGCTCAAATGGGTGGACTGGCTGCCCAACGGCGCACACTTGTTCTTCTCACCTATCTCCGAGATTACCGGAGATGCCGCCAATCTGCAGTATTCTATCACCAAGAAGCGAGTGCTAGAGGCCGGGTTCGACTTTATCGGCACTTTCACCATCGGCATGCGCGAAATGCACCATATCGTTTGTCTTGTATTTGACCGCAAGGATACTGAGCAGAGAAACAGGGTGCATAATCTGATACGTACGTTGATCCAAGACTGCGCTGCGCATGGATGGGGTGAATACCGTACCCATCTCGCGCTCATGGATCAGATTGCCGGTACATACAGCTGGAATGACCACGCACTGCTAAAGTTTAGCGAGACCCTCAAGAATGCTATCGATCCTAACGGAATCTTGGCACCTGGTAAAGTAAGTTACCACATATCTGCCCTCTCCACTATTCCCCAGTTCAAGGCTGGAGTTTATTAACCTCCTCCCAGAACGGCGTATGGCCTAGCTCGTATAGTAAGTCCGAGTGGCAACTCACAGCTGCTTCGTCCTTGCAGAGGCGATGCTAGATACGTATTTACATGATAGTTATGACCGCGAATTCCACGTGGTTGGTTTCAGATAGGCTCGACAATTCTAATAAGAGCAGTGTTGAATGTTGCGCGTTGTTTTGATAGCAGTGTCATTGGCTTTCCCCGAAATCCTTGATGCCGACGGCTTGGCAATGCGTAGTCTCTCCACTATAATGGAACTCATGTCAGTGGTTTTGAATTACAATTCATGTTGAAAATGCATATGGGAGGCAGTCAGTCGCACGAAGTATAGCCGTCGTTTTGTTGGCTGAATGCCGCCGAGCGTTCTCTGTAAGCACCGACCCCTACGATTCTGATCTCAAATTCTTGACTTGGAGAAGTGTCGATAAAGAGACAGTTTCCTAAATTGTCTCAAATGCACTCAAGTGAGCCAATGAATTTCCAGCACGATTGGAGTCAGCTTACCTAACTCGATTGTTTGTCTTACATGACTAGTCGTTATCAGTATATGCTGTTGCAGCCTTATCGACCAACTTCTCTGCCACGGCTCTACGAAGAATCAGGGAAGGAAAGCGACGACATGTTCCATTCAAATGCTTTCACGGAGTTTCCTTGGACTCGTTGTATTGGTTTATAGAAAGATGCCAAGTTTCAGTCGTGTTGCAATCGAAGCGCCGTGATGGTTAACATCTAGGTATTCTGAGGCGGGGAACATTTACCACAGCGTCCGGAGAACAGCAGTTTACTGACCCAAACTGACAAGTGCGACTTGATTTGCGACAAAATTGGGCAAGGCATAGTCGATACGGCTGAAGATTGACCGCGAGGAGAGGTCATCCATTACAGGCGTTAACTCATCATGGACGCGTAGGTCTCCGGCGAGTTAACACACTTCTTCTGTGATGAGGTAGTTGGTACAATTGTGGCTTACATGCGTGGCTTACACGTGGCTTGCACGCAGCCTTGTACATGCGTCTTGGAGTCCTCGTAGATCCAGCCTTAGCCATCGCTCTTCACCCCTCAATTTCGGCCATATTTGCGGCCTCACGGCTCCACTCCAGCGTGATTCTGTTCCTGTCGTCCTACAAGAATGTGGACGCGGAAAGATGTCGAACCGCATTACTCCTTGTAAGCAAGATAATTTCCACCCTCACAGCCCTCCTACGAAACGCACAACTTGCAGGATGGCGTCTTCATCGGCAAATCGTGAAGGCGCATCTATTGCCGATAGGGTCAATTCTCTACCAGAAGAGCCAAACAGTAATACTGTCACTGTATGGAGGGGTTCCCCAAGCACCAGAGGAAATAGTGCAACGCGAACCGAGCCCTCGGGTGACAATGCTTTGTTGCCATGGTCGAATTCCCCCAACACCTACCAGAGTTCCTCTGGCAGCCGTCCAGGACCCGTCGCTGACCCCCCAGCATCGCAAGTCCCTCGCCAACAAGGTCAAGCTGCTCTACACGATGACTTCTCCGGAGCCGAAGCCAACGGTGATGTCGCTCCGATAGGTCCTTTCGGTGTCAATGACGACTATCTTCGCAACAGGTCACATGACTACTCAGGAACCAAGACAAATGTCAAAGATAGACATCCCAAAAATACTCCAACTATAGGTTCCATCGGACCGGTATCCGCACAAGGATTGGAAGTGATGAGAAGGGCTATAGAGGTATGACTTTTCCGATGGTAATTGACCAAGGTGGCTTTTTGTGGAGCGATTACCGCTAAGACGGAGTCACGTTATGACCATTCGAGATGGAGGCTAACAATACTGCAGTTAAAAGATCGAGGCTAAAATGTAGCGTCGTAACAAAACGCCGAGCCATCCGAGCTTATATTTCATCTTCTCACTACGTTGCAACAATTGTCTGACTGGCGTCTGACTTCGTACCTTTTGGTGCATCATACCGGGCTCTTGTCTGGACCAATTTCACCACCAGATCAAAGGTACTTTGTACTGCCCCAACAATACTACACATCGGTGTGGCTTCTCGACAAAACGTTCTCGCGGGTATTCTCAATCGTAGTCCAAGTCACTATGATGAGTGTGTGTTTCATATACGGAACAATGCAACTGTTTTCTTTATTTTATACTATGCATAGGTCGCAATGACCAGATTGCACCTCGCCATTGTGGCAAGAAACTCAGCTTGTCTTTTTCTAACATCCTACATCACCTTACCCAGGAGATGATGGACAAACTCTGTTTCACTACCATTCTACAATCAAAGGTGTTGAGAATAATAGTGGCGTCGCACATAGCATTTACCAATTGAGTTATTACATGCAGGTCTGCTTACGACATAACCCAATCTCCAAATTATATGCCAATTTGATACCAGATCCAAAAGTTCTCTGACCAATCACGCAATACAACTTGACAGACTATCGATTCCAGCCCTCTCAACAAAATCCATCCATCCAGGACACATTGCTCGTGATATAACACCGATGCAATCGCCGGTACAGACTTTACTCAACCAAGTACCAGCTCCATCTTAAAATTGCTCCTAACAGACCAATATGTCTCCTGGTGATACAGCTCACATGGAAATTATGTTGTCTGGGACGTGCATCCTCGTGAAGGTCACCGTTGTTCCCTCGGACTTGTGGGATGATATCTCAAACCACTTGAATGAGTCCTCATAAGTTCCATGTTGGTACTTGTAGCCAGACCAGCCTTGGTCATGGCTGAATACGGCGATCTTTACTCTTTGAACGGGACGATGGGTGCGACCGCACATTGGCTCAGAGAAAATCTAGGGCTTGCCGAAAGATGATTTTTTACCGTCGTACTCTTCACTCAAAGCCCGGAAAATTGTCGATTTCAGCCAGTACCTCGAAAAATTCATAATATGAGTAATCAAGTGGCGAGGTTGTGCTAAACCATGCGACAACTTGAGCTTCAACAACCAATATATTCGAATGCATCACGATCACGTTCTGGCCTATACTTGGCGTTGGTTGGCTGAAGATCCATACCATCTTAAGCAACCAAGCTTCCCAGCGACTGGATTTTGTCGCAGCCTCGGCACCTATCAACATATGAGAAATGCTGATGTGATTGTACTAGATTGCTGTCATCAGCGGTGTCTTTCCATCTATATTTTCCGCGTCAGCGATTATGTCTATACAGGCAATCGCCTGGTTGATGTCGTACGAATCCATTATTGCTTTTCGGTCTTCGCTATGCTACATGTAGGACATTCAGGAGTAGAAAATCAATCGGAAAAATTGGTGTTACGCACAAATGTAGCGGAAGAAATCGCATAGCATGATCCTTGTCATCATATTGACTTTCAACTGATTCTGGCCAGAGTGACAGTGGAATGAGCCATGTTATCAACGTTTAATCGCACATATAAAGCTAGTGTCTCAAAATGCTAATGACTTTCTCGAGGAAACTATCTACTTGAGATCATACAACCACCATTCCAGCTGTACCGGGAAGAGGCACTGACGCAAATCATCCAGTGGCCCACATAAACATGTACGCAACCGAATTGTGAAGATGTCTTCTCAGCTTCCCCGTCCTCATCTTCAACTGAAACAAGCTTTCCTCACATGCACTGGTCAAGAATTGCATAACTCATATATCAAGACGCAAGCGATGTGGAGACACCTTGCAATAGATGCTAAACACGCCGAATCAAACCCCTGCTGCATGGTATAGCGAGAATAAGCCGAGAGCTCTCAGGCCCTTGTGCACGAACCCGGACCAATGATTCTTTCTCTCACGGGAACGAAGGATCGTGCGACTTTCATTGTCTTGATTTTAGATAGATTGTGATCACTTCCAAGATGATGACTCTCAGGTCAAATGGAAAGGAACACGCCGGCTTGCAGCAGACATGCAGAGGTGGGGTCAGGATGCGCGGCCTATCGGCATTTTATGTGCCTGCATACTCAATGTAGGTGCTGCCCAAGCTTCCTTCGATGCCCAAAGGCACTCAAACAGACAGTCCATATTATGAACTTCTGGACACCCCAGTTGAAACTCGAATTCCATCGAGCGGTTGATGAACTGTTTCGCTTGGGCGATACACCATGTGAGGAACGGTTATATCGCGGAAGGCTGCGAGTTCAGAATGAATTCGAGAATGAACACACTTTGAATTTTGACGACGAGCTTCAGATCACGGATAACCTGGCGTTCCTTGCGCAGTGCGAAGAAGGTGTTAGGACTGTATCAGCTGTCACTATTCAGGAGCATCAAGATGGGATGAGAGTATTGATTGCCAGCAACCAAACACCTTCCCAAGATATTGTAACCGGGATCAGGGAATTACTGTCATACGCAAGTGGAATCGCTACGAACGGTACAGCTATTTGGGCTCAGCTAATGCCATGACATCATTGGCTAATTTCAAGCAGCAATTCACCGAGACGAGTTCCTGGAGAAGGCATTCCAAAAGGTGCTGGATTTCAGTCACAGTCGTATCCTCGGACGCCTTCGGCCACCATGGCAAAGACCTCCCGCTTATATCGTAGGCCGACCCTCATCTTTGCTCTGTCAAATCCGGGGCCTCAGACAGGTATTACAGGGCTTAGTTGAGGTCGGCTCTCTCCCTCAGAGCCTCCTTACCAATCTTGATGGGCTCGCCGAAGTCTTAAAACCCATAGATGTGAAAACAGACAGCATCAGGATGAACGAAATAATCGCGGAAATCATCAAAAGCTGTGTCGATATCTCCGCCACTGGACCCGGAAAGTCATTGGAGGGTGCCCTCCGGTCACTTGCGCCGTCGTCCAACGTGTGCCGGAGATCCGAGGTGCGACAGATAGACAAGCTTGCGCGATATTACTATGCCTGCAAGGACTTGCTGAAGATGTCTCGAAACCCACGATACCGCAGTGTTTTCAGGACCATCGAGGTACAGGTCATCGAATCTTTCCGCGGCCTGCGTTGGCCGGGCGCTGGAAATGAACGTTTTGTCCATGCCGAGATGCTGCAAGTTCTCCATTGGGAGAGGAATGGTGACCAGCTCCGACCGAGAGCTATCGGTTGCAGCAAATCGGCTTGCTATTTATGCAATCTTTTCCTCCAAACTCAGAGTAAGTACGATGTCTCATGCACACATGGGCGGCTGTTTCCCAAATGGACACTCCCAGATGTCGATTGGATGAGTGAAGAACAGGCTGTCTCCTTCAGAACCGTGCTTGGACATATGATCACCACAATGCAGCAAGAGATTGATCGCCACAGGGGGCTTGGTCAACAATTATTTTCCCCGTACGTTATGCAAAGCAGGACGTTTCTACCACTGTCGAGTGCTTCAGCTAGTACAGCTCTCAGTGGCGTTAGCATACCGTCTACAGCACGAGGACGTCATGACGAATTCAACTCGAGCAAGCTCACGGTTCATGAGGACGGAAGTTCGAACACAACAGCGAGGAGTCCCCGACGTATCAAACGGGATAATTTTCGTTTGTCAAGGCAAGATCTACCGTTTCGACGCTGTATCCAAGGCGACTATCTTCACTTTGTTGTGCACTTCGGCCATATCTGCCTCCTCTTCGAGTTTGATGAAGGAATGGAGGGCGAGCTTTGCATCAGGAACAAGGATAGCGCAGCGGCCGAGACCGTCGAGATTCAGAGCATTCCAACGGATCGTGACTTGGCTCTGAAATCATCTGCAGCGTTGCCCCGGTCAACATTTCGTTTGCAGGATCTTTCTCTCGGGTCTCTTGACATTGATTTCTATCCTCGGACAGCCCAAAATCATAATTGAGAGCCCAGTGACTGGTTGCCTTGTCAGATTATTAGAAGCGCATAGGCACTCAAATCACTTTCTGCTCTTTTCTTATGGCTTGCGGGTCTATGCCACCCGCTTTCGACGTACCAAATCCACGGCATATCTCTAAAACGACACCAGAATATGTAAAAGAAGGTCACTATACCTCTGCATTAGATAAGGCAAAGGATAGAACTGTATAGCCCAACTTTGGCTTATGAAGACGGATTCTCAGCTTCGTCGTCCTCTCCCTCAACAAGGACACGCTTTCCTTGCACGTTCTGTTCAACCTCGGCCACTAGACTCTCTAGAAACTCCTTGTCACGACCAACGAGAGTCACAGAATTGTTCTGCTTGCCCCATCGCGGGTAGCTGCCAACCTTGACGCCCTTGGACGCTACCCTTGCTGCCAAATCGGTAAGATAGCCCGCGACAGCACTTTCGGCCATGGGCGTGGAGATGATGATGCGGGCCGTGCCTTTGCCCTCCGGATCAACGAGGCGAGGGACAATGGATGGTTTGAGTCCATCAAGGAGGCTCTCGACTGCGTGTAGTTAGTAAAGTAGGCGGACCGACCTGTCATTGGTTGCAAATAGAGGGAAGCGCTAATAACTGACATAATCTGGGGACACCCGGTAGGATGTGGATATTCCCATTGACCACAGAGACGGGCACCCAGAGCTCGTCGCGGGGGAAGATGACCTGCTTGGAGACATCGCGAGACTCATCAATAGGCAGCTCGACCATTCTCAGGCGGGCCGTCTTCGCCGGAGACTCAACATCCCAGCTGAAGTTGGGCTGCGACTTGTGTGGCTTGCTGAGCTTCTTCATGCGCTGATACGCATCATCATGGAGGACGAGTTTGATGCCAAAAGCCTTGGCGATCGACTGATACGTGATGTCGTCGTGACTTGTTCCATTAGTTGCCAGGCCACATGTTGCGAGCTGCGATGTTATACTCACGTTGGTCCAATGCCGCCACTGCTCAGGAGTCAGTCGTACGCCAACAAAGCCGACTCAGATTAGTCTTACCTGGTGACGACAAAATCGTATCGATCGCTCATTCTGCGGACGGCCTCGACGATCTCGTCCTCGTCATCCTCTATGACCTCGACTCGCTTCAGATTCTGAGGAGCATGTCAGCTGTTGATCGTGCATGGCAGGAAACAGAGGCAACGTACAATTCCTAGCTGAAAGCACCACTTTGCCATGTAAGCCGAGTTTGTCTATTCGCAAATGTTAGCTCCGCAGAAGGGACATGTGGCGCCATTTCTTGAAGAGTTCATACATCGACAGTCTGCATCCATGTTAGTCCCATTCTCATAATCACCGACTGTGCAGACCAACCTTTCCACCGAGCACCTCATCGCCAATAATCAAACACGCGGCGGTGTGGATGGTGCGCGTATTGCGCTCGTCTGCGGAAGCCATGATTCGGGATGCCAGACCACTGGATCTGGAGGACGCCGCTGCAGAGAGATGTCCAAAAGCCGGTCCGGGTCGCGAGAGATGTCGTGCCAGCTGTGAGATGCGGGAGATCATTAATACGGACGTGGGACGACAAAGGAGAACCTCAGCGACTAGTGCGGTAGAGCTGGAATGAAACGGACGCCAAATCAACCAGGCAGCAGGGTGGAACGACTGTAGGTATCGAAACGAGAAAACGCAGGCAGCTTCGGGGCAGTTCGCAGAACTCTCGTGTCTTCCGTCCGGTCTGGGGTCAGTGCAGCTTCCGCTGAGGGACCAGGGCAGTGGGCAGTGATGATGTCGTTCGCCCGTCTTGGGGCAGCCGGTGGGCCGCCCGCTGTACCGCAGTGGAGCCCCCCGACAGGCCTGAGGCTGGAGGGTACTCGGGCCCCGCGCTAAGGAGCTTCCCGCGCGCTCGTCATTTGATCGAGGGGCAGCTGGAGCCTTGAGCGCTGTGAGGTGAGTAGGTAACCAAGATTTGCGACTCCAAGCAATCCTACGACTGCGATACTATAGCCAGCCCTATCAATTATCTTCCAAGTGCAGACTGTGAACGACGCCGAGTCCACCCGAATACCTCACCACTCCCACCTACGACAGCCCTATAGACTCAGAACAATGGTATGCGAGCTCACCCCGCTCTACACCTATCCCAGCACATGCTCCCCGACCTTGGAGGAATGTGGCATGCCTGACACGTCCCAGAGCTCCGAAGCAAGACTCTACACCTTCTCGCAAGAGACCAAGGACCACCTGCGCAAGTTCCGCCTGGGGACCTCGAGGTCCAACGACCCGCAAGCCGTGATTTGTATGTACGTCTCTGCTGCTGCCGCTGCTGTCGCCGCGCCAGGCCAGTAGAGAGCCGGTGGACGGGCTGACCGAAAGCGCTGGCGACCACCCACAGACACGATCGATAAGAAGACGCACGAGATCAAGCAGGACGAAGACAAGGTCGTCTACAAGACTCTCGAGGAGATCGGCGACGACCTGCCGGACCACTCGCCGCGCTTCGTGCTGCTGAGCTACCCCCTGACGCTGGTACGTGACGGCCTCCAACGCTCTGGGTTGAAGTTCCTGCGGTATCTCCATACTTGTGCTAACTCCTTAATGTGTGTATGCAGCCGTCCGGCCGCCTCTCCGTCCCCTACGTCATGCTGTACTACCTCCCGATCACGGCCAACAACGAGCTGCGCATGCTGTATGCCGGCGCCAAGGAGCTGATGCGCAACACGAGCGAGGTCGGCAGGGTTATCGACCTAGAGAGCGCCGAGGATTTGGAGGAACTCCCCAAGAAGTTGGGATCTTCGGAATAGATGTAGCTCTGCGGCTGGGATCCAGACGGGGCAAGGTTCGAGTGTCGGGGACAATACCACGGTGTGGCATGCAAGCAGAGTCACGATCGCGATAACACGCGTCACATTTTACATCTTTTTGATTTCTTGTGCTGTCTAGCCTTCGTCCGGGAGGATCTGCTTGGGGTCCACGCCCAATTGTTCCCCGAGCCCCCTGACGACCTTTTTCAGTGCTGTACAGGCCGGGCTGTCTGGGAACGCCTCAAAGAAGCTCTCCCCGTAGTCACACGCCCTCCCTATCCGCGGGTCTAATGGGACCTCGCCCAAGAACGGAATTCCCATCTCCTTTGCCAGCGCCGCGCCTCCTCCCGTCGTCGCCCTGAATATCTGACTCTCGTGTGTGCAGTTGGGGCAAACGAAGCCGCTCATGTTCTCCACCAGGCCCAGAACCTTGATGCCGGCCTTGCGGCAGAAGTCGATCTCCTTCCTCACGTCCAGCAGGGCGACCTCCTGCGGCGTCGTCAGCATGACGGCGCCGTCGATGCCGCTCTCCTTGAGGAAGCTGTTCACGCTCAGGTGCTCGTCGCTCGTGCCGGGCGGGGTGTCGACCAGCAGGAAGTCGAGGTCGCCCCACTCGACGTCCTTGAGGAACTGCTTGATCAGGCCGTTCTTCTTGGGGCCGCGCCAGATGATGGCGTCGTCGCGGTTGGGCAGCATGAACTGGATGCTCATGACGCCGAGGTTGTCGGTGACCCAGACGGGCGACCAGCCGGTGCCCGAGACGTGGATGGTCTCGGCCTCGACGCCCATCATCTTGGGGATCGAGGGCCCGCAGATGTCCGTGTCCATGATGCCGACCGTGGTCTCGTCGCGCGCGGCGAAGGCGTGGCCCAGCAGGCTCGTGAAGGTGCTCTTGCCCACGCCGCCCTTGCCCGACAGCACCAGGATCTTGTGCTGGATCCCCGACAGCCGCGCCGAGATCAGCGGGATGTCCGGGTCCGGGCCCTTGGGCGCCGACGCGCAGATGGCCTGGTTCGGGCACCCGGCGCACGAGTCGGCCTGGCCGGCCTTTTCCGACTCGGGCCCGGGGCAGTGCTCGGGCTCCGGGGCCACGAGCTGCGGTTTGGCCTTGAGGGGGTTGGACAGGACGTCCTGGACGGCGTCGGGCTCCTCGAGCGAGGGCGCCATGACGGCGGGCTGTTGTCTGGTCTGGGGGTGGGGGGTATCCGGAAAGAGGGCGGCAGATGCGCCGTTCGGCGGGGCGGGGAGGTCGGCTCGTTGCTGTCTGCTACGCAGAGCTCGTTCCGAAGACGCGAAAATGTGCTCTCGGAGTGTGAGTAAAGCACTTCGACTGCTGCGTAATGGGTATCGATGGGAGTTTGGCGCTGTGCGAAATAGTTTCAGGTCATGGGGTGATGCATATAGGGATCTTCTGCTTAACAATCCGAAATAGTCGCTGGCGGACTGGCGGGACTGGCGGGACTGGGCTGATGGCCGCTAGAGCCTCCGGCAACGGCGTGGTGGGGCCAAAAAAAAAAGGTGGGATGGATTTGACAGGACGGGACGGCATGGACTTGTATACATCAAGTAGTACTGTGTGTTCAGACCTGACAACAATGAATGATTGCATGAATGTAATTGTTTGATAATGCTGCAAGAAACGCATCACGCGAGGTACTTGCCTATATCACCGCGTCTCCAGTGAAGGTGTCTACTGTGGGATCATCCTTCATAGAGCCTAGGTATAACCAATACTATGTACTGGCCGCCTACAGGTGGGATGGGAGACTGGCCTGCAGGTGACGGGCTTGGGGCCGACGTCAGTGGAGGGGCAACTAAAAGTCTGGGTGGTGCTGGCGCTGTAGATTGGTACTACCTATGTAAATCCGGGGTCGCGATGCGACGCTGCTGGTTGGCCCGGGAGACGGGCACGTGATCTTATCGCGACGATAACAAAGCGAGAGTGGGGCGGCCAGGGGTCCCCGACGCGCTTCGCGTAGCATCAATCGCATTTACCGTTTCCAGGTTGCGAATAGCTTCACCTCGACAACTCTCGACAACCCCTCCGCAACTCCTCCGCGGAACCTGTCCAGCTCTGCCGTCGCATCCCTCGGAGGTACCAACCTCCATATCTACCCAATACCAAATTTCACTCCCCACTTTCGCTGCCACGGGGCAACACCAGCCATGGCTGCCCCGGACGGGTCTGAAGGCCTGCGGGTCAAGCTCGAGGACGACGGCGAGGGACCCACGTTATCGTCGTCGTCGCCGTCAGCCCTCCCCTCGATTGCAAACGCAGCCGCTGATGCGGACCTCCTACTCTCGTTGAACAACCTCTCGCTCTCCACGACCTCCAACTCCTCGCCGTCTCCCTCTCGCGCAACCTCTACATCCCCTCATCCCGCCGGCCCCTCGCTCTCTACCCTCGACAGACTGACCGGTGGCTCGTCCCCGAGTCCCCAGCTTCGAGCCAAGAATCCCAAGAGTCCTGCCTCTCGCTCCTTCTCGGGTCTCAGCTCGCAAGCCCAGAGCAGATCCGCTACTCCCACCCTTTTGAAAAAGTCCTCCACAGGCTCGTTGCGATCTGTCAACGGCACCACGCCCTCGAGGCGTCCTTCCTCCACGCTCTTTTCGCCCACCCTCTCTAGAACTCCTACAAATGGCAGCGCCCAGTACAACATGGAAGACCTAGAGAGATCGAGACCCCAGAGGACCGAGGCTTCTGTGGCTGCCGACTTCTTCAAGGCAGAGCTCGAGAAGAACCACGGTCCGACTTCGGCCAAGGCCGCCGCCACGGCTGTTATCCTACAGGACGCATGCTACGCCCACCGGTTCGAGCGTGCGCACGGCACCGATGAATATGGCCTGTCGACCATTGTCGAGCGCCCTGAGCGACTTCAGGCCGTCACAATCGGAGCTGCTGCCGCCTATGTCCGTCTCGGCGAGAGGCATGAGGGCGGAAAGGCGGCCATCCACCCCGACCTCGACCCATCTACCCTGGAAGTCCCCTTTGAGATCGTCAAGACCGACCGCCAGCTCCCCCTGAACTCCCCCATCGTGGCCAACGTCCATGGCAAGAAGTGGATGGACGAGCTCAAGATCATCTGCGCCGCTGCAAAGTCGCATCTTACACAAGGCACCCTCGAGATCAAGCGACCCGATATCGACCGCGGTCCCGGCGCTAAGCCTCCCGATGCCTTCCACGAAGGAGATCTTTTTCTTAGCGAGGCATCCACCTCCGCCTTCGAGGGAGCTCTCGGCGCCACCTGCGAAGCTGTGGACCGTGTCTTCAATGATTCGGCAACCAAGAGGGCTTTTGTCGCCATACGGCCCCCGGGTCACCACTGCAATGCCGACTTTCCTCATGGCTTCTGCTGGCTGAACAATGTCCATGTTGGAATTATGCATTCCTTCATGAATCACGAGGCTACCCACGCTGCCATCATCGATTTCGATCTCCACCACGGAGATGGCTCGCAGGAGATCACCTGGGATCACAACCAACGGGCGCAGGGTATCAAGAATGCCAGGACACATCCTACCCCCTGGAATAAGGCTGCGAACTGGAAGAAGGGTTCTATCGGCTACTTCAGTCTGCATGACATCAATTCGTACCCATGCGAAAATGGTGATCCGGACCGCATCAAGGATGCCAGCGTGTGTATCGATGATGCTCATTCCCAGACCATCTGGAACGTCCACCTTGAACAGTGGAGAGACGAAACCGAGTTTTGGTATCTATACCGCACCAAGTACACTCCCCTCCTCGAGAAAGTCCGAGCTTATCTTCGGCGCGAGGCACAGAGATGGCGCCAAGCCCGCCGCCAGCCCAGGGCCGCCATCTACCTGTCGGCCGGTTTCGATGCCAGCGAGCATGAGACCCCAGGCATGCAGCGCCACACTGTCAATGTCCCCACCGAGTTCTACGCCAGACTCAGCCGCGATGTCGTCAAGATGGCGGCCGAGGAGGACTTGGGAGTCGATGGCCGTATCATCAGCTGCCTCGAAGGTGGTTACAGCAATCGAGCCCTCACCTCCGGTGTCTTCAGCCACCTCACGGGGCTCGCCGGAAACGACATCCGTTTCAAGGAGGAGATCGGCAGCCTCGGTCGCCGTGTCAGCGCCGGGAGCCCCATGAATGGGAGCCCTATGAGCAGACGTAGCACTGTGACCTCGTCGGATGCCGAAGTCCGCCCTAGATATGCTGGCTTTCCGTACGATCCGAATTGGTGGACGGCTGCCGAATTGGACAAGCTAGATGCAGCAAGGGCCGCCCCCATTCCACCGCCTCGTGTGGTTCGCGAAGGCCCTCTTCCAACCTACTACTCGCCAACCCAAGCGTCGAATGCAAAAGTCTCCGATCTTGCCAAAGCTCGCCGTAGCATCTCAGGGCTTTCGAGTTTAACCTCCGGACCTCAGCCCACGTACACTCGAGCGCCGACCCCTCCTCCACCTGCTGTTTCATGGGCAACCGCATCACAAGAACTGGCGCGACTACTTATTCCTACTAATCGGCAGGTGAACAGTATCACGTGGAACGAGCTCCACGCGGAGGATATTCGCATCAAGAAAGAGCGTCAACGGGAGCGTCTGACCGTCTCTGTAGACAGTGCTTTCGCAGAGCCTGCCGACAATGGTCCCCCTGGAGTTCGAAAGAGTGGCCGTGAGCGTAAACCAGTGCAGAATTACGCCCCGCCTGATGAGTCGGGCAAGAATCGTCGAAGAACAGTGGCCGGCGCAGCTGTGCTTGCTACCGATAAGGTTTTACCCCTTCAAGACATACACGTGTCCATTCACGATTCTGACAGTGTTCAACAGACTACAGCTCGCGGCACCGCGGTCTCCCCGAGCAAGAAACGTCAGCCAAGCCGACGGCTTAGTGCCTCGTCTGTTTTGCCGACCATAACGACTGACCCTCTCCCGTCGCCGCTTCCTCTGGCTGACCTTGGCACGGACCCGGAGTCTTCCCAGCCTAGCAGGCCAGACTCATCGTTGAGTATCAGGACCACGACAATGTTGCCCGTCAAGAAAAGCCGGCCTTTGACAGCCAGGAAGGATAGTACAAAAGCTATCACAGCTAGTGTCAAGAAAGCTTCCAAGACTCTGTCCAGCCCGTCCAAGGCCAAAGTCAAGGCCTCCAATTCTGCTTCAGCTCAGGCTTCGGCTCGATCCAGCAAGGCTTCAAGTCCTGCCCGACCTAATAGCCACGACGTAGGTCCAGGTTTCATATCTCAGGAGCCGCCGATGACACCCGACACGGCTACTTCTGACTCCGGAACCGGTCTGGACAGAATCACTAACGGTATGCGGAAGATCAAGATCAATGTTGTGACGAAAGAAATGAAAGAGGCAAGAGAAAAGGGGCGAGCAGGTGTGAAGCATGGGGAGAGCTCAAATACACCCGTACTCGAGCAGTTCGCCTCTGAAGCGTCATCAACGCCCAAGATCGAAGAGTCCAAGTTGGATCAAGTCCAATTTTCGCAACCAGACCACCATCTCCACAGCAATGAGATTAACAATTCCCCTTCAGAAGTCGGTGACGTGATTTACCCTCTTCCCCAGCCTGTCACCCCGCAGAAGGACAACTGGCAACAGCAGCCTGCGCCTATTACTCCGGCGATGAACGACCAATTCCCTCCGGTTGCCAAAGCGCCTACCACGAGCGCAGCTGGCGATTCGGATCTTTTTGTCCCTTACCAGCCCGAGGGTGCTACACCACAAGCTATCCCTCAGTCGGCCCCAGTCACCTGGTTGGCTCCTAACACAGTCGACACTCCCATGCCTTTCCAGGGACACCAATTCACAGCTACCTCCACCATCCCCTTCGCTGGGACTCCTCTGAAGGGTCCTAAGTTCAAGCGCAAAAGCCCAGCAGTTGCTTTGCCATCTTCACATGAGCGTGGTCCTGAACCTGGTGCCACTCTCCCCACGGAGCAGCGCCATGACACTGCGGATCCGGATGTTTCCATGGAGATACCAGAGACCCCTGATGGCCGTCTCTAGATACCATGGTTGACTGGTTGGCATGCTTCTGTTTGAAGAACTCGAAGAGAGAAAACGACCAACCTAACCACACCCACGAGCGATGCTGAGCTTGTGTATCAACAGACAGTTGCATGTCGAAGTGTTTGAATTTGCGATACGTTCTGTTTCATGTTGGATTGCAATCTTCATATGCGGACACAAGTGCTTTTTTTGTCCCTCGTCGAAGGGCGATACAGTGGAATATAAGGGGCATGAAAGGCAGAGCGCATACGACACAGTCCACGGGGTTTGGACGGCCGAACTGATGAACCGGCGTTTTTTTTGGTGGTTCTTTTCATTGTGTCGAGATACCCCCAACAATTCATCTTGTCCATGCGTACGGAGTATGGGGTTTTACTATTGCGAGCGTTTGGCTCCTCGGGGAAGCCTATTGTTGAGGATGAAGGACCTCTGAGCAGGAGAAGCTATTCGGATTAGGGAGCATCTGTATTGTTTGAGTACGGTTGACAAGCTGGCCACATAACGTGGTCTCGGGTTCGAAGGGACGGGCATGTATTGTTAGGCCATCCAATGGAAGTACATGTGCCCTTTGAGTTGATGACAGTTTTCACCTGTGAAACACGTGAACCAGGCATACGTAAGGTCTAGCCACCTACGCTCTACTTCAGGAACTATCTCGCCGCATGACTGAGTTCACGTTCGGAGCGTAGTAGAAGATAGCCCTGCCCGACTGCGACGATGCTACACTGCCTAACACCTTGATTAGGGTACTGAAGCTCCAGTCTCTGCTAGCAATTCTATTCCTCGAGCCCTATAGGTAGCGACTGGTTGGGATATGAGAACGTGAGTTTCCACGGCGTAAACGTATCAAGAGCCTATGCCGTCTGATATCTGCTTGATCGGATTATTCAATCTGTCAGGCCAGTAAACCAAAGAGTGCCTTGTTCGACTTTGACCCCGGACTCGGCTCACAAAGCCTTATACATAACACCAAGAGACAGCTTCAAATGAGTGGTTCCCATGCACTCCCTACGTGTAGGTGTACGTTCTCCCCGGCCCCTTTCTTCCAAGACTCGCCAAGATCTACTCAACGCCATCCGCCTTGTGTTCCGGCCACCAACAAACACATAGTTGGTGGGATTCAGGTGTGGGGTTGATTTCGTACAAGAACGGCGATAGAGCGTCTCTCTGCTTTCCAGGGTCTGGCTTTACAGCCGATAGGACAATGACACTTGCCAGGACTCCTGAAACGATCGGCGCGGCTGAATGGGCATAGGAGCTCAGCAAAACTCAAGCACTAGAAATGCAACGCTCCGGCATTTTCAGGGGCGTGGTACATACTGAATGACGTTCCACTCTGCAGGGCATTGTTTCTTTTGTAGGACGGTAATTCAGTTCCAGGGGCCTATAGAAATGAGTTTTCTACAGTTTAGTTTTTCTCTCCAGTCTTTTTGCTTCTTGGCAGCATCGTTTCAAGGACTATCTTACCTGGTGCTTGGCTTCTGATTGGGGCTGGCTTATTTGATTTCGGGCAGGGTTTCCACTGATATGTTGTGTTGTCTACCAAGATGACCTCTTTGTAACAAATCGGGTATCTAGTGGAAGCATTGGTTTCGCTGCCACCTAAGAAAGCAATAATTTTGCTGATGGTGTCCTCGGGTTTTGAAGCGGGCTCTCGATATATGAAATGCTGCCATCACTTTAGTCAGTGAAGCGGCCCAGCAGTAGCAAAAACAATATCCAGCTTGACTGCACGTCATGGAATGGGCCACGAGACAGTGTCGGGACTTCCATTGTCATTGCCCGGTGCAGCTACGATGTTTCCTCCATGGTTAATAGTAGATCGTAGTAGTTGCGTTGGACCGCTAGACAAATGCAGTGCCTCGGTTGCGCGCAGGCCTATTCCCCCAAGAACAGTTGATGACGGATTTTCCCAGATTGTATTCACCATTTTCATGTAGGGCGAGGGTGATACTGAACACTAGCATGACGTTGGCCTCCAGTGGCTTCTCATGGCCCTCTGCACCCGTTTTTGCCACTGTTATATTGACGACCTGTGCTGCAGATGCACTTCCGTATAGCTTCGATGCGGCGTATTGAGTGACATTAATGCCGTGGAAGTGGTCTATGTCCATGTCGAGTACATATTTTGAATCATCTTTGCAAGCTTTGACCAACTCCTGATCAGTGGGCTTAGAGCCGCATGCTTTCATTACAGCAAGCGTGTCAATGACTCTGACATGTTTCTGGTATTGCTCTTCCTTGGCACCGAGGATTTAGTGTTAGCAGGTTCTAAACTCGACGTGGCCCATGATTGGTGCTGTACATACTGCATCCGCATCGAATCCAGTGTCGAGCACAAAAATTGTGGTCTCCCCACCCCGGTGTGTGATGGGTCGGTATTTGAAATGGGCTTTGACTTTGATTGAATCCTTTTCTTTGCTGTAGGACTCTAGGCTTGCTTTATTTGCTTCCGGTTCGGTGGATGTTGCTCCCAAGGCCCACTTGTTGCAATCATCGGGTTCCCCTTCTATCTTATTGGTGGCGCCGTGAAAACGGCCTAAGCGCTCCAGATGGATATCACTAACCTAAAGTATGAAGGGTGAGATGGATGTACAAGGGCCATATTGGGTTAGACGAGATGTACGGAAGTATAGATTAATAACACTCATTGTATTACCGATACCTGATCCAAGTCTCCACGGCAACTATCAACAGAAAGCGGTGCAATACTTCCAGTTCAACAGAGTGGGAAAATGCTCAGTAACCTAGTTACACGTATGAAAGGACAAGTTTGTCAGAACCTGTGTATTGATCCTGCAGCAGAAGGTCTCAGATGGTGCAGTTGCGCCATTCGACTTGCTTCATATGCAATATTTGCATGACTAAACGCCATGGCTCTGGTTCGGCGTCGCAAGAAGCGCACACGAACCCACTAACTTAGACGGTGTCCGACTCGTGACAGCCACAGTCATAAAATATGGCAGCGCTTACGCCACATCCCCAATTGGTTATTTTTCACTGGACGGATCGTCCCGGCGAGCCTGACAATTGCCCACTCATTGTATATCACGTAACATTCCGTGAAGAGGTCGCTCGTTTGGGATGTGATTGCAGATCTTTGGCTAAAGGGTCAACCAACATATTAGTGCGACTAGACAGCCATAAAGAATACGAAAGACGGGAGTGCAACATGATTTTGAGAAGCGGGCTTACAACCTAGCATTGGACCTTGGAAAGACGAGTAGCACTTGCTTTTCCACCTGTCGGCTGCACCTTGCCGCCCCTGCACTGCAAAGGATCTCAGTGGTCACCGAAAACAGCTAACTTGCTTTTTTACGCCGTAATAACCGCATGCAGTGTAGCCCCAGCCTGCATGAGTACCCTTTTCCGCAGAGCCTTGTCGCCGAGACTCTGATGTCCTCCGCTTTATATCCAGCCTCCAATTCTCAAGTAACCATCTGGAAAGTTACCTCGAACATATCTTAGTTGTGAATCCGCTAAGCTCTATCCTCATCTGTGTACCTCCTGTGACATTTGCAACTTTGCAAAGTTTCACGACACATCATCAACAACAAGATTGATGTCTTTAGCACCATGGAGAGCACTCAGATTGTTTCAATTGTCGCGCTCATAGTCTCAAGTACTGCTCTCATTTGGAGTACGCTCCAACTAATCCATTCGTACCTTAGCTCTGCGAAGGGATACTCGAAAATCAATGAGAAGGTGATGCCCAAATGGGACGTGTATAAAAGCCGCGTCTTCCTCTGGGACCAATTCAGATTTCAAGTCAACTTTTATACGCCAGTTCTTGTAGTCTGCCCCCCAAAAAACAAAGAGTTCCCTATAAGGGATGCCGACGGAAAATCAGAAGGTTCGCAAGGCTATTCTTTCATTGGGGGTTCTAAGAACACCGACCTGATACCCTCTGTCGACGATCGTGGGCCTGCCATCCATACAGTCAACAATGAAAGAGCGACATGGATTACGCTGTTATCGGTCATCCACGAGATGGAAACGACGAGTTCCAGGTGGGAGACCGAACAGTTCAGCCGTAGCCCGCCATCGTCTTGTACTCTCCCAAAATTTGACGACCACACCTTGGCTGTTGCTATCCAACGAAAGCAAAGGAGCTGGGATGACATGCCCTCGAGTATCACCAAGCCTTACGCAACCACTACCATATGCCATATCATTGAGATTGCCGCAATGTTAGGGATACATTGGAAGGAGTTCGATCGCTCAAAAGACATATTCCTTGCTGAAGGCAATGGCCTTGTTTTCAAGGCCACTAGCGTCACAGAATTGGGCACAGTCTTTACATTTCAAGTCTCTGGGAAAAGCGAATTTAAGGACGGGCGCATCATTCCTGTTGATTCCGTCAAGGAGTTAGCTTTCGGCTTTGTCTCAACCTTGTACCGCAAAACTAAAGATCTAAGGCGGGTGGTGCTGCCTACTGAGGAAGCAAAGGACCTCGCTACTCTACAATTGGGTACTACTAATGAGTTTGCGGAAACGTTGGTCTCGTTTGGATGCAACACGGAAACCTCGAAGTGTATACGAGATAACGACAAAAGACATGGTCATCTTTATCCCTGTGAGCATTATTCCAGTAATATAGAGGGTTGTTTGCGTTAAGACATGCACTTTGTTAAATACTAATCTCGTCTAATAGTGGCATTCGAGATACTGGGAATGCTGGGGAAGATCTTTCACGTTAAGAAGGGTTTTTTCCGAGTACTACCTAACCCCACTTTCTACCATTGGAACCGACAGTACTTCAGCCTTCCTAGCTTATTGCTAGCCTATAAGAGGAACATCGGCGGAGAGTGTTCCTCTAATAAGCATTTGAACCGTTTGCAGACCCGAGTCGAGAATGTGGAAAGAGTGATCCATCAAACTCAACCTTCGTTTTCCGCAGCTCTGCTCGACGCCCTCCACGAAGCGTTAGAGTTGTGTGATAAGTTTCTCACGCAAAAGGTCCCCCGCGAGAAAGTAGGACTCGTCTTGCGGACGCATATTCAGGTAGTGCTATCAATGTTGAACGAAACCGAAAGGGGCCCTACACTGGACCGCTCCTGGGTTCTCCGTTCTTCCACGGAAACCGCAGGCAACATGCCTGCCTTTGCTAGTCTCGATGGAAAACCACCAGAATCCAAGCAGGATGAGCTGATTAATATCTACTTTACCAAGGTCCTCCCAAAGATCAACGGCGTGGATCCCGGTTTACCACCGCTGACCAGTGGGCCAGAGGTCGAGACGAATATATGGTGCACATTAGTGTTTCGTAGCCTTTGTTGGTTAACGTTGCATGATTTCCATAAGAATGATAAACAGGTTTCAAGGATGATTGAGCTGATGGGAAATAGGCTCCCTGTCTACGTTATATAACCAGACCACAAGGGAATGATGATGGAAGGTGAAGTGGGATATTATAGAGGACGGGAGTCTTCTTAGTTAATTTAATAGCAAGCTATTGGGCTCGAGCCAGAGTATGAGCGCAACATATAACCAATGAGGCAGCCGTGAGAAGTGTCAAGCCATGGCGGATGAAAGTGACGAAGCGAGGGCGAAGTCGAATAAACACATGGGTCTAATAGGTATTCAGAAAACGTCCAGTGGAATGCAGTGTTTGCTACCGCTTATCTGACTGTACTTGAATGCTTATTCTATGGAAACAGCATAAGAGACGAGTGGGCCAATTGATATTTCATTAACCATCACAATTGGCATCTGAGCGGCTAGCAAGAAGAGCTCAATACTCGTCAGGGCCAACAACGTCGACTGGCTGAACTATATGCCTTCTATAACGAGTGTAGAACCAGAGATGTTCAAGCCCGTTGATCGCAGCCTTCCTCCTGCCAAACTGTGCTATCCCATATGCTGACGTATGCATTCTGATTCTCTCTACTGTCTACATTTCCATTTTCGCCCAGGTATGTGAAGAGGTTTATCGCTGTGAAGGTCTCAAATAGGCGAAAACCGCGTCTGCTTTATATATTTACAGCAGCCGCGTACTTACATTTCACAAATGAAACGCACTGGAGATGGTTGATCTCAAGTGGTCAAGCGCCCCAATTAAACAACTCTTCATTTCATGATAGATTTTGACAGTGGCACGCACAGTACTGGACCGCCTATTAGTGTAGCAAAGCCCAGAAGGGAAAACTGGCACGTGTGGCCAAGACGCTGACGACGGACTTTCAAAAAGACAGATCTGTTGATACCGTAGTGCTCGCTCCATCTTCCGTGAATATGCTCCTAATTTAAGATACTGGCAGAGTTATTGAATTCTACGGCACCAAGAACCATTATCCATCCATATTCAACATACCAGCGAATCAAGAGTTCTCAGAAGACTGTTTCATCATACGGGTTGCCATCTTAACGGCAGTGAGATAATTCCTCAATATCTACTAGGTACTTCTAGTGGGGCCGACAGCATCAAGCATTCATTGCAGACTTCAACTCAACATTTATGACGAACCAATAAGTCTGATGGCGGCTTATACAAAGCACAAAGTAGATCCAGCCATGGTTGTCCCGCTTCACCCTTCATTACGGCCACATCCGCGGCCTCGCAGCTCCATTTCAACTTCATAAGGATTCTGCGGGTCGTAGACTGGTCCCGTGTAGTGAACGCACTGTGCTGAAAGCCTTAGCAGTCTACTAGCTACCACTCTGGGTTCTCATTGTCTCTCCATTAGGTAAGCAATCCCCTGTTTTCGGGCGAAAAGATCGTTCTACCGCTATGAGCTCGTCGCGGCAGCCTTTCGATACCGGCCAGGCTTTGGCCTATTCCCGGGTCCTATGCAGTGCGAAATCCTCCTCCAAGGCCTCTCGGGCAAGGACTTCGACGGTGTCTGCAGCTTTCATTGTTACGTCGAGAGGCAGTATATCTCTCTCAATGAACAGCTATCTAATGGCTTTTGGGATGTTGTCAACAAAGCGGCGGAGACTGCTCTTGGCAATACCTTTTGCGGATTTCCCGCATATTTTCACGAGGTCCGAGAGGCTCGCGGCGATATACTGTGCAAGGATAGGCCTCCAGTCTTCACGTCTCGTCTAGCAAGTTGAGGCCTTCGCGCACTCGTGCCTCTTTTCCGATCCGGGAGACATAGCTTCCGCTTCTGGATGCGACGGGGGTATTGGCTGGTTGAGAAGAAACCCAACTATTACATAAGCACGGGGGAGGAGCTCCGTCATCACCTTGAGCTTGTCTTTTCGAAGGAACACGTGCCTGCAGCAGTCGATGGATACACAACCATAATGATGTATAGCATCGGCGCACCTGAGATGGAAGAGCATTTCTCGAGAACTATAGCTTACAAGTTACCCCTTTGACTGGGCATTGCGCACAAGGAGGAAGACGGCTAGAGGAAGAGGCATTCTTATTACCTACTCCTCATTGGACTAGGATTCTATATGAACATGGGGCTCTGCTCTCACAGTGGCGGCTATACTAGATTGAAGTCATTACCGTACGACCAAACACGTAAGGAGAATCATATTTTTGTATTGCCTCGGGTGAAGAGCATAGAACACATGTGGCCCAGCGCCACCTCGAGCTCCAATACCTAGCTACACGTGAAGCATGAATTAAGGAAATATGTAGTCCTACTTCTCTTCAAAGCCGTCACCCGGGATCACCTCACATGCTGACTTATCCATGTAGTTCACAGTTTCAGCCGTTCGTGACTACCTTCGTGACACCCTCATACCGCCTCGGCCATCCACCGCGTGCTGCGGCTACTAATTCTTGAATCATATTAGCAGAAATCTCAATCGAAGTAGACATAACCCACTCCAGATGACTTAGGTGGATATTTGAGTTTATAGCATCTCCGCGGAACATCGATCACATGTTTTTAGCCGCCAGGGTCTCTGATGTTTCCTTGAGACGAAAACAGGATGAAAGCCTTTGAAGATGCTTTTTTCCCTCTCACTACTAGTCATTGCTTGAGGCTATGGGGCCCTGGTGAGTTGCAAATTCAGGGATGTCGTCTTCTACGTCTTCTACGCACTTTACAAGCTGAGCGTTACAACCTCAGCTGCTGGTACTGCTATAATTCCTGTAAAAGACGACAGGCCGCCTATTATGTCCGGTTCTAGCTAGCCACAAAACCGCGATTCCACTCGTTTTTTTTTTTTTTTTTTTTTGGCCTTGGCTATGCCTATGACACCAGGTTCGATGTCTCCTGTTGTTACAATTGTCCGCTCGGCTAGGCGCATACTTTATATCTACTAGCCTGCCGAGCTGCACTAAACGGGGAGTTTCACCTTTTCTCTGGCTAATACCGTCCTCCATCTTAGGGCCTGGAGGGAGAACTAATGTAAATTGACCCTGTTCAGTAATAGGCTTGATGGGGTTATAGTCCTTAGATTTTCCCCGCTAGCAGAGTACCGAACATTGCCACAACGAGGGTACATACATGTCAGCTGGCAGAAGAAGAGGGCATCTTTCCTGCGTATGCATAGCACATGATCTGTAAGTGCTACGGCTAACGTAGTGGTCTGTACCATTTTATTGCTTACGGCCTTTCGGTACGTATGTCTGTCAGTGGGTTCCTGCGCAAGGAACCTTGACTCAGTTTGTTATGTGTCTGATTCACCCACGTCGAGATATTTGCTACGGTCCTTACCTTAGATGATGACAGGGGCAATTCGACAATGAGGACAATATTGTTGCCGCAGTCAGAGCGCAGCCAGAGCAAACTTGCCGCCCTTTCGCGTGTGGCCGACATTACCAACATGCCGTCGTCAGATGTCGTGCGTGAGAAATCAGAGAACAATACGGCTTGCAACTAAACTATCCTCTAGATTCGGTGGGGTCGAATGATACGTAGACAATCAACTCAGTTGTCCCACTATTTGCCGTATAGGTGTGTGGCAGTGTTCGTATTAATAGTTCAGGCAGCAATCCGAACGACATATTCTAACCGCTTGCGGGCACGTGATATTTTAGGCAGCAGCCAGAGCAACGTATATTGTATTCACCTTCGGCCTATTTAACTGTCGCTAGGCTTTAGTGGACAAATACCAGCCGCAATGGCGTCACTAAAACGGAAATTCGACGCACTGGTGGAGTTCTGCTTCTCGACAAGCTCAAGCAAACCGAAACGGGATAATGATAGTACACCGACATCTACTCCCACCAAGGCTAAGCCGCCTCAAAAGGCCAGGCCCGGTGGCTCCTCGCTGATCATTCTCGGACGGGATATCACAGCGCTGATCATGGATGAGCTGCAGAGGAGCAGCCCTGGGACTCTGTCCTCGGTCGCTCTGGTCAGTTCATACTATCACGTGCTGGCACGATATAGCCAGCACCGCGACGTGACGGTCCGACTGGATCAGAAATATCTCACTTCGACCAGCTCTTGGCCCCTTGATATCCCCGCGGAAAGTTCCGCTCACTTGTTGTGGTGGCTGAACCAAGCCAAGACCGGACAGCTGCTTCCTGCTATTCATCGTCTGACGGTCAGACACGATAGGTATCAGTCCACCGAGGATTCAGAAGTCAAGCAGGCCATAGAAGCACTGTGCAAACACTTGCCGGAGATGTCCGGGCTGACGGACCTTACTTGGGACGGCGGCAATGACGTCCCTGACCCGGTTGTTCAAGCACTATCAGGCCGGCCTGCGCTACGCTTGCATGTCAACCTCTACCCGAGCCGGCACCGAGTGAACGAAGAGAAACCCCACAAGCAAGTGTTTTCAGGTTTAATGGGACTCACGAATCTCACCTCGCTCAAGATCAAGCACATCTTTGTTACGGATCGACAATGCCTGGACATCATGCAGCCTCTCAAAGATGTCCTACTCTCGTGTAAAACCTTGCGCAAGCTGAGCCTTGACATTCACCAGCCGCGGAGTGGCTGCAGCCATCAGCTTCCGCCGAGCACGTATGTCGGACTTGGTTTTGTTAACGGCCAGCGACCTGCTGCACTGCGAGAGCTTGAGCTGCGCAGCTATCCAAGCCGGAATTATCCTAACGGCCGGGAGATGAACTACTGGGCTACAACCTTTGACTGGTCACAGCTAGAACGCCTTGTGGTAAGCCAGCCTGAGCTGGCACACCTAATGCTGCCCTACCTACAGTGCCTGCGCCACGTTGAGTTTCCTATAAGTTCCATGAATGGCCTAGTCCAAGACTTTTGCAGGCGAGTACCTGAAAGTCTTGAGAGTATCAGCGTAGCAAGCGTCAATATTGAAGGACTTGACGCTTTGCTGGGTCATGGTCCAACCCTTCGTACTTTACGGATACATCAGGTAGAGACGTACGAGCCGGAGGAATGGCGAAATGAAGCTGTCAGCGAGAGTATAATGAGGCGTATTCGAGGCACGTGCACAGTCATTGAGGAGCTGGAAGTTGATATCGGACGGGATGGTGGCAAATGGCCTTATGCCATGCTCGACATTATCGCCAGCTTCCCGCGCCTGCGCCGTCTCAAGCTTTGGTTCGAGCTCGGTGTCTGCGATGAATCCAACCCTATGAAGCCGTATGTGACAGCCTTCGCTGCGCGACATCTCTTTGACTATCTGTTGTCAAGATCAACTGCAAGACCATCTCAACTACGCAGTATTGAGATTAACTCAGGCTCGCCCCCGCCCATCGGATTTGGGTTGATCAGAGAAAACTGGCCGAGGGATAATTCAGCAACCTTTAGATGCAGCGTATCGGAACGCGATGACGATGGACCGCAGCGTACCTACGCCTTTGACGTAGAGGGCCTCACACGCACGGAGTCCCAATGCTTCGGCGAGGGAGATCCAACGGTTGAAGTGCCGTCCGGTGTGCATCGGCTTCTCGAAAAACAATTCCTAGTCGCAAGAGATGGCCCGTCACCACCTCAGTAGCGCTGGTCGAATCCATCTACATCAATTATGAATTTTAGACGAGAGATTCTCAGCTAAAAATTGCAAGGATATTGCATGTGAAGCATGGAGAATAGCGCGAGTCCACCAGTAGAGCTTCGGGTGAGGGTCGCTACACAACCTCCCCCTCTTGATTTGTTTTAGGCAAGTTTATGCCGAGCTATTGGGCGCGAGCCAGGGTATGGGCGAAGTATTCGAACAGGGAGGCAGACGCAATAGCAGCAAGCCATGGAGAATGCAGATGACCATACGAGGGTGAAGTAGAATAAGCACATTGATCCAACATTATTCCGAAGACGCCTGGTGTACTGCAGTGAGTCCTACCCCTTGTTCGAGTGTATTATAATATTCCATTAAATAGAATGGAACCCGCGTAAAGGCCGAGTTGCCCAATTGCCGTCTGGTTAACCACTATACCTGGCAGCTGAGTAGCCAACACCAGGAGATCATTACTCGTCAGGGCTAACAACATATGGTACTTGGCTTGGCAAAGCCTAGAACGGAAGCATGGCGCGTGTGTCCACGACGCTGATAGCTATGGACAAGCCCTGAGAATGCCAGAAAGATCTGCTGGCACAGTATTATATCGTTGTCACTATGTATGCATACGCACTCGTAAAACCTTGTCGATAGCCGTCGTCCAAATTGAGCCCCTGTCACGGCCCAATGAGGCTAGGGCTGCTCATCCCCTCCCTCTCCCGAGTTTCCCCATTGCAGCGCGAAAGGCAGCGAAAGCGTAATCTCAATGAGAAAAACGTACCGTAGCAGCCGCCCCTTGCTTCCCCACACACAATCGCACGAGGCACGGAAATTAGACAGCTGGGCTCGGTCATGAGAAAGCGCAGATCGCCCTCCCGTTGAAGATCCCACATGGGCCGACGCGCGCGCGCGCTCGTGCGTGCATGCAGTTTGGGGTGGGGTCCTCTGGAACTGTTCTGGAAGAGAGATAGGGTGGCGCGCCCCAAATAGGGGATGGGCACTTTACTATGGTAGTTTTTGTAGCGGCACTACAACTGACACCAGACACGCGCCGAGATCTACCATGGTGGGTGGCCTAGCGCCGTGACGGCGTGACCTGCTCGCTGTCAATCAGCAAATTGTACGGAGGATGCCCCGATGACCAGCCTGATTGGCCTGCTAGTATAAAGACCAGCACTTGGTAACATAGCCAATGAGTCGACGTCACGAAATGACAGCGTCTAGCAGCGAAGCTCACTTGGCGCGGTGGGTTTCAAGATGGGCTCGTGCGCCGATCGCACTTCGGTCCATCCAATGTACATAAGGCCGATCCGGACTCCTCGATGGTGCCGGGAGTAGCAACCTTGATGACGGGCAATCACGGACCATCTCGGTGCGGCTTTTGCGTAGCGTAGAGTCAGACTGGAGGAGGATCTTCATCCTCGTTCTGGCAGCAGCGTTCGGCAATGGCAATCAATGCCTGGCGCCCTCTTTTTGTTGATCTCTCATTAGGCAGACAGGGCCATCTGCGAAGTAGGGATCTCCCTGACACGAAAACTGACTCAGCAATCTTTGCTTGCACTATAGCTTCACGTTGGCGGATAAGTACAGTAGCCTGATTTCCTCGACACTGGTGTAGTAGTGGAAGCCCATCCTTCCTCGCAACGTTGGTATCGAGACAATGGTGACGTGATTTGTGGAGTTCAACTCTACACGCCTGGGAGGCTCGAGCAACTATGCTTGGACCTCCCCGTGGGGGCTCATGAAGCCAAGGACTCCAAGCTTACACTCTACATTGATTTGACGTCTTGTGGCGATAGAAGAAAGTTTCATTAGTCATATAAGTGATATCGAGATGTCCGTCTCAGCAGTGGATATCTCTAGACAGGCTGTGGGAGTTGTTTGAATTTAGACTCTTGCTTGCTATGCGTCGTTCTATAATGAGTTACCTTACGCCTTCAGTCTTAATTAAAGCTGCTGAGGCTCAACTCTACGTCCATTGGTTACGTAAATGCAGATATCCTCAAAGACAATGAAACTCTTGGCCTGCATTGATTCAAGAATTGCGCGAGCCACACATGATCAAACCGTGTTACACGGGTCCCCAGTAAGCATTCCTCCAACGCAAACCCCGTATAATCCACCGGAACAACTCGTTTTGGTTACTAGTGGTAGGGCGGTAGGAACCACTATCATTTGCACAGATTTAGATACCCCAGCTTGCACCTTGTGTCAAGAAGGAATCACAAGCTGCGGCTACGTGATATCATCTGCATCTGCCGCGAGTGAAGCTCTGCTTACCGACAGGGCTGTGACGGCGAAACACCATGAACCCTTGCCCGCCATGTGGGAGCGGGGTTGTCCTCACCAGCCAGGCGACAGATCCTCTGTAAGCCGAGTTTTCGAACGACAATACGTATGTGGAATGAGGGACGAGTGATCGCAAAGTCATGACTCCTGACATCGCTGGCCTGGGATAATCATCCTACAACATGTCCCAAGGGTGACACGTGCAGGTCCGCTTGGGGGAGGCGCGTATTTGGGACATGTCGACAGGTGTCCCGAAGTGGCTCAGATGTGACATGAAGCTGCACATAATACAACGTTGACTTACGAAGAAGAGGAGAAGAGGGTCGACTCTGTTTTTATCAGATCCTGCAAAGGAGGCTCCCACAGCACAGTCAGCTATAAGCGAAGGATCGCTGCTGCACATGGCCCTCGTGCGGCGCCTGGATCCGTTCCTGCAGTTGCATAGGCAGCTCCGTGACGGCAGGACGGGCGGGAGACGCTGCCGCTGGCCCCATGCTCGCCACGTTTGGGGAGCGGCAATAGGGCCAAAACCAAGACGGCGGAGTCTGCAGGACGGCCAGACACGCTGGGCGTGGTTTTCCTCGGCTGTTCCAGTCCCCTGGCTCAATGGCATGGGAACTAAGCAGGTGTCAGGATACCACTTGAACTGAGTCGTCGTACGATGGGCTCAAGATATGGTGTAGGGTGCATATATGTAAGTGCGATAGCCAAAAAGCGGCGAGATCAACACAGTTTGCGCGCGTTTCGCGGAGCCAACAGGAATGGGCCGGGTCTCGCCAAGATGCAACAAAGGCTGTATGGCATACAGCAGTGGATGCCGTTTTCGGGTTCGTCAAGTGCATGGCGAGCAGGGCCCTTGCGGGTGGGTGAATGCAGGTGTGATGGAGGTGTTCATGTTGAAAGGGCAGATCCCCTCTGGACGGCCGGGGTGCCGGGGTAGTTCCTGGGCCCGCGATGGAAGACGGGAGACGGGCGTTGGCGATAGTAACGGCCAGCGCACGCACCCCCTTCCCCCCCTCTTTTTCTTTTTTGCATGAGAATGCTATGACCGTGGCGGGTTGTCGTGACGGCGATTTTCCTGGGACACTCGGAACTTAGCCGTCTGGTTGGTATGACAGATCAACTGCTCGTTGGTTTGCTCGCCTGGCAGCACATAGTGTGCCCCGTATGTATGACTGGCTCGACATGCATTTGGCAGCAGAAAATAGAACCGGTGAGGGCAACGATACGAGTGTGATAACGCCTGTCTCCTGTTCTGGCACCGAGATGCTGGATGCGCCTCGTGCTGTACTATTATGGACCTCAGGCCCTTGTTGCGAGGAGCTCGTCGTTCGCCAGCTAGTGGCTGCAGTAGCGAGGCGCCAGAACAAGTCGTCAGTGGTACTTCGGGATGCGGACCCCGAAATAACCACCTGCATCCATGCCCTTTTGGAGAGATGTACTCCCCTCCCCCCTAGCAGCATGCCTCCCCTTCTTTTCTTCTTCTCCTTCCATGGTTGCTTGTTATTAGTCGACGGCTCGCGGGCTCGCCAGGTGCATCGCACTTCAGAGGCAGAGGGTGACGGCGGGGGGCGGACCAGTGTGTGTCTGAACGGGCGAGATTGACAAATCTGGGCTGGGGCTTTGACTTTTCTTCTGCAAGTGGCCGAGTCGCGCACCTCTCTGCCCTGCCATGCAATGCACCCTCTTTTGTGCGTGCCATGGTACGTACAATCTCCATGGAACCCCGGGAGGGCAGAGGAGCACTGGCGCAATCTCTGGCAGACTATTCATTGTTCTAGCGACGGTCCCAAGGGCGGTCACCATTCCCAATTTCGCACTTTTCTAGACGGCTTCCACGTGTATGGCTGGTTTTCCCGATAGAGTCGAGGACAGTCGGGAGCTAGCTGGGTGGTAATCTGGTTGCTCATATTGCCGCCCCCACAGTAAAAGGCGACCTGCCCCCTGGCCCTGCCTGCCTGCCCCCCCAAGCGCCCCCCAACCCCCTACCAGCTCTCGGGGCGTCTAGGGGCCTGCAGGGGATAGCGGGGGCCTAGCAGCGGGCTAGGTGCAGCTTTTGTCTTGCAGGAGCTTCCTTTTAGTGCAACCTAGACCCATGGGACGGGCGGGTCCCTGTTTTGGTGGACGGCCTGGATGATCCTCGCCCTTTTTCTCCCCCTTCCCTGAGTGTGCCTCTCAGTCTGTGAGTAGCAACTGGTTAGTACCTCCATCTCCGTCTGATGTGAGGGCCTGGCAATGGGCTATGTAGTTCAACTGCTTGGTCAACTGCTGCTTGAGGCTTGCATGCTCGGAAGCCTGTACTGATCTGCCCACCTACCTAGGTAGCTTGCATGACGTTCCGAGGGCCGACTCACGCTGGCATGATGAGCGCGACGTCATCCAAGTTGCTGTACGCGCCTGTCAGAATATGGTCCATTGAACGAACAGTCTCCACGATATACCTACTCCAACTCCATCCATGGATGGCCGCTCTACCAAATTCTCAAATTCCAGTAGTCAAGTGGTTGTGACTTGGGTATTTAACTATGTGCTGTATGTAGATGTACCCCTAAAGAAACCCACTTCAGGGAGCAGCACCGGGCAAGCAGGGCAACCTGTCGTTAGGTACGTACCGCTGTCTGGGCGGGTCAGTGTGCCAGTGTGCCAGTGTGCCAGTACCAGTGTTCACCTACCACAGTAAACTAGGGGGCCACCCAGGGCCCCGCAGCAGCCTATCAGACGCTACGGCGCCCGACTTGGTTCTTGGGATTGCCCCGGCAGGCCACCCAGTAGTGTGCCCAGTGCCCAGTGTCCAGTAGAAGACCCCCCCCCCCCAGTCGGCCAAACCCAGCAAACAGCCCAGCAACCCGCAACCCAAAGAGAGAAACTCCACCCATTCTCTTCGCCCGCCCACCCACTGCCCATCAGGTCGAGCAACTCACCACACACCCAAACGTCGCCAGAACACTTCTTTGTGCCGTGTTGTGACTGACTACCACTGACTGTAACCGGCCTCTTTTCCGCGCCAACAGCAACGAGCAACAGCAGAATCAATTCACCCGGCCCTCGCCCAACGCCATCCAGTCGCTCCCTCACTCTCTGTCGCCCGTCACCCGTCACCCGTCACCCGTCGACCTTCGTCCACAACAGACAGACCGGTTGCCCTGCACTCTTCCCGTCTTCATCACCAGGTCCGCCAGCCATCGCCCTTCAGCGTCTCACAGCAATTCATTCGCAATGGCGTCCAAGGTATGTCCAGCCTCTCGCCTATACTACAAAGACCTGTCCCAGCGACAGGCGCCCATACATCACGCGGCCGAGAACCTGCAATCATCGCACCGTACCGCACCGCACCGCATACTCCCTCGCTCGACCTCGGCCGCCTGTCTAATCTGCCCTGCCTCTCTTCCCGCCCGTCGCCTCACATCACCGCGCAGCACCCGGTGTCGTGTCGCTCTGCCCGCCAGTCAATCCATTCGGTCGCCAAGCTAACTGACATCTTGCGCAGACACAGTTCCTACGGGAGTACAAGTTGGTGGTCGTCGGAGGAGGTGGCGTCGGTAAATCTTGCTTGACCATCCAGCTCATCCAAAGCCACTTCGTCGACGAGTATGACCCGACCATCGAGGGTACGTTCTCCAATCTCCGGTGCCCGTCGCCATCGCCGTCTACACACGATTGCACCCAAATAGGGTCGAGTGCTTTGCTGCTACCTGCCCTGTCGCTCGCCGCCACCATTCCTTGCCCCCGGCTGACATGACCTTTGTTCAGATTCGTACCGCAAGCAGTGCATGATTGACGATGAGGTCGCCCTTCTCGATGTCCTCGATACCGCTGGTCAGGAGGAGTACTCGGCAATGCGAGAGCAGTACATGAGAACCGGCGAGGGTTTCCTGCTTGTCTACTCCATCACCAGCCGCCAAAGCTTCGACGAGATCACCACATTCCAGCAACAAATCCTGCGCGTCAAGGATAAGGACTACTTCCCCATGGTCGTTGTCGGCAACAAGTGCGATTTGGAGAACGAGCGCGAGGTCACAAGACAAGGTACGTTGCTGAGCCACCCTGCTCATTTGCAAGATCAGCTCAAGCTAATCCCACCCTTCTTCCAGAGGGCGAGGCGCTCGCAAAGTCGTTCGGCTGCAAGTTCATTGAGACCTCTGCCAAGTCTCGCATCAACGTCGACAAGGCCTTCTACGATATTGTCCGAGAAATCCGTCGTTACAACCGCGAGATGCAGGGCTACTCCACCGGCAGCGGTGGCAACGGCGGCGGCAACGGCCCCGCAGGCAAGCTCGAGATGAACGACGGCGAACAAGAAGCCGGCTGCTGCTCCAAGTGTATCATCATGTAAGCTGGCCAGCATCCGAGAGACGGCTGGCGTCAGAAGGGAGGATTCTGCGTTTCGGGGTTTTAGGCGTCGGCCGAGAGGGCTAGACGTCGCAGGATACCCCAAGCTCACGCAGAACGAAAAAGGAGCCAGGGCTGCCGCGCCGGGATTTGAGTTCGGATTTCAGCATGCAGGGGAGACGCAGTATATGGACAGCGCCAGCCCTGGCTTCCCTGGAGATACCTACCCCCGCGGAAGGGATGAGTTGCATTGAAATACGGAGTCTGGCAACCTGATTATTCTAGGGATCCAAAGCTCACCAAGCATTTGCGCGTGAAAAAGGGAATACACATACACAAGATCGAGCATCGGCTTTGAATGGGACGACTGCCACTCGATCACAAAAGACATGATAGTCTTCGCGGACCTCTGCCAGTTTTTATTTTTTTCTACATTTTTCCCACTCTACTTGTTTCTCCTTTATTTTTGCCGCTCAATTTTTGTTCTGCAGATACAGACCTTTTGCTTTTTATTTTTTACTATGTTGAGACGGACACTGCCTCTTTTGATGGCAAGGAAGATCAGGACAGACGTTCCGAGGCAGATGATCTACCATGACATGGTCGTATGATGACCCTAATGCCGATTCGCCGACTATTTTTTATTTTCTTATCTTATTTCTCCCTCCTTTTCTTGGTTCGCTTCTTCCTGGCAGTGGTTTGTTGAGCTATAAAATCCCCTTTCGTTCAGGCGTTCAGATGAATCGGAAATGTCTTCTAAAATCAAGATCTCTTCTCGCAAATCGCTCCATGTGCATGTTTTTATTTTGGGAACTGAAAGACAGCGAGCATTTGCAACATGGCATTTTCTTGAAATGTCTACTCATGAATAGTCTTCTCTATCAAGTAGCGCACTCATGTAACCGAAGTAATGCGCCAATCTCACCTCCGGGTTTTTGCACTCAAGCACCACCATCCATAGGGGCAGTCCCACCGCTGGGAGGCCCGCCTAGCCAGCGCCCGCCGGCGGTGCGCGTCTCCGGGTCCCATGCGCCGCGGACCTGGCGCCGCCTCGGACGTGTGCCGTACCGGTTGCCCGCCTCGCGGAGCCCGACGCTGGCCCAGCCGGGCTCCCGGTTCGCCAGCCGCTCAGCGCTCCACTCGGCGGCGTCGCCGCCGCCGCCCAGCCCCACAAGCTCCGTGCTGCCCGCCCGCGCCTCGTACGAGACCGGGACGTCCTCCCGGGGCGCCTGCACCTGCTCAACCTGATGCCGCAGCCGCTCGCGGGGCAGATTCTTCGTCAGGAACAGGTGCGACGGCCGGGTCTGCGAGTTCGCGGGCGGGACGGGGACCACCGTGCTGAGCTCCGGCGCGTAGAAGACGCGCCCGCCAATGGTGCACACGCGGCCGCTGACCAAGCACTGCTCGCATGGCTCGCTGGGCTGCTCCGGGCCAGCCAGGTCGCTGCGGTACGAGCAGGACTTGATGCCGTCGGGCGGGTGGATCGGGTCGACATGCTCCAAGCACTGGTCGCAGCACATGGGGCGCAAAATCCCGTCGGGGCGTGGGAAGAGCGTGTGAGTGTTGAGGTTTGGTGCAATGTAGGTGCAATGCTGATCGAGCTGTCGGCAACACGAGCACCCCTTGCCCCATACTGCCGGGACAGAGGGCGCCTCGGCGTCGCAGAGGTCTGGGCGGCCAGCTGCCCTACACTCACGACACACGACACGCGTCCTTGCTGCGACAGGTATCCAGAACCAGCGGCACTCTTGCCGGTGGAACTTACACCGGTCACATGTGATCCCAGCACGCGTGGATGAACAGCCTACGTTGGCCCGGCCGCATGGGTCGCACGCCGTAGCCGCCGTTCTGGGCATGCCGGGATCTCCAATAGTGCGTGCTGCCTCGAATTTCATCCCCATCCATCGAAGCCCCTCGTGAGCCTGCTCGAGAGTGGCATAGTAGCGGGCACTCATATCCAAGCCGCCCCAGGCCGCGGCCAATTTGGGGGGCAGGTAGGGCTCGACCACGGGCGGGACGTTGCGGATAGCCAGATTATAGATATATGCCAGATCGCGCTGGGAGTCCCTGGGCTCTGGCCGGATGTCAGTGATGCGCTCTTCGTGTCCTTCCCGCCGCGCCATGCGCTCCGCGAAGCTGCCAGGAACCTCGCCGCGGACGAGGCAGTTCGCGCCGCTGGTACTACATGCCAGACAACCCCCGTCCCTCCAGATGTCGCAATCGCTGTCCAGGTCACCCGCAACACAGGCATCGCAGGCCCGCTTGCCCACGCCCGTGAACCACCAGTACCCTCGGCCGCGGACGTACTCCTGCACCATGGACGATGTGCTCCGGAGGCTCACCACGCCGCAGATGTCTCCATCCTCACTGCATTCCTGGCAGTCGCCATCGCCTCCGATGCTGCAGTCCCGTCCAAACACGGCGCACATGTCGCACGTGGGCGTATTGGGGTTGATGTAGCGCAGCCGCCACCGGCACAGGAGATGGATATAGTCGTGACGGTTGGGGGCGTTGAGGAATGCCCTCCATGCCGCATTGGCATTGTACGATGGCCGGAAGGGATTCAGGCGCCGATCGTCGAAGGATGAGACCGGCACGTCGCCATAGTCCTTGTCGTTGTCCAGGAACCATCGCAGGGGGGGACCCGAAATGCCATCTGTCGTCGGGTAGGGAACTGGGGTTTGGGTAGTCATATTAGCAGACAGAAGGGCCTTATGTTCGATCGTCTTCACTCTGTTGGTGGTTTTGACTTGACCACTAAATGCACAATTCAAGAAGAAAGATCTCTCGGTCACGGAATTCGTATGCCCTGGCAAACTCGTCCGACCTATATATCCATCTTGCCAACGATATGAAGCGAGTAACCATTGTTGTAATTGTTTGGTATAACAAGTCAAATGTCACGGGGACAAGAGTTTTGTGGCCAATCTTTTCTGATGGAAAAAGAGTAAGCCTTGTCTAGCATACTCAACCAAGCCATGCTTATTCGAGTGGGATATCAAAGAACCACTTGTTGACCACCAGACCGTTGCATTAACAATAATCTGTTATTACCACAACGTTGATAAAGCTACACCTTGGTTGTGGATCTAAGCCACAGCATAATATTGTTTATAGCTTGGGTGCCAACAATGACATTGCCTATCTCATTTCAGTCAGGACTAAGCTTTCTTATTGTTCTGAACAATAGGATTGGTGACACTGCCATGTGTTTAATGTCCTTTGCTAAGAAGCCTTTTGTAGTTAGAACAACGGAGTAGTAAATACTCGCCTTCACACCAGTTAGTGACTCAATATATATATCGAGCCGTTACATCCACGTCGGAGCTATTAATCAATTCAGTCCATATCCAAGATTTCTACAAAATCAACATCATATTATTTTTCTACTCCTATCTCCAGATCGCTTAACCATCCCCAAACGAAGGAGAAAGGATCACAATGGCCGGCCTGCCATCGTCGAACCTGATACTGCCACCCCCTGGAAATCAGGGCCCTCAACAGCCAAGGTACATATGTGTCTATTGTAGGGCGCGTTGGGGTAGAACACGTTGTGGTGCTACTCCCGATCAAGGGTGTAATACTTGCTGCTCTGGAGGATTGCCATGTGTGATCAGGACCGAGGCTGGCGACTGGGCATTGCCACCGCATCCCGATCGAAGGACGGGACCCATACCAACCGCGACTTGGGAGGAGTGTGCAACATGCCCCGACAAACTTCAGTGTGACCGAAGCTTTGCCTGTTTCACATGTCGGACCAATAATCTACAGTGTGATAGGAACGGCGCTCAGAATAAGAAGGGCATCTTTGTGACCGGCGTTCCTGGAGAGGACATGAGAGGCTATTGGTACGTTTTAGACAAAGGGCCAGGGGGACCAGCCGACCGGCAAGTGGACCATACCTGGCGACAGCCTGACAACTACCATGTTGAGTACGCTCATCGTGAGCTGCAGAGAAAGGGTCTTCTCGGCTGCTGGCGAGGCCCTCCCGGTGGTCCCTATGATCCCAGTATAGGGCCCCAAGGCCGCATATACGTTGGTGACAATCCTCGGCCCAATGCGGCGGGCCAAGTTGTCCCTGCTCCGCTTGCTGCCGGACCTCCTGTTCCCGGCCCTCTCCCTCCTCCAGTTGTTGACATTGACTTCCTGCGGCGGTTACCTGACGATGCCGATATGTATGGCATCGATGGCCCAGCCCCGTATGATGCTGTCATCCCGTATGCTGACAACCCGGCTATTGAGACTCATTTTCATGACGCCTTTGCACATCATCATATGGACCCGGATCAAGCAATTCTGCCTCAGTTTCAACACCCTTTACCGGATGATAATATCGGCCCAGTTGATCCTGAGTATCAGGACCCCGTCGCGCCCGCACCTGTTGACCATGAACTAGTGCAGAATTTCCTTCCTCAGTTGCTACAGGGTGCGGAACCAGAGCTACCTATCGATCCTCAGTTGCTGCTGTCTCCGCCCAATCCGCAGCATTTGATCCCAGCCGCACGCTTCGACGAAGTTGCTGCACGGCGCGGTCAGGACTATCCCCCCTCTGACCCAAGCTCCTCAAGTGATATCCTGGGAGCTGATCCTTTGGACCATCCTGGTCCGGGTATATATCTTGGCCCAGGTGAGTTACCACCACAGTTTGCTGATCCTTATCCGATCGCTCCTCTCGAGCATAATGCGCCAGTAGCTCCCACTCCTCCACATCTCGGACCTGAGACACCGCCTGCCCTGCTCAATGCACCTGCAGGCCAAGCGGTGCATTTCAGTCGCGAACAATACCACTTGCTGTTCCCTCACTTAAGCATGTCCCGCTTGAACAGCCTCTGGGGCTATGAGCCTTTTCTGCAGAGCAACGATCCTGAAGAGCTTGCCATCGAGGCGCCAGAAATTATGGATTTTCTGCAGAGACTGAACCCTCGCATGACGGCAATGTACGTAACTCCTCGGCCTGTTGCAAGACCTGGAAGCCCGGGTCCTGTTTTCGAGCTCTGGTCAGACCAGGCGGGAATGGTTCCTCTCGATCACCCGGCGATGCAGAACAACCGTATGCCCGTGTTAGCAACTGAACGACTCCCGGCCTTGGCAACAATTCCGCTCAACACCCGTTTGTGGCCAGACGTGGGTCTTGGTATCGGCAGGCAGCACCATTGTGACGAGTGTGGGGCGGTGACGGAAGGAATATGTGAAAGTATCGAACATCACCCAAGGGGGCATATCCACATCTGTGGAAATTGTGACGCCGATTCACGCCGAGAACTCCTGAGGATACTAGAGGAGATCGACTTTGTGCAACAAACCCGCTATTGGCTCTGCTACCCATGTACGGCTAAAGTGAACGATAGTCCGCAGGATCATCACACGCACTCAGGGACAAGAGTATTCGACCCGGTGGTTAGTATGAGGGGGTTTCTCCACAACGCACACGAGATGTTGTACAATCCCACCATAGCCCAGGTAGTAACCATGCCAGGAGAAGCGGCTGCCTCGACAATTACTCGTGGAGGTCTTTTCCCACACTTGCCGCTGACGGGCTGCAGCTGCGGGACAAAGCTCTTACAACGGAGACTTTGTACCCCTCATCGTACGGCAGCATTCCTCGACTGTGCCTTGCGAATCCACCGATGGATGAAGTACATGGCGGCCGCAGGCGGTAAGCCTTGCCCCATGTGTCTGTCAAACCCATCTCCTGATGGTCCCCAGGGCCCGGCGAGTGCCTATTACTGCCTTTGCTGTTCTGGTTTGGTAATCAAGTGGACGGGTGAAGCTGATGAAGAGGTTGGCCCTGAGATCTACATCAATGCCTATCCCGATTTCCGAAATGGCAGCCCCTAGAGTTGACTTTGCCTCAACCTCCTCTCCAGACCTCGGGAACTGGGCTCCTACAGTCCACTTATGCATGAATGCGTGAAGATAGATAATAGATATCTAGATTAAATATGATGAAGTTTGATATTGAATTCATTTTGGTTCTCATTTTAGTGAACTACCCATTGGCATAGGGCTTTGGGTCCTTACAATGTGAATATTCTACTAGCTAACAGCTAAGGGGCAAAGATTGCATAACAAAGGATCTGAACTGGGCACATCTTCAACCTGAAGCTTCTTTGGCCTTTGTGTAAATCTCTCCACGACCGCATGCGTTCTGGCTGCGAAAGGCCTGTCGTTCGATGAATTGAGCTACACACTCAGAGGTATCGTCTTGTGCGGCGCATTGTCATCGGTCCACTTTTTCGTTAAATCGTCATGACTTGTCTGGAATTTGCCTTCGCAATCTTTCTGAGACAGTTTCTCAGTGACAAGTTGTATCGGATAGCGATAAGACTTTTGCTCTTATCCGGAAAGACACCGCGTGCCTCTAGATAGACTGGTTGTCTCGAGACCGCGGGTGCCCCTTGTTTGATTTTACAAATTCCGGAATATGAAAACTGGTTGCGTCTAAGTTTGGATGAACATGAGACATTGTGACGTGCAGATAAGACTTGATGGAGACGAAGCGCTTGGCTTTTAGTGACAAGGTGTCAAAGTTGGTAAAAGAGTTGCCCAGAACTAACATTGAGAATTGTGCAGTTAGGTTAGTTAGATAAAAATTCCAATATGTTCAGTCAAGCTTCCCAGCGTCCTACGCCATTTTTCATACTCGGCAGCCTATTTGTATCAGTGACATGCGCTCAATTACTCTCGTACGAAGTCTCCACAATTACAGATTGCTCGGAGCCTTCCAGCTCTGTTAGAGAGTCGAGGACAACTGCGCTACTGGCACTGCCACAAGGTACGGTTACATACAGTATGCCACCATGCCAAACATGCGGTTGCTCCACATGTACGAAAGTCAGCATATTCACCACAACCTTGTCGGTCTTTTATTCTACGGGGTTGTCGCTGCTTCCATACACAGTAACTGAGACCTATATCGGCATATCTTCTCTGCCCCTTTTTGCAACAGCTACAGACGTCCCCTACGGCTTCACGGTGTCTACAGCAACGTGCACTATATGTGGCGTATTCCCACTAACTGCGACGATGACGTTTCCCAGTGGCGGAATACCGTTCGCGCCGGCTGCGCCAAGCAGTATTTCGGGTCATCGCCAGTCAGGAACTGGGAACCCAGTACCTACTTTGGATACAATAAACAACAGTATCATGGAGACGGAATATTGTACTGCGTTGCGAACCACAGTATATACAACTTTGATCACTATCCCCGTTAACGAAACCGGCGTGGCCATACTTACGACTGGCAAAACCTTTGCAACAACTTCTACCACTCGCCCCAAAGGCGATGACGGATCATCAGATGCTTCTCCTCCGGTCTTGGCGAGCGGCAAAGTTCTGCAGAGAGAGGTTTCAACCCACTTGACCATAATCATGGTATTCGTTGCGAGTCTGGTGGAATTGATATAACTTGACGGCTGAGACTGGCATGCCTGGTTCAGTCGATGAAATGGAAGAGCCAGCTTGAATTTTTCTTTTAGTGAATTAGTTTCTTATAAGAACAAATAATCTTGTAGATGATATATGGGGCCTCCAGATCACGATACACGTAAGAATCAGTATGAGTTATCGATAAACAAAGCCCTTTAAGACAATTTGAGATGAGACCGAGGTCCGTGTCATCTTATTATCCATAACATATATGATACACTCCACTGTAGCCTTAAAATCGCAAATGAGCCTGTACTATCATTTTTTGCTGTGAAGTAATCCATAGCAGTGCCATAGATAACACACCCTCTATATCCAACGGATCATCTTATGGTACCATGGTATAGTCTTTTGTTCTTCAGTTTCATGCAAGTTGATCTCTCCCGAAGCAGCTTTAATCGATTCGAACTCAGTCGCAAAATCAATCTCCACGATTGGTATGACCTTGGATTGGAGGCAAATTTTGAAGAAGAAATATAAGGCTAAGCAATCACAGTCAGCTATTGGGAACCATGTCTCTATGGTATGTGATCACAAACCTCCAAAGATGAAGATGTTCACATAGTAAGTGATGAATCCCGACGCAGTAAAATTTCCTTTAACAAAGATATCAAACCCTAGGGCGAGATTAGTGATAAATAAAGGTTGTCAAACTTGAAAACCCTACCAGAGAATAAGACGATCAGAGATACCATTACAAGTGTAGCCCATGAGACATACGGCTGCCCGGGGCTTCTGTACGGAAGTTCTAAGCCACCTTTTAGCGGCTTGCGAGCGGATGCATGACTTTATAGATACCTTACCATCTCGAGTGTATCCTTGAGCCTTGAGACCCGAATGGAACCGTATATAAGTGGTTTCAATGACGATCCACCCAATCAAGCCTGCCACTGTTGTGATATTGACAAACCAGCCAAATACGACGGACGTGTTATTTCCCACATTCAAGTATACGAGTGGTAGTAATGCACATGTCAATCCAACAGCGTAATGTGGTGTACCGAATCTGTTGCAGCGTTGAAAAACAGCTGGCGCATGACCATCACGGCTCAGCCCGTAGAGCGTCCGGGAAGCGATGAAGATACAAGCTGAGCCACTTGATATAGCTGAAGTACACACCACAGCATTGATGATAGATGGTACGACTGAGACACCCGATCTAACGAAAGCTATAACGAACGGTGACTGCTGCGCAGTGCCTGTTGAGATGTTGAGGCTAGCATCATCGAAAGGCCTGCGCAGGTAAGTCAGATGTCGTTGCATAGAAACCATTCCTGAAGGGTAGAACTCACACAATCATCCCAACTATAAGAATACTGAGAACATAGAAGAAAAAGACTCTTAAAAAGGTCTTTCTTGTTGCAGCAGGGATAATTTGGCGAGGGTTGTGTGTCTCAGAACCTGAAATTGCTACAACTTGAATATTTCCATAGCTAAATGCAGCAGATAGGAGGACTTTCCAGAATGCCAGAAATGCTCCAGGAGAGCTCGATACGATATATGAGTTGAATGCGCCTGGGCTGTACCAATAACGGAAGCCGAGGCGTTCGTGATTTGGCCCTCCTCCGAGGTCAATCACGAGACCGCCAATGATGAGGCCGATGATAAGCATAATCTTCAGGGATGCAAATATTACCTCTGACTGTAAAGTTTTGTGAGATGTGACCAAATACTGCCAACATATAATATAGACTACGTACCTCTCCGTATAATTTCACACCGCAGAAATTTAAGATCACGATGGAAACCAAGAAGATAGTAATCCACACCGCAGGCTTCACCCGTGTATTCCAAAACTGTATGACAGTGGCAGCCGCGCTGATCTCTGCTGGTACGGATATGGACATTGTATACCCTTCGAAGGTACGGGTCAGTCACTCCAGCTGCTCAATGGGCGCGCAGTCCTGCTTACAAAAGTTCCACCCGGTCGCAGCACCGAGAGCCGGCTCGACGAACTTGGTCGCGTGACGAATGAAGCCACCGGTTGCAGGCATAAAAGCCGTGATCTCGCCTGTCGTGTAAGAGACACCGGCGGTGACGAAGCCCATGACGATGTAAGCGAGCAATGCGCCTGCTGGCCCTGCAGTGGCAATAGCTGCGCCAGAACTCAGGAACAGGCCTGTGCCCTGTTGTGTGAGTGAGTATGTCGACCTCGAAATATCCATTTGTAACGTACAATCATGCCTGCAATTGCAATCATATTGATATGCCGAGATTGTAGGTCACGCTTGATCTCTTCTGATCCAGCAACCCTGGCGCTTCCATCTTCCACACAGCCCTCCATTACGGTGGCTGTATTAGAGCTCGCAGCGACTGTGTCTTGTTTTTCCATACCGTGTCTTTGACCTGCATGCCAGACTCATGTAAATCCCTAAGATGGACCGCGACCTTAGCTGAATTGAACGTAATTTAAATGGGGTTCGCCTTTATTCACCACGGTCGCAACGGCTTTCGGATCAAACGCCGATGCCCTGGTCATGGTGCTCAGTCATACTACCAACCGTAGCTGCATTATCGGCAGGGTTCGTACAGCAACAAATGGGATAGGCCGGCTGGCAATGGTATCTTTAGGGCGGAGTCGAGAGTGGGCCAGGCCCTAGCTTCTTGTGTGCCGGTCAGTGAACTATTGACTCTTCGGACCTCAGAAACGACGGAGCCGGCTACGAGCAGTCTCTAAAATATTTTTTTCATCGGAATACTTGAAGAACTATATCCGTGACCAGTGTTTACTTGCTTAATCACTTCGACATGAGCGACGTATTCGAACTTTTCGACATTCGCGTAGAAGTTGTATGCCCACCTGGCAAGAGGATCATGTGCGGGGCAAAGGAAGGGGACTATTTTACGCTCCAGGGTGAAATGCTTTATCTCCCGCCAAACCAAGGGATCAGCATCTATAGCCTGGGTAAGGAACGTTTGTGCATGATTACCGCCAGGAAGAATCACTGAAGCTTATTCATCTAGCTTCGGTGCTACCACTACTTCCAGCAAAGCAACGAGTCACTTCCCGGAATGACTGGATGTCTACAGACGCTTTGATCGCCTGTCCTGATCCCAATTGCCCCTCTCAACTGAAAATCATCAGGGAAGGCATTCGACAGTTCAACCATGCCGACACGACGGTGGTTCCTCTTCAGCATTAATAGTAGAACATTCATTGTCTCGCGAATGGGGGACGAAATCGAGCTGCCGCCTGTCTTCTTCCCCTAAGCGAAAAAAGACCCTCCTGAACACTAAATCTGGCTGTGCAAAACATAAAGCACCAAACTTCGTCCGCTGCGAATGTGAAAGTAGACCTGCTGAGTTTCAATTACCAATTATGGGGTTGTCTCTGTTCCTTCCTCCGGTCTGAGCTGCATCATTAACTGTTGAGGAGACGTCTAGCTTGTGATTTAAGGGACACCACGGCGGATTTCGGCATTTCTGCCCTGCGAGTATCGTTTGATAAAACTTGTTCAAAAAGTCTTACCTGCAGAGATCATATTGATTCAGGGGGCGAAGGTTGTTTAAAAATGTATGAGCAGCCGATCTAATATCGTCATCGCCCTTGAATTCTATTTGTTCGGTCATGCACTCGGTTATTGTAAGGAGAGGCTGTACTACAATTACTAACGTTTGAAAACTTATTTCCCAGGCCTGGCAAATCTTGATTAAAACGTCACGCTAGACGTAGACACAACGTGGACATAATCCGGAGCAAAGCAAATATATGATGAGTAAGTACGGTTCAAGTGCGATATTTGCATGGTATGTGATGATTCCGTGCTACGGATCGGGCCTATTCCAAGTCCTGTGGGCCTTGCTCCTATTATTCTCTGTACTTCCGACCTAAGCTGTGGGAGGCTAACCAAGGCACCAAGGAACCAATCTTTGCTATCCGACATCGAGCCGTGACGACAGTTTTGAATGGAATCGGGTCGGTTTGCCTCTTATCGATGGCAGCTCGGTGTGCTGGTACCGGCGACTTTTCCAATGGGCCGAGGGCGGAGATAATCGAGCCGAAACTGAATCCACCTTAGCGCACTGGCGTTCTAAACCGTCGGCAACCGAATGCCTACGGTGCTGTGGCCGCAACCGCAGAGCTAACCTATTTCCAGCCTACGACATACTCGGGAACGAAGGCCAGCCTTACACGTCTTCGTTGGTAACGTAGATTGCGAGAATAACCATAGCGAGCATCTCATATCCCATTGTGTTTCGGCTCAGTCTTCCAAGATGGCAGCCTCCGGAAACTCTAAGGCGAAAAGTGCCCATGTTAACATGATGACCGACACGATCATTAACAATCTTCCTGCGGAAGGTCTTCGCGTCGTCATGCGATCCCTGTTGGCCGCGCACCCGGAAGTCACACATTCGTTCGAGGCAGAGACGCAGAAGTACATCGAAGAAACTGCGTTACCAACACTGGAAGCTCGACAACCAGACCCGAGCTTGATCGGGCTAAAGAGGATTCAACAGATCATTCGATGCATGCTTGGCTGCGGGCTTTGCTATAGGGCCCTGCCAGTCGCTAGGGATCTGGTAAACCACGCTCTTGTGTTATTAACTTCAAAAGACGCCGGCCTTGATTCCGATGTAAGCGACTTTTTGGCGTCGGTTGATGGGGATATAGTACAGTCAGTCACGGCAATCCAGAAGACCTTGTTCGTCTCATCAGGAATGAGGGAACTTTCTGTTCATGAGAAAGTGCTTGTGGAAGAACTTCATCAAAGTCTGATGGATTGCTGCAAGCAGGCGGTCGAGCGAGGCCTCGACTGCCCCTATGGCCGCGCGCTAAGCGCTACCTCAAGCCTGTTGGGACTATCGCAACTCGAAGACACAGAGCTGCACAGCACACTTGCCGCAATGTACGTCAAGCAACCTGTTCAAACCTCAGATACTTTTGAAATGGGGGGAAAGAGACTCCCGAGGATATTTTCTGGGCTCTGGCAACTTTCCAGTCCCGCCTGGGGATCAGCATCAGCACCCAAGATCTTCGCTCAATTCGCCAAACATGTCGAGAGCGGGTTCTCCGCATTTGATATGGCAGATCACTATGGTGACGCAGAGATTATCTTCGTTAGTGAAACCCAACAACACATCCTGGACATCTGCTAATCGTAGCTCAAGGGCCGCTTCCGCTCGGCGTTTCCTCATGGAAACTCTATTTTTGCGGCCACAAAATACTGTGTTTTCCATCCAATGACTGTTACTAAGGACGCAGTTCGAGCAAACGTAACAGAGAGATGCCAGAGGCTAGGAAGTGACAAGGTGGATTTGCTCCAATTCCATTGGCAGTTCGTACGTATTGGCCCCCATGCCAGTGTTGTAACTGTTTTCTCACTAGGTCTCAGTATGCAGATCCACAGTACCTGGATGCATTGCGTTACCTCGCGGAAGACGAACGCGTCTCTGCGTTAGGTCTCTGCAACTTCGATACAGAGCATCTCGAGGCTGCATTGAGCAACGGAATCAGAGTGTGTTCGAATCAAGTTCAAGTTTGTCTCCTCAATCTTTGATTTTGGCCCCATGGAGTAATTGAATGTTGGATAGTTTTCTCTAATCGACAGCCGACCTATGATCCGCATGGGTGAAGTCTGCGACAGACACAATGTGAAACTCTTGACATACGGTACATTGGTAGGTAGTAGTGGAAACGAAACAAAGCTTAGTAATTGCTGACGTCCGTCACTACCATAGTGTGGTGGCTTTCTCGCGGACAAATGGCTAGGAAAACCCGAGCCTGATCTGTACAATGAGTCTATAACGCCTAGTCAGCGAAAGGTTGGTTTCGACTGTCGGCTGGTACCCCTCTGTATTGACACTACATAGTATCACGGCATGATCCGATCCTGGGGTACCTGGGCACTGTTTCAGGAGTTACTTACCGTGCTTCAGAATATAGGAATGAAGCACAAAGCAAGCATCTCCAACGTGGCTACCAGATGGGTTTTGGACTTTCCATACGTTGGTGCTGTCATTGTAGGGGTCCGTATGGGAATTAGTGAGCATACGAAGGAGAATCTAGCCAGTCTGGGTTGGAGACTAGATGAAAATGATCAGACCTCGATAGATGCCGTTCTGAGAAGGAGCAGGAGGCTCGAGATGTTCGATGCAATGGGCGATTGTGGTGGAGAGTATCGATAGGAACTCTTTACCAGAAGCATCCTACTCATTCACCCTCCGGGATCAGCGCTTCTTTGTTTTGCTCCCTCAAAGCCAAATCACTTTGTTATTAACTACCTTAATGGTGAGAGAGCATTATTTAGTGGCGTAAACGTCTTTGTTCAATGCAATCAATGGGGTTTGCTAATTTCAGAGTACAAAGTCATACGTATTATTTATGACATGACCGATTATCAAATGCAGCTGGAGTTGGATCATAACCTACAACACTTAGACCAACATCTCTAAAACACATTACCTAAAATGGAGCCCCTCGGTATCATAGCTATAACCGCTATCGCGGTGATATCGATAGCTGTGTTCATAATAGTCGTTTATTACGGATCTGAATGTGTTGGTATCAGAACAAGCCGAAGGAAGTGAACCCATAAATACAAACTTCAGAGCCTGTTACGGCGCATCAATTTCCGCACGGTTATCTTTTCATGTGAATATACAATTGAGGTCAACAGACGATAGTCTACTATTATGGAAAGGTAGATGAAGCAAAGCAGAGCTGGCCCATTCCAGCACACCTCCTGCTATCTACTCGGTGGAGACCGCGGCAGATTAGCGCAGAGCTACGTCATTGAAAGTGCATTATTCAGCAGGACATAGCACACAGTAGCGGTGATAGATTTAGAAATCATGGAAAACAAAACAAATCAATCATCCCACGACTTCTACTCTGCTAGTCAGCTCCGGCGAAGGCTTTCAATTTCGAATTTGCGCAAAAAAAAAAAAAAAAAAAAAAAAAAAAAATCGGACTATTACTGCGCGATGGCCCTAAATGGTAAAGTCGTGCTTCTTGTAAGTTCTACTAGCAACGAAGTCTGTGATCTATGCTGATGCTTCTCAGACCGGAGCATCTATGGGAATTGGTGAAGCCATTGCTGGTGCACTGGCAGAACAAGGGGCGAAGTTAGCTCTCGTCTCCCGAAGTGAGGTATGTAGCTGCGAGATACGCCGTTAAACAGCCAAATTCTCTAACTGGTGGTGACCAGGACAAACTTCAGAGCCTCCTACGGCGCATCAATGATCAGCATCCGTCTTGCGAAGCCTCAGTCTACGCAGCAGATGTTGGCGATTACGAAGCAGTCGACAAACGCGTAGTAGAAGTGATCAAGGATTAAGGGTCGATAGACATCCTCATCAACAATGTACGAAGCTTCCCCTACCAACTTTTGACGATGGTAATAACAATGGGTGTCTAGGCTGGGCTGGCGCTAGGTGCCCCATCACGGTTCCCCGAGCTGAGTATATCCGACATTACGACTATGAACAACACCAATGTCAATGGCTACATGTTCGTCACGCACTCGGTGCTGAACCGTTCGATGATGTCAAGAGGCGAAGGCATCATCCTCAACATTACATCAACCACCGCACTTGAAGCGCCGCCCTTCCCTGGCGAGACAGTGTATCATGCGAATAAGGCACTGCAGGAAGGTTTCACGAATGCTCTTCGCAACGAGTTAAATGAGACCAACATCAAAGTCTTGGCGTTACGACCGGGCGTGGTTGCTACCAACTTCCATTCGCAGCGTGTCAGCTACGATAAGTCCATGTACGAGGGTTTCATGGAAGGATTTCAGTAAGCCGAACCACTTTGAGACGCGGAAATTCTGCTGACCCCATTCGAGACCATTAATTTCAAGCGACGTTGCAGAGGCTGCAATATTTATGCTCAGCCAGCCACCAAATCGCTCAATCAAAGCCTTAGACGTGGTGCCGACGGGTATGTGCGCCTTGATACCTGGAAATGGCAATTCACTAACCAATGGCTGTAGCCCAACGATCACTGAATGTTTTCGACCGGAAGTGGAATGAGCGAAACGGAAAGTCCGATGTCGAAATGGATTAAGCTGTGATTAGGGATTGGACATCTGATGGCAATGCGTATGATTATGACTATCCAGCTACTTCTTGAACCGTTTGCATTATTCCTGTGGCACATCAAGCCGTTTGCCGTAGAATCCCTGATGAAGAAAATAACCAGGTCACAAAAGGCATTTGCGGAATCATATCAGGCTAAATGTACATTATATACTGTTGTCACATGCAGTGACCATCCTCGTATTTTCCATTAAATCTGCACGGGTATCATCGCTCAGGCCTAATGACTCCCATAACTCCACACGATCGAACTAATTGAAACCTTTTACTGTACGATTCAGTCGCCCATCTTGTCCAATGAGCTAACCCGAGCTATCTGGCGATTCTGGGACGCGGGCCTGAGGAAGTCATGTGTTTGAGAGCCCGAAGTGCCTGGTCGTGAGCCAGCAATCGGTAATGACATTTCAGATCTTGTGCCCCGAAGGGGCTGGTGTAGGTCCTCTGCTGACGTGGGCACTCGAGTACCGTTGACTGAAACGGATCGTTCCACTCCCCGACCACCGTTCAATCCGCCGCGGCTGCTCGAAGAGACCTTTACGTTGTAAGTCACGGACACTCGATGGCCTTGGATTATCAGGTCGTTCTCACTTTCACTAGAGGACTCTCTTCCCAGCGGCGCTTCCGAGGGCGCGAACCCGGCTTCGAGGTCTTTCGTATCGGCTTCGGTACGTGGTGGCATGCGTGGCTCGACGGGCAGCTCTTTCCATTGTCCGGTCGGGCTGGTGGGAGACAAGGATGAAAGAACAAAGGAGCCTTTCTTGTAGTCGTCTAATGTATTTGAGCTGTAAAGTGTGTTGGAGTTCCCCGTTGAGTTCCCAGTTTGCTTGGAGCTCCCTCGACTTCTCTTGGAACCTGGCCATGTGACTGTGACTTTCGGGATCCAACGATCTACATACGGTCGTAGAGCGGGTAGGCTGCCACAGACGACGGCCATGAAGTTCTCGATCAGACTCCAAACAACCACATCCACATCGACTTGAAGTCCTATCAGCACATGTGGAAAGATAAATGACTATATCCCAACAGAAAGTGTACTTACAGGTAGTGTCGAATTGTTCATGGACTGTGACCACGTACTTCATGCGTACTATACTGGCAATGGTGCCACTTTGAGCAGTACAATGTATTAGCGTATCGGTCTTCTCATGGGTGTGAAGGCTGCGGCTTACAATGAAGCGAAAGCAAACAAGGCAGCGACTCCCCATCGCTTGCTTCCACTGACCTGCAGCTTCCGCAACTCAGATATCGGCAGGACGATTAGTACGAAGTCCTCGACGATCGACATGACTCCTCCAGAAACTATGATAACCTGCTGATCGAGACATTTGGGATTTGGTATTGAGTTATCCCAGGACGCCGCTACGGGGGAACATTGGAAGAGGACGATGAACGTGTAGATGGCTCCATGGACCATCTTGTAGGCTATGCATCCTCTAACAGCCCACCTGAACCATTTCGAGCCGGCGATGTTGAAGACGCGTTTGTAAAGGAGAAGAACAGCGAGTTTCGCAGTGATCTGAACCCAGATGTAGGCGATCTTCCCAGTATAGTTCAACTGCGTGTCCGGTCAGCACCGCTCGCTGTCAGGTAGAAGCTGGAAACCACACTCACCACCGAAAGCTTGGTGAAATTATTCCAGTTAAAGTTCCATATGTGTGTACCGAAGCCAATTTGGGCGCACTCTAGTTGTATTGCGGCAAGTGTGATGAGGAAAACCTGCGGTGGATTAGTATGTGAAGTATAGATGCGGCCAGACCGCGACCTACTGTTGCCACGATCGACATATAATCATCTGGCCAGAGTCTTCCCGTAAGCCTCCACCTTGCAGTGCAGCGAGCAATGACTATTGGTATGGCGAGGACAAAAGTGACGATGCAAGCTGTTCTAACCACGTATGCAAGCGACTCTTTTGGGTATGCAGTGCACATCGAGTTCTGTACGTACATCGCCACTACATGATATGTCAGTCAGAGCCTCCCGTGAAGTTGAAGCTATATGGATACTTACCTCCTGCGTCGTACGGCATACAGCTCATTTGTACGCACTCAGAGAGCTGGGCCTGTGTATTGGTATTCGTGCAAAAGCAATCCAGCATTGGACCCAAATTGTCCATGGAACATCGGGCGGACTCGATGGTCGATAGCGCGCAAGACCTCTGTAAGCCGCCAAGTCAGTCAGGATATGTGACACATACATTCTGGTATCTGCATCCACTCACTGCGCACTCCGGGAACCCCATAATGACTACAGCCGGTGTCATGGTCGATGGAGCGCCAGCTGAGGCGTTCGATGAAGCCTCCTGGGCAACAACACACTCCGCAGCCAGCAGAGCCACAAGCCCAGCCCATAATCTTGCCTGCAACATTTTGAGCATTATAGCCGGAGATATTGGACTTGTGTGGGAACCTCAAAGGAACGCTCGTCCCGATTTTCGGGAAGCACGGCCATGCCCGGGAATGGGATACTTATGCTTATATTGCTGGTTACCAGTTCATAATCTAGTCCCCGCCCATGCCGTTGGAGTTTGCGACCTTTCGGCGAATAAACGACTGTTCCTAGACCCTGGGCTATTGTGGAGGCCCATGCGTGCAGGGTACTATAAGATCTCCCAATCCAAGGCATCCTGGATTGGGCCGGGGGTTCGGAAACGGCCCAACTCTAGCGTAAAAGAGCGAGAGTATCGCGGCTAACACAGAAGCTCCCTCAGTATCGAGCCTCGTGGGCGAGGTGATGCAACGCGGACGCACAGATGGAGGCTTGCATTGTCAGGGGCTGCGTGGCTGCATGTGCGACACTAGGGTAACGACAACGCCAGGTGTCCAGGGTTCTCGATAAGGTATGCTACACACCCGCCGGTCTCCACGTTCTGGATTGATGAAAACGGCCGCGGAGGGGGCAACAAATGCTACCAAGGCAGATGAAGTTCCTTGCATTGGGAGACTTGAAGTCAGTCTAGACATAAGCTTACGGCTTTAGTGCTTGATGCAATGGTGAAACTGGGAAGCTCCCTGCAGAGACGAACGACCGTGTTGGGGTGAAGGGTTCGCACCAAGTCTTCAAAGTTGCTATGCTTGCAAGGGTCAATATATCGACATTTTCCCATTATGTACAAAGAAATTTCCCCATCGATATATGCAGGCGAGGTAAAGAGTAACAAGTCTAATGTGCACATCGCGCGGCGAAAGCTCTGAGCCTGTGCTAGTGACTTTAGACTCACACTGTCAGTTACCCCCTCTACTGAATGTCGGGCCTAATGGAAATACTATGGTACAAAGGAAAAGGCCATGAAGCTCGTCCGTACCAACAATTTGAGCAGGGTCCGGAATCCATGGCTCTGGTCCGATCTAATAATTTTGCAAGGGTATGGTTCAGACGGCGCAGCAAGTTGCTCCGTGGCCCAGGTAGTGCAGAGGATGGTGGTTGATGGAACCAAGATCTGGAAGTCGATCCCCGTTGCATTCTAACCAAATGTGCACTAGGTCTGGAGTGGCAGAAGGTCAGTGCGTATTGGACCCCGGACAATTAGACTATAGCAGGTATGTCTCCGCTGCACAACCTCTTTCATAGAAGTAAGCTCCGAGCATACCTGGCTAACCAGCCCATTTCCGTGACACCGACAATTCGATTTGGTGCACGGCCGGGAGCTCTAAAGCATTGGTCATTTCGCAATATTATGGTGATTGATTATGCAATGATCTGAGCTCTTGGGGTGTCGTGAGATCTGAACTTCCTTTCTCGGAGGACTTCTGCATGAGCGTCTCTGTATTCAGACCCACGGGGCTTTCCGTGTTGCAACGACTGATTATCTCGCAACAAAGACGACTTCAAAGCTGCGGGCAGTAAAAGTCAATGGCGAGGACATGACATCGTGAATAGGAACCCCTTCATCGCTGGGTGCATGGACTGAAGTCCGAGACAAACTTGATGCTGCAAGGCAATGGCCCAGGAAGACATAAGTCAGAGCGTCCACGTGTTCACCCTTGTGTATACAAGCATATAGTCGGATACCTCGGAGCTGTTGTCCCATATTCGGTTAGACATTCGGAGGCGCACGCCGCGGGTCATATGATATTTCGTAGCATTGCCTGGTTGTCGGGTATGTGATGCGCGCTCTACGGAACAAACCTAATCTCCTCGACAGCGATGTTGTAAGACTACCTTATTCAATGCTACAGAGCAATTTGCGCTGCGCAGCGTCCAATTGAACATTATTTGGAAGGACTGTGTCCTCAAATGAACCTCCGGCAACGCGATTCGTGTGCAAGGGAAAACACAACGGTATCATGAACGCAGCTGCGGCGTTCTGCGAAGGGGGCCGCAAGACCCGAGCGCCCACAGCAGAATCGGCCAGTGCGCTGCGGGACGGCAAACGTGGGGCTCCACATATGTGCGATTTTGTGGTCTACGGGGTAGATCATCGGACGAAATCTACCTAGGTACGCATTGATCACGTCCCGCTATCATTAGTTACAAATGTTTATGCTTATATCGACTGCCGGGCAAGATAGTAGCTCATAGAATGATCGTCACACATAGTTTCTGGGTGGAGAGCAAGTGGGAATCCCAGCGTGTCAGGCTCGTCTCTGAAGCTCGACCCCGAGCTGATGTGGGGGTTGCCGTCGGATTTGCATGCCTGTCGAGTACTCAAGCCGTCAGGCCTCGGGCACATTGGTTCACTTCGCAGTCGATCATTTCGTAGACATCTGTCGTATTTCTGCTAGGCCACTTCAGAGTCTCTACTGCCGCCATGCACAGCGCGAGACTTGAGACTTCGGTTAGCGGAGATTGCCAGCTGTCGTGGCCCAGCTGAAGAGAGGGTAACCGCCGCAGCCACGACGATTTCCGTGCTGGCGTCCAAATTCCATGTGACAGAGTAACAATATATTACTGTGTCAAGGGTTACCACACCAATTATGGACGATGCTACTTACCTAACCGGACAGCTATACCCGTTATGACCTCGAGAGTGATCAAAAGAGGGATAGCCTCTGCCTGGAATACCTCCAATGCAACACAATATCGCGTCCCACGTGACGCGCTTAGATCATGAGCTGTGTGGCACATGGCTTACCAGATGATCGGGTCGGTCCAGCTGCAAAGAGAATTCAAACACAGATGAGTAGCATTGTAGAGAATTGCCAATAGCATATGTCAAAATGTCACAATGGCGAGCAGTCATGAGTGGTAGGGTGTCTTGGTTTCGATGCCAAGACTGGGCTGGGTTTTCGCATTAAATGCTCTCGTATTCATCAAAGACGTCTCATGCGGAAGGTGCCATTGCTCATTTTACGAGTCACGACGTGCCTCGGCGGCAACCCTTGCGGCGACATGCCTTCAATTCAAAAGACTAGAGGCCTGCCGCACCTGAGCTATTTTCCTTGAGGCTCAGGCCATCAGTCTGGTACTAGCCAGTTGTGAAGATGCGCGTCGCGACAAGTATTCTGGCCACCCTTGCGGTAGCTGGTGCTGTCAGGTATGCCAATACGCTCAACACCTGCTGGAAAAGCACATTAGATTACTAATTTACACGTCTTTAGTTCCCAGACTGCAGGAAGTACGGCTGAAACGACGTACGACTATGTCGTCGTAGGCTCCGGGCCGGGCGGCGGCCCTTTGGCCGCTCGCCTTGCCATCGCTGGCAAGAAGGTTCTACTTGTGGAAGCCGGAGGAGACCCAGGCAATCTCACTGAATATCAGGTTCCCGCATTGAACCTGCAGTCAACGGAAAGCCAGCCGATGCGCTGGGACTACTACGTCAGCCACCATACCGACCCTGTGCTCCAAGCGAAAGACTCCAAAACAACATACCGTCTTCCATCTGGAGAGCTGTACGTCGGTCTCCAGCCTCCCTCAGGAGCGGAGCCTCTCGGCATCCTCTATCCCCGTGCAGGCACCCTCGGGGGCTGTGGGTCACACAACGCGTTGATCACGGTCTATCCCCACGCTTCGGATTGGAACCACATACAGGACTTGACCGGCGACAAGTCTTGGAGCCCATCGAACATGCGCAAGTACTTTCAACGCCTCGAAAATGCCGAGTATCTGCCCAACGGGGTGGTCGGGCACGGATTCAGCGGCTGGCTGACCACGACGGTCACGTATCTCGGATTCGTCCTTCAGGACTTCAAACTTCTGAGCGTGATTCTAAGCGCGGCTACCGCACTGGGTACGAGTCTCGAGGGCACGATTCTCACCACGATTGGAGGTCTGCTGCAGGTTCTGACCTTAGACATTAACGCGGACTTTTCGGGCCGGGATTCGAAGGAGGGCTTGTACCAAGTCCCCATCTCGGTCAACCAAGGAGTGCGAAGCGGACCGAGGGAGTTTGTGCTGGATACTGCTAACGCCAAGAATGCCGACGGGTCGAGGAAGTATCACCTCGATATTCAACTCAACACTCTCGTCACAAAAGTCAGGTTCGACTCCAGTGGATCTAAGCCAAAGGCTGTCGGTGTCGACTTCATCATGGGTCAGAGCCTGTATAGCGCAGACCCACGCTTCGATAGCAGCAAACAGGGAGTTCGCGGCAGCGTCAACGTAACCGGCGAGGTCGTCCTTTCGGCGGGCGCATTCGAGTCTCCGAAGCTTTTAAAATTGAGCGGTATTGGTCCTGCTGACGAACTGAACTCATTCAAGATTCCAGTGGTGGTGGACCTTCCGGGCGTTGGAACAAACAGTAAGTAGCAATACTGGCCACGGATCCCCCATAGAGCAAGCCGCGGCCGAAAGAATGAGCTATCCAGTCCCCCTAAGTCTAGGCTCTGGAGCTTGCACATCATGTGCCCTACATTACATTTCAGCAACACGCCTATCAGATTCATCAGGATCAAGCCGCTAACCAGAGTGCACAGTGCAAGATCGTTACGAAACGTCCGTCATAGGCGATTCAGCTATGGATTTTGATATCACAAAGGACTGCACATTCCTACGAACTCCCGATGATCCCTGTCTGAAGAACTGGAGGTCTGGGAAATCCAACAGCGACAGAGGCATATACGCCAGCAACGGTATTTCCATCGGCATTGTCAAGAAGTCTACTGTAGCCGAAGGAGATCCTGATCTTTTCATCTCGGGTGGTCCGGCTTACTTTCCCGGATACTACCCAGGTTACAGTACCAATGCGACGCTCAACACAAGGCATTGGTCTTGGATCACCTTAAAAGCGCATTCGCGCAACTCTGCCGGGACCGTGAAGCTCTCCTCGACCGATCCGCGAGATACTCCTGTCATCAGCTTCAACTCCTTTGACGACCCGGCAACCGGTGCCAAGGACGTTCAGGCCGTCGTTGAAGGGATGCAACTTTCACGCAAGATGTTCAAAGACGTGATTCCTCTTAAGGGGGGATTCACCGAGGTCTGGCCTGGCAAGGGGGTGTCCGACGCTGGCTTGGCTGACTTCGTGCGCAATGAAGCGTGGGGTCATCATGCCAGTTGTACCAACCCCATCGGGCCTGATAGCGATCCCATGGCTGTTTTGAACTCGGACTTCACAGTGAAGGGTACCGAAGGACTCCGAGTCGTGGACGCGTCTGTTTTCCCCAAGATCCCCGGCTTCTACATCGCTGCACCTATCTACATGATTAGTGAGAAAGCAGCAGATGTTATTTTGAAGAAGTAGATAATTAATAGATTTAATTGAGTTTATTCCACAGAATTGGTCTCAAGAGATGGCGCAGTTTGCGCCCAGTTCTGTAATCAGGCACAGTATGCTCGGTGTTCAAGTAGTCAACACGCGACCCATGCACTCGGCGCGAGAAGAGAGGTATTTGTGAATGAAAAGTTTATCCTAGACATTTGCCTAGACTGTCTATCCATCCAAACCATGAAGAACAACTTGTGAAGAACCAGATAATGGTTGATGTGCAGCAAGCACATCAAACAAGAGAACGGTAGAGAGATGAACGAGACTCGCCCGCGGGTACTATGCCTGGAACAGTGGAATGAGATCCAAAGGGACTCAAAGGAGAAGTTCGCAGGAAGTGGCAGGCCTGACGGCATCACTGACTGCTCAATCCAAGACTGCACAAGGGCCATCAAACAGCGAAGATGGTACAAGCTCGTACTCCAAACCCCCTCCCTGTCTCTCCATCAAGTTCAAGGGCATCATCGTCGGGAAGGATTTCTTATTGAAGTACCAGGCCTCGAGCTCTGTGGCCAGGCATGGTCCAACATCTCGCTCAGACTCCGGTCTGCCAAGGTTCCAATGCTCATTATTGTTCACAAGAGACATCTCGTAATCCTCGTTATCCTCCACAGAGCCTTGGAGGCGACCCCAGAGCCGCAAGTCGCGCAGTTGAAGCTCGGCTTTCATGTGCTTAAGGAGTTTGATCCATGATGATTCCTCCAATCTGCTGTTGCCGAGGGAGATAGAGCGAAGAGTGCCTTTGTGCGCAGCAAAGAACTGTTGGAAGTGCCATCGTGTAGCAGTAACGCGTTCCAGCCATACGGACTCGAGATGCTTCCATATGTTTCCGTCTTTGAAAATGTCTTTGAATTCAGCTTGCCAGCACAGGGTTGAGTCCCCGGTAAATTGGATGGATACGGATCGCAGCTCTGGCATATCCTGAAGGATTTGAGCCAAGGCACCAGTCTTTGTCCCAGTCTTGACTGGCTGCAGGGGCTCGGAACCGACGACGTTGGCTAATCTCTCCTCGCGCGAGTCAAAGATCAGATCGATAGACTCGAGGTTGGAAAATGCGGTACCGATGGAAATCAGCGTTGATTCATTGAGGGCCGATGTTTTCATGGGTCGAATGACTAAAGAATCGAGCTCTATACGGAGATCGCAACCATCGAGAGTATTGAGAACGGCAAAGAGCAGATTGTGGGCAGAATATTCCATGGCTCTCGTACCTCGATGGAAGGATGAATCGAATGGGGATTTGGTCCGTAATCGATCCCGAACATGCCTCTCACTGCGGATCTCAAAGCCGTCTAGGCAGGTGAACTTCGGCAACACCTCGAACATGGTGCTAAAGTCATCACCGGACTCAACGAGCTCCTGTCGCCGGTAAACTGTTTTCTTGTACTTCAACTGTCTGGTTTCCACCTCATTAGCGGTAGAGTGGGGGATTTCAAGAGAAGTGCAATCCTCAATGTGTTTGCTCGAGGGGGTTTCGTAGCAGAGCCAGTTCTTCTCGAAGCGTTCAACGCTGGGGTGTTTGTGCTGAGCCAACGTTTTCGCTTGACAGGTGCCGAGATCTAGGCCAGAGCTATCTTCCCCCATAGTATCGTCGATGAAAACCAAAGTCTTGACATACTTGTGGAGTGTAGGATGACGGGCAAGTGCTCGAAGGTTGGCAAAATGGGGTTGGTGCAGGTAGAAGTTGATCTCCACGAAGCCTCTTTCGGCGGCGATCTGCGACAGCTTTCTGGAAGCCAGACGAAGCCTTCGAGCATCAGCAGGATCCAACAAGGAGCAAAGCTGCAGCAGGATCTCGTGAGGAAGTGATTCCATCGGCATGATGACAGGCTAGGAAAATCGTGTATGGTTGTGTTCAACCCCGGGAGTTGACTATGAGGCTCAACCAAGTACGTCTCTGGTGTTGAAAACGAGAACGAACGGAGTTTTCGTTAGAAGAACTTCGACTGAAGTCGGTCAGTGCTGGTTTCTTGATCAGGATGGATTCGCTAATGTTGGATATGGGAGCACATAAACAACATTGGCCTGCAACGAGTAGTGAAAGACTGACCTGCGATGGGTAGTACGAGTGTAGTGGAGCTGGCCAACAGATGGATGTAATGGCTTGCATCGGGTGTCGTTGACTTCAACCAATGCGAGTCACCGAGGTGACCAAAGTATTGTCGTGTACATCCTCCTTGGCGAAGCTGGAGGGATAGCGGCGGAGAACCAGGAACTTTAGTTCACCAAAACTTCATGTGCATCATTGCTACGACATGGACACTCATTGACATCATCTTCAGGTTCTCATATGGATATTCCTGCCACTCAGCCAAGGTTCAACCACCACAACCGAGGGTGGCCAAGACTTTCTCGCCGGCCAATTAGTAGGGAGCTGCACTAACTGAGAGATGTCTGCATCAGCAAGAGGCTAGGTAGATGCTAGTCGCTGATACGTCCTAGAGCGCGTCCAGATTTTTTCATATCCAGTGGTAGTAGAGCAGCCAACTTCTCCAAAGAAAAGCACCAAAACAACAATTATTTACAAATCTCTGCGTTGATGGCTGTACTACAAGCAACACTCGCCGCGACGGTCTCGCGTGTGGTTCTCCGACGCGCGTTACTGCAACAGGCTCCCCAATGGCGCGTAGCACAATGCCAAACAAAGGGCAACCTCTACTCTCACAACCATGGAGGGTGCATTTGGGATCCCACTTCGCTCACCCTACATGTCATCATCAAAGCCGCTTCACGGTACGTATTTTGGTGGTTCATGCTATCTTGAGCAACAGAAGGCGTGAATACATCCTCCTTTCATGATACAGTACATCGCTGCGTCTTCTGGTACCTCTCAGGGGAGTCCGTGGTCCATCACTGCCATAGAATCACCATACCGCTTCTTGAACCGTGCTTGACGTCACGCTGATTGATATTTTCACAGGTGCAGGGAGGATTTGTTGAGGCACTAGCACTGCAGGTTCACGCAAGGGCACGGGGCTCTTTCCAGAGGTTACCAGCAGCAGTAATTATGGTTCCTTCCGATTGTTGTCATCATCCATATTCACAAAATGCCATGTCGGGGCAGGAGAACCTGTGAGTTGACCCCAAGCCGATGGCAGGTTGAACTGGACCTTGACGTCTTCAACACAAAGAAGGTGATTCTTCTAACACCCATGATAACTACCACACATCCTTTGCTCCATGGAATTGAGGTGGTACGTGAGATCGGGTGGCAACATACTCATGCAGTAATGGCATTCGTTTTTTTAAAGCTCGACCCCACGAGACAATCTTCTTCAACACCATCCACAGGTCATGCCAGATTTTTTTGCCTCCTGTTTGTGCCCGTTTGTCCTCCAACGCCCAGAAATTCTGCTTTCGTGCCCTCCGTGGCACTGAAGCTGGCACGCATCTCTGTAGTGGTGAAACCGACTAACACAACAATCGGCGCTCTACAGAGAGTATAGACGCGACTAAGCCGTTTATGGCGAGAGCTTTTCCAAGACCGGCATGTAGATCATTCTAGGCCACGAACCGAGTAATGAAGTGGGTGTTCTCGCTGATTGTCGTGTCAAGCCCCTTTTCAGCAAACGGTACCTAGGTACTAGCAAATATCACGGGGGCCACAATTTCCATGGCATTACCTTGGTGGCGGGCCATATTCACAGGCTCATGCCATGTACTCACTGCACCAGTTTTTTGGTTAATAATTATTTTCGACGTTGCTTGTCAAGGATAACCCAGAGTTGTGTGGATGCTACCATTATTGGCTCTCACGCCCGGCCGTCGTGGTCCATTCGTATGCAGGGACTAACGCCGGCAGCACTTCATGACAAGGCGCTTTCCCTTGGTGTTATTAAATCACATCTGGTTGCCTTGGATGTGCATGAGCAATTGCCTGGAGAAGTCATGCCCGATTCCACATTGGTGGCCAGCCACAGGCGTGGTCGAGATGGTACGCAAGGTGGGTGGTGTAGCTTCTATGACCAAGAGCACTTTGCAACCTATTCGAGACGTCCCGCCTGTTGTGATCCCGCATTGTATGTAATCAGGCATTCTCCGTTATTAGCGGTACACATCTCTCCATGTGATATCTCGACGTCGAGAGAACATCATTGTGGGAGGCAGACACACCGTTGGTATCAACCCCTATTCGTACATGACCCGAGCATCGTAGCAGTTCAGACAGAACAGTTGAACATGGAAAATCGCGATCGTGCCATGAAAGAAGGTGACATCACTATGGCCACAGTCAGCAGGCACCCGAAACCCTCACCGCCCTGGAGGCTTCCCCTCAATATGCTCTATCATGGTCCAGACACATATATTCACACCAAGCCGGCCATCACAGGCCTTCTTGCAGCGCGACTGCCTACAATGGAGTAACACTTCGCCTGCTGAATGGTGTCATGCTCTTGGCTGATCGGACCAGTGGCGTGTTTTGTTGGGGGCGCGTGGTGACTGCTCCTGCCCCTGAACCTCAAGGTGAATTGATTTCCACGACGCCTGGCTTCCAAACGCGCCCTCTCTGCCTTGTCACGAAAACTATTTAAAGTCTCGGGTCCCCCAATCCAACTCTCTCCTCTCTTTTACCAAACCATCACACGCTCACTGTCATTCTCTGAACACTGCTTCTCCAGCCAACAGCAAACTTCTCTCACTCACCAAGTCTTCTCTTCTGACCAAGGTCTCCTGCACACACACGCAGACTACACACAAGCAACCTTCATTCACACTTTCACATCTTCCCATTCATCATGAAGTCATTCACTGTCATTGTTGTCGCCGCCCTTGTTGGCTTCACCAACGCCAACCACGGCCGCATGACCTACTACGACCCCAGTGTCGGCGCCGGCGCCTGTGGAACCACTCACTCTGACTCTGAGCATGTCGTCGCTCTTGACGCTACTCAGTTCAAGGCTGGCGGCAACCCCAACAACGACCCAGTCTGCGGTAAGCACATCAAGATCAGCTACAACGGCAAGTCCACCGAGGCTCTCGTTGTCGACAAGTGCCCCACCTGTGCCTCCCAGGCCATCGACGTCTCCAGCTCGACCTTCAAGGACATTGCCGATCTCTCCGTCGGTGTTGTTCAGGTTGACTGGGACTTTGTTTGAGCACACTACACTCACACTGCACAACGCCACCCCGGCAATGATGGTGGACTGGCAGATTAGCGGATGGAGGATGCGATTTTGGAACCTGGCATGCTACTATGACTGACACGTTGATATGAGGGAGCTGGAGGAACCAATGTATGCTACTATGACTTGAGACATTGCATCAAATGATGCCAATACATCCCGCTGCATCCTGAACTTTGAAGTTCGCTTCTCCCTTTGCTTTGAAGTGCTCTTTAAATCGCTGAAGCTGGGTGACACACCTGAAAGCCCTCTGGAGGTCATACAGTGCCGCCCAGTGCGCTGCCAGTGCTGTTCTTTCAGAGGGCCCACCCTAGGGCACCACACTGAGTCGCCTAGAAGAGCCCATTGTAGTCCCGGCTCTACTGCAATAATTCCCTGTGTGTCAAACTCCGTTCCAAGGTTCACAGCCAGCAAACCACGCCGACGTTGCCCTTCGCCTATCCACACCATCGGAGCTCTGTTGGATCAGACGTCGCTCGTCTTTTCCTCATCGACTTCTCCCTACCTGTGGGTCTAGCTGCTTCCTTTGGGGTGCCCAGGTCATGTCTGGCATGTTCAGGCGAAGGTGAATTCCAGTGGAACTGATCTGCCGTGGGAGCGTTCAGATGGAAGCAGGACCTGTAAGCAGAGAGCTGATGCCAGACCCGACAGCCTAATCATCGCGTCTCTAGTTGAGATACAGCGTTGCTATCATTCGCCTGTGCCCATCATCTGTTAATTCAGTTGGCTGAGGCCCTTTGGTATGTCGCACCCACGCAGCTAAACTAGACACTGACGGTGAACCTCCCAGACTATCTCCCAGCAGCATGCTCAACCAGCTGGCAAGTGTACCCAGCAACGCGCGGCTAGCGAGTATCAAGGACTACGAAGGCCAAAGCATATGTCTCCCATGACTCTTCGAATCATCAACATTGATACGGTACTCCTCTATCCGCCTGACATGGAATGGCCGACTTCGAAGGAACCAACTCACAGAACCACTGATCCGAGATGCCATCGTTCAACCAAGAAATTGTTCAACCCGACCGGCAGGATGCCACAGAGGCTTCAAGCAGCAACAGATTGCGTGGGCGTACTCATAGTCCATTGACAGGCTTTGACACTCCTTGGAACAGCACAGATTCACAGACGTAGGTATGAATGGTCCCATGTGCAGAGATCGTTCAAACTTTATCGCATCTTTGTGGTTCTTGAGAGCCATGGGCCGAGCGAGACTGATTTCGTATTCTAGCCAGGTTGGCGGCTAACAAACGCGACGAATATGACAGTCAGCGTAGACATACAAGGGCATGTCTGGTGACTTGGTCCAATTGTCTTCCCCTGGTATGACCTCCGTCTTTATCGCTCGCCGACGCCAGCACCACCATTGTGGTCTCTGAACCTTGTCGACTTACATCCGGTAAGGCTTACTCTCATCCCTCCTAGTTTTTTGTGGCATTCCAGCTAAGTAGTCTGAAGGAATCCATCATGCGCTAGGTCCGACCGGACTTCGAAGTAATACCACGAGAATAATGGGCAACAGCAAGTTTACTGGCGGTGAGCGACACCCACCACCATCATTCAGGTACCCAAACGAAGTCAACATTCGCTTGATGATCTTCCGACATACGCAGGTTCTGAAATACGTGTCAACAGATGCCCGCCCCCGTTATTCTGCGAAGCGCGCCATCACTGACAGGTACAGAAAAGGGGCGACTCGTTTATGATGTGCTGCCGACAGCAAAGTCTAGGCTACGAATAATGAAAGGACTTGACAAGTTACATATCTTAGAACCCGATCCAATGTTCCTTACATCACAGGATACTCTCAAGAAAACCACGCAGTTCGAATATGGACAAGTATGGTCCAATACATCCACTTGATGCTCCCCAAATGGACGTGCGGCATGGGTTGAAGTAGGTCATCCATGTGTTCCCAAAATTCGGGTGCTGTGTGCAATCTTTGCGATCGCCACGCGCTATTGATGCATGAGATAGTAGTATATTCCCAAAACGGCGTCTATTCATGGGCCTTCGTCGCACAGATCCCAGGAACCGACCAAGATAGTTTCAACGTTTGTCAGATTTGGCAACCCAGAGACGGGCAGCATACCAGATCTTAGACTGTGTAAGAAACTCGGACGAGGCAGTCCCTTCTGCGTTAGAACCAGGTCGTACTATCATCAAGGCCATCATCAACCAACATGGCCGTTGGGTGGTGAAGCTGCTACGCATCAGAAGATACTTGGAACTTCGGACCTAATGCGGCGGATCGGACTGATACGGCAACCATTCTTCATCCGTGTCCACTATACTGTAACCCAAATGTTGATAACGCACGTCCAAAAAAGAAGGCAAAGTATCCGCTATGGAGACTGTGGATAGCTGATACATCCGCTAACTGAGTTCTCATAGATATGGTCCATTCCCTCCTCGTCCTATGATTTGATACGGGTTTCCAATCGATTGTGCACCTGTAACAGGTTGATCCAAGATCAGTACACACGCTGAGTCGCATATCATACAGGCTAGAAGCTCTTTAGGTTCCCGAAAATCCAGTTGCGGTGCCTAGTGCGTTGCCGCAGAAGATACCCGAAATATGTAGAGCAGGGCCTGGGTGTGCCAACCTATTCCATTCATCGAAGGTAATCATTCCGAAGGACTGGAAGAACCAAGCAGATTTTCTTGACGTCCATCGCAACAAGGTCATCAGACAACATACCTATTCCGAAGTGTAAAACGCTCCATTTCCTCAAAAGATATATGTCTCTCGTTTGGTCGAGGTAAAAACCCCTTCCGTCCTTGGCGATCTGGATTCTGGAGAGAATAGGTGCGCTACCAAAGTTCGTTGCGCTCAAGGTTCATGCTCTAATCGGCGACAGCATAGAAAGCCGCGAGGCCGAGGGCCGACGCTCACTAATGCGCCTTACAAATCGCCGTATATTCCATTCCGAAGTCACCATCAATCATTTGTGATGAGTTCGGTATTGCAGGAATCTTGAAGTGTCTTCGATTCGCAGCGAATCATTGGCCGGCCTCCGCCTTACATGGAATTATTGAATAGTCCAGCAACTGTGCTTAGTCAGCGCAACGACCCTTGTTACCTTTACACCAAGTACAACTACATAATGAGCACAGAGGACCACAACGCAAGCCACGACAGGGATAGGAGAGAGGCATCAAAACGAGGCTTACTCCTGGATGGAAGGCTATAATTGCTGTTTGAACAGCGATGAACAAATCCAGCTCGGCTCCCGTCCGAATATACTGAAGGGAAGAGCATGGTTCTGCTTGATAATTGCTGCATCCTTCGGATGTTCAGAATATGGAGCAATGTGCGCCTTGGTCTCAAGCCGGGTGTGGGGCCGGACGGCCGGGATGCTGAGCACTTCTGCATGTGGCCTCTGTTTTACAGATGTCAGGAGGGGCCGATATCTCGGCAGAGGGAAGTGCCGCTTGGACCAAGTTTTGACTCGATGCGTTTGTAACTTGCATTGATATGTGGGAGGCTAGGACACATATATGAGCTGATTCTACCATGCATATCACGGTTGTCTTCTCTGTCTCGATCTCCAACACTATTGCAACGAGGCAAAGCTTCTACTGGACCACCTTACTTGCATTACTATTCTGCTCGGTTTAGCCGGCCCTAAGGTCACAAGATGGTGCTTGCTTCAGCACCTGTTGTTCTGATCTTTGGCGCTGGTGCCAACATTGGCCAGGCCCTCATAAAGCGGTTTGCTGAGGCAGGTTATCGAGTAGCTGCGGTCTCTCGCAGCGGAGCGGAACCCCCGGCAATTACCGACGGCATTCTGTCCATCCGGGCAGATCTTGAGGAGACGTCGGCTCCCACCAGGGTCCTGGGAGTCGTAAAGGACATTTACAAGGCCACACCCAAGGTCTTCATCTACAATGCTGCCCACCAGACCTCGGCGCCGGACCCGAACAACGTTTTCAGTATTGGCACACAAACACTGAACAATGACTTGTCAATCATGGTCTCGGCCCCTTGGTATGTACTCACTGAAGTAGTCCAGGGATACAGTCCGATTTTTCCATCCCTACCCGCCCAGACTAACGCGGTGGCTTCTACAGGACAGTGGCAACTGCAGCATTCGAGGCATGGAGTGCTGAGGATAAAACTGACGATGAACAGCGCACATTCATATACACAGGTAACTGCATGCCTCAGACGATTATTCCCATAGTCCACCTGGCGACTGTAGGAGTCGGCAAGTCCGGAGCAGCCTATTGGGTTCAATTGGCCGACGCACTGTATGGCAAGAAAGGCTTCCGGTAAGCATTCGCTATGTCATGGGATAATCACTTTCTTACTGAGATCCTAGATTCTTCTTTGCGGATGAACGGACCGCTGAGGGTATAACAATCGGGCCGGTGCCCGGCGCCGAGTCTCATGCTCAGTTCTATCTCACTCTGGCCGAGGGCAAGAGTGATATCCCATCTTATGCAACATTTGTAGACGGAAAATACCGCAAGTTTTAAGAGGGTTAATCTCCCAGTTTTCTCGCGATACCATCATGATAGACACATCCCATGAAAGAAGACGGTGAACTCCGAGGATGATATCATCGGCGGGATTGTCATGATGCATAGAAAATCAAGGCTCGTTAGACTTGGTACTGAAAGGAATGAACCAATCATCATAAAATTTCACTGCTATGACAGGTTTCATCTTGTTATACACATGGCCAACCAATATAGCGTACGTGTATGGCTTACAAGTTTTGATACACTGAAGTGGTTCAAAGTTCGTGATATGCTAGAGTTGTCAACGATATTGCCATCGTAGGTAAACCTGGAGATCATGTACCATTGTATCGGGACACCAATCAAAAATCAATCGCTTCATCGATTCCTGCCGAGATCCGAATAGGACTGGGGTCTGAAGGACGTGGTCACCCGTTGGGAGAGTCCCACTCTCGGCCGGGTATCCGGGGATTGCCACGCGGAATGTCGGCAACTCTTGCCTGGCCGTTAGATTTAGGACTTCACAAGATCGAACCGCCGACCTAATGAATGCCTGATCTTCGTATGGCTGGCGTATTACCTCGGCAACGTGAGCTAGTCAGTAGCATTCCTTTTTTTCTTAAATGCAACGGACAGGTGGATACAATCGCGCACTGGGTCGAAGTTCATCTTCCGCAAGCTACGTGCGATTCTGCCTTGGCAATGGCCGCATTGAAACAACGACTCACGATACCTGACGGAGATATCTGGGTACTCCCGCACAGAGAAATCGCGGAGGCCTATTTCTCGGCATATTACAGCTCTACAATAGGCTTGGTCTTTCTCGTAGTTGACCCCTCTACCTTTATGAACACCATTCAAAACGTATATAATCCCGAGAAACACTTCCAAGAGCCGGACGTCCTCGGCGTTTAGGGTTGTGTCCTCTGTTTCGAGCCCGTTGACGTGCGTTGTGTGTTCAGAAGGCTGAATGACTTCCTCCAAACATACTCATGCAACCCAGCTGTACAAAGATTCAAGTATATGCTGTGCAGGGAGCTCCAAACAGGTATGCTCGTGTAGAAGCAATAGTGGCCATGTCTTCTAGGCCATGTGCAATTTGTTCTCGGGCGATACAAAGGCAGCCGCTGTCTTGCACGCGATTTCAGGGCATCTTGTTTTAACGCTGGACGGGCACATGGAACCGGCCTTCAACCGGCTCTGAAGTGGCTTGGTTTATGAAAGGCTACCTCCGACGGGTAGTCTAGCATGTGTGCTACGTGAACGGCAAAGACATTGCTCTGCGTGTAGGCAGCACTCCCGTTTGTATGTGCATATATTGCCTGGAGTACACTTCATACACAAAACCCGCCGACATGACTATCGTGTTTTCAGAGTAATGATTCCTGACGCTAGAACAGAAAGGAGTTCCGCTAATACGAAGGGTGGCTGGGAATGCGCCAATGTAGTATGCTAGTCGTTGCCGCGTCGACTTGCACATAAGGTGACAATGGTGAGCCATCCACGCTCCTGCTGTATCCCCGCAATTATTCATCTGAAGTGTAACGGAAAGCTGAAAGATGGCGCAGTAGTCAACACCCCCGTCCAACTTAACACGCATGTCTGACTTGGCAGTTATCTAGAATGACAAGATGTCGAGTTCTGTGAGGTGAAGTGGTGTCAATTGGTCGCTCCTATAATACCTGCCGTACCCTTATACCAATACTCAAAACCTGAAACCGTTCAACGGTACTCGATTCACGGGCTCTAGGTATAGCACTGCTATGTACATAATATCACCTGCGGTCTTGTGCCAGGGGATGTGAAGGCCCGTGACAAGGAAATGCTTGACTTGGGCTAAGAGGCGGGGTGCCCATCTGTCGCTTGGTCGTGATCAAAGACTTATCGAAATCAAAAAGCCAAGCAACATCAGTCATAAATCAACCATTCCTTCGACAGTACTTCCGTCTTCGTAAGATGTCCATCTGCCAAGTGACTCAAAGGCAAGGACGAAAGAAGGCTCCTCCCAACCAAGTCATGCATGGTGATGCCAAGATGTGGTCTGCCGTAGTTCTGCGTAGTTCTGAGCAACTCCCAAGTGCCCCCCCACCTCAAGGCCAATGACAACCCCGCGTTTTGTCAGATCCTCCCACTTTGCAGAAGCCGGGAACGGCCGAGTGAGGGGCAGCTGGGCAGCTTTTTTCTTTCTCGGGCGTTATTTGGGACGCCCATGATTGGCCGGGCGAGGGGAGCGCCGGAGTCTAAGGACAGTGAGTAAGTCGGTCGGTCGGTCGCTCCAGCGGGCGGCCCACCTCCCTCCCTCCCAGCAGTACCCCAGTGCCCAGCGCCCCAGCGCCCCAGCGCCTGGTGGCCCTGCACCTCCAGGTTGCCAGGCATTCCATCTGCAGCCGATCGACGTCAGGACCTGCCATCGGCCTCACGTCTGGGCGACAACCACAACCGCGCACACACACACCCCATCGGCAATCCTCGCACACCACCCACAGCTAAACGAGCCGAGCGTGCAGGTTCTGCGCAAGGCCTACGACATCGTAAAATTGCCTCATCGTGTATCTCCAACAACTTGATGTCGCTAGCGACGACGTATATCTGAGAGCTGAGACCGCACTCTGGGAGCGAGCCGAAATTCACCACTTCTCCCACGGCACTGCCGCTGATACCGATACGATCAAGTCCCCCCGGTGTGCGGCACGGCACTGTCATACAGTCGGCTTCGGGACCGCAATCACAAGCCGAGACATTCAACCCATCGACAAATCCACGGCGACGGACTTGCTGCCATCATAGCACCGACCGGCCGACCGCCCTTACCACGCATAGTGGTAGGCTAGACAAGGGGGAAGCATCTCCGTCTGAAGAGATACGTCCGCATCGTCACACAACCGCCAACATGCCCTCATCACAGCGGCCCTTCTTCCTCTCCTCCTTCCTCGCCGCCTTCCGCCAACAGACACCCTCCGCATCCACGTTATCAGCCTCCTCACAGCCAAACAAGACGCACTCGCATACCCACCCGCACACGCATCAGCACGCAGCGTCCGGGTCCGCCCCGTCGGGCGCCCGCGCCATCTCCACCGCCTCCGCAGCAGCATCCGGACAGGCCGCCTCGTCCTCCCGGGCACCCGGCGGCGTCATGAACCAGCTGCCCATCCACAGCCCGCGCGGCACCCACGGCGTGCCGATACCCGGGGCGGCGTCTGGCCGGCGGCGCGGCAGCGACAGCAGCAGCGAGGGCTTCCGCGACGTGCTGGGCGGCGAGAAGTGGTACATCGGGGGCCGGACGGCCGGCGGGGAGGAGAAGTTCTTCAAGCTCGGCGTCGTGCGGCGCGTGAGGAGCAACGACCGCTTGAGCTTGGATCGGCTGAGTCTGTGATCTACTCCACGTCGGAGACTCGGACTTCACACGACGGGAGGGCACGACGGCGACAGGGAAGCATGACCTAGTAGACGAAAGGATGAAAGCCGTGGGGAAATGGCACACTTATACAAGGGCGGGTCTGAGAAACCGGTGAAATATAACCATGGGAACGGGGGTGGCGCACCCTAGTACCCGGCGTTCATGGGCCTCAGAAGCCCGAGGTTTGCTTTCATGGGAGTGCAAGGCGTTGTTTGCGGTTTGGGACAAGGACACATGCATTTGAGGGGTCAGAGGCACCGAGCAGACTGGGCAGCCCGACATCCTTGGGGTAGGGAACCGTACATGTTTTTCAACACTCAAAAAGTACCTGCAACGCGTGTACATATGCGAGCTTGGAATACGATGGAAATGAGACGAGTACAGATCATATAGGTACTCGACATGATGAATACCAAAAGCACATTTGATGCAAAGTGCCACTTTTCGTGAGAATAAAATGGGATATCTTGCGATCTATCATACACCAAAAGCTACTACCCCCGTCGATGTGCGCAGAACCGTCGGTATATATATGAGTCCGAGCCCGCATATGACCGGACTGCATGCGATGAGCAGCGAGCAGGAGGAGGGCACATTTACCGGCGCGTTTGTGCGATCACCACATGAACCGCTGCACGTTGCCTCCGTCCAACACCGTGCCGTCCTCAGACCTCCAGTAGAACGGCCGGGTGAGGAATATATACATGGTGGCGGCATTTACGGCCAGGAACCATATGGTCTCGAGGCCGAGCACCCAGTCAAGGGCCGTCCTGCGCGCGTTCATGCGCTGCGGCACAAGCAGCCGCCAAAACACCCAAGGTAGGATAAAGTACCGGGGTTCGACCAGCGGGGCGGTGACGAGGCTGAGAGTTGTGGTCAGGAGAAGCAGGATGACGGTGGAAGCCCGTGGAGACGTCGAAGACGACAAACGGCGGGCGGGGGCTCCTGTCTTGGAGGTCTTGCTCGTCGCCGGCGCGAGGCGGTAGAGCGCCGTCCAGCTGAGGACCGCGGAGAGCACGTAGACCGGGGCCAGGGCCAGCCGAACGGTGTTGCCCTTCAGGACCGTGTACCGGAAGATGTAGAACATGTAGTGGCGGTTGTCGGCCAAGGTGAAGGGGTGGATGATGGTGTTGAAGCGGACGATGACGGCGGCTATGCCGAGGCTGAGGACGAGGAGGACTGCAGACAGGCCGATCCCCAGGTAGTTGTGCTTTGCTGGCTGCTCCTGCTTCTGGCCCTTCTTTGTTGGTACCTTTGCTGGCTTAGAGGACAAGCGGCCGAACAGACCCTGTAGGACATGAAGCGCCTGCGGCAGAAAGAGCGGTGCCGAGAAGAAGGCGAACAGGGGCCATATGTATAGCATCTGGGCCAGGTGCAGCGTCGCCACGTGGTTGGACTTGTCGCCCAGCACCACGCCGCCGTTCCACGCCACGAAGCCGGCGAACAGAGCCATGGTGATGATGTGCGTATACACCCGTTTCAACACAGTGCCCAAATTGGCAATGGCTGCGATGCCGATGCTGACAACGCAGAGCACCAGGTCTTCGGGCCATGCCTCGTCGAGGGAAGGATCGTGAATGGCCCCGCTGGACGACCTGGAGGTGAAGAGCTTCACGTGGTCTATCCAAGTGTCCATCCTGGGTTCTTTGTGACTCACAGGCAGGTCTCGGATTGCCTGAATTGCCTCAAGGCCGCCCATGTACACAACGACCCAGAAAACATTGGTCTGGCGCATGAATAGCGCCAGCACGCCGAGGAAGACGGTATACAGATCATTCAAGACAGACCGCCTGCTGGATTCCTGCCCCGTCCTGCCGAGGTGGTTGAGGTAGCATAGGAGGACGACGCAAGTTGACAAGACATCTGTGTAGTACAGTCCGGAGAAGAAGAAGAGCACCGGGAAGAGGGAGATGTTGACAGCCGTGTGCAGGGAGTAGGCCGAGCTCGACTGCCGTCCGGGCTGGGAATCTTCGATGGCAGAGCGGCACGCCCCTGCCACGGCAGCGGTGCAAGAAATCACGAATACATTGAAACCCCTGAGTGTGTCGGCTGAACAGCCGGTATATCCAGCGAGGCGTGCCCAAATAATACTCAGGACATATCTGGTCATGCGGATTAATAAATATTCTGAGCCGAAGATCAATGAAGCTTACAATCCCGGGGGTGTCGTGATCTTGTCATCCCAGTCGAAGTATCTGCCCTCACAGTAGACTTGTGCTTGGGGTATGTGGAAGAACTCGTCCTGATATAGGATTAGTCGCCGTGGTCAGGGGTCAAACAATGGGGAAGGGGGGTGCCAAGGTACCAAGTAAGGCTCGGGGACAGTCTTGTTGACCAGCTGTAGCCACAGCCATCCCAAACAAGCCGGTATAAGCACAGGTAGGGTGTAGGTCTGTACGCATTGTTTGGTAGAGCCCCAGAGCGTTTGTCCCGTGGCTTTGGTTGTCGCGAGATGAGTGCACAGTGTGAGTCCGAGCACTGCAGCTCCTACCGTGGCGCGCAAGACATTGGGAGTAAGTAGGAAGTCGATATGCTCATTGACGGGAGACATGGTGTTTTGCTAGGGTATGCTTGCCATCCCATCCGTACACCACGGCGGCCGATTCTGGCAGCTATGTTCGTATTGCTGCGAGCATGGAAAGTTGATATGTGGCAGATTGGTCCGAGACGCACGACTTGGACGGGGGACACGGATGGTTAGAACGTGCAAAGTGGCCAGAGCACACTGTCCCGCCGTCTAGCACAGAGAAATTCCGTCTCGAGCCTCACGCCCCCGGCCCGAGCTTCACGTTCCCACTCCAGCGCTCGCCCGACCTGGACTTCTGGCCACTCCGCCACCTCGAGCCATTGACCGTTGCAGACCGAGGCATGCAACGTCCAACATGGCCGCCTCACTCCGAACCTCGAATCTAGTGGCCCGGGGCCCTGCGAACCCGCTCCTCCTCGCCCGCCAGACGCCCCGACAGCTCCGTGCCTCGCAGCTCTCCGCGAGCGGCAGGCGCCATGCCTCCACGGCCGCCGAGTCGCAGCCCGTCTCCCGGCTGAAGACGATCCTGTTCGCCACCTCGCTGACCGCCGGCGGCTACCTGGTCTACCTCTACGGCACCGACACGCGGGCGTCGCTGCACCGCTGGCTGGTCCCGCCCATGCTGCGCTTCCTGTACCCGGACGCCGAGGAGGCCCACAACGCCGCCGTCTCGTCCATGAAGACGCTGTACTCGCTCAACCTACACCCGCGCGAGCGCGGATCCAAATCCCGCGTGCTGGACCCCGAGCTCGCCCTCTCCGTCTTCGGCCACCCGCTGGCCAATCCCGTCGGTATCTCGGCCGGGCTCGACAAGCACGCCGAGATCCCTGACGCTCTTTTCGCCCTCGGTGCCTCTGTCGTCGAGGTCGGCGGCTGCACGCCCCTAGGCCAGCCCGGAAACCCTCAGCCGCGCATGTTCCGCATACCCGGACTGGAGGGTCTCATCAACCGCTACGGACTCAACTCCCGTGGTGCGGACCATATGGCTTTGACGCTGCGGAACCGCGTGCGCACGTATGCCAAGTCTGTTGGGCTCACCGAGGACCAGGTTTTGAACGGCGAGGGTGGTGTACCCCCCGGCAGTCTGTACGACGGCAAGCTGCTCGCGGTCCAGATCGCCAAGAACAAGGACACGCCTGAGGGCGATGTCGGCGCCGTTGCGGCCGACTACACATACTGCGTGAGCCGCCTGGCGCCCTACGCCGACATTCTGGTGGTCAACGTATCGAGCCCTAACACGCCGGGTCTGCGGGATCTGCAGGCCGTCGAGCCGCTAACGCGGATCCTGAGCGCCGTGGTGGACGAGGCCCGGCGGACAAGCAGGAAGACAGCGCCGAAGGTCATGGTCAAGGTCTCGCCGGACGAGGACACGGAGGCCCAGATGGACGGCATCGTGCAGGCCGTCTGGCAGAGCGGCGTCGACGGCGTCATTGTCGGAAACACCACCAAGCGCCGTGCTGGCGTCGTACCGCCCGGCATTGTCATCACGCCGCAGGAGGCAACGACCATGGCGGAGACTGGTGGGTACTCGGGACCGATGATGTTCGAGCGCACGCTGGATCTCGTGGGTCGGTACCGCAAGATGCTGGACGCCCGGAGTTATGAGCCAAGACAGTCGACGGAAAGCACAAAGGCACCCGTCAAGGACGAGGCCGTCAGCTCCAGCCTGGCTGGAATCGAGGGCACGGCAACGGGAATGATCGAGGATGACGGTGTGGTGCCTCCAGAGCCGTCGGCGCCTGCAGCCGCGGCCAGCCACGAGCAGAAGGTCATCTTTGCGACAGGCGGCATCACGAACGGCCAACAAGCACTACAAATCCTGAACGCCGGCGCCAGCGTGGCCATGGTGTACACGGGGCTGGTATACGGCGGCGCGGGAACAGTCACCCGGATCAAGGGCGAGATCAAAGAGAGCATGAAGGCACCACGGTAAACTAGTGCGGGCATTGGCGGTTGAGGACGAAAACGACGCGAAGCAGAAAAAGAGATGGGCGTGTAGAAGTGTACAGTACGATATCATTCACCTTTTTCCCTTCCTTCTGTATGTATGGCTTCACGCAGGCAGACCAGCACGATAGAAAGCAGGCGGGGAAAATGTGTAATAGCCCAGGCATGGCCCGGATGACATAGACAAGCACGCCGGGTTTGCCTTGATTACTAGGATAGAGAAAAATGAAAACAAGAATTCAGAAGTTCCTGGCACTGTTGTAGTGCGTGACTGTTAGATCCATTCCAGCTTACAGTTTACTTCTCCACATCGATGCGCAATTTACTTAGGAAAGGAGACTGCCCTCCCAGTTGAGGATCCCTGAGCATACGATACTCAGGGCAGTCGATAGTACCAATGAGTGAGACGGATATCAATATACCAGGTGATTGTTGACTGGTACCACACGGGTCTAATTTAGGCCGGCATGTCTCTGGACTGTTACATATATGTGGACTTGTTGAAACGCACGTCGAAAGATATTGCTTTGGGCCAGACGACTATTCCAGCTGGCACATCTGCAGGCAGAGAGGATGAGTATCCGATTCAGTCATCACTGGTACGGCAGAACACGATGTCTCAGAAGGTCGCAAAAGTCTATTGTGTCATTTTGTACAGGAGTCGCCTCGCCATGCGTTGTCATGCTCGCGATGCAGGTGTTGCCCTCGTCTCGGGTTTGGGTCTATGCCAACCGCGCAGACCCTTTGCTGCTTGCTGCTGCCACGTTTCCCCAACACGTCAACTTCCGCCCGAAACCGCCAACTCAGGTGCCGTTCCGTGATGATGCGATTAGAAGGGGTTGTCGGAGGCGGGGACGTCCTTGATGAAGTAGTTGCGGAGGCCGGGGACCTTCATCAGGATGTCCTGCTGGACACGGGGGATGCCCGAGGCGTAGAAGATGACGGCGAACAGGGCGACACCGCCAAAGGCACCGGCCTTGAAGCCACTGCAAGGATATATGCGGTTAGTATGGCCAAACAGACTAACGTGTACCGTATGATGGAGTTTGCAAGCTCAGGGGCCAACGCATCCCGTTCGCTTCTGTTGCATGCCCGGGTCACAGGGACTCCGTCGGATCTGTGGTCACACAAGTGGCCTCCACCGTCTGGGTGATGTGTAACCGGGGAAGGGGAAAGGGAGTTCCTTACAGGCCAGTCAATTGCTTAGGGGTCCATCCAGCAACATTAGGCTGGTAGTGGTACCTGTCGAAACCCAGTCAGTCAATCGGCCGATGAACGCAGTCCTTGTCGTATATAGTATTGAGAACCGCGGTGCGGCGCATCCTCTTCTCCCTCCCACTGCCACGCATGCCGAGTTTTGCACCTCGTCAGAGTCCCTCTCTTTCCAGCAATTCCCATCCCCCATTTCCAGCACCCTCGCGCCACGGCGGGCGGGCTCGACACGACGGCGGACATGCCGGAAGACCATCTCGGACAGGCGTTTCTGTACTCACTTCGGGCCGTATGGGCTCTTGTATGCAGGGTAAACGGGACCGGGGGCCTGCAGGACGAGTCAGAAGCGAGCGAGGAGCTGGACGGGGACGAGGAGGGCTGGGTGGTGGTGGACGCGGAGGCGGGGCGCAAGGGCGGGCAGGGGGACTTTGAGCTGGAGGCGTGACTTACGCTCTTGGCCATCTTGTCTACACGGATGCAGGAACGAGGGTGAGTGTTCAATGGGTGTCTGTCGTGGTTGGACGGGGTTCGATCAAGAACGCTGATGGAGCTAGCCGCAGGTGTCGGCGAAGTTGTTGCGCGACATTCTTTGACCCGGAAGAAGCCGGCCGCACCGCCACAGATGCCGCGACAGTTCGAGACTGTTTTCTCAGACGAATTACACGGCACTCCATTGGACGCCACATGTCCCCTTCCGCGCACCGCCTCACCCTCCCACAAAGACACCCAAGCAACCAAAGACGCCGAGCTGCACAAGAGCGAAGACAGACGCACATCACACGTTGGGGCTGAGCTGTGAGCCAGTTACATGCGAGCCAGTTGCATGCCTTGCTGAAGTTTAACCAACTGCCAGACCCTTGTCCTCACAGCTCCGGTCCCATTTATTATTTCTCCAGAAGAAGGCGGCCGGCTCTCTCACATGTTCACATAAGCTCAACCTCGACGCGCCCTCCTTGTCTCTGTCCCTACTACATGTTGGGGCGCCAGACGCAGCAGCGATGGACAAGCAGATCTCGGTGCGCTTCGAGCGCGTCGAGAAGGCCCTCACCACCCTCATCGACTCCATCTCCAAGTACAATCCCTCCACCAACCAGGGCACCGAGCTGGTGACGGCCGACGCCGAGCTCTCCAAGGGCCTCGAGGAGCTCCAGATCCACCAGCAGAACTACGCCCGTATACAACACCTACACAGCATCACCAACACTCTCGACAAGCAGATCAAGGACACCCTTACCCAATTGGCCCAGGCCCGCAAGGAGCTCGTCAACACCCCGGCCACCACCTTCCCCAGTGGTCCCAACTACCCCATCAAGTACGACGAGCTGCTCGACTTCGCCCGTCGCATCTCCAAGACCACCCTGCCGCACCAGTCCATCATCGCAGCCGCGACTGCTGCCCAGCCTGCCGTGTCCGAGTCCGTGGTCAAGCCGGACAGTGGAACCAACACCGCAGCCACCACCCCGGGCGGCACCCCGAATGGCGCGTCCACGCCCGCCCAGCAAGTCGTCGGCACCACGCCTGGAGGCGCCACGCCCGCACAGAACGGAGAGCCTCCCCTGGCCAGCCAGCAGACGAACACGAGCCTGCCCGAGAATATCACTGCGCACATCAACCCTCTCGAGCGCGCCGACTTCATTCCATGGCCCACCGAGGACCTAGTGCGCCAGGGCGCACTCGCCAACATCGCCTACCTGATCGAGAAGGGTATCAACCCAGAGGGCTACGACCCCGCCGCCGAGGAGGAGCGGAAGAAGCGGGAGGAGGAGGCAGCAAAGCAGGAGGAAGAGCGCAAGCGTCTCGAGAGGGACGAGAAGGAGCGCCGCTATAGGGAGCAGCGCGAAAAGGAGCGCATCCAGCGCGAGAAGGAGATCGAGGAGAGCTACCGACGGGCAAGCGTCACCCAAGGCCCCGGCGCCGGGCCTTCTGCCTCATCGCCCACGGGGCCGCCCGAGAAGAAGCAATTTCAGTTCATGGGCGGCGACGACGACGACGATAGCGACTAGAGCTCGCAGCCTGCTTTCCGGTATGGCCTGCGGCCGAAACCCCACCGACTAAAGCGATGATGGAAGGCTGCTCGAGCTTTATAACTCTCTACAGGAAACCCAGAGATGGCTTCAGCAGAATGCTTTGCGATTTGCGTTTTCACAGACAGGTCTTGATACCCCGTCCTTATACAGCAAGGCGTTAGGATAATTCGAATTTTTCCAAGTAACTCAGTAGGCTTTATGATCCCAACCACAGTGATTGACGGATATCAGCTTGTTATCGGCTTGTGAGTTTCCGTATAGTGCACTCAAGGTCAGGCAACCTTTGATGACAAGTGAGTCAACCATGACTGGCCCAGGTGGCCAAGTTCAAGGACGAGTGCCTGCCCCTGCTCAGCGCCGCACGTGGCTTCGTGACGAGCAATAGCATGATCATCCCGGGAGGACATGTTTCTTGGCCAGCAAATTTGCGAGTTTCCAAGGGCAGCTTGGCGCTGGGTTGTGCATCATTTCTACATTATCTAAGTGTATTATCTATGTGTACATCACAAGATATCGTTGGGTCTAGATGATCATTCAGATTTCGATATCGCAGGATCCAGCTTCGTCAGATGTTCGCTCTTGGGTTATTCGTCATTCCATCTGGGCCGCGGCAAGTCAAAAGTCGATGATATACGTCCATACGCCATGCCGCCCAGCTGCGCAATGGGCCGTAGCTTGTTGAGATCAATATGGCTGACATCGGCATTCGTCGCATCCTCGCGGACCCAGAACCGCGTCGCCTTGATGAGCACCAAGGACGCGACACTCATCCCGTCTCGGGCATGGTCGTTGAACTCCTTGATGTCGACGGCCTTGCCCTCGACGGAGAATACGGACTCGCGCACCCGCGACGGCCTCACCGTAGAGGTCGGCGCCTCGTGCAGCCCCGCGATTTCCCACTCCGAAACCCCATACGGAGCGTCCATGGAGGTCGCATTGACCGCCTCGATCATGTTCTCGGACACGGTATTGATCACGCACTCGCCCGTCTCGGCGAGGTTGCGGTACGTGTCCTTGACGCGGCCCGGCCGCGCCGAGAACCCCACGACGAACATGGGCGGGTCGTGGTCGATGACCTGGAAGTAGCTGAACGGCGCCAGGTTCTTGCTCTGCCCGTCCGCCGACACCGTGCTGAGGAACCCTACCGGCCGGGGCGCGATCCCCGACACCAGCAGCCGATAGTTGCTGACCATCGGCCGATCGGCGGCGTACGGGTCGATCTCCCGGTGCGCGGCGTCTCTGGCCGTCGCATCCTGGCTTACGCCGGAGCCGTATTCCCAGTTCGGGTTCGGCGACTTGGTCACGGGAATAGGGCCATTGCTGTAGTCAAAATCCGGCCGCTGTGCCTCGGTCTCCTTGAAATTGGCGACCCTGTCTATGATCTTGTACTTTGCATCTGCAGAAGGCTTGGTGCCAGCGGCGGCCGCGGAGCTTGACTTTTGGTGTGCTGTGTTGTGTACTCTGCAGGAATTAGAGTTTCTTGTCCCTGCAATGGAGGCAGGCCGGAAGCATCTGAGAGCATCGTTTAGTCATATGAGCCATGTGTGGTAGAGTGGTCTTACCTTGTTCGCAAGGGCCGACCAAGATGTCTTGCACCACTTATCATCGTCTATGTCCCAGCTGTAAATACTGTCAACTATAGGACAGCTTTGTAGATGCCGACGAATACATGCATGCACATTGCACACAATATTTGACATTACACCCGGAACGGCCACCCGAGCCCTCTTGCCCCTTTTGAATGTGGATCCACTTTTCACTTCGGGCGACCAAGCCGAGATATAGCGTCGATCTAAGGCCACTATAGCCGCGACTTTCCGACCTTCGGGTTGTTTGGCAGCAGCCAGATGAGTGTTGTGCACTTCTCGTATCAATAAGCAGACTGCTCTATCCCATACGTTCTGTTCCGTTTCCAAAGCACGAATTTGTCAGTACCAAGTGAGCTAACATTGTCAAATTCAGCACCAACTCATACGGCCCTGTCTTCACGTAACCTAGGATCTTGTGATCCATTCCTGCGGAACTGTGTTCTCCATCTCTCCTTAGGTAGATAAGGACCAATCCTACGTTCTTTCTCCCCCACTATTCTCTTCCACTTCTTGCGCCGGTCCTTTGGCTTGGGTGAGAGTGTCGCCAGAACGGGATTCAGATTGGGAAAGTCTCCGTAGGATGCCATAATCTTCTTGTTCTTGTTCGCGATGAAATCAATCTCCTTCCCGTCAGCCTCGCCCAGGTAGAGATTCTCATAGCCCCAGTCCTCCGTCAAGTCCATGCCATCGACCAGATGGCACAGCTCAGGCCAGCTTTGGTTCCTCACTAGACTTTGTGCGAAATACTCCAGCTTGGGATAGGGTATATGATTCCGGCTACGCTCCATCATGGTCTCATCGAAATCTTCGGTGAAGTGTTCAGACGCTGGCATGATATAGAAAGCCATGTCGATGCCCTTGGGTTTGAGTCGCGGGTACGTGTGCAGCAGCGACCTCAGTTGTGGTAAGATCTTGTCGGCAGGCTCGTATTCATCGTGAAGACGTGCAAAGACAGCAATAGCTTCTGAGAACTTGTCCGTTGGCACGCATATATGCCAGTCCTTTTCCATTATTAGATGTACTGATTAGCAATGGGAGAGAGGTATAGGGAACTTACAGCAAAGGGGCGGGGCACTCCATAGTAAACCAATGCCTTGCCACCCATTACACAGCATATGATTCCGGCTTCGTCTAATATGTTGATGACTCGACGTATCTCGTCAATGCCTCGGCCATCATGGCTTGCAGGTTGGTTTGTGGTGCTTGTGGAACCCGTCATTGGCTGTCACTGAAAATTTCGCGAGATATCAAAGAAGAACTAGGATGCTTGCGTGATGTTGAACTACTGGTATTGCCATGGCAGATAAACAATGCGCAAGTAACGCGGCACAGCACGGCGGCTGTGTAACAGGAGCGCTGATTGATTGCCCAATCCGTGGCTTGAGAGCCAGGCAAGATCGCTTGACGTCACTCCGAGTGTGGGACCCACACTGGCCGTTCTATAAATAAAGTAGTATGTGTATCTCATCTCTCATTATCAGTACATGATTGGCAAGTAGTTATACACAGGGCAATGATTTTCCGGGCATTATAATTAAGAAAAACCAGACTCTTATTTTCACATCTATATAGCCTGTTCAATCAAGACGAAAATGCTCAATAATGCAACATGCTAGCTACAATCGCGCTAAACGATAAACAGCCTTGCCTCCTACGTGACTGACGCGACAGCTTGCGTTAGGATCATAATGGACGGAATGTGTGTACAGTAAACTTCACCCTTTTTCTAGATTGGTGTTCGTTTGAAGTCCAAAAAGCATGTTCTGATGCACAGGAGCTGCCAAGCTGATAGGATGCCCTTCGCATGGATGAATAGCGGAAGGAATAGGCCCTGCGCCGCTCTATGCAGGGAATCCTACTGGTTAAGCACTGATTCTACGCAAGCCAAGACTTATTGTGGGACAGATTTGACCACTAACAGTTGCATCAAGCATACTCCAACGCCCATCAATTCCTCCAGGTGATTTGATTGCCACTTCAATTTATAGGATGACTGAGAGTTGCTATCGAGGCCTTAAGCAGATCCAGTCACCACCTGTCGGTAGCCAAGGCAAATATCCCTCCCGACTCGTTATTTATAGCGCCGGAGGGATGCCAACATGACCTCACATGTGTGGCTTAGTAGAGAAGATATAGCACATTCGTATTAGACACAACTGTCTTGGTGAACAAATCGACAGCGTCAATTTTGGTATAGCGTCTTGGGATATAAATGAATGGATATTCCCCGTCTTTGGCGTTAAATCAAACACTATCAGAATCAAAACATTCCATATAGAATTATACATCACAAGAAACCAGAATTCCCCGTTGCCCATCTCCAATATGAGATTGGTGCCCATTGTTGTCCTCGCCAGCCTTGTGCAGGCCGTCTTTTGTGCTGTAGCACCTTCTACAGACGAAAGGCGAGCAGTCACATTCGGTAACCATCACGAACCTTTGAAGCTCGTAAGTTTTAGCCCGCATTGCGTTTTATTGACTGGGTACTCATCTCCGTGCCCTTAAGACAAGGGATACCCTCAGCCGCAGGGGAAAGGAATACAGCATTACTGAGTTGGATGACTTGGAAGAGGAAGCAGAGAGTGCCAATAAAGACAGTATTTACAAGGCTATCGACCACCTCACCAAGCTGTTCAAGGACAAAAGCATTGACTATGGCCTTATGGGAGGTGTTGCAATGCAATTATTTGGACTTGAATCTCGTGATACCCACGACGCTGACCTAGCAGTGAGCGTCAATTCCGGAGACCTGCTCAAAGCCATCCAGGATGATCCGAAGTAAGTTGCAATACTGTTCATAATCGGTAGTTATGGCGTCGTGCTAATTCTTGTTCAGTATTCAACGTCCCGGCAGATTGATGGCTGCTTCTGGCACTGCTCGTATTTTTGTTAAGATTGGCAATCAGCAAGTTGCCATGGACGTTTTCGTGAAAGGTAAGCTGTTGAAGCGAACCATATTACTCCCTTAAAGCGCTATTCTAACTCTCTCTTCTTTTCTTTCTTTCTCAGGGGCCGACCAAACCCCGAGCTTGGACACTCAAACTATCAAGAATTACAAGGTCATCAAGCCTGGTGAAATCGCAAAATCCAAGTTCAAGAGACTTGAAGACAAGGATTCCGATGATATCTTATGGCTCATCCAGAATAAGAAAGACGACATCAAGAAAATTGCCGACAAGGTCAAGAAAGACGATAGAGTCAAGTTTGCTGAAGATTTCAAAGACAAGGACGATGTTTTCAAAGTCATCCTTGACGTGCTGGATCTTGACGAGGACGACGTTGATGATTAATCTATGGCGCCGGAGCCAAGGCATACTCAGATCTTGAAGACTAGGAGATGTAAAAACTGCCTATATATGACTTGAAATAGAGCGAATTACATTGCTATTGGATTAAGGAACTCGAGCTATTTATCTGAGAACTTGAAAGGAATGTTTGATGTCTGAAGTAAGGAGGGAGGTCTATTCACATGTCATCCAAGCGGTGCAGACAACCGCTGGCTTTCGGCCCAGGTCTAATTGCTCTTGGTGCATGCCATGTGCTCCCATAGGAAGCCCGGCAGCCAACAGCTGACTGAAACCGAGTTGAGGAATCGTCTATATAAATGATGCCCAAAATGGGTTGTCATGGCTGCCGAGCTTCGCTGCCAACACCCAAGAGTCCTGCTGGGCGGCTGTTATTTTGTCAACTAGGAGACTGGCTACCTCAGTAACACGGAACTTCCCCATATCTCCGTGGGTGCCACGTTGCCAGGATTACATTCTTAAAGCGAAGGATGGAGTTGTCAACAAGAAGATAATATTGTTCGTACTATTTTCTCTCTTTGATTCATTGGGCGCGCCGCACCAGGCCCCATGTTGCCTAAAGTAAACATTTTATTCTGCCTTATGTCATGTTGATGGCCTGACAACATTCTCCACACCGCGCAAGGGTCATAAATCCGGTTTTCGTTGGATTAGTTGGCCCGAGAAAGTTCTGCACAGCTACCCTTTCAGTAGCAACCAGCTCGTGCTCTTGTAGGACCTACATTGCTTGTTTCTCTTACTGCTGATGCATTGCAGGTACTCCATTCTCACCGCAAATATAAGCAAATGTTGATCAACGTTAATACTCCCCATACAACGACAAACCATCGCAAGAAGGAACTTTAGCAGTAAGATGAGCGTGATTTACTTAATGCTAGGCAGATTCGCCCGGAAGTCACCCAAAATTTAGACCTCGGTTGCCCCTACGCCTTTCTAACGTAACCGGGCTCTACTAGTTCAATTTAAGTCAAGTACGGAGGCTGAGTGAAAGTGGGTGAGGTGTTAACGCCCTATCAGGTGCCAGTCTTGAAGCCTATCGCGATACCATGCGGACTCGAAGATAGATTCCAAGCTCTAGGACTTCACAGTGACAGCCGCCGGCGCAACTCGTGGCGTAATGCCTGAGCCATGTGCTTAGTACGCAATACGGCCCCTCGATTTTCTATGGCACGGCGGTACAGAAACCCCATGCATTCGCCTACCGTACCCCATGCCATACACTTATACACCCTCGGTGCTGCTGCTTTCGCGGAGGGTGAGTTGCTCGCACTATCTTCATGTGCCTGTATGAGCTCAAAACTCAGCTCATCGGCCATTCCGACAAGCTGGCCGCAATCAAGTGCCACTGTTGGCAGCCCAGCCATCACTCTTTCTCGCTGGATTGAAAGTGCTTTGTTGGCACTGGGAGCGTTGTGCGTGGCGAGGAACAAGGCAGCATCTGGAAACCGCTCAAGATCCGAACCTTCCGGTACTTTACGCGATAGAATTGTGTCCACGCATAAATCGTAGGATGTGTCCGTCTGTTCCTTTTTATCGTGGATGAGCGATCGTATCTCGTGTTCGATATAAGCGCCTCGCACCAGTTTGATTCCTAGGCCCCATCCCTCATTCCCAGCCAAGGCAATGTGCTCATCTAGGTTGGTCTTCGCCCCTTTCAAGTATGCTTGTATGGTGTTATATATGAAAATCTTTCCGTTACGGTTGTATTTCCGCATCAGCTGGGTAGTCCACCTGTCAATCCCCGGCTGGAGAACTTGTTGCTCGGCATCCATCCATAGTCGCGATCCTTGCGCTTCAACGGCTTCACATATTTCATCGAGCGCTTGGCCTACCGCAGGAGGGATATCCCGGCGTTCCGCGATTGCATCGACAGCAATGGGGCCGGCCCCAGTGAGTCTAATGCGATACTGATTAATATGCCTGCTCGTTTCTCCCCTGAGTGATAGCCGGTTGACCTACTTTATAGCGAGGAAGTCGCTCGGTCCAATCATCTTTAAACTTTCAAGATTTGATGTTTTCCATTCTTCGATCATTTGATAGCAATTGGCGCCATACTTCGTGTTGCTGGACAGCATTTCCTCTCCCGAAGGGTCTTTAAGTACGATCTCTTTCGCATGGCCGATGATGACACCATGGAATCCGACGTTCTTCAGCTTACTGGCTGACCGCGAAACCTCTGCTCTCGTTTCACCGGAGCAAAAATGCTCATAAATAGTGTACCTCAACAACCAACTCAATATCGGATTTCGATCCGGACTCAGAAAAGGGGATTTTGAAGTCGTGATCAACTTCAACAAAGACAATGACGGACGTAACAAAATGGGGGTAGACATAACTGATGTCAAAATGTACGACCGCAATAAGCTGGGAAATGACATCCTTGCCATGGGATGTTTCACCTCAGGGAATCCATTCGGTGACACTGAAGTTGCAGAAGCCTGCGAACTGGCGCATCGCATTTGTTGGACGAAGACAGAGCGGCCTTTCGTATACCGTGATATGGAACACGCCATGATTGAAGGAGTCATCACCGTAATCTATTTTGATTGTTGGGTAAGGGGTTGATATCGCAAGGTGCAGCAGGCTATGAGAAGAACAGAGACATAATCCAAGATGCAACGTGATACAGCTGTACTCTGTGGCTATCCACGGGTCGCCGGCTTATTCAACCGACTGTGAGCAAGTCAGCTGTCCCTATCAGCGGTCATGAGGGGTTCCTCCAAGGCCGACTGCGGCTGTTTGTCCAATGTCTGGAATACGGTGGCCAATGAGCATATTGGCGGGGTCATACAGGAGATAAGAGATGTGTAGTTGGAATCTGGGGCGAGGACCACTTCGCAACAGCTACATGGGGCCCATTGGTGGGAGGCAGTATGCATGTGGGACCGACAGGTGGTGCCGCTAGTGATCAAATGCGTCAGTGTCGGAGAGGGCCTCCGGTGTATACCGTCAATCGGTTTAGAATCCGAGTATACGTGCGCGACTGCAGATCGTGCGAAGCGAGAGCAAGGCAGCTCAAAATCCACGAATGTATGCATACAGTGAGCACGATTTGAGTGTTCAGATATTGGGATTTGACACTGGGAGGCGTTTGCACAAGGACTGTAGGTGTTCCTGTAGGTCACCATCTTCTAGGTGCCAGCGAGCCTCCGCGTCTGACTTCTGTGAGTAGTTGGCAGTCGAGTGAGCTCTGCATTTCTCATTCGTGGTTGGGCTGTCTTGATAGACACTGGAAAATGGGTCCAATGCATAACCCGGAAGTAAGATAAGGGCTGCGCGGAAGATAGGCTAGTTGCGGCAAATTCTCCACTATATAGCATGACTCGCCGTGCTGTAAATATCGGATGCCAGCCCCGACTCCGAGACACTAGGTGATTGCTTACACCGGCAGTAAATCCATGACGTTCAGAACTAGCTATCCCCAATGGGCACGCAGGAATATGGTGGCGTCTCTAAGAAGTGCACAAAAGCGTCAGTATACCTTCATTCGTTGGGAAACCCCGTGATGAGCAACGGCTAACATGGCCGTAGCTGCAACCGATGCCGGTTGATGAAGGTGAGATGCTCTGGATCTCAACCTTGTGTCAGATGCACGCGGAGGAACGAGCATTGTATCTTTGCGATTGAAGAGAAACGTATTTCCGTTTCGGAAAGGTAAAATTGGAACGCGTGAACAGAGGTTTGACCAAGTCATATCACTTACGCGTGTCAGCTACCTCCGAGAATTGGAGCGCAGAAGTCAAACCTTTGCCAACAGTGGTTTGACCCCCAATTCCGAGCAACCTCAGGTGGGATCTGGGAGCTATGGCGATGTTGATGGTGCCGCGTCATTGTCTCGAGGTCCGAACCCTCCTTTAGCTCCTACTTCGCCGCTCACAAGCCCTGGTGCAGGGCACGAAGGTGTCGATGAGGAGCCTCCATATGGCGGTGGACAGACACCATCAGCATCCGGATCAGGGTTTCGACAGAACCCTTTGGTAGACTACGATCTCACTTTCGCTAAGGCTGCTGGAAAGTTCTGTGAGTCGACACGCGGGCTGTTTGGTATATATTTGTGGCTAATGGCTTGATACAAGGGTATATGGGACCCTCTTCATCATGGTCATTTTGTCGTCGAGTATTTGCCTTCATAGGCCAGAGAATACCCGAGGCAAACAGTCCTCCCGACCCTTGGAACTTCGATGGTGTTGTCTTTGCTATGCATTGGGTGCCACTTCCAAAGGATGAGTGCCCAGACGTTTCCAACTTGCCACCACTCGACTACGCACTATTCCTCTATAATATGGCAAAGTTCTACTTAGGTGGCCATCTCATGTTTCTTATCGATGAAGCGAGGTACTTGAAAAATCTCCGGGAGTTATACGAAAATCCAGTCGCTAAAGCAAGCACTTGTCGAAACTGGTATGCCCAGTACTTATTAATTCTTGCATTTGGTAAAGCGTTCGCAAGCACTAGTAGCTCACAACACGGCCCCGCCGGTCATCAATACGCATTGAGAGCCATGAGGTTACTTCCGAACATGTCTATCCCAAACTCTGATGCAATGCTCGGGGTCCCAGCACTTGCCCTGGCAGCAGTCTACTTGCAATCGGTTGACATGAGAGTCGCTGCGTACCAGCTTGTAAGTCTTTTGATGCCATCTTTCAGGCAGCACAGAAAGACTAACCCGCATTATTTTCCATAAGATTGGTCAAGCCCTCAGGATATGCATCATTGAAGGAGTACACCGTTACATGCCAGAAGACGAGGTGGGCAGTGAGCACTCACGACGCTCCAATACTATCTTCTGGGTGGTTTATATCCTGGATCGGGAATTTTCGGCCCTGCTCGGGGCACCAAGTTCAATCCGAGACGAGGACATAACAGCTAAGCCTATCAAGCAATGGGACAACTCTGTTGAGGCATTGAATATGGCTTTACACGTACGATTATCTAGACTCAGGACGGAAATCATGAACAGTGAGTGCCTCAATGTTTTCTTTCAGGCTGAGCCAAACGGACAACTGACCCTGATTATGCAGCTGTCTATGGTGTTGGGCAATCGCGTGAAGGTTCACTCATTACTAATACACAGTCGGTACTTCGCAGTCTGGCAAAGATACTGGAAGATATGAACGGACTGCTTGATGGCCATTCCCAAACCTCGGTGAACAAGGCTTCAAGGGCGGCTCTTCGACTCATTCTTGGTCATCACCACGTAAGTTGCTCTAGAAAGAGACCATTTCAGCTTCTAGTAGGTTCTAATTCTTTATAGTGTGTCATACTCTCAACACGCCCACTAGTCATGTGTGCCCTGAATATTCAGCTCGATCGAAGGCAAAGGCGGGATTGCCATGATATCTCATTGTCGCCACCAGTAGCTTCACTTATACAAACGTGTGTCGATTCAGCCCAGGTTATCCTGCGAACATTACGGATATTAGGCGAAGAAGACCTTTTGGGTACGTCTATGAGTACTTCCTCTCACTGAATGATCCGGGAAAGCTGATCTTTTCCCAGAAGGGTTTCTCCCGTTCCAGATCGAAGACGCCTTCTCGTCAGCGTTCATACTCCATCTGATCCACTTCATCATGCCATCACTGCTTCCCGAGTCCGATAACTACTGGCGCTCAGATGCTCGTTATACGTTCGAGAAAATGGTATCCAAAGGAAGTGTGGTGGCCCCTATGCGGTTACAGGAGCTTGAACAACTGGAGCGAACGCTGTCTTCTTTGCCGGTGCAAAATACTCCACCCCTGGGTGCTCTCGACGCTGATGTGAGAGTTGACGCACCCGATTACAGCGATGCCGCTATGCATGAAGGCTCTGTCGATGATGCTGCGGGATGGGACTTCTTCGTAAGTGACTGCCTGGGAGGTTTGTCGTCCCGCGATATGAGAGACCTAGCCGACCAATTAGATATGGATCGTGTGGATTCCGTCCAATAAAAGCCCTGTCGATTTTGTATCTTCGGTGTTCTCCGCTATGTTTTGTTTCATCCTGAGTTTAGGTAGTGGAGTAATAGGCTATACATTCTACGTGTTTGAACGATAATCTCTCGGTCGCGGCCTTTGCAAGACTGGGTGTGGGCTTGCCAAGCGTGTAGTAAGCGAATAGGAAGGGTTTATAGCAAATCTCGCGCCCACTTACCTCTCATGGCTATAGCGCAACGTACGAGGATAAACAACTTGAAGGGATCTGTGGATATTTTCAAACGAGGATCCGATGTGCGTAGTGGCTAAACGTATATATTGCGCTTGATTTCTACTATTTCTACCCTTCTCTATACCTAACTTCAAACCTAGGACCCAATGCCCAACTTAGCACCGGCCGTACCTTGAACCATTTCGTCTCCGAGAATTCGTGTATAAACAGAATTATATGGACGATGAACAGTGCAGAGATAAGTTACAAGTTGCCCCAGGGGTAGTGGCCAGCAGGGGGATAGTTAGGGCAATATGCGATCTTAATTTTGCCAGACTGAACATCAGGGCAAGAGTCGGGGAAGTTTCCGCTGGTGTTATAGCATGTCTTCATGCAGATGTCGAAACCGACCTCGGGCTTGGACGTCTTGTCGTCAATTTTAACCATAGAAGGCGCAACTACTGTGAAGTCGGACCAATCGGTCCCTAAGGTACAGTCTGATCGGCCGTATTGCTGGGTTCGCACCTTTCCTGTGGTCTTCACGAGTCTGGGGTGGGCTGCGGCTCTGTATGGCAGTTAGTGGTTTCACTCCTTGTGCTGAAGAATGTGGGGGCAGCACTTACGAGCATGTAATGCCGCCAGTGGGGCATATCTGCGTGGTGCCGATCGCTGTTTCATCGGAGGTGCTCCATCTGTTGTTCAAAATTAGGGAATGTGTCCTTGAGCTGCCTGGCATGATCTACTCACCCGTAGCTGAAACCAGCATCGAAGCCAGCGGAAGCGATCTTCCCAAGGTCGAGCCCTCCGGTGAAAGAGCCGGAGACGGACTTCTCTACAGTCACCGTGTGACTGTACCCATTGACAATTTCGCAGTTGTTTTGATCGCCTGAAGTGCACTCGATGGCATTTGCAAGCACCCAATCTCCATAATAGGGTGCGCTGACGACAACATCTTTGTACTCTTGCCTGCTCGGGCAGGGAACCCACTTGTCTCTCGTGTTAAGTTCGATGTGCGGTGCGGCCAACCCAGCACCAGCGAGGAGAGAGACAAGAGTAACAGTGACGAAAGACCGAGACATCGTGTTGCTCCTGGGTTTGGATAAAGATATTCAACCTTTCTGAGTCGTTAAAGATTGTACGGGAATCACAGAAAAGTGGAGTTTGCCAAGGTGTGCTTGATGATGATGCTGTGCTTGATGGAGATGATGTTCGAATGTGCGTTTGGAAAAGGGGAATCCCATTGATTATTTATAATTTCTACGCTTTCTACTTTATATACTTAGAAACGTTGTTGTATACAACTTCAATCTCCTCCTACTGCTCCGCCACTGTAACATACCTATCAAAGGAGGTATAGCTTGGCTAGAACCAAACCTTAATTTGTGGCGGTTCTAAATTAGAACTGCGTCTTTCGTGTAAGCCCATCCGCCAAGCAAACCGTGTCAAAAGCACCCAAACTGGTTCACACTACTACTAGAAGTGAGGCAGGGGACAGGGCTAGATTAGCTCAGCCGTTGTCAAGCTACTCGGTGTGAATGTACTCCGATGCGCTGTTGGTGGAACGTTAGGGTATTCAATTGACGAAACGTCTCATCAGCACGATGTTTACGGAGTACCTCCTCAAATATATCTTTACTGTTTTAGTGACATGATACAGTCACGCGACTGGTAGAGCGTTCCACAACTTCACCATGACATGAGGCATGTCGGCTTGAGTGATCAATGTTTTGCTCAATAAATGCCCTACGCGGTGACGGTTGTGGCGCGTCGAGAATGCCCATACCACTAATACCCCGATTTGGATGCATATGTAGTTGATGGGCCGGTCAAAATTCGCCGCGCTTATGGTGAAACAGGTTTTCTGACATGCAACAGGATTTTCCCGGGATCTAGTTCGTAACATGACTTGAGTTATTGGCTGCCGTTGATGCGCAAGTCCTTACCGTGAAAAAATTCCTTTGCCAAGACCGTTTGCTCCCTCATAAGATATGGACTCCACTTCCATTTTTGCTCTGATTTTGGGAAGGGAGCTAGCTCCATCATGGATAATCAGGAATTTACTGGTGAGACTTTCTATTTGAGGCCTTCTGCATTCGCTCAACCAGCTAATGCAGGTCTCGTGTATGATATACTAACAATGGGCTGCCATGTGATAATAGGAATAAGCTCAGAACTGGCGAAGTATCAACACGTTCGCCACTACCCCGCAGAAAAGGGCCTTATTAAGTAGCCAGGAGCCTCTGCGAGCTCGCAGAGGCCCCTCGACAGGGCTTGAGTTGTATTGTAATCCTTAATAGAAGTTCTCACCTCTTTCACTCTGAGACCAATCCCTCACATGGGCCTTCAGCGAGCACAAAGGATACCATTTGCAGAGAAGTAGGGCTAGGTAGCTAGTTCTCATGATCGGGCGTAAATAGAATCAATCCATGCCTTTCGCGTCAATGTGGCCAAGGGTTCTGGTTCTGCAATACTGGAGGGCATTGGTTTGCTGCGACATCGTCGATCCTGCAAGCATGCCAGGCAAACGAGCTGGCTGTAACCACAAGCGCATCTCTCGGCAACGGCTCCGAACAATCACGTGATTTACTGAAAACGGTAACACTTGTGAAGACCTGGCGTTCATTCCCTGACATGAATAGACCTGTCCAACATCAAGTACAGAACAAGCACCCAGCCGCTCAATGACCACACAGCAGACCGCAGACGTCTATCATGTAGCGGATATGGGCTTGGTTAGAAATCTCGAACCCCTTGATATTGGCGATGTTAAGGGACACTGAGTTTTCTACAAGGTATGGTCGGCGGGTAGTGGGGAGTGAAAGAACTGACCTCCAAAATACCTTCCTGTAATATTACCAAGAAATCTGATGCATGAGAACATTTTGGTAGCAGAATCAAAAGGCGACGGGCTAGAGCTTTTGATAGTAATCTAGCAGGGTGTCATAGCCATGATAGTCGTTGACACATTAAAACGGTCAAATCGCTTTCCGCGTGCTGGCGGTTCTCTGAGAAACGTACGTGTCTAATCTTGCTCCGCATGGGCGGCTCTAAAGGTCTTGGGCCCAGCTCCTAACCAGTGAATTAGCTAAGGCCCTAGACGGGATTCACGCAGGCAAGTCAGTTATATCCAGCCTTGGTACCAATCAAAAAGTTGTCTTCTTCTAATTCGAAGTCTTCAGCTGTAGCGTTCTCTATTGTGAAATCGAAGCATTGGACTAGGGTAGCGACAAGCAAGTACATCTCAGCCCAGGCTAGACTGATTCGTGGCATCTTTTGTTAGCTTTGCAAGTGGTGCCCAAAGCAATAAAACGGATCAAAGTCAAACATAACTTACTGCATGCCAAGGCAATTCCTCGTTCCTCTTGAGAAGGGGGCCAAGTGTCTCTCGGCTGCAGCCCTGACCGCAGGGTCCATCCATCGGCCCGGATCGAAGCGCATGGGATCATGATATAAATTCCCGTCAGTGTAGATCAATAGCGTAGTCATTCCGATCGGCGTCCCTGCAGGAATGCGCCAATTGTTGTAAAAGAGTTCCCTATCCGTGATACGTGCCGACCGGGAACTGACTGCAGGACTTAAGCGCATGCCTTCCATCAAGACAGAGGTAAGATAAGGCAATTGTTCGAGAGTCCTCAGCTGCATCGGTTCCATAGTCCGACTCGCAGTTTCGATAATTTCTTCTCCAAGTTTTCGAATGATATCATGGTAAAAACGTGAAAGAAGGCCAAGCGCATGACACTGGCTGTAGTTTCAATTGCTGCCCCAATTACGATATTGACTTCATCAGAAAACACGATTGAAACTTTTCTCAGACGGGGGGAGATTAGAGTCATTGATCTTAAAAATCAGATTGCTCTTCACTTTAGCGTCACGCGAGGACGACTTTTCATCCGCCAAAGCATCGCGCGTGTCTTGTTCGTATTTCTGATTGGGTCAGTCAGTAAGATGACAAAAACAAATCAAAGGGCCGGACCGTTCTGCCGGCTTGTCAGGTTGTTAACGCTTACTTGGAGGCTGTGAAGGAATACTTTCGTATCTTTATTTCCAGCCTTCATCGCCCACTTGACTGGGATTGCACTCATCGCAGGACCAAACCATCGTAGATGCTTCGTTGTCCTCCAGAATGACTCACTACCTTGAGACGCGTTAGAAAAATCAATACCGAAGTCTTCCAAGTCGAGTTCTTTGTATGCCTTGTCAACAATGAATTCATTCGCCGTGTCTTGTACAAAGGCACTGGTGGCTGCGCCAAGATTGAAGCTAGTTCCCGCGAGCTTCGAGATACGCTGAGTTAGCTTTTCTACGTTGCGGTAAATTATTTCTTGCCGAGCAACAACATTTGGCTTGGAGAAAAAGGGGGCTATTGCGCGGCGACGCGCCTGGTGGGCATAATGGTCTGTAATGCATCCTCAATAGGTTTGAAGCCTAGCCGCTGAAAAGCGATGGCATTAATACCAGTACTGAAAAGTGTAGAGGTTTTGGCCCCGAATGCGTCGATTGACCAGGCGTATCTGTCCCAACGTCCATCCATTCGATACAGAGTTTGAAAAAAGTCTGCATCGCTGACATGCAGTTCATGCGGGCTAATGCGGATAACTGGGCCTATTCATGATCAAAACTCAGATACTAGTAGTTTTAAGGATGAGAGATTCGGTCGTGAGATAGACCTTGCCATAAAATTCATGCAACTCCTGGATCTTTCTGGTATATTTACTGCTTTGAATTACGTCGTAATAAGCCTCATACCAGCGTAAGATTGCTGCTAATCTAGGTCCTGGAAAATGCGCAAGAGGGTGAAGGATCAAGCGGTAAATCAGAAAACTTGTCAAATAGGCCGCAGCCGCTCAAAGAACGGAGTGCCATGTGAGCAGGCTGCTTTTGACATCCATATCGTCTTTTGTGTTGTGGGAATGAATCGCTTACACGGCGTGCGACATGATACCAATTCAATCAGAAGCGGAATTTAAGTCTGATGGAGGGAAAAAGGGGGCGAAGCAAGGGATGAATCCTGCTCTTATTTTGTCAGAGGGGTATCTCTATAGGTATAAGCGCATAATATGATCTGAATTCTCCGTAGCTGTTCATGATCCACCTTGTTGAATTGTAGCGATGCTGTGAGCGGAGACCGCCCAATGCACCGCAAGTTATGATATTACACAACACTAGTGCAAGAGATATCAATTGAGGTTAGCTAGCCGTAGTGAGTACCATCATGAATTCTGATTTTGCCAAGCCTTTTCAACGCCGTCTCTGACAGCGCTTACCCACATAGTCAAGCTATCCCACTCAGGCTGCATGTTGGAGAGGTGGAGGTTAGTATCATACTATTCATTTCAGTTGTTGTCTTTCTCTGGGGTTTGGACTTGTACAATACCTATACGACAGTCCAATAGCCCATTATAAGTAATGGAACCAATTCTATCCGCTGATCAGCACCACTATACAAACTCAAGCTCATATGTCATGGACCATAACATCCACCGCGTTATAACTTTCTGGCTTAACCGGAATCCAATGGAATGGATAGTTGCTCCTGATGGTTTTGATGCTCAGTGCAAATCCGAGCTTAACCACCTCGTGCAGAAAGCCCGCCACAACGAGCTCGACGATTGGTCCTCCAGTCCAGAAGGCAGCCTCGCCCAGGACGATCTGCTGGACCAACTCCCAAGAAAAATCCATCGCAGCTCGTCAGATGCCCTCACGGACGACGAAAGGGCATGGGGTATTGCCACAAAGGCCATCGCGGGAGACTATGACAAGCAGGTTACTGTCATCCCGGCGTCGGAGTTCTATATGCCGCTCATGCAACAATAAGCCTCATCTCGCTGATCGCAGCAGGCTGCCTCTTCGAGGACTTAAAGCCAAGAGCTTCAAACGGCCAGGAACACAGCTGGGTTGATATGGGCATAGGAGCTGCCAAGGGGCATATTGATCAGATCACCTGCTTTGGAAGATACCCGACTACGAATGCCATCTTCGGCCGGAGAAATACCGAGGCGGAGGACGAGTTTCTTGTGGATCACCAACGTCATATATCCTCCAACAAGTGAAAGTATAGAATCGAGAAGATGGTGTCGACATCTTCGGTGAGGTGTCGAGCTCAGGTCGGTATCGCGCGACAACACAACGATGCCAGCAAATTCTCCACTTAGGTAAATGTTGATATACCTGGCTTTCTTCTCGCGATAAACTACCCCCGCAAGCGGCTGCTCCAACATTATCATCACCACTACCGACTCCCTGTTTCGGGCTGTTTGTAGTACTCGGGCTGAGAGGCAAGATCTGGACAGAGATACATAGTCACGCTCTAACATCTATCTGTCAAGTCCCACATCGTGACTCACGATTAACAACTCCAAAATGTGATATTTAGAATACAATGAAGGAACAGAAATAGTATATGTCAATTGTAGTTGGATGTTCTATGATCATCTTGAGGCTCGGGTGGTATATGCAAGGATAAAAGGTATATACAAGAAGGTAAATCGGCAACCATGCCCTGGTACTATTGAGAGATGTCTCAAATGCCTAGCAGGAAATCATGGTGCTCATTGTCATAAGAGGGGGCAGTGTATTCCAGGGACATGTCTTGCAATATCCGTTGCTGATTGCCTCGGCAGCCTGCGCAGCTATGCTCCTTAGAGCCGATGACGAGATCTGGCGCTATGGCCTCGCTACGAGGCTATGTGAATAATGTATGTATAAGCGAGGCCTGTTGTCGCTTGGGGTGTGTTGGCCATGGGTATTGTGGCCGGTCGCTTTAATCGCGTCCTGGCACGCGGGGGAGGGCGACGGGATAGCTGCGCAGGCCGCGTCGGACTGGGATGGGCTTGTGCGGACCATTATCGTAAGTGCCATTGTGTATAGCACCAGCGGTTCCGTTGGTACCAGGGTACGGCGGACCGGTGCCGTTGACGGGCGGCAGAGGCGTTCCGCTAGGCACAGGCCGGTGCGGATGGGCCAGAGCGCCGAACACCATAGCGAAGAGGGCGAAGAGGAAGACGAAGAGACGAGCCATGGCCGGCAGGACTGTTGGGACGAATGGAAGGGGTCTGCAAGGAGAGAGCAGGCGTTTCAAGAGGAGTTTTGAATTGTCGTCAACGACAAATGAGTGAATAGCTATCGTGTCCACAAGCAGCGGGCACATCTGGGAAGGCAGACTGGGTGTAATACTTATACGGCACTCCGCCGCAGCGATCTAGGAGAAGCCGACCACCACCCTTGTTTTCCGGTACCGTGAAAAGATCTTCCTCCCCCATATTTGGCCAAGTCATGATGGGCTTGAACAGCGATAATGGGGTTGTATCTCTGAACAAAATTTCCCTTATTCGGCAACGGACCGAGTCAAAAGCAGGGGGTGCATTAGTCGGACAGGCTCGAACGGTCGGCGCCAATCCCGCTGCAGCAAAAGTATGCTCTCATCTGGTGGGGCCGGGTCGTGCAGAGTCAATTCGGCTTTCCCTGTTCACGGTCAATTAGTTTTTCGACTGCCTATTAAGTCTCGCCTTGTCTGCCCAAACAGTGGGTGGATCGACAGGTCCCCCATGTGTTGTCCCTGGGGCTGTCGACTCAGGATGGGTAAATAAGGTTCAGACGGTTCGGCTATGCAAGGCGACAGGACCTGGTCAGAGCCGGGTTGCATCCAGCACGGTGGAAAAACTCAAAGCGAGTCTGCGCAGCAAATCAGTGCTTTCCCACGCCATGACATAGCTATGATGGAGGCTTGGCCGCAGCGCTTGGCACTTTATTCGCTGTTTCGACTATCACGGATTTCTGTGTGGAAGGCTCAAGACCCACGGGAGGCTAAGCCTGACTCGCGGCGAGTCAACTTGCTAGTATCGCCACGGTGCAGGTTTCTGCTCCGTGACGTGACGTCGTTATAGGACTCAGTGTTGCGATAGCGGACAGACTCTGAGTTATTCTGTGGCTAAGAAAGGTAGCCGAGTCGAGTAACAGCAGGTCACGATCGAACAGAGGTGCAACGGGCGCGCGGGATGTTTTCCGCAGTTCGCACATGATAAAGTGAAAAACGAGAACCTGCCACTCGCATGTGCTTGGAGCGCGGGTTTGGTGGCTTGCGGCTTGCGGCCTGCGGCTTGCTGGTTGCCCACGCGTAACGGGCGCTTATGCACTCAAGATATCAGCCGTCTCGGCGTGCGGGCCTAGAAAAAGCCGCGCCAGTGGGGGGGGTCCAGCGGTTCGTACCCGGTTTTGAGCCCCAGCGATTGCGCCCCGAATTATACTATGGGTAGGCATAGGATCCATATGTCCTGTAGGACCCAGCACACTAAGACTGACTGCACTCGATTGATTCAACCTTATTCGTGGATCGGCTGCGCGCCAGAAGGAACTCGTCGTTTGGAAGAGGTGCATTAACGATATTAGAGGAGTGAAGATCTCAACGGGGGCAACCCACCGATTTGGCCAGCCACTGCCGATCAACCAAGTCTCAATCGATCTCAATGCAACACTGGAGATAAACGACGCACCGTCGTTTTACCAGAAAACGTGGTCAGGAACTAAGCGAAAAAAGCTTATTGCCGATCTTTAGCCTCTATCGAAGCGGCGTTCAGACGGAGGCGGAGTATATGTGGACGATATGCCCGCTGCCCACGGGGGCGATCCTCCAGAAATCGCGCTCTGCCTGTTGTGGTGGGTCGATTTGTTTATCATACATATATTGACTGTACTCGAATGCATCGTCACATAACCGACTGGTTTAGGCTACCATACGCCATTCTTGGCGGCGAGATGTCGGCTGGGACGGGCCTCGAAACTCTGCATTCTCATCGCCAAGTGTTGTCCACCCTTTCTGCCTATGCTGAGGTACCTCGATAATACGACTATACCACTCTCACTATATGGTCCTGCGCTCACGGCTGGAAAACCCACCAACAGCGAGGGTATTAGTTTCCGACTTGGCACTAAGCCAACGATCAATCAGGATTCAGCTCAGGGAATTGTTTCTTATCTTTGCTGTTATAATTCTATGACCATTGAGTGAAGAATTTTGGGTCCCCAGAAACCCGCCTCGGATTTGCGTCGCGTCGCGTCGCAACGCAACACTACGGTCGGACCTGATAACAATCGGTGCTAGAGTATCTCTCACTTCAATGCGCTCAGAACAATCCTTTCCTCCGGAATTGGCACAACCGTGTAGCCCCAGCCGACAGGCGGCTTTTGTCCCATCGTTTTGTGAGCATTTCTGGAACTCAGGACTGCATTCGATCCTCGCTCTAGCACCTCCGCGTGGTAACCCTCGATTGCCGCTGCTATATCTCCATTTTCGCCTTTCTCGATTTTACCCAGAACCTTCGACAAGTTCAACGCATCCGTGATCGCATGGCATCCTCCCTCGCCGCGGACTGTCGTATCTTGTTAGAAGATGCATAGCCCGTAGCAACCCCGGGTCCGGGAATAAGAAACTCACAAGGTGTCATTGGATGTGCAGCATCTCCGACTAATGCTACCCTCCCGGTAGGCAGACTTCGTATCTCAGCATCTCTGTGAGTGAAAAAGGTATCCTTGATGCCACTGGCTGGCGTTAACTCCATGATTTCTGTGAACTTCGAGTCCATCTCTGCTGCAGTCTTTTTCGCGTAGTCTAGCTTCTCCTGCCGCGAGGCCGTACGCAGCCAGTGGTTTGGCCGGCAAGCTTCTTCGTCATACGTCATGAAGAACCAGTAGTACTCCCCCGAGTTGCCGTCGTCGTTAGCCTGCTGCAAGCCCACAAACAGTCTCGCAGAGGAACTGGGGGCAGCAACCACGTAGCAGCTGTGGCCAAGACTCAACTGTCGCTCGAAGGCGGCGCCTGATAGATGGACCTCACCAATGATAGTGGAAGTCGGTATCAGGTTGAGCACTTCGTCGTTGGGCCGTTGCAAGACATGCTCGCGGACTAAGGTCGTACATCAGTCATATACCCCTCAGTTTCATCAGAGACAATTGAACTCACCAACACTGTGCACCCCATCCGCTCCAACAAGCACATCACCGGAGGCATTTGTGCCATCCGCAAAGTGAAGACAGATTTTGCCGTCGCCCGTCTCCTCGATATGCTGCAGTTGCTTACCCCAGTGGATGGGCAGGTTCGTCGAAAGCCACCCCCGAAGTCGTGCGCGGTTTGCTCGAAGGACGGGTGTCTCCGGCGTGTCTTGGACACCAACGCGGTCTCCGCGAATGTACATGCACAGCTGCGTGTTCAGCTTCAGGGGCGAAAGGTGATGCACCGACTCCCTCAGGTCCGGCAGGTCGGAAGGCATGGAAGATTGCAGCTCATCGAGCATGCTGGTTTTGTGTCAGCATCGAGTGGCATGATGAAACTGCATCGCACTTACGAGTGAAGGCCGATGGCCCAGCCTTGCGCGCGTGATTGATCGTCGATGTCTCTCTCGAAAATCTCGAAGGATGCCCCTTGCTTTCGCAAGCATTGTGCAAGTGTGAGCCCGCCCAGGCCGGCACCAACAATCAATACATGAGGGCTCATGATTGACTTGGTCATCTCCGTACTGCAGGAGCTATCGTCTTTTTGCTAGAGTGAAGTTTGGGACTTTCGATGTAACTCTATAGAAGAGGGGAAGTATGGGGTCATTAGGCGTCTGGCTGAAGTATTCTCACGCAAAATAAAAACATCATTAGAACATACATATATATACAAATAGGGATCATAAGCAATAGTATTGTAGAGTGCTATTCCATCCGCAGTCGCCAGCGCTGATCGACGTTGGACGGCGTTGCCGCTATTCGCTTTTTTCGGCGTCCGACTAGGCGCGAGGTTGGAGGTCTAAGCTCACTACATCGACGTAGAACCACAAACGTCAGGACGGAGCCACGGAGACATTTTGCCGACTTGGAGACAATGTGCTGCACGTGCTGGGTTGTTTAATTATGCCGTCTTATGGACGTCAACAGATCCACATACCACGATATAATGTTGCGGAGGCTTTGGATGGAGCTCCGTGCCCGTGCCCGGCGATAATGCAAGCGGAGCGGAGCAAAGCTCGGCGATTGCCGAATGCCGTGGCCTGGCCCGCGTAGCCAGCGCCTGCGACGCCTATCATGCTTGGTAGAGCTGATCCCGGGTTAATGGAGCACAGGTTTACTAGCAAGCTGCTTATAGGGCTATCCCCGGCTCGTTTTAGTCGCTCCCGACTTACGAGCGACATCCCATTCATGCTTGCGGCTGCTTCACAGCGGTAGGACATCGCAGCCCAAGGTGGGACATGAACACGCATGCGTGTACCGCTCCGGGCCATGAGGGAGGAGGGTATGTCTGTTGGTTCTTCATCTACGCGTGCTCGCGTGTCATTCTAATCATGACAACATATATAAGACAATCTACTTCCGCGAGGGCATCGTCAAAGCGGCAGAGAAAGGTTATGTGTTCTCAGTTACGTGGAGACTTAGGAGCGCAAGACAGGTTCTGGGCTCATTCCCAATTCTGATCAATGTGACTATTAGTTTCACTTCCCTTTTTGCATTCATCGCATTCAAACTTCTATCGAATGGGTATATCATATGCACCTTGCTAATCATCCAGCAGCCCCGTGGCCAAGGCCTCGAGATCTTCCAAGTTATTCGGCTCGTCCGTGACCTCAATGACCTTACCCCTGCCCTTCTGTTTCTTCTTCTTCTCCGCCTCGTCGTCCGAGTCATCCTGGAACCACTTCTTGGCCTTCTTGGCGGGCGGCTCATCTTCGCCGCCATCGCTATCGCCATCACCACCACCACTAACGGGCAGCGACCGTAGGAAGTCCAGCGCGTTCTCAGCATCCTCGGAGGTGCCGAGTGCCGGCGCATTGCGTCCGGGGACATCCGTTTCGCCCGCCTCCTCCATGCGCTCCCTCTCCTTCCGCTTGGCTTTCTTCTCTTGCCTCTTCTCACGAGCAAGCTGCTTGTCGTCAACGTCAGCCTCGCGGACGCGCTCGGCCTCCTCCTCAACGAACCGCTGTCGCAGTGCCTCCGCCGAACCCTCTTGCTGGAAGTCATCCTCGTCCTGGAGCTCGTAGATCTGGTGCGCCTCGCCGTCGTCGTCGAACACGAGCTTGGTGCCCTTGCCCTTGTACTTGAGCATCTGCTTCTTGGACTTGATGAGCTTCTCCCGACGTTTCGAGTCAATGATGAGCTCCTGGCCTCCGTAGACGGGCACAACCTTGCTAGCAGGCGCGGCGCCGCCGTTGGCCTCCCTGTCCAGCTCGTCGCCCTCAAGAACGCGTTTAACGCCGAAGAAGTCATCGTCCTCTTCGGCCTCTGGGCGGAGATTCGAGTAATGTGTCGACAAGACGTCTTGGTTCTGGCGCTCAAACATGCGGTCGTATTTTGTGCGGACCTCATCCTTCTTCTTGGGTTTCTTAATCTTCTCTCCATCGGAATCGTACTCAGAACCACTAGAAAGCTCGGCACGTGATCTGTTCTTGATCTTCTTGATATCCTCTGCCTTTTGATGCTTCACGCGCGGCATCTCGGGCAGACCCAGACTTACCGAGTATCCCTCCAGATCCAACGCCCGAATGTCGAAGACGTCTTTGTCCTTCTGCAGACCAACTGAGCGAGTGTAACTGATAAAGGCCTTCTGGCCGAGGTACTTCAGATCAGGGTTATGAAAACACATGTCCTGAATCTGCTGGGTGATCTGCTTCTTCTTCTTGTCGCGCACGTTGACCTTTTGTATTGGCACCTTCTTCAGCTCCAGTCGCTTGAGCATGCCTTCCTCCTCGCTCGGGTCAAGGAACAGTACAGCCTTGCCGTCTCTTTCATATCGAGCAGTCCGACCGACTCTGTGAACGTAGGTATCGGCATCCTCTGGGGCGTCCATCTGCACCACCCAGTCGACACTCGGGAAGTCAACACCTCGGGCAACGACATCCGTTGCCAAGAGACAGGAGAACTGTGCTGACGTGAATCTTCTGGTTATCTCCATCCGCGCAACTTGTTTTTGACGTCCGTGGAGATGTAGCAATGGAATACCAGGCTGTAGATGCCTGAAACTCTCGTAGACGAACCGAACTTGCTTTCCTGATGACATGAAAACGATGATCTTGCTCTTGAGATTTGATTTGATGAATGAATACAGAGTGTCCAGCTTTTCGGGTAACGGCGTAACCAGGTAGTGTTGGGTGAGCGTTGTTGGTGTGGCAGAGGCGGCGGCTTCGTGGACGGCGATGTACTCGGGATCCTTCAGGGACAGCCTAGCAAGATCCGACACCTTGCGACTCTGCGTGGCACTGAACAGCAATGTCTGCCTCGACTTGGGGAGATGCTCCAAAAGGGCATCGACGGCAGTCTGAAAACCCATATCCATGATACGATCGGCTTCGTCCAGCACTAGGACCTGTAGTGAATCGACGCTGAAGCCAGCAGTCTGATCGAGATGTTGCAGCATCCTTCCGGGCGTACATATAAGGATGTTCATCCGCCCCAGGCGCTCGGCCTCCTCGCGCAAACTCTTGCCTCCGATGATCAGACCGGCCGAGAAGGTGTGGTATCGCCCGATCTTCCGCAGCACCTCAAAGGTCTGCACCGCCAGCTCTCGCGTGGGCGAGATGACGAGGGCGCCGAGGCCATCGTGTTCGGTCCATTGCGCCCGGAAAAGGGCTTCCAGGACCGGGACGAGAAAGGCCAGGGTCTTGCCGGAGCCGGTCTTGGCTGCTCCCAGAATGTCACGACTCTTGAGGGCAGGCCCCACGGCCTTGGCCTGGATGTCGGTCAGGTTCTGGAAGTGCGAGGCCTCGAGGCCGGAGGCGGTGGGTGTCGACAGCGGCAGGTCGGTGAACTTTGTGATCTCGGCCGTCTTGGGGTCGAAGTCGTCGACCTTCTTCAGCAGCTCTTGCAGGTCATCTTGCACACGCTTGCGCTTCAGCGACTTGGGCTCGGCGTTGTGCTTCCTCTTCTTGCCGTTCGGCTGGGAGCCGGAGGTTCTGGTGGGCATCGTGGACAGTTGCGCACGAGTTGAGAGTTGAGCGTCTCAGATCTCGGCTCGGTGCTCTGCTGCTTGTACCGTACCAGAGGCCAGAGCCCAGCCTCGACAATGCGACCAGGAAATTTTCTGGCCGCGGGGCCGATCTTCAAAAATTCTGCCGTTGCAAAGTGCACACATCCCTGCTGGCGGCCTTGACCGCCTGGACCCAGCCAAAACTGCTGCGCATTAGAGGCGCTAGTTGGTCCCTGGACCACCCGCTAAACGTGGTGCCCAGTGGGATACGGAGCCACCGGCCTGCCGTACAACCCAGAACTCTGAACCAGGCTCTCCTCCACCGGGATTGATGTCGGAGCTCAAGAACAAGAGGTGCCAATTGGTATACGCCTACTACTGGAGACTCATAGAGATGACTCCGTTCTTATCTGAGTCTTCCAGATGCGCCATTGAGACTCGGGAAACAGAGACGGTACTAGAGAAGGGAAACTGAGTAGACAGAGTAGACATTGCAACAGAATTCCAGCATCTCAACTCCATGTTGCACCATCGCCCAGCTTGCTTTGGCCAGCAACATCTGGGATCCTGGTACCGAATGGACAACCAACAAAGGTTTCCTTGCCATTGCTCAATCCAGTAGGTGGCTTGAAGTAGGCTATGATTTAATACAACAGAACAAAAGCCCCCAAGACGTACGGCAATCCACAGGGGCCCCATGAGCGGCGCAGGCAGCCGTGGGCTCGGGACTAACTGACAACGGCGCGTCTCATCGCGTCTCCCGAATTCCCTCTCTCGAGGTTTCACAACAGAAAGCTGGGAAAGGCTTTGGAATCAAGCATCATGCCTCCCAAGAAGGTGTCTTCGGACACACTGTACGTCATCTCATCCTTCATCTGGGACGATGACGACACAATCGAAGGCTTGCAGCCCGTCGAGGCTTACTCGACCCTCAAGGCCGCCAACGCCGCGGCGAAGGAGATGATGTTCCGCTTCGCCCAAAAGTTGAACCCCTATGGCGACGTCGACGAATATGACTACCAGCATGAACAAGACGACAACGGCATGTATCACGGCTACATGGAAGGAGGCCCTCATGGGCACGTGGCTGCTAGGGTTCGTGTATTCGCTACCTCGTTGAAAAACGACAGCGGAAGGGGTGCTGGCAAGGCCGCTTTGAAGGCGGAGCCGGCCGTCAAGTCTGAGCCAACAGATGAAGAGGACGAAGATGAGGAGGAAGAGGAGAATGCGGCACCCAAGCCCCCGCCAAAGAAGAAGGCTGCCGGTCCCCCCAAGACGGCCATCAACACAAAGACGCACCGCAAGACTATCCCTGAGGGTATCCCCAACTGTCTTGAAGGGCTGAAGCTTCTCTTCACCGGCACCTTCGAGACCATGGACCGCAAGACCTCGATTGCGACGGCGTACAAGTACGGCGCCGAAGTCATCACCAAGCTCGAGGACACGGACTACATTGTTATTGGCACACGCGCCGGTCCTAACAAGCTCAAGGAGATCAATGAGAAGGAGCTCGAGACCATCAGCGAGGAGGAGTTCTTCCAGATCCTCGAGAACGGCATTCCGGATGAGAAGAAGGAGCGCATGGCAAACCGCCGGCTCGCGGATCAGACTGAGGGGCCTGAGGAGGACGAGGAAGATGCCAAGCCCAAGAAGAAGAGGACCGCAGCGAAAGGAGGTCCGGCCAAGAAGAGGGCGAAGAGATAGGATAGTGTAGGCAGATGGCTATTCTTGTAGGGGATAGTTGGAACACCGACATACATACGGCATCATCGACTTTCACAAGATTCCCCCCACCCCTACTGCTTAGCATTGCGCATTGCTGTTCGTGGTACATACCAGTGTTATTGTATGATGATGAATTCGTTCATAAGGGTTTCATACAGCCCACGTCCTAATTCACTTCGGCCTCCTGTGTCAAGGCACCACAAACCACGGTCGAGACCGATAATTGGTAGCGTCGCCAGGTTTCAATCAGCTCAGTTGATAGATAGCGGTAGAACTTGGGGAAGACAATCCCCAAGGCTACTCCAGCATATCACCTGTCGCTCGTTGTCTCGATGAAGGAAAGTTATATCTTAAACTAATAGCTCCAGAATCGTGCCCTGATGCTCTCACAACACTAGTCTGCAAAGAGGTATTGCTTGATCCATCCAATGGCCGCGGTCTTCCCACGGACCATAGCCTCCCTTTCACCCTCCTTGGTCTCGTCGCCACGTACGAGACAGCCGTGCTCAACTCCGGGGAAGTGATGGTAGTCGAACGGAACGCCAGTCTTCTGGAGCGTCACAAACGTGTGCAGTTTCAGGTCATCCGTGTACAACATATCAGTCTCTGGAGCGAGGATCTGTACAGGCACCGCAACCTCGTCAATGTCCTTCTCCACGACATGCGATGGTTGGCCGATTACAATGCAGTCTACAAGCGCGGGCTGGTGTTCCTTGGCCCCAAGTCGCAGGCAGGCCCACCCCCCGTAGCAGAACCCTGCGGCGGCGACCTTCTTGTACTGCGCCCTCAAGGCCCTCGCGCACTCGATTATCTCGGGCTCTCGGTTCTCCCGCGAGTTGCGCGTGAGGAAGCCTCCGAGGTCCACCTCGTGGAAGCGACCCTTGTTGATGGGCTCCATGGGGAGGACCTCGCCGGCGAAGAAGTCCGGCACATAGACCGTCACGTTGGCCTCCCTGGCATAGTGGTCCGCTAGCAGTCGGGTATTAGGGAGCGTCCATCCTAGTATGTCGGACACGATGAGGACTGCGGCATCCTTATTGTCGCCACTGATATATGCTGGGTTGTTGGCAAGCTTTCCGACTCGGCCCGTTGGCGTGCCATCCCATTCAAATCCCTGAACACAACAAGCTAGGATAGACATGATCGTCAGTATATTCTATTGCTAGAGCACCTGACACCAAGTGGACTAGTCGTATTCTTAAATGGATATCAATAAATAGTAGAACTAGCACGTGACATAAGCACTCGATTTATAATACTACCAGGGCTGATCTGATCTCGGCACGCGAGATTAGCTTAGTTATGCCATCGGGGTGGCAGGAATGGTATCGCATTTGTAATATAGCCCCGCATGGGTCCAAGCACGCTAGAAGTATCACACGGTCTGGCCCTCATGTGTCGCTACGCATGATCACGCTGCTGACTGAGCTACGCAGCAGGGATTACTTGTCCTACCTGGACAGCGCAGAGAGGGGGTATTGCTAGGAATATCCCTAATACAACAAGCACTAATGAGATTGTCTCTAAGAAAGCTATATGAAGAATCGCGGAATACGTCTGAATTAGCACGCCGATATCGATTCTATATCCAAAGGCTTAGCCGCATGGTGGTGGAAAAGAGCTGAAACAGCCTCAACGAGGGTCTACAGGCAGAATAACTATGATAAACCAACCGTCTGTATACTACACTATTGCATCTTAAAGTGTTGAACAACCCAACCGCCAATATTTCCCCCTTCCAGCAGAACCTCATTATGAAGTCATTACACGACCGTCGCGGATGTAACACTAGCATCTGAACAAGACAATGGCACTCAACCACTGTCTGCATAAAGTTTGGTAAGCTGTTACTAAATGGTCATTCATCTTCACTTCTTTTAACGTCTTATTTTGAAGTATGAGTTCGACATTTCTACTAACTCAATGCTGCTATAGATAGATGCTGCATCTGGAATGTTCGGCGGCGAAACGTACAATCCAGTACTGTTGTCTATAATTTTGACCGCATGTTGACATGTATAGCTTTGACTGTTGAGTATGCCTCGAGCCCGGCCTCGCCGAGTTCCCTGCCGATGCCACTTTGCTTGACACCCCCAAAAGGAATACGCCAGTCACTATCGTTGCTCGAATTGATCCATACCATTCCTGCTTCGATGCGACGGGCAACCCGATGGGCTTTGGTCAGATTAGTCGTAAAGACCGCACTTCCAAGACCGTACTGGGTACCATTGCACAGCGCTACCGCTTCCTCTTCTGACTCGAACTTGCTGATCGTCACAAACGGGCCAAACACTTCCTCTTGGAATATCCGCATTTGAGGATTGACCCCAGTGAAGACGGTAGGCTGAATAAAGTAGCCTTTCCCGCCTGCAGTGGCTTGAGGCTGGCCTCCCATCTCGAGATTGGCACCTTCGGCTTTCCCAACACTGATGAAATCTTTGATACGATCAAGCTGCGCCTTGCTGACCTGGGGGCCTTGAAATGTGTTTGAGTCGAAGGGATCGCCAACAGTGGAAACATTTCTGACTTGCTTCTTGAATGCCTCCATGAATTGATCAAAGATCCCGGCTTGTACAAGAATGCGAGACGTGGCCGTGCAAATTTGACCTTGGTTTGACATGATACCAGCATGTGCCCATTCCACGGCGTTCTCCAACTCCGCATCATCGAATACGACGAGAGGGCTCTTACCACCGGTCTCGAGTGTGATGTTTTTCAGGTTGCTTGCTGCCATTCTCATTATGTCCTTGGCGGTTGCTGTTGAGCCTGTAAAGGCGATCTTATCGACGTCCTCATGCGACGCCAGCGCCTTGCCAGCCTCGGCGCCGAAGCCATTGACTATGTTTACAACGCCAGGGGGGAATCCGGCTTGTGTGACGAGATTGGCAAAATAGAGGATCGAAAGTGGTGTTTGCTCGGCTGGCTTCAAGACCACCGTATTGCCGCAAGCAAGGGCAGGGCCTAACTTCCAGGCTGCCATGGCCAAGGGGTAGTTCCAACTGCATGACTGAGGTTAGTACCACACATGTCTTCTAGTATTTCGAATAGCCTGTCTATATGGAGCAAGCACTTACGGGATGATCTGCCCGCATACCCCAATAGGCTCACGTATTGTATAAGCAAACTTATCCGCTGTGGTTTCGATGACTTGACCAAAGACCTTATCTGCAAATCCAGCATAATACCTCAGGGTACCTGCAACTTCGCCCATGTCTTCATTGAGGGAAACTGAGTATGGCTTTCCATTATCCCAGGTTTCTATCGTTGCCAATGTTTCTTTGTGCTCATCAACCAAGCCTGCAAGCCGATGTAGTAGTTGACCCCGTTCCGTACCTGGGAGGTCACGCCAACTGGGATCTTGAAGTGCTCTGCGAGCTGCGCTCACGGCGTCGTCTATGTCTTTCACAGATCCAGCTTGCACAGCTACTATAGGCTTCTCAGTACTGTAACCGAAAAGTCAGTGTCCTAACGTGGTGAGGGAGAAGAGCGAGAGATGAAGAAGGGTCCTTCTTACGAGGGGTCGATAGATGTAATCGTTTTCCCAAGTGAAGACTTCACCCATTGCCCGCCGATGAAGAGGCCAGTTGGCTGGGGAAAAGTAACCCCGTTGGGAGCTGTCAACTGTACCGCACATCCATCTGCCATTTTGATTGTCTGTTGAACGAAGACTGAAGTGTGAAGGCCGTATGTCTCCCCGTCTTAATATTTCCTTCAGACACATGTGCCTCGCCATAGCTTGCATCCTGGGTTTGGTCTGATACTCTGCTTCGGATTCAAATCGGCCGGTTTCTTAGCATCCCTACGATCAGGATTATGGTAATGGTATCTGGAACGGGTCCAATCAGTGATGGCGATGCGGGAGAACATGTCCAAAAATGGTCTGGTAGATGCTAACGGTGGTCCAGATTCCTGGAGGCTCCACCAAGGCAATCGCTAAGCTAGATTCGGCGAAGAAGTCCCGGAACATAGTTTGAGCTAGCTCACCACTGATGCTACGTCACATACAGTACGGGAGTACGCGTAGTCTCCATTGATTTCTGTTGCTTCTATCTGCACGATCCCACAAACGGTAGGTCCACGCCCACCCTGGATAATGCGCTTATCTGATGCTCGGTTTGGGTTCCCCGCGATAGACTGCGGATTGGGATCATGACTGTGGGTGAGGACCATTCATGGCGCACTGAAAGCTGCCGAGTTTCGAGTTGGAGTCTCTATATTCGGTATCTATCCGCTCACTATCGTGCTATGTTCCGAAGTGGACGCACTCGTTCAATGTCCATTGCATTACAGAACCCTATACCTCTGTGTTACCAGCCTTGACTACCACAGCGAAATACACCCTGGTTATCGACAAGGGTTATTCCTTCCTCTTTAGTCTACCTGTCGCTGGAATTCCGGTGAAGTTGTTAGTTTTCAATCTTTTATTTCACCGACGACTTGAGGTATCGAGATGGATGGTCAGCTTTCTTGGGCAATTAACGGTACTGATGTACAGCATTGTCTTTCTAAGGGGGCCAGCACAAGGGCGGGAGACGCTCTCAGTTCATAGGATGCTGTTCCTCTTCACGCCTCACCTTGAACACTTTTTCCCTTACGTCTTGATAACTCGTGGTTTCGGGATGGGGGACTATCTTATGTTCAGCGCAGCGAAGAGCACTGAACCGAGCACAAAGTCCACAGCAATTGAAGAGACGCCGATGATGAACAGCTCTCAACACCAGGCCGTTGAGTTCTCCAACTTTTAACAGATAAGCCTTTCCATGTTCCGGGGTAGCTGGCGTCATGGTTGGCGAACGCCACCTTGGGGTGGCACTTTGACTAAATGTAATCTTCATTGGCCCCATGATTACCAGTAATGACCAACTACAGGAACTTAGTGTTATCTTGACCCGTTATCACCCCCGCGCTCCGAACTGACCCACTCCCACTTGTTGACCTTGTTAGACCGGGAATGCCCTAAATCTACCTCCCTATCACCTGGTTCTCGGAACCTCCGTGTTTTTCGAGCTTCACCTCAATGCACCGTCGTCTCCGTGACGCCTTTCAGCCTAGCGAGAAAGCGAGCCACAATCCATGCTAAGCACAATCACAAAGTCATACACAAGACGGGATAAGAAAGCACGAACCGGTTGCCGCCAGTGCAAGCAGAAACGCGTTCGGTGTGACGAGACACGCCCAGCATGTATCAACTGCGTTCGCAAGGGCCGGGTATGTCCCGGGTATCAGGTTTCCCTCTCCTGGTCTACGAAGCACGAGCAGCCGACTTCAAGGACATTTCAGAGAGCCTCCGGACCCGCCGATTTTGAGCAACTTGCAAGTGCTGCCTCGCAAGTCATCCATTACGGTGCGCAAAGAGGAGGAAGAACCAATCTTGACCGGACCTCCCCGGACGCTGCCCCTATACTGGAGCATTGTGGTCAAGATGGAGCTGGACCACAAACTCCACCCTTCCTAGTTAGCCACGACGATGGAATGCAACCTCTTGCAGCCGCTATTACATCTCCAATTGGCTACTATTCACCACCCTCGAATACAGCACCACCACCGCTTGTCGATGCGCTTACGCCGGTATCGATGGAGTACCCATATGACTTCGATATGTCTACTGCCTCTGTGGTGGCAGACACCGGGTGGGTCAGTGACGACGGGTATTCTTCTATTATGACCTCTCCTCCCACGGGTACCCCTGCAGTTCCAAGCATCCCATTCAGCTGTCCGGATCAATTGAGTGTTTTGGATACGCCGACAGCTGGCTTGGTTCATCTTCCGACATTCTTGGTACAACACTGGTTCGATTCGGTGTGTCGTCATTGGTCCGCGTTCGATTCAGAAAACAACCCTGTCAGATCCATGGCAGCGTCTCTCTGGGGCTCCTCCCGAATTGTGTTTTACTCTCTTCAAAACATGTCCGCTGCAGCTCTGGTAGAATATATGCCAGACGTGAAAGAGATCGCGAGCAGTGCTCCTGCACTCGCTGTCGAAGCAATCAGCGAAGAGCTGACAGAGCTTTACACATCCGACGCAGGCATTACACAATTTCCGAAGGGGCTGATGTTGGGACTGATTTGCATGGGCTCTTCCATGTGCTGGGATGACCCCCAGAAGACAGGAGCCCATTTTTACCGCCAGGCTAGAAAGCTGATGCGTCACTACAAGCTGAGAAGTGATTATCTGTCGCACGAGGATCGACAGCTTCTAGAGTTCTTCGGCGGATGCATGAAATACGAAAAGATGTTACGCGACGTGATTGGAGAACAGGAAGACAAAGCAATCCGAACTTCATCCTGCGGGGAGCGGCGACAGCGGAAACTCTCCATAGCGCCTCATGCGTGGACTGGCGTCTCTCCTGACCTGCTCGGCCTGTTTGGTGACGCCATGTCACTATGTCAAAGAGAGTGTGCAAGGCGAAGAGAGCAGACCATGACGCGGGAGAGTTACAAGGTGGCTCTGGATGCCATTGATGAGGCACAGATCCTCGAAGAGGCACTTCTTGCCGTTGAGCTCACGGACATTCAATCTGCTGATCAGCAGTGGGCCGATGCCACGAGATGGACTCATCTGTGCGACACCACGGAAGCCTATCGTGTAGCATCTTTACTGCAGCTGTACCAAACATTTCCAGACCTCATTGCTCGACGCATTCCTGGGCAGGTTGGACCCGATGGCCTTGTTCCGAACGGCTCTTGGCTCCTGCCGCTCGCATTGCACCTGATTACAATCCTGCAGAGGACACCGTCAAATTCTGACCTACGGTGCGTCCAGCCTCTTCTCTATCTGTCAGCGGGAAGCTGCCTTAGGTTCGATGATATCCCGGTATCTCCAGCTCGCCGGGGTTGTACTGCTGGCGATATTACAGGTCTATCAGCCATTCATACACCAGGTTCACTGGTACCTCTACTCTCATCGACATATTTGTCACAGAAAGAGGACTCAATGGCGGAGGTACTAGATGTAAGTCGTGCGAGAAGTCTTGTCACAGAACGGCTGGAACAACTTGAACATTTGTTACCGCCCAAGCCCATTCGTACAGCGAAACAGTTGATGAAGGACACCTGGGAAGTTTTTGACGCTGAAATTTCCCCACTTCGTAAAACACACTGGTTGGATGTCATGGCATCGACAGGATTGAAGACTCTGTTTGGGTAGGCTACTGGAGTTGCATTATTTGCTTTGGGGGAAATGAAGGATACATACGGGTGGTTGGGTACTTTTTGCCCTACATGGTTTCTGTGCTTAATGATACACTTCTAGTTCTTTCCTTTCGTCCATTAGTCACTAAGGAAAGGTATGCCTTGAATTTGACGATTATTCAGTTGATATTTAAAACAATTAACAGTATCCACCCTATAGTACAATATGATGCATTTGATTGGCAGGTGAACGCCTATATCATAATACCAAGTTCACAGGTTTGCAGCGATATTTGGGTGGAAACTGGTTTTGGTGTGTGGGTAATGTAGACATGGATTTCATGCAGTATAGTAGAGGTCTACAACACAATCCACACACTTCAAGCACGGTGTAATATTACTAGGGGCAGTATAATGAGAAATTGTATTGCTAGAGAGAAATGGAATGCAAAACATGAAGTTACAAGATATCTCGGATCCTGTACGATTCTGACACTATTGGCCATTGATGATCATTAATCTCAAGACGGTTCGATGACCACTGTTACCAGCCTACAATCTGCTTGGAATCCTGGGAGCAGCGCAGCAAGAGCTTGGCGGGGTTGCATCAACAGGGGAGACGGCGTACTGAGAGGTTTTATCCTTGTTGATTGCGGTCGGTGGCACCCACAGAGCAGGGTTCTTCACGAAGAAGTTCGAGGCTCGAAGCATGACGCTGACGGGCTCAGCGGGCATGATAGGGAAATCTTCAGTGCGTGGGAAATGGGTGAGACCGAATTGAACGTAGCAGACGATGTCTGTATCCTCAATGGACTCGTCTCTCTCCGCCCAGTCGACGATAGTCGGGTTGTGCGGGTGTCCAGGCTGTCCGGAGCTCTGGCATACGTAGTCGCCGGCGGGGAAGATCTCGTAGTCCTTGTAGGGAACTACCCACAGACTGTGACGGGCGAAAGCAGCGCGGCTGTGGACCATGCTGCCAGGCTTGGCTAGCAGTGGTGGGCAGTTATTATTAATAATCTTGTATGACACAGGCTTCCGGGATGATGGATTGGTGCTGTGCGGATTCACAATCGCCCATGCCCGACTAGTCTCGTGACAGTAATCTCTGACTCCCTCTTTGGCGGTCCGCAATAGTGTCGGCTTCGACAAGAAAGCATTTCCATACATATTCTCCTCCGAGCCGACAGGATGCTCGGATGGCATGGCGTCTTGTTCAATGACACTATTTCTGGGGCCATCGATACTAGGATCCACACGCAAGGAGAAGATGTGCTGATGATTATGGGCGTCAATTCCGCGAGCCACTTCTGTGCCGTAGGGAGCTGCTATCTCGGAAGAATGCAGACAATAGGTATTCAGCATGCCAGTAAGCTTGATCTCGAGCTTATAGGTACCATCCAGCGTAAAAATGTGGTAGAAGGCGTACTCATAGTTGGCTGCAGTAATGATTTGCGAGATAATAAGCCGTCGGTCTCGAGCAGAGATGACGGAACCATCTCGATAGTCAGTATGCTTGTACAGCAAACCGTTGTCCTCCTCGTGAATACAGATTGCATTCTTGATAACAGCTGGGAGTCCATCGCCAGTGGAGAGTACTGCATCCAAATACTGGATGACTCCTTTGCAATCGCAGCCCAGCTTGAGGCTATTGGTCATGAGACCAGTGCCGTACTCGCCAACGTCAAAAGCGTGCTTCCTTTGGTGGGGCGCTTGAGGATTGCCGTAGGGTACTACCATCTCGACAACGCTGATGCGGTTGAAAAGTTCCCGATCCCGCTTCTCGTACATGTCGTACATGGACACATCTGACAACACGATGCCTTCGCGATAGTTAAAGCCGATATGCATTTTGAAGCCAGCCCAGTGAAGCTGGGTGCCTCGCATACGGAAGGATGGACCGTCGGGCTGGGTGATATCGATGGGCTTCAGACTATCATGCACATAACCATCACCAATAAACTCAGGCAGATAGTTATGCTGCTCGAACGGTACCTGGGTTCGCTCACCGTTGACTAGCCGAACGTCGACAGCCAGTACCTCCTCTTTGTCAGTGTCGAGGACTACACTGAAGTCGAGAGGATGAGCGTACTGGTTATCGTAAGCCGAATCACGATAATACGCGAGTCCTTGCTGCAGGCGCCGTTCCATGCCCCAGCGATCATCGAATCCGATGGCCCATGCATCCAAGAAGACCTTGGACATATCAGAAATGCCAATCTCTTGGCATACTCGGATCACACGCTCGTCAGTGCGGCAAATCCGCTCGCAGACGTCCAGATCCTCGAGGGTCAAGGTGGGTGCGACTTCGTCAAGAACCTTCAGGTCCTCGACAGTGCCACTGGTTAGGTTCACGACGACTTCAGCTACTTTGCCAGAGCTCTTATCGATGACGATGGCGAAAGCTCGGCGGTCGAGGGTTGACATTTGGCCGGATTTGAATGCTGCATATTCATCTTTGCGGGGCTCACGCAGGGTAATGCAGTTGAACTTCACAGCTTGAAAAGCAGTATGGTTACGGATGACTTGGGCAGTAACCGAAATTTCCTCAACCGATAGCTGATCTGTGAACCTTGTGAGTCTGGGTGTCCCTGTGAGTGTAAGTAGGCGGGACCATACATACCCAAAGGGTGAAGCGGAGGTTGCAGTGTGGCAGGGTCGATTTGAGAGGAACCACCTTGCTCTTCCCGATATATCGTGTAGCCGGGAATAGTTGAAGTGTCGAGCATCATTTTTGCTATGGGTATATGCCATACGTGATGGTAAGAGAGGGATGTTATGAGTAAGAGGTTGAGACCAAGATTCTCTGAAAGTCGTCGTATTTTTGGGTGAAATATATCGGATTGAGTCGATTGTGATGCAAAACATGAAGATTCCAAGTATAGACTTTATAGCCATCGTATCGAACCATGAGGCCAGAGCATTCGGTTCGAAACACCTTACAAGTTCGCGTAGTGGGCTTCTTGCATTAGGCGGTCCAATATTACGCGAAGCCATGATTCAGCGAAGTTACACTAGGCCCACGTAGGCGTCAGCCGCTTACCAGCCACCACGACCGACTAGACCTATCGCAGGCATAAAGTCCCGTAGTTTCCACGTGCTAGCAAAATAGCTACATCCGAAATCCGGGGAAATGCCAAGTTGTTGCTCCAACTGATTGGTCATTGGAAGTGAACAAAGATCAAGGTTCATTAATATCCTCCATCTATACCTCCTTGCCAGTCGCTGCCAGACGTAGTAGTTGCCCTCGTGCCAAACTGTCCTCCAGATTTGGCAGCCATATGCGAGCGTTTTGAGATATTTTGGAAGTCATAATAAGATATCTGCATGCAACACACTACTTCAGCAATTGGTGCACTCAGGTCTCATAAGAAACCATGTCACCCTCAATGTATTTTGGGCTAGGGGGTACTGATGCTCAACGAACTAAAACTGGAGCCCGCCTGCTTAAAACAGCCAAGCTCTCTGATTCGTTTGTAACCGTGGATGGGTATTGGGTTTCCATTACGAAACCCTAGCGATGCTCCTCGCTATCGGAACGTAAACTCTGAAGCTTTGAAGTGCGCAATCTCTACAGAAACCACCCTCTTCCCCTCACGGCTCCCCAGGCCGAGTGATCCACTTCGATATGCTATCTCGCGATCGGATGAGTGGCGGCGACTAGACCAGAGTAGCATGTCCACCCGACCCACCCAGATACACCCAATTGTGTATCTTATCGTAGCAGGGTCTAAGAAAACTAGAATATACAGCAACTGTGGGGTACGTTGCACAACAGACCAAGAGCAATGCGAAGCGGGATCAGATGCTGGCCGTGGACACAATCCCTGTTAGATGGCAGCCCGTGATCGACGTATAATGAGGACTTAAAACGACAGTAAAAGCACTCTCAACGACGTACTTGACCATCGTTCTTCTCCTCAACTCTTGCCGACTTTGATACCTGTTCTACGGTCACTTGCAGGAATAGCAAACATTGGCCGCTTGAACGCTGGTCAGAACCCCCTCTTATGAAGTCAGAAGACCCAAGCATCGACAAGGCCCTTGGCCAGCTAGGTCATGATCAGGATGAGCTTGACTTGGCCATCCTGGGCCATGCCCAGGTTCTGACCCGCAAGTTCAACATCTGGAGCATGCTTTCTCTGAGCTTCTGCGTCTTGGGCACCTGGTCCACATTTGCCCAAGGTTTCTCTAATGGCCTTACCAACGGCGGGCCGGTTGCAATCCTCTGGGGACTCGTCCTTGTCCTCTTTTGCAATATCTGCGTGGCTGTCTCCCTCGGCGAACTCTGCAGCGCCATGCCGACCACCTTGGGCCAGGCGTTCTGGATAACCAGCTTATGGCCTACTAAGCTAGGCCGATACACAAGCTATATGTGTGCATGGATCAACACGTTCGGCTGGTGGACGTTGTCTGCGTCACAAATTGCCTTCATGACTGATTTCATACTCGGCATGAAGCTCATGTTTGACCCTGAGTGGGCAGGTGGGGGTGAGGGATGGGTACAGTTCCTACTCTATATTGGCCTCACCTGGTTCATGACCTTGATCAACGTTGTGTCATGCCGCAATGACAAGGTCTTACCCATGTTCAACAACGTAATCGGGATCACTTTTGTTGGGCTGTTCTTTGTCGCCATTCTGGCGCTACTTATAGCAATCGGCATGAAGCCTGATCTTCATTTCCAGCCTCCAACTTTCGTGTTCGGAGCCTGGATCAATCAAACGGGTTGGACCGACGGCGTCACTTGGTTCATGGGACTTCTGCAGTCCGCATACGGCCTGACTGCTTTCGACTCAGCCATTCATATGATCGAAGAGATCCCGCACCCTCGCACCAACATTCCACGAATTATCTGGCTGTCTGTTGTTTGCGGAGCGTTTAGTGGCTTCATTTTCATGATTGTTTGCTTGTTCTGCATCCAGTCCTTGGACGATGTACTCAACCCCGTAACAGGCCTGCCTTTCATGGACCTCATGTGGACCACTGTGGGATTGAACGGCGGTTGTGTACTGCTTTCACTCTTCATATTCAACGGCATCGGCCAGGGCGTCAGTATTATAACGGCTGCCTCGCGACTCACCTGGGGTTTCGCACGAGACGGCGGCCTCCCTTGGAGCGGCTATCTTGCACAGGTTAACGACATCTGGAAGGTACCCATACGTGCGACCGTGGTGCAAGGGATTGTGATCAGCCTTGTCGGTGTGCTTTATCTCTTTGCAGATACGGTTCTCGAGGCCATTTTGAGTGTTAGCACGATTGCTCTCACCATTTCGTACGCAATGCCGATTATCTCGCTACTATATGTTGGGAGGGACAAGCTGTCGTCAGGACCATTCAAACTAGGCAGAGTTGGTCCAGCTGCGAACTGGGTTGCCGTCGTCTATTGCAGCATCACAACCGTTTTCTTTTTCTTTCCTGGGGCCCCTGCACCGGCTCCAAGCGATATGAACTATGCGATAGCCGTGTTTGGCGTTATGTTGACGGTTTCCACGGTCTTTTGGTTCCTAAAAGGCCAGTTCGGGTATTCACAGGCAGAAACCTTTGAGGGCCATGCACCTGTCTTGAGAGAAGTTGCGGCTAGGGAAAATACGACTGTGGAGCCTCGACCAAAGGAGTGAAGGGATATGCTGTGTAACTTATATAACCATAATATAGTGCAAAGTATTTGCCAAGGAAGCTAGAGGTCTTACATAGCACCTTGTTGGGGAGACATTTGATATTAAGACATGAGCTCTATGCCTACTCGTTCTTGATACTCCTTGAAACATGAGCTGTGGCTGAAGCTTCCCGAGCTTGACCTAACCCTGAAAAGCCTGGTCTGGCTGAGGTAATCCTGAGGGTTGCGGGACTCGCGCATAATTCGAGCATTTTCATGTGGCTTAGGACTTTTGCGTGAGGTTTCTCGTCTTATATATGTCGAAGTATTGTACTTTTACCACCCATAGCACTTAGAGTTAAATGAACCAGTCATAGGCTCCGTCTAACAATTGAACATTGACTGCGGAACGTTTGCCACGGGTGTTTTAAAGTATCTAGGTCTGTATAACCCATGACACTGGCGCACCACTGGTTGAGTACTCTTTTCCGCAAAAGAAATAAGTCTAGTAATATAAACCATGTTTATACATTGGGCCAGTTTTGTGGCAGCCTTTGTGGCCGCCAAAAGATGGCTCCATTGTGGTTTCACAGTTAAGGCTTATGCACAGCTAATCCGTCACCACCTAGTTTGATAGCATCTAGGGTATACGCACAGATATGACAACTGCAACTACTAGTTCTTCCAGTCGCCGCGCATTAACCGCCCAAGGTCGAAAACCCCTTGGATCACGTTACGCCCAGCAAGCTCGCTGACAAACTCAAGTTTCTGCGGCAATGGCCAGTTGTGCTAATGGGCAAGATACGAGTAGAGTATCCCAGCAATAAAAGTGTCACCAGTGCCAATAGTACTACCAGAGTCAGGTTTTGCCATGAACAATGGTATGGAAGTCCTCGATCCTCACTCAATGACCGTTCAGCTCTTCAACACCCATGCGTTTCTATGAACATAGGCTCCAGTTGCAGGCTCGAAAGCTGAGGCACCTTGTGCTCCCCAGGTACAGCTGAGGACAAGACTTTCATATGAGAAGTAGTTCATGCAGGCGCCAGTACAGAATACGCAGGGCAGGAACCTATGCGTTGAAGGCGAGCTTTGCTCGGAGGCAAGTTTAGGGGCCCTGGTATCCGTTTCCCTGTTCATCGACAACCACTTCGTAGGAACACTCCTGCTGGTTCTAGGGATCAGGGCATCCCTACTTATCACAGCCCAGGTTTTGGAGTAGAATACTACATCAGCTCCAGGGACAGGCTCTTGAAGTCCTTGCCTTGAGAACTTCTCGATCTCCACGCTGACCCTAGCACCTGGCGCCGACTTTCGCACATGTCGGATGCAATCCAACATGACATCCGGTATGCGGCCCTGTTCTAATCAGGGCTCATTGAACTTTTCTCATCAAGGTGGCGAGATGCACCTCAAAGTGATACCACCTGGCCTCAGTGTCTAGGGATTTGGCGACCTGAGTGAATTCCTCGAACTTCATATCCGGCAGGGTATTGTAACTAATGATCGTTCTAGAGGGGGTCGCCATATTCTTGATGATGTAGCTCGACGCAGGCTCATCGCATCTATGGCAATACATGCGGTTTGCAAGGGACACACCAAGCCTCAGCTACCGACGTATTACTTCGCCTGCTGGGGATGAGATGTTGAGAAGGACCGCAATCAGGTTCAAGCCGAAGGACGCCTTGGTCTTGTCATCACTAGTGAAAAGTTGTTCAAGAACGTCGACTGTATTCGGGCTATTTCCTCCCCTCCGTCTCGTAATATTGGATGCGCTCAATTTACCATCCTTAGTAACGACGTGCGGAACGCCATTTGATATCAGCCAACGAAGAAACAGACATGTCAGAAACGTTTTACCTCAGAAATAGTATCGAGGCAACAGTTTCCCACTCCGACATATTGCCTCATGGCTGGGTGAAATACCCTGGTGCTGGGATGCCACAGTGATTTAGCACCTGGAGCCTAATGATTGAAACAAGAGACCCCTCTTGCAGCTCAACACAATAAGAGATAGGCCAAAGATAAGTTCCACGAGGTCTCTCACTCCACACCTTCATAACCGCATAGCACTGCATGTGGTCTGACCTTCACTGTAGATATGTTCAATCGCGTCCATCGCACGCCCCCAAGTCCGCCTCATTACTCAGTATGACCTGGGACTGCGTTCTACAAAAGAGCCTAGGATATTACAAGAAAGCCGTATTTATCGTAGTTAAAGTGTTCCAAACTCGCGATACTCTCAGCCCAACCATCATCAATCTCTCCTAGCTGCCAGTCGTCTCCGACCTTGAACATGCTTGTCCTTCCAGCCAGCACAACCTTCTGTCTCTCTTGGTGCTCAAGCGCCACATCGGGATGCGGTACCCAAACGACCCTCATCCCAGCCCGCCTTGCAGCCTCCACCCCAGCTATGCTATCTTCGATAACTAAACATTCACCGGGCAAGATGGCCCGTTCGCCAAGCCCTGCAGCCGAGTTCAACGACTGCAACGCGATTGTATAGATATCCGGCGCTGGCTTGACCCGGTCCTGCCCTAGTCGTGGGTCGTCGCCCAATACCCGCCTATTGGGCTGGAAAAAGTCCAACAGCCGTTTCGTTATCGGCCTCGAGGTCTTCAATGCAAAAGACTGGCTTTTACTGCCGGATGCTAGTTGTAGCTCGATTCTGTCCCCGGAAGAAACACTGCACGCATGGCTGAGATTCGACAAAATCGTCTCAGCGCCGGGCAGCGGTTCGCAGTCTGGGAAATGCCGTCGCATCAGCTCACCAGATTCACGAGCGAATTGCTCACGGGAGATGGGTAATTTAGCCCAGCTGTGAAAAAAGTCGCTGTTCGTCGAGCCCGGCACCCCCATAAGCTGGGCTCGAATGGATCTAGTCAAGACAGGTCGTCCATACTTTTCAAGAAGTTCGTTCGTAGTTTGTGCAATTATGTCTTCCGAGTTGATGAGAAGCCCATCCATGTCGAAAATGCAGGCACGGACTGCGGGGAAGCTAGTCTGAGGTTTAGGTAGATACTCCGCCTCTGTGGGTAGGGGCACATACGTTGTCTTCGGGGGCGCCATGTGAATTGGGTCAGGCTCAATAATGTGATATGACATCTTGTCGGTGACGAAGTTTATCGGGGGAAGAGACAATCAACTGCCTGCCGTTGTCAGCGAGCAGGGTGACGAAATAGCGCGGAAAATAACGGATGCGCTTGGCGGCGTTTCTCTGGCGATTTCCCAAATGGCAGGTATTATCCGTAGACAGGATTCCACCCTGACAGAGTTTTTTGAGCTGCGTACGGACCTTGAAGAACATTCCAGTCTTTACCAGACGAAGTTCGACACTAGTTTGGTCACGTACCCCCATTCTCTCTCCACTGTGTGGGCATTTGCGAAGTTGAAGACTCATGCTCGACAGCTGTTGGAGCTGATTTCTTTTCTTGATCTAGATGTCATTGGAGATGATTTATTGATTACAGCCGCGGTAGAATTGTTCTCGGTGGGACACAATTCAAGAAGACCAACTACACTGAGGCCCGAGCTGATCTTCTACAGTTATCTCTGATCCAAAGAGGCAAGCAAAAGCAGAGGGTATCTGCACATCACATGGTACAGGATGCTGTCTTGGTACCCATGGAATCTTCAAGTAAACGGTTCTTAGATTGGCGGTCCGCCATGCCCAGGTCGTCAAAGTAGCCTGAGCTGCCCAAGCCCAAATCAACTGGCGGAAGACAACACGTTGGAAGGTGGCCTGTTTATGCAGCAATATACCCCCATGTTCTGAGAATACACCAGCTGTGATCTACCATTCAAGATCCCTCCGAAGCCGTCAGTTTGCAGTTTGCAAAGTTGCTGAACGAGGCTGCATGGTGCGTATACGACGCCTAGCTTGCTTCATGATCTAACATTGCCAGGTATCAAAAGGAACGTGGGCGAACCAAAGACTTTGGTGTCTTCTTCGAAACTGCTCGTAGTGTCTGCGAGTCTTCGACCCATGCAGACCGCGATTCCGTGCTCGCAGATATATACTTCTGCTTAGGGGCTATCGCCATGGACACGAGTGATTTTGATGCAAGCGGAATTCATAAAGAACGTTCTCTCGATCTAGTCTTTAAAATCTGCAAAGAGTTGGGAACTAGCGATGAGAGGCTATACGAACGGGGTATCTCGCGTATTCAGGATCAACGATACGATGAAAGAGAAGCCGACCTGAAGGAGGCACTACGGATTCGCAAGGCTCTCAGCAACTACATTCCCCGAGCAGGTGAGGCCACACTTAGCTTGGCTCCCCTTGCGCAGGGCAAGCTCGAAGAGTGTGATACGCTTCTAGTGGATAGTTTATCGGGGATGGAGAAGGCACTGGGCAAGGATGATAACGAATCTGTGAAGACTGGGCTCATTCTCTCTGCACTTGGCAGCTTACGTGCTGTGCAGAACCGATGGGACGAGAGTTTGGAGTTCCACGACAGAGCATGGCACCACATGCGCCGATCCGTGGGTGAAAGAGACGTGTATACTGCGAGAGTCGCCTATAAAATCGCGGAGCATCTCATCCACCTCTGTCACGGCAGTGCATTAGGTTTACAGAAGGACCGGTGAGATACCGAACCGTTTCCGCTATACAATCCCTATCTTGTCCCCTTTCCTTGTAGAGGGGCAAGATTCAGTCTCTTTCTGAATTGAACCATACCTTTTGGACTTCTGATTATATCTGACCTTACAATCCCCTTGACAGCCTCGGTCGAAGCGAAGAAGCGATGTAAGTGCTTCCAATTCCAACCAAGCAGCCGAATGTTTTTCCTAACCTCGCTCAGCTCTATGATGAATGGCGCGCTGGACATTTGGTCCGTTGATCCAAGTGCGCACAAAAACGGGATTGCTCGAACTACCTTTTTCAAGCGTAAACTGTTTGAGGCGATGGGCAAGTCGCAAAAAGCTTCTATTGCTCTCAGGGTGGCTACTCGATTGAGAAATGAGATTATTAAAGAGAGCCGAGACGTAGAAAGCTTGACAATGAAAGACTTTAACGATATAGTTACATTTTGGACTCAGTGATCAAGGAGGTTTTGATAATCCAACTAATAAACATGCATATAAAGAACCGAAACTGCCACTGGTACATTTAATAAGATGCTATCCTTAAGTCAGTGTCTGGGCTTCTTCTCCTGGCACGGTTTTATAGGACCCCTAGAGTTGCCGGCCTCTTTGATCACAGTCAAACCGCGCCCAAATTCATCTTGAGATATCCACCAGCCCAATTCACAGAGTCTCTATACCAGTGATGCTCATTGACTGTGCGAGATGTGATTAGATGACAAACTTCTAGACCATTCGCAGTAGTTATGAATTTCTTGATCTTGTTTTTCATTACTATTATTCTTTGATTCAGTGATCACCATTTTTCTTTGTTGGATTTTAGTATACCCACCTAGCCTTTAATATATTCATTTGGAAGCCGGTGTTGTTACCGTGACTGCCTTATCTACGACTTGTTCAAGGAAAAATCCTTACGTATCGTACCGTTAGCGGTTGTGGTTCATTCGCGATGCGTCGCGACGCAAAGTCTCCGGACTGGCTCATCTGTACCGTACAGTTTCTGCCTTTTGTCTTTTGTCCCTTTTTTTTTGTTTTTTTTTTCCTCCTATTTCAGGTGTATTACGCTATCCTTCTTGACTGACCAACAGTATGTGCTTCGTAAGCGGGCCCCGTATGTAAAACGGCTCTTCAACGCGGAACGATTTGTGGCTTCGCTCATTCCGGGGTTCCTGCACCTGTGAAGGCTGCGCAAATTCTTGTCAAGCCCAATCGTCATAATTGTAATTCCCCGGTCGGCCAACCTGACAGTAATTATCCCACCGGCGGTTTTCTTCTATACGTTGTCGGTCAGCCGCTTCAGCCACTTCGGGCGTCTACCATCTGACCTAAGGTCATGGTTCCTTCGCCACGATACCGTGCAATTCGATCGAGGATCTCCTCACAGTCCGTCCAGATCCGGCGTCTATTTCTCAGCCCAAGCAAGCGGGTCCTGTTCCGTGCAAGCTCACATCGCAAACGATACCAGTCCGTCTTCTTCGCGGCCTGCAAAGGCGCCGGTCTAGAAGGATAATCTCGCTCGTCTTCCTCGTCGGCTGCGGCTTGTTGCAATGCATGAATCGCAGCCTGATGCAAGCCCTCATCCTGAACAGTGTACGCCTCTTCTCTGAGAATGTTCTCCGCTTGGTGGATGATATTTATCACCTCATCGTGTTGCTCTGTTCGGCGGCACAGTTCGGAGGCCATGTGGTACGCCCATTTAGAGTAACCCAGAGTGCACCATGCTTCCCAGAGCCAAGGCATCTCTCGCAAAGTCAACGAGCGAAATAGTGATTGCGGCAGGTGATAGAAGGATCGAGAGGCGAGCCGGAGATTTGCAATGTCTCGCGATTCCAGATGGTCCAATATCATGAGACATCGCTCTCGCGGTAACCGGGCAAAGACATCGTCAGAAGTGCTGTGCAGCGCCCCAAATACGGGTGTATCATATGCGAAGCCGGGGTCGCCCGTCCGGTCCGATGCAGCCAGAATCGATTCTAGTTTTGTCCCGAAGCAGGGATTGGCAGCCACGAATTCGTTGCCGGCGACATGCTGAAACCATTGCTCATTATTTACCGCTGGATCTCGCGGGAACTTATAGAACTGGTCGCCAGTCTCGATAAGCCACCAGTTAATCAGCCCTTCATAGTCGACTGCCCCGGACCGCAGGATGGATGCGCGTTTGAACACCTCGAGGCATGTCGGATGAAATGGCATGGCATGTTCTTCTGCCGCCTTGGTGTCGTAAAAACTGTTGTCGGCACATGGCTGGTCGCAATCATGCCGAGAAGGGTAGACTGATGGCCAAGCCATATCACGGCTCGGAGAGTGATCACTTAGACCGCTGAGGAAGAATTTGCCGGACGTTTCGAATTCCTGATCATCGGATCCGGATTCCCAGTCATCATCTTTCGGAACAAAGCATTGAAGAGTGGTACACCCACGCATTTCCTCCACGGAAATCGCATGTCCGTTGAAAGCGCCCTCGACATAGCTATGCCTATTCCACTCGCAGGCAGGTCCGCCGGCAATGTGCTCGTAAGTCATCGCTTCATCCTCTGGCGCGTCGTGCTCCGGAATCATGACTTCGGGATGTGCCGCGGGGGAAGCCAAGCTTTGGACAAAAGCTCGGTACGTCTCCGAGGCCCCAGATGAGCATGACCTGGTATCGTCATCCCCATCCGTGGTGTCGTTCTCTGGCTCGCTCTCATGGTGCGAGTCGTACTCATATGGGTCAAGCTCTGCCGACGGCCGGTGCACATAATCATCGTCCTCCTCATCGTCGGCAATGGCACATTCTGGCGCTTTAACGGGGCCACGGACAACGACCATGCACCCAGATGACGGCGGACAGAACCTCGATGACTTTGAATGTCGATGGATGAATCCACCAGTGGAATATCCCGAATAGTCCCATCCCGAAGATCTTGGCTCCGTCAACGTTCGAATGCGACCGATGTTGAAGCTCATGCCGCAAATCTGGCAAGCAATCTCGGAGTAGCCCATGTTGCCGTGGATTCTATCGATCTATGCCCCGAGAAAATTTGAATGCGGATGGAGGGACTTTGACTGTTGTTGGCCCATCCCGCGGTGCCGGGTGATATTCATGCACCAACGTTAGTCCAAACAAGATTAGGCACCCGCGGCCCCTGTGGGAACAACACCCCAGTCTCTCTATGCAGCCATGTGCCTCGATTGTAGTCGTCTATGGCATTCGAGCTGCACCAACATTCTTAGCATGACTATATCCATTACAGTGACATAGGGATAGGCCGGACTGATTGACTCATAAGAACCGAGCGCGACCATCTGGTGTCCGAACGAGACACAACGAGACATTGCAAAACCATACAAGCTGCCAAGGAACTGGAGTCAGGATCCTGTCGTTTTGCAAATATTGTTCGTTGACTGCTGCCGTCACATTCTGCTATACTTGATCTATCTTTTGGTATTTGGCCAAGCCCTACAAGATCTCAGCTCGGCTGTTGTCTTCCGTTAGCAAGTGGAAAGAATCTACTATGTACGCAGTAAAGCTGGCCAATTGGAACGGATAAATATTTGTTTGTCATATTGAAATAGTGGGTATTATTGAGATCATCCATGATTAATCAGCCCACTACGCTAACAGCGCGCGCACTCACGGAGTACGGAGAGTTTAATCGCCGTGCCTCAGCTCGCTCGTTGATGCAAACAAAATTCTGCGATGAGAATCCTGCCAATGACTTGGTGCAACTGCTCTGGCCAGGCCAGAACTTGGAAGTCCTCGAGCCAGGCGGCCTTTTGTGCGGCTACTGCGCCAACATTCCGAGATCTTGCGGCTGAATCTGGTCGCGTACCTTGCCTCAACGGGGCATGTGCAATTCTGAGGCTCCACGATGGATCCACGACCCAGTAGAGACAGGGGCAGGGAACTTTATCAGCTCTCGCACCTTCGGGCGCGCGCGGGTCCGCCACCCTGGGCAGGTCTTCTTCCTGGCATAGGATGATGAACTCAGCAACTCTCGTCGACAACATTTTCGGGGTCCTGCGACCAGGCGAGAAGAACTGCGTCCCTTCCTCGTAGAAGACAACGAGGTCCCCGCCATCATGTCTTCACCGACGACGAGCGCGGTGTCGCCCTTGGCACAACTACCGTTCGCAGCCAGCGCTGTTATCATCGGCGTCGTCTCACTGGTATACCTTGCCTATCAGTGGGCGCTCCCAAAGCCTCTGCCAGGCATTCCTTACAACAAGGAAGCAGTGAAGTCAATTCTTGGGGATGCAGCAGAAATCAGGGAGCTAAAGAAGCGAGGCGGCCGGCCTCGTACTTGGTTCGGCCAGCAGAATGCGAAGCACAACAGCCCTCTCGTACAAGCGTTCTTGGCTCCGCTGTCGAAGCCGATGTTGATCCTCTCGGACTTTCGTGAGGCTCAGGATATCCTTCTTCGCAGAGGCAAGGAGTTCGACCGTGGTGGTAGAAACCTGGCTGCCCTGGGTGGTGTGATTCCGAACCACCACATCGGCATGCGGACTTCGGATCCCCAGTTCAAGGCCAACAGAGAGTTGGTAAAGGACCTCATGACACCAAACTTTCTCAACACTGTATGTCTTCCGAGACCTACGAATCCCGAGCTGTTGGCTGACTTCAACTTAGGTTTCCGCCCCTGAGATTCACAGCAACGCCCTGAAATTCATTGATCTTTGGAGATTGAAGGCATCTAAGGCTAATGGGCGCCCCTTCCAAGGCGACCAAGACATCAATGTGGTTGCTTTCGACATCATCAAGGTTGTCGCACTGGGTGAAGGGGACTCGCAGAGCATGACCGAGCTGTACCAGGAGGTCGTCCGAAAGACCGACTTCGAGACGCAACACCCGGATAGCAAGGATGCAGCTCTCGAGTTCCCCGAAAATCTGCCAAATGAGGACCTCCTTTCGCACCAAGTCCAACAGGAAGCTATCGGGCAGTCGGTTACAACCCCTTCGCCGGCTTTGTTCCACAAGTTCAACAACCGCAAAGCTCACATGCAAGAGGCATACGGCATCAAGATGAGAATGCTCGAGAAGCAGATTGGCCTTGCCATCAAGCGCAATGAAGCCGGAGAGGAGGTCAAATCTGCCTTGGACTACATGATCAAGCGTGAGATAAACGCTGCGAAGAAGGCCGGCCGACAGCCTGTCTTTGACTCTCCCTACATGTATGACGAGCTTTATGGATACATTGGCGCCGGCCACGAGACGACGTCGACATCTTTCCAGTGGGCTCTGAAGCACCTTGCTATCCACCGCGACGTCCAGCAAAAGGCTCGAGAAGCAATGCGCGCCGCTTATGTCGACGCGGCTGCCCAGCGCCGCCAACCAACTGTAGCAGAGATCACCAAGATCCAAGTGCCTTATCTGGAGGCCGTGATGGAGGAAGCACTGCGCTTGTCCGGCCCGATCCTGGGTATCGTCCGTCAAGCACAAGTCGACACTACGGTTTTGGGTCATCGGGTGCCGAAGGGGACAGAGGTCTTTATGCCGCTGCGGGGTCCGAGCATCACACAAGCGCCTTTCAACATCGAGGAATCACTCAGAAGCGAGAGCTCCCGGTCTCACAAAGACACCCGAGGCTTATGGGAGACTGACCCGGAGGCGTTCATCCCAGAACGATGGTTGAAGCCCGAGGAAAACAATGAGGCGTTCGACTCGCAGGCCGGTCCCTTCCTCACCTTTAGCAACGGGGTCCGCGGCTGCTTCGGGCGGCGCCTGGCCTATCTTGAGTTGAGGATTCTCATGGCGCTGTTACTATGGAACCTGGAGCTTGGTTCCTTGCCGGAGAAACTGAACACCTGGGACGCTGTGGACAGTTTGACGACTAAGCCTGCCAAGGTCTATGTCAGGATCTCGGAGACGAAATGGTAAAGGCACCCTTTGAGAAGAGGAGTTTCATGGAGTGAGGTACCGTATTGTCCGTCAATGGGCAAAAAAAAAAAAACGCGTAGACAGTAGTTAGACTTTACGTCCCTGTTTCAGTTATAGACCATGTACAAGCAATAGATCCTAGTCGCATAAATCATAGGACGATGATTTCTTCGTCGTCATCAGACAGCCCACCCCCACGGCGCATGATCAGAAGCACACTGCAATGAATGCACGCGCGTCGCCTAACCATGGGTTGCTGTGAGCTGTGCCCAAAACGAGACCTCGTGAATGTATCAACAATGCAAGCGACCACAAAATTGCAGAATTGGCAGAGTCCCGGGCAGGATCCATGCATCACACGAGTTATCTGCCGTTCTTGTCGAGATATCTGACGCCCCGGATGGTGTCAAGCGGTCGACATTGATGTGAGGCCAAAGGTGGATTAAGCATCCATATGCAGTAACAAGTGCGGCCGCGTCCTAGGCAAGCGAACCAATCATGTGTCCGAAGGATTGCGCTGTGGACGAGCTAAAGGTTGCAGTTCCACTTCTCTGGGTTCATCCTTGGATCCAGTTGACGCACCGTCTTACAACTGGGGGAGCCAACTGATGGTTTAAAAGCTCCAAATGGCACGTCAAGCAAAGCAACAAGTTCAATGCAATTCTTCCCAAAGCTGGTTTGCGGGAAGACGCGTTTCACATCTTCTATGTCAACACTTCAGATGCTATTTTTCATCACTCACGCATAGGTTTTATGAGACTGAGGCTTCTCGGCGCGCTGTTGGGCTGGAAAGGCTATTGTGTATTGCTCGTGCCGTGATTACTTTCTGCACACTATAGCTCACAACATTTCACATCATGACGACGCCGAAACATCAGCCGCGGAGCAGTATCGCCTCCGGATCATCACGGAAGTTGGTCGGTGCCTTGTCTTTATTTGCTGTGATCGCAGCTGTTGGTGTTGGCAGGTTCTGGAAATATACACCAAACTGTCGAACTATTCCAGGCGATGCGTCGTGGCCCGGTCAGAGTATATGGGACAGACTGAATGAAACGGTCGGTGGCAAGCTCATCGCAACGGTGCCAATCGCTGCGCCCTGCCACAAGACCTTGTATGGAGAGCCAAACGGCTTGTTTGACGAGGATGCATGTGCAGCACTTCGGGACAACTGGTTCCTACCCGAGACTCATCTCCCTCATCCCTCCTCTCCCATGGCCTACCCCTTTTCGAACAACTCTTGCAATCCTTGGCTCGATGCCGACACGCCGTGTGAGGTTGGGAGTCATGCGGTTTACACAATCAATGCAACTACGGCGTCGGACCTGCAAGCGGGAATTCAGTTCGCGAAAGAACACAACATCCGCCTGGTGATCCGCAACACTGGCCACGACTACCTAGGAAAGTCTACGGGCGCTCACACATTGGGTCTATGGACGCATCATCTCAAGTCTATTGCACTGGTCCAGTATGACGACAGCACCTATACGGGCCCTGCGCTGAAGCTCGGCGCGGGGGTAGAGGGCCTGGAGGCCCATACTTTTGCGGATGCGAACGGCCTTCTTGTAGTCGGCGGCAACTGTCCAACAGTTGGTATAGCGGGCGGCTTTATCCAAGGTGGCGGCCATGGGCCGTTGGTTTCCAAATACGGCCTGGCTGCGGATCAGGCGCTCGAGTTCGAGGTTATCACTGCGGATGGCAAAATCCTGACAGCCAGTTCAAGCAAGAACAGTGACCTTTTCTGGGCGCTGCGAGGCGGTGGAGCAGGGACTTTCGCTCTGGTCACATCAGTTACTATGAAGGCATATCCCGACACCTACGTATCATCAGCTTCGCTGACGGTGCTTAACAATGGAGCGAACGCGGATGCTCTATATTCCTCGATCGGGTCCTTCATCAAAGAGACTCTACCTCCTCTCGTGGATGCTGGTGCCTTCGTGGTATGGGTCGTGGCTCCTTTTGGGTTCATGGTTACGCCGGCGATAGCACCAGGTCTGACATCAGCCCAATTGGATGAGTTTCTGCAACCGACCATCGACACACTCAACAGTGCGGGCTTGGAATTCCAGTATGCGTCGGAACAGAGTCCCACATTCCTGGAAAGGTATCACACCATAACGAAAGCCACCAGCTGGAATGTTTCAGATTATAACCTGGGAGGCCGCCTGATCTCCCGAAGCGTTGCTGTAAATGACACCGACAACTTGGTCGAGGCGATCCGGCACATCAGCTCTCAAGCATTGATGTCTGGCGTGAGCTACAACGTCGCGCACAGCGTTTCTTCCCCGAGCGACGTGGCGGTGAATCCGTACTTTCGCGAGGCCCTCTTCGGGGTTGCCCTCGGAAACCCCATCAACTATGAGGACTGGGATGCTACCTTGGCTGCGCAAGATCGAATCACAAACGACCTAGTCCCTGCCTTGGAGAAGGTCACCCCCAACGGCGCATCGTATCTTAGCGAGGCGGACTTCCGACAGGCGAACTTTCAACAGACCTGTTACGGAGAGCACTATGCGAAGCTGCTTGCAATCAAGCGGAAGTACGACCCGGCCGGTGTCTTCTACGCCAGAACAGCCGTAGGCAGTGAAGAGTGGGAGGAAAGCCCCGGTGGTAGATTGTGTAGAGTAGGCTGAGGTTCCAGTCTTTCAATGCTGCATCTTTTCGCCATTTCGTGGTTGAGCAGCCCCACTGAATGGTCGATTTGCATTATGAGGGTATCAAGGCTCAGTCAAGCCCAGGAAGGTGGCGTCGGCATCAGCGAAGGTGCTCTATCCACGCCAGTCACTCTACAGGAATTTTCATATGTTGGATTTAGAATTTAGATTATATATAGAAGAAGTCGATGCACCTTGTAAAGTCGTATCCAACGTGGCGGTTATGCGCGTACATGTTCTGTACAAGCTATAGTGGAAACTAAGCCCCCTGGCCCCCAAGGTAGTTGGCCGCATCCATGATCGGCCGTAAAATCGTGCCGAGGGGCGGCGGGCGGGCGGCGGCGGCCCCTCCAACGGCTTTCACATGCAGGGTTCAATCTGACTGGGGCTAGAAGCAAAGGGGCAGCCCGCGGTCGACTTTGGAACCTCGACGAACCAACACCCAATGCAAGTCGCTCCCCTACATAACCCATATACCATATACTTGTATGCAGCCATACGACTACAGCCGGTTGTACCGCAACTACACCACGCCATTGCCTGCACATGCCCTGGTCGCCGATCTCCTGTCGACGCCAGACCTGGGATTGTGTCCCCGAGAAGACGAGAAAGCGGAGCCGGGGTCCGAGCCAGAGCCAGAGCCAGAGCCAGAGCCAGAGCCAGAGCCAGAGCCAGAGCCAGAGCCAGAGCCAGCGTCAGCGTCCGAGCCCCTCCCTGTGCCCCCCATGACGGCGGACCAGACGATAGCCGCCGCCAACCCCACCATGTCGCCGTCCAACGGGAACGGCACCGCGGGGCACGACCAACACCAACAACGACACCAACACCAACACCAGGAACCGCTCGCTCAGCAGCAACAACAGCAGCAGTCGCAACAGCAGTCTAACGGCGACCACCCGGACGACTGGACGCCGCGCAACATGGAGGCCGACATGCGCGCGCTGTGCCACGGGCTCAAGACCAAGGTCGACAACTTCCTCGCCGCCGACACCGCCGACGACGACGTCCTCCGCGCCGTCCAGCGCCAGGTCCGCGAGGCCAAGGGCGTCATTGACAAGGCCCTCTCGCAGTACAGGTATGTGTGTGCTGCTCTGCCTCCTCTTTTTGGTCTTGCTTCCCCGTGCCTTGCGCCTCTCCGCGGGGGATCCTAGGCAGACATGACTGCAGGCGAGAGCCACCATAAGCGAACATGTTGCTGACGACCTCCCTCTCTCCCAGACCTGACGAGCTGGCCCTCTCCTACAACGGCGGCAAGGACTGCCTCGTCCTGCTGATACTGATCCTGGCCTCGCTGCCGCCGCACTTCCCGCCGCCCTCCTCGAATCCTCCGCCGCCGCTGTCCTCGTGCGCCCCCGGAACGACCCCTTTCCCCGTCCTGCTGCAGGCCATCTACATCCGGCCCGCCGCGCCCTTCCCCGAGGTCGACGACTTCGTCGCCGAGTCGTCGCGCACCTACCACCTGGACCTGGCCACCAGCCGCCAGGGCCAGGACATGAAGGCCGCCCTGGCCGAGTACCTGGCCGAGATGTTCGCCGTCAAGGCCGTCTTCGTCGGCACGCGCCGCACCGACCCGCACGGCGCCAACCTTCGCCATTACCAGGAGACGGACGGCGACTGGCCGCGCTTCATGCGCATCCACCCCGTCATCGACTGGCATTACCGCGAGATCTGGGCTGTGAGTATACTTTCCCCGACTTTCCCTTCTTTCTTCCCTCTATCGGCTATCTTCTTCGTACCCGCCCCATAGACGAAAACGAAATGATTGAGGAGCGTTGCATGGGCATCACTCGAAAGACAAGCACAGGTTACTGACTCGTTCATTCCAACACAGTTCATAAGGGCCCTCGAGATCCCCTACTGCCCACTATACGACAAGGGCTACACATCGCTAGGCGGCACAGACGACACACACCCCAACCCGGCACTTAAGGCCGAGAGCGGAAAGGAGGCGCAGTTCCGGCCGGCATATGAGCTGGTCGAGGACCGCGAGGAGAGGCTGGGTCGGGACTGAGGGCGGGGATCATGTTCTGTTCTGATGAGGAACAGCACCACGGAAGAACGGAGCGAGGGGGTCATATAAGAAGCGCGAATGGGCGAGCGCAACACTCTATAGGCATTTTCACCGTACATTTAGACGATACGGATAGCATACCGTGATCCCTGCACGGCTTGGCATGTAGCGCTTGGAACTGAAATAGAGAAATACCTTGGTACTATAACTAGATACAACCCCAAATTCCGCAATTGCAAGCGGCAAGGATGAGACACAAGTCCTTAAGAGCGTAGTAGATGTCGAATTTCTCCCAGGGCCAACCTCGTGCCAACCTTTGGTTCTTGAACTCTGATCCGAACTGCCTCAGAGCTCTGCAACTCTAGGTTCTGCCTACGTGATATCGACTACCCCGGCGAGGTCTCAGGGTGTTTAGATAATTACCTGTGCCGAGCCACAATGAACCCATGATTCGTATGTCTCAGAATTGCTGCGTCTGTTGACCCGGGCGCATAGGAACCAAATCATTTGTTTATTTCTACATATCGTGCTGCTCCGGAGTCGACCCAGAGCGGGGCTGGGGTTAATACGATCCTCGTCAATTCTATGATAATTATAGCCAGCGCATCAATGGCTAATAGTATCACAACCGTCCAGGGCCCGAGATTCGTGATGCCGAGTTGGCATTGATACAGGGTATTGCGATAGAGTGAGGTGTTAGGCGACTCTTCATGTACCATTTGCTCATCGGCCGCTCTGATCCGACCGATAATGCCTACTCAACGGCAGACTCTCCAGGCCTGGGGGATTAATCCGTAATTGACTGATTTTAAATGATGAGAGTTGCGGTCGAAGCGGGTCATGAACCTCGTATGTTGTCTTGGCAGCCCCATGTTCTAGGCCCTCGACCCTGCAACCCTGCTCCTCTGCGCCCGATTTCTGGTTTGATTTCTAGTCTGCTGCTTTTCTCCTTTCTATATAGCTCACCAAATGAATAGCAATACCGCCCTAGTGGCTGCTAAACTTGAGTCCAAGTAGAGTGCTTCTACTTCTCTGAAACATTGTCTAGCATTACGGGGTATTAGCCCATACCCGACCTAAAGCGGATCTCTATCCACATATCTTTGCAAGGAGCGGAGAACATGGACCTTGGCTTACATCCTGGCTCTGTGTACGCGGGGGAAACTGAGAATCGCATGGGGACAGGCACGTCCATGTGAAGCTTCTTGTGGAGAGCGCCTTTATATTACACCCGGCACCCACCTCACCCCTCATACGACACTGTACGTTCTGTCGCGAGTTGGTTGTCCCTCCATCCAATATCATATCACTTCCACAATCTTAATACTTCCGTTCCCGTTGCGATGGTTCAATTTGCTTTGTGGGCGCTTGCTCTAGGCGCGTTGGCAGGGAGAACCTCCGCCGTCGCCATTGATGGCCAGCCTGCACAGTCAAGACCTAGGCAGCTTGATTGTACCGGAGTCAATGCCATAAACATCAATTGCAAGTCGCAGGAAGCTTCGTACCATCGGGACTTCTTCTACGTGGGCGGCCGCTCAGTCAATGCCTCCACAGGCACATTGACCGTCGATCAAATATACGTAGAGAAGCTGACGCCGACGCTCTCGGAGCACAAGCCAAACCCGATTGTCTTCATCCACGGAGGGGGTGTTTCTGGGAGTACATGGCTTAACACGCCTGACAACCGCGAAGGCTGGGCAACCTACTTCACGAAGCAGGGCTATGTAGTGTACCTGCTCGACGCCAACGCCATCGGGCGCAGTGCCGAGAACGACCTAACGAACTTCACTACTATCCCGGGGACGTCTAATGAAAATGTTGAGATCGGCTTCACGGCGGTCGGGTTGTACAACTATTACCCCCAGTCTGCGCTGCATACTTAATGGCCTAGTTCTGGGCAGAATGGGGATCCAGTCTTCGACCAATTCAAAAAATCCTTCATACCCCTGACTTCGCCCTATGTAGCACAGGAAACTGCTATGCGGGCGTCGGGGTGTGAGCTGTTGTCCTTGCTCGGCGCTAATGCATATATTATCTCGCACTCTCTTGGTGCAAGATATTCGGTCCTGATGTCCAATGATTGTCCTCAGTACATCGCTGCGAGCATCAATATTGAGCCCGCCACTGTGCCGTTCTGGGGCTACGGCTACGGACTAGGCGGGAATCCCAGTACACCTTGGGGTCTCACGTGGACCGCTCTCGACTATGTACCAGCTATTGCCAACTCTTCCGGTGAGTGGCATGGATCTACGCTTTAGTTGGAACGACTGGTGAACGGTGCGTGCTAACAGTGATCTGCAGAACTGCAAACAGAATCGGTTGGCAACGAGACCATGGCGAAGCGGAACTGTTATCGTCAAAAGGAGCCAGCCCGACAGCTGCCCAACATCTCCAGTGTACCATATCTCATGGTTACAGCCGAGGCTTCTGTTCACATCACATACGACCACTGCATTATTGACTATCTGAAGCAGGTCGGGGGGAGCCCGGACTGGATCAAGCTTTCTGATGTGGGAATTAAAGGGAACGCCCATTTTATGCACATTGAGAAGAACAATCTAGAGATCGCAGCTGTTGTAGAGGGCTGGATCGAGGCGCATTGAGGAAATAGTCTCACGATAATTTCAATATATTATACAAGTACAGACAGATATGGCGGATGGGTGCGTGGATCTAGCCCAAGACATCACGGCACAATTTTTGTTGAGACGTTGCCAAGCCTTGTTAGTAAATCACCCAGGTAATGACAGCAGGAATGATGGCACTGTACTCTTGTCCGTGGTATCAATACTTGTCTCACGTGCCTCATATTGCCCTCGTTCACATGGAGTAAATTCTCACAATTAGAATCATACTGGTTATACCAAATCTTGAGTTCATATTTGTCTAGAAATAAAATACAATGCAGTCATTGAGTGTTGTGATCCGAGAGTCCTTAGTCTACGACTAGATGGTCTCAACATTCCTTCTATGCAACGATCTGCACTGACGGTCTCCCTCCTCTCGAAGCGTGGCAAGACATTCCAAAGACCTTCGATCCTGAGAGGTCCTTGGAATGTCCTGCAGCCTAGAAAGGAAGAAGACCGTATCATTTATTAAAGACCAAACTCTTTGATGTTAACCGTCGGGTGTTGTTTCTTGCAGTGCCGCCTGAAATTATCCCTCCTGAAGTTTGGTGTTCCGTACCTACGACAACTCTTGACAGTGCAAACCCAGTAGTCCTTACCAAATCTATGTTTGGCTTCGACATGGCGCCTCAAGTTGCTTTCACTGACAAAGGTCTTCTCGCAAACACCACAGCGGTGGGGAGGTGTGCTGTCGTCTTGGGTGTTGGCCGTTATTTCGACTGAGGTCGAACCAGAAGACTGTTGCGGAGGTTCTTCCCAAGGGTGCGCAGAATGTGGTATAGGGGAGTAGGGGCGGTGGTTGGGGTCAAAGCAGTCGTAGCCTGTAAAGCCGTCTTGTTGAGCACTAGAAAATCCTTGGAATCCTGAAGGGACACTGTCGGTACTCGGATACTCTGAAAGAAAAGGGGGGGCAGTGGGGAGTGGGTAATTTTCGCGCGCAATGCAAGGTTCGAACGCGTTGTCCCGCACAAATCCACTGCTGTGGAATTCTTCAAAGTTTTCTGCAGAGAATACCGAAGGATCGTAGTCGTCCTGACAGTAATAGAGGTCGTGCTGATTGAGAGGTCTACTAAAACGTGGCTCGTTGCTTGACAGGGCTCAGGCGGGCGGGTCTCCTGTTCAGGGTACAGGAGACCCGGCTCCTGGTCCTCAAAGAAGGATGTCAAAAGTGGGCGGTCCTGTGCTACTTCGCGAAGTAGCTACGTCAGGACTTGTGAAAGATGGAGTATATCAAGGCGAGGGATGTTGATCCGCCTAAAGAATTAAGAAAATCCTTCTCAAAAGATAGCCACTGTATATATATTCGCATTTGAAGAGATTCGTTAAGCTAACCCAACTCAAGTCTGCCCAGAAATAGACTGCCCATCTTTGCCTGCTTCTTTCGAGTTCAACGAGGCTGTGTCCAACATGTTTGACCAATCGTTGCCGCCATCTGCCGGAGCGTGGGTCGACCTAAGAAAGCCTCAAACCTAGCCAATTGTGGGAGAGGAGAAGAGCGGAGTGCGCATGCATTCCTCAGAACGAGCCAACCGCGAAATTGAGTATCATTTCTTGCAGCATAATGATACACTTCGGGTAGGCAGATTCAACTCCCAACCTGGGGGCGGCATATCTATGCATGATACCATATTTTGAAAGCGATTGTGTTGTCGATGACCTGCAGCCTGACCATAACCAATCCGCCCAATCCACACGGGTCAATGCACTTTCGGTGAGGCTTCTGGTTTGTTGTGGTCAGACTATCGCTGTTCATGCATATGGCAGCCTCGCAATACTATCCATGGCCTCAAAAATAGCCAATCGCGAACCGAGTCACGTATCAATGTGGGAGGCCCACCATCAGCGTGAAATTGTAGATTCCTCGGTATTACCGGAGTTGTTCGTAAGACAAAATACTTCGTGTATATAAGAACAGGTGAGTCCCAAAGATAACATCGATATTTCCCACACCACCTTTTGTCTTCTGCCTCTACACTACACTGGTCCACTGACAGATATTATCTTCATCGATCTACTTCTCGCTAAATATACATAACTACGTTATATCAAATACCCAGCCCTCAATTTCTCAGAATGACCGTCACTCGGGAAAATATCCTCATTTCAGATCCAAAATTGCTTGAAAAGGTTGACAAGCTTCGCGACTTAAACATTGGTCAGCACGTGCCTCTCCCTCAGGTAAGACCGACAGATAGACTTTGTAATATCTCACAGGCTAATCAGCAAAACAGCTTGTTGTAGTTGGAGACCAAAGCTCTGGCAAATCAGCCCTGCTGGAAAGCTTGAGTGGGATTCCATTCCCTAAAGATCAAAGTCTTTGCACCCGTCATGCAACTCAGATCACTTCACGCCGGGACAATGAAGACCGCGTTGATATACGCATTATTCCTAGTCCGCACGCATCAGAAGAGCACAGAAAGTATGTCGAGGCATTCCATATGCAGGTGACATCTGGCATGAAATTTCGGGAGCAGTTCGTGGACATCTTGAAGAAGGTGAGTGTGTCTCGAGGCTCTCAAATCACCCCAGGCAGCTCAAGTAATGTCAGGCAAGTGAAAGGATGGGGTTAAGTGCTGATATTTCGACTGGGAACGGCACCGTGTTTAGCCAGGATATTCTCAAGATCGAGGTCCGTGGGCCTCGTGAAGACTATCTGACCATCATCGACGTCCCAGGAATCTTTCGCACCACAACCCTAGGAACTACCAAGGACGATATGGTCATGGTGAGAGACCTGGTCAAAAGCTATATCAAAGAGGATCGTACCATCATCCTAGCCGTACTGCCAAGCAATGTTGATATTGCGACTCAAGAGATCCTGGAGCTTGCCGAGGATTACGACAAAAACGGTGAGCGAACCCTCGGTGTGCTCACCAAGCCCGACTTAGTTCTGGAACCCAGTGCACAGGCTACCGTCTGTGACCTTGTGCTGGGCAAGAAACGTCCACTCACTCTCGGCTACTTTCTTGTTCGCAATCGTGGAGCAACTAGTGGCTCAATTGAGCAGTCAGAACTTGACCGGATGTTCCAAATGCAACCATGGGCAGATCTCCCACAGGATCGTGTAGGTATTGCTGCCCTCAAGGAGCAGTTGGGTTCGCTCTTGGTAGAAATTACTCGACGTGAGTTTCCCAAGTTGCTCAGGGAAGTCGGCGATCAGATCAGGGAATGCAAAAGAGAACTACACAGCCTAGGGCCATCTCGTCAAGACGAGCGCGAGCAACGAAGCTTCCTGAATCATATTGCTGGGACTTTCCAAGATCGCGCCAGGGCTGCATTGGCCGCTGACTACAACGCGGACCCAGCCTTCGATCAAGATGATGAGTTGCGTCTCATCACACACGTGGTGAACATTACGGATGTTTTCAGTGCCGATTTTCAACAGGGCGCCCATTCGCGACACTTTGAGAATATCGAATTGGCTGAACTTGAATCGCTCATACATTGTGAGGTGGCTTCTGCACCCGAGTGTGAAGAAAAACCAGTCGAGTCGATGATCGATAGCCTACGAGCGCTGCTTAAAAAGGCAAAGGTAGATAGTGTCACGCCAGCCGAACTTGCTGAACTCAGCGAGGTCATCGTTCTTCCACATACCATACCAACGCCTTGTGAGGGCGTTGCTGCATGGATCAATGAGGTATATCTGCGCTCTAGGGGGATGGATCTTGGGACATTCAACGCGAACATGGTCTCTACGGCCTTTACAGAGCAGTCACGCAAGTGGGGCGATATGACAAAGCTATATATGAGCAGAGTTATCATTACCCTTCACCGCTTCATCGCTGCTGCACTCCGTTCTGTCTGTCCAGATGAACAAGCCCGGAGCCAGTTATGGTCCGCAATCCTTGAGACCCTAATCGACCGCTACAAAGGGGCCATGGCCCAGGCGTGTCTCCTGACCGAAGTTGAGCAGCGCAAGCAGCCTTACACTCTCAACCGGCAATTTACCAAGGCTCTCTCGAAAGCTCGAGCTTATCGAATCACTGAGCTGCTACGTCCAAAGGCAAGAAAGGACACCAAGCAGTACGGAGAGCTTCAGTACATGGTTAATTTAGACGACATTGCCAACGCTGCCGAAGGCAAGCGCAATGTGGATCAATTGCAGGAAGAAATTCATGATATCCTTCGGGCTTACTATAGCCTGGCGCTTGACCGATTCATCGATAATGTCTTTCAACTAGCTGTTGACTACAACCTGCTGCATGGCCCCTCCAGTCCCCTGAAAGTTTTCACCCAAGACTGGGTGATTGATCTAGAACCTGAGCAGCTCGAGCAAATCGTCGGCGAAACAAAAGCTGCCAAGAGGCGACGTGCAAAGCTAGCAAAGAAGATTGACGATTTGTCGAATGCCTTGAGGATCCTTAAACTCTAGGCGTCTATTTCAGTGCGACCCTCGAATGTGATCAAGAATTGATCTTGACGAGATTGATAACATCATTGGACGGAAATATAAACACTAATTTTGAAAATTTGCTAGAAACGAGGGACCATGATATGAGTCGTTTTGGGAATCTCAGCTTAGAGAACAAGTGATTTCAAACGATAGACCTAAATACGCATTGAAATGGGGTCCTGAATTAGGTTACAACGGTGACTTAGCGGAGAGTTCGCTGCAAGGTGTGTGTGTGTGTGTGTGTAAACGTGGATGTAATTGTGATATATCTGTGTCTCCTGTTCTTCCCTGGTACCTCCTGGTACCTCGCTAAATAGGTCGCGGCCCCGGACAATCTCCGGATGAATAATGACGGGTGGGTTCAACACCCGAAATCCACCGTAGTATCTGACAGCTGTTGGCTGCCTCGTATGTTTCCTGGTAGGCTGGCCGACTCTTGTTTAAGACCCAAGGCTAGAATCAAGCGTACGCAATAGGACAAAAGACCGTGCCTGCAGGACGGAGGGCAAGCGGATTGGATGGAACTCCTCACAACACCAATAGCTTTGGAGACATGATGTTGGTTTACTAGAACACAACATTCCTGCTTGTGGGTTGGTCTATTTTGGAAGCCTTTGCCCCAGTAGCGACTGTCTACCATCATTTAAAAGCAAGATGCCACAAAAAAGGGTGCTCTTTGTTCTTACCAACACCGCCCACATTCCTGGGACCGACAAGACTATCGGTTAGTGGTTGGGAGATAGCCTTGCTTCATAGACCTTTGAAGACGAGGACCAACCTCCGCTTATACCTTAACAGTCTGAAGTTGCACATCCATATTATGTCCTCTATAGTCAGGCAGAAATCGTACTTAAGGGCGGCTTATCTCCGGTAGACCCTATGTCCGTGAAACTCTCTATAGACCAAGTATCGCAAATTGAATTCTTTGACCTTATTTGCAAGCCACTCGTCCCATACAACGGCGTATGTTGGGGGCGAGGCGGTGCGGAGGCGGCTAAGGAGGGCAGAAGCGAGGGCGGCGCGGATGAGCCAGCTCGCAAGCGCGATCCAGGTTGGGCTTTTTGCGTTCTTGCTGGGTACGCATGCTGCGCCGCACAACGCGTCACATTAACATATCATCCCTTGCGCTACGGATGGGTTACTAGTTATAAACAGTTCCAACACAGACTTATGCGCCGTTGGGGTTTTGCCAAAATTGGTCACCTAGTTGCTTTAACTCTACACAGTCCCATGCCAACGCCTGAAGACGCAATGCCAATGGACGCAACATACGCCGTCTTGGCTGTCTACTTCCTTGGCCCTCTGGTGAGAAGCCCGCAGACCCAACACATGCGTGAAGAATCACTAATGGTATAAGGCCTTCTTCATATGGCTGTACAGAATCATATTCCATCCTTTGAACAAATTTCCTGGCCCCGTGGTGGCACGACTCACTGATGGCTATTCTGGATATCATGCTGCCCACCGACGGCTTCATCTTGCCACATATCGGAATCATCAGAAATACGGTACGCATGGTTTTGCTCTAAACTGGATCGGCGACTGACTAGAATAAACAGGACCTGTGGTCAGGCAAGGGCCGAACCGACTCGTCTTCAATACTGTAACGGCGCTACATGGTGAGAATCTTGGGCACTCCAGGGACCCAACCTCTCTAATAGAAGCCAGATATTTACCTCAATCAGCGAATGACCAAGAGCAAAGCCTACCTACAGTCACTCCTCAGTACCCGCAGATTAAGCATGTTCAATGCCTTAGACAGGGCGGAACACAGCCGCAAGCGACGGGTGGTTGGGCAACTCATCACTGAGCGCTCCATGCGCTCCTTTGAGCCGAGCCTGACACTGCAAATTGACGTGTTCCTCCACCAACTTCTCGCCTCCAGCAAGAAGAGCGAGGTCGTCAACATGACAGTGCGATGCCAACGCCTAGCTACAGACGTAGTTGGACTCCTCGCCTTTGGCTACGAGCTGAATACGCAAACCGAAGACACCAATAGCATAATCCCAGCCGCCATGAAATCTAACGCCTACCGCATAGGCTTGTACATCGCGTGGCCGTCCATCTCATTTTTCGATCCCGTATTCCGCTGGCTCGGCCGGAAGCGGATCCCCAAGTTCTACCAGACGTTGCGGAAGATGATAGGCAGGCGCATGAGCATGCCCAAGGACGCTGCACACGACCTCTACGCGGTCGCGTCAGGGGACGTTACCGCTAGCGGTGACCGGGGTCTCCAGGACACCGACTTGTGGTCTGAGGCGTCCTTCTTTGTCGTAGCTGGCGGCATGACAGTGTCCACGCTCATGAGCGCCATCTTCTTCTACCTCTCCCACCATCCGGACGTGTACGCACGCCTGGCCACCGAGATTCGTACAACCTTCAACTCGGGCAGGGATATCGCCAGCGGCCCTCGGCTGAGCTCATGCAGGTACCTCCGTGCTGTCATTGACGAGACCATGCGCGCCGCGCCCCCGACCACGGCAACACCCTGGCGCGAGGACGATGTCTACTCAGCCACGCCGCCTCGCTCGGAGGGGCCGTTGGTCGTGGACGGGCACGTCATCCCCCCGGGAACCTCTGTCGGAGTCAATCTCTACAGCCTACTTCACAACGAGGCCCTGTTTCCGGGGCCGTTCGAGTTTCACCCTGAGCGCTGGCTCGCCATTGACGACGAGGAGGATGGCGCATATGGCAAGGAGGTACAAGCCACCATGCGGCGAGCTTTCGCGCCCTTCGCACTGGGCGACCGCGGTTGTGCTGGCAAGGCCATGGCGTACCTCGAGGCGAGTTTGACCATCGCCAAGACGCTGTGGTACTTCGACTTCGAGGCAGCGCCAGGGAAGGCGGGAAAAGTTGGAGGAGGAACACCCGGGAGGACAGACGGCAGGGAGAGGGTGGACGAGTATCAGCTCTATGATATCTTCACGGCCGACCATGATGGGCCGAATGTAGTGTTGAAGCCGCGTGCCCAGTTTACGAATGAGTGGGGGATGAAGAGCGATGCGTAACCCTGGGATGTCATCTTATCAATAGGTTGCCAGTAAGTTTGCACACAGCTGTGGTTATAGTTTTGCAATTATGATGATTCTTTTACGCAGTTCGCCTAAGTTGTCCACTTAAAGGCACGATACGAGTTGCGTAGCGTGGGAACAACTCCCCATCTCTCCTTATGCCTTGTCTTCACTCAACGGGAAAATCCCGCGGTTCAGCTCACCGAGCCATCCAATACTACTTTCCATTGATTAGCAGGACATGCATTGCAATTGGTTTACATGAATTGGGCGACGTTTCGATCTGTCAGGATGGGGGAATATGTAAGGCTTAGCGCAGCAATGCGGCAACCTCCAGCCAATCGCGTGAGTTACAGCGCGAGGAGGATCGCCAGCAACATCGTGGACCTTACTGATTACGGCTAGTTGCGCGAGCTCCCATATCGGCGTATAATCATGATGTTTCGCTCCGTCCACGATGGAAGAGATGGGCTGAGAAATGTATTTAAGCAGAGCCAATTTCCTTTCAAGATTGACTTGTCTTTCATCCATCCAGACATTAATTCAGATAGTGTTAATTCCCTACACCGCTTCCACACCCAAAACATCAGCAGTGTAAAGCACATTTCAACCTCCAACTACTCCTCTCACATTCAAAACACCCATCATGACATTGGAAAATCCTCGTGTGGTTGTGACAACCCACAGGGAGGACGGAACCTCCGTCTTCATGTCGGACAAAGCTCTCGAGCCATTTGCACCGTTGGGTCCTGCCGGCAGCTCGTTCGTTGTCTTCGATGCGCGCTCGGCAGTGCCAATCTCGAACCAACAGCCGAGCCTGGACCTCTCGCTCTCAATTCCAAGGTGTCCACCGAACGGGGTCCTGTTCAGCATTGCCAACTTCCCGCCTGACGTCCGCGTCCCGATGCACCGGACCCTGAGCTTGGACTACTGCATCGTCCTGTCTGGAGAGATCGTCCTCGAGCTGGATGGAGGGGAGGAGAAGACGGTCAAGGCAGGGGAGTTTATCGTGCAGGGCGGCGTCAACCACAAATGGGCCAATCGGACGGATGAGGTCTGCCGCATAGCGTTTGTCATGGTTGGAGCAGAGAAGGTCAAGACCCAGAGTGGAGAGTCTCTAGAAGAGACCGTGATGAAGAAACCGTAGACCGAGGCAGGATTGACTTTTCCTTCAAATACAGCTCAAGTTCCCAAGTTTTGCTTTCATGCCCGTGTATTCGCGAATCCTCTCAAACACAACTTGAGCTCTCTCTTTCTGACCGAATGTAGTCCTGGAATCTGGGCCCTTGATGATTTTAATGGGCCACAGGAGCAGATATGCACCAACCGCCCTGCACTTCGGCGGACCCTTTGCAATGTCGTGTACGTTACCTAGGTGATCAATGTCGCCGAAAGACTGAGGTACAGTTGCGAGTACACCATCGGCGAGTTGCCGTACAGTGGTGATCGATTGCTCTACCATCTCGTTGATGGTACTTACAACGGTCCTAGTTGCAGTTGAGGACTTTGAAGCGACTTCCAAACACGTCAATACCTGTTGATGGAATATGATGCGGCCTGTCCTGTGGTAGTTCCACTCATAGGCTCTCCACACATCCGCATGAAGCTCGAAATATTCAGTAATAGGCGGGGTAGAAAGTTGTTGAGGTCGCAGCATCTCGGGAACGCTTCCTGACTTGAAGTTCCATTCAGAAGACTGTCGCCAGCTTGCTGCCGCCTGGTCCAGCGCCACCATCTCTTGAGCCATTTCGAGCAGGACATCAGGCGAGAAATCCTGAGACTGGACGCGATTGAGGAGTTCCTGTGCTCTCTGGCAGGTTTCTTTGATCATAAATGCATCCTTCTCAACAGCTACAAAATTGATGTCGTCGTTCAACTGGTCTAGCCATTCTTTTGATTCAGTAAGCTGAGGCATGCCGAATGCAAGCTGTTGCTTTTGCTGTGAGCATGTAAGCCTGGGCATGACGACCGACTGTCATCCTTTATATATACTGACGATTCGGTGATGAGCCAATCTGAAGAGGCTCCAGCCACGGGGACTGTACACCTGTTCGGAGCCTCGAAGCCTCAAGATCTGGGCCATACCCTGCGCATGGGCGCCTGCTCTAGCAGATTCGGGCAGGAATAAAGTCTGACAAGGCATATTAGTCAGGGCTCCATCGGTGTTTACCCATCCAGGCGGAATATACCTCGAAAACATCGAGGACGACCACGGTCATCAGGTCGTAGTCGTCTGGAGCCTTTCCGGGTTCGGCTAGCGACTCTCCCAGTGCGGATAACGCCATGCCATAGCAGTGCAATGCTTTCTGTGACAACTTGTCTCCGTCAGAGTCTTGGGAGAGATCTGCATACCCAGCCGCACGCACAGCCCAACGAAGGGCAAATCTTCCTGGCACATTGACGTCCTTGAACAGCCCCGGTAGATGCTCCAGGAACCCTGGGGATGATGTCTCGTTGCATGGGTACATGACGTATTTCTCCATGAACCGATCTACAGCCTGGTCTTCCACAGACTGCGGCACCCTGCTCGGTGCCTCTTTCAGCCATGGCAATCGCTGTCCCGGTGGCACGGCATCAAGCTCCTCCTGCGTCAAGTCAGACGGGTCACTGCCCACCGCCAGGGAGGAGCGCCTTGACTCTTGCAATCCATCTTCCGAGCGAGAACGCCGGAGCGAGCCCGACGATGAGCTCGGGCTGAAGTAGGCCGCAGAAGCTCGAGCATGCTCGATCACTTTGACGGTCTCATGGCGGAAGATGATGGTAGCCTCGTCGCGATAGCCCTCACAAATGTCATTGCGCTTGATGCAGCGCTGGCAACTTGGTCGCCCTTCGTCACAGCGCACCCGCCCTGCGGCCGTTAGCTGGCTGTTGTAGCAACTTGTGAGGATTCGGTGAGCAAGGGTGCCCTGGAGCTATCGCCGTGGTGCTGTGTGGGCGGGCATGATTGATAGGGAGCCAGCGTGTGACTTACTCTCTCGACACCGCAAGCATCCTCGACTTAGGCGGCCCATGTAGACAGGGCACTTGACAAGATTCTCCTAGTCTTAAAATTTAATTCGAATCACGAGATAGCAAGTGGTCGATTGGGATCTCCAAGCAGAGAGGTAGTTTTGAGGTTTAGTCGCATTGCGCTGCTATGAGCTCCCGTAAGCTGGAGGCAGCTGTGGTCAGCTGGATGTGCCCTTACAAACACTGGCATTGTACAACACCTGCAATATATAGTCCAGCAACTCTCCGGCTTACGTGGTATTGTAGTCCAATTACACGGCCGTCATATTTGGCAAGGCAGAATGGGGCGCGTGGATGTTCCAATGTCGTCGTGTTAGCACTCTTTCGCTTCTGAACGGCCGTCCATCTCTGTGAGCATTATGCTTCCGAGGGAATAATTGACAACGGAAAAAGGGTAACATTGTTCACATCAGTCATCCAATGCAATACAGGATGGAGATTCAAGTGGAACAAATCGGATTCGAATCCTAGTTCTTGCCAGCTCCCCAAAACTCCTTACATGTGTGTAATCAAATGTCCGATTCCAAAGCCCGATGCTCTTTACAGCTCAGACATAACTTCGACCTCTTCGGCATACTCCTTACCCCACGGGCCGAAGAATTCCGTGAATGCACTCTCCAACACCTTGTCGGAGAGCTGCATGTGGTCGCCGGGGGTCGTCCGGAACTTCAGGCCGCCCTTGCGGTCCAGCTTCCTCAAGCCCAGCCAGTCCTCCTCGTAGATCTTCCTCGCCCTCAGCGGGATGCGCTTCTCGCCAATGACCTCCTCAAACCAGGCCGTCTCCTTGGGGATGACGGTCTTGTCGTCCTCGAACATGTACATGACGAAGTTGTCGAGCTTGGCAATGTTCTCGGCATACGTCTCGTTCTTGAGGACGCGCTCGTTGTTGATGTCGGCGAGGAAGTTGGAGTGCTCCAGGTAGTTGTCGAGATCCTCCGGGTCGCGGAAGTACTGCGCGGGCACCAGGTGCGACTGCACGTACTGGCTAAAGGTGTTCCCGTGGAGGAGGGCCATGGCGCCCTTGCAGAGCCAGTCGGTAGGCCCGCAGGCGCGGTAGTCGACGATGCCGTTGTGCTGACTGCCGAAAGTGAGCAGATTGCGGACGGGCGGGTAGTTGCAGCGCTCGACATAGGCGCGCAGAAACTGGCCGCCCTGGCTGAAGCCGACAGCGTCGACGGCGGGTGCGGTGCTCAGGATCGGGTGAGCTGCCAGGTCGGCGCACACCTTGTCGACCTGCTCGGTGACATTGCCCCAGAAGGTGGCCGTCTGGTCGCCAGAGGCTTGTTCGTCCAGCTTGACATAGTAGACCAGCGTGCCTTCGTTCAGAGACTCGATCAGCGAACCGACGGACTGGATGCCCTCGTTGGCGAAGTTGTCGCCCAGGCCATGCCAGATGATGACGGGCAGAGGCGTGTCGTTGGGTTCATCGCTCGTGTCGGAACCAAGCGGACGTTGGGTCTTCTGCCTGGCGACGCTGAGAGTGGCGAGTGGGAGTAGTGATAAGAAATGACGTAGCGACGGCATGGCGCTTGTTCCTCCAGATGAGGGATGCTTCTGGCGATATGTCTCGTATGCAAGGTAGGTAGAGCAACAAGCGGACGAGGCCAGGTGTATACGGAGACTTTGAAGAACGGCCTTGTGAATCGATGCGCTTGTTGATCGTCGACGACGAAGGCTGTGTTGAATCCCACGGCGTTTCAGCGCCTGTGATAGGCAGCAAGTTGCAGGTTGTCATCATGGATACGTACTGTATCGGAGCTATGGTGGGCCCGAGCTTACCGGTCGGACGACTGCATTTCCACGTTGCTGCATAGCATTATTGTAGTCGGACCCCGTTATAAGCATATATATAGTCTCTCTGTGAGCCCCTACTTCACCGGATCGACCACAGAATTACGTCTCAAGCGAGTACTCAGGTTGAGAGATAGTCGAGAGGAGCGGATCCCGGTTCGTCCGCCAGTACGCTGCGACAAGGGAGTCAGGGTTCGTGGAGCAAGACTTGGAACGAGACGACGACTTCATTAATGATCTCGGTCTACCCATCTGTTTTGTTTTCCATGCCCGAACGCCATGCAAATGTTGTGATCTACGACATGTGGTACCCCGAACGCCTTGTATGAGCCGTGCGCAAGCGAGACTGCTAAGTGACACATTAAATATCAACCGCCTTCTTGGCAGCCGCCTTCTGCTTCTTGAGCTTGGCCTTCCTCTCTGCGATCTCCTTGTCGAGCTTGCTGTCGTCGCTCTCGGGTGCGGTCTTGGCCTTGGCCTTCTTGGCCTTCTTGGGGACGGGCGCAGCGTCCTCAGACGGCCCATCGAGAGACTTGCGCTTCTTGCCGATGTTGGCCTTCTCGGCGGCAGCCAATGCCTTGGCCTCCTCGGACTCGTTCGAAACGATATCCTTCTCACCGTCGAGCCACAGCTCTCCGGCAAGGTACACCGGGAGCGCCACGGTCTCGGGCCCCTTGAGGTAGATGCTGCGTACGTTCTTCTCCTTCTGGGGAACGTACTTCTCAATCAGGGTCTCGGCCACGGTCCTGGCGTTGGCGGCAACCTCCTCGGCCTTCCAGCCAGCGTAGCCGATGCGAATGGCCGTGTTTGTCGAGGGCGACAGATGCACAAGCGCGGCGCCGACTGCCTTCTCAATCTCGGCCGCCATCTCTGCTGGGGTACATGACCTGGCCTCGTCGTCCTTGGGCTTCTTCTCCTTCTTCCCATCGGCCTTGGGCTTGTTTCGCGACTCCAGGTTCACGGGGATGGGGCGCTTGGCGGTAGTCTTGAAGAATGTCTTTCCCAGCACCTTGGGCAGTCTGTTGATGATCCTCGAGTCGCCCAGGAAGACATCGTGCTCGGCGTACAGCTTGCGCTGCTCCTCGTACTGCTTAAACTTGGCCTGCAGCTTTCCTACGTCGATGACTCGTGTGATGCGCTTGCGCCATTCCTCTGGGAATTCCTCTGAGGCGATCAGGCTTCATTATAGGTCAGCCGGCTGTGCCTTTGGGTGCAAGAGGGTGTTTCATGGGTCTTACTTCTTGTAGTGGCGCTGAGGGTCGGCGCTGATCAGGCAGACACTGACCTCGGGGTCGGTGTTCAGAGGATGCGGGAGCACAATCTTGCCGGGCTTGAGACGGTTGGTGTCTGAGATGTGGCGCTTCGTGGTCAGGGTCAGCCAGATGGGCTGCTCGCCGAGGGCGGTCTCATCGTCCGAGTCGGCCGCGAGGAGGTTCTTCTTGTCGGCGCTGGCGGCCTTCTCCTTGGACGCCTTCTTCATATGCGCCAGCAGGGCCTTGGAGGCCTTCAAGGTCTGGTCGGGGTCGACGACCTGGAGGGCCGAGTCCGACGACCGCAGCGTCATCTGCTTGGAAGGGGCCATGGTGAATGGGGCGGGCAATTGGCTTCCTCTGGAGTGTCAGGCGTGCGAATTGCTGCAGCAAAATGTTTGGATGCGACCCTTTGGACTTCTGCTCCAGAAACTTTTGGGACGTGGGGCGGGAAATTTTCGAGACGGCCGATAAGATAAGAACGGCAGAACGATTGGCTGCGGGCTGGAGCGGGCGCCCTTGTACCCCAGTCCTGCTTGCACCGCCACAACCCGACTTGTGCATCTTCCCCGGTTGCAGGTTGCCCAGCGCACAGCAGCCATAACTTGGCCGGAACACAGCCATTGGATACTCCACACTCACCCGCCACGGCACGCTACTGCGCCTCAGGCACGCATAGCTGCAACCAGCCATGGCGCCTAACGCTACCGCGCCCGTCTGGCCTGTCGCCTACCAGCTGCACCAGGATGATCAAGGCCGCAACATCGCCTGGCTCACGCGCGCTGACAGCCCAGAGTCGCCCGATTCACCTCTCACGCCCGTCTCGCCTCCCTCACCCGAGAGCATGGCCTCTCCCGCAGCCGGCCAGGCTGGCCAGACCTCGGGCAGCCAGAACGGTGATCGCCCGGCCATCCCTCACCCTGGCCGTGTCATTCTGAGCCGCCGCTACGTCGCCGAGGAGTACATTGATCGCGCCCTGCTGCTGGGCTGGACCGATCCCGCCAAGGAGATCAGCCGACGATTCGAGGGTGTCGACCTCATCTACTCGCTTGTCATCGAGTTTGGAATGTATGGCTCAAAGATCTTCTCTGTCCAGTGTGAACGGTCGCTAACGGCTCACCCAGCCCGGACAAGACCTATGATGCCGCATGCATCTTCTTTCACAGAATTCGCCTGATTCATGGTGATAAGGACTTCTTGACTCAGGACATCGCGATTGCCTGTCTGTTTGTTGCATGCAAGAGTGAGGACACGCTCAAGAAGTCACGCGAGCTCCTTTGCGCTGCCTACAACATGCGCATGCCCAACGACATCCGCACTCCCGATGATAAGGTGAGCCCAGTGTCACTGTCAGCTCTTGCTGGAGAACATGGACTGATGATTTCTCCCCCCCTACCTTGTTCTCAGATCTTCGACAAGCCTTCCCAGAACATCATCGCCCTTGAGCGCCTGGTCCTTGAGGCCATTGCCTTTGACTTCCGCGTCCACTACTCGCAGGAGGCCATTGTCAAGCTCCTCAAGAAGATTCTGACACAGGAAGAGGCTGATTACATCTGGGACATCGCCTACGACATGTCTCATGACCTCTACAAGACCTACATGCCCATCAAGGTCACCAAGTACGGCATAGGCTTCGCCGTCGTCGAGCTGGCCTCGCGCCTGACCGGCGAGCACACCGAGAAGGTCAAGTCCCTCAGCCTCAAGGAGTTTAGTGTCCCTCGTATGAGAGTTCGCCAGGGCTTGCTCGATCTTCTCAACCTCTACACCCAGCATCCTAAGCAGACCAAGGTTGGCCGTCGTTTTGATCTTGACAAGTTCATTCAGATCAAGATCGAGGTCAACAAGGAGATCGAGGAGGCAGGCCCTAACGCCCTGCCCAAGAGTCCCTGGGTCCTTCCCACAAACGAGGACCTGCACTCGATCCCCACCACCGGCTACGGCCAGGTCACTAACCGCTTCGTCTTCGACACCGACGAGGCTTATCGTGAGCAGGGCATCGTTCAGCAGCACTTCAACGACGAGTATGAGGAAGTTGAGATCGAGGTCGAGGAGGAGATTGGCGAGCTTTCTCATCCCCCCGACCGCCCCCACGACCGCCGAGACCACGGCGGACGAGGTGGTTATCGTGGTGGTCGAGGTGGTCGAGGCCACCGTGGCGGTCATGGTCGACACGGCCGCGATGACTGGGGCGGTCACCGCAACGACCACCGCCGACGCGGTGCGCCGTACTAGGCTGCTCATCATCGACCGCCAGCTTTTCCCCGCCACTTGTGCCGGCTGGGCTTTCTCAGGGATTCGTGGTTTTCACAGAAATGGCCTCAGTGGCTTTCTGCATGGCATGGCATGGCCTTTGTATTGCAAGTGCATTGTTGGCGTACAGGATGGATGATACCCCCAAAAACGTTTGATTTAGGACTTTCGTGTACACTACACGTGTAGCCAGTCAGTAGGGAATAGGACTCTGGTACCGGCTACACTTAGTTTCCTCCTGATTGCCGCTTCGATCAACGTATGTAACGTGATTTGTTCAAGTCTGCTTTTATTCCTGTTCTTCTTCTCCATCTCCATCAAATTGGCAGAACAAGCAGAGAAGTACGCCTTCTCATAACTCACGTTGACACGAGATTGCAACGGACTGTTCTTTTCCTGGTTCGTATATCTCGCTGCGAGGTAGCAGTGGATATGCGTCTAGAGGGCAGGTCACGAACAGCTATCCGTGCGACGGACCGCGAAGTATCTGGACCGGCCAACCGGGATTATGTGGTCTGGTCGATGTCGATGCCGGGAACACCGACAAGTCCTGAGTTTCTCGGCCAAGATGATGCATTACTTTACGTCCATTTGCTCTATTTCTTGCAGCGCTTCTTTATCATTCACACACGAGTTCGTGACTGCGTCTTGACTCTGCTCTGGGTTTGACTCTCGTACACTACCTGGTCTCAGAAATAGATTATTTTGTCAATATCATCCGGTCTGGTCTGATCTTGACCCGATCCCCACTCTTCACTTCGGCATGTCGATGACACGACAGACTAGCGAGAAATACCATGTCGTGCCACGCATATCCTCCACAAAAAATCTCCAAAATCACGCAACTTGAATAGGATATACAACGGCTGTTAGCCACATCCAAGCAAGGACTTTTGGCAGCTGCCGGACGATCCTCCGCTCTGATGCCGCCGAGTGAAACTGCATCCTCAGGGTCATGACTGAGCCACAGAAGCAAGCCCCAGGGCGCCAGCGCGCACATGGCGTGGGTGCAGAATCAGTAACTTATAACCCCCCGGACTATAGAAAACGTCGTGAATATGTTGCTCACGGACCGACTTTCGCAGACCGTGCGTGCAGTGCATCTATCCTTGATCGTCTGCGGAGAAACCTGTCACGAACGCCTCAGTGTCAACCTTAACTTGTGCTGCTGCATCTAGTTGGGACTTGAGGGGGATCCACCAACAGGCTCCGGGGTTCTTGTCATCGGGAAGTTGCCGAATGTCTAGTAACGGCCCAACGAGGTGTGGACCTGGGATGGTTGTCATGGTGCCTCGTCACCGTGATACTCTGTCGTTCACTTCGATCATCGGTACACTATGTATGGTTGCATCTCGTGGAATTCAAGATGTCCCAATAAGACATGGTTATCATTAATGACTTAAGCGAGCTCCTGCGCCTTGCGGGCGTTGTGCGGTGCCGGGGTGGTCTTACGTGACTGAACTATCGACACGACTGTCATTGTCTCGTCCAGGATTTTGGGGATTGACTGCCGTGACAGCGCGACGGCGGAGTTCATGTTTGCAAGGAGAAAAAATGTTGGTTGATTTGCAGCCCCCGCTGATGAAACATGGGGTCAGAGCTGCTGCAGAATGCGGTATACTCCACCTAGCGGATCGCGATTGAAGGAATTGGGAGCGTGTTGCGAACATTTGCAACTTGCATGGAGCCTCCCTCAAATCACCCAGTTAGGGAGCTCTGGGCAAGATGCTGCTCATCCGAACTCCTGTAGGAAGATACGAAATGCAAGGGGGAATGGCACAACTTTGCCGCCTTCAAGAAATCCGAGATGACAGGAACGCCAGAAGGAATGAGACAAGGACCGCGCCGTTTGGCCGAAATCCAGGCACAGCGCCACGCATACAGAAGGAATCGATATTGCAACAAAAGGTTGTTGGTCACATCTTGATGCGCATACTCGCCGCAAATGGAATGCCAATTCGACCACGCCGGACGTCTGACAGCTAGGGTTGATTACACCCTTCCACCGAGATCGAATTGTCTGATGTGCCTTACAATGGTGGGGGGCTTCTATCAATAGCAGTAGATGATCGTGGAGTTCCGGGGACGGGAATCCTATCTGTTCCCGGACTAGGCAGCTCAGGAACAGAGAATTAGATTGAGAGGTGGTCTGCGCGTACATGAGATTCGCTCGCTAAAGAGAGTTTCCCAGCGCTCTAGCTGAGCCGAGAAGAATACTGAGGGGATCGTGAGAAAACGTGGACGAATAGTGCCTTGTGTGGCAGCCACGGACTTTGACGTTGCACCCAGCGGTCGGGTGGCCTGCCAGGCACCCCACGATTGTCCGGAGGCAAGGAAGATCTTGGGATGGGCAGAGCAGGGTGTCGCACATCCGCGGTCAGCATGCATTGCTGGGTGGGCGCCGTTGAAGAGAGCGCACATGCGAACCAAAAGAACCATTTCGGTGGATGACAAGAGACATGACATCAAGTCCGCCAATTGCTGATTGCCGAAGCAGTCGTCGAAACAAGAGATAGTCATATGTCGCAGCTGAGCTGATACCGTGCCAACAGAGTTGCGTTTCGAAGGGCAGCTTATCCCAGCTCATATGGGCAAGGATTTCGATTCCTATTCGGGATATCAAGCTGGGGGTCGGGAGTGCCTAGCGCCGCTCTGTCTGTGCATGTGTGCGAATTATCCACAAGGCATCGTGACTACACCGCATCAAGGAATCAGCTCCAGCTCTGTGGTATCAGGGTGTGTCTGAGCGGCAACACCGATAGCTGATGTAGCGGTAGATCGATCGACGCATACAATCGATAGTTAGTGCTACCGCGGTCCTGAACGCTCCCGACCACGCCAGCGCCACCTCGAAGGCGGGGGAACGGGCCTGGGGCAAATCGTCGCAACTGTCGAACTCGGAACTTGCGCCCAGTCACGGCGCACGTTCGCCCTCATGAGATAGTCAGGAAGCACTTCCGAGGTCATTCGCTGGACGCCTGACCCCCTCTATCGTCGACAACCTCACGGCGGCGCCGGGTTGGTCGGGTGGTAGGGATGTTGGAGAGGGTTACAGTGCAGATTATAAGGTAAGCATAGTTTGGTTAAACCCCGTCCAACGTTATGCCAGGGAAAATATCCAGGGCGAGGGTGCAGTCCAATGCGAGGATGCAGGATCATATGGATCGCGCCTGCACAGACTCATATACATTCATACCAAAGGTACCCCCCATTGCAGGTAGCTACGGTAGACCGGCCATATCGCGAATCCCGCCGCCTCGCTTACAGCAGGCTGGCAGGTTGGCAACTTGTAATCGAGCGGTAATTTGAAGTCCACTGCAATCATTGGGGGCCGCAATTCATGGCCCGCATCTAAGTAACTCGTACGTAGCCCTTGCTTCCATGCCGAATGCTGAAGAATTCTAGCGTGTGGTCCTGCCTGGCTGGCTGGCTGGCTGGACCCTTGGCAGCCACTGGAGCAGCTCGCCGTCGGGTCCCTTGCACAAGCTTTTTGCAGCAGTTTCCAGTGATTTGCGGGTATGATATCAGTGTGCGGAGTCATCATCGACCCCTCGAATCAGATGCCAAATGGGAATCCCATCAGATTGGGAAACGTGACGACCCATCCAGCCCACGGTCCCCAAAGTGGCCTGGGTAACAGGGGGGGAACCGACGTTAGCCTGGTTAGCCCTGGAGAGATCCCGAGGATCACGTCCAGGAAGAGCACCAGTGGCCGGAGCATCAAACGAGAGCCCGGCGGCTCCTCCCATCAGCGGGCGGTCCGGATATTATTGTGTTCTAGACTGTTGGTTGCAGCTGGGGCTGGGCACACCGAAAAGAAAGAACTGTTGGTCTCTTGCTATCCAATGGATGTCTGTGGTACAAGCAAGGAGAAATCGAGATATCTACTGGGCACACTGGCTCGGCCCCTTGGGCGCTGCAGTGGTACACTGAACGGACTGGAGATGGATGGGCAAGTGGTGAGCGACGGCGCTGATGGTGTGCGAGCTCTTTGCGCCGGCCCCCAAGGCCCCCAATCCCCTTACCCGGCGACAACTCCAGCAGCCGATCCAAACTCGTTCGGGGAACTGGCTCGTGCCTCCAACGTTGGCTAGTGGCAAAGCGGTCGGCCAGCAGGCCAGCAGGGCCAAGGTGCTGCCCAGACCCTGCAGACAATGGGACCATGGAATTTAGTGTGGTCGCAAACTGGTATCAAAAACGACAGCGGGGGTTACGAGGTGCCACCCTAGCACTTGCAAAGGGCCATGGGTAGCTGCAAGGTCAGTTGCAGATGACTCTCCATGCGGGTAGGGATAGATCCATACCGCAATCTTACAACCCTTGAGTAAACGCTGGGCCCTGCTGGAAAGCAATCAAGACCTCTTAATTGGAAGGGGAGCCCGCTGTGCGCGTGGCACACATCTCGTACTTCTAAATCTAGAGAAGCTCCTGCGATGCGAGCCTTTTCTACTCTCCACTTCGCTTCGAACTGCCTATAGTCTAAGGGAAGAGTCGCTCCTACTAGTGAGGAAGCCGGCCGCGAATGTCTTGACTCGTAATGCGATGAGTGGAGGAAAGATCTTGACCATGGAATCATTGTAAGCTGAGCTGACCTTGCTTCCCTGCCTTGCCTTTCGGCGCCGGGAAAATCCACCACCCAGAGATGCGTGAGCTGATCAAGCATGCGTGCCATCAGTTCCATCACGACCGATTGTATGGAGTTGGGTAATACCATTTCTAGAGCTTCATTAGTTCTGAATGAGTATGTCCGGGAAGTACGGGAGGCCCGGGCTGACCTGGACGTGGTCTCTCGGGAGCTGCACTCGCTGCAGAGCGTGCTTGACTTATTGAAGGATGACGCTGGATCTCTGCCGTCGAAGGTCGCCACGGAGACCCCGGCGCTCTTGCAACAGTGTAACCTCGTCGTCAGCGAACTTGACGCCGACCTTCTAGCTCTCGACGGCAGTGCTCTTTCGAGACCGCAGAAACGATCGCAATGGATATCCAGGGGCAAGCAGCAGATGGCCGAGCTCGTACCAACGTTGGAAGCACATCGAGCGGTCTTAGGACTGGCACTAGACTTGGTCGGGGTGTATGTGACCAGAAAGCATCCCCGAGGACGTTGGCTAATCATTCACGCAGTACCGATGGTCGCGAACTGCACGATAGTACTGAGCAAGGGTACGACACGCGTGCCGAGAATGAGGAACGCCGGGCCGAGGTCCGCAACGAGGCCATCCGGATCGTTGAGGAGATGGCACAGCTGCGGGTGAAGTGGTCGAAGCAGTTCGATCCCTCTGGTCCCTACTTCCGCCTGTCTACCTACTGTGTCGCGTTGAAGGTCTACGCCAACTCCTTGATCCACAGTAAGGATGTCGAGGATGGCGCTTTCATTGGAGAAGGGCCGATGACAGGGGCATACGTGGGAGACTCGCCAGACAGCGCCATCGAGGTAAATGACGAGTCCTCATTCCGGGCCTTCGAGACGCCGCCAGAAATCGAATCTCCTGGTCTGACACCGGCAACTGCTGAGCAGTATATCCAGGACGTCAACGATTTGATGGACGAAATGATTGACGTTCCCAGCCGTGCCCCAACGCCACCCCCGAAGGATCTCAAGCGTCTTGTTAACCAACGTAATACGATGGTTTCCCCCTTTGAGCCACCTACCGTGGAGGCCGAGAACCTCTACGGAGTCGTCACCGAGATCAGCTCTCAGGGCAGGAAAGCATCGAATGGTCCGCCGCCTTCCAGGAGCGGCCGGCTTGGGCGTATATTTGGCCATATGAAGAATGCTCTGTCGGAAGCACCTACAACGTCAACGTCCTCCACATCATCGACAGAGGTTCGCCCCGTGACCCCCATTATGCAGGCCAGCCTCGTACGGAGAGGGAGCAGACGGTTGTCCACCTCGATCAGAAGGTTGCCGCTGTGGAGCACAGAGCTGGAGGAGCCCGAGGGTCCCGTAACTCCAGGCTCGAACGCGATCTTTGGGGTGTCGCTCGTGAAGAGTATGCAAGCAGCGAAGAGCTGTGCAAAGACTCACCACACCGGCAGCGGCTCATCGCGACGAGAGTTCCCGCTGTGCATCCACAAGTGTGTCAACTTCTTGATGAGCGAAGGCGTGAATGCGCCAGAAATATTTGCCGAGGCAGGCGATGGATTCCGCGTGCAGAAGCTCAAAGACACCTTCAGCCAAGCCCCCAAGTACGGCGAAGATGTCAACTGGGACAACTATGGCGTGTACGACGCTGCAGACATCGTCCTCCTCTTCCTCTCGCAGCTGCCTAGACCCCTGATCTCCGAGACCATTGCCAAGCGATGGATCTCGCTCTCGAAGCAGGCGACCCTGAGTGGCTCCCACGGTACGCGTCTGGACCAGTGCATCGACTTTTGGGAGGAGGCGCTCGGTGGGCTGCGGGGACCGGCCCGGAGCCTGCTGAAGTTGCTGCTGAACCTGTGGTCCTCGGTTGCCGACGCGGCCGATCAGAACGACATGACGGCCGAGAGATTAGCTGGTGTCCTCGTCAAGCCGCTCATGCACACGTCGTCCGAGAAGTATAGCACGGACTACATGCTTGCCCTGGCTTTCCTGATCCGGAAGCGCAGCGAATACACCATGATGTTGAACGAGGGCAGGAAGAGTCGAGCTGCCTGGTGATAGATCTTGCTTCCAAAATTGCGGGAGAGATCCGCCGCCGTGCCGCTGGTTAGTCCCAACTGGGAGGTTGGATCGTCCGTTCGTCGCAGGGGAGAACGAAAAAAGACGAAAAGAATTGAAACCGGTCATTGGCCAGCCTTTGGAACCATGCCAACCCAATTACACGCCGAAACTACATTACACCTTTTTCGAATTTCCTATGTCGCAAGCCATGATTTGGCCTACCCACGAGCTATGGAGGATATACCCGGATACCATTTGATGACCTCCAACACTTCCGGTCTAACGAGATCCCTAATATTCGAATTAGAGCCTGGGACTCTACTGGCTCTAGCTTTGTCCTTGGGCGATAGTAGCTGTTGAAGAGGTGCAGCGTCAACATTTGTGGAGCAGACACGGACGAAACCGTTTTTTGCGGGAGGCTGGGTTTCTTCCGAGAACCATCGACAGGAGCGAGAGACGAACCATGACTTGAACAAAAGAGAGACACTCTATGAAGGGACTCTAGTCACTTTATTTCGGGAGTTGATGGGGGTGTTCCTGTGATTTTCTGTTTCTGGATTTTTCTGTTTTCCGTCCACGCCTGCGCAAACCGCACATGATACCAAAACCCGAGTAAACATTTACTCCAGTATAGTTTCTGATTTAACGAATACCACCCAGCGCGAATAAAAAAAGCCTTTCTCCTGTTCCACGCATCACTTGCTCATTCGCAAAATTGCAATGTTACTCCGACAAGAAAAGTCTGCTGGTCTTTCTATGATCACGCCGTGCCGCAGGATCTTCACCCTCGGTCTAGATGCCGCATGCGATCAGGTGGGGACGGAGGAGCGCGATCGTGGTGGGATGCGCTGAACGAGTCGCCCGAATAACCGCGCATGCACGTAATTAATCCGAAGTTGGCACAGGTGATTGGCTACATCATCCTCCATGGAAGAAAAGGGAGAAGAATAAAATGGAAGAGAGGACGGAATCAGAGTTTGAGTATAATCGTGTCTCCAAGGGTTATGAATGACAACAGTATATAAATATGCTATTGCGTGGTATGGCCTGGGACGAAGGGGTCCTCACGACAGATAGAAGCGGTGCCATACCACACATAAATCTTATGGCAGGCGGTTCGCTTCAGCAGGCTGGCCACTATAGCGACATCGAATTTCCACTGTAAGAACTGCCAGACTCCACTAAACACGCTGGGCAGGAGGGAACGAAGGGAGCAAGAGGGAAGGAAAAAAAAAAGGGTTCGTTCCCTCGACGCGAGAACGCGCTCGCGTGCTTGGTGCGGTGCTGCAATTGAGGAGGCGGAGGGGGCGGGCGGGCCACTGTTTAAAACTGCCCACCGCCCTGGGTCCGGCTGTCACCTCACCTCAGACTCGTTTCCTCTTAGCCACGGGCCTCCTTGCTCGCGACCTGACTGACCGACCAGCCACTTCTGCAGACCCAGTGTGCAACCCTAAGCTTTTTTTCTTCCTCTTCTTGTCGGGCACCATTTTGGGCTGTTTACTTGTCGTTTCCGGCTCCGGGTTTTCCAGTTCATCTCGTCAACCCAAGGTCAAATTGCACGTCGGCTACGGGGGGAGCCTGGCTTATACGCAGTGGGGAGGGGCTTAATATCGGCTGGAACTGGGGAGAGCCAGATGCGCGTCACTGGCACCGCGAATCGGCACTAAGGAATCGCGTGTACCCTTGCAGACCGTGATACTCTCGTCTGCCACCAATTTTCTCACCACGCAGCATTTTCGACCTTCTTCCCACCTGGTCAATTCGGTCCTGCTCTACCGTGGCATGAGGTTTGTCCATTCAGAATGACCCCATCGCGAGAAAAAAGCCTGGCAGACGCCGCCCCGGCGGGCGAGCCCTCGCTGCCCGTGGCCTCGCCCACCAACACGCTGGCCGGCGTGAAGCGGCCTGCCACAGCCCTGCTGCCTCCCTTCGAGCCTCTGTCCTCTTCCCCGGGCCTGCCTCGCCCCTTCAAGAGACAAGCCCGTGCCGGATCCATTGGGGCAAGCATTCACAAGTATCCAACTCCCGTGCCGACTTCCAGCACGGGTATCCTGTCGTCGTCCCCACCACGCGTCCAGAGACCCGGCTTACAACGCGCCCTCTCCACCGTGTCAGAACGTGCACCCCTCTCGGCCGTGCCCGCCGTAGAGCTCAACGAGAACGGCGAGATGCTCCTGATGGGTCGGTCGAGCAACTCGTCCCACTACCAGCTCTCGGCCAACCGCCTCATCTCGCGTGTTCACGTCAAGGCGCGATATATCCCCGCCACGCTCCCACTCGAGCCGAACAAGGTCGAGATTATTTGCAACGGATGGAACGGATTGAAGCTGCACTGCCAGGGAAAGACGTGGGAGCTGGCCAAGGGTGACACCTTTACGTCGGAGACGGAGAATGCCGAAATCATGCTGGACGTGCAGGACGCGCGTGTCATGGTGCAATGGCCCAAGAGAGATCGCCACGAGTCCATAGCTAACCTCTCGGACTCCTCGTGGGACGACTCGCCGCGGTCGAGGCCGCATCGCAACGGCTCTGCATCCGACCTGCTCCAGTCGAGCCCTCTGCGCCGACAGACGCGTGTCAAGTCGCCAGAATCGCCCACACCTACAAGCAAACCGTCTTCGGCGACGTCCAGCTTCAACGCCCTGCTGCCAGACCACGATGCAAGTGACCAGGTGCAGATCTATGAGGATCCTGACGACGCGGAACCCGAGCTACCGCAGCCAGTGCCCGATGTTGACGCTTCGTTCGCACAGACCGAAATCACCAACAGCTTCTCGAGTGATCTGAGCGAGCCGGATGACGAGAACGATCCCGACGAGGAGAACGATCCCATTGTGCACTCTTTCGGACCGTTTGGGGCCAACTTGTCCAACCGACTCGCCGCGTTCACTGCCGAGTCCCCTCGTCAGCCGTCACGGATCTCGTCAGGCCACTCGACTGCTCACCCCTCTGCCGAGCCCGAGGAGCCCCCGATCAACGAGAAGATCGACGTGGCGGCCGTGACCAACCACGTCGTCAACCAGCTCGCGTTCTCACGGCTGTCGTCCAACCCCCTGTCGGGCATCATGAACAATCTGCCCACCGAGGAGAAGAAGGACCTGACCAAGTACGATCTGCGGAGAATTATCGAAGCCAACGACTGCATTGGTACTATTCGGCGATCGGGAAAAGACGCGGCGGGGAAACCCCTGGAGAGCGAGTATTACTATATTCCCGAGAAGGATACTGACGAGTCGCGGCGCGTTGCCGTGACGGATGGCCTGAGAAAGCCAAGCCTCAGAGCCTGTAGAAAACAACACAAGGTAAACCGCCGTCCCCTCGGGAGCGTGGAAGCACAGCTAACGTCCGCCAGCAATACTACTGGAAACGGCCGAAGACACCTTGAAGCCTCTGTAGACTTACCGACCTTGTACCTGCATAGCGGAGGTGCTCCCTGTTTCCCGAAGCAGTATACCCCCTTTCACTCGACTGTTGATCATTACCGCATGGGCATAGCGCCCGCCGCGTTGTCCCAGGCCGTGCATAGCAAGAGGCGTTCTGTGTTGTTGTTTCTTGTTTGGGTTCATTTGCCATTCCCTGTATCTTGCTGGGGGAGTATCGGTCCTCTTGATGGTTCTAGAGTACATGTTCGTCCTTTGGCCGGCTATGGCTCGCTGCTGGGTTCATTTCGCTTTGCATACGCCGAAACGACGCCTTGGAAGACCAGTGTGGGAAGGGACGAAGTGATGAGCCGAGGACCGACGTGGATGGATTGTACATACGCTGCTGAATTGAACTCTATGGATCTGTTAGCTGAAGATTCGCCTAATGCCGACATGTAGGACGTTAATGGCGATGCTGCCTAAGCGACACCAACCACAGAGTGGTGTGATGGTGGCTTGTTCATAGCAGTGCATGCACAGACTGACACATCGAAAGACGGAGAACAAGTGATGGGGCACACAGACGCTTACTAAAAGCCTCCGGACCAACTAATCACACGATATCTGGACGACCGTGTCAGACAGTCTGGCTGCCACGTGTCAGGAACTCGAGACAGACAAAGCACATCTGCATCCGGGCTGAGTGTGAAGTCTTACAAAGTTATGCTGTGTGCTGAGGTAGAATATACTCGACGATGAGTTCATCCCACTCTCGTCGCTGACTGATAAGCGGGTCTCGGGAACTCGGGGACCCTTATCGGCGGTAGCTACCCCGCAACTAGCCCTGTACCCCGGCCTAAGCTCCTTACCCGATCCGCATCGCAGAACGCCGCTTGCTGTCAGATACCTCGCAGGAAGTCCCAGAAGGTAAGAACTCAGAAACCCGTCGGACCCCTGCCATCTGCACCGCCCGTGACAAAGTACTCGGCAACGACGCCCAGCGCATAGGAGACGCCCGCCACCCAGGCACCACCGATCAGGACCCTCTTGGTGACACTGCGCTTCTTCCTCCGCGTCCGGGCACCTTCCAGGGGGGTTGTCCTGGGTCCGCTGAAGACGGGCTCCTCACGCCTGACGTCGATGTTGGAGCGGAAGGGAGGCGATTGCTCTTCCACTGGCGGGAGGTCGTAGTTGATGAAGCCCGTCGGAGAGGCAAAGGCCGCGGCGTTGGGGAGCGCGGCGGGCTTGCCCATCATGTCGATGGGGTTGACGGGATGGGGGCGGCTGCCGCCGCTGCTGGCTGCGGGCGCGTCCCGGACCTTGCGGAAAACGAGGACGTCACCGCTCCCGGACACGATCTCGAAGCCCTGGGCCTGTAGAGGGGCAAAATGAGGAAAGAATTTGGAGGGGTTGGACAAACGCAAAAGGACTTCGGCAGGCGTTAAAGGCGCGGCCTGGTCAGGAACGACCGATGTGGTCTCGGCGATGCTGACGTTCTGCATCGTCGAGTCGTAGGCTAGAATCTTGTAGACCGTGGGCTGCGAGTTCGAGACTGCCTCATGGGCCACTGCTGGCGGTATGTCATCAACTAGCTGCTCTAGCGGGATGGCCGTGGCCTGTTCAGCCCGGTTGTCCTTAGCGGTGTTATCTTCCGGGGTTCCATAGGTCTTAACATACGCTGGTCTTGTGGATTCTGGTCCACACTCTTCAGCGTAGCTGGTTTCCAGGCCTTGGGGTTGCCTTGAGTAGGGGTCAGCGGCTGTTTGGTTCTTGGATTGACGGCTTTGCGACCTTCTGGTCCGGGAATCTACCTTGGAGTTAACGTGGCGATCCAAAGCCGGCTCCAGTGCCGGCGTGTTAGCAGCCCGGGAGAGACCATCGGAAACATCCTTCTCTTGGCTCTGGACTGTACGCTGCAAGTGTTGCTCATAGGACGCAGTTGCGCCCTGCTCCGGTTGAAGCCCCGTAGAGTGCGAGTTCCAGCTTTGAGAGAAGTCTTCCGGAAAGTCACGAATAAAGTTTCCTGTCATTCGTGATTTCTCGTCTCCTGTCTTCTGCCGAGACGCTTGAACATTGGCCACGGCTTCTCTATCTGCCGCATTTGACGCTGTAATGTGATCTGCCATGGACTTCTCGAGAGTTTCGCGCTCCTGGGCTTTCAAGTCGAATTCTTTCAGAGATTCGTTCACAACATCTCGCCCGAGAGCTGCCTTACCCTGTGGCTCCTGGAACCTGTAAGCTTTGTATTGCTCGAGATCCCCATATTCTTGGAACGGCTTTTCCTCCTGCTCGTGTGAAGCGTCGCTGAATTCAGTAGGCTTATAATTGTCGAGGTCTTCATACTTAGGGTTTGATTCCGAAGCAGCGACGCCTTCCTGGTAGTGATACGGTTTATATTTCTCCAGGTCATCGTACTTTGACGTGGGCTCCTGAGTTTGCACACCATCGAAGTGGCTTGGTTTGTATTTGTCAAGGTCTTCGTACTCCGGTGAGGACTGCTTGGCTTGCACATCCTCTTCCGGTACGAATGTAGCGTACTTCTCTAAGTCCTTGTATGGAGGGTCCACTTGCTCAACAGGCGCGTTTTCGGCGTGCATATAAGGCTTGTACTGGTGCAAGTCCTCATAGGCTGGAGTCGTGTCCGTTTGAACCGAAGCCGGTTCATTGTAGTTATGAGATTGGTACTTATCGAGATCATCGTACTTTTGGTCTGGCTCTTCTGCTGTCCTCACTTCGTCGTACTGAGATGGGCTGTAGTTCTCCAGATCGTTACGTATCTCCGAAGCCTCTTCTGGGGGGAGATGGTTCAGAGAATATTCTTGGCTCTGCAGTGTAGATGTGTCCTCATGTGCCAATGCCTCATCAGTCGCGACCTCCTTGTATTTGCTAAGCTCTTCCTTTGGCGGAGGGCCGTTGGAGTGAACGGGTTGTCTCTGATCCTGACCCACATCCGCCGGCGGGGCAAAGTTGACGAATTGCGATCTATAGGATTTGAATGACTTGACGGACTGATGTGGATCCGTCTCGACTGAACCATATGTCCTTTTGAGAACCTTGCGGTTGGTGATTGGGTCAATCACGTATTCTTCCCCAGTGGGCGTGTTTGAAGCCGAGGTTCTCTTCTGGCTCGTCACCTTGTTAGATACGGTCGACTTCGGTCGTTTCGCGCCGTTGATTGCCTGCTTTGTCCAAGAGTTCACCATGGCGTTAAGTTCTGTTTTCCATGCATCGAATCCGCCTTCGAGGGCCGAAGTTGCGGCGTTATAGACGCTGGTATAGCCCGGCTTTTCTTCCTTGTGTGTTTGTCTGTGGGCATTCCGCGCAGTCTCGCCAGTGTTGACAAATCGGCTGCCGAACTGGGAGCCGGCAGGAGACCAGTAACGACCAACTACACGCCGCCATATAGCCTGTGAATCTTGGGCCAAAGGATGTTCCCAAGAAAGTCGCCGGTTCAAGGATTTGGTATACTTGTACTTCAGAACTCGGTGATGGCGTCGAAGGTCTCGATGGAACTCGGGTTCTAGGTGGGAAGACCACATTCCAAAGCGATAACCACGGGTTTGTTGTTGATGCTGTTGTCCACGACGCCACTTGAGCAAAGACATAGTGACTGGGCCCGACAGCTTGGCCCGATGGACGCTGACAGACAGCGGCTTCGCGCGCGGCGCCGGGTGTGTAGCGACGCTGACCAGCATCTTGGTCATGAACAGCTCAGGTCATCGGTTGTAAGCTTGAAACACCGAGGAGCAGTGGTGGAAGTCCCCTCAGACGTAAGACAGGTCCACGGGGCAGGCAGGTTGGATGTGTTCGTGACAAGCTCGGGAGGAATGGCGAGCGTTTGTACGGCCGTTCAGACACACAAGCACACACACAAACACACACATATATATATAATGAAGGAAGCCTCGATGGTGGAAGGTCAGGCTTGAGCTTCGAAGCCGGCCGTCTAGCGATGATGATCGAAACGAAGCGTCTGCTTTGGCGTTTCACGGGAGGGAAGAGTTGGACAAAAGGATCAGGACCTCAGATCCGACGTGTCCTGCCTCCAACTCCTCACGACGAGGCAGCGACCGGGCTTGGAACACCACAAGCTCCATGGTGGTACCACCAGCAGGCTTTCCCCGCGGACTATCGGCTGGTTACGCACCATACACAGTGGGGGAGCACTAGCCTAGCTGCCTAGGTAGCCTAGCTCCAGTGTAAATGCTGGGCACTACTGGCCAAGGCCTCACAGCCAGGGCTGCCAGTGGTCGGATTCGGAAACCCCTGGGCCTTCTTGGGGAAGCGTATCGACTTGATTCGGGCGTTTGCGGGGTAGTGGAGGGTGCCCAAGTGCCCAAAGTGCTACAGCAGGGGTCTACCGTCAGCGGCCATGATAAGCCACGACTCCGCATGCGTCATTGGCCTGTACTCCAACAGCGCTGTCAAGCTGCAGGCCGGATTCACGTGTCCCAGCAGAGACTTGGACCCTGCATCCAGCATTCCCGCGGAGCCGGTGGTAATTGGAGCGAGTATCCTCGTGACAGGATCCCCAGCCATATATCTGATCGAGTCTCCGTTTTCTTCAACTCTCGTGTATTCTGTCTGGCCTGCAGCCAGACCAACCAGCGCATTGAGGACACGGGCATGAATGATAGCGACCCTGTATCAGACTATCCGGTTCAACCCGAGAGCTCAGACGCGGGGAAGTTCGCTCACCACCTGGGCACCTAGTCTCATTGCAGCAAAGCCGCGGCGGCTACCTACCTAGGTACCCGCTGAGGCCCCAGTTGCCAGTGGCAGCAAGTGCAGGGGCCCGCTGCCACAGTAGTGCACTTGGGCGTTATCCTCAGTGCCAACTGCGATAGTGGTAAGAGAGAGTCGACTTTAAGGTTGGCAGGTGATGGTGGACAACCGACATTCCTGAAATTCAAAATTGTTTTATGATTTGTTCCATATAGCCTTTGGTAACCCACTCATACGTTATACAATTCCATGGCTTGCCAACGTTCTTGGGCCGAGAGAGCCTCGCCAGGTCCTAGCTCGCTAGCTGGGAGTAAAGCTGGGAGCAGGGGAGCGTTTGGCAGCAGGGCCGGGCCAAATTCGGGCAAATGGCATTCTGCATCCGCTTGAACGACATCATCGGTGCAAAGCTGTCAGACGCGGCCTGAGTCAACGGCCGGCAAGCTTGAATAGACGCGCGCTGGTCAATCGCAAAGGCCTCGAGTCGCATTATTTCCTGCGTTGCAGCAGCATGGTAACGTGGGCCATACTTTCTGTCTCTCTCTAATTTATCTTCCTTTTCTTTCTCCGAAAGGCCATTCCACGGTTATAAGACCTTGCCCTCGCCCCGGCCGCCCCGCCGCGGGGATCTTGGAGCTGCCAAAGTTCATCGACCATTAATTATTGTTACATGACCACCCCGTAGCCTCACGCCTCCCACGCCGCGGTCCTGACTCCGATTGCAACTGTAAGCCGCATACGACAAGGCCCGCGTGATCTCGTGACATTCGAGTCGCACAGATGAGCCGCAAATCCGGAAAGACTCGCACCGGCGGCGGGAAAGCTTTCGCCAGCTCCGCCGCCGGTGCCTTTGGAGCCTTCTCGACAGCGTCCAGCGGCACCAACCTATCCTACCTGACAGAGCCCCCCGATTTCTCCGCGATATCCGACGCCAACGTGGTCGTGTCGTTCAAGAACCTCCTAAAGAAGGATGCCACAACGAAAGCAAAGGCGCTGGAGGACCTGATCACATACGTCGAGGCCCACCCCTACGAGCAAGATGGCGGCGCAGAAGAGGCGATACTGGAAGCCTGGGTGAGTGCAGTCTCCCATGGCGCGTCTTGTTTGGCTTTGGCCTGTATAGTAATGTGTAGCGCAGGTTCAATTATACCCCCGCATCTCCATAGACAATGCTCGTCGCGTGCGTGAGCTCTCACACTCGTTGCAGCTGGAGCTGATGAGGTCCGCCCGGAAACGCATGGAGCGCCATGTCCCCAAGGTCGTCGCTACCTGGCTGGCCGGCACCTTCGACAGGGATCGCGGCGTGTCGAGAGTCGCCACCGACGGCCTGTCGTCCTTCCTCTCCACTCCCGACAAGCTCCTGCAGTTTTGGAAAAAGTGTCAGCCTCAGATCCTCGATTATGTTTCGGATGCGATTCTGGAGACGGCCGACACGCTGAGCGATGAGCGTTCCACGAATTCTGACGATGCCGAGGCAAAATACTACAGGGTACTCGGTGGAAGCCTGGCCCTGGTCTTGAACCTCCTCCAGAAACTGGACTCGGACGACCTCGAGAAACACAGAGAGAGCTATGATAAGGTCCTCGAGGTGGACAAGGTGTGGACCAGTGCATTAGTCAACGATGCCGCGGTCAGGAGGCTATCATGCCAGATCGTCCTGGCATGCCTGCAGAAACGCCCCGACACGATACAAGACAGCCTCAACCTCCTAAGCAAGGTCTACGTCTCCGAAGGGTTAAAGAGTAGCCAGGCTGGTTCGGCTGCGGATTTTGTCAAGTCATTGAACGCCTTGACCACAAAGTTCCCTACAATATGGACCTCAGACTATCACGGCAAGAAGTCGCCTACCTCGAGACTGAGGTCATTCCTAGAGAAGGGATCTCAAGGTAGTGCTGTAACTTTCTGGGAGGAGCTAAGTCAATTGCTGGAGAAGGTGCCGGCTGGAGTTGCTCCTACCGATCTAGATGGGGCACTGGACTTTATGAAGACTATGCGATCTGGACTTACCAGCCGCGAAGAGCCACGCAGCCATGCGGTCAATGCGTGGGCGTGCTACTTGGGAGCTGCGAGGTCGTTCATGACCACATCAACCTCACCAGACGAGGCTGTCAGGTTTTCCCGGGAGGCTGTATTCCCTCTAACCGAGCAGTACCTGTTCCCCGTGTCGGAACGATCAACTTGGGCGTCTGGATGCCATATACCTGTCCTGATAAAAGCGTACACGTCGACAGCTGTATCGCCGAAGCCCGAGATCGTGGAAGCTACCAAGCAGGAATGGTCTAGGTTTAAGAGTGAATTCTCGACGCGTATCCGCAACTCTCTCCCAGAAGCATCCAAGGACCACGAAAGATCGCAAAAGGGAATTGCGGATGAAGGTAGCCGGTGGTTTACACTTTGTGGAAAAATACTAGAAGCCCATACGAAGACTGCTGGGACCGACCGCCCAATCCCCAACATCCCGTTAGCTCCGTCCCTGGAGCTTGTCTCTGAAGCCCTGCAATTGCTTCAAAATCGAAACTGGAAGCCTTACGGTGCTGCAGCAGCAATTGAGGCGGCTTTCAAAGACGGCGCCCAACTCTTCCGGGAGAAATCGACTTCGGTCGACTCCGTGCTGAACCTTGTCGGAGCTGCGGTTCCCGGCAGCAAGGACGTCATCCTTACTTCACCCAGTGCGCCACACATTTTCTCGATCATCAACCTCTTGGGTGATATTCCGGGAAGAGAAGCGGAGTATGAGCGGGTATGGAAATCTAGTGTTGAAGCTCTTCTCAACTCGGCAGACAAGGCTGCAATTGCTTCAGCGTTGGCTAAACTGCTTTCAACGAGACGTTCTGCACCACTCGCCCGCCAAATACCTCTTCTACAGACAGAGCTGGCTCGAATAGCAGTCGACTATGCATCAGGGGCATCCAATGCCGAGTGGGGCGTTTTTGATGCTGCTATTAGTTATGATGCATTAGATGAGCAGACCGGAAGCCAGCTGGCAGGGAATCTCGCAGCGCTATTGACGAAACGGCCAAGCCCTGCTGCCATCAAATCGCTGCTCCTGATTGCCCAAAAGAAGCCCGAGTTACTCTCCCGTGATGAGTCTACTCACATGACGTTGATGACAGGCTTATTGAGTCTTTCCGAGAGACATGACGCACCGGAAGTGGCTACTCTTCAGGCCTTGATCAGCAACCCTTCATCAGATAGTTCGAGATTCGTAGACTTGATCCACCAGAACCTCGACAGCGTGGGTCCTACCTCTCTAGGGTACGTATGTCCTCTCCTGCAACGTGTCACGCAGTTATTAACTAAAGTCTCTAGGATCGATACACTTGTCCAGCAAGCAGCACAGTTCAAAGCCGCTCAGATAGACAACGTGAACCCCAGTCTGGGGCTCGGATCTATCTTGCCTAACACCAAGATCTGGAGGGATGAGCTATCTGCCACCCTAAACAAGACGCCGAATCCATCCCTGTCGATAACAAGCAGCCTGGGAGGGGCGTACTTTCTAGTAGCTCCAGAGTCAGCCGAGTCGTCATCGCCTGTCCATAGAGATCGAAACGGTTGCTCCATACCAGGCCGTATGGCCATGTACCTCTCCAAGCTATTCTCTACGGGTCTCGAACTCGACACTCTACCCACAGAGGTACAAGTAGACATGCTTTTTTACATGTGGCTGACCGCTGAAGTCGCCTCGGACCAGTTGACGCTGATGGCTGAGGACAGTGTTTGGAAGTCACTTGCCGTGGATGCTGCAATTTCGGATGCAGAGCAATTATCCTCGTCCTCTCGAAAACTACTCATGTCGGTCAACGAGGATGCTTCGACTTGGAGGGAAGGGTCAGGCAGCAAAGGCTCTGTCCTAGTCCATGGACTCTTCGAAAAACTCTTGGATGAGTCTAAGCTGTTGACCCCACTGGGTTTATACAGTGCAAAGGTACTCAGTGAAATGTTTGGAGATCTGATTGATCAGCACGGCTTCCCTTCGAGTGGAGAGCAGTGGCTTGCAGGATTAGACATACTGAAGTCTTCACCTGCCACTATACTCCCCGCTGTCGTTATCTTGACAAGTCTCCACGAAGCACTTGATGCCAGTAAGCCCATCAGCAATTTTTGCAATCGTTTAGTCAGCGATGCCGCCGGCGCCAAGATCGATTCGGACAAGTCTTTAGCGACGCTTGTTCTTTTGAATGCCTGTTTGCAGGTCTACAAGCCCGATGAGGTACCCGTGGCCCATAATCGCCTGGTCTTTGCGGTTAGGCAGATTACTTCGTGGCTAGAAACGCCCGAGGAAGTTGATCACCGGTTTGCTGCAGAAGCGTGCCGCAGTCTCACCCTTCTCCTTCCGTGTATCAAGGACGTTTATGGCGCCTATTGGGAACGATCTATCGAATTCTGTATCCATCTCTGGACGGAGAGGACCTCTGAACCTCTAGACTACCGTCTGTCCGCTATCCATGCATCCCTCAAGTTGATGCAGACACTACAGTCGCTTGATGAGCCAAACGATGACCTAGTAGACGTGCTTCAGTCTACCGCTCAGAAAAGATCATCCGCGCTGGTGGGGCTACTCAGCCTACCTCGGGACAAGGCGACCCAGCCTCTTGAGATTGTCGACGGCATTGTCTGCCGACAAATTGAGAAGTTGCCGTTAGATCATGTCGAAGACCCATCTGATTTATACAGCCTGGTTGCAGCTGATTCTAGAACTGTCCAGACGGCTGCATTTACACTACTTCACAAAGCTCTTCCTGCTGCGCAAGAAAAGCTCGCAGTTGATGTTCTTCTGGAGAAGAAGACCGCGCAGCTCCCCGACGAGTTACTGTCGCTTCTGCTAGAGGCCCCGACACTGGAGGCATATTCTGATGAGGCTTTAGCGAAGTTTCCTACACCGATCCGCTCCTACCTGCTGACTTGGCATCTCGTGTTTGATGCATTTACCGCCGCACCGTTCAAAGTCCGCAGCGATTATGCTGATAGTCTGAAGAATGAAAACTATGTCGGGCCGCTCATGGACTTCACATTTGATGTTTTGGGTCATTCAGCCGCTAATGGACTCAACCTTGACAAGGCTAATTTTACAGAGGAGAACATCAAAGAGTATGACCTCAAGCTTGCCGATTGGGAACCCGAGGAGAGGAACATGCAGTGGCTCCTGATCCACCTTTACTACTTGGTCTTGAAATTCGTGCCAGGACTTTTCAAGTCGTGGTTCATCGACTGCCGCTCGAAGCAGACCAAGATCGCCGTGGAAGGCTGGATGGTCAAACACTTCTCGCCTATCATCGTGTCCGAGGCCCTCGACGATGTCGCTACGTGGGCTGAAAGTCAGGAACCGCCGGCGGACGACGAAAAGGAGCTTGTGGTCAAGGTGAGCAGGGCCGCAAAGGAAGTGACTGCCGGCTATGAGGTGGACGAATCTCACGCCGCCATCGCGATCAAAGTTCCTCCTTCATACCCGCTGGAGGGTGTTACCGTGGTAGGCGTCAATCGAGTGGCTGTAAATGAGAAGAAATGGCAGAGCTGGATCATGACAACTCAGGGGGTCATAACATTCTCGGTAAACTTGCCTCGAAACTCGCTTCATAGGAATAGTGACGCTGACACGTGTCGTTCACAGGGTGGCAGTATCATTGACGGACTGTCGGCGTTCAAGCGGAATATCATTGGTGCGCTTAAGGGGCAGACCGAGTGCGCTATCTGCTACAGCATCATCAGCAGCGACAAGAGGATGCCGGACAAACGATGCGGGACCTGCAAGAATTTGTTCCATAGAACTTGTCTGTACAAGTGGTTCCAGAGCAGTAACCAGAACACCTGTCCGCTGTGCCGAAACCCTATAGACTATCTGGGCTCAGACACAAAGGCAAGGAAGGGGGTATGAATGCATTGACAAGGCATAAAGTGACAAAAGAACACCCTTAGTTATATAGGATAGATAAAAAGAATTGGAATATCCAACATGGAAGGTAGACCAGACCGATAGCTGCAGTGTACCTTATCATTGCAACTATTTCACGTGTCTCTGGATATCCCCTTGCAACATAGTAGTCAACTGTACCCGGACATTCCACTTATTTTACCTACGATCATCGGGATGCGCAATTTGACTCTATCCTTTGGCCTAGTCCCCTTCTGGCTTCTAAGCTGGAAAAGAGAAATGTATTATGCCAATTTTAGCTTGCAATTCAACTTTATCTCTGGCGAATTCTCTTTGGTTTTCCGATGAAAAGGGGATAATCTTAAGCTTGGGAAATCACACCCCTTTTACAAAACTTAGAGAGTATATAGGCGTTGGAGATGAGCTCGCTTGTCTGCATCAATCCCCAGTTCTTGGTTGAGAAAGGCGTCAAACGAACCATATTTTGTGTCGACTGCTTGGAACATTCGGCGTAACAGCTCAGGTCGCAGCTCTACGGCTCCTCGAATCCGGTCCGGTGTTGTACACAAAGACTGGGCCACTCGTTGGAATCTCTTATTCGCCGATGGCTGTAGGAATACATTCGCAGAATGAAAGCAGAGAAACCTTGTCGAATCTGGTTCGTCTCGGTCTGGCTGCAGCCAGGTGTTAGAAGCAACAAAGTCGGCCTCGATGGCATCATCCGCAACCCCTAGTGTCTTGAGTAAAAGTGCTGCACCCACTCCCGTTCGGTCCCTTCCACCGGTGCAGTGAAATAAGAGGTTTGATTCTTGGGGAAATGTCAACAGTTTCTGAAATAACGGCCGGTACGCTCTCAACATGTTGACGTGCGCTTCTGAGCCATAGCTGTTCACCAGGTAGAGCATGCGGTAGTATGGTCCATGTTTTAGAACTTTGTCCTTCTCCAGCATCGAATCTGGGAGACTCGCGGCTTTAACAAGCTGGGAGATCGTGTAATCATCGATATTGTCGCCGGCAGAGGTCCCAATGACCGGGCTATTGTAGTAGTCTGTTCCTGGGGGTAACCGATCGGGGTTATCTTGGGATTCCTTTGGGCCACGGAAATCAATTACGGTATTGATACCGAGGGATTGAAGTGTTTCGATGTCGGAAGCAGTGATTTGAGACAGATTGGCGCTGCGGAAGATACGCCGAGGAACCACATGTTTGTTGCCGTTGGTCACGTAGCCTCCAAGGTCACGGAAGTTCAAGGTGCCTTCCATAGGCATGCTGCGCCGGAAATTCGCCAGGCTTTGGGTCATCGCCATATCATAAAGGATAACCTGACGATGGTTGAGCAAATTATCCCTGTGAGTCGGGTGCATTTTATATTAATGGAGTTCTCATATTCAGATCGGAACTCCGATGTATCCGGTCGGCGCACGAAGCTTCACCGAACCGGATTGAGGCCCATTAGCGCGATGCGAAGTAATTCCTAGTCAGCGACTTCTTGTGCCGACACCAGACGCAATAATTGTGGCCCCAAACATAGGCGGTAAAGAACTAAGCTAATGGTAGCTTATTATGTTTTACAGAGGCACGTGGGTACGAAGTCCGCTGTGGTCCGGTCTTCGGCTCAACTGTATTGTAACACTTTCTTTTTTATTCAATCTTCCTCGTCACACTAATTGAAGACGAAAGCCTTCGGCTTCCTTTTGGGGCTCTTTGTTGAAATGTGCGGCAGTGCAATGCTACAGTATACGATACGCCCCGATAATGGGCGACTATTGACGATGAGAGCTGCTGCACAGAAACTACCAATACATTGGGCAACGACTGAGGAGATCTCAACATCCAGATAATTGGTTGCTGGAAAGTGTTTGTATTGGTGCATAACATACTAGCACTTCTATGCCCATGAAATTTGATTATTATCGTGGTAATTCACTGTAGCTAGGAACTGCGGTGCATTGACTGCTACTCGTCAGACATATCAGGTACCGCCTCAAGAGCCAATTTAGGCGTCCCTAGCCTCTCGAGCCTCTCAAGCGCAGGGCCTGTACCATCGCCTTGGTTGATATAATCCTGATCAACATGAGTCACTTGCGATACGGTGCACCACCCAGGCGGATTGTTTCTTTGAGCAGTAGTACTTCCAACTTTCGCCTCACGAATCAAAGGCTATGTTTTATCCCCAGCAACCAGCGTGCGAAACTTTATCCAGAGCTGGTGGCTATGTCCTGGGCTAATACGACCACTACAACCACCGTGGATTACGAGTGCGAAAACCGTGCAGAAGTGATGAATGTATGAATGACTTCTTTCGATTATTTCTTGCACCTAATTGTTCAGCTTAAAAGAAGACCTAAAGCTAGGTGTGAATGATATAATAGCATTATCAAACTTCTATAGGTCCACAAGTGATTGTATGCTGAATGCGGAAACAGCATATACGGGCCGCTATTGTGGTCCTATCCAAAAGATTACAAATTTTTTTTCCTCTGGTCCTCGCGTTTGTACATTGCTCAATGGACGCTATATCGAGACAAACCAGACGCACCCGTCATGGCACCAGAATCCAGGACCAAGAGGTTATGTACCAGTCGGCAAATTCGCCGCCCTGCTTTGCTATATCCGTGTTGTCGGTCAGAGAACTTCTACTCCCTGGGCCTAGTGCACTATGTAGAGACAGAAATCTAATTAAAGAGTAAGTCTAGCAGAGGATGTCCTAAGGTAGCTTGAGTCGCTAATTTCTGTGTCTGTGGAAGACGAAATCATCTCTCACGATGTGTCTATTGCGTCATCTCCGTCCATGTCTTCGTCTCCGTCCGTATCTACGTCTTCGTCTCCGTTCGTGTCTTGGGACGCTGGTGTAGGCGTCCCTGTAGGATAGCCTAGGGAATTAAAGCCGCCAAGCCCATTGGCGTCTCGGCGGTGCAAGGCGCAAATATCAAGGACCTCTAGGCCCACTGCGTCGGTGCTTCCCGACCAATGAGTTTCACAGTCGGTAGCCCAGGCGTACAACCAGTTCTTCAACGTCGCCATTCGGGTACGCATAAGGTCCAGGTACCACTCGTCCCAAGCTGCAACAACGTCCGGAGTACGGCCAATGGAACTGCCATAGTGTATCTGATAATTATACCATTCCCAGCGTACAGCCCTCAGCGTTCTCTCGCCTTTGCTAAGAGCAGTTGCATCGTTTAGATAACTGATGACACCGAAACCCTGGTTACAGTTCCTCGTCAGCGATGATCTATACACTTCGCAGCGGAAATTGCCGGCACCACATTGAACAAATAGGCTGACCAGTCTGAACTTGGAACAGGAGTTTCATTGACCACTAAGACTTGGATGAAAACTTACCCTGCGCAAATCTGTCAAAAACTCGATGGGTTCATCTATCATCGTGTCCTTCATCTTGTCTACCGCCACCGGGTCATTTCCTTTCAAAATCTGGTTGACTCGTTAGAATAAAACGAGAAAGGCGTACTGAAAGTATATTAGGCGTAGTGAATGGTATGGAGCTTCACTCACACTTTGTTTCATGTTATTAAGATTGCTTTGCAAAAGCATAAAGTTTTTCGAGTAAGCAGTCGATCCAAGGGTATGCATGATGCGTTTTTTCGGCATGGCTTCCGTCGCTGCACCTGGGACTGTTTCCGTATGCAGAAGATCGAGCACATTTGTGTTCATAAATGTGGTGAAAAATTCCGGTGGGATTGCGGCTGCAGCTTTGAATTCTTCTCCCGATGGCAATGTCTGTGAAATGACATCCTCAGTAAACCTGGCAAAAATATTCTTTTCTAGCCAGTGTTCCACTAAAGTGTGCAAGTTGTGCTGTTAGTCTCCAGTATGCTCTTGTACCCAGCGAGTGCAACCCATGAACCAAGAGAAAAGAAGAGCTGTGAGCATACCTTGCACGAAATCGTACGGTTTGAGACTAGGATTGCGGCGTTCAAGATGGTCCTTTATTTCCCGGTAAGTGTACTGCCTTACATATGTCATTTTACAGTCGTCCTCCAGGTCTTGTGCGTAGACATGTTGCCAGATCCAACTACTGTTACTGAATCGTGTTGGGCCCGGCCACTGTAGAGCTAGTTAGTCGAGTTCAAGCCAAAATAGGCTAAGTGTTGTTGATATACGCACGCTGATGGAATTGTACGAGCCGGAATAGGTAACTGCACCCCTTTTCGCTTTCCAAGGGTAAACGTCTCTCTGTGACGCGCGAGATTCGAGGTCGATGATTTCGCCACCATCCAGCCCAAGACGATCCTCGAGACGTTTGAGCTTCGCGCCGTAGCACTCGCCCTCCTCGCAGCAATCAGTGCCGTAGCACACGCATGTGAAAGTCTTCCTGCCCCCTCTCACCCATTCAGCCACCTTTTGATTGAACATCTGCAGGTTGCAAGCCATATACTCTCTCAACATAGCAATACCCATGGTGTTGCGGTACCGTAACCCTTCTGCAGATCTTTGGATATAATCTGCAAAGTCTGCGTAGGATAGCGAGTTGAATACCGGCACGAATTTCGCCGTCCAGTCCTCCGTTATTGCAAACAACGGAGTTATTGTAGGTTCCAGGAATAGATAATCAATGACTTCAGCCATTTGGCTTGCATGTGCATCGTCCCTGGCCACAAGCTCTGTTGCATCTGGTCAGCGGCCGTCATATATGCAGTTGCATACCTGGGGAAACCAAGCAAGTTACCTTGGCGAGGGGTCTCTTCGTTTCCAGCTCCTAAATCCTTATCTACGCAGTACGAGTAACCAGCCAGAGCTGCGCAGTTTCGCAGCAGGGAGGGATTCTAAGTACGTAGTGGCTGGTGTTAGTAAGGAAGCAGCCATGTCTGAGGCACAACAAGGCACCGCAACATAGGTAGGCGAAGGACCTACATAGCTCAAAAGATTAACCAAACTAACGTGGTTATTCTTGGCCATATCTTCACAACTTTCCGACGGCTTTGCGGTCACCCAGGCTAGACAGTGTGAGACAGTATCGTGTGGGCTTGTCGTAGGAGGCATGGTGCCGAAGGTGAAGCACCAAGTCGACCGAGCCAGCAGGCCGGCGACAAGTACCAGGGAATGTGCCAACATATTGTTGATCTAGGCACACGGAGATATGGTGCAAGGGATGCAATCTGCATTGCCATATCAGTCGTTCACAGTTACAGCACCTTCGTGGGGATGCTCTGACATATAACAGCACGGGAGCAGAATGAGCTTCCGCTGTCTTCGGAACTCCATTGAGCCGTTATACTCTGCGGCCGGTGGAGGGAGGGCCGCCTATAATCCCACGCCAAGGGATCGTGAAAAGTTCGCAGCAATCTTGACATACACCGACCCGCCCTGATCCTTCCAGAGAGGGCGTTTGACCGAACTCTGCCCGTGACACGGGGCCACGACGGCTCAACGTCCGGATCCGGCCAAGTAGCGCTCCGTAGCGCCCCGAGGTCAAATAATTTCAACGGTCCCTCCGCCCCACAAATGGTCTGTTCGGCGGCGCTATTAATAGTTAATACGAGGTGATTGAACGAATTCGGCTGGGATCCCAGCCTGCGGTCGCCTTATTATATCTGTTTCCGCACAAGGGCTGTCCCGTTTTGTCTCACAAACATGGGTAGCGATGGGCACAGAAAATTCGAGACCGGGTCTTTCAATCCACTGCATCCTCCATGAGAATTGTGAAGAGTACATTGAATTTTGCGCTCGCTCGTACGATTGCCCACAGACACCAGGATTCTGGAAGAGTAATTATGTAACCATCAGCACTAAGAAGAACCGTTGTTGACCGCACTTGCCTCATCAGGCCACCATATCGTGGGCAGCAAAAGTTTTCGATATCAGCCATGCCTATTCTTAGCATGGTCTTCAGAGGAATATTCTCACGAAATGAGAGGCGAGTGGGACTGTGGGATTCAAAGAAAGACAAAACAATTCCTAAACGGGAACAGCCAGGAAGATGACGGCCTTTAGTCGGGCCCACGAGAAAGCCTTTTTCGGTAGCCTGCCATCTAGAGCACAACCACTCCAGCGATTGGCTGAGACCTCATCGGGCATCGCCATGTTCGCCATAGACCATGGTGGCTCTTCTGCTTGATAAAAGTGTGGTATTTCGTGTTCCATTTGTCGCGAGCTAAGCAGTGCGTCAAGATATCGACCACTCCAGGCCTCCTTTTCACAGCAGTGTGCCACTGCTGCAACGAATTTCCTCGCACTTCTGACACAACGGGGCCTGCCATCATGATTGAAAACATAACTCCCTATTTCACAACCCGAGGGTTGTGTAGGGCTGTTTCTACGTTGATTTTTTGTTCAGCTGTGTTCTCAAAGGAACTGACTTACAATGCTACGATCGAGCGGCCAATGTTTGGACGTCGTGTAAGCGGCCTAGAAGGGGCATACGCCAAAATCATGGACGATTTCCTCCTCGATCCGGTTTGCTCAGTCAGTAACGGCCCCCGCGGCCCGAAGGGCCAGCAGATCGCAGTCGCGTCGTACATCAGCCCCCTTGCCGACCCAGATGCCTGGACGCGCCTGATCGGGTATCCAAAGGAAAAGGTGCCCATTTTGGTAGCAAATGTGGTTAATGGGCCGGATGTCACCGTGGATGAGCCTTGGAAGAAGGTCATCGACGCAGCATCTGCTTCTGGCAAGACCGTCATTGGCTACGTCCGTACCGGATACCTTGGCCTCAGTCAGCAGCAGTTCACGACACGGCTGGGATCGCTTGATTTGGCGGATTGGACGGCTCAGATTGAGCGAGATGTCGATGCATGGTATGAGCTTTACGGCTCTAGCATTGGGGGCATCTTCTTTGACGAGGGTTGGCCGGAATGTGGGCCGGACAACGTTTATGCGAATCTGTACAAATATATCAACGACTACACCAAGCGCGCCCACCCTGGCGCGTTCACAGTTTTGAACCCTGGGTCGCCTATGGCTCATTGCTACGAAGACACCATGGACACATTGTTGACTTTCGAGCTGAGTTATGAGGCGTACACTCAATCCTATGTGCCCAATGATTGGGTGGCGAAGGACCCCCGGAAGATCTGGCATATCATCTACAACGTGCCGGAATCTGGGATCGAAGAGGTGGCTAAGCTGGCTCACGAGCGTGGAGCTGGTCTCATTCAAATTACCGACGATATCATGCCTAACCCGTACGACAACCTGCCCAATGACTCTTACATGCAGCGTCACATGAATGCCGTCGAGGGCGGTGTTCCGTTGAATGAAGGTGCATCAGCATGGAAAGGCAGCGCTCCAGGGGCTGTGTCTGGACTTTCAATCACAAGAGCGGACTATAGCTCCGCCCACATGACCTGGGACAAGGCTTCAGATGCTCTCGGATACCACGTGTTTCTGAAAAAGGGGGGCAGTTTCGCGGTCTTTGCAAGCATTCCGAGCACAATGACTTCGATTACTGTTGGAGGGCTGAGTCCAGGATCTACGAATGACTTCTACGTAGCTGCCGTAGGGGGCGATGGCCACCTAGGGATGCCTTCGAATACCGCTTCCATCGCCACCAATCCCTTGCCGGGCGGCGTAACTGTCACCAACTACAGTTCCTCTCCACTGCCAGGATCGACCACCTACACAGCTAACATCCTTGTTCCATATGCCTTCATCCGCCTCTATATCTGGGATTCCGTGTCGTGTGATTTCGACGAGAACCAGGGATGGACCGTCAACTTCAAGGTTGACGCATACGTCTGTACCCACTATTTTGTAGAAGGTACTACTTTGTACAAATACAGTGGCACGGTTCCTAAAGGGTCTACAGCCGCACCATGGTCGTGGTCGGTGGTCGGTCCCGTCGATCTCGTTGTGGATCGCTACACTTATAAATGGACTTTGCCCATTGGAACTTCGACTCTCGATACAAGTAAATTTGTCGTTCAGGCGCAAGGCTACGGGCCCTTCATCAACGCCTTTTCGCCTAAGCCAGATGACTATGACTGTTCAGGATCCGCATTGTGCGGCTCTGCGCCCAACTTCTTGAAGTACTGCGACCACGCTGCCAACGTCTTGACCCGAAGAGACGATTTCTTCTACAGGGACGAGTATGTATTCTGTCATACAAAGAAAACCTTCGTGTGGCGAGATGCTGATACTGTCATAGCGACAAGGGCCTGACTGGAAACTGCTGGAGTAACCAATACCAGGGTTGTGGCATTTTCATACAAGGGGATGGTAGTTGCAAAATCAGCGGCAATGACCTGGTAAGTACAGCTGGGAGTCCTTTTGTCTGCCTTTCCGCGAGCCTGGAGCTCCAGAGACCTGACATACTGGTCTCATGGCCCACTATGCACGCACAGGATAAAGAAATAACTAACCCAAAATGTTGCAGTGGTGGGCATATCAGAACATTCGCAATATCGGAGGCTGTCAAAAGTGTGGAACGTGGCACAGGGCCGACGGCTGCAATGTCAAAATCGACTACGTCTCTGAGTGCGCTAATCATTCGTAAGGCCCATTTTCCGAGGATAATACAAAATCTTTTCGCCATTAGTTCAATCATCTCATCACTGCCGACGAATCTGGTGTGCCAATCTTGAGTTGAAGTTTATTTTTTTTTCTTGCTAATGATGATATGTGACTCGAGGCCAGAGCTTTCACTGTCAATTTCCTTCTTTTCTGTCTTTGTATCTGCCAATCATTCGCTACACTCCACACCAAAACAGATTAAACATTTCAGGGAGCTACAACAAAGACTCCCCCTGCCCGTCACTACGTTCGCCTACCTGCTGCGGTCTCTACTCGCATCCAACCCTGTCATCGGGGTGAGGGGCACAACTTACCTGGTCCTGGTTCACGACATTCCAAAATGAATGCTCTCGATTCTCCTGGCTTGGATTGCAAGGATTCAAAGCGTCGTTCGTGCATGCTGACTGTGCTTGCTGGACCCGCGCAGCTTCAATGTCGGCACACGTGGGTCGCAGCTGGGCAACCACAAGATCGTCCGTTGTTGAAGGACACGGCGACCGTGCTTCCTCAAGACCACAGATCATGGGACGAGCACATTTAGAAGGGCGCTCATCACAGACCTCGTAATCTGACTCATCCGCACGCTTGCGCTTTGGAGAAAACGGAAGACTGCATTGAAGACCGCAGACCATGGGACTGTCACGCTTAGAGGAGCGCTCATCACATTCTTCATCAATCGACTCATCTGCGCAGCGCTTGCGCTTCGGAGAGGCTGGAGGAGAACCAACGTGAGAGAGGTCTACCATGTCATGGTCTCGCTGGTTCACGAGATCCCGCAGATGCAAAACCTGTCGCTGTAAGCCTCGAATTTGGTTCTGCATGTTCTGGGCCATGTCCTCGGCGGTGAAGGAAGCCTGTGCGACGTGTTGCTGCACGGCGACGACTTCATGATGAATGCCCTCCATGTTTTCAATGCTATAAGACAACTCTTTACTAGTAGCGCTCACGCGGGTCTCGAGGTCCTCAAGGCGTGAGATGGTCTTGGTGGTCTTGGTGGCCATCTCACGCACCATCTCATTGACACGATTGCCAGCTGAGATGCTGTCAAATTGGCGATCAAGCATCTTGTGTTCCAGCTCGTGCAATTGCTCAACACTGGCGTATTGCTGGGAGCAACGACAAGCACCGTCACGTACGACTGAACGGATTTCCTCGATGCGCATCATGGCATCATCGATGCCCTTGCTCAGCACCTGAATCCGCTGGTTCGACTCCTCCAAGAAGCGCTCGTGCAGCACAAGGCTATCCTCATGGTTGCCGGTCCATCGCTGAAGGGCGGCAACACCAGTGGTCAGATCATAGAGATTAGACGCATGCTTCTCACGCAGCTCAGTAACTTCTGCGTCGAGCCGGTCGATCTGGGCTTGGAGAAGCTGCCTATGGTGAGACCCACCTGGCGCTTCCACCTGGGGCCGAAGCCGCAAGCTTTCTAGCATGTCCTCGACCTTCTTGAGTCGCTGTGTGGTCTCGCACGGTGCCGTAGATGCGCAAGGCGGGTTTGACGGTTGAGCCTGAGTCGCTGCGCAGCTCTGGCGTCCCTGACGACGTGGGCCCTTCCGAAGCTTTGCCATCTCGATATTGTCGGTGGAAGATGCACAAAGCAGGTGTGACGACTGGACCTGAATTGCCGCGCTGCTGCGCTGGGACCCCTGACGACGTGGGGTCTTCCGAAGCCTTACCATCTCGATCTTCTTGGGGGTGGACATCTTGGTAATCTGATTGTGATTGGTGCTGGAAGAATAAAGTGGTCTTCTGAATACGTTGCAGGGAGTAATGCCGGGCTTGCTGTTGTAAGCTTGAGTAGTTAGGTAGCAGTCGATGGGACGAAAAGAGGATCTTTGCACGGCGGAGGGTCGGTCTATTTATGTTCTCGGCGACCCTGGGCCCAAATAACAGAGTCTTATTGATGACTATCTGAACAATGCATATTGCGAACCCTTGAACTCAATGAGACTTTGTTCACGCTACATAATGGTACCACTTCCATTGTACTAGTAGTTTGATGAGCGCACAAACCTTTTGTCAAGAGATCGTCCTATCAGTGTTTTCAAGGGGAGATTTGCCCAATCATAGCAAGGGAGGTCATCCCCACGCCATCATACGGAGTTTGAAAGAACTCGCAATACCCCTGATTACTCCGCATCGGCTCGTAAACGTAAGGATACAACGGGAGAGAACGCATGAGATACATGAAACTGATATATTTGAATAGTTGGTGTATAGTCACTAACGTATATACTCCATAGCTGCAGAGTGTGTACGGGGAATAACCTGGACCGGTGATCTATGCAGCGGGGTAATAGCTATGCTATTGCACTTGAAGAGGAATCCCATCGTAGACGGGAGTCTGTGTACAACCCCTCAATCTAAACATGATAGTTTTTAGGACGGCGCTTTTATTACGGTATGGAATTGAGTAGTGGACACTGCCTGTGTCTTTTTCATCAATAACACAGACAAAGAGACTTGGCGTAGTGGGCGCGTTTCTTTGAATGGCCCTTCTTTTACCCAACTTGACCCCGAAAGGGAGCTACTAAGCTCGGGCTAGTGAGACGTGGTATAGAATTGTGACGTGAGAAATTGTGGCTGTGCTTGTTCGCGTTTTACTTATTTAATTTCCCTTTTTTTCGTAGATTTTATTAGATTATCGCACATTTTATCTTTATTTTACGACTATTCGGTTTAGCGATCGTTGATTTATACGTCTATTTTGACCACACGAACAATGTACGTTCGATTCGTCGATACTGACGAGGAGAGCTGCGTTGGCTGAGGTTGTGTTATTTGGGGAATATGGCCCAGGAGCACCACTCCAGTTCACTACTTAGACACAACGCTTTTGTTCACAGCTCACAAGTCGCAAATCAGGCACCACCCACAGTTGCATCTTGTTCGGGCCATGAGCTTTGCCTGTCGCCCTTCGGTCCGCTCTCTCACGACGCCATGACTGCTTTTGCGGATGAGGCAACGGCTGACCGGGCGCATAGATATGACAGCTGTAAGAGCCGATCACAAGCCAATCAGGACAGTTCCAGAATCAACCGACGGTAAGTCGTGAGGCTCATCTCTCGATCATCATCAACAGAGAGGATGATATGCATAGTCTACATCCAATTTGATCAGCTCATCTTTCTAATAACAACTCATTCTATGTGCTTACCGAGTTCTTCACTGGTTCAATGCGCACCAAACCACCGGCAGAGTCCAGTTTTGTCACTTTAACGTCGTGACTTGTTGGAGAAATGACACCCTCTTGTACACGTGCCGTGACCTCCCTGTAGTGAAACCAGTCGAAGCTAAGTTGGTCTCCATCAGGGTCCCAGCTTTGGCGTGCGTCGATTACAGCGGCCTCACCAAATTTTAAAGGTACCTTGAACACCTCTGGCCCACATGTATCATTCAGAACCACGACCGGCGCATGGTTATTGGCGGAGAAGTTGCCATCAACAGTCCACTGCATACGTGCCGCAAAGTCGTACTGGTAAGCTTGGCGCCATCGCCAGATGCCGGCAAAAGAGCTTACGTAGATTTGTCCGTTGACTCCGACGGCGATATCTGAAGAGTCACTGTAGACAGGATACCGGCCCGACCCGTCGACAAGGAGGTAGCGACCACCCCAAGAACCCCACTCCGGGTGTGCTGGATCGCCGAGTCCATTTGGAATCAGTGGAAAGAATGAGGGAGTGTCGCCTTCCATGATGAATTCGTAGTCCGGATAATGCTGGCCTAAATCGCCTATACGAATGTGTTCCTGGAGCCATTCGTTGGCCACCAGCGATGTGTTCGGCCCACCCACATCAAAGTGTCTATAGGCTTCTCCAGAAATGCCATTCCAGCTAGCCTGGGTATATTCGCTGAAGCCGTGAAGCGAGACCACCTCGAAGAGATCAGGATAGTTTTGTCTCACCCAAGGGCCTGCGTCATCTTGGTCAGAGATACTGTAGACTCGCACCTTCGTAGTGAATTCGGCCACCTCGACTTGACTGCGTGATGAGGAAACGTCGTGCAGCGCTTCAGCCAGAACACCAGCTCCGCCCCAAAGGCAGACATAAAGGGGATTGGCGGGGGTTGCAGAGTCTACAGCGCCAATGAGTTCTTGAGCTGCTTCGCTCAGTTCAAGGTCCAAAGCAGCCAGACCGTAGACCGGATGGCCCGGCTTAACTAGGGCAAGAAGGTCATCTGCGGAGGGGTACGGAGCTGAGGCCGGCACATTGGCATTCAAGTTATCGACGACTTTGCTGTAGCCACCTAACACATCATGGACAGTATCAATATCAATGGAATCGTTCTTCCAAACAGATGTGACCACCCCAATGCCGTGGATGTCCAGCTCATTAGAATATGTCAGCAAGCGGACTAGACTCATTTGGTCATCGGGCTCATTGCTGATATCCGTAAGTATGAAAACACGATGTTTGTGTGCGTATCGAGACGTCTCGCAAAGCTGTGTACCTCGGGCCTCCAGTGGTATAGCGCCTAAGACCGCCGGTGAAAATAACAATAAGAGGAACCAGAACATCTCGGCGCCTGGGACCATGGTGTGTTAAAGCTCGATTGACGGTTTACCCTGGGTGGAGATTCGAATCCTGGTGACCCAAAACTCTTCCCACAGCGGGGGGAGTATTCGATGTTTTATAACATGCCCGCCTGTTACCCACCCTGTATGAGTAAGTCATGAAAGTCATTTTTCGTTATTAATCATCTACACTCCGCAAACGCAAGGCAGGATCATCGAGTTGGTTCTTTGGCAGGACCCGGTCTGGCCAAACATCCCCCGCAGTGGGGGTGGGAACATGGAGGTTCGGACATACATACGTGCCGCGCAGAACGCAAACAGCAGACCAATTGACGTCATTAACCTCTATATGTGGAAATACCAGGCTAGTATAGCTCCCCATCTAGGGCGCATGTTGTGGTTCCACTATCCCCAACACGCAGGCGAGTGCTAAGAACTGCCTAAACAGTGAAGTATGGAGTCCCCAGGAGCTGCACGGCCCAACAATGCCGATCTTGCCCATTGCCTTAAAATTTCTTGCCCTAAGGGAAATTGCAGTCACCTCGTCTTGATCACTTCACGTGATGATACCTGAACCGATTAGTAAGACTGCATCCTTCATTGGATTGCTCTCATCGGCATCTGTATGGCTTTGGCATGGATCTCGGCCTCGGGAGACCAGAGGTCAGAGGGAGACCAATGCTTTTATCAAATTGTTGGCGGAAAGGCCGAATTCCTATGATGATACCATTGTAGATATGTGGCCTTTGTAGATTGATCTTCACTTGCCCTAGCCGAGAACGGTCCAAGTTCAGAGCATTAAGAACTCTGAGCTCAGTTGGTGTCTGATACAATTTGTCTGCTTTGTAACAATTGAGAGACGTGAACCTTTTAATTGGTTCGCTAAATATCATCTTGGATGAGAGCTGATAGGTGCGTGCCCATGCTGACCGTATTTGTCACCTCTCGGCTTCACCTACAATTCCACTGGGCCGAAGGCCAGATGGCTGAGGTAGTAGGACTCGCTGGATCGATCGTGGGCATTGTTTTTTTCGGGATTCAGTTCGCTACTGTCCTCGAAACATACGTCGAAGCGATCGCCGAGTCCGACCAAAGGCTTCGCGATATCGCTTTTGGCGTTGGCGCAACTGCGTCGGCACTGAAGCAACTTCATGCTATTCTCGAAGCTGTCGAGGCTGACGAGCCCAGGACTGGGGACCAGCGTCAAGGACCGCAATAGGTTACTCGTTCGGCCAATAAATGCCAGCAGGTCTTCAGCGCAAATGAAACCGTTGGGGACCCTTCTATAGTGGATGTTAACATTTGGCAACAAACAAGCCTAAGTCGAGAATCGCGTTGGCCTAGTATAGAACGAAAAATCAAGTTACACCAGGAAAATCCGAGATGGCTCAAATAAGCCTGCTTCTACAGTTACATCTGGCTCAACTGGCTTCGTACGTTTTTTAAGTCATTGTACGGTACTATGCTGACCAAGGCTAATGGAGCAAACGCGAAGCCTATGTCTGACCCGAACGAGGAGAAGGCTCTTCGAACACTTGCCAAACACCTGATTGAACGACGGAGAACTTTCATAGCGACAGTGCCGCCAAGGCCAACAGCTGAGCAACTGCGAGAAACATTCGAGATCGTCCCGGACATCTGGATAATCACAATTGCCATCGGAGATGCAGTAGCCCGGATCAAATGGCTAACCCATCAATGAGGATTGGTCAAAGGATTGGATTGTATTACAAGAGTGGAGCCGAGGTAGACAGGTTGGTCGTATTATTTTCGTGCTTGGAGACAATGGCTAATGTATGCCTGTTCGTTGATGAGTGCGTACAACTTAATCCCAACCTTCAGCAGTCGAGGACCTGCAACCATTCCTTTCGGCTGTATGATTGAGCAGTCACACAGCGCAAACCCGCGAGACTTAGCATAATCTATAATTCATGATTGGATTATTTATTATTCCTGCCTGTGTTGCTCTTATACGAGGCAGAGCACTTCGAAAATCGAAGCATACCTCCTTTGTTCAATATGCATCGAGTCTACCACCTCTAGCTGGTATCAAAGAAGCTTGCCTGTTGCTTCAGGACGGACAAGTCCACCAACCCCATGAGTCTCCCATCCAAGCGCCGTACATTCTCCTCCCACCTCCACCACACATAAGTCACCGCGGCGGCGACGAAGATCTGCGCCATGCCCAGTCCAATGGCTGCGGACTTGAGACCGTCCCACATCCAAACTGCGTTAGGGATGGCGAGGATGAACGCGCCCGCCACGAAGTTCCGCAGAGAGGTGAAGCCTGCGTTCATGTGGGCTGTGTTGCGGAGGCATATTGAGAGATTCGCAGAGGTGAATGTGGTCGATCTTTGAATCATGGGACTTACAGTCGCGTCAAAGGCCGCCGAGCCTGCTGCTAGCGAGCCAAGCAAGAACGACACCACAGGGAAGCTCAGCTTTGCTCCAATGAAATTGAGCTCCCACATGGTCCCTTCCGCACCGCTCGTAGGCATGGTCATACAGCCTTGGATATACAAGCCGAATCCCAATGTACCGATGGAAGCAACAGTAGTAGCTGCAGCCAGTGTGGCGACATGTACCGTTGGTGTGAAGCGTTTGGCGAATGCAGACATTGAAAGAGCCACTGCTACTGCCGACGCCAAGAGAAAAGGGCCTGCAAGCAGAGCTCCCATATTAGAGGTCGATAGCATGAACGGCATGACGGAGAACAAGAGCGATAGTGAGCTAGCATAACCCCAAAGAGTGGCATAGGGCAGCAGGGAGACAAGGCACAAGAGCATCGTTGTCGGCGCGATAACAGCCCGAGGTGCCTGGAGGAGGAGTGTGCTATCAATGGCCGACGCCATGTAGGACCACGGCTTCATTCGCTGGAGGTAGTCTTTCGCAGCCACTTTCGAGAAGCTGTCATGCGGCCAATTGGGACGACTTGGACCAGCGGTGGTCTCAGCCACCGAGAACGAAGCTCTATCAAAAGTAGTCTCCGGAACACCGAAGACGATGAGCAAGACCCCAACAGAGAAGAAGCAGCTCAAGATTTCAAACTGAAGTCCGAAGCCTAGAGGACTCAAGGATGCCACACCTCCGAGAAGAGGTGCGCCCCAGGTCGTCGCCACAGAGACAGCATTGTGCACCATGACACGAGGATTCAACTCGTGGTCCTATACATCATTAGTGTTTGCATCAAAGCGGATTCAACACAGAGGCTTACAAAGAACGTATCCTGTAAGGAACCCAGCACCAACGTGTCGAACGCTCCCCAGCCAAGTCCCTGGAATACCCTCGCGGCCATGTTCTGTCCGTAGCTGTCGAGCACACTCATGCCCCACATCACTCCCACAAACATGAACGACGTCGATACCAGATACACTGGCCTTTTGCCAACCACCTTGGAGACAACTTGGCTTGCCATGCCAGTCAGTGACGAGACCATCAGGGGCACGGCAGTTAAGGCGACCGCCGCCGTGTACGACACTCCATTGCGCATTGCGATATTACTGTTTACTGAGATGTAAATTGTCTTCATTACCCCTACAAGGCTGACCATGTAGATCAGTGAGAAGAAGTTCAGGTTCTTCCTCCATGTTGGCCAGTTCTAATGAACTTGTCAGTACTGGAGAGATGTGGAGCGGAGGGTGTTACGAGACTTACCAGCGGATCTTCAGAGTCGTCACTCGGTTGCGGTGCCAGCTCAACACCTGAGTACTTGCCATTACCGTACTTGATAGTCCTTTTCGATGCGATACTAGAGAACGATAGTCTTTTGGTAGAAGCTGTCATGGGCCTCGGCGGATCCTTAGATATCGGTCGTGGCGGGCGCACACCTTTAAAGCCCTTCCCAGACGCCCCAAACGAGGGTTTCGGTAACTCCATGATAATATCCCCATCTGTTGGCGACCATATTTTGAAGAGGCTTTCTCGCGATCGAAGCGTGCCCGTTGGCGAAGAGACGAGAACGGGCTTTGGGCCTGTTGACGGCGGTATGTCTAGACGAGGTAGGTTTGGCAAATCTTTCGGCGACTCCATCGTTTCTACTGGTGTTTTAGCTCCAGAAGAGCTACGCGTTATGCTGAAGTCCGCCATAGCTCCAAAGAGCTTCTGTCTTTCAGTGATCCTCCAGTGGCACCGTGATAATGAATGTATCGGCGACGTAGGACCAGCCCGTCACGCCGTAAGCAAAATGCACGGCCAAAAAAAGTTGCGCACTCAAATTAAGAGAGATCAACTCTCGAGAATCGAAGAAAAGGACTGTAGAGAGAAAGGAATGTGAGTACTACATCCAATCCATTGGAAAGCCACCAGCGGATGAAGGTGACTCAAGACTGCCACTTCTTGATGCGCTCACACGTTATGTGCTAGAAGTCGCGTTGGCGTGTGAGATACTGGCGGACAGCAAGATGAGTGAGAGGCCGGTTGGCATAGATACGCTGTGACGTCTCGGAGGGCACAGCTGACCATGTGCCGTTGGTGGTGCGAGCCGGTCCAGGGCCCACAAAATGCCGGAGTAGCGATAACCCCAGAGGGAGATCATGCTTTGTTTCGCTTGAAGCTGTAGCCAGATCACCGTTCATATTGTAGCATAACTCTCCGACGGGTAATGGCATGAACTGGACGATCGAACGCAAGCGCGTCATTGGTCAGCGGCGGCCGGCCGTGGACGGCACTTCCACTTTGTTGTCACATAGGGGGCGATCCACGAATAGTCGTGACAGGGGCTAGTATTTGCTTCAAGGCCGCCATGAACGTCTGATCTGGTGCCCTTGCCAGGCTGCAGCGCTGTGGCTGGGCATTTGGGAGGGTGGTCAAGGTGGTGGACAACCTGCAAGCAGGTTCAGCCTCCATGCAGGAGAAGTGATGAAACTCGCTCGAGGCGGGGCACGTGTCGCAGCTTCGCATGCGATCATGGGCAAATGCTTACATAGAATGTAGGCCAACAGCACAGCACAGTGGAGGCTCGGGGCAGCAATTGGACATTGCCATTAGACAAAATTGAAAAGCTATTCCATCATCGCCATGCTGTCTAGGCGTTGAATTGATAAGACAGCTCATATCCGTAAGCTCTTGGTAGGTTGAAGTGTTGAACTATTCCTCGCAAGCCCCATGCAACCGCAGACGGTGATGCGCTGGAAATCGGCCCACCCGCCTGGGCTGGGCAGACCAGGTCCCCACGCCGCGCACCTGGAGACATGGCCATGCCATGCCATGTGGCCAACGATAAAAACACCAAACCTGCAGTCCTGCTGCAAGATATACTGCTGGCATCGGATCACTCTGTCGGGATTCTTCTTTTGAAGCAGTTAATTTACCTTTCACCGGTCTAACCCATATTGGCGTAAACCCCAAGTAGACACGCTTGGTGAAGCTTAGTGGTGTCTCTTCCCGTTGACTGTCCTTAGTATTATTACCTGGTTATGTGCTACGACTGGTAGAATATTTCCCGGCATTGGCAGGCCGGATCGGAACTTTCACAATTCTAGCCTGGTAACTGATGCTCCTGGGGTTTAAGTATCCACTTTTTGTTCTTACCACACGGCCCTATGTTTGAACATGGGATGGGATGGTGAAGATCATACGAACCACAAAACCGCAAGCCCCAAGCCAGTGAAAGCGGTGAGGAGGTGTTACCTTTCTCAGAGTTCATGACAGGCCAATCGCGTCTGTCCTTCTTGTGGAAGGGCCAGGGCTATGTCGGGTTCGTTGGAACCACACATCAGTTCCGGCAATATAAGGATGGCATTGAACCTTGCACCAAATTCATAGCCTGAGGCCGACCTGTTCGGTCTCTGTCCTTGCAGCGTATAAGTGTGATCTCGCGTATCTATATTCATATTATATGCTAGGCCACCCGGCTAATATTCAGAACTTCCAGCCGCTCTCGGCCTGTCTTTCCCAGGCACTGAATCTATGAACCGATGAACTTGCGAGTCAGCCGGGTATTTGAATAACCGTGCGTATTGAGTACGGACATAGATTCTTTCGGGGGTCTACAGGACGGGTGTAACTCAACGCAAATGGGCTCCAACGTCCGATCGGTTCCCGCCCAAGGAGCTATTGAGCCAACCCATCAGTGAATATGCGTGCACCGTATAGAGTCTACTCAAGATAGGACTAGGACCAGAGAGGAGGCTCTGCCCGGAATAGATCAGGCTGCACTTTTCATTGGCCACAGGCTGACAAGTGCTTTTGGTGGTGGCGAATCACCTGTGGGGCGCTGTACGCTAGATGGTAGGCCAGCTGTCCGTGACGCAACAGGCTTCTTATCAATATTATCATCCTGAGCCGGGTTACATACATTCCATCAGTTACCAAGCCCGGGACAACAAGCACATGGGTATCTAGGCTCAATAATCTCATTAGTCGACTATAGAAAATATCGAAAGTTGCTCCAACCAGCGCCATCCCCAAGACAACTCCGACGTCGCAGCTCGTAACTAGTGTCAGCGCTTACTCACAATGTCAACCACGACAGCTGGTATAGACACGCTGCCTAATGAGGTGTGTATATTCACGTCTCCATGGTTACGTGGATTGATGAGGAGACAGGTCCTGATCCAGGTGCTCGAGCTATTTAGCACCAAATCACTGCTGCCTTTGGCTGGCACCTGCCGGCGGTTCTACGGTCTAGTGTCCCGTCTTCACTACGCCCGGCTCGTCGAGGCGGTTGCGCTCCAGGGCCACGACCTCATCTTGGAATGCTACCATCCCAGCGCCAAGATATCCACCCCCTACATGTTCTGTGACTATATTGATACGGATGAATTTGAGAGCGCCGGCCTCGAGCCCACGCTGCGCAAGATGAACGGTCTCTACTCGCGGTTCCGCCCCGTGCTCGAGAAGGAGAACCAGCGGCCGCGCGCTCGGTACCCCACGTCGGATGTCGTCCAGGGAACGAAAGACGCGATTGTCGAGTCGCCCTCTCTCGACGTTCATCTCGACGCCGCCGAACTCTTTTCTCAACTATGCACTGTGATCAACGTCATCAAAGTCGGGCCCAAGCGCGGGCTTTTCCTCAGCTGCGTCAACATCATCGAGAGTGTGATAAGGATATGGCGGGATTGGCTGGCAGAGCAGACAGAGCTTGGCCCAAGCGAGTCGGCAAGGACAGATGTGTCACATTCGTCTATCCTCTGGACCGACTCTGCTCACAATTTTGGTCTGCGACTGAAGGTCGTTGAGAAACCAGATACGCCAGCACCGGTTCTTCTTGGGCCAGGTGAAGAAGCTCCAGTGTCTTATGTGCTGGAATACACAGGTAGGAGACTCTGGGCTCCGCGATCAAGATCGCATAGGCATGACTGATGCTGTACAGAACTCATCATTCGTACGAACCAGCTGCTCCTCAGCATGGAGAAGGCGGAGGCCCAGCAAGTGAATCATTCCAGCAAAGCCATTGTGATAGCTTCTATGTAGTATCAAGAGCTCCCTAGATGCGGCGCACGGCAGCGACCATGGTGCTACACTTGTGACAGACGGATTATATCCACACGTAAGTCCTGGAGAAGTAGCAGCATTTCACAAATGCTTTTCGAAACCACATAAAGCGAAATATGGGAAAAGAGAAAGCGATGAAAACTTGAGTAATTCAATTGCAGGCTACTTAGGTACAGTGAAAATTGGTGGTATCATCGATCGCACTGGAATAGACACCCCTGAAACTCCATTTCCCAGTGCGTCGATCGTCGCAGAACTCCCTTTCCGTCCGTGATTTATCAATTCGTATGGATGCGGCACCCTCTGACCCCCCCTTTCTGGAGTGATGCAATGATTCTGATGGTGATGAAAAAGAGGCGCATGATTCAACCACCTTACCAAAAGGTGTCCCCTTCGCCCTTTGCACAATAAACCGCGCTGTTCTGTTTCGCAACAAGCCATGTGCATTGCGATTCGTCGCCCTTAATACACCCCCAGATTGTTCGAGGGGCGTCGTTGACACTTCTACTTCCGTATGGCTATGACGTACTGTACAGACACGTCTCTTTGGTCATCTCGTGCCTAGACGGAGACGTCGAAGCCGAGGTTCCTCTCCATCACTTCCCCATATAGACGTATCCTGTAGAAACATGTGTGGTCTGCACCATAGTTGTTGAGCGCCCTAACCACCACATGGTTCGTCTGTGCATTGAGGTTCTCAAGCTCCCTATTCAGACGGTGCAGCTGTATACCGTCGCCAGTGGTGCGATCCTCATATGTCATCTGGCCAATCTTGACGAAGCCCTGGTGCAGAATCCTTTCGGCAGGCGTATTCGGGAACTGGGCTTCCGACCACGCCTGCACCGTCTGGCGCAGGTGCAGGTCCTCGAAGGTGGCCCAGACCTCAATGTCCTTGGGCATGGCACCCGCGTCCAGGGTTGCGCCGGGTAGAATGTGCTCAACCACCAGATGCTGTGGTATAATATCCCGGCTGATGATAATACTGACATTGTTGGTACCCACGCCGCGGCCTTTGATGTCTGGTCCTGCACAAAAGCACTCACCCTCCTCGGTCCACGGCATGATGGCAAAGACGGCCGGCAGCGGTTTATAGCCATCGCGATCATACCATTGCTTGCTCTTGTGCTTATACCTAGGCACCTTCCACTTGGGAGAAGTCAGAGTAGGGTCGATCACCGCCCCTGATCCCACACTGAAAAAGTTGACATTTCCAGATAGGTGCCCGAGCGTGGCCCTGCTTCCTGCACTAGCAGCAGCATCCAACTTCAGGTCGTTGACGTATTTCTTGACCGTAGCCTCGACTATGGCCGCCATCTGTGATTTGCTCATACCCGGCGGTGGGTCATGCTTGTATTTTTCCAGCTTCTCCTCAAGTTCTTTGACGCGCTCGGAGAGATATTGTACCTCCTTTCCTGACCCTTCTTTGACGATGCTGTCGACAAGCTCGTCGAACTCGTCACGGGTGACCAGGTTCTTGTCCTTCAATGTCTTGTTGACCTCATCGAGTGTGGCCTTTCGCTCCTTCTCTGTCATGTTTTTGACTTCCTCTTTCACAGATGGGCCCAGAAGCTTGGTCACCTCATGTTGGTTACTTGTGAGCCACGATTTCCATCCCTCCGCTATCTCCATACCCGTTTTGTTCGTGAAGATGGGTTTTCTTTCTGCATTTCCGATGTAGCCCTCTTGTTCCAATCGCTCTTTAATCGCAGTCCAGTTGGGCCCTGTAAATTCAGACAACAAATCCTTGTCCTTTCTCGAATACGCCTTGATGTTCTCCCATACTTCGTAGGGGACAGAACTCTTTCCGTCTTTGTCCTTGGGTACGACAATCACCGCCTGTTCACTTTCAGACTCATTCATGCTGTCCCGAATGACTTTGTTGACCTCTGAACTTTCAGGTGCACTTTGAGTAGATAATGACGGCCAATTTGGTAGCCTGGATCGAACAGCGCCCGTGATTTCTGACAGATCGAATTCTGGGTCGCGACTTGCTTGAAATGCCACGATTGCGAAAACCAGAGCGAGTAGCAACCACCAATAGCGCCAGACGGTGGCCGCAAATTCTTGGGCCGCCTCCTTGATGGTATCTAAGTATGATGGGCCGCCCGGAGGTATCAGGCCTTCCGGACGCGGTGGAACAGGCCCCCGTGGCGCACGACCTTGCTGTAGCGGTGGTAGCGGCACGTCCTTGACCACAGCAGGAGGCCTGATTGGGGCCTTGGTTTGGGTACCGCCAGAGGGCTGGGGCGGTGGTCGAGGGATGTCCTTGACCACAGCAGGCGGTCTCGTCGGGGCCTTGGGTTGAGCACCGCCAGAAGGCTGGGGAGGCGGTCTCGGCACGTCCTTGACCACAGCAGGTGGTCTCGTTGGGGCCTTGGATTGATTGCCACCAGAAGGCTGTGGGCCAGACTGGTTGACATCCGGGTACAACGGAGGCTTTGGCTTCTGGAATGGCGGGTTAGGCTTGATGGTGCCGTCATCCATGTTGGGCAACCTCATTCTTTGACGCAGATCCTCGGCCCGCTGTATTTGCTCCGGAGTAAGGTCCGATTGAGTGGTGAAGGGGTACGGATCCTTAGGTCCTTGCACCTTATCTGGTTTGGTGTATGCCATGCGATCACTCAACTCTCGCGTCCGTTGCACATCCATCTGAGGGACATACTGGGTGGAACTTGCAGATGGGCTCACTGATCGACTTAGAGACCTAAATCCACCATCGCTGCCATCAGTGTGAACAGTAGACATAGGTGAAGATCTAGATCGCCCGCCACTGCTAGTGGTGTTTTCGCTAGGCGTAGGAAGCTTATGGACGCTTGGTGCTTGACTAGGAGCCCGCTGAGGCGGCAAATCATCAACGATAGGCTGCTGTGTAAGTGCTTGGTCCGGTGACGGTGACTGAGCAGGCGACAGTGGCGGAGCGGGTGAATCAGCGTTGCGTACAGGTCGTTGGTCTACCGGTACCGTCTGTTCTATTTCTGGCTCCTCCAAGATAGGTGCTCGAACGGGGGGAGGTTGCTGGGTTGGAGCCTCTGGCTGGCCTGGTTGAGATTGTGGAGGAAGAGACTCGGGTCGCACCACATGGGGCGTTGGCCTGAGTACGGGCGTACGAACGTCGGCTGAATCGAAGAGATCATCCTCGAGGCTGAAGGTTCGGTTTGAAAGAACAGATGCATACCCACCTGCCATTCCATACTTCGAGGCCAAAGTGGAAGGCGGTTCAGAAGGGTGTCGTCTGCTAGCGTAGGGCGTCTCATACGGGTTCGGGAGGCCACCTCTGACGAGTTTCCGGCGTGCTTCTTGGTCCGTCAGATTCCACACGTCGCCCTGGTGAGGCTGGTAGTTGGGTGGCAACGGGGGCCGTGTACGCCCCAGTGGCCCAATCTCGTCAGTACCCAGCAAGTTGGTGCGTGGAAAGTTCGGGGCAGGTGCTGCTGAGCCCTTTTGAGCACTGCTGTTCGGACCGGAAGACACATTGTAGAGCTGCTCCCAGAGATCCTCTTCGATTCTCTGGTCATCAGCCTCCTCAGGTGTCGGGTCCACAGCGCCGCCTCGGTCAGGGACTATCTCATTATTTTCGCCATAGAAGTCGTCATGGGCGGCAGGAAGGGGCACGCCGCCGTCTTGGTTGTTGATCCTGCGGGCAGCGCTCTGTCTTGTCCTGGGAGCCATCTTGCTTCAGGTGTGGCTCGATGCGCCACGCAAGGTTACTGCATAAATAGTGGTCAGTGAGACGTGCTGACGGGGAAGCGATGAAAATAACTAGGATTCTCAAGACCTTGTTGTCGCCTCTCGCTAATCGCCAGTCCAGGTGACATGAAGCTTGGTCCTACCCGCGAATTTGCAAGTTGAGATGAGATACGTGGGTGAGGAACTTGCCGTGCGTGGCCCAGCAAGCAAGGGGAAAGTGAGTCGGGGGAAGGGAGAAGAAAAAGAAGAGGCTTTTATTTACCCATAAAAGTGGTATCCGGAAACCCGACTTTTTGGAGGAAGGCGAACGGTAAGGTTGTGACGGTGATAGTTGATAGATAATGGTCCAGCTGGACTAGCTTCTTGATGTGTGAATCGGTAGCTCGATTGGGGATATCCTCTGCTTTCGTTCTTTGAGCTCCCGAAAGCAGGCGTACTGGAGAGGTACTAGACAACGACTGGCTCTGGCCGTCAATGGTCGTCAATATCAATGTTGACCGGACCCGGCGCCAGGTCAAGATATTGTCGGTCTTTCAACAAAGCCTGGAGCTGCGGAACCGACGCGCATCTCATCTCATGGTCTAGCAGCTTCGGTGCGACATGGATGCGGCCGTAGAGACGATTGTTCCTGGTCGCTTTGGGAAAGGTCGCATGTTGAAAGTCAAAGAGGCGTCTGAAGCGGGGCTATGGCTTGGGATGGAAGACACTCTGCTGCCACTCAGTGTCACCGAATTCGTTGCATCCCGAGACTCTCTCTATTTCATTGTTGCTGGGTGTCCAGGAATGCGCCGGCTTTCGCTGGACCCATGGCGCGTCGCGTCAATCGGCGGCTGCAGGTCGCAAAGAGACCAAGCTGGCACCAGGCACTCGGAACGGCGGGGACAGTCACGTGATGGCCTGCTATAAGACAAAACTCAACACCTGGCATGCTCCACGCCGGCAGTAGCCACTGAGCAACCGGCGACAAAGCAGCGCAGGGTATCAGTACAGAAACCAGAGTGGTTTAAAATATTCTAACCTGACCTGTCCTGTCATGGCTCAGCATATCACCTGGTCAAGCGAGTGGTGTCTGCCCAGGTCCTTGCGTGGGTGATTGCGAACTTGAACGAGTACCTAAGTTGGGTAGGTGCTCATTTCGTATCAATGATCCCTCAGCTCAATTGGCACCGTAGCTGGGCTATGTATGTCCGTGTATACGGATAGACAGGCTGGATTATAGGTTGCCGGGTATGAATGCAGGCAGTGTTGACATGGGTTTCCCGCATCTACAGACTACGGCATTGGAGATTCGTAGCATCCTGCTATACACTCTGGTCAGACCCCTCACATGAATCGTGCGTGCCGAACGCTACGAGCTGCTCGACGCTATCTTGGTCGAATCAGGACCGCGGCCATCACAGGCGGTGAAGATTTATTATGGACCTCCAGGTGCTGAGGAAGATCAATTGAATGGGGGAGGGAGGGGAGGCAAAGTTGGCAAGGGACCTCCCTCAGGAGGGGTCGACACGCAAGACGCAGTCGGCCGTCCGTCGGCGGCGCCCCAATTGCCCCCCATTGCCCCCCCATTGTCCCCCCATTGTCCCTCCCCCCTTGATTGCCATGTCAAGCAGCCAGGCCCAGCTTTGATGGAACGGAGCACCTTAACTGATCCCCTTATCCAACCAGGCCCGACCAGGCCCACCCCGTGGGCGGCGGCGGGCGTGAAACTTGGACGGGAGTTTGTCCAACCCCACCAAGCCTCATTTGCTGCAGACAGCCTCCAGACCCGACCCAAGGCAAAATAAATCTCATTTAAATAATAGCGAGTAAGGACCTCAGCCCGCCTGACCGCTCGCACCTCACAGTGTCGTTATTTCCTGCCCTCAGTCCTCGCCGATACCCAATTGAACTCGCCGTCAGACGTCAAAATGGCTGTAGGAACTGTATTGATCACTGGGTAAGCTTTGACCGTTGCGCCCCTGATTCCACATCCACGGGCTTGAGGCGGGGGGAGCAACCCCTCGCCCCAACACCCCGCCATCGCCATCACCGTCGCTGTCGCCATCGCCATCGCCATCGCCATAGCGAGTCCGGCCGCGCCCCGCGCCCCCTTCAACGAAAGAAACCACATACGAACCCCCGAGTTGTTCTGCGCTGACATGTGCGTTCGTTCTGCAGTGGCACCGGCTACATTGGCTCCTTCACCTCGCTGGCCCTGCTGGACCACGGCTACGATGTCGTCATCGTAGACAGTCTCTACAACTCGTCCGAGGTCGCCCTCGACCGCATCGAGCTCATCTGCGGCAAGCGACCTGTCTTCCACAAGGCCGACATCACCGATGAGGCCGCCCTCGACAAGGTCTTCGCCGCCCACCCGGCCATCGACAGTGTCATCCACTTCGCCGCCCTCAAGGCCGTCGGCGAGTCGGCCGAGATCCCCCTCGAGTACTACCGCGTCAACGTCGGCGGCACCCTGTCCCTGCTCAGCTCCATGGCCAAGCACAATGTCACCAACATCGTCTTCTCCTCGTCGGCCACCGTCTACGGCGATGCCACCCGCTTCGAGAACATGATTCCCATCCCCGAGCACTGCCCCATCGGCCCCACCAACACCTACGGCCGCACCAAGGCCATCGTCGAGGGCGTCATCGAGGACTTTATCAACGCCCAGCGTCAGAACGCCCAGAAGGCCGGCAAGCCCTTTGAGCAGTGGAACGGCGCCAACCTGCGTTACTTCAACCCCGCCGGTGCCCACCCCACCGGTATCATGGGCGAGGACCCCCAGGGAGTCCCCTACAACCTGCTCCCGCTGCTGGGCAAGGTCGCCACTGGAGACCGCCCGAAGCTGCTGGTCTTTGGCGATGGTAAGCTGATCCCTTTACCCCCCGAGAGTGCTGGAGGATAAACTTACTTAAAAAAAAAAAACCCCCCCAGACTACCCTTCAAGAGACGGTACCGCCATCCGCGATTACATCCACGTCGTCGACCTGGCCAAGGGCCACTTGGTTGCGCTGAATTACCTGCGTGAGAAGAAGCCCGGTGTCAAGGCATGGAACTTGGGATCTGGCCGTGGCAGCACCGTCTTTGAGATGATCAAGGCCTTCAGCAAGGTCGTTGGCCGCGACATGCCCTACGATGTCGTGCCGCGCAGACAGGGCGACGTCCTCGACCTGACTGCCAACCCTACCCGCGCCAACCAGGAGCTCAACTGGAAGACGGAGCTCACCATGGAGAACGCCTGCGAGGACCTGTGGCGATGGGTGTCGAACAACCCCAAGGGCTACAGGCAGGAGCCGCCGCCGGAGCTGCTGGCCGCCGTCAAGGCCAAGACGTCATAGTTCCGACCAAGAGCAGAGCGCGATTGTTGGTCGTGGGTGTAGACAAGGCAGGACACGGCATTCCCCTACGATTTGTGCATAGCATTGAATAGACAAAAAGACAAAACACTCATATATATATATATATGCCATCCAGTCGTGCGCAACCCCTCTGCACGGTGTAGCAGTAGTATTGACTCCGATGTCTGCCAACTACCAACCACAACAGAGTCAAAAGTCTTGCACCAACGCTCCCCTGCCGAGTTCCGATGACTTTTCATATTTGCCCAGCTCAAATAATGGAGTCGACCTCACCGATGACCTCGAGATCCTGGATGGAAAGTTCGAATCCTTAAAACAACCACGAGTGGACCAGTTCGAGGGTTGACGCCAAACAAGCTGTCCAGTTCGGCCTGTCGGGTCCGAGCCCAAGCGACCGCGAAAGGTAAAGTTGTCGCTCACAAATGGAGCCCAACCGCAGTAACGGACTACTAGACAATGGCCCTCTACGGCCCGGAATCTACCCCAGGATGCATGCACCTGTCGAGATTGGTAATTGACTTTGGGTAGGCAGGCGTCAAAATGCACAGGTGGCCGCGTACTTCATGCGTTCATCTGAGGCGATGCAGCTTCGTTACGGGGAAAGCTTGCAGCCGTTAGGCCATCCTGCTGCCGTCCTCTGCGTGCCTCTCATGCCTGTCAAGCCAGTCGACAGCAGCTTGGCAGCGCTTGTCCCAACCTGGTCGAGGCAGTGCACAGGGATCATCGCCAATGGAGCCCCCAGCTCGCCAACCAGCCGGCATCCATGGATCCCATTCCCAGCCCCATCCGAGAGCTGCTGCAAGTGGCCAAGCTCTGGCACAGTGGCCTGGCAAGCAACTCCTGTCTCATGACGGCGCATTGAATGCGGCTCTCCGTTTCATCGTTTCATCGTTTCATCGCCCGGCGAGCTTCCTCGTTTTTTCCTTCCCTTCATCTCATGTCTGCTGATGATCGTTTCACGAGTTCTTGGGTCCAGGTCTTGGTCTTCTTCACTCTCTGGATTTCGATTTCTTTTGAAGCTCGACATCCCTACATAGATACAGCACAGCTCATTGCGCCAAGCTGCATGATCCCGGTCGCAGCTCGGTGTCCAGAAACCATAATCCCTTCTCCACCAATTTCCCAAGGCTGATTCAGCCGTGAGGCTGTGAGATGTTCTGTGGACGTGGGCTATAGTGCCTGGGCATTGCGCGTCGTCGCCCTCTTCTGACCCGATACATCAGGACCTCGGTGACAGGACCTTATCGGTCACTGACTGCGCGCAACTTACCATTGTGCCGGGCATCTTGTCAAACCCTCGTCGGCATCACTAGGGTCAAATCACCGCGTCGCCGGCGGTCCGCATGTCACAATGCCGGGAGTAATCGACACCATGGAATATATCTCCAACCAAGACCGGCGGCAGGACCGACTTCAAGAATTAGGTCGTGAATGGGGGCTAGACCCGTCTCCGCTTCCTTCTCCGCTGCTGCGTCCAGAGGGGACCGTATCAGTAACCACTTCAAACGATGATATGCACGCGGAGGCGCTTCTCAAGCAGCACCGCGAGACAGACCAGGCACAGCAAAACAAGGGCGGTCTTTCTAGAGCTTTCACCACCAAGAAGAAGGGCTGGGAGTACAAGGAGATCTATAGTGCTCTTGTTACGCATGTCGCGAATAAGGGGTCGCCCGGTGTGGCAGAGGCTCTTATCCTGAAACTTAATCTCGTTGGTGGTAACGTCAACCTGGCCCAGAAAAGCCGGACGAGCATGTTATCAAGGAGAAAGAGCTTGGACTTGGCCGAGCGCAGTCAGGTCCTCCAGAAGGCGGTGGAGAACAGGCACAAGGAAATGGTACAAGTCTTACTGCCATTTGCCGATGCTCTGAGCCTGGATACGGCTCTACCGATAGCTATGCGGAATCAAGATTCATCTATTGTCGAGATGTTGGTCAGGTACGGAGCGAGTGCCGCACAAACCGCCGAAGGCCAGGATGCCTTCAGGCACGCATGCGGCGTCGGAGGCGAAGCAGATATGGTGGCCATGATCTTGTCGTCGGAAGGTCGGCCGCCGGAGGCTTGGATATCGCAATCAATGGTCGAGGCTGCCAGAGCCGGGTGTTTGAATACGGTACTGGCCCTGAGTCGTTCGACAGCCGACGGGAACCACGACAGCGCAGCAGCACTGAAGGCAGCAGTGGCCCTTGGACGACGAGATATTGTGCTGGCGCTGGTTCTCGGAGATAAGCCCCCGAGCCAGCCTGGTCTGAATGAGGCGTTCGACCAGCTTATGACCCACCAGAATATCAACCCCAACGAGAAGATGGCAATGGCAGAGGTCTTGCTTTGCGCTGGGGCGGAAGGTGACCTCGTTGCCCAGGCCTTGGTACACGCCAGCGCCACGTACTTTATCGAAATGGTGCATCTCCTGGTCTCGTATGGTGCATCGATTGAGTATCAAGATGCCATCGCTGTGCGGAAAGCTGTTTCAACAGGCAAGCTTGACCTGGTGGACATAATGCTGAACGGGCAGTCGCAACTTAGCTCGGCGCACGCAACAGAGTGCGTGGAGCTTCTACCAAAGAAGATGCGATTCGAAGACAGATATACGTTTCTTAGCTTGTTACTGCGGAAGGGGGCGAACGGGCCGCCACTGGATGAAGCGCTGATCGATGCAACAGAGGCCGGAGACGTGGAAACGGCGAAGCTACTCCTGACACCCCTATTTCCTGGCGGCAAGATGGTCGGGAACCAAGACCTTAAGAGAGGACCACGAAGCATGGTTTTCGAGCGGCATGCGATCGCCTCAACGGACCACAAAGGAGCACTGGCGTTGCAGATAGCCGTTAAAAACAAGAACGTCCCTATCGCGAAGCTGATATTAACGAATAAGCCGCCGTCAAACGATGCCATGGCTCAAATCTTCCCCAGTGTTAGGAACCTGTCAAAACTTGACCGCTTTCAACTTACTGAAGCTTTCCTCGGAGCCGGCTTGTTTGGCCCATGTGTTCACTCGGCGCTGGAGAATGTTATAGACGAAACTCCACCCCATAGGGATGATCGGTTAATTGCCCTGTTCTTGAGGTCCAACGCCGATGTCAACTTCAACGAAGGTGCTGGTATCACAGCCGCCATTGCGCAGAAGGATGTGAACCTGCTGAGCAGGTTGCTGAAGAGCAACCCGACCCCTCGGATCGCTGCAAAGGCGGTACCGAGGGCAATGGAAGTTGAGGATCCGAGAAAGAAAACTCAGATGATCACTATGCTACTCGGGGTAGGCGCTGCTGAAGGAGGACCCGAGGTTTCTGCTGCCTTGGCGACGTTGACAAAGTCTGCTCCCGTCGACAAGGATTTACTAGCTGCGTTGCTTCAACACGGTCACGCCGACGTCAACGCAAATGAAGGTCGTGCGGTTGTCAATGCAGTCAGTAATCCTGACTCGGCTCTGCTCGAGACAGTCCTGTCCCTTGGCAAGCCAAACCAAGGCACCCTCGAGCGTGCTATGAAAAGCCTTGGCCAAGTCCCGTCGAGTCCAGCGAAGGCCCAGAAACTAGACATTCTGTTACGGAGAACATCCTCAAAGAGCACGATGAGTCAGCTTCTAGTTGACGAAGTTCAGCATGTACTCAAAATTCCCCCACCGCAGCGGAATCTTGCTGTGTTGAAGACGCTTCTGGCCAACGGTGCAGATATCAACGCTTACAATGCCGAAGCCCTCTGCAGAGCCGTAGCGGCCGCTGACGGACCGATGGTCGACCTCTTGTTCTCCGCGCGACCAAATCCACACTCGTTGTCCTTCGCCATGCCACACGCCCTTAGAATACAGGACTTGATGGATCGTCTCACGTTTGCGCAACGGATTCTGGAAGCTGGCATTCCGCCCACGGAAGTGAATCGTGCTCTGGTGTTTGCGGTAAACACATATCCTGACGATATCCCCCTCATCAACTCTTTACTCGCCCACGCAGATACGAAGGATGGCATAGCCCTCATTGAGGCTATCAAGATGGAGAAGCAGGACATCGTGGAGCTGATTCTCCATAAGAAGAGCTTCTCGGTGGATGTTTTGAACTCTGGGTTCGCCCAAGCGACGAGGGGCAAGAATAAAAGGTCGCGAAGTCTGTCGTGTAGCAATCTTCTGAAGGCCGGTGCGTCTGGTGAGGTAGTGTCAGATGCCCTGCTCGCTGCGGCTTCGGACGGAGATGTCGACTTCGGTTCAATACTCGTTCAAAATGGCGGAAGCGTCGAGCACAAGGATGGCCAAGCTATAGTCGCAGCCTGCAAATCCGGAGCTGCTGATGTCCTTGGCATGCTCCTATCTGGAGACTCAAACGTGAGCCAGCAAACACTTCAGAAGGGGTTCCAGGCAGCAACTGAGATATCCGACCTTGCGCGGCGGGCAGATATCTTCAAGCTTCTCTTGCAACGGGGTGTTACGGGCGAGGTTGTCGATGCTCAACTGGTCTCGGCGGGACGATTTGGTGATAACGGAACCAATCTCGTGAGACTGCTATTAGTGTATGGTGCAAGCCCTGATTTTAATGAGGGCGAAGCAGTGGAGAAAGCGACCAGCAGCGCTTTCCTTCACAATCTTGAGATGCTTCTTGGCATCCGCGAAGTTGGCGGCAAGCAAAAGAAGCCCTCGTCGCACACCTTGCTGAAAGCGATGGAGGCCTGCTGGAATCTGAGCAGGGATGTTCGCTTCACCGTACTGGAATGGATCTTCAAGGCTGGCAAGCCTGTGCCAAACGCCGTGCACGCAGCCTTGACGAAGGTCGTAAACGAGGAAGAGCCGGAGGAGCGCGTCATTCAGTTGTTGGTGGCCAACAGGGCATCACCAACCGCCAATGGCTGCCAAACACTCATTGATGCAACGCGAACACTGTCAGCATCCCAGTTCACGCAACTGCTCGAATCCAAAATCACCCCAGAGGAAGCTTCATTAGCGTTTGGCAAGGCTTTCGTCCCCGATAATTCAAAGTCATGGCTGTCAGAAAGAGGACTCGAGATCGCGCGTTGTCTACTGAGGAAAGGGGCTGGAGGAGATGCTGTTGGGTCGGCTTTTGTGGCTGTCCTGGGAGTATATGCGGCAAATCCTGGCAGCGTGGCCGATAGCTTCGTCGAGCTGTTGCTCAAGTATGATGCTGATATCAACTATAACCGTGGAGAGGCTCTCCAGATTGCTGCAACTCAGGATAGCCCTGGGTTGTTGCGAAGGCTACTGCGAGAGAAGCCGAACTCAGAAGCACTTACAATGGCATTCCCTATGATATTCGACACCGACGGCGACGAAGACCGGGTGCATGAGTCGATTAGCCTCTTCACTGAGTATCATGGCGGAGACAACCACATCGATACCATGTTCAATCATCCAGGTTCTGAACCTGTTGTCATACGCGCGTTATCACGCTTCCCAAGATCTACAAAGATCCTCCAGGCTCTTCTTGACGTGGGCTACTACCATGACCAAGTCACTACAGCCAGGGTCATACCGGAACTCGAGGGTGACGAACAAGTAAACTTGTTGACCTGGACGATTTTGCAACCTCAGAAAAAGATCAGCAGTGGTGTCATCAGCCTTCTCATTGATGCAGGCGCAAAGGTCAACTTCGAAACACGCACATCACGTACGACGCCGCTGATGCTAGCGATACAGTCGCGAAGGCAAGATATTGTGAAGTCACTTCTCCTTGCTGGCGCAGAGGTTGACGTGACAGATGCGACAGGACGCTCGCCCTTATCTATGGCGTCTGCCGTCGGCGGTGAACTGGCCATCACGATGATGTCTAACCTCTTAGCTGCTGGTGCCTCTAGGAACGATGGGTCGTTGCACAATGCCGCCCGCGAGCTCAATTTGCAGGCAATGCAGATTCTCGCTGAATACAAACACGATCCTGACTTTCCGAGCCCACAGCATGGCGGCCGAAGCGCTCTCGGTGAGCTGTGTCTCCATGCTGCAGACTCGGGAGAGATCACAGCTCTGCGGGAAAAGGCAATGGAGAAATGCATCAACTTCTTGCTCCAGGATACTGACATTACTCTCCACTCGGACGGAAAATCGGCCCTGCTCCTCGCCCTCGAATCTGCTGATCCTCTTACTACCACCAAGGTGCTTCTTCGCGCAGACATGTGGAAGTTCATCAATAAGCCATTCAATCAGTATACAGACGGAGAGTTCACGTACTCGCCAACTCAATACGTGGCCCGCGTTCTACCGCAAACAGATGTCACCCCCGAGTTACTTAAGCTCCTCAAAGCCAACCGTGGGACAGACGTTTACTACGCAAATTCGGGCGCTCAACCAGAAGGTGCAATTGGCATGCCAAAGCATGTGGAGCTCGAGGATCAGGACCGAAAGGCAATGCTAGCCCGTAAAGCGCGCGAGGATGAGGAGCATGCCCTCGCCATCAACCGTACAAAGGAGCTTGCCGCTGTTCAAGCTCAGATCTGGGCAAATCAAGCCGAGCTGGAGGATGCACGAAAGAAACGCTCGCATAACTCAGACCTCAGCGCCATCAATGAACGGGCTCGACTGGAGGAGGAGCTCTTCACCAAGGCGCTGGCTCAACAGCGCGCCAGGCAGAGCCAAGAGGTCGCGCATCAGCAGGCGCTGACCGAGGCCTCGCGCCGGCGGGTGCAGGAGATCGGCGACACGGAGTTTGCGCTCGAGACCCAGAAGCAACAGCGGATGATCGAGTGGGAGCGGGACCTCGGCAACGAGCGCGTCGGCAACGCCACGCAGCTGAGCAGCATCCGGTTGCGGGAGCGCGAAGAGATTGAGCGTATGGACCAGGCCGCCGACGGCAGGTTCAAGGACCGCATCGCGCAGCAGAAGAGGCTGGTGGACAGCCAGAGCAGTCTCGCGGCGAACCTGGGTAATGGGGCTACCGCGAGCGGGAGGAAACAGATTGGGTATGTCACGGGCGAGGTGCCCTGATATCTGGCGTTTCAGTCATCTGGGCTGCTGTCTTCAGTCTGTATATAAAGCACGGCGTCCATGTCTTGGGAAGTCATGGAACGGAGTCTAGTCTTTGTCTACTTTTATGTATAAAACGAATCTCAGATATTAATATGAGGCCTGGTTCCACTCGGGCCTTGGCATAAATGCATAGCAATACGATTCGTGCCTTGGGTTCGGGCAACTATCTACATCGCCACTGAGATACTTCGGACTTGACTGCTTGTAGCCATGGGGATTTGCCTCACTTGGGGAACTCTAATCATGCTTAACTCAAGACCGAGGTTTGAGTCACTTGCTCGGTCCCGAAGACTGAACGGATTCATCCCCGGCGCTAATGCAGTTGTCTAACGTCGTCAGAGCCTATGGCCGCGCCTGTGGTAGAACATCGACAAGGCTGAGGGTGAAACAACAGTATATGCACCCCCGATCCTTCGGCCCCGTAGGACATTGATTCATCCTTCATAAGCGTCGCACACACGGTTTTCATCAGTCACCTGGAACTATGAACTGCATTTTCCACGCCGTGCTCGTTGCAGCAGTGCAAGTGACGACAACGATTTTGATCTGAGATGGCTGGTTTTTCGCATTTAATCTCTTCTCTGGTCTACCTCGTGATTCTGGCATGTGCAACGGCTTCAGATCGACCTCAATTCACTCCAAACCATGGTTCCACGTCGGCTGTTGAGCAGCTTCCAACGAGCGCAATCACACCTGCACCGGACCATGAGCTCGTCCTGAGAGCGACTGCCCAAACCAGAGACCCTCGCCTATGCGGATTCGTCTCCGGCGAGTCGGGTACAATCTTCTGCTTTCCGTCACAGACGAATGGCTAACTGGTAGATAATGGCAGGAATGCCTTACATGTGCCAACCGCAGCAGTCTTGCCTGTGGAACTCCGAGCTCTCCGTTGTGGGGTGTGGTACCGCTTGGGCGTCTACCGCGTGCCTTGACTACACCCATTATCTCAGCGGTTCCTGCAACTCGATGAACTCGCGCACAGGCTGCTGGTAAGAAATCTCCTTCAAGATCTCGAGGTAAAGACTACCCACTGATTCGTTACATGTGCTATGAAGTATGAACTCGGAGTACCCCTCGTGCGTTACCAACAGTTTCACAGGGTCAATCAAGAACGGCTACTACTTGATCAACTGCGCCAAACCCGGGAACATCGGAAATTTCCTGGCCTGGGATGCCACCACGACTGGCTCTTCGTCGTCCACTCAGGTCATCGCAGGCGCAGCGGCAGAAACCCAGGTCGGTTCAGCAACATCGCCGACTGGAGTCACGCCGACGTCAAACACTAATACCGAGTCCGGGGGCATTACAACGTCCGATAAGATAGCAATCGGTCTCGGAGTTGGGATCGGCCTGCCTGCCACAATTGCGGCTATTCTGACACTTTGGATCTCACTCCGCAATCGCAATAAGTACTCGATCGTGGGCGGCTAAAGTTCCTCGGGATCAATATGAGCCAGAGCCACAAGGGGCGGAGGTTGGGAACTGGCCATTATATTCCGGCCTTCGGGTTTGGCGTTTGTTACAGAGTTGTGAAATACAGTTGATGGGCACATGACGTTCAAGGTTAACACTGTCTTTCAAAAGCACTGCTTTACAAAATATGGTGGGTGCTTCATTTGATTTCTTCGGTAGTTAATATAGAAAGGTTTAATACGAAAAAGAAGATTACCAGGTCATATCTCATTACTATGCCGAATGTTAGATAACCCTTGCTGCTGTTGGTACCGGATGTATAGAATCAGCTCGCAAACTTGAGAAGGTTTGCACGGTCAGCCGCGATGAAGCGGCACCGGGCACGAATCTTGTCAATGGCTTGTGCCAGAACCAGATCGAACGACTGTAACACGTTAGCTTTCGGTCAAGATTTGGAGGAAATACTATAATGATCGGTCAAAACCTAAATGAATCCTGGTGCTCACCTCGTCTACCCTATCTGAGAAGAAATTTTCTACTTGCGCCAAGTGCTCTGATGTGGCAAGCCCGCCCAACACCGTAGTGATGAAACCAAAACCATTTACTGAATCTTTCCTGCGTTTGTCGACTAGGATGTTCCAGTTGTTCATCAGCCAATTCCAGGATGCTATAGCACCGCCTGGGTGTTCCGAGAGAGACTTCAGAATGCTTTGACGTAATGCCCAGTTCATGACAAATGGCACGGGATTCTTCGACAGCACCAATTCTTCCAGGTCCGAGATGCCCAAATAAGTCGACGAGCTTGGAGTAATGAGCTGCAGGGCGCGAGCGATCAACTCAGGATCTGGTGAACTGCCGAGGGCAGACAGGGCTTCTAGCGGTGTGACTGGATCCTCAGCCCTGATGTACGATCTCTCCAAGGCAATTGACTTTAGTTTATCCCAAGTATCCTGTTCAGAGTTATGTCAGATATGATGTTATCAAATATTATTCCTTGAGCAATACCTTTGAATTGTCAAGGGCCACCACAGTCTTGAAAATTGCCTTTCTAAGGTTTGGGTTCAGCGCTTCCTGTTCGCCGTTAATGAATCTTTTCCAGGCCACACAGGATCTCTCCTGCACCAAGTAATGGTTCCTGAGCTCTGCAAATAGCAGCGTTCTGAGTAGGATATCTTCCGTTGTATCATCTGGGCTGAAATCCAGATATCCCTTCTCGACCAGGTCGTTCAACAATTTAGATCTGACTAACTTGAGCGTGTCAACGATCTCCTTGTTTTCAAACATAAAGGCAGCTTCTACTCTCCGAAACTGGCCCAGAATCTCTCGCCAGACGTATAAGTTTGATGTGGTATCCTTAACAGTGAGAAGAAAGTCCAAGAAATGAGAAACCCTGCATCTTCGGTCGGCAGACCCAGTCAAAACGAGTGCACCTAGATCCGAAATGATACCAACCTTGTCCTCCGAGGAAAGTGTGTTGCCAGCAAACTGCACCGCAAACTTGTGAATGCGTGACAACGGGTATGAAACTCGGTAGAAGCCGACCAAATTTGCGTTGAGCTTATAGCTGAAAAGATTCACCGGTACTACCATTTCCTGTCCCCTCATGGTGTGTTTTTCAATGCCATTTGGACCTCGGATTTGGACCGTAAGTGGATATGGCCCTACTCCAAAATCTGTATCACCATTTTGTAGAAACCTCGACTGGTTAATTGCGACTTTCCCAGCTGGGCGAAGTTCATTGACTGTCAGCAGCGGATATCCAACGGTCTGCGTCCAGGTTGCCATTAGTTCTGCGACGTCTTTACCGCTGATTTCGCTAAGTGCAATCCATAAGTCTTCCGTGGTTGCAGTGAGATATATGTGCTTGTGTAAATAGCGTTGGATGCCTTTCAGAAAGATATCAACGCCAAGGTCTTCAGCCACCATCCGGAGGATACTGCAGCCTTTCAAGTACGCGATGGAATCGAACGCCGCAGCTGGTGAAAGTCTTGGGTCTTGAATAGCATGACTCCCCATGCTAGAGTCCAGCTCGAGCGCGTCCTGAAAGCCAGCTCTGCCTCCATCGTCGGGACTAGCCAAAAAGCTCGCCCGACTGTCAAAATTGGGGATCATCTGTGAGAGAGCATTGACCGTTGCCCAATCGGCAAATGCTTCGTTAAGCCAGATGGAGTCCCACCACCTCATTGTTACGATATTGCCAAACCATTGATGTGCAAGCTCATGGGTAACGAGAAATGCAAGGCGCATCTTGTCGGCTTCTGATGGACTGTCATCTAGGAGCAGACCTCTTTCTTCGTATGACACACAACCCCAATGCTCCATACCACTGTGAGCTTGGTATTAGATACTGTCTGTCTTTGGGCCGATAGCCCTTGGAGATAAGTGTGTTCTGCCTCTTACCCTGTATGCCCTGGAATAGCAACCATATCAAGTTTCGCCAACGGATACTCAAGCCCATAATTACTCTCGTGTGTCTTCATGGCTTTTACAGCAATGTCCAACGCATAGGCGCCATTTTCGATCTTTCTGTCCAGCGGAGCCCACACCCGAATGGGGATGCGAAAGTCATTACTCTGTAGAACATTGAGGTGTCCAGCAATCATGACCACCAAGTATGTCGACATCAGAGGTGAGGCTTTGAAAATTGCTCTCTTCTTCGGTTCTCCTTGGGTGCGCTTGATTAGTCTCTCAGAATCAAGCTCCATGTTGCTGAGACAGGTGAGGTCGACATCTGCCACAATACAGACTGTGAAATGTGCTTTGATTTCTGGCTCATCCCAGCATGGGAACACTGACCGAGCTGAGATTGGTTCCATCATGGTCTCAAACCCAAACTTGACTGCACCGCCAGGCCCCTGATAGGGCGTCGGGCATAGACCGCTCATTGATCCTGGCGGTGACATTTCTCCGACATATTTCATCGTAACGGTAGCCAGAGAATTCGTGGGGAGTGTCGTATCTAGCTCAAGGTAAATAGTTTCATTTTCAGGCTGGTTATGTATGGCTATGACCGCAGCTGCGCCTTCCGCGGGATTGACTGCAGCATGGGTTACTTGGAGGCGAAGAGCATGTAGGACAATATGCCTAGTAGCCTTCCAGATGGCAACTTGTATGACCGCTTTCCCATGGATTTCGTTCTTGGCCACATCCGGCTCAACCTCAATGGTATAATGGAGAGGCCTGACCGAGTCTGGAAGTCGAAAAGGCGGGGCTACGGCAGCCGCTCTAGCAACAGCCTCACGCATTTTGGACTTTAGGAGAGGGAAACAATGAGGTTGTAAAGTGCCGCCGTAGACATACTCTTGAATTTCGATAGACAACCAAAACTAGTCGAGAGTTGAGTAGCTACCTGTGTACTCATTTACAAATTTGCAGAGCTCGCGAAAGAGGGAGCAGCGAGCGTCTAGTCCAGAACGTGCTCGGAGACTTTTGTGTGGGGCCCATGCAGGCGACCCTGGTTTCAAACCTGGTATTTTATGGGTTACCTCTGATACAAGGTGAGCAGGCAATACCTTGAGGTACGCTACTTTCTACAGCCGTGGAGCATTCGATATATTCTGTGCTGTGGCACATTAGACTATACAAACCTTAGTTGAAATAGGACTATAAGGGCACTGCGACAACTAAATGAGGCGTGTGGAACAAAAGCATTGCGGAGAGTGAATTAATTATTAATTATTAACTGTTACTGTTAATGAAATACCACTCACGTCTATTTACCCTTCGCGCATCTGTACTACGGCGTTTCATCCATTTATCCATCCACTCTCCTAGCCCACGGGAGTTCGGGCTCGCCGCAATGGACCGTAACTTCTTTTCTGAGCCTAATCAGGGCCTGCTGTACGACCCCAAGTCGTTTCCAAGATGGCGGCCCGGAGAGGGACACCAAAGCACTGAAGTCGGCACGCGGCTTTCGGGAGCGTATCATAGTTTTCACTCAACCTTTCTTGCAGCCACCTTTCCCCAGCAAGTCGCTGTTTGATCACGGAGCACGGCGTGCATTCCCCTGTAGCACGACGTGACCGTTGTCACCAACAATTTCATGGAGGACAACAGTGCAGCCCTCAATAAATGACACGAGATCAACCACAAAGCGAAGCATAGAACACGGACTGGCACACAGCCTACAGCTTCACTTTATCCTTGGCTATCAATTCAAGTACAAGCGACCGCTACCGCCGGGGTCTACTCAGTGTCCAAGCTTAAAATTAGTCGCAACAGGGATTATCGGGAGGTTCGGGTCAACTTGACTATCGTCGAAACTGAGAAGATTCGCCCAATAGCTCATGGACCAGCTCCCATACAGAGAAGCAAAACGCACTGACCAGTACTTATTTATGTGGGAGGGCCGGTAATAGCGATGGCAATAGAGACCATTTCAGGGATAGTAAGAAGTTGTCTCCATTTCGTTGGATATCATGTGGTACATGCTCGTGAGCTATTGTGCGAATCTTCTGAGTTCTAACGGTAGCAGTGACACACTTGCGGTGCGTATGCTATTCATTCCAAGAAGCCCGAATCTCGCAGTCTTAAGACTATCGCTGCATTACTCACGCCTTCCACAGAGCACATGGGTTTAGGCAACCTCAAATTTATGATAATCCAATCCTGTGTCTCCCATAAATTCAACTACAGGCACTCCGCCCTTTGCGCAACAGTCTCTCGGTCTCATAGCAGTGGCTTATCGCGAGGAGCGCATCCCGATGTGGCTGTGCTTATTGTGGCTGGCCCAAGCCAGAAAACCTTTCAAAGTGCCAAACCAAGATCTCTCGCCAATCTTGAGAACCAATCTGTCATTGTTATTGGGCGACTTTCTGAACGACCAATGGCAGACGTTTCACTCCTTTGATTCTTGTATAGTTGTATATTTCCTTCACTATTACCTTCTATTTGCTATGTGCGCCGCCTGTGCCATTCCTTGAACGAAGCTCAGACAGCGGTCTCTAGGCCCACTGCCGACACGGCCTAGTAAGGTGCGGCAGCAGTAGGAGGGCGCCTGTTGGAAAATGTCGCAGCCCTTTCATGCTGGCGGCGTAGCGAACCATCACTTTGTCGACCCGCTGAACATAATCAGATCGCTCGCTGCGCGCTGGTCCGAACTTGATATCACTCATTTGGGCTCAATTGTAGCTCTTGCTGGCGTCGCGCCATCCGCCTGGCGTTTCGCGAGAACCGCCTGGTCCGAAGTCTACGGGTGGATACGGCGCTTTTTCATAGCTTCGGTCACGGTCCCGGGGCGGGATCCACTGAATCGAAATGTCGTCAATTGGGTTCTTGCCAATGTCATAGAGTCACGCAAGATCCGCTTCTTCACTGCGCGCACAGAGTCGCAGCTCGGTCGAGATGATGCCACGGCGTCGTTGAAGAAAACCCGGCGCCGGGCGCAGTATCTCCCCCATTGGGAGACCACGTGGTTTTGGCACGAGAAGAACCTTTTCATAGTGTCCCGCTCATTAGACAGCTTCAATGCCTCTATGTGCGACCCAGGCTACGATGGAATTGGTGGCGAGGAGCTAACCATCAGCTGCGTCGGCCGCTCAGCGGCTCCTATCAGGCACCTTGTAGATACGTGCAGAGAATATTCCGAGAAGCAGATGCAATTTTTTGTCACCATCTACTCGAGAGACCGCTATGGGATATCTTGGCAGCCGAAATCCAGGATGCCCATTCGACAGCTTGACACCGTTCACTTCGACGACAAGGTGAAGGATGAATTACTTAGCGACATTCGCAAGTACCTCGATCCCAAAACACAGAGGAGGTACAGGAATCGAAGCATGCCTTACCGCAGGGGTTATCTGTTATACGGGCCCCCAGGTACAGGCAAGAGCTCTTTGTCTACGGCGCTGGCCGGTGAATTCGGTCTTGATCTCTACGAGGTAAAGATACCCAGTGTTCCGGCCGATCATGATCTGGAGCAGATGTTCCAGGAAATCCCCCCTCAGTGCATTGTGCTGCTGGAGGATATTGATGCAGTTGGCATGGAACGGGATGCGGGGGAGAAGAGCGACCACAGCAGCATCCACAGCAACAGGTCCAATTGCACACTCTCTGGGGTTCTCAACGTCCTGGATGGGGTGGGATCCCAGGAGGGCCGCATCGTCATCATGACGACAAACAAGCCCGAGCAGCTCGACAGCGCTCTGACACGACCTGGACGAATTGACATGAAGGTCTTTCTTGGCAACATCAGCCAGAAGTCCGCCAAGCAGATGTTTATCCGCATGTTCTCGCCTGAGCTAGATACCTCGGAATCGCCCTTGGACATTCATCAGATAGAATCACTCGGGTCTCAGTTTGCGGCACAAATCCCGGAAGATGCCTTTACGCCATCCCAGCTTCAAGGGTTCTTCCAACTGAACCTAGACAGCCCTGTCGATGCAGCTGAGAACATCGCTGTCTGGGTTGAGAAGGAACTTTCTCGGAAGTCAAAAGATGAAGGCGTTGAAATAGTCCGTCAAGCTCACCCCCAATTTTGATTAAATGACGGATTGTGTACAGATAGGAGGGGATTGAGATCTTACTGTAATATGATGTATACTTGCATAGAACTAGGATCAGTGAGGGACACTGATATATTGTATAGACCAGGTGGGCGGCGTTTGGGCAAGAAATAGGGATAGCATCGGAAACGATCTTGGGTTAGACACTTAGAGTTGGAATGATATTCCTTGCAGCCGAACTCACTACCTAGGTATCTACAAACGCATATATGTCGGTGTATATTGATGATTGATAGGAACGCCGTATGTGATCAGGGCCTCTGTATCTGAGGCAGCCCGAGACCCCCTACAATGTGTTAGTGGTTTGCCAAGTGGGGAAAACCAGTCCGTAAGCGCAGAGCATTTTTTGTCTGATATGAGACCAACGTGATTGGTGCGCACCCGAACAGGCAGCAGCATTCTATCCAATGGAGAGGGAGGTACATCATATAGATCTCGGTTCGTGATGTTGGTGAGCTGTTGTTTCAATGGGACCAACAGTCCCCCATAAGGCTTGATGCTTAGAATCAGATACCATTTACACTGTAGGGCCTTTCAGTGGACTCCAGGCGGCTGAAAATGATGGTTTCTACTTTGCTCTGACCATTAGCCTGCCGTGCGAGGGTATTCGTGAAGAAATGCTCTACCCCACAAGATTTCTTGCCAGCACGAGATGGAACAGAAAGTCGATAAGGCATGCACAACATACGGAGGCCTCATCTAGTTAGAGGAGGCGAAGGGATGGAAGGCTGTACTAAGATAGCTCGGGCACAGCCTCAGGGTACCCGTGCCGCATTACTCCACCTCGACGGCCGCCGTCATGATTGGGTGGAGACCGATGAGAAGCATATGATCTCAAAACTTCTCGACTCCCAGCATTCAGCAGAGTGCACATTCTCAGACATAAAACTACCAACACTGTCCCGTCCGATTTGAAAGTACTATTCGCCATGGTATTGAGACCCGTTTACTACCCACAGGCGAATATGTCAGGCTATCCTCCATCTGGTCCTCCTCCCTTCCCCCACGGAGAGGCGAGTCAGCAGCCTAATCACCATCAATGGCAGCCCTACCAGTCGCCTTCAGAGGGCTCGCCTTACCCGGGCCAAGGCTCCCCCGTGGCGTCGCCGCACCAGGGCTCCCATTACGGTCCGTTTCCCGGGCCTCCTCCTCATCAACACCCGCAATACGGGCCTCCACAGCCGCAGTATGCCGATTCTCCACCGCCGGCTGGGCAGTACCCACCCAGTCCCGGATACGGATACGGATACACTGGCCAGCACCAAGCTCAGCCTTACCATCCTCCATCCTCGCCTTATCAGCCGCCCGCTCAACCGCAGTACGCCGCTACACCTCCGGCTCCGCATGGGTACCCTCCGGAGATCAAACATGAGTATAGCCCAACGCCACCAATGGGGCAGCCGCTGCAAACCGAGGAGCAGAGGGGCCTGATGGGCGCACTTGCGGGAGGTGCCGCCGGCGCTTTTGCTGGTAAGTCCTGTAGAGTCCATCATTACGTCTTGCTTGACTAACCCCTTAAAAGGTCACAAGGTCAACCATGGACTACTTGGGGCACTGGGTGGCGCATTTGCAGGACATAAACTGCAAGATGCATACAAGGATCACAAGAAGCATAGTCGACCTTCGTCACGGCGCTCCAGCTCTTCTTCTTCCTCGTCCTCGACGGGCCACAGTCACACTGTCCAACGCCCACCGCAGCATCAAGCGCCTCCGGTCGTGCACGGCACCAAGGGCAACTATTCTCAGAGCTCCTCGAGGATATCGCTGGATAACGACCATGATTTGATTGCCGAGTGTGCTGATATCAATGGAAGCAGGAAGCTCTCGTCGATCTCGCTCAATCGACTACTAACCAACGACGACGGACACTTCCGTTGGTCGCGCGAAGGTAATTTTGCTGCCAGTGCCAGGAATGTGCGACTCATTCATGGCGGCAAGTTCCTCGAGGCCGAGCTGTGCAGTTGTAATGGAAGCTGGCGTCGGGACCAGATATGTCTGGATGAAAGGATTGAGAACTCGAACGGTAACCTTCAGATGCTATGGTGATTGTTCATCACTGCACTAGGCCGCGGGCCACAACACCGGTGACACGCGGCTTAGGTGGTTCGAATGCACGAGTAATAGACGACTGGGCGTTTGCCGGGCAGCACCAAACTTTCAAGTAGTACCGACAATACGAGAATTCTATGTTGGTCTACCATGTGTATCCACGATTGAATAAGTCGGCATTGCTTGCGCCGTTACGCAGCTCTTTAAAGTCCGCCGCAATGCCTTGTCACAGAGCGCTAAATGCTTTGCGCCTTACTAGGGCTGCGCCAAGAAGGGGGCTAATTCATTGCTTACCAGCCGCGTGGGAATCTATTGCATCATGACTCCCACTTATTTAGCGGCACTGACATCTAGTTTGCATTCCATCGAAACGGGTCATCGATATCAGTCTGACAGTGCGATCCTTGCCCATCATGGATCACAAATAATTGCCTTCTGGCGCAATCAGGACGGAGCTCACGGACAACTCGGGCTGCTCCCGAGCCCGAGAAGATGAATCAGCTCCTCGGTGGTCGGCTGGGCGTGGCTAGACAACGCGGATACATACATACCGCATCCGCCAACATTAGACATGAACCGATGAATATACCCTCTTCATACATACCTGTATCTTCCCCCTTGTGATCGTTCTTTCACTTGATTAACTTTTCTGTCACGGTATTCAAATGACTTGAGCACATTGCCTCCTGTACTTCAAGCCCTCCCACAGAAGCAAGGGCCACGAATATGGACGACAGACCAACCCCAGCAGATACGGATATCCCAGGGGGCTTCCCTGTGACACCGTCTTTGCACTCTCGGAAGCCGACGCCTGGTCGTCTAGGGTCACCCTCCCCTACCACAGATGCGAATGAGGGATATGAAGCACGAGACGGCCTTGATGTAGCCGCCCCGACTCGGAACGGCGATTCAGGCCGGTCGTACTTTGATGTTTCGACAGATCCTTTCGAAACACGGACATCAGCAGCCCATCCAGTGCTTGAAGATGCAAGTTCTACAGGTTCAGAGAAGACACTAGCTTCTCCTGTTGACGATGGCGTGCATCATGCCAGCAAGAAAGAAGCCGTCAGCGTTCCAAACGAATCTCAGCAGTCCGTACCGGAAGCCCGATTTGAGGAGATAAAGACAGGGCCCGAAACGCGTCCTCCGTTGGGTTCCTCTAAGAGCACCATTCGAAGCGAAGAAGATATCTTCAGAGTTTTATCTCAGCGTCGCACATCTGTCGCAGAGTCAAAGGAGGACGACCATGAGATCGAGCGCCTTATGTCACGCTTGTTCGGCCAAGCACGCCAGCAGCAGAGTGAAGAAGAGAACACGCGGCACTCGGGAGTCGTGTTCCGTGACCTGACTGTCAAGGGCGCTGGGCTGGGAGCCAGTCTTCAACCAACTGTTGGTGACATCTTCTTGGGACTTCCCAGATTTCTGAAGAATCTGCTCACGAAAGGGCCCAAGGCTGCTACGGGAAAACCGCCAGTAAGAGAGCTTCTTAGCCACTTCGATGGCTGTGTGCGACCAGGAGAGATCTTGCTGGTCCTCGGACGCCCTGGCTCCGGGTGCAGCACATTCTTGAAAACATTTTGCAACCAGCGCGCAGGATATGAGGAAGTTCTTGGCTCTGTGACTTATGGCGGAACGGATGCTAAGATCATGGCGAAAGATTTCAGGGGGGAGATAATCTACAATCCTGAGGACGATCTCCACTATGCTACCTTGTCCGTCAAACGCACCCTGACCTTTGCCTTGAGAACTCGTACTCCTGGAAAAGAATCTCGATTAGAGGGTGAAAGCCGTAACGACTACGTGACAGAGTTCTTACGTGTGGCAGCCAAGCTGTTGTGGATCGAGCATACCATGGATACCAAAGTTGGCAATGAGTACGTCCGCGGAGTCTCGGGTGGCGAACGCAAACGTGTCAGCATCGCCGAGGCTCTCATCACACGAGCCAGTGTCCAAGGCTGGGACAATTCCAGCAAAGGCCTCGATGCCTCGACCGCTGTAGAGTATGTGCAGTCCCTCCGCACTCTCACAAACATGGCCCAGGTATCGACGGCAGTGTCTCTATACCAGGCTGGAGAGAGCCTGTATAACCTTGTCGACAAGGTCTTGCTCATAGACCAGGGACAGTGCTTGTACTTTGGCTCTTCCGACGACGCAAAGCAATACTTCCTCGACCTCGGCTTCGACTGCCCTGAACGGTGGACCACAGCCGATTTCCTGACGTCTGTGACCGACCCCTTTGAGCGCAGTGTGCGACCAGGCTGGGGAGACCGCATTCCACGGTCTGCTGAAGACTTTGCTACTGCCTACAAGAAGTCCGAAGTTTACCAAAGAAATATTCAAGACATTGAAGACTTTGAATCCCAAATTGATCAGCAGCAACGGAGACGAGCTGAACATCGGTCGAAGAAGAATAAGAAGAAGAACTATACCATCCCCTTTCACCAACAAGTTCTGGCATTGACCAAGCGCCAAATGTTGGTGATGTTGGGTGACAAGGCCTCGCTGGTGGGTAAGTGGGGAGGCATCGTCTTCCAAGGCCTTATTGTTGGTTCTCTATTCTATAACTTACCCGACAATGCGAACGGCGCCTTCACCAGAGGTGGCGTTTTATTCTTCATCCTTCTCTTCAACGCATTGCTTGCCCTAGCCGAGCAGACTGCCGCCTTCGAATCCAAGCCCATTCTGCTGAAGCACAAGAACTTCTCTTTCTACCGCCCGTCTGCCTACGCACTTGCACAGACCCTTGTGGACGTGCCACTGGTTCTGATCCAGGTCATTCTTTTTGATGTTATAATATATTGGATGGCTGGACTTTCTGCTACACCTTCCCAGTTCTTCATCAGCATCCTCATCCTATGGACTGTTACCATGGCTACTTAGTAAGTAACCCAGATTTCTTCCACCTTCATGAGAGCCAGCCGGAGCGCTAGCGCAGTGATATCGCAACCTGCTACGAGAAGATTGAGAGAGGATTTATCACGTAGATGGGCTTGGCAAGGAAAGACGCTGACCCCAGATATTATAGTGCGTTCTTCCGAGCTATTTCAGCGGTTGCCAAGACCTTGGATGATGCAACAAAGGTCACTGGAGTAGCGATCCAAATTTTGATTGTGTATACTGGATACCTTATACCTCCCTCCTCTATGCGACCATGGTTCGGTTGGTTGCGCTGGATAAATTGGATTCAGTACGGCTTCGAGAGTCTTATGTCTAACGAGTTCTACAATCTCGAGATGCCATGCGTACCTCCCTACCTTGTGCCTCAGGGACCTAGCAGTTCCCCAGAACATCAGTCCTGCGCGTTAGCAGGTTCTAGCCCAGGTTCAATCGTCGTTTCTGGAGCTGCGTACATCCAAGAGTCATTCAGTTACTCCAGAGGCCACCTCTGGCGGAACTTTGGTTTTCTGTGGGCATTTTTCGTCTTCTTTCTTGCTATCGCCATGATAGGCATGGAAATGATGAAACCGAATGCCGGAGGCGCCGCGGTTACAGTGTTCAAGAGGGGTCAGGTGCCGAAAACCTTGCAGAAATCTATCGAGACAGGAGGCAGGAAAAAGACTGACGAAGAGTCTGGCTCACCCACGGCAGCCAGCGGTCCAGATCACGCTCAGCAAGAAGAGAAGGACAAGCAGGCAATGAAAAACGTCGCTGGAAACGAGACTGTCTTCACCTTCCAGAACGTTAGCTACACCATCCCCTACCAGGGAGGGGAGAAGAAGTTACTGGATCAGGTTCAGGGGTTCGTTCGCCCTGGAAAGTTAACAGCCCTCATGGGTGCCTCGGGCGCAGGTAAAACGACCCTTCTTAACACGTTGGCTCAGAGAATCAACTTTGGCACCATCACCGGCGATTTCCTGGTCGATGGTCGAACGCTCCCTAAATCCTTCCAGAGGGCTACCGGGTTTGCTGAGCAAATGGACGTCCACGAACCCACAGCTACGGTGCGAGAGGCTCTTCAATTCTCAGCTTTATTGCGCCAGCCTCGGGAGGTGTCAAAGGAGGAAAAGTACGACTACTGCGAAACTATCATCGACCTAATGGAAATGAGAGATATTGCTGGAGCCATCATTGGCAAGCCCGGTGAGGGTCTGAATCAGGAACAGCGGAAAAGGCTCACAATTGGAGTTGAATTAGCATCGAAACCTGAGCTGCTGATGTTTCTTGATGAGCCAACTTCAGGTCTCGACTCCGGTGCTGCCTTCAACATTGTCAGATTTCTTCGCAAACTGGCTGATGCTGGACAAGCCATTCTGTGCACTATTCACCAGCCCTCTGCTGTGCTCTTTGAGAACTTTGACGAACTGATCCTGCTGAAGTCTGGTGGGCGCGTGGTATATGCTGGAGAACTTGGAAAGGACAGCCAGAAGATGGTCAAGTACTTTGAGGGTAACGGTGGGCCCAAGTGTCCGCCTGACGCCAACCCAGCTGAATGGATGCTTGAAACAATCGGTGCCGGCAACCCAGATTACAAAGGCCAGGACTGGGGAGATGTCTGGATCCAATCCAAGATCTATCATGAACAGATCCGGGAAATCGGCCAGTTGAATGAGAAGCGGCGGAACGTCGAGCACTCTCGGAACGTTCAAGATGAACGGGAATATGCTATGCCTCTGTTGACGCAGACGCTGGCCGTCGTCAAGCGATCTTTCATCAGCTACTGGAGAACGCCCAACTATATTATGGGAAAGTTTATTCTTCACATCTTTACTGTGGGTTGGCTTTAATCCGGTTTCTTCGGTGGCAAAACTAATACACTATAGGGACTTTTCAACACCTTCACATTCTACAAGCTTGGATACGCTACCATCGATATGCAATCGCGTCTCTTCTCGATTTTCATGACTCTGACCATCTCCCCGCCCCTGATCCAGCAGCTGCAGCCTGTGTTCCTTCAGTCACGTAACATTTTCCAGTCTCGTGAAAACAACGCCAAAATCTACAGCTGGTTCGCATGGACCACTGCCGCAGTTCTTGTTGAGCTCCCATACGCCATCGTGGCCGGAGGTATCTACTTCAACTGCTGGTGGTGGGGACTTGGCGGATACAAGATGTCCGGCTTTGCCTCGGGTTTCACGTTCCTCTGCGTCATCCTCTTCGAGCTGTACTATGTTGGCTTCGGGCAAGCCATCGCAGCGTTCAGCCCTAACGATCTCTTGGCCTCACTACTCGTGCCGATCTTCTTCCTTTTCGTGGTCTCGTTCTGCGGTGTTGTCGTACCGCCCGAGCAGCTTCCCACTTTCTGGCGTTCTTGGATGTATTGGCTCACCCCCTTCCACTACCTACTTGAGGCTTTCCTCGGCGTGGCGATCCACGATCAACCAGTTAGATGCGACAAGGGCGAGTTTGCTCGTTTCTCGGCGCCACCCGGCCAGACGTGCGAATCTTACACTCAGGCGTACCTAAGCCAGGCGGGCGGGTATGTACAGACTGGCGCCGATGGGCTGTGCGAATTCTGCCAGTATGCGACCGGCGACGAATTCGGCCGCGGCTTCAGCGTGTACTATAGCAACATTTGGCGCGATTTTGGGATTGTGTGCGGTTTCATCTTGTTCAATTACGCAGTAGTCTATATGGCAACCTTCCTCAGATTCAGGGGCAAGAACCCGTTCAAGGGAGCCTTGACCAAGCTAAAAAGCCGATAATTATTTGTATTCAGAGATCGGGTTAGAATCATAAAGGTAGACTCTAATATTTAGATTTCAGATAAAAGTAAGAATCAATATATAGAGCTTGAAGTCACATTGTTCACAAGCCGACTTTACTACCTTTGACACTCCCATCTATCCATATATATATCCACCTACCCATCTCTTCGAAATTCAGGCCTAACCACAGAAGTCAGCCACGACACTATTCACCTCAATACTATCAGCCTAGGCCCATTCCGCTTCGGCGTAGAGACCCTCTCCCTCCGCACTAAAGACCGCGACTGGAATGCCTGCCTGGTCCAGGAGAGCCGCACCGCACCAAGCCGGCCGGTACTGAGTGATGATCGGTTTGCCAAGGACGCTTTTTGCGGCCTATCTGATTGTTTTGACGAGGATGTAGTTTGATGACACCTTAAGGCGTGGCTGTTCTAGCAAGAGAAGCGGCCCGCGATGTTTGAAGCCAGATTTCTGCTCAGTAATACTGCACAGAACCACAAGCCTGTCGTCTAATATACTCTCAGCATTTTGCGAGGGCACTGTGCAAAATTCGATCTTCAACTTACATGATGAGGAAGTTGAAGATAAGTCCTCCCCCCCTTAAATCAAACCGCAGTATAGAGACGCTTTTTTCAGAGTCTTATCTGTTGGTAGTGAAATTGCAAAAACTACAAGATGCGTCCGAAATTTCTAACACAATATCCCCAAGACCTCGCCTCGCCCTGGTATTGGCGAGGCTTGCCACAGTCACGCCTCAAACGTCTCAGTGTAAGCCAAAATTCTCATGTATGTACCCCAATGCTGAACGTGTGCCAGTATATACCCTTCTTAGCCAACGTTATCTCACAATGCCTTCTGTGGTACTGAGCAACAAGTTAAGCTCTCACAGAGATTGCCGCATACTATCTGACAAGCCGTTTCATTGCCTCGTCGTCTCCTAATCGAAGAGGCAGCAATTGATGGGGTATAGGCAGGGGTGGGGGCAGAGGTTGTTGTTAAACCCTCAATGTCCGAGGACCTTGGCGGTGGCTGGGCCAACTCTGGTTGAAGTGTCGCTGAGTGGATGCCGTACGCATGGAGGCACTCCTTGATAGTTTTGGCACTGTCCATGAAGTTGGTGACGTTATCGTCGGATACAACGACGTGAGCGGAGGCGATGGACTTCTGCTGATCCAGGCGCCATATGTGCAGTTCGTGAACCGACTCGATGCCGGGTATCTGGTGGCTTTTTAGCTGGACATTTCTAAAAGATTCAGAACAACTTATCACCTTTTCCAAATCGTGCTTCACATCGTCGAAACTGACGCCACGTGGCGCGCTTTGCATTAGGATCTTGCCGCTGTTCTTCACCAAGGGAATGGACGAGAGCAGAATCATGATTGCGATCCCCATGCTAGTGCCAGGGTCGGCATAGAACCGGGCATCGTAGTGAGTCAGCATCATGACAAGAGCAGCGATTATTACTCCAATGTTATTGAGGGCATCTCCAATGACATGAATAAGTGCCCCAAGCATGCCGAGGTCCCTGCCTGGGGAGGATAGTGTGGCAATGTTATGCCGATGATTGGCGTGGGAGCTGATAGGCTGACATACAGTGAACACGTGAGAACATGCTGTCAAGAATGATGCACACTTACTGTCATCGGTGTACGATCTGCACTTTCAGTGCTGACTAGACCCATCTCGATGTTGATTGGCCGATGACTATGAGTGTGCGCATGCCTATGCTCATGAGAGTGTCTACCATTAGAAGCGTGTTCATCCGGATGAACGTGACTGTCTTCATGTGAGTGCGAGTGGTCGTGAGAGTGTCCGTGATGCTCGTGTCCCAGCAGTGCAGCACTAAGAATGTTCAACGTGAGGCCAATGCAGCCCATAATGAGAACGAGTAAGGGGTTCTCGACGCCTGGGTAGATGTAAGTGCCACCATGTATGTGTATTGCAGTCAAGGGCAAGTCTTACGCTGTATCGAAACGAATCTTTCGATCGACTGAAGGAAGATCGAGACACCAAGAGCCAACAGGAACACACCATTGAAGAAGGCGCCCAGTAGCGAGGCACGGGCCCATCCGAAGGAGAACTCCTTGGGCGATGCAGCGCGTTGTGTGACCTAGGTACCAGGGTTAAGCATGACCCTCTGTAGCGACTCGGAGCAGCAACACAGACATACTAATATAGCCGCGAGAGCAACCGCAAATCCTATGAGGTCGTTGAGCTGTACACGCATCAGTTAAGAAATCGTTCCAAAGAGAGAGTGTCAAACTCACGTAATGGAATGCATCTGCTACCAGCGCTAAAGAACCGGTTTTGAACCCAACTATATAGTCTCAGTGTCTGTTTTGAGTACATATGAACTTAAAGCAGGGCCAAGGTACGTACTGGCGATTTCAGCCACGAAGAACGCAAAAGAGATAGTAATAACAGCGCTGAGCTTTTGTGTCGATGTGATGCTGGGAAATGCCATCTTGTTGAGAGTGTATAGGAGGGGTGTAACTGCGCCCGAATTGTCCAGACCGAGCCTATGGAATATTCATAGAGTGGAACTGCCGAGGATAGCGCTATGCGTCAGGGCTTCTGCTGAACCTGATGGATTCAGCATTTGCCAAAAGATGTAAGCTTAAGAATTTGGTACCGCAAAGTTGAATATAAAGACAGGAAGAAATGTTGTTGGTCAAAGACCGAAGCCTGGACCTGGTAGCGATGGTGCGGTTTGATAGCCCTCAGGATATTGTTGTAGTAAATGCCCAGGCAAAACGCAAGATGCGGCAGAAAGATCGGCTGAATCCCGATAGTGCACACAGCGTCTGGTACGCAGCAGATCTCATGTGACAAATCTTATAAGTTGCCAAATAAGAGCGGGGCATTTGTTTCAACGTGAAATGGTAGAAGGTTAGGTGTGTTCTCCCACACGGCCAGCGAAGACGCTGGTGGAGTCGATCTCTTTCGTTCGTTGACTCGAAGGGTACGATCCTACTGCTCGCAGTCATCGTCTGGGCGGCGCAGGGGTTATGTAGGCTTCACCCAGTAGAATGCTTCTGGAAGGTCGCATAGATCTCCAAGACGAATCTATAGGGTTTGTCCCAAAGTACACAGTGCCCGGTGTGCCTGTCTTATCGGATGTTTGGTCGCGTTATTGCATGGAATCACGTGTGATTTCGTCGAAGGCGGATCTCCTGGCACATCCACTTCCAGATACGAGAGGCACTAATTGGGTGCATTGCTCATTCATCACTTGAACAGCTAGCTTTCCAAAGTGTGGAGAGACAAATCAAATCACAGGGAGTTCATTGCCAAGAAATTCAACTTTGACCAGATCATACAGTACAATCCACTGGCTCACTAGCAGCAAGATACGTTAGTGTTAGTGCTTGTGCTATCGGAATGCTGCCACAAGCCGCTTAGCAGGGTATTTGGGAGCCACTGAACCCTTATGTAGCATCTCTACACGACTACCTGCCAACAATCTTGGAGATTACAGTTGCCAAGACGCGATTTAGCGGCGGGTTTCCGTACATCCTGGAGGAGGATCCATATGGGGAAGCTGGCATCACCCGGCTTGATGAGCGGAATAATTACCGCCACAGTGCGCCGCGCAGGATACTTAGTTATACATTTCTTAAGCTTTCTGACATTCACTTGGTTTCAAGTACTTAATACTTGCTCTTCAAGTTAATTGAGTGAACATAAGGGTATTGAGGGGCTGAGAGGGTTGAGAGGCAGATTGCCAGACCTTTGAGGCGCCTGGGTCGATTGCCCGTGCTGTCAACGGCGAACGGAGGTAGAGGTAAGGTTATCCTGGTGAGTGCAAGCCGCAACATTGCCCTAGCATACTGAGAGCTCATCATGACCTGAGTTGTGATTCCCACGTTCGGCGGGGTGTCCGATGAATCAAGGATATGGCTGGTGAATATACCCAAACCAAAAGCACTGGAGGCTCAAGTTGGTCGGATGTATTTGCTTGGGGTCCTCACCTTCAAGCCTGTCCCCAATCAGCGCGTCATCGACTAGCCCAGAGTCTCAGTTGAGAGGCTCCCCAATCCAAATCATGATCAGTTGATATCACCAATTGATAGTTGGAACGCTAATATAATACGCTGGCATCTCGTCTCATTAGCCCAGTTGCCGGGCAATATTGTTATTGACGTCTTTCTGTCATAGTACATACATACTATGTATCGTCTGCACCGAGCATGTCGTGCTACACTCCAACGAAGGACTGCTACAGTTTCCCACAAGAGTTTCTTGCTACCAAACCGGCCACATGCAAGGGATATGGTACAAACTTTGATGGTTACACAGACATACGTGACGGCTTCCTCTCACCTTAGGCAGGCGCACCAGGAATCGCAGTATACAATTCCAAACATGGAGACCATCAAGGTAACGACAATATGTTGATCTGTCATCTACAGTGTCCGTCATACCTCCACCCGCAGCTGCTAACCGTTCCCCAGAATACGATCGGGGAAAACTTTGGTGGCATGGCCCAGAGCCTGAGCACTCATCAATTCAATCTCGACGATGTGCCCGATCTGTCGGGTAAGATCGCAATCGTGACAGGGGGTAGCGAGGGCATTGGCTATGGTTGTACCTACACGTTATTGAAGCATAACATTTCCAAGGTCTATATCCTCTCCGTGTCTGAAGAAGTCGCCAAGGGAGCCAAAGCAGCCATTGGTCAAGACCTGGGCCAAGAGACAGCAAACAGGACGGAATGGTTGTTTTGCGACATTTCGGATTGGAAGAAGGTCAAGGAGGTGGCCGAGCAACTTAAGGAGAAGACCGAGCGGCTGGATATTCTCATCAACAACGCAGCGCGAGGTATCATGAACTTTCAGCTGACGGACTATGGGGTGGACAGGCATATGGCATTGAATCATATGGGACACGTCGTCCTGACATCGCACTTGCTCCCGCTCGTGAAGAAGACTGCGGAACAGGGCAACGTGGTCCGGATAGTCAACCAAGCCAGCAACGCGCATCAAGCTACGCCAAGTGACACCAAGTTTGAGAACCTTGAGGAGCTTAACCGGGATCTAGGCCCTAACGGCAACTACGGGCGAAGCAAACTCGCGGGTGTAAGTCACTGGATAAGGAGAGCCTATCAGACGGACGGCATCGACCTCATTTGTTCGGAGCCGCCTGTCACTCGAGGCCTGTCCCGGGCCCCTAGACATCATCTGAACCTCCTGTTTGCTGACTTTTCAATACGACAGATTCTATACGCCAGGTACTTCGCACGGCATGTGACGCAGACTGGTCACCCTAATGTGTTGATGAATGCGAGTCATCCCGGATTCGTGTCGACCAAGATGAGCAAAGAAGATATCCATGAGCCGTACCCTCTAGGAGGCTATGCTATGTCCATCGGCATGGAGCCTTTCAAGAAGGACCAGTTCGAAGGTGCTGTATCAACAATATTTGCCGCCACGACGATTACCGAGTCTGGGCAATACATCTGCCCACCAGCTGTCCCCGAGAGTGGCAGCGAACTTGCACAAGACGATGCCCTTGCTGACCGTCTCATGGATTTGACCCGCAGAACTGTCATGGAGAAGACAAGGCAGGATTCTGCAGCCCAAGGCTGTCCCTTTGACGATCTGGTGCTTCATTGATCTGTATATATACAAGTAGATAAGAGTAGATCAGGCTGCTGGTCTTCGTCATACGAAACCTTATTATGGGTGGTTATGACGATAATAAGTTCTCTCATATAACATATTTGAACGCGAAACCCGTAACCCGTATAGTGACTTGCATGTTGATTGATATATCATCATATAGCCAATTGCCATACGACTTAATTGAATACAATCAGTCTGTGGAAGTATCGTACCGCATGGCTGAGCCGTGTTGTTCACGGAGTGCAGGGTCAACTGCAACTTTTACTCGGACAAGGTACATCCTCCGAGGGCACGTAAAGATTCCAAGCATCCTTGACGTGCTTGACTAGGCTTGTAGTCTCCCGGAAAGTACTCCGGCTTTTGTTGCCCAGTTGTGTCTCACTTGTGCAGCCCACGAACTGCAGCAAGCATGTCATCCGGTTTTTGGGGGAAGCTTAGGTGCCACGGCAGCCACCAGCGTGCTACAATAGCGGTCCAGGGAGATATGAGACTGCTAGCGCCTAAACTTTGGGGCCGACCAGCGTCTAAACCTGATCAGAAGGCGGCCAGGGACGGCGAAATTGGAGCTCCCGCTTTGGGCTGGCTGCAGGCGAAGCTTAGAGATAGGGACCCATGGCGATGAGCGCAACGGACAAACACAGCTACCCTCGACGGCGAGACCATGCCCGCAGCGCCCGCAGCCAGCGTCGGCCTATGATGCGCCTGGGTCTCCAGCTAGACACGGGATGAAGGAGGGCCGGTCGTCATGTCTCGAAATGCCACAGCCTCCCCCTCGCCCTCGGCGCCGCGTCGCGGTCCGACGCAGTGGACATCGCACCTCCGACAGATCAGCCGAACGAGTCTCGACAGAGCCTCGCTGGACTCGCCGCGGTCGCCGGACACTGCCAGCAGTGTGTCGACGGTTCGCGACACTCGCTCGGCCAAGCGGGTGCCCGAACGAACATGCACCGTGTCTATCAATGAGTCGCTCATCGGGGACGAGGTGCTGCTGAACGTCGAGCTCCTCGGCGGCGGCATCAAGCCCGGCAGCCTCATGTCCATCACTCCCATGCGCCCAGAGCCGGACAGATCGTCGAGCATCAACTATGGCTCTCTGCGACCAGCCAACTTCCACCGCGCCTTCTCGAACCCCGAGGATCCCCACCGCCAGGATGGCGACGCCGGGAGGAAGTACATCTTCGTGGTCAAGGACATGTCCAAGGAGCTCCGGGCTAGGCAACCGAACGTCGAAGTCTATGTCGCGAAGCATGTTGCAGACGCATTCGGTATGAAGAAGGGCACCCGTGTCGCGCTGGCCCCCGTGGACGACGTTGCCCCTGCCGTCGAAGCATCCCACGTCGAGCTGTCCTTCCGGGACATGTACCTGTCCCGCGCCGACATGTGGAGGCTGGCCGTTGCCGATCTTACAGAAAAGACCGTATACAAGGGCCAAGTGGTGTATTTCATGGGCACCATCAAGGCGACTGTGAGCAACGTCTTTGTAGACGGCCGCAAGGTCCAATCGGCCTTTTTCAACCACAACACTCGGCCCATCTTCAGGAGCGAGTCTGCCCGGTATGTCCTATTCATCCAGATGGCACGTGAGATGTGGGACTTTGACTCGGACGACTCCGGCGAGATCATGTTCTACAAGGTCGTCAATGGCTTCCTGCCTGCGCTCTTTAAGAAGTGGGCCATGCTGCAAGTCAAGCACCTCGTTAGCATCGTGCTCTTCGCCAGGGTTGAGTACGATACCGGTCTGAACACAGACCTCGCGAACAGCGAGGTTCTGAACGACTACTACACCGGATACCAGACCTCTGGAGACAAGCGACCCTATAAGGACTTCTACCGCGTCGTCGTGAGCGAGATGTCGAGCGGCGAATGGACCACCATCCTACACCAGCTTAAGCAGGAGTTCAACACCTTCCGTAAGGACATCAGCCTACATCATCAAGATGCCATGAGCGCCGCTATGGACCTACCCGACGATGCTGCCGATACTGCCAATTCTGCCACGGGTATCAAGGCTGAATCTTCGCGTGCCATGTATGGCAACTTCCTCGAGGCTATCAACCTGGCATCCTCCCAGTACGCTCACGACTATATCGACAGAGATTTGTTGCGAACCGGAATCTCAATCGTCGTCATCAGTCCCGGCTCCGGCGTGTTTGAGGTTGAATACGAAAACCTCCGGCGGACAACTGAAGCCCTGGTCGGCAATGGCATCGGCATCGACTTGATCTGCATTCCCAAAATACCGCTGCATTCTGTACCCTTGTTCCGTTATCGAAATCCTCTCTTCCTAGAGGCGCATCAACGCTCTCACCCGCGCTCGGTCCGCAGCCGCGATAGCACTCCCAAACAGCCTACCCCGTTGGTCGGCAGCTATACAACGATTACAGAGTCTCTATCCCCTACCAAGGGCAGTGATGGAACCAACCGACTTGATTCTCTTACAAGACTTTATACTGACGAGTGGGCCTTTGCCTTGCCACAGTGGCTACATGTGTCATATTGGACTGGCAAGTCGGAAGAGGCCCTCTCATACCATGGCATCTCGTTGTCGGCCACAGACCACAGCAGTCAGGGATCCCCGGGAGACTTCACTATCAGATGCAGACTCTATGACCTGCAGATGCGGAGCTTGCTCGAGACCAACGAGATCGAAACAACACCATTGCATGCTGATCCCAAATATCCTCACAAAGTTCTGGCCTCGACCATCTCTAACAAACCGAGCCAGAAGCAAGACCAGACCGCCGGCGCACCGAAACCCAAGGGATCTGACACGTTGTTCGATCCTGTATACGGGTTCCAAAAGTTCAATCCTGATAGGTTGACCAAGCCAGGTGAGACATCCATTTGGAAACAGCTGCAGGCTTTTGATGATTATCGCTCCCGGCTACCCAAGTCCCGGATGGCGTTACTGAGCTCAAAGTCGACCCGGGAATTGGATGAGGTTACGAGGAAGCAACTTATGGAAGATACGGGATTGTTTGGATCCTCAGTTGGTGACCACAAAGCCAGTACTCCATCTGTTAACCTGTCGTCGAGCCTCGTCTCAACGGCAATGTCTGATGCTTCGGGTCCAACCCGTCGAAATTCGACGGCTGCAAATTCTCATCACAAACTATTTCCGCCCGCAAAAATGCCAAAGCTGATGAGGCAAATCAGCCTGGGCCAGAAAGGCTTCGGCATTGCAGCGCCAAAGGCTGCCACCGCCGAGCTGCGTACTGAGAATGTAAATGCTACGTCCGCAGGCCAACAGACGCCAACCTCCTCAAGAATGGCTCAACAAACACCCCACAAGCTGAATTTGGAGCCTAGCTCGCCACGAATCGTCGCCAGCGGCCGCTCATTCCGGTCCTTCGACCAGGCCAAGTCCAATCTGTCGGATCAGCTCCAGGATCTCGTTCAAAGCACACCAAGCAAGCCCATCTATATCAACAAGGCTGTTTCGTCCGCGAGCCTGGACCCAACAACACAACTGAAGTCTGGCTCAATCGTTGCCTCTAGTTCCGCAATGGCGACACCAAAACCCCGGCCTGTTTTGCTAGATGAAGACCAAGATCAAAGATACTCTACAATGTTACGCGCCGAGGACGCCACGAAGCTCTACAATTCGAAACTACTTGCTGGTGGTGTTCCAGAACTGCCATCGACACTCTCACCTACGACAGCAATGGCCCCCTGGCTCGTCGTGCTGAACCCATCCAATCCAAACGTCAACAAGGTTGACGATGCTCTCCTATTCAGCAGATGGCAACATGTCTTCCCTAGACCATCAGACATGAAGCTCATGAAATGGAAATCGTTGTCATGCCCAGCCGCCGTGCCTCTCACCACCGAGCATTTCCCCACCAAAACGCAGTTCGATGCTGAATACCAGAGGCAGCCCTACAATATCGCTCAAAACTTTGACGACGAGCTCTCGGAGGAGCCCAAAAGCCGAGAGGACTTCCTGAGGGAGCTGATCAGCGCTCGCTTTGCTCATGGCTTCCAAGTCGTAATTGGCCCAAATGTGGCACGGGCGTTTGGGCAGAAACTCATGAAGATAGCTGACGTCTTCTCACGCAACCGGATCGTCGAGGACGGCACCAGTCTCTTCATGAGCATTGGAAATACTATCCACCAGCTCTCGTGTGTGAATGGCGCCGAAGTAGAGGTCAATATTTTCATTCGCAAGCCTACCGAGTCATTCTTGCCAGCGGACCAGCCGCCACCTATTTACAAACCCGCCATTCGCACAACGCTGGACCCAGCTTACGAGCCCCGAGAGATCGATATTGTAACGCCCAAGCCCGAGAAGAACTGGAATTCCATCGACTCCTATCTTGCTGGACATTTTGAGGAACTGACCGAGAATCTGCGGTTCTGGCGCACGCGTTTTGTGCTTATCCCTATGAGTTCTCGAGCCTCTATGTCGAAGACCCATCTTGGCGACAATGAGGAAGAGATCCGCCTTGAAGGCATCAATCGCCTAGCCCAAGCATGGCAGCGCAATCGATATATGCCGCCATCTGAGCGCCAATTCCAGAGCTCCGGGCACAAGCTACGGGATCCGAATCCCCTCGACATAGTCTACAAAACAGAGGATCCTTCTGTTGTCGTTGCAGCAGAGATGGAAACCTTGCCCTTCTTCGAGAACCTGGAATCCCATTCCCGGAAGGGTCAGCTGGTCTCTGACAGGGAACGATTTTCCAAGTCGAACTTTAACCTCTCGACACTGGCCGAGGCGATCCAGCAGCCACTCGAAAGTGGCGGGGTCCGAATGCAGAATCGGAGGTGGCATCTACGGCTACACTATAACTGTTTCATCGGATCCGACATGACCACATGGCTCCTGGATAATTTTGAGGACCTAGAAAGTCGCGAGGAGGCTGTTGAGCTCGGCGAGTCATTAATGGTTTACGATGACGACAAGGCCAAAGAGAGGGACAATGGCAAAGATGTGAAGAAGGCTGGTCGTGACCGGGGCATATTTGTGCATGTCGAGCGACGGCATAAGTATCGTGATGGACAATATTTCTATCAGATCGCCAGCGAATATGCGAAACAGCAACCTCCTGGATGGCTAAACGTGAGGCGGCGAGACACGTCTATTCCATCTACCCCGCTAGTTGAGCAAGGCCCCAAGGATTCCCCACGTATAGGACTCGGTGCGATGTCTCGGCCAACCTCCATCCACGAAGACGCGTCCCCCATATCCGGTGCCACCACACCAAGCGTGGCTCTATTTGGCGGAAAGACACCCAAAGTCTTCCTAAGTAAAGTTATGAAATATGACGTCGATCACCGGAAGAGATCGTACCGACCTGAGCGAATCAACTTGCACTACGACCGACTCCACAACCCGGATAACTGCTATCACATACGCATTGATTGGATGAGTGTTACTGCGAAGCTGATCGAGGACGCGGTCAAGGGATGGGCAGCTATTGCTTTGCAGCATGGGCTTCGTCTGGTTGAGGTTCCTATCGCCGAGGCCTGCTCGATCACAGAACAGAGCCCGTTCAGGAGACCATTTCTCATCAAACTCGCGGTGCCACCTCCCAGCCAACCACCTGCTACGTATTATGACCCGAACTCTTTCACGCCACAATCGCAACCTGGACGGCACTACTACCAAAAGGCTCTATTGCGGAAATTTGACTTTGTTCTCGATGTCGAGGCCGCTTCCAACTTCCCCAGCAACGTTGATGTGAGCTACTCGTGGGGCAAGCCCGATTTCAAGTACACGCAGTATATACACCGCTCGGGGATGCTCTTGGTCGAAATTACCGACGATGGCGACTTCATCGCCCTTGCCAACAGGCTCTATAGTAACCGTGCTGTTGCCGTTCAACAGGGACCTCCGCGTACGGAAAGTCTCACCAACGATCGCGTATCACGTCTCATAGGATCGGGTGCTTACACCAGCTATGGCATGTCCGAGCCCACGCCAATATCGAGTCCCATGTTCCGGCCCGTCCTATTTTCCTCACATTCTGCAATGTCTCGAGACCAGCAGCAGGTGCCAGGTCATATGTCACCCAGGCTTGGAGCTTCAAGATCAAATCTAGCCGCTCCTGGGTTGGGTACCGGCGAGGCTGAATCCCTCAAGGACACGCTAGAGGCTTTCTGTGCAAATGAGACAGCGCTGGAAGCCTTCTACAAGGACACGCTGGAGAGGGGAATGGCGGCATCTACGCCAGCCGTCAGCGCCTCGGGAGACCATGATACAGTTTCTGAATCGGGCATCCCGGTACTTGGGCTGCCTCCCGGCATCCTGACGGGCGCCAACGGCGAGGTGGCAGCCAGTCCACGTATCGGAACACCTACGCTGGCCAGCTCGCTGATGTTACGGCGGGGCAGTGTACAGCATCTATGAAATGCACATGCAGAAGGATGTACTATGTAGGGATTTGCCAGTGGAACTAGTCATGACTAAGCCTCAATGCTTGCGTAAGGGTGAGGAAGATGAGCCGACTGCAGTTTATGGATCGACTAAGTCAGGTGATGCGATGATGGTGCAGCAGGATGCGGGCTCTTCAGATTGCCAAAGAGGTGACAAGTGTGCATGATAAGAGGAGCATAGCTTACGCAAGTAGCTAATGAACAAACTCATTGAGCTGCATTACTGCGGCGACGGACTCGAACTGGAATACGCAAGCTACGTGATACATGCAGTACGCGATATAGCATGTAATACAGCGGTGAAGGAGTACCGCTGCAGCCAAGGCTCACCATGGACTTCCATACGGCGGCACCTGTATTCAGCTCCTCCACAAAGTGCCGGCGTACCATGTTGCTACGCCACAAGGGAGCGTCCACAAATCGCAGCTATCCATTGGGCTCAGGCGGGACAATCTGTGAGTGGTCGACGGTTGCAATACTAGGAAGTCCATTGGCCGGTTCGCTCTCTGCGCGCTTTAGATATTCCGGCGTATTTGCGCTGGAATGAGTCGCATGCGTTCTGAGCGAGCCGCCTCTTTCCCGGGCGACGACAACACACGAGGGGCGACCTTTAAGGCACACTTGAAACGGCACCTCAGGCACCCTAGAAATGAAAAGCAGGGAGGTTAAATAAGAATGCGCCGGCATGGTCTCAGCTCAGGTAGACGTCCACGCAGTCAGCACCTGTGGCCCATATCCATGTTGAGCAGAGTGCGACAAGAATAGATGTCATATATACAGAAGACAAGGCACTGCATCCCGCGATGGTGTAAATAGCAGCAGTAGACATCCCAGCCTGATTTTCCCATGTCGTTCCGCTAGGCTTACGGTAGGATGCCTGCTGCTGGAGATCCGGCAGCCACCACCATCATGGGATCCTACACAATAACGTGACCCACCCAATTACCCCTGTCTGGCTCCCCGCTCTAGCTGCTTCGGGCCGGCCAGGGTGTTTACGCTGGGAAGACGAGAGAATAGGAGTGTTTGAGGGTGTTATCGTGCACATAGTATGCGTGTAAAGGATTCGAATGACGCGATAGCACATTACGGATGCTGGCGCGAATTATTGAATGCGCGAGCGGTTCCGTGATGGGGACCCGATGGCAATGCTCCCCTTCCTCCCCGCCAAATGAGACAGCGATTCCAGGGCACCAGCAGTGTGACAGTAAATCGCGCTGCCGTGTAGCATCAGGTAGGACTCGAGGCCCGAGGTCAGTGACCCTAAGTTGGCCCCTAGACAGACATCAGGGTGAAAAAGCATATAGTCTAGCTTGGGATTCAGAACCACAACCTGAGACCAGCATCTCCTTTGTGAGCTACGTAGCGCTCCAGTGCATCAGTCGCACGTGTCGTAGGCGGTTGGTGACTGCACCATGACGCAGATTTCGCGTGTGCCTTGTAACTCGTCAACTCGTCTATGGGGGGTAGCGTCTGCTAATCTGAGCCTAGACTGCGACAGACTGCCCCTCGATGGAGCTGCCAAGTTGTCCAAGCATTATGACCAAGATATTCAAGCACTTCCAAGAAAAAGCTTCGCGACGGGACAAGTACGTCGATTGTGCTTGGCCTGCCTTGGCCTACTTGGCAGCCGTCAACGACAATTGGACCATTCAACTGAACAGGTCATCCTGATGATGTCGAGAGCAATGAGTCTCCCTCGGCCGCACGATTCAAAGTATCCGATGATAGGACGTGCCGCTAGTTTGGAAACGGTCCGGAGGCCTCCATGGTCCCGCGTCGATGTCTCGACAGGGCCTGACTAGATCAATTGGACCGCATCTCTTGCAAGCGCTCATCCGGCATCGAGGCCATTGTCTTCCATCCGCCGCCCTCAGCACAAATTTGTCGCCGTACTGGTCTGCTGTCCATTGTCCAGCTCTTAAGCATGCACTGTCGGACTGCGTGGGACTCTGATGATCCTGATTTCAATTGGCCCGTTGAAGCTTTCATTTGGCGCGCCAACGCAATTAGTTAGAATGGAGCCCCATGTCGACGATTAGGAAGAAACGAAATTGGGAGATCTTTGTTTCCCCAGACGCGGCATAGAAAAGCCCCTGACCTATGATCAGTGACCATCCGGTATGGGACAGTCTTGGCATTCTGCTCCCCTTCAAATGGGAGAGACAGTCCACCCGCAATCTCGGTGATTCATGGGTCCCCTTCTCGCTCGCAAATACTCGTAAATTTCACCACCTTTTCCGTGAAAAGGTGTGGGCTCCTACGACGCCCGTGCCAGCGACTCTTTCTTAAAGTCGCCCAGGTCGCTCTCGCACTCGCCCCTAGAATCCGACGGTCCCCCAGCCAGTAATAATAATAATAAGTTCGACCCAGACAAGACACTGCCACGCCCGAGGCAGCTGTGTTCATCCACTTAAACAGAGGCTCAGCGTCAAGTACGTCGCGACGACGCTCCCGGGACAGCCTTGCAGGCAACGCATACTGACGATTGAGGGATAGAGGGAAAAAAAGCCAGAGGCAGCCGGCAATTGGGTATATCGAGAAGGGCTCTCACTTGAAAAGGGACGGAAGAGGCACTCGATTTTTGCAGAAACGGTTGCCAGGGTCGCTCGACTTTCATTCACCGAAGCCACAGCATCACCAGTGCCACCCACATTGGACCCGGTAACAACGACACCACACCCCAAAACAAGGCTGGCCGGTGTCGAGCAGAAATTGGAGAACTAAACAATAGGTTTTTTTGTTGTTCTCTACCACGAAAAGAACTTCCATCAGCCGGTAGCGATACCTACACCATTCTTCACAATGCCGAGAAATCATGATCACTGTAAGTTCAAACACATTTCTTTGACATGGATCCTCCTTTTCTCTCCTGCCCCGGGCCAGCCTTGCACACCGCATTTGGAGATGCTCTGAAGCCGGGCGTGCGTCAATATGTATGCATGTCCCTAAGGACTGTGTGGTATGTATCCAATGTACTCTGGACGCACGCAGAGAGAGCCAGCCAGCGTTTCGTTTGCTGGCCCGTTCTGCGGGTGGGCGTTGCCTACAGCGGTTAAGCCTGCAGGTGCCTCGTTGCCCTGCTCCGCTCCCCCCACATCAGCGTGCGACGACACCCACCCGGGCCTGAGCAAGTCTCGTTACTCAGATTACCCTCAGATGCTCGATGTCATGCCGCCGGATTAGTTCGCCGCTGGGCTTGCAATTCTTCCCCCGATCCCCCGGTCTGTTTGTCCTGTCCACCGGACACATCACCCATCCTGCGCCTCGTTGTCCGTGAGATGCGTTGGCGGTTGCTATCCTGACTGGCATTCCATCAATTCTGTGTTACATGGCAAACACGATATTGGGCCATTTACCTGCCGTCATCATCTTCAGCCCAAATAGCACATACGACGCCACCTCGCCTGCAACTCCATTTCTTCCTAGTTGCGACGGCTGGAGCTGTTGGGCCGCGAATATATCATCACCACCTCTACCACCATCATCATCATCATCATCATCATCATGAGCAAAGCTGACAAGTATGGCGAAGCGTTCAACGCCATGCGCACCAGGATGCAGGCAGGGCGCAATGCCCGGCGTCACTCGAGAGGCTTTCCATTCGGCAAACGGAGCAACACCGTCAACGATGCGGAAATGGGGAATGCTGGGATTGAGGACCGAGCCGTGCCATTGGCCCACGCCGAGACGGCACCCGAAGCTGGCGGCAGCAGTCGTACCAACCGACCGGCGAGCAGGGAAGCCGAAAAGGACGTCGACTCGCCTCTATCCAAGGAGCGCACGCAGAACAGCACGTACGAGTCGCAGGCCACCACAGCAGACAGCCCGACGGCCAATGGGAATGGTGCGAACGAGCTCCGAGAGCGGAAACGATCGGGAGACAAGCGTCCCGACTCGACCGAGCCTACGGGCACGCTGGTGAAGAGGGCGTCGTGGAAAGGTAAAAAGCTGCCGATCGGCCAGCAGCTCAAGTTCATCTTCGGGTCTTGGGTTAACATACTCATGCTCGCCATCCCTGCGGGGTTTGCTGTCAACTACGCTGGCCTCGACGGCAGGATTGTCTTTGCTGTGAACTTCATCGCCATCGTCCCCCTGGCTGGTCTGCTGAGCTTGGCCACCGAGGAAATCGCGCTCGTGTTCAACGAGACCATTGGCGGCCTGATCAACGCCACGTTTGGGTGAGTGCGCAGGTATTCGGTTTTGTGGGTTCCTGCTGACTGGCCCCGGACAGTAATGCGGTTGAGTTGATTGTGGCCATCATCGCTCTGCTCGCGGACGAGATCGAAGTCGTCAAGACTTCCCTCATTGGCAGCATTCTCTCCAACCTTCTCCTGGTCCTGGGCATGTGTTTCTTCTTCGGCGGTTGGAAGAGGAATGTACAGTTCTTCAATAAGACGGTCGCACAGACTTCGGCTAGTCTGCTTGCACTCGCCGTCGCCAGTAACATTGTCCCGACCGTATTTGCAAACCATGCCGAATCGAACAACACCGATAACGCTGAGGTCGACTCGACCAAAATCGCTGCCCTATCGCGCGGCACCAGCGTCATCCTGCTGGTTGTTTATCTTGCCTACCTCTTCTTCCAGCTCAAGACCCACAGCACTGTCTTCGCCGAACGTTCCCCCAAAGGCGAGAAGAGGGAGAGCTCGTCCGCCCACAAGGAGGACACTATCGGGCGTTTGGTTCGCGGCAGCGGGGTTCTTGGCGAACACGCCCTCAATAAGAAGGACGAGAGGGACAACAAGGATGCTCTAAACCACGAGCGCCCTTCATCAAGCGATGACGACGACGAAGAGGAGGAGGAACCCCAGCTCAACATCTGGCTTGCATTGGGTGTTCTGCTCGGTGCCACTGTCCTGATCGCGTTCTGCGCCGAGTTCATGGTTAGTGGAATCGAAGTCATCGCCGCCAGCGGAGTGAGCGTCGAATTCGTTGGTTTGATCCTTGTCCCAATCGTCGGCAATGCTGCCGAGCACGTCACGGCCGTAACGGTTGCGATCAAGGATAAAATGGATCTGGCCATTGGTGTCGCGGTTGGGTCTTCGATGCAGGTCTCGCTATTTGTTATCCCGTTCCTTGTCATTGTTGGCTGGGGGTTGGGTAAGGATGACATGAACCTCGCGTTTGACACTTTCCAGGTTGCTGTCCTCTTCGTTTCGGTACTGTTGGTCAACTACCTGATCGGGGATGGAGAGAGCCATTGGCTTGAGGGGTTCCTCCTCATCTGCCTTTACTTGATTATCGCGGTCTGTGCTTGGTGTAAGTCTGAACTCTCGTCCCCAGAGCCGTGCAACGCTGACCTTTGATCTAGATTATCCGGCCGCTGCTACGGGATCATCAGCCTTGGAGGCAAAGAGCCTGATAATCGGCTAAGAAAATACTACACATGTCAACATGAGACCATCTGGTACATGTTCCATTATATTCCTCGCATTCGTCCTTGTACCATATTATGCCGCCTGGACTGTACTATGCTTCACTTCTTGGTCTTCACAGTACCTTTGGACGTATACACCATTACAGTAATTTTGCACTCTTCTTCGGCTCTTTTGGTTTGAAATTTGGCGTTCCGGTTGATAGAAAAGGCGAGGAGACTTGGTGGTCTCGCCAGTTGCAAAGCAGAACAAACAAGGGGGAAGCAGAATGGCCGAGGCTACGCGTGGTTCATACGGACCGTTTTGTGGTGATAAAGATAGGAATCATGTCGGCTGATCTAGCGTTTGTTTTCTGTCAACCGCCTCGACAACGACTACGCTCGTTATGGTATACCCCTATGTCAATAGTTTCAGAGTATTCAAGTCAAGTAAAACCACGGTCAATAGCCGGGGACGAAGTGCAGTCTGGTCCGACATTTGATCTTTGAACTCGGGCCAAGTCTTAAGGAAGCAACAATTCAAGCAAGGAGACGTAGTGCATATATTCAGTTGCACCTACAGCTTAAGTATAGGTCGTGCGGTAATTAGGGGATATAGAGTCTGTGACCATGTTGGCCGAATGCCACTGCAGTGAGTGTCATTGGAGAACCACTGATCTTGCATGGATCTGTTTCTCGAGGTCTATATGCCCATGCGACGATTGGGTTATTACCACCCACTTGCAGGTATGCAATATTTAGTATAGGACTGCTAGTCGGCTGTGAAATGTTGCCGTCTCATCGCGGAATCCGCAAGGTCGAATAGTGTTAGTATGGTTTGTAAATGAATATTACTGCCCCGTTCTAAAGATGTAGAAGGTAGTCTAAAAGAATAAGGAATGTATTGTCTTAACAAAGAAATCATAAACACAGTAACAGCCCCCAGCAAAGGCGGGCGCCTGCGCACGTATGTCTTTGCTCATATTACGCACTTGTGCACCTTACTATAGTCGAAACCATTAAACACCAGCCCACCACTTACCCAGTTTGGTCCAGTGTCCAGCCTGGTCCAGAAGCTGGGCAGCTGGGCTCACAAAACCATCTGCTACCTGGCGCATTGCGCCGAAGAAGGCGTACTGCTTGATCCAGGGCTGCCCATCCATCCAACCGGCAATGTCGCGGCTGAACTTCTCGACATCGCCGCCATTACGGCTCGTGCTGGCAATCTCCGAGACGATAATGGGGAGGTTGTACTTGCTATGCAGAGAGGTCAAGTAGCTCTTGGCCGAGTTAACTCCTTGGTCGGCCGGTTGGTTCTGGGCGGTGTAGAAGTGGGCGCCAAGGTAGTCGGGCTTCTCGCCGCCGCCCAGGATCTTCATGAAGTCCTCCAGCCACTTGCTGCCCGCCGGATCCGAGGCGCACGAGGGAGACACGAGCTTCAGCCGCGCTCCATGCTGCTTGCGCAACGGGAGGATCTTCTGGCGCCACAGCTCGGCGGCACGGCCCGGCGCGAGCGGGATGCGCTCCGGCTCGTTAAACGTGAGAACAATGACCTCGCCGTTTCCGGGCTTTGCCATCTCATTCTTGACGCTCGTCTTGATCATCTCCCACTCGTTGCCCTCGAGCTGTGCCGCCGTGCGCACCATGGGCTGGAAGTGAAAGAAGGCAGGCAGCTCTGTCGGCCGCCATGCGTTCCAGTTGATGACATTTGTCAGGAGGCCATTGGCCTTGAAAGTCCCAACGGTGTCTTTGATCCCTTGGGTGCTGGGGAAATCCCTAGTCAGGGTGTAGTCCCACAGAAGTGTACGCTTGCTAGGCATTGTGTCTGGAAGTTCCACCACAAGTGGTAAGGTTAAGTTTGGTATGGAATCTTTGGGTATCCAAGTGTTGCAAAACGACTTGAAGGTTGGAATACCTGTATACCGACGAACTTCACTGCTAGCATCGTGGTGACTGGGAGGCTTTATAGTTGATACGTAGTTGGTGGCGGTAGCAGAGCGTGCTCGCAACACTGGGATGAGTAGAGGCTCATACTCAGGGATCGCTCACGTGTGCGTACCGTGCTGGTCGTATAACGGCAGGTCACGTTCGCGTCCGTTTCCAGCCTCTTGGGGGCTTTATCGGGCTCAACGCAATTAGAAGGATTCTGTCTCAATGGGCAGTGAGGCTCTGCTGCCTGAACTGGGCATCGTGTAACGGTAAGCCTGGTCAGGTGAGAGAGTGCGCGCACGTCAGTTGGGCTTCTGACATAAGGTAAGACGGAGGCTCGTCGGTAACGTGAGGCGCAGAGTAAGGCGTGCCTTGCGGCGGGAATGCTGTGCAGGCTGTGCGCAGGTCTCTCATTCTTCGGCGGAAAAGTTATGCAGGTGCGGCCGGTTCATCCATGAGAATGCTTGTCTCATTTCAGGGACAGTTCTCGTCGCCAATTGAGGATAAGCCTCGTGGTGTCAACGGCCGCTGAGGCAGCGTATCAGCTTTGACGCTTGAGTCTGACTGGCCTGGCCCAGCTGAGTAAGCCAACTGCGACCAGGATTATGCCGCAGTTGATGTAAGTCGTGGACTCATTCTAAGCTTTTGAGTGGTTCCGGGTATAAGAAGTGTAGGCCCTGCTGAAATTCTTTGCCGGTAGCGCCAGAGTGGGTCTTGCGGTTTCTCCTGGGGCACCAACTGCCTGTTTATAGTTGTTGGCTATATCTACTGTAGTTGCGGCTTACGCACGCTTGTTGCCTGCTCGCATGTGCACCACGAAATAGGCAGGACAGGTTCTGTCTTCTTCTCGTTGAAAATGATAGGGTTATCGATAGGAGGCGTGCAAGGAGTACACAAAGCCACCACCAGGTCTCGTCAAGTTGAGTATCGGGTCTGCTTGGGTGTACCTGGTGGCAAGCGGTCAGTCTGAACTTTTGCCATTGAGGCAACTCTCGTCTGCCAAGTCTACGGTTCGAACGGCCCAGGCTTAAGATTCACCAATCAGGTGATGCTCGATACCGCAGGAGGACGCTAAGACTCCAGTGCATGATTCAGTGTACACATGGGTTTTGCTATGGAAAGATGCGTGCGAGCAATAATACTTGCTGCGAAGCTGGACGTTCGTTTACAAGTCACTGTGCCTAGGTAGCTATCTGTGTATCTTTACAGAGTAATGCCAGGTTCCTGGTACTCAACCCCGGTCCATGCCTGCAGATCTCGATCAGGAACGGGGAATCCGCTGGCGCCCAGGCGAATATGAACGCGGGTTAGTATGCATGATTGTTCGCGCTAGCCCAGCAAGGAAAGAACGCTGCGCCATGAGTTCGCGGCAGAATCGTCGAAAGTTTTCCTCCCCATTTCTGTGGTGCGCTGCCACATGGCCGGAAGTGAGGGCCCGAACTGAGCGAGGATGGAATGGAACCACCGCCTTGTCTGCCTACCATGCCATAGCTGCGTATTCGTTGACACGGCACGTCTATATTACTTATTACGCAGAGCCGTTTGGGAAACCGATCCGGCCCGAGGTCCAATGCCATGTATGGACCTACGTAGTGTAACAACGTGCCTCGCTGGGATCAGCGTTAATCAGCATGCTAACCACCTGTAGGTGGCCACCCTAGTCAAAAGACCGTGTTCTAGATCGCCGGCCCCCCGCCACCATCGCACAGTAATTGATGTATTCAGGTATCCTTGGAGTAGTCCACGGCATTTGGCCATCAACATCTGAATTTGCTGTCGCAGTCGCCGAGAATGCCATGATCCATAAAGAGACCCGGGCTTTCTAGGTGCGATTGCTTCACGGCAAGAATCTAGGGCATCATGCAGCCCTTCCGCACGATACGGCCGGCACCGTCTCTGCCGCAGGGGGATGAACTACACGCCGCGAGCCCTGGCGGTCCCCAAAAAGGACGCCGTGTTAGCCACGCTTGTAACGAGTGCCGCAAGGCAAGGGCCAAGGTAATTGTAGACCGTTTACGTGAAAACTCGCGACACTTCTAATGAAGGATTGCAGTGTGATGGCACACGGCCTCGATGTAATCGCTGTGTCTCAAGGGACCAGCCATGCAGCTATGTCGGCTCAGATGGAGAGACGCGGCTTGGGGCGGCCAAGAACCGACTTGAGCTTCTAGAGAAATTCGTCAGCTCACTCCGATCGAGTTCGAATAATGAAGCTGCTAGGATGCTCGACCTCCTGAAGTCAGGCGACGATATCAGCTCCGTCCTGGCCAGTATGTCCGTCGATGGTGACGATAAGCCTGCGCTTCGTCCACCACTTTCGACAAATGCGAGCAACAGCAGCACCAAAAGTAGTAGCAGTGATAGCTCTGGCATCAGTAGTGGTGGCACGTCAGCGACAAGTGCGTCGTCCGGGACTGGATCGTTGAAACTGCCACCGCTCGCCTCAGGAGAGTTTCATCGCTCATCAGATTCGCCACTGGCTGCGTCGTACCAAGGCGACTCGCCAGGCTCTGCGGCCCGCTCCGCTGAACCCAAGCAAGAAATGATCTATGTGCCCGCCACAGATGGATCGTATATCATTGCACTCCCCGATGCTTCCGACACGGCGCATGCGATTCAGGGCTTTTTCCGTTGCAGCGGCCACCTGTTCCAAGTTTTCTCGGAGTCTCAGGTGTGGCAGATGTATAGATCTGTCTTCGATGGGGACAACGAGGGTACGGATGAATTTTGTCGCAATGTATGCGGCTTGATGGCAGTAGCAGCAGTTGGCGCCCAGTACGAGCATGGGAATCGTGACCCTCAAGCCAAGACAATATTCTACGACATAGCCAGGCACTATTTTGATTTGATGCTGCAAGAGAATCACTTGAACGCCATCAAGGTATCAGTGATGTTGACAGTTTATAACGTCATGGACAAGGCCACTGTGGCTTTGGCGTATGCTGGTATGGCCGCCCCAAGCTTGCAGGTTTTGGTCCGATTCGGGGTTTCGCTGACGGCATAGCAGAAGTTGGGATGGGACTATCGCGACTATGGGGGTTCCCAATGGCCAATGGCGCCGATGTCATGCCCAAGCCTGCGTTTTGGGACGAATCGAGACGTACCTGGCGTACGCTGGTGTTCTTGTCTAGGTGTGTATTCGTGCGTGATACGACAGTGGCGAGCGAGATGTGGGCTGACTCTATCCAGCTGGCTGTCATCTACATTGGGCTATATTACCGGCAATGGGGTGGTGCCCCAAGATGAGATGCCCGTAAGATCGCCTTTGAATTTATAGCAATGAGACACATGTTGACGTCTGCAGCTACATTTCGCAGGTGAAGCACCCAGCGTTTCTGAGAGTGGGTCAAGACACCCGTCCTTATGTAGACGAAAGACTGACCTGGAGCAGTTGTGCAAACTGAAATGACAAATATCGCTATTCTGAAGTCCAAAATTCTTCGAATGCATTTGGCTTTCAAAGATATAACGTTACTCTCCATACAGACCATTATCCAAGACTTGCGCAGATGGTATAGTCGGATGCCCAAGGAAATCAGGCTGGACTACGAAGGACGGGACTCATTGCCGCCAGGCATCAAATGGTCCATATACCATGTTCATCTACTCTATCTTGGCGCCAATATCCTTCTATATCGACGCATGGTCTCCCAACTATTGCAGACCAAGAGTGTCGATCACGGCCAGGGCATGCTGAGCAGACCTTTCAGAGAGGTGTTTGACGAGCATGGCGAGCAAGCCTTACTAGCAGCCAAAGACTCGGCGCGCATACTTAATCTAATGCTCCAAGAGGAAGGCATCTTCCAGAGATGCTGGCTTGTGATGTGAGTCGAGGTGTTCCAGCGTTCATTAGACGTGAAGATGACAAGTGATGGCTGACCTACCACCTCGTATAGTTTCCAAGCGTATACCTCGGGCTTAATTATTCTACACTCTGCGGTGCAAAAGAAAGTCCGGAACCTATCGCCTTCTTCGTGGGAAGATGATGAAGGCACAGCTCGGCTCTGTCTGGAGGTTCTCAGCTACTGTGCTGCATCCGACTCGACAGCCGCAAGATTTTGCGAGGAGCTGAATCCCTTTTATGAATACATCCTTCAGCGGGACAGCACATGTTTCCAAGGTAATCCGCTAATGGCTAGTCGATCCAACGGAGATCTTGAATCGGGAGCAAACTTTGCCACGGGATCTGGCACAACAGCCTCGCAATCTACGTCTATCTCACATTATGAACTAGCCAATCCTCTTTCAGCCCCTGCTCATGTCCTACCGGACAGTGCAAAGTACAGTTCTTTGATTTTGGCGAAGCTCTGTCAGCCTTTCGGGGATCCACAGTGTCAAGGGTTTAAAGTCGGCGATGTCAAAGAGCGATGGCGTGACGAACCTACTCGGCAACTCCATACGCTGATGATCGCCAGACTCGATTGGGACTTCGAGTCAAGGGTGCCATTCCAGTGGGACCTGGGAAAGCTTCAGAAAACCAGCAAAGTCGGCAGTTCCATAAACCAGTTACCACTTGCACGGATGCAATCCACCGATGACTTTAAAAGAAGGCCCGGATACAGCTTTCAGGGGCGATACCTGGGTAGCGAGACACCGAACGGCTGGAACTCAGACGAGATGGAGGGCGTCGTCCGTGGAACCTGAGCCAAGGCCCAGCGATCGTGTGGAGAGCTAATGACTTCAGATAGTGAATCTAGAATACTCTAGGGGAGGGAGTTGATTTTCACTAGACTTGACGTCTTGTAGAACTTACGAATGGATACGCGTGCCAGCCTAGCCCCTATTATTTGTCAAGCTACTTCTGCGGACCAATGTACGTTGCACTCAGACATGTGAATGTAGTCTATCTTCTAATGGCATATAGAATACTGGTTTCTGGAGGTTGCCCGTTGGAGACGCGTGTAGACTAAATCACCCAGATACCACCAGACTCTTTTCAAACACACGATACTCGGTCGGTCCTCGAAGCAAAGGCGCCAGTTGTGGATAATCATCCTGAAAATCACCGAGCTTTATCAGGCGATAACCCATTCTGGTGTACCATTCCAGCAACCTCGTCTTGAAACCATGCTTAAAACCAACCGGAACCAAGAGCTCTAATTGCATGGCGTTGAGCCCCTGTGATTGACAGTGATCCTCCGCGAATTCCACCATTTCCCGACCCATCCCGCCCCCGCGGTATGTGGGTTCAATGGCAAACATGCCAAACTCCCCAGTCGTGTCCGAGCGCCTCTGTATGCGAATACACCCTACGGGGCGAGACTGGAAGCCTGGTGTTTGTTCCGCTCCTTGACTACTAGAGTAGACTACTGCCAGCTCACCAGCTTCTAGGATCTGCCGCATTTCAGCTGCGTTTATGCGTTGGTACCCATCGAAGAAGATATCGCCCTCCGTTTCCCTGTAAACAAGGTTGACGAGATGCTGCAAGGCGACTACGAGAGCCTCATCTTGTGCGGCAGAGGGTGGTGCCATTCGTATCTCAACATTGGCCGGCAGTTCCGGTTTCGGTGGTCGTGCTGACGGTATTGGCGTAGCTGTTGACGCGGGAACAGTTGTCCCTGATATAACTTGGGTTACGAGGTGGCCATCTGCCATGGTTGCTCTATGATTATCCCGTTTCGCAATCGGTTCGATTTCCCATTCGGATATGATTTCTGCACTTCAGCACTTGGGCAAACGCCGATATGTTGTGAAGTCGAATTGCTTATGCGTACTAGGCGAGAACCTGTTGCAGTACGTGTCTGACTGATTGATCAAATCGCCCCCGCCCTAAAATTGACATTGGCTAGCGGATACATAGGGACCACGAAAGCAAAGGCTACAAACCAATTGCGTTCAACACGCCTCAGGGTATAATCTACCCATCTAAGAGCGGCATGCAAGTGATCCGTCGCATCGGTTACCATGTAAGCATCTTCGCTTAACAAGGATGCAGCCGTGTCGCACGGGAATGTCTCCGATCCCTGAAAGCGACGATCAGCGTATCATAGGGTGGAGTGCGACAAAAATAAGCTCGAGGCTTGGCATGCACATCATGGATCCTGCGAGTGGGAGATCACTTTTTAACGACTAGTTGCATTATCTATAACATGTTCTGACCCTGTAGTCCACCGACATGCCGGGCATCATTTTCTAAAACACCATTCCCCGGCTGGAAATGATCCCCCAAGATGTCCCGGTCCTCTCAAGAGCTTTGCGTATCTGGGTATCTCGTCGTGGTTATTAATACAATTGGGATGCTTTAAAGGGCGGCAACGGCGCCGATAAAGCCGGCAGCTGCGATCACACCAGCGACCAGTCCGGTCTCGCGAGGAGCAGCAGCCTTGCTGGGAGAGGTGGTGGCCGCGGAGGAGCTGCCACTCGAAGAGCCGGTACCCGAAGAGCCGGTACCCGAAGAGCTGGCACCGGTGGTCGCGCTGGAGCCGGAGCCGGAGGTGGTACCAGTGGGGATGCTGCCGGAGCCATCGGTCACAGATGAGCAGACAGGCACCTCGGAGGCATATGAGGCGAGCTCAGTGCACTGAGCCAGGGCGCTGAGGATGTCGGCGCTGTGGGAGGAGTACCAGCCGAGGACCTCGCTGGTGTACGAGGCGTACTCAGAGGAGAGGCTGCCAGTGAACGAGGGGGTCTCGCATGGATCAGAGGGCAGCGAGGCGGTGACAAGGTCAGTCGGAGGCATGGGGATCTCGCTGTAGATGGGTGCAATGGAGGCGATGGCGGCCTGGCATCCTGCGCCCAGGCTCTCAGTCTGGCGTGCCTCGACGAAGTCGCGTCTTGCGACAGCGGGCAGCTGGGCCGAGGCAGCAGCGGCAAAGGCAGCAACAACAAGAGTCTTGGTGTACATCTTGAACTTGATGAGTGACAACACGGAGATGTGTGTATATGGGATTCCGCGTAGAATATGGGATTGGCAGTAAGACGAGAAAACCTCTGCAATCCATCCCAGGGGCAGTACAAAGCCTTTAATACAGGTGCGACAAGACCCATCTCAGCAGCTGAGTGGTTGACCTGTCCATCCATGCCATTGATCAATGCTTGCCAGCCATTTGTTGGCTCGTTTGGGATCGCCGGCTCCACCCTCTAGACTCGCTAGACTAGAACCTCGCCGCCCCCTGGCCACCCACTGGTCTCTGGGGTCTCGTATTGTGCCCAGCGGAATGAAGAACCGACGAATCCGAGACAGTCAACAACCCGTAGCGTCACGCGCCCTCGAAAGCACTCGGGCAGCGTGACAGCTGAAATGAAAAAAAGGATGTTGGCACTGGAACTCGGCAAATAGTAGCCCAAAAACTGGCAAAGAACGGGAAGCCGTGGCGTTGCAACCTGAGGAGAGCTGGGATGACCCACGCTTGGCATTTCCAGGCACCAAAGCTAGGAACTCAAGGCCAGAAGGTTATTTCACCAAACCTCAGCCGCGGATGCAGCTTGTTGATGCAAGTCTCGCTTCTTTGATAGCCAGCGCTTATGCCTGGTGGGCCCATTAGACGGCCTTCAAGCGTTCTGCAAAGACTATGCTATATGACTCCGAGGTAGACTCCCCTTTGAGGATCAGCTTGAGGCTTTAAGAAATGAAGAAATTGAGATGTTACGGGTTATCACCCAGCAAGTGACTCTGTTAGAGAAATGACAAGACGTCATGATCTATCGCTGGATCCTGGAACTCGTTAACGAGTCAGTTAACGAAGAACTAGCAGAGCTGAACTTAGCGATGTTTAGCTGCTCAGCACCTAACCCCATCAGTCCTAATGGCACTGCTTAATTCACACCAGCAACCCCTGAATGTGAGCGGCTCTAGTGCCGCTTTAGTCACTGCAATTTCCCCAAGTTAAGCTAACCGTTACTATGTCACAGCGAGAAGCATTACTACCGAACGTTTTTTATCCACGAAGGATCACTCAGCGACTGGACCGTCTTCCCAACAACGTGAACGCGAGTTCGACACTGTCCAGTCGGAATCCTTTGGTTTCTTTTCTCTATCCCTTTTGCTTTAGTAGGGTGGTCATCATCAAACAACACATGGTGGATGTGTCACATGGAATAAGTATTAAGCTTAAATGAACCGTCGCTCCATCTGTAACAGTCATCGCAGTCTTTGGGCCCCACGGGCTACGATCTTGGGGCTCTTCCGTTGTAGTCATTGCCTGCCGAAGCTGTATAGTTCTCGAAGCAGTCATAATTGTAGTCAATTTCGTCGATGCGCTTTTGGAGAACTGACACAACATTGTCGAATGAGCATAACCCATCGGCATCATCATCGCATCCGTCGTAGGAGTCGGCAATTGGGATAACCGCGTCGTTTCTAGGCCTTGTTAGCACATATGCATCGTCTGCGAGACTGATTTGGGCTGCAGCCATCACGTACACCAGAAACCTTATTTGCTTGGTGGGGGAGTAGGCTGAGCACTCCAGCACCTGGGTGGTGAAGTGTGTTGCGAATGGCACGATCTTGCTTGCCACAAAGTTATTCTGCTTCCGGTTCTCGGCCAGTGCCAAGGGTGGACCTTTGAACAAAGCCGTCAAGTTGAATGCCATCAGGGTGTCGAGTACGACAACTTCGTGGGTGGCATCAGCGTAGATGGACTGGTTCAGAGGGAAGTACGTCGATGAATTATCGAACGTCTGGTTCAGAGCTGACGCGGCATTTGGGAAGCTATGTGTGAAACGGCCGACGAATTCTTGTAAGTACCCTTTACCTTGGGCAGCTGATACGGGAGAGCCAGGTCCATTGTTGTAATAGAACGACTAGAGACACATTAGTGGCGTCCCATAGGGTACATGGGAAACACACATACCAAATCATAGTAGTATTCGTAGTTCAGGTAATCTTGCTGCGTGAAGAGATTGCAGAATGCAGAGTATCCCAGTGCGTGAGTCTCGTACGAGCAGAGCTGAAGCATCGCGATGGCATCCGTGGGGGTGAATTCCAGGCCGGTGACCTGAATTCGATTAATTCGCAAATCACAGTCCGCCATGTCATGTTGGTAGACCTTACCATCGAGTTCAAGCGAGCAAGAGTCGCGTTGAAAGCATTTCGCGCAAAAGCCGTAGACGCTGTTGAGCCGATGCCACCTCTCGAATTGACGTTCGAATTGGGGCAGACCTCATAAGGGGCACCGGAATTGTTCACGCCTGGGGTTTCAACTAGGATCTCAATATTGACCTGATTAAGATACTCTGGTAAGCCAAAGAAGCCGGCTGCAAAGTTCTCTGCTGTCTTGACCATGCGATCTTGAGACTGGGTTCTAAAGACGGGAATGGTTCCCTGTTCGGTGAAATTGTTGAGCAGCTCGCCATACAGCTGACGATATGCCACGCCTAGGAGGAAGTTCTGACTTCTTCCAAATGGTGTCAGCAGCTCTGCGCCAAGCTTGTACGTCCAAGTCGACAAGAACTCCAAGTCGTCCCGAGGGCTGAAGCCGACCTTGGTAGCGTTATGCAATTTCTGCGCGAAAGTCGCTGGTGCAGCACCATCAGTAGGGTATCTGGCCCCATGGCGATAGAGCAGATGGACCTGGACAATCTCGCAACCATCAGGCAGCCGTGGGCTTGCGCCTGGCAGACCGTAATCGGCCGAGGAGAGTGAATACCACGGAGACAAATTGCCCCAATACTTTTTTATGTCGAAAGTCGAAGTTTCATCTTCACCATGTGGCTCTGAGGAAACGAGAGGGAATGCATTGGCTGGCCCCGAGTTGTATGGGTAGGACTTTGCCGTTGCAATGGCTGCAGGCTCAACACCAGTCTGGGTAATGCCAGGGAACCCCACTACAGGCTCCGGTGGGAACAGTTTTGGGTCGGCAGAAGCTAGTTGAACGTAGCCGTCAGTTATAGCAGGAGCCGAGAGGGTATCAGGTAAGAGTGCATAGTAGACCAAAGACAGAGAGAGGCATAGCGGTACACCCCAGAGAATCTAGAGTTAAGTAGCTACTCGACTTACTGCTCGCAGGTGGGTAGGCATCGGAAGTTGCGGATCCTACAAATGAGGACGCTGGGCTAGCCTTGGCAACAGCCAAGATCAGAGCGACAGGTAATTGAGCGAGCTGCATTTTAGAGACTTGGACTCAGCTACCAAGGTGCCAAGTGAAGGGAGGAGTGTATGCAGAGATACGATGGGTAGGTTGCCAGTGTTTATTTATACTAGTTCGTATTGCTTGAACGCCGGGCTGCTCAGACTTCGTCTTGGTCAACCTGATTGGCCTACCACAGGCAGATTTACTTGCACGTGCTCCTTGCTGCTCCTTTGACAACGACGATATTTGACCACTGAGGTACTCAAGACCCCCAATGACCTGCTATGTTGCGTTCTTCGGGCAGATGATGTCAGCAGCTTCGTGGGCGAGGGGGGCGTGCGGGGTTGCATCGTTGCTCACAAGTGTGTAAACATTGTTATTCATAGCCGTGCATAGTCCAACGTGAATAAGCGCTCCTGGACTTGTAACAGAAAGAGGAAGAAGAAGATGTAAAGCGACTGCTACATTGACCATTTACCATTAACCACCAAATCCCTGCATAGCAATTCCCACGCATGCCGGGGTTATCTTGCTGGCAGAGCCCTCGATGCAAAGCAGAGAGATGACTCCGCCGCAGCAGCCGTCTCTACTATCCATACACGGTTTCGTTGATGCGCGCATACCAAATACCTGAGGCAGCACCATCGGCACCGAAGTTACAGCTGAGACTGCTATTCCTTGATCTGTTCTTTATGAAACAGCCCTGCTTATCATAAGTATTGGAGCAGATTCGAGCAGCAGTCCTACAAGAGCGACACACCTTCTATCTCCGGCATCCATGAGTCTCGGAGCTTGCAGAAGAACTCGCCTTTTGGTTCCACTTGTCCTCGAGCATGATCCTCCATTGTGCCATAGAATACATAGATATATTCCCCTGCATTTGCCTGGAATCTGTAAGCGAACAATCAGAACCCCCTGTCGCAGTTCAGCTTACACCGTATTCAAGCAGACCTCCACCGCAGGTTCCGCAGAACTCCCTGTGCAGCTTGACGCCGCTACCATTATCCGCTTCGTGTATCTTTACGCGGTCCTGACCCTCATTGACTCTGAAAGCTGTTCGAGGAATCTTTGTGGTGATGCCGTAGTTACCTCCAGTGAATTTCTTGCAGTTTCCACAGTGGCAGATGCTAGTCCTGGCTTCTGACTCGGGGTCCTCAAGGCTAATAGTATATTTTATGGCATGACAATAACAGCTCCCTGGAAGGTCCGGCATCCTAGCGTTCACATAGGGGCGGCGTTGACGTTAGAACACACCCAGATATAATCCTGGAGCTTGTGCGAGGTTTCTACAATGTGTCTGGTTGCATGAACAAAGATGAATTGAATTAACAGGCCAGATCAATGGCGCTATTATAATTTACTCTCAATCATATGCACCCCAGCGAGGTGGCGATAGCCGGACGTCATCAGCCCTTTGCCACACCTCTCCGCATGGCGGCTCGGCCCGGGCAACAAGAGCAGAGCCAGGAATGACGAGCTCCAGTCAACTCTAACGCCCAGAACTAATGTGATTCAGCGGATTCGATATATCTAATTACTGTTTACGATGTCTCATAGTGCACGCATTTCAATTTGAAGAATGCTAGCACGTTCCGTTATCCCCGTTCGGTTGGACTCAACAGTGATGCTCTTGGTATAACGAGCTGGTTGTAGCCAGGTCTCCTAGGGCAAAAGTACCCAAGAAGACACCCGCGATAACTGATAGGAAGTATCCCACGTTCATGGTCATAACAGCAAGCATCCTGTAATTACACGTTTGTCAGTATCTCTCAAGGAGCTCTGGCTAAGACAATTTGCTTACAGTAAGTATCCCACCACGGCCAATAGCACCTCGAACACTGCTCTAGGACCGCTTGTTGCGAATCTCCAACGGCCCCAACGGCCCTTTAACTGTAACATGACCCGCTGGAAGCCATGGCCTGTCGATCGAGTGCGGTACTGCTCTTTGATCTGGTCCAAGTCCTCGTTGCAGTCCTCCCCGGACAAGAGCATCCCATGTGAATCACTCTCAACTTTCCATATTGTGCCCTCAAGAACGGGCTTCAATGCGAGCATGAACCTCATCATGAAAGCCATGATCACTAGGAATACACACGTTGCCGCGTAGGCTGCCGGCGTATGTGGAGTCCATTCTTTGGAAAATAATGAAGTTCTGTCGGAGAAGAAAAATGTCATCACCATAGGCCCCATGGTACCTTGCTTTGTGTCCGCCACGGTCATGTCCATAGCTGATTCTTCTGTCGAGGGTGGTATTGGCATCGCCATCGCCATCATGGATGTCATGGCGGTTTCCGTGAAGGAGAGGTCTTCCTAAGCTGTGATTTAACAGAAGTGCTCCATATCCTACCTGGTTTTCATGGGTTTTAAGGCCATATCACCCGGAGGACTGAACATACACTCTGCAGGAAGGAATCAGAGCTTACGAATGACCGAGCAGCTTTGAGCATTTTGTGCCGTGTCCTCCTTCTAGAAATTGCGCCTACCGTCGGCCTGAGAGCTATTCCTTCTTGCGCTCGTGCCATGTCCCGTGCTGCATTGCGAGCAGGCAGTCCTTCCAAAGCGATAGTGATAATTGCGAAAACCTTCTCAATGTGAAAGGCGCATGGGGATCCTGATAGATCTAGTCTTATTGCGGAGGTGACAGGTAACGCGGCTCGGTCCTGTCACCCCATCAACGCGTGCCTGTCTAGCATGGCCTCGCCGTCACGTCACGTCTAGTGTTGCAATTCCGTTGACCTCTGTGCTACTGTTAGACCATTGAATTTTCGAATCAGCATGTGGGAACACTCCGAGACGCATAGGAAATCGGTAACGTTGCGAGTCAGAAGAGTGGCCAATGGGCGGACCGCCACGAGCATGATTGAGCATTTATTGATGTTTACTATATCCTGGCAAAAATGGCCTCTTACGTAGTACACGATTAGTAACGGACTGTTCCACAATCTCTGCAAGCCCGCGCACGCATTCCAGCACGCGGGCTACAATCGTGACATTCAATGCTGGCGGTTCAAGGTCCTCACCTTCTTGCATGTCCGTTTGGTCTGGAGCCAACACGGTGTGCATTTCGTCGCCTTTCCATGGAAAACACCTGGCGCTGTTGCTTTCCGACGGAGGCTTTAAACCTTGGGCCTGACAGGCTGACCATTGCTAAGGCATGCGTCGCATCTGCCGCCAGTAAACATGATGCCTTTCCCTCTCTTCTTACCGCAGTCGGAGCAGTGCAAGCTACAAAGATATCGAACACAGCCTCTTGCAGGGCATTCAACTTTCCATCGGCAATCTTGGGTCAGATGCTGCTTGCCACAGCGACATCTCTTGACCCGGCACTCCTTACCAGAGTGGCCACGGATGCCACACATACAGCAGCGAGAGGTGCACGTCATGGCGTTGAAGTGCTTGTGATGGCTGGGCGCATATGGATTCCCACAGCGGCGGCTACAGCGGACAGTGCAGTTCGCAGCAACATGTCCCGGAAACCGCCGACATTTGCAGCGGTTGGACAGCTGGACGGGGCATTTGGGGGATTGGTGAGCTTCCTTACCACAATTGCCACATGAGGCCCTGCACGACTTGGACGTGTGCGAATGTGACCCACAGTTGGTGCAAGAGTGAGCTCTGTGGTTACGATGCTGGAGGCCTTCAGAGGGGGATAGCTGCCGCAGTGGAGTCCTGAACATCCTCCTAATGTGTGTACGACTGAGACTTCTCCTCCGAGACGCCTTGTCCAGCTGCGATAGGCGCTGGACGGGAAAATGTATGATCACATAGTTCGACTCTGGGAGTTGCGCCTGTGCGCCAGGCCTCAATAAACTTGCCGTAGTCCAGCTCCCGGGCGGTGGTTCAGTGTTCGCCCGTGGCCTCCTCCCTCTCCGGACACAAGTTACATTATGCAATTCGTAGTTGCGGATCGGGCGCCGTCCCCAGACGGATATCCACTTGAGAGAATAGACACGGTATAGTAGGTCATCGCGAGGTAAACTGACAAAGAAATTCTCGGCCACGGACTTGGATCCCTTGACAGGGGCCTGGGTGCCACCGGAGAAGACGACATAGCGCTGATGTTCCAATGCGTGTTTCTGGTACCCCCTGAGGTGGTCAAGCATGGTGCTAGTCCAGCCCGGGGTGGACTGCGTCGGCGACGGCGTGTGATGCTGCTTCAGACCCTTCAGGACAGCTCTGAGCGTCGGATCAGACAGTTCCAGGAAGTGGCGCTGCACAAGCCCGAGGACCATGTCCTGCAATTGCGGCAGAGCATAGGGATCAGTCGACAGCTGGTATCCCCGTCGGTTCCTCCAAAGGGTAGTCCTCGGTCCTTTGGACTTGTGATCGTGCGGAAACTTGGGCTGTTCAGTCAAGTCCCACTCAGTTGCCAACATTCTCCAGACACACTGCAGGTCTAGGCCAAGGGTGCTATCCTGGGCTTTGATCGGGCCGAAGCTGAACTCCTGGCCGATTCTCCGATGCATAATCTTGGGTTTGACCTTCTTGGGGAACATGTAATTCTCCATGATCCGGTGGACCATGACATCGCGGGCCCCCACGGCGTGATGCTCGTAGCGGTCGAATTCGAGCTCGTCGTTGAGGGGATAGTGCGGCGACATGCAGCCTCCTGCCAGGTCAGCTGACTGCCGGGGATCGTCGCCCGTGGCAGCGCTTGGCGACAGTGCCACCGACGGCATCGCGGCGTTCGACATGTTGTTGACGTGGGCAGGTATCGTGACGCGAGAGCGGCCCAGGACAGCTGCCAAGCCTCCAGGCTCCTGTAGGGGGGGTTGATGCCGACGTCGAGTTGCATCGAATGCACCTATCTGGCTGCCATCCGTCCATCCATGGGTGTGCGTGCCCAGTGATCCAGCAGGGAGCAGGGGTTTGCCCTCTCCAACTCCCAATCTCGAAGCCTCACCTCCTTACATTATGCACCCAGGCACCTTGGGCCGGCCCCAGCGCAGCCAACTACCGCCCACAGGCGCTAGACGAGACCACCTGCACCCCACAAGCTTCCGCAACACCGTCCCCAACTTTCCGAAAAGAGGAGCCCACGGGCGCTGTTGCTGCTAGAGAGCCCCGCTGTTTTTCGCGTGGTTCGGTCCGTCCCCAGACGGAGGCACCCAAGGGCGTCTTCTCCGTGGCCAAATCCGGAAAGTCAGCGAAGCCCGTTATCGCACACTCTGGTTCTCGAAGGGCGTTCCCCCATTGCAAACGAGCGTGCGGTCCCGAACCAGGCCTCGCGTTGTATGTCGATGACCGGTCGCCTTGATATGCCAGCATGCACGCTCAATGTTCCCGAAGCCGCTCGTCGACCGTTCAGCCGGAACCAGGGCATTCGGCAGCCTCCATCCATGAAGGCCGAGCGTTGACTGCAGCTGAGAACACACGTTTTGCGCCGAGCCTCCCTCAGCTTCCTTGAATGTCTTCACATTCGTTCCGCGTTTATTGCGGCTTGGCAAGGGCGCACACTGACCACGCTCCAGCGCCCCGGTTCGCCCTGCCCGCTTCCGTCTGGCAACCCGGTTCGCATCTTCCGTAATCTATTTCAGTCGCAATGTTGGTCCTGTGTGTTGGCCCATTCGGCTGGTACCGAGCAAGCCCAGTCCTGGACCAGTCATTTGCGGGGATGAGAAATCCCTCCTATGGGGAGATCATCCCTAGGATGGTAAGTAGCATCACACCTGTAATTTCGCGTTGGAAACCTCTGAGCTTCCGGCAACTTCGGGAGCCGCCTCCTCTAGTACGAGTATATCTCTGAGTATATCCCTCAGTTGTCTCTCAAGGTCAGGTGAGCGCCCCTCTAAATCTCAACACACCGAACATCGAGTCGCCAAGGGCTTCGGCTACTAATACCATGGGCTTTAGGTATCTGACCACGCTGCTTCTGGCAGTGAGTTTCGGTATATTCATTCTTACATGGTGTAGAACAACGTCTTGGGTGTGTGCTGACCCGGTCCAGAAATCCATCATGCCCTGGCGCAGAGTCCAACGCCTGTAGTCTACACGGATCCCACGACGGGCATCACATTCGACACATGGCCAATCGCGAATGCCGGCTCGGCGGGTGGGCTCACGTTTGGCATGGTCTTACCATCCACTGGCCTGTCGACTGATTCGAACGAATTCATTGGATATCTCGTCGGTAGCCCTGAATTAGCTAAGATAATCTCCTGCTGACCCGTGGCCTAGCAATGCGCTTCCAGCAGTGCAGCTCTGACGGGATGGTGCGGCGTTTCCTTCGGAGGTTCCATGACCAACAGCTTGCTGCTGATGGCCTGGCCATACGAGGAGGAGGTCTACACCACGTTCTTGTGGGCTACTGGATACGTCGAGCCAGCACCATACACGGGAGATGCTCGTTTGACCCAGATATCTTCCACAGTCAACGAAACCCACTATACGCTGGTCTTCCGATGTCAGAACTGCTTGTCCTGGGATCAGAACGGATCCACGGGAGGCATCTCGACCAGCAGCGGCGGATGGGTGATGGGATGGGCACAGGCTCTGCCACAGCCATCGAACCCAAGCTGCCCTGCCCAAGTCAGCATGGTGCAGCATGAAACCCAGGGTATCTTCGGAGCTAGATTTGAGAGCGGCGTTGCCAATCCATCCTACACCAAGTGGGTATCATCAGCCACGAGGACCGTGACCGGAAGCTGTGCGACGACGACGGCCACAACCACAAGCACCACAGCAACGGCCACCGCCACTGTGACAGCGGCCCCAATACCTACGGCTACATATGACTACATTGTCGTCGGCGCGGGGGCTGGCGGAATACCTATCGCTGACAAGCTCAGTGAGGCCGGCAAGAAGGTTCTGCTCATCGAAAAGGGACCACCATCCTCAGGACGCTGGGGCGGTGCCCTCAAACCCGATTGGCTAGATGGAACCAATCTGACCCGATTCGATGTCCCGGGACTTTGCAACGAGATCTGGGTCGACTCAAACGGAATTGCATGTACTGATACTGACCAGATGGCGGGCTGCGTCCTCGGTGGAGGAACAGCAATCAATGCCGGGCTATGGTGGAGAGTCAGTAACCCCCTTCTCACCAGCCGCAGGAATATTGACTAACGGGTTGCTAAGCCCAAAGCGTTGGATTGGGACTACAACTTTCCAAATGGCTGGAAATCTGCCGATATGAAAGCAGCAGCAGACAGGGTCTTCTCTCGCATCCCCGGTACAGATCATCCTTCGATGGACGGCAAATTGTATTATCAAGAGGGTTTCAATATCCTCTCCGGCGGACTGGCCACGGCTGGATGGAAGAACATCACTGCGAACCAGGATCCCGATTCCAAAAACCACACATTCTCGCACACGCCGTACATGTTCTCCAACGGGGAGCGTGGAGGGCCAATGGCTACGTATCTCGTCACGGCTGATAAACGCCCCAACTTCGACCTCTGGATGAACACTGCTGTCAAGAGGGTTGTACGCAACGGCGGTCACATAAGCGGCGTTGAAGTCGAGGCTTTTAGGAACGGGGGCTATGCTGGTGTCGTAAACGTGACGGCTGTCACTGGCAGAGTTATCCTTTCAGCCGGCACATTCGGCTCGGCCAAGCTTCTTCTCCGCAGTACGCTACCATTTCGATGCACAAGAGTGTTTCTGACCTTACTGTGTTAGGTGGTATTGGGCCCTCGGACCAGCTCAAAGTTGTCCAAGGCTCACGCGACGGCCCAACAATGATCAACCAGACCCAGTGGATCAATTTGCCCGTCGGGTACAACCTTGATGATCACACGAATGTACGGTCGACTGTGATGTGTAAGAGGCAACAGCTAACCGCATTTATCTAGACTGATACGGTGATCTCTCATCCTGACGTAGTCTTCTATGACTTTTACGAAGCATGGGATGACCCGAACCCCAACGATGAATCTGCCTATTTGAGTTAGTCAAAGACATCCTCTTGAATAGCCTGCGACTGGTGACTTATAGTATGATAGAGAAGCGGTCGGGTATCCTCGCGCAAGCCGCACCCAACATCGGTCCCATGTACGTTGACCCCCAAAGTCCTCTACTCCACCTCTAACCGATATCTGTAGGTTTTGGGACGAAATCAAAGGGGCTGATGGCGTAGTACGGCAACTTCAATGGACCGCTCGAGTTGAGGGAAGTGCTGGGATTGACAATGGCCGTAAGTAAATCCTCTTCTCAAGGAGCCCCATGGCCGCCTTACTGATTGTTTAGATTCAATGACCCTGAGTCAATATCTCGGCCGCGGCTCCACGTCTCGAGGCCGTATGACTATTACTTCCGATTTGAGCACTATCGTCTCCACACTGCCCTACTTGAACGACAAAAATGATGTGCAGGCTGTCATTCAGGGCATCAAGAACCTCCAAGCCTCTCTGGCTAATGTTAAGAACCTGACCTGGGAATACCCTGCGGCAGGTGTCTCTGTGGAGGATTTCGTTAATGATGTGAGGGGAATGCACCCCTATTTCTCTCAGCATACTGACAAACCGTGCAGATGGTAGTCTCTTATTCAAACCGCCGCGCAAACCACTGGATTGGTAAGTAGTTGTAGTAACCTTGCAGGCCCCGATACTCACAACTTCTAGGAACCAACAAGATTGGTAGCGACGACGGCCGCAGTGGTGGCTCGGCGGTCGTTGACACCAACACAAAGGTTTGGGGAACAGATAACTTATTCGTTGTGGACGCAAGTATTTTCCCTGGCCATGTTACGACCAATCCATCCTCCTACATTGTTACCGCCTCGGAGCATGCCTCGGAGCGCATCTTGGCTTTAGCTCCGGCCACTGCTGGTGCCAAGTTCGCTCAGTGCGGTGGTTCCACCTGGTCAGGTAGCTTCCAGTGCGCCAAGGGTCTGACCTGCACAGTCAAGGATGCGTATTACTCGCAGGAAAGTCGATAAACCCCTCATAAGATGATATATCTGCTAATGAAGGTTTCATGAACAGTGCTTGTGAGTAGGTTTGGACGTCGATCATGCTTTCCTGTATATACTTGTCTTGTCCTAGAGAGCTTCTATAAAGCCCATCTCTTGCTGCTTTTTCCTTGTCTGATGTCGCCTACCCTCTGATGTAGCACCTAATATGTCGTGTCAAGGGGATGATGAGCACAGACTGATGTTCACAGTCTTTCACATTCTTATCATAGCCCACGATCCACGAGCTGGCTTCAACAGAGCGATTTGACTAAGTATTGATGCCTCATTACCACTCCACGCAAACGCGCTATAGGTTGCTAAAGGTCCAAGTGCTCCGCCAGCTGTATGCCTGGCCTGGCCCTGTAATTTGGGAACTAGTGCGATTCCATTCAGGGCTTACTGTCGTTAGCAGGTAGGCTAAGAGCCCGGAACTTGAGAAGCTTACTGGTTAATGCCATCCACCCAGTCCTGTGCTTCGAGGGCAACGCAGGAGCTTCTGCCAACTGTGTGCCTGTCACTCAACCCCTGAGTCTTCTTCAGAGCAGAAGTGCCGTCGAACCAGTTGCATGAGTAGACCACGAGGCCAGCCTGATCCGTTCGCAGCTCGGCCTTGATGCCCGAAAAGGAGCTCGCAAGGGTTGCAACCACAGCATCTGTTGGCGCGTTCTCTATCGGCCAGTACCCGTTGTATCCCTCGCAAGCACCACCGGCACCGCAGTTGCCGCTGAAGCCTGGCTGGTCTTTGGCGTGTCCAAGAAGAAAGTTAGGCTGGCTTGCGAAGTCGTTTATGCTGCCTGGTGCGGCCGTAAGCACGTTCCCTGTCGGCAACGCGCCGTCATCGGCTTCTAGGTAGCGTTTTGAGTAAGGAAGATAGAGGCTGTGGTTCCATATCTTGTCGGTGTCGGGGTTTCTGTAAGCATCCAAGTTGAAATATGTATGTTGAGTCAACATCAACGCTGCCCGAATTAGCTGTAGGGATCCAGCAGACTCCCGAGTGGCTTACGTGTTTTTCTTTCTGGAGAGGTGGCATCCATCTTGATACTCCATGAGCCGTTGTCAACGCTGTATGTGACCCTGGCCTCCACTCGCCCCAGCATGTTGAGGGAGGAGTTTGATGCGTCCGAGATGGAGAACGTTATTGATGTATCAGTCGCTGCTGTTACGTTCCATGTTCGGTAAGACCAGTTGTTGGTCCCACTGTGAAGAGTGTTGTTGCCATCATTCAGCTCAGTATGATACGTAACGTTGTCAATGGAGTATTTCCCATGGCCAATCCTATTGACATATCGACCAGGTATGGAGTTGTAAACAGGATGGCCAGGGTCCTTTGCTGGACTCATTGTTAGCGGTCGTCGTGCACCAAGCAACAAGAAAAAGTAAAATTGGTACAGTACCATAGTAATCCACCACATCATAGCCTAGCACCACATCTACGTCTTTGTCGGCTTTGTCCTTGACGAAAAGATTTGTGAGAGTTGCCCCATAAGGTATAAACTTTATTGCATCAGTAACCAACGAAGAATTAGAGCTGCTACGTTTATTCTACTCCATACCTGTGCTTTGATACCGGACGATGAGATTGTGTATTTGCCGTCCGCCCCTGGTTTTGGGACCGCTTGACTACCAGCTATGCTAATCGCCACAGCGCTGAACAGGATCGCTGGATGTCGCATATCTGCAGTTCGAGAAGTGTACTCTGAAATTTCTGTATGGTGAAGACACTTAGCTAACTTGAATAGGGGAAATACAGCAATGATGAAGAGTAAAGCAGGATGGAACGAGCTTATTCGTGGTTTTCCCAGAATCGCGGCACCCCGGTCTTATAATCGAAGGATCCACTAAGGACGTTTTTGGGTTGAAGAAACGTTTAAGCTTATTGTGTGTGCCGTTAAGCGGAGGTAGCTGCACCGCATGAGACTTTGGGGGAAATCTGGGGTTAATATCAGCCTGAGTTGAGCCTATCGTCAGCTGGGTCGAGAGGATGCAACCCCGCAAATGCAGAAACTTATCTTGCTGGCAATAATACCAGATCTAGTAACGTTGATTCGTCCAGGGTCAGCCATCCATCTAACTGCGTTGCCTAGATCGTCATGCTTCCGTGTATCTGGATATGGCTGTCTGTTGGGGTTTAGGCAAGCGTTCGGGCATTAAAGAATAGCCTTCATGTATGACTTTGTTAATCACAATAAGCTAAGATATTCTACTTCGTACTCCTTTATGATCCGCCGGCCGATACACGTCTAACTTTTTGACGTAAGTCTCTCTCGTGCTTATGCACCTGCGCGAGGAGCGTTAGAGTTACGTATCTACCATTTTGTCTATCCCATCTCGCATGATTTCGGAAACAGCACCAAGTCTATGGGCCACCATGATTGTTGTCAGCCCCTTGTCGCAGAACTCTCGCCGAATGATCGAAAGCATCAGCTTCTCAGTGGTAGCATCCAGGGAGGATGTGGCTTCGTCCAGGAGGATGATAGGCTGGTAACCCGATTCAGTTCTGCAATGCACTTGAAGTATGGCACGAGCTAGTGCGAGGAGCTGTGTTTGGCCTGCCGAGAGGGAAGGCAATGAAGACAGAGGCTCATCCAATGTGTGATGGTGTAGACCACTGCCGGCGTTATCATTGCTTACCACACCGTCTGCCGCGCTGGCGTTCGGTTGCACAAAGTGCTGCCACAGCTGCACCATCTTCAAAGTATGCACGACTGTGGTGCTACTAATAGTCTCGGAGGGGTCAACATTGAACCTCAGAGTCGCCTGGTTCAAAAGTACTGCGTCTTGTGGGATGGTCACAAAGAAGTGCTCCCGGATTACACGCGTGGGTGCATGTGTCAAATCAAGACCGTGGACTCTGATGGAACCGCCCTTTACATCCATCATCTTGAGCAAACACAGAAGCACCGAGCTTTTGCCCCTAGGAAGGAAGTGTTAGTTGCTGTTGTGCTTCAAGTTCGTAGATAGAGGATCTACTCACCTCCCAGTGCGACCGCAAAGCACAATTAGTTGGCCGGCCTCCGCTTTAAGCGAAAATTCGTGCAGTGCAACGGCTTCAGGGCTAAATGGTGTCAGCAGGGGAATTCTAGCAGCCGTTGAGAACGTACTTGTACGATGCTGTGATACCATTCAGCTCCACAACTCCAGGTTCTGGCCATGGATTGTCGAGGAAGGCTTCTGCAGCATCCGAATACTGATCTTCCGAAGACACTGTTTCTTGCAAGGTCTTGAGGCGGGAAATTGCACCGAGAGATATCTCTAGATTCGTCCACGACTGTACCAGTCGTAGTAAAGTCGTGTTGGCTACCAGCACCATGTTGAGTGCCAGACCAATTTGACCCCCTGTCGTTGTACCCTTCAGGATCACCGCAAGGCTGATTACCCCTACAGCTACGGCTGCGACGAGCATATCCAAAACAATATTGAGCCACCTCTGGAGACAAAACAAGAAGTAAAACGGTTTTTGGGAGAATTCGAGATATGAAATGTGATCTTCCTTAGCTTGATCTAGAGACTGGAATGCTCGGATTGTGGTTACACCTTCGACCTGTAGGTTACCGGCTTAGTGGTGTTCGCCTGACATGAGGATGATCACTCACTGCTTCTAGAAAATTCGTAAAGACAGCAGATCTAGACTCGAGCTCAAGCAAACGCAGCTGACGGGATGTGCGCAAATACACATTTTGTATGATGTATACAACAATAGCGCAAATCGGAAGGCTAAAGGTCATGTACTTGGATGCCATGAACAACAGCGCAGCCTGAACAGACAGCTTGAATACCTCTAGAGTACGAGTCAGACACGACTGCGGGCTTATTTTGATCGGGCTACTCACGAACGCAGAGGGTCGAAATCGCATTCCCAACTTGCTTATCGACAAGCTGGATATCTTGGCTGAATCTACACACGTTCAGGCACGCAACTCCTACAAAGTAGCATATTTTATACTGACCGATTGAGAATCTCACCGCTGTCCGTTTTGGAGAAATACGAGAGCGGAGCGCTAAACTCACGTCAGAGATTATTGCGCTGCAACAAAGCCGTAGCCTACCCTACCTCAAGACTGTACTGAGAAGCCGGGAATGGAGAACAAGGCCCGAATGAGGGGCCACCCTCATCACGGTGGACCTAAAATAGTCATTAAGCTTATCCAAGCAATGCTAGGCGGCATGTACATACCACATTATACCATTCGTTGTGGACCATGCCACGAATGAGATGAGAACGAGACCTGCAGCATAGAATCCTGTTGACATCGATTGTGATTCCGTCCATCTTTTCAGCCAATATTGCGGCAGTGTAACAAAGAGCGAATATGCAGCCGTACAGGCTACCAAAAAGGCGAAGTTGGCCAACCCAGTCGACCGGACATAATACCCTGTGTTTATAAGCCAGAGTTCAATATCAGCAGATGCACTTACCATAGAGTTCACTGTCGCCTTCTCGACGTTTCACGAGTGCAGCATCAGGTGAACCTTTCGGCTGAACCCGCGGCTCTTGCCTGTTGATAGTTCGATTAGCTGTATGCACGGACGGTTGATCACCTTGACGGAAGACTTTCGCGATCTCATCCTCTTTGGAAGCTAATTCATGCCAAGGACCTTGTTCTTTGATCCGGCAATCCTCCATTATCAGAACTCGGTCCGCTAGATGAAGATGTTGCACTATATCGATATAAGTTAGTATTACCACTTCTATTCTCAGATAGTGGGATCACGAGCCTCCGTTGGTGGTCAAAAACACGGTGATTCCAAGTCTTCGGACTAGCCCATTAGTGCCGAGGAGGTTCTCAACGACTTGATTTTCTGTTTTCGCGTCGAGTCCACTGAGGGTATCGTCTAGGACTAGCATTTTACATCTTGAATAGAGAGCGCGAGCAAGAGCCTCGGGCGAAGTCAGTAACTGGTCGAATCCAGAGATGAATTTCCAACTTACAACCCGCTGCCTTTGGCCACCAGAGAGATTCATACCTCTAGATCCCACCAGGGTCTCATCTCCACATGCCATGTTTTTTAGGTCGAACTCGAGGCAACATGCGCCGAGAACTTCCTTGTACCAAATTTCATCCTCTTGATCCGTGATTGAGAATGTTTGCACGGCTCTCTTGATGGTTGTACTGGGCAGCCAAGGCGACTGCGCACAGTAACCAATGCGCCTGTTGTTAATGATTACGGTTCCGTCGCTTGCCTGAAGTTCGCCCAGTATCGCCTTGGCGATGCTTGTCTTCCCGGAAGCTGTAGGCCCTGCGCACATGAATATTGCGCCTTGAGGCATTTCAAAACTAATATCCTGCAAGATCGTCCGTGACATCTTGACCGAAACGCCTGTTAATGAAACGGCGATATGGTCTGACGGATTCGGCGCTTGCGAGTCGACACTCCCGTTAATACGATGTCCTTGCGGCCTCTTCCTGAGGTCTATCTGTGGCGCTTCCAGGAGAAACGTTTGGATCCTGTCGAAGCTTGAAAAGGAGGCCACCGCTCTAGGTATAATAGTCATGACCATATTTGCCGGATGAGTGACCATGCCCAGAATTGCAGTGGTAGTGAAGGCAGTTTCGGCATCCAGGCTAACACCTTTTAGCCTTGCTAGAACTGCGTATAACACCAAGGTAATGATGGGGGTAAAAATGCCCAGTGCATTTGCAGACGCATTGTAAGCCACCATCATCCAACGCACTCTCCTTGCCATTGTGTTTATCTCGATTTGGCGAAGCCTTTCTATGTATGAAACGATATTGACTTGTAGGCCCAGCATCTTCACATTCTTGATGGTAGACAGGACGTTGGACGTCATTGAGATGCGATTTTGGGTGGCATTATTCCAAGCTGCCTGCCGGCCCCTTAAGTTGCGTGCGACAAACTGGCTCATCCGAGAGCAGACTTAAGAAGTATTAGCGTGAATCCTCTTTTCAAGTCCCTTAAACCTACGAAAGATGAACACGAGTGGTAACGGCCACAGCCACCCGACCTCGCGTGCCAAAAGTACAACGCCGATTGCCACTTCGATGATCTGAGCCCAAGTCTCATGAAACATTCCCGCAACGTCGGTTAGACTATCAACATCATTACTCATAAGAGTCACGACTTTGCCGGCATTGAGCGTGTCATTGCTGGACTTCAGGGCTTTATCATGAACCAGGCTGACCAGAACTCCCCTCGTCATGACACTTAGACGATTGAGGCGATTTTGGTATGCCGCGGTTGAGATCTGTAAACTTCATCAATATCATCCCCGCGAAGGAACGAGACCACCTACAGCAAGCCCTGTGTAGATGACCAGAGAGAGAGCAATAATGTTGAAGCTGGTTAACGGCTCGTCTCCCGAATTTGTGGAGACGACGTAGCGGATTGTTTCTCTTATCAGGAGAGGCTGTGCGTATCTAAATATTATCAAGAACAGTCGAGGAATTATAGAGGCCATGAACGGCCTCAAAAGAGTACGAAACACAACTTTAGGTAGTGTTGTCGCTGTCTCAGGCTTGGCTGGAAATTATCAGCAGGGCTTAGTATTCAGTTGTTTGGTCGAGTGTGGGCTTACATCTCTGGTCCCACCAGCGCAATGCAGCCATGCGGAGCGGCCTTGAGGTTAGGCGAGGCCCAAGGATTGGTAACGTGCTGTCCACTAGAAGATTGCTGTACCCTTTCGACAGTATTGAGTTGATCCACCAGAAAAATGACCTGCTAAGTATACCAGCAACCTCCTCAGGGGACTGCATCTTGTATTTCGGTAGAAGGATACCTTCTTTGCTCTTACTTTCAACCAGCAGCAGAACAAAAGTCAATATTAAAAGTCCTGCCGCAGCCAGATGATTTTGGGTGATTGGGGAGCGAGAAAGCCCCCAAGCCATAGCTACTCCATGGCATATGAATGACCCAAGCAGAAATAGTATAATTAGCGCTGAAGGCCGAATGGAACGCCTGTGCTCGACAAATGATAATATGCAGTATGCCAAATCCGTGACTAAAAAGCTCACGGGGAGGACCACTGGAAACCCTCTGTCATGTTTAAGCAAGGGAAATAACACCGCCAACCGCACAGCCTGAAGCAGGGGAAGCAGAAGAGAGAGAAGCTGGATAGAAGGCAGTGTCAGCGGGTAATTGATTCACCATGATGTGGAAGGCAAGGCTATCTACCACCTTTATTGACCCTAACAAACTGGATGCGACTTTGATACTCGACCTACGGAGCTGCCACAGTCTGACTGGAAATGATATGATGAAAATAACATTGATCACCAAGCCAAATACCTGGGATTCGTGGAGGACCCCTGCCTCAAATGCGTCAATCATGTCGCAGAAGGTCTTACAAGAAGGCTCGGGTTACGTTGACAACTATTCTGACGTGATGCGTGGCACTCACTCGCTCAGTCCCTCACCCAAGAGCGTCCCGCGTGAGAATGAAGTCTTCGAGAGCTGCTGCCAGGTGGTTTTGTAGATAGGTGAGAAACGCAAAAGTTTGACTGCATTTCCAACACGAGTGGCCGAGATCCACAAACACGAGGTATGGCAAATGATGATATGATGTTCGAAACATAGAGGCAAGGATTATTTGCGGCACGGCAACGAGCTTCGGGGGCTTCCACAGCGAGCTTCCGATTTCGGCTTAGCGAACCGTGTCGGCCGTGCAGATAGCCAGTTGTGAACTTTGTACTGTATGCCGAACCTTGATGATACAGTCTACTAATTTAAGAATCTGAACAACCAGATTTGTATCAATTCAAATTCCCGCGCCTTGACTAATGATTCTTAACTATTTCAGAGCGGAACCAAGTATTCTCATGATCAGACCCAATCAGAGCGGTCACACGGATACCCGACATGGGTGTAGTGTAGAAATGAAATAGGCCACAAGCCTTGATCAGCTAGAAGGCTACAGGTTCTGGCACCCAGATATTCCAATCGCAAACCATGAACAGACCCAAAATCCGTTCTCATATGACGGTGCTTCTCAAGTGGCTCCATCAACGGTCAGTTCTTTACGTCCTGAGGCGACATCACCAAGAGCATGCTGAGGCAGCCTGCACAGCATTCAATTCATCGTTGCTGAAATAACCTCCTGAAGCTATATCTATAAGTCAGTCCTCAACTGTAGAGCTGCGTTTCTGACAATGGCCAGCGCATTGGACATGTCAATGAACTTATTAGCGGAGTGCCCAACTTGTTACGCATTATTATGAAGTGCCGCGTTCAAGATCTGCCTTGAGATCGATGACTTTCGCATACTACCAGGACTCTTGCGTATTTTTAACTAAGAGGGATGTAAAACGTCGCTGTTGTCAAATTGGAAATTTTGCTCCACTTGGCGCACAAGGTCATGCATGTGCGCCGGGTCCGCGCAGACTTGTACTAGCAGGGTGTATATTCTGTCTCGGCAAATGATGATCTCCTGGCCGCTTCACCATTTTTTTTCCCGATTAAATCAACTGTATGGTGGAGGTTGCCATAATGCCCACATGCTTTCCTGTTACTGGGGGTACCACTCATAAAATCTTGGGCTACTTTAGGCAGAAAACGTCCGGCAGCTCCGGTCTCGATGGAAGGACATACCGAGACATGCAGTGTACAGTAGTGGACTTGTTCAAGATCCTAGGGTAGTTCAAATGTTTGCGACACGATGGTATGTGCTAAATGTCAGCATGACGGCAATCGTGATACCACTGAAAGAGGATAAGTAATATGCAAATAATCAGCACAGTGGTGAGGATAATCGCTGGTGACCCCATCTTCAATGTCGAATTAGTTTCATGGCTGATAGCCTCTTCAATTTTCGTCCATACATCTCTCGTCTCTCTTGCTGCAGACACGACAAATATTGTACACAAGAATATGGTTAGATACCAGTAAGTCCAATATACCGATATGCCTACCATTGATGTAAGCCAACTGAACATTATCGCAACTATACTGGGTAGGTCGTGATCGTTGCGGAAACTTCAGAAGGAGAGGCTAATGAATGAAAACTCTCCAGGCACATTTACCATTGTATACGGGCTGATAGCCGTCAAGATCAAGAACACATGGTATCTAGGTGAAGCCTGTTTGTCTAGCTCATAATCTCACACTATTGCGACGCAGCTGACCATTAACCAGTGCCGGCGGTTGTTGTGGGGATCGTTCTCGGCCCAATCTCAGCCAAACTCCTTGACGCAGAGCGATGGATAGACGTGGGCTCCCCAGTCAAGGACGATGTCACGCTTGGGGTCATGCGAGTAATGATTGCAATACAGCTGTGAGTATCTGACGTTCTTAATACGCCACCATGCGCGAAGCTGGCTAGCAGAATCTCACACTCGACCAGGGTCATAGCCGGATACCAACTTCCTGGAAGATACCTCCAGCTTCGTGCCAAGGAGATGGCAGTCTGCCTGTTTCCAGTGATGACGCTGATGTGGCTGGCAACAGCGGGATGCGTCCTTCTGATGATTCCCAAGCTGACTTTCATTTCGGCCCTTATCGTCGCTGCATGTGTCACATCAACGGACCCGGTGCTTTCTCAAGCAGTTGCGAAAGGCCCATTTGCCGATAAATATATAGCGCGACCGCTTCGAGAAATTATTTCCGCCGAGGCAGGCGCCAACGATGGTTTTGCGTCTCCGTTTCTGATGTTAGGAGTCAGCCTTACTCTGCAGTCTTCTTCAGATCATGGCTCAGCACTCACATCTGAAGACGCTGGGCTTGCTTTAAAGTATTGGCTGGTTGAAGCGTTGCTCTATATTGTGCTCGTTGCCATCATATATGGGACTTTCATTGGGTTCTGTGCTAGAAAGGCAGTGGAGTACTCCCTCGCCAGAAGATGGATTGACACTGAGAGCTACCTGTTGTTCCCGACTGCGTTGGGTGTGAGTCTCACCTGTGTGATAGTGGCCTGTCATGGCTGATACGAACTACAGCTATTCATTGTGGGAACATGTGGTGTCATCGGAACCAGTGACCTGCTTGCATGTTTTGCTGCTGGTTGCGTTTTAAACTGGGACAATCAATTCCTCGCGGAAACGAAGCGCCGTCACGATGAAGTCAACTCATGCATCGATGTTCTGCTCAACTATGGCGGCTTTATGTACATTGGCATCACTATACCCTGGGAGTTGTTCCACCAACCTGACATAACGGGAATTACATTGGCCAAGTTGATTGGCCTCGGGTTTCTTGTTCTCATCCTCAGAAGAGTTCCAGCACTTCTCGTCTGCTATAGGATGATGCCAGCGGCTGTAAAGAATTGGAAAGAGGCAATATTCATGGGCTATTTTGGGCCAATAGGGGTTGGAGCTATTTACTACCTTGAGCACACTCGGCACCTTTTCCTTGCCGAAGACTATCTGAACTCCGGAGAGAAGGACTTGCTCGCAGCACTTACACCAGGTATGTTGTCAACTGGTTACAGAATCGCCATGTTGTCTAAATTGAAAACAGTTGTCTATTTTCTTGCTTTGTTCTCCATTGCAGTTCATGGAGTCTCGATCCCTGCCCTGAATGCAATTTTTGCCCTCTACGGCGTTCAGCCGGTAACGTACGACGCCGAAGAGATTAGGCGAAGGAGTATCTACATTCCGACCCCCACAAATGCAGTGCGCGCAGATGAAGATATGTTCATAGCGTTCAACCGATTCTCAAGACCCAACTATGGCACCAAGATACTTGCACAGTTCCACCAAGACAGCGATCTCAGGAGGGTGGGCACTCTTCTTGACCCGCCGAGACACAAAGTGAGACGCCATGCGACCTTTGAACTCGACCATATCGGGCCAAAGAATGAAACGCACATATGACGCGCGTACGTAAAGGGCTATACTAGATCAAGGCTTGACTCACAATGGTGGTGGTAGGCTTGTTAGGAAGTTGTAAATAGAAACTCGCGGCATTTTCATAATGTTCATCATATTCTGGAATACTTCTAAGGTTAAGAAATATTACGCCAGAGGGATCTTTTATTGTCGCGTCTTTCAGCATAGAACCGATGCAATGATCATGAAAGTAGTTACAAGAACTGACGAAGATACAAATAGAGCATCGCCACCGGACGCAGTGACAGTTGCAACAGTGCTTTGCGTAAGCGATGCGGCCGGGCATGTCAAATTTGATTGAGTCGTTGGTGTGCTCAACGTGCTCTCGAGAAAGCGAATGGTTGTAGAGTTGACGCAGTTTGTCTCATTTACCTCGTTGGCGTCTTTGGCGTCTGCAACAAATGTGATGTCCACACACTTCATCAAGTCAACAATCAGTTCGCCGAACTCCATGAATGCATGGCAGTGGGAAAATCTTACGCTGTACATTGCGGCCCCATGTACTGCAGCCTCGACAACTTGGATGGTGGCGCGATCACCAGGCTTGATATCATACCCAGAAGGTACAGGCACTTGAGGTAGACAGATGGTACCGGGATAAGGGTTGTTCGATGGGCCCTCTATCTCAAACCGGGGCCAAAGAGGCGACGAGTAGTTCGATGGGACATCACCAAAGCCAATGTTGATGTAGATGAGCGCATTCCGATGCCCGGTGAACCAGCCAGGTTGCAAAGACACAGCGCCGCCATTTACCGGCCAGTTCGTGCGGTTGGAGGCAATTGGAAGGCCACCGCCTGCTCAAGGTCAGCTCTGTATTAGAAGGAACAAGCAATTCTTGCTGATGCCGGTGCTAGAGGTTTGGTCGCATACAGGGATATATCCATTGCATGCCATAAGGATAGACAAGGCCAGACCCGGTATAGTCAACACCAAGCCCAGAAGCACCGTCTCCTGATCCATTGGAAATGAGATTATTGCCTCTCCAGCCAGGATACGTGATCACTACGTGGCTCTGAACGACTACCAGTAGGGCAGAAACCAGGGCGAGAAACAGCATCTTGGTGATTACTCAGGAGCAAAGAGACATTAGCGGAAGCAGATTTGGCTGAGTTAGGATATCCAGCAGGATATCTCTTTTCAACAAGTGTCTGCATATGGGATTTGCTGCACCTTTCGCGTATGGCTGGGAAGGATGCGAAGCCTTCATGCATGACACCTGCACATAATCACGGGGTGCCAAGGGCGCTTATTGGCCTTTACTCGCGAGGAGCACGAAGCTGGTCGTGGCACCCTCGATTGGCGAACCAGCTGCAACCAAAAGGCCTGACAACGTGTAACTCGTACATATCAAGCAAGATCTTTGCTCGTAAGGCCGACCGAGAGAAAGAACGCCGACAAAGGTGAGACGGCTCGAGCCATACAAAGGGAATAAATGTATAGAAAGGCACTCCAGTTAACCTACTACACGCTAGCGACGTAGGAGGCGTAAGCTAGCCGCGGTAGATCTTGTCTGCCCCTGAGAGCCAGTTGAAGCTCTGCTTGCGACAAAGCAACTACCCGCGAGGCGCCTTGCCAAAACAAAAGCCACAGAGAATTTTTGACGTTGCTCGCTGTGGTCTTGTGCCACCAACACATTGCATTTCGGGTGAGAACATGGGTCTGTTCCGGATGTTACTGATTGGCGTGGCCTTGATCGTCTCATTGCCGATTGCCGCCTTCGTCTTCCTCGCCCTGCGCTTCCAATATACATTGTTGAAGGGAACCAAAACCAAGAGGAACCTGGGCCTGGATGATCCAATCTGGTCTTTAGAGGAATACCAGAGGCTCTTCGCCCACAGAAAATGGGCTCATATCGAGTCGTTCGCATGCGCCAAGGAGATCCCATTGAGCAGGATACGGCGCAGCCTGCTCCAGAGCCAAGAGGGACTGGTGTCGGAAGTTTTTCGGGTGGTATGGAATCGTCGAGGTATTACTGAGCTGCCATCATTTTATGTCCCTGTCGTGAGCTGGCTGACAAGGCACAGTCAACATGCAATCTGGGGGGGCTCCGTCTGACGTAGCACCGACCGTGGGCTCGCGAAGCCAGTCTTCCGACATTCGAGCAGAGGTGGTGGGTATCACACCGCAAGAGATGTCCATGGCAATCACCACGGTCCACACCAACTTCACCGGAGGCTTGGAAACTGTTACAGTGGAGATCAACCCAAGCGCTGATGTGATGATCGTAACGTTCAAATACCTGTGGCACAATGATATTATCCTTCCACGAAAGTGGAAGCAGTGGCTGGGCGTCTACATGCAATTGACATCGAGACGAATGTGGCTTTTGGATCTTGCCGCGGCCTTGACCAGCCAGTAGTGCCGAAACATCAAGTTGGTGAGCCGGAAAGGATATGCATGCTTGCTGGGATGGTGCGCATTGGTATGCAATCTCAGATTTGGGATGATTCACCACCTCGCCTTTCAAAGGCCCAGGGTGTAAGGACAATGGCGGGATCTACTTCACAGTACTCATGAATATGGGCCCTCGAGAAAACTCATTCCCTGTCTCGAATGCTCGCTAGATTCAAATGCCTTATGGTATGTAAAAGCTAAGAAATATAGAGAAAAATATGGTACATACTTTCATGGCGCATGTACTGCTCTGATTATGATGAAGTAAATACCCGCCCATCCTAGGACTGGGCCTCGTATTTGCCGCTCACAAGTGTCCTCACGCTCGGGATGTCCACCCATTTCCCTTCTGCGGCACTGCTGTCATTCGCGTCCGCGTCCGCGAACGGGTCATCATCACTCAGCTCCACCTCCTTGCCCTTGCTTTCCTCTAGTCTTGATACAGTGATTTCATCTGCAATCTCGTCCGTCGGGCTAAACTCCCACCGAGCTTCCACGTTGCCCGCCTTGGGCTCGACCCCGGCATCGCCGACAATGCGGCAAACGATCTTCTGCCAGTCGTCAGAAGCGTTCAGGTTGACATCACCAAGACGCCAATACACAAGGTGTTTCTCTTTGAGGTGGGTTCCGGAGGGTTTGGTCTGGGCACCGGAAGCTTTGCCATCGTAGGTGGCAAAGAAAACGACATTGTGAAGTGTGACTCTGCTGCCGTACTTGAACGCCGGGTTGAGCTTGTATTGCAAGAGAAGGCCCAGCTTGTTGCCCTGAGGTTTCCACGCAGGGTTGAGAAGAATGGGTACACGATCAACGGGCAGGGCCGCAGGGTCGATATGCATGCGATACGAGAAGCCGACGGTCGCCTGTGTTTGACGCAGATGGGAGACGTCGAGAGTGAACTGGTCTGGGTGGTCCGGGGTATGGTTGGTGACAAATATACGATTGGGGCCGATGACCTCGAGGGCGGGAAAGTTGTTGATGCGGATTGGTTGGTAACCTGTGTTGTCTCGGTTAGATCATGCTGGCGGGCAGTGAGATGGATTTTCTTACTCTGTGGGCTGAATGCATCAGTCGGGTTCATGGAGAAGGCGATCTCGCCGTTGATCTTGAGAGACTTGACGTGGCCCCCTTCAAAGGTCGCGAAGACGGTCTCCATCACAGACGAATTGAGGCCCGGGTTGTGCATGTCAGGATGCTTGAATTGGACGATGCTGCTCAACGAGTTGGACGAACGGATGGACTGGGTATCGGACGTTCCAGTCACGCTGGTCTCGGAAGTCAGGGCGGCCACTGCAGGGGGTTTCGACAGAGATGCTGGCAGATTGGGGGGCGGCGGGAAAGGGGCTTCGGATGTCGCGGTTTCGGACACCGGCGCGGGCACGTAGATGGTGTTTCTAACATCTCTCCGGCCACGTACGGTGCCCGTCCTACGGGTCGGCATGCCCAAGGCCGAGAGGGTATTGGAGAAGTTGGAGAGAGCGGCCAGCCTCTCTGCTGGATCCTCGTCCGCCACAGGCTCCTTCTGGATGTTGAGCTTGAAGGCAGGCTCAGCCTCTTCCCCGGCATTGCCTGCAGCCTCCCTCTCGGCGGCTGATATGGGATCGTGCGAGGCGGCTGGCACGCTGAACCCCTCGGCATCTTTCTCTGGCTCCTTCTGGGAGGGTGGCGGCCCTGGAGGGGGCGGCACATCTGTGATAGCTGTGCTGTCTGCAGAGGCCAGCGCGGGGCTGGTGCCATTGACGTGCGGCGGCGATTCGGGAATGGTGGGGATTGCGTCGGCGGCAGCGTCACTGCCAACCCCGTTCGTCCCCTCGTGGCTCGGCTTCTCCCTGGTCTCCGAGGTTCGCGGAGGCTCATCTGAGGAACCGGGCCGCTCAGCCAGCGACGAGAGCCGATTGTCGGACCCGCCTAAATTACTCGAAGACGCCCTGGGCGACACGCCGTGGCTACTTCTGGAGGTCCTCCCAAACGGGCCCTTGGACGGGGATAGCTGGCCGAACCCGCCGTGGATGCTTTGTCGCCTCCTTCCCAGCATGGTGCCAATGCGACTCCGCAGCTTGTTCTCGCTGCCCTTCTCTTCCCTCTGGCCCGAATGGTCGCTGCGGTCATCCTCGGCGACAGCGGACGACGCGGGTACGTTGATACTCGGCGGCGGTGCAAGAGAGGAGCTCGCGGCGCCGAAGCTGGAGGACTGGCGAGTCGTTGGGGCACGCGACTGGACCTTCGGCTTGCCGGCCGTAATCCTGGCGGCAAAGGCCTGGACCTCGTCGGCCGTGTGGTAGTCTAACAGGCTGTTCAGCACGGCCTCGGCCTCGGCCTGCTTCTGCTGCGCCTGCTCCCCTTCGTAGGTGCCGTACTGGGTCATGACGTCGCGCAGCTGGTTCATGCGGGTCTCGTCCAGGGCCTGCAGAGACTCGAAGACGAAGGGGGCCTGCGACTCCCACTGGTTGGTGGCGGCGTCAAGCTTCTGGGTGGCCTGGTCCATCTTGGCGGCGCTCGTCTTGCCAGCCTTCTTGCTCAGGGCGTCCGACTTCTTCTGTGCATCGTCCAGCTCCTTGGCCATGTTTTGTAGGTTGCCTTGTATGGTCTGGATGTTCTGGACCTCCTTCTTGGTGTGGAATGCGCGCAGGGGCGCCTCGACGTCCTTCTCGATCTTGGTGGCGAAGAGGTGGTGGGACATGGCGATGCCCTCGGCCGACTGGATGATCTTGTCCCATTGTACCTGGAAGGTGCTGGAGCGCCGCAGGGGGCCGGGTATCAGCAGGGGAAAAAGGCCAACACATATCAACGGGCCAGGGGAGGGACATACCCAAGATCCGACTGCGCATTGGGGACGCGGAACTGTGTCAGCTTGCGCAGGCCTTGGACGTATTGCTCCTCGACTTTGCGCCGTTCCTGCGGATGAGAGAGCTATATTCAGCACGGTGCGATGCGATGCGATGCGACTCGGACAGAGCCTGGGTCTCATACCTGGAGCCAGTCGGCAATCTCGACATTGAGCTTGGAGATGCGTTTCACCCGGTCGTTGAGGGTTTGGACTGCCTGCAGCGGCTGGAGGTTGGCCTACGGACGAAGGTCGTCATGTCAGCGAGCCGTCCTCATGTTCAAGGTTGCTGCTCCGGGAGGGTCCTGGCTGGTGAAGCTGTCGCATTGGCGAACAGCAGCGTCGACGGCGAACCGAGCAGTGCCATCCGACGCAGAGGGCCCGGTAGCAGCGACTTACCAGCATGGCTGGGTACTCGACCCTCATCGAATCATCCATTGCGACAGCCGAGGTGGTCGTCCGGATCGATGCATGCACGGGCTCGGGCAGGCGGGCGAGGAGACACCACGCTACAGGTGAGGAAACATAAGAAATGGCAGCAGGCTATCGCGAGGGGCGCCGACGCGGGAGCTCTTCACATGGGCAGCGTGGTCGGCAGCGGTAAGGACTCGTACGTCGGCGGGCAAGATGGGTTTTGCTCGCGGCTACTGATGCATTGTTGTCATCATGTATTTCTGCCGACGGTCTCGGGGATCGGGACTGAAGCTGTACCCAGCCACCCCAAGGGCAGAGGCACGGACCCGCTGTCGCACCCCCGTGGGAGCCGTCTGACCCAGCTTGGATCCAAGAGGGACGCCCTGGACGCAAGCCCTGGAACGCCCAAGGACGCTGGCACCCGGCCCCCGAGAGCTTGCCTTTCTGGCCACTAACGTTGATTAAAACCCCACCATCCATCCCACCGGCCCCATCCCCGTCGAATGTCTGTGTCTGTGTCCCCGCCAATGAGGCGTCCAGTTTGCCTCGGATGCGGTCATTGGTCCAGACTAGGTAACCTGGAGCAGGCCAAGCTGGACCTCTTCATTTCAGACTCGGACAGCCTGGACTTGACGACGACTCGTAAGTTGTAACCACTTCCAGCCTTCTTCGGGTGTGCAATTGGACTCCTCAAGCAAGTGGCAACGTAGTCCACAGATGCTGAGCGACACACTCAACGGCGCCTCTTTCTCCTCCTCTGTTGCCGTGAAAGTTGGATATACTGCGCCTGTCCTTGGGCGAGCTAGATTCAGCTAGAAATGCCCTAGGCACTGGATCAATCAAGTGCAGGCTCCGCTCAATAAGTCTATGGAACTTTGGAATTGTGGGAAGAGGTTAGCGGGTACCCAGGCAAAGGGGGAAGATCCAGCAAATAGAGTTGCGCCTCACAGATCCACGATAATCCAGAGCCCGTCAAGTTTCGAAGGGTTCGTTCCTAAGGGTTCGTTCCTAGTACGGCAACCGACTGCCCAGCATCTGCGTTACATGGTAAATACACTTGCCCGGTCCCCTTCGACACGCCTAGCTGGTATTTCATGGCGGCGGATATGGATTGGAGGAGTTCGCTCTCTTCACTGACTCGCTACGAGAGCATCGAGAGGATGTAAGTACGTCAGCGTGGCCATGTTCTGTGCGTCCCCTTGTCTCATTCGGTGCTTTAGAAAGTCTGCACTTCTGGCGGCTGATCCTTCAGCCACTTCGGCGCAAAAGGATGCCTTTGCCCTTGAGAACGACGCCTTCAAATCGTCCAAGTCCCTGGTAAGCGCCGTCACAAAGCCGATGCCTATAGTTGGCGCCCCTCCAGTACCTGCCAATATTAAACGTGAAGGGCAGCATGAGTACGATGCCACGTGCCAAGTCAAACCCGAAAGGGCTTCCGAGTTCTTAACCGCTTCTCGCGAGTCAGAGGAGGAGACCGTGGCCACGGAAACGCCAGGCATAACCGTTGGAAAATACCAGAACTGTCACTTTGTCGCCAGTGGTGTTACCGCAGAAGTCTATAGAGCCGGGCGACAAGCTCTGAAGATCATCACCGAGACCCGGAATATTGAGCCGCACAATCCGCACAGGGAAGCCAAGATACTGGCTTCACTGAGAAAGCCCTGCATACCGCTACTCGAAACGTTCAGAGACCAGGAGCAAAGGTTTGTCCTGGTGTTTCCGTACATGCCTCTAAGCCTGGAGGCCCTTCTGGCTAGGGGCAATATATCACTCGGGCAGACAAAAAAGCACTTTCGGGACCTTTTCAGTGCTTTAGAACAGCTGCATGACAGCGGCATCATACATCGAGATGTAAAACCCTCAGCGCTACTTCTTGCGTCCCCCAACGGCCCGGCCTACCTCTCCGATTTTGGCACAGCCTGGCATCCTGAATTGTCAGCAACCTCCGAGCCCCCGACCGACAAGGTGCTGGACATCGGCACTGGTCCATACCGCGCACCCGAGGTCTTGTTTGGCGACAAGTGCTATGGCTCAGCCGTCGATATGTGGGGAGCTGGCACGATGCTTGCAGAGTGCTGTCGCGATCCACCGCTACCTCTGTTCGAGTCTCGCCCCGTCCACGAAGATGGTAATCAGCTCGGCTTGATCTTGAGCATCTTCAAGACCATGGGAACCCCGACTCGAAAGACCTGGCCGGAGGCGGCAAACTTTAGAACACCTCCTTTTGAGATGTATCGCGCGTTTGATCCAAGGCCATGGGAAGATATCCTACCAGACGTTGACCCTGATATGAGAAACCTGATTTCCAACTTAGTGAGATACGATAGCACAAGGGCATCGGCAAGAGAGGTCAGTAAGCACTCCGGAACGACATGAATGCAGAAATGCTAAACTTGACGCAGGCTCTGCAGCATCTGGCAAATTTCCAAAAGGAGGAATGAATGGCCGTGGAGCCTCAGAATAGTGGAGAACATTGCCTCTCAATGAAGAAATCCCATCACAGTCAGCTCAAATTAGCAAGTTGCAAGGGTTACAGGTTGATCGATCCGGCTGTATCTTATGCCATGCGCGGCAAGCCTTAGATACATGGTGTAAGCTTACCAGCAATGAACCTGGACATGCATCAGAGCCAGGGACTCGAAGATCAAAGACCAATATGAGCTACGGCCCTAGATGACCAAGACTTCAAGCCTCTGCACTTTGGGGTTCTGACCGTCAAGTTCTGCGTTCACACTTGTTGGAGAGGCTTAGAATCTATATATCTTGCCATAACATTGGACCGGAAAGTCCACAATGATTTAGCTGACATTGTATTCGCTGTGATCAGTTGAACACAAGACGTGCTGTCGAGAACAACGCGGGGTGGGAGCCACATGTACTCTGGGAGTTGGTGAACTCCCCAGAACCGAAAATGAGACTATACATAGCAAATAGTTGTTTCTGTTCAATAACAGTGGTCAATCCGGACGCTTTGTCATACCTGTCTCACACGGCACCCTACACATATTGACGGTCTGCACGTAATTGTATTCAGCTCGATCTAATGTGCGCGTGTCTCAAATCCGTTCCATTCCACAATACCCAAGAGTAGTGTTGTGCGCAGGTATCTAGATGGCGAAGATATGGAGTCATCCCAACTGCTTCCATGTGGCTTGGGCATAGACATGGGGGAGTCCGCTAGATCCATTACCCTATACTCCTTTGGTCGATGGCCACGACGCTGGGCCGGCGGGATTTGAACATCACTGGGTAACCCTACGGAACAACGAGCCTACCACCTCCAAGTACGTAGAAGGTGATGGGAGAATGGCGGATAGAATCAAGAAAGTAGCCGTCTTCGGCGTACGTTGCAGCTCTCCGTCAAGCCGCACGGCCACTGCTAACAAGACTCCCATTAGGCATCAGGGAACTTTGGTACTCCTATCACGGCCGCTCTTGTCAAGGCGGGATTTGAAGTAACAATAGTCACGCAGCCTAGCTCAAAGTCGATCTTCCCAAATGGCATCCAAGTAATCCGATCGGAGTACACAGTCGCGCATCTGACTGCGGCACTGGCGGGCCAAGATGCAGCAATCAGTGTCGTCGGGCCCGCAGCTATCACGTCCAACGTCGCCATGGTTGAGGCGGCGGCAGAGGCCGGCGTGAAGCGTTTCATCGTCAATGACTTTGGCTGGGGTCCCGACTTTGCGAGCGAGCCAGAGTTTGCCGCCATCGGCGACACTCGCCACGTCGCCTGGGACCGCGCGAAGCAGCTGGCGATAGAGAACACTGGCTTCACGTGGACGGGTATCACAATCGGAAATCCGATAGACTGGGTATGGACTCTTCCACCAAAGAGACATAGTTTGTTGGTGGGCATTCTTGTTGGTTTGGTTTGGCTAATGTTCGCACAGGCACTCAAACGCTTCCCCCTGATGGGCTTCGACGTCAAAGACTACACTGCCACCATCTATGACGAGGGTACCGAGCAGTTCACCGGCACTACCTTGTCTGGTATTGGTCAATCTGTCGTAGGGGTGCTGAAGCGCCCGGACGCTACCGCCAACCGTTTCGTCAAGGCGCGGTCCATTCAGACCTGCCAGAACGAACTTCTCGCGGCATTTCAGATAGTGACTGGTCGAAGGTGGGAAGTACATGTTGGAAAGGTGTCTGACCTCCGGGAGAGTGGGAAGCAAAAGCACCAAGATGGCGCTGGTGGATGGGTACTGGATCTGCTTGTCTTTCAGCTGTTCGAGCCCGGGAAAGGGCGGTGCATCGTTGCGTCACACGAAGATAGTGATGCCACGCTGTTGGGCATTCCAGAGGAGACGGCGGAGGATATCGCCCTCAAAGCCTTGTGAATGATGTGGAGTAGAATGCTATGGTCATGGGATGAAAGGATTATGTTATTCATTACAAGGATTTTTACAAATGGCTGCCGCCACTGCATCGTGCAGATAAATACATGTCAAAACAACTAGGTATCGTGAAAAGCCAACTCCTCAAACTCCAGGGGCGGGTAGATGGACGAATGCCATGGATATGGCGCCTGAACCAGGAAGTCTTCTACTATATCAATCGCTTTCCCAGAGGTCTGGCCCACCACCAGCAAAGTCAATATCTCCATCTACCTCGACAGTTGTACCCAGGGCTTCCTTTCCTTGACGGATCATGTCCATTAGCTTCGAGTTGAAGTCACTGATTCTCGCGTCTGTTTCTTGTTCTCGCTTGAGCCTCCTCATCGCCATCCTTTTGGCCTCTGCGTCCAGCCGAGGGCTACTCTCCTGGATCAGCTCGTGGGCCGTACTCTCACGCTTCTTTAGCCGACCAACCGATGTCGCCGAAGCGGCGGACGCGGTGCTATGGTTCCGGCGGTGGCCTCGTGGCGAGTAGGGGCTGGGACTTGGGATGCGCGACTGCTGCTGAGAGGATCGAGGGGAAAACGTGTGGGGAGAATCCTGGCGTGCAGGTACAGGTAGTCTACTTGGAGTGGAAGGGCGGTCGATGCTGGCTGGGGACCGCGGTGACGCATAGCTAGCTGGCTGTCGATTGCTGAGAGTCGCGTTGCCGGCATGGCTGACTCGATCGGCCTGCCGTCCGCCTAGACTTGGGTTGTTGAGGCGGCTGACCGGCTTACTGATGCGTCTGTTCAGAGACGGCCGAGCAGGCGGCGTTTTCGTGGCGAGGGACGGGTCAAGAGGGTGCGACTTCTTATCAGCTGGGTCGCCCACCATGACCCAGTTCTTGCGCAGCTCATCATTCGGCGTGCCATCTAATATCTGGCGGCGCTTCGGTGCAGGAGGCGGCGTCGACTCGGGCGTCTCGCGCTCGTAGCAAAACGGTGCGTAGTCGGAGTCGGGAAAGCCGCCCGGTATCTCAGGGAGCGTCGGAAGATCGTGCTCGTTGCACCAGGGTCGGCCTTCCGAAGCTGCCGGTTGCATCTCATATCCCTTTCCACCTCCGGCGTAGAAGCCTCTGAATGCGCCCTCTTTGCAGAACTCCCATACTTTGCCGACAACACCGCCGATGGTGTTGAACGCGAGCCTGCTCCATCCGACAGCCGCAACCGGATCGGCCGTGTCCCGGGATGAGGGCGAGCATAGATCTTCATGCGATCGCTTCGAGCCCAGTGCACGCCTGTAGTCAACGTCGGAGTAGATGCTATTGTCCATATGACCCAGCTGTCTCTGCGCGGCGCCGTTCGGTGTTTCAATGTGTCCACCAAGCGTGTACCTCATGCCCTGACCGCTGCTGGCCCTCCTCGCGCCTTGTGGTCTCTCATACGATGTGCCGTCTGCACCCATGCATGGGTGATGATTTAATGTCGTTGACTGCCGGGCTTCGGGTCTCTTCCTCTTGACCTTGAAGGCAGGGGTTGCAGGATCCGAATGCAGGCTGCCCGTGGACTGCGCCAAGTAGATCGAGTTGGATGCAGAGGGAGAGATGGGCGGACGGAAGACGCCCGCGTGCACGCCGCCGAGGGGTGCTGCCCCGTTGGGAGCTTCGAAGTGGAATGTGCCCGGCATCATGATCTGGGGCCCGCAGGACATAACGCGCTGCTTGTCGAGATGCTTCAAGGCCGTGTATTAGGAACGTAAGATGGTGTGCGAAACTCTGCGATGATGTCGCCTACGTGAGTGTCGATGTGGTTGCCTCTGAGAGGCACCAGGCCCGCCGGCTGTCGGGCGATCTGCAGTCGGCTCGTGGAGGATGATGGCACTGTATGCTGCTCTCCCGTAGATATAGAGAGTATACCGTGCTGGTGGACGGTTGCTCACGATGGGAGTTGGGGCGGCGGGCTAGCGAAACAAGGGCGTCGAGATTTGGGGTCGACAGGCAGTTCTGTGTGCTGCTCGTGACCAGTCCGGCACTTGTCGCGTGGTCCGGATGGCCGTCCGACGGTGAGCTTAAACTTCTGCAGGACGAGGTCACCACGACGAGGTTTGTCGAGAGTGGGCTGCCAAGCTGAGGCACCACAACACCGTCAAAAATTATGCTGCGGGCGTAAGTCAAAGCAGGGTTTATGGTGAAGGGTCCTAGTTTCGTGAGCTGGGAGCAGGAGCCGGCACTGCGATCGGCCCCCCGGATGTCTACCTATCTGGGTCCGATGCAACTGAAAGCTGGGGTGCAACTGGAGTCTGAAGCTGCCGTAATAGACCTTGGTGCATGGTACGTGCAGTACAGCAGACGAAGCGATGACGGTCAAACCCAGTGGTAAGCTAGCAAACGACCAACCAAAGTTCCAAACGGTATCAGGCCAGCCAGCAAACCGTCCTGTCTTGGTTGCTTCCAAGGTTGTCTTGCTGTGGAGGGAGCTATGCCACCGGTTTGGCAATGACGACGAGTGCTCAATGCACGACTGCTTGCCCTTGGGCGTCGATCAATCGAGCAGAATCCCTCGTACGTCTTGCCTGTGGCGTTGCGTGACGTACCGCCCAGGCCAGATGCGACAACTTCAAGCTTCCCGCCTGCTTGCTAGGTTCCATGTACTGCCTATGCTGCTAGAGCTCAGCTTGCCGCCCACGCCAGCCAGTGACAGAGGTGCCAGGTGAGACACCCGCTGGGGCAGAAAGGGAAGAAATTGTCGCGGAGGCGTGCGCAACCACGTACACATCCGAGGTAAGTGTGCAGGACTCCAGCTTCTTCTTCTGGACCCTGAGAATCTCGGGACTCTGGACAGGGTTGCTGCGCTCGCTTGTTTGTTGAAAGTCGATGCGGCCGTTCATGGGACGTCAGGGGGACTCGTTGTCCGGCCAGCCCCAACTGTCGATCGGCACCAGTAAACACCAAATCCAATGCACTAAGATGGTTCTGGCCGCGGGGCTCAATGGCAGGGGCTCGATGGCGGGGCAATCTGTCCATAAGGCGCAGTAACGCGGCACACAAACAAACGGCACGGATAGATGGTGCACCACATGCAGGCTTGCAAATTTTGGGTCTTCTCCTCCAAGGAAATAGGCATGGACATCCAGGGCTCATCTACTTTTGCTGGGAATATATCCCTGCCTGTGCACTTCGGAGATATGATCCTCTGCGGCCAGCGCATCCGTTAGCTTGGCAGTGGAAACCGAAACTGCTTCGAGCTGCACTGGATTGAAGTCCCTCTCGGGCAGGCCTTTGCTACAGTTTGCCGTGGCGGACAAAGCTAGCTCCCATGACCAAGGACAATAGATACTCTGAGGTACTCTGCAACTCATGATACTCCCGCCATCCCACCATGATGATGTCCGTCTCATTGCGCATTGCAGATCCGTGACGTCTTTCCTGCTACGTGTGCTGGAATCAAGGTGCGGCGCCGTCGTCCTTGCTGTAATACGCATCCTGCTGTTGGACCTTCTCAGCATCTACTCCACCGTTGACGCCGGCCTCTCCATGCACATGTTGACGCATGCCCCAGAAGGCGTCGCGCTCCTGGAGGATCTCCTTGGCCCATTCTTGAGTCTCGGGGAGCGTCATCTGGGTCGCGACGTACGTAAACTCCCCCAAGTCCAGTGCCTTATCCGCCCGCTTCTCGTACTCGATCATCTGGCACAGCAGCTCCATCTTGTCGACGTCGTGAACAAAGTGGCTCTCCAGCGTCTTGGAATCCTCATACTCCTGCCAGATGGCACGGATATCCTGGCCCGCCAGCCCTCCGTACACGCTGCCCAGGAGCTTATCGCAGATGTAGTCCATCGTCTCGGCTTCGCGCCTGTTCTTCTCGGGCTTGGCCACACCGTCGACGGGTGTGATGTCGCCCACCAGCGACTCTGCCATGTCGTGTATGAGGCACATCTTCATGCACCTGGAGAGATCGATTCGGGACGCGAGGGATGGAGGGCAGAGCAGCGACATCAACGACATGCGGTACATGTGGTCGGCAATGGACTCGCCCTTGTTGATCGAGAACCTGCGCCATCCTTCGCGCTTGGTCGTCTTGAGCCGCTCGAGGATGTGAAAGAAGGGCACGGGGGAGTTGGAATTGGCGGTCGGCGGCGAGGGGTAAATTGTTGCAAGCACCTTGTCTACGGACCAGGGCTCAGAGATCTTCGGAGTGGTGACGGAGCCGGGGTCTGGCTGATAATCAGCATGTGCTCGAACACCACGATACAGTACATGAGAGCGAATCCCAGGGAGATGGACCTACCGGAGACCTCGACCTTTGCCCCATTCGTGGCAGAAGGCGACATTGTGATGGTTCTTCCAGAGAGAGCTCCTGATCTTGGGATCGCTGGTGGGATGTGATTGAGCGCAATACCAATCTGACCAGCGCGGATCGGGCGTCCGAGTGAGGCTATAAAGTCATCCAGGAGTGGTTCCAAGAGTGCCTGGAGCGAATGATTGGAGATCTGAGTCGACGAGGAAGAGAAGTACAGGGTTTAAGGCTTTGCGACACTCATTTGTTGTTCTACATCACAAGCCCGCCCCGTGAGCCTGACTGAAATCTGACCCCGCAGTAAAACTACACAAACAAAAGGTGACACACCTTTTTCCCCTACGCTAACCTGGCTTATGACACAAAGTCGCGGTGCCAATTGCACAACGACATTTGACCCCCACTGACCCCGCCGACTGCTTAGGTCGGCTGGTTCGTAGGTATCCAAGAGCGCGCTGAGGAAGCAAATTATTGAGCTCCATGGACTATCAGGGTAGCTAGGCTCTAAAACCTTCAGCCTTTAGAACCAGGCTTGCACTCGGTCGCGCTTCAGCTACCACGAAAGAGCCAGCATACTTACTGAGCCTATCTTGTTGCCTAATTCGGAAATGGGACAAAGCAGGAAGAAAACGGGGGCTGGTTTGTCACGGGCACAAATACCTAGATGTGCCCTACCGTGCTACACACCAGGGCCCGTATGCTGTTGAGGCAAGGCCGGGGGTTGCCCGTATCAAACTTGCTTTGCCCGAAGCAGCGTAGGTCTTGCATTGCGGCAAGTATGGAAAATGTGGAAGACAATCCGAAGTTCTGGAGAAACGGTCCAGGTCGCAGCTCAAAAGGGGCCTGTAGGAAATACTTATACCATACCAGACCTTGGCAAGCTTGGGACTCGCAGTCTATAGGGACCCCCGTTCTCGGCAGCTATCGCCCCGTGGCGCCCCACCTGCCCCCGGGGCCATCAGCCTCCACTCCGAGCCACTATGCCCTTCTTATGCGCCAGCCAGACCATTTCAGGTCCATATCGGCGCAATTGGCGGAAACCGGTTCTGACTCGGACAATGGTCCACGACCACAGAGACAGGCGCGAGGAGAAGGATGGAGACCGTACAGAGACTCTGAATTCAGTAGGTGCCTCGTGGGAGGCTCCGTTACTGCCCCGTAGTTCCCAGCTACCCCGCATGACGAAGGCCTCTTGACCCCCACCCACCTTTCTCTACTGGAGTGAGAAGAATGGGGGGCATGTATATAAACCAAGGCCTACGAGACAGCCATTCAAGCCTTCCAAGTCGGTGTTCAGTACCCAAAGAAAGCAGACGAATCATTTACAGGCCTTCCACCATGAAGCTTCTCTACCCAACTTCGCTTGCACTCGACGTAAAGAGCCTCGAAGGTTACTCTGTTGACCTTCAGCCCTACGATGTCAAGGAGCCGATCCCCGAAGAGCATACCGACGCCTCGGTTCTCGTGACATGGACCAACTCGGCCTCGAACCTGTCCGACGCGGCAAAGCGCCTCAAGAACCTCGGCTGGATCCAATCGCTCGCCGCCGGCCCCAACGACGTGCTCGGTGCCGGCTTCGACGCCTCCAAGATCAAGATCACCACCGGCTCCGGTCTCCATGACCGTACCGTGGCCGAACACGCATTGGGCCTGCTGCTCAATGCGGCCCGCCGGTTCTACGAGATGCGCGATTGGCAATTACAATCCAAGTGGCCCCAGCACCTGGGGGGTCCCCAGCCCGACCGGCCCAAGGGCAAGTTTACAACCCTCAGGGATGCCAACGTTCTGATCTGGGGCTACGGCAACATTGCCAAGGCTCTGGCGCCGTCGTTGACGCTCCTCGGCGCGACCGTCCGCGGTGTGGCCAGGAGTCAAGGCGTGAGGAACGGTGTTGAGGTGTATGGAGAAGACAAGCTGCCCGAACTGCTGCCGCAGACAGACGCTCTCGTCATGATCCTGCCGGGGTCCGAGAGCACGAAGCATGCTCTGAACGCAGAGAGACTAAAGTTGCTGCCCAACCACGCATGGGTGGTGAATGTGGGACGTGGCACGTCGATAGACGAGGAGGCTCTCTTCAGTGCACTGGAGAGTTCACAGATTGGAGGCGCAGCCCTAGACGTGTTTGACCAGGAGCCACTGCCAGGGTCCTCGAAGCTGTGGAAGGCACCCAACTGTATTGTGAGCCCACACGCTGCTGGAGGTAGACCACAGGGAGCCGAGGCCCTGATTGCAGAGAACCTCAGGAAGTTCATAGCAGGCCAGGATCTGAGGAACATCATCTGAGGAAGGCGGACTGCAAGACAATCACGTTTTATACCCGCATCTCCCATGGATGGGTCGTGCGAAGTCCTCCGAGAGGACCTTGGATTGTGTACGAACGTACTCGTGCTAATTGTATAGTACCTACTTGCACTGTACTGCAGCTCACTTAGACCAGGCTTATTAATACTGAGATTCCCTGCGTTCCGGCGAAACTAGCTTAGAGAGGACACTCTCTTGTTGTAACTCACCATAAAATGCGCGCTCTTGTTGGTTGGTTGTTCCTCGCACCCTCAGTCACCCGATTCTGGAAGAATGGTCTCCATGCTCGAAGCAGTGCCGTTGGTTTAAGTGGTCCTAGTCATCAACATCTACCTTGCATGAAACATAACAAACGCTGCGGACAGAGTCGGTAAAAAAAGCCCCTGGCCTGCCGTGGCTGTGTTGGCGCGATGCATTTGGCTATTTACATGGAATTTGTGTTACTCTCAGTTGCCTCCGAGGTCCCTGGCAGCCAATCATCCGCAGGCGGGAAATCTCAGCCACGCAGGACTTGTACTGCTGACTTTCTATGAATGGTGCCGGCCTGGAAATCCTGCAGAAGCGAAACGACACATACCCGCTGGGGATCTGTGCCTGGTGGTACGTGCCCCCCGGACTGCTTGCATTCCGCAGCCCACTGAAACCCCTCGAGACTCGGCAGCACATCTCATTGGTGTCCATGCATAGCTCAGCTAAATATACCCGCGCCTATCTAAACTTAGCCAGAACGTGGCTACCGGCCGAGGACTTGGCACTGTACGACACGGTCAAAGAAATCTGATGAAATTGATCGCTCCCACGACCGTAACATGAGGGCAAGTGTGGGATTTTATTTTTGATTCCTATTCTCAACCCCAGAGTCATTTCTGCTACATATACGCTTTGGTTCTTTCGAAGCGTGAGTAATACGAAGACTGCTGTGCAACCGAGGCCGGTGCCCAGATTGATCTTCATTATAACTTGAAACAACTCACTTTTGCACACCACTTCTCATGCTCATCGTTCCTTTTGTTGTGCTCGTGAACTGCCCTCAATAACCCCGTTGGCTTGCGTACGATTCCTTCAGAATGCCCAGCCGAACACTTCCGCCAACAACCCTCCGGAGGCGGAGTAGAGGAAAGTCCATGACGCTGGGATTTGACGACATCAAATTTCCGAAGGTATACGAAGACGCTTGGGGGACTGGAAATGTCACAGCTACAGAAAGACCAGAGCTGGAGAGAGCGCAGATCTTCTTGCTCCGTTTCATTGTGATGAACCCCGATCCTAGCATCAATCATGAACTCCGCTCCATCGTCGGCAACCGGTATTACAACACCATTCCAGCCCTGGCTTTTGCAATCCAGATGAATATCTTCGCCAACACGCATGCCAGCTTTGCTGCAACCCCTTTATTGCAGGCAGTGAGGTTCATGCTCATTAAGGGCCGCGTAACGGATGCCATCTTCTCCGAGAGAACAAAAGCTGTCGTGGATTTCTTCTTTGACCCTTCTCTTGCGAGAAACCTGAATTCGCCTCCATCAGAGTTTGTCATCTACAAATATCCAGCAGCACGTCTCAAAGTTGCCATTGTGGGGGGTGGCCCGACTGCGCTAGCGTCAGCCATTTCGCTGGCGGAGAAGGGCGCAGGAAAGGTCGAAGTTCACGTGTATGAGAGACGTTGGGTGAAGAGAGTCAGCCCAGGTGGTCACCACTTTGTCGAATATCCCTCTCATGCGAAGCGACGGGATCAAGTTGTTACTTTGCAGGATTCAGTCACCTCCCTTCTGACCGCTCCAACTTACGAGGCGCTTTTCGGAGGGCGTCCCGAACCAGTTTGGCCCGGTTCTGCAAACATTCAGATTCGAAAAGTCGAGGACCGGCTGTTGGGGCGCTGCCAGGCGTCGGAATTCCATGGTCTGATCCATCTTCACGCCGAAGGAGTGTCAAGGGAGACACTTGCCCAGGTCGGAGACTTTCATGTCCTGCTTGGGGCAGACGGCGCGGCCTCGTGGGTCCGCAAGTCCTACTTCCACGGCTACGAGAAGGAGAGAGGTAAAAGTTTCGCGCTTGGTTTGGCCTTCGACCGACCAGCAGGACTACCATGGTCTCAACCCCTGAACATGTTCTTAACCCTCGGCCAGACGAGATATCTCCTGAACGCCAGTGACTTTGACGGAAAGGGATATCTCAACATGCAGCTCACCGAGGATGAATGGCACAGAATGACTTCGGTTGACGGTCAGCCCGTCACGTTTGGCCATCCGGGATGTTTGCGGCGGGCTGATGGCACCGTCCCTGACGGGTTTGATGAAAGCCAAGTCTTTGCGCCATCAGAAGACCGTGATAGCGCGTTGTGGAAGTCTATTGAAGACGGTCTGAAGCTTTTCGGCTTTAAAGAAAGTGAAGTCATCAACGTTGTACGGATCCCAATTGTCGTTCAGGCTGTCCGAGAGGGCGTCCAAACTCTTCCGCCTCAGGATTTGGTTGGTGTGCGGCGCCCACACGCTTTGGTGGCAGTAGCAGGGGACGCCGCCATGACAGTACACTTTTGGCCCGGAAGAGGGCTGAATAGTGGCATCAAGTCCGGAATCGCTCTCGGTGATGAGATTGTTACCGCTCTGAACGACGGGCGGTTCATCGGCCTTCCCCTGGACGCTATGAAGGAATATAATGACTTTATCCTGAAACTCCAGGATCGGGAGCATGATAAGCGTAGCATTCCTATCTTAAATCAGTCAGGGTCACCCGAGATGTTAGGTTGGCTGTTAGGCAAGGCGAATACAGTACCGGACAATGTGAGTAGTCCCATGCTTTTAAGGGCCTTCATCCAAACATAGACTAATATACACGCATTAGGTTGCTATAGAGTGGCTCATTGGCGCAATGACCCAGATCTCTGACCGTCTCCAGAAGCGTGCTGACTGGCCCTTCGAATACGAGGCAAATATTGAGCCGCAGTTACGCATTGTTCTGCGGCAGCTCGACTCGGTCACCCTTAAAGAGATGGCCGTAAGCTTCCCCTGGCCAACCCGAGAAATGGCTGGAGCAGAAGTTCTTCCCATCCGCGCTGTGAAGCCAGAGGAAAAGTCACGATGGCTTACTCAACTTTTCAATCTGTTGCGGGAGGAGCAGACCAAAGAGAAACTGCCCCTAAGATCGCCACCGTTATCACCATCCTCTGCCTGTTTTGAGGCACCTCGGCCGCGAACAACTTCCCCTAATCCAAAGGGGCCAGCCTTGCGCCGAAGCAATGGGACGAGGTCTTCACCGCCTGCTAGGTTCAGCCGGATCCTTACGGCGCCAGATACTAAAGGAACCTTGGGACGCCCACCCTCGCCACCCTACGATGTCCCTCTGGGGAGAGTGCTCAGCGTCAATCAACGACCAGGCCGTGTGGTCTTGGCCGAGGCTATGTCTCTGGCTCTTTTCAGAGTTGAAGAGATATGAAGCAATTGTTGAAACTCCGGTAGCAGAATCCCCGCATCAGTTACTTGTATACAGGATCATATTAAATAGAACATGCGGCACATACAGTCGTGATTAGTATCTAAAATTATTGCGTAATCCGAATGTTAACTGGGCAAGTGATGGAACTGAGAACTCGTATCGCCTATGTTTGGGTTCAAATTGACTCATGCTCGACCAACCCTTTCCACAATGAGGTTGTTCTCCTACCATTGCGTTTACGATAAATACAGCTCAACTTGTCCTTGTCATTGGTCGGTGGCCATCATCAGAGTTGCGTCAACTATCAAGTCAACAGCTGCTGTTGTTGTAACGAAATGATGAGTGCAGAGCATGCAGACGTTTTGTGTTGTTATTCTTCGACTCAGCAAATATCATTTAATACGAATTCTGTGTATGACTTAAAAGCTATTACTCAAGATGTACCCCGGAAGGCGTCCCCGATGTTAGGTGATTGTATCCGTCCTTCACACCGGATAAGGGCTTCGCAGAATGGTCGAGGTTGGATGAGAGATTTCCAGTCAGCACACCCGTACTGGCAGAAAGTCCTTCATTTCCATGCTTTACCCCGGACAGTGTCCCATCTGAAAGGGTATTGTATGGCTGATCTGGCTGATTCGCCGACGAAGCGCTCGTTAACGCAGAAATGTCCACGCCAGCAGAACGTGACCCGGACGCCCCAGACGCGACGTTGTCCGACGAGTGTTCAGGAATATATTCGGTTGCAGCAGTGGGATGCTGGTCCGACCTGCCAGAGTCCAGGAGACTGCTCTGATTAGGCTGCTGAGCGAGCCCGTGATTTGGCGCAGTCTCATGGTGCTGTTCTTGTTTGGCCAACTTAGATGCACCATATCCTGCTCCGGCGACGGCCCCAGCTCCTCCAACAATAGTAGCACTCCGGTTGAATGACGAATCATCTTTGCCAGGCTGAGATGCAGTGATACCAGACGCAGCAGCGTTTCCAGGTTGATAAGGAACTGATGTTGATGCTGAACTGTACGAGGAAGAAGTCTGGGTAGATATAGTAGACTCGCTGGGTACGGTAGTGGATTGAGCAACTCCGCCAATTGGTGACTCATGGACATGGGTCGTCTCATTAGATAATTTCTTTTTCATTTGGCGCGATTCTTCTTCGTGGCCTTCTTGTTTCTTGCGATGTAAGAATGCTAGGAACTTGCTGTCATGATTATCCTCTTTTGCTGTCTTCGCTTCAGGTTGATGTGATTGCTGGGCCTGGTTAGAGTAAGACTGAGCTGCGTCTCCCGGTTGTTTTTCATGACGCAAGGTTCCAAACAGCTTGGTATGATCTTTCGGATCCCTGGCAGGCTCGTACTTGGATTCGGTGGCAGTGTTCGCTTTGCCGTGTGTCTCGGAACCTGGAAAGTCTTGCTCTTTGTGATTCTCATATTGTTCGCCAGCTCCATATGCAACAGCACCGGCGCCCAAGATACCGGCCGTTTCAGCAGTCCGATAGTCTCTAGACGATTGTTGCGAACGTTGATCATTCGAGTCTGTGGTCAATACGCCAACGCCCGAGGGGACTATCTGCTGTGTTCCTGACTTGTGATGAAGTTGTTGGTGTTCGGCTTGATCACGGTCACTACCGTGACCGGTGACGGTATTGTAGACACCAGCCCCGTGGGCTAAGTTATCCTCTGATGCCAGGGTTTGTGATACCCTTTCGTATTCGTCCGGCTTGGGGATCACTCTGTGCTGTTTAGTGGTATCTTCTGCGCTACCATGACCAGTGACTGTATTATAGGTGCCAACACCCTGAGGAAGGTCTCCCCAATATGGCTCCTCTGCTTGAGTGACCGACTTTCCTCTACCATTTGCGACCTTGTTATAAGACTCATGGACTTCGCGTAAGCCGGATTCTGCCCTGGGAATACCTGTAGTAGTAGATGCCCCTGCGTCGTTGCCACCATAGTCACTCGTCGCAACACCTCCAAGGCCGGTCTGAGCCGTCTTCTGTCCTGATCTATCATTGGAAATGTCCTTGCGATGGAGGCTACCAGCGCCTGCATCACTTCTTCTAGTTCCAATTATGCTAGGCGATTCTACAGAACCAGAATGAGACTCTTTTTGACTGCCGGTCAGATACGCACCTTGTGTAGAATCCTGGGAATCTTCATGATGTGACTTGGAAGAGTCACGTTTCAGTTCAATCCCAGAATCTTTGTAGTCATGGCCAAGGTACCCTTTGTGTGATGCGCCGAGCGCCGTAAAGTCATGCCCTCTGGGATCGTCCTTTTTATGCAACTTGTTATGCTGCGAGCCAGAGTCGTATATCGAATCCTGCCTAGTACCTCCTAGGTCAGTGTGACCTGAGGAGGGCACCGGCTTCTCGCCAATTCGTGGTTGATCGACACCACTTTGTACGCCGGCGGAAGTAGGAGGCTCGTCAACCGGGAAAGACCCGGGGGTTCGATGATCAACTACGCCCCGCTCAGCTTCCGGCGAGTGGTCACTTCCGAAGGCGTTCTTGATCTTGTCACTCAGACTCATCGTGAAAGTAGTGTAATCGGGTTGATGAAGTGTGAGATGAGAGGCTATGTTGCCATAATTGAAAGCACACTTTACGGTGGTCAACAATTGAAATAGTAGTATATATATGTAGAGTCACGATGGAGGGGGTTCCTTGGCAAAGGTCCAAAAATGATCAAAGCAAACTACTGTCCTATGTCGTCAGAAGCGGCGCCTTAGCAGTGAGACAACATGATGTGACATCAGAATGTCAAGCCACGATCGCTGCGCTGTCCAGTGAACTCTGATCCTGGGACTGTGTGTAGCGTGATCGTAAGCGGCAGACAGTCGAACAAGAATACGCCGCCCCTTTAGCAGGCTTTTGCGTAATCGACATACTCTGGATGCCCTTCTATTTCGTCACTGGAGTTCCAGTCAAGCGCATCGAAGTCGCACTAGTGTGCTTAGGCATTGCTCTGGGGGCGCTAGAAGGGGTTCCCATTCCTGGATGTCAAGTGCGTCAGTGGTGAGGGCTAGCGTCGATGTTGCACACTACAGCTCGGCAACGCGAGAACATAGTATGGTCAACCACCCCTTTTAGTGCCAAACGTGCATTGGCAGCACTTGGCGTGACTTGTTCAAGGCCAATAAGTCGTGGAGGCGGAAGCCAGCGTGACTTTCGCTGCATAATCACTAGGTTATTGCTACATCCCGCCAATAATCATCCAACATCTCTGCGGACGTACTCTTGCAATTACGGACCACTCACTACCCTTGCCTTTTTAAACCACGATGGGCGTGCTACTTCCTCTTCCACCTCCTCTCGTACTCGATGGAGAGGCGTGCTCATGTACAGCCGCCTGACACAGCCGGAATTGTACCACCAGCTCGAAATCAGGCATAGTACTCAGTACTTCTTGCACCCATGGATGTTCATGATCGTACTGGGACTGGCTCATGTGTGGACCTCGCATATTGAATATGCTCTTCAGCCCAGTATGTGATGCCATGGGCGACGTTGGCGGCAGGCTTAGCCAATGCACATCTACCCACGTGTCTCTCAACCTTATAAGCATACTTTTCGCTCGACTTTCAAACCCTGAGGGATCCGCCAGTGAGCATAGCTGCTGGTGAGTATTGACATCGCAGCCCATGGCGTACTTCTCGTAAAATCCTCTGAACATTCTGATTCTCGCATGGTCTTGAGCACTTGAACACTTGGAGTCAGTAACTTTCTCGCGACGTCTGTTTGCATTGTAGATGTTGAGACACTGTTCTCCGAAGTTTGACACTCGTCGAGACCGATAGAGAGTGAACCCGATTGTACACACCTAACAAGTGCAACATGGTCACTCCTTGGGAAGAGTGACGGAGGAATGTCAACCCCAGCAGCGACATGTATAACAAGCGTGGTTTCAAAGAAAAGAAATCTTTCCAGCCTCGGGCAGAGACTTTGATCTGTCAAATCGTTTACAATCACTCTCGGAGCCTGCTGCAAGGCGGTCAAGGATAGACACACTGTCTCGATGGTGCTACTGAACGAGCTTAGGTCCATGATCCTCAAAGGACGCGGTGGCCGGTGCAGGCCTTGTCTAGATGTTCTCCCAGGCGACTCAGAGTAGGGCTCATACGCCCATGAGTTGATGCAGAGAACATCTCGTTCCGGATCGAACCATGTCCAACGCCCATGAAGGTTGGGGTTGGAGTTCATTGCCTTGATCGGGTAGGCCTTGCCAACACTGTCTTGCTTCATGACCGCGCGTGCCTCCTGGCAAGCGAATGCCATTCCTGGCGGCGGTAAAGATCTGCATGTCTCGTCTTTCTGGCAGATGGACGGCCCGAGTAACGCAGCACGTTGCTCCTTGGACGGGCCGAGTGAAGGTGGGCTCAATGGTTCGACCAGAAGTATGCGGCCTGGTAGTGCGTACGACCAGATCATGGTCCGAATCTCCGCTGGTAGTCTGGAGAAGCATGTGAATTGTAAGGCCGATTGGGCTGGTAAATTGGATTCACCCCAAATCATGTTGTGACGATGTGTTGTTTTAATAGGACATTCGTGGATGACAGAAAAGTACACACGTGATATGCTTGGAGCATTGGGACAGGCGAAACATTGTTCGAAAACGACATTCTCTCAAACGCGAGGCAACTATATGTAGAGCAAGAATAAGGCGGATAGTGTGGGGGTATGGCGAATCCCTGCAGACCAGGGTGTGATGGGTGTGCGCGTACAAGGCTAATGGACTGTTTAGGTAATCATTCCACGGGTACGGCAGCTTTGTACTTGCAAATACAAGGATTTCAAATATTTGTTGGTTTCCTGCTACATTTGGCGAATGTAAGATGCTCTACGGTTCACCTGGGCAGTATTTGGATGCTGCTAGGACGACTACACGGACACCCACAAGGAGGCAACTCCGTGGTTCGCGCACCTCAGGCAGCAACAGATCTCCTTAGTTCATTTCGCATTGCCAAAAAGTGCCTCATCTTAATCAAATGGGAATAGCATTCGTTGAAGCTGAAGAGACAAATCATCGTACCTTCTGTTTTACAGGCCTCACCGCTCCAAATCATGGGAACGATCCCATGATATCCACGCCACTGACAACCAGTAGTTTTGTGTATTCGTCGCCCTTGATTACCATGTTGTCTTCGTAGACTCGGTTAATACCGTTCAGGGTACTTCCCGGAAAGATGTATTTCTCGAAAAAATCCTCCTTGGCATCGGCTGTACGTGCGTACGCAATGAGCGACGACATTGATGACATGCTAATGCCCATCCAGAACTTCGCGTTGACGAGAACCTCATACTCTACTATGCCCTTCTGATCGAAACCCAACGACTCAACAGTTGCCAGCTTCTCGGATTGCGACGCCAACAAAGTCCACTTATCGTGCACCAGGTAGTTCAGAGGCTCAAGCATCTCCCGGAATGTCTGGATAGCCTTGCGGTCACCGCAGCTCACGTAGACGCTTCTCACCTTATCCGGCGTGCTTCCTCGGATATCCTCAATGGCCTCAACGTAACGGCGCATCTGGTCCGTGGCGGAGCCGAAGCCAGCTGGCCAGTCGCCCTCACCACGAAGGTGCACACCAATGAAGTTCTCCTTCTTCAGCTCTGGGCTTTTCAAGATTTCCTGTCCCAATGCCAGGAGCGTAGAGTTGTACTTGAGAGTTTTAAAGAGATCCTTGCGGATTGAGGCCGTTTCTTCACTGCGGGCGTAGTCCCAGGCTATGTACGTGTCTCCGAACTCGATGATAACCGGCTTCTTTGCGCTAATGTTGCCTTGCTGAATATTGTTACTTTTCAAAGTCGACTCCGCCAGTGCCCGAAAGGTACCGTTGGTATGTCCTCCCGCTAAGTAGTGCCTATAGTCAGGTTGCAATCGTGTCGCGCTGGCCAATTTGGTGTCGCAGAACTGCGTTTTCAGGTGCGGGCATTGAGTTTTCAGAGTGACTTGGAGCTTCTCAGTATCCCACCACTCATCTGGGCAGACCGCATGGTCGTTCGTATTCAAGAGGTCGTCTTCTGCTCTCGCAGTCACTGCCGGGATGATAACGCTCGCGCCGGCATCGATCGCCAGACGGAGACAGGTCTGGATTCTGTTTCGCGCGTTGGTCAAACCTCCGCAAAAGGAAGTCTTGTCATCACCGCACTGGCTGTGGCAGTGAAGCCAAAAACCCTCGGTCCATTTAGTCGCCCGACATAGCTCCGACAGTCCGGATGAGTAGATTGATTCATCTAGCACATCGTGAGTCACGCCGGAAGCTTGCGTAGGAATGCCTTCCTCGGGGGGCACTATTTCGGTAGATTTGAATGGAGATTCAGAATGAAGGTTTGGGAGGGGAATCTTGTCGGAGATCGACGGAGTTGCCGTCGTTTCATGTTCATCTTGTTCGGGCTCTGGTTGGCCTGCAGTTTCGGGAGAAGAGTAGTAGTAGATCACCTTCGATCCTACTTCGTGAAGCTTGCCCGCTGCCTCGGACAATGCTTCTCGTGAACGCGCATGTCTCGTCAAAAAGAGCGCGACAGATCCTAGCAACAGAGCCAGGAATACGTAGTTGACCGCTCGGCGTGAGGCAGGCATGGTTCAAAAGTTGATGACTTTGGAACACAAAATCCAGGATTGCCAGATCGCGAATAATAAAAAGACCGCCCTTCGCGTTGCTACCCCTGAGACACCAGAGATGACACGGTACAATGTCTCAGCCATGGTGCGAGGTGGCTTCGCAGAGATCCGCCACCAAGAAGCAGGAATGGTCAAGATTGAAGCGCAAAATGTTGAAAAAGCAAATGCTCTCTATGGAACATATTACTAGTCTGGGCTGGAATGTGTTTTGAACTTGGAGGTACAACCTTCTCACTATCAAGAAAATCTTTTTGGGGCGCTTGCACCGTGCTTCTGGATACGATGGGCAAGAACAGCATGAGGTTGTGGTCGATGATCATCTATAGGTGGAATGTTGTTCCAGTAAGGTATTTAGCGGATAGCCCATTTCAAGCAGCCAAAAATGCAGGTTGGCGTTTTGTGCATACTAATAATTGAGCAGTATACTTACGCCGTCTGTATCTGATTTTACTCCTATGGTGCTGGGGGATGGCTCCTTAGGAAAACGATCAAGTCTGCACAACTCATTGCTTAATCTTGCCGTGAATTTAGTGCCTATGCCCGAACAAATGGACCTTGCGTGATCCTACCTATCTCTATCTTTATAGTCGAGTTCACGCAGAGTATGTGAGATACTTACTCTGTTTTAATTTGTAAATGGGCCTAGAACGGTTATATCACGTTCGTGGAGTAGTATCAAAAGAACCAACGTGGTCTCACGTCTGGCCAGGCGAATTCCGAATTTGTGCTGCATGGGTTGCATTTGCCGTGCCAAGTCCACAAACTGAACCATTTGAATACCAACGGTACTCTATAGTAGACCGCGGCAAAAGCAGTTGTCTGTGAAGAACTAAAAACAGTGAACGCTCTAGTAGCAAGCTTTCTGAGCTTCAGAGCACATGCTAAAGTTCATCAGAGGCTGAATGGACCTAAAAGTTGAATTTGCTGCACAACACCATACAACCCCCTTCTATGCACTTTTCCCGCGTGTCCATACGAGTGCTTGCAGCTAGAACTGGGTTCCTGCGACCTGTTTAGATATCGAGCCTCAACATTGCACTCCGTACCCCTAATGTGAACTGGCCTCCAGTGGCGATCATGGGAAGGATTACGAGGTTCTATTTTCCTAAAAAAGAAAGACTGCGCCAGTTTCAACAAATGGAAGGTTCTTTCAGAGCCGAATCATCAAGAATACGACGCTTTCGCCTCAGGGATTTCGGCTGCATCGAGACTCCCAAAACCCCTTGATTTCTTTTGGGGGATCCTTTTTTTTTTCAGCGATACAACAGCAGTTGCTTCTCTAGCATCTCAGTATTTGAAACCCAAGATTGCTTGCGCCAGTGTGTATCTTCATCACGCCTCTTTTACCTTTCAGCCGGAGCTGTTCCAATCATACCGAGTCGCCTCAATACTTCAAGAAATGTGGCGCAGAGCGTGATGATCAATTGAAACACTTTTTGTTTTGAATGCGCCGAAGGGAAGTGCCTATAGAGCACTGTACTGACTCTTAAACTCATGAGCGTGGATAGGTAGAAGTGTGACTTGAATTAAGAAGTCTAATCAATTAATATGTAACTCCTAGCAACAATCTACCTAAAATGTCTACTCTACCTGAAATCACAGTGTGGCAAGCTTTGAGATATACAGAGACCACGGAAATTACGTGAGATATACAATGAAGCGGTACATCCCGAAGATATCTCTTGGTTGTCCTCAAGTGAGACTCTAGAAGCTCTTGCCCTCGTCTCGTCCTTCTTCGTCGTTGATTCCAAGACCATTCCTGATAGGCTTCTCTGCCTCAATAATTCGCTTCGGTAGAGCATAGGGCAATCCAAAGAACACGAAAAAGGCCCACTTCCAACGCAATGGGTTGATGGCTACACAGAATGTGAACCACCAAATTAGCTCGAGATAAGTGAAGAAGTCAAAAGCGCCAGTTGGTGCGGCGGCTTTCAGCACCTTGGTCATGTCTATCCAGCGCTCCATCCAGAAAGGACGAGGTCGTGTAAGTGGGTCAACCAGAAACATCAGCAGGATACGCGTGTAGATGCCGATATGCCAGTTGCCCACCGTCCCTATGGCACTCAGGTACGTGCAATTGATGGCAGACACGGAGGGATGCGATGTAGGAAAGGTTTGCAAGTACCAGTTGGGCGGCCCATACGGTTCGTCGAAGCAGTCGTTGGGTAGAAAATCGAGCGATGGTCTTTTGTACCCTGTCGCCATGACCACGATATCTCCCTCGAGGACCTTGGACTTCCCGGGACCTCCGGGGGGTACGCCCTTGTCCCTCTTGTTTACCACGATGCCCTTGTCTGTAAAGTCTTCAATGTCACATCGGACCCATTCCACTTCTCCGCTGCGCAGCTTGTCCATGACATCGGAGTTGACCATGGGAGTATCGGTGAAGATGCCCTTATCCCTGGGTGCCAGATCCTGTAGGTCGCGGTAGAAGAACTTGCGCAGCAGGCCCTCCGGGATCCATGACAACGGAGTCTCTTGGCCCCAGATGTTGAGTGAGAGGAGAACGTTGATGATTGGGTTGCGGGGAATAATCCACTTGTCAGAACGTGAGAGGATGTACGTCTTCTTGCAACCTTTGGCAGAGGCGAACTCAAGAGCTTCGACGGCAGAGGCTCCGCCGCCAATTACGAGCATCGTCTTGTCTCTGACATCCTTACTGTGGAGGTGTTAGTACATATCTGGGTGATTCAGTCATACCAAAAGACAGGCGCACGTACCCTGTAAGCTGACTTGAGTGATACACCTCTCCCTTGTACTTGTCCATGCCGTCCATGGATGGCATCTTCGGGTCACCACAGGTCCCGACAGCAGCAATGAGACCCTCGAAGCTGCCATTAGAGGGATCATTCAAGATCCAGCGACCTTTCTCATCTTGGTAAACCTTGTCGATCTTTTTGTTGAACCTCGTTCGTGCATCAAGACCATACCGTTCCCAGAGCTGTTTGACCTGACTGATGATCTGTTGTCTGTCGGGATACCCGCCCTCCCACTTGACTGAAGGATGAAAACGGTACATCAACGAATGGATCTGGAGGCTCGAGGTATCGTTGACTTTCTGTTGCAGACGGGGGAGTCAGCTACGGCCATCAGGTACATCCCAGCTTGGCGGACTGCCACTACTTACACTCCATATGCCTCCCAGGGACTTCTTATCGCCGGCCTCAAAGATAACGACGTCGAAGCCATGCCCAACGCAATGGGCCGCAGAGGTAACACCCGTGATACCTGCACCAATGATGGCTATCTTCGGACGACTGAGCTGAGTGCCAGGTGGCGGAGGATCAGGCGACATGATCAGGCCAATAGCCCATTGCATCAATTGGTAGATGAATACGAAGGGGTGAAATAGAGGGCTCTCCATTTTCGTCTCGGATGGCATCTTGGCGGTAAAAGAACAGTATAAATAAATGGACAAGAACAGGCAACTGGTCAATGTTTGACCACAATCAATCATCAACAGACAGCCGAACAAATACAGCACCGAGGTAGCACAAAGCGATATCCGCAAAGTCTCTGGGTGAGCGGTCGCTCTAGAAGAAATGGTTTATTTGAGTATGTACGGTGCTTTGCGGACCTCGGCGTCCATGGTTCAATGGTCGGCGGGTTTCTGAGGAGCTCGTCGAGTTTCACTTGGAGAATCCCTGTCGGTGACGTTGATGATCGCCAAGAACCAGGCACCACCACACAGAGCATGTGAATATTGTGTGCACGAGCCACTCGGGTATCAACTTGACTCCACCCACCGGCTCACGGGGACGGCCGATGCGGCCGGAGTCTACAAATCTAGGCTTGCGGTTTGGGTTGTATAACTCAACTCCGTGATCTGGGATATGAATCCATGACAGCCTTGCAATGAGTGATTGAGACAGTGTACGTTGGACGAGATGAATAGAGTCCGATCTACGACGCAAACTACGGCTGCTCGCCCCGAGTGCCAGAAACCCGCACAAAGCCGAAAAATGTTTGACCAATAATGGCAGTAGTACATAGACGGGAAAAAAGCTGCTCATCCAAAGACCGCTCGCATGTTCCCGAGGGGGAAAGGGGGGCCATGGTCGCGGCGACCACAATATACCCAACAAGACCGGCCGTGGCACCGAGGACCGGCCAACACCGTTTACCGCTTGCCCCGGTCTCTCCTGCCGCCTTCCATGACCTTGAGACGCTTCTGGAACCTGTCGCCAATCTCCCTCGTGCCGCTGTTGAAACCACTGCCCCTGGCGCTGTCGGCTGTGTCGCGACCTCGCTTGCGGCTCTTCTCTAGCAGCGCCTTGGTGCCGCCGCTTGCACCATCCCTGCGCTTGGTCAACCTCTCGATGCGATCGGCCCCCTCGCCCAGGTCACGCCAGTCCTCGCCGCCGAACTGCATCTTGGCAGTCCTTCCCTCGATCTTGTTGCGCTTGGCCCGGTCCTTCTTGCTCTCCTTGGGCAGGCGCACAAAGTTGGTCTCTTCGTAGTTGCGGCGTTGGTCCTCTTCGGCGCGCTCGCCGGCCGTCTTGACCTTGCGGCCACCGGCGACAATGGTGGTGCCAACGCTGGGCTCGGCGATGGGCGCGGCCGAGAGCTCATTGGAGATATACTCATCCATGGTGGCAGACTTCATGGGCCGGCGATCGCGGGGCTCGCGGCGCTCCGTCGTGGGCATAACAGTGGCGGCAAACCGGGGAGGTCGGTAGACGCCCGTCTTGTCCTTGGCCGCGGCTGCCATGCCGATGGCCTCTGGTCCTTGGAGGAACTTGAATCCGGGGCCGGCCTGTCTACTGGAGGGGTCTCTGGGCTTGACCATAGATTCGGCAGCGGCGGTGTCGTCGTCGTCGGACTCGGCGTCGGATCCTGAGTCGGAGCCTGCCCCGTGGTGGGCGGCGACAGGCCCGCCGTTGGCCTGTTGCATCTGGGCGCTGCGTTCGGCATCGTCGGCAGTGCGCAGGATCTTGTCGAGCTGGAAGCGCAGCTTGTCCTCGAGGGGACGGACACCCTTTTCCAGGTACAGCCTCAGTTCGACCAGCTTCTCGACGACGGTGCTGGACAGGTCGGAGTCGACGGGGTCATTGTCCGAGGTCTTGGCGTTGCGGATCTTGAGGAGGATGAGGAAGGCCAGGTTCTGCAGGTAGGACAAGAGCAGCTCGTTTTTGACGTCCAGCAGCGAGACGCCGTCCTGCTGTGGCTCGACGCCGGCAAGCTTGGGTGTCGCTTCAGCGGCTGAGTCCAGCGACTGGGTGAGGGAGTCGAGGAGCGCTGGTAGCGACGTTGCGGCGGCCATCTTGCGTGCTGGTTCCGTCGCGGTGGAAGAAGAAGAACAAGAACAAGAAGAAGAAGACTTTGCTTGTCGATGCTGGAGGAGCACGGCTGGGAGAAGAGGCCAGTCGCGGTGGGCACTCTGCTGTGCAGTCTTCCAATTGTCTTGTCTGCCCGCCAGAAACTTTTTTTCTCCCTTCTCTCTACATCCTGGGTCCGATAGCGATAAGGCTCTAGGGGCTCCAATTGCATGCTGGGAGCGGGGGCTGATTGGCTGACGGCGCGAACACACTTGAGACGGCGGCCCCCCTGGCTCCTCTACCACAGTAGGTACCAGCGAAAATCTGGCGCTGCAGCATGCTGTGAACCCCCCGGCAATGAACACGGCCCCCTGGCCCCCTGGCCACCTTGGCCCTTGGCCCTTGGCGGCCTGCGTGGCTCGCTAAAGCCACTAAGGTACCTTGGCGTGGACGGGTGCGCGGCGGTGATGTGGCATCCAACAACATTTCAACGCCCTAGGCTGGTGCCAAGTGCTACCACACGGGAGAGCTCCTGAAATTCGTCCAGCCTGCATCGTCCAGCGTCCAGCGTCCAGCATCAGCTCTCAGCTTCCACCGAGCAGACATCTCAAGAGCCCCAAAGACCCTCTGCCCACGACGACGACGCAGCCGTGTCCCCATAACATCCGTACTCTCAACCCCCTTTCGAGAGCGAGCCTCGGCGGATACAGCCCTACGCCGACAGTTGTCCTATCCCATCACCCCCTTCATCGTCCTCCTGCTCGTGACTGGACTTGTGCAAATACGTAAGTCGCCAGCTCCACCACGCGGCCCTCCAGAGCCTCCCTGGACTCATCCAGGCGCAACTCTGTTCTCCTTTCCTGTGCCTGCTCTGCCCTGCTCTGGGACGGCCGCATGCCGCGCGTATACTGCCTTGCGTGTGCCCACGCTGACCCTGGAACCTGCTCCCAAGCGATATCTCGTGAACGTCATCCACCCCATCCGCCGGGAAGCGCCCTCCCGCGGCCATGAAGAGTCTTCTCGGTGCGCCCTCGCCGGCGCTGCTCGCTGCCCTTCTCGCGATCCCACAAACCGCCTCGGCCTTCTACCTGCCGGGCGTTGCGCCGACGTCCTACAAACCCGGCGACAACGTGCCACTCTTCGTCAACAGCGTCAAGCCCGCAGCTGCGTCGCAAGATGCCCTCCTGCACTCCGTCATGTCCTATGACTACTACCATGACCGCTTCCACTTCTGCAAGCCCAAGGACCCCAATGGCCCCAAGTACGTCTCCGAGAGCCTGGGCAGCATCCTGTTCGGCGACCGTATCATGACGTCCCCCTTCGAGCTGCACATGGCCAAGAACGAGACGTGTAAGCCGCTGTGCGAGGCCGACTATGAGAGGACGTCGGCCCACTTCGTCAACAAGCGCATCATGCAGGGCTACGCCCTCAACTGGCTGGTCGATGGCCTGCCCGCCGGCCAGCAGTCCATCGACGCTGCCACCCAGACCCCCTACGAGAGCCAGGGCTTCCAGTTGGGCTCCGTCGATCCTACCGCCCAGGATCCCAAGCCCAACTTCAACAACCATTACGACATCAGCATCGAGTACCACGAGGTCGGCAGCAACCCGAACCAGCTCAGGGTCGTGGGCGTCACCGTCGACCCCTGGTCGTGGGACTACGCCGGCGGGAACCCCGACTGCACCGACAACCACGCGCCCGTCATCCTGGCCGAGGACGGCAAGACCAAGGTCCAGTTCACCTACAGCGTCTACTGGACCAAGTCGCCGACCGCCTGGGCCACCCGCTGGGACAAGTACCTGCAGGTCTTCGACCCCAAGATCCACTGGTTCTCGCTCGTCAACTCCGCCGTCATCGTCGTCTTCCTCGTCGTGACCGTGGCCTCAGTCCTTTTCCGAGCCCTGAGGAAGGACATCACCAGGTACAACCGCCTAGACCAGATCAACCTCGACGACCTCTCCGGCACCTCAGCCCTCGAGGATGGCGTCCAGGAGGACTCGGGCTGGAAGCTGGTGCACGGTGATGTCTTCCGCACACCCTCCCATCCCCTCCTGCTCTCCGTCTTTCTCGGCAGCGGCGCCCAGCTTTTCGTCATGACCGGCTTCACCATCTGCTTCGCTCTCCTCGGCTTCTTGTCGCCCTCGAATCGCGGCTCTCTCGGAACCATGCTCGTCCTTCTCTTCACCGTCCTGGGCTTCGTCGGCGGCTACACCTCGGCCCGGGTCTACAAGTCGCTGAACGGCGAGAAGTGGAAGCTCAACATCGGCTTGACCCCTGTCCTCGTCCCCGGCATCGTGTTTGGCACCTTTTTCTTTCTCAACCTCTTCCTGTGGGCCAATGAGGCGGCCGGCGCCGTCCCTTTCACCACCATGCTGATCATCGTCGGTATCTGGTTCCTCATCTCCGTCCCCCTGTCGTTTGCCGGCTCCTGGTTCGGCTTCCGTGCCACGCCCGTCGAGCCTCCTGTCCGCACCAACCAGATCCCCCGCCAGATCCCCCCGGCTACGACCTACTTGAAGCCTATCCCCAGTATGCTCCTCGTCGGCATCCCGGCATTTGGTGCCATCTTCGTCGAGCTCTTCTTCATCCTCAGGTCCATCTGGTTCAGCAGGATCTACTACATGTTCGGCTTCCTCTTCCTCTGCTACGGCCTCATGATCATCACCTGTGCGGCAGTAACCGTGCTGATGGTCTACTTCCTGCTCTGCTCAGAGAACTACCACTGGCAGTGGCGTTCGTTCCTGGCCGCCGGCATGACCGCTGGCTACGTCTTTCTCTATGCCCTGATCTATCTGGTCAGCAAGCTCTCCCTTGGCGGACTGTCGGGTACCGTGCTGTACATTGGCTACAGTGCTCTCCTGTCGTTCCTCTTCTTCATCCTGACAGGTAAGTTGTTCTGCCCTTGCTTCATGCACCTCGCAGTGCTGGTCACTAACCTCGCACAGGCTCGATCGGCTTCTTCTCGAGTTGGTGGTTTGTCCAGAAGATATATGCCTCTATCAAGATCGATTAAGAGACAAAACACGAGCAAAATCTTGGCCCGTATTCGGCATGGGCCAGACTGTGCTCACACATGTATAAATGTACTTCTGATGTGTAGAATTGTTATGACTTTTCATGATGCATAGCGGAATGCGTTCGTCTTGCGTAGATAAATGATTTGCTATCCTAAGCAATTAATGCCATGAGCTTGACAAGAGCACCCCAAATAGAAACCGTGATATTAGCTTCTTCACTCCTACAAACTTCTGCCAATTGACCTCCATGATCGTGAAGACTAAAGTCATTGCCAAATGGCTCGGGTCAAAACCTTGAGACGCTTTCGATTCCTTCCATCTCCAAGAAAACCTCACGTAAGCTGTTGGGTGGCAGCATTCGTATGTGGAAGTTTCCCTCCACCTCCACCGCCCGCACAGGTTACTGTTCAATCTTTCTCATTCTGCGAACCAGCCTGCTGTAAATAAAGCTGTAGCTGTCCTGGTACCAGGCATAGGCAGGCTGCCCGGCGCGTGCTTGCAGTGCACCTCAAATCGAAAATGCCAGGTGGCTTGCGCGCCACACGATCTTTTTGTTGGCATCTACACAACTTGCCATACTCGAATAGCCCCACGACGCAAGCAATCTGGCGTCTTTCGTGCATAGCCCATACGACACAATATTCCGATGAGGGCCTCTGAATCATTATATCCATAGACGACAGGGAGTTGTTAAGAAGCGAAACCCGACCAGATCCCATCACTTCAACTCTTGGCTCTTACAACTTCCTTTTTTAATCAAGTTCCAGAATCACCAACGCTGAAGAAATCGCGCAATGGATTGTTTTAGACCCCCTCAACCCAGGGTAATTTCGATTGTGGTTTACATCGGGACCAGGATATTGGAGCGATCTTTCAAGCAGAAGGAGATTTTCGTAAGTTGAATTTTCCCCCAAATCCGCGGCCCGCGCCAGCTCCCGAAGGATCACGATGCTTCCTACCTTCTTCCATCCTTGAAATTCCAGGTCGGCGATGGTGTCGAGTAATTTCAATGCCTGAATTACCCTCTGGCAAAATATGACAACCCTGGAGCCAAGGTGTTTGAAAGAATCATCTACTATTTATGCATTACTTCCATGACCATGCCGCACCCATCCTTTTGTAACCTTAACACCTTCCTGCCACTGACAGACTGCTAAGCAACAAAACGCGCAGATAAAATCATTCAGAACTACAAAAGCCCCACCTCAGCGCTTCAAGAACACCAAGTCGGGTGGTACTGACGGCCACCACACGCCAACCATGCCGCCCCGCAACTATCCTGACGAGAGAGACGACTACGATGGTCAAAGCATCCTCACAATATCCAGGGAGGGTGGTTTCGACCGCGCAAGCATCTATCCCTCGACCGACGAGGACCCCGAGGTTACATTCGTACCAACCCCTACCGGAGCGGCCGACAGTCTTACAGAGGAGGATATCACCGCAGCCGGACACGGCATCTACGCCATGAACATCTACACGCGGAAGTGCAGTCCGGAGTATGTCGCCGACTATTTCCCCTTCAAGGATGTCGGCCACCAGCGGTTTGACGTTTGACCAAAGTATCTGGCATCCCGGCATGCAATGTTTCAGATCAACGAAGCTTGCCGCTAAAAGTTCATAAAGCAGCCGAGCAGCTCAGCGAGTAATACATCCACCGGCGTGATCATGGTAGAAGCTTTTTCAACTTGAGCACCTTTTGGGCCTTTGTCAAGCGGCTCGAACGAGATGAGGATGACAGCGAGCTCGACCGCACACACGACGATGTCCCCCGCGGAGCTCAAGCAACGCATCGTCTCATTGAAAATTGACGCGGAGCTCAGTCAGGAAAAAAAAAAAAAAAAAAAAAAAAAAACAGTTGCATGATATCAGTGTCTCAACCCTGGCCTGCCGACTTCTCACTGCCACTCCGAATCGTCCCCCGCCGCGTGAAAAGTCAACGGTAACCCACTGGGTTTCAGGATGGAATGTTGGAGCGGGGACATTCTGGCAGCTATCTACTACTTCAACAGACGACCTCAAGGAGGCAGAAAGTACGTGTTCAAGTTCATCAGACCTCACTTGGCTGGAAGTCCCCCGTCGTTCTGCGATAAGAAGATGCTGTCACTCAATGCCGACCAGGGCAAGGCAGTGGGCGTGATGGACAGAGCAGCCAGCGGCAGAAGCTCTCGACAGCGAGCCAAGTTAGTCCGCAAGATCGGAAGGCTCATGAATAAACTGGCCGCTGCTGTCAATCCCGCAGAGGCAGCAAACATAGAGGAGCAGAAAGACGACCTGACCGGAGAGGTAATTGGGTGCTTGGACTTCTCAGCAGCCAAAATGCCCATGTTGACAGAAGCTGACTGACATGGGCTCGTGGACACTATGATTCCCGACATGGAGATGGTGGATGTTCCACCCATCACAGGGCTTCCTACAGACCCTCTGCTGGTCGACGCTGTGGCCGCTGTGGCCGGGGCCGAAGAGGCCCGCAACAACGACAAATTGCGGCTCTAACGAAGTCAGCGCGGCCTGGTCAACCTTCAGAAGAGAGGTGCAACGGCGATGCATGAGGAGGACGAGGACGAAGACGAGAACAACGACCAGCCGAGACCGGACGACGATGTCGAGGCGAAGGCCTTACAGACGTACGCCGATCTCGTGGGTCTAACCTCTGGTGGATCCCAGTACAACTACACATCAATCGGTGACGCCGCCAGCGCTCTGGGCAAGGTTTGGGACAGAGCCCCGACATCACCCCAGTCTGGCAAGCACTACTTGTCGTTCCAACTGGTTGGTAAGTTAATGGAATAATATGTCTAACATCGAGCGGCAAGATAGAATGCTTTAGACCCATAGCGAACCGCTAAAACACCTGCCAACCTCGTTCAATGCAAACGTTCACGAGTCAACGCAAGCGTTGATATCTTTACAGAAGTCTGTCTTCCTAGCGAATGACTGCGGCACGGGCAAGACCGTCATATACCTGGGTACCGTTGACTGTTACGTCGAAAGCTTCAGGATCTGGAAGTTGAAGGGGATGAAATCACGTACAAGTCTGTACTTCTCATCACCTCTGGTCTAGTTGGCGAGATGTTCGCCAAGCTCAACGAGTTCTCCGGGGACGTCCTCTTCGGCTACAAGGTCTACGGCAACTCCAACGAGGAAAACGACCGAGTAGCAAATTCAAGGATCCTCAGTGTTCATGCCTTCAACAGAATCTACTGTAAACCTGACCCTGAAAAGCCACAGGTAAGTTATATGAGTCGATACAAGCCACGAATATTTTAATAACGCCCCAGAATAGACTGGCCGCACGGCATTCACAACTTCGTACCAGACATTCCTGTTACGCTTCTGCACCACACACAAGAAGTCCTACAGGGACTTGACCAAGGAGAAGAGGACAGAATTGGGACTCGATCCAGATAACTATGCTGATGATGACGGCAAACTCCTCGAGTGGTCGGATCTTGCAGGAAACTGGAGCTTCTCATTGCTCATTCTTGACGAGGTGCACAATATCAAAAACCCGGACAATTTGGCCCATGATATGATCGCCTACCTCAAGCGTGATGGCATCGTGCTGGTGTCGGCCACACCCGGAAGTCAACAATCCTCGCGACATTCTGGGTTACCTGCATCTGGGGTTCCCTCACATCAAAGCGCCGGAGACCCTCCCCCCCTCCCCCCCGGTTTCAATCTTCTCGACCTCTTCGTGTGCTCCAACGATTGGGAGGAGAAGGGCCTCAATCCCTTCAAGCCGATAAGTATGAAAAGCTCCACTGATGTTGATGTCAAGTCTGCGAAAGGCGAGTGGTGCCCGCCACTTCTCAAAGTCGACTGGAAGGCAAAAGACGAGGCCCGCCACGGAGCGTTTCTGAGAAACTTCACATACGGGGCATTTTCAAACCACCTGTGCAAACAGGCGGGAGGGGTCCAAAATGTAATTTCAACAGCTGTAAAGCTTTTATAGGCCTCATTATGCGTCAATGGATGCCGCGAAGGACCATGTTCACTGAAGCAAAGTATCCCAACGGCGAGGAACTCAAAGGCGCCGTCATCAAGACCATCCATGTCAAGCTCCCCGAGCGTCTTGCCAATAGCACGCGGATTGGTACTCATGCTTCGAGGATAGCCTCTACGTATCTAAAGCTAAGGACCCCAATCAGAAGAAGCCGGAGATGAGCGACTTCGATGCACCGTCGATGCGTATCGAAACAGTCACTTGGCGCATCCTCCAACTGATTGTCAACGACTTGCGCAATGTGCAGATGATCCGTCTTGCGGAGCGGAAGAGAGCAAACGAGGAACGAAAAGCTGCGAAGGAAGTCCGCGAGCTACCTCCTGAACAGGAGCCAGAGGATCCGGATTGGGACGACCCTACGCCCATAACACCGCCCAGGACGCGCCAGAACGGCCTCATGACCCGCCTAATCCAAAAGAGCGCGGCAGTGAAGGGTGCGGACAACCCGAAGGAGAATAAGGCCATAATGGGCGTCCAGAAGGTCGAGCAGCTGATTACGGCCGGTAACAACAGTATGCTGTCACACATTTTCCATATCAGCTGCCTTGACAAGGCAGAACCTCCCCCAGCGAGTCTGATAGGCTGGCTTAATTTCTTTCTTGCAAAAGCCCCCGCGGCTGCTGCCGTGGTCTTCCAAGCGGTGAAGGAGATTTGAGAACCTGAGAAAGACGGTCTTCCCAACTGTGTCTTCATTGTGGTAGATCCCCCCTGGGTACAACAGGTAGTATTACCCAAATGGCCCCCTCCCTCCTCTTTTCCTTCCCTCCCTTCTTATCTGTCCCCGGCTCCGTATTCTATTATACGCGTCCGCGCACCGCAGCAGCCTGCACTTCCATTGAATGTTGCTGACCGGTCACTAGGCATCTGTATGCCATGCTCCAGCTCGCAGGCGTCAAGGTCAATAGTTTGCACAGTTTCTATATTGAGTCGGAGCGAACAGGCATGACTAACAGATCTAGGTCAAATACTTGGGACATTCACGCCCTACTCACCAACATCTGCATCGGCTACCAAGGCTTCGACCTCCGAGACTGCTGCTGTAAAGGCATCCTGCTTGGTTGCACTTAGAATGCTCTCAAACTGAAGCAAATTATTGACAGAAACATCTGCCTCGGCCAGTCGCGACTGGTGGAGTGGCATCTGTACACGGTTGCAGGTACCATCTATGAGAGTACGAAGTTCTGATCTGGAAGAAGTACGCTCGTCAACTCGCTACAGAAAGCAGTATCAAGTCACTGACGGGTGAGATCGGAACACTTGTAATTTAGCAAGTCTTCCGTATCCGCTGCAACCAGCCGGCCAGCCGATATCTCAATGAGGTGCTCGGTCTAGGCCCTAGCGGCTTGCTCAACAACCCGACTCGAGCAGCAGCCAATGCATCCAGCCTCATTGCAAGATATGCGATTAACTGCCCAGAGCAGATGGGACCTCTGGGAAATGTCAAGAAGTGGGACATACTCGCAGCCTGTTGCCGCCTCGCCAAAGGGAGACATCTCGGCGTGCCTTTCGAACCCAACGAGGTCAAAGAATACCCCACGGTGAACGCCAACAATGTGGAGGATATAAGAAAGAGCATTAAGAAGCAGGCACAGGACATGGAAACAAAGCAAAAACCCGAAAAGAAGGCCGCCACTGCGCTGATTGAGAAGCAGGCGGAAGACGTCAGCGCAAGCAGACCGCCTCTACCACCTCTGGCGTCAGCCCTCCTAATAAGAAGCAGAAGTCGACATGAGTCGAGAGTCCCCCTTCAATACCACCTCTTTGCTATAACCCATCTCTTTGCTGTTACTGAAGACGGTTGTTGTGATTTGGCCTGCCAGTTTTGCAGCACAACGCGACCGTTGACTTGGCTCAAAGCCATTATGCGTATGCGAGGTACGTCGTAAGGGATTTCCCACGGCACTTCGCACTTTTATACGTAGCTAGGATGACCTAAGAATGATGATCACTATATGTGTATACTGTTTCAGTCATCTTGCCCTATGATGCATGGCGTTATGGTTACTTTGAAGATGCTAAGCGAACTAGATCTGTGACTACTAAGTGAATCAGCCCTCTGTCTTCGGTAGCCTCCGGTCTATCTTGCGTATGCCTGCTGCTATGGGCTAGTTGCATCGTATCTGCAACAGAATAGTCAAGTTAACTTGGAGTTCAAAGGCAGCCGTTGCCGGAAAACGAAGGGCCAGCATGCTCTAAGGTTTCGAGTGCATCTTAGCTCAAGAAATAACTATGGCCGAGGCTGCTAAACAGCATGTACTCAAAGAGATGGTCATATTCAGGGTCCTTGCAGAAGGCCTGAGTGGATAAAACTAACATATTGAGACATATACCGCCAGTTGTGAGCCGTATAGTAAAGTTGGTTATTCCCGTAGGTAAGGTCAGCGCTGCGTGGGCAACTTTGAGTATCTCAGAGGATCTGGGACTAGCGAGATTCAGGATTCAGCATGTAGACTCTAGCGACTGTAGCCCAGACATGAATATCACGACCTCGCATAAACCATCCCTATTGCCACAAGATCCCAGACTAGAGAAAGTGTCGCCATCTAAGGATACAATACATCATCGATATAAGAGTAGATTTAACTTATAGACCGGAAAGTTCCAATGAAATGTACTTTAGGTAAATGGGCCGCAATTTATTTGGGCCACAACCTTGTGGAGATTATAGTTACCTTGACATGATACCGCATGGTTAAGCTCAGCCGCCAGATGTCCGAGGACTTATTACGGCCGAAAACCGTACCCGCACTTACCGGCATCCGACATGATCACAACCCATTAAGCTCGCAGTCGGCCTTTATTTCGCAACGCCGATTAACCATAGCTTTCATGGTACGGCTCAGATCAGGGCTTGTAAACGTATAAATACAAGACCTTCCTCAGAATTGGAGCTTGTGCATCAGAAAATGCTTCACTCACACAATTCTGGGTCAATCTCCCTTTAAAACGAGACGATGACAATACAGAATGTTATTATTCTCGGTGCAGGCCCTTGTGGTCTATCTTCAGCCATTGCGCTTGCAAAGATGGCGTCTGAACAAAGAACCCTGCCCATTCGAATCACTCTAGTGGAGCTACGCCCATGCTTGAAGACAATTGGAGGCACTATCAACTTGACACCTCTCGCTATGCGTTATCTCGACTACCTTAGGGCTGGCACGCGACTTCGTCGGCGCTCGATCATCCTGGACGCCGGTCTTGACTATATATCGTTCCGAACGGGACGGCGCATTGGCAACATATGGGGCGGGATCGGTGGAGTTCGAGTTGCTCGGCATGATCTGGTGGACGTTCTGCTGGAAACACTCGTTCAAGAACACTCAGAGGTTGTTGAGATCCACTGGAACAAACGTGTTGCTCAGATACGCGAGAAATCTGAGAAAGTTGTGCTAAAGTTCGAGGACGGCTCGAGGCACAGCGCAGACGTGCTGCTCGGTTGTGACGGGCTACATTCTGCTGCAAGACGCCTTTGGGTTGAACCAGACCGCAAGAAAAGCTATACGGGCAGAGCTATCGCGATGGGCTGGGGTAAGGCAAAGGATGTCAGCATGAGATTTTCGTCTGGTGATCCTGCGTTGAGAGATACTGCAATATTTTCAAGTCCAAATGGCATCTTGCTCGCATCTTACTACGAGCCCACGCGAACCATGGTATATTTTGCGCACATCATGTACATGGAAGAGCCAAAGCTCGACGAACGAGATGGCTGGAAGGCTGCCGGGGATGACCAGCTGAGATTGAAGGCGGACATGAGTAGCTGTTTCAAGGCGGGCCGCGTCAAAGGCGTTCTGGGCGCCGTAGAAGACTGCGAGAAGTGGGATCTTTACCCTGTGTATGTTCTGCCAGCTGAAGGCCGCTGGTACGAAGGACGAGTTCTCCTTTTGGGAGATGCAGCCCACGCGGTAAGTACCCTTTGACACAGGCGTGGCAGTTCCTATCCTCTCACACGGACACAGATGCCTCCACAGGGCGAGAGTACAGGTCTTGCCATAGAAGACGCCATTTTGCTGGCACACATACTCCGGAAACGTGGCAGTCAAACGGTAGAGCAAATGTTCTCCCAATTTCAGGCTTTGCGGAAGCCAGAAATCGACAAGTACTACAAGGACGCGATGTGGGCTATGCAGTACGGATTTCAAAAGAGATCATGGCTGAGTTCAATCATTATGGACTGGGCAATATGGGTCTACTTGCTGTTAAAACGTTGGCGCCAACAGAATCATTTCGATCGAGATGTAAGAAAGCTCCCTTTGCCGGGATGATTCCCCCATTCTTGAGGAATTCCGCATGGAATAGACTTGCCAGGCATATTGTAGGCCACAGCGTGAAACAAAAAGACACGACGAAGAATTTTGAAAGAAACGCTATTTGCGTGATTTCCAGGAACAATAGGGGTGCAATACTGAGGAAATACAAAATACTGACCACACACATATTACTGAGGGCATTCTTGGGATAGATGACTGAGAAGTGATTAGCGACCTGAACGCATCTGAGCCGAGCGAATGTCCATTTCACATGTTTCGATTCGATCGGAGGACTGCCAAGGCTTGTGACTACGATCGTATGAAATGAACAACAGTGAGGGTGGGATGCTATGTCGAAACTGAGCCTGTTCGCTGAGAATGTATGACTCCCTTTTCAGACAATGTCCAGCGACACTGGATATATTGACGTACTGACTTGCCCCAGAATGCCACGGGAACAGCAATGATGCCCATTATAGCAAGTAGCCCTATAACGACCATGCTTTGAGGTACAATCTGATCATCTGGGAGCCACGGAGAAAGCTTGAAGCCTATGATGAAGGCGACTAGATTGCCCGTGAATAGTAGAACACTCAAAGCTGCAGAGGCCCAGCGAGGGAATGCCTCTGTCATCCAGAGGACTGTGGCCACGTTTCCTGTGTTGTAACTGAGCATGCTGAGTGTCGAGGCGACGTATTGCCAAGCTGATGACCAATCTCTCTCCACTGCAGCACACGCAAGGCCGACTGCTAGGCAGCCTGTGATGGTGGGTATGGCAAACCCAGGCAAGTAAACTTCGGCATGGCGGGTCCCCCCACTTCTGAGTGAGAGAAAGCGGGTGAACCAGGCTGTGAGCGGACCAGAGAAGGGAAGTGCGAGCAATGCACCGACAGCGCCGCTGATGGAAAGAAAGACGCTGTTGGTTTCTACATCATCACTCCGATGGTTGAGGATGCTGGGTTGGAGCAGGTTGAGGTATATAACAGCTCCAAGTAGACAGGCGTTGAGCAACGCGACCCAGAAGATGAGTGGATTGATGAGACAGAATGGCATCTGTGCGAATGTAGCCAACATCGATCTCCATTCTGCACCTCGCGCCTTGGAGACCTTGAGTTGATCAGTCACGGACCAGCGCTGTGGCGGGTCGGGTAGAGGCTTGGTATTTTGGGAATTCTGCAGCAAGTCCCAGTCGTCGTACATCTGCGCTCTCTCGAACCCGTTTTGAACCAGAACACGGCCGTCGAAGGCAACAGGTGGGCGGATGTAGAAGGTCTCTGGAACGAAGGCGAGGAGAAGGGCCAATGAGAGTACCGACACACCAGACCAGAGTTGATATACATGCCGCCAGTCTGTTGACAGGCTGGTTATGAACGGCAGCGGAACTGTGAGAGATTTGATAACTGCTGAGCCGAGACACCAATAGATAGATAGCGCGTATGGGCGCTCATGAATGAAGGTCGCATCGAGGATCATTAGTAAACACTAAAGTTGGAAGAGTGAATTAGCTCAAAACCTTGCATTGACAATTTTATGGGGCACTTCGAAACAGTATACCTACCATGCTAATTGAACCTCCAACTGCAAAACCTTGCAGACTGAGTGCTACAAGGAGCTGGAAGAAACCTCCTGCAAAGCCTGCCCAGAGTGTGGAAGCAGTTGTTATAGCCGCGGCCCCAATGATTACTGGCCGTCGACCGATGGCGGTAGCCAGAGGAATGCAAATCAGATATCCCAAGCCGACGAAAAGCGTCATTGCTGAGGAAAGTACCCCTAAACTGAATGGTGATGTGTTCTGTAACTAGCGATAAGCGGCGATCTAGAGTGACCAAGTGTACCACGTTTCGCGGATGGAAGTACCGTACCTGTGAAGCAAACTCCTCATGAAAAGCTGGAATAAGGGTCCCGGAGACGTTTACTTCAAATGAGGCAACAACTGAGTAGAATTCCAAGCAGGCCAAGCCAACCAGCCTCCTGCACCAGCTCCATGCGAGCGGGTCACGACGGGAATTGCTGGGGATCGGCAGCCGCAGGACACGGCCAGCCGAGGAAATGAGGAACACGCTGCCTGCGAGGTCGATGGAGACATGTTTAGACGCCTTGGACGCCTCTGGGTCTGAGGATTCGAAGTACGACAAAGACAGCCGATGAGCCATTGATGAAGCGCGATTATGAGACGATCAGGTACTAATAAGGCGAGTTCGACGCAGTCGACACGCGCTGGATGAGGTGACGCTCTGCTGGCGGTATTCAGGAATAGTGTTGCTCTAGCAGCTGAGGTCTGCCCATTGCTTAAGGGTACGAATTCTCGATGACACCCTCAGCGGTGGAGTGGTGGGATGAAACCCGAGATATATAGTCATTCCCTTAAAGCAACGACCTCCAAGTCAGGTAGGCGGCATAGGTTCGTGATCCAGCTCTCCACTGCACCCCAACGAGCTAGATCTTGGGAAGCAAGGCTGATAGAAGTGTGCGCACGGTCAGTGTTTCATCAATTTAGCAGGGCCAAATAGAGTTTTTGGCCCCCTAACCTGCTCAGTCAAATCTCCACTTGGCTTTCCTTGGCCCAAAGTTAAAACCAGTGTGACGGGCTGCATCAGTGGCCCGACATTGTCCGGCTAATGCGCACGACGATCACCTGCGGCTCGTCTTGCTGCTTTCTGGATATACCCAGGGCGGAGTTGGGCAAATAGACTTACTCCAACACGTTACTGAAACGTTCACTTTGGGCGGCGACATCTATGTTGCCTTAGTAATGCGACTTTGCCAGCTTTGCCAGCATTCAGCTCAACCATATGTTGAACCTTCCCACCCCCCGAAGCATCCGCCGACCTTTCGCGATGCGCGCAGTGTATAAGCACCGTGCGACGGGTGCCATGGGCTGCTACGCTGTACTCGGGTGTCTATAATGCATGCATGGGCGGCAGTGGGGATGTAAAGTTTTGTCAGCAGGACTATAGCAGATTTGGGATATGATCCGGCCTACCAATCTCTAGACCCTGGCTTCCACAATTTTAGAGCAGACTAAAGTCGGCATCCGCACGCTACTGTCCAACGGTGAGCGAACATCGAAGAGCCGGTGAAGAAACCAGCCCGAGATACTTCTCATGAAGAATGACCTGCCTTCTACACAAGACCCTCAGGTTTCGCCGACTTCATTGATGTGCCAATAGACCACCAGCATATACTGGCAACTCTAGAACTTCCTACCAAATGCCGAATATCATACTGGATACCGTATATCGATGCTCACCGGCCACATCTTGCTGCTACGTTATAACTCGTGCCTGGTTGGCCGATCAAAGTTGGGGTTTCAGGCGACGGCGACGGATAACGGCCACCACCCACGCCGATCTTTTAAACTGTCATGCGAAGCCAAAACCCCGCTGGCTCGCTTAGAGGATATCACCGCAGTACATTGGAAACCAGATGCTTGATTGTCACAATGGATATGTCGTTCAGGAGTTTCAGTCACGGCCTGGGCTGTTCTAAGAGCGAGGTCGATCATTTGTAATGCGTAAAAGTGCTTACCAGAGTTCGGCAACTACATCTGTTGGAAAGGTTTACATTTGAGAATAGTCTGCTGCGTTCCACACCTGAAATCGCCGAGACATCTGGAATTATGGCTACCGAGTCTTCCGGTCTGTGAAATTGGTCATCACCTTATACGCAGCTACGGGTATAGACTATCCGAGATTGGTAAGTCACCTCGACTCTCTGTCGAGCCCGTGGATTCACGTCGACATGTTGGGGTCATGCTCTTGGTTTCCTAACTCAGTAGGCATTCTGTCTACACCCAACATTCGCGAAGCGGTCACAGACAGTCCAGCCTTGTCGTTACCTCATTAGATGGGACATGCCTGTGCGCGATTCGTCCGCCAATATGCCGATGACTTTTGGGGATTCGCGTTCTGTTAGAACAATTAAAGACCGCTTTTACTCTAGTGGGTGAGTAGGAGTATGCATTTACACACGCAAAACAATTCTTCAGTCTACGCGGATAGCTCTGGCGGTGGGGAATCTGCGATGGCCATTCCCAGGTTTGTCCCATCAACGCGTCCATCAAAGTGGGTTCAGGTTGTTTCCTCGAATTTCATTCTTCCATATGGAAAACTTGCATAAAATGCTTCGCCCACCCAATAAGTTGGTGAAATCGCTCAACAGACGATCTTTAAGACAGGTGTATAATAAGATGGGCAGCTGAAAAACAGCAATGTAGCGTAATGTAACGTTGGTCCCGTTTAGAATGAACCTTTATAGATGTGGACCATCCGCATATGGTAAACCCTAGAGAGTTCCTGTTGAAAACAGGCGGTTTGGCCCGAGATGTGTGCGGCGTGATAACATATTACGTTACATATTAGGTTGATTGTCTTTCAGATGGGGTTCCATCAGTTCTAAGTCTGAAATCCTACTTAGGAAACGCAGCGGTATCAAACCTTCGATCCAAAATGTTGTCTATATATTCCCTGGGCGCCCCCCAGGGCCGTCTGCCGTAGTATAACGTTCCAGACTATGAAGAAGCGCCGTTGGCAAGATATCTGAACTAGTCTTTCATAAACGATCCTGGGCTACATCTTCTGCAGCACCCATTCCAGTGCCGTTACACTCCCATCGTGAACGGTCATCTCCCACATTCCGATTTTGTGCCGTGGGTTGCACTGTAAAGGTTTGCCGTTTTCACATCTATTCAACGCTGAACTGAGCTTTTGGATGATCAACGGTGCCCACAACTCAACCCTAACATGCACTTTCAATTTACACCTCGTAAATGTGCGCCAATCATGGAAATTCACAGCCGAGGCCCTCCAGACAGCATCGTTAATCATACAGTCCTCTAAGAAGGGAAAAAAATAAAAGGCCAGTTAAAATTTTTGACTGTGATATAATTTCTAGCAGGTTTTTAAATATTCCGTATTTTTAAAATGCGAACCTCTTCCTTCCTAAGCATATTCCACCATCCACATCTCGATTTGTCACTACTCTGCTAACTATTTCGATGGCATATAGTCTCTGGACAGGCTAGACAACTGGGTAGCGGCGTAGCCGAGTCCACTTTCGTACTTCAGCCTTTCCAGGGAGAAGAAAGTATGGAAGCGATCCAGACTGTAGCCAATCGTTTCTTCGATGCACATGTTCAGCGCATTGTGTAATACTCTGCATTGACTTTGCTTTGACGTGTCCCAGGAGGCGTAGCCCTTTGTGGACGAATTTTGTCTTCATACGCAGAGCTCAGCTCAGTCGTTTTGAGATATAATGAGCCAACCGAGCTGATCTTTGATCAACCTGTTTAGCCACCTGCTTTGATATAATGAGGGCTGATGGTATTAATACCAGTCCAGCGACCCACCACTTTACGTATTGCCGAAATTAGCATTTGTTTCCAGAACTTTTTGTTTGAAAGGATGGTGGCTCACTGTGATACACTCTGGAATTGGTTCCCACACGTCTTCGCCATCCCAAAAATCTCTGCCTGTGAAGACGCTATACGTGAAGTTCATAATGGGGTTTCGGAGGCAGCGGTAATACAAGACATGCATCAGATACAGAGCAAAAGAGACTTCGCCTAGAAACTGGAAAGGCCGTATGCTGAGTATCCGCTGCAAAACAGGAACATTGATTATCAATGTCACGAGGCCAACAGAACCAATGGTACTGACGCTGAACTTGGTGTACTCCCAGTGACGCGAACGCCAAGGTGGGGGGATGAGACTAGCCAAGAACCTGTAGCCAGGTGACCAATGTTCTTCGAATGGTTGACAGAGAAGCCAAAATGAAAATAGGAAGAGAAAAATCTTCGTTAATACCTGTACATGAGATCCGTAGTGCCGCCAAAATAGAGGAAACGTGCGGTGGGAGCTTGGAAGCTTAGTCTCCGAGCTCGATGCGGATGGTTCTCGGGACTCGGGCAAGCGGTAGTCCTCTACTCCACCCAGTGTTACTTCCGCCATGAGAAGGCCTGAAAAGAACCCAAATATATCCCAGTCGCCATACCAGAGAGTATACAGCGCGGTCGCCATGATGCAACACAGCCGCGCTCTATGGGAGATTCCACAAAGCGCAAGCATAGTGAGGTATACACAGAACGACCCGCGCAACTCACGGGGAATGGTCCATAACTGATCATTAAGGCCAGGGTTTGGGCTGATCTCGAGGATGTTCAGGCTGTCTGCCAGGTAGGCCACATAGTACCTCAGGTGCAGTGTAGGAGAGCCCCATGGTACAACGCCTATTGCATCGAGCTGAGGCCACCACCAATGATAGAAGCCAAGATACAGTGCAATTTGCGCCACCGTAGCCATGGTGAAGACTGGTATGTACAAGCGGAATATCCTTCGAAAAGCTGCTGAGGTGAGCTTCTGGTAGAACTGGGGTAGGGCGCCCCTGTTCCTAGCCAATACAAGGGATGCAGATATAGAGTATCCCGACAGGACCATGAAGAGCGCGACCATAGACTTTGCGGCGAAGATAATGGATATTGGAGGCAGTTGATAGAAATATTGGTTATCTGCTGCAGGCTGAGCCCAGTAGGATCTAAATGGGGCATTGACAGTGCCGAGGAAGAGGTGGTCTAGAGCGACGATCAGTGCCGCCAGGCCGCGCAGACTGTCCAACCACTGGATACGGCTCATAGAGGTATTCATTCTGGATGTCTGGTGGAGCCAGTGACTACTCAAAGTCTTTTGACTAAGAATAAGGGAAACAAACTGAACGAAAGGACAGAGAGTCACAGTGATTATGGCTATGGGAATAAGTGAGATGGATCGCCCCTCTTATGACAAACTCCCGGCGACAGGCTGCTACTATCCATACCAACGCGCCTCATATCATGCCTATTGTTTCAAATCGACTGCCGAAACCCCTGAGTTAGTGAAAAACTCTAGATAGCTGCGAACCAATATGGAGCTTGTCAGCCAAAGCTTTCTTTGCCACTGAGTTCTATTCATAACTTCTGCTGCACCCGCTTGTGTCTGCTGCAGTCATCTCTTTTCAGGCCTGTCGATAGGCCCTGAAAGCCAAGCAAAACTACGACGACTATTGTTACCTTGGCTGAGTCTTTTTGTGCGTAAGCGAGTTACTACGCATGATGCCACGCCTCTTCGCACTCAATGAAGGTTGAACATTGATTGCGGCGTAGCACTCTGGACTAGTTCCAATTAAGATTTTAAAACGCCGGTTTTTCTGGAAAAACGCCGAATGGTACTTTTGCTTTATTTTAGCATTTGATCAGTACCGTACTTTGGTTTCAAGGGCAAATTGCCTTATAATATACCACATCAGTCTTTCCTTTTTCTTTTCAGCACAACGACTCTTCGCAAAGGGATTGGAAAGGCTTCTAACACAACGTTGGAGTTATAGCAAAATCGAGGTTTCACAATTATCCAGTCCGAGTACTCAAATATGACGTCGACTAGCACGGCTTATCGTCGCTTCACCTAACTAGTACCCCCTACTAGTATAGATGATTCTTACTCAATGTGGTACTATGCTCGCCTGGTGCAAAAATATTGTACAGTATTTAGTACGGAATAGATACCGAATGGGAGGTACCGTAGAGACCGAAACCCTCGTTCCAATATGCACCAAAACTGAAAGAACCATGACTCAATACCTCGAACACCCCATCTCAAATGACGCGACTGATCGTGAGGAAGGGGGGAAGGGAATGTTGTGTGTTGGGCATTTATAGCTCTGAGGACCCAGTACTTGCCAAGGCCGCCGTCCACTACAAAAAGTATAAATCAGACATTCCCATCTTGGCTCTTTCGACAATCAACCACGAAAAAAAAAAGCCTCATAATCCCAGTGACACTACATCATTCAGCCAAGTTGCAGATCTGCCGCCCAGCGAATCGGGGCCCGCGTCGCCCGGGGGGGAAAAAAACGTGGCACCCTCGATACGATTGTCCAATCAAGAGCCAGTTCGCGACGACGCATTGCCGAATGAGGATCGCTTGCGTGATACATCAAGCGGATGTCCCGGGCATCTAAGATATACTTTTCTCTTTACAGGTTCAGCGCAGTTTTGACTCATAACAGACAACATAAGACAGGGTGTAGAAAAATAGTACCAGCGAAAATATCAAACAAGCGAACGTTTGGAGTCAAGAACGGAAAGGAACACGGCATTGTGCTTACTGTAGTTGGAAAGTCAATCGGTCTTACGCCAAGCAGGCTTAGAATTTTTAACTACGAGCTGCTGGATCTTGAATCACCGACACACAGTTTGCCACTTGTTTCAGATATACATATTTCCACGTCTCGCCTCATGCCATTTAACCAGATTGTAAACAGTACCATGGAAGTCATGGTAGGCATGCACACGGACACGCAGACAATCTGCGGCACGGTCCGTCACCACTACCGAAAGTAAAACTAACTCCACGCTAGGCAACTTGTACCGAGTTTGAAACTTGGGAGTGGCCAGACGTGTCGGCAAAAGGTGAGGGACCGGGATCTCCTCAAGTGAAGGTCATGTGGATCGTCATAATCAAGTACAAGTTCAGAATGATGTAAATATTTAAAGGCATATATGTCCATCGCAGTTAAGCCTGTTCTGCAATCGTACACAGGCCCAAATCATCCTCTAGTCTTCTGCATCTTTAGGAATATCTGTTATAGACATCTTGTATATCCCCCTGTTCACAATGTTTCTATCCCGGACAAGCCCTTCGGTCAAAGAGAAGGATGACCAAGAAAAGAATCATTTTCGACCCGTAGTATCACCATTACGGCGATTATACAATTGTATCGGCTGCCTTGTTGCTGTGTACATTTACGTGAGCATCGCTCGCTCAAGCACATTTCCACTCACCATTGATATTCTTATTGCTATCTTTCTAGCTGAATTCAATCGTCTCAGTAACGAGAATAGAAGGCGCCAGTTGGCCGTTCAGTATAAGACTAATACGACTTCAGTGGATCACGTAATGGAGAAGGGGCTGTTCCACGCCCCCGAGAAAGAAATCCCTGGGTCTGACTGTATGGCAGCGATCATCGGATACCGAGAGGACGAGGAGACTTTCAATCAGGCCTTGAAGAGTTATCTCCAGGCTGCGAACTGCAGGTTTGTGCTTGTCGGCATCGATGGGGACGATAACGAAGATCAGTATATGTTCGAAATCTTTCAAAAGGTAAATGCTCCAACTCCTTTGGAATGATTACCCATCGCATAAGGCGCACTAGCAGCAGGGGCTAAGGGATCACATCAAATCTGCAGGTTTTCCCAGAACGATCAGCTATGGTCCATATGGACACACCTTTGGTCGACCTGGCGCTTGAGCTCTCGGCCTCGCTCCCTGAATCACAGAACAAGGAAGACCACATCATATCATTATGTGTTCGAGAAGCACGTCAACACCTTGAAAGGTCCAATGTGTCCCTTCATGATGTTCGCTACCTTTGCATATCTCAGCCTCATATGCACAAGAAGGGTATCATGTTCAGCTCCTTCATTTTCTCCTTGTTGATCACAGAAATATACGGGCTCGAATGGATCTGGTCCTCCGACAGCGACACCATTGTGGATCCAGACACCCTATCATCAACCACGTCGGTCTGTGCCTCTGACAATGCTGTCGGCGGTGCTTGTACCACCCTTGTCATCCACAACCGGAGCGATAACCTCCTCACGAGACTGAGTGCCGCAGTCTACCTCAGTGACTACTATTTAGCTCGCTCGTCCCCGTCGTCCTTTGGCGCGAATGAATGCCAATCTGGTCCATGTGCCTTGTTTCGCGCCTCAGCGATAGCCCCGATACTACTCCGATGGTACACACAGACCGTGTGGGGGAAATGGATGCGTGTCAACGAAGATCGACACCTTACAACGTTGCTGCTTCGCCAAGGTTATAACGTGCTGTACGCCGCAGACAGTATCGCGGCTACCGAGTCACCACCAACTCTGAGGAGATGGCTACTACAGCAAGTTCGCTGGGCACGGGCCGTGCATGTCGAGAGCTTCTACGCTCCTGGAATCTATGTGCTCCAGCACCCCGTACTCTTCTTCAACACGGTCCGACGGGAGATTGGCGGCATCCTCATCCCCCTAACCATTGCCATATATGCTCTAACGGGAAGAACCGCGCGACCTGTTCCGGGTCAAGACCTAGTGCAGCGACTTCTGATCACGTGTGGATATCTGGCACTCCGAAATCCGTATCGTCCTTCGAGGTGGGCAGAGTGGCTTTGGCTGCTGCCCGGCCAGGTACTTTACAACATCTCGATTCAGGGTATCCAATTCTGGGCCTTGATGACAATGCTCGACGGAAGCTGGGGCACTTGCATGAGAGGCTCTGCCGAAGTTCAAGCAGATGCTACCGGCGTTTCGAGCGTCGATAGCGCCGGCTCTGGGAGCCTACAAAGCTCGCTGGAAAGCGGGCTTCTAACGCAACCAGTAAGTGAAGAAAAGAGAAGTCGTGTTAAGCTCAGAGCCCAGGAGATAGGGTTCTTTGTCTTATGGATCGGGCTTGTGATTGGTGCTATTGGCAGGGTATGGGCCACCACTTGGTATGGGTTTGGTGGGAGTATGGCAACTCTGGTAGCGTTTGCCTGCATGGTGCCGACATGGATGGGCATGTCATGGTGGATGGTGGCCGTAGCCAACTGACAAGTATATTGTTGGTTGCGCGGTCGCTTTATGGAACCAAGACTTGAAAAGAGAGCTTTTCGGATGAATGAGCACTTCTCCTCGCTCATGGTATGTGACGAAATGATCCCGCGATGGTCCCCTGCATTGAAATTCAGCTGTGAAGCGACAAATCACACTAGAGCAGGCCAGAACAACAACACATCGACTTGTGTAGATACCAATAGCTTGAAGTTGATATGTTTAGTAAGGACACCGGAATACGAGCCGCGGTAGAGCTTCGACGCTCGGTGGTTATAGTGGTTGAGTAACGCTGATGTTGGCGGCACAAGAAGCGGGAGTGGAGACCAATGCGTTGGTAGCCCTGCGGACCATTGCCCGGAACCATGTCCTCTGACATCTGATGGTCGGATTTCGGAGTGCAATCATCGTGTAAATGCAAGGCTTTTCGCGTGCCAAATCGCGATACGCAGTGTCAAATGTGTGTTGTAAATCCCAGAACATTCCGTTAGGTCCGGACTTGTCTTGTGTCCGTGTCAACGAAGACTGCTTCGGTCAGAATCAGGTGTCGCTCGCCAAGTAAATTATGGCCGAGTGTGGAGCGCAGGCGTTCGTTCCCGGTGGAAGCCCGCAGAGCTCAAGCTGCCAGGGGTCACACACACCGTCCATAGCAGTTCAGTTTAGCAGTCCACTCTTGTGGGAACCCGTCGAAGTCTCCGGCCTGATCGCATGATCTGGCGAAAACACACTGGCGAACCGCAGTATCCAGTCACATGACCAGTTCGCAGGTTTGATCCACGCAGATCATCCCATGCGTCTCTCGGTTGACTGATAAGGTACGCTGGCTTCGTCGTGTGGGAGCTTGAAGCGGCATCTACGAATTGGACCCAGCAAGAGTCCTGTAAACCATTGGTGGAACTATGAAACAAGATATCTGGCAACCGTACTAAAGTAGATGGAATTCTCTTCCGGCTTGCTAGCCGGTGGATTAGGCAGAAACAATATATCTAACAATCGTGTTTAGGCGATGGAATTCGCATCTGACTTTGCCAACCAGGGCACGCTGTATATGTGTGAGGCTCCTCCAGCCTCATCTGGCAGCCCCGAACGCAACGAAATTACCCTCGGCACATCAGCCCCCAGTCGGTTGACATCGTAGATGTTTGGAAAGGAGAATATCCACTCCAGTCATACTGCTGCTTTTGTCCGTTAATCTGAATTCCATTTCGTACCCTTGGAACGGTCATGTATATTGCACACAACGGTGGGGCCCAGCGCGTGCATCAGTGTGCGCGGGCTTGCAATCACTGGCTCGCAGCACGCAATAACCCTAAGTCTTGGGTAGTCGGCGCCCAACCGCTCAAGGGCTTCAGGGGCTTCTTCGCGCAGACATCCACTATATCCATGACAGCTATGCGCTTGGAGGGCCCTTGAAATACGGCGGCTTTCAATGGATCAGCTCGCTTGGCAATCGTCAAACAATGCTTCGGCGTAGATTGACATGACCCCATCTACAGCTCCATTTTCTTATGAGGAATCAGACTGCAGCAGTCAATAGCATTGATAGATCAAAGCGCATGGGGCCTAGAGCTTGGATTTGGATTGGTTCACGCCTGGCGATGACAGCACATGTTTTGAACTGCATACGCCAAATCCAGATGGACCACGCCGTCCCAAGCACGAGGTAAACAACTTACAGCACTGGCTGGTAGTCACGCCTGTTGGTCAACGCATTGAAACTCTCCATCGTGATGTGCAGAACAAGTCCCATCCTGTCCATGGTATAAAGAGATAAGTTATCTTGAGTCTCGATAGTTCGGCGCGTGGAACCCCAATGCCAAGAGCAATGGCTGGCAGCATCCGGTATGGGAAGCAATGCGATTGCTGAGGCTCGACGTATTGGGCGCTGGACATATGTTTGACCTCGCAAGGTGAACATCATGACAAGGACAATGCCATCATCGTTCTGCAGGCAAATGGAACATCCGGATCGGGCCACAGGACGTTGTTTAGTCAATCTACACAGCTCGGTTTGGTGTTTCGGCCAGCTCGCGATGTGAGCACCGTCGCACGTTCCTGGCTAAATCAATCGAGCAGAATATGGAAACCTTCGTATTCTTGTACGAGAATAAGGCATCCGAGTATCATTTATTGCTGTATTTGGACCAATCGCATACAATGCTGGGCAGTGGGTTAGGGCGGCGATTCAAGAGTGCGATGCCGCTGGAGGTCAGTTGCCCCGGGTGTTCTTAACGCGTACCTTAGTTAGGTCGGGTAGTTTACGGGTTAGCTGCACATCCTATGTTGTCTGCACTCCGCTTTGTCCTGCTGTGTCGCCTCTGCAATACGCACGCTTGGCATGCATACTAATTGATACTATGCAAAAGAGATATTCGAGTGTGGTTGCGCTGTGTCATTGATGGAGCAACGTCCTCCGCATCATTGGTGCATGCAGTAATCGGCTGTATTTACGGTGGTGTAAAGTTGTCCAGTCCCCCGCCAATCCTGTTGATCTCCAGTGGGCCAGTGGGCATGGATAGCGGCGCCTATGCTAGCAGATCACAGCGCTGTAATCCGCTAATTGCACAGGTGAGGTGGGCTGTTCCCTTGTGGTATTGGCGTTCAATGCATATACAACGCCCCGTTGCATATATCTACAGCTTCGAATCTTGGATTAAACAGTCTGAAAGGTCTGTACGAATCAGCGGGCTAAGGAATTGATGGTTTTCTTGCGCGCTGTCCATGTGCAATTCCCGGGCAACCGGGGTGTCGCGTGGCGAGGCAGCTCTAGGGGGGGCAGATGCGCTAAGCCCACCAACTGCGCCCAATCAAATGGCGAATGCCATGCCTATCGGGCAAGGCTCAAGTTCCACCTTGCGACGCCAAGGCTTTGCTGCAAGGCCACGGCGATGAATACCATACTATTGCTGCGCTAACTGAGGTGTCAAGCTTTGTTCAATTGATATAGTTGATAATATGCACATGGCATCATTGTCTGAATTTCGCAACGCTGCTGTCGCCGTCAACCGGTACCTGCGGAGAGGGAGCTCCGGTCTGGTGGGTGCTGCCTGTATGTCGCTCCTGCACCCGGCGGACAAAGATCAAGGTGCCAACCGATGATATCAGTTACACGTCTCACAGACGTCCTCGACTAGTTGGGTACACTCTATCAACTGAGTACACACAACTATCAATCCACTAAAGCAAATAGGTCGTCCTTTGAGGCACATTACCATAGTTCTAGCTCAGAGACCTGCGTCCAGAGCTGAATTGCTACTGCTCTACCTTGGTGTTCTTCATTGGAATCTCAGTTGGCCAACCCGAGAGGAAGGCACGTCGGGGAACTTGCCCTCACGTGTCCATTTCAACTATGTAAACCAACTTTTTGATGTTTCAAATTCAGGCAGACACTCGGCCGATCTCACCGCTTCTCCTCTCTTCCCCTCACCTTCTCTTCCATTCGATATTCTCTCTTGCACCCATCTGCTGATCTTCTCCTCAATTTGATACTCTCTCGTCAATTCATCTTCCACTCGCCTTCCCAATTCCTCATCTTCTGATCTTCTCATCTTCTGTCTTTTATTCGATAATTGTTTCGTCCCTTTATCTTTGACTCATCTCCCTTTCCACCTGTCTTGCGTCGACCTGTTTCAGCAGTCGTCTATTCTTGTCCAATCGTCGTCTTTCCTCAATTCATATTCTCTTTTCCAATCTCACAATAATCCTCTATTCCAGTAATCTTCTTTTGTCCACTCATTTTGATGTCTACTCCTCTTCTCTCTTTCAGCCGTCTCTCTCTTCTCTCTTCCGCCGGCTTCCGTTCAATACTCTATTCCACACACTCAGTTAACCAGGCGATGAATTTCATTGCCTAATTCAAGTATTGTTGAGTTTCCATTGAGTTTCCATTTATCCCTGTTCACACACTTCTATATTTTCAACATCACTCGAACGGCACTCATATTCGACCAGTCTCCCATCAGCAGAAGGTTCAGTACTCCTACCCCAGTACCATTCTCAGATATACTGACATGTCCAACCCATTGCACTTCCCTAGTCCCCATCTGCCCTTGTTTTAAGGTTTTGTGCCGCTTTGTAAGTTCAGAACCCCCCATCTGACTCCTTTCATCTCGGTGTGTTGGCCTGATCCATGGTTAATGTTCCATCGCCACCTCTCCAACATCTTCCTGCTCTCTTCCGTCACCTCTTGATCCATTCTTATCCCTTCCACCCGTCTGCTCAAACTGCTCGTCGTCTTTCGATGCCATGTTGCACCTGGACACCCAATTTCTCTCAACGTCCATGCTGGAAAGTCAAGTTCAAGAGGCAAGTCATCCCATTCTTCGATCATGAACTGTCGCTGACTTGAAGTTCGCATTCTTTCTGAGCCAATTGCAGGCCATAGTTCAATCTGACAGCCAAGCTCTATTGATTCTCCAATATCGGTCACCCGAGAGCTTTCCATCCCTTCCCTGCTACTATGACATCCATGGTTTGGTGTTTCTCATTCAGCCCATCTTCTCCATATCTTGAGTACGTTCTGATCAGCGAGCAGAGAAACACATTTGGCCATTTCAATCTTTTATCGTGCCACCTACGTCCTCTGGCCGCCGGCAACGCCGGACTCAGCTTCTATTCATGTCATTGAGGCAACTCCGCTTCTTCTCACGGATCCGCTCAGCATTTACTGCAGCAACTGCTACATCTTTACCATTCAACGGCCGAGCACAAGTCTGTGCAGGCAGACGCTGCCCACCGTGCTCGCATCTGCCTTTTATAAGTATATTTATAATAAAGTTTTATATAAATATTTAATATTTATATGTTATTAAACTGGTTCAATTTAAAGACTCAACCATGTTAATAACAAAATTGTCGTGAACAGATTTGCATTATTCAGCCTGCCATAATTGGCACCGAAGCTCTACTTTAATTAGTCCACCTGCTTGAAAAATACCATATTTCAGTTGCCAAACCTGGATTGAACCCCGTTCGCGAAAAGCTTGGCAGTGGCGAATGATCCGCCCCCACAGATCTGCAACGCAGGGGGCTGGGGTTCCGCCAATGTTGACGTTTGAGGGCTGTCATCCTTCATAGGCTGCAGCCGGAGAATAAATTTCGTGGATCTGGCCTCACACTCAACTATTTCGACTTCTGTTTCTAAATTGTAACTGTGGGAGTGGCCTTCCTTTTAAAAATGTCCGATTCCGAGCCCTTCACGTTCATTGCTGAGGAGAGAGCAGGCGAAGCACCTCGGCTGTTTGAAGGCTTTTTGGATCGTTCATCTGCGCGTATCCCACAGCCTGACGTTCCGCTTGTCACGGAGCTGCGGAATCAGTACCCGGAGCTTATCGTTACGTATGTGTCGGGCTCAAGTACGACCGGAGACCGTTGCTGACCTCTGATAGCACAATTCCTGTTGACAACGTGAACCTCCTTGAGTTTGCTGCTGCAGGCTTTGCGCAAGCCGAGTTAGACTCTGATGATGAGCCTCTTGTGCGATGGAGGGGTTTCGCTCCACCAGCACAACGCCACGGCAGAGGCCAATTGGCTGAAGCGAGGTTCTTTGCCAAGTACCGCTATAAGTGGAACAACGAGAACTTTATCCTGTATACTGTTATCCTCGGATTGACGGCATTGCAATACGTTCTAAAGGAACCTCATGGGGATGAAACAACATCAGGCAACTCCACAATTACGGACAGCCTCATTCGGGCCATTGGAGAATGGTCCATGACAGACGAAGAGCTGATCTATGTCTTCGACAATGGTTTCTGGTCTGCGTCGAAGGGCTTGTGGGAGCAGGTCCAAAAGGCCTCGTGGGACAAGGTCATCCTCGATCCGAAGACTAAGAAGGAGTTGACGCAAGTTAGTGGAAAGTTCTTCGATGGTAGAGAGGTCTACGAGGAGTACGGGGTGCCCTGGAAACGAGGTCTCATCTTCCACGGGCCAGTTGGGAACGGCAAGACAATCTCCATCAAGGCGTTAATGCACACACTTTATCAGCGCGACCCGAAGGTTCCCTGCCTGTACGTCAAGAGTGCACCATATACCTACAATCTCCGCGGCGTGTTCCAGTTTGCCAGGATGATGGCACCCTGTCTTCTGATTCTAGAGGACATTGAGACAATTGTCACCGCCTCGACAAGGTCATACTTCTTCAACGAGGTCGATGGCCTTGAGAACAACGACGGTATTCTAATGATTGCCACTACAAACTATTGTCAGTTTATTATGCGGTCTTATACTAACGCAAGCTGACGAATCCTATCTTATAGTGGACCGACTTGATCCTGGTCTTTCGAAGCGCCCAAGTCGGTTCGACCGCAAGTATCTATTCCCATTACCCAACCTTGTAAGTGGCACATCCTTGATTTCCCTAGTCTTGGAAAGCGGCTGAAATTGAACGCTTCTTAGGATGAGAGAGTTCTGTACTGCGAATACTGGTACGGCAAGCTGAAGAGCAAGCCTGCGATTGACTTCCCTCGGCTATTATGTCGCCCGATTGCCGACCTGATGGACGACTTTTCGTTTGCATATATGCAGGAAGCATTTGTAGCAACATTACTGGTCCTCGCACGCGATCAGGAGGATGATGAGTTTCAGACCAGCGTATATAATCGTGGCACTCGAGATGAAGAGCAGTACGAGTTCTACCGAGTGATGAAGGCACAGGTTAAAACACTGCGAGATGAGATGGGAGATCCAGAGGCTTCCCCCGAGATGTTTACCGTCCCACCTACCCCCGGATCAAATGCCAACGCCTTTGGTGGTGCCTTTAGTATAGCAGCTCCTGGACGTGCTGGCAACTTTGCTGTGGGAAGTCGTACGATCCAAGGCTCTGGTGTTTCCGATCAAAGCGGAAATCGCCGCCAGACGGCGTTCCTTCAACAAGGGATTGATGGTGATGGTATGTCGTTTTCCGCCTCATTTGCCCTCAGAAGGAGCTTTCCTGTACGTATGTAAGCAGTTGGAGGTCTCTCAAGGAGTTTCTGGAGGAACATTTTAGTTGGACTCTTAGATACTACATACGACTCTGGATCACTTTTCAAAAAGATAATCTTGGCTTCAACGACCTTTGCCCACATGTAACATTTACTACTTTTATATTACTTTTGACGGTTTCCTATACCTTGAAATAATCTGCCACAGCCTGCCACAGCCTGCCACAGCCTGCCACAGCCTGCCACAGCTTGTTACAGCTTGCTATTGCTTGCCACGACTTGCCACGGCGTGCTACATCATTACAGTCTAAATCAGTCCATCACATTTTTTCACACTATACTGTATTTAAGAAGTAAAAGGGTTTACATTCACTTTCAAGTGTATAATTCACTAACTAAGTAAACGATGCAGTCCTCTGGGGAGCTCGGGGCTTATATAAACAGCAGCTTAAATCGATACCAGCGACTACACAATATACTTCATAGAATGTCAGCTTCTTTAGGACAAACGCGAACTGTTTTTGGCCCCCAAAGCCATCCATATATGCTACAAATGCCCTCTCGTGACCTCCAGGTCGGCCTGATCATTATAGAGATTTATTTGAGCCTCCCACGCAATCTTTGTCTTGACCTCCACCTTCGGCGACATGTCAGTTGTGCTGATCTTCAGATGATCTGGGCGAGTAAGGGTTGTTTTATACCAGCCATAATGCTCTGGTTTACAAGAATTATCTTTTCTCTTAACGTTTGGTATACACAAGTTGGCAAGCAAGCTCATTCTCTTTTAGTGTGAAGTACTCCGGAGCCCCTGAGCCCCTGAGCTTGCAACCGAAGTTTGACAACTCCCGAATCTTTGAACTTCTACCACTGGTAGCTGCTTCAGCCGTCCACAAAATGTACCCTTGATCGACTCGCGCGTCTACAGACCTTGCGTTGTCGCCAAAGTTGACAAGTCAACCACAACGCAATCTCAGAGGCAAAGTCCGCTGAAAAGAGAAAGAGAACACTTTGACCTCGCTCTCCGAGATCATGCTGCGTCCTGAACAGTCGTGTAGAGGATATGGTAGAAGGTGTTCCGCGCATGACGATGGCCTCTGGCGCACGAACGACAACCGATAAGACCGGAATTCGATTTTTGCTGGAATTCGATTTTTTACGGCAACCCTTGGGGCCGCATATAAGACGGCCAAGAATTATTATCAACCTCTGTATTTGGTGGATTGAAACTCCAAAGGTCAAAGTTGTGTGCAGGAAGTACTCCGAAATATTTCTGCAGGAGAGACAAGTTTTTGTTCGGTACAAGTCTGGGCAGGCTTCCAATGTACGGGCTCCGGCTTTGATATTTAGAAAGAGTCCTCAGGGACGGGACCGTCGAAACCTCGAAAGCTACGAAAGTTGCCTGGGTAAGGATGTCATACATACGTTACTCGGATGTTCTATTCCGCACGGGAATAGGTGTCGAGGTTTTCGAACGGGAGATACATGAAGGGAGGGGAGCATCATCTCTAAGGTTGTACCTCTAAGTAAATCCATCGTGCTAGCTAGGTAACGTCATCCTTGATAGTAAACTGAGTTGCGAGCAGCCGAAGGCGCGGGATTCTAATCATTGGCCATCTAATTCGCCAGCATGTTGCTTGCCAATGAGAGTTGAAGGCCGGTGAGTTGGAATGAGCGCTTCCGGCTTCCCAAACCTCCTCAATCCCAGCACTTCTCCCATGGACACGGATATTGGGCTTCTCAGAGGCAGTTTTCATGGTCAGATACGATAACCGCCAGTTTCAAAGCACAAAGCACGGGATTGTTGCTCGTATGTTGCCGTTGAGCAAGTTAGGAGGCCGGTCTCGGCGCTGTAGGTTCAATTGCAGTTGGAGCTAGGTTGTGAACTGGGTTGGTGGCGCAGTAGCCAAACTTAACTGGCACAGGTCCCATTGGCGTGCGGATGAGTTCCACGCAGTTTCCCACGGTTATAACTGGCAATCTAGTTCAGTATTGCGCTGTGCGTCTTGCGAGATGAAGCTGTGCGGGTGTCCGCGTGGCAGGAATCCATGGATGTTAGTTGATCGTGGTTAGGATCCGCCCGGTTTATGCGCATCGAAGTCTGCCCTATCTAGTCCCATGGCCTAGTGGCGTGGTCCCAGCCCCGTGAACGTTGACTTGGAGCTTCCATACTACGAGCTTAGGGTTAGGGTTAGGGTTAGGGTTAGGGTTAGGGTTAGGGTTAGGGTTAGGGTTAGGGTTAGGGTTAGGGTTAGGGTTAGGGT